TAACCCTAACCCCCCTAACCCCTAACCCTAACCCTAATAGCGGTGTCCTAACCGGTACGGGCTACCCTAACTCTAACTCTCTAACGTGATTCGCTTCGCTCATCACCTCTAACTCTAACTCTCTAACGTGATTCGCTTCGCTCATCACCTCTAACTCTAACTCTAACGTGACTCGCTTCGCTCATCACCTCTAACTCTAACTCTAACGTGACTCGCTTCGCTCATCACCTCTAACTCTAACTCTAACGTGACTCGCTTCGCTCATCACCTCTAATACTCTAACTCTAATGTGACTCGCTTTGCTCATCACCTCTAATACTCTAATGTGATTCGTTTCGCTCATCACCTCTAACTCTAACTCTAACGTGACTCGCTTAGCTTATCACCTCTAACGCTAACTCGAATATGGCTTATATCGATCATCACCTATACTGAAACTCCTCCTATCCCTCTTACTCCTACTCCCCCATCATTTCAAACCCTAACCACCTTGAATCTCTCTCTTTCCGATCACCCTAACCACAATCAATCTCTGACTTTCGCCCTTACCTTCTTCGACTTAATATCTAAATAAATGAAACCCCTCCTAAAACATTCTATACAAATCCCTATCATTAATAACACTAATACTAAGTCGCTTTCGAAATAACGAATACCATTAATAATAAAATTCATCTCCCCTCTCTCCTCCATAAATCCAAATAAAAATCTTAATCTATGAATACCATCATGAATCTTCCTATCAGATTATTAAATCGAACTCATCATCTAATCAATAACATCAAATTTTCAGATACTAACTCCCTATCGAACCAAAATCCTTCTACTCTCCCCCTTCTACTCTCCCCCTTCTACTCTCCCCCTTCTACTCTCCCTATATATCAAATTCTTATCCCTAGTCATCTATGACCCTAACCATTATATTCCCTATAATTCCCCCTTCAAACAAAATCATTATACTCTCTATAAACCTCCTCCTCAATCATAAAACACTAATCCAATTATATCCTTAATAAATCCCCTTCAAAATCATCCATCACCCTAACCATCATATTTCTACTAAATCTAACTTACGATCTAAATAATGATATCCATGAATTCCCTTCGAAATCATCTATCTCCCTAACTATTACATTTCTACTGAATCTTCCTATCAATCTAAATAGTTATACTCTATATAATCCTCTCCCTATCATCTATCTCCCTAACCATTATATTTGTACTGAATCTTACTGACTATCTAAACTATAATACTCTCTATAATCCCCTCTATTATCTATCTCCCTTATATGATATTTCTACTGAATCTTACATACTATGTGAACTATAATACTCTCTATAATCCCTATCATCTATCTCCCTAACCATTCTATTTTGAATTAATCTTTCTATCTATCTCAACTATGATACTCTCTATAATCCCCTCCTGATCATCTATCTCCCTAACTATTATATTGCTGCTTAATCTTACTTACTATTAAGATGATGATACTCTCTATAATCCCTTTCCTATTATCTATCTCCCTAACCATTGTATTTCTACTTGATCTTCCTATCTATTGAAATGTTATACTCTATATAATCCTCCCCTATCATCTATCTCCCTAACCATTCTATCTCTGCTTGATCTTCCTATCTATCGAAATGTTATATTCTATATAATCCTCTCCCATCATCTATCTCCCTAACCATTGTATCTCTGCTTGATCTTCCTATCTATCGAAATGTTATACTCTATATAATCCTCTCCCCATCATCTATCTCCCTAACCATTGTATTTCTACTTGATCTTCCTATCTATCGAAATGTCTAACTCTATATAATCCCCTCTATCATCTATCACCCTAACCATTCTATTTCTGATTAATCTTGCTTTCAATCTAAATGATGATACTCCATATAATCCCCTCTCTATCATCTATCTCCCTAACCATTATGATCCCTATCAATCACTGAGTAATCAAAATGGGAATATGGATCTATATATTTGGATTCATAATGATATATCTTACTCTCGACTTATGAATTATGGCTCTAATAATTATGATACTGACTCCTACTATGGCATACTACTAAACAATTGCCTAACCCTGAATGGAATTGATACAACTATAACACCCGAATCTGGTTGTCTTACTTGGTGTCCAACCGGGTGTGTAATATGGCCTGGTATTTAAACTGGCCTGCTGGACCTCCAAAATAAAAATCGGCTACCGAATCTGCCTCCAAACTGGCTTGGAAATTCGGATCGTGGATATATATCTCTCGACTAAACCCTCCCTCCTACATCCCAACCTCATGATATATCCGCCGCAACCATATGAATGCACGAACTAACTCCGTATGCTTCTCCCACCCCTGGGTACTGCGTTGCCCTAAAAACGCTGTCACCTGCGGCTCATCCTGTGCACTCACCCCCTGCTCAGCTAATCGCTGCTCCCATAATCGCTGGACCTGCTCCTGCTTGGGGCCTCCAAACAACATCATCCCAACCATCGCGTATAATAATCCGCGGTGCGCGCATTCCCCACTGGACCACCCGGAGCATAATGTCTGTGGCATCCCACATTGGAAACAACTGGTATATCGCGCGTACTGGACCCGCCGCCGGACTCGAATCATCCAATCCCGCGCCTGCTGGCTACTGGGCTGGGCACAATGGTATAATTCGTGCTCAGCATTCCGGCCTTCCTGCGCACAAATCCAACAACGATCCTGCCATTCCCGCGCCTGCTGCATTAAAAACTCTTCGTCTGTCAGTTCCTGCTGCCGCGCCTGCTGATGCTGCTCGGACATGCGTGCGCGATCAATTTCCTGCTGCTGGAACTGTTGCCGGACCCCAAATGGAATACCTCTGTGGTCATTGGATTCTGCGCTGGCTGCCATGGTCTGCCTGTGATGACTGGATCCTGTGCCGGCCGCCATGGTCTGTATGTGATGACTGGATCCTGTGCCGGCCGCCATGGTCTGTATGTGATGACTGGATCCTGTGCCGGCCGCCATGGTCTGTATGTGATCATGAATGGGGCTCTCCCATGGTGCCTGTGACTGTAAGCTCTCGGAATCAATACTGCTGGCCGTCTCGCTGGCTTCTGGGCTGGCTTCTGGGCTGGCTTCTGGGCTGGCTTCTGGGCTGGCTTCTGGGCTGGCTTCTGGGCTGGCTTCTGGGCTGGCTTCTGGGCTGGCTTCTGGGCTGGCTTCTGGGCTGGTTCTCGGACTGGCAGCTTCGCTGGATTCCTACTCTTCTATCACCTGCCAATCGGGGTCGCACCCATCACATCGTGCCTCACTGGTGACCGAACCATAATCGTGATCCCCACAATGGGATCGCTGGTATCCATCTACCACGCCATCCAAATACCCGTCCAAAACGACCCGCCGGCATGGACTGGCTGACATATATGCATCTACCCGCTGCTGCTCCGCGGACGGCGTGTCCTGCATCCACGGCGGGGGGTATCAACCCCGTCGGGCTGGATGATGATCGCCTCGCTCGCCTGACCGTCCCGACCTGCGCGCCCGCTCTCCTGCGCGTAATCCAGCAACGTTCGTGGTCGCCCCAAATGGATGATGCTGCGGATGTCGGGGATGTCGACTCCCATCCCTAATGTACTCGTCGCCACGACCACCCCGTGGGGCTGGCTGCGAAACCGCTCTAAGACGCCGGCCTTATCAAGCTGGTCATGGTAATACGCCTCGCACCCAAGTATCTCCGCCATCGTCGTGACATGTTCGACGATATGCGCGTACACAATGGTGCGCCCGCCCCGCGATCGTCGGATGCGGTCCCGGATGAATGCTGCGATATGATCCATCTGGATCCAACGATGGGGCCCATTGTACTCCCGCTCAATGATCGGACGCCACAAACGATATGCCACGTTGGTCCGGCTGGTTCGACCACGGAACAAGCTGACCTGCTCCCGGGACCATCGCATGCGCTGCCATAATCGGTCCTCTAAGCTGGGCGGCAATGTCGCCGTCAACAAAACCACCTGCGTCCGTGCGATCATCAATCGTCCAAGCTGCTGCATCATGGGCCGGAAATCACGCTGCTGATTCAATACGATGTGGCATTCATCAATCACAATGCGGTCCAACCGTTTCATGACCTGGGCGAACATTAGTATGGATCTTATGCTCCGTCGATGCTAACCTCAAGCCCGATGCGCGGGCCTACCTTATAACCTGGGTTTTAAGCGGACCTCTGCTGACCTCTTAAAACCCAGCTTATAAGCTGCGGGCGCGGGGGGCATCTCAGTTGGTGACGGTGGGACATGGGGACATCAACCCTAATCCCTGGGCCCCCGTTTTAAAACCGGGGTTCGAACGCATCCTTACAACCCCGGTTCTAAACTGGGGGCGCCGGCTGGGGTCTCGGATCGCGGGGGGACATACCTGCTGTCGGTTCAAAAACGTGATGAAATCCTCACTCAACGCGGATTCGGGCGTGACGAGTACAATGGCCGCCTCGTCGGGCGGCCGCCGGCTCTCCCATTCCACGCACGAGATGCCGGCCACCGCGCATCGCTGCTGCAAGTCCTGGCGTAAAGCAATCAATGGGACGACGACCACCGTCAGCCCGCCGCTGACCCATGCCGGTAACATGAACAACATGCTCTTGCCCCCGCCCGTCGGCATCACCACGACCACGGGGCTCACCCCATGCTGGATCGCCTGCATCGCGGGCCCCTGGACGCCGCGGAACTGGCTCTGGTCGTCGTTGGTCATCCGCTGCAATGCCTCCGTCATATTGGCCTCGTGGAGCTGCCATCGGCGCTGACGTCGATGGTCGTCCGCCTCGGCCTCCCATGGGCCCTGCTTGCGCTTGCCAAGCACCCTGGCCAAGCCGTCCTCGGCGCTCTCGAACCCTAAAAACCGATGCCAATCCGTGCTGGATAATCGGAACATCTCCCGTCGGTGCGCCGTCGTCCCAGCCTGCTCGGTGATCTCGCGGCCATAAATCATGCCCGCCACATGGGATGAATGCGCGGCTTGTAAATCCGCGATGTGATCCTCGGGTTCATCGTCGTCATGCGCTGGCACCTTGGTCCCGTCGTCCTGGACATTCTGGGGGAAAACGCTGGATACCCGTAAATACCGCCGGCTGATCCCAATGGCGATATTCCGGTACGCGGGCAAAGTCAATGCGTACCTATTCAGTAGTTAGCCATCAAGCTGGGCCATCAAGCTGGGCCGTCAAGCCATCAACAACTCATATAGCTTACCCATTCAGCCCAATCGTCGTCTCGCGCTTCAACGCCTCCCGTAATCGCTCCGACGTCCACTCACGCCCACTCGTTGGGTCGGGCGCCCAGATGTATGCGGCACGGGACTGCAGACCCTGAATCGTCTCGCGAGCCGTACCACGAGCCTCGTGCTGGTACGCCTGTAATCGTTCCACAAATGGTAACACTAACCATAAATACCATACCACCAGCTCCCCGACCGCGCGCGGCAAGTACCGATGGATGATCTTCGCGTCGTTGCTCGCATAAAACCCCTTGTGGTACTTCGTCGCGAATACGACCAGTCCATCCTCGATGAATACGTTGCGATGGGCCCCTTCCGTGTTGCGATGGCGGACACTCAATAGCTCGGGTGCACGGCCGGGCTGGCCCGCGGTGATGTGACAAACGATGGCGAGCTTCTCACGGAACTGGACCACGCTCTGCATGTACTGTTCGATGGCACGCATCCGGAATCGACGCTCGGGCCCGTCGACAAATCGCTGTTGTAATCGGGGCTCGCGCTGGATCCGGCGGGCGAGCCATTGGGCCCCGTCGATGGGCCACGGGGTGCGACTGTCGTTTAAAAAGCACCACCCAGGCTTGGCCTGCGTGGGGTCGTCCATGAGCTGCGCCCATGGGATGGCGGGTGCGCTCGCGGCGTCGCCAATCAATAGCTCGTGGTGTAGTAGCTGGCGTACGGAGCCGACCAACCCGTGAGTAAACCCCCGGAAATCACCCATGGTGAAGTGGATTTCCTTGTATAGCAACTCGTCCTGGCCGGACCAGCTCACGTGGCCGGTGGCCGTACTGCTATAATGGATGCGTAAGCCGTACGTGCGCAAATCGAGCATCCACTGCATCGGACTATGCGTCCCGCGCACCATGAATGTGTCCGTCAACAATCGCAACCACTCGCGAAACGGACGCGGTTTCCGTCGCTGCTGCTGACTGAATTGCATGGGCTCGGGCTGGCGATGTGTGGGTTCGAACGCGGGGCTGCTCGATGGTTCTCGTGGGCTCCGATCGCTGTCATACCCTTCGTCGTGCTGGCCGGAATATATATATTCGGGATCGTCCATCGGGCTTTCGATCGACCACGTACCTAACATCGGTCAATCAATCAAGCATCGAGCCATCGAGCCAACCTATGCACGAAGTCATCCATCGCGATTCTTACTTACCTACTTCATGACGGTCACGCATGTATTGTAAAATCTGCTTGGCATTCGGATCCAAACGCAACGCCTTGTGTAATACCATGAATCGACTGATCTTGATTGTTTTGGACAAAATTGGGGGATAACTGTCCGCGTCGCGCCATCGATCACGGCCCTGGCCAAGCACGGCTAATGCGCATATCAAGGCACATTCGTACTCTTCCGCGCTAGCCCGCTGGTTCAATAGTTCAATGCAAAAGTCCATACATGCGGTCTGGATCGGAGTCATCTGGTATGGATCGTCGCCACCGTCTCCCTGGCTCTGGGTCTGGCTCGGATGGTCGAATGGGTCGGGGCTCCCACGCGTGTCCTGCGCATGCCGCCATAATGCCTGCCATGCCCGTCGCTGGCGGGGGGTGAATCGGTACGGCGGGCTCGGCCAATCGTGCTCAACCTGGGTGCGAGCGAAAAACATCAAGATCTGCTGCCACGGCTCGACATGCCGCTGGATCTGCTCCTCATCCATATATGCCTGTAATGGTTCGTGCGGGCTCTGGTCTTTCTCCGTACGAGCAGCCTCGACACGAATCAGATGGCCCGTCTGCTTGGTGATGCGCTGGCTGATCCGCGCGACCCCGTCTATGGCGTCCCAGATGGCCCGCATCGCCCCTTCTGGGCCCTGGGCGTCCTCTGGGGGGGTCTTGATGGACTGTAGTATATCGCGGGGGGGGATGCCTACGAGCCGTTAGTTAGTCAAATTGGGGATTAATCGATCGACTATCAAAGCTGGGGCGTGGGCCCCATCTTAGAACCCAGGTTTTAAGCTCATTCCTTAAAACCCCAGTTCTAAGATGGTCTCTCTCTCCACTAGCCTACCCAACGACGCACGAATCAATACACACCTTGTAAATACACGGCCCACTGCGTCCGTCGGAGCCACGGGTTCGCCTCATCGAGCGGGCCGGCCTGGATCGTACGGTCGTCCGGGGCCTGCGAGTCAACGTACGTCTGTTCGAGCTGCTGGATGAGTTCATTGACCACATTAGCCTGGGGTGGCGGGCGTGCGGGTTCATAGTTGGGTCCGGGTTGTCGGACGTGAATGTAATGCGATCCAAGCCTCCGGTAAAAAACCCGCTGGCACACGACGCGTCGCATCGCCTGATCCCGGGCGTCTTGGCCAGCTGGGACTTCAGATGGCCGGGGCTTCCGACTATGGTCATATGGCGAAAACCCATGCTGGGTCCGCCAGTGCTTCCGGATGCTCTCCATTGTACGGCAAACGTACCCGCAAAACGTACATAAGATCCCATCATTGTAGATAGTCAGCCCGGGAATTAGCTTCCCAACGGACTGTGGTAAGTTGGTGGGTTCATCGCGGACGTTGGGCCATGTATTCACGATCTGTGTAAGTACCTCTTCTGCGACGCTGTGGGGGATAACATGCGCGCCCTTGGGCTTCGTTAAATGGCGAATAATCTCTCTGGGTCTAACGGCGTACTCGCATCGCCGGCAAATGGCGACTCCAAGCTCGTTGTTGGGCTGGAAAAACGTGTTGGCATTGATGGACTCTGCCATGGTATGTTGGATGCGAGATGCGTATATATATCTCAAGTGTGTGTGATGGACGTATATCTTCTAGTGGATGCTATCAATGACGGGTGTTGAATTCAAATCGGATAGCGCTTAAAATCAGCTGGGATATATGGGAGACCCCCTGAATGCGACCCCTGAATTTTCAGCTCAAACTCTGGACTGGGATGTTGGGGATCGCTGGTTGGTGGTTGACCTCTCATGGTCGATGAAGCGTTCTGCTAACCGCCGGTCGCCCCCCATCAAAATATTTACCTGATTTCGAATCCCTGCAACCACCCTTTCATGGGGCGATTGGGGCCTGAAATTTGGGAATAAAATGTGGGAACCAATGAACTCAAACATCACCAATTGTGAGCGTTGGGCGCCGACAAAAGCTCTACTGGGACGTTGATTTAATGTCTACTGGGGCGTTGGTCGGCCGTCCCATAGTTAAGGAAACCCTAAGCTTACGTAATCCTACTGGACCCATAAACGTCCCAGTAACCCCCCGTTGGCTAGGCTTGATGGGTAGTCTGCTGGCCCTGCTAAGAGAGATCCCTAAGCTCGGCAGTCATTAGAGGATCGTCCTAGATTCGATGCTCCTAGATCTGACAGAGGAGCGTTAGATGTTCCTTCCGGAATCGGATACCTATCAGTCGCTGGCGCTGGGAAACATCCATCCGGAAGGCCCGGAAAATAAAGGCGAGGAACCGCTTCTAGTACCGGCGGTAGTCCTGATGGCTTCGTTCCCGGGCATGGAAGCGGAAGGGGCGATTGTAGCACGGGGCAGGCTTCGTGGTCATAAGCCAGCAGAGGATGGATCGACTCGTCTAACGGGCTGTCTCTTTATACCGATCTAGCACATAGTCCATCGCAAACATCAGCTGGTGGAGACGCCCCTCATCGGGGGCGGGGCTGACAACCCGGCCCTCTCCATCCTGTAGGGCAAGGAGCAGGTCTATAGAACCCGCAGATGAGTACGGGAGCTCCGCTAGACTCCGTAGGAGATCCCGCCGTACGCCCTCGTAAACTTGAGGCCAGCGGGTCCGCTCCATCCACGGCCTGGTTGCCTCCACAGTCTGCGGGCCGGTCGTGGTAAAATCGGTGGTAGCCTCCTCGGCCTGGCGCCGTGCCCGCTCCCGCTGGTGGACTGATGCGAGATGGGCATTTGTAGCGGGGTCCTCAGCCATAGGGCGAATGGCCTGTCCCTGGTGGACCACGGTCCAATACTGTCGGGACGAGCTCGGGGACCAAGTCTGCAGGTAGACATCGTTGTATAGGTCATTCGCCCGACGGTGGGAGGCGCGCTGCTGCTGGAGATGCTCCTGGGATAGGTGGCGGCCGAGAAGGTCGCGGCTGACGGTGCGGTAGGCGCACTGACGGCATGCATACCCCGTGTATAGCCGTAAACGAGCATCGGCCGGAGAGCCGTCGGGACGAGGGGCAGCATGGGAAGGTTCCTGGAAACGGATATGGTGGCGTCGTAAGGCGACAGTGAGGCCCTTCCGGAGAGGCAATGGCACGCGATGCTTGCTATGCAGATGCTGGGTGACCTGCGAACCCCGCGGACAGAGTGCGGATTGGCACCGTTGGCAGAGGATGAGGTTCTCAGACTGCTCCCAGACGAGGCCACACGCAGTGAACACTTCGTCGATCGACTTTGGATCCGCCATCGCTAGCGGGTTGGACAACGGGCTCGAGCAATCCACCTACATGGTGCCTAGGCTAGGGACAATAATGGTCCACTACGGTAGAGAGGAAGGCATAGTAGACGGTTCTCCTTTGGAAAGTCGTCCAGTCGAGGCAAATAGGGGAAGATAGACGCGAGGGAAGGATCGAACGACTAGTAGGGTACGCGACGCGCATAGGGAGAGTGGGTCTTCTTGCGGGGTGGACCAATTAGGTGAGCGAAAAGATGGAATCTAATGGATTCCGCGACGCGCATAACGGGGGCCAGGCGGAATCCAATGGATTCCGCGACACCCCTTACCACGTAGGGCTTGCAAAGCCCGGCCATTCCTTCCGGTGACCTTTGAGGTGGGTGTGAAGATGGGTGGGTGCCACAGCACGCCCGCAGGGCTTGCAAATCAGCACCTTATATTCTGGAAGGTAACAAAATCGCTCCATCCCTACTCCTATTATTGATCAGATGAGGCTTCAGGACGGAGAAGAATGATCGCTTTAGTAGACAGGCGGTCGACTAGCTGTCTAGTTGGCATGGGATAGAGTCTATAATAGAGAAGTGATGTAAGTGATAGAAAAGAAAAGGCGTCCTTACGATTTTGGTTATTTCAAATCCATATGGTGCATTTATTGGATGATCAATAATAAGAACGAACGCGTCGCGTCACGGCTCCGTCTAAGAGGCATACAGGTGGGGCGCGGAGGGATCTAGGACCAATGGGTGCATAGAGAAGTCCGGACCCTGGGCACGGTCCTTTGAGGCATTATGGATCAGACCCTGGAGTCTAGGGAAATTAGGGTCGAAAATTAGGTAATAAAATGTGGGCATCAATAAACTAAAATCTCCCTGAATTCGAGCGTTATACAAAAACAAAAAGCCTAATAGGACGTTGTTTTGAAGTCTACTAGGGCGTTAGACTGCCGTCCCATAGTTAATGTAAAATCAGTTATTGGGGCTAAATTGGTCTATGATGCGTTTAAATCTGTCCCACGCAACTATCCGTTGGCCCGGCATCCTGATGACTACTCAGTTGATACTTCGTCCCAGCCTCCATAGTAGTCTTGTCTCACTCTGCTGCCTGTGGGAAGATCTGTTCTTGGCTCAAAGATTTTCCGTTGGTCCTGGGGAGGGGATATTGGTAATTCGGATACAGAAGTGCTGCTTGTCTAGTGCGTGAAACCGGGTGGAGGAGATACAAGTTCTGATCGTACGGCGAAGGATGGTGGTCGCCGCTACTACTGTTTGCTGATAGACCTAGCAGTCGGGGGAAATACTTTCGAACAAATGGTCTCATGGCTGGCAAGCAGGCTCCGGTTATTCCCAGGTCAAGTTCAATAAGGCACCAGAGTAAAGCCTCGACGGAGGTCCCTGATTTTGTCAGCGCCATTTCAGAATACGAACTATTGGTGCCGTACAGGTCAGGTCATCGTCCCTCAGAAATGTATATAGACTATAGAGGCGAATACAGCTGACAACACCGACGCTATATTAATCAGAACGGATGTAGACCACAGACTTTGCGCTGAACTCACAAGCATCCCATAGCTAGAATACAAAAAATAGCAATCTTCTGTCGGGACGGCATTTGTAACGGCCGTATCCATGGTCTAGAGCTGGTCAGAGAATGATACTAGCTCGGGCCTGATGACAAACATTGGAAGAAGGACCGTGGCAAAGTCCGTGACAATGCCTAGACCAGCGTTGACAAAGTAGAAGACAGGTCTATTTATGCACGTGCCGTAAAAGATGTGCACGTCCCAGGTTTTGTTAATGGGGTTACAGCTGAATATATTGGCCAGCACCCCCGCGATATTGTATCCCGCTGCAATGAAAATAAGTACCCAAACAGCAATGTGGAGATTGCTACTGGGGAAAATGCGTATGTAGAAAAGCAAAACAGACACCTTTAGAAACCCAGTTCCTGCATTGTAAAAGATCGCAGCGGAAAGGTTAAGCTAGGTTATTGTCAGGGGTTTTCTTCGAAAACACCAGTAGGATGATTATATCATCGTACCTGGAGAAGCTTTGGTGAGTAGTTGCTCATGAGGACATCCCACATGTGCCGCCCCATCCCCAGTTCAACCACTGTTCCATCAGAAAGTTCCTTAGAAGTAGTGCAGGTGCTTACTCTTTAGTGTGACCGCACTCAAAGCACTCGAGAAGATCTAGATCGGTCAGCCACGAATCCAAGAAGATGGGGAAGATTCATACAAATGCGGCAACCATGAAAACTGACATATTTATTAGCGTAAACATCCATATTGGGAAAGAAGTACTCACTATCATCCCGGCTCAAACGAAACTCACGCGTGACGAACGTGCGAGTCCACACGCGAATTGCTATGGAAAGAAAGGCAATTGGTAGGAAAATGCAATTCACGACAATAAACTTGGTACCGCAGCTAGTGGGGTTCACGAAGTTAGAGACCAATCCGTCTGGAGGAGGCCTCGCGGGAGTAAAATATGAGCTGGACATGATAGGGGTAGAGGACGGAGTTATCGATTTTGTTCGGACCAGCGGCGCGATGGCCAGCGCCCACGAGAGAAGCGCTTTTATGCCACCCCGCAAAGTCAACGACGTCGCTCTGAGAATAGTAGTGCAAAGAGACAGAGAGGCGGTGTTCCAGTGTCGGATCCATGTAAACCATGGTTATAGAAGAAATACCCTGAAACCGTGGAAAGCTGCCTGCTTTGCAATAAACTCTAGAGCTCCTCACTGAATCTACTAGATTTTCGGAAGCAGGAGCATCTATGGGAGACTTTTGCCTCACGGAGCGAAGCCCACTGTATATGGAGAAAGATTTTACACGCAGAGTATTAAGCGTTTTTGTACATAATCGGGTGAGATTGGATTACTGGCAGTCAAGTTTTGACGCGGCAGAAGATAGGGGATAGAAGCTGATCGAACGCAACTGTATGATCCGCGCGCCGGTCGTTAGCGACTGGTTGGGACAGTCCTTTCCATGTTGAATAAGTTTTCGAAAACCTCCAATGTTTCGCAGTCAAGAGAAACCGGTGCTGCCATAGACCCCGAACCCAGAAGGTCGATTTCATTGGAACCGGGGTAGCTGGGTGCGCACAGACTGCACCCGTGCTGGTCTTTTTCGGGGCAGGCCTCCGACGCCAGCATTTTTATTAAAGCGGGCCCCAGGCTTACAAAAGACGTTTGACCACGCTCTCGAACGGACTCACCGAGATTAATACAAGTAGCGACATTAAATATGGTTCCAACGGCTTTTAATATTCCCACGTGGTAAGATGAGCCATCTCTTATCTATTAAGCATGTAAATGTTATTAACCGTCATTTCAGGCTTGAAGATCACGCCCACCTCCTTCAGCCCCCAGTGAATAACTACTGTATCTACCATCCCTCGTCATCTGCAACTCAAGGATATACTGTCATGATCCTAGGCGGGCCCAATAACCGCACTGACTACCATGTCAACTCAACTCCGGAGTTCTTCTACCAATGTAAAGGCTCTATCATCTTGAAGACTGTTGATACGTCAACCACGCCTCCCACCTTCAACGATATTCCGATCCACGAGGGGTCACTGTTTCTTCTGCCTGCTAATACCCCACACTGTCCCGTGCGGTTTAGAAATACCATTGGAATCGTGATGGAGCAGCCACGGCTTCCTGGCGCTGAGGATGAAATGCGGTGGTATTGCCGAAATTGCAGCGCGTTGGTCTGGAGTAAGAGTTTTATTTGCACCGATCTGGGAACCCAGATAAAGGGAGTCATTGAGGCGTTTCAACAAGATGAGAAGAAAAGGGTTTGTGGAAGATGCGGTACGCGAGCGGAGATTACCTATGCTCCGGGAGAAGTCATGCAGCCACCGTGCTTACCACAGAAGTCCTAGAATATCCTGATCAAGAGCCCGTCGTTCCAGAATATGGATGCTTAAATCTTACTGAATGTGTGTAGACAGAGTTTGAAAAGTCTGACTGTATTTGACGATCCACTTTCACAACTATGCTCCAAATCTGTGACCAGCACTGAGAGTAGGCCTGAGTATGGCAGGTTCCCTGCCTTATGTCGATGGTTCCGAATCTTCTTTTGTTTTTTCTTTGGTTTTCCAATTAGGAACTCTCTTAGTCCGCAGAAGTCGAATTGAATACCTTTACTGTTTCCTCTCCTAATTCGGAACGGTCACAAATTGACCTTTTGTCTGTAGAGACTAACAGGTTTCATTCATACCACTCTATAACATGACGATATACCTTACTCTGTTTTCAATGCTCTATCTGTTTCAAATAATTAGAGGGGGGTAAATTGGCAGTGTCTTATATAGGGCGCTGGAGCACAAGATACATTTTCAACACTGTACTCTATTTAAAGGTAGAACAACTATTCGGAGTTTTAAGTTAAACAACTTTCAGCTTAGGATTATTGGCCTTTCTGACTATATGTTCAAACCTTTAATGGATGGTAACCTACATATGAACAGATTAAAAAGGAACTGGAAGAAGTCAAAGTCAGGCGGTTTTTCACAAAAGTTTAACGAGGAAACTATTGCGAGTAGGTTGCGGCCATATACAATAACGTTGTCGAAACGTTATATGTCATGAGATCAAGTTAAAAGATAACGGGCACTGCAATTTATGGATATACAGCTCACCAATACCATCTCCGCATACTGAGTTAGACACCGCAATTCATCTATGACAATCAAGACCACCGTCCACACCACTACATCGCGACAGAACAGTTTTCCAAGTACGAAATGGTCTGTCAACCAGATTTGATTAGCATCGACACGTGAACGACAGGAGGGTAGCCATACCTCAACACGTGCATCGTACCCGAACATCCAAGGCTGAAACTTTGGGTCACTCCATTTGTTAGGGTTTTCAGCAGTATCTGCGGCTTTAGACTGTTGCTCCGGCTGCTTCGGTGGTTCGCCCATCTTTTTGTCCCGCTCCTGCTGTGCAGGTCCGTCAGGAAGGTGCCACACACCACCATTATTTCGCGCACCATCCAAAATCAAGTAGCAACGATCAAGACGAATGTCCTGAAACTGCCTCATCATGTCTGGAATCTGTGCTTGCTCAAAAACACGGTCTAGGCATTCAGCCAATGTAACCGCGTCTTCCACTGCCATAGCTGCACCCTGAGCCATATATGGGACCATGGCGTGGCTAGAATCCCCAATCAGCACTACCTTCCCAGACTTTGACACCCAAGTCTCGAGCTTCTCAATCTCTGCATTCTGCCATTTCAGACACTGCGGGACAAGTGCGATGAGTTTGCAGATAACCGGATCCCACGTTTTGTACCTCTCGTTCATATCATCTAGGCTCGCTCGCTCGTTGGGTTTTCCCACAGGCACCGAACCGGGATGACACATGACGAAGTTGTACAAGGCTCCGTTGCGGATGGGGTACGCCATGATATGGCCCTCGGGTCCGATCCAGCAATTTGCGGCGGGACTTTCGATAAGCGCTTTAAGTTCTGGGTCATCCATCATGAGTTCTCCAGGAATTAAGGTTCTGTACGCGCAGTTCGGGTCAGGGATAATCTCCACGTCTCGATCCGTGATCACAGCCTTTCGGACCTGGGATTTGATTCCTAGCAACCGTTATTAGGCCTAATTCAATAAATCTAAGGAGATGCGAATGCGTGTATAGCGTACCGTCTGCGCCTATGAGCAAATCCGCTCTATACACAGTACCGTCGTTGAGGGTGACTGAAGGAGCAGCTTCATTTACCTCGGAGACGGAGGCATTGACTTTAACTTCGGTGCCTACCTCATAAGCGCGATCCAGGAGCACCTTGTGCAAGTCCCCTCGGTGAATTAGGAAGTAAGGGTAGCCGTATACTTCCTCCATCTGCGGATACAGCGGGGTCTTAGTGATGTTGGCTCCGTTTTGCCATCTTTTAAGTGTAATAGAGCGCGGCCAGGTAGCGAGTTTCGCTATCTGTGAAATGAAAGTTAGATACATCTTCGGGGTCTGATCAAAGGAGTGTTAGATTTACCGGCTCATAGACACCAAGTTGCTTGAGAAGTCGAACAGAGTTCGGTGGGACCTGAATACCGGCCCCAATATCAGACAGCTAACCAGAATTTCTCAGCTATTGGCCTTGAACAAGATATTCGCATAGGGGAATGAGTAGACCAACCCGCGGAGCAGCCTCAAGGACTGTCACTTGGTGTCCCTTTTCTCGAAGGGCAATAGCGGCCGCAAGACCGGCAATGCCCGCACCAACAATGACAATAGCAAGTTTCTTTCCAGCCATACTGATATGCTATTGCTAAATTTGGTGAGAATTATTTTTTGGGGCCATCGAGCGGTCGGTAAAGGGTATATAAAATCCCACCCCGGCCGATTTCTCACTCCGGCTCGATAGACCCGCCCGCTAATGTACCGCTCCATGCTGGCCCATAGCTTAGGATCACCTGGCTAGCCAGCTACTGCAATGGACGGAAGACCGAGGGCCTCAGTTCCAGTGCCATAGCGTAGATGATCTTTGGTATTGTGTGGGAAAGCGTTTCGGAGCGAGGGTCCGTTGACGAATTATCTGCCGGATCTTCTCACGGAGCGAGCTTCCGAGGAAGCATTGCTCGGTGAGCACTTTTGCCTCAATTCTGAAGTCAGTTGAAAGTGGATTTGTCAACTGAGGGGAAGTTTGGAAATCTCGGGGGGTCCGATGAGACGGGAGATCTCACCGTGTCGAAACAGAATCACTGGAAAGAGAATTGAGTCGATTGATTGACAAAATCGTCATGAGAGTAACCTTCTATATGCCGAGACGCTCACACAAGCGGCATACAAATATAACATGGGAAGCTGTTTGGGTGACAACTACGTCATAACAGACAGAAGATTCGCTAGCGAGTACACAACATGAGATGAGCTGGCGATTACACAACTCCAAAGGAACAGAAAGGAAATGGATTAAGAGAAGCCGAGGATGCAAACAGAACCGGCCGGAAAGGAGGATTCATTTAATCTCGTATTGTTTATTAAAAGATTTCCTAATGATCTTGGATGAACCTTTCGTTCCTCTAAGGGGTTCTTCCATTTTTATAAGGATTTGACATTGGTGATAGCTCGTAAAAACAACTCGCGTCGCATTAGAACCCTAGAAGGTCATAAAACAAGTCAAAAATGCTGAATATGAGAAAGGATGGAGGTCAAAGCATCTCATCGTGTATTCAATGGCCTGAAGCAAGCAATATAAATATCCACCTGTAGCTAATTGATACAATATCTTCCTATTTCCATTCTGGATAGCGCAAAAGGCAAGTCCACTCCATGTATGTGATGCTCATATTCACTCCTGGACGCTTTTCAACTTCATAGCTAGGGGCTCATCAAAAATAACCCCAAAAATCTCTCTGATCTTCAGTTCCTCAAAGTTCTTTTCCACCAGCTCAAACCGCCTCACAATCGCCGCAATAGTTATATAAATCTCAGCCATGGCAAGATTGATTCCGATGCACCCTCGTGAACCTTTCGAAAACGGAGCCCAGCAGTTATCTAACTGCTTGACGGCCTCTGGATCGTCTAGAAGCCATCGCTCCGGCTTGTACGTATACGGGTCGGGGAAAACCACCTGATTGTAGTTCATTAGATAGGGACTTGACGAAATGAAGGTGCCGGACGGGATTAAGTGTTTGCCGTAAGTAAGACCGGATTCGGGAGTTACGCGGGGGAGGCGGGACCTGACGGGAGTGCTGAAACGGAGGCCTTCCTGTAAATAATCAGGATATATTCTATGATCGCAGAAGTCTAAACTGGGGCTGATGGCGCACCTTGACACAAGCGGCGAGGTACGGTAGGGACTCGAGGTTGGATAGCTCTGCAGTGTCACTAAGATTTGGGATGGCTCTCTTCAGCTCCGCATGGAGACGGCCGTATACCATAGAATTGGAAAAAATCTCGTTGAGTGTCAGAGTGAGCGTTGTCGAGGTAGTGTCTGTCCCGGCAAAGATATCCGCTAGACCATCGGCGATCAGAAAGTCTTTGCTAAGGGGGTAATTCTGCGTAATGGAGGCGGCGTGTTCGGCTTGCAGGAGGGGCTGGAATCCCGTGTCGTGGTTAATCTTCCCCGTAGTATCATACCTTTCAAGTGCTTTTTGGACGCGCTATGGAAGAGTTATTAGCAAGATAGGAAGGGTGGCGGTGGATGTTAGACTCACCAGTCTCATGCGCGGGATAGCCTGAAACACCTTAAAAGGTAATATTGACAATAGAGCAATAGAGGGTTGACGAAGAGAAGGTATCATCATAAACTGAATAGCAATCAGCAAATTGTCTGTTACATCAGAGTAGGAGATCACATACTAAGAAATTGCTAACAGCAAAAGAATCGAACGCATCTAGGACATCGTCATGGAACCTAGGAGACAGAACTGCCTGCATAGACTCCCCGTAGGTGAAGTTTGTGATAAAGTCGAGTGAAAGACAGCGAGACATCTTTGAGAGGTCGAAGCAGTTGTTATCCTTGTCATGCTGGCACAACACGTCTGAGAGCATATCGACAGATTTCCAGATTTCTGGCTCGAACTGTAGAATACTTTTTCTGGAAAACGGCTTGCTAACCAAACGCCGTAAGGTGGAGTGTTCTTTGGGCTCTGAACTCTGGAAGATCCCTGATGGTCCAGTCTTAAATGGGTCGTAGAAGTAAGCGGCCTGTCTCCAATAGTTAGTGAATTTATGTGCACACAAGAGCATTGTATCATACCTTCATATACTTTGGAGCCTGGCAATAAAGGACGCGATTGTGAATCTCAATATCGTCAATGCTGACCTCGTTAGGGCCGATACGGACGATTGGGCCTTTATTGTTAGAATATGAGCGAAGTGTGATGTAAGGAGGCAAAATTACCGTGTCTCTTGTGCAACTTAGAAATCATCTGCGGTGAGTTTCCAGCCATATCCTGAAACCATAGCCAGATGCTTGAGATAGCAGCCAGACGCGGTCCCGGGACGTTGCGCAGTGGCGACAATAGCAATTGGTAGAAGACGGATATACAGCCTAGGCAAAATACCAATCCCGCTAGGGTGGAGAAATTATTCAGTAAGGTCATGGTTGATTGCTATGGAGGAGAAACCGGAACCTTCAGAGACTGCTACAGCGCAAGACATGACTTCTCGCTATTTATTAACTGACCCAAGAGCTATGGCTGTAACCAACCCCTCATCACATTACAGTGACTTTAAGTTTTTTTCGGAGGCGCTGTCCGCGACCGGGGAACCCACTCCGCTTCTCCAGGAAATGATGACTCCACAGACTGGGGCCCCGCTGTTCCAAGAAACACTAGTCCGAACTAGACGGTGCAGCTGCAGGCGTGCTTGGGGTGAATCATGGAAGGATATGATTCTTCGATAGCTTTTTTCTTATTCTCAGTCAGATGGAGTAAACATTGGTGCCGCTTGACGGCTACTGCTCAGTTACTGATCAGATGGATGTAATTTTTGAGAAGGTATGTATTTGACGCTATAGCATTTGCTAAGTAAGTATGCACGTCGCAGTAAATATACTAGTCTAATGGTAATACTCAGGAGCTTGCTTAAGCGACTTGAACACTTCGTAATCATGGCCGAAGACAATCTTAGCGCCCAGTACTACTTCCAATCTTTGGATGTACAGAGTTGACTGGAACCAAGCATTCCGGTCCCGTCCCAGAAGACCTTTCATGGAGTTAACTGTTAGCTGCGTGTATTGTAATTTAGTTGGAAAGTCATTACTAACCTTGAGGAATCATCTTAGTGTAGTTCTCCTTCACATGGAACTGGTCACCAGTAAAGAAAAAACACCCGTCATTCTCAAGGTCTACTTGTAGACAGCACAAGCCGGGCGTGTGGCTGTAGATATCATGTTAGCTGGAAACTGGTTGCCAGAGCGGTATAGAGTTTCTCTCTTACCCTGGACAATGATGCATCGTCAGTCCTGGAAATAGTTCGGTGACCGAGTCGTTGAATGTTTTCCAATTCAGGCGGTGGTCAAGGTATGAGGGCATGTATGGACCAGCATCAGCCTACATACATGGTTAGTCGGTTCGCCTGAGCAGAGGATGAACTTATAGTGGAGGTCAGTTGAACCTTGGTGAAAAGGCACCACAAGGCATTATTGAGCTCCAAGTCGTGCACATAGATAGGAACATCGGTGCCGAGGAAGTGCATCAAGCCACCAGAATGGTCGGCATCTGAGCTCGCCACACTGGTTAAGTAATCCTACTTCAAACGGAATTGACGGAAATAGGTTGCTTACGAAGATGACCAATGATAACAGCTCGAATATCCTTGATGGAATGACCGGTCATCGCGATCTGCTCATCCAACCGGTTTTTTGAGGCATATTGTTTGCGTGGAGAAACATCGTACATCTATTCCGAGACAGATCAGTTCCTATCCATCAAAGTTATCCATTAACAAGAGTCCTGACCGGCCCCCAGTGTTTCTCCATATCATCGTGACAGCCTGTCTCAAACAGAATCAGACCGGCCGTGGCATGCTCAATGAGGACACCATAGACGATCATTTCGATACGCTTGTGGGTTGGATTTGGATTGCTCGCCGAGCCAGCTGGATATACTAGTTAGAACCACTAGAGAATTTGAACTATGCTAAAACTCACCGTTCTCGTGGCCTCCCGCAAGCAGGAAGTTGGCGTCGATGTGCAATGTTCCCATATCAAGGAGCTATCAGGTCAGATAACCTCCATATTCGGCTGAAGTGGTGGGGAAAGTCCTACCCACATCTTTGTGCCCACTGGGCATGACGAGAAAATTGGTCGAGGCATGATGTTGGTGGGGATGTTGTTAAGTGTTTGATGTCCAGGTGTGGCGACAAGTGCGTTGAGGTATACTGCTAACGATGAAGAAAACCGAGCTGGGTAGCAAGATGAAGAATGCTGAGCACTATAATTTTCCAAGACCTAAGAGAGTCACCCCGCCGTAGCCATTAATACCGGGGCAACATTCCGAAGAGACCCTCAGTGGAGAATCTACAAGTCCGTCCGCACGGGCCGCCGGTCTAAACCATCCCGCCCAGAGCCGCAATTTCGGACCCTCCTACCGAAACCATACAGAAGATGAAGTATATGTTGAAAGAGATATAGCTTTGCTCTAAGCTCCTACACTGTAATTTCTTAGTATAATATCGAAATCAGCGCGCAAAATGACTTGGTCTATGTTGATCCGCTTTGCCGATGATGCGAACAAAGTTCGGTTTGGAGAGCCGCAAATCACTGAGGCTAAAGAGCTCTTTAACCTGCTAGCTGTGAGCGAACTCCATGCCACTGAATACGTCGGAGACAGTCCGTTTTCTCTGTCCCTAGGCACGCAAACTTTTCGTGTGAAGGAACTCCTTGGGGTTCTTGAGCCGCGTGACGTGCCTATCATCCGTTGCATTGGCCTCAACTACATGAAACACAGTAAGTGAAATTTTTACTCTACTACCAGTTAAGTGGTCTAACAATATTCTGGCGGAAAGTTAAGGAAGGTGGTCGTGCACCTCCTCCCTATCCGTCCGTATTCTTCAAACCGTCGACATCCATTGCAAGCTTCCAGGACGATATTCCTATCCCTAAAATTGCACAGGATGACCAGTTGGACTATGAAGGCGAACTGGTACTACATGTCTTCTACGTGTCCCTCCATTACAAGGACTTATATACTAACAACTCCACCAGTCAATCGTGATTGCCAAGACCGGTAAAGACATTCGAGAGCGGGACGCCCTGGATTATGTCGCTGGATATGTCTCATCAAATGACATCTCCGCCAGAAAATGGCAGCGTGATCCTGCTTTTGCTGGAGGCGTTCCACAGTGGTGTTTCAGCAAAGGCTTTGACAAGTTCGCGGCCCTGGGTCCAATGATTGTGTCGCCAAAGGTGAATTTCCGTTTTCATTGAAACCACTATCCTTACAGACAATTTAATCAATTGGTGACTAACTATCGAGGCTAGATTGTTGGAGCTGCCGACAATCTCCGACTCCAGACATTTGTCAATGGCGAGCAGCGGCAAGACTCCAACACCAGTGATCTCCTGTTCGGAGTACAGAGGATCATTAGCTTTATGAGCCAGGGAACCACCCTGGAAGCAGGCACCGTGATCATGACGGGGACTCCGGCCGGTGTAGCGATGGGCATGAAGGTCCCCAAGTATCTGAAGGACGGGGACGTGGTGGAGGTTGAGATTGAACACTTGGGACGGACTAGGAACATGATGAGTTTCAAGTGAGCTTTTTAGATGGTAATACTATAGTCGAGTACCATGATTGACATGAAAAAATCATCGTTATAAGGAGTCAATTATTGAAGCAGGGAATTCCGCTGTCAAAAGCGTTTACTGAATATTTTAAAGCGTAATGTATCCGGAACAACAAAGCAATTTTAGCTGCTTTGCTTCAGCTACTATAACTTTTGGGATCTAGGTTCGATTCCTGTCGGAGACATGGTCCGAATGGCTTTGATGATTGCGCTATATAAGTAGGCTCGTCGGCTTTGGATATTGTACGCAGGAGGATATTCAAATCTTCTCATAGACCATATCAGGCGCCAAAATGTCGACGAGTGTCCACCGCGGTTCTTGCCTGTGTAATGGTATTATATTTGAGATCAAAGGCGTGCCCCGCTCTGTCTTCGCCTGTTACTGCAAGGACTGCCAGAAGAACGCTGGAGGCCCGTACCAAATAGTAAGTTGAGCCTTATTTGGCCTGAGCCATCCAGAGTTACCAAAAGCATTGCCTTAAGAAAGAGTCTAGTGCGCGAAATTTGAATCCACTCAGATCAAACTACTAGCGGATCAATGTGTAGCCCAGGTCGGCAACTGGGTCATCGAGGAAACAAAGAGCGGGCATAACAAAGTTAAAGAATTTTGTAGACGTTGCGGATGTACGCTCTGGACTATCCCCATGCATCATGAAGGGAGGATAAAGGTGGTAAGAACTTCCTTACTTGAGAAAGGGTGAGCTGTCTGTTCTTGTTGGCTAGGACTCTATATGGTTCCTGTGCACGATGGTTTTAATAGTTCTAACGCGATAATTCTTACAGGCTCGAGACTTTCAAGCCCGCCGCCGAAATGTTCGTGCAACTTAGGCCTTGTTACTTGGAGAGTATTGGAGATACGAATAATTTTGATACTATGCCGGGGTACTAAGAACAGCCTGTCTCTACCGTGTTCCTGGCTATCTGATGCACGCTAGTGTTTGGAGTAATAAGGGGAGGACGCTGAGCTTATTGCTGTTATACTATATCTTAGAAAGAACGAACCATTTTCAAGCTATTAGCAGCTTTAGAAGGCATTACCATGGAGTGCATTAGTCTGATGGTGATGAGTAGTGCCGCTCAGATGCTCCGAACTAGACTCGGGACCCAGATGCGAGGGGAACAAAATGGGGCTACGCCTGTCCCTTGCTGACCGGCGATTCCTAACAACTGTAGGCCCGAAAAACCAAATAGTCCTCGGAACTACTGTCCGAAAGCAGTACAGAATAACGGAGACTTTCACAGAACAACATATGAGAAACGGTTATAACTACTTGGGATGTGCGCGACCTTCCGAAACGGCATCAAATCCAGGTAAAACACAACAATGTCTGCGTCAATTTCAGTCCCAGAAGGCTTTCTTGCAGCAGTTGCAGCAAAGCACTCTGCGCCGTTATGGACGGTGCTTAGCAAAATGGTGCCGCCGCATCCTAACCCCAAAGCCTCAGCCGAGTTATGGAAATTCGACGAACTAAAGCCCCTACTGATGGAAGCCGGCCGTATCGTCAGCGCAGAGGAGGCCGACAGACGCGTTTTGATGCTAGTTAATCCTAGGATGGGTACGTACACCTGAAATCTTGTTTGATGGGAATAGTTCCGTGGACAAAGTCTGACATGTTTTGCACAGAGGCGCCATATACTACAGATACAATCTACGCTGGTCTACAGCTTATTCTTCCTGGAGAGACCGCTCCGGCGCACCGACATGTAGCTTTTGCCCTGCGCTTTATAATCGAAGGCGAAGGCGGCTTCACCGCGGTGGAAGGCCGCAAAATCTCCATGTCTCGCGGAGACGTGATCCTCACTCCATCATGGCACTGGCACGACCATGGTAATGAAGGCAACAAGCCTATTATCTGGCTTGATGGGCTTGATTTACCTCTCTTCAGAAACGTCCCGGTCAACTTTGCGGAGAATTATACCGAACCCCGATACCCTAGCCAGTAAGTAGATAATGCGGCTATCCCAGCGCAGACTAATATCTTCGGGATCTAACTGCCATTTTCTCTACAGAACTGTTTCCGTTAGTGCTCAATCCTTCCCCTGGCATGCCGTCCAGGTAGCTCTGGATTTCGGAGCAGGCCCCTATGCTATCTACCACTATCACCGGACCGGGCAACGACACCTTTCGACGTCTATCAGTGCACAAGCCGAGAGAGTGGCTGCAGGCCACACCACAAATACCACACGCGATACGTGCTCATTTGTCTATCATATCCACTCAGGCTGTGGTAGAACGAGTATTCGAGCCGCGGATGGAGAAGCAAAGGTGATTCAATGGAAAGAAAAGGATACTTTCGCCGTGCCCGCTTGGTCAGAGGTACAGCATACCGCGGTGGATACGAGTTATCTCTTTGCCATTAATGATAGGCCGATGGTCGAGAGTCTTGGGCTACACAGACAAGTCATCGTAAGCACAGAGACACAGTGATATATCATCATCATTTGTAAGAAAATTATATGCAAATAGTACACCACGAACAAATTCTTGGTAAATTTCATTAGAAAACATAGGTTTATACAAGTTTAAGCCCAGCCTGGCTGGAAATTGACCAGTCTCTCAGCCCCCAGCTCCTGACCCCGCGACGTGATAGTATCATAATCAAAGGCGTTCCAAAAAGTAAACGAGCTTTGCAGTAGTGAGCCCATTGTCTCTGTAGAAAATCCCCCCAATTCTTCCATCTGGTTCGTGTTTAGGTTGCCCGTGGTATCCTGTATTCCAGAACTGGGCGGCGCATTCACGGGTCCCCAGGCTTCCAGTCCTATTCCGTTTCCCACGCCCATATGATCAAGGCTTGTATCCCTATTCCGCGCGGACACGAGAGTACTCAGCAGCATTTCTTGGTCCTCGCTGTCACCGTTACTATTGGTAGGGCCTTTCTCGTGAGGTCTGACGGGTTCCTGTAATTTGAAACATGATTAGCCTCATTCCAGATGTCCGCTCAACGCTCGGAGTTAGTTTTCATTTGGAGGATTGTACCTGCTCATATGCAACTCGGTGTAATTGTTGGAGAAAATGCTCGCTTTGCTGTAGCTTGTCACCCCCAAAAGGAACCAGAGAATGGATTGTCTCGAGCCCCTTGCGTATTGTTTCATGGATCACGGCCACATCTAGGATTATGGCCGCCCGATGCTCAGTCGGAAGCCCTACAGCACCGAGCAGAACACATAGAGAATCGAAGTTGACTGATCGGATGCTTAACCAGACTGTTCTGATAATGGACGCAGGAGTGGACGGCTTACAGTGAAAATCCCACCACCATGCACCTGTCAGATTGGCGGGGCGGTTAACACTGATCTCTTCAATCTGCTGCTGCGCTGATCGGACACATATTTGAGCACTAAGATAGGCCAGCACACTCTCGAAACTGGACTGAGGCCGTACGACAGTACCGTTAGCAGCCAGTCCGTGGATAAGGTCGGAGAACAGCGGTGGCCAGTGATAAGACGGATATCTGGCGCTCTCCATGGGTTGACACGGCCCAAGTAAGAAGAGGATAGTCTGGCGGTGAAGCAGAATACGCAGTCCGAGAAATCTGTTCTTGAGGACAATTTTGCATCGTTGTACCCACCAGGGTTGTGGTGAGACTTGCTGCTCTGTGCTGTCCAAAGAGAATCGAAAGTAGTCAGGGAGAGATGCGTGCCAAGATACTAAGTGTTCGTCGGCCTCTACCAAATCTATTAGCGATTGCAATACGTTGCGCTGTGTTTCGGGCTCGACAGATGTGTCGGATTGTCGGCGAAATGGTTGCAGCTCTTCCGTGATCTTGTCCATCACTAGGTAGAGACGGACGGTGTAGTGAATGAAGGCATTAACCGAAGGGATTCTATCAGGTTGTGTCTTGCTGTCGCGTATGTAAATGTCGTCAACCAACCGAGGAAGTGGGGGATTCGAGAATCTGGGGTGTAAAAGAGTTGGCTGACGACCATAGATCATGCTGGCCACCCTGACATTTCGAAATATTAGCACATATCACCACCGAGGATGGTCAATTCGACAAGCGACATACCTGTCGAGGGAAAAGCATCCCCACCAAAGGCGTCTGCCAAGCTCACGATCAAGAGGGGCTTGCGAGCAGTCCCGCGAATCCAAGTGCAAGTTTAGGCATTGTGCTATCCTTGTGGCATGGCCGATTGTAAGCCAGCATTGTTTTCCCCTCATGGTACCTTGTTGATACTGTGCCATCAGCAATAGCGTCTGCAGCATGCTGATTGAGCAGGTATTATACGTATGAGCGACAATAAAGGCGCGGGCACACCTATAAAAGGAAGTTCCGGAGCCCATAGCGCTCACTAGATCGCCACCGGGGGTTATGTTGCGGCAGAATTGGCAGCCCAGTGCAAATATCAAATTCATCATCGCCATAGCAACTGGTTTAATGGGGGTGTCGGAGGTGTACATATTGTCGAACTGAGCCAGCGTATCCTCTTCAATTAAGAAAGGCCAGATAGGGTGGACATTAGTGAAGTAGGCCTCTAGTAACTGTTTCGCAACATGTCGGTGTGGTAGGCCTTGGAACGATGGCACGGCCAGGTATGACCGCAACGTGGCGAGATCGTCCTCATCATCCCAAGAGCCGGTAGATGAGCTGGCATTCACTTCAAGAACGCCCTGTCTAGGTTGAAAAGTGTGGCCTACAGTGGATACAGACATCCTCAGAGGCATGGTGGAGGCCTTGACGTGCATGGCAAACCGAAGAGAATACGAATCGCTGTAGAATCCGTCTGTATCTTTCCCTTGTGGAGGCGACATGGAGTATTCCACCATTCCATCCGTTGCCGGCACTTCCTCTGCCGTTTCCCTGGCCCCGGTATCATTTTCGCAGGTGGTAAATGTCGATATTGGGGCGATGGGCTCGGGGGCTACAGGACTGCAGTCCTTGTGACCTCCGTCGATCTCTGTAGTAGCGTCATCGCCCTGTACCTGTGCGAGGAATGGCTGTGGACCATTCGATCGACTGTGCGAGCTGTTGAGGGGCGAGGCGATTGAGCCCTGTGGATCCTTTGCTATCGCCTCTGGCTGTGTGTTTAATTGAGCTTCCAGCTCCTGTACTTTCGCTTCCAAGTTATCCACATGACTGCAAGATGTCAGGACTTACGTATCAAAGGGATTCTGAGCTACAGGGACGTACAACTGGGAGCAGACGGCCCTCTTGTACAGAGGTGGATAGACGCAGTCCTGGTTGCGACCTTCACAGAACGAACAACGCGGCCGTCTCGAGTCGCATCGGGCTTTCCGGGCCTTGCAGGTGGAGCACGCTTGGTGCACCTGATTATTCAACCGATCGGCCATTGCCTTTCTTTTCGCTGGGACTGAGCGTCGAAGCGCCGGGTTTGGCGGTGGTGATTTGGCGGAGTCGGACATGTCGACGGTGACCATCACCTAATGAATGGTGGGTTGTTTGAACATAAGCATCATTGCAGAAATTAAATTACGACTGACGCACAATATCTTCATTTTTCCCTGGATGCGGGGTTGTTTCCCCAACCCCGGGACCATGGAGACTGGAATTTCTCCACAGATTTTTAGTGGATAACGTACGCCACAAGGCGACTACCTAAACGTGCGGGCCAGTATTATACTTGGGTCCATCGGAAGGGCCCTCCGAAAGCATTACTGACGAATTACCAGCTGAGAGTTAATTTAGTTATCGACCAATCAGCAGTCCTCGCGACAAGCAGACTTTCCCACAAGCGACCGAGGCTCTACCACCGTCATCAGTGACTGGGTTTAGGGTTATTCACCGAGATCGCTGTCAGTTATCGTAATAGTCTTGATTTGTAGAAACTCGTCAAATGCTATGAGAGAAATATCGTCAGAGAACAGCTAGGAACCTTACAATTGAAATTATGCGTCATCTTACCCCAAGGAACACCGAACCGTCCCCATCCGCTTGACTTGGTTCCTCCATGAGGAAGCTGAACTTCATCGTGCACAGTCATCGAATTGACATGGACCGAACCACTATCGATTCTGCGCGCAATCCTTATTCCTCTCGCCACATTTTTGGTGAACACGCTGGCGGACAATCCGTATTCGTGTCCGTTCGCCAAAGCTACCGCCTCATCTTCGGTCTCGAAAGCTAACACGGCGAGTGTTGGGCCAAAGCTCTCTTCCCAGTAAAGCCGCATGGATGGCTTCACTCCAGTAAGAATTGTGGGATGTAGACTAGACCCGTTTCTTTCTAGCTTTCCGTACGCCAATCTGCCCCCTTTGTTGATTGCGTCTTCAACAAGAGCTTCGGTTTTTATGGCCTGCTGATCAGATACGGCCCAACTGCGGGGAATCCGTGGCGCCTCGACTGACAGTCTAGCAATCAACTCCTCGGCCACGGATTTATGAACTAGGACTGTGTCGGTTCCCATGCAGATTTGCCCATGCTGCGATGCGAGTAGTTAGTTCATATGGCCTCCGGTAATCGACAGGACAAGCATTAAGTGGCGTCTTACATGCACAAATGCGCCCATCACAGCGGCCTTTGCCGCTTGCGTAAGGTCAGCATCGTCAAACACTATCAGCGGTGCCTTGCCGCCTAGCTCAAGAATGCAAGGTTTCGCATATTCCGCAGCCTTAGCAGCAATTATCTTGCCCACAGCCGTGCTCCCAGTGAAATTCACTTTGCGCACCGCAGGGTGGCTAATGAGAGCCTCGGCGATCTGCGCTGCATCTTCTTTACGGTGCTGGATAATATTCAACACCCCCGGGGGAAGCCAGCTTCTTTCAGTAATCGGCCGATAAAGTGATGCACGCCCGGACTGAGCTCTGATGCTTTCAGAATGGCTGTATTTCCACATGAGATTGGCGTTATCACGGAGCGAAGGGCAAGAAACAGGGACGCGTTCCACGGCGCGATACCGAGTTGGACTCCGTACGGTTGTTTGACCACAAATGCCATCCTGCTAGATTCACAACAGTGCGGTAGCATTCCGTTCGTCATATTTGTGACCTGGGCAGCGAGCTCTTCGAATAAGGCGATGCCATTGTTGATGTTAATTTCCTCAACCATGAAATCCGGAGCGGGGGTTTCTAACTGCCACAAAAGTCAGTTCACGTCGCCATTAGGTTATGTAAACATCGCTAGGTATCGCTAAACATCATATGCTCACTTTGATAAGCTCTGAAATCTCTTGTCGTCGATTGTGCAGGATACGAGCGGCAGACTGTAGTAGCTTTCGTCTCTCCCATGGCGATGTTTTGGACCACGGCCCGAAAGCCCGCTGTGCGCTCTCGACAGCCGCGATGGCTAATTCTGGAGTCGCCCCATTCGCGGTGTGGACAGTCTTGCCTGATTGTCCATTAATAACAGGGAACTCTATGGCGCTGCGAACGTCTTCGTTGTCTATCCAGAGAGCTTGTACGGGTGCCATCTTTCTGAATACCGATGGTAGACGACCACGGAATTGGCCAGTATTGAACTACAAGCTGGTCGGTGCCGTTTAACCTTTTTATAAGTAATTCCCCCATGGGCCGTGCTAGTCCGTTTCTTTTCGGCAGATTGCACGCCTTGCCGTACCGCACACCTTCCTTCCGCGGCCGGACAACCCGTCGGAGATACGCACCGACAGTCTATGCAGAGGCAGGCTTGGGAGAGCGATGATGATTCGGCTGGATTTCTGTAGCTGGTCCAATTCCATCTTCTCTTTACCACTCCCCCTTCTTCTCGCTTCAGGCCGGTGTTATTGTTTGGGACTCTCAGAAGCTACCCAATTGTGCTTACGATACTTTTCCCCGCCAGAGAATATCACCAAGATGGCTGCGACTGTGGATATGCTGGTCTGCCGCGAATTAGGTGGCCCATACGAGATTCGAAAGGCCAAATTAGGGACACTTCGCGACGACGAATTACTTGTCCGGATTATCGCGACAGGGGTTTGCCATACCGACTTTTCCTGCTGCGATGCACGTATATTTTTTTACAAAACATGAATATACCTAGCGAGAACTAACTGAATCTAGGGAACGACCCCAGTCCCCCTACCCCTGGTTGGTGGGCACGAAGGCGCCGGTGTTGTAGAGCAAATAGGCTCTCAGGTCGAGCATATCTTCCCCGGTGATCATGTGTTGCTCAGCTTCAGCACCTGCGGGGATTGTGCTACTTGCAAAAGAAACATGCCAGCGTACTGCACAAATATCTGGAAACTAAACTTTCTTGGGACTCGAACAGACGGCACAAAGGCGTACAGAGATGCCATAGACGGGACAGAAATATCCTCGCACTTCTTCGGCCAGTCGTCGTTTGCGAAGAAGGCTATTGTCAGAGCCAGATCTGCAATTTTGGTTGCTCCAGATCTCCCGCTGCAGACTTTATGTATTCTTGGATGCACGCTGCAGACTGGTGCTGGAACGGTCCTGAATCAACTCCAACCACCGCGAGGAAGCTCTATTGCGGTATTTGGAGCTGGTGCAGTCGGAATCTCGTCGATACTAGCCGCACTTTTGACCCCTAATCTCAAAATTATTGCAGTGGATGTTTTGGCTAGTAAACTCCACTTCGCGAAGATGCTTGGAGCACATCACACCGTTAATTCATCGGAAAAAGATCTTACTGCAGAAATTCTTGCTCTGACCGGGGGCTTTGGTGTTGAGAGGGCTCTAGACACAACAGGAAATCCTGAAGTTATTAAAACGATGCTGTCAGTCACCGCGCCGGGTGGCACTGCTGCGTCCGTCGGGGCGCCAAAGATGGGAACAAAGATTGACATAGAGCCGGCTATCTGGATTACTCGGGGAGTGAGCTACATAGGCGTTCATCAGGGCTCTTCTCGACCTCAGGAGGTAGGTTTTATCCAAGCTCTTTTGATCTTTATATGACGCTAATTCCAAGAATAGTTCATCCCTCGACTGATTCAGCTATGGGCAGAAGGCCATCTACCTGTGGAGAAGATGATAACAAAGTACAGCTACACCGATATTGAGCGCGCGAAATCCGAGCTGCAAAGTGGATTATGTGTGAAGGCAGTTTTGCTCTGGGACGAGGAGTAAATAATACCACATATTTCACTTTTATATTGAATTTCATTGTAAGCATAGAACGTCAAGTAAACAGACAGATTCTCTACCCTAAAGTCAGCTTCAGCCGAATCTCTCATGCAGAATTTAATGCTGAACTGTAAATACGGACCAGAATTCTAAAGATCCTACGCTCTCGGGCTTTTTGCTTACCGTTTCAGGCGCTTACAAATTGAACCACACCCCAGGCATCCTGCTACAAGAGACGGGGACGGCCTCCGGCGTCTTCGGCCTCGAGGACCGCAGTGTCCTTCACCAGTCGCCGGTGGTGGATTAAATGTCGGTTGTCGTGGAAAATGGTCCGACTATATCTAGTGATGTTGCAGTGGCGTGGAAAGATGGAAGTGTGAAGACTTGAACTGTTAAACCTTTCACATCAAATTATTTCCCTACGACATGTCTGGACAACGGTCAATCGCCTTTGCTGGCCTTGGACGTATCGATGTCCATCACCATTGTTTTCCTGGAACTGTCCCGGAGTTAAAGTCCGAGTTTGAGGACAATTCTTACAATCTCAACTATTCCCCCTTCCCCTCCACGCCACAAGAACATATCAAGTATATGGATGAAGTTGGCATTCAGACTGCTGTAATTGTGAGTCTTGAAAATCTACCCTAGTATGAGGTTTGTCTTCTTACATGATTTTGTATTTGTCCTCAAGACTCCATCTATCAAGTCCGAATGGCACAACGGCTACACGGCCCCTAAGTTCCTCGAGCTGTGCCGCAGGTCCTTCCAAGCCCAGCTTGAATATGTTTTTTTTAACCCTCTTCGATTTGGTATAAGACCTAGAACTGTAAATGATAAGGCACTACTAACGTTATAACAAGGCTGTTTCGCTGTTCTCCCGCTGCCGCATATCCAGGAAACAATAACCTTTATTCGCGAAACATCCTCCGCTCCAACACCCCCGGATGGTTTCGCTGTGACCACCGCTATGGGTATATAATTACCACTTCCATATCAGCCTCATCCTAGCTAACAATTTATCTAGGCCAGCGCTATCTTGGTGATCCCGCTTTCGAGCCTGTTTGGGCTGAGATCAACAAGCTGCGAGCGGTCGTCTTCATCCATCCAGCGGACACTGTCATGCCTGAGTACCTAAACTTTGGCCCATGTAAGTCAATAATGCAGTGCTCAATAACGTAACATGCGACTAATCTCGTAATGTACAGTCGTCCAGGAATTCCCCTTCGACACCGCTCGTGCCATTACAAGCATCATCCACTCCAGTGTCCTCGTCCGCCAACCGGATATCCGCTTCCTCTTCTCCCACAACGGCGGCGCGTTTCCGTACCTGGCTGACAGGATCGGCCGTCAGCATCTTGACAATGTCGTCACCAAAAAAAACGAGGGTTTGACAATGCGCGATATCCTGGCCACGAAGAATATTTACTTCGACACCAGCATCTCCTCCCCGATGCAGTACCCTATCATCAAAGATCTCGGTATCCCGTCGAAGCGTCTGCTCTACGCAACTGACTATCCGTACACAAAGCGCGATGACAATATCACTTATTTGGACGGCTACAATGCGCCCAAGGATTCCGGTCTTTATAATGATGCGGAGATGGAGGGCATTCTTCGTGAAAATTCCCTAGAGCTGTTCCCCCGCCTTGCGAAATTGTATGCTGCGCTTCGTTAGGATGAAAACAAGCTACGATATTTTTGTGCCTACAACTGTGCAAATTAAGATCTAGAAGAGGAAAGAAAATATATCTGTTTCGAGCATAATACTATCGGTAGTATATCCAGTTCTTCTCTGATCCTAAACTCCATAGATATGAATTCAGTTCTCGATATAACATGTGCTTGTTCTAGCCTCCTACTGAGACGTAATTTAATCTACTATCACACTGGTTTTGTGATATTCGATTTTACATTTGCAGTGCATATATCAAAATTACGGGAAACGTGTTGTAAAGAATACACCTGAATCAAACTCCCAGATAGAGCAGTATGGATAATACCGTATTCTTGTGTTTGTAATAAATAAGTTAACATCCTAACCCGTAGTGCCTATTATGTGTAGCAGGCAACAGCTTCCGACCCATGCTCCCATATCGATGGGTTCTGAGCCTTTCAGCCCACAGACCGAATGCGAACCGCAAATCCCAGCAAATTTACGCCCCAAATTGCGGGTCCGGGATGAGGGGCTGACTGCACCTCTAGTGTTTCCTACACAGCGAGGACATCCACGTTATGGCTGTCGATGTACCCCATCGCAAATCCATCCTCGGCAACAGCCTTAGCCAAATTCTTCCAAACATGGCCATTTCAACAAAGTAGTACCCCTCCGCATTCCAGTTTGTTTTACCGCAAACCCCCGGGCTTCTGCAACGAAAATAACACATTTGTTGATTAAGTTAATTGTACTAACGTAATCGGTAAGCGAGTGAGTCAACGCAAAACACCATAGTAAACCCGATATTTTACAACTTAATATCTCAACAACAATAATTTAATATATACTCCAATTGTATTGTAATATTATTTAGAGCATAACTGGCCTACTTATGGAGCTTAAAGGAATTTCGATAAATTTTGAGATCTAGTGATTGAGATATATATATTCAGCATGTAGTCGCACTGTATTTTTCCATAACGTAGTTAAATAATTATTTGATCTCAATTTAACATAGTCTAAACTATTTATTATAAATTTAAATAATATTATACCAACAATAAATGAAACCAATTCGTCGTTGTTGAAGTACCAAGTTGTAAAAAGACCGCGGTTACTATGGTGTTTTGCGTTGACTCACTCGCTTACATGGCTCACTCGCTTACCGATTACGTTATCTCATTATATGAGAGTGGGGCTACCGTCGGGCAAACACGCCGAGTCACAGGGCTCACCCAACACTCATCTTAAATATCGCGGCCACACCCTCCGTCGGATACCTATACCGATACCTACTTAGCCTTTGCTAGATATTAACGACCAAGTTTTCCGCCGTGAATCATAACAATGTGCTTATATGTCTTTAACCTTTCTTGATTAGCGGTACAGAACCTTAGTGATTAAAGACAATGTGAATCAGAGTCAGTACAGAATGAATGTCCTATGAACCAGGGCTAGAAACCGAATATTGAGAGAGAGAATGTAGGACGTTTTTACTAGATTAGTATGTTTTCAGGAAGAAGGTAGTCGTAGGCTAACCAGATCATGATCCCAAAGGCAGCCTAGATTTACAATACCTTAGGTCCCGCCGGACTCGAACTTCGTTCTAACCTGCCAAGGCCTGTTAGAGACGTACAGAGCAAAAGTCCGAAAAACAGTAGGCATTTTACAAACCACCTCCACTATCGGTGTGAAGCGATCTCTGGAGCAGAGCGGGGAATACAGTGATACACGCAGTAAAATGGTCCGACTTGCGGTGCAAACCGTAATGTCAGATACGAAAAGTAGAAAAATATAGGCCACTCAAAGAACCTATGAAAAGGAGCTGTAAATTACTGTTCCACAATCTTCTACGCGTAGGAAGTTTGGGTATACCTTACTAGCAGAAATCTAAATATCCAATGCGAGATTAGAATATAGGTCTAGCTCTGGCCCTGCAGATGCAGATCGGACCCTCCCTCCGCAATTCACCCCATGGGGTATCAGCTCCAAGATATATATTCAATTGCTGGTTGTTCTTTCATCTTTCTTTCTCTACTGCGCGATTTCGATACTTGCGATATTTATCTATACTCCTCTATCGCAAAGACATTCAGCCATGAAAAGTAAGACCGCTCACTCGGCAATGGATGATAAAGATACTTACGTTGATCTCCAAGAGCATGTTATGCTTGAGGAGTGCGAGGATGGCCGTTCGTCTGGTGGGATATTGAAGTATAGCAAACAAGGAATCTTACTCGATCCTCAACCAAGCGATGACCCGCACGATCCTCTGAACTTCTCACATCTGGAGAAAAGCCGCGTTCTGATCGGATTGGCATATTGGGCTTTTCTGGGAACTGCCAACCTGATTATCATCGTAAGATAAATGCATTGGCATCAACAAATATTATACCTCTGGAGGCTGACTGGGAGACACCTGACAGACTCCTGCTTTCTTTGAAATTGCCGAAAATTACAATACCTCTCTCAATTCTGTAGCTTACACAGTTAATGGTCCCCTCGTTGCATATGGAGTTGGGGTAGGTGCCCTCTACAACGATACAAACTCGGGGCCAGACTAATGCTAAACGAGTACACAGTGCCTTTTGTGGGTCCCCATTGGGAATCTCATAGGAGTGCGACTCTCATTTCTGATATCCGCTTTTGGAGCCGCAACGTTGTCAATCTGGGCCGCTCTAGCACCTACTTTCCACCAATTTGTTGCCGCCCGGGTTCTCGCTTCTCTATTTTTCGCATCACCAGAGGCATATGGACCGCAGATTGTTACCGATACTTTCTTCCTACACCAGCGTGCTGCGAGCACGAGTGTCTTCACTGCATTCCAATTTTGTGGCTTCACGTTTGCCGGCTTTATAGGAGGATATGCAACTATGAATCATGGGTGGCGTGCGCCATCATGGGTCATGGTCATTATGTCATATGTTGCTTTCATGGTTGTTGCCTTCATTTTTCCAGAGACTACGTTTACTCGATCCAAGGCCTGTGAACGAAATTCAAAGCGCCAATATATCCACACATTCAGTTTGAGTCCCGGAAGTGGTGGAGGACCACCAAAATCCTCCAGCTTGTGGAGGTCGTTTGCAGTACCGTGGAAATACATCTTTCACCCTACGGTTATGCTCGCTACCATATTTTTTTCGCTGTTCCTGGCAACCAATGACTACTTGTTAACTAGTAACTCCATCGTTTATCCGATGGTATACGGATCCACTCTGAAAGAGGTGGCTCTTACTTCGTTTGCGCCTACTACTGGCTGTCTTGTAGGGATTCTCATTGGGGGTTGCGCGAATGACAAGGTAGTTTTTCCTTGATCTTACAGCTTCAATCACATAATTAGCTAATTCTTGGCAGTACGTCACATGGCAAATATCTAGAAATACCGAAGGTGTCTTTATCCCCGAGATGCGACTTTCTATGGCCATCATAACTGTCATTCTAGGCCCCGCAGGTCTCATCCTTTTCGGAACTGCCGCCCAGCATCGGCTCCACTGGATTTTACCGCTTTTAGGAGAGTTTATGGTCAATCTAGCCTTGGTCATAGCTGGAAACATTACATATACATACATGGCCGATGTATATCAAGAACGAACTGACCAGGTGCTCGTCATGCTGAATGCTTTAAAGAATTTGTCAGCATTCGGCTTGGTCTATGCTGTTACGCCATGGAACTCTCATAGCGGCTATAGTGTTGCTTTTGGTTGCCTGGCGGTCATCTTGTTTGCAGCTCACTTGCCACTTGTTCTATTGTATTATCGGGGTACGAGGATGCAGACTTGGGAGGCCAAGACATTTCCTGTGAAGTAGATAGACAGTATTTTACAATCTCTTTTTACACGTCCATTGCTACCTCCGACTCTGCTGCCAAAACCACTGGTATTCGCGAGGCCTATGTAACGGGCCAGGGCCGCTTGTTGGTGATGTGTGTGTGATTGGAAGGGGCCCCGGGGGCAGCCCAACTAACGTAAACCACGGGCGAGTGGCCCATCCACTCGCAACCGTACGCATTTAATTCAATATAAGTCAACCACCAACGCCTTTTTTACATATGAAATATCCGTATACTAATCAGGGCATTTAGTCCTCTTATGCCCTATTTGCCAGCAATTTGAACACCGCGGTGGCGCACGCTGCTTGGTTGGTTCTGCTGCCGACGAAGGACCTGCTTCGGCAGTGTTTTCCACTTCAACGACTAATTGATCATCCACCATTCGCTGTATATTGTCCTCGCCTGTTATTCCTACTTCACTATCCATCCATTTACTAGGTTTTGTCTGATTCTGTTTCGTTTGGTTGACCTAGGAGCGTAGTTTCTCAATCTCGTGTGCCGATATAGCATTTTTAAGCGCCTCTCTCTCATATCCTTTGACTAATTGTGCGAAAGCCTGCATAATAGGACTAGGCGGTGAATGTATACGCTGGCGAAGGAGCTTATTGATTGAATGTGCCTGACGATTTAGGTCCTTTGTACGATGAGGTGTGTAGAGGACAAAACTGCTACTATCGCTCCTACTAGTCCCTGGTGGTGATGGTGTATATATATCGGCAAGTAAAATATTTAGCTTGTCTAGCATACGTTGCACATCTAGCGGAACGAGACCAGCGGCGGCAAAGCTATTTCGTATAGTAATGCCTTGATATGCCTCATCTCGGGCACGTAGATATGTAGTAAGGAAATCAAGCTTATCAATATGATTCCGGCCCTAGCGAATCTAGTCCTAGATAAGCTGGCTATATGATCGCTTAATAATAGAAAAGCAGCCCACATCGAGAGGCGGTAATAGATGCGAGGAATGCGGTGGCATACATATAGAAACAATATTGTTTTCTATACATAAATCATCAAATGCTTCGGTTATATAGCTTCTATGGCCGTCTAATATTAATAGACGCTACACCCCCTGCGTGCGCTATGTAGTCAATAGAATAAAATGGTGTTTTAACCATCGTAGACCAATTTCATCTGTAGTCCATCTATTGTCGCTCGTTCCGAGGCGCTAATCGGACGAAAGATCCACGAACTAAGACTAGTTATATCGCTTGCCTTTGAAGATAATAGTAGGCGGAAGCGCCCACCCACTTACATTAACTGTTTCAATAGTAGTGACCCATTCGCGATTACTAGGGCGTACTACCTTGCGCCTACCATAGTATTCCCTGCGTGTAACAACCTTTAAGGTGCTTATAATACCCATTGCGAAGCCCGTTTCGTCAAAATTATAGATATCCATAGGCAGAATACTATATTGCTCAATGGTGCGTCAGATAGTAGTAAACCAATGACCACTAGATCTTCACATAGAGCGCGCTTATATTCATATCCCCTACTAAAACGCATTGTAAGGTCCTTGTAGCGTTTCATGAAAGTCCCTGACCAATTAACTCCGACTGTTTGGATAGGGTCATCGCCGCGCTTCGCAAGTAGAATATTTGCCATTTCTCGTATCAGAGCGTGATCGGCAGCAATTCCCCGGTCGTCCATAGAAAGAAGCCATTTCTTTAACGATTCCTCTTCCAATTGGGTCAATTTTGTGTTATTTGCGCGTGTAGTGGGACGATAGCTCTGGCCCGCGAGCCTATTCTGGAGGGTAGTTCTTAGAATACCAAATCGACGTGCCGCTTCACGAATATTGACAATTTCGTTATTCTTGTAAGCTTGTATTGCGAGTAGGACCCTTCCTTCCTGATTGGAAGGATTAGGGCCCGAAATACTGCGTCTTGGCGGCCTAGTAGATGGTTGAGGAGAGTAGGAACGCGTGGGAGACGCGATCTGGGGGCAGGTGGGCCACTCGCCTGTGGTTTACGTCTAGATTATGAGCTGACTAAGTGAGGTCGAACCCGGAATCATGTGACCCCTGCGAGGGTAGTGCTCCAACACCGCTGTCTAATCACGTGCAGGCACGCGACCCACGCCCATTGTTTATTGTCGGAGTCTAGAATTTTCGTATCCACTAATTAGTAAATTTACTAGATAGTGTCAGGTGACAATGATTGAAAATGATGGTATTCAGGTCTAGCTACCATGTCCATATTTATAGTAGAGAAGCGGAAAAACTCTACACAGTGAAATCTGGCCACATCGGGGCACATCCCTGATTGGGAGATTGCCAGATGGTTCAGCGTCAGGATGCGGATTATAACTACTGACAAAAGGCTCCATTTAGTTAGGGAGCGGTGAAATTCAACGTATTTCTTGGGAAGGGGGGTCACCCAAGCGAGCGGGTCAGCCCGAAACACCATAGTAAATGTATCATATTTATCACTCGATATTTCAATAACCACAAGTCCATTTTATTCTAAAAGTCTGAACCAGAGTTGATACTTATTTCCGTTCCGCTGATAGGGTCTTCAAGGGTGATTTTCCGCTGAGTGACCTCGAGTCTAGCTAGCATTGATCTCACTTCTTGAAGTAGGTCAGCGCCGAAGGTGGGATGGGATGCTAATAGGTTTCCTACACAAATTTGAAGTTCTCATCTCGAAGATATCCTTCAACCGAGGCTGCCACTAGGATGCGACGCACTAGATGCCCTAGAGGCAAAACAATTGCCCAAATAATGTGTTGACATGTGAGGCAATAGGTATTGGTATTGTTGTTTCGTGCAAAGAAGTTGCCTCGAGGATCAGGATTGGCAACAAGTATATACTTGATGGACTGAGCGATTTTGGGATTCCATCCCTATAATATTGCACATGTCTGCAAGTCTGACGATCTCCAGAATAGCTGATATTTGATCTTCTGGGCCTTCTGAATTGAATTGGATTCTGCGCAGATATAGCCGCTGTATGAGTGCTTCGAAACTCCGCACCGAGACCACCCCCACCACCCCTTATAATACTTCTAGAATTGCTACCTGCTGTTCTCCCTTTGCAGAATTGCCTTCAAAAATTGCTGTAAAATAGGTTAAGTTTTTGCATCGAAGGTATTTTGAAATTTCATATTCGTGGTCGCTAAAGCTGATCTGAATTTTGACGGTAGGACGATGATACAGTGGAAGATGGCTGAGTGAAACGGATTTTAGACGCCACAATTCTCGACAATTTTTTAAAGTGCTACTTACGTTGCTGTATTTTCTTTGGCACTTGCTTCCGATAACGAGGTCATGGCTTCGGTTCGAGGTAGGGTAAATGCGAAGGAAGAAGTGGCAAAAAGGCGGATGGAAGAGAGAGGCAGTCAGTGACGACGTATTATACCGTTGCGATAATTTAACATGACTCAGTAAATATACCTTAACTTTAAGTTATTCAACGCGGCACGATCGGAGAGGTATCCTAATTTAGCCTAGTGCTCTTGATGTAGGGCTCTGGGAAACAGTCCGAGAGAGTGCAACGATAAAGCTGGTTTCGAAAATTACTATAGAGCCAAGCCAACTGATAGTAAGTTTGCCATGGGATTTTACATGATCGACATGGCGCTTTCCTACCATCGGTGCTTCTTCTGCGTAAGATGAGCGACAATGACTAACAGCATGAGCTCGCTACGGAGCTGTCATGCATATCAAATTGTGGTAGACGTTAGTTTCAGACACTTTTGTACATTTTCTGTCGGGCTTTCCCAAATTTCCATCCATTAATATATTGTGTCATATTGAGGCAAAGGCGTATTAGCTTACATGGTATGTACCAATTGAGAAGAGGGTTAGATATCTACTTTAGTGTGTCTACACTGCACTATTTAACAGATTGACTTGCTCGCGAGGGGTTGACTGACAATGAAGAGGAGAAAAGTGGCTGACAGCAATCAGTAGTTGATGCCACATAATCAAGGTAGAAAAGCGGGCATCGCTGCCCTAACTGTACTATGACCCAACTTTCTCTTGACACATGGTCCTAGATATTATAACAGCCCAATGCCTTCAAAATTTATTACCCAGGCACTGTATTGTATCAGAAAGCACGACAACAACACCATGGAGTTCAAGAGGTGGTGAAAGCTGATGACGGGGGAACTAAGGGATTCTTTTTAAGAGCATCGCTCGTGGCGAAAGAAACGGTCGTCTTTGTGACCCTAGAACTACCAAATGTTGGGATTCCTATGCATGCAGGACCATTCTCTCAAATAAGATGCTTTACTTTTCCCTTCAATTCAACAACACTTCTAGGCTGGGGAAAGCGAACATCCACCCCCTCTATGGATTTGCAACCATTGATGTTGGCGACGAACATAGGTAGGAAAATATTCGAATAATTCTCTGCATCTTTGAAGGATCGGACCGACGAGTCGCTAGTCACAGTGATGGGAGCACAGTTCATATACATCTCGCGATTACCAATACGATTAAACCAAGTCTAGGCCAAAGTGTATTTTCCAGGGCCAATGTTTTCAGGAATAGTGAAGAGAAGTTGGAGAGAGTTGTCAGAAGCGGGACCACCGGCTAGGTTGCCTACTACATCTACAGCGCAGCCTCCTTTATAAGACTATATGACCATCTATTCCGAATTTTTGGTTGGTTCACGGTCACTGGTCAGACTCACCTAACAGGATCCGCCACCGTGAGTCGCACTGCCTTAGAATGTCATTGAATAGTTATTGCCAGCGCAATAAATGGCTTCTTCGGAAGGGACTCGAAAAGCGTCTCCGCGTAACTTGCAGGGAAAATCACTACCGTCTGCAGCAAGTGGCGAGTTATTGAGAGTGTCTTTGTTATAGGGCTCTGGCGAACCCATGATTAGATGTACATTGACTAGCCAAAGCGCAAATGCCTTTAGCAAAAGACACTATTTAATAAGTATCATAGCGGCGAGATCGGAAAGAGGTCGTATCTTCGCTTAGATTATAATCAGATGCCACTGAACCAATTTGATTCTAGTGTGAAAGCAGCTGGATTGTAAGCAAGGCCGATGATGGATTTATATATTAAACCAGCGCGAGCCAAATATGCCAGGTTATTTTACTTGGCTGCTATGGCGCAAGTTAAAGCGCCCTTGAAACTCATATCCCTACAATAGCCATACCCTATAGAAGATGCGCATAGCTGGAATTGAGGCGAATGTGACCAAGTAGGTTTACTAGGAGATAATGGTGAAGAAACAGTGGTGAAGAAACTGGTGAAGAGTGAATCAATTTTATTAATGAACAAACAGTTGATCACCAAAGAGTATCATACATCGACTTACCATCACCAAGGCACATGCTGAGAGGTTACTACGTTTAACGGCAAGCTTTTGCCTGTTTTAGGAAGATGAGGGCTTTGGTACTTTGGTAAGTGGCATAGATTCATTCACAATGAGCCTTAATCACTGGTTCAACTGCTGCGACGTAACGCTGTTGAACATAGTATATCCATCCACTCGTTAGAATTTATTACTTATATTAGGTGCTATCTCGTTTCAGATCCTCTTCACAATTTATCAGGTTCTTTTTTAGGTACAATTGTGATCCAATGTCTATCAAAATGGGTGTTCAGCTAAACTCGTGCATCAACCGGACAGATGCAGTCAACCAAAAAGCACGTAGGAGAAGAGAAACTCTCTTTAAAAAGGCCTCTGAATACTGCTTAGAATGTGAAGCAGACATCTATCTCATTCTTCGGATGAAGAAAATTGGGCGGATCTACACTTTAGCGTCAGAATCAAAAGGTTGGCCTCTTTCCCAAAAACAATTAGTGAGTTATGCCTCTGCCACGAATTCGACTTTGCAAAAGTACTAATTATTTTACGTCAAGAGGTTCTATCATCCTATTCCAATCCGGAGGTGTTTGAAGAGCTCAGAGTCAAAGGTGGAGGAAGAATTGGTTGTCCACAACCAAGAAGCTATAGCTTTGGTAACGAGTGAATGACCCATGTGTCACATTCAGGGCTTCCATCCACTACCAAATGCCTGCTTTGCGAGCGCTGGATTGAAAGGTGGAATACATGCCCTGATTTCGTGGATTATGCTGCCCATACATCACGATAAATTCACAACGCAAATCTATCTAACAGTTTTCTTTTTCTCTTTTTTCTCCTCTTTATTTATTTATTTTTGAAAGGACGATTCAAAGTCTTATGTATTTCACATAAATTTATTTTTTTAAAAGAAAAGAAAGCCTGTGTGCTGCAAGTACAGTAAAGCGAAAGGCACTTGTGAGGTTATATACCAATTCCATTTCCGGGTCGCATGTCACAGTACAAGAAAGCGCAAGGCAATATAGACATCTCAACTTAAATTTCTCTCCATCGTGAGACGAAGTCGGGGCTTATCTCTTATTTTTATGTCTTCTCTCTTGTTATTTCTTTTCTTAGCAGCCACTACGTAAATTAGAGAGAGCTGCATCAGGCAAATGAGTTCATCATCATGATTCCGACCAGACATTCAATGGAAGTTGAAGTTGTTCAGGGAAAAGAGAGCCGATTTTGGGGAGTCAGTATTTCAGAAAGCGTTCCATCTGAGTCAGCAAGCCATGGAGTCCTCAGGATACGCTAAAGTCCCCAAGGTACGCTCAGGGTACGCTCAGGGGGTACTCAGGGTACGCTCATGGAGTGCTCAGGGTACGCTCAGGGAGTGCTCAGGGTACGCTCAGGGAGTGCTCAGGGTACACTCATAGTTGCTGTCAAGATGCTCAATTCGACACCACAATGATCTCTATCCAAAGTAAAATGCAGGTTTGTATGTTAAACTATATCGTCAGGATAACAACTACATGTAAATCAATCCACTATGAGGTGCCTACCATAGTCTCAAAATGTAATTTTTCAGAATCTTAGAATACAAGCCCATGCGCCGAGCTATTAGCCCTATAGTTTATCGGTTGCGACGATAAATAGGGATCGTAATAAACGCGAAACAAGTTTAATTAAAAATTCAAACAGGGGAGTAACGGCTGACTGCCCGTCTGGCCTAAGAAGGACTATATCGTCGTCTTGATAATATATTAGAGTCGGCGCTCTTACTAGTGGTAGCCCGCAACCTAGAGGCACGGCGACATGCCTTAGAAGAGCCGCTTCTGGTCGCAGACCGCTTCTACGTATTTAATGTTTGTCCCGAACTACCATCTAGTCGTCCTTTCAGTTGTGTGCAATAGTATACTTAGAGAGAGCCTTTCGATCTTATAGGGAAATATTCCGCAATTCGACTCTATAGCAAGTTTTTCTTCTCCTTCAAGTCAATCAATTTCTAGTCATCCTTACTAGAATAAGAAGTCCTAGCAGTTGTATTGCTGACTCGAGACCTTTTAGATTTGTTGTGCTTCGAGTATCTAGTGTCAACCTTGTCTTAGCTAGGTGTAGATGCTTTATCCTATCCGTGAGGGCAAGTATTTGATCGTTCTTCTTTAAAAGTAAATGAATAAAGGATTCTTGACAAAAAAAGCTATCGCGTTAGGAAGCCTCAAATAGGGATTGTTTCGGTATCTCGCAAGCTTATAGTGTGAGTTAGACCTTTAGATTAGTCGAATTAAGTAGCGTCGACAGTCGAGTGGGGTGTAGCTATGTTCTAGATTCGCGTGGGGGCATAGCGCGTCGTAGTTTGTCTTAACTGCCTCGTTAGCTGTGAAGAATGCCTATGTCCACGCGATTTATAACAATTATTATCGATATAATCCTTATCGTCTAGGTCATCTAGGACATTACTACTCTCGTCGTAAACCAGATCGGATTGAGTTTTCCTTTTCCCTAAACGGCTATACTATAATCTAGAGAGAGATCTAGTCTATACTCGATCTTAGGAATTTCTATCTAGTTAAATAGCTAAGCTTAGTTTCGGCGAATAGCAAAATCCTATATATGCTGCTAGGGAGCGTAATAGCCAATCTTTCTCTCTGATTTGCGGTGTTAGAAAATAGACTGTGTCGAAAGTCTACATACTAAAAAGGCAAGAGAGTGTTCGACAATACTATGTGTGTCGTATTCATAATCTTTTTTTGCCTCTTTACTTATGGCTGAATCAACGATATTATTAACTAAGGTGATTAGGAAAATGTTGCCCTCCTCAGCCTCTGTTGTCTTCCTAGATATCTAACTAGGCGGCGCTCTTGCATTAGGGACCTTAGTAATATTGAGAGAATCTGGCTGGATGTTATAAGGTTATGAAACACTTTAAGAGGTGTGTGATCTCTGATTCGTACTAGCAGAACTCTGATCATATGCCGTCGTGGTCTCGTCTACTAAGTCGAGTACTACATCTGTTTATCGCACTAGGCTATCTATGGTCTTAACCTGGTCTATAAGGGCTTTAGTGAGCTAGTAGACTCGCTATGGATTGACTAATACTGACCTATGAGAGAAAATTGGTTTGTCCGCTTAATAGATATTTCCGCTAGGGCTAGTAGACTAGGACCACGTGTTGGTCTAAGAATTAGGGGCTGCGATGAAGGCTTAAGGATTTCTGATCCTATCTGACCCTAGGAAGTAAAAAGTTCACTGCTCTAGGAATCCTGATTTTTGTGTAAATCTGGTCTAAAAATAAGATTAATAATGGCTTTGTTTGCGAAGATCAAGATCTGGGATGAATCTCAAAAAGGAGGGGCGATTCTAGATAGAGGATTATAGCAAGCAATGATATGAAGTCGAAATTTCGGAAATGAGTGCTTAAAAATAGTGCGCTTACTATGATTGTCCTTATCCTATTCTTATTTACCGCTTAAAACTTGCACTCTCCCGTCGCCGCTTGTCCTATGAAATGACGGTATAGTAACACGATTATTTTGTTCCTTATGATTATTAGACAATCTATTGTCTAGCTCGCTAAGCCACATAGAGATAGCATCTATGTGAGCTCCGCTGTTCGAAAGTAAGGCCTATGGCTTAATCATAGTGCTATGTGGATTCTGTAGATAAGGATACTACGCTAGAGAAAAATTAGAAGCCTACGTGGGGCAAGGTGGATGGCCTTGAGGTGAGTCGTGGGATGGAAATGTTAGATCGGAAGGTGACGGATCGGAGTACTTAGAAATGAAGCTAGGTACTTGTAGGGGCTTCGACTTGCGAGGGAGGTTGGTAGCAGGCGGTTTGTATAGAATAATATCGTCTAGACTGATTGTGGCTATGTCGTTTAATTCTAAGAGAATTGTACTGTAGTAATTATGAGGGACTACCTAGAAATAGTGGTTGACTTTGAGTTCTAGTATTCAATCCCACGGGGAAGCAGAGATCTCTTTAAACCCTAGTCCTTACCCTCGCCTCCTAACTTCACGACCATCTTGGAGAATAAGTATAGCTTCGCTATGACGTTCGGAATCTTTCATCTCTTATCTCGGATTAACGTAAATGACGCATGAAAATTCCTAGAAAGTATCGCCACTCTGTGCGATATTTTCGCTATTAGACAAAGATTATATAGCGACTGATGGGGGCGTGGTCCGTCACGAAAAGCCGCCTTCTGCCTTGCCGCGCCTCGCCGGAAAAGGCCCTTCGCATAGATAATGAGACCGAAGGAATGTTTGGCACGGAGATGAAATAAATGTAAGGCCCGGTTAGATGCTTATTAAAGAAACTGTCGAATCCAGGTGGAGAATTGATCCGCCACAAATTACCCAACTAGTAATATCATGACTGCAAGATAGAAGAAGTCTGACATTCTAAGGATACTCTGGCTATCTCTTTAATAGTGCACAATGCATAGTAAGCGAAATAAGCACACAATAACAAAAATGTGAAAATACAAAAGCAGTTTAGTGCTGACAAACTTTTATGCATGGATCCACCATGCTGGCATCTCGACAGAAACAACCGATAGGGCATAGCATCTAAGGCTCTATAAGGGTTATTAATCTACTTAAAACTATTTAAGTGCCGCATAACAATTTGCATTTGTGCCGAGACGGCCGTTTCCAGCCTGCTAGGCGGCCGAAAATGGCCTCCCCGGCACCGGTCGGCGTGCCCACGCACCCGTCCACTACGGCCACGCGCGTACTCTCGTCCTGGAAACGTAATGTTCTAGAATCCAGGGGCCCCCCTACGCGGGCTTGGCCTGATCAGTTGCCCCGTCGTGATGCATTTCCATCGCATTCTACTCACCTTCCGCTCACCCTTCGGTCGGTCAATTGGGTTTCACCCAGGCCCTGCGGTGAATCGAAATGGCACAGCCAAGCAAGCGTTGGCCGAAGATGCCCCTGGTTGCTGATTATAAAACCACACGCCCCCCCCCCGATGACTCTACAAAACAGGCTCATCATCCTCTACAAACCTTCCAATAGATCTTCATTTCGCATTCTTCTTGTTCAAGTCTGCTTTTTCTTTCTGCATCAATCACTCCTATTTCCAAAGAAGGCATGCATTCGTCGTCGTTAACGAGTAGCATGGTCTTGTGCAACTCGCCCTCCCGCCCCAATCAACCGCTGGAGATCGATAGCGATACTTCTGACATATCTTTCCAATGCGACTCTGATGAGTTCGAGTTTTCGGATGCTACCAGTGTGTCTTCGATTGAACCGAATTCTCCTGCGCCGTTCCCTCTCCACAATAACGACGATGTGTCCTCCAGCCGTTCTCAACATTCTGCCAACCGGCCCAGAATCCTCGACGGACTGCCTGAATTCAGTGATGACCCGGATGATGAAACGGATGAAGATATTGCAAATGTGCCGCTTGACTATGGACAATCGAACCAAACCAAAACCCGGAGACAACGCATCGAGCATCGCTGGCACAAGTGAGAACTCAGCCAGACTACTTATAGAGCACGCTTATTTTAACGCGAACACAGATACTGCCAGGTTAAAACCGCCAAGTCTGATGCGTTACCGATATGGAAAGACCCAGAAGAGGCTCTTCGTCAATCTACATCCAACGACATTTACCGATTTTTCAACTACTGCATGAAGCTGAAGCGCGGTCAGGACGGTCGACATCTAAAAGGCATATCGAAAGCAAGCGCCCTTAGAGCGGACTGGAAGGGATTTCGGGGTTACTATCGCCAAATTAATCGCAGAAAGATCAGCCCCGAAGATAGCGAGGAGATCAATGCTGTGAGTCGTTTTCTCTCGTACGATGGATGGTCCTAACGAGCCCAGGGTATTCGGAAACTCATCGACAAATATGGTCTCAACAGACACGAACGCGGCAAAGAGCCGGTTTACGTCCAAGACTTGACCGAATTCAATGAGACAATTCTTCGTACCCAAGAGAAGCGCTTCCATTTGGGCTACGAGCGTATCCAGTTGTGTCTCTACACTATGCTTGGGATCTTCACCGTGAACCGCCTCAATGCACTCCTTTCGCTACAATTCAAGCATTTGCAGTTGTCCATTCAAAGAGACCCAGAAGGCGGTCCCCCAATATTGTTGGTGGAGATCAAATCCGAACACACGAAGAAATTTCTGGGTACATCACAGGCGTATGTTCCTTGTGTTCTCCTGAAATGGTCCTCCGTCTGACACTGCATTTTTAGTAACAATTTCCCTTTTCCTGAAATCATTGATGACCCATCGCTCATTTTCAGCCCTCATGCATTCATATTCGGTATCCTGTTTTGGCTTCAGGCCTTTGAAGTTCCCCAGCTCTCATCGATGGAACAAGTTCGCAAATTGCTCATTCAAAGTGGCTGCCAACAAATGCCGTTGCCTTTACGGCCAGAAGTGGAAGAATATTACGTATTCTGCCGCGTAAATGCTGCTCTGGGGACACCGGGAATACAGTGGGAGAGCCCAATGTCCGTGGGAACCATGTCTGACCGCTTGAAATCCTTGGGGGAGATTCATGGATGGCTCCACTCAATGTTCTCTCACCGATTCCGGTATGCGGGAGGAAAAATGTTGAACGAAAGTGACGAAGTCAGCCAAGCGCAGCAAAACTTGATCATGAAGCACTCGGACACCAAGACATTCTTGGACCACTACTTACCACGACATATTGACACCGACATGCAAAATATCATGAATGGCCGGAAATCCAACAAACCCTTGATGCGTGCCATTACGCGAATGAGTCGGTGGATAGATAAAAGGCGTCCTCGACACCTCACTGCTGCGCAGAGGGAATCTCTTCGCAATCATCCAGAATACCTTCATGTCAAACAGCGAAGGGATGAGCAAGCAGCTGCCTACAGAGAAAACCCCGATCTCCAAAGCCAGTTACGACTAGATAAACTGACGCGTGACGTGGCGAATACTTTCAGTCGGCTGGAGCGGACCTTGAGAGACAAAACAAGAAAGGAATTTGACCGAAAGCAGGCTGTGATGGATATCGAGCGTCAGTTATCCGGGTCAGCTGTTGATGACGAGGTGGCGAAAGAGTTGCTTCGTACTGAAGATCATATGCTCCCCGAGCAGATCTATCTTCTGGAAAAATTGCTGACGTGGCCCGTGTCCAAGTCTTTAGAAGCCGAATGGGAACGGCGAAATGCCGCAGTAGCTGCTATTTCACAGTACTGCTCCGTACAAGAAGGCGGCCCGTTGCGTGGAAGACGAAAACGACTACCACCAAACGATGGGATCAATGAAAAACCAACAGCCATTGCAAATCGCCCACCCAAAATCAATTGCGTAACCCCCGGCCTATCACAGAGGGATCTTCTTTTGCAGCAGGCCGAAAAACACATCAAGGCCTCTAACAAACCCCTAAGATGCTTTCAATGTTACGGAAATACCATCCTGCCAGATCATCGCCGGGCGCAGGAATGGAGCGACTACAAATCAACTCTGAGGCATTTTCGAGAGAAGCACCTATATGATCGAAGGTGTCACATGTGTAGCGTTGACCTTCTGCATGAAATGCATCTTCGGAGACACGCCGAAGAGGTTCATCGCCTTTGCATGTAACGAAAAAGCAGCACTTCGGAGTCTGGGAGATTCAAATTGAAAATCGTGTAGTTATTCTATTGTTGAGTTCGTCCAAAATCGATTTTCCAACACGCGCCCATCTTTAATAATCACATAGGTGGTAAGTAGTCCTAGTTAGCTATACGATAGCTCGTAAAAGCGTAACTTGTGCAGGATGAATTGCGCTCTTCATATTCGATAAAAGGGTAGGCAGAAGAGACAGGATATTTAGTACCTTGGTACAGTGGCGTGAAGAGGAATCTCTGGTGAACTTGTTTTGTAGATTGAAGATTTCGGTGCAGTCGAGAGTGCTTTATGGCGTAACCGGCCCCTTTCATAAATTACAATTTATTACGGACCCTCGCATAACGAGGGTCCGCCACCCATATGATAAAGCCACCCATATGATAAAGCCACCCATATGATAAATTCTATCAACATCCAATTTTGATCTTGATCCATGACACCTATACCCCCCTAAACTATGGATATTGTATAGTAAAAAGACGTAGTAGATACTTGATTTTCGATCCTATCTGCGCAACCGCCGTCCCTCCCGCTTACATTGCATTCGTAGCTCTCTCATTACCTTCTTCCACCGCGGTCGCAATCGATCCAGCGCCTCTAAATCATCCAAATCCTTCTCTTGACGCTTTATATTCAGAACATTCTTTGAATAAATGATTCCGGATAACCTCGCGCGCCTCCCAGATGTATTTCTTCGCGCCTCCCTAATCGATTGGGCATGTGTAGTGGCGTTGAGTTCTCGGCGAAGTTCAACGGCTAGATGCGCTTGAATTTGACTACCCTTCATCAACTTCTGGAGGGTATTTTGAAATGTAGTCGAATTCTTATCCAATCGATCTAACTTCTTCTCAATTCTTCGAAAGCGGGATGTAGTAGTCGGTGTACTTATGTCTGTAGGAATACTACTACCTGATGATGATGGTGAGTCTGGTAATGGCGACAATGGGACTGAATAATCTGCCAAATCATCGCATACGATACTAGGATTGTATGGCCATAAGCCGGTTAATCGATAACCAAGCTTAATTGTTGAAGGTTTGAAAGTCTGCTGTCGGATAGTGCGAATTGACTGGAGAAAGAGGTCTTTTGTGAACTTTGTACAACCACTCATAGTTGCAGCTTCAACTGCCTCACTATGCCAATGTTTGTAAACGTTGAATACTCCAACATCTAAAGGCTGAAGCTTGTGGCTTGAATGAGGCGGTAGAAAATATAGAATAATGTCGCTCTTCTCACAAAATTGGATGAATTCCCTAGTGATATGAGCGCTAAGGCCATCACAAAGGAGGAGTCGATATTTCCCTATAGTTCGGCCTTTAGTTTCGCGATTGAAATGCTGGATCCACTGGTAGGCAAGTTGTTGATTCATATATCCAGTATCGTTGACTGCAATACACTCCTCGGTGATGTTGTCGAACCATCGAAGGAGAATCTGGCGGCCGGTAAGGATAATGAGTGGTGCAATCACGAAGCTACCATCTGCATTCACAGACTCAACGATAGTCACTAATTCCCGGTTGGTATCTGTCCCACTAAATATTTTCTTCGTAGGTTCCCTAGTGATAATCCACTGATCTTTGCCAACGCCAATTTGGAACCCAGTTTCATCAAAGTTGTAGATATCTTGGGGTAGAATCCCCTTCTCGACAATAATCTGATGATACTGGTTGAACCACGCCTGTGTAGCCGTTTTATCAAGTGCTTGCATTCGCTCGATGTCTAGAGCTCGTCGTCGTCGTCGTTTGAAGTCAGGATGACGCTTTAGAAAGCGTGTAACCCAGTGTTCGCCGACCGAGATAGATGGGTCCGATCGCGCTTCGCGGAGGATAGAGTTCGCCGCTGCTTCCACTTGTTTTCGCTTCGGGCAAAGGCCTAAGTCATCCATAGTATCCATAAAGGTACAGAGCACCTTTTCCTGGCTTTCATTGAGCAATCTGTGGGTTGGTTGGCGCTGTAGGAGGGAAGGTCGGCCTTGCCAGCGATATCGAAGCCGCTGGTAAGGAACATGATAATCTCGCGCAGTCTTCGAGATATTTGGTTTCTCCTGATTGGATAGCGCGGCGAGGGCATCCTGGATTCGATTCTCAATAGTTGCATTGTTTTCAGGCATTGTGGTGGATGGAAATGACGCGTTGAAGTTGGGGAGTTGAAAAAGGAGAATATTTATCATATGGGTGGCTTTATCATATGGGTGGCGGACCCTCGTTATGCGAGGGTCCGTAATAAATTGTAATTTATGAAAGGGGCCGGTTACAAGTTGTGTCGAACCCAGGTGGAGAATTGATCCGCCACTAATTACCCAACTAGTAATGATGGTGTGTCATCATGATCACAAGATAGAAGAAGTCCGACATTCTGAAGATACTCTGGCTATCTCTTTAATAGTGCAGAACGCATAGTAAGCGAAATAAGTGGACAATAACAAAAAAATGAAAATCCGAAAGCAGTTTAGTGCTGACGAACTTTTATGCATGGATCCACCATGCTGGCATCTCGACAAGTTGCCATAACCCGCTTGGGCTATTTGGAGATCGATTATTAAATCAGTGTGGGGGTTTTGTCGTGTACGCTCAGGGTTGGCTCAGGGTTGGCTCAGGGTACGCTCAGGGTTGGCTCAGGGTACGCTCAGGGTTGGCTCAGGGTACGCTCAGGGTTGGCTCAGGGTACGCTCAGGGTTGGCTCAGGGTACGCTCAGGGTTGGCTCAGGGTACGCTCAGGGTTGGCTCAGGGTACGCTCAGGGTTGGCTCAGGGTACGCTCAGGGTTGGCTCAGGGTTGGCTCAGGGGGTGCTCAGGGGGTGCTCAGGGTACGCTCAGGGTTAGCTCAGGGAGTGGCCCGGCGACCAACACTCAGTGAGACCAACGTTTATTGTTGATCTCAGTTACGCCGCGATATGCCTAGTCAAACACCTTTCATGCTTCTGCGGCAAGTTTTTGCGCAGTTCTAAATCTATAACATCTTTACTTGGGGGCAACCTGGAAAGCATGGGATTCTGAGTGGCTAGATTTTTTCTGCGATATAATTAAGTCAATATGAAAGCCTCAAATTTTTTTGTTCTTCCGAGCCTTTCGTACTAAGTTGTATTAGTTTAACGCGAAATGAGAAATTGAATTGTGATACAATCTAACCGTTCTATTGAACTCTTTGAAAGGGTCCTGTCCTACAGTAAAAGCGAAATCAAATTTGCAGTTCCAATTTCGCAGGAGTTTGGATAAAGAAGCTGGGCTTTGAGGACTGGCTCAGCGCGTGGTACGATTCATTCGAGCCCCTCTCTGGGTTCTACTGTACTGTAGAAGAAAGGCAGGGAAGAGAACTAGGAAAAAGAGGATTCAATACGATCAACATTTTAATCTTTGGGTAGTTTGTCATACTACATAAAATACAATACTGCATAGTGTTTACAGTTCCGCATATTTGAATGATCAACCGTTGTTGCTACGGTGAATGAAGGCAAGAGAAAGTGGGTCCTCAGTGGCACACTTCAACAATTAACGCCGTGCATCGCATTGGGTTAGAGCTCTATTTTGCACATCATCTGAACTAAATTCCTATAGTCGGGAACTTCGACAGTTTGCACACGACTACACCGGGCGGAAACTCCGTGAGGCAAGACAATAAGTAAGCTCATTTAATAGGTGAGCTCATTCAACAAGTACGGCAGGACCTTCTTGTTGCTGGCTGGTTACTATTCAACATCACAAAGAGTTTCTGACGGCAATTCAGCACTACTTTGGACAGTTTCAAGTCGATCAATAACCCTTGTAAACGGCGGACCTGTGAATTGCCTGTTGTGGTTAGTTTTACCGTTTTCGGTTTAGCGCCCCAATACATCGTCACGGAACCTTCCCCTTCCTCGCCCCGACATAAAAGTCCCGACCTCGCCTTCTTCGACCTCCGTTCCTCCCACTTTCACCCTTTTCCTGCCTCCATCCCCTCTATCTTGCACTCGTCGCTTCACCCCTGCAATTTCGCCCATCCAACTGGATTTCCCGTCCGCCCCACTCACCCTTTTTTTTTTTTCGGTCACAGACGCGGCTAAGCCCTTGTTGCCTCACCTCCAACTTTTGGGATCGGGATTATTTGGCCTCTCTACGCAGGTGGCGCTTTGAGGAGGCTGGCTCGCCTTTGGAAGAACATGTCCGTGAGCGACGCAGTGTCAATTATTCTTCCACTCAGTGCTCACCCAACTAATCAATACAGTCACTCGTTCCACGGACGCGTGGATTGTCTCCTCTCCGTTTCCCTGGCTGACCTTCCTTGCGGCTTCCATCTGACGGTTCCCCACCTCGCCTGCGCTCGTCCGTCCGCATGACCCACTTCTTGCGTCATTCCTGGTCTTGATCACTGCGCTGTTCTGTCGCCGTTTGGTTGCCAGGTGACTACAGGCGCTCTATCCAATGGCAAAATACCTCATTTTATCATCTCAGGCTCGTGTTTAAACCTGGTGGTCTAGGCAGACATTGCTGATTAGCACCCTCGAGCTCTTGACCCCAAACTTCGTCGGTCCCACAATCCCGAATTGTAATACTTGTCCGGCTCCTGAGGAGATGCAGACAACGGAAGAGATCGCTACAGTACACAGGCTTCTCCCTTTCCCTGTGCATATCCACCCTCAGTCAAGTCCATGTGACGTCGAGACACGTTGACGTTTAATCGCCAGCACTCCACACGCCTCGCTTCGTCTGGCTCCGTCTGAGGTTGCATTGCACAGTCCCCCGGTGTCGCAGATCTGCCTACAGCTTCCTGTTCTCGGGCGCAGTGGCGCTTGACTGCATTGGTTACTCCAGCTCCTCCTCTTCTTCAGTGGATGACACTTCGTCATCAGACCAAGGATTACCTGCGGCACAGGGAACACGATAGTGCTGGAAAACCGTGGCCTGACGCAAGACCAGAGTCGGCATGGTCCTACCGCAGGCACAGCGAACACAGGAGTGCTGGAACTCATAACTTTGCGATAAAAATTGTCTAGGTTCAACTTAGCACTTCGCGATCAATTCTAATTATTACCTGAATTCTACCTCTACCTTCCTCAGAGCATTTCGCTCTATTAACAGTGACCATTTAGCATCACGTACCACTCGGTCCCATACTGGGTCTCCTATTGGCGGGATTCTTCAAATGTAAATAATGAATGTTCCAAATGGCAGCAAAATACACTAACTATTGGATTTGTGGCCGTCACTTCTCCAATTTCCAACGACCATGAACGGGGCACCCTAGCAAACTGGATTCGTGGCCTGTTTCCTATCCAGACCATTATACTCCCACTTAATTATTCTCTAAAGACGATTTCCCCTTCGGACGAGGGGTATTTGGAGCAATAGACTTTCTCCTCGAACGGCTCGACGGCATTCGGCCAATCGTGGGGCTAGTTATGTGCTCGAAGGAGTTCCTGGGGGCGTCACTGTTGATCGATTGCGGGATTGTACCAAGGCGTGACTCAGGAAGAGATTGGATTTTGGTAGACATGGTCAATGGAAGACTTGGTTTGGTCACTTTATTATTGTCGGGGGGTATCTGCCGGTATTTGAAAAACCCCCTGCGATAAAGGAAGCAAGATGAATCATTTATAGGCTATTCTGCCATGTCTTTTTGAGAAGATCTTGAGCCGCAATATTCTCATTCGTAGGCGACTGGCTTTCCAATAGGAAAAGCACACATCGCGCAATGTATGCGCATGGCTAATTACCAAAATGAGAAGGCAGTGAAGGCCAGTAATGATTCTAGTTGAGCCTCGGGCATGGCCTAGAAAAAGCAAAAAGATGTGTTATTTTCTGCATGCAAGAGAAATTGCAGGGCTGTCTTGCAACGTGTTTGCGATCGTGCAGGTGCCCGCATTGCATGCAAAGGTACCGTTCGGGGATGCGAGTCATGGCATGCGTGCAGTCGTGAACAAGTTGCTACGTGTCTTCCAGGATTTGGGCGCCTTGCTTGGGCAGCTTCATGCTCTCCTTATCCAGGCCTTTTACAAATTTCGAGTCAATTTAACGGAAGAGCATGTGCATTGCATTACACTAAGTCTGTTTTGGTCCAATTCGGTCCGGTTTATCAGCGTGGTTTTTTTTTGCCAGGCATTGTCATTGTCCGGCCATCATATGGTTCGAGTGGATCGTGTCTGCTTGTAACCCAGTCCCGGCGGCGGCTATCTGGGTAGAGAGTCGATCTGGCTGCATGACGCCTTGGGTGTCTTGCTCACTGGGGTTGTTGTTCAAACCAGGAGGGCTGAGCTGAGGAGTGTGTGGTGAACTTTGTGGCCTAGGAGTATCAAATGGCGGTGAGTGAAACGAGGCTGTCCGTGACAGTCCACTGAATTCTCATTCCTCTTTACATTATCTTCCAGTTCCCTGCCCCCTCCTACTACCCTTCACCACAATGACGACTTATGTTTTTTACAGCCCTGACGGCGCAATCAATAATTTCTTCAACTCGAACACTACTGTAACAAGACAGCAATGCGATGAATTCGCCATTTCTCGCGCTGGCGGTGTGTCCACTGCTTTACAGATGCAAGGAGTGTGCAGCTATACCGTGACAGCGGGGCCTAACAAGTCCAAGCTCTTCCAGTTTCGAGATGAGAACTCTACCATTGATATGGGCAACATTAAGCTTGCCAAAGCAATCCATCCCGAATTTGTGGCTAGCTGCAAATATCTCGGGACCATAGGCGATTCACCGCCGCTCTATATCTACGAGATGGAGAATCTTCCTGGGACTGCTCACATTATGGCGCGCATCGCACCAGACGACATGTCCCGACAGCGTAACACTGTCATGGACTTTGCAAGGTACGCCTAGTAAATTTTTCCACTCCATTTGCTAGAATTAACATTTTGGAACAGGTTCTTTGCACAATCATGGAACAACGATCAACGGCCATGCTCAGATAAAACCGCTATCTTGCTTGCGGAGTTTCAATCAAACTTCGAACTTCTTGCTCGAGACCTGCCGTCTCGCTTTGCACCAAACCTAGCAAGGGTCCGCAAGGAGCTCCCGTCTCTCTTCTCAAAAGCCCTCCCTTTTGTTCTTAGCCACGGGGACCTTAACGTGATGAATCTCCTCACCAATCCCGAAACTGGAAATATCACAGGGATTGTCGACTGGGCTGAGTCAAGGATTCTGCCGTTCGGCTTCGCGCTATACGGGCTTGAGAATATTTTCGGCCGGATGGATTCAGAAGGGTGGCACTACTACGATCGCTACCGCGAACTCGAGAGCCTCTTCTGGCAGACCTTTCGGGAGGAGGCTTATAATTTCTCTGACACTGATTTGCATTTGATCCGCGCTGCGAGGATGGCTGGATTTTTCTACCATTATGGATTTGTTTTTGATATGAAAGGTGTGGTGCAAAGTGTGCGAAAGGACCAGCCGGCTGGTTCTCTCGCATATCTCGATGCTTTCTGTACTGCTGGTGAGTGGACTCCTCTTTCGTGAGCCGGCTTGTGATGCGTTACAAAGCAGGCAGGGAGGTAAGATATCATGAGCGGATGCAGGTATTCCTATATGTATTGACAGGAAACTCTGAACGTATACATTGATAGTTGGTCCTTTCAAAGGATACTTTAGCAAAAACACCGGTAGTGACACACCCGATATTGAACTATCGCGGTACCATCCTTAGGTAAAGGATACACTCAAAGGACAATGTCCTCACTTCGGAGGATAGCCATAAGCTGGTTCTCCGTTTCGATCTTGTCGTTAGTAAAGACTTGGTGGGTGCCTCTGACAGTTGGCGCATGAGATTCTCCGTCCTTGAACTCAGTCATGCCTGGCTCTTCAAGAAAAAACCCGGTGATGCGGAAGGGCGTCCCGCAATTCTTCACATCTCTCTCGTCCAGCATAACGGTGCCGTTATCCGCGAGGACAAACTCACTCATCATCGCCGGCACATCATTAGTAAGGACTTGAAGCCCGAGGATATTGACCAAGTGATGGGCTTGAAGGTATATAACTAGTTCCTGGAAGAACAAAGGATCGACGTCATTCAGACTGGTTGTTGGGCCTTGGCGATACTCGTAGGCTTGCATCTCGCCACTGGCTGTCAGCTTGAAGATGTGACCGTGAATCTCTGCCGGTTTGATATCTGCGATACTAGTGGGCTGGGTCCAGCATCCCCGAACGGATTTGAGGGACGTCCCAAGCATGATTTTGTCTTCCTCGATTTGGAAGTGTCCGTGGATGAGGTGGACTCCAAATATTTTCTGGACATTGAAACGCGTAAAGAGACTGGCAAGCTCCTGAAGGTGAATCCGCTGCACCTGTGGCTGGTCTTCGTCGTTCGGTAGAAGATTGTAACTGTTTCAATGTGATTAGCGCACTGCCAGTCTAATCGCAAGGCATCAAGGTAAATGTACGCCCGCGATGACTGTTGTAGGTCCTTAATGGTAGGAGGAACATGAAAGCCAGGGATAACAATGGGAGCTGAAACAGCGACTGCCATGATGGAAATGAGCTTGGGAAGAAGTTATTCGTTGGGGATGCAGCAGTTGATGGTCAGAGGATAGGATATTCTGAGGATAAGGAAGCGATAGGTGGTCTTTAAGTATTCATTAGGCGCTCAATCCCTCATTAACTTTCCAGGGAAGCACGAGCGGTGCAAAGCTCTCGCTTTCTTAACGCTTGACCTACTGGTACTTGTTTATGCTGGCGGCTACGCCACCTGCAGCTTCCCCGTCATGCTGAAATTCGGAAGGCTATTGGATCAGGTTCTCGGATAGTGGATGAATCTTTTCACCAGCAAGGAGCTACACCTGTGAAAGTGTGCTTAGAAGCTTGTCTCCTGCTTGGCAAGGGCCAAAGCTGTCATTACCATTGGACCATAGCACAGAACCGATGTGAAATCCCGTGCATTAGCGCGAGGCTGACGGTTCTCTCACCAAAAAAAATTGGAGGCGCATCCTCAGCATAAAAGGGCCATTTCATTCGACTGAGGGCGTCCGAGCTAGGAAATGGACGGCTGGTACCCTACTGACGTGGCCAGCAGCTTGCAGCATTGCATGCCAGCTTGGAGCCTACACGGGCCTCGGCGACGAGTAAAACACTCTTCTTTTTCCCTCTGGGAGCTTGAGCGCTTATAAAGTCCGGTTTATCCAATCTTTGCGCTCATTCAATGACCGAGCCCGACAGTGTGCATGTTGGCAACCCTGTCTCCAACTACCCCTCCCATGAGGCACACCACTCTCAGTGACGGAGAATGAGTGGCGCACGGCCAGCGCATTCTTAGCGCCTGGCCCACAATCTGGGCCAGCGGCTACGCTGGTCGAAGAGCAGATCCAAATGCGGCTCCTCGCGCCGTCACCTCTTTTCTGAAGTAACCAAAGGATACATTTGAGGGGCATTAACGGTACCGTGTGCGATTGGTGGACCGAGGCTACGTGAGGCTACACGGTCCTTTCACTCGAGCAAAATATTGGACCGCTGCCCCGCAGTGCGAACAAATCAGAGTAGCTTGTTCCCTTCTTAGCTTGCGGTACTTCTGCAAACTGCATAAATCGGCGGAGCAGCAAACTTCTGCCGTGTTGTTCCTTCAAGTAAGACTCGTCCCGAAGGAGAGATCGCGTAAGACCGCAATAACTGTGATGCTCTCCCTTTCACTGACATTGGCCTTAAATGGTACTGTGAAGAACTCTGGGCTAACAAGTTTAAGACACGTCACAGCGGACAGCGGTGAGCATCTACGCATTCATTAGCTTTTCAAATGAGACAAAAGTCAGGCGACAAGTCCTCGCTTATGGATGAATATTCAAGAAGCCAGTGTCCACATTCATCTCCATTCTAGACAAGCGACGAGGTGGCGCTAATTCAGCGCCAGCCTCGCCATCCACCAGGCCTTGCCTTTCCCAGATGTCTGAGCCACGTCATCCAGACATTGACGCACATGAACTTCAACAGTTTGCACACGAATACACCGGGCGAAAATCGGTGAGGCTAGACAACAAGTAAGCTCATTCAACAGGTAAGCTCATTCAACAGGTAAGCTCATTCAACAGGTAAGCTCATTCAACAGGTAAGCTCATTCAATAGGTAAGCTCATTCAATAGGTGAGCTCATTCAACAAGTACGGCAGGACCTTCTTGTTGCTGGCTGGTTACTTTTCAGCATCACAAAGAGTTTCTGACGTCTGTACTTGGAAAAAATGATTTGTTCCCGTTGGCTTTTTCGCAACGGTAATGTGCCTTTCTGAAAAGACTCGCAGTTATGTGAAGTTTCCCATGATATGGGCCGTAAAGCTAAATTAGATTCTATGTGAGTTGATCATAGGCAGTAAAATACCATAATGTTAGACGTCGTGATAAGTGGTAGATTGAAATTTCCCTTTTGAGAGTTGCCCACATCTTCGCCTTACTATCTTTTACAGATATACTGCCATATTCGAAAACAGAATTCCCGCATACACTCACAAATTATTTGCCGAGCCCTATCTTGAAACACGATAGCCTATATCTAGTTACTCCCCTAAAACCCCTGTCAAGTCGTAATCGTCTTGCATGCACGGCAATGAAAGAGTTATCGTTATAATACAGTAAACCTCGAAGGAATCTCGTGGAATATTCTCTGCAAACGATCCAAACAGAGTAGAAGGCCTGGCGATCTGGTGAGATCACTGCCTACCTCATCTCCTTCACCATGCCCCCAGCCTTCGTCCACAATTGTTTTTTACTTACCAAAAGCCCGTGCCGATATTCAAAACAGGTCTGGTTTGGTAGGAGATCGCGCAACTTTCTTTCCATGGATTGGATTATCTCCCCACTTGCGATTTTCATTCGTCACTAGTCTGTCAAAAGCTGGTATGTCCTTGAACCCCCCTATCATGGAGTCTAGCGCGAAGAGAACCCTAGCGGTAAGATATGCCGTAACCCGCAATATCACTGAAGTGTCCAATGGCGGGAACACAGTCACTCGTCTCGTTTTCTCTGAGTAGCTCTTCGTGTAGAGGTTCCAATTCGGACCAAGCCTTGGCATATTTCATCCCTCTCAGCCTTTCTTTTTCGATGACTTGACTGATTTCTAAAATGCCCACATCGTCGCTTTTCTTGCACAAAGTGGCTTGGCTGCTTTTCGGCTGAGGGCCTTGATATTGGACGTGAAGGCCCGTCTTGTCACTTTCTCCCAGCAGACCTGAAGCTCTCAGAAGTCGTTCCGGCGCCACGGTCAGTCTTCCCTTTTTGAACACATATTTGGAGACCGAAGTTGCAAATACAACGGGTCGTGCTGATTTGTCTCTGCTATTCTCTACCGCAGCCCCAACGCACTGTTCAAAAGTCTTTCCCACCGACAATGTATGAGTGACCAAATCACTATGTTTGACGCTTCCTTTCTGAACAAAATGTGTCACAATATAGAGCCACTTCTGATCCCACGTAAGAATTCGTGACCATACTTCGTACCGCTGGAAAATTCGAATTTCTTTCTTGAAGCTTGTGGTAACAGATCCGATTATGGCAGCCATTATCCCCCGTTTGCCATCAGCGGCGAGCTCTCGGTCGACAATAGCGACTCCGCGATAGCAAAGATATGATAGAAGATGAGAGCGGCTTGCATCAAGATCCGTAAAATATGTACTATTCGACTTGTGGAGGTTGTAGTCGGCTTCAAGAAGTGGCGTGTATGTCGTAGTTATACAGGGAAGGAAAACCACCGGCAAGTCTTTGTCTTCGTGATGAGCTGATACAACATGGTGGCTTCTTTTTGTTCTGAAGAAGCTCTGGACGATTGGGCGGAAGATTCGATACTTTAAATTTGTCAAGTTCAGAACTTGCTGGAGCTTGGAGAGAGAGCTCTGAAATCATATGCATTTCGGTCGCGTTTGAATGAACACTTACGTGGAATACTAAGGGTAAATTCTTAAAATTGTCCACAAGGAAGATTGTGAGCAGAAACTTCCAAATATCGATAAATTGAATCGAGTTCAAACCCATTCAATCATCTTGGCAAATATAATCGATTCTGAATGCAGCGAGTGAAATTGAAACATTCGGGCAGAATTTGGTCTTGAAACCAGATGTAGTCAAATCACTGTGAAATTTGCATGTAATGGAAATGCATTGGACTAGTAAAAGCCGACTTGGAAGAAAAAAAAATACCGCTGTGTGCAGGCGATTAAGAAAACTTGAAGGACCGGACACAGATAAAAAAATAGTCTAGAGCCCAGGTGGTCGGGAAGCCGAGGCAAATTCGGCTGCGATATGGTCATCATTTTATTCCGAGAGCTAGGTTTATGTTGAAGAATTTTGCCCGATCCCGTGTGCTTGACGGCGGCATTGATGATGATCCTTGTTAGTAATACACTCCGCCTTTGATTTGGAACTCCAAAATTTTCCGAATTCCCATTCTTGGGTATACTGGCGGATCTGCGGCAGGGCGTACAGGCTTGTAGTGGCAGGAGGTTCTTCTCTCGAAGCTGACCGCCGTTGAAGGGTCCTTTGTAGTGAGGTTCGTTTTGTAATGTATGAGCTCCTCTGTCACGTTGGGACCCAATTTACCATACAAAACAGGGGCAGCGTTGGGTATCTGCTGAACTACGTGACTCTAGTGGTAATTTACCACCTCTCAAGTCGGCATATATAAAGGGAAAAAATGGCACAGACAATCAATCAGATACCAAACAAGCACAATATATTAGCTTTATTCAAAATTATATCTATATCACAATGATAGTATCACGTCTCTGGATGACCTGAACCGCTCTATTTTCAAAGTCGATGAGTCTTGATTTCACTTCCGTTTCTGATATCCAACATAGTAATAGCGCTCCGATTTTTCAGGTCTTTCTTTGTACAGTATCCATATTCTGTACTTGCATCCAACAATCTTTTTTTCTCGATAAATTGCAGAGCCTCTTTGAAGCAACCAGTTTCATCGACCAGCCCGCATCGGACTGAATCTCGGGCACGAAGAGATTGTCCCCTTAAAAATGAGGGGGTGATATTCAACGCGGGCAATTTGGCCTTCACAAAATCTATTATCCACTTTGATAGATAAGGAGTGGCAGATTGGCCCTCGTGGATAGAAAGTGAGGAACCACGGGACTGTTGAATTCGGAAATCATGACATAGGGCTAAGAGAAAGCCATGGCCGACTGCTTGTCCGCTTATGAAGGCGATCGTTGGCATAGGATACCTGTCAATATTTTATTTTGTTAGACACACAGACGCGAAGAGAATGTGAGGTCCGATTCAATGCGCTGGAATATATAATGCACGAAGGATCATACCTTAGAAGCTGTCGTAGAAGTGGCCATATATGCTCGTCTTGCCGTTTAAGCGTATCTTGTGATATCTGCTGGCTAATTCCATCGCTATAAAATTCAGGAACGCGACTGGCGGTGATAACAACGCCTTTTGGAAAGGTTTGAATCTTTGATAAAGAATAGCGAAAAGCTTCGACGAAATCGGGTGTCAACTGATTTGCTGGTTGAGATTCAAAAACTAGAAGATAAATCCTATCGGAAGGCATCGCACACGTGAACCTGCCTCCTGTTTTGATTTCGCGAGAGAATAGAGCCATCGTGTGAGATATTGAAATTGCTTAAAGAGCACATTTATCACTTTTTGCCGAATGTCATGGCAGGATCATTTGATAAAACCAAGCCTATCTGGGCCTATGCTGACTGTGTCTGACCTAGTAATAGCAAGCTTGCGCGACCGAGGTATTGTAGAATAATCAAAAAATATCATGCTTCGGCTGCTGGAGGAACTTGATTTTGTCGATACTCGCCACCCGTAAATCAATATTTTCACGAACGACGAGTTATCCCTTTTTGGAGTGTTGATTCAAAAGGTCGGAAAATTCAAAATGTGACAGCATGATCTAGTTACCGACCGAGATCGCTTTGATGAGGTATGTTTGATTGATGTTTGTGTTGGTAGTACCCGATAGTCATAGTATTCTAACTCTCTGTAATTTCGGGTGGCATTGCGTCGGCTGGACCGTTGCTCGAAAGGGAAATACTCGGTCTAAAAGCGTTAGTTCGTGGCAAAGGCTGACACTGTCGATGCGATAATCGGTTCTTGCATTCGCCTGGGGGTTAATCAGGCTGTGTAGCATCGAAGGCCTGGATTATGCGGAACGTTACTGTACCGAATACAGGATGCACTGGAACATATTTTTCTCACTAAACCTTCTGCCTCCACTTGTGGAGCTTTTCGATGTCTCCGCGACTGTTATCCTGTCGTACGAGACACTTAGCATGGGAATCGTGATCTTGTACCACGTGCTTCATGAATCAACAGATCTGAAGACTTATATTCTGTATCAAGCTTAGGCTCAGAGTCCAACGACGCCCGTAAGTTCCATTCAGCGGTACCCATAGCAAGGGACCAATTGCGAACCCCTGAATGAATAAAGAAATTCCGACAATCGCGAGTTCATGGATGCATTGAAATTGTTTAAGTAGTCTAATCCAACTCAATAATTATCTTTCCAAACCGACAGTAGAAGATGATAACTGAATGATAACCCAGCGGGCTGCAGCGTATCTCATTAAGAAGATGGCCTCTACGGCTGAGTCTCCGCATACGCCTAGTAACGATGAGACTGAGGTGTTCTTCAAGGGACTCATTCGTGCGAGATACGGAAAATCTCAAACCCATTCGTAATATGATATTTCGAACAGTGATCATGACATTGTTAAGAGCTTCCAGCTTCGAGCGGCTACTCTGGTAGATTGAGTCCTATGAATCATAACAGTTCTTGGATACGCCAAGAGCCTGGAAATGCGGGCATCCCTGTTAAAAGAACTTGAAACGACCAACATGATATCGTCTTGAGCTCTCTTTCCCACCTTCACTCTCACCACTCTCACCACTCTCACCACTCTCACCACTCTCACCATCCTCACCATCCTCATCATCCTCACCATCCTCACCATCCTCACCATCCTCACCATCCTCACCATCCTCACCATCCTCACCATCCTCACCATCCTCACCATCCTCACCATCCTCACCATCCTCACCATCCTCACCATCCTCACCATCCTCACCATCCTCACCAGATCATTACAGTGATTATTAACAGCACGATGGAGAGCATGACCAAGAGAATGGGAAATATTATCCATGGCCAGCGGACATGGATGAAAGTTTCGGTTCGGTAAGCCGTTCCTTCAATACGGTTGCTATTGGCCGAAGTTCGGATGAGATTGGTCATACTGGTGGCCATCGAGTCGAATAATTCAACATCTTTATTCTGACTGTTATTGGACAAAATCAAGGTTACGGTTGACTCATCGTCGCTAAATAGATCAGCCAACTATGGTATCATGTTAGAAATTGTACTCTTGTCGATGGTATAATTTGAGTTCTCCGGATATGTCGCGGCGCCATTGAGGGGCCGGTATTGAAGATACATGGGGGGCCAAAAGTATTAGCACAGTCGCGTCGCGTCGCCCCACTAAAATAGTTTTGTAAACAACCCACCAATCTCAACTGCCCATCTCTCTCTCAATATGCGTCGCTTTGGCACTGGAATTAGTGGAAATCGAAAGCCAAAGGCTGAATTATCCCCTGAAACACGCTCAGCTATCATTTATAGCCTTCGAAAAGGGATATCGCCGACAAGAATTGCGCGCGATAATCACGTCTCCCTAGCTCAATTCACTATACAAAACAACGCTTCTACACCAACACGACAATCAAATCAAGGCCCTGGAGCGGTCGGCCTCGAAATTTTAATGATCGTACAAGGCGCTATATATTTCAGCTTGCGCGTCGGCACCCTCGGTGGACATACGCAGCGCTCGGCGCAAATATACCTGGTACAGACACAAGAATGTCGAGATCTACAATTAGACGCCTCCTACGGACATATGGACTCCGAAAACGGAAGTCAAAGAAGCGAATACTATTAAATAAGGAGACTGCAAAAAAAAATACTCGCTTTTTCCCGTGAGTGGGGGGGCTTTAGGGAGTGGGAAAAGCTCATCTATTCTGACGAATGTAGCGTACAACGCGGATCGAATTCTCCGATCCAATTCGTCTTCCGCCTCCAAAACGAGGCTTTTTTTTATAAGAATTTGTGAGCTTGACTAGCCACGGGCAAGATATTTCGCAAATGGTTTGGCCTGGAATTTGGATCGGTGGCCGGTCAAAGTTAGTGATTATGGCACGCGATCCCGAAGCTCCTCGCAACGGATACTCCTCGACCTCTTATACCGACGCTCTCGAAGATGGATTGGTTGAAATCTATACACCTGATTCTATCTTCCAGCAAGATAACGCGAAGATCCATAAGTCAGAGCATACACAGGAGTGGTTTGAGCGTCATGGGATTCACGTCATTGAATGGCCTCCGCATTCCCCTGATTTTAACCCTATGGAAGTTGTCTGGGCGCTATTAAAACGCAAATCGATATCCTAGTTTGGCCAATGGTAGACGTCGTGAAATTGATTGAGAGGACTTTCGGAATGCGCTGGTCGATTCATGGAATCATATAGATCAGGGGTCTATAGACCGGCTTATACTCTCTATGTCTCGTAGAATCGCGGCTGTGAGAGCTGCGCGGGGCTACAGTCAACTCTCGCTTATGGCACAGCCCACCATCCAACGAAATCTGTGTGCCATAAGTGAATTGTGCCAGATGTGATCTGATGACTAACTTTACTTCCGCATTAGGAAGTTGAACCCCTCTAGCGTCGTCTGTTTCCTCGCATCCATCTGAAACCTAGTAAACCGACTTATTAGACTCTCTATCTGGCGAATGTTCTCCTCAGTGGCACCCTGTTGGTGCTGAGCCCATAGAAGCGCCTCCTGCATGCTATTGATAACTGTAGCACCAGATGGTAGATCTGGTGGTGGTCCAGATATATATTCGTCATCCTGGTCATCAGTGCCATCGCCGTCGCCGTCGCCGTCGCCACCACCCGATAAGTCAAAGATTATATCAGACAAATCAGGCTCGTCGGCGTCGTTTTCGTCTGATGGATCTAGGAAATCATCCAAAGGCATGGCTTCCTCAGCATCTTAAGGAAGCCTATCAGTCAAGCTTTGATATAGATCACCTAGCTCTAGCGCTTCTAGTGACCCTTCTATATGCACCTATACGTACCGGATTTTCCCTGGCAGGTGGGGCTTTCCTCTCTAGGCTGCCGTTGCTTTAATGAGGGCGCTCATGGTCTCGCTCACTGAGTAGATTTCAGCACGCACTCAGACTCAGTGATCGTGCTCATGCTAGTCACGTGCATCATGACTCCTGCTCAGTGAGCGCTCAGTGAGCGCTCATTGGATGTGCACTGATCACTCAGTGACGATCAGTGTCCAATCAGTGAGCACCTCTGGTTTTCTCAGTACGCTAAGTCTATCCCCAAAAGGGTATACCACCCCACAGGCCTGTTTATTCTGTGATGGATAGTCTGTTGATAGCCCTTGTTCTGCCCTCATTTTCTTGAGCACTTCATCCCAGCAAGAAAATACACTAGTACCAGATGGCGCAGGAAGAGTGGAGACACCCTATCTATCTTAGAACAATGCAATTTCAGACATGCCCTTTGTTTTCTGATGTAAAAGCGGCTTGACTTCAAAATCTCAGGTATAAAATCAAGCAATCGTCTCCTCATAATACGTATTCAAACACCTTCCACTTGGTCATTCGGACTCACACGCCTACTTTCTGTTTTAACACCACCTCTAACCTCCTTGCGGGATCACACCCGATGGGCAGGAAAGATTTTTTTGCTAAGCGTGATGAGAGGCGCCGTCTACAGCGGGAGAAGAATGGCTATGTCCCTGGAGCCCATAGGCAGGAAGACTCAATTCGGGAAAAAGACAAGAGACTCCCCACAACCAACAGTTTACACCGTGATTATGTGGATCTTTGGATGAAGTAGGTTGAGGAACATCTGAAGCGACAATCTCATGCATTCATGTAAAAGGCTAACCATTACCTAGTTTCATTGCCAACCCAGAAAATGGATTTGATTCCTACAAAACTGCTCCAGGTTGTTCAGCTCCAAGCCATGAGATGATCAAGGAATTCATTCGCTGGTACATTAGCTCTACTACGGGAAGACTGGCTGAGGATGAGCGACCAACGGTGCGAACCGCAAATGCGTGTGCCGAGCGTTTCTTTAGTGGATTTGAAGAGTTCACAAAAGTCAAAATTATCCCAGCTGACAGAAAAGAAATAAAAACCGTGAGTTTTCTATTTCCTTCTTGCGATCATCACAAATCCATTCTGAACACTAAGCAGTGGATCAAGAAAACATTGACGGCAGATGGCACCATTGTAGACAAAAAAAAAGAGAAGCTCAATTTCACAAAGAATGATTTCTTGAGAATCGTTTCATCTCTGTGGCAGACAGATCACCAAGCATTCATTCCTGGGTTGCTCAAGGTCGTCATTCTGTTTGCTCTTCAATTGTATCTGTTCACTGGAGCAAGGGTCGGTGCTTTTATACCTTCCAGTGAGCACAAAAATGAGAGAGGTCTTCGATACAAAGTAAGAATCCTTAACCAGAGCGATCTGAATTCATTCTCATCTCTACTCCAGCATATTGATCTGGTTCTGCTTCCGTCATCTAATGCTCCTTGGGCAGTGGGATGGAGAGTCAATCAGGTGTGGATCAAGAATAATCGATGCCCACAATATACCGTGTGAGTTGGAAAAAGTCTGGTAACATGCTCATTGGGAAAAACTGGTTTTGCTAACGAATACTTCTAGATTCGGGATTGGTATCCGCGATAGCAACAAACCACAGTTTGCGTCGGGCTACCTACTTCTCGCCCTTGCCCTGGAACACGGAGCTCTTTTTGGTATTAAAACAGTGGAAGACCTTGCGGAATTTGACCTTTCGAATGGTGAAATCCCTTTGCGATGGAAGAGTGAGTTCTTGGAAAAGCCGGTCCTTAGACATGCGACGGGAGATGGACCTCAAGAAACTCCTCTGACGAAGCAAAAATTTTGTTCCTGCCTACGCCAGATTTTTACCGCTGCAGGCTATTTCGGTGAACTGGCAACCGTCCATTGCATGCGAAGAAACTTGGGGAAAAAAGTTGAAAGTGAGTTCTGGCCACCCTAAGAAACTCCGGAACGAAATCAAGGTACTAAAATCTAATATAGGAAGGCATGGCTCAGCGCCTGTCTCTCAGATAATGGCACATCGGGGATTAGAAACTTTTCCGGAGCATTATCAAGCCCACTGCTCCTCCATTGATACAGTGTCGGCTGTTCTCGACGAGGAGGACCAGTCTGATCACATTGAGTACTTCCAAAGCTACGTTCAATTTTACGAGCGAGGTTTACCTGGCGAATTGCCAGCAGAAATCAAGGAAAGTATTTTGCAAAGCCAAGATATGGTGGACATGAGAGCTCGGATGGAGCTCTTTGAACAGAGCCACGATGAGGAATCTCTCAAGATCGAGAAATTGGAATACAGGAGAGCGCTGGTTCGGAAACGCCTGGTTGAGCTTAAAAAATATCAAAATCGGTGGGTTCGAGAGAAGAGAGATCAAAAAATTCTCAATCGCGGGAAAGAAGAGCTGGAGCACTGGGAAAACGGTAATCGCACACGTGCTCAAAAGTTGATCGCACCAGAGGTTGCGCGAATTGCATCAGCCATGTCCTGCAATAAGGAGCTTTCTTTTGATGAAAAACTTCTATTCGTTCAAGATTTGCAAACTCAGTGTGGTCGTGACTTTGACGTGATCTACCTGCCCAACGAAAGTCCGATTCAAGGGATTTGTCCCGCGAAGGGTTGCCAAACCAACGTTGCACGGTGAGCTTTCTTGAGCCTACGACGCCACAGCCAATACTTACTCCAATAGTCTTAGGAAATGCGACAGGAGTGCTCACATTCACGGATGTGTCCGGCGTGAGAAAGCTTTTGACCTTCAAGTATCGGAATCAAGGATGCGATTTTGCTATGAATGCATGGAGTGGTTTTTATCGAACCAATGGAGACGCCATTGTGATATTCATCTCCAGAAATGGGAAACTCAGCACTGTGAAGTGATTACGTATCGTCATACGGTTATTCGTCCTGGATATTGTCCTTTCTGCTTGTGGAACCTAGATATTCCCGCCGAAGCACGGCTACAGTACTGGTTGCGAAGCGATAACCTTAGGGAGCATATTGAAGGGCAACACCTGAATGAAGTCCAGTCGTCTACAAAAAAGCCAAGTTGTGGATGTCTACGAACATTCGACAGTGAACGTGAGCTCCGACATCACTTACACGACGCGCACATGCTCAACGAAGCGATTTGGCAAAGTCCAAAATCTCCAAGAAAGAGAAAACGCGCTTGCAAGGTGGAGACGCAAGGTCATTCAACAAATCCAGAAGAGGAACGCCATAAGAAAGCGCGATTTTATCACTATCCACCTCCGAGTCAAGAACGTGAGCATCAACTGTCAAACAACATATCCGTTCTCAGCCCAACCGTGAATTCGTTCATCGAGGTGCACCCCGAACAATATTATTATTTGAGCAAAGTTGGAAAGTCCGTGTCCAGTAGCAGGAGCAGCTCAGCATGTTTCCCCGCTGCACACTCTCCACTTGTCTCGCGACCAACAACCCCTGGACTCGATGTCATTGACCCGAGGCTTCTTGACCCCTTCAATTTCAGAAAAGAGAGTGGACTTCAGTCTAGTGATGAAGGTGCCACCCAACTGGATTCACTGAGTCTCTCTTCGAATGAGTTCAATTTCAATTTACAGCTGAATTCATCTGTCCTCAGCGATTTCAGTGAGCAGCCTGGTAGCTGCACTAGCAACAAGGGCGACGGGATCATTAAGGCTGAACGAGAATGCCCTGTCTCCATAACCTCCAGCACCAAACCTGGTGCAATAGAGGCTAAGGAAGACCCGCAGGATGCCGATTGTGAACGGGCTCATGTTGCCAGCGTTTGCAAAGCTACCAGTGGAGTCGAAAAAAGATCACGGACACCATCGCACTTCTCGGATTCCACGCCACGCCAAAAGATAAATGCAAAGGAGAAGCGCAAGCTACTTGAGCTTAAGAGCCAAAATCTGACTCTTAGGCGTATTGTATCTCATTTTCCGGATATAGATACGGCGTTCCTGCGACAGGCTTGGATGGACATAAAGCCTTCTCGGAGATGCACCAGATCACGGACTAAAAGGAAAAGGGGATGAATTTTTGATTTTTGGTCGCACATTATTCAATTGTGAGATAATCTGCTTGTATAACTATAATTACCTCTCAGCTACGCAAGCCCAGTCCTAGTATTAGCGTTGAAAACAGCACTAGACTCTTGGGTAATTCCTAAATAGCGTTTGTGTAGATACTAGATCTACGGCAACTTGACGGATTCCCTAACCTGTGAAGCCACGAACCCATCGCTCGATGACTACACTTGGTTGCTATTTTCAGCCTAGGACATTAAGGAAGTTCATTCTCGAAAAAAATCCGCACTACTGGTGCGATGAAGTTACGCTCAAAACCACGAATAACGGCCAATTTCGTTCCTCTACTCTAGATCCGCTCTTGGGCCAGGCCATAAACGGCTCTGTCCCTCCAGTAAATTAATCGTAGCCCCCGTTTGATCGCTTTTCAGCTGTTTGAGTTATAGTAGTTGACAAATTCGATATGATACAGCTACTAGTTGCTGGCGGAAAAGTATCATGGAACTTGAGGGGCGAGAACGAGGACCACTGTGCTAGCAGGAGACCGCCGTGTGTTCCTAGGACTCATCGCTTACTCCCAGAACCCCATAACGTGTTCCCAAGAGACTCTGGTGTATCCCAGGAACCATCACCTCTCTCAAGAAACGGTTTAAGATCCCCTAAGAACTGATCTGTTTGATCCTAGGAGACATTCTGACTTCTAGGAACACACTATATTCTCCTATGAACCGCCACCATAGCCGAGAAAACATCTATGTAAGGGACTAGGAGCCCTAAAGCAGGGTCAATAGAGGCTATGATTGCTGACCTACACCAGAAATGGCCATGTTGTTGCCTTTGGACTCGGGTTACAGTAATTTAAATGGTGTAAATACCGTCTCCTTAAACAACCTAGAACCAAAAAATCTGTGGGGTAAGAACCGAACGGTTGCATAGATATGAGTAACAGATAGGTAGGGTTGAGAAGCATCCAGAATTGCAGGAACCGCCAACAGAGCAGTATCAATAGGGTGTTTAACAACTAACAAAAATAGTGGCAACGGCCGATCGACATTGTCATTGTCGCAATTTACTGAGATGCGTTACAGTACCAAATTCCAAATCCATGTTCTGCTTCAACAGCTGTGTTTTGCGGCGTGAAAACGCTCCTCTACACTGGATATTGTTGGTGAATGGACGGAAAATCCATCCTGGACTCCAATAAGCCAGCATGACTGCTGGACATTGGTCGAACCGTCATGTCTCCTTGAAGTCTCTTGAATATTCACCAAAAAATGCGAAGCGTAAGAAAGCCACGAAATCCCTCCACTGTCACGCTTTTGTTTAACGTCTTCCATCTCTCTCTTTCGCCTCCTCTCTTCGTCGCTGATCTGGTCTCTCATTTTTTATTTTTTATTTTTTTATTTATGTTTTTACGACCACGTCACATTCCTTCTGGCCTTCCCCGCCTCTTGCATCGAGGGATCCTCGTGAGATGCACACTCCAGACCGGGCCCTCAGCTCCTTCCCGGTTTACAGCTCATCTGAGAATGCGGCGGGATACGCCCGTGTGGAACTCATGCTCCATCATCTCTTCCGCTCAATCGACGTGTTTGTAAACTTGATGGATTCCAGCACGATTCCTTTCCCAAAGCATTAGATCACTGTCGCCACTGCAAGTGCACAACCTCGGCGCATCTGGTGACTAGATCGATGAATTACCGGGATATCACTTCGAGGTCGATCTTGACGAAGGAGACGACATCTCGGCGCCCTAGGAAGCCCGACTCCTCATTTCGACGGTACTACCATCATGGAGGATCCTGACATCCTTGGTGAGCGCGGTACGGATCAAAAGATACAATTGGCCGCGACATATCTGGCGGCATGAGATTTATCCAGACCTCTGGAAGCATCAAAAGTTCTCTAGCCTGCTGAACTCACGAGGCGTTCTGCTGCCTTTTCAGAAGATCTCATCACAAGCAGAGGCAGTTCTTTGCCCTACTGATTGGCCATTATGATCCAACGATTCATTCAACCGAGAGCGTGTCAATCTGTCATCGGCATACCTCCTCGACTGGCTGAAGACTTTCAGCCACCGCTCACCGCCACCTGTCCAACCTGATATATCATAGTCTATCCAAGACTCTCGTTCCCGACCGCCGGCACAGTTGCCTGACCCTAGATAGAAGAACCGGAACCGGCAAATTTCATGTCACCATGATTGCGTCTACGACCCGGAGGTACCGTAGCGCTTTATTATACTTTCGTAGACATACTTGCGGACCTTAGTAGAGAACGTGATTTGAACTGGGAAAGCCAGCACTTGATCTCTACAAAGGAGCCGATCGGGATCTCTCTATTCAATGCTTGTCCAAAGCTCCCAATGACTTACTCATTAGGTAGAACAAAGGCGAGCTTTTGACCCAGTAACTTATTTTTGGGGATGCATTCATTTCACGATGCGTTCAATCCGGCTGAGTAACTCCCCTTGGGCGATGACCTTGGTTATGCATGGAGTGAACTATTTCCCTCCCTCCCGAGATTTCTTGTAGCCAATGATTTATATGTTGGAGAGCAACGTCTCCCTCACATTCTCCTACACCTGCCAGGTCTCTGGTCTTGACCATGTATTGCCCGAGAATCATTGAACCAATCTGAGGGAAGTTTCATCGGTGTTGAATTCAACTGTTTTTGTCAGGGAGGCTGTTTGCCAACGCATCAAAACATTATGTTCAGAGTATTACAGTGTCCGTAACTAAGTAGAAATTAATGTATGTTGATACACTGCATGATATGATTGAAATGGCTGAAGAGAAAACCGCTCTACAAGGGGCGTTGGCAGTTCAGCCTCACCGCCTCGCCACTCACCACAGTTCCTTGTCAACGCTCACCAACCACGCTCACCACATCAACGCTTCAACGCAACCACGCTCACCACATCAACGCTCACCACATCAACGCTCACCACATCAACGCTCACCACATCAACGCTCACCACATCAACGCTCACCACATCAACGCTCACCACATCCACTCATATCAACCACTCTCACCACATCGACACTCACCACATCCACTTTTACAACGCTCCATCTATCTCTTTGTATGCATCAATCCACACTAATTTGCAGCCAAAGACGGAATTATCTCTCCAACCCACGTCGAGATCACGAATTAAATATGGAATCCCTATTGGAGTGCAGAATACACATGCAGATGACCAGAGAAGTTCCTACGGAATTTACAAGAATTCGATTGTGAAAGTATAGTCTCGATAAGCTCTGTCTAGTGTTCTTCTATCGCTCCGACAATGATGACTTGGAATACAAGAATCAGGAGAATGTGTTGTGCAGGTCTTGGCTTCTTCGAATACCATCTTGCAGTACTCGAATACTGGTCTCTAGCACCACGGAGAGGTGCCCGCACGTCGCTAGAGGGTCGAGATGGTACGCGGGAGCACGAATTTCCAGTCTGACCGAGCACAATTGATAACGCAGAGCTCATCCTGCGGAGCACATTTTTACACTCACGGGGCTCATTGGCGGTGAGGGAGCACATTTGATAACGCAGAGCTCGTCCTGCGAAGCGCATTTTTACACTCACGGGGCTTATTGGCGGCGAGGGAGCACATTTTTACACTCACGGGGCTCATTGGCGGTGAGGGAGCACATTTGATAACGCAGAGCTCGTCCTGCGAAGCGCATTTTTACACTCACGGGGCTTATTGGCGGCGAGGGAGCACATTTGATAACGCAGAGCTCGTCCTGCGAAGCACATTTTTACACTCACGGGGCTCATTGGCGGTGAGGGAGCGCAAGTCTTACATCGCTGGGCTCAAAGCAGCGACAGCCATGGCCACGGAAACTCTCAAGCCTACAGACAAGAGAGGAACACTATAATGCATCAGAGTGTGAGGACCGAAGTCCTGATTTTTTTTTGGCTGGAAAAATGGGGCCTTATATGTCTATTCGGATACGTCTCTTCACATAAACCAGTTGCGCACATCCTAGCGATAGTCACCGGCTCGTTGATGAGAGTTGAAATAGCTCAACTGACGTTGATATGTGGTTTCTGTTTTTTAGCGTTTGGGGCCGGCAGAACCACTCACCCATTGTACCCGTGGTTGGCCTGGATTGCCAAGAGGTACAGTACCACTCGTTTGGATCATGTAAATTTTTCGCCTTGAAGAAATGCGTTGATTGTGATGAAATAACTTCAAATTAGTAGCACCCGCCCAAAAAGATCTCAACGCTGAAGCGTTTTTTCTTTGGGTTCTCTAATTTGTACTTGGACTGTCTTCTAGACTGTATCCTACAATTCAACGGCTGGGTCTGCTGGGCCTCCAAAACAAGCCAATGTTAAGCCGCCCTTGATGTTTGCGACTCAGAACACTTAACACAGCTCGTATCGTTTCATCGACGATGATTGAAAAGATTCCTGTATTCATGATTTTCTCACAGCATCATCCGTAGACTTTCGCTCCCTCTCTACAACGCTTTGCAATGGACAACCAACCAAGTAGAGAATTGAACCCAGAACGAGGAGCTTTACTGCCCGATTGTCAGAAGTGCTGGAAGAATAGTCCCCGGTAACTTGGGCTCTGACTATTCTGGCCACCCCGAGAACGACGAAACTCAATATGAAGCATATGGTCCCGTCAGGAAGAGACATGCTGTGTGCGATTCTCCGTGCCAGAAAGGCCTTTGGCCTTAGGTATAACGCAGGTAACGTGACTTGTACTATTCTATACGATTTTCACCCTTTAGGCTCCCCGATTGAAAAACCCGATGAAATTTGAGTTCGACAAGCGGCATTTCTCGCTCCTTTGTTCAGCAGTAAATCCCAAAGATTCAAATCAAAGTACGTATTGGGCTTTGTTAGAGCAGGATTGATATCTAAAATACAAGTCTGATGGATCAATGACAATCTCGCCCATGGTACAACGATCCAATGTGCTTAAAACTCACCGGGCTTCTACATCTGACCATCAAAAGCCTTGGCCTTCTGATAAGGCCAAGAACGTGAGCTTCGGTTCTAGGACAACTATGTGAGGCATTTTTTGCCGCCAAGGCTCATTGTATGGGGTCTTTATTGATCGTCACTCCACCTCATGAGATTGCAACACTACTAATAAACTCTGATGGCACCCTGGAATACAAGAAGCACCAGTAGCTGCCAATCAAATACTACACTTGAATGATAATACGGTTCTGCGATGAAAAACTCGGAGATGATCCACGGGACAGTAGATGAAGGAGCTTCTATTTGTGGCCCGGAGAAGAAATTGCAAGGCTGTGCAACGGTCCAGACACAATTCACAAGCTCAGACCTGTTGGGCCGTCCGGAGTGCGGATGGAACAGATATTTGTCACTTGGGCCTGCAGAAAGGGCCGCTATCACGGGTACGGTTGGCGCAGTTGAATAATTTGGAATATCACGCAAATCCGGCGAAAAAGAGATACGCCAAAAACCGATCCATGATCGTGTTCTCCTAGCTGCTCTCACAAGATAGTACCTTGTCTCCTCTGTCGAGTGGCGAGCGGCTGCGTCTTTGTTTATCTGGACTATAGAACGTTCTAGAAGCTATCTTCCCCTGCATCAACCTTCCCCCAATGACTAGACTCTCTCTTCGAATCCGACACTTCCTCCTTTCACCCCCGCTCCATTTCGACCACCAGTCTGATAGCCCTAGCAGACAGCTTGTAAAAATGTATGGCAATTCTGGACAGACCAGATGGGTTGGCGTAAACACATTTTCTGGTTTCCAATAAAAGCTGAGAGACCCATTGGCTTCCGGAAATGGCACTTGTCGGCGTTGTGGGCCCGAGGATCTACGGGCCCGAAAGTCTATTTTCAAGCACGGGCTCGTCGCTACCGGTACTCACCGATTCTGGAGCCGAGAATATTTCTGGATATACCAATACAACATTATAAATCTCATATTCTGACAGAATGGCGATATTGTGGCAAGTATGCCTCAATTCTTCTGAGTTTTTTTAGAACTGTAGAGACCGAGCTGGAGCAGAAGTCTGTAGATAAGCTTTCTGACAAAGTTGGGAGCTTAAATCCCATCATTCATGAACAATCGTGTTTCCACCTCGACCGAGCGTTCCATGGATCATCGCAAACAATTTTTCAAGATGACTTTGGCGTTCAGCCAGTGCTCGACGGTGCCGCTCTTGATTCCACGGTCATTGTGAAACTGCCTTTCTCCTCTGGAGTCTAAGGACTCTTGCTTTCAGGTGCACGAGAACATGCCATTGTTAAGTTGACAAAAAAAAACTTCGCTTCACGTCAAAAATGACTAGCGCGTAGATCGAAAATCAATGCTATGCCTCACCCTCTACACTATAGATCACTCTGCTTTCGACCCATCCATCCAATTGAGCCCGTTCAGAGATCTGGAAACGCAACCAAGTATATTCTCTCGAGACCAATAAGAGTCCCGACAGTCTCAGACCTTCTCAGGAAGTCGCTCAGCTAATATGTCATAACCTCATTACGAGGACACTCACATCTCGGCTTCGTGAGAGATTATATACACAGCCCTTAGTATTTTGCAGGCCGCATGAGAAAATATTGACATGCTCCTGGATCAAAGAGACAATAACGAAGAATGTGTAGGCGGGCAGTTTGTGAGAGCGTCTACAACAGTATTCCAATGCTCAACCTTTGATTTTGGGGCACCCTAGGTACTGTTGTAATTCCAAGGAAGGGTGAATGTTCGTATTTCCGGAAAATACAAGAAGGTATGCATGCAACAGGGCCGATATTCCTCATCCTGCAGCTCCATTGCTGACCTGTACCAGCCTTCCATCATAGCAATATGCACCGGGAATCTTTTATTGAAAAGGTTATCCCGGTTGCTTCGACACCACCACGTAAACCCGCGCGGCTCCAATGCCAATAGACTGCTGCCGAATGGACGTTCTGTTCACTGGTATCTCAGCTTCCTGGCTGCACAGACACGATGTACATAGTCCCAAATCCAAGATGACGATCGTGTTCTTCCCGCCCGGTAATGGATGGGTACTGGCGTCGCGTGGCCTGTGACGAAGGATCAGCTTGTAATGAGCGAAGGATAGAAGGTATTTCGTACCTGGTCTCGAGCTTTTGGTCTCAGTTGATTCATTGCTGTCATCGGTATGGCTAGGCTCGGCTGAAAGTATTGTTTGAAACCAATTGTCGATGTTCCTTTGGGCAGAAGTTTTGTTTGGAAGAGTCGCTGGTGAACCCCTACCACCCACCGAGCGGCGAACGGTTCCTGATCGTTTTTGATCGCCTGGATGTTCAGGAGATCTGGCGCCAGTGCGATGGCGCTTCCGCAAAATATGGTACTTTTTCCCTCGTAGAGATTCAACGCCTCGTTTCACCCGATATTGTTGATAATACGCATCGGAGCGAGCTTTCCACGACAGCGCCTGATTGGCATCCAGCCAAGGGAGAAGATTTTTCTCCTCCCACTCTGGCCAGCCTATTGCGCTACGTGGGGACATGGTGATACTCGGGCAAGTGGCCGCAGTGGTAAGGAACGGGTGAAAAGAACATCAGAAGGTGAACCCGCTGATGTAGGTTTGTTGAGTTTAAAAGATACTTTCAGTGCTCAGTCAACTAAGGAAGATATTACCGTTGCATCGAAAAATGGCCATTGTGTGGTTATGAGCCATGGCTCAGTCCGGTGAACTGGTCTCAGACTCTCACGATTCGCACTGATCCATGGTTTGAAGATCAACAAGCCCTCGATTTGTTGATGTACGTTTGGAAAAGTTCTGTTGAGAATCCACCCCACGTTGAAATGAACACAGCGATGGGAGCCTCTCTTTGGTGATCACCCATGATTCCACCGCTGCGTTGAGAAACATATTCTTCTTGTTTTTCTGTTTATCTTGTTTAAAATTTGTTCCCCTTCCTGTTCATCGTTTTCAAGATTCATCTAGGCCCGCTAATGCTCTTGCGATATAAACAGATGTGCCGACTATCAACGTTATTTCGACAGACAATGTGAAGTTCATGGGCGAACTGCAATAGACCTAACCGTGGAAATATTTTTAACTTTTCTTGACTGGATTGGCTGAAATGCATTCCAAATAGAGCCCCAAATGCGGAAAGTATGGACGGAAGATAGTGGGCCTTCCAACCATCGAATGCAAGCAAGCGAATCGCCCCGTTCCCGGTTCTGCGGTCCAGCTTTCTATAAAAGGCTACCAATTTTCTTCTTTCACATTGGACGAACACTGCGCGAAAAATTCGTGGTCTTATCGCAACTCAGACGCAAGGATGGTTGCCATTCGAAAAATGACTCTCGGTGATCGACGACAGAGCTTTCGGAGCCGATTGCAATGCGCGTTGTCCTTGACATCCTCTGAGTCTGAGGATAACCGGAGTCTGTCCAGGTCTGCCGCAGGTGACGCCACAGAGAATGAGTTTTCTATTCAGGAAGAGGATGACTGCTCTGGCAACCAGCAAAGGAACAGCCTAGCGGATGGTAGCGAGGAAGAAGTTCCGCCAGATTGGAGTGTGGAGTTTAGAAATGGAAATGAACGAGAAATACCGCCGCTACCTGATCTCTCTGGAGACTGCAATATGATCGCCTTCGAATGTGTCGCAGAGTGAGTGCCGACGTCTTCACTAAGATGTAATATTTGTAGTTTGCTGCTAACAACCTCAAGACTAGATGTCCGAATGAAGTCAGTCATGCGACCCCCCCCAGAGAAAGAATGAGCCGCTGATTCCTTTTCAGGTCTATGGAGAATTCACTGAATAGCCAGAGCAGCTGGAATGAAACTGTTCGCAACGATCTGGCGGGAATTCTGAATCGACTGGCGATCGTGGAGACAATGATAGAGAAGATAGCCAAACCGGCAGAACGTACTACTAAAGAGGCTACTCCAGAGGGCCACAGAGTCGGGCGGACGCTTCGTTCGCAGCAGTGATAAATGACAATCTCTGTACACCAGAGCAAGGTGTCGGCCCGTGTCCCCTTAAGTATCATCATGTTATTATTGTGCTTTGCGACCAATTGTTTCCCAATGTTTTTTTTTTCTCTTTTTTTTTTTAATCAAACGCAGACTCTCTCTTGAACAGGGCTTGGAATCCCGCATGTACTGAAGTGCGGTTTTTGACCAACCGGCTTACGCATTATATAAGCTTTTTTTGTAGTTCATGGTCTTCTTGTCGCTGCTCTAACTTGCTGCCCCTTCGAATTCGAATCATCGAATTCAGGGTTTGGGACAAAGAACGCCAGAGTGGTGTTTGAGAATTCTCACGCGATGAGGCCAGGAAAGTAAATCGAGCTAGCACTGGCGGGGACGGAGAATTGATTTGGAATGCATTCCTTGGCGTCCGATACTGATGACCTGCGGATAGCCCACTCAATTGACTTTCGTAAAATAAGGTTGGGCTGGACCAGAATATCATTCATGCCAAGCTCGTGATTCGTCTCGTAATTATTCTTATGGAACTGGTATTACTTGCCTAGTGGCGAGAAAATTTCATGGACGATAGAAGCACACGAGACAAGCGAATTGTTTCTTGTGAAACTCCCGGAGCCAAAGAGCTTTGCAGTGTCCAGGTCTGGTTCCGATCGACTCTGTTCCGCTAACGTGACAGATGGAGACCACAGACGTGAACAATCTGATTCAGTCTCTTCCCATGGATCAGCGTATTGTGTTTCAACCACCGAACAGTATCTACGCCATGCCATGCTCCATTGCCCTAATTCCGAATGAAACACGGGTGTCTGCACATGGACTGTGCCTTTCATCCGATCACAATTTCTCTTGTCGCAGGCAATGGAAAGCTGGCTGAGGAATTCTGGGACGGTGGGGACGATGAACGGAACGACGATCATGATCCACCAGGCGGTGGGCCTTGCCGCTAACCACGTTCAGTGGCCATGGGCCCACAACATACAATCTACGTTCCAGGCTGCAATTTCTGGAGGCAAAAATATCGTCAATGTCGTCAGCAGCCCTAAAATGTCTACGTACAATTTTTATTCTACCCCAGGGTACAGCCAACGATAAACCGGAGCATGGGTTTGTTTCTTACCCTTGTCATGGGACGGTGGGAGTTTGGCCAAGGATTCTGTCATGAGCTAGCTACTTGAGTGGTGGCTGTATGATAGCGACTATCCAGTATGATAGCAAACAACCGTCAAAAACTTCTCAAAAGCCCTGAATCCTTCGTTCTTCAGTTTAGACAAGCGATCCGTACTGATTCGTGGGAGCTGGTGCCTGCTGAGTAACGAGCGGCAGATTACTCGATGCGGAGAACCCACCAGGAAGGGTATTCTGGCTCAGACTCAGAGCCCCCGGCGGGCCGCTCTGGTCCGGCCAATTTCCGTGGATCACCCCAGAACCTGGCAAATAGGCTGCCAGTCTTCTGTTCTGGAGGGCGTCAATCGTGTTCCAGAATCGAGTGGTCGCCGATACCAGTTCGCCGTGCGTCTGATGCAAGAGTAACTGAATATCGTTCCAGGAGACCTGATCCTGCATGGTGGCGTTCGTGGACTCTACCTGCTGTTGCAATTGGCAGAGCTCCTTTTCAAGTCTCCGACTCTCGACCAAGGCTTTCTCTCTTCCCGCAATGACCTGCTGCAATTTCGAAATCTCCTGGGTCTTTTCGGTGCGAAGACGTTCCATCAACTGAGAATTGTTGGCTATCTCTTCATCTCTCTCCCCAAGGGCTTTTTGAAACTCTTGCTCAAGATTGTCCATCACTTTGAAACACCTTCGATGGGCCGATTCGTAGTCTTTCTTTCTGGACTCCTTCGTCACGGAGTGCGTCTTAACCCATTGTCAACATCCAGTACATTGTAATTCCAAGAGGACGACAAAGTGCAAAGTCTCTACAAGACACGAGCACAACAAAGAAATACAGGTTTAACATACCAAATCTTTGTGCAGCTTCAGCACCGGTTTGAGAGGGGCGCGGCCAGCATTGGGGCTGGAGGTTGTCGACTGAGCAGAATGACGTGAAGCAGCACCAGGTTCGTCAGCATGCGGCTTTTCCTTGCCAGAGTCGCGACGTGCCCGAATCCGAGCGGGCTTGGGATCCTTTGCCATGCTGGATCTTTCCGCTGAAGAGAGGATTGCTGGTTTTGAGAGACACATGTAAACGGGAGAAAGTGATCGATGCAGCTGCCTGCCAGCGAGTTCAGACTATAAGGGTTCAGGTGGAGACCGATGCAGAACATCTGAAACGAAGGGAAGGCATTGATTCACCCCTGCCAAGCAGCTGTGCCAGCATCAGGATCATGAGCCCCGAAAATCGAGCAATCATTTTCTACCAGACCCCATGGGGCGTTGGCGCGAAAGCACAAAAAAGTGGCCGTTCGATTCTTGAGTAAGTGATCGACCGGCCCCACCAAAATCTGTCTTGATGCATTCACTAGTGTCTCACCATCGGCCAAATTCAAAGACGGCGAGGTGCAAGAGCACATGGTAATTACAATTGATCTCACATATGGACAGTCTAGCCTCATATATGATGCAGGTAATTCAATTTTTGCACTATTTTTCTTCAATGAATTCAATCTTGATGTGTTCCGGTGACTTCCACCAGCAATAATTTCCCATCTGTAACGAGTTTTCGAATCCCGAGACATGAGCAGCGCCTGATTCGCTTGTTCTTTGGACAAAAAAGATCCAGAAAATCTGGATCGTGTACATATAGGGCATTGATCGACCAATCCTACTTTCGACCGTAGTAATGGCGCTATAATATCCTTTCTCAAAGTTTACTATGGCCCTACGATTGACCATGAATGGTCTAGATCTTGCGGGAATAGCCAAAGATGGTACCTGATCCTAGTTCCCAGGGCAACTATATGAGGCATTTCTTGTTGCCAAGTCTCAGTCCCCATAAGAGTACAACGACACAATCACACTCTGATGGTACCTGAGATACAGGAAGCACCAGCAGATACCAATCAACCACTTCGGATGATAGTGGTCCGACAATATCATGGTACTGCGAAGAGCCTTCAGCGATGAGCCACGGGACAGTATGATCAAGGGGCATCTATCCATGGCTTGGAGAATGATTTCGCAGGGACATGTAAGGGTCCAGACACGATCCACACGCCGAGGCTTAGTGGTTCGTCTGTCGTGCTGTTCAAATACGAGCCTCTGTTAGGTTACGCCTGCTGAATGGACCATGATCTCAGATACAGCTGCAGATGTTGGAATGTCGCAAGCTTTTGGCGAGAAGTATGCTGAGAGTAAATGCGCGGTCCTATCCTCCTAGACGCTCTTATATGAAAGTGCCTTATCACGCCTGCCAAGTGATAGACGCTACTTTGTCTCTTCAGTTCTCTGACAGTAACTTGAGTGAACCTCACTGGCGCTCCCATTCTAGAGATGATGGATCGGCTGTATTTGGTTCTCTGGACAGTGTAATCACGACTCACGCAAACCAGTCGATAGAGATTGATAGCAATCATCGGAAACTATATTGTGGCTCTCAACCGGAACTGTTGTGATGATAGTAGTGGGTGTGCTGCCCATATGTTCGATGGAAAGTTTTACCAGCTATCTCCTCCTGTATCGGCCTTTCTTTATCCTCTCTTCGAATCTGACGTGTCCCCCTTCTCCGTTCTCCAATTAGATTGCCAGTCTGCTAATACTGATAGACAACTTAGATAAGCTCTTGCCACTTTTTGGCGGGCTAGACGAGTAGCTCCCTCTGTCTTGCATGAGTTTACGCAGGCGATTTCGCTGGGACGCGATGACGTCTGGAGATCAACTGGCTTCCGGAAGTAGTAGGAGCCGTCGTTGTGGGCCCCAGCATCTACGGTTTCCGAAAGTTTATTTTTTCCCGCGCGCAGCTACCAATACTCAATGAATCTGGCAACCGAGAATATTTCTGAATATGCGAGTAGCCTTTTTCAATAGTCTATACTTCGAATAGCTGGCGAGATCACGGTGGGCGTGTCCCATTGCATCTGAATTCTCGTAGGACTGCTGGGACACCTTTGATCACAATCAATCTAGCCAGTAAGCTCGTCCGGAAGTCTGCAGCTAAAGGTTTCTGAATAGGTCGAAGCTTGAAGCCCATCTATTCATGAACAATCGCATTTTCTCACCGGCAGAACACTTCCCTGGTCCATCGACTATAATTTGTCGAGAAGATAGACCGGCCCGCTATTTGTTTCCACGGTTTTTATGAAACTATTTTTCTCCTATGACATGATTCTGAAGGGACCTTGCTTGCGCGAAAAAAGTGTCATCGCTGAGTTAATCGGGGTACACTTGGCTTGTTATCAAACATGGCTGGGCATGGATCGAAATCAACCATACGCGTCGCAGTTCTACAGTCTAGATCTCTCTGTGTCGATCCACAGCGTCCAATTGGATCAATACTAAGCTCTGTAAATTTACTCAAGCCTGAGTTCTAGAGCCCGACAAAAGTACAGGTATATTCAAAGCTCCTTAAGAGGGCTCCTAGCTTCTATGCCATAATCTCATTACTAGGACACTCACATCTCGCCTTCATGAGAGTCCCTTAAAAACCCAGGTGCCACGCCCATTCATCTCTTAAACCTCGAAGTAATCTTTATTTCTATCTCTAATTTTTTGTATACACTCCCCCCTGTGACCATGGATACAGTCATGACCAACCTACCCCCAAAAGTGGGAACCATCCTGATGGAAAACATCTCAATCATCGAGATTGTATCCATGTTTTCGATCGGCGCATACAATGCCCTAGAAACGGGGATCGTCACATTCGATGTCTTTAAGCACTACCGCGGCCTGTATTTCTGGAGCATGCAGGTCGCATCCTGGGGCATCCTAGTGCATGCCATCCCTGCCATGACCCGCTTCGTTTCTCAAGCACCCAATCTCCCGATGTCAATCCTCTTCATGATCGGATGGTACGCCATGGTCACCGGTCAAGCTGTCGTGCTCTACTCGCGCCTGCACCTCGTCGTATCCGACATGAGCAAGGTGCGGTGGGTGCTATGGATGATCATTACGAACTTTTTCATCCTCCACGTCCCAACGACCGTCCTATTCTTCGGCCTCAACTACGGCGGCGCACGCTTCGCTCGCCCGGCGGCGATATACGAGCGGATCCAAGTGACTGGCTTCTGCGTGCAGGATCTTGTCATCTGCGGTATCTACATTCATGAAGCGGGGCGCGCTCTCAAGCCTATCATCAAAGTGCGCGGTCGCGAAGGCCGCAAAGTCATCATCCACCTACTCTGGGTCAACATTCTCGTCGTATTCCTGAACATCCTACTCCTTCTCACGGAGTACAAGCTACACTACATCCAAGTCAGTTTCAAGACGGTGGTCTATAGCATTAAGCTGAAGCTGGAGTTCGCCGTGCTCAACCGTCTTCGCTCGCTCACGCGGACCAACCCCTGTGTCTGCCAGCAGGAACCCACGCAGCGGCGCCGATCAAGCGATATGAATCTCTTTGACATTATTTCTACGCCTTCACGGGTCGCGTCAGATGTTGGAACACCGGAATTTGCTCCAGGGGGAATGCCATATCTTCCTTCGCGGCCTAGCAGCATCCATGGATATCACCAGACACTACGCGAGACAGCCAACGATAGCAGCATCCCCTCAGGGGACATTTCTTCCTCACCAACCGTCTCAGGATACCATCTAAACCGCACCCCAGGCAGCTCGTCGGAAACCCTGTCCACACTAGAATTGAATTTGCCGAAGTTCTCACCATCCTTTGATGATTGAACTCCTCGCTGAGGAGGCGCGGCTCGCCTTTTCTGAGTCCACTAAAGGCGGAGCAGCGTACTTGTGGCTCCATTCGCAAAGCTGTAGCGAGCTTTCGCTGGCTCAGCTAGTGATAGACTTGGCTACAGACACACGTTTAGCTTGTGAAGTGGTCAGGGTGGCTGGGGTACAGTATCGTATTTGAGTTAATGGGGTTCCGCTCTCTGAGTATGGGTATCATGCGATAGACCACTCAGAGACTTCTGTAAAAGAATCAAAATACATTTTTAGAATAATTAGAAGAATATACAAGGAGCCTATGGTCAAGAAATCACGTAGACTTGTATTAAAACATTTTGGTTGAATGACGCTTTTCTCAGAAGGGACCCTTGTACAAACCCACACGATCAAGATCACAGAGTATGATCTTGAAACTCTGGCCAATTGAAACAATCAAGGAAGCTGAGAAAGACCTACCTAACAGAGATGATAAAAGTGAGAAACAGGAACCATTTTTTGTCTCGATCTGTTCAGTGCGCGTAGCAGAGTCTGACGAAGCCTTGAAATTTCAACTGATATAACCTTTTGCCTTTCAGTCAGTGAATGCAGCGTATGTCCCTTGAGCTAAATGTTGAGGACTAAATCTGACTGGCTTCTCTGCATGTTTTAAGTACAAGGTCCCGTTCAACTCGCCCCTTTTCTCTTTGCCACTAGATAAGAGTGTTAGACCGAGACAAAGGCGTATTGGCTAGTAGGAGATGCACCCATTGAGAAGAGTTGAATTACTTGATTCCAGGTCTCAGAGAATTGTTGTGCGGGTCATATGCACTCTACCAAGTTTCGCTTACTGTATACATGAAGTCCACGTAAACCAGGCATGAAAAGGAGTATCGCTGCACCAAAGGTATTGTAGCCAATTCCCCGCTTCAGAAAAGCACATTGAAGACGAGTCTTCATTATAATTGCGGGGAAGAACAGTCTGCCGAAGACGAAAGTATCTGACATTCGTCAAAATGCTGCAATCTTTTCCTCACCAGTCATTGTTCTTACATCTTCCCCCCGTTTTATCCAGTGAGCAAATCGGATCCCAATGTGTCCAATTCTTTACAAACGAAAGGAGTAAGTGTCGACTCGATGGTAGGCGGTTTTATTGGTTAAATTGACAAGCAATTTCAATTCTCCTGGACACGGCGCCTGGTTCAAGGTTTTATGCTGTTTCATTAGTTTGGAATATGATGCTACAGAGAGCGGAAATACCTGTAAGAGCTCCCCCAAAGACAGGCTTTCCAGTTGACGAGGTAATTCCAGGATTTCATCGTCCCATTCATAAACCGATCTATTCTTACCCATCAGTTTGACGACGATATCTGCTAAAGCATATAGTTTCATAGTTGCAGGATTCATTTCCGAAGCTTTGATTTCGCAGCTATTCTCAACGCCCACTGCCGAAGGCATTGATTAGTCTCTTCCTTGCGAAAGCCGCCGAATCTTACTATGTTTCGTACCGATCTTGACATTGCCAGAATATGTGAGAAAGACGTTGTCCACACTCAGGGTGGCGAGGACTCTCCCACGATCAGATAAATACTGAATTCCTTCCAGCACCTGCCATTAATTAGCATCGGATTGAAATATATTATAGAACCGCACGTACCGACCGGACGATTTCAATAATTTCACTCCCGGTGATCATACATCTTGATGCCAATATCTGACCGACTGAGACTTCTACTGGTTCCCAGATTAAGAAGGTCGTCCCCGCGTGAAGGTAACATCCTTGTAGGGCCAGAAAGCTGGAGTGCGAGATCTGGTTCATAAGATCTAGCTGAGTTGGGGCTGAGCACGACCCGTGCTCAAGCTTTTGAATATGCACTAGGCGTTCTCTTTCACATTTGTGTCGGGCAAGCAGGAGTGACCGATCTTGAAAAATTTCGCCAATCGCCTCAAAGGTATTCCAGGGATCCTTAGATAGTTGTCGAATTGGGGAATCTGGTCGCTTGTGCTGAAGGTTCACCACATTCGAGGTGGGAAACAAAGTGGAGATAAATGAGTTCCGCTGGGAGTCAGAGAAAGAATTCCATATGTACTCCGGTGGGTAAGTTGAGGAGCCTAGGACAGTCTGTTCCCCAGGGGTAGGACTGGAGATCTCAAAACTAGGACGCACCATTGCAAAAGTAACTCTTGGAGGCAGAGAATGGTCTCGGGTAAGAGAAATAAACCGTTGCAGAGGGATCCCAGGTCTTCCTCGAAACGACCTTGATGTTCTTTTCGAAGGAGGGGATGTCAACTGGCCGAGCGATACGTGTGCGATGTCCAGCACGGGATATCGTGGGCCCGATGCAAGGGGCTTCCGCGTGAAGGTCCCAGATTGAACCAATCATATTAGAAAAGTCACCGAATGTACCCCCGATTGAGCAGTCCGACAATGATCTTGCAGTTTCGGCCAGCTGAAATAACCAGGGAAGCGGAGAAAAACCAACAGAGATGATGAAAGTGGAAAAATAAAGCCTTCTTTGTTTTAGTCAGGTGAGCGCGTGTACTAGAATCTGACGGAGCCTTGAATTTTAACTCATATAACTTTTTGGCTTTCAGGCAGTGAATCCAGCGTGCTGTATGTCCCTTGAGCTACCGTGAATACTCATATCAGCCTTGCAATGTGGTGGACCACATTAATCAGATCTCTGCACGATTTAAGCGCAAGGGCTCGTTCGACTTGCCCCTCCTATCGTGGCATCCCTCGACTTAGCGACCCATGTGGCCTGCAACGCATGATAACGACAATATTAGCAATCCCGATCGCACTATAGTAAGTCAAGCTCCAACCCCGTTCATCACCATTGGGCTATCAATGGGTGTTGATTGACAGTCGCGGATGTCGTCGAATGCAATTTCATCTCCTTGCGTTTGCAACGTACTCAATGTCTGTATTGCTCCGGCAATGCCTGTTCTAGTTTGTGCCAGCTCGTCTCGCATAAAGTCGTTTTGCGACGCAATAGTTTGCATTTCGTGGCGGAGTTGGCTGACCTCAGCCTGAAGCCTGTGAACGTCGCAAAGGGACTCGTTTAGGCGGGTGCGAGATCGATCCAATTCCACTCCTTGTTGGAGATTGGAAGCTTCAAGTTCGCAAATCTTTTCCGTAAAGGAGCCGTTTGCGTTCCGCTGCCTGTTCACTCGCCCCTTTTCGCCTGATCAGCATAGGATACATCTGTGAGGAATTTGGCATCCTATTCACCTCCTCTGAAAGGTCACTAGCGTTTGGCTGGGAATCTTGTAGCATCTGTGGTGGAACAGCCTCGAGTGAACGACCAAGCTCATTACAAATTGACTGATAAAGGCTTATCGTGCCGGTGCTCAGGCTTGATTTGAGCAATGTAGCATTTGATTTCGTGACGGACCAGGAATATCCGTCTTCGGGCTGCGGCTGGAGACGAACCATTCCGGGAGCGACGGCGAGGCCAAGTCGGTCATCTATGAGTATTAGCTGCGTCAAGTAGATGGGGAGGGAGCTTCGCATACATATGTGGGCTGCTAGGGCTTCCCGACATTGTTTCCTCAGTCGCATGCGCTTCTCATTACTGGGTTTGGTCATTGTGCTTAAGCTTTTGCGAATTTTCTCCTCAAGGGATGTACAGGTATTTATATAATTTGGATCAAATATTTGCCATTCGTACCGGAGAGCCCCTCGGTGTATGATTGGCGCTCCGTTCACCATGTTAGAAGTCGTGCCCATGGGCAAGGACGCCCCCACATACATGGTGGCGAATGTATTTGGTTGAATGGGGCTCATAATCAAATTCATGTCCGGTTGAGAACTTGTTGAAGCTCCAGTGAATTGTTCACCGTTGGACAATCCTCATCAACTATAGTGGGGTCAACGCGATCAGCAAACGAATTTGCTTCTAACATGAGCACCACTCCAAACCATAGCTGTAAGAAATCTCATGCCATTATATTTGGAGGAAGGAGGCCGGTATTATTTCGACCAATGCCGATGTCATCATGCCTTTGAATATTTCTAAAATGCACATCAGAAATGAAGGCACTTGGCTTAGAGTTGAAATTTGATGTCCTTGAGCGTAGTCTGGCTGGGGTCGCTGAAATTTGTCTTAACACATCCCTGTACCCAGAATATAAATAATATGAACATCTCACGACCACCATCTCTTCTCACTGCCATTGTTCACGTTGAAATGGCTCCAAGCGCTCGCCGGTCCCGCCGCCAAAGTGTGAGAAACGAGTCTGAGCAGACATCGCTACTGAGTGATACTTTCGAATCCGCGCAAAGAAAGATGATCACTCGCTACAACGCGCATGATTGGCGCAATGCATACGAAAATACCCTGACTCCACTTTCTTCGGGACGAGCTAGGACGATCCTTCGACTGCGATTTCGAAATGGTTCTCATGGCTCACGTGTGTCGTTGCTAGCAGAGCCATCTGATCACCACGATGCAAAGAATCCCGACAAAAGGACGCGACAGAAGAGAAAGGTTCTCGATCAAGAGGCAGTGCGACTGAACTGGATGCGACGACTCCGTCCAAAGCCCCATCGGCGTGTTTAGCTAGCGCCACCCCGAGAAGAAGGCAATGGTCGAGACGCAAGTACCTACCCTGAGAACATTTTGATATCGTGGCTTTAGAGTAGTATTGAATTGATAGAAATCTCCAAAACCAAAAAGAAAGGAATAAGCGAGTCCTATAGTCTCAAACTTACGGCAAGAATAACATATTTGATAGCCGTGTACAGTGCAGTACATGAAAACATACTCTGTGAAAATAAGCGTCTAGAAAACTAGTATCGGTCCAGTAAATCCGGTTTGGTCTTTCTATCCGTGATTATGACGCATTGTGTATTTAATTGCAGACTTGTCTGATCCATGACTCATATGTCAAAGGCTCATAGATTGGACACACTATAATGTAGGGCCGTTCAGTAGACAAATTACGGATTACATGAATCTGGTCAATTGAGATATGGCATTGCGACACGATGCAGTCAGCGGTTACTCAACTTTCTTTTTTTCCCCCGAAATCTGGAGTAGACACAAAAGACTAACACAGGTATGTTGGAATATGAATGCATCTTGTTCAAAGGCGTAATGTTCACAGGCGTACGGCTGTCTTTGTTCATTGTAACATGGGATTATGAGTTGGAGATACGTGTCAACCGAGAAGCTCTACGAGGACCTCGTTTCTCAAGCGCGTATCGCGCTTGTCAAGAAGATCTCATGCTAGTCGAAAGATATCACTCTATAAAGATTATATAGTATGGAACAAAGACTTGTATTTGGAAGTACAGTGCAAGTGTCACGGTTGTGAATTGAAGGATTTTGCCTGAATCTCCCGCCTCGATGACCTTGGCCGAATTCATATCATATGGAGTATGGAGGTACCTAATGTTGCCGCACGATGGCTCACGCGAGGGACTGTAAGAATGATGCCCAGATGACGATAATGATTAGCTGAATCTAGTTGGTGTCAGCGTTGTTGGTAGGATACCTAGAGTATAAATGAAAATACCTCAAGTGCAATGATCCATGATTTCCAAAGAGTGCCGAAGATCGCAATGACCAGCAATAAAACTGCCATGACGGAAACATAGCATGAGATATACCGCAGTTTTGCTCGGCCTACGGTTGTTTGTCCAAACAACCACCAATACCACATCGCCACCCCGAGATAATCCACGAAGAGAACGAAGAGCCCGCCTAGATGAACGGAGCTTAGGAGAAAAGCCCCAACGAACGCGATTGCTATCTTAGACAGACTGGAAAGCACGGCAAAAGAGGGGCACAAGATTCGTAATATTCGCGGCGTGGTTGGATTTTCGCGTTGTTGATAATTTATCCGGAGGAACTGTGGCATGGTAAGTTCAAAGTGGAGGCCCAGCGTACCGTAGTTTGACCTACTACTTGTAGCGATGCGAATATTGGAGTAATCCACATGAGGACCTGACTCCACGCTGGAAACTTCTTGCTCCACAGCAAGCCTGAAAGTGTAGCAAATGAAATGCAGGAAGAGGCGCACAAAGCTAAGTCGATCTTGTATGCCGTCCAATAAGATTGAAAGCGACACAAGAGGAATAGCCTGACAAGGTTCATAAGCAGAAGCAAAGTCATTAAGAATGACTGCACCACATGTTCGGATATCATGGCCATAGTCGATCGGAACCGATGCGTGCTCTCTCTATAGAAGGGACTGGAGAGGTTTATGTACGTGAACAAGATGCTGATAGGCTATACATTCTTGATGGACTCAGAATAGTTCCAAACTGATTCCAGGAGCTTTTCATCCGTCCAGGATCATGCAGAAGAGTGAGGGACCCGAATATACTCAAATTTCTATCAACCCCAAAAACGCTGCCCTCAATTGTATGTATGACAGGGCACTTGAGGGCCATCAATTTCGGGCTCGAGGCAACACTTCACACTATTGAGTTCCCCGTCATGAGGACTCGAAAATTGGAAAGATTAAGAGGGTATCTTAATGCATGAGGGATTTGATGGAGCAGAGTCTCATATTCTAGATGGGATTGCCAAATTCCCAAACCGGAATGAATACAGCGCAGAGAGGAGGCCTTCTATATAAATACAGCTGAGCTCTTCATGTCTGTGCGAGCAATCCATAGATATGCTTGATATTCTGCCAAAACTGTCATCACTTTCCATTCCCACACTATATGGACTCATAAATACTCTTATTATTCTGTGTTGGTTGCTTTACATCTCAGGAAGACATGTCTTGTTTTGCGCCTGGGATAGACGACATGTCGTCTCCTGGCATTCACTTGGTTCTCGATTATCTCATCCCTGGCGGCACTGGGTGTGCGTCTCCCTGCCTAAAGGGCTTCAGTGGATTGATATATCCACATACCGCCAAGCCCTGACCGTGGGGATGCTATTTGCGGCCAACATTGTCGCTTTGAGACTTGGTACAAACTCTTGGCACACGGCAAGGATCAGAGCTGGGTCGCTAGCGATTATTCACATGACTCCACTGTGCCTCGGAATCAACTTCGGCTTCCCGGCCGACGTTCTGCATATTGATCGCCAGACGCTGGCTTGGTTTCACCGATGGACCGGACACATTTGTGTGTTACATTCTCTTCTCCACGGATCGTTTGTGGTATCGAACGTGAGGAAATCAATGCCCCCAAACCCAAATTATATCATTACAATCCTAGTACGTCGATACTCTGGCAGCAAATGCTCTTCAACGGACCACGGGTTGCCACTAACTCCCAATAGGCCGGATGTGCACTGATTCTCGTTGGGCCAGTGACCTGTGTGGCGATTCGACAACGTCACAGGCAGCTTGCGCTCAAGTGTCATTATGTCTTGGCGGCTGTCGCTATCGCCGCCATTGAATACCATCTCTTTCAACAAGAATCACCTTATTGTTGGGTTTTGCTGGGAGCTGTCTGCTTATGGTTTCTATGCAGTTCGGTAGTCTGTATGAGGACCATACTGACCCATAAGCCATGGCAAGGCTCACACTGCAAGGCGGACATCTGGGTTTCTCAGGGAGTCCTCTGGATTGAGATCAACTTGCCTATCGGTCGAGCTATCCGGCCGGGCGAGTATATACACATGTGGGCGCCATGTGCCGGCTATCGAGCCTTCACACAACTTGTGCTACTCTACGTGGTAGTCGCGGAGTTGGAAAATGTAGACAGTGGATGCACCATCCGTATGGTTGCGCGGCCTCAACGTGGGGTCCTCTATCACTCTTCTTTTGCGCGACGTCAGCCAGTCGCCATTCTGGGGCCGTACGGGCGACCGTACGATTTTTCTCGATACGGTACGATTGTATTCGCTCTAGAGGATATTGGGCTTTTCCGTGCGCTATCATATATTGAAATGCTGGTGGAAGCTAGTCACAAGCGAGAAGCAATGGTGCGGAAAGTCGAAGTCCTGTGGCAGCGCGAGAAGGCATTTGGTAGGTCTGGGTGGTTCAATTCATCCTTTCCAACATATATATATGGCTGACTATTCTTCCAGAGAATCCAGAGTGGTTCAAATTATGGAGACAGAAAATTCTCAATTTTGACCGGGAAAATTTTGATGTGAGTAAGCCGACGCAAACACACAGTGCTCCATCAGTGATTTACCTCGTCCTAGATTCTTCACTTCCGAATTTTCTGTCATGAGCCGACGGAGCCAGCGAAGGGACCAAGATCCTCTCGAAGATTAGGCGAGCGGCTCTGGCTCTACAATGGACCGATTGACTTTGAAGAGGAGATCTCGCGATATCTCGACGAGCAGTGTGGTAACATGGCCTTGGCAGGTGTGTTCTATCTTCATTTTTTCCACGCACGGAGGAAACTCGGTCCATTGCCCTGACACTAATTTGGACAGTATGTGCGGGTCCGCGGACTCGCGAAGCTGTGAGGAAATCAGTTCAACTCCATCTCCACAAAAGCCCCCAAATCGTCGAGCTCGATCTGGGACCATACCATACCTGGCCGGATGATCAGATTTCGTCCGAAAACCGGTATCAAGGCCAAAATTCCCAAAAAGCTGGGAGTGCATGATTTTGCAAGTTTGGAGATTAATGCAAGCAGCTTTGACTGCGTATCGGTGGCCATGTACAGCCTTGCGGTAGTCCAGCTGCAGGAGATTTTGGCAAGAGTAGCTGACCACAATATGCGGTCTTGCCGTGAGCGGTGAGGTGGTGGTACACTGGAACAGTCATTCCATCGTACTCGGAAATTGTTTACCATGATTTAGTGTAGCAGATCGAGAATATCGTTGAAACGCAAGTAAGCCGCCAGCGCCAGAGTTCCGAGACCCAATTTCTTAGCCCTGTAGTCCTTCAACATAGATTCCAAGTAGGCAGTGGAGAATGCTAGGCAAGCGAGAAAATAAGTACCAGAAGAGGAGATCGTAAAGAAACGAGGTGAACAGTACACCCGGTAGGTCGAAGCCAAACGAGAATTTCACAAAAAGAAATTCAAATAAAGGCTCCATAGTTGACACAGTCGAACCCATCCTGATCAAAAAGAGTTAGGATAATCTAGCTTTTGTCGGATATTCCCTCCCTTAGCAGGGAGCTTGCGGCTGGGACTGCCGCTTGGCCCTCTTCCAGATCGAACAAGAATCATTTCCGACCTTCTGGCTTCCATCCTCAATTGTTGTGAGAGGAAAAATTTAAACTGATACGTATGCTGTCGTTGATTTCTTGATCGTTTATTTTCCAGGAAGCCAGGAATTTGAAAACTTTTCTCTAGGAACAGTGGAATAAATTGAATACAGAATAACACTCATCATCTTTGACATGGACAGCTAATGTAGTACTGTAGGTACGCGTAAGTCCAGAAGACAGAAATTGCTCGTCCAGTCAAGTGCACGAACATTTTCTCCCCAAAATCGACGACGATTATGCAGCGTCTCTTACACGAGCTCTTCGATGTTGAAAAACTCGGTCCAGTGGATATTGGAAATTCTGCTCACATATCGACATCAAAACATGTGAGTGACTGCCGCTTGGAGGACCGCTTTGGAATAAGCCACGAGGCTATATGTTAAGACCAAATGCATCCCGTGGAGGCTAGGTTGCCAGCTCCCGGCCATTCCAACCCGCTCCAGAGGTCGAAGAAGATAGAAAGCACCCCCTAAGAGAATGCTTATCACCATTTGACCAAAAGCAGTCGCCAATGGCGAAGGTGTATGAACAGGTTCTGCCACTGCGTGGATGGTCGGCATCAAGGACAACAGGACAACAGACAAGAAATGAAGAGAAAACCTCCCGGAAGATGTCTCTATGTGCAGATCGCTGAAGAGACTGCCAGGAAGATTTCCAATAGCGATTATTGTAAAAGCCGATGTGTATCCAAGCTGTAGTAAGGGTTGGGCTGGAAATAGAAAAACAATCGTGGGAAGGGCTGCGATCCAAATCACGAATAGGCCCCCAAACCACATGGCATTCTGGTTACCTGTCGTGTGTTCGTCGTTGAATGCACTGAACACATGGTGAAAGACGACACACAAATACCACAGAGCGATGCCCGCACTGAATGCGATCACTGCTAGAGCATTTGGAATTGACTCTTGAGATGAAGGAAATTGGAAAATCAGAAATTGGAGTAGGAAGATGAAGAAGTAAGAAAAGCCAAATATGCTTATAACGGCGCCCGTGGCGCAATCGCGCAGGTTTCGAGAACTGGGTGCGTCCATTTTGAAAAGTTTTTAAGTGCTTGATTTGCTATGCGGCATTCTTGGGGCGTTCTTGTGATTTTATAGGCAAGGGTGGACCCTAAAATCACTCTACGGCTATACAAGTGAGGGCCACCAGAAAGAAGCGGCCGAAGCGATGTTTTCTGCGGTGTTGATCGCCAAGACGATGTAGTGAGATCCTATTACGATTGCCAGAATCACTTTTTTTTTTAAAAAAAAAGAAGGCGAGGCCCTCAGAAATGAACAGGTTCAGTATTTGCACTCTGGCTTCTCGGCTCACCGATCTTTCAACCGTCCGGCTGACCTCTCTGTGTGTAATAAAGGACACCGGGAGAACATGCATCATCCTTAGGATGCGAGTGCGAAGCTTGAGCAGCTACTTTTCTCTTTTTTGCAAGATAGAACCCAGACCGATCGAGAAGCATGGACGAAATTGTACAACTTGTACGTGAAATTGGTCAGCAGCAAGCACAGAATGCTTACTATCGTGACTGTTACGCTCTCTTCAAATTACTCCAAGATCTAACTGATCAAACATTCAATGACCTTCAAAATCTCTACAAATCCGATAATCTGAACTCCAGCTATTCTGTCCATCAAATTTTATGGACACTCCAAAACGCAATTTGCAGCCTCGTTGAACGGGCTTGCGAAGCCCAAGAGGCTTGCGAGGCATTGTGCCCAGTGCACGTATCCTTCTCGGCGCGTGATGTTTTGGAGCCAATCAGAAAGATGTACACTGATCCAGAGGCCGCTATTCCTAGCAGCAGAGGAGCGTGAATAGGTAACAGTCAGCAAAACAGCTGACGTTTCGTTGTGATGTATCTTGGTGACATATTTTGGAGGGTCATATATCCATCTGTGTTATTCACATGTTTGCCCGATCGATGATGAAATTGACTGGGATTTATCCTACCATCATAGCTCGTATAAAGTAAAGAGCATACGAAATAAGATCACTGTAAAACATCTACACCTAGGACATTAATTCTCATGATTTACATACAACTATAAACACATTGGTGTGTTCCATACAAGCGAGCACGCCGCCTGCCGGAAAACCCATATCAATAACTTCGCTAAAAGTTTACTCCTCCTGAGATGAATGAACAGAGAGTATAGTTGTACACGGATAATGGGGCTGGTTGTTAGATGCAACAGCAGAAGAGCTGGATCAGCCACGTTATTAACGCACCAATCGAAAAGGACACGGCCAACCACGCTGCCCCAAACATCTGTGCCCCCAGGCTGACCTGAACACCGAGAGACTGCAAGCTGTTCTTGATTCCAGTAGCGAAAAGTCCATACATCACCGTAACCACGACTGTGGCAGTCGTAATCAATAACGACGAAAGCTAGTTTTGTCAGCAACTCTCCTTAGTATTTGTTTTGATCCTCACGTACCATGCAAAAGATGGCAAGCAACCTGTGACCTCTTGAGAATAATGTCTTCCGAACACCCAAGACCATGGCCAATGTGGTAGTGACAAACCCGGAAATGTACAAGCAGATGACGCTTCGAAAAAATCGACGATAGCCAGAAATGGCAGTTCGATCTATCTCTGGAAGTACGTCGCGGACTTTTATCGGTGTAGAGTCAAGCACAGCAGAGAAGTCAAAATCAAAAGATGTGCTCGGATCAGAACAAACAACCTCCAAGCCCTCCGTGGCTTTACAGTAGCTCCAGAGGCCGACGGAGTAGTATTGAAACAGGTATGATTTCAACCCATTCACTTGGGCTTGGATCCTGCTGCTAACAGCCGAGGTTGCCTCCGTGGATGCCTCGTTTGCACTGGCGTGGGCGCTTGACGCTGCGCTGGCGATAGCGTTCCTTCCCTCTCCATTGATACTCGATGTATCTACACCACCGAGTCCAAATGAATCACGGGCGACCAGATGGTCGATTCGTGGAAAATCTGTCAAATTCACCTACAGAATGTTTAGCCAGACATTGAGATACAGTATTCGGGCCCGTCTTACTCTCATAAAATATAGGCTTCTTGGAGAAGAAGGTGAAGAACAGCCGACGAAAACAAACGACAGACAGACCAAAACAGCGACTGAGAGTGACAAAGCCGCGGCTGAAACAATTTGATCCAGTCTGCTTCCTACTGGGAGCTTCATGGTTCACCTTCGCGACGCTGTGAAACCGGTGTGGAAAAACAGATCAAAAGTCATCTGCAGCGAATTTTCCGAGAGGAATCGCGAATCGCAGCCAGAGAGGCTTTTATATACGTAACTAGACAAAGAGCATACATTTAGTAAATACCACGAGACTTATTACTTTGCAAGCTGGATTTTGAGGCCGGTGCCTCATTTTCCGTTCGTCCACGGGCATTCCGTATTAAGTTAGTGATTTAAAAAAAGCAGTAAGCACATAGCAGAACAAGCCTCGGACGGAATAAGTTCCCAGGTACCTATCGTAACAATTGACTGAGGCCAATAATTGAATGCGTTGACCTCAAGAAACAGTTGCCACCTTTTCATGACTACAGATATAGTGAAAGAAAATACTTTCAGGACAAGACATCAATTCACTGAGGCCAACCATATTGCATCAGAATTATTCTTAGATAATGTCCGACAACGGGCCTGATATAAGAGCGTAGGCTCTACGCGCCTTAGAAGTCGGAGTTGTCATCCTATACATCTACATACAGTGCACCACTGGAATTTGGCACTTCTACTAATGGCACCTTCCAAGCAGTCAGAATTGGAGGAATTGGAGCGCAAGTTATATACGTACCGCCAGCACCATTTTGAGCTATCCGCCAGAGTGCATCTATCACACCTCATCTTTGATGCGGGATTCAGAAGGCGGATGAACAACCGTAAAAATGTTCTTCGATTGGAGAGTATCATGAAGATTCAAGGGTGTCAACGCCTGATGAGAGACAACCATGTACCAGTCATTGTCCCTAGGTCAGACTGGCTACGTCGCGTGAGCCCGCGCCATGGCGACGGGATCATACCCAGTTTGGATGTAGATCTGGACTATCGTCTGCGCGCTCAGGACCACGAGAATCTGATCGCGGCTGCACGGAAAACGCTTGACTCCGATAATCAGTGGTGGATTGTGGACGTATATGTAATCGACGACGAGGGAGGTACGTCCATTTGCCATCCGGCTGACCAATTATCATCGGAATCCTAGGCCCCGGAATGTCCTGACCTCGATTAACGATTTTTCTACTTCTCTCTAGATAGTTGCGATGTCGATGCCGGAGTTCTCCGGGAGAAGTTCATTCAATCCCTAAACGAGCGGTTTCCAAATGACAATCGGCCGCCCGACGGTTTAATATACGAGCGTATTAACTACTACGAGGGTCACCTGGACGGACCCCTGGATCGAATGGCCGCGAACAACTGGTGGGCTGTACTGGAGAGAGTGGCGGGAAGTAAGAAAGGAAAGTATTTACGATTGTTCTTCAAACATCCAACATTACATCAAAATTTGAATTCGTTGCTTGTCATCGGGGGTCTCTGGGAAGACATGCGGATTGGCCTACTTCATAAACTCAATTCCATGCACTGTGATGAGGTAAGTCAATTTTCCCAGCTGACCGCCAAAGTTGTTACTTCAATTCCAGCTAATGAGAACACAATGCCTAGCCAATTTCATGCTATTGGGGGTTGATTCTCAGCACATTTCTCGGACTGGTCGGCGGAAGACGCGAGTTGTTGCCTCTGATCGATGGAGTCACGGTCGGTCTGATTCAATCCTGCGCGCCTAAAGTTTCCGATAATGACCTGACGTTCCTGCAAACTGAAATGGACGAGGGAAATCTCTTCGCTAATATCCCGGAGGAGCCCCGCCAGGAGATCTGGGAACGACTGAAAGAGATTGATTATCCAATTCCAACTTTGAAAACTTTCTTCAAGGATCGTCTCTACCTCGAAGTCGCTCAGAATGTTATGAAACGACTCTTCACCCAACCACGTGATATGAAAATTACGATTGATGAGGGTGTGTGCGGGGTGTATGATACTGCAGTGCCGATTCTACAGGGACAGGAACGGCTGAGACCGGACCTCCTGGAGTTTTGGCGATTTAGTTTCCAGTACGGATTTGAAATGACCGATCATCGGCGTCGAAAATCTCTTAAAGGACCTGATATCGAAAATCCATCCGACCAGTATGCCTTCAGGTCTTTACCCATCGACCGATCCGACATCTGGCGGCATTTCTTTGGCATTATGAGAGCAAGAGGCTTTAAACCCCCCAGCACAGAGGACCTATCCCTTCCAACGGTTGAACTTCCTTCTCCTATACCTTGTGACTATCCGGAAGACCCGTCAAAGGAAATCGATGTCGCAAAACGATGTGGAAAGCCATTCACGGATACCATGGAGGCAGATCGATTCGCTTTGTCCGCGGAGTCGTTACAGCAGAACCGGACGATGGAACGTGTGACGGCCGGGTTTCTCCAGAGATCTATTTTCAAAGCCTTTTTTGGCTATCTCATGGAAAGCAGGGCAAGCAGCGGCCAATCGTTCGGCTATAATCCCTTCGAAGTGAGTATGGGAACCCATGATTATCGCGCACAATCGGCCCATACAAATCTTAACCCAGATACAACGGAAGTCCCCGACCTACCCGAGGATTTTACGAGCGCCACACAGGCCCCTTTACCTACCCCAATGACTGAGCCTTTTACTCCCGTGGTTGCAGCATCAGCGGTCGATGTGCGGCCGTCTTGTTACATCATGGATGTCTGCATAGCAGGGAACACACGAAGATTGAACTTGCCGACCGAACAATCCTACATGAATACATTTTCGGATGGTTTAGCTCGAAATCACTTTGACGTTTGGATACCTGAGGACAACCGATATATTCGACCGGAAACATGCTACAGGCACTACTTGCAACATCCTTTGTCGCAGCTTCATGCAGAGTTCAAAGCACGAGAATCCTTGCGAATGGACATTGGAAGCAAGAGAAGGCGGGTCGATGCACAACCGGATATGGAGAGGGCAAGAGAGTGGTTGGAAAATCAACTTTCTGATCTATCTACCAGTGACGAGAACGAGCTTTAATCTACGTGACAGACTAGGATTAGGTTAAAATTGTCCAAATTCAAAGATTCACTCTATAGACATGTGCTTGCTGGATATGCGCCGAGCACAAAAAGCTGGAAACCGTATAACCTTTCCTTTCTAGCAATTAGTCATCGTCTTGCTCTGTAGGGAATGGATTTTCATTTAAGATAACTATGTCTGCGTTGACGCACGAGAATACTGTATGAATTGCAACTGATCTTATCTAAATGCGTATGCTACAATCTACCCACGGTACGAACAGGCCCACGAGCGCAATGTCTATGTACATGGCTACCCAGACGATGTTGGCGAGGCTATGCAAATGTCGTACACGTCGATGAATATGTACGGGTATCCGACAAAGAATGTGAAAATCACAATGTAGACGACGTTCATATACAGAGTGATGAGTAGGATGACTGGCTCGCGGGATTTCAGGGAGAACTGCCCCACACAGGCGCTGTTGATCCGTGAGAAGAGCGTGGTGTGACTACGATGATTTATATCTTTCAAAACATTCAATAGAAGCAGCGAAGCGGAGCCGCATGGTTGGCCATTTCTACGCGAAAGATGTTGACTATTCCATTTCACGGCCAATAAGTACACTCTCCTGGAACAAATTCCTTCGGAAGTCCGTAAGTACAGTGACATAGGTGGCCAGCATCAAGGTCCGCCTGTCTTGAAACACGGTTAGGCCATCAAACTCGCATATCGGAAACGAGAACTCACTTGATCAAACAGACGTTCTCGTTGAGCGTTTCAGAACCTTGTGGAAAGGCCGTTGAGGGGCTGGGCTCCCTACCAGGTGCGCCCGTGATCGTCTTACTGCTCTGGCTCATTGAAGCATTCTTGGGGACAAAATCGCAGCTGGTGGTCGCGATTTGCAGGGTGGTCCAAGCCGTCTCTGGTGTGCTTGTCCATGATGACACCCATTTGGTATTTGTGGTTTCGCCGTTGATTAAATGCGATTCACAGACGCAATCGCTCCGCCGTTGCCAATGAGCCACATCATCACCGGCTGTGCTCTTTGCATGTGGCTCCACTTCAACCCCTGGAGGGATTTGGCCTACGAGCGAGAGCACAATGTCATTACAGACAATGGCAGAACCATTCAGACCTGAGAAGATTAGCCATCTTTTTCAAAGCTTTTAGCTGTGTAGTATTTCGCTTACAGCTTGCGAGTGTATCTTCCATCTCAGACTCACAGTCACGCGATAGCGACACCCATTCTGTGTGTCCAGCACGGGAAAATTTGGCGGCCACTATTCCGCTCAGCACTTGCTCCCACGTGCTGACTGCGTGACAAGTCGATTGTACGAGCGATTTAACCTCCAGGGCTTGAGATTGACCCAGGATAGTAATGACCGCGAACAAAAATTTGAACATCATCGATGAAATTCAAGGCTCAAGGCAAATATCGAGACCCTTGTCATTGTAGCGAGCGGACGGTCGGACGCGGCGCTTTTGAATCATTGCCGGAATTGTCAGGACTTGACGAGCTTTTTTGAGCACCTGATTTCTTGCGGTTCTTGGTCTGCAAAAAAGAGGGTGAAAAAGAGCTACTGTAACGTTGAATTCTACGCTTTTTTTTGATAAGCTACCGCATAATTAGTCGACAATGTCCGATGCAATGAAACTGGGTGACTGAAAGTTCATGTTAACACATCACATTAGCTGAATAGGGAGGCCAGGATGGCAAATTAATTCCATTACCCCCTCAGTTTTAGAGATATATCCTATGAGGCATCACAACCAAAAAATCAACCTTGTTTTGCTCATTGTTGTACTATAAATTGACCTTCTCGTTTCTTCCCCCTATGCAGCGGCCAGAGACCGGGAGATCCACGTACTCAGCTTCTACTGACAACATGAAATACTTCAGAAACATTGCTGAAATTGTCCTATTTGCCATCCAAGTCGTGAGTCGTGCCTCTCTGCGCTTGCATTGTGTAGTTCGAGAGTACTGAAATTCGATAGGTTGGGGAGCCTACCGATAGGCAAAGCTCCACGAGATCACTCACCAAACCGGTATGATTATCAGACATTTTCATTAGAGGAAACTTCAGCTGACACAGTTTGAGTATCCTGCCTCGCCGACCTTTCCTGTGCCTCGTCTTCCAGATGGGGTGGTCATCAATGTATGTCTCTCGGTTTCTCCCTCGTATAACCTTTGGGGATGTATATCTGACGGATTAGACAGACAGAGCCAAATTGCTTCTATGAGCGTGGACTTGCCTACATGAACTCAACCACGGAGAACATTGATCACCTGCGCGCGGTAAGTGACGATACTTGTGGTGTTGATGCTGGGGATTGCATCCGAGTGTCCTACACGAACCAATCTGGTATATTCCTCTGCAATTATGTAAGTTACGTCCTCCAAATCGCGACTGAATTGGGTCTTTCAATGCTGATTTGACCAAGAACTCCCACCGCATCTCAACAGATTGTGGAAAACTTGTGCCTTTGGCAACGGAACTTCAACAGACTTGTCAGATAGATGACTTTTACACGTTTGGAATTATCAGGGGCTCTTTCCAGAACCACAGTGACCGGATTGATTACTACTTGACGATTGCGGGCGCGAAGCCGTAGGATATCTCATTTAACGACAAATATGTCTTCATGCTGGCAACGTAGCCAGCTAGTCTCTTATAAATGAACTCAATAATTGCGTTACATTATTAAATAAATAATATGATGAGGATTGTTTCCATTTCTGTACATGTGTGTTTCCAGCCAGCGCTTTTTGCTTGCTCACCAATTAAGATACTGGTCTAACCTTTTACACACTAAGCCGGTTTCTCTCGAGACCTTCAAGCTGACGATAGCTATACGCTGACAAACCAATGAGACAAAATACCGAACAATCGGAGAAGGCTAATACTGGCAGTATACTTTAATATTCTATACTTCCAAATAGTGTACAAGAGTGGCTCTGAAGAAGATCGTTCCTACTTTGCCAGCCTAGATGTAATTTCACGATTCTTCAACCCACAACTATTGAAAGTATTCTGTTGACTACATAGGAATAATTTACACGTGAAAATTGTCGACCGATTGCATGCACGGAATATTATACAAATAATATCACGCTTTCAGGGTAGTGCATTGGTCCACTACCAGAGCGGCCAATTTCAAAAGATCTACCGGATTCCCATCAGTTGCCTCTTCATTTAATTTTCTGACAAAGCACTTGACTAGAAAGGATCCAACTAGATATACTTGGCTGGGGATGGTGTTTGTTGCAGTGAGACCCTTCTTGAAAAGTGTCGTTTCCATTAGGGTGTCCAGCGAGTGTGTCCGTTCGTCGAGCGCCGACCGTAACAGCGACAGGTGCGAACAAAGAAGCGACCGGGACAGTCGGCGTGAATTGCGATGAATGACTTGGCCCAATCGCTTCAACTTAGGTCCACCTCTCTTAAAGACCCCGATTTCGGGCAAGATAAGAGTCCTATCCACCGAATTTACGAATGGTAAACTCAGCTTGAATTTCTTCGTGTCGCTTTGTAGAGCCCGCGCGGATCCATCGACGGCCAAAAGGTTCGTTTGTGGCGCAAACTGAGCGACTCCATGATCCATAGAGGGTGGTTGGTGGATACTAAACACTCCCATCGGTGGCGATTTGTGACCCGGCAATTGATCGTCCACCCTCTTCCCAAGAGCGATGATATGAGACGGATGCCGTGTGTCCGACAACAATAAGAACATGAGAATGGTGATTCTGACGTAGATGCCATCAGGGCATAAATTTTGATCGTCTGATATCTTCTCTTTTCGCAAAATTGCGCAGCGGGTTTTGCTAATCGAATGGTTTGCCGAAGACATGATCGCACCAGCTTGGAGAGCGCAGACCTAGGCCTGCGTTGTGGAAGTCCAGAACCAAAGTCGAGATTGGAGATTCAACTAGATGTGAGAATACAACCGGGGGATAGGCAGCCTTAAATGGCCATCAATTTTGCTTTGATAGACAGAGCAACGTTTGCAACCTATTGTTACAGTTTCACCGTTGGCATCACTGTCAAATATTGAGGCCAACTGAATCAATGGGAGGGCTTAGTTGCCGACAGAATTGGGCCATGAGCTTCATAGCAGTTAACAATGCGAAGTTCAAAATGAGGGCTGTTGACGATATTGACGATATTGGCAGGCCTTTGATTAGACACTTGCTGATTGACGATATGAAAAAATCATGCCCATAACGTAACGTTAACATCCCTGCACGGGAGTCCAGGTTAGCGTTCGAACATTTCTCTGCTACAGTAGATACCGTCGATGTCGATTCGGGTTGTGTCTGGGTGCCAGAGTCGGTGGTCGTCTTTTCGAGTTGTTCGTCATTCGAAGGAAGATAGGGGCTGGGAGCGGGTTGTCTGGGCAGATAGGATGTGTTGGTTGAGGGAGGAAGTGTGTCGGCGGATTCGAGGTGTTGTTTCAAGTCGCTGTAGATGATCTGCCATATGCAGTCTATCGTGTGTAGTTGCTGCGTTTCTTGAAGAGGTACGCGCTGGAAGCTGTCTAGGCTTTTGGCAGACTGACAAACAAAGCAGCAAGCCAAGCCGCCGTCGCCGTTTGGGTAAGGCTGGTAGTGAAAGCGATTTGGGCCAGTTGAAGCGGAGTGACGCCATTTAGCACTTGTCCTTGGAACGACAGAGCTCTGGCAGCGATGGTGGAGTAGGTGGTCGATATGAAGAGCTTTTCGTGAACGGTACGATGCGGGGTAGGTCGCTCAACGACTTCGATGGGCTCGAATGTATGAGCATTATACTTCTCGTAATTGGGCCCTCGTTTTTTGGTCTGACGAATGTACAGTTGAACGTGGGATTAGTGAGCGACGTGAATATACATCTCCGCCTCGAAAAGATCAAGTTCCGACGCGTGATGTACGTGGTTTACCAACGAAGGGGAAACAGACGAAGCAGATGTTTTGGACCGCATTTTCCGGCTCTACACGAAGTACAGGCCTTATTCTTCTCTTTGGAAATCCTGAATCAGCCAGTGGAGGAATGATCGATTTGTAATTCGGGATTTATATCGCCGATCCTACCTACCTTGCTTGCAAATCAAGATAGCATCTTTCAACAAGATAATCCTTCCACACATACTGTATTAATCGTACGCGAGGCCCTACAAGAGATGGGCATTGAGGTAATGGAATGGCCAGCCCGATCGCCTGATCTAAATCCTATTGAAAACCTATGGACGCTTCTAAAGGATAAGATCTATAAGCTACATCCAGAGCTTAAAAACATACCAAATAACGATACAACACACGCGCTTTGAATCGATGCAGCACAGGAAAGGTGGAATGCCTTAGATCTAGAAATAATCGACCGATCTGAGACTATGCCGCATCGGGTGAAGGCAATTATTGAGGCAGATGGCTGGTATACCAAATATTAGGTGGTGTACGTAGAATATTATATAATCAAGGGGGGTAACGTAATCAACCACCGAGTGACGAATACCACCGAGTGACGAATTTCGTCGCGCGTACCGTTAAATTTCAAGCTTTTCAACCACAAATGTATTAAATCAGACCATATAAAAAGATAAAACAATAGCTATTTACTAGGACAATTTCTTATAGTATGACCAGTAGTCCCGCATCCACTACAGCGTCGTGGAGCTCGCTGGCGAGGCCTTGGCGTCGTCTCAGCGGCCGGCTCATTAAGCTGTGTATCAAGCTGTTGCACTCGATTCTGACCTTCCTGTACAAATAAAACAAGATCATCACCAAGATTACCACGCTTCCTTGCCCTCTTTTGCATTTTCCGCTTATTCTCACCTTGTAGAACCTTGATTTCTTGTCGAAGAATAAGGTTCATATTCATTGCCATCTGTGCAGCTTTTTCAAGATGTTGAATATGAGATACTGGACTACTAGAAAGCATTCGTTTTCGAAGGCTTCTCTGTAGACTGCGTACCTTGTGATCGAGTTGGCGAGGATTCTGAGGTGTTTGAAAAGCAGAGGAGACTGAGCCTTCAACTTCAACAAGAGGTGGTGTTGGTGTCCGAAGTTGAAAAGTTACCTTTTCAAGAACCCGATCTTGATCTAGCGGGTTAAGTCCTGCACCTGCAAAACCACTGCGTATATTCTCCCTAGTAAACACCTTTTCGCGAGCAGGTGGATAGAGAGACAAGAAATCCTCCTTGTCGATATGGTTGTTGCCGGCAACCATCATCTCTTCTACTAGTTTTCCATATGCGCGCTTTAGCGGACCAAAAACACCAACATCAAGTGGTTGTAAAAGATGAGAGGTATGAGGAGGCATGCAAAGACAGATAATAGCATTCTCTTCACAGAATGCATCAAAATCTGCAGTTAGATGACTACTATGACCATCAAGAATAAGCAACCGCTTTGCACCAGTTGAATAGGTTTTAGAATGTGGTTCAAACATCTCTTTTAGCCAGCGGAGGCCAATTTCATCTGTTGTCCAGCCATTCTGACTTCTTGCGATAGCATAGCCCTTATTGAAGAGAGCAGGTTCTTGATACCAAGCAGCGTGTTGAGATCCTGCTTTCAAGATGATCCATGGGGGTATAGATATCCCCTTTGAGCTCACACATTCAATAATTGTGACCCATTCGCGATTCCCCTGAATAACCCTACGGGGCCTTTCACTGCGATCGACTGCAGTAATAACCTTAGAGGTTGAACAAAGTCCCATTGCGAAGCCAGTTTCATCAAAGTTCCAGATATCGTCCTCGTGGATACCATGTTCTTGAATAGCCTCGCGTACGGTCGCAAACCATTGTTTAATAATCTTTGGATCCTCTTGCTTTGCACGCTGGTACGTGATCCGCCGATTGTATCGTGTGCGCAGTGCTGGATGCCGTTTGATAAACTTATATGCCCAGTTGACACCAAGGGTCGTAGTAGGATCTCCTGTGCGCTCGCGAAGCAGGATCTGCGCCATTCCCCGTAGAAACTCTGGCCGAATTGAAAATCCTCGCTTATCTGCATCTAGCAGCCTCTTCGCAAGGACTTCTTCTTCAAGAGGGTTTAATTTATGACTGTTGGCGCGTGTTTCTGCGCGTGATTTCCTACCGTTGAGTCGACGGCGAAGCGTAGCTTCAGGCACACTAAATATCTCAGCAGCCTTTAATTTTGATTTGATTTTTTTATTTTTGAATGCAGAAATAGCCATCTGAATGCGATTTTCTTGAGATAGAGGCATTTTGTATAGTGGTGGTGAAAAATAACGCGTCAAGGAAATGATTGTAGGAGATGGACGCGAAATTCGTCACTCGGTGGTATTCGTCACTCGGTGGTTGATTACGTTAACTAAGTTAGTTAACTAGTTAACGTAATTCACAAGCGACTCGCTCACCCCAAGCGACCCGCCCACCAGATACGCCATAGTAAATGCAATAAATGAAAACTCAATATCTCTACAACAATACCTTAATATGGAGTCCTGTAATATCCTAGCATTATTTGGATCATATCACGTTTCCTGATAATGTTTATGAGATTTAAAAAATTGATAATGTTGTTCATGATTTGGATATATATATTTGCACCTTGCGTAACAGTTATGTGTATTTTTTGGTAAAGCCAGAAACAAATAATTTATTCCGAAATTAAGTTGGTTCATATTATTCCTTATACTCATTAATAGAATTGTACTAATAGTTAACGAAATTTAACCTATGGTTGTTGAGATATCGAGTTGTAAACATAATGCAATTACTATGATGTTTTGGGGTGGGCGGGTCGCTTGGGGTGGGCGAGTCGCTTGTGAATTACGTTAACTAACTAGTCGAAAACTTTTTCGGTGCCACTGTACCTATCGTATGATGTCATTCGCCGACCGTCGGTGGACCGGAGGAAACAGCCGGGTCGTCCTCATCTGGCGGGGTAGTTTTATCTCCGCTGTCTTGTTTCACACCTGTCAACTTTTTGTTCGCGCTTTCGTATTCGAGAGCACCTAACGGTGGCAATCTTCGTTACAAGCACAAGCCAAATAAAGTCATAACGATGGCCGATGACGACTTCCCTCTACGGGAGATGATTCCTCCATGGGGCTCGCTACCTATTGAACAATTTCTGATTGTAGGATACTTGGCCTGTTCGTTTACGATTTATCATCTGCTAATACTTCAACAGAAAAACTGGAATCATTCCTCGACCGACGCAGCCAGTCAGCAGCGGCAGAAACTAATCCAAAATTTTCTCGAACTGGACGAGATCGCTGAAGCAGACTTTTCTTTGGATGAGAACCCTCCGCGAGTTCCAACGCCAGAGGAGATTGATACCATTCTCCTACCATGGCGATCCGACGATGACCTTCGTCGGAAGGCATACTATATGTCCAAAGACAATGTGGTTGTTTTTCTTCGGACCTATTATAACCCAGGCGATGATGGCAAAATGAACGAATGGGTCCATGAAACCGATCTGTTCGAAGATAACCCCTGTTGGGTATGTCTTAACAACCCTTACCTATTCGATCTCGGCTCAGACTGGCAGCGGGTGTACGAAATCATGCCCGAGGCCGCTGGACCCGTTGCTTACACGCAACGACCCGCTGGTTCAAGCGGACTAAGGTTCAAAAAGACTTTACACAGGACGAAACAGAACAGCCCCCATAAGTGGAGAGAGGACCGGGTGACTGAAGTCTCAGGGGGTCCTCTCCAAAATATCACCATAGCGACCTACATTGTCATTGCGGATCAGGAGGCTTTTCAGACTGGACGGTTACGCTTGCTTTGTTTAGACGATCAGCGAAACATTGTCCGAGAGGTTCGCGTTGATCGGAATCGACATCAGATCACAGACTTTATCTTGCACTGGGATCCATTCCTTCAACCATGAGGTGAATTGAATTTCAGAGGTAACTTTCGGGTCGATGGGAATTGGGAGCAGATTCATCTACGGGCCCTTGATCAAGAAAGACATCTCGCTCTTTTCGCCGGAAAGCAGAAGCTACGATTCAGTCTGCAACGAAATAATTGTTTAATACTTAAACTTAGCTATAGATCGACTATTTGCCTTGCGTTTATTGATATGGTCAAGTTCCTATGAAGCAAAACCCTCCAAGGAGGATAAGGCGTGAGCGAGGGTGAAGCCGACCGCGAGTGTTTCATTAGAACATACTGCTATATTCGAAAACAGATCCCCCGTATACACTCACATATATTTTCCCGAGCCCTATGAGACACGCTAGCCTAAATCTAGCAACTCCCCCTAAAACCCTGTCAAGTTGTAATCGTCTTCATGAGCGGTAATGAATGAGTCATCGTTATAATACAGTAAACCTCTTAAGGATCGAATGTTCACTGCAAACGATCCAAACAGAGTAGAAGGCCTGGCGATCTGCCACCTCCCCTCCTTCACCATGCATGCAGCCTTCGTCCACACACTTGTTTTAGACATATCACACCGGTTTTTTGCTCACTAGAGAAATCGACAGTAAATGAGGGTCTCGCTCACTGGGAAAACCTCCACTATGCCACAGAAAGCTTGAGACACTCTTGCATATACCCGGTCCACGATCCACAGGGCGGTTCTAAACGTCGCAAGTCCCAAGCAAAACGCTTACTGTATTGCCGCCAAAATTCGCAGCCACAATATCGAGATGACCATCCCCGTTGAAGTCGCCAACTGCAACACCACACGGAGCGAACTCCACAGCGAAGATGGCCTGCGCCTGGAAGCTCCCGGGTCCAGTCCCGAGAAAGACGAATATACGATTGGTGCATACTCAGGAGATTGGGAATACGTGGTCGATCACCAGCTGTGTGAAAGCAGCAAACCCAAGCTCCGTGTTGGCGGGAACATCTTCCGCAATAGCCTGCTATAGAACGAGGGAATTGATCGTTGAGTCCATTGTGAAAGTCGTCCGTTTGCGTTTTCATTTGAGAATTAAGCAAAGGAATTATTGACCCGGGTCTATAGGCGAGGGCATGTCCATTTAATATAGTTGAATGTAAAGATAATGGACCCGTTTGAAGACGGAAAGATCTGGTAACCCATTTGCAAACATTTTTGCCATAATAAGAAACATTTACGCGACGATTTAACTACCTTGAGAGAAATTCGCTACTACGCGTGAATATTACAACAGCACGGAAGGGCGAACTGTTTAGCTCCCCGAATCGGCCCGGATCAATTTTTCTACCGCATTTGGTGCAATGACGTTGGGGGCAAAGCGGAAACAGCCACATTCTTCTCTCAGGTACCAACTCTTGTGATACCTACCCTGCTTCAGTCTTGACGCGTAGCAGGTTGACTACCAGTACAAAAATATTCCCTTTCGCTAGATTCTCGAAGCCATAATGCAGAGCAAGCTTCCCATTCCACGCCTACAGCGAGACAGACGTGACAGTGGCGGACGTCGAACCAATCGAGCCTGCAACTCTTGCCGGGAACGCAAAATCAAATGCGATGGCAGGAAGCCAGCCTGCTCCCAATGCCGTGGCCTTGAACTCTCCAACTGCTTTTATCCAGAATCGATAGTCATCCGACTGCAAAAAGAAGTAGAATCGGCGAGAGGGAAGATCGAAAATTACGAAGAACTGCTCCGAAATATCTCTCAGGAGCTTGGAGGGCCAATGACAAATAAATTTTCAAAAGCTCTCGAGGTGCGTTGGTACTTCTGTTTGAGCAATGACAATTTATCAGCAAATTGAACTAATTTATTAGAGCCTGCAGCCCAGAAGCGCAAGGTACCAGAGACAACCATCTAGTGCCTCGTCCTCGTCAATAGGCTCCTTGGACGAGATTGATAGTGTTTACGAAGATCTCAATCGCAGTGAAATCAGCCGAGCGACCGCGTATATGGGAAAGAATTCCGAAGTTACTTGGATGCAGCGCTTGGACTTTGAGGCTACGAAGCAAGGCGGGGATGAAAGCATCTCCGAAATGGCCACAAACCCAGTTCCGAGCGACGAACCAATCGCATCGTTGAGCTATCATCTTGATTACCAAAGCCTGTCCGAACCAGGTGTGATCAATCCTTACACTCTCCCTCCAAAAGCACTAGCAGACCGATTATTCCAGGTCTATTTGAAATTTCCTTACCCCTCGTTCGAGATGAACTGTTTTTCGATCAATATCGTCGCTGTTATGGGATTTCTCAGAATCCCGGTAGGAAATGGCTGGCTGTCTTCAATCTGATCCTGGCCATCAGTTGCGCGTTTTCACGGCTTTCTCAGCAGGATACACAGCAGGGGGGCGACGAAACCATCTTTTTTTCACGAGCCAAGTTGCTCAACACGTCGGACACTATTGTCTATGATCATGACGATTTGCAGCAAGTGCAAATCGAAGCCCTGATGGCTTTCTTCTTCCTGATTATCTCACAGGTAAATCGGTATGCCTTCCTTACACATTGGCTCCTTGACGACATTTTTTCTATTTCTTCGCATGTATATGTCAATACTGATTATTTCCTAGATCATGGAAAATGATCGGTATTGCCGCACGTTCCGGCATCGCGTTAGGAATCAATCTCCACAAAAAGAACGGCGGGCTAGACGCAAAGTCCGGCGAAGCTCGGTCAAACTTATGGTGGGCGGTTGTTCGCTTAGAACATCTTCTCTCTGTTATGACTGGGCGAGTTTCCTGTCTTGGGGATGCTTCTAGCTCTGCGCCTCCGCCACACCCCGTGCCAAGTCTGGCTTATACAGGCTCTTCTTATAATAATGAGCCAATCAATAAGCCGTCAGTACGGATTAATGGCCTACTATGGACTCTATACCTAAATCGAGAGCAGGCGGAGTCTCAACGAATTCTGTTGAAGTCCATTACGCCAAGTTCATCTCTTTACTTTTTCTACATGGTAGACCTGTCCCTGATCGCCCATGCCATCACGAATGGAGTATATGCGATGGATGTCCCTCATACGGGTTGGGATCGCGTCAAAGGCCGCATATCTCTTTACAGCAAGAAAATGGACTGGTGGGCGTCAAGTTTACACTCTTCCTTTAACTTCCAAGACAGTGAGCCAGATCAACTACGGGGAAATAAGTCTTCCTTCAAGGTTTCACTCGCATTGAATTACTACAGCGCCCAGATTGTACTCAATCGGCCCTGTCTCAACCGACCCGCTTTTGGGAAGAAAAGCGGCACACGGCTTTCTCGTTCACGATTTAGCAACGTTTCCGCCTTAGCATGTCTTCGGGCTTCTCTAGCTGTCATGGGGCTTCTACCAGATCAGCCGAGTCTGACTTGGTACTATGAAACTCTACAGTGGTGGGATTTTCTACATATCCTTACCCAGGCGACTGTTATTCTATTACTCGATATCTCAATTGGCCCAGTGCCAACGAAGCCAGAGGAAGCTACTGTTCCCGTTGAATCAACCGACAAGATCTTTAACGGAGTGAAAAAGGGGCTTTCTTGGCTGCATTGCCTGGGAAGGACTTCGGAGGCAGCTCAGCGTGCTTTCGAATTTTGCAACAGCTGCATTCGCCGCATGGCCACTACTAGAGGTCTCGATCTGAGAGATATACCCTCACTGACCTATTGAATTTACAAATTCCACTATCGCGATCTTCAGTAGCGGTCTTGTAAAATGGGAGGCCACCAGTTGATATCCGTTCTTCAAGGCTGCAAGGAAGGATTCATTATAATTCCTCTCAGGAAGCTTTTCTATGCTCATACAAATGAGAGCCGCCAGCTAAACTCTTTATGGCAATTTTCACGAGATCATCTATGTGCTGGTCTAAATTCGCGCAACCCCCGAATGCGGAGACTTTTAGTGGAAGCTATTACCACCATTTGCAACTACTCTCTCCCAAGTCGGGAGCTAAGCCTAAATGGTCATGTTCCGACCAACCCACCATACCGGAGGTCTGTCTCCAAACTGCCTCATAGAACTCGAGGTGGTGGCACGGCAGAAAACTGTGGGTAATGCACAATGGCATTATGTATTTATAGAGAGAAAAGTGAGATTAACTCTACCCGCGTTTCGTTCTAATATTCCCCTAGGCCTTCGCGAAAAGAGCGTCAAATATGGCTGTCAAGAAATACCAGATTGGGGTCATCGGTTACGGTCTGTCGGCCAAGATCTTCCAGATCCCTTACATTTTGGCAGCCCAGGACTTTGAACTTCGCGCTATTGTACAACGATCTGGCGACGAGGCATCGAAGGAACACCCGGGTGTCAAAATCTACAGATCCGCCGATGAACTATTAAGAGACACAAGCATTGACGTGATTATCGTGTCAACGCCTCCGCTTTCACACTTTAGCCTCGTGTCATCGGCACTTAATGCCGACAAGCATGGTATGTCAACAGATCCAGACACTTGAAGATGAAATTACAAGAGATATTCTATGAGAAATCTTTGATTGGCTGACCTGTGGCCCAATTTAGTGGTCGTTGAGAAGCCTTTCTGCCCGTTGAGCAGGGAATGTGACGAGTTGATTGCCCTGGCCCAGGCCAAGGGTAAGCTCCTGACCGTCTTTCAGAACCGCCGGTGGGACGCCGACTTTGTGACACTGCAGAAGATACTGGCGGATGGTCAACTCGGCCGTGTGGTCGAATTCGAGTCGCACTTTGACCGTTATGACCCAGAGGTAACAAATCCTTCAGCTGGGGGCGCTGGTGTCATCTATGACCTCGGCACCCACCTTATCGACCAGATACTTTTCTGCTTCGGCCTGCCGTCGAAGGTCACGGGCTTCCTGGGTACCCAACGCGCGACGAACGTTGATGGTCCTCATGATGCATGTACTGTTCTTCTACATTATGACTCGGGCCTGCTAGCGACCGTCAAGGCCAGTGCAGTCAGCTCAGCGCTGGAGCAGCTACGTTTCTGGGTCCGGGGAGACAAGGGAGGCTTCAAGAAAGTGAGCCACCAAGCACCACGAAAGCGAGACCGATTTGAACATAAACACTGACAGCATCGCAGTGCCACTTAGATCCGCAGGAGCACCAGCTGGTGGGTGGCATGAGGACTGACAACCCCACGTTTGGGCTGGAGGATGCAGAGAAGGCCGGTAAGCTACAGGCACTGTCACTTTGCTCTACCCAACGACTAACATTGCCCGAAGGCGTCATCACTCTCGCAAAAAATGGTACCCTCCATGATCTGACTTACCCAAACTTGCCCCCTCCCACCTACGGCGCGTTCTACGAGGTCTTATCCGGCGCCTTGGCCGGTCAGTGCGACGTTCCTGTGCCGGCCAAGGACGCCCGAAATGTCATCAGAATTATTGAACTGGCTGAGGAGAGCAGCAGAAAAGGTTCAACAATTTTGCTCAAGCCTGAAGAGTTTGTTTGAAGGGACAAAAGATGTTATATAGAAACAGATTATATCACACTCCCCAACCGTTCAATGCTGAAAATATTATCCGCCACGTCTAAGTTGAAATCGAGCCCGAGCGACGACCAATACTCGGTACTGTCGCATTCGAAGAATACGTCATTATCGAAGTGCCCACTGCCGTCATCATACGGTCCGCTTGCCATCCTGGACAGTGGGCTGGGAGGAACCTCGTAGCCTGCGCTTGCGCTGATGTCGGTGCTCATGGAACACAAGGCAGTTATAGAGACGGCGGACCCTCCCTGTGCCGCCGCAGTCGGGGTCGCGGCGTTTTGCCGCTCCTTGGCGTGGAGCATGTCTGCAGCGCGCGCGAGGGCCAGGGCAAGCTTGTGCTTGGCTGCTGCTGCCCACCACGTGTTGCCCATCACCCTGAGCAGGTTGACCACGGCGGAATAGTCCCTGCGAGCCGCCTGCAGCGTCGTCTGCGCCATAGGCGACGGCGACGAGACGTCGTACCAGAAGATAAGCAGGCAGTTGACCACCGCGTATACTGTGAACGGCCACGAAAACCGCAGCAGATTATGTCTCAGGAGTAAGTTGAGGCGCGAAAGGATATCTACGGAGTGACGGCGGCATGCATCTCTTGAGAAATACGTGTCAGACTCGTGGGGCTCCGAGTATAGGAGGAATGGGCGGTGCACAAGTATTTGCACGGCATCGATACTAAGATAAATGAGCGTCCAACGTCCAGCCTTAAATGGCTGTCTGAACTTACTGGGTTAACAGGATGGCGCCACAGAGAATCGACACAGTATACGGCACCTCCTTCAGGGCGTCCTCAACCTCTTGCCCGGAGAGCAACATGTTCTGGACGCGGCTCTTGAGGTCCTCCAGCTGGATGGCGAGCCGCTGCCGTAGACGTACGCCACGCGACGTAAACAGCGTGGTGTGGTCCTCCTGGGGAGAATAAAGGCACCGGACCACGTCCTCTATCAGACGCGCTATCGACAAATTGATCAGCGTGGCCTGTACTGTGACAGAGTCCTCGCTAGCGAGGTCGTCTTCAGTCAGCAATTCTACGTCACAGTCTCCCTCATTGATCAAGAAGGGGGTACCTTCCTGCGCAGCGCAGAGACGGTCCAGGGTATAGGCGGACCACCATATGCGCCGATAAAGCAGATCCTGTCCTCCGGCTTTTGAAGTCACCCGCTGCGCCGGCACCATTTTCCGATGGAGTCCCATCTCCTGGCAAGCCCGCACAGCGAGGCTCAGGCTGTCGATGGCAGAGTTCAGCCCTTCACGGCCCTCCCAGTGGAGACTGGCGATGAGGGACGCTTGAATCACAGCGAGCCTCTCTTGGGAGATATCGACATCTATTAGGGACCGTAGCTTCGCGTGAAGCTCATCACAGTGGCTCCGTATCTCAGGCACGCCGTCTACAGACCGCCCTTCACCGTTCATGTACCGCGAAGCAGCGAGAAACACAGCATGCAGAACGAGGAGGGGAGGAGGCTCGCCGCTTCCATAGTAGCACGACAGGAAGTCCTTGCGGTCGATGACTGGCAGCATCGGATGGATATAAGTGAAAAATATCTCAAGAAGCTCGGCACAACGGGCAGCTGGTGGGAGTCGGAAACAGCCCATGGCATGCAAAAACTGCAACCGGGTCGCCGGGACACCACGGACGCGGTAGTACTGCTCCCAGTCAAAACTGTGGATTCTAGGACCCCGTCGCAGCGATGGTTTGGAGGCGCCGGAGACAGGGTCCGGCGTGCGGAAAGAGCAGCTGTTAGTGACGATCGTGTGCTTCAGCTCCTTGCCGAGGAGCGCTGACAGTGGGTTCGTGCCCGAGATAAGCTTGACCGCCTGGCGTGGACTGCTCCTCACATTACTTGAGTCCCTGGCCTCCATGAGGCTCAGCATGGTAGCATAGCGGAACTCCTCGGTTTCCTTGGACGCACACGTTACTGGAGTCGCGAGTGGCGATGGTGGGCGCAGATTGGATCTGGAGTCCCTGTCATCTGGAGACAAGGTGGACGAGAGGAGAGGTTCCATCGGCATCGACACCTGTGTACGATATTCGTGATGCTCTGGGCCGTCACTGCCAGAATAAAAGGAGTTGCGCGTAGATAAAGCAACGGGATTTAGAGCGTTGCCGTTGGTCCAGCCCGCCGAGTGCTGCTGCTCGATAGGTGCCCTGGTGTCCGCCCCGGAGTAAGGGGGCAGAGTTGTGACAGACAGGGGGCTGATGCGGCCATGTTCACTGGATACATGCTGCCGCTGATGCTGTGTCTCGTGGAGGCTCGGTTGAGGCGTCCTCTCGAACGAGCAGGGCCAGCCGTCCGCGTCGCACCGCTTGCATCGACGCAAATCATTCGTCAGACTGCATCTTTTCTGTATAAGTCTGTCAATATTTCTAGACTTCAATTTGCCGGTGCAGCCCTGATCATGGCGGTGGACGAACCTTTGAGTCCTTGCACCGTTGACAGGCACGGACGGCTTTGTGCCGCTTTGTGACATGGCGGTCACTGTCAAATGCCAAAACACCCTGCATTTTCTTTTCTTCTTCTTTGTCCGGGTGTGTATTCATAAGCTTAAAAATACAGTCACTCTAATCACTATCGGGCAAGACATTCTAGTGACATTTGGTAAGAGATTTCTCTTTGTGTGCGTGTTTGGAGAGTGGAGCGTTGAGGATCACACCCCACAGACTAGAGAAGGGATTAAAGTTCTGGGGTAGCGTGCAACAGTGCAGAAAAGAATGGGGGCTCACTCTGGTCCCTATGACCCTGTATAGTCCGCACAAGGTGACTTGGATTGTGAGACGTTGGTGTTTGTCAGCGCCTGTATGCCTTCCTAACCGTGCCTGGTGGTGCCCGCGCTCACCGCCTGTTGTATTAGCCTGTGCAGGCTTAACTTGACCTCTTTAGCGCGCGAATTGATTGTGCTTCGGCAAACTTCGGCTAAAGTTCGTCTCGTTATAGGCTGGGCCCCACTGCCTTTTACAGTGTCCAATCGCTTCCCACCGTCTCCGCAGCCCTAGGGAATCCGATGCGGAGACTATGGCGGCGGCTAACCCAAAGCAGATCGGAATCGGTAGGACCAAGTGCGCACAGTCGGAGCTCTGAATGAGCTACTACACGGAATTGGCTCAGACGACTGGACACTCACCCCCAGGATTTTAGTCCATATGTAGTAAATAAAGTGTGAGATCAATCGAAAATGCGGGGCAGGACTATGGTATATAAGTTGGACCACTAGTCACTCAGTAGGCGACAAGGACGAGAAAGCAGGAAGTACACCTTCAGTATAGCGTATCCGTTCTCGTGAATTATCCTGGCAACGAGATACGTCTTGAAAACTGGCAGTCTTGTTTAATCAATGGTGTCCCTACGATCTCTTGTGTACCTTGGCGCGGTGCTCACCGCGGTCAATGCCCAAGGTGACCCGAGAAACCTTGAGCCTGACCTCTACTATCCACGGCAGCCAGACAGTCTCTACAGCTACCCGAGCCGGAATGTCACTGGTAGAGGTGGTTGGGATGCCGCTACAGCAAAGGCCAAGCGCTTCGTGGACCGTCTGACGATCGAAGAGAAGGTGACTATTTGCACTGGCACTGGCTTTCCGTAGGTTCCATTTCTGCGCTGTGTCTTACTAGATCGTCCCTCCCCTGCTGACCATGAACGCAGAAATGAGCCTGGTGTCGCTAATCGGAACTGCCAAGGAAACATCAATTCCATCCCTCGAGTCAATTTCACTGGTTTGTGCTACATAGACAGTGATACTGGTAAGGAGCTTCCCGTACAGAATCGCCGAGGACACATGCAATTGGCTTACAAAGAAAATGAATCCCAGGCATCGGCAACGGTCACAGCTACGGCACGGGATTCCCACCTGGTGTGACGGCCGCGTCTACGTGGAACCGTGAGCTTATGCGTGCTCGTGGCTTCGCCATCGCGGAGGAGTTCAAGGTCAAAGGCGTCCATGCCGTGCTAGGTCCGGTATTGGCACTCTCTCGCACTGTGAGTGGTGGCACCAATTTTGAGGGCTTCGGAGCCGACCCGTACCTCATCGGTGTTGCGGGTTACGAGACGGTCCACGGCCACCAGGGGGCGGGCGTGCAGGCTGAGGTCAAGCAGTATCTCGGGTACGACGGCCAGCAGTACAACCGAACCTATTATTCGAGCAACATGGACAGTAAGACGCTACACGAGATTGAGGTCTGGGCGTATGCTGAGGCTCTGCGTGCGAATCCGGCGTGTGTCATGACGAGCTACCCCTATGTCAACAATTCCCAGGCATCCCAAAACTCATACCTGATGAATGATGTCCTCAAGACGCACCTCGGCTTTCAAGGGTATACACAGAGTGACTGGTTTGCCCTCAAGTCCGGCGTTGCCGCCATCATGGGCGGCATGGACCAGGATATGCCCGGCGTCGCTGTCGCTGGTGGCTGGTCCTTCTTCGGCGCCAATTATACGGCCGCCGTTCACAACGGCTCTGTTCCCGAGTGGCGTCTGACGGATGCCGCCGTCCGTATCCTAACGCCGTACTTCTTCTTGGGGCAGGACCGGGGCTACCCCAAGGTCAACCTCGAGGACGATCCCCGCAAGGCCATCTCTGACGCCCAGCGTCAGAGACACAGGACGGTGGCTCGAGAGGTCGCCGCCGCCGGCACCGTCCTGCTCAAGAACACACCGGGTAAGATGGGCCTCCCGCTGTGGAAGCCCACTACCATTGCCCTGTTCGGCCCGGCTGCCGGCCAGAATCCGTACGGTCCCAACCAGTACGGCTACGGCTCCATGGCAGATCCGTACGAGGTGACTTTGGCCGAGACATATGGTATGAGCGAGCTCACTATCGGCTTCACCAAAGGCACACTTGCCGAGGGTGGTGGCTCTGGAACCACGTTTTGTGCGTAAAAGCCCGTATGGAAAATAGTCAATTCTCTCTGTCACTAACCTCATGCTGCGCGCAGACCCTCGCTTGGTTGATCCCATCAGCGCCATCCAGCAGCGAGCCGCCGAGGATCTGACCCTTGTGGATTGGTCCACCACGACGAATCTGACCTTTGCTGCCGCCATTGCGAAGCGCGGGACCGTCTGCATTCCCGTCGTCTCTTCGTTCTCCGGCGAGGGCACCGACCGGACGTTGAAACTGCTACACAACGGCGACGAGCTGATCAAGGCCGTGGCTGACAACTGCGACAACACCATCCCTATTATCCAGTCTGTCGGTCCTGTCGATATGGAGGTACGGTTATAGCTTGTCTACCTATACCCACGCTGCATTCTGATATTTTCTTTCTCATAGGCCTGGGTCGAGCACCCCAACATCACCGCCATCGTTTGGGCCAACCTCGGCGGGCAAGAGCTTGGTCCTGCTCTTGTTGACATTCTGTATGGGAATGTCAACCCGTCGGGCAGGCTCGTCTACACCATCGCCCGCAACATCTCAGACTATGCTCAGAGCCACATCGTCAAGGAGCCACAGCCGTATCCGCAGATCAATTACACTGAGGGTGTGTCTGTGGACTACCGTGGCTTCGAGAAGGACGGCAAGACCCCACGCTTCTGGTTCGGCCATGGGCTATCGTACTCCAGCTTTAGCTACAGTGACCTTGAGGTTAACAAGCAGGCCGACCTCGACGAAGCCATCAAGACGCCCCTCAATTACGTTGGAGACGCGTCCGGCGGCGACTCTAGGATGTACGATGTGGCCGTAGTCATCTCTTTCAGCATCTACAACAACGGCCCATACGACGGGACGGAGATTCCGCAGCTCTACCTTCAGTTGCCTGATGAGGCTGAGAACCCGACCAAGATCTTGCGCGGCTTCGATAACGTTCGAATCCGCGACGGCGAGACTCAGAAGGTGTATCTCTACCTGACTCGTAAGGATATCAGCTACTGGAACAATATCCAGCAGAACTGGGTCACGCCTACCGGGAAGTTTGGAGTGCACGTTGGTGCCTCCTCCAACGATATCCGCCTGGACGGAACTTTTACCCTATAGTTTAGATGCTTTTCTTAATTCTTTTCGTGGCGGGCTAGGCCTTGCTTGAGCTGCTGGTTTAGTGGAGCTTCGTCAACATAAGTGATAGGTTACAAATAAATCCTAATACCAGTCGTCGAACCTGCTACACCCTTGGTGCGACGAAAGGAGTCCTGAATCCCCAAAATCGTAGCATGTTGGGGTCAAGACAAATTCAATCGTCATTCTACTGCGTAAAACAACGGATCTGGCAGAGATGTATGAGAGGCATCGGTCACCCCTTTCAAGTACCGGCAATGAAAACGAAAGTCTATTCTATCATGATTACTCTTTGGATCCCATCTATTTGGCCAGCTAGTTAACACCCCACCTCTTGTACATCATATCGTAGATCTGGAGGTCCTGCTTGGCGTCCTCCACCGTCGTTTTGATGGCCTTGCCGTTGGCAAAGGCCTCATACAGTTCCTGGAGCTCAGCTGTGTACGCGTCCTCGTACGATGATACCATGGTACGTCGTTGAATCTCGCCCTGCTCATTAAGCTCCTCCACCTCGACGGAGATGGGCAGACCCTTGACGTACGGACTGTCGTACTGCAATGTGGGTCAGCTCCCGCTCACAGGCAGATTGTGTCGCATTCACTAACCTTGATGGTCACCCTTTTTTTGGCGCCGTAGACGGTAATGTGGGCGTCAAAGATAGGGACCTCGTCAATGCCGCTCTCGTAGGTAGTGGAGTATATCGAACCGTCCGGGTTGCGGAACGTCATGATAGCGCTGTAGAAGGGGTGGTTGACGGACACGCCGTCAACCTTTTCGGGGAAGCCCAGGGTCTCGCGCATGAGGGATATATCGTGGGAGCCCAAGCTGCCGAGGAAGCAGCAGTACTTCTTCATCTCGTCGGTGATCTCCTGGTTCGGAAACACTTCCGCGAAGAGAGCGGCCAAGCGCGTGTTGCGCTCCTGGGTAGCGTTGGGAGGGTAGTCAAAGTTCTTAACCTGGAAGGTGCCGCTCTGGTTCACAAACTGTGCATTGGGCCCGCTGAAGTCACGGACGCGGGCGTACAGGATCCTAGGGATGGTTGCCACCTCGCGCTTAAAGGCCCGTAGGTAGCTTGGGGCATAGCGACGCATGTAGCCCACGAAGACACGGGCTCCACCTGACGCGTCCTTCTCGGCGTCGATGATGGACTGTATCGAGGGCAGGGACAGGGAGACGGGCTTCTCGATGAACACGTTCTTGCCGGCCTTGAGGCTGGCGAGGGCTAGTGGGGCGTGGCTCTCATCGGAGGTGAGGATGAAGACCACCTTTACCTTCGGATGGTCGATGACCTCCTGCGGCGTGGTGGTCTTGTGAGGCACGAAGAACTTGGCTGCACAGTGGTCAACCGTCTTGGCTGACACGTCGCAGATCGATTCGATCTTGAAGAGATGCGAGAGCAGCAGCAGACAGGGACCGTGGCACACCTGGAAGACCTCCTGACGCGGTTTGTTAGCCCCTTGTTGAAGCCTAGAGATTTCTCAAAAGTGAGCTTATTCCGTGACTTACACCGGCCCCAATGATCCCTACTCCCAACCTGGAAGGTGAAGACATCCTGGCACGTTTTCTTTTCTATTCGCCTCTTTTCTTTTCTTTTTTAGTATTGTTTTGCTCCCTCTTCAACAGTCTGGAAAGGCGAATGTAGTCAAGAAGTGATTGAACCAAGTTCGGGCTTCGAAGAGGAAAAAGAAAAGGAGATGGAAAAAAAGAAGCGCCGCGCGGAACAAGACAAGCGATTTGAAGTGGGTGCGTCATCGGGGTCCAACCTACTCAGACGGTAAAACTGACTCGTGCGTCGGGATGGGATGGAGCCACGCGGAGCCCCACCGCGCGGGGGGATCGGAAGCTAGCTAGTTTGAGGTGATTCCGCTCGAAGCATCGCGGCACTGGAGGAGCTCATGCCGACACGGGGATACATGTCCACCACTTTCCCCACAAATGCCAGGAATGTAAAACCCACAGTCATGCAAGACTGGAGCACAAACTCAATGATCTGAGACTGCCGCAGACACCGACACGCATTCCTCCATTCCTCTACTTTCATCTCTCGAACTATTCATCTAGATCTGTTTATTACGGCAATGGCTGGTGGTCACGATAGCTCCCTTGGAGCCGTTGCCGAGCTGCGGCAGCAGGCCGGGGGCAAGTACACCGGTGTCCGGGCCTTATGGTCCAATATCAGCGTCCTCTTCATTGCTCTCTTTGCTTCTTTTGTAAGTTCGATCCTCGCAAGGTACTACGATCGGTCTCTGACTCTCGCTACGTCAGGGCGGCCTTCTCTATGGGTACCAGCAGGGTGTGCTCGGCCAGGCTCTTGTTATGTCGAGCTTCCAGAAGTCGTTCCCCGATATTGCTAACAGCTCGGGTGCCCAGGGCTGGTTGACCTCGATTCTCCAGCTCGGCGGTTGGGTGGGAGCGCTCTCGGCTGGCGTCTTGTGCGAAGTCTTCTCTCGCAAGCACACCATTTTCGGTGGCTCCGTCTGGGTTATCCTCGGTTCCTACTTGACAGCAGGGGCGCGCAGTGCAGGCTTCCTGTACGCCGGTCGCTTCTTCACGGGCCTTGGTGTCGGCACTCTCTCAGCTACAGGGTGAGCATTCTTGTCACTGAAGGCCCTTACGGGCTCTGTTCTAACTTCTATCATGGCAGACCTCTATACAATGCAGAACTGGCACCCCCGGAAATTCGCGGTCTTCTTGTGGCGATGCAACAGCTGGCGACCACCCTAGGCATCATGAGTGCCTATTGGATCTGCTACGGCACAAACTATATTGGCGGTACCGGTGACGGCCAGTCTAATATGGCTTGGCGCCTTCCGCTAATTATCCAGGGCCTGCCCGCTATCGTTTTAGCCATTGGCGTATGGTTCCTGCCGTACTCACCCCGTCTCCTGGTCAATCGGGGGCGTGATGACGATGCGCTTCACACACTTAGCCGACTCCGGCGGCTGCCTCCAGACGACAGACTGGTCCAGATCGAGTTCCTGGAGATCAAAGCGGAAAGCGTGTTCGAGTCGCGGAACCTAGACAAGAAGTTCTCGCACCTAGCGTCCAAGGCCGGAGGCAACCGTTTGCTACGCGAGTTTGCTCAGTACTCACTCATCTTCCGCAGCAAGGACTCGTTCAAACGCGTTGCTCTGGGCGGCCTCGTCATGTTTTTCCAGCAGTGGAGCGGCATTGATTCAAGTAGGCCCCCGCTGACCCTCAAATAAGACAGGTATATCTTCGCCAACACCTGCTAACTCCTACTCCAGTCATCTACTATGCGCCCATCGTCTTCCAGGATCTCGGTCTGACGAACAGCACAGTCTCGCTGCTAGCGACTGGCGTCGTCGGTATCATCAATGTCGTGACGACCATTCCGGCCATCTTCATCATCGACCGCGTAGGCCGCAAGCCTCTGCTGATCTGCGGGTCCACGGGCATGTTTCTCTGCCAGCTAATTACGGGTATCCTCGTCGCCAAGTTCCAGGCCAACTGGCCCGCGCACACGGCCGGCGGCTGGGCCGCGGTGGTCATGATCTGGCTATACATCTTCAATTTTGCCTACAGCTGGGGGCCTGCGTCGTGGACGCTGATCGCCGAAATCTTCCCGCTGTCTATTCGTGCCAAAGGCACGTCCATCAGCGCTTCGTCCAACTGGATGAACAACTTCATTATCGCCTTCATCACCCCGCCAATGCTGTCATCCATCTCCTGGGGTACTTATATCTTCTTCTGTGTTTGGTGCGCCCTTGGCGGGCTCTTCATCCTCTTCTTCTTTCCCGAGACCAAGGGCAAGACTCTCGAGGAGATGGACATTGTGTTTGGGTAAGTATATCTATTCGGTGTCCCATTAATTCAGTTTCACCCTAACCAGTTCTTCTTTCCTCAGCGCCACAACCAGTAGCGACGACACGGCGGCTCTCGCGGCGATACAGGATGAGATCGGTCTTACGGCGATACTTCATGGACATAATGGGAGTACCAAGGCAGACGAGGTCCCTAGTCAGGAGCACGCCGATTTCGGAGTTTAATGGCCGCCGTCAGCTATGGTACTGCCTCTCGTTTGGAGGTCTGGCACCGCAGACGCTTGACTGGGTTTCAAACATTAGCAATGCCACTGTACCGGCCAGAAAGCAATTGCAAAATACATTGCTATTCGAAATCAGTTTTACCTCCAACCTGTTAGAGCCCCACCCACCCTCAGCGCAATAGCCTGTATTAAGATGTCCTTCCGCCGGGTCTGCAATAGTCCCTGTATCCTCAATGGGTCGATAGAAATTACAGTAATCTCATTTCTTAACAGTGTTTGTCTCGCTGCGTGGTTTTACCGTGCCGCTGGATGCAGAGGGCGTCCATTCATCAATCGTCGCCAATCACAACCCACCTCCCAACATTTCGTCTTATGACGGTGGACGAGAAGCTTATCGCATAACTCCTCGAGGTGTGTTTTTAAACTTCTTCGTATCTAAGGCATGGCACCATTGAGTATATTGTACGACGTGGATTAGAAGGGAAATAAAGCCTTTGCATTCGCATAACAGTACAGGGAAACCTTAATCAGGAAAAACCTTTACCAAGGCCGAAAGAAAAAGGAGAGCAAATAAGTTGAAGGTAGAGTTCGCACTAAAGACAGAACCCGATATGAAATCAGAGATCGATAGGGCGACTATTATAAGATCCTGTCCAATACTTACCGGAAGCAAGGCATTGAAGTACACCTCGGTTGGAATTTCCAGCGGCTGCCTTACTAACGGCCCATCCCAGTCAGCGCTGTGTGTTCAAAGTCATCACGCTTCAGTCAAAGGGCATCACTCACAAGCTATTCACGTCCATCCCAGTCAGCGCTGTGTGCATAAAGTCATCATTCCTTTGTCAAGGGGCATCACTTACACCCTATTCATGTCCATCCTAGTCAGCACTGTGTGCACAAAGTCATCGTTCCTGAAGAAAAGGGCATCACTCACAAGCTATCACGTTCATCCTAGTTCGCGCTCTGTGCTCAAAGTCATGGCTCCATAGTCAAGGGTCATCACTTACACCCTACCCACGTCGATCCTAGTTAGCGTTTTGTGCTCAAAGTCATCACGCTTCAGTCAAAGGGTATCACTTACACTCTATTCATGTCCGTCCCAGTTAGCGCTCTGTGCTCAAAGTCATCGCTCTATAGTCAAAGGCCATCGCTTACAAGCTATTCACGTCCATCCCAGTTAGCGTTATATGCACAAAGTAAAGTCATCGCTCCTTAGTCAAGGGCCATCACTTACAAGCTATCCACGTCCCTCCAAGTCAGCGCTATGTGCTCAAAATCATCGCTCCTCAGTCAGGGGTCATCACTTACATCCTATTCACGTCCGTCATAGTCAGCGCTATGTGCTCAAAATCATCGGTCCTTAGTCAAGGGTCATCACACTTACATCCTATTCACGTCCGTCATAGTCAGCGCTATTTGCTCAAAATCATTGCTCCTCAGTCAAGGGTCATCACACTTACATTCTATTCACGTTCGTCATAGTCAGCACTATATACACAAAGTCATCGCTCCAGTCAAGGATCATGACTTACATCCTATTCACGTCCAACTCAGTCAGCACTTAAATATGATTTGAAGAGTGTTCCTAGAAGTTTTCATACCTCTCTTTCAGCTAATTTATTGCTAGATGATTCTTCCATAGATCCTGCTACCGCAAGTGCGGCAAAGACAAATGCCATGGCAAGAGACAGAACCTTCATATTGATAGTTATACTTATTGTGGAAGATAGCTGGCGTGTTTGAATTGGTGATCTAATAGAGAGTAAATTGATTCAAGTGACAAGGATTGTAGATATTTGTGCTGTCCATGATGACTATCTATAATAACATGAATCTTGCTCTTCCCGCATTTACTCAAGGGGAGCGGATTGAGGATCTACATAATTGAAATGCATTGTGTACATTCCCTTCCGCCGCCCTTGCGTCAAATAAATTTCCTTTTCTTTTCATTTTTTTTTTCCATATAAATAATCTATTGCCGCTTTATGAAAGGGGGTGAGTATCAAAATATATTGCATGCTGTAGACTTAGAGAAGAATTGAGGCAGAGTAGCCTGATGATTAGAGGAGTGAGAGCAAGCTCTGCATAGGGCTGTCACCTAGGCCACAGGAGCATTGTCCACATGAGTAACCAAGCGCTGTATGTAATGGGCTTTAAGTAATGCTTTCTGCCCAACGGATCCACCCAGTAGTGGGCGCCATGCCGGCACGTCGATGGTCGCATCGCATCATATTATAGGCGCTACGCCATATGGGTCTCTCACCGGAGGCATTTGCCTACGCATCAAGCCTGGCGTCACGTTCATTGGGCATCCTGCTCATGACGGATTAATTTTCTCTCTTTTTCCCTTTCCAAGCTACGGCTGGAGAAGAGTGGCGGTCATCTACATAGTTGAAAGTGATCTCTAGTGTGAGTTTCTTACCCCGGAAGAGTGGATCAGACTATAGCAGATGTGACCACACCTGATGAGATCTTAATGGGACTGCGCATTACGGGACCGCGCACGACGGCTCTGCACTTGACGGAATCGCGTTTGGGATCGCGTTTAGCATCACTGCGTTTGAAGATTGCATTTGAAAGGTGACACAGGACGTAGACTGTTGTAGATAAGTAGAGACTCTTCCTCTGTCTCTTCTTCCCTTTCTCACCTTGGATCTCCCGTCGACTACGTACTCAATTGAATTCTTTATTGATTTTCTTTCTTGACCTGACACCCGGTCACAGCAGAAGCAGCTTCTCAGCGGTAGTCCAGATACAATAATGTCGGTATTGTCGAATCGTTTAGTCAGTTTGCGCTTGGTACGATCGGTCGTTAATGCAGTAATAGTATCGTCAGTTGTCATCCGACGATGGCGGGTAGTCTTTATCTGAGTACTCCCTCAAGGGGGCTTTTTTAAACACCATTACCAAAAGGCGCTAGGGGCCAGAGCGACGTCTTCTTCCGTGTCCTGACATACCTCCCGATTGTTGATTGTCACGGCCATTCTATACGGTAGTGGATACAAATTGGCTGTACCATGTCGTAAGCTCTTCCTTCTTCCCACTCAGTCATTTAAAGGAACTATACAGGATGTGGGGCAGGTTTGCTTCTTGGCTCAAATCCATCCTCAAGCATGCTGGACTGGTTTTAGGTGATTAGAAGTAGTCTTAATGACGGACAATCTGCGACTGATACCGACGCCTGTTCCTCGGGTCGGCCTATTCAAGGATGCAAATGATTGTCATGGCATGCCTGGTTGGCTCCGTAATGGAAGATGACCGAAGGCTATCTGTCATACTGATTCTGCCAGGACCATCTGTCAGCAGGCTTGATCGCCCACGATATGTCCCAATCAATTGTGCCTGTGATTAGACCGAAAGCTTTCTATTCGTTAGCTGGATTATAAGGAAAGTCGGAAGAAATTGAGACATTCAGTGGTCTTGATAAAGGCGTCATGCTTGTCTAGATAAGTGGGCGTTATAAGAGTCGAATTGGGGCCAGCATGTTGCCATCGGCGACTTCCTCCAACCTGTCTCCAACAGCAACCGTGCAACCTCGTCATGGCCATCCGATAAAGCAGCATATAGTGCATTGTCGTAAGAGCCATCTTGCGCGTTAACATCAGCGCCTTTCTCTGACGGTAGCTGCACAGTCTGTTCACAGCCTTTCGATGAAGCGACCCTGAGCGCATTACCATCAAGATCACCTTGTGGTTCAGCTGTCCTGCGCCTGTTCTGGCTGGTTGGGAAGCGGTGCAGTAGTCGCCATAGGTGAGGAATGTTTGGCAAGTTTAACAATAGAGTAGCACGGGAAACCGCTAACGTTAAGCCAGCTTCGCTGATTTAGACACGTGAGACATAAAGAGCGCTAAACCCAAAGCAAGTCGTGGTTACTCGTAGTCCCTGTCCACTCATTGACTATATTAATTATCATTATGCAAGCCAAGGCCAGTTAGCTTCTGCGACAGTAGTAGTGCACCTAAGAGCTCCACATCGCCTTCCCTCTTCGATACCCCTTATGGTCCAGCATATCGGCCAAGGGGGCTTGGGGCCATGAGTCATGTCCGAAGCACCGCCACTCTTCCTCTTGAGTCATCTCTAGGTCGGTGACTCGGGAACGAACTGCTGATCACGTTGTATTCAGTATTTGCGGCTCAATTAGTCACGTTGACACGGACTCGAGTCGATCGGATCTAGAATTGCTCAGTGGACAAAAAACCAGCTATAAATTGTCAGATCATGCCAGATGAATGGGGATAGTAAACAGGCCATTTTCACCAGAATCTGCCAAGAATGGCGTCCGACCTTCCCCAGAAGGAGAGTGGTGAGCATCCTGAGGCTCCGGCACAGGCTCAGCAGGAAGCAACAGGACCAGTGCCCAAATGGCCGAGAAGTATATCGCCTTCGTCGACGGAATCTGCCGAGAACAAACTGCGCACCGCGTCCGGTATTAAGTCTCGCTGGCCATGCTGTACGGTGTACTAATCCATGTGGGCAGACGTGATCAATCGCCTGCTATGGGATCCCAGTTACGATCACAGTGACTTTGTCATTGGCTATGAGGATCGATTTGAGGGACGCCTGGAGGCCAGTTTGGGGTCGTGGAAGAAAGACTTGACGGACGAGGAGTTCATTCCGCAGCATCGCATCCTGTACATCAAGCGCCGCGGTGGTGAAGTCGTGTGGGATCGACGATGACGCACCGACACCATCTTCTACAGTGGAAACTCAGCCTTCCGCGAGTTGGCCTTTCTGGCTTAACGAGGGAACCGCGCCTTCCATGCGTCCACCACTCTTTTTGTCCTGCTCTCCTTCTCTTACTTTCCCTTCCCTTTCCGTTTCTGTTCTCTTCAACCCTTCAACCAACCGACATGGATCTCTCCAAGCACAGGAAACCGTCCCTGCCTCGGCTGACCACCAACCTGACTTCCACCAGGCGTTCACGCTCCACTGCATCGCTGCCCGTCTTGGTCTCCAAGCCACTACAGAACATCAACGTGGAGAAACCCGCTTTTCAGCCTACTTTGTTTCCTGAAAACAACGAAGACGACGAGAACGCTCCCCCCACCGTCCACTATGCCCCTGCGGACGCTCTACGTGACCCAGAAGTGTGCGGAGGACGAGCCTGGTTCCCAGCTGAAAATTGTCTACTACGAGGACGCGTTCACCACGCGAGGCTCGCACAGTTCTCCCAAAGAGCGGGTTGGCCAGGATTCGGTGGTCGTTGCAGAGCTGAAAACCAACTGGAAAGTACGTGCTGTTGGTCGCATAGCGATCGCTCTGTTAACCCCCAAACGCAGGCTGCAGATGATAGCTCCAAGGATGGCGCCACCAAGCTGGTTGAGGATCTCGCCCTGCATCTTGCCCAAGTCTACCAGCGGCCCGAAAGCTCGATGATGATAACGATCCAGCAGGACGTCTGCCTTCTCTTTGGCAGTGCATCCGTGCCAGCGTATCTGCTGAAGATCTACGCCCTGCCTTATCTGATTGCGCCAATAACCAATCTCCGCAACACTGCTCTCATCCAGAATGCCCTTCTGGAACTACTGGGTGCGGCACCGGACCAGGGCGTGATAATTTACCTTCCGATCCAAGAAGACAATCTTGCGACGAACGGAGTGACGGCGCACGGAGAGATCACTCGTCTGCAACGCCTTTCTCAGAATGAAAGCCCCGGTCTCTTCAGGACTCTGTCGCGATCCATGAGCCGCCGTTTGAAGTCGGGTAGCGGCCATAATCAATCAACTCTCATCATCCCTGCTGTTCAGAGCCCTGTCTCGCCCCCTGTGCCCGAGATCTTACCAGAGCCTATCTCTGCCGCAGAAGGGGAAAAGTTGATCGCGTCGCCCAAAGACCAGCATTCTCTCCGTGGCCGAAAGCGAGATAGCTTCAGGGACGAGGTTTTTAATCGTCTGCGTTTCCATGATTATCTGGCCTCCCAGGTGAAGGAGAAGGCAGCTGAACTTGAAGGTGAAAATTGATGAAGAGCAGTATATGTTAGGTTGGTTCCTGAGTCCGTCCTGTTTTGTATCAGATTATCCGGTTCGATTCCCAGTAATCAATGAATTCACTCGGTTCAAACTCGATATTTCTGACAGACTAGCTCATGTATTGGTAGATAGAGTATCGGAACAGTGAAGACTACCTAGTTGCTGATCTCAGGAGACTGTAATCAAACTGATATCGTGTAAACAAACTCCCTCAACACCTTTCTTTCTCCCATTTGCGCCACACCTTTCCCTCTCTTTTTTTTGCTGTCAGCAATCACCACATCCTCTCTCCTACAGTATTGCCCATCATGGCAGGCCAAGTTTCCGAGTACCCCAAGGGTGACAACTCCAGTGAAAGCACCGCCGGTATCCATTCTTCGTCGCCATATCCTCCTGATACTAGTTGTGTCCTTGAGGTTCCAGGCAACCTCTTTGATGCACCTGCTGGGTCGGGGTTGATTCGTATGTTACACCCCGCATCCTATCTAAAAAGGAATACGCTGACCTCAGCCCAAGATGCCTGTAACGGTATGGGTGCATGGGGTGCTGGGATTGCTCGCACGTTCCGACAGAGAGTATGTGCGGCCCATTTGGTATCCCAGCCCTGTCTAATATACCTACAGTATCCCCAAGCGTACCAATATTACCGCTCCCACTGCCAGAGCTACATTGACTATCCGGAACGAAACAGCATCATCAACCTCCAAACCGGCGATGACAGGCGCATCTCCGTGTGGAAACCACTGGGCACGGCGCTGCTGATTCCTCCCCAGGATTCCGAAAGACACTGGATTATCTGTCTCCTCACCTCACGCGGATTTGGAACGCGCATCGGTTCTCCCGACCTAATTGCAAATAGCACCTATGCTGCTCTCAAGGATCTGGAGCGGTGGATGGGAATCTACCGGGCTCTGCACGAACATATCGGTCTTGATATGCCTAATGATTTGTACGCGTGTCGCTTCAACTCGGGCCGTTTTGATGTTCCTTGGCATAGGACTCGGAATCTTATTGAGGGCGCGGGTGTGGCTATGATTGTTGTTTATCGTCCTGAGGATAGGGAGGATGGGTCTGCGACTCCTCCGAGTTAAGTTGGTTTTCAGAGCATGAGGTGGGGTTTTCGAGGGCAGGAGCAGTGATATGCTTCTATTTCGGACTTTCCAGAACACGAGAATTAAATTCATGAATAATGCTACAATGATCACTTCAACGTCTTGAATAGATCGAAGTCACCTGACACCGTTTTTGGCTACTATCGCGTTGACAGCCCGTTTCGGTTCCACTCAACACCCCTCCCACTCCGATTCCCACTACCACCACAAAATGGCTGGCGAACCAGCGCAGAAAAAGCGCCGACTCCCCTTCAACCCACCTAGCCGCGCCTCATCTACCGCCGGATCCTCAACATCAGCGTCCAAAGCAAAAGGCCAAACCAAACAAACCATCAAGTCCTCGTCCTCCGCCTCCGCCTCCGCCTCCAAGTCTACCAATCGCAAATCCACATCAACCAGCAAGGGTGTGCGTGCCCAGTCCCCGCCATCATCAGCTGCCGTCTCCGACGACGCGTCGGATGCAGAGTCTGGATCCAACTCCTCCAATCACAGCCGCGAGCGCTCCGTCTCCCAAGAGCCAGACTTCATTCTCGCTGAAATCACCACTGCCCAAAATGAAGCAGAGGACGTGAGCTGGAGCGAGCCGACTATACCATCCAAATTGCTTACGCGGTTGTTACATCACCATTTTGCCAAGGAGAAGACAAAGGTCGCCAAGGATGCCAATGCGGTTGTGGCGAAGTATGTCGATGTCTTTGTGAGGGAGGCTATTGCGAGAGCTGCCTATGAGAGAGCGGAGACGGACGGTACGTCTGGCGCGAGAGGAATCGGCGATGGGTTTCTGGAGGTAGGTTATTTTTCTTTTCCTGTTCTCGCTTCCTTGGAAGTGAAACATTGCTAATGCACGTCCCAATAGGTGGAGGACCTCGAGAAAATGGCACCACAGCTTACGATGGACTTTTAATGCTCAGAATAGAAGACATGGGCGTTTAGGCTGCACCTCTTGAGGGGGCTTTTTTTTTTTTTTTTTTGAGATACCACATTATTCAAAGCCGCGAAACAAAATATGAATGAAAATTAACTACACTTGTTCTATAACAGAGACATGTCGCGTGGGTTCCGGTACTGAGGCAGTTTCCCCAATCCCCAATCTTCGAAGTATGGCGGAACTGCGCCGAAGCCGTTGGCGTTATGGAGGAGTGCGATATCCCGATTCACTCTGTTGGAGACCCATGCGTTGGCCATATATGCTGATTGCTTCTTGCTGAAATGCGCTACTACTACGGGAGCTGGTTCTGCTCGGGGAGATGGCCCAGCTTTGCGTCGTAGGCGGTGTTGCAGATGTCGAAGACAATGAAGGTGCGGGTTCGCCACTTTTGGACTGCGAGAAGTTTGGCGTCGGAAACTGTCGCGTGGAATCCGTTGCCGAGGTTTTTATTCTGAAGCAGTCTCATGGCGCTTGGGACGATGTCCTCGGCGCGATTCTGGACTTTTTTCCATCGGGAACTTCGCTGGGAGACGATGACGAGCACGCGCACCGGGTTTGGGTCCATGGCTGCGTGCAATGGCTGATTGCTTCGCTTCTCCTTCTCTCCATCCACCGAATTTACGAATGGTAAACTCAGCTTGAATTTCTTCGTATCACTTTGTAGAGCCCGCGCGGATCCATCAACGGCCAAAAGGTTCATTTGTGGCGCAAACTGAGCGACTTCATGATCCATAGAGGGTGGTTGGTGGACACTACACTCTTATCGGTGGCGATTTGTGACCCGGCAATTGATCGTCCACCTGAGACGTATGCGGTGTGTCCGACAACAACAAGAACATGAGAATGGTGATTCTGACGTAAATTCCCATCAGGGCATAGATTTTGATTGTCTGATACCTTCTCCTTCCGCAAAATTGCGCAGCAGATTTTGCTAATCGAATGGTTTGCCGAAGACATGATCGCACCAGCTTGGAGAGCGCAGACCTAGGCCTGCGTTGTGGAAGTCCAGAACCAAAGTCGAGATTGGAGATTCAACTAGATATGAGAATACAACCGGGGGATAGGCAGCCTTAAATGATCATCAATTTTGCTGTAGTAAACAGAGTAACGTTTGCAACCTATTGTTACAGTTTCACTGTTGGAATCAACTGTCAAATATTGAGGCCAACTGAATCAATGGGAGGGCTTAGTTGCCGACAGAATTGGGCCATGAGCTTCATAGCAGTTAAAAATGCCAAGTTAAAAATAAGGGCTGTTGACGATATTGACGATATTGACAGGCCTTTGATTAGACACTTGCTGATTGACGATATGAAAAAATCATGCCCATAACGTATCGTTAACACCCCTATGGATCGTATATAACAGTCATCAGATACGTCAGCAGCCGGAAATACCAGCTTGCTTTTTAAGAGCACTCCTTTAAACGATCGACATGATATCGACTTGACCTCTCTTCACTCTCACCACTCTCACCACTCTCACCACTCTCACCACTCTCACCACTCTCACCACTCTCACCACTCTCACCACTCTCACCACTCTCACCACTCTCACCACTCTCACCACTCTCACCACTCTCACCGTTCCTTCACCGGCACTCCTACACTACCACTTCCACAATCATCTACCGCTGTGATGACGTTTCTGATGAAAAACAAATTCAGACCAAATTCAAGTAAAACTTCATTTACAGCAAGCGCCGTTGTTGAACCAGGCGATGTCCACATTTCAATTGAGTGATTGTCCTTACAATACGAACAGACTGAATCGAAAAGCACCCTTGGCCCAAGCAAAGTTAATGGCAAGATTACTCAGTGATAACCAAGAAACAAGACAAGACACGGAAATGTGTCACGATGTTGTTGAGTGGAAGGAAAAAGAAGCTCCGGAGGTGGAGCTACAGTATCTACGAAGACATGGCGCGCTGCCTAACGCTCCTGGACAACTGCAGCCAGAAATTTTATATTGTATATTCGTTGGGGTCATGAAACTTAATCATGTTCGCTAAAGTCAATTTGAAGAAATCAGACGAATTTAGAAAAGAGCATTCTCACTTTTTTATGGACTGAAGGCGTTTTCCTTGATTGTGCTCAATTGAGATCGCTTAATTGAATTCTAATTTTAAACAGAAGCACTTGATCATAGCAGGGGAAGCTCGGAGAGTCACCAATGCCCATAAGGGAAAGCAGAAATAAAGGAGAGCGAAGACGTCTGTCGACGTTACAGAATCTCTCCCAAAATTGTTGAGATGATGAGACAAAGAAAGCCTGGAGCCCGGATACTTGCGGATATCGACTCGTCAACACTTGACTGAGGAACCGATCGAAAAGTGCGAAACTTCAGCTACTCCAGTTCGTCGTAATCCGGGCTTTTTGCTGGAGGGATCAACCACCACAATTGGGCGAAAACCCAATTTTGATCGCTCATTATGCTTGTGAAGATAATGAAGAACAAGACGATGTAAAAAAACAATGCCAATGAAGGCAAGACTGCCTCCAAGTACACTGCTAAGTATCAACTCCATGCCTTGTTTGGAAAGACGCTTCGATAGACTGCCAATGTTGATTGCTGTGTCATGCCATTCTGGACTTGAGGTCTTAGTGGGGGATGAAGAATTCTTTCCCTGTGTAATGGTTTCTGGGCTGGTAGGGATATCCCCCAGTGTCCATGATGAGAATGTTTGGCTTTCATGTTCAGTTCCCAGGGATATGCCATGTCGTCCAGTACCTTGAGGCAGCCGAGTATCCGAAGGTGCATTCCTTGTGACATCATTATTAGGATACCTTCTCTCCCCAGCTTCGTCGATCTCGAAACTTTGAGCATAGGCCTTGGGCGTGGAATGACCGAGGAAGGCCACGTAGGCTTCCGAAACATAATCCGAGGGCAATGAACCTGAATTTTTCCACTCCTTCTGAAAAGTACCATCAGATATGACTGGTGGAAGAATGAATTTGCTAGCAGTCTCGAAAAGCGAGGCCACAAAGTCATTCGTTGGACTCCCATCGAGTACAGGGCGCTGATCATTAAAGTTGGTCACGATTTGGCGCCCTTGTGTCGCGGCACCAGATGTAATGTACCTTAATGCTGCCCAAGTATCCTCTCCACTATGGATGTCAACCACCGTAGAGTTCGCGATAACGGTATTGGCCGGAGAGACAGGCAATAGTAATGAATCATCGAACGATGTTGGCGTTAGTATGGGTGATGTGGAAAATGATTCTAAAACTGGCGATGTGTGTCGATTTGATGTCTCCTCAGGTAATAGTGAGCTCTGCCGAATAAGAGTGAGTGAAATAGACGTGGGCTTACACGAGCTTGATGCCGGATGTCTAAATACAAATGTCAGTGATAGAGTTTAGAAACGCAAATGGATGGAGTTGAGGATCTGCAGACAATACAGAAGACAATGGGACAGAGGTCTGTACGTGTGCTGAACTAGAAGGATATTTTCGCATCGTCATTCGTTTTTGAGAGCAGATTACTCAATTCGACAATTTGTAAAGACTTGCAATTCCCCACGAGATGCTTAGAGATAATACGTAATTCTTCAACTGTCCCATACGAATGGCTTTATATTCCCGGACCTAAGATTTACTGACTGTTCAGGAAGCTCAGCAACACAAAAGATACTGAGTACTTGGTTCTACCTCTAAAGCAGTATTACGGCGATGCAGACATAATCCACAATTTGGCGGCGCTCACCATTCCCTCAAGATATTGTGCTGCGTTTCTGGATTTGATCAATGCGCATTTTTTGCTATCACAGATAAACGTCGTTGGAAAACATTGACAATACTGTGGTCATCGTTGACGAGATAGTCGTGAGCTAAGCCTTGTTGGCTATAGCGCATGAAGATTATAGCTGATGCCCAGGCACTAATAAATAAGTGTTTCATGGAGCCCTGACAAGCTTCCATCTTCATCGAAGCAAAATCAACTGACAGATGGCCCATACTCTAAGCCGGGTCAAACGAGAGCAACTCCGAAAGCGCCGCAACAATCTGTTACGTCGTCATAATGAGTTCTGGCTTTTGTATGGGATAAAAAGTTGGCTCGTCATGGAAATGCCAGACGGGCAGATTCTTACCTATCATTCTCACCCTGACATTCCTCCACCGTCAATGGAGGACATAGTATGGCTCAATCATGCAGGAACCGAGAATGTTGGGATACTGATTGATAAAAGGAAAAATGCGTCAAATCTGCTATCATTAGAACACCTCGCGATTATAATTCCACAGCCCTCACTCAGCCATCTGACCAAAAGCTCCCCGTCATCCGCTCCCCGAAACGTCAACGCGATATTTGGGAATCATTGGCGCAGTGCCTGAAGAATAATCGTCGCACGGTCTTGTAGTGACACAGCACCTCACCTTCAATAAACGCACAACAATATCTACAGTATTTGTGTGGCTTCACGGACAGGAGAGTCATTCAAAGTTGTATGCCGCCTAGGTCTTTCAATAAATAGAAATATGATTTGTTAAGTTGAAAAAGATAGATTATATATTTCCTGGCCTTTTGCAGTATTTTCAAAACTTTTACTCTGTCTAACCTGGAGGCTAACCTAACATCTTTTTGGCCTGTTGTCTGCGGAGGGCAAAGGCAAACCACGTACATGTAATGGTCTCAAATTTTGGGAGGGTTTTCAATATCGAAAACATCTTCGAATCGGGCTAGTCAGGCGTTATTCATTGGTCTGGCTGCCGATGACGATGTCGATGGATTCGGCCATGTTTTGGAAATTCAAAAGATACTGGGATACGACATGAGTATACTTTTGGGATATAACTGGAATAGCAATAGTTACTCATGTGATCACTAGGCTGTTCATTGTCTCGTTTCACGCTATGGGAAAATTGTGGGAGAGGTACCTGCGCTGCTTAGCAAAGAGCAAAGTACCCACGTAAGTCTTCTCGGTGTGGTATAAACTACTCACTCTTGGCTCTGGCGGAAGAAGCATCGTCATTAATGGTCTAGAGGCCTTGTTAAGGGTCAGCATTAATCGAAACCAAGCAGCAAACAAAATGGTCATACCACTGGAATCACAACGACCAGGACCCCCACGATCAGGATCACGAGAGCAATCATGTTTGTGACACAGATTTGAGCACTCTGATACCTATCAATGGAGGGAAAGTCGACTCTTATATGTCAGGCACTTCGAGATAAATACTCCACTAAGACGAAATGCCCTCTGGAGTGGAACTTGGCTATGTCCAGCCATGGTGAAAAATTTCAAACCAAAAATGAAATTGCCCGCAAAAATTACATATTGTGGTTATGTATGTGCACAAAACATGTCTCTTCGTTCAGCGCCCTCAAATTCGTGACCAGTTGAACAAATGACCTTCCGCTACATACACACATGCAGGCTTTTATATATAATGTCGCGAAATTGTCATCTTCCAAGTTTCATGTCACTCGATTGCCTGTCAAACCTGGTTAAACGTCGCTAGAAGGCTAAAAGCGTGAGAGGCTGGGATCAACCTCATGGCTCAGAACAATTCGACATCTGATGGTAGGTTGAGATGGCCCAACTTGAACAAATAAACTGACTCTTTCACTATCTTTGACAGTAGTTCGGGAAACCATAACCTCACTGCCCGGATTTTTATTGACCTTTATTCCATTTCGTGCCCAACATGTCATCTTGCAGGTTGTACAACGCCACCTCGAGGAACATATGTTTCACTTCGTTCAGAAATGGCTTTTGCTGGAGTGTTTTACGATCGGCTGGACGTGTCCCGAGTCACTAGAGTTACACAAATTCTTTTGTTTCTTGGATGACCACCAGGGAAAGATTAAAGCCAAGTCCTTTCGTCTGACTCTAAACACAATCCAAAAATGGCGACGCGTGATTACCAGCATCCGCCATGCTGCTGTCCACCGCATTCCACAGGATCGAGATACACTGCTTCAAATGAACCGCGTCGCTATCAATTTCTCGACGTGCATTGTCGGCTTCAAAAACTGCGGAAGCCTTTGTCGGCTTTATAAATTTCTGAAGATAACACTCTCGAGGTCGAACCGGGTGATGACCCAGCTGAGACAAAACATTGACTCACAGATCTCTTTGTGTGAGGCTCGCCCGCAGCACCTGCACCAACGATTGACATTGCTCCCGGAAGCCGTCAAGAGAGTCTTGGAACGCAGCGATGAAAACTTCATTTCAGAAGTGAAAGCCTTTTTACAAGCTGAATTCAAATGATGTGGGAGCGTTTGTTAAGCTGATTAACAAATTATTGCCGTACAGAACTCATGAACGTAGCTGACATTTCCTATTTTGTGTGAATTGGCGTAAATGAGATGCTTAATTTGCCATAGCCCTGTGGGTGCAGTATACTTGCTTTATTTCTTCTTCCGAATTCTGATCCTATATTTATCCTGTCCCCCACATCAAGTAGAAGAGACGCGGTCTCCGAGTGTCAAAGCCATCGAGTCGCTGACTTCCGAGCCGAATGGACATTCCATTGTTGCTTCCATTCCTGTTCTGCTTGAGCTTCCTCAGCTCGAGATTTATCCAGAGCCACCCTTATTAACACCATTGTTCGAATCAAGCGTGGGTCTCCAGAAGGACCCTCACCAGTATTGAAATGATACTGCAAAGCCAAACTCTGGGTTGAGTCCATTACAGAGGACACAAGCTGGTGGAAATTTTTGAAACAATTGCGATAGAAATCATTCTCACGCTCCTGCTGATCTCGCTGTTGTAGTCTTTCTTTCTTCAATTTGAGAAGGGACAGTTTTGGTTGCTCCTTGGATATTTTCAGGCGTGACCGCGTAGATTCCAAGGCCATTGTAGATCCCCCAGACATAGCAATTTGGTGGTCTAGCGAATTGATCTCCTGGTAAGACTTTTGGATTGGTAGGATGTTGGCTGTCACAGCCTTGGGTTTAGCATCTTTAGCTGTCTCAGGGGACCGACTATAGATGCTTGAGGTGTCGTCTCGAGAATGGGAGTGAATCTGCCTGCGGCAAGAATTCATATCGTTGACTAAAGAAGCAAGTGCATGATTTTCGATCAAGAGACGTTCGGGGATTAGGGCCAGCCACTTTAAATGGAAAGAAATCATGTCGCAGAGCGAAAGCGGAGTGTGGCATACCTGACTAGTATTTGAACGTGTTTCTTCACCATACTCTAACAGTTGTTGACGCAAGCCCGTCATACTGGTCCTTCGTTTATGACGATTTCAACAATGTCCTCGAAATCAACACTCTCACTTATGCCAATCTTTGATCGATTCTCGGTCACGACGTTTACTGTATTACCAGTATTCACCCTCTTTGACCGTTTGGTATCTGCTCACTCCATCAATAATGTTCGGAATCTGTACAGTGCATCTCATAACTGGCGCCACCACCTACACTCTTCGATTGATTCTCTAGCCTCACCAGTTTCGGGATGTACTGTATGGTTGGCCATCCCTTCCGCCCGCTATTCTCGAGGGAGAGGGGGCGCATCCGTGGCAATATCTCCGCTCAATGGGAGCAGGAATGGAGATCGTCCGCCAAAGGCGGCCGCCTACGGCAAATAGACGGCACCTTGCCAGCGTCTTATACCAGAAAACTATATGGGAGCCTGCCCGGGAACCGTGCGTACCTGTTGACACACTACGCACAGGCCACAGTTGGCTATCTACCTACGCTAAGACCTTTGGCTTCCGTGAAGACGATCAGTGCGTGTGCGGCGCGCACGAAACAGTCACCCCCGTGCTGGTGGACTGTCCAAACTTGAGGGAAATTCGGAGGGAGTTACGGTGTGAAGTAGGGGATGCATTTGGCAGCATGTCGAGTCTGCTGGGAGGCTCAATCGAAGGTAAGAGAGGTAAACCAGACACCGTCTCGCGGGCGGAGACGGTCAAGGCCGTTCTCGACTTTGCCGAGGCGTCACAACGGTTTTGTAGTCGTGCGCCCCAAGGGCAGCCTAACAATGGGAACGGCAGTTAGGCCACGGTAGGCCTTGACGAGGCTCTTAAGTTCGTTTTCAGGAAGTGGTACACTCAACTTGTACAAACAGGGATATATATACTGTACTGTATTTGTGGTAGCCTGCATATCGCCTTTCAAGTTGGATCCCAAGTCACGTGATGTATATAGATCTATAGGAGTGGCTGCCTGTTAGGCAGGCACTCCGCTAGGCAGCAGGGAGATGAGCTGCTGCGACTACAAATAGCTGGATCTTTTCATATAGACAAGATCATCACACTTGTACCTTAATCCAAGGTTCAACTTTTCATTGCGAGGGGTCAGGGTACTGTATTTTCTCGATCTCTTACGTGTTCGTAATTTCAAGGTCAAAGTTTTCGGTCGGAGATGGGATGTACGACAACGCCGAAACGTGGCTTGACCAGCTTCGTGCTGTTTTCTAGTTCGTTCAGCCATTCGATGTCGCGGGCCGCTTCCGCCGACCCTAGCTCTTTGGATCACATATCCTGTCTTGGCGGTGAATCCCGGCGATCTGGGTATCTTGCGTGGGTGGTGCGCTCAGCAACGCTGTGCAGATGTGAGTGTTGGCGGAATCTGTAGGTAGGTATCGGCCGAAGAGAGCTCCGTCCGCGTCGTTGACTCTTGGGCTTACAAACTATCTCTGGGTACTGATTCGGACGCAGTATTCGCCCATGTCGGGGCGTTGGTGGTTTGGGGGGAATTATTACTGCCGCTGGCGGCTACTGCGGCCCATCACCGGGTCGAGGGCGCCAGTGGGCGGGATTCAATCCGTGCAAGCAGAGCTCTGACTTTCTGCTGAAGCTTCTTGTTTTGATAACGATTTACATTCCGGTCATGCTTGATCTCCTCCAGCTTGGCCTTGGTGGATTCGATGAGCGTGGTCTGGTGGTGGGTGATTTCTTGATACCTATGGATAGATAGAAGTAGCAACTGCTGGCAAAACTTGATCGGATTGAATTGTGGCCACACGGCCAGTAAGATGTAGACTATGTACAGGAACACGCGCTGATCCATCTGCTCATCAGGACGTGTTATGGGGCGGCCAGAACCATCTGTGCCGGCAGATGAGCTCGTAAATCTTCTCCTTTAGAGCCCCTACGGGCGGGCCGGGGTCACCCATCAGCCGATGGTCCCGTGGCGAGGCCTTTGGCAGATCCACCACAAAATACTGCCAGAGAGCCTCCTTGAGGTCTTTGGCCACCGCCGGACAAATTTGGAGGCAAGATTTCCCCTCAATACGGCAAGGGAGGCAAACCAAGCCACGGTTGGGCTTGGGGACAGGCAGGCATTGCGTATACTCAGTGGTGTTTTTGCCTTCATGCTGGACATGACGACCAATTCTATGCTCCCACATCACAGACCCCTGCAGCACAACCTCCAGGCAGCGAACGCAGGGCAACAGATCACCATGTCCATACCAGGGCCAGTATCGTGCAGCCAGTTCTTCGTCGGACAGGGGAGGATTGGGGGTCGGCGCAGTGGTGTTGTCGTCGGCCACTAAATTGAAATCAGCAGAGATCATCACAAAGAAGCAGGAGTACCATACTGATCCGAAGAGTGCAACGAAACTGATCAGAGGCAGATAGAGAGGCAGATAGAGAGCGAGAGAAGTAAAGAGTTAATGGAAGAGACGAGATTATGAAGAGATCTGATGATGAAGGAAGTTGATAAGAGAAGAGAGTTGACCAGAGAATACTTGATGGAGAATAGAGCCGATGAGAGAAGAAGAAATGATAGGGAAAGCTACCCTTACTTATTAGATGGGGGCATCGCGATTAGTTTCCTTCTCAGAGGAGAGCCCTACAAAGCGCCTCATTCACCATTGCTTTTCGAGCTCATTCATTTCATCCTGTGGCATACGTGACTTGCTACATAATTCACCTCGAAGACGGCATCTGAAAAGCATTCCTTCACCAAACGACTATGGTTCACCAGTTCCTATTGACGGACAGCCTGAATGGCCTAGTGAACTGGAAAAACGCTGATCAAGAGAAGAGAATAAAGCTAAAGAAGTAGGGCTGAATGGGAGACGACGGTGAAGTTGGAAAGGAGACAGAAGATCATTATGACGACGGGGGGATCCATACCCGTAGATAGGACATGCATCCCCCATTCGCCACCCCCAGTGAGAAACCGGGATTTATCCTCCATGAGCGCGCCACCCGTAATCCCTTTTGAGAGTGGATTGTGTGTGGTGTCGTAAGAATCAATATTAGACCACCGGTTAAGAGCGGCAGAAGGGAACAGCAGAGAGCGTCGCCGACCCTGTATATATAGGTTAACTCGTCGGCGACCAGCAGTGGAGGTTACGGAATTATGAAGGTCGAACGGTCCTGTCATAAAATTCAATATCGGACCACCAGAAGAGGACCAGCGGAAGGGAATTAGCCACAAGAAGCGTCGCCAACCGCGGTATTTGCGGGTTGCCTCGTCAATGATATCAACGCAGGAGGCTGTAGTATTGGGGAGAAAAGTGTCGGAAAGCCAGGAGGAGCATCATGGGTGGGCAGTCCGATCACGTCAAGGAATCGCAGGATTATTGTTCGACACGCATGGCTGAGCCCGAATGGTGTTGTGCAGCTCTTTCGCTTCCTGTTCACGCAAACACTGGACACACACATAAGCGACCATCCCATCAAGAAAGAGATGAAAGAGCCTACCAGATCTTGTAGAATGCGCGTGGGAGTCGTCTGGGCCCTGTGTGGAAGAGCAGTATTGGGGAGGCAGGGAGATGGGAGGGAGAGAAGAGGAAGCTGGAGAGGGGAAGAGAGTCTTACAGCGATATTCGAAATCAGATATACCAACATACTCTCAGCGAATAAACTCTCGAGCCCTAACCTGAAACACACTAATCTAAATACGGTAAGGTAGTAGATCACCCGCTGACCAGAAAAGACTTTTGTCTTATTACAAGTTGGCGTGACCCTGAATGACGTATTTTACACGAAAGCGCTATACGGCTGCTGCCTGCGTACCCCTCAGCTGCCGTGTTTCTTTCCGTAGGAATTCCCCACTTTCTAAGATCGAATTAGGCAAATGGCTCCAAGAATCCTCCCCCCCCTTCTTTTTTTCCCTCAAAGCTGTGTCTCATCAGTGATATGACTCAGTAGAGAGTCAGTGCCTCATCATCTCCCAAGTGGCCGAAGTAGCTGAATGCAGCGAGCTTACAATAATGAAAATTCGCCGAAACTTGCGGGAATTTGGAAGCGTACACGCACGGCCAATTCAATATGCAGGAGACGAACCGTAACACCTTTTGATGATGGATGCTCTCTGCGTTCGCTTGTATGAAGATCCTGGTCTCTTCCTAGATGAGGTATGGCTGTATTCCTCTGAGATGAGTTCCAGATTCTAGTAACAATATCCAGCGTCAGAAGGGCATTTGTTGCTTGAAGGACGGTCCAAAACGACTGCCAACAAGCTAGGCAACAAATGGCTGATTTGCGAGAATGTTACTGTAAATACTGTAATTATTTAGTTACATAATAATCAACTTAGTAGTCAAGCAAAATAAACATTTTTTCAGACTGGGATCGGTGCAACGTTTCTCAATTGAGAGATAAAGAATCAATTTGATGGCAAAAGCTAGGATTCACCTGGGACAAAGAATGATCCAGGAATTCTTCTAGTGAGTCTTCGAAAGCAGCAGCAAATCGTCGAAAAGCATATCTTAGGGCAATTTGCTTATGGAAAGCGTTATATGTGTCGGTCAAACCCTCATCCTTGAACCACTTGTACGAGAGGTTGAGATCGCGAAGTAGGTTGTAAAATCTGTTCTCGATCCTTCTTGCGAAAGTTTTCGGTTTCGTAGATTTTATAAGAAAGAGTTCTGAATGGTCATAAAACCCATCAGAACCCGTCAAGTTGTGTTGAAGTTTGACTTTTGGCCAGGCTTTATGGCACCAGGATCGAAATTGCGCAATAATTGCTGCGGCATGTCCAATTTCACAGAGTCTTCTGGACCCAGTTCCTCTAAGATCCAGGCGATATCACAGCATAACCAAGTAATGTCAGAACCCTTAAGTCTGCCGTAGGCTTCTTCGGACGAAACATCCCCGGCGCTACTTAAGAAACAGTCTTCGAAGCTTGTGTTCAGGGACGCAAGAAGATTTTTCCATCGCTTTCCGAGATATTGTGGATTCCAATTGCTTGGTCATATTTGGCTACACGATACGAATTAGTACAAGGTATCACAACCCGATATAGTGACGTACCACCAGCGGCTTTCTTTGGGATCTGACGGCATTCAGCTCTCAATGATTTCATCCATGGCTCTTCGGTCCATTTCTGCCTCCAGCAAGCAAAAGTCTTAGTGAATTCCAGAATTAGCAGCCGCCTAAGAGAGCAGAATATCGGATAGCGGTTCACCGCGTACAGTAGCTTGGATGAAATGCATTCACGCGCATAAAAGATAAGTCTGACTCAATAGGCACCGACTTGTCATCGTTGAAGCTCACGCCCACTCCGCGACCACGAAGTTGTTGGACAAGAGTGTTCCGCGTTTCTGTTTTGAAACAGCATAGGACAATATCAGGATTTTTAGCTCTAACCATATTGGCAAAGACATTGTGTGCATCATCAATTATTTCTGAAATGTCTGTGCCTATTGCGGCCTCATGGAGAAGGGGTATAGCATCAAATATGCTGATATCATCAAAGCCTAACTTGCCGTTATTCACAGCAGTTATCAAGTCGGATACGGCCTCGAGAGTTTTGCAACCACGCCGACCTGCCAAAAAGCCATCCGAATTGTTCTGCGTTGAATGGGGTCTTAACAATACAATCAGCAAGCCACCCTTCGATTCCGGTCGCGCCATTTCTAGACCGAAGCTCAGGTCAGATTTCGGATATTCACGTTCATCAACTTTGAGAGACGTCCCAAACTCATAGAGCAGTCGAATGTGTTTAGAATCCGCTCCATTCGTTTCCATGGATTGTGCTTCGCGAATAAGCCGTCGTAACCGGTGGTCAATAGGGATACCTAGGCACTGCATTTTCGCAGAAGAAAAAGGCGACCAAGGAAAATACCCTCTCACATGAAATAAGAGAAGCGATATGTGAGGTTAGTGGTGAATGTTAATGCCAGACGAGCGCTTTGAAAGGAACCAGTACAGTGAGGGGAGAAGCCTTTCACCCCAAGGCAGCTAAGGAGGGGTACACAACAGCGACGTATAGTAATGTAAAATACATCATTCAAATGTCTCTCCAACGTCATTTAAAATATGACGTCTATTCTGGGAAGCGGGGATCTACGACTACTCCAGATTTGGATTAGCGTGTTTCAGGTTAGGGTTTGGGAATTAATCCATGTGAGGATGTTGGTATATCTGAATTCGAATATTGCTGTAAATATGGATCGCTTTTCTGCGAGGGGTCAGGGTAAATGAAATCATCCATCCATCCATCCATGCTGTAAATATGGAGATGGGAGGACTGCCGCAAGATTGAGTGAATGAAACCAGTGAAGGGATGATTGATACCTACAGCTTTGATGGTCTGTAGTGAATGGACAGCATTTGCCTGAAAAATTGATGGTCTGCAGTGAATGGATTGCATTTGCCTGCCGGTCTCGAATGCGGTCTCTCATTGGGTGTCGTGTGGAATGGGGTTTGCCTGCTGGAGTGTACTGCGGCCTCCAGATTTGATGTTGTGCTGTGAATGGGTGATTGATGCTAGTGTGAAGGGTGTTAAAGCAAGAGGAGGCCGCCCAATTAGAAGCGCGATTACAAGCCAGGGAGCCAGAAATAGAGGCTAAAGAAGCCTCAGCAGCTGCGCAGGGAGTTGTTTTAGAAGATTCAATGGTCGAATGGCAGGCTTATTAGCCTGGTTGGTAGATAACTTAGTAATTGTAATATACGTCGTTTTTTGGTCTGTGTCCTAAAACTAGGGGTGTCCTTAAACTAGGGTGGGGAGCTTAAACCCCGCAGACTTTAGCATTTGGAAGCTTGTTAGTATTCACATCTATGAGAGTTTGCATCCCCATCTTCCACTCTTCGGTGATTTGCCATCGGTCAGAACGAGAGGGTCGGTGATCTTGATCTAGCAAGGGGTTGATTAGGTGAGGTCGGTGATAGAGGCTCGAGTCAGGGCGGCAATTCGTCAGGCGTACCGATCGAGTTCTTTCTCGATGTCGTGGAGACTGACCTTCAGCAAGCGTCTCTTCGAGCTAGGCGATCGTAACCTGCTGATCGTAGGCTTTGTTGGTAGCAATTTTTTGTCTAGATTGATCTCCTGTCGTTGAAAATTCCCACAGAATGGTGAAGGTTGTTTGTTTGCCATTGTTTTTGGTGACGTGGATGGAGTCTAATTGTGCAGTGGCATTCGAAGGCGTGGGTTCGAAATTTATTCAAAAAATAGGTTGCTCGCGTAATGAATCCGATTCCCAGGACCCTTAGTTGAGCTGTCGTAATATTTCTTCACCATACTCCAACAGTTGTTGACGCAAGCCCGTCATACTGGTCCTTCGTTTATGACGACTTCAACAGTGTCTTGGAATTCAACGCCCTCACTTATGCCAATATTTTATTGCTTCTCCGTCCCGGCGCCTATAAATATATTGATATGTCCTTCTTTTGTTCTGACTTTCCGAGAAAGATTGTCTAAACCCAAAATGAAAATCTCTCCCAACTCTACAGGTATTGGTCCTGAATTCGATCGCCTAAAAAAGATTAACGAAATATGTCTTAATGACGACCTCTTGAAATTTGTCGGAAAAGCCCATTTGACGCTCGAAACAGGAGGGAAGTTTAAGCGACGAGATCTCTTTAAAAGATCTCTTCTTCATTACGCTGCTATGGGGAACTGTACCGATCTCCTGATTTATCTTCTACAAAGTGAGGCAAATATTGATTCTCGTGACATGCACGGACGGACCCCTCTCTCCTGGGCTGCCGAGCATGGCTCATTGGCCGTTGTGAGAATTTTACTGGAGCATGGAGCGAACATCAACGCCATGGACTATGAGGGCGGCACACCATTGGCATGGCTGATTCACGCGGGTAATCCTGAAACCCAAAGTTTAGCGGCTACTGAAGCTTACTTGAGAAAGAGAGGTGCGACAGAGGATAGGTTGAGGGGTATCAAGCGGGCTTGGATTTGGGTCTTGACGTATTCCAGATTACTCACATATATTCGTCCGAGTATCTAGCTCACCCGACACGGACCACAATTCTTCCGCAAGTTAGAAGCACGATATATAGTAAAAAGAGATAACTTCAGCAACTGCTTTCCAGAATCAAGGAGCTGGCTTCCATTGTCTAAATGAAAGGCTCGCGCCCATGCACAAACTCAAGGCGCTTCGCAATTATTATCATTGTTTCCGATGGAATGCAGGAAAATATAAAGTGGATAGTTCTCCAAATCCCGATCTGTAATAAACCTTGGTATACGGCAGTAAGGGCCTAAGATGAGCTGGCGTTATGTAGCAGGAGCCCTCTGTAAATATGGAATTAGCAGGCTTTCAGCGCGTATAAGTTGAGGACGAAGAAAGCTTCAATATTTCCCGATCTCTGCTGTGTTTGGCCCGGGGGATAGCTTGCGTCCAAGTCCCGCGACAACCCCTTTGGCTCCACTGTTAGTTTCGATTGAGGACACTATGCTTAGTCATCGCTTTGAAAGCCAATCGTCGACCCACTATAGTTTAGCCAGCCTTCTGAAGCCAATCATTGGTTAGTTATACGGAGTAGTTCTTCCATAATTGAGTTGTCTCCGGCTAATTGGACTAGAATTTAGGCTTACGCGGCATGACACCTACATCTCCACTTCGAATCTCCTCCTGCCGGTATTTGAATTCCTTCATGTCGGTGGATTCATCTACCATATTCGTCTCTCGTCTAGTTATATCCAGGTACCTTATCGAAATCATCAGCATCTAGTCGAATATATTTGGCTTTGTTCGTAAATATCATTCCACGATGAAAACCTTCCCTGAAGCCGACGTTATTTGGTGGAATGCAACCGACTACTACATTCAATGTCCATTCTGTGACGAAGTTCATCGCCACGGCCTAAATTGGAAGGCACAGAAGTTGAGATATTCACACTGCGAAAAGATGGAGAGTTATCTGTGTTGCTTCCCCTTGAATGATCAAGGTGAGGTTGCGTACGAAATCGACAAGAGACGAGGACGATATAACAATATTTGTGTTTCGCATGATAGTGTTAGGGAGGAAAACGATGATGTTGATCGTCTGGCGATCCAGTTAGCTCAAAAGGCTACGGTTGCAGCACAAGGAGAAGAAAAATTTGCGAGTATTCACGAAGACTCGAAGGAGGTCGTCACCATCAATCCAGGACACGGAATTGACCCATTTGAACAGAAAAGAATTCTGGAACCGATCAGCGACTGTGCCAACGGGGATGTAAAAGCGGTGCAGAACTACCTGGAGACCTCTAGTGAAGCCAACCTGTTCGTTCGGGGCCGATATTCCGATGGTCGAACAAACCTTATCATCGCAGCAGTTGAGCAGAGCTCGGCGATGATATCGCTTCTCATTAAGCATGGGGCTGAAGTAAATGCTGTTACAAATAGTGCAAGGACTGCGTTAATGGAGGCAGCGCTCTTTGGTTGGGTCGACAATGTGAAGATTCTCCTCAAAAACAATGCAGACAAAAATATTCGAGATAGCGAAAATCGACGGGCCATTGATCTTGCTCGAGACAATTACAAAACCAGACGAGAGAGACACGATCGTACCGGAGGCAATTTCATGACTTCATCTTATCGACGACTAGGTTGTAACGAGGACACATTCCAAAGGGACATTGATCGTCAGGAAATTGTACGCCTCCTCGGGGGGAGAACCGGAAGTCAAAAAATGTTTTTGGGAAGCCTCCCACATTATTTCTGTCGAAGTCCTACTCTTTCAAACCCTCGCGAATGCAAGACTCGCTTGTGTTATACGGGCCGATTGAAGAATATCCAATTAGCCGAAGTTGGAAGACGGTGGCGCGGCTGGAACGAGGCGGGAAATTCCCTTCCGTTGGCGCTATGAGCGGATGGTCACATTGCTCTGTTCAGTCCCTCAGGGTCGATGGCCGACAGTGGACAGATGATGTTTTTTACATCTCAGAAGTCGTGGGTCATCTTTTGCCTTGTGACAGCAAAGATCAGGGTAAAGACGGTCAATACAATGCATGTCACGCAGAAAAGCAGTTGATTGCATACTTCATTGATCGTCATGTCTTCCTCCCACGTGATGGACTCTCGGACTCGGAACTGGAGACAAAGATTGAGTTGAAAGAGGATGAGCTTCAGGAGTTCTTTTCAACGACTAAAACAGGACGCCAGGTGACTTCTCTCAGAAAGAGAAAGAAAGACCTAGAATGTGAGCTATTCGACGGGGACGAAAAGCTCGTCGGTAAACACGATGAAATCAGGGCACTGAAGTTGGAGCTCAAATCTATTGAAACAAGCCTAAACTGGCTAATCGCTAGCTCCAAAGCTGGATCGTTCTTGAAGCTAGAAAGCCAACTGGGGGTTCTAAATCAGCGACTACGCAGACATACTGACCTGATCAATATGGCCAATGCGCCGCCACCAGCTTTATTAAACGAAGCCGTCATATTGATCAGCTCGCCTCCTTGTCAGGATTGCACCGTGTTCAAGGACGTAGTCAATAAGTTCTTTGGATTGTCTATACAATTATTTGCGGCACTTTGAATTTGCTAGAGTTATTATCTTATAGCCTTTTAAATCGATAGACAGATATTTACGGGCTTTTGAAGAACTTACAGAAGCGGTTGTCCTGTTCATACGCGCCTGGGAGGCGATGATTATAAACGAAGAACCATACTCGTGAAAACCATCTGCAGTGCTAAATACCTGGGCTCCATTCAGGTCAATTCCATGTTAATTTTCCATGACTTGGATTATAATCCCGCTGTCAAATACTGAATGAAACGCACGTGGTTGTCGTGGGGTCAAAGGCATGACGTAATGACAGTCTTTAGAAGAGGCAATAGCTTTTGAGACCCACTGGAGAGTGGTGTGAATGGGTGGACCAGAAAGTCTAGCACAAAGTCTAGCACGGGCCTAGACGAGAGGCTAACGGAGAGAAACAGTGTGTTAGCCACTCTTCTACAAAGTACTCATGACAGGCCACGGTTTTTCCTCAGCTAGACTCTCTTGTCAGCGCCTGTGTCAGGCTTCTGGGAAGTGTGACGTCAGAATACGTCCTTGACGTCCCCATGATGAAAGTCCTGTGTCACAGTATTGAGATAAAAGCAGACAACACTTCTGCATTGCAAAAGTCTGTGGTTACTATTCAAGTCTATGTATTCTCCAGCAGTGAAACTTTCAGAATGCCTGCGCATGAGATGACAAAGTCTGATGCCTCCCGGATCCAGTCTTCACAGGTATGCAAGCTTCCTTTGAACTTTTTGTTTCTGGTCCAACTTGGATGATGTCACCATAGGCCAGGAGCGGAGGAAACATGTCATCCAGTGGATTCGCTGCTCGCGCCCAATCTGCCGGTGACCACTCGGCTAGTTCTCACTCCGCGAGCAGCAGTGGTTCAAATCAGAATCTAGGCTCTGCGGGCAGCTACACGAATTCCAATACTCATACTGCATCAACCACCTCGAATACTCTAAGCCAAGGAAAGGAAGGAGCAAAATAAAGGGGAGAGAAAAGAGAAGCCCAATGATTAGCTTGAAATGGGATTCCGGTATAAAAGTTAGGAGGGTCGTCGTCTTCAAAGCGTAGTCATTCCAACTGTACTGTATGCAATTAAGTTGGCCTCGAATACAGCGCGGTTGAGGGTCCAAACGGGGGGCGAGTATAGAGATTTTTCGACCCCATGTGGCTTTCTTCCTCGCGTGAGGACTCGTCGTCGTCTTCGCGTTCTACGGACTGGTGGTAGCGCGCGTCGTGGCCGTCTTCTGGGGTATTCCCTGCCACTTCTACCCTTCGTGCACCTCGCTTCACTGCTAAAATAAGATTATTCGTGTGTTAGCCCCACCTGATCCTCCGTTTGCATGACGGACACGTAGGAAAGGAAGGGTTCTCTCGCACCAGCTTACTAGCGGCACCTGAAACACGAAGTCATAATAGGGTTAGTTAGGTCAAGAATCATTAACGGGGGAACGAAGAATGAGGGCAGGCATCATAAAATACGACGTATTTAATGCGTCGGATATAGTCCAAGGGAAATATGTAGAAGCTTCAATTGATTTTAAGGATTGTCTGTTTTCGATGTAAATTGTTCGTTCGACCTGATTGATATACTATTTCTGCGGAGATGTCTGACTTCATTGGCGCGCTTTGCAACCGACCTATTTAAACATGTTACTATGAAAGACCACATTAATCAAACAATAGTCGCCCTACAACTACTTCGCCAGAATTTGACGTCAGCCCTCCTAGAACTTTCTAGCTGGGGATCCTTGCAGGCCCTGTCTGCGCAGGTACTTCAGTTTACCTCGTGCAAAAAGCCTATTCTTTTTGACGAACCTGGACCACCCTGGTAGGGGCAGAATCGCCATTCCATCTGTTCATTGGGTCTCTTGATAAAGGACTGAATAAAGAACCATCATTCTTCAAAATATTATGGAAATATTCCTTCTCAATAATGTTTCTGAGGACAGAGTTAACATACCTAGCATAAGAGGTTGCTCCAGCCTTTTGCTTATAGTGGTGACGGAACAAGCGTAGCGTTGGGAGTTCCGAGTTAAAGACGGGGTATCGGACAGCAAAATTTGGTCTAGGCGATTAGCCTTATGGTATTAGGCTTAGTTGCAAGCCGTCGAAGTTCCTATCGGCCTCTGCAGTATGGTCCCTAATGATAGGGTCCACTTGATATGTCTTTTTATGGTAAGAGGAGGCGCCATGCTACAGTGATTCTCGAAATCGCCTTGACCAAAAGACACTGAGAATCTCTTTTCGGGCCCCACTGCCAAGGCCCTAGCGCAGATCAATCATTGAGCGGGCTTCGTTAAATTGAGGGACACCGTAAAATGCGCTTTGTATGTTACAGTACCTATCCACGTACACAAGTGTACGAAGCCCCCGTGGAATTCCATTGAAACTGATAGTGGGTCTGCAAATCACGCGGAAAGGGCCGCCTGGCGCCTAGTTCCCGGACGATCTCCTGATACCCCAGTATCACGGCTGTGTCTGTTCATCCGGGAATCGTGCCGATGGGGCTGGGGAATGATTTGGCACTGATAAATAAGATTATTGTTTTGGCGGCGGCTCATATGGCCTGGTGGATGGTTTTGAGGCTGGAGGAGGACGCATATAGTCAGCTTTGGGCGGCGACAATGGAGAAGGGGAGCATTGTTAATGGGGAGTATTATTTGCCTGTTGAGGAGAATGCGCAGAAGGGGTTTGTGGGGAGGGCGACGGATGAGATGTTGGCGGAGAGATTGTGGGATTGGATGCAGGAGGTGTTGAGGGAGTTTTGATTTGGAGAGAGGGGGGGGGAGCTTGTACGATATTGGGATTTATTATCTGTTTATAGGGTTGGGTAATATGAATATGAGACCCTCTGCTTAGATTCGATTGTCTGGGAACATTCTGGTCAAGAGTAACAATTATAAGAAACCAACGTCGGTGTCGACCTCATCATCTAGGTCAACTGCAGACCTGAAAACGAAAAGAGAAGAAAAAAACCAAGAAGCTAAAGGCGACTTCATGTTTCCATTTCAAAAATACTTTTCCTGAAGCTTACCTGTTGCTGAGGTATCCTGACACCTTTACCTCTGTAAGTCACCATCAACCACTGAGAGCCCTAAGACGAGATTCTCTTGTTTCCCCTCTTCACTCCATGTACTCAGCCTCGCTTGTTCCAATGAAAAAAGAGACCTGGCACCGATTGGCCCAACGCAAGCAGGCCCGTGCTCTGCTTGAGATATACAGCCTGGCTTATTGGACACTGGAAGTCTAGACAGGGAGCTTGTAAGGTCCATAGCTTTTTTTTAAAAAAAAGACGAGACAAATACTTCTGGAATTCTTCTAAATCCCATTCACTTCAAACTTTTTCATTCCCAAAAGTAAAAAGCCTCACTCTATCTCTGTGCTAGCTATTGTTAGGATAAGCAGGAATGCAATTTACGAAGAACTAGCTACATTGAAGGCTCTTAGTCAGTTTTGGCCCCAGGGTCGCGCTGATCTTGCATAACACTAAACCTATTACAGTAAGTCCCACGAACGGGGTTCTGTTTCTAAAGCAACATAGACCTGTGGAAGACAAAACCCCATTACAGTAAGTCCCGCGACCCTTAGAACTAGATCCAGAAGAATTGTTTAGTATTACGTCAGAGACGAGTCTTAAATTAACAACAAATTGCAGTTGTAACTGGCTAAGTTTCATTCATGGCCCCCGGATCCATATATCTATCTGATCAGTGGAGACAGACCTCGCCAAAGTCCGCCTAAACAGGGTCTTTGGACAACCCCCTTCACGACGTTACAGTACAGCTGCCCTCACAAATGACCAAGGTGCGAGAGCCAGCGAGGATACTTAAAGCTAGGCTCGTCCTCACCCTTTGTTTCTCTCTGCAACTCCTTCATCAAAGCAACTCAACCCGTCTTTGCACTATCACAGTACATCTTCAAAGCATACAAGTTTCTTTCGTTCGAAAAGTCCATCAAGCCTCAAGATACAATGCGTTTCTCAATCTCCTCTCTCTGTCTCTTTCTTGCAGTTATTGGGTCTGCCACTGCTGCGCCAGCTACCGAAGCTGCCGAGCAGCTTGAGCGTCGTGGCACGTGAGTATAATCCCAGCTCAATGAAAACATTCCTTTGTCATTGGAGATAGTCTTCAACGTTAAGATGCAGACCACACTAACATGGAAAATCAGTGAATGTGGCCAGGATTTCATTGGTGCGGCCACATGCACGAAAAACTGTGCCAATGGACACTGTCACGTTATCGCCTTAGGTCCGCTCCACAAATGTGAATGCTAAACGAAATGGATCGATTCGTTCCACAGCTTCCATTACGGAAGTGTTATGGAGGGTAGGATTGGATCAGAATGACCAAGAGGGATATGGAAGCTAGCGGAAGTAACAATGGTCAGTGGTGATCACCAGAGCAGTTCGCTCAGCAAGGTGATCAAGAGTGTGAGCAGGGCGAGTGTCACTCACCCTGCTCACCTGATATTAGGTGTTTATACGAGCTTGACCAGCATGTAGATAGGAGCCTTGTGCTCGACTCAGAATATAGCAACCACATTCGTTTTACAGTCTACCATGAATCATTCATCATACACATTCCTGCCATGGCAACAGCTATTCCTCGATCTGATGCGAGAGGCACGTACCAGTAAGAACAGCTGAAATCAAGCAACAGCTAGGGAGGGGAGTGGTGTTCGATTTTTCTGGTTATCATAGGCCAAGGACGCGTGAAGCTTGCCGTTATCATCTACTTTCGCTGAAAAGAGCCATCAGAGAAGGAGCAAAACCTAGTGGCTCCCACGAGGCCTAAACAGTAGAGCTAAGATTGTGTCGACGTAAAGGACTTAGTGACGGTTGGAGGAAGTCGTTCAGCTAGATATGCAGCTTGTGGATATTTAGAGGATGAAGCTTGGAAAGAGCCATATCCTAGGAGTGATGACTAGCAAAGGGGATATATGCCAGGTATCCTAAGAAGAAAGCCGGGGATACCTAGGGGCGGCAGATCATCAATAAACCAGACCTAGGCGGTTCTCTGTGACTGTCAAAGATCCACTCTGGGTTCCATAGAAGTCGACGGGATTCTCATGAGACCGGTGTATTATTACTTTGCTAGAGACCGTATCATACCACGTGCATTATACAGCCTTCCTCAACTAAGTGTGGCCAGGTCAATGACGGGTGTGCGCTAAGGTATTGGCGGTGGGGCCGGAAGAGAATGAGTGATTGAGCACTGGTCAAGGCGATTTCGAGAACCCCTGTAGCTTAGACCGCACGCTGTACACTCATGACCTCTCCTACAGCCTTCCCAGAGACATCCTGTGGTGTTTAACTTATCGCACACCTCAGTTTCATTATGTATTAGAAGACCTAGTAGACATTGTTTAGCGAGGTCGGGCTGAAGGGTTTGCCGGCGACTTCGCAGGTAGGGTAATATTGTGACGGAGATATTTTTCGCGAAACGGGACTGTGACGAGGTTATTGATTGCTAGTATGACATTCAAAATTGTTCCAGGAGATTTTTGCTCTACGCAAACTGCAGGTATATGATCCCACCCATCCTTTGTTTTTGCCAGGAATGCAAGAACTTCGGTTAGCCCACGCTCTTTGAAAAACGGCAACACATATTGTTCTTCTTCGACTGATGACGAATTAATTGCATTTCGAACGACTGGAGCAGGAACTTGATAAAAGAAGGAGCTGAGAGCTATATGCTCAGCATACACTGTGGAGGGGGCTTGGCTTGTCTCCGCCATGAAACTCGACGATCGAAGAACAATGCCTGGGCCAAGGCGGAGCGCTTTATAGGGTGAGATGAAAACTCTGAATTTTTAAGCTCACAGGAGGCACCCGCAGGTTTCCAAATACATGGAGCTTGCTTTCATGTACATACTTCCACGCACGATAAAATAGGATCCTCTTTGGCATAGGTTAGGGGGGCGCAATTAGGCCCGCCTAGATCCTGCAGCATATGTATCCTGGAGGCGTTGGTGAGGGGTCACATGAGATGCAAACTACCACACCGTCCCTCCCTTTACTTTTGGTTGCCAGTCGGTCTCATGGGTCCCATTTCTTGCATCGACTGCTCTTCATGATTATCCGTCCCTTTCCATATTCGTCTTCAATGTAAGAAATTCAGTAATTCCGTCCAACAGTTGAGATTTTATAGTGAATTGGATATGTTATCACCGCGCCCTTCAGTATTGTGATCGATGGCTAGGTCCAGCGGCTTGTCCAATCGCATGTATCAACCTTGAAGCAACTATTTGATCCGTTTCCTTGACGGTATGGGCACCAACTTGTACCAATTTGGTTGGCATATTGTGCGTTGTGAATGCATGTCTCTATGCAAGTTGCGTAGAGGAGCGTTAGACAGAATGCTCCATTATTCATTACGCACTTGCTAAAATCAAAATAAAAATACAACTCGTTCACAAAACACGTAAGCGTTTCGAACCCAATGATTCTGCCTGACACAACCGTCTCTTCGCTGGTCGTGATCGATTTAATGTCGGCCGTCAATCCAATGTACAGCGGTGAAAGTCGATAATCAAAGCCCGCCCGAGCTCATCATTCCAAAGAATATTGTCATACCGGAGATCTTCGTGATGAATTCCCAAAACGCTAATTTCTTTCCTTGACCTTCGAATCTCAGAAGAGAATGTTTTAGTCACTGCTTTCCCAAATCAAGGAGCTGGTTTCCATTGTCGAATAAAAGGTTCGCGCTCATGCACGCTCCAGGCACTTTGCAATTATTTCTCATTGTTTCGATAGAATGCAGGGGAATAGAGCGGATAGTGGCCCCAGGAGCAGTGTAAAATCCCTCAAACCCCTTGAATATTCTAGAAGCCATTAAAATGTTTCCTAGAGTACCAACTACGGCTCTTGGGAGCCGACAACCACACCCTAGGAACGCCGTCGTGGACTCCGGGAACCCTGTATCCCCCAGGAACTACAGAGCGAACCCTGGAATTTGTAAAATGGATCCTGGTGTCTAGTTATCGCCGCAAGCTCCGAGGCCTTCGCTGGATTGGTCCTGGGATCCCCAAGGCTAGCTCTGGGACCGCCTTGAAGACTCCGGCAACAGGTTTCTCCTTCCTGGCAGTCTGCCTTAGAATCTTTAGAATGAAGAAGCTATGTGTAGTTTCCCAGGAATAATTTAGTTGTGACTTGCAGGGCATCATTGAAGCCGCAGTTAACAGAAGGAATTTCTTTCAAAATTGAATGAGCCCACATGGTGACATCTGTGATACGCCTTGAATTGAGAGGAAGAAGAACTCGACAAGATGGCCCTGAGAGAAGAAGGGCACGTCAAACAGCGATTACTGGTAACCCGTCACTGCCATTTGTCGGTCAAGCCAACTGTAAAGTGAGCAGTGCAAAGTTCGTGGGCAAATGTTTTATGTGAGATCTTAAGCTATTTACATTCAAACTGGGTTCTCCTCCCAAGAATACCACAGAACAAGATACTGGACCACCTGATGCCCATCTCGGTTCACTGATCGTTGAATGACGGTTTTTATGGGAATTTTCTCTCCCGGCTATCATGAATCCTTCCGTCAGCAATCGTAAAGTAATGGAAAGAGAACCGCTTACCTCATTGACACTAGTTTTATCCCATCCTTCCTGACAAAAATAATATGAATCGAAAGGTTCCGAGGAATTGTGAGAAACGTATGACAATTTATCTGTATCAGACACGACAAAGTCGCGATCTTCACTTGTTTCTGATGGGATCATTGAAGACCCAACGGACGGATTGGAGTGAGTGTCCTCGGATTCCCATGTAAGTAATCGGTTCTCTTCTCCAATTAATGAATTATGGCGGAAGTTTTGTTCGAGTTCAGGCTCCATTGCTACCATTACCAAAAAGTATGTGGGATATGGACTTTTGGCTCCCGGACCCCAGGCAGTGACCTTTATACCGGATGCTTATTAAGGATATAACCGACAGGGCACGGCATTTAAGGCTCTACAAGGGTTATTAATCGACTTGAAAACGTTCAAGTTAGTGTTGAATTGCCTTCAGAAACTCTTTGCGATGTTTAATAGTAACCAGCCAGCAACAAGAAGGTCCTGCCGTATTTGTTGAATGAGCTTACCGGTTGAATGAGCTTACTTGTTGTCTAGCCTCACGGAGTTTCCGCCCCGCGTGTTCGTGTGCAAACTGTTGAAGTTTCCGACCATAGAAATTGAGTTTAGGCGATGTGCAAAAAGAGCGCTATTCCACTCCGATGCACGGCGGTCATTGTTGAAGTGTGCCACTGAGGATCCCCTTTTTCTTGCCTTCATTCACCGTAGCAACAACAGTTGATGATTCAAATATGCGGAACTGTAAACACTATGCAATACTGTATATAGTATGATAAACTATCTGAGGAGTAAAAGGTTGATGACATATTTTTAATTTTTTTTTAATCTTATATTTTTCAGTTTCTCTTCCCTGCCTTTCTTCTGGAACCCAGAGATGGGCCAGGATGAATCGTACCACGTGCTGAGCCAGTGATCAAAATCCAACTTCTTTATCCAAACTCCTGTGCAGATAGAACTGCAAGTTTGATCTCGTTTGTAGGACAAACTCGGTTGAAAGAGACCAATACAACAGTTTGATTGTATTGTATTCCTGACCGGAGTGTGGACATATAATCCACATAGCCAGCTAGTGCTTGCTGGCACATCCTCTCCGTCTCTTCTATATCGCTACAGTATGATCACGATAGAGAATCAGTTTCCATCCAGCGTGGCATTGGTGAGGCCATGATACATCACCTTACAACTGAACACCTAACATTCGTGGCACTTGCAGAAATCTAGAGGCACCAGGCAATGTCTTAGCATGACAGGCCAATGAAGGAGCTTGCGAGTCGTGCTTGCAGTTCGGGGAGGTGTGTGTGGGAACTTGGTGTATGCTTGTGATAAGCGACTAACTACACGCCCCTAGTAGTAGTCGGGGGGGGGCGGGTATGAGGCTTTGCCGGGGTAGGGGACGCTTGGACTTACATACATATGGGCTACTGCGCCTTGTTTATCATGAGCTAACCCGCACGAAATTTCAGCCCCCTTCCCGTGTTATCAGGCGCGTAATTTAGCTGTAATTCTACCAAAGCCTCGCGGGCTTTTAAAAGCTTTCCTAGACACCTTCATATGCAAGAAGAGATTCTAAACCATATCGCTCAACCTCTGTTGATAGGGCCGAAAGTACTACCGCACGCGCTTACGACCCACTCGCCCGCAGATCAATAGAACCGAACACCCTTTGGGACCATATTCAGTGGTCGATGAGGCTCCGAAGGTGCTAATGCATGCAACTGCGCCGCGCTAGTCCGGTTCAGCGCGGCTCTCAACCAAAGATGATGCCTTCTAGTCCGACACTACCGACCCCTCAGTGAGTAGAGAGGGCTTGAGCGTGAATCACGCGGCCCTACTCCCATTACGTGTCAAACTATTAACCCTTAGTACCATGACCCCCAAGGTCTCCTCGCATTAGCGCGCTCTCGCTACCGTAGAACCTCTAGCTGCACTACAGGGGCCAAGCGTCTGATCACCAATCGATTATCCCAATGTTTTACAGTATGAATTTCAATCCCGAGAGTCCGGAATTACGAGCAGTTTTTGGTATGAGTTCTCCCGCCTTGCGCTCTGATGCCGACTCGCACATTTTTCCCTCTATCGTTACTGAATTTGGTACAGAATATATTGAGGATCTTGACGACAACGGCGACTGACTTTTGGGGGGCCGCGAAACGCGGTGATCTGTTTTTGACAAAGCTCCTTCTCGCCTAGTCAGGGCTAGGGACCAATTGCCCGAACTTCCACGGAGTGACTCCCTGGTCCAGGCAGCGACATGGGGCTGCACGGCTAGTTTTCATTTACTTCTGCAAAATTATAGCATTGACATGAATTTAAAGGATAACATCGGAGACACCCCCTTGGCCCACGCCGCCGAAGAAGGCAACACAATCGCAGCTAAGACTTTACTCCAGCGAGACGACATCCAAGCCAATTCACGAACTAACTTCGAAGAGACGCCCTGGCGTTAGCAGCCGAGCGAGGACACGTTGATGTGATCGAACTGCTACTGAGGCATCCGGATGTTGAGATCAACTCAACTGACTGTGAGGGGGGTACAACCCTTTTGCGAGCCCCAGCGATGCTGCATGAGGATATCGTCCGCATTCTCGCAAATCACGCAGAGGTAAATGTGAATTCACAGGACCATGATGGTAGTACACCGCTGGCGTGGGCTGCAAGACGAGGTCACTGCGCGGTCGTCGAAGTGCTGATGCGGCATAGTGAGATCGACACCGAGTCGTCGGACAAGTATGGGTGAACATCTGTCATGCTAGCACGAGACGAAGGGCATGGGGATATGTTAAAGCCATTTGCGAGTCAATACCAGAACGCTAAAGAAAATGTGTTCTTGAAGCTGAAATTCGTCCAGCTCGCGTGCCGATTCATTGAGTCACTTAACTATAATATCAAAGGAAGACGTCGAACACCACCCTCTCTCTATCAGTCCCTTCTCATCTCAGCAGCCCTTCCTCGGGCCCGTCTTCGGCTCATGGCCAACTCAAACTTTCAGAATGCAGCCCATTCGAGTAATATCTTCTTTCCAAAGTGATTCTCTTCTTTCCAAACAGACAAGGAAGTCGAAGAACCCATTTTCTTGGTACTTGACTTTGTGGTCGTCGCTCAATGATTTTCATTCGAGTATGGGGGCATGGACTTGAGAAACCGTGCATTGTTGCACATGGAGGATGAAGACATATTCCATCATCAATAGCACCCAATAGACAATGGACTGTGTCAAAGCCGCTTGGGAGATCGACCTCGCGTTTTCTGCTGTAGCAATGATTGTACACGGCAAAGATGCGGCCATTGTCCTTGCGTAAGTAGCTGGCCAAGTCGCGCGCCAGACAACGGCCCTGCTTGCACAACCGATATCGAAAAGGGTTCACGCATTGTGAGCAATCTTCAGCATGATCTTGATAGGCACTTGCCACGTAATACTCATCCCCGTAGAGACGACGAGATCTCTTGAGGGAACTTAAAGGGTGTGGCATTTCACTCAAAATTGACATAGTGATGATGCAGAGAAATATCGAGAAATGAGGCTTATGCGTGAGACTCAGTTGAACTCCAACGGGTTTGGCAGATGCTACAATTTATCTACAGACCTTTGAAATCAATCAGCCATGAGGCTATACCAGCATACCATTATATTGCAACACAACGTATCGTGATGAGCCTTGAGCCTCACGTCGTTTCAGAAAGGACATGTGTTGGTGGGTTGGTATTGGGTGTCAGTAATCGTGAATGTGCAAACCTGGCGCTAGATGCTGCAGGTCATGGAATACGTGTTTTAAAATCGGGTACAAGGCGAATAGAGGCGGGGCGCATCGTTGGCACCATAGAGGGACTGCGAAAGCGCGCGTCATTATCCCTGATGCTTGTTCCTACAGAGATAATGAGATGTGTCTTGGTCCAAATCCCGGTCTGGATGCCCATTGCACCGTTACTGCAAGCTTACGGGTGAGCGTGTCGACATTGAAAAGGACTCATAGAATCAGTAAGAAACGTTTACAAAATTTTTGGATCCTACTTCTGTCTTCTTTCAGGTCCGGGATTTCAAAAGGGATAAGCCACATAAAAATGGACAAGAAGACGCGAGCTAGGCTACCGATTACTACTCTTGTAATCCTTCCACTCAGACGCCGGCGTTTAGCTTGATATCAGCAGCGGGTATTTTTGAGGTGGGGTTGATGAACATAGCGTCGTCCCACAACCAGAGCCACTGCATCTCGACTTTCGCTCTCACTCTATGATGCTTCCCAGAGTGAATTTATCATCGTACAAAAAGGCGAGCTTGCGGTCACAAATAGTGCTTAGTGATCAATCAGACTTCAACAAAAAATTAAAGCACCCTCGCCGATACCCAATCCGCTGGAAAGTGGGTTAGGTTATTCTTTGATCAATTTTAACAGCTCGTGCTATTTGCAGAGTCCGCAAGCGAGTTTGCCCATGATACCGGAGATCGAGAATATAAAAAAGCAATTACCCGATGGCAAAACTAAACTCGATTCGTTCGAGAATGCGATGCAAATAATATCTTGCATTCTTCCGCACATACCACTACGCCGAGTTTGATCGGGAGAGAAGAATAAGGGGCGCAAAGTGGAAGCAGGTTTCCAAAGGAGACAGAATTTCGAAAATCTCAGTTCATGGTCAATCGAAACACAGGACTAATGATGAACATTGCTTAAGAAGATTGCGGGTGGTGCGGCCATTGCATGGATCACCTTGATACTTGAGAAGATCAACTGTTTCTGCTTCATAAACTATTAAAATATCTCTTTAATTATTTAGATAACCGCGGTAATCTTCCGCCTAGTAGCGATATTATAACTCAAGTAAGCCCTTTAGTGTTATCTCCCCTGGTCCTGACTACGGCTGCGGCGTGCGTCAGACATGCCTTTTAGATTCAATAATAGTTGAGCAGAATGGGTACGAGCACCACTCAAAGCAGCCAATAGATTTGTGGCGGAGGCGGGGAGCTTCGGGTCTTCAATGCAGAAGCAGATCTAAAGAGAGAACTCTTTCCATTGCTCATATATCAGTCGCTTTTGAGTTCTATTTCATATAGAAACAAGTTAGCTGAATTGCATGGTTCATGCTATGGTGATTGCCCTGCAATCAACTCTAGAAGCTCCTCCTCTTGCCACTCCTCACGAGAATAATCTATCTCAAGCCAATATCAGTTCTGCATATGGAAATGGATTATTGTACAGGTATTTGAACTTACCGCAGGTAATGATATCACAATATGCGCCAGCCTCGTTGGAGGTGCACATGTCACCCGTGCAGACGGCGGAGTGCAAGAAGCACCAATCGAAACAACCCTCAATGAAGCACCATTTAGTGATCAATTTCGTACACGATGGGCTAAAATCCTCCCGTGAGCATTTATACTGCCGAAGTAGATAAAATAATCACAAAAAAAAAAAAAAACCTACCACGGCTGCCCCTTTGCATAAGCTTCAACATCATCCACGGCTTCATGGGTTCTTTCTCGCCGCTCTTGTTGATCAGCTATCATCTGATCTTTGAGGTCTCGTGTCCTTAGTCCTAAGGAGGAAAATCGCTCGGTGTGGCCATGAGACACGTCTGGATCTCTCTTTGGGGTCGTTTTAGGGTCAAGGTGCATGGCTGGCCTTATGCACCTATCCCTGGTAGTATCGTTACTTTCGTGGAGGAACTCAGCCCTGCTGAACTCCGCGTACATTGTCGTAATTTTGGCTTCAATAGCGCTCAGTCTGTTGTGGAGTTCCAGATTATCAGCCATTAGGGTGTTCACCACCCTCTGTAGGGTCAGGGCTGTCTCCGTGCTGCCGATTGCATCTGTCTCCCCGTGGTTGAACGCGCTGTCTTTCGCCGTCAGGTTGAGATCCACCACCGCTTTCTTGATCTCACTGAAGTCGTCCATCTTGCTGGAATGGAGTATCGTGAAGTTGTGCCTCCTCGCAAAGGTGTCTGAATAAATATTGATTGTGTTGGCAAGATTATACACAAGTAATCTGAAAGAGATCCCAAACAGCCGCTCTATAGTAAGAACAAGACTATCACCCCCTCGAATCGCCAGGAGGCTGGAATTGCATGACTTGAGGGCGGGCAAGCTTTTTTGGCGAAAACGTAACCCTGCAAAGAGAATTGATCTCCACTGCAAGGGGTAGCGCCCCTTCCTAGGGGGCAAAAGCATCAAATCAGTGGCATAGGTCTCAGTTCAGTTACTCACCGCCATATCTATATTTTTGAGATGTATTTGCTGCAAGACGAACAGCTCGACACTCTACAGTTTCTTGCACTGCAGTAGATTACATATACTGTAAGCAGGAGTGGTGCTTGGTGGCGGGCTGGAGGAAATATGAAAGAATAGGCATATTCTGGTCGCATAGGGATTTTGTGATCGTCGTACGGAGGACCCCGGTTAAAGGACCTATCGATACGATAGATGATTGGAATTACCCTCAGGTATTATATATACCGTGTTTTAAGCGACATAGTAATGTGGTTCAAATAGCTAGAGGGGGTGGTCGACAGTTGCGCAAGCTGTATCTGGGACAGGATTGTGATTGACTACCTAGATATCATGCTACAGAGGATTTTTGCGTGGCTATGTAATCACAGTATGTCAAAAATTAACTACAATCCGAATTTGGCGCAGCTAGAATGGACCCCTGGCAACAACGTAAACTTCTGGTTTGTTGATATCCGCCGTTAAGTTAGCCACTGGTGCTTCATCCCATAGGTATGAAATTATTTATCGACACCCTTCTAGACAAACGGCCAACACACTCCCATCGACCTGGGCGAAGTCCTGTGATTGGACGAGACTGGTCAGGCTTTTGGGAGCAACTGGTCGGGGGAGATAGCCTGGTATAGGGCCTGAGAGTGTGCATGGCATTCGAAGCGGTAGGAGTCTCGTGATGCATCCCGCACAGGGGCATGCTGAAAGGGTGCATATTGTATTCTGTGATCGGTTTATGCAATTCAATTAAATGGCTGGTAGGGGAAGACCGCAATGTTTTTTTGTTTGTATAGTCAACAGGTCACCAGGGAATGGTATCTCAGCGATCGTCTGGTTGTAGGAAACGTCATTATTCGTCTCTACACGCTGTCCAAATTATCATTTCACAACACCATGACGAGATTCCAAATACAGGCTACCGGATAGGGTAGGGTGGATGGAAGATGGCGGCACCCTTGAATGCAGGCAAGCAAAGGGTTAGGGAGGATAAGTCCCCGCACGTAAATATTGATCCCACGACGATAATAACCGTCAAAGACTATGCGCCTTTCCACCCTTAAGACCACGTGGAATCTGCGACGGGCGGATTCACAGGACGACTGAAACACGAGAATGGGAGCAATGCGAAAATCTACATACACTGAAATCGACGGCCCGATTTCCGATGCCAATTATAATGTGCGTTGTCCTTGTCCTCTTCTGAGGCCGATGATACCCAAATCAGATCGAGGTCTGCATCAGGCGACACCACAGAAGCCCAGTCGTCTACTGTATTCACCTGAACGATGATCGATCTGGTGTGCAGAATGGCAGTCCAACCCATGGCAGGGAGGAAGATGCTCTACAAGATTGGAGCGTGGCCACTGGACAAGATAGAGACCTTGAAGTCCAGCAGCCTGATCTCCCCGGAGAATGCAACATGGTCGCCGTTGAATGTGCCGCAGAATGGGTGCCCCTACCACCAGCATTCGAGTTTTTTTTTCTTATTTTTTTTTTTAACCGCAGGGCGATATCAAGTAGTGGCGGGTCGCACATAACCAACTCAACGGACGGCTTCAACGGGGACCATCCCATTCCGCCTCACCAAAGTCGTGTGAACATACCTCACCGCGTTGAATTGAGCAGATGTGGTGAAGGCCGTGAAGCCATGTTAATAGAAAGTGTACACTTACTTTGAGGGGAACCATGACTACTGACATTTAAATGGGCTCAAATATTCCTCCCTTTCTTCCTATACAATACCCAAAATATCAAATCAATCATCTTCCATGATATCGCAGCTCGGTTCTAGTCTCGATCATACAAAGAGGCGAAGGGTTAGAACACAGAAAACTTTACCGAATACCTGGAGTTTTGAAGAAAACAAAAAGATCGTGCGTCTTCGAAATAGGGCATATTCGTGGATCGAGATCTGCAGAATGCTCCCAGGGAGAATGCAGACTGCTGGCCGTCTCCGCTATAGGACCCTGGAACAGCCGCGCCACTGGACCGAGGAGAACAAGGACTGCCTCGCGCAGGAGTATGCAAGGTGAGACTCAGATAAGACTCCCTGTTCTATTCCAAAATCTCATCCTTTGAACAGATTGAAGGAGTATATGTTGTCAAAAATCGGCGAGAGAATGGCCATACCGTGGCGCGCAGCGGAGGATTTGCATTGGCAGCTGGGCGAACAAGAATTGATCCGCCGAGCGGCAAGTTGCTTTCGGACGATCGGCCAAGAACCCCGCAATCGTGACACGGACGTTTCTCCCTCTGAACCTCTTCCAGGCTTTCTAAGAGAAAATGAGAGAATCCTGGAGAGGTAACAAGAATGCATCACCTTGCCTTCCATCGCATCCCTCTTTCCAGACCTCCCCGGTCCTCTATTTGACAAAGCACTCCCAGATGTTCAGAAAGCCATCTACTCGATTTGATCGGAGCTTCGCACAATCCCACGAAAGACATCACATTCTCCATGTCGCCAGCAACGGGTGGCTGTGACAGTCGAGGGCTTTGAACCGAAGAGGTCCATGAAAGTGACCCCAACGCCAAAATCCCAACGACGCAAATTCCTGTCTGCAACTTCATTGAAGGTCCGAGTCACGACAGGCCCCTGGAAAGTCCACCCCTTGATACTTCAGCTGGCATAATACGTGGATTTCTGAATGAAATGGATGAAATGAATGAAGGAGCTCCACATCAAAACGTCACGAGTGACAGTTCTTGTGGCACACATTCCACCGCGCAGACTTCCGCATGCTCTCCGAGTTCAGATGTCGGTCCTGCCTACCCTACTTCTAATTCCAATCCTCCAGGAACGCCGGTGGCGATGAGTAGGGAATTGGCGATCCCGGCAGAAGTGGCACTAGAGGGATGCTGCTCCAGAGTCCAAACCGCCAGCAATTACCCGAATGAATATAGGACAGAGAACGACAAATACAAAGTTCGCTTTCCTGCCCTCCTATCCTATCCGCTCTTTCGTCAGAAGATGGTGCAGATGATGCAGATTATAGTCTACCACTTCCACAAATGCCAACTGAAGAGACTACGCAGGCATTGGCCGCACGATCAGGGAGTATTCGGAAAAAGCCAAAGATGTCAGCTGGATTTGAGATTGATAAGTTGTAATGTTAAATATTGGTATACAGAACTATATATATGATCCAGACAGAAGAGTGTAATCTATGTAATTAGAAGAGTTCGACAAATTATCATAGAATCAATGTACAATATTCACATGCTCAATACTTGAAACTTACTCGCAAAACTACACAATTCATGTAGTCAACGGAAGGTCACAGGTCTTGGCTTGTTTACAACATTTATCATCCGCTAGCATCCGGAAATATCCGCGGATGTCGTGTTGATCCTACTTCAACATCCGCATCCGCAAATTGCAGATTTGCAGGTCCTGCTCTTCATACCACATCCGCAAGTCGTGGAGCGGATGACACGACATCCGCGGATCTTGCGGATGCTGCCGCAGTCTATGCGGGGTATCTTTTTCCGATAACGGGGTCTGGGAAGATACGCTCACCAGACATTCTCTATCTTGCTCGTGATCAATTAAAATCATTTCCTTGCAAATATATATATATATTGATGTTCTCGCCGAACTCCGGACTATACCACTATGCTTTAGCTTTCTGATATTTGAACCTTCCGCCACCTGACCCTCCGAAAAGCATTGCCTTCATTCTCTGACAAATGTTGATATCAAGCCGAGCCTTATGCCATGCACTTCTGGCAGGCTTTGCGATAGCCAATCTATCCTCAGCCGCTGACGTTAGGGATGTTGACGCCAGCTCCCCAGCTTCCACCCCCCGAATTGGCCAACTCGAAATGGGCAGTGCTGCAGCAGGTCACGCGCCCAATGGTGACACACTGAATGTCACTAGTGAATCTTTGGTGCTTAACAAGAAACCATGGCTTCCTGTTATGGGCGAATTTCATTACTCTCGCTATCCTGCTGACCAATGGCTACCTGAGTTGCGGAAGATGAAGGGAGCAGGAGTCAACATTGTCTCAACTTATGTCATCTGGATCCATCATGAGGAGATCCAGGGCCAGATCGACTGGTCCGGCAGTTGCAATATCACCCGGTTTGTTGAAGCTGCCGCTGAGGTTGGCATTTTTGTCGTCGCCCGCGTCGGTCCATATGTTCATTCCGAAGTTCGCAACGGTGGCCTCCCCGACTGGGTCATCCACAAAAGTGCCGTCATTCGCAGCAACGACCCAATTTACATGTCCTTTGTGACATCATTTTGGACAGAGCTCGCAGAACAGATTAAAGGTCTTGTTTTCAAGAACGGTGGCCCGATCATTGGAGTGCAGCTCGAAAACGAGTATTCATTGAATGGAAGTGGTCAGGGTGCGGCACATATAACAACGTTGAAGTCTCTCACCATTTCCCTCGGCCTTGACGTGCCTTTGTATACATGCACCGGCTGGCAGGGCGCGCATTACCCCCCATACCAGGTTGTACCAGTCTTTGGGGGCTATCAAGACCTGCCTTGGGACACTCTCCTGGCTGACGAACCGCCAAGTGAAACCTACTCATTCCGTTACTTCAGTAAGTGTGTTTGCAATAACCTCTCAAATTGTTTTCGAATATATTCAAAAGAAATGCATAGCGGCAATGGTGGAAATGAGGGGCATATCTCCTATGCGAAACCTATGTGACATTGCTATTTGGGACCTACGTATTCCATTAGTGAGGGTTCAAAATGCTAACAGTTTTTCCAGGCCGGGAAGCTGGCTCTTACGGCTACCCCCCTAGCAATAATTACCCTAATACTCAGTGGGAGCTGATTGACTATCCGTTTCTTACGGCCGAATATGGCGGCGGTGCTGGAGTAATGTACCGCCGCCGCGTGGTTCTGAGTCTGCCCGACGATGTTGCTGCCACAATTCCCGTCCAACTCGGCTCAGGCGTCAACCTTTACGGATATTACATGTTCCATGGAACTACAAATCCAAGGGGAAAGACGGAAACTCTTCAGGAGTCGACCGCTACTGGTGGCTATAACGACCTCCCAATCTTTGAATATGATTACGAGGCACCTATTGGGCAGTATGGTGAGCAACGCGTGACACTGAATCGCATTAAGCTATATCATTACTGGCTGAATGGCTTTGGTGACCAACTCGCCGGGATGAGCATGCGCCAACCGGAGGTTACCGCAGAAAACTCCACCGATCTCTCTAGTCTGCGCTGGTCGGTTCGTTCCAACGGGGAAAGTGGCTACCTTTTCTTGAACAATTATGTCCGGCAATACTCGATGAAAACACATACTGATATTCAATTCGCCGTTAAATTCACCTCCGGCACCGTTACATTCCCCAGCGAGCCTATTACCATACCAGATGGGGCATATTTCGTTTGGCCGCTCAATCTTTCCCTCGGGAGAGCTAGCCTGATTTCAGCAACTGCGCAACTGATGACTTCGCTGAATATATCAGGACGGACAATCTATATCTTTGTTGCTACTGACGACATTCCCGTTGAATTTGCCTTCGATTCTACTACCGTGTCTAAAGTAAAAGCTGTTGCAGGCATTACTAACAATGAGGAGAGTGATCGAATATTGGTCAAGTCGATCATCCCTGATCTCGATCTTGCTATCTATTTGACTGACAAGGGCGGCGACGAAATCGGTATAATTGTACTGAACCAGACAACGGCGGACAACCTCTGGGAACTTGTCCTCGGTGGACAGAAAACTCTCATTCTTACCGAACAGGCGCTCAGCCCAAGTTCAGACGGTTTTCAACTCACCAACCCTGGCTCTCCCGACTTCAGCTTCGCCACATTCCCGGCTATAGACTGCTCTGTCACAACTAGAGAAATTACCGGGGCTACTGAATTACTCTTGAAAGGAACTCCTAAGGGTCTCTTCACTGTCTTTGAAAGCAGAACGAAATCCAAGAATATACTAGTCACTACCCAACCATTCCAGGCTCCTGGTATTGCCCCTCCAATCCTGAAGGGTGGGCAAGCTGGTGGCGCCCTCGAGCCCAATCAAACTGCGATTGTGGCCGCTCAAGGCCTCTGGACGATCAGTATCCCCTGGTCTCAGGTGGCTGATGTTGACGATGCGTGGCTTATGATCGATTATGAAGGGGATCTGGCTCGCTTGTATGCTGGAAATCTTCTTCTTGACGATAACTTCTACGATGGGACGACCTGGGTCGTTGGTCTCAAGCGATTTGCTAGTACTACCGCAAGTGACGACCTCACCATTGCCATAATGCCGCTCCGTAGCGATGCACCGATCTATCTTCAGGCAATGCCACAGTACGACTCGAACGGACAAGCTTGCTCGATAATCAACGTTAATATTAGCACTGTCTATCATCTAAATGTCAAAACAGAATAGCTACATTGTGTCACTGGGCACCCTCACAAGCATTAAAGAAAGGCTGAAGGGGCGCTATAGACTATCTCCGATTCTTAGTTGCGGTGAAGGGCATTACTTCATGAGTACAGGTCTCTACGCGAGAGCCACATTCAACATGCATTCAGCTCATGTCCTATGAGGAAATTGTAACCGTCTCTGCATGTAGGTTTAGTCGAGAAAAATTCGGTGGTGAAGCCTGCTCGAGTCTATTTTGTTTCGGTCTGGTTAAATAGCCTATGGAACTTGTGCATTACAACCCCCAAGATTGAGTCTTGTTCTGAATTTGACCCTATTGTTCCGTACGTTTCTAAACTCTTTCACTCTGTTTATTCGATTCATGGTACGAAATGGAGGGAGAATCATGGATATATACCATCATGAACCTTGCACCGCAGGAGGAGAGAGAGTCCACTGGGATTAGGGGCACTTTTCTAAGTAGCCTAACGATGCTTCTCGTAGTTTCCCATCTGCAGGCTTAGCATGTACCCTTCACCCTCATGTTAGCCTGGCTCGTCGAGACAAAGACTTTTGTATAGCTCTGGAGGGACAAAGTTATAGCGCCCAGTCGTCGAATATGGGATACTTGATTGTGATGGCACGGTAGGAGTGGTCATGTTAAATGAGGATTTGCAACGCTCCCAGAGCCCTCGCCTTCTAAACCAGGAACTATGGATTCAAATCCTAGTATTTCGGCCCAGCCGAACACCTTGATTATGCCATGTAGGGTTAACTACGCTTGCAGAATGTCGAGGAGTGGTTCCAGGTCCTGTGAGATGACAATGAAATGACCGTAGAGCATAGTAGCTAACTCGCGCGGAGTGCCCGCTTGGCCCTAGTGTCAAGACTGACAACAAGAAGACAATACTTTGCAATGCATTATTCTGTCAGCGTGAGGCCTTCCCGAGCTGACGAACAGTCCAGGAACAGAGTTATATTGAGGATTCTTTGCAGAGAACTTGGAAATGATGTCTTGATTGAGTGAAGCGTAGCATGACAAGCAGATCGGATGTGCTATCTTACCAGTCGCCTGTGTGACTGGTTCCCTCTAATGACAGCAGTAAAGGGTCGTGATTGTCGACACAATACGTATCGATTTCAGACACCAGTTTCCACAAGAGCAACAAATACACTTCTTGGCAGTGGGAGAAGTCTCGACCCAGTACCTGGCTAACCCTGCTCGGATGCGCGAACAGGAAATCTCTGGGTGAAAGGCCTCGGATGCGACAACCATAGCCTCCAGCGCAAGAAACTCATCGGTCGATCTAAAATATCCTGTGGCGTCCCCAGCTCGAGATAAAGGAGCAGTGTTATTATAGCGGACTAAACATTATAGTTCTCACAAACCTACGGGTGAGGTCTGTGGCTGCTACCACAACTAGACGAATCCTAACTTTCCGGGCGGTCTGGTTTCATTATTGATATAGATAGACCCCAAGGTATCGCACGGTTTTCAATCTGATCTTGCGGAAAGATCAACAAGTTGAGTTGTATTTCCAAAGCTATACAGGTCATTCTTGTTATACTGGTTCTGCCTCCTCTCTTGCATCCAGGAAGATATCATGAATCAAGTTGTGCCATTTGACGAAAGTATCAAGACTGGAGAAAACAAAGAGAAGAGAAATCTATCCAGTGGGGTGGTATTTTCATGTCACCCGATAACAAACGCCTTTTCTTATCACTCGATCTATTTATGTTCGTTATCACATCAAATCCACGAAAGCAGCCTATCCACGTCTAGATCGTCACATTTTCAATTAATTAACCTTTTCATCCAATATCAGTTCCGCCTTACCTTATCTTTGTCAGATAGGATCAGTACACCATACCGCCTCTACTTGCTCAAATTTAATTTTATATCGCAGAAATACTAACCACTGATCAAGAGGTCTCTACTGATGTTGCGCTAACTAGCATAGTCACGACCATTATTGTCTTCTATGCTAGAAACAGCTACACTCTTTTAAGTCTAATTACATTAAACGTTATAGTTAATATGAACTTTGTGCGAATAATCCGTCTTATACGTGCTAAGTAATAATAATGTATATAAAACAGAGAATTGGCGTAATAATTACACGACGCTGCGGTTTTAGAAGAAGTCTAGGTGACTGGAACATTCTGCATGTTTCTATCTCTTAAGTTGCTATGCCCTATTTAAGAAGAGTCATTGCGAGGGCCAAGATCGGATCAATGATAACTATAGAAACTACGGTACCTAAGTGATACGCACAATAAGAGGATTTGCTTAAAATGGATTCTTGATATAGAAGCACATGGAGCAACACCTATAGCGGCTACAGAAGGAGAAATTACCAATATTCTCCTTTACAGCACCGCAAGCCTACACCTACTACGATAAGTTGGCTATCAAACTACGTTAAACTCGACCAGATATCCGAACCCTACATTCAAATACTATGGCTTCAACATCAATAGAATGAAGGTCCGAGAATCGTAAGTGAGAGGCATCACAAATTTCAGCGTCATAACCAAAATCTGTTGACTCTTGTACCACTATGATGTTCTATGAAAATTTAAGTCTTCGTTCTGTCCATCCCGGCCGTAGATAACTGCCGTCAAAAGTCACATCAAGAGAGCTCTCCACAACGTAATTAATCTTCCAATCCACCGTAGTACATGCTCCAGAGTCTGTCTGTGCCCAGACAGCCAATCCAATGGTGTTATCTCCTGTATAGTCAAGGACACCAGGCGGCACCGGGAATTCGACTTGGTTCCCTATCCATGGGTTAAATCGACCATACTGGTAGCCGTTGACAAAAAGCTGTGCACGGAATGCCTTTGTATCTCCGCATGCTGACAACAAGAAGGAAACGGAAACATCTACACCCTTAGGGATATTCAAAGGCGCGACTGTTCGGTAGAAGTGGATATCGGCACCAGTGAACTTGAGCTGGGTTCCGACATCGGCCCACTCGTCGTCATTAAACCCAGGCAGATGCCACCCCATACGTTCTGCATATAGTCCGTCCTCGTTATAGACTCCACGGATAGGGTCTAGGTTCGACTCTCCACCAGCTGTTCCAGCAACACGCCAGTGACTAAAATTGGTAGCATTATCATTGGACAGCAAGCTGGCTTGGAGAATACCACGAGGGTTCAAAACCCCTGTTGTTTCATCATGACCAGTATCGTCATGCACGATAAGCAGAACATTTTGTGATGCTTCGTGGACAGTAGCGTTGCCAAACGTAAGGTTTAGACTACCCACCTCCAGAGAGGCGTCGCCAAGGTATGAACCCAAGAACTGGCCATTAAGCCAGGCAGACCAACCACTGTGAAACGTAAAAAAAGTAATTAGTAGCTACGCGGAATCCCAAATGCATGGCACATTCAGAAGCTTACAAGGCATTTCCTCCTTGAACAGTCAAAAATACACCAGTTGCTGACCCATTGAAGTAACCGCGCCAGAGGCGAACGCCGTTATGGAAGCCTGTCATGTTATCATTATTAATTCATCCTTATCCAAGATTTAATTGGGCCAGCTGACCATAGTCGTCTCCGTAGAGGACAGGATAAGTTACTGGTGGGCTCGGATTTGCAGTTGTCATGTGATCGGCGTCTGATTGAGTCAGTAATCGAGGAATTTGAGGGAGCGTACGAGAAAACACACTAAGCCATGCTGATCCAGAATCATCGTAACCCGAAAGCTTTTCTGGGAGGCTGTTTTTAAATTTCCAAGAATCCAACAATGGGAGTGTGATGGATTTTGGTTCGGGAGTGAGCGATATCAAGCTTCCATATGCCGTTCCGGACGTGTGGAGCTTCTTTCCATTCCACGATATCTCTTTGATGTGCTTTGGTGCAAATACTTCTAGACGAGTCGCACTCGACGAGTCACCTGTCAAGAGCACTGTGGATCCAACGATCTTGGCATCGCGGACAAGATACGGCCCTTGAACCAAGACTGCGTCTTCATCAGAATTATATGTTCCAGCCGAGAAAACAACATTTGCCACTTACTGGTATTGCCTTCCGGAGCCAATGGGTTTGAACTTAGAGTTGGTGCCCATAGCTGGTACGCAGCCGTTCGGTCCATGAGTAGAATACGGGCCCCACTATCCAACTCTATGACACTCATGCCACGAGCTTGCGTAAAGGTGATAGTGAGTCCACGGCCACTATTGCTGGCGTAAAATTTCACTCCAGAGCTGCCGTCACATCGCCCTATCGATCCTTTTTTGGCTCCATCGACAGAAAACTCTCCTGACTCGCCAGTTGGCACCCATAAAGCAAGCGTAGGCACGCCATCGAGAACCGAGTATGTCAAGACTTCAGCGGTACTATATAGAAGGTTATGTGAGCCAAACTTGAAATCCGTGACAATGATCTTCGATTGATGTCCGTTTAGCCGGATAGAACTTCCGTGTTCTGGAATAATTAAAGGACCTGCAGAAGTGTTGACGTGTAGTTGGAAGATTTCATTTGTTGAGCTCGAAGAATTGGCGTGGAGTGTGACGTAGAAACCCGCAGAAGAATTCGGGTTTCGAATTTCATATGCCTGGACTGCCTTGTTTGTAGTGTACTGTGTACCATTCCCGATTAAATCCGTCACCGTTAGATCCTGCGCCGCACGAGTGAATAATGTCACGAGCTTCGTCTCGTAATATTTCTCACCGATGGCACGATCCTCTGATATTGGTGCCGAATAGTCATAACTCGTTGCTGTAACTGGGGCAGCGATCGCTCCCCAACTCGTTCCCCCATATAACATATATATGTTCACTGCAGTGACACGCTGGCCAATGTTCCATCGGTAAAACAAGTTTGCAAAATCTGGTCCGATATCATCAGGGCATCCGCCTTCAGGACCACCCCATGGATTAAACGAGCCACCTTGGAATTCCGTGAGGAAAGATGGCATTGTTTGTTGTGTCTTCTGGAAATAATCGTAGAAGTCCACGACATGGTACGGTATATACTCTCCATTGACACCGGTACATTGACTCAAGTCACAAGTCCAGCACTATTGGCATTTAGCGGAGGAGACTTCATAGAAGCGAGATAACATACCGAGGGATAGTCATCCAGGCCGACGACATCAACATTTCCTCCGGCATTGGACCAATCCTTCCCCCAAGAAATAGTGTTCATATTTGGTTCGTTGGCGACCAGTGGGACATTTATTCCATTTGCACGGGCATGTTCCTCAAGGAGCTCCATATAGCTAATGGCGGTCTCATTTGGGATCCTTTTTGAAGCGGCGCCGATCCACTGTTCTCCATACTCATTTTCAATTTGAAAGGAGATAATGTTTTGGCCGTTTGTAATTTGATAACCAGCAGCGATATCAGATACCGTGGAGAAGTATGGCTTCCAAGCTTCAGTGTATCTACTATCGTTGTTTCGTAGGGTCCCATATTCCCCGGTTGAAAGCCACAGGGGGAACCCACCGGCATTCGCTTCAGCATTCATGTAGGGCCCAGGACGGACAAGGACATAAAGTCCTAGATCCTTGGCTATATCGAAGATAGGGGTAAAGTTGTGCGCTCCTGTTGAGAAGTCTAAAGTCTGATTATTTGGCGCATGATAGCCCCAGCTGACATACATGGCAAACGCTGTGAAACCCGCTGCCTTTATCTTTTGGAGAATATCGATCCATAATTCGGGAACGGGAATTCGCCAATAGTGCCATTCGCCTGAAAAGAGAAAGACTCTCTGGCCGTGCAGCTCGAAGCTGTAGTGATCCCACTGCACAATGTTGTTCAGGCCATCGTCGTGGAGTGGCCATTCCTGTGCCGAGAATCTGCTGACTAGAAAGACAAGAAGTAAGAGTAGCGTCGTAGAAAGAGGCCGCATGTCGTATCTATTAATCGGAATGTTCAGATACGTTCATGAATGTAGAGAAAATATCTAAAGTAGTGTAGGTGAGGATTTAGCTGGGGACACTTCGTTTTATAGACCGTTGGGTGGGATCCGTTATCCTCTAGATGTGGAAGAAGACAACGACGGTGATTACAACTAGGCTGCAGCAGCATCCGGAAAATCCGCGGATATCGTATATCCGCTTCGGCAAATTTGCGGATGCGGATGCCATTTTACAATCCGCACGATATCCGCAGGTATCCACCCACTCACCCGTGAATTACGTTATTATCAAGATTACACTATACTTGTCCCCCTTCTCTGTATTTTTTGCCTAGTACTGCCTCAATGCATAGCGCAGGTTTTGAGATACGAAAGGGGGCACGAGATACTGTACCAGGAGAGATTACACGGGAACTGAAATTCTAACGGCAGAATAATAGCGGGATTTCTGGCAAGCCAAGGTACAACAGTACAAATATTAAGAAACTCTGACTGTATATCTAAAAGATACGGGAAGCAAACGGATGGTCGTGGTTGCTGAGGAGTATCGTATTTCTCTGTCAAGTTCCCTAGTCTCCGTGAAGTAGCCACGGGTAACGCGTCCGACGGCAATGGACTCGGATACCCAAGTTAGACGGGATACGAGAACGGAGGGCGCGGGAGTTTAGGTTTTATTTTCCCCGGTATTTTCTCGACGGAAAGCGTCCTTTATTAACAATAAACAGCGCCAGCAAGTCTGTGGCTTCCCTCTAATTAAGAATTCCTGCCTACAGCATGTCTCTTGCTGGGAAAGTGTACGCAGTCACTGGCGGCGCGAGTGGAATTGGCCTCGCGACTGCCAAGCTTCTGTCACAGCGTGGAGGTATCGTGTGCATCGCCGACATTGATGTAAATGCTTTAGCAGCAGCGGAGGCATACTTTACAGAAAATAATGCAACATTTTGGGCAACTGTTATGGATGTATCCAAAAAGGCTGAAGTGGAGGGCTGGATTGATGGTATCATCAAAAAATTCGATCGATTGGATGGCGCCGCTAATATCGCTGGCGTCATCGGCAAGCATCACTCATTGCGCTCCATCTCAGAAATTGATGATGATGAGTGGGATAAGATCATTGCGGTCAACCTGACAGGTTGCATGTACTCCCTCAGAGCTGAGCTCAAACTCATTCAAACCGGTGGCTCTATTGTCAATATGGCCTCCATACATGGGATCACCGGTAAGTAGGAAAGCTCAAAACTCGGAAGCTCTATTGTGTTGATTTTAACTCTTCTGATAGGGCTGCCTTTGCATGGGGCTTACGGTGCCAGCAAACATGGTGTTGTGGGATTAACTCGCATTGCCGCAAAAGAATGTGGGAAGAGGGAAGTACGCATCAATGCTGTTGCGCCGGGATCTATTTACACGCCAATGATGCAGCAAGCATGGGATATGACAGGACGGGCTTCTGATGCCCCTTTCGATGAGCCAACTGCCTTTCAACGACAGGGAAAGCCGGAGGAAGTTGCAAACGTGGTGGCCTTCTTACTCGGACCCGAGAGCACCTTCATCAGTGGCAGTGTATACTCTGTGGATGGAGCATGGCTTTAAAACCTATCATGTTGAAGTCTTCTCAAATCATGAATTAATACAACCAATTAGATTAGAAATCTACTCTGGACCGATTGCTTACATAATATTCTGCCTTTTATAAACACTTACAGATATCCGACATTATCCCCAAATTTGAGGCAAAACAATTGCTGGTCTCTAATTGTACACTTCATCTGGGAGAATTGAAGGTAATAAAATGAATTCTACATTTTTCATTAGCGTTTATCATAGCTAGCAAATCCTACCAAAGGCGGTATATGTCAGGCGGTGAAGGAGGTGGTCGCAAACTTTTGCGGTGCCACTGTATATGTTTACACCACAGTGACTGTGACCAAACCTTTGCTAGCGCTGGATCAAGAATTGATCAAAAATTGAGAGCCGTTTCGATACTCCTAGGGAGTAAAGCTTCGGAACGGATAACCTTCTCCCGTTGTGCTCCGTACATTCCGTGAACTTAATACTTGTTTCGGAAAATCTCCCGTCCCCGCATCTCTCCCCAGCAGCCTCTGAGGATTTTGTGGAACCGACGGAGGCATCGATTTTTACATCCCCCCAGTCGTAGCATATTATAAAAGCCCCTGGATTTGCTTTTAATCTCGTCGCTGAACCAATTTCTTATCTCAAGTCACAGTATTGTCTACCACTTTATTTTCCGATAGTTACAAAACCGTACTATCAAGGATGGCCCAAGCAGTCCGAGGTACAGCAGATCTCTCGAAGATCGAGGCTCCTATTAACAAGAAGGCCTACCTCATCTGTGTCTCTGCTGCCTTTGGTGGCATCTTCTTCGGATATGATATTGGGTGGATGTCTGGGGTATTGGGCATGCCATACTTTATCCAACAATATACGGGTATGGCATACGACTGGAAAACTGGAACACCAATCGACGCGACAGATTTCGTCATTCCATCTTCGCAGAAATCCTTAATTACATGCATCCTATCACTTGGAACTTTCCTTGGTGCCTTGATCGCTGGCGACCTAGCTGATGCCATTGGTCGCCGTCTGACTATCATTATTGGGTGCGCAATTTTCACTGTTGGCGTTGTCCTTCAGATTGCAAGCACCAACCAGCTGGCCCTTATATGTATGGGACGACTTGTTGCAGGATTTGGTGTCGGCTTCGAGTCAGCCGTTGTCATTATGTATATGTCCGAGGTATCACCACGGAAGATTCGTGGTGCTGTTGTGTCAGCATACCAGTTTTGCGTGTAAGTCCAAACCCAAACATGGATAGATTTACTGGAGAAGACTGAAAGCTGACATTCCTCCTTGTTTTAATCAGCACCATAGGGCTGCTTCTAGCCAGCTGCGTGGTTTATGCTACCCAGGAACGTAACGACTCGGGGTCTTACAGAATTCCCATTGGCATTCAGTTCGCCTGGGCCCTCATTCTCGCCTCAATTCTTATATATCTTCGTAAGGAGCCATATAAATTTATCTTGATCTCCACGAAAGGTTCTAACGATCCAATAGCTGAGTCACCCCGGTACTTTGTCAAAAAAGGTCAAATAGAAAAAGCCTTGAAGTCTCTATGCTTCATTCGAGGGCAGACTGAAGACTCTGAGTATGTTCAGGATGAACTCGCTGAGATCGTCGCAAATCTTGAGTACGAGTCGCAAGTTATTCCCTATACTGGCTACGTCAACTCTTGGCTAGTCTGTTTTAAGGGTCCAATAACAAAGGCTAGTTCAAATGTCCGTCGAATTATTGTTGGCGCTGGCATACAGGTAAGCGAAATGTTTGATTACGTTATGTATTACCGAATAGGCTACTAACCTAGTCAATGTGCTCTAGGCCATGCAGCAGCTTACCGGGATGAACTTCATCTTCTATTTTGGGACCACATTCTTTCAACAACTTGGTACAATACAGAATCCTTTCTTGATATCCCTCATAACCACGCTTGTCAATGTCTGCGCGACCCCTCTATCTTTCTGGACCATCGAGAAGTTTGGTCGCCGGCCCCTACTTATTTACGGAGGCATCGCCATGTTCCTGATGCAGTTTATTATTGGGGCCATAGGAACTGCAGAACCCGATAATCCTGCAGCTGTAAAAGCGATGATAGCAGTGATATGTTTCCAGATCTTTTGTTTTGCCACAACCTGGGGACCGACGGCATGGGTAGTGGTTGGGGAGGTCTTTGCCCTTCCCATCCGATCTCGGGGTATCGCGATTTCTACCGCGTCTTGTTGGTTCTGGAATTGCGTGCTTGCCGTAATCGCACCCTATATGACTGGTGAGCAGCCAGGAAGTGCCAACTGGGGCCCGAAAGTCTTTTTTTCTGGGGTTCGCTTTGTTTCCTAGGTACAGTATTTGCCTACTTCCTTGTGCCGGAGATGAAAGGCCATTCCCTGGAGCAAGTCGATCAAATGCTCGAGGACGTTGGTCCCCGTAAGAGTGCGGGTTGGGCACCACAGTCCACTTTTGCAGCTGAAATGGGTCACGTCTCAAAGCCTGGAAGCACCCACATCGAGACTGCGGAAAGGATAGCTTAGGGTGTGTCAGTTAGGGAAGTCTGTCAAATGTGCCCTGACTCAAGGTAAGGTGTGTGCTTTGGTTATATTTCCAAGCCTTAGCTTGCTTAGATAGCAATTGATCAGTCATTATTTTGTGACTTGGTTACGGTGTTGTGCATTATTTGCTGTTAAAAGAGGACGATGACATCCATGGATCATTTCAAATATGATTGTAGGTGTAATTTCGTTCTCAATATTTCGAAATCAAATGAGCTCTATCAACACACCTTGTTCCTCTGTTCTATGCTCAAGACGAATGTATTGTTGTTTGATGTATTGTCCGTAGTCACTAAGTACACACCCTCGATTAGTAATTTCATGCCACTACAGAAGTTTACGCAGGATATCACTAGTCGAGAATATTACTAGAGTATTGGCCTAGGAGAGATTCAAAGCTAAGAAGGACTTCTCTATATTTCCGGTCTTGGGCAATGATATAAATAGCCACGGCCATAAAAGCCTATCGAAAGGGCAACGTCTAACAATCCAAAGCAAGCTAAAGTTTTGCACTAGGTGGGAGTTTCGAAAAAAGGCTTCGTTGCCCTTCTTTCACACACTGTCGTAGGTTACGTCGAATTGTCTTCGCTGATGGAAACATAGGCCACGTTGATGAAACTCGCGTATTTAATGATATCAATAATTTCGGGTCGCTCAACGAATTGAAAGGGAAGGCGTGCTATCGCAACGAGTTATATAAGCTTCTGGTGCCTGATCTCTCGCAGAAAGACATGAAGCCTTGGCGTATTCTGAGCCTATACGCCAACAAAAGTTAGTAATCCAAGATTTAGAGCGTACTTATTGCGAAGTTGGGAAGAGATAAACTACTTGCAGGGCGGAAAGCCTAATGATCAGGTAGAGAGAGGCACTATGTCAGATTTCTTTAGATACTGTTTCTTTGGGAGTCCAAAACTCACTCGATTGAGGGGCCACAGAGGGATACGGAATCGTGTAACCAGTTGACAGGGTCCTGCAAACAGCGCTTCCCTATAGCTGCACTGTCGGAAGGTCGTTGGCATGTCACCGGGACGCTGCGCTTCCGGCAGACCTCCTCTTGCCCCCGAAGGCCCAGCAAACAGCATTTGAATAGCCTCATGGTAGAGATATCATAACAACACTCAAATCCTCACATTCTGCCTTTTTGGCTAGGAGTATGCCCGCAGGGGCCACCTCAAGAAATTAATGCTGAAAGAAGATTGATTATGCTCCATGAGCCCTATATTTTAAATGGCTGATAGGCTCAGTAATAGTCGGGGAAAAATTGATGTCTTTCCTTCCATGGCCAAACATAAATTTGTAAATATTCAAGGCCTCCGAAGACACTCTGTCGGAAAAGAGCCGTACCTAGACACAAGCTCTCTAAATCTTTGGTGTCACACTGTTACTACATTTTAATTCTTCAAATACAATCTTAACTTGAAAAGAATTCAACGTGAGATTAGCGAAATTACCGAGTCGCTACGTAGACTAATCAACCAGCTGTAAATGACTGTAGTTTATGAGATGAATCATCATAATTTATCGGCTTTATTCATGGAATAACCACGTGAGCGAATACGCACATGCATCTTTGACGGAGCAAAGTCTTCTCGATTCTAACACTAACTTGTCAGATCGCATTATCAGAAATTTTATTTTCACGTGATTTGTAGTTGTTTTGCTGTTAAATGGTTCTCAATTCGGATATCGAAATCGTTTTGCAGGAGAGGATATGGCAACGATTAGCGGATCCACCGAGGGGGAGCCGGGTCGGAAAAGGCTCGCCGTCTGCTTTTCCGAAAGGCGCTGTTTAGCCGATCCTTCTACTAGCTTTTGACGATAGCTGAACCTCCATGAGTGGGCTGTTTATCCAACGGAGATTACAGAACAGCGGCAATGAAACTTTAAGAAGGGAATAATCAGGCGATGGCCACGGGACATTTCCGAGAGAGGATGGGGACTCGCGGAGAGACGACTTAATAGCACGCTTTGACACAGCTGCGGTCAGAGTACAGATGTGCATAATATCATCACTCTAATTCAATTTCCAGAGACGACATGGCTGACTCAAGCTTCTTCACTGACAGCCAGGCTCTCGTTCAAGACGCGCTACAGGGCCTCTGTAAAACCTCCTCTGAGCTTGTCCTTGACCTCAACAGCAAGAGTAGGTTAATTGATAGTTCAACATTCTGATAGCTAACGCGCGCAATAGTGATCACCCGCTCGACTCATGACCCTTCCAAGAACGTCACACTTATCAGCGGAGGCGGCGCAGGTCATGAGCCTGCGCATGCAGCTTTTGTTGGCCAGGGCATGCTGAGCGCTGCTGTATCGGGTTATGTTTTTGCCTCTCCCTCAGTGTCGCAGATCATTGAAGCGATACACTCGGTTGGCGGCTCGGCAGGCACGATTCTCATTATCAAGAACTATACTGGCGACATCTTCCACTTTAATCTCGCAGCGGAGAAGGCTCGTGTTCGATGGGGTCATCGTGTTGAAGTGCTTGTCGTCGGCGATGATGTAGCTGTAGGCCGTCAGCGCAGTGGAAAGGTTGGCAGACGAGGACTCGCTGGGACGGTTCTCGTTCACAAGATTCTTGGAGCCTTGTCTGTGAAGGGCAAGTCCATCGACGAGTTGCTTGCTGTGGGCAAACAAGTTATTGAGAATCTTGTGACATGCGGTGTTTCGCAAGGGCATGTGAAAATCCCAGGTACTGCTCCTCAAAAGGGTCCTGTTCAGCTGGAGCTCGGCATGGGCATCCACAATGAGCCTGGCCTCTACATTCTGAATCCCCGTCCCACACTTGATGGACTGCTTGATCGAATGCTAGAGTTATTGACACGGAGAGATGATGAGGACCGAGCTCACGTCAATTTTGAGGGGGAGATGCCAGTACTGCTGTTAAACAATCTCGGCGGAACATCGCAGCTAGAGTTTAGCGCCATCCTTCATCATCTACTGGAGAGGTTGGGTGAGTAAACTCCCCTTTGTTGTTGGTGCGAGCTAACAAGCCCAGCCAAGAAGAGCCTGCAGCCTATTCGAATTCTTGCCGGCGCGTTCATGACAAGTCTTGATGCTCTGGGATTCAGTATCACGCTTTTGAAAGCAACACCTGAGATGCTTGATGCTATCGACGATGTGACAACCGCTGTTGGCTGGCCACGCAGTATCGCTAACCCGGCTGCAATTAATGGCAAGCAAGTTGTTGATTCGAAACAGGACATGCTGCCCACGCCCTTAACTGACAGCGCTGGACCAAAAAGTGAGGAAATCTACAGGACATCTTTGCTTGACCTTTATGCTAATACTCCGTAGTTGACCCTGAAAGTTTCATCACAGCGATAAGAGCAGCATGCCAATCTCTCCTCGCTGCTGAGCCCAGTATCACACGGGCCGACAGAATAGTAGGAGATGGTGACTGCGGGACAACCCTCTCTCGCGGAGCAAATGAAGTTCTCAAAGTCCTCTCAGAATCTCCATTTACACCTTCCACCAGTGCAAGCGCAGCAGTTTTACGCATTGCGCTGGCGCTGGAGAGTAGCCTAGACGGCACATCGGGTGCCTTGTACCAGCTCTTCGTTACCGCATTGGCGGCAGATCTTCAAACTGCACCGGAGGAGACTACTACACTCGAGACTTGGGCTAAGGCAGCTGGCGTCGCACTTACGAGGCTGCAGGCCATGACGCCTGCGCGCGTGGGCGACAGGACACTCATGGATGCGTTGATTCCTTATATCAAGGCGTTGGCAAAGGGTGATGTTGAGCAAGCTGTTGAGGCGGCGAGGAAGGGTTGTGAGAGCACAAGGGGAATGGAGGCGAGCTTGGGCAGAGCTGTGTATGTTGTTAGTGAGAACTGGGATAAGGTTACCGATCCTGGTGCGGAGGGAATCGTAGCTATTGTGAAGGGACTCTCAGGGGGGCCAAAAAAGGAGTTGAATTACCCAACAGGTTAGGACAGACTAGCTTAGGTTCCAGGAGCGCATATTCGTTGCAGTTGAACTATTGACTCTTAGAGACCTAAGCGATCGTCGTTTGCTGCCGGGTGCAACTTACAATCCATTAATTCTATAGATAATAAAGACATTGACATGTTTCAGTCTTCGAGTTCATGCTAAGTAAAGATGGCATATTCATTCACTTTCAATACATTTAACGCCTGGCCTTGAAAAATTCCTCAACAAATTTACGAGGTCCGACCTATTTCTGAAATCCGTGTATGAGCATATGCGTCTTATTGTCCCCTAGACCTATCGCCTTGGCCGCCAATCTCCAGGCGAGCACGGCGGTGACACATCGCTAGCTTGTCCACGTCAAATGTCAAACGTAAGGCATTCAATTTGTGAGTCCCCGGCATTTGCTGTCAACCTGGTAGATATCCCCATCATCAAGGCAAGTAGACCCAAGTTCCTTCCGAATACAACAACCTTCGAATTTTATTTAGAGACTCATGTACGTGAGAGTGGGCGTGCTCGACATGAACGGTTTCTTAGTCGATGGGTGCTATCTGTCCCTTGTTATTCAAGACCTAAAAAAAGGCGCCACTTTTCGGACCTCCCGATCTCTTGAGCATCGAAGTCCCTCCAGTGGGGACATCATTCCTGGGGGCTAGATCCACCTGGGAACAAATACAAAATTGTATTTCAGCCATCCACGGTTGAAGAGGGTTGATCAGTCATTGAACAAAGGGTCACCCACCGAAAACCACGTTCACTTCAAACCAACCCCACAATAAGCCAAAAGGTTTTTAACCCAGAGAGTTCTGATGCGAGCATCCACTAGTGTTTAAAAAACATCCGGCATCGCAATCATGCAATATAACATGAGGGGCAATGAATCGATTTACTTGTCACACAAAGCGAAGGCTATGAGTTGCCTTTTCGTAGTATGGCCCCTCACCGAGCTGGCAATGCAGATTCAGATACGGCTCCGTCACTCTCCAGTGCTGTAGGTCGTCAGTGGACATGTTTGCGCGATGAGTTGGAGGCAGAATAATATGGATTGACTGGCTTAATCGAAGTCGCAATTGGACTATATTTTGAGGCTTCTCCATCCGTTCTCTTTCTTGACAAAGTCTGAGCACCAAATAATTTACCACCAATGACGACTCAAGCTTTTCTTCTCATCCACTGGCAGGAACGCTCTCGACGGATATAAGCTTATTGGTCGTTTGACTCCGACAATGCCGTCCGACGGAAATCTCGCCGACGCCACAGTTACCGGGTCATCAGAAAGCAACAGTATCCTCCACGTAGCCAGGTCGCTTTACTTTAGCCAATCGATGAAACAAACTGCTTTAGGTCTACTTGATACTTTGTTCTGGTCATTCTTGAAACTGGGGCTTTGACCCCACGTTTACTCAATAAGATTGAATGAAATACCGTGGAGTTCGTTTACTAACCAGTAATGAAGTTAAGACTTTATCCGCACATGATGCCGAAATTATCCGTGCCCAAACGGGCAGCCGAAAAGAGCTTACCGCCTTTTGGGTGACCGTTCAAGCACGGATAGCTGTTTGCCCTCGACCTACAGACGTTCACCATTCGCTAGATCTCCTCCGTTTCGATTACCTGTCATTATGGACATTGAAGACATATCCGTCTCCACCAACCACACGGCCACTATTGATGCCGAGCCTCGCGGTATCCAGGGCGGCTTTCCTCTACCTATTAGTCCCAACCGGTCCGAAGGATGGGACCGACGCCAGGTTCGGATCCGAGTGACGCGTGCGTGCGACCGATGCAAAAAGTAGGATTCGTGAGACCCAGGGTTTCCATATGGATGCCTGTACTTCTCCCTTGTTCGTCAGTAATAGACTTAACTTGTAAACTACAGAAGAAAAGTTCGGTGTAACGGCCAGCAGCCTTGCAATGTCTGTACAGAAGCAGCAGCAACGTGCTCCTTCCACGCCTCATATTCCAGAGGGAGGCGGCCCATTGTTCGAGTCTCCGGACCCGGACCTCCAGTTCAGAAAGCAGCAGATTCGAGGACGCACAAGGAGACAGCTCATCCGGTCAACGGCTTTGCTAGTCGGATGACGGCCACAACCCCAACTGACCTAGGGACTCGTGAGCCATCGCGACCCTCTATTCCTCAGGGAAACTCGATAACAACTGGTGAACCTGCCTCTCGCACCTCACCTGAACCAGCACAGACAGATCTTCAAGGCTACTATGTTGGTCCCTCCTCTGGAATATCATTTCTGTCGCGGATACAGAAACGTTTCGAGGAGACGGTCGTTTTTCCCCATGGCTTATCCGTCTTCAATTTTGGAGATGCTCCATTGCCATATGGCGAAACTTATTCCGACTCGACACACATGGTGCAATCCTACCTCGATCCGACCTTCTTCTTTCTCCTTAATCGAGAGAATACTACCCGCCTAGTCCAAAGATATTTCGACTTTGCGGTGCCCGTTGATCGCTTCCTGCATCGACCAACAATCGAGCGACGGCTTGACGAATTCTACGAGACTAAGGGCACAATGCTTGACAAGGATACGGCGCCTGCAGAGACAGCTGTGCTTTTTATGATCTTTGCAATCGCACAGGAACACATGGTTGCTAAATTATCCCCGTCAGGAGCCAATATGAGGTGTGTATCAATCTGACGAAAGCAGGTGATACATTGTGACTGACGATTCAGTGTGCGATACTTTCGAGCAGCGAACCACCAACTATCCATGGAGCAGGGTGCTGTGCGGCTCGCAAGCGTTCAAGCCCGTCTTTGCCAATGCCTCTGGCTTCTCTCGCAATCGCGAATAAACCACTGTTGGAGCCTCTTTGGTACGGTGGCACGCCTAGCTCTCGCTCTCGGCTTGCACCGCAATCGAAACGCTAGATCAGAGTGGATGTCTCCAGTTGAAATTGAGTGCCGTCGCAGGACCTTTTGGAGCGCTTATAGTCTCGACAATTACCTCAGTGCGGCTCTTGGCAGACCGCGGACTTTTCACGACGGGGATATCGATCAAGAACTCCCGTCTTGTGTGGACGACGATGATATTGATAAATTGGACATGTCTATGCCCTCTTCTACGCGAGGATTGTCCGTCACATCTGGGCCAGTCGCCTACGCAAAGTACACACCACAGAAAGATCAAAGACTTGGAGCAAACTGACAACAATCCTATAGATTGTCTCGAATACTCAGTGGCATATTGATCGACGTTTACTCGATTCAATCCATGACCATTACCGAACGTTTGGTCCACACAGCAAAATATATGAAAGAGCTTAAGTCCTGGAGATCCGACATGTCCAGCTTCCTCGATATGGATGTTTCGAACGCTGCGCCATTGGTCTTGATCTTCCAGCGACAGCGAAACGTCCTTAACCTTGCCTACTGGCATACCGTAATTCTAACCAATCGTCCGTTACTGCTCACCAATTTTGCAAGACTAACCAGCAGCACTCGGCAGTGGCAAGTTGAGCAGAACGAGCGAAGAGCACAGATAGACGAGAGCGCCACGGAATGCCTCAATGCGGCAATGGAAATTGTTAGCATAGCGGATGGACTCGTTCAAGCCAAGCAGCTGTTCCGAGCATTCTGGGTAAGGACCTCTCTATGTTTGGGCACTGGTCCAATCAATAGCTTACAGATGTACGATTAGTTCACTCCTTATTTTGCCTTCTCTGCATGCGTCATTCTGTACGTCTACACTATCCAGCATAGCAAGGAGCAAGAAGACGTATATCGACCATACTTTACAGCCGCAGAGCGTTGTCAGCAACAGATCGTAAACATAGCTGATGAGGGAACTCTGACTTCCCGGTATTGTCTCGTTTTAGAAGAGCTTCGTGCAGAGGCTGCGAGGCAAACAGCTCAAGCCCAGGCGTCCTGTCAGGCGATGCAAATTCACTCGTCACTCAGTGCGGGGAGTGGAGGTTTCGACACCCTCGCTGCAAACACTGAACAAATAGCAGCGGCAAGGTTCTCTATGGATGTCGCTGATCTCCAAGCAATGGATTCGTTGGGTGACTTCCACTTCAGCCCATCTGATTCTCTCGAAGATCTGACAGGCTGGGACCAGTTTGACTCTATGGTACGCATTCATCAGATACGTAGTACGAAGGCAACAGTTAGTAACGTGACTATGAACAGGTAGTATCTGGTTTCAATGGTTTATATCCGGTTATGACGAACAACGTTACTTGACTTATCTTGCGTCAGAAAACAGTTACGGGGCATTATTAGTGGCACATGGTCGTCCTTGAGGCCACTAGGTTGAATACTGAGGCTGGAAAGGAGTAGCTTATGTGACCTTTACGATATCCTGAAAGCATTTTCAGAGCAATCCACTGTAAATTATGTGTAGCGTAATGTCGGCCGTGCAATACGCCAAGACCCGTCTATTCTCCACCTACAGCACTGGTCCAAGCTGATTAAATAATCAGCCTGCCAAGAACCCCCACACAAATAGAGGCAATTTAGATAGCTTCATAATTTAGACATTTTGTGACCGCCGATTTGGCATCATTGGGTACATTCGGTACTAACAAAAACCAGAATTCCCGCTTCCAACACTTATTGACTTCGCTGTTTTCCTCGCAATTAGATGACGCGTATGGACTTACGGATTATTCTGCCCAATCAGAGCTTGTAGTAGAGTGAAAATATCATATTTGCTGTGCGGAGACTTTAGTCAGGCGTCGCTCCACACTCCTTCACGGTTACTCCGAGATATCGGGCTTAATAGATGAGCAAGCTTTATGTACAAATACCAGGTTTTAGTGACGTCTGAAGCAGCCTAATTTGCGTAGATAGACATGTACCTCCTCGTAGTATGATAGCTAATCGGATCATCGGATTACGAAAATGTCCTTATTGCATTGAAGATTCGGCAGAAAAAATTAATTGAGAACTCCGCACTGCCAACATGATCTGTCAGATATCTGCGTCTTCTCTTTGAGGTTATCCTTTTCCCTCCGAGATTAGGCAAGAGGCGGGGTGATACAATAGAAAGCCCACCACATCGATGCTACAGATCTGAGCCTGGACCGCTTGTTCAAAGACATTGCACTCTCAATCACTTGATTACACTCAAGCATTCATCCATGTCACTTAGCGGAAAGGTATATGCCGTGGAGGGCGGTGCAAGCGGCATTGGCCTTGCCACAGCCAAGGTGATATCAGGAAGTGGATCGCCGACTTTAACACAACTGCACTCAAACAAGTTGAAGCCTACTTGAACTCCAAACTCCCAAAAGTCCACTTCTCGGTCACGTAAGCCGATGTCTCGAGAAAGGACCATGTAGAATGCTGGATTGCCGGCACCAAAAGTCGTGTATCCAGCCTCTGTCAGAGCTTGAGGACGATAAGTTGTTCAACATACTCAACATTAACCTGAGTGGTATGATTTATTTTTTGCATGCAGAGCTCAATCACGTTGGGGATGGTGGATCGATTGTTAATATGGCATCTATCTACGCCACAACCGGTAAGCTCCCTTCTCCTAAAACGATATCAAGTAGCGTCGCTTCTACAGTATCACAGGTGTATCAAACGCCGGACCTAGTTTCAGACGCATCTAACCGTAAACAGGCGTAGGAAACCATGCCACGGACGCTGTAAGCAGTTTTGGACCTTACTCGCGCTGCGGCCAAGGAGAGTGGTTATCGAGAAATACACATCAACGCAGTGGCTCCAGGACCAATTCGTTCTCCTTTCATGAAAGAGTATTGGGGCAAGGCAGAAATGCCAGCCAACGCGCCCAATGACGACCTCATTGCGTTTCGACGCCAGGGAACTGCTGAAAAAATAGCAAACGTGATTGTCTTCTTACTTGAACCGGGGAGCAGTTTTGTCAGTGGCAGCTGCTACTCCGTTGATGGAGCCTGGATATAAATTCATGTTTCAAAAGAATAAGAAGTGGGTAGATAGAAAATGACTAAACTTCTCTGCCACCAAAACGATTACATGACCCGTTAGGAAAACCACCACCTAAGCTGCAAATCCAGGTCTTTAGTGATATCTGCATGCAACGTGGGTTTCCTTTATTCAGATTATACCTTGTACAGGCTCTGTCAAAAGTAATGGCGTACCCATGTACCCCGTAACTAAATCTTCCTTGCAGAACTCCTACTCCGTTTGAGTAAATGGGCACATCACTATCTCATACCGCAACAAAACGAACTAGACTTTCGTAAATGCGTCTTGTTGTGTTATATCGTATTCACCGGAATCAATTCTTTACCTCCAAGGAATTATCAGTATTGATTGGGAGTCAATTGGAGATTGCGTACTGTTTATATAAACTCTCGAGTTTCTAGTCCACAGAATACAAGTAATCTTCCTCCGATTCATAACACGTCTATTACCAAGCTACTTCTATACCAGCCCGAAGTTTCTACCAAATCTATCTACTCTTCTTACCACTCGCGGAGCTCTCCACAAGGGCCTCGAAACTCAGGCACAGGCCAACTCTTTGTATCCTTCGATAGCCGCCTGATTTCCTTCTCGTTGATATCAATGCCTAAGCCCGGGCCGGACAAGATGTCGATATGTCCGTCTCGTACAGTCCATATTTCAGGATTCGTGATGTAGCTCGTGATATCTTGCCCCGTATTATTATAGTGCATGCCTATGCCCATCTCTTGAATGGCAAAGTTGGGTAGCGTTGCATCTACATGTATATTGGCTGCAAGAGCGATTGGGCCTAGCGGACAGTGAGGAGCAACACCAACGTCGTACGTCTCACAAGCGGCCGCGATGCGCCGCATCTCTGAGATTCCGCCAACATGGCAGATATCTGGCTGCAATATGTCCACGGCGCCGTTCTCCAGAAACGGCCTCACGTCCCATCGACTGTAGAGTCGCTCTCCTAGAGCAATTGGGACGGTAGTCAAGTCGGATATCTGCTTGATGCCACAAGGGTGTTCTGAGAGGAGGGGCTCTTCGATGAATAGTGGTTCATATGGCTCGAGAGCTTTTGCAAGACGTTTGGACATGGGTTTATGGACTCGGCCATGGAAATCAACCGCAGCATCTAAACCAAGTGCTTTCACAGTCTCGAGCCTACCAATTACTTCCTTGAGGACTGAAGGCGAGTCCAACCACGCGGTATCTCCTGTACCATTCATCTTGACTGCACGGAATCCTTGTTCTTTGCGAGCTAGACTAATGGGCGTGAACACACACTCTCTTGGGCGGAAGAATAATCACGTACGCTTGGACTTCGACCTCATTCGGTCTATCACCACCAATCCAAGCGTAGACTCGGATTTTGTTCCTGACCTTGCCGCCTAGTAGTTGGTATATAGGCACATTTAGTTTCCTCGCTTGTGTTTGTCAGCCAACATTTTCATTTCATCTCCCGAAGAGCGTAAATGGTTGGTATCAGCCCAGGAAGATATTAGGGCTACTGCTTACCTTTCATATCCCAAAGTGCAATGTCAATGCCAGCCAAGGCGCTCATGAAGACAGGGCCTCCGCGGTAGAAGCCGCCGCGCCATGACAGTTGCCAGATGTTCTCAATGTCCCTGCGTTATATTTAGATCTCGCCATTGATAAGGAAAGCACACAGTGACTCAACATACTCGGCGTCTAGCCCCTTATACCTCTCAAACCATGCATCGAGGCAACCCTCCACCGCGTTGGTATGACCTTCGAGAGAAGCCTCGCCCCATCCAACGGCGCCCGTGTCATCTGTGATTTTGACGAAAAGCCACCGAGGTGGAACGCGAAAATGCTCCATTGACGCGATCTTACCCATAGTGAAGTTACTCGACTGCGTGGGATGAAGCGGAAGGTTCGGTGGTGGAATACGTAAGATTAAGGGATGAAGGAGTTAGCTGCGCGCAACATGAAAGAAGCTTGAAAGTGGGCAAACAAGGGAGATTCTGGATTAAGCTCCAAGGAATAACTTTTGTTAGTAAACCATGACCAGTCTTTGCGAGGAGAAGCGGAGTTGGAAGCCGGATAAGTCTACTGGGATATTATCTAATCTTAGCGTCGAGCATACCCGTCATTATCCGTCTTTTCCGACGGCTCCTCGGAGGTGGCGCTATGGATGCTTTCGATATTAGAGTTTTACAGGCCAGGGGCCAGAGGTCGATTTCCGCCTTTCTGTCCGTGGATTTTGCCCTCAGCCTAGTACGATTATAGATTCTCATTGGCCCTCTTGGCCAGTAGCAGGTCTTACAATTTGTCGCAGGTGCATCGAGTAGACCTCGCCACGACGCTCACCCGAGAAATCAATTTGCTGTTCTCTCTCGTATAAGCATATTGTGGGACAATGAAAAATCACGATGATTATGTCGAGGGGGCGATGTGATCTCGAACTTTACCTGGCGCGAGTATTAGGATAAAATCCATCCAGTAGCATGAATCTCCATGACTGCAGGGCAAATTAATGCGATACTTGCTCTTACCCCGAAGGGCCGGTATGGCGGATATGGTCGTTGATAGCATGTGTAAAGAAAGGAGGAACTGGGTGATGCATGTTGTCCTAGAATGAACAGGATGTACCCGATTTGGAGTTCCAAAAAATCTTCCAAGGACAGGCTATGTAGGTTATCTATATCTTCAGTCGTCGATCTTGATGCTCTTCGGAGGCTGCAGTCGCAGAATAGATTGCGGCTTCTTAGGAACAGTAAAATGGTCCCAGAAGCTCACTTCATATTTCCGAGAATCTTTTGAGCGTTTCCAGGAACCCTAAGTCTCCTGACCTTAGTAACGTCGACAAGTCTACAATTTCCATTGTGCAGACTGCCGGGAACCCTGTCGCCCAATTTCTGTCACTGTCCCCAAATCCAGCTATTCGCTGCTACCGTTGCTGCCTTGACTGTGCTTATGAACAAGCCTTTTCTCAAAAAGTGAGGAAGATTATTGTTGCTTGAGTTCTAAATCGTCAAATTCAAATAGTTTGAATGATTTTACGAACGTTAGCCTTAAACACTTGCAACAATGAATTGCTTTTTGGAAAGATCGCCCAGATAGAGGATTTAACAGATATCTTACAATTCTTAAGGATCTTTATATAAAATTAGTTACAGATATTATAGGCTATAGAGCATAGAGCTTCAAAGATAGACCCCAAAATACGAAAACAATATTACAAGAAACATTATTACCTGTCGAGATTCTATCAAAAGTGTCATCAGTATCCTTTTTTCTCGGATAAGAAGGTTGGAGGCTCAGCGATCTTGCAAGACCTCGCACCATGGAGGCGATCTGAGGTGAGAAGGGTAGAATTAAGAGTTGCTCCATGATATCACGCCTCGCTCACATATGTACTCCTGCCAGGCGTATCCACATACCCTTTTGCATTATGTGTGGACCTTATAATATAGGTTCCTAGGAGGAATACTTCCACATCCCGCATTGTTCATGGTCTACTCGGGTTGATTGGGTCCCCCCAGATTAGCGTGGTCCCCTCATCTCCGGCGCATATAGAGAGTCCTCGAATGAAAATCCAATAAATCGCTAATTTTCTTGCATACCATTTTCCTAACGTCGATATCTCTGTATCCCAGAGCCAAAATCATCGTTGGCTACGAGTTGGTAAGTATCAGAATCTTGTGTGTGTGCATGTTGTCTGCAGTGACCCCAGATCACTCAGGAACGTCAGGGTCTCCTAGGAGCCATCTGAATATTTCCTGGAGTACCAATTATGGGTCTCGGGAGCCCATAACCACATTCAGAAACTGACGGGCGAACCCTGGGATCTGTAAAATGGATCCTGGCGTCTAGTTGCTCGCTACGCTGTCCTCGTCTACGCATAACAGCGATATTCGAAATCAGATATACCAAAATCCTCACAAGAGCCGATGTCCGGGTTGCAGAGGGACCACGCCTGACGACTCGCCCCGTTCCCAGTCGATGGCGGCCATAGAATTTTGCGATTGGGCTGTGTTGGCTCAAGGTGAACCGCGGTAGGCAAAATCCGAGAAATGGTAGTTTAGTGTTAGAACCAAGACGTGACTTCGGTGCACGATCCTTGACGTTACCTAGCGCAAGCAGCAGGTAGGCTATGAGGAGAGGGATTGACATGCTGACTACCTGACATTATGTACTGGCCGTACGTGTTCGTGTTCGTGACTTGTTGGTACATGTCAGTGGACGGACAAGTCCATTAAGGATAACGTAATTCACTACCGAGTCGCCCACCCTACCGAACCGCCCGCTCCGCCCGGTCCCTACTAATATTTTTGAATATTGCTCGACCACCAGGAACAGTATGAAATTGATAAATACAGTAAATTAATTCGGGCAGCGTATTCTATTATGCCCGAGTGTATTACAGTTCGAGCAGCGCGGCGGCGCTCTTTGAAACGTCGTTTTTCCTGTCCCACTAGGCCCTGCCGCTGTAGTATTATTGGCACGAATATACTCGTCCTCCCACTGTGCGCGCGTACAACCCTCCAATCGACTGATACTTGTGCCAAGAATTGCTTGTTTTTTCTGCTGTTTGGCATGAGCGGTGCGCATTCGGTTGATATCGGCTAAATAGAGCGTTTTTTCATGCATACTAGCGCGCGCGCTCTTTGCCAACTGTTCAATTTGCACCAAAGCTCTCTCGATATTGTTATCCAGTTCTAATTGGCAAGCGTGCTGTAGCAATTTGCCAATTGACCGCGTTTGCCGCTGAATTTCAATAGGTTTCTGTGGTGTACAGGGGATAAAACCGCTGCTTCCACTCTCTCCTGCCCTACTACCCGGGGGGTAATATCGATAGAGATATTCAATTTATCCAATACCCGCTGCGCATTAAGAGGTAGAAGACCGGCGCCAGCAAAAGCATTTTGAATAGTCGATTGTGTATATGCTTTTGCGCGCGCAAGGGGGTAATTAGACAAGAAATCAAGCTTGTCAATATGGTGTATACCATCCACAAACATCGATTGAATCAATTGACCATATTCTTGCTTGATAATAGAGAAACAACCCACATCAAGCGGCTGAAGTAGGTGGGATGAATGTGGCGGCATACAAATAGAGATAATATTATTATCTCTACATATTTGGTCAAATTGAGCGGTCATATGGCTTCCATGTCCATCCAAAATTAGGACACGCCACTTGCCCTTCGTACGGCCGTTAGTCAATGGTATAAAGTGATTTGTTAACCACCGAAGGCCAATTTCATTAGTCGTCCATCCATTGTCGCTAAACTCAATACACCAGTCGCAAGGGAGGTTGATTTCGGAAGAAAACCAAGCCGAATTGTAGGTTTTTGGTTTGAATATAATTGTTGGTGGAAGTGCCCATCCACTCATACAAATTGTTTCAACTGCTGTTACCCACTCGCGATTCCCTGGCTGAATTTTAGCCCTTCGTCCATAGTAACCAGCGCGGGTTACTACTTTAGAAGTGCTACAGAGGCCCATTGCGAAACCAGTTTCGTCAAAATTGTAGATATCGTCTTGGTGGATACCATAGGTGCAAATAACCTCTTGAACAAGGTCAAACCATTGTTGAATTAGCTTTGGGTCCTCACAGAGAGCGCGCTGATAGTCCCTGCGCCGTGTATATCGTGTATCAAGCTCTGGTGTACGCTTGATAAACTTGGTGACCCAATTCTTGCCAACCGTTACTAGAGGACCTTGGCCGCGCTGAGATAGTAGTAAATTCGCCATCTCTCGCACTAATTCATGCCGAGGAGCAATTCCACGGTCGTCCATAGAAAGAACCCAATTCTCTAGCGATTTCTCCTCTAATTCGGTCAATTTATGGCTGTTTGCGCGCGTCGTAGCGCGTTCAGTGGTGCCGCTGCGGCGATCGCGAAGGGTGGTGCGCGGAACACTGTATAGATCCGTAGCGCGTCGTACAGTCAATTTTTCGTCATTTTTGAGAGCCTCAATAGCAAGTAATAGCCTGCCCTCTTGATTCTGACGTGTATGGGTGGTAATATTGCGAATTGGTGACATGGTCGCTGAATGAAGTGGTAGGAGTAGATAAATTTACGCGTTCGCGGGCGGAGCGGGCGGTTCGGTAGGGTGGGCGACTCGGTAGTGAATTACGTTAAAGTGGATGAAAAACTTACTTATCATGACTTGTTGGGCATGTAACGACTCGCTACCAATTAATAGCTAGTGGATTGAAGAGACATCACACAACTCACCTGTTTATATAGACTAGCAGTAACCTTCGCTCGCCATTTGGCATTGGCCCGGACGCAGGCTCTATATACGTTGTGCTCGCCTGTAGCGTTCGAAGGTCCACTGAATCGGCCACGTACAGCATCTGTAGTGTTAGTACAACATCAGACTGGCCGAGACTGACAGAGTACACACCTTGCGAGGTCTCGCTTTTATATTGCGGAAATCAAACTGAAGGGATAATTGAAGGCGGGTCAGCTCGATCGGGCAAATGATGGGTGGGGTTTTGCGTTCGCATGATGACTTGCCTGGTAGGACAGTTGTGTCTCGTGTTACTCTCATCAGCTGGCATGGCGTCGCATCGAACTAGTGGCCAATTAAAGTAGCACATCGAACCTCACATGGGCCGTCTGAAATCGTGTGGCCCTGATGTATTCTATCTCTGTCAGGATAATGAAACGCCCACATTTGGCTTGAAAAGGAAGAACTTAACATGATGCCCCAGATGCAGGATTGGCTCGAATGTAGGACGGTCATGCAGTGGCCTTGTTGCCAGAAGCCGGTGGTGACAGAAGTATTTATAGACTTCTCAGCTTGCCTTGTCGCTTATATGCCTTTCATTGGTGGCGAATGTGCAGGGTCATTGCTGAAATGCCTTTCATTGCTGAGGTCTGTTGAGAACTGTTTCAAATCAAGTGATCAAAGCCCAACACCATTGCATTATAGCGGGTCGGTGAAAGACTTTTAGAGTCTTACTGGGACAGCTATGATGGGTTCGTAGTATCTTCATCGTGTAAGGAACGTTTGTTGAAGGCCAGACTTTCTGCAGAAATCCCGCGGTGCGGCAACAGCCGTGCTACCAACGACCAGGTTCCACGGTTTCAAAATTGAGCTCTCTCTGTATTCACGGTCCAAAGTTGACTCAACAAGCACATTCCGGAGAGCGAGAAGTACCTTGTGATTCTACCACTAGCAGTTACTGGCATGTGCTGTCGGCTGACAGCACCTCATTTCTTTGCTCTCCTTGGTCATAAGCCTGAAACCTTTGCTGGGGATGACAATACAGCCGCGTCATGCGCGCTGCAGCCTATTTGGCAAAGCTGGACACGAGGGAAGACGAACATGGTAAACACAGTATCTAGACGGTATTTATAAGACCGGATTTGTGATAATTCTTCCGCATGCTCGTAACCAATAGAGTATCCTTGTCATCAGCGCGACAACACGTGGTTTATCATCCTAAAGTGATTCACGCGTCCTGATAGCTCATGCAATCTGACTTAGAACCTTTCATTTGGATGCTTCGATCACGGTAAATCTTACCCTTGCTTTTCTGATTGCATAGCCTTTAGATATTTTTACCTGCACCTGTCACCGCAATTTTCAGTAGTTAACACTTACAGGCACCTGGGATCGAAGTGGGACCACTCAGGCCCGGTGATCATTGTCTTCTTCTGCATAGCCTTTAAACACCCGAACTCCATGCTATAGCCAGATGCTCCTCGCCCAATCGCAATACCGGGAGGTTCAGAGGATATAAACTTGCCGGCGTGTGCAACAAGGTCACTGTTGATTGAAAGCGCCGCCTTACCAACATAGATTCTATCTGTTGGCCCCAAGCTCTTCGTAATATTGAGGGTAAGGCGTGACTGTCTTTTGTTGGTAGTCATATCCTTACCCCCGCAACCCATACCGGTTGTTGTCAGGCATGACTGTCTACAGTGGGTGGGAAGAAGGCGGGGTGCTGTTCAGGTGACCAACCAGCTTCTACTTTGGAGACAAGATGTTGGATTATCAACCACAGTTGACTGTTGGTTTTAGCTGTTGGTTTAAGATAGGTGTATGATCTGCAAGCCTTAACGTGGTGGTTAGACGGCTTGCAGAGTTGGTCGCCGTGGATTGCACAAGTAAGGCACGAAGGCTGATCTGTCTGTGACATGTTAATAGTCTTACTAGCCATCGACTATTGTTATTCTACTTGGGCTGTGTTTGGATCCTAGTCCTAAAGCTGCATAGAGATATAACGATGGTGTTGACTTCTATTCTACAATTAGAAAACGGACACACGACAAGTCCTCTGGTCCTCTATACTTGATAGTAATTCTCGGTTCATTGAACTATTACCACTAGCAGGTAGAGACTGTGCTCTAAGCATTGAGAAAGCCATCCACACTGTCTACTCAAAAGCCGGCTGGAATCTGAGGCCAGCCCCTTTACCCTCGCGTGTCAAGGCCGCTTCTACGTTCGACTAGAGTTGACTGATTCTCCTCGCAATGACTATGCCTGCCTGAAAAGAGACGTTCAGCACATACAAGGACAGCTTTTGCCTTACCTGCCGTGTTCGAGGGCACCGTCTTCTCTCCTCATAGCACGTATAAATCAAGTGATACTTCGTAGAATGTACAGCACTGTCTTTTATATATTCTCCTTTTTAAATCATCCTCTAGCCCTTGCATTCACGAGTCTGCCTCAATGCCTAAGAGCCGGTATGGCGTTTCTAGTGGAGAGCCAAAGCAATATCTAGGCCAATTGCGCCAGATGTTGGCATCCGCCTCGTCGGACCGCGACGAGACATGGGATCTGACAACGTTTCCAGAGATCCAGGGGACTGACTACCAATTACACGTGTCGCCTAACGCGTCTAGTGGCGAAGAGGAGGCCACAGAAGTAAGCGGCGATCAAGACGAATCAGACTCACCTCGTCAATGCGCCGTGGAAACGGAATCCGTCGAAGACCGCGATCCAGAGTCGACGCAGGATGCTACGTTTCCGCCTAAAGACGAGGTGGCGTATACGCTGATTGAAGAGTACGTTCTTGTGGATTCCCTAAGATCCGTAGCAGACGTTGAAAATGCTAACAGAATTAGCTTGGATGAGCGAGTGCAGTAGGTGTACCTGCCTATGTTCTCGCCTACGGCGCCGCCCACCGTTTATGATCATACGATACTAACATGCCTTCCCAGAGAAATTGAGGAGCAGTTCAAGAAGCAAGCGACGTTCAATGACGGCGTGCAGCGCACTATGCGAACCGTCCCGCACGAAATCCACGCGCTACAAACCGATATCCGTGCATTGAAGGCTAAAAATGACAAATTAGAAGGCCTCCTGAATCAGGTCTGCAAGAAAGAAGGCATCCTAGCCACTCAACCAAAGGCGGTACGTACTAAGCGCTCAGCCACGTAGTGGCTACCGATGTGGCGGTGAGTATGTGACCTCATATGAAAGAAAGGGAATCTTAGACGAGCGAGCTGCAAGAACATCAGGAAAACTTGACGTTCTGTGGTGGTGAGACGGATGTCAGTGTCATGCTATTTCCTCAGGTATCTACTCTAGTCAATTGAACACTCTATAAATGCGGGCCACACAGTAGCGCTCCATAATCTTTGAGCACCCGGAAATCGTGCTTTGTCCTCTGGGGACGTCGATCGCAGCGAAATAGACTGATCTCGCCACGTCTCATATAGCGGTTATTTGGCGGTACAAATTAAGGGCTAACACCACTTCGGAGAAGATCGACTAGCTCCCTGTTAGTATAATGCTTACAAGAGGACGAACTCATCGTCTCGGATTGGCGCGTTGAGCACAGGGGCTGGCTTCTAATGGTGGATGACGTCACAGAATGGAAGCCGTTCTCCCCGACTGCTACTATCTGCAGGGATTGAGAAATCAGAACGATTGTATCGCATCCAATGAGCTGCGCCTAACGGAATCGCTGGATCGAGTGGCGTTATGGATTGCCGTTGGGCGCAGCAAGCCTAGATTCTAGAGGCAGGATCACGAAACGCAGCCTTTGACGTCCTCACTATTCGTATAATACAGCGCAGCTGTCTTTCCTAAATGGGCGCGATGTGATGCTACCGTCTACATAGGCCTAGTTGGGAGGAAATCGGCTCAGGAACTCTCTAAAAGCATTCGCAGGCATGTGTAAGAGCAAGATCTGACGGGAGAGCGGTCGAAGTACAGTGGGTGGACAGGCACATTGCGCCTAGTCAGCCATCACCTTGCGCGTATATGCCTTCGCCCTGGCTGCTAAGTCGGGAGCACTGGCGGAGTGAATCTTAGTCACCCTAGCACATAAAAACGGCGCAGTCGTCACATTAAGGTATCCGAATAATACGGCGTAGTTGTCGATCACTAGTTTGGTTCTCTGCTATGAGCATGTGCCTAGAGTGATCGACAGCCAGAGCGTCTCGAAGGATGGCTGGTTATCTCCGAAATTACCGACGCGTCTGGACCAACGCTCGAGGTCCACTCACGGGTCACACACGATGGCGCAGGCCTCGAAACCCACTACGTGTCTCGGTTAACCCCGCTCCTAAAAAGTGCTACCAAACCTTCTGAACCTGTCATGGTCATAGTATTGTGAGCCGATGGTGGCGTTGTGATGAAAGCAAGCTGTCAGCCCCCTGCAGCTGCGGGGACGGGGGCCACAAAGCAATCAGGCGTAGCCTTTCTGTACTGCCTTACTCAGCACTACCTTGTTCCTTCTCATGTTCTCAGAGGCCTATATGCAGGAAGGCCACCCAGTTGTCCCGCGACACCGGCGAGAGTAGGTAGGAATCCGTTACGGTTCCACCAACGCACCGTTTACTTGCATTGTGACGGATATATGAGCCGCCAGGGCTCGTGGTTTGAATCCAGTTGAATCAAGCGGCGCAGTCGAGCCCACTAGGCCGCTTACGCTAGCCTTTTTAGTCAGCTATGAGATTTGCAACCTACCTTTTGGCACTTCGAGCCATTCTCCTAGAGTCGTCTCTCTCTACACGGGCTTCCATAGCATACTCTTTTTGCAACGCACAAAACTACACTCATTGAGAATTGTATGATGTTATATTAAGAGAGCGTAGCGTGGAATGGCGAATGGTTTAGTCGTTCGCACTCGGACGGTTCTAGGGAAGATATGTGTTTACGGTAGAGGAATTCCACCGGACCACGAACATAGCACACGATTCGATAACTGGTTCGCCACAAGTAAAGTAAAAGACTGCTCCGAAACTCCGTTGGCCGTCTGTTCAGGCGATGAGGGGCACAACAAATATATATATATATTTCGAATATACATCAAGTATCGGTCGGATACAAAGGGAATTCGGGTAGATCATCCACATTCCCTGGGAAGGGATTCGCAGGTCCTGCGTTGTAGTTGTTCATCGCGAACTGCCCATTCGGGCCGGCCAAGGGAGCGCTACCTCCATTAGGTCCCGCCAAACACTGGTCGAAATGGGATACATTCATCCGGCTACAGACCTTGTCCACCGTAGACGACGCATCGATAAAGATCTCTTGTAAGAACGACTGTATGTTTTCATGCGCTCGGTTTTCGGCATCTGCGGTAGCGGTGGAGAGCTGCTTTTGCAGTTCTTGAACCTGCGCGTTGAGCCGCCCAACTTGAGCGGCCAGCCGCGCTTTGTCTCCTCTTAGCTGTTGTATGGAGTCAGCCTGTTGTCCGTCTTCGGCCAGACGCTCCCGTAGTAGCCGAATTTCTTCCTCTGCTTCCTTGATAAACTTCACGCAGTGCGGATGATCCTTCTCGTAGGAGTCACTTGCCGGAGGCGAGTCGGGTACCCTGGCGACTTCCGAGGACTGTTTCTGGCAGTAAGATCAATGGTCGGGCCTTGTCATTGCTCCCGCAATCTAGCGAGACATCGATCCACGTACCTGCGACTGACGTGGCCGCGATCTAGGGGGGTCGACAGCTGCCGGCAGAGATCTTGCAGCATGACTGCGGGAAGCACCCGGACCAGAGGCCAATCGGCCGGCCGTGCTAGCTACCCGAACACTATTCCGCGCAGCCATTGCAGCTTTGGGCATCTTGTTGTGATCAGCTACCAGTTTGAACAGTAGGAAATGTCAGATTATGGATTTGCCAGATGGTTGCAATTCCCGGCAAATTCACGAAGTGTTAAGGGACGCCTTTAAAGCTCCTGATAGGCAAAATCCCAAATCAGTTGAATGACAAAAAACCAACATACCCTCGCCTGCTGCATGTTCATTGGCTATCGAGATTTGCGAATAACAAGATTGCACCATTGCCTCTGTCCTCATGTTCTTAACTGCGCCGCTGGAGACGGCATGAAATATCGTAACAACAAATCGCGTTTGCGACAAAGCTATCGCCATAGATTTACCGAGGGTCTATCAACATGGGTATGGACATACGGTTGGCCACCAGCGTCATTCAATGCATAGATCCGGTGCGCAGTCACTAGTGGATTGTTGGTTTCTGACCCCGCAATCAATGTGGTGCATTACCGTCGTAAACACATTGGCTTGTATCCGTCCAGTTCTACAGCATAGTGATTGATTCGCGATATAGACATGGATGATGTTCCAGGGGAAGCAAAGGGAGATTCGATGTTACTAGTAGCATTGTGAGCTTTGGCTTGTTGGCTATAGATATGAGGAGACTACCTCATGAAAATCCAGAACCCTCGTGGGGACTGTACCAGAATCTAGAAAATACATACGTGCGCCCTACACCATCGTTCCTCTTTAGCAGGAGATAGACAACATAAGTTTCGGGCCGCGCGCCTTCGAAGACAATTGTGGAAATGATCATCAGTAAGAGAGGGGAACCCGGATTTTACCCCTGTTGCAAGCCTGCGGTCTCCTGCCGGCGGCGCAGCTGCTTAGAACCAGCCCGGTGTGCTAGGGCAGAGAAGACTGATTAGTACTCTGCCCAATCTGAGTTGAGATCAAATATTTCTCTGGTCCTCGGTTATACTCAATACCAGCGGTTGGGAGGCCGTGAGCAGCGATGAGGATGCCCTAGCTGCAATGGCAGATCTACGTCCGTATCGGAACATGATCGACGCTCCCTGGACAAGTATGATCCGTCGATCATGGGCTCTGGCTGAGCTTAGCGGCCTAGTCACGAAACAATGAGATCAGTGTGATTAACTCTAGACATGACTGGAGAGTCCCTAACTTTCGGCCGTCTGATGTCGTCTATGTTTCTCTTTTTGGCTGGTATGTGGATCGGGTTGAGAAGTGTTTGTGGCATCCAATGAATGCTTACCTCTAGCCGCCGTTGGGGCTTGAGGTTCCAAAAGGCAGATTTGTCGGGGCTCTCAATCGATACGTGAACAGAATTGTGGTCGCTCTTCAATCATTCAGCCAGAGTTGTACTTTAATTGACAACTCGGCGCGGATAGCTCACGACTTGAAAACCTAGCGAGCACGGTACCTAAGACGGTAAATTGCGCCGACTCTATTGTCGGAGCCCAAACAAGCCGCTTGACGCACAGGTATGTGTGACGATGTGTGACCGGCGTGCAGGTCAAGTCCCGATTGGCCGTATCCTCGTCGTGATTGAGCAGGTAGGATTGATAAATCGTCGCTCATTCTCGAGGATATAGAAAGACCCACTCGTCAATCCTCCAGGAAACCAAAATCTATTGTAACGGGACACAAAGATGATAGGTGAGTTTTTTAATCGGTAATCAGACAAGCGAGCTGTGAATCACAGTGCTAATAGTATGCTCTCCTAGAATATGGAGGCAGAACAAATATAAAATTAACTACGGAGAGGTTTGCACTCAAATCTCCAACAAGCTTTACAAATCCTACGTCGATTCCAAGTATCAAGCTTTCTGAATTGCCACGCACATTTCATCTAAGCCAAAGGACGGGTTCGTGTTAGGCAAGTCAAGCATTAGCAATCGGATGGAATTAAGAATGAAACGCAGGCACTACGGTAGACAGGAGCATCTCCATTAGTGCTCAAGGTTGTGCACTAGATAACGTTCTTGATTCTCGCCATCGGCTGGTAGTGATTAGGGACTAGAACCCGAAAATGTGTGATCGATAGCAGTGGTAAGACGTCTCCCGCTGAAGCTGGATAGACTATGAGAATTAGTACGCGATGCGACGGAGCACGTAAGGCTACAAGGGCGTTGGGATCTTTGATGTCATTAGACATGGATCATGGCGTACCCTTTGGAATGGCTGGCTCGAATATGGACGCGAGTAGTGGCCTATAGCGCCATGGAACTCTGCTTTTCTGGCACGATTAGTGTACGTATGGAATCATGATTTCACCAGATCTCAATTGGAGGATATATTACAGCTTAGCTTGATAGACAGTCCCAACGGTCTCCTACCTTCCTGATTGGTTAATCCTGTGCTGCAAATGCGCCAGTCAGGCCAACACGAACCTAATAAGTACACCAATTGGATTCTGATCCGACCCAACAACGACTATGTAAAGGACAAGTCGCGACCTAGTGTCTACGACTCAATCGTCGCGTGAGAATGCTTCGCGTCGGAAAAGCTTCTCCACTACGTGTCGAGTAGAGTTCCTCCACTGCGTGTATTGAGTTTCCTCGTTCCATGCCGGAAACGAGAAGGGCTTCTCCACTGCCTTACGTGATATTTCTTGCAAAAGGCTGATAACTCCTCGTGGTGCTTGAGATTAGTACTCGAGGAAGCTAAGATCTGCCTCCGACGCTCAAGTGCCGATTTGCACCATCTCCACCGTTTCTTCTCTCTCCACCGCATGGGAGATGGGAGATGGGAGATGGGAGAGAGTTGAAAGGTGTTGAAAGGTGTTGAAAGGTGTTGAAAGGTGTTGAAAGGTGTTGAAAGGTGTTGAAAGGTGTTGAAAGGTGTTGAAAGGTGTTGAAAGGTGTTGATAGGTGTTGAAAGGTGTTGCAAGGTGTTGAAAGATGTTGATAGTTGGTAGGTGTTGATAGTTGGTAGGTGTTGATAGTTGGTAGGTGTTGATAGTTGGTAGGTGTTGATAGTTGGTAGGTGTTGATAGTTGGTAGGTGTTGACAGGAGGAAGGAAGCTCAAAGTTATTTATAGGAGATTTAATAAGATTCAAACGCAAGCCTGACTGATTCATCAACCTTGTCCTGAAGGAGCGACATAATAGCTGATTAATCAACAAGCAACAACTGTTTATGTTAATCCAACTCATTCCAACAGTCCCGAACAAAATTGCAAGAGCCAGGATCCTGTATAAACTCTGCCAAACTTGTTGAATGGTCCAAAATCATGCAACTTGGCTTTAATGACTACAGATTGCCAACAACGGCGCATTGGCTCTCTGTTGTTTGCCATCAACTAGACGTCCACGCTGCTTGCACGAAGAATGTCCATGACTGATGGCGCTTTTGAACAGAGGTACTTGAGAAGTGCTACTGCTCTGTTTGTCTATTTCTGGACCCTGTAATCTATCTTTAGCGGCGACTTACATGCGCCCTTGGCGAACTTCCGTTCTGATATACGTATTTCACCAGAATCAACTCTCCACGTGTACAAAATTAGGGGGCTTGATTGCATATCAACATGAGAGATAGAGTATAAATGGGAACTACGAGCACCAGGGTTAAAGACGAATGAGGCCCGCTGGTCCTTGAGGCCCACTAAATAAAGTATAAGACACATGGACGTTTGGTCATCGTTGTTGGACGAGCTTGCGTCGAGACTTCCAATATCGTATTGTTAGTGATATTTATATGATCGACTTCAATTTGAATGTTGACGCTCTAACTTCGGACATGACAGACGCCATTCGCTCGTGTTGAAGATAACTGGATCGAAAGTAATAACACCAGTATGGACAGAAAAGTTTCTTAATTAAAACGACTTTTATTCCAAATCTTGGGGCGGTGGAGTTCCTATTTACTGGAGTCTCTTGACCACCAAAAATTGGTATTACCACCACATTGGCGAGCAGTACTATCACTCCTTAGTACTGTAGATCTGTCTTGATAGTGTGCAATCACTCGGGTACTATAAGCTCCCCAAACCCACGCATTCTTTAAGTTAAGCCCTCTCAGTTGACCTTGATTCAGTTGCTCAAATCTTCGCTCTCCTCCCGTCTCTTTCTCTACTCTAACAACCAAGAGCTACGACAAGCGTTATTTCTATAGTCAAAGAAGGTCTGAACAGTAGCCAGATATCACGTCACATCCTGGGCTAATCGTATCTAGATGAAGGGTTGCATTTCTTGGAAATGCATTTTGTGCCCGAATGAAGATTCTCGGCAACTGAAAGTCAAAATCACTTCACAAAAATATGAACCGGGATCTTCTTTCACCGCATTTTGGTCGCATGTCCTTTCTTCGAAAAAGCGCATTAATATTTTCACTCTCTGCGGAGATTGCATACAAGAGAAGCAGTGTTATTTTCCCGATGAGCAGCTTGCTGTGATTTCAAAAGTGCAGGACCACATACAATCCATAAAGAGAATTCCGTGGAAAAGGCAGCAATGGGAGTTTTGGATTACAACGGAGGAATGTCAGGGGATCAACAAGAAGATTAATGAGAGCGGGGAACTGTGCCTAGATCTGTCTATTTCTGCCAGAATATTTTGAAATACTGTAAGGACATGTCGGCGTTAGGTGGTTCAGATTTAATAAGGATAGGATCCTGGGTCTTCGAGAAGTGTCAATCTACGCATCAGCTGTACAGTGCCACGCATGAGTGTCGTACAGCATTCGATTCCGTCATTCAGCTATATAAATATAGTGCAGTTGCGCTTATCTTGTTTCGCTGCCAATGCAGCTTAGCTGCGTACAAGGTTAGTTAGGACTTGCTTCACCTCTTGAGCGAAAGTCCAACCGTTCTCGACATTAGTGTCCAAAAGCCCAGCAGACCACTTCATGACCTCTTCGAAGGCATTATATCGACTGTATCATCGCACAAGTGCCGTTAGGTCCCATGTCGTAAGATAGTATTTTGCACCACTAGAAGTATCAGTGGCGGCTAACGGAGAGACAGAGACGCCGATACAGTAAAGACTTTGGCATCTGTCGAGGAAATGTTCGCTACGTTGGGCACCCAGTCAACGTAGTTGACCACCCCAGTGATAGAGTAGCTGGGATTGTTGTAGAACTGCACCCAAAGTTAGTCAAATTTTGAGTTGGTTCTCATGGCTTGCATGTAAGGCTCCGGAATAGGGCATTGTGGTGCTCCAGTGATGTGATAAGTGCTGGTCGGGTCGGACTTGAACTTTGAGCGTAACTGGTCGATCAGGTAGTGGTATTATTGGTTGCCGCCAGATACCTCGATGTCGAAATCCCATCCATTAACAAACGTGTCGCCAAATGGCCGGAGAATCCTACTTATGTTCGCATGACCGTAGGCCTCCCGCAAGTTCTGGCCAATAGACTCGGCCTCTTCCTGTGATGAAAGCGAGTATGCTCCAGAGGCACCTCCCAATGACAACATCACTTTGACGCCATTCGCTTTGCATGTGTCAATGGCCGATGCTAGCTGTTCACATTGGAAGGATTGGCCAGTCGGGGAGATATAACAGGACTGGCCAATGGTCCCAGATGGGATCATCATTCCATTTCCGTACTGGTATAGGAATGCAAGCACAATAATATCTATTCCTGACTCCGGGGTACAGTATGTGCTGAGATTATTATCCTCAACTGTGTTGCCTCCGTTTTGGCCCCAGTAAACTACTGTATGCAGCGGTTGCCGTCGCGATGGAATTTCGTGGCATATTCCCAGAGCGGTATTTATTGCAAAGCTTAAGAAAGTAAAAATACAGAAAAGGTACATATCGGCAAATTAACAACTGGGAGGGTGCGAAAAGTGAATTTAGGACTGGATCTTAATATGTCCAAAGTCTGGGCTATAAGGAGGTCAAGTATCAAGCATTGTGGTCGTTCCATTGCCTCATTGTGTTCCTATGATGACATTTATGTTACCCCCGCTAGTGCAATCACAGATACAACGAAGAAGTCAACTTTTGTAGGAACTAAGCGTCATATCTTAATGAGGGCCCTTGTCCCTGTCTGTTACATGCTCTGCGGTGGTACTTTAAAGATTGCCTGAAATTGCTGAAACATGCTAATGGGCACAAAGTATATTAGACCTGAAAGGACTAGCAGTGCTCTGTTGAACCCTGGCTTACCGGCTTCACCTAGCCATTAACAATTGAGCTGTTGCTCTACCATAAGCAAAGTGACGCCCGTTATTGCCTTCCATATCGGGGAACAGAGAGAGATACTCTTTCGAACCCTAATTACATGATGGGCTTAACCTGTTGGTGAATGTGTGTCCAATTGGAAGGGGCCCCGGGGGGAGCCCAGCTAACTAACTAACACTGTTAACGTAATTCCCGGGTGAGTGGGTCACACAAGCGAGCGGGTCAGCCAAAACACCATAGTAAATGGGATATATTACAACTCGATATTTCAACAGCCACACGTTAGTTTGATTTGATTATCGGTACAGCAGTATTAATAGGCATTGTAAGTGGTATGATCAGTCCTAAATCTAAATTTAAAAAATATTCCCTTGCATTACCAAAAAATACAGTTACATCAACGACAAATATATATCTATGAACCGTAATATATGATAAACCTTTTAGATCCCATAAATAGGCTACATATGATCCAAAAAGTACCGTCAGAAATTCTTTGTAACGCTGAATAGTAACTACCTAGCCAATAGAAGGTCCTGCCGCACTTATTACATAGGCTTAACTATTAAATAAGCTAACCTATTGAATGAGCTAAACTGTTAAATGAGCTAACCTATTGAATGAGCTAACCTATTGAATGAGCTAACCTATTGAATGAGCTAACCTATTGAATGAGCTAACCTATTGAATGAGCTAACCTGTTGAATTCCTATAGCTCCATATACACGATGTGAAGGAAATCAGTTAAGACGGAAAAAGTGAGTTTCACACTTGCATAAAACTCCCTTACAAATCCGGTGTCACGAACAGCTGTCCTATCACAGCATGAGCCCTACGGCAGAACCGCAGATGAGCTGCTTCTTGTTCCTGCAAGTCACAGTCTCCTGGGAACGTGCTCTGGCCTGTGCGGGGACCCGCACGATTAACCTATTTAAGGCCAGTTATCCACAGTTACCAGATATGTTGGTTGCAAAAATCCAGAATGGGCTGGATATATGTGTCCCATCCCGGCACATCGGAGCTCTACATCACTAATCAGCGCATGTATTAGCATGATGCCTGCGCCAGGGGTTACTCACAGTATACTTGTGATCGAAAACATGATCTTCATTAGGCTCGTAGCTTTCGACGACCGGTACATTCATCGTCTTGAGACGCCTAGCCATTGCCTGGCTTTGTGCGAGCGGAGCTGCCCTATCATCCATGCCATGCAGGAAAGCCGTAGGGGGATACCATGTCTTCGTCTCGAGAAGAGGAGATGGTGACATAGATAGCAGAAACGCAGTCAGGGCTGCTTCATCCGCAAAGCGCTCAGCATGTAGCGAGCCTAGGCGTACCGACCTGACAGTAGAACCGATACGCGCAGCTATGTCAGATCGCCACTGGTGAAGCTCCGCCTGAAGTCGTATCCGACGGGTGAAGCGGAAATCGGTCGCCCAACGTCTACTCAGCACCTGTTCGGACGAAGTCTTATGCTCATCAGCCCATAGCGCATCCGTCAACATGTTGGTTTCATCTCGGTCCTTCAGAAATTCCTCTAGCTCATTATCAGAGAACTCGCCAACCCATGGCGGCGCGACTCCCGAGTTCTCGGGAACCGGCGCTACAATGGGCCACGCCGCTGCTGGATCAACTATTCCATAAACGAGAATGACAGCCTTTGGCGGTGGTGATAGATGGTGTCCCATGAGGCCAGTGAGAAGTGCGCCGCCTGACTCACCGCAGAGGATCAGCTGGCTCACGTCTACCGTGTCTGTGCCGAGTATGGACGGGAGATTGGCCCGGCACCAACTCACAGCATCCAAAGAATCCTGCAACTGCATTTCATAGCTCGCCTGCGGACCAAGCCGGAAGTTGTGTGATACCATATGATAGCCTCGCTGGCGAAAGCCAGGTTGCATCCATGGGAGCGGCACGAAGTGATTTCCTGCAAACCAGCCGCCGCCGTGGGTGTAAAAAACAACTGGAGCTGGCTCATCAACGGGAGGATCAGCGGGCCAGATTCGTACAGCGAGATATACGCCGCTGTCGGTCTTGAACGAGTGATCGGAGAAGCCTGGGGGGCAGTTGCGAGGCCCATATTCCGTGGCGTCGAGTTTTGCCTGATCTTCATTCATTGCTGGAACTTTGAAAGCTGTCCTCCTTTTAAAACTGATATGTCCTAATATTGTATCACATTAATCTTGCTTGGGTTGAAAGTGCGCTCGTTTTGATGCTTAATAGGGGGAAGAGGCGCAGCCAATTTTGCCGACCGGTTAATATGTCCCACTAGCAACGCCCCAATGATACACCCATCATTCTTTGACCGTATATTCGTGTCCAGCATATACATAACCATCGTCATCCAGCGTGCTCTTTCCGCTCTTTCCCGGGCTGGCTGGACAAAAAAGAATGCCCAGCAGAAAGCCAAAGAACAGAACCCTCAGCTTCGAGATTTCTACCAGCATTAACTATCCGAGTTTCGGTCGTATCATCTGGTATTTGTCGATGAATCCGGATGTGATAAAATGGTGGGATATAGGCGGACAGGCTGGTCGCTGATAGATCCCACCTACGTTTGACGTCCGTGCATTCCCTAATACCTTGCTTCCCCCACCGGGATCTACCAGCTTTTCTTTTTCCTTAGTCAGCAGCCCACCTAAGGTCGCGAGTTTGGGCAATGTCGTTACTAATGGTAGGCTGAGGTAAACTGAACTCAAGAGTGGGACAGATTACGGGCACGGCCGAGCAACTCGCCTTAGGGGCAAAGCTGACGGTAGCTGAAATAGAGGACTACATAGGGTGTTAGACAGACCTACCTAGGTCAGGGTCTAATGCGAAGAGTACAGCAATATTCGAAATTGGCTTCCACGTTTTACACACAGAAACTACTGTCAGAAGTGAGAATTCTGGTATACACTAGTAACGAACGCGCCTAATGATTCCGTCTGGAGGTCACGAATTGTCTGATTCTGAAGCTATCTAAGATACCCCTATTTATGTGTGGTTTCTGGGTAATCAATTTGTTCAATCATGGCGGCCAGGGAGCTGTGGGTGGAGAATAGAACCCTTGGCGTAATGCACGGTTGACAGAAAGATAGCTTCCTCGAGAAAGATAGCTTCCTCGCGTTCAGGGGTAACCCAGATATACTATGTGGGTCCGCCATAACGTTCATCCTCCATTCATCATATGCTTCATGTATATCTCTGACAGGGGCTAGGCGCTATCGCTAAAAGAGGTTTAATTTTGACTGCGAAAATTAAAAAGAGTTTAGTTTCTATTTTTCAAACACCCAACACCAAAAATCAGCCAGCTTCGATAGGCTGTAACTCAACAGCCATACAAACTAATAAAAATCTATTCGAAGATTTGGAATCAGCTGACCATATTTCCATACTATACCACTTCATTTGGTTCAAAAACGCTGATGTGGCTATTAGTCGATGTCGGAATTTCCCTAATGGTGAATATAAGCCATTATTAAAGCCGTAAGGGGTAACAGTGGATCTACACTTTAGCCCACTAGTATAGAGGATAAGTGTTCGGACAAATATAGAAGAATAACCGTAAAAGCTACTTGAGCAGTAAATTATACTACGGGCTTAGACATGCCTCTCATCAGCGTTCTCAGTCTGCTGAATCTCGATCTCTTTCCCAGTCTGTTCCATATCGATATGAGCCACGGCCTCATCACCATCGAAGACATAAGCGATCTCCTCGAGAGTAGGGCCTTTAGTCTCAGGAAATACGAAGTAAACCCAAATCGCTTCAAGTACATCCCAACACTATAGATACGACGCTATTAGAGAAGAAGGATTAAAGAGGTTAGAAGGTTTTAAGAAAAAACATACCGTGTAGAAGATCCAAAAATAATAGGTTTTTGGCAATTGCGTAATAGCAATATTGTTCGTCTGGCCTGAAATGGCGAGGATGATCTGTACAGAAATATTCATGATCATAACACCCTTTGCACGAAGATGATAAGGTAGGATCTCGAGGGTATAGGCGACAAGTAGACCTGAGAAGCCAATAGAGTAGAAGATACCGAAGATCCAGACGAAGACAATCTGGGCGATACCAAACTGTTCCGCCCCGTTACGATTCTCATACTCAGCAGCCATAATAGTCCAAAGCGTAAAGGAGATAACCATGCCTATAATAAGGGTTATATGTCAGTTATCTCATATTGCCCTTCTTTATCTAGTCAGGCGGTACATACCGCAAGCAGAGATGAGGAAGAGGGGCCGTCGTCCTACGCGGTCGATCAAAAAGGCAGCACTGATAGACACAATCAAGCTGAGGAGAGTGTTACCGATTTGGAGCTAGACGAGCGAGTTAGAGAGTGCGACAAATTAGAGAAAGGTCAGGGTAGCAGGGTATAGTTTTGTCCTTACCCCGAGCTGCTGTTTCTGCCCATCAATACCAGAGCTTTGGTAGATTAGATGTGCGTAGTTAGAGATAACGGCGTTGCCGCTATATTGGGAGATAATGCCAATGGATATGATAATAGCAAGCCTCCATCGGTTGCCTTTCGTCTTAAAGAAGTCCAGGTATGTCGTGCTGTGTCTAACCTCCGTCTCGATCCGGAGAGTCTCCTTAATTTCCCGGTACTCGAATTGGACGGTCAAGTTGTTCTCGTTACCGTTGGCGTGGTATTTAGCTAACGTCTTAAGGGCCTCCTCATTGCGATCCTTAGAGATCAGCCATCTCGGAGACTCGGGAATAACTTGTGAAGTGGTTAGCTAAATGTTACTGAGGAAAGATGTAGTCCGGGACTTACACCAGATAAAGCATATCTGAGTAGCGGCAGGCACAAGCTGAAAGAGGGTGAGGGCTCGCCACGACCAGTCGTTCTCAACAAATTGGAGGCCATAGCCAATTAAAGTGCAGACTAGTTGCGGTTAGATTGGGTTCTAGGAGAGGCAAGAAGGGGGGAAAAGGTATCCTATACTTAGACTTCCGAAGTTCCACAGGCAGTTGTATACGGCGGTTAGAGGGGCACGGTGCTGCGGGTGGGCAATCTCGGTCAACAGCATTGGAGAGACTAGCTGGGATAGCGAGTTGCCGAACCCAAGAATGAAACGACCTGCACAGAACACTAGAGACGGTTAGCTAGTAGCAAACACAAATATATACCGTCGCTCATCAAGCACAACTCACTTCCGTAGCTTTTCGCGAAAGTGTTAATGAGACAACCAAGGATCATGAAGACACAGCCAACCATGATGCAGGGCTTGCGACCCCATCGATCGACGACCCACGGCCTAAACTTAAGCATTAGCCAACCGGCTACAGCCACCTTGGGCTTCCGACATGAGACTCACACGATGAACATAGAGATAATAGAGCCGATAGTGAACATGTTGGTCAAGAGACCAAGCATACTGGCCTGGTGAGCGGAGGCATGAATATTTCCAATGTTGCCGAAATATTTCTCCCAGTAGTTATAATTCTGCAAGAGGTTGAGAAGGGATCTAGAGTCGAGAGAGAAGCTGGATCAGCAGACGCGCCGTTTTCCACGTGGGGCATTTTTTATTCTGTCGCTTTCAACTTACCCATCATAACCGGTGGTAGCGGAGGCAACTAGAAGACCGAAAATGCAGAGTATGTAGAGCTTGCGAAGAGCTGGGTCCTTTGTCCATTCGACATGCTCGAACTGTGGTGGTTGCATGTTGGCGACATGAGGGTGCTTCTCGACCGAGGCCCCTGGTTCCTTGACTTCCGTCATGGTGGGAATAGCGGTAGCTGTAGCTTTGTGTATGAAGAGCTATCAATACGGTGAGGTGACAATTGTGTGCGAATAAGAGAGCGTTCGAACGGATGTGAACAGCACAGCACAATATGCCAATGTTTCAAGCCAATGTTTCGTGTCGAGCCGTTTGGTTCTCGGGAAGTGGCAGAACACCGTCATATAAGAATGCTCATGCTCCAGGTGACCCACCGAACTATGCGTCTGGCTGACTGGGTAAACAGCTTCACTCGTGATGATTTGGCTAAAACGCCACCATTCCGGTTAAATTAGAAGATTGTGATGCATACACGATCCTGGTAATGTCGCATGACTAGAGCTGTGGAGCGGACGATGTATTTCCTGGGGTCGGGTAAGAAAGTGGGAGAGCCGAGAACTACACAGGCCTCACTCGGGTATACGTAGGTAATACCCATGTTGAGATTCATGAGTATTCACAAGCGGCACGCAAATTTTGCACGGAGGCCCAACCCCTATCGCCTAAACTGTGTCTCAACAAAAGTACATTACTCGTGCCAGAGGGCTCGGGTATCCCCAGGCTGAGGAAAAGCGGGGAAACCTCCGTCTTGGCATGGAGGTAAGAGAAAGGGAAAAAGAAGGATAATAAGGGAAGCCTTCCACACAAGACAAGAAAGGAATATAGTAATACCTCGATATAGCGAACCTGCTTATTAACGAATTCCTCGCTATAACGAAGCCCCCCTTTTTCCAAAATTCTTTTCCCTTACATACAACAAATCTTTTCGATTTTACTTACATACATTCCTTAGCCCTCCAAGCTCTCGTACCAGATTCGCTATATCGAGGCAATAATTATGCCAAATCCAGCAGCTGCACCCCCGCTTCCCGTCGGTCAGCGATCTCCCTTGAGTAGAAGCGAGCAGTTCGCATACACAAATGCCACTATCCACAGCTTAGCAACCTTCGCTATTAAGTAGTGGTTTGAGGACACGTACGACTAGCGAATAACCCCTACTTCTATCTCCGAAATTCTCTCTCCCAAATATACCTACCTCGATGACCTAAAGAAGTCCTTGCTGAAGCGCAAACACTACCGACGAGAGAACTGGCTAGAGCTTGAAGCAGCCCTATTCTTGTGGATGCAGCACGCAGAATATTCTATTGGACTCTCTTGTGAAGTCCTCCAGCAAAAAGCTATTTTTTTAGAAGAATTTAGAGGTCTACAAAGGGCTTGAGATACTAAAGTTTAGCAATGGCTAGCTTAACAATTTTCAAAGGCGTAATGGTATACAGTCATAGGTCAACTTTGGTGAAGCAGCTAGTGCAAAGGATGCTACTACTAAAATAGATTGTATTCGTCAACTTCTTTCTAAATTTAAATGCTGCGATATCTTCAAATGTGACGATACTAGTCATTGGCACTGCGCAAAATCCTCACGCCTTCCACCGAGCTAATATTCGCATACAAAATCTTGGGATAATCTAGAGGTCTAATAAGCAGGCATTGATCGCCTAGGTAGGTAACTAGGATTTACTCTGTACAACAAGAGAAGCTTGGTAGGTAGGAAGGATAATATCAATTCAGGAATTCAATAGATTTGTGATGATTCTAGTCAGTTGTTTGAAACCACGAGTACTGATTCAGGGGCTAGACGCGATCTCCTAGAGAGGTTTAGTTTCGACTGTGAAAATCGAAAGGGGTTTAGCTAACCCTGCGAAAATCGAAAAGGGATTTAGTTTTGACTGCGAAAATCAAAAGGGGTTTAGTTTTCCTGTTTCCCCCAACAACACCAAAAATAACCCAACTTCGATAGCTTATAACTCGACAACTATACAAACTAATAATAATCTTTTTTGAAGATTTAGAATCAGTTACTCCTAATACTATACTCTAGTATTTTATTCGGTTTAAAAATGTTGATGTGGCTGTTAGTCGAAGTCGGGTTTTTCCTAACGGTCATTAAGAACTAAGAGATTTGTCTCGGAATTAATTAATACTCTTGAGCTACAAATCCCGATCAACCTCCTAGCTTCCTAACTTCCCTCACTCCCCTTTCTCTCTAACCACATAAAAATTAGATGGTAAACGTCCCCGTCAGCGGCAGGTCCCGGCTGCTCGACCCGACGTAGACCTTGTACTCTCCGTGTTGCAGCAGCCACTTCTGCGCCACCACGTCCCAGATGCTGAGGTCGCGGCGCGTGAGGCTGAAGCTGACCGTCTCGGTCGAACCGGCTTTGATGGTGGGCTTGTTGAACCCGCGAAGCTGGCGGACGGGGGTGTCCGGGACATCGCCTCCAGGAGACGGGATGCCCAGGTACAGCTGTGCAACCTCGGCGCCCGCCACTTTGGCCGTGTTCCGAATCGTCGCCGTCACAGTGACCAGGTCGTCCCAGAGGTCGGTGGGGCCTCCCGGAGCGATGGCGCCTCTCGGGTACTCGCCCTGGTTCACGCCCTTGGAGGACGTCTTGGAGATGCGCAGGTCGCCGTACTCGAAGGTGGCGTAGCTGAGGCCGAAGCCGAACTCGTACCGCGGGATGATCCCCTGCTGGTCGAAGTAGCGGTAGTCGACGTACACACCTTCAGTGAAGTTGGCCTGAGGGAACAGTGTGAAGATGCCCTCGGGCTCGGCGGGGCTCAGGAGGTTGCCGTAGTCGCTGGAGTTGTGCGCCACCGTGTAGGGAAGCTTGCCGGAGGGACTGACCTCACCGTACAGGACGTCGACGAGACCGATGCCGGACAGCTGGCCGGGCCCGTGGGCGAAGATGATGGCAGTGACGTTGGGGTGGTCGGCGAAGGCCTCTACCAGCCGGGCACCGGCGTTGTGGAAGATCACGATGGTGTTGGCGCACTTAGCCGCCACGTTGAGGATGATCTGGTCAGTGTAGTCGTCGCTCATCGCCGGGCGGTCCAGGCCTTCTGTAGAGAAGACGTTGCCAAAGACGAGACAGGCATCAGTGGCCCCGTCCACCTCGGGATCGGTGCTCTCGAAGTCCCAGTACAGCGCCGTGCTGTCGCTATAGGCTTGCCAGATGAGGGCGTCAAAGGGTGCAATCGCCAGGAGCGGCGAGGATGAACCAGAACCGGCGGCCGTGATCATTGTACCGTTCAGGTAGGCGACGCCGTTGGTGACCGGATCCGCGGCGGGCGGAGTTAGAGAGCTAGCCACGGTATACTGGTCAGGCAACTTGGCGGAGTACCCGAAGAGATTTAGCATCTTGGGCGACTTCAGCGGAAGGGCGTTGTTGGTATTCTTGACCATAACGCACGACTCCTGGGCGATCTGTCGCAGGATGGGGTTGTTCTCCCTGGCATCGAAGCCCTCGACTGCAGCGTGCGGCGCCTCGTAGGACCTGGCCATTCCCTTGCCGGGGTCCGTGAATATTTTGTCCTGCTTGAGCTGGTACCAAGCGGCAATAATCCTGGTCGCCATGTCCTCAACGCGGGAGTGCGGAACCGAACCGTTGTTCACAGCGTCGACGAGGGCGGTGCCCCAGAAGTCGGCGGGAGACGGCATGGCCATGTCCAGACCACCAAGAGCCGAAGCGACGCCGGCATGCTGGGCACCCCAGTCGGAGACGACGAAGCCCTGGAAGCCCAGCTCGGTCTTGAGGAGGCCGTTCAAGGTCTTGCTGTTGGCCGAGGCGTACGAGTTGTTGATTCGGTTGTAAGAGCACATGACGTTGGTTGTACCGGCGTGAACTGCGTCTTGGAAGGGCCTTTTGTCGCGGTCAGTTTATTTCTAGTATATTTCCTCTCTCGTCAGATATCTTGGGGCGAGACTTGAAACTCACCAGAGATACAGCTCGTGGATCGTCTTGTCGTCAATGTTGGATGAAACGGATTGGACGTCGCCCTCGGGGTTTCGGTTGGTCTCCTGTTCGTAGCCGATGAAATGCTGTAACAATCATTAATTGCAATTTCCCAAGACAAAAAAAAAATGAAAGTGCAAATGTTCGAATAATAATAGGCGTACCTTGGTGCTCGTCTGGGTACCAGTCGACTGGACACCAGTGATAGCCTCAAATGCTAGAGCCCCGTTGAGGTACGGGTCAGATCCGAAACCTTATGCCACCAATCAGTTTAACGAAGGTGGGTAGTTGAAGAGTGAGGTCAGCTTTTTTTGTTACCCTCAAAGTTTCGGCCGTCCAGCACGATACGGGCCTGGGGGGCAACAACGGGACCCAGGATAATATTGACACCCTTCCTGACGCACTCGCCACCCTGACCAAGGCCACGGTTGTATGCCAGCTGCTTGTTCCAGCTGCATGCTGTGTTAGCGACTGACATTCAGATTATAGACCGTAAATTGTAGGAAATAATAACGATACCTGGCAGCGATGCTGTTGGAGGCACCCCAAGAGGAAACAAAGTCAGTGGCGCGAATGCCCTCGCCGGCGTCGTTCAGGCACAGTCCTGGAAAGCCGAGCCGCGGAATCGGGGGAGTCCAGCCGACGCAAGAGTTGTCAGTAGGGCTAGCTCCTCCGGTAATGTTAACCTGGTCGAGGAGACTAGTCAGAGAGAAAGGCACAGGAGAGAGAGAGAGCGCGCGTGCGTACCATTTCTGCCAGGGTCATCTGCTTCACCATGGCCTTAGCCTTGACCAGAGCCGCCGCCCAGTCTCCGAGACCCGTGATATCGGCTGTGCAACATGTCCATCAGCAAATCGCCAATTTGGTCCGTTTAACTGTGGGGGTGGGAAAGAGATAGCAAGGAAAACATACGAGAGGGATAGACGGGAGGCGATTCGCCGTAGAAGTAGGTATCGCTCGTGATCTCGCCGGGAACGGCAGATGCAGTCGTACTCTGGCCATTGGCACGCGGCAAAGCGAGCAGGCCAGTCAGACCGGCGCCAACGATGCTGAACAGCATGATTATGACAAATATCGAAAAGTCTCGTCTTCGTGAACAAGACAGGAAATTGTTGAAGGTGCTCAGTCGCTAGAGAAATCCTGCTGATCTTAGCTGGGCCGCAGCTTCTCTTTTTGTAGTACGATGAGCTCTCAGTAAGCTCTGCGTCTCCGCCCAAACCCGGCTAAGCGGCAAATGTAGTGGCCGTCCAACGTGGAACCCGAACTTCCCAATCAGTATACTCCTATTGTCCGAAAGGCCAAAGCCCCACCGATGTTACTAAGTTTCTAGATACCGGTAAATGCTTCGGAATCAACGTAAAGTGTCGAGGTTGGCCACGCGACCCCGAAATTTGCATTTAATTAGATCCTAGCAAAGTCTAGGGCGTCGTACGAAGCACCGTCGTCAGCAGTGCTAGGGAAACTTACAGAGTCCTAAATTATGGTTATGGCATCTCATATAAATAACCTGTCCCAGTTCAGTTTTAGTGGCATTAAATAACTCAAATTTGGGCTCGATAGTAAAGTGCGAAGACTGACACCGGACATTTGCTTATTTGGGGTTGCGAAATGCTTGCGAACCAAACTTCGCTATTACGTGGGGTAAAAATGACAAGGGACATGAGCTCCAGATTGACGCGTCGCATCTCCCAATTCAGGCTATTCATCCCCGGGCCCAACACGGAATGGTCTCATGGTCAGTGCAAAGCGACATCAATGACACCCTCTGCGCTGCAAAGATCGGCGTTGTCTTTGCCCTAAAGATAAGCAGCCATTCATCCAAGTCTGGTGTTCCCCGCACCCGAGGAGTTGGGGGAAGGGGGTTCATTGCAGGGGTATTTCCATATAAATATTGACGCTTTGTGACACGGCTGTTCTATTATCCGGTGATCAATTGACTTTTTAACTGCGATGTTGATGCCGAAAAGATCATGACGGCTGCCAGCGAGATGATCAAGCTGGGGTTGCTGTGAGGACTGTTGTACCGTAATGTATGCTGCGACTGTCTGGCCCGATTTGTAAGGCTTGACCGTTACCTCGCTGCCGCGCATGGATTGCATGCATTGACGTAAGTCGAGCGGGGAAAGAGACCTATACATATAAGCGACGCTAGCACCTAAGTTTCAGGGGCCAGCGATCAGTCTTAGAGAGATACTGAGTCGCACCCAAAGCCTCCCTACGAGTATCTGTTGCCCGAATCTGCAAAACCACCACTACAGGTGTATCGTGAGACACATCCCGACAAGCAGGTGGGCCACTCGCTCGTGGTTTACGTTAATGGAAAATGTTACGCAACAGGGAATTCAGCGCTGCTAATATTTTCTTAGTCAACTCCTTACGCTAAAAGTCTGGGTATTCTTCTCCGATATTCTCCATACCCAGTCATCGCATTTCTAGATAAGTCTTACGGATTGCGCACGATTATGAGGTTATTCGGGAATTATTATAGCCTGAGGCACCAATTTCATGTGACTTGCTTACTGTATTTACCCCACCACCTTTATTAAAAAACCCGCGAACCATGGTTGAAACCTGATTCTGGCAAGAATCAGTGTGTGCTTGTCTTGCACCGAATCACTCCATTTTCCATGGCGTATCGGTACCATGTCGGTGCCATTTCGAGAAAGAAGTCCTCTTCTCCACCTGACCGACAGGTTCCTACCCTGACAAGTAGTTATTCTATTCTTTACAATAAGGTACTAGATTGCTAAACTTCTGATTTGATTCTACAGTAGTCTTCTCGTAACCGACTGCAACATGGCATAACCTTGATCTGAAGCTTTGGGGTCAGGAATATAAGGCGTGACCCCACTTCAAAGCTTATATAAGAATCGGCATGTTTCCGAACCTGTCTGTCTATCAGTGGACAATTCCCAAAACATCATCGCTGTGTTAGCGCTATTAGCTATCGGCTGGAAAACTTCCCCAATGACGATCCCCCGCTTTCCTACAGCTATGGCTTGAATTCTCCCCTATCTCCCCGGACTCTGGATTCCCTCAGGCCCTTAGGTCTGCACGGTAAGTGTCCGATCAGGAGTGGGGATGTCGGCCCGTCTCCGTGGGTGACCAGAGACACCGCAGGGAATGATATACCAGCCTCGAGCAGCACAAGATCACCAAACTCATATTTCCTCACTATTGCTTAACTTGTCTGCTAGTGCTTGGTGGAACCAAGAATCTCACCTACCAAAATGCCATTATACGGGAGAAACATGATCTTTGCGCAAGTTTTCCTCCGTAACATTTTGTTCCTTACATAAGGCTGACTTGGTGCAACTTGCAGCGTCTGTCTGGTGGCCGGATTGGGCATTGTCTTCGAAGGTTACGACCAGGGTGTTATGTCTGGGGTCAACATCAGTCCTTCGTACATTGTAATGCAAACTCCCTAATCATCTTCAGTGGTTCCTCCTGATGTGTTGTCTTTAGGATTTGATGCAGATCGGCGACGGATCGACAGTGACTATCACAAAACCTTGGAAGCAGGGAGGATTAGTGGCAATATATTATCTGGGTACACTTGTTGGGGCACTGATGTGAGCAGTAGTTTCTTCAAACACACCTTGTGACGCTCAGCTAATGGAGAAGTAGGGGTGGGGCCGCCTCCGACAAAATTGGCAGGAGAAAGACCATCGTGTTCGGTTGTCTTTGGGGCCTCCTGGGATCTTCATTGATGGCCTCGGCGCAGAATGCAAATTGGATGTTGTGTGCTCGAATCATCGCTGGTGTGGGTACAGGAATTGTCAGCGCTGTCATTCCTGTGTGGGGTTCGGAGCTCGTTGCCCATAACGTTCGTGGGATGGTAATGGCATTCGAGATGCTTGTCAACTTTGCTGGCATCTCCACCTCCTGTAAGTGGCAACCCCAATCGATCTGTGTTGAATTCTGGAGCTAAATATGCTTTACAACTCCAGACTGGCTAGAGTACCTCCTGGCTTATATCGACAATGGCAACACAACTGTTCGGTGGCGACGTGAGTATGATCCACACCCGGTTGAAGCTCAAGTTAATCCAGAGTCTGCCTAGTGCCGCTTGGTTTTCAAATGATGTGGGTCTACGGTAGAACAACTGTCGAGTATTATAACTGGACTCTAATGACCTTTCAGCTTCATGCTTCTTCTCATAATCATGATGTTTGTCATGCCTGAAAGCCCTAGGTACGGTACTTTCTATCTCTATAGCCCGAGTGCCTTGGAGTGTCATACAGAAACAACTTTGCTGTCTGTACTCTTCAGCTAACACCTCTGTCTAGATGGGACATAGGAAACGGCAATCACGAGCGAGGAAGGAAAACACTAGCCATATGTCGGGCTCACGGTGATATCAATCATCCGGATGTCATCGCCGAGTTCAAGGAGATTATTGCCGCTTGCGGTGTGTGTCGAGTCTACCCTTGTTGCGTCCCAATCGACTAACCGTCTATAGAACTCGAAGCCGAGTATCCAGCCCGGAGCTTTTTCAACATGGTAACCGGCTACAAGAGTGGTAACCTCCATCTCGGCAGACGGACATTTCTCGCTGCTTGGCTGCAAATTATGCAGGCGTGGTAAGCTAAGCAGCGTCAGCTTGCACTGCTTAGATACGTGCTAAATTATGCTTAGGACAGGGGTCACCAGCGTTGTCGTCTATGCACCAACCTTGTTCAAGATTGCCGGGTTTGGCTCACAGAAGGTGGGTTGGCTGATGTATCCTTGGAGTTAGAATTGCGTCTCACAGAAGTATACAGGCCAACCTCCTTACTGGCTTTGCCAATATAGTGACTATGGTGTCGTGTGTTCTAGCAATCTTCACTATCGATCGTTACGGACGACGAAGCGTGCTTATAGCCGGTGGTATAGGCCAAAGCCTGTCTTTCTTCATCTTGGGCGCCTTGTCCAAAATTGGAGCCGACCAGCATAACAAAACCATTGGAGCCGCCGCAGGTTCATTTGTTTTTGTCTATAACGTTGTGTTCGCTGTCAGTCGCACATCGCAGAACTATTGTGTCGAGTCCATCTGACGGCCTAGTTTAGGCTACCTGGCTATCAGTGCCGTGGGTGTACCCTTCCGAGATCTTTCCACTCATTATTCGCGCCAAAGGGAATGCATTTGGCATCGTCGGTGAGATGACAACTTTATCAACCTGTGAGGCATGAAACAGGCTGACTGCAACGTTAGGCTGGAGTCTGGGATGCGGCTCTGTGTCTCTTGCGGCACCGAGTATGTTTGGTTCCTTAGGACCTAATGCATTCTACATACACGCCGTATTCAATCTTTTCGCCATTGGCATCATCTACTGCTTCTATCCCGAGACCAGCTGCCGAACGCTGGAAGAGGTAAGAGTTCCAACAGAATCTCGACAACATTGTGCAGATCGCACTAACACGACGTTCTCCCTTTGGAATATAGATCGACCTTCTCTTTGCGAGCACGAGTCCTTTCGTATGGGAGACAGAGAAGAAATTTCAACAGCTCAGGCTTGAGCATACCGAGATGGTCCGTGGCACCGAGAAACCGCTCGAGACATCAGACCAAAAGACGGATGAAGAAGCTCGTGCTGCGAAGCAGGCCGCATGAGGCCTTAACTATCCCACCATTGATGATGTCAAAAATAATTCTACTAGGTTTTTGCGTGGTTTGCGGAAGAGATGTGAGAGTTAACTAAACATTTGACCAGCAAAATGTTCTCAATCTATGTTCTAAGCTATTGTATGCTGAAGTCGTTTCCAGCGCCATGTATACTGTTAGTTTTTTGAAAATAATTGGCTTCTACCTTGAAGAATTATTCCGAGAGACTATAGATAAAATGCAGGTGTTGAACTTTATCAAGAGCTTACTAGTACTAGATTGTTACCTCAGAACAGCCTCCGAGGCCTCAGGGCGAGCCTGCTTTCGCCCTTTGAAATAATCCGCTTTCCAACTGGTCTTGACTAGGATTAATCTTCTTGAGAATAATTCACTGAAGTACCGACTGGTACTGACATACCTAGACATTGATATGGGCGGCCCATCGACACCTAATTATTTAGCCTAATTTTGCCTATATTGGCCTGAAGTTTCTGCATAACTCGCTCCCCGTCCGCACTTGGCGTGCAATTCTGGAAACGCATCCAATCGCACCGTCGCCCTGTAGACCTACCACCCGACCTGTAACTTCGGTCGCGGACACATCCACCAGATGTGATAAAAGGACTCTCGTTCGCGTCACGTCCGTCGCGCGTCTATAGACGTGCGCGCTCGCGGGCCTTCCCTAGAGTTCGCGAGAAATATCCCCCCTCTCCTCTGCTCTCTCCCTCTCTCTCTCTCCTCACGTAATTCTGTCAAGAATCAGTGTGTACATTTGGGTGTACGTGTGTGTGCACTTTTATCTATGTGGAATATATCCCACGTTCTTATTGAATCGACACCTTTTCGGGTCCCGTCCTTCACCCGATCGACAGGTGTCTACCCTGACAAGTAGTTCTTTTTCAAGAGGACCCCTAGAGGGTGCATTTCCTTCCTCAAGTGTAAAATATATACTTTCCCAGCAACATAAAATATCAACAAAAAATACTAAAATTACAAGCAACGACCAGGTATAAGTAACTATAATAGTTAATTAGGATCTATTACGTAATTAAAGCTATCTATGTATAAAAACGTAAGTATTTCTTATTATTTCGAATAGGAAGAAGGAGAAAGTGTATAATAGTACTGTTATAACCAAAACGTGTGTATAGTAAGATAACAATCGAGAGTTTGTCAGCTACATATTGCAGCCGGGCTGGCGCTCGGCGGCCACGTGATATGTTTTGGCCTTACAGATAGGGAATCGACATGGTTGGAGGACGAAACTACTGTATCCTAGATTCTACCATCATACACATGCTCGGTACACAGGAGAGAATATACAAACGTTCGATTGCTTCATCATTCTACTCAGTCGAAGCACTCCGTGTCGACCGAATTCTGCCCTGGTTCTCCTGTCGGTCTGTCAGTTCTGACCTGACATGCCATTGTGCGCCCTACTTCCCGCTCCAATATGTATCACATGATGATTCGGATTTAGATAAATTAGCGAATTCTATGCTAGTGCGAATATTGGTTTGGATATCTAATTATCCAATTGGATTTCTAACGATAATCTTCAGTGGGACTTGATATTCAAGTGATATCCAATCTTGCGGATATGCCGTAACCTAACTCCATCTATGAATGAATGCATCTACAAAATTCTAGGCCCTGTCTGGTTAATCTAATGTCTTCATGTGCTCTCTAAGACGTGGCCGCAGGGCTAGCGCCAAGGTCTTTCATAACAGGCTTGTAGCCTCGTGCGCCGCCTCGCTCGGAATCAAAGATATCTGGCAAGTTAAACAAGTCCCAGAATCCTTCAAAAGTCAAAGTCTGGGATTCACCGACTGTGCCTCCCGCGGCTTCTCTCTTGGTGAAGCCGTTGCCCAAGTAAGCGAAACGATTGCGAGGCCCTCCACCTTCGCTCTGTCTGTATTCGATCTTCCAATCCTCCCACCTGTGGAGCTTGTTAGTCCTGAAAAATACCAACAAGGAAAAAGGATGAGAATAGACGAACCTGGGATTCTTGACTACCTCCATCCAGTGATAGGTTGTGCCGCCATAGATGGCGACGATTCTCCCGTCAACGGTGCCTTTCTTGTACCAGCTTCGGCATCCACTAGTCCAGACGGTGCGCTTCAAGAACTCTTGGCAGTGTTCATTGAAGTCATGGGTTGCTTCTTCGCTGATTTCGATTGTTCTGATTGATTCGCTTTGAATCTTGGTGATGGCCTTGTAGATGTAAATCGCCGTCAACTGCATAGCCAGGATCAAAGAGCCGTTCGAGATGGGAGAGTTGGGGCCAATGAAAGCTACTCGATAATTAGCAGGATGCCAAGGGGGCTTCTGGGCATGCAGGCTCACTAAAAAAGTTGGGGAAATTGGGCGTTGTCAAGCCAAAGTATGCCTCGGGGATATCAGCGTACTGGTCCTGCAAATTGATACCTTTCCTTCCGACAATGGGGAATCGAGGCTTGAAGTCCGTGTGGAAGCCTGTCGCACAAACAATGGCATCAAACTCGATTTCTTCACCACTCTTGGTCATGATGCCTTTCCTGGTAACGTAACCAATATCGTCCCATTTCACGTCGACATTGTCGCGGCACAAGGCCTCCAGATACCCTTGACCTGGCGTCTGCCTGCGGCAGCCGACGGGGTAGTCGGGCACAAGCATATCATAGATCTTCTTGCCCTTTTCGCTGTCACCGAGTCGCGCCTTCATCGTCTTCTTGTAGAGAACTTGAGCTTTTTGTTGCTGAGGCGAGGCCGTGTACGCTCTGTCAAAGTTGGCGTTTCGGCGGTCCGACACGGCGCGACGATGTTTAAGGAGATAATCGGGATCTTCCCTGAATCTCTTCAGCGTGGCTTCTGTAAAGTTCAGACGCTCGTCGGCCTCAGGGTCGTCGCTAGTGGGTTCGTTAATGCCAGGAGCCGGGGAAACCCACGTCTTCGATCTGATAAAGGTGGTGAGATGGCTAGAAATCGGAGCGAGCTTGGGCACAATTTGGATTCCGGAGGAACCAATTCCAATCACTGCCGTCTTCTTGCCGGTGAAGTCATAACTCTCATCCCACGCCGCTGAGTGGAGCAGCTTGCCTTCGAAGTCATGCAGGCCCTTGATATCGGGCCACTTCCAGTTGCTGGTTCCATTGCGTTAGCGTGGTGCCTTCAAGCATGGGTGAAGAGGCACTCACTTCAAGTTGCCGCCAGCATAAATGAACATGTCACATTCATCAATGAAGACCTTGTCACCGTTTTGCACCTTGACAAGCCATTTGGTCTTCCGCTCGTCCCAGACGGCGCTGACGATCTTGTGGTTATAGTTCATATAAGGCTCGACGCCATACTTGGCACAAGTCTTTTTGATGTACGCCAGGATCTGCGACGAGGTAGCATAGTAGTTTGGCCAATCCGGGTTTTGCTCAAAGCTATAGCTATAGTTGTGGGCAGGAATGTCGCACTGGCAGCCGGGATACCTGTCAAGTATTAGCGGTTTCTTTGCGACTCGATGACCAAGGTACCAACCTGTTCTCGAGCCATGTACCTCCTATGTCAGAATTCTTCTCATAAATGACAAACTCGTTGGCGGGGTCTTGCATCTTCTCCTTTGCAATGATACCCAGCATCAACCCAGCGTAACCGGCGCCCATACATACTGTCCTGAATGGGCGACGAGTATTCATAGGCTGCTCAGTGACGGTATAAGGGGCCACTGCCTTCTCCTGCACAGGCTGTACAGAGACAACCGGCTCCTTGGTTTTGATTTCTCCATTTTCGGTAAATGTGGTGGCCGGGGCAACCTGTGATTCTACATTGCCTGGTGCCATAATGCTTAATAATGCTTGATCCAAAGACAAAGGCTTGGGTGATATTCTAGCGTGATTCTACAAAATCCTATAACGAGAGAGTGTCAATGCCGTCTTATATGCTTCTTTAACCACACTTGGCAGAGGGTCTTTGTACCCACCTCACGAACAGATGTTTCTGCCGACCGGATCGTTCCGAGCGGCAGCAGTCGCTCGGACACAGGTATGCGGCCCCGGACATTGACCGCCGGGGTTGGGGATCATCGCTCAAAACGATGATTCTGGGGCCCCCGCGTGATCACGCAGGTTCAAACGGTATAGAATGTCAATTTGACTGTTTCATTTGCTTGACCTTCAACCCATACCTGGATAAACGCGGCCGAAATTGGGCGAGATATCGGCACAGGATCCCGAGAGCGGGGGTGGAATGCTAACGGGAGTCAGAAGGTGCCTCGGATGCAAAGAAAACTTGTTCTGACCCCGTTCACTTTGTACAAGTTGCACCTGGCAATCGATTCCCGCAAGACATTGTACCGTCAACAAAAGCCATAGCCATCGATATCGTTACAGATGTCCACATGGCTTCAGAGGCCCCTTCGGACAACGGTATCCCGTCACGCAACGCCAAACGCAAAGTGTCCAAAATAACGCCCATTTGCAGGACCTGTCTCAGGTGCCGTGGGAAAAAAGTGGGTGATCCTACTCGAATCGAGCCACCACCTGGCTAACCTAGCCGTTTTAAGGCAAAATGCGACGGAAAGAGACCTCTGTGTTCGCTATGTGCCGTGTCAGGCCATGTGTGCAAGTACCCAGAAGACGCAAGGCTGGGAAGTCGGCCGTCGAGGGCCGAAGTCGAAGCCTTGCGCAACGAGTTAGATCGAATTCGGCAGCTCCTAAACAACCCTGAGACTCCGTCGACACAGGCTAGCAAAGAAGGATTGAGAGCTACCGATACTCAGCTAGCGACAACTTCCAACGTGGCCGTGGCCGAATGTGAATCATCCCGGGGCACAGATGTAAGGCCTGACAATTCCATCCCAAAAACCAACTTGGCCGACCATCACCTCGCTTATGCCCCAGGAACCGCCTCAACTGAAGGAGAAGGAAGCTCACATCCCATTGCGGACCCGAGTAGTTTGGCTTCGAATGAAACGCAGATTGCTTGTGCCATCGAAGAAGACGGAAGTATCCATGTCCACGGCATCTCGAGTCACCTCTACCAACCTTCCGCGCAAAAGAGCCCCTCTCGCGAAAGATCGGGGTCGCGAAATATCCACGGGCCTAAATACCAAGCTGTAAAAGATCAGCTTTTCGCCAATGCGGCTTATCAGCGGCAACGAGAAGCCTCTTTGATTTACGGCAGTGGCAGGTCCCTTGGACCTCGAATCGACTTTGATGGCCTGGCACCCGAGCTGGCATTGCACCTCCTGGAATTGCACTGGAACCGGCAGCATTACCTCTATCTCATGACTTATCGGCCTGCATTCTTCGACAGTTTAGCCAACAACGGGCCGTATGCCCACAAATTGCTGCTCAACTCCATTTACTTTTCGAGTTGTTGTCTGGACAGTGACCGGTCCATCTTCAAGCCGGATATCAACGAGCCCCACAGGAGAGGCGAGAGGTTCTACTCAAGATGCAAGGCTTTGTTGATGGACGAGATTGACAAGCCAAGCTTGCCCACTATCGTTTCGCTGGTCGTGCTCGGAACCACTCTTGTTTCGACCGGCCAGCCAAATGCTGGATGGGTGTTGTGTGGCACCGCTTACCGGATGATTATTGATATGGGCCTGCACTTGAGCACGTCTCCTTGGCAGGACGACGGCGTTCCGGAAACAAATTTGACACCCATTGAAATTGAAATGAGGGCTCGCATCTACTGGGCTTCTTTTATGATCGATAACTATCAGTCGCTGTATCTGGGGCGCCCCTCTTACCTTCGCGCTGCAAACGCACGTATCTCGAGAGATTTTTATGACTACTATGAAGAGCTCGAGAGCTGGACACCTTATCTTGATCCCGAGGAAGCTCCTTCGGGCATGAATAGTCTATTGGGATCTTACAAGCCCCGACCGGTATACGCCATCAGTTCCTTCAAGATATTCACCGCGCTGGGCGAGATCGCATCGCGAATCACCAACTTCTATGCCATAGGTTGCGTCAAGATTCCTGTCGAGCTCCATATAGCAGAGAAGCGAGAAATTCGAGCGGAGCTTGATACCTGGGTGGAAAACATTCCGCCTCATCTTCGCTTTGACCCTCTTGTTGATCCCCCTCCACCCCCCAACCAATTTGTCCCGCAGTACGTTTACGCTATGCTGAGCAATGTTGTTTCTGACTGACCCCCTGCAGCGCACTCTATCACACGCTTACTATTTTGCTCGAACGGCCTTTCTTGTCGAGCGGCCATCTGTCACCCGCTTCTAATCCGGAGTCTCAGGCTTTGGGTCAGAAAAGGTGCACAGAATCCGCGTTCAAGATCTGGCAAGTGTTGAACGCCTATCAGAAAGCTTTCACATTCCGACGAGCACCCTATCTCCTTTCTTACGCCACATACTGCGCGATAGTTGTCCTCTTGAACCAAAAGGAAACCCATGGAGATGAGTACGAGGAATGCATCCGATTCTTCTGGTTCGCACTCCTCCGTATCCAGAAAGGCACACATTTTGGATTGCGAAAACCACTTCAGATCCTCCAAGGGCTTATGTATCGGGTCGGCAAAGTCATGCCCGACAGGGATCCGCGAGAGAACGAGGATGTTCCATCCCAACTAGATCACCGGGTGACAAATGAAAGCTTCACGATACCGATTAACCACGGCAGTGTCGAGCAGATGCAGCAAGTGAATGATTACCCCATTGACACGGAACTGGAGGCCTTCCTGCAGCAGAATGCCCAGCAGGGCAACTGGCCAACTGGAGATTGGTTGGATACACTGATCAACGAGTTTGGCCAAATTGATGATTCTTTGATTGGTCTAATGGATTCTCAACAACCAGTTATAAAAGTCTATCCTCATATGTGACAGCGCTTCTAACACCCTCAAGAGCCTCTCTCTATAGGGCCCAGGCTTGACCAGCCAGGATGGAAGTCGTTGCCTTGAACAAGGCCTCTAAGGTCTAGTAATCAGATGTTGAGGACATGATTGTCAAAAACTCGGGCCCGTTCATCGTTGGCGGGATGTACTACCTTGATTTAAGGCTAAGACTCGACCTTGAAGGTTCTACGTCTCCCATTGGCAGACGGTGCTTCCTTCACATCACTCAAGATCCACTTTATTGACTTGTTGACCACCTCGTCCCATCTGCGAGTGGCGGATAGCTCTTCATATCTGTGGAAGCCATGGGGGACTCCCGGGAAAATATGAACATCAGTGGGTACGCTATGGCGAGGTGAGTGGATGTTGCGTTTTAAAAGGATAACAGACTAACCCGCAAGCTTGAAGCTGTTCCGCATACAATAAAGCTTCGTCTCTCAGGGCATCCATGCCAGCAACCAGGAAGGCCGATTTGGGCAACTTGGAGAGATCCATCTTTTGCATTGCATACATAGAATAGGGCAACTCAGAATATTCTTTGGCTGCGAACATGTTGAAAAAGAGGTCTCGTTGCGCCCTCGGCAATATTGGCGCGTCGGCATTTTGATGGAAGGAACTGATTTCTTTGGAGGCCAACTGGTCAAATGGGAAGAGCTCCGTAGGACACAGACTGGGAATGCAAAGGACCTGTCCACGCAGTCGGCACTCGACAGAGGATTGATATTCTCTCAGCATCGTAGCCGCGGCCAGACTGCCTCCCGAAGAAATGCCGCCCACGATCAGCTGGCCTTCCTGAGCACCCAGGTCCGCCAGATGTTGGTTGGCCCATTCAAAAGAATCCCAGGCATCATGATGTTGGGTCGGATACTTGAAGTGCGGAGTATGGCGATAACAGACATTCAAGACTGTGATGCGACAAGCCAGGGCTATCCTGCAGCAGCGTGCATCTTCAGAATCCAAGGTGCCGAAGAAGTATCCTCCGCCATGAAAGAAGATATACAAGGGGAGGCGCTCCTCGGACGGGACATCCGCTGGTCGGTACAACCGAGCACGGACTGACTGGCCATCACGAGTGGGAACTTGAAAGTCTTTCTGTGACACTTTGGTGCGGAGGCCTCAACCAATCGAAGCGAAATTGATAATTCAGCATGCAGCGGTAGGTACAGAGGGCGACAAGGGGGTGGAGGTACTCACCTAACTTTTCCATGGACAGAGCAGAGGCTTTCTCGCGGCCGGCATTTGCGGCCTTCTGATAGTCCTCGATGCTCTGGCCAGGGGCCGGACCCGTGGCGGGGACTACGGTGGTCTTGGTAAATTCCACCCATTCGGCGGAGGGGCCTTGGTACTGAGAGTAGTCTGCCATGATGAGGACAAGACTGGACGCCGGATTCTGGACGCCGGTCTTATTAATTTGGAGACTTGGGGATTTGGGTAAAGAAGCAGCTGCGGGGCCTGGCTGGGGGAAATATGCCCCGAGTAATATATGCTGCAACGGGTAATCGGATAGCCCATTTCGCCTACCCCCCGAGGTCTGTCCAGCGGGATTGGAGCGAATGGCCCTTGGACTGGTTTGTCCTCATGACCTCGCACCTCTCCGGAACCACGTCGTCACTGCTCCCCGCTAAGAACAACGGGGTAATCTGAACCCACTCTCCAAGCCGGTGACTGATTCCCGGCTCCCCATTCTCGCCTGGGCACGTGGTGACCCCCCCAGACCGGGACCCCACGATCTACTGGTGGACCCTCCAGACCGGGACCCCACGATCTACTATTCCTCCACAGTGACCCAGCAACGCGCTGCAAATAAAACACATGGCATTCCCCTTCTTTTTTGTCTGTGACATCCAAGCTCTACGACCCTCGGCTGGTAGTGTCTCGCAGTGGAAAGAAGAAAGGCCTGACCGTTTGACCTCTTGACAAATGAAGCACCAATACCTGGGCGCCCGCGGCAAGAAATTGACATGGCTCTCCATCGCCACTGTCGTGCTGCCAGCTTACTTCTTGGCTGGGGTAAGCATGATTCTCCCTCGTGCCCGGCGGAGGTGTGGCTGACATGGACTCTGCAGTACAGCAATGCCGTTCCGGGAGGATTGTTGGATTTGGATTCCTGGGTAGAGACCTTTCCTCAGATTGACACTGTACACAAAAAGGGCGCTGCCGAAGCCGAGGCTGCCCGTATACAGGGTAAGAGCGCCCCCCAGGGTGAACGACAGGCCCGCATGGCTAACTGACCACTAGGCACTGCCGTGGCCATCTACCTGGTCGGCTGCTTCTTGGGGGCGTTGACCTGCCTGAAGCTAGGAGACAAGGTCGGTCGCATCAGGACTATGATTATTGGCAATATCATCAACATGTGTGGCTCCATTATTATCGTCTCGAGCTTTTCGCTCGGCCAGCTGATTGCTGGGCGTCTGGTCCTGGGGCTGGGGCTGGGTGGGGTGTAAGTACTTGGCCACACCCTTGTCCTCGGTAGATTTTCTTCCTGATGCTTGTTATAGAGCATCCACGGTCCCGGCATGGCAAGCCGAATGTTCACCCGCCAAAAATCGTGGCGCCTTGGTGACTCTCGAAGCCGCCTTTGCCACCATGGGTCTCGCCGCGTCTCAATTCATCGACCTGGGCTGCTTCTTCAGCAAGACGAGTCTTTCCTGGCGGTTTCCCCTGGCGGTCCCCATCTTCTGCAACTTCACTATGCTCAGTGTCCTCCCATTCCTGCCCGAATCTCCTAGATGGCTCGTCAAGAAGGGTCGCATCGAAGAAGCTAGGGAAATCATGGTGGTCTTGGAGGACCAGAGCTCCGATTCTCCCCAAATCGCGGACGACATCACTGCCATGAAGCAATCCTTGGAGACCACGGGCACCGGCAGTTTTCGCGGCCTTATTTGGGATAAGGGCAACAAGCTCAAACTTCGGACTCTGTTGGCCATGTTTTCGACCTTCTCACAACAGATGAACGGCGCCGGCCTGATCGGTTTCTATACCGTCAGCATTTTCGCAGAGCTTGGTCTCGCGCCCATTGTAACTCGCGTCCTAGCTGGTTGTATCTTCGTCTTCCAGCTTCCATGCTGCTTCCTATGCTGCAAGCTTGTCGATCGCGTCGGCCGTCGGTTCCTCTTGCTCCTGGGTGCCGGAGGCATGGGTACTGTTTTTGTGGTCCTGTCCGGCACCATGTCCCAGCTACCCGGCAACCAGGCCTGCACCGTCGTCGCGGCCGTTGCCATCTTCTTCTACACCTTCTTCTTCGGTGTCTCGTACGGCATCAACTGGCTGTTTCCCGCAGAAGTGGCTCCCCTGGCCTACCGGACCCAGATCTACGCTTTGACGACCGCTACGCAATTCGGTATCAACTTTATGGTCGTCGAAGTCACGCCCTTGGGCATCAACAACCTGGGTTGGAAATACTTTATCATCTGGGCTGCTGTGTGCTTGGGTCTCCTATTTCCAGGTAAGACAATTTCTATCTTGTTTTCCCCCTCCGCCTTCCGCTTTTGCTTTTCGCCATGATGCTAATAATGGCTGTACAGTCACGTACCTCTTCTTCCCCGAAACCACCGGACACACTCTGGAAGACATTGACCACATTTTCAGAACCTCCAAGGACGCTTTCGATCTTGTCAGTGTCTCCAAGGCTGTCAGGCGAGACGGATTGGTCCACCAGTCCGGTACCACCGACATCCACGCTCTTGAGGAGGGTTCTGACGACGGCCTCTCCGCAACCAAAGGCGGCGCGATTGCCTATGAGGTCGACGATAGGGCCAAAGAGTAGACAAAATCGTCTGGTCTGCAGAGCACGGGAGAGCACTCTGTAAAGTACTCGTAACAGAAGTAGCGGTGGTTTGTGGAACTTTTTGGCTGGGGTCTGTGGATTGAAGGGGTGTTTTATATATATCTATCCTCTATATATATATTAGCAACAGCCCCTTTGGTTAGACGTTCTCTCGCGTGGGACTTACCGCAAGCCTGCACGTATCTTTCCACAAAAGCAGCGCCGGAGGCCTTGGCGATGGTGCCCGTCACGCCTTATATTCCTATTCCAGATCCGATTGCCCGCTGCGATCCCCAAGACGATACTAGTGAGATTCGGCAAAGAACATGATTTTGCATTGTATTAAAACGAGAGTATTTGAGTAACGTAATGCACATGCGAGCCGCCCATTTTCGCGTCAATTCTATTGAATCATCTTCAACGCGTCATTTTTCTACCACCACCGTACAAAATGCCTCTTTCTCAAGAACTAAAATGCAAATAGCTATTATAGATAATAAAATCAAAATAATTCGGTCGATACCAAGGGCTGCTGCAGTTTCCGCGGTGCCTAAATCCACTCTTGTTGATCGACTCACAGGAATCAATGCACGGTCAGAAACACGCGCCAATAGCCATAAAATAGCAGCTCTAGAAGAGACGAAGTCCTTACTAAGCAACTGCTAGATGCAGACAAACGAGGCTTTTTAATTCGACCTGAATTTTTACGTGGCATGACGCAGATATTACTTCTCGAGCGAACATGGGATCTACTACAATCATTAGAGTTAATTAGGCATCTAACTTTGTCAAACGCCACCCAACACTACGTACACGCTACAGCCGACGTATATCATATCAACGTGCAAAACAGGAAGATCCAAAGATTACAAAGCCCTGGTTTGAGACTATACGCGAAGCCATTCTTGAACATGGCATCCATGAAGGTGATATCTAAAATTTTGATGAAACCAGCTTCGCAATGTGGCTCTGTTCGACCTCTAACTGCAGTCGAGCGTAGTAAAAGACCTAATAAGATTACCAAGAGGAATCGCGAATGAGTCACAAGTATTAAATATGTGAGCTCAAAGGGGATGCCTATAACCCCATGGATTATCTTAATGACGGTATCTCAACATGCTACTTGGTATCAAGAATCCACTCTTTTCAATAAGCGCTATGCTATCGCAAGAAGTCAGAATGGCTGGACAACAGATGAAATTGGCTTCCGCTGGCTATAATTCTAAAAACCACTCAACTGGTGCAAAGCGATTGCTCTTGAGATCAGGCAATTGATGCACTTCATATTTTAGCTTGTTGATCAACTGATTGGCAGCTCCTTCCGCATAGCCCAAAGAACGAAAGCCTTTTCCAGGTCCCACGTGAAAGGTGGACAGTAGCATTCACCCATAATTTTAAAGCCTTTCTTCAACCAATATTCCCCATTGATCTCCCTGACGACTTTGAGCATGATACTCAGATGATTTTTTTGGGCAGGCTGTACAAGCTTTTGCCCAATTTGTCTCTTGATTTCCTCCTCACACGCCTTTACAAGCCTTTCTGCAATTCCCTTTTTTCTGTATTTTTCGCCAGGTTTGACAGCAACCAAGAAAATTTCAAAATCCCCCTCGCAGGTAGCAGTATCTGAGACAGCACTGTTGCTGTTAGAGCCGACTGCCTGCATGGAACCAGCCTCGTCGGCGCTTTTTCCAGCATAATAGCCGTCTAGTTTCCAGACAATACCATCAGCCTCAGGTACCCAATCCCTGACACTTGCGGTGCCAACAATTTCGTTTGAAGCAAAAGTCACGGCTGTAAACCCACTGCTACCGATTTCGTGAACAACTTGAGTATCGTACTGAATTCGATGGCCGATCTTGCCTATGGGGTTTATATCGTGGTCACGGTAACTGGCGTTAATGACTGTCCGAAGCTCAGGTAAAAACGGCTGGACAAGAAGATCCTGTCTCGCAAATATTTTGATGTGATACGGAGATGATGACCATGCGTAATTCTGCCCGTTCTCACAGATTTCGCTCGAGGCGGGTGATGAATCAGATATTCCCGGAATCATTGCTCGCGCGAATTTGATGTCTGAGTCGGATACAAATTGAATGGCCAGCATTTGCGCTCAAAGTCAATTGAGAGAATGGCGGTATCTCGAGGAATCAAGTGAGAAAAGGACGGAGACTGAGCAAGTTAACGGAACAGGTTTGCTTACAAACAAAATTGTCAAATGAAGGGCGCTCCACTAAGCTCAAATGAGGAATTTTTTAATTCTTACAGGGTTTCTCTGGAAATCGCCTTAACCAAATCACACTCAAACACTTTTTTCTGGCCCAACTGCCAACTCTTTAACGCAGATCAATCATTGAAGATGCCCGCATTAAACTGAGAAACGCAGTAATAGCACCTTCTATGGTATTATATATCAGCAATTCAAATTTGAACGACATTGCAAATATGTATTGCTAGGGAACCAAACCATACCTTTGCGCACTGTAAGAGAATAATTAATATGATGGGCATTTAAAAGTTCCGCGACGCCATGAGTGAACTGGAACCATTGTCGTGGAAGCCTTGCAGTTTTTGTTAACATGGATCCCTACGGCTCCGTCATCCTATTTAAACCACCAAAACACCATTATATTGGGCAATTCAAATCTTCTGTGGGCATCTATAATAGCTATATCCTTTTCTTCCGCATTTAGAAGGCGTAATTTGCTGAAATACATGGGGGAAAACAGGAAGTGTAGGGTCAACCTTTAGTTCTAAAGCAGATGCAGTATCAGGTATATATATCTTACACCCCAATTCACGCTATACTATCTCGATTGGGAAATCGTCACGCTCTTGGCAAACAACTCGAAATTTCCAACCTTTCGACGACGAGGTGCGACAGCGAGATTCATCCAGGCATTATAAGGCGTGTTGTTAGGCATTCCTAGTTATCTAGACAATCTTATTTGGCACTTTTGTTATTCGTTTCGACGTTACTTTATGCTTCGAAGGCGAATGTCGAATATGCCTGGAGTAGACCGAATCCCAACTCGTGTCCGCTTAGTTAGTTTCTCTGCTGACGCGACTGATACGATGCAACCTCGCTTGAAGCTGACGCCTCGCAGTGCGGCCTAAAATCTGACCTTAGAGGCCTGACGCTGCTCTCGTCTCACCTGCCTACCTATCTTAGATCGGCACGGGCTCCACGAGACTAACAGTCAAGCCTATGTCTATGCGTCTGGCCCAACATCGCCGTCGCTCCCTGCAGGTCTGCGGGAGAATAAAAGCGCCAGCGGAGAGTCAGATTCCCAACCAGACTGATCGGCAGGCCATCGTAACGGCCAGGTCTTAATCGGACGGCTAGCACATATAAGGAACATGGGTGCCGTTCCTCGGTAGGAGCCAAGAATGTCTTGGCTGCTCTTATCTGCTCGCCATGGCCTCGCACATCCCGGGGTATCGCATGCGATCGGCGTGTGATGCCTGTCACCTCTCCAAGCTGCGCTGCTCAGGCGGCTCACCCTGTGCCAACTGCCAGCTATCCGACCAGCCGTGCGCCTACAGTCCGTCCAACCGCCTGGGACGACCAAAGGGTATCAAAAACAAGCCAACAGTCGACAACTCTGCGCGCACAACATCCACCAGGTCGAGCCTGAAGGAGACGACCCTCAAGCGGCCGGTGGCGGACAGTCACAATCTTCCCACGATGGACGATCTGGATCGCCTGGTCCACGCGAATTATCCAGTGTTGTCGGACGAACTTGACCATTTCACAGTATGAACTCCGACCTCCTCCCCTGCCCAATGGTTCAATTGCTTCTGGACTAATCTGGTGCATATATGCGGCAGGCCTTTGCAGTCCGATTCTCTTCCGGGCCCCAGGGACCGACTATAGATGCCTTACCTGAGGTGTCATCTCGACAATGAGCGAAAACCTGGTTGCAGAATTGATCCATATCTCTAACAAAGTAGGCGCGGGATCTTCGGGGACGGGAAGATGCTTGGAGCAATGGACCAGCCACTTTAAAGATGGAAATCATGCCGCCAAGCTAAAGCGGAGTACGCCATATCTGACTAGTCTTTGAACGCGTTTCTTCACCGACTTCAAAAATCCTTTAGAATTCAACAATCGTCATAATAACAAAAAACGACATTTTGTAGACAGAGTGCAATGACTGAATTAACCTACTCTTAAAACGCTATGCCGTTACTTATTCGGGCGATCTGGAAATTTAAGAACGATGATTAGCGGCTCATAAGCCAGAACCAGTCCGTAATAGCTAGGTCCGATTGGATTGATATATGATGGGACTTAATTTACGCGAGCTCACACTCAATCAGGCTCTCAACACCGCGCTGAGCAGTCCAGATCTTGGCGATCTTTAGACCGGCGGACTCCACAAGCATGTGCCAGTGGGCTGCAGTGCGCTCTGTCGAGCCAAAGTCAGCCATCATGATAATGTCTAAGCTGGTGGTTTCCCAGTAGGCATTAGTGTCTGGAATCACGTTCTCGTTGATCAGAACTTTGCTGTATCCACGCTTCATAGCGGGTACAATGTTCCGAAGGATTTTCAGGCCGTTCTCGTCAGCCCAGTCGTGGAGGATAGAATGCATAAAATATGCACGAGCCCCTGTAGATTACTACCATTAGCTTGCCATTGAGTAATATTATAAATAACTATACTGTACCTTTGACCGGTTGCTCTTTGAAAAAGTCATGATCCATGATATCAATCGATTCGTGCAAGGACTGCTGTCTAGCCTGACTGGCCACTTCGGGCAGATCCTGAATGATCAAGCGGCCTTTGGCATTAGGCCACTTACGATGGAATTCCGACATATCATGCCCTAAGTTGCCACCTATATCAACCAGGAGCACGTCTGAATCATTTTGCAATGGTTGAGAAAGACTGGGCACGTCGTAGAACCCAACATCCATCCAACTTGGACGGCCCTGGTGGTACGCGCTCATGTGGTTGTTGAATTGCTTGGCCGTCAAGGGATTGTGCTTTAGGAATTCGAAGAAATGCTGGTCTGTCCTGAATCCAAGCTGGAAGCCACAGTTGTTACCGTCGGACGGGTTTTTGTACCCAGTCTTCTTCAAGAGTGCCGGAAGAGCATAGATACCGTCATTTATGCAAGCAGTCCTAATCAGGAATTTGTTAGCATACTCTGCATATGAAAGAACACTTCGAAAATTTAGGGACTCACAAGCAAGGAAATGCATCACTATATCTCTCCATGCTCAGCGAGGTCGAGAAGCCGGTGCGGCGGTAGGTATCAGGTGCGGTCTCGGTGATCACGCCCATGGCGGAAATATGCTTGAGAAGGCGAGCTTGTTACACCTCAGTAACATGCTCTGATACAAGATATTGTATCACAGTTGGCTTACCAACAAGGACCGAGTCCGCTCCTGCAGTCTCTGCCAGCTCAGCAACAGTTTTGGGTTTATCATCCTTGGAAAGATGGGCGAATATATCAAGATCAACACACGTCTCGACTGCGGCATAGGAGGTCGACTAAGCAAGGGAATGAAGTCAGTATCTATATATAAAGATTGGTCTGTAGAAAAGCAATATACCTGAGACCAGCAGAATCTGATCATAGCCTCTCTAGGTGTTTCGAGGGCGTAGACTAGCGATCTAGCGGCATCGAGAAGCTCAATCCGTGCCTTGGAATCTTCCGGGGCGAATCTGTTTCCAAAAGATGAAATCTTTTCAAGGAGAGCAGGAACTTTCTCCGGAGTATTGGCAGAGATTGCCACGTTGGTGCTGTCAACAAAAGCACCTTTGGCATGACCATTAGTAGCCGAGCCATTGGTATGTGTATCTCCGTTGCTGACAGTCATTGTAAAAGTAATTATAAGCCCTTGGATTGCAACTCAAAGATTTGAACAAAATATAGGTTCGGGTGCCCAAGTGTGATTGAAATTAGAAAAGTTGTCAGCGGCTCGGTCTTATTATGTTATTGCCCTGTATCACCTTCCGCCGTTTCTGGGGCACGGTAATGGGAAAACAGATCGGCAGTGTAAACCAGGTAGCTAGAGCGGTATTCGAGGCCGCTCCACTTCCTGGGCAGGCTTGCAAGGCACTAAGTTTCAAGCACCGTCAGACGTTAGAAAACAAGGTCCGTTTGCCAATTTAGTTCGAGTCCAGGCGTTGGGAATGATAAGCCCCTGACACCTTTCCAAAATTGGAAGCTCCGCCAGGTATGCCAAGAAGTTCATCATATTACCAACAAAAATGAATATGAAACAGATGATCTATCTATGAAGAGAAACGTCGATATTTATCAGGTATATCTCGCTTCACTCAATGCATTGTATCATTAGGAACGAAGAACTTCAGTGCTGAAACGTGTAGTTGATGAGGACGTCAGCCCGTTGGGCCCACCGCCGCTGAGCGTAGCCTCACAAATAGCGCATGAACGTGCATATGGAGATCCATACTCTCTGTACTTTTCGTGTAATTCCATATTTCCAATTACCGGAGTTATGAGTCCGAGCAGACAGCTCGATGTCAAGGTCTACATGACCGTTGAATGTCGATGATTCCTATCCAGTTCCAAGTGCTCTATTTGGTAGTTCGATTCAACTGGAATGAGTCTTGTGAAACCATCATTTGTTAACTGATTGTCATGCGGTTTTCGCGTTCTTCATGCTAATCTATCGAATGTTCCGCTGGAGTATGTAACACACTCTGCATCAAGAATTACTAAGACCGGACATTGGTCACGTCAAGGTTAATATCTGTGCACGGGTCAGTAGACTCAGTTGGTGACTTTCTAGGAGCACCATCGCGGTCTGGACCTTGATTGTTCTGGTCAAAATGACGTGGCTGCTCGAAGGATTCTAATTCCATAAAAAGAAGTGGGGATAGACCAAATTTCTATAAAAATTTTCACGACCAATTCCTTATTAATTAGCGCACAGTCAAGTGTGATCGCAGCTTAACGGTCGCGTTCCGCCCCCACTCCGCAGGATGCAACAAGCTAGTACTTAGTGTCGCTGTCAAGTGGGCCTCGTCCAGGATCGTATCGATGGCACCAGACGGCTTCCATTCAAGTGGGTCTTAAGTTGACGGCTCCATCCGTGGTTCGCCAGCTGTCATGCGGATCAACGTTGAAAATTAAAACTAGCCAGCTCGCTTAGATTGGGCTAAGGAACCAAGACGATATTACATATGGTAACTCCGGTGTTGTGTTTGAGGTCTCTAGTAAATGTGGGGTTGGTTGGCTTTAGGAGCGCGCTGGTGGTGCTCGAGAGAACAGCTAGTCTGGCTATCAGCTGCCGATCTTCGCTTTGGATTTCCATATTTGGATGCAAAAACGGCAGTAGGAAGTTGACGACCCAAGAAGACGAAATTTTCTACCAGATAGATGATCTTTCTCAATGGGTAATATACCGGTTAGGCCTTCGCGGGATGCGCGCCATGACTTCCTCAACGATTCCCTTTTTGTGCCTACCAATTCTAAGTTGTCTCCATTATTACCACTGTCTTGGAGCGACTAGCCTTTGTAGATCAATGCAAATTTTACCGAAAGCCCGCAGGGAAGAGAAGTAATACGTTAATCCATCTCGGCCCTAGCTTGACAGGAGGGCGATCTTAGAAGGATTTGACAGGTCTGTACGCATACGGAATACGACTCGCCCTGTTATTGCCACCTATATATGGAACGTGCTCTTCAGCTGTCGAAAAATCCTCAACATTATCCATTACCTAAGATATCGTCTGACCTCCATCTCAAACTCATTTTCACACCTGGAAATCACGATGACTACACAGTATCCACCAGGCTATCTCGAGCAAGACAAGGGTCCCAAGATCTTGTCAGTGCTATGGACCTTAACAGGTCTCACCACAATTTTAGTGGTAGCCAGAGTTTGGACCCGGATCAAAATACTGAAGAATTTTGGTGTCGATGATTATCTAATTGTCATTGCAATGGTGTGCTGCATTTTGCCATATGACTGACTACCATTGTGCTAATCCTATAATCTAGGTCCTGGGTCTTGCTTACTGCGGAGTGGTCACTGCTTCTATCTGGGCCGGCTTTGGAAAGCACGCCTTAGCACTCCCGGAGGAGAAGATGGAGCTTGCAATTATGCTCAACACTGTTAGTTTCCTGTTTGGAATTCTTTCATTCACCGTTCCCAAGCTTGCTGTAGCAGCCATGTTGAACCGGATCCTGAATCCGGGCTGGTTAGCTAAGACTTGGCTATGGCTTGTTACTGGGCTTGCTGCTACTGTCTCTTGCATTTGCATTATTATTCTCTTCACAATGTGCGACCCCCCAAAGGCACTTTGGGAAGTTCACCTTCTCGCACCAGAATACGGAGCGACATGCAAAAGTGTGTGGATGCTGGTAGATTATGCTATCTTCACTGGATGTGGGTTTAGCTCTTTGTTTGCATACGTTTCCTGAGCCTAATCGGTGCCTCTAGCGCTGTCTGCATTTGTGGATCTTTGGCTTGCGGTCTATCCCATAACCGTGTTGATGAAGCTTCAAATGTCCTTAAGGAAGAGGCTAGCCCTCTGTGCTGCTCTCGGACTTGGTGCTATGTGTGTGACTTGGTTTGACCTTGACTATTCCGATTGAGCAATACTCTGACTCCTGTTGTTAAAGTGCCAGCGCCATGGCCATTATCAAGTGCACTCAACTGAATGGTCTTGCTGACAAGGCGGATTACACTTGTGAGTCCTAAAGGATACTCACGCAATCTAACATTATACTGACTCAACTCCAGACGGAACTGCGGACCTCGTGATGTGGACCAAGTAAGGACTTCCCTCTTTCCAGTCTCTTGGCCTTTTATAAATTGTGCGTGCTAATATTATTCGTCCTGTCCTAGCATTGAAGCCGACGTTGTTGTAATTGCTTCATGCATTCCTACCTTGCAGCCTCTCCTCGAAGTCATTTTGGGCAACCGTGCGATGGGCTCTTACAGCCAGGGTACCGGCAATCGTTATAAGGGGGCCAGCAAGCTCCAGGATGACTCTACTCTTGATCACAGCAACTGGTCTAATCCGGTTCGTAAAGCCGTGACAAACGTGGAAAGTCAGGAGAGTCAAGAGAGCATCCTCCCGCCTGATGAATTCCAGCGCAACAATAATTGCCATGCCCTGGGCAGGATACGTCGTACCGACGAGGTGAACGTGGAATACAACAGTCGCTCCGCTCATGCCTACAAACAGTCTTGGTAGTCTCAGAAGACGAGAACTGCGATAGTGCTCGGAATATATTATCTTTACGGATACTGCGGAAACTAAAACGAGCAATTAGGGGCTTTTCTCGGGACTGTCATGTTTTTTTTTAGGAAGATATCCTTAGTATCGTAATAACCCACTAAGTGGTCAATTTCTCTGCGGCTACTGTGTGTTTTTGATGCTTTTTAACCCGGCAAAAATAACCAAATTAGACTATACTCGAGCCTTATATTTATTGCATAAGTCCCGTCCCTACTGTGCTAGGTGGTGGCTCAGAATCAAGTTGAGCGTTTCCTACATTATCCCAGGGCTGAATGAAGTCGTTCAACTCTAGCACCAGCTTATCCAGCGTTTTAGCTGACCTCGAGTCATCTTTATTTGCTTAGCCATCTCTTAAAAGTTACCTCCTACCAGGGAGCAGTCGTTATCAGTCGAAGCCCCTCAGTTAGGACCGCTGTGCACCCATAGTCCGTAAGAACTCGTGCCAACAATTAGCAAAGAAACGGTCTTAGAAACACTTACCCTACTGCCGTTGAATCCTACGCATACTTTTCCGGCCTAATGTCAGAGCAAGACCATCTTTCTTCAACCAAATTGCGAAGGGGATTCACTAACACCTACAGACTATATTTAGGCAAATCGTCCTTTTTAGCCCTTACACCCTCCATTAGGGCACATGCATCAAACTCACCCTATCCTCAATGTTATCATTCTAATAATTTCTTAGTTGGCTGTAAAGGCCGTTAACCTAGAGCGATGCATAGCTACCTGCCGCCTTAACATTCAGTCCCGTACATAGCGGTCGCTCTACCTCAAGGGAATTAAACGAAGGCGCCATATTACATTTTATATGAAATATTGAAATCTAGACATGAACCGATAATGGTGTCTAACCTAAGGTAGACCTTGCTGTCGTATCTGCCACTTGCTTATTTAGATAACTTAGATATGTCTGCCACCCAACGGAAGCCACGGCGGCGACAATGCTTCTCAACTCGGGCGGGATACACGCGAAGTTAAATGTCATAACAAAGGGCCAGTACTTCAACGAGTTGATCAGGCTCCGAGGTAGGCCTAGCTTCAGACGCGCCCACGTGCTAGCCAGCGTCTCGCCTGACAGCAAGGCTTGCATGCAGAAAAAATAGCTATTGAAGGCCGGGGCGAAGACGACTTGATGAATGAGGACTTTGGTGAATATAGAGAGTATGCGGGAAGTGTAGTTAAAGTTCGTTGAGAGGAAGACGAACCTAGGCGAGCGTTAGCAGCGCCACGATAGTCACACGGGGAGGGTTTAGACGAAGAATCCTAGCCTAACATGAGCGGCGACTTACCATTTGAACTGGGGAAAACCTATGGTGCCGCCAATGAATGCAGTGCGTGCCGTTTTCACGGGATCAAACTTATCTCCCCCTATCCGCTGCGCGATCATATCTCCGAGAGCAAAAATGACCAGCGCGCTGGCGGTTTGCACAACGAAGGGCCTCTTGCCATTTGTCTTGCCGTATACGTCGGCAAAGCGTGTCAGCGCCCCGGAGCGCTTCAACGACGTTTTCGGCGTAGTCCCTGCCGCATACGCGCCTTCTTCCGAGCTGGCTTTTGATTTTAACACTTGTTGTTTCTTGGCCGTGCTTGTTGTTGACCTCCTCGTTCTCGTGATCGCACTTGTATTGAAGTTGGATGTTAAAAACTTGTGCTGCTGGCGGGTCTGTAATTGGAACGTGCGGATACGGGATGTGAGGAGAGGATGTCGAACCAGAGCCGGGCAAGGAATTAAGGGAGGCATTGTGCTATAATCTCGGGTTGGGGGGATTCTCCTCACTTTAGAAGAGGAATCGTTGTGTGGCAGTGTATCGAGGGATGCTTTTTCTTTGACGTTGTTTTAGGACTTGGTAACGTAATTCACGAGCGAAGCTGACTGCTCCCCCGCTTTTTCGCGTCCAGACGCGTCCTTATCGCTATAATTACCCACCATGCCACCAAATGGCTCTCGATCAAGCCGAAACTCCATCAAACAAGAGGGTCGCATGCTCTTAGCTATTCGGGCAATCAAAAATGAAGAAAAACACCAATTCGTGTCGTGGCACGTACTTGTCAGTCCCATACCCCACGCTTCAAGCACGACCTCGCGGCACTACCAATCGCGCCGAATCTCGCGCCAATAGCCATAAATTGACAGAAATTGAAGAGGAATCGCGTCTTTAGTGGATAGTCTAATTTAATACTGGCGAAGCGCGGTTCAACCAATATAAAGGGAGTTGGCCTAAACAGGGTTACAAATTTTACAAAACGATATCCTGAGCAGCTAAAATCTCTTTTCTCACGATGATACGACTGTCAACGCGCAAAACAAGAGAATTCAAGGAGACTTCGCATAACTGCGAGTATTTTCAGAACGGCATTTTGCCGTTGTTAAACCGCCATCGGGAACCAATCATTTCTCCAAAGTTAAGACGTTATAGATTTAAAACCGTGCAAGAACTCTGCGGCCGAAGCATGGTAGGTGTTTCACTACCAATGTCGCGTCGTAATATCAACAATAAACGTTGGTCTGGCTGAGTGTTGGCCGCCTGAGCACCTCCCGAGCAACCGCTGAGCTTACCTTGAGCACTCCCCAAGCCTACCCTGAGCCCACCCGAAAACCCCCCTAAAGTATATCTCATAATCGGTCTCTAAATGGTCTATGTGGGTTTTGACAACTTGTAATCTCGGCTCTATCGAACTATTTATTTTATAAAACAGATTCACCAGAGATTCCTCTTCGGACTACTATAGAAAGGTGCTATACATTCTGTCTCTTCTGCCTACCCTTCTATCGAATATAAAGAGCGTAATCCATGCTTACACAAGTCAAGCTTTTACGGGCCTCATATAGCTATCTAGGACTAGCTACAATTACCTCCATGGAATAGGGCTTCGGAGAGGCAATTAAGAAAACAAAAATAGGCGGATTTTGTTTATTAAGCATTAAATAAGCACTCTGCTAACGTAATCAACCACCGAGTGACGAATACCACCGAGTGACGAATTTCGCGTCCATCTCCTACAATCATTTCCTTGACGCGTTATTTTTCACCACCACTATACAAAATGCCTCTATCTCAAGAAAATCGCATTCAGATGGCTATTTCTGCATTCAAAAATAAAAAAATCAAATCAAAATTAAAGGCTGCTGAGATATTTAGTGTGCCTGAAGCTACGCTTCGCCGTCGACTCAACGGTAGGAAATCACGCGCAGAAACACGCGCCAACAGTCATAAATTAAACCCTCTTGAAGAAGAAGTCCTTGCGAAGAGGCTGCTAGATGCAGATAAGCGAGGATTTTCAATTCGGCCAGAGTTTCTACGGGGAATGGCGCAGATCCTGCTTCGCGAGCGCACAGGAGATCCTACTACGACCCTTGGTGTCAACTGGGCATATAAGTTTATCAAACGGCATCCAGCACTGCGCACACGATACAATCGGCGGATCACGTACCAGCGTGCAAAGCAAGAGGATCCAAAGATTATTAAACAATGGTTTGCGACCGTACGCGAGGCTATTCAAGAACATGGTATCCACGAGGACGATATCTGGAACTTTGATGAAACTGGCTTCGCAATGGGACTTTGTTCAACCTCTAAGGTTATTACTGCAGTCGATCGCAGTGAAAGGCCCCGTAGGGTTATTCAGGGGAATCGCGAATGGGTCACAATTATTGAATGTGTGAGCTCAAAGGGGATATCTATACCCCCATGGATCATCTTGAAAGCAGGATCTCAACACGCTGCTTGGTATCAAGAACCTGCTCTCTTCAATAAGGGCTATGCTATCGCAAGAAGTCAGAATGGCTGGACAACAGATGAAATTGGCCTCCGCTGGCTAAAAGAGATGTTTGAACCACATTCTAAAACCTATTCAACTGGTGCAAAGCGGTTGCTTATTCTTGATGGTCATAGTAGTCATCTAACTGCAGATTTTGATGCATTCTGTGAAGAGAATGCTATTATCTGTCTTTGCATGCCTCCTCATACCTCTCATCTTTTACAACCACTTGATGTTGGTGTTTTTGGTCCGCTAAAGCGCGCATATGGAAAACTAGTAGAAGAGATGATGGTTGCCGGCAACAACCATATCGACAAGGAGGATTTCTTGTCTCTCTATCCACCTGCTCGCGAAAAGGTGTTTACTAGGGAGAATATACGCAGTGGTTTTGCAGGTGCAGGACTTAACCCGCTAGATCAAGATCGGGTTCTTGAAAAGGTAACTTTTCAACTTCGGACACCAACACCACCTCTTGTTGAAGTTGAAGGCTCAGTCTCCTCTGCTTTTCAAACACCTCAGAATCCTCGCCAACTCGATCACAAGGTACGCAGTCTACAGAGAAGCCTTCGAAAACGAATGCTTTCTAGTAGTCCAGTATCTCATATTCAACATCTTGAAAAAGCTGCACAGATGGCAATGAATATGAACCTTATTCTTCGACAAGAAATCAAGGTTCTACAAGGTGAGAATAAGCGGAAAATGCAAAAGAGGGCAAGGAAGCGTGGTAATCTTGGTGATGATCTTGTTTTATTTGTACAGGAAGGTCAGAATCGAGTGCAACAGCTTGATACACAGCTTAATGAGCCGGCCGCTGAGACGACGCCAAGGCCTCGCCAGCGAGCTCCACGACGCTGTAGTGGATGCGGGACTACTGGTCATACTATAAGAAATTGTCCTAGTAAATAGCTATTGTTTTATCTTTTTATATGGTCTGATTTAATACATTTGTGGTTGAAAAGCTTGAAATTTAACGGTACGCGCGACGAAATTCGTCACTCGGTGGTATTCGTCACTCGGTGGTTGATTACGTTATATAAAACTTTTAGATTATATTTGTTGTGACGTTGATCTAAATCAGTTCATTTTGAAAGTTAGGATGAATGATCGTTTGGGAGCAAACAATCGTATGAGTGGCGGGCCCTCGTATGCGAGGGCCTGGTTAGTATGGTAATAGTTTTATTACCAATACGGAAGGCCCGGTTAGTCTGTACGGAGTACGAAGTGTGCACGTTAGATCTTTCGTAACGCTTAACCATATTAGGAAGCCCAGCCAGCAGCACAAGAAGTGGATCTTTGTGGCGGCGGTGGAAAGGGGAAATTCGGCAATTTGAATCCTACCTTAGTGCCACGCAAACTAGATCTCACCCCTCCGATAACCGTTATCAACTATATTTAGATAATTGGGAGCACACGCGGTGTCTCAATTGGTGAGCGTTGCCCCTTACACCATATATCTTTGGTGTTGACTTGTTCACATTCTTTTTGACCACTGTTCTTTCGTTATCACCACCATCGAAGCAATATCATGGCTGCAACTGCGAAGCGTCCGGAGATCATTGAACTTTCGCGTGGACTGCGCGACACCCCACACAGCGAAGACTATGAGAAGATGATCTCTGGGATGATGTTCTTCCCAAATACCCCAGAACTTCTCGGGGCTCGTCATCGTTGCCGTGGTCTGACTGCAGACTACAACAACCTGGACACAAAGGCCATCTCCTATGAGAATACCTTCGATGCTCGCATGGACTTGTTGAAACAATTGGTTGGGAAGGTGGGAACCGGCACCTTCGTGGAACCGCCTTTTAGACCAGATTATGGCTGCAATATCTCGATCGGAAGTGACTGTTTTCTTAATTGGAAGTGAGTGAAAAGCATCAGACCGTTATCCCTATTAAGGTTACTGACGGAAATTTAGTTTAACTGTACTAGATACTAGCCTTGTAGTCATCGGCGACCGAGTCCAGATGGGCACTGGGGTCAGCCTCTTGACTGCTGGTCACGACACAAGTGTCCTGTCGCGCCAGAAATATGTGGAGTTTGGTCACCCAATCTTCATCGAGGACGACTGCTGGATTGGGGCTAATGTCACGGTTCTTCCTGGAGTTCGCATTGGAAAAGGATGTACTATTGGCGCTGGATCTATCGTCACTAAGGATATCCCGCCATTTTCAGTCGCAGTGGGCGCGCCTTGCCGTGTAAGGAAGACTATTCAATCCCCGGAGGAAGAAGAACAAGACCCGAACAATCCTTACCGCCAGCTTGTGCGCAAGGATCGGTAGATAACATTAGCCTGAGAGCTGAAAGATAAAACAAATATGAGATACGTAAAATCTGCGGTTGGGAAACTCATTGATCAGCTGGTTCTTGGCCCCGCAAATGCTAGGACTGAGATTTGGATTCTAATAGAAGTAAAGCATTCCGTGTTCAAATTCCGACTAATTCCATAGATAAGGAACTGCAAAATTATCTTGGACAAGAACCCTCGAAGGACCTCAATCTTCTTCTTTTCTTGTTCCTCGCGTGACACGGGGACATTAGCGGTTGTTGCGAGTGAGGATAGCCGTAGGCAGTCGCCGACAGGTCCAGGAAGGTTCTCGTAAATCACAGACGACGGCATGGTGGGGCTTTGAAAGTCAAGCGGACGTTTGCAAGATCCTTACTGGAACTCAGCCTCGAACCAAATTTTTCGAAATGATATGGCGGGGTCGCAAGGCCGATCGCTGATATATTGGAGTGAGATATAGTTACCGAGGAGGGGCAATTCGAAAGTGGAGTGAAGTTGAGCTATAGAAACTTCCTATTTCGATTTCATGGTTCCCAAAAAGGAAGGTAGTCCAACTTACCACACCCCCGCCCTAGACCGGATCGGTTAGTATAATCATATAGAATGGTCAATAGTAGAAGGAATTGTGAAAGTGTTTATCTGTATCTTCGAGTCCTTTGTTCATTGGTATTGGATCGGTACGTTCAAGCGCCATCATGTCGGACAGCGCCACCCAACAGGCCCTGCCTATCCCTCCTTACGACGCTGAGCTTGCCGCCCTCCAGGACACTCAACATCGTCCTATCCCAGAAAGCTATGAAGAGCTCATTGGACTTCGTCAATCTGAGCCTGCCTTTGATGAAAAGATCAATGAAGATCCGAATTTGAAGGTGCAGAAACTGGCTTTCTCTTGGGAAGGCCGAGATATCCCCGCGATCACTCTTTCAAGGGCCGTCCCTCTGAGTGAAGATACTCTCCGCCCCGGTCTCGTGTTCTGCCATGGAGGAGGAAGAGTTATGGGCAATGTTTATGTCGGTCTGCGCAGCTTGATAGATATTGTCAAGACGGCAGATGCCATTGTCCTGAGTGTTGACTATCGTCTTGCTCCCGATTTCCACGGCATGGCATCAATTGAAGACTGTTACGCCGGTCTTGTTTGGATGAGCCAGAACTTAGGCAAGTTCAGAATTGATCCCAGTCGCTTCATGATTGCTGGCGCATCTGCTGGCGGAGGTATCGCAGCAGGTACGGCCCTTCTTTCAAGGGATCGAAACGGACCAAAGCTTTGTGCCCAGCTTCTGATTTGTCCCATGTTGGACGATAGATGCGCGACATTGTCATGCAGGCAGTTCGACAACGGTCGTGGGTTCTATACGCAATGGGGTCGCTATGCGTGGAGGTGTGTCCTTGGAGGTGAAGCAGGAGCTGAGAACGCCAATCACTACGTTGCTGCTGCCAGAGCTACAGATCTCTCGAACCTTCCTCTGGCATATATTGACGTTGGGTCTGGAGAGCCATTCCGTGACGAAGATATCGCGTATGCAACCAAGCTATGGGAGTGTGGTGTGCAGGCTCATCTACACGTCTGGGGTGGTGGTGCTCATGGATTTGATCTCTTCTACGATTGTCAACTTGGTGATCAGGCGAACGAAACTAGAAATAGATGGCTGAGGACCTTCCTGGCAGCTAAACCATAAAAGCAATCTACTTGAATAAATCGTTACATTTCTTGATTACATCCGTATCAGCTAATAGTTATCTCGCTGCCTTTCTAACGATACCAAATCAGCTGTATCCCTAGGCATACCGCTATTCCATAACCTTAGATAATATCCTTCTCAATGGCATGATAAGCTTAGAAGCGAATTGGATTGGGGACATCTAAATTTTCAAGATGTTGCAAGTTGACCTGTCAATCTCTTATCGGATTTGTTTAAACTTGCCCCGTTGCCGGGACCGAGCTAGGATTTGCTGGTCGGCAGATTCTTTCATGTAAAGCCACTATCAGTCCTATGGGAAGCCGCATGATCATGCATGAACCATGCTTGACTATATTCGGGAGAACTTGCGCGCTGAAAAAGGAATGGTTGTTGTTCACTCTAGACTTGAATTTGTGAAACCCTTTACGCACCGTAGTTGGGATTATTTCCTTTTGTGGCAGCCTCTAGCCTCCGGATCCACCACACCACGGGCTCCACAAACGATGTCGACTAAAACGATAGACTCTACCGACTACTTTTGCCTCCACAGAAACCTATAAATCTGTAATGGGTCGGTCTGAAAAACTTCAAGATGTCAACTTCTTTCACTTCGTCCTCTGTACTATATAGCCGCAATGGTATCCGCAGGCTTCCCTTTGAACCCTCACCCGTTGGACCCCCTCCATGCGGAGGAAGTCCGAGTGGCTACAAACATTCTGCTTCGCCATGCCAAGCGTGACACTACTCAGCTCAAGTTTAAGGTGGTCGACCTTGCTGAGCCCCCAAAGAACATCACACTCCAATATCTCTACCACAGCGGTCCCGTTCCTGACCGGAAGACCCGTATCTACTACCACCTCAAGGACGACCCCGTCCTTTACATTGCCATCGTCAATGTGACAAAGGGAACTGTGGAGCACAGCTACGATGCGCCTGACTCTCAAGGCCCGGTCGACTGGGTTGAATATGACCTCGTTCACAAGGCCTGCTTGTCCCACCCCAAGATCCTTGAAGAAGTCAAGAAGCTCAAGCTCCCACCTGAGTAAGCCATTGTCTGCCTGTCTGCATCCGACCTATTTGTAACATATCTTCTTGCCTAGTTCGAGAATTGAGAACGACCCGTGGAGCTTCGGTACCGACGATGAGAACGAGCGACGCCGCCTCTTCCAATGCTACATGTACCTCGCCCTGAACGACGACCCTCAAGCAAACCACTACTCGATCCCTCTGCCTTTCGCTCCTATTTTTGACGCTCACACTTTAGAGTTGGTTGACTTGCAGCGTCTTCCTACCGGCATCAACGACAAAGTCGACCAGGAGACTCAGCCATGGGACCCCGTCGCTGCTGTGGAATACAGTGCCGATCTTATGGGTCCCAATGCTTTCAGAAAGGATGTCAAGCCCCTCCAGGTTTTCCAACCAAATGGCCCTTCCTTCACTGTTAAGGGACGCACCATCGAGTGGCAGAAGTGGAGCTTCCAGCTTGGCTGGAACATGCGCGAGGGTCCAGTTCTGCACAATGTCAAGTACGATGGTCGTTCTCTATTCTACCGTGTCTCTATGAGTGAGATGACTGTTCCCTACGGTGACCCCAGATCCCCATACCACCGCAAGCAGGCCTTCGACTTGGGTGACTCAGGCTTCGGATTGACTTCCAACTCCCTGAACCTGGGTTGTGACTGCCTTGGGCACATTGCCTACTTCAACGGAATCCGTGTCACCAGTGGAGGAGAGCCTGTCGTCATGCCCAATGTCGTCTGCATGCACGAGATTGATAATGGCATTGGCTGGAAGCACACTAACTTCCGTAACGGACAGTCTTCCGTTGTCAGAGACCGCCAGCTTGTCATTCAGTGCACTGCTACTGTTGCCAACTACGAGTACATCCTGGCCTTTGTTCTCGACCAGGCCGCAAACATGCACATCGATGTCAAGGCTACTGGTATTGTCTCTACCATGCCCATTCGCAAGGGTGTGCAAGTTCCATGGGGTACTGTTGTGGCACCTGGGGTCTTGGCTGTCAACCACCAACATCTTTTCTGTCTCCGTGTTGACCCATCTCTCGATGGCCAGAAGAACACCATTGTATACGATGACTGCCTTCCTGTTGAAGACGAGCCTGACCTTGATCCTTTTGGCTGTGCTTTCCGCGTGAAAACCACCCCTATTGAGCAGCCAGGTGGTTACGATCTCGATCTGACCAAGAATCGGACATTCAAGATCTTGAACCAGTCCCACATCAACCCTACTGCCGGAAAGCCTGTGGGATACAAGCTACACCCAGTTCCCAGCCAGATGATTATGATGAAGCCCAATACCTTCAACTACCGCCGCGGTGTCTTCAGTGCCAAACCCATTTGGGTCACCAAGTACCGCGATGATGAGCTGTGGGCTTCTGGAGAGTTCACCAACCAGAGCCGTGAGGACACTGGTCTCGCTAAGTGGGCCCTTCGCAATGAGAATGTTGAGAACGAGGATGTAGTCCTCTGGCATAGTTTCGGTGTGACTCACGTCACCCGAACTGAGGATTTCCCCGTTATGCCTAATGAGAAGATGACTGTCTCCTTGAAGCCAGTGAACTTCTTCAACTTGAACCCCTCGAACGACGTGCCCCGATCCTCTCAGAACGATAACAAGTCAACCCTTCACCAGACCGATTCAGGCTGCTGCTCTACACGATCAGCTCGTATTTAAGGTCCGCAGACTCGGACTACTGCACTTGAAACATTCACAAGCATCATGGATTGTGTAGATTGCATTTGGCTTCCCCAATCATGGTTATTTCCCAGTAAGACCTACTAGTAGAAATTAATTTGTTGAAATTTGACCGGACTTTGAGGTTCATGGAGTATAGCGTAATCAGCAACCAGTGTATACGCACATATTAAATGTACTATTATTGGGGGCTTGAGGTAATACAAGTTAATTGCACGATCAATTCATCAACCATTCAAGTTCAAATTGAAGTTGCTATGTACTAGATATAATAGGATATAGCATTGATATTTGGTCAAATACAATATATATCATTAGTGAGTCTCCAGATAATAATAATATTGGAGATGTCGAGTAGGTATGTCTGTCGGTACTCAATCAAGTTCCGAGTCCTGGATAAGCAATTTTCTCATTCAAGTTCCAGCTAAGTCATCATTTACTCTCGATTGAAAATGTTCAATTAACAGAATACTTTGTGAGAGAGGTGGATGGCAGGATCTTGTCTTGGTACTTGTGGATCGTGACACTCTCCGCACTTTCTTATCCGAGCATTCAAGTTGAAGTGAAATCCAGATCTTGGAGCACGAGATTTAATGATGCTTATACCTATGGATGCGAACGGATCTACTCCGTAGGAGACTCCCAAATAGAACCTCATGCAAATTCCGTCGCCTCTCGAATATCTGACTTCCCGCCCAACGTTGCAAGTTGATTGGTCGCGGTATCTTTCACCTGATTAGGCCTAGCGCCTGCATACCTTTTCCACCGGGTCCAAACGGCGGCCTCCCTGGGGCCCGGACCTTCAACTTGCGGGTCCGATCCCTAGGAACTTTATATGTAGGTTGTGGCTTAATCTGCATTTGGAAGGTCAACCAGCAAGCCCCACCAAAGCCCCAGTGGCGGTACGGCCTTGCAATATTGGATCTACTACTTCTCCTGGCTGCTTCAGCTGAGCACTGGCGCTTCATTCAATCGCGGCTGTGGCACCAGAACGGAGGCAATCGTCAAGATGACCCCTCGGCGGGGTAATGACGGTATTTTGATTGGAGAACGAATTGAAGTTGATGGCGCTACGATTATTAGACTGTATTTGAGCGACTAATCTCTCCTCCATTAACAACACCGAAGTACTAGCATTTGATCCAAAAAACACATCCTTGTATACCTTCGTTCAACATGCCCGACTTTAGTGGAATCGACCTTTCTGGAAAGACTGCCATCGTGACTGGCTCCTCTCGGTGAGTGTGCAGCGATACCCATTATCTTTTGTTTCGACTGACGGTGGATGACAGAGGCGTCGGCGCAGGCATCGCGGTCATGCTGGGAAAACGAGGGGCAAGCGTTGTTGTCAACTATGTCTCTGGCAGCAGCAAGGAGAAGGCTTTGAAAGTCATCGCAGATGTCGAGGCTGCGGGATCCAAAGCCTCTCTCTGCCAGGCCAACGTTAGCAAGATGGAGGACATTCCAAAGCTTATTGAGGCCGCTTTGGCACTCAGTCCGAGCAAGAAGATCGATATCCTGATTCACAAGTAAGTCACCTGACTTGGATATGTCTTCAGCTAGTTTCTCACTTCTCGAAAGCGCTGCCCAGGGTCTCGATGCCGACTTGAAAGACACCACCCTCGACTTCTACAACATCCACTTTGACTGTAACGTCCGCGGGCCTCTTTTCCTCACCCAAGCCGCCCTCCCCCACATCGCCCGTGGTGGTCGAATTGTCTTCATCTCCTCAGCTGCCGCCCGTATGGGTGTGCCCCAGCAGACCGTATATGCTGCGACCAAGGCAGCCAACGAGTCATTTGCTCGTGTCTGGGCAAAGGAGCTTGGTCAAGAATATGGTATCACTGTCAACTGTGTCAACCCTGGCCCAGTCGCCACTGGTAAGTCAAATTATTCACGAAATCTCCCCATTTTATTTCTCTTGGCAACCTTCTAAGTGACGAATATAGACCAATGGTTCGCCAGTGACGAGAAGTTCCTGCAGGAGATGCAGCCATTGATTGACTCCACCCCCGCCGCTGCCCGTGTTGGTGAGGTCTCCGACATTGCTCCTCTCGTGGCTTTCCTCTGCTCAGAGGATGCTAAGTGGACCACCGGATCAGTGCTTTCTGCTAGCGGTGGACTCCTGATTTATTAACAACCGAAAGTTGGCTTAGAACCAATAACTATACTATTACATAAATGCTAAAGAAGTTAAAGCTTGGTGTGGAGGAGAATTTCAGTAGTCTCTCGTAGAAAGTTAGTAGTTCATTCTGACTGTTCAAGCTAGCTCGGCATGAGTATCTGTACGCTTAACTAGTTCCCCGTCCAAAGATGTACGAACCTTTGGGTGACTTTGATTTTCGCGCTATGATATTTTTAATTTCAAATTGCCAAACCTGGGGTGTCGCCCGTACAGAAACATTTAGAGAATGAGAAGGTATTCCGAAGTAGTAAAAGCAAAATGCAAGCTTCTTGATCGCCAAGGCATTTGTTCTCCTTTGGCATCAATATGTTTCTTTGTTTCTTCATTTCCCAGCTTCTCGATAGTATCAAAACTAAGATTGGTTTGTACGTTCAAATCGATAAAGTGCCTACAGCTTCGATAGGCAGCTGCGTCTGAGAATACAATATGTCACAAATCTTGAAGTCTTGATCTAAGCTAGTCATGAAAGGCTTTCAACGCAATACAAGAGGTTTTGAGTTCAGCTCAAAGTCTGGAGTCACGCTGGTAGGAGCCGTGGACTGGGTTGGCACCAAGAATGCCAATCTCATTCATAACGGTATCAGCAGCAAGGGAACCTTGTTCCATAGCTCCCTCGATGAAGGCGCGCCAGCCGTGGGCCCAGTCGGAATTTGCCATCAGAACGTTACCATGACGCTTCTGAAGCTCCTCGAGGTACTTGGTCAAGTAACCAGCTCGGTACCAAGCAGGTCCAGCCATCGAGTAAGGATCGGAGAGCCAGTCGTGGAAAAGGATCTTCTTGATCTTCATGGGGTGGAAGCGCTGCAGGGCAGTTTCCAATCGCTCAGGCTGCTTGGTTGGGTCCAGCTTGCCTCGGTTGTCACCGGCAAATGAAGTGATGCGAGTTGACTTTCCGCCGTTACAGAAGCCATCACCATAAACGTAGAGGAGATCACCGGGCCAAGTGCAACCACGAAGCCCACGAAGGTCGCCCTCGACTTCAGCGTGAACCTTTGTCAAGTGGTTTTGGTGACCAATGTTAATAGCCTCCATGCGAAGGGGCGAAAGAGGGGGATCGAAGTGGATTTTACCTAGGACTGAGATGGGCACAGTGTTGATGACACGCTTGGCACGGTGAATCTTTCCATCAGTAGTTGTTAGAGCAACTGGGCCGCCGTTCTCCACAATAGACTTGACGGGGGTCTTGAAAGAGTACTGGAGACCCAATCGCACGGCGTCGTCGAAGATGCGGCGAGCAAGGGTAGACTGGCCTTCCCGGATCTTGTACAATGTCCATACTTCTTCGAAGGTCTCCGGGCTGAAGCCCTGCAGAGCATGGGAGCGCACGAGCTCGAAGAATCCAACATCCTCGGGGAGGCCTCCAGCAATGTGGGGAACAAGGGACTCCATGAGTGCGATCTCGTCGGCAGTCAGCTGGTCCCGGATCTGTTCGATACGGTCGCGGCAAGAAAGTTGGTCAACAGCCTGAATCTCGTTGAAAGAAACACGAGAGTTGCCGAGAGAGGAGTGGGGAAGGGGGCAGATACCCCGACCCTCCTGGCCATCGATATTGATGAAAGCCCTCCATGCTTTGAAGGTCATCTGACCGGCCTGATCGAGAGTGAGCTTTCGGGAGCCAGAACCGGTGTCGATGGTGAAATAGGCACAGCCCCCATCCTCTGTACGTGTCAACTGGACTTCGTCTTTGAGTCCGTAACGCTGCATCTCCACGAACAAACGGTTGTGCACGTGGGAAATCCATGTACCACCCATCTCATAGGTGGTTCCATCCACTTCAGCACTCCATGTTCGCCCTCCAATACGATCACGGGCCTCGATAAGAAGAGTCTTCTTGCCTTTTTTTGGACACAAGTCAGCATTTAATCACAGCTTTTCATTCTCGGTAGTTCATTCACTTACCAGCCTTGACAAGATCACGGGCAGCGATAAGACCAGTGTATCCAGAACCAATCACGACAGCCTCCCAGACATTTCCATCATCGGCCTGGCGGATCTTGCGCTCTGGCTTTATAACACCATAGGAAAAGAGTCCTTTTACTAGACCTTCACTCTTGGTGTACATGTAACCATCATGGGACAGGTTTGCTTCGTAAGGCATATTGAAAAATGGCAAATGATAACTGCGTCTGCCACTTCAGAAAGATGAACAGCATAAAAGAAAGTTCAGGGAAGTGCGGATCTTGCAGTTTTCAACTTATCGGCAACGTCTAGCGCCTTGAAGACAGAAGATGGCAAATAGTCAAAGGAAAAACGGCCATCCGAGAGGCCGATCAAGTAAGTCTCTCAATTGTTGAGGGAAGCGCCAATATTTACCTGTTCGGGTGTTTTCCCCAACTGTCGGAGGTCTGGAATGCTGAGGTTGTCCCGGTCTTACCGCCACTCCACCAGCAATTCAATGATAAGCTTGAAGATCAATTCCGCGATGAGGTCTTAGTCTTCCCCAATATACTCCATCAAATAGTGCTGACGGGCATCAGATACCAACTAAACTTCCTAAGGTTCCTCGTGACTGTAAAGCACTAGTGGGAATTGGTGGTTGTTCCGCATGCGGTTTAGCGCCAACTTCATGGGGAAGTTATCCCAATTTATTGAAACAATTTTCACCTCCTGGTCCACAGTTCGGATCGCCCCCCTTGATAAGAGCGCGGCATCAGCTTTGCGGGGTAGCAGATCTCGATGAGTATCCTGGGGTTCAACCCGGTAATCATCTTCCATTGGTGAACGAGGATTCCTTCCGCGGCTTATCAACACTAGCCAGGCTAAGCCCTTGATAGATGTCCTCGACGCCTGGAAGTGCCAGCCCAACTCATCCGAGATTCCCCTTGCCTGAGTTTTCACATAAATTCAGCCAGGGGTCCCGATCTGAAATCGAAAGTTTTCTATCAAGGGTTACATCATGGCTTCTGCTGGTCCTAAGAAATGTACGAAAGATGACTTGAACAATGTGGACGACCAAAGTATCCGGATGAGTGCCTTTGATGAGTTGGCGAAGATGGATGAAGATGAGGCTGTGCTTCGTGCTAATGGACACGCCGCTGCAATGCCTCGCCAGTTCAGTTGGCTATCTGCGTTAGGTCTTGGGTTCTCAATTACCAACTCCTGGATCGGATACTTTGTAAGTGACTTGTCCATCCCCTATTCCTGTCCATTTACTCACAACTCCCAGAGCTGTTTTGGGCAAAATTTGATCTATGGAGGAGCCCAGGCTACTATATTCAGTCTCATTGTGGCCTTTTTCTGCCAGGGTATTGTCACTCTTGGCGTGGGGGAGCTAGCCTCTGCGTATCCAGTAGGTTTGAATCGCTACATGTCTTGGATGCAAGTATAGCCACTTTGCTAACTCGTTCCAGTCTAGTGGTGGGCAATATCACTTTTGCTACATCTTGAGCCCCCCTCGAATGAAGAAGTATTCCGCCTATATTGTGGGATGGATCTCCATGCTTGCCTGGTGGACAGTAACGTACGTTTGTTTGGAATTCGGTCACACATACTTACAAGTGGTCGAACTAACGAGGGAACAGTTGCTCTGGCATTTCACTCGCGGCTGTAGTCCTAAACGGGCTCATCAGTTTCTGCATACCGAGTTACGAAGCCAATCAGTGGCAAACATATGTGGTTTATGTGGCAGTGTCCTTTACAACAGGTGAGAACCAAAATTTTCTCTCGGATCTTGCTTGGGGCTCATCATTAATAATACTCAACAGTTATCCCAGTGTTCATTGCCGATAAAGTCTCATTCATTGCGCAGCTATCCCTCTTTCTTTCCCTTGGAGGCTACTTGGTATTCTTTATTACGTCTCTTGTCATGCACCAGCACACTCAGCCAGGTTCGTATTTGACAGAGTCTGGCTTGGGAAACAGTGGTTGGAATCCGGGCGCCGCGTGGCTACTTGCCATTAGTAACGCCATGTATGCCTACGGCGGCACAGATGGAGGTAGGTTCCCCTTGTTTTTGAAAAGATGTTCATCTTTCTTCGGAACGATACTGATGTTATTTTCACGAACAGTAATCCATATCTGCGAAGAAATGCCAAGGCCCGGCAAGAAAGTGCCTCAAGTAATGATGGCGACCATGGTCATTGGTCTTGTCACCTCATTATCTTTGTTCATTATCTTGATGGTATTCATGGTAGATCTCGACGCTGTTCGCACGTCAACTCTACCTAGTCTTGAGCTCATGTACCAAGTGTAAAGGAATAATGATTCTTTCATCAAGCACTGGTAGTTGCTAACTCTGGATTTCAGAACCGGAAGTAGAATGGCGACTGTCGCTCTCTTTGTGCTGATCTTTGTGGTCTATTTCAGTGAGCTTCACAATAACCTCCTAATACAACTCCCACAGTGTTCTAACGAAAGCAGTCTCCCTTCCGAACCAGTGGGTGACTTGTGGCAGAATCGCGTGGGCGTTCGCTCGAGATGTAAGCATAAAATTCAACCTTATCATTTTTCAGCTGGAACCACAGCTAATGGTATTATGAAGAATGGTACACCCTACCCAGAATTCTTTTCCCATGTTCATACGAAGCTACAGTTCCCGGTCAACGCTACTATCGCTGCATTCATCTTCACTTGCATCTATGGCCTCCTTTACCTAGCATCGACTACTGCTTTCAACTCTATAATTACATCGGCCGTTCTTTTCCTGAACATCTCGTACGTTGTGCCCCAGGGAATTCTTCTCTTTGGAGACCGAACTGTGCTCCCCAAGCGATATCTCAACTTCGGTTGGTTTGGTTATTTCTGCAATGTGTTCTCGCTAGTTTGGATTATATTGCTCGGTGTCTTGATTTGCATGCCACCTGGTCTTCCGGTTCATTTGCAGTCGATGAACTACACGCCTGTTATTGTTGTCGGAGTGGTCGTCTTCATCAACCTCCTGTGGCTCTTCTCGGGTCGGAAGAGTTTCGAGGGACCCCATATTGACTGGGAAGCCCTGAAAGCCGGTGTTTAGTTCTTATGACACAAATGATTTATACATACTACATGAGTGATTACCATTAGAAACAATATCATGGGGACTTATGACTAATTTGACTGGGCGCTCAATTTTTGAAGCCGTTATTATCTCCCAAGGTCTGCTTCTACCTCGGGAGATAAAACGGGTTGAAATACATATTAGGAGGATCTGCACAATGAGTCACTATGGCTGAATTATCCTCCCTTCAGCTTGATTCGATCCTCCTCACGTCTCCCCATGTCACCATACATTCCAGCAGCTGTTGGAGTGGGTAAAGCTTCAGGTTCGCCGCAATACATCTCCGGAGAGCCAAGATCACAATACATGACGAGTTATACTAGTACCCTATGTCGGTATTGGAGCGTCTGGACATGTTCAAGTTTTTTTCTGCCAGTCGAACAATAAAATCGATGCGTCAGTATCCCATAATTTCGGGTGAAATAGGCATCAAATGCCTGATTGTTAGCAAGAGTTTCTTTATAGAGCCTGTCAGTTGTTCAACGATGAAGAAATGACATTCTACACGAACCTTCAAACTAGACAGAAGAAGAAGAAGAAAGGAAAACAGACAGACTAAATCGTAAATACAGGAGAGGCAAACAGCGCAAACGGAATAACGTGATCCCGGCCTGTTCGTTCAGGTCTTCACAGAGCCGATACATAAAAAATTTAAGGGTAATGAGGCACTTGAAGTGTGCAGGGGCGAAGCATAGTTCCTCAGTTCGGCATGCGGTATCTCAAGCGCTAGAGCGAAAGTGCGTAGGTGTACATGTACAGTGGGCGCCGCAAAAGTCCTTGACCCCCAAAACTACGTTTCTTTGCCGCCTCCTTATAAGGGACATAATAACCGCCCATTAATAATACTTCTGAGTGGTGCTGACGCTAATGTCGGTGGAATATTAGCGCAATACTTTGGGGGGTCTCAGACTTTCGCGGCGCCACTGTAGGACTGGAGGTATTTATGTTACGCCACTGTACCGCGGCGGAGCCAATCCTGCAAAATTATTCTGTCCTCTATCGATATCTCCCAGACTAATCTCACATTCTCATTTTCAACCCGACAGCGAGCAGGATGGCTCCTCATGGTTTGTTACGCTCATTCCAACAGAGCATCTTAGGCGCTAACGATGAGTAGCGGATGGTCCAGCTTGTGCAACATGCCGTGAAAAGTGCCGAGGATGCGATCGAGCGAGACCAGTATGCGGAAGATGTGCCACTATGGGTCTTCCGTGTAAAGGATATCCAGAAAAATTCCGTTTCTGCGGCATTGCGTCGCGGGGTAAATGGAAAGGTCGAACGGCACCTACAACGAAGAAGAGCAAATATTCATCAGTATCCTCGCCAAAGAAATCAACGACTCTCAAAGAGATACCTCCTGCCCAACAGACCCTGACCCCCCAGTCATTTCCAGGGCTTTTGGCGCCAACCGATCAAGGCACAGATTTTCAGATTATCTTCTCCGATCCACAGCCCGGAGTTGATCACGTATTCCCGACTGATGTATCTCCAATCGATACACAGCCGAGTCAGCAGCTACTGGTAAATGATCGAGCTGTCGAGCTTGATGACTTACTGATGCTAGATAGAACGGAATCGCTCCTTGAATACTGTAAGTCTCTAGCTCGTCCCTCCTTCATCCACTGTGAAAGCTGAAGAGGGCATAGACGACCATGTGATTTGTCCCCATCAAATTGCACTGCGACAAGACGGTCCTGACAATCCGTATCGTCTCTTCATTTTGCCATTGGCATATGAACAAATAGGACTCCTCTATGCAATATTGGGCCTGACGGCCTTTCATATGGGCTTGAATACGAAAGATCTTTACCTTCAAGAAACCCTTGCGGTGGAATATCGCTTAAGGGCCATCCAATCTCTGGCGTACAAGATGCACGATGGAATATTTCGTGACATGAGTGAAAATGAGCGCGACGGTATTTTTGCCACGATCCAAATCTTACTTCTGCAGGATGTAAGCTGATCTATACTCCGAAACCGGTTACTTTTGAAGCTAATGGGGTCGCCAGATCTTTGAGACGGGGATATCCACCCATGGCGTTCACATAACTGGCGCCGTATCGATTTGCAACCAACTGAGTCTGCGCGAGAATCTTACGATCGATGACGAACGTGCCATATTTTTCCTGGGAAACCTCGCATGGTGAACCTTCCTATTCCCCTTTTATCCTTTTATTCATGCTTCTCCTGCTGATTATCACAGGCTTGATGTCATTCGCTCCTTATCAGACCCAGAGCGACTATGTTTCTCTCCAGAATTACGACAAACTATTGTGAACCTCACCAACGTGAAGTTTGAGCTTGTCAATGGCTGTCCCCGTGACCTTTTTTTGATGATGGGGAATGCCCTGGAATATTCCAAGCTATATTCCTCGGGGAAAATCGACCATTTACGACATAAACAGCTTATTGAAGAAACTCGATTTAGGATATATTCCTGGCAGTTGGGAGATGGTTTTTATCCGGATGGGGACTCACGCTGGGGTTTTGTCGCCGAGGCCTATCGTCACGCATGCATAATCCATACAACCCGTCTCTTAGACGAATATATGCCTGTGGAAACACCCATTATCCAGGCATCAGTTACAATAATCTTGGATTCTGTGTCAGAAATTCCAACAGACTGTTACCTTCTCGAGCTTCTTGTGCTGCCGCTTTTTATAGCCGGCACAGAATGCCTGAGTTCACATGCGCGACATTATGTTCTCCTACGGTTGGAAAACGTTCGAGCCATGGCAGGGGTCGGGAATAGCTTGACTAATGCCTTGCTGAAATGTGTATGGGATGCCCGGGGAAACCAAGCGAAGAATGACCACCGCAACATCCCTTGGATGCTATTTGTAAGTTGGTACGATTTTCGTTACATGATTCCAGCTAATCTTTCCAGACCTTATCAGAGCGCCACAATGACTATCTCATATTATGATGCAGGATTCCTTTGAGCAAATTCAATAAGAAAAATATACAGTATAAATTTCAAGTAAGATTGGGACAATAATGATAACTTGTCATCCCTTCCTTCCTTCAAGTGGAGTAGAACGCCCCCGAACTTGGGTTTAGAGTGGATACCTCTGTTTTGGGAAGGTCGCGCAGCAGCTCCAAAGCATACTTCCGAGGTTCCACCGAATAATGTTGCGCGAAATCTTCCCGCTCTACGCCGTAGAGCGGAGTTCAAGTTGTAATTGGTGGCGTAATATTTGATATTAATTACTTGATACGGATATACCAGTAACACTTAGAAATAAAGTTCAATCTTGTAGGGTCATTCCGGATTCGCTTCGCTGATCTGATGAAGTGCAAACAGTCGTTGCCTCTAACCGGGTTCTACACTTATTACATAAAGTTTCAGGCCCTCGTAAACTTTTCGCCTCATAACAAAGTACACACCGGCTTAAGTGCACTATGTAGAGGGTATTGCTCCGTGGCGACTTTTAAAGAGAGCTAGTACTCTTTAGCTAGGGAAAGCACACATACTCTAGCATTCCCCTACTGACATTCAAGGCATACCGTACTAGCCTTTTGGCACTAATGCAACGCGATAGGAGTTTCACGCAACCCTATCGAAGTCATGCAATCTTCAGCCTCTAAGCTTGTAAGCAAAATAAACTAAGTTAATGGTGTTAAAACTCAATGTGATACAATATTTGGATAACCATGAGAATCCTAAATTCCATCGTTAATTAGTAAATTTACTAGATAGTGTCAGGTGACAATGATTGAAATGGTATTCAGGTCTAGCTACCATGTCCATATTTATCGTAGAGAAGCGGAAAAACTCTACACAGTGAAATCTGGCCACATCGGGGCACATCCCTGAACAGTCCTAAATTTAAAGTTAAGAAGTATTTCCTTGCATTACCCAGAAATACAAACATAGATAGGGCGAATATATATATCTGAATCATAAAATATGCGAAACTTTTTAAATCCCATAAATAGGCTACATGTGAACCAAAAAGCAGTATTATATCATAAAATCTCATATTAAGCTGTGGTTTTTGGGATATTGAGTTGTAAGATATCTCATTTACTATGCTGTCTTGGGCTGACCCGCTCACTTGGGTGACCCACTCCCCAGGAAATATGTTAGCTAACTAGCTTATCGCCCAGAGGGTGTTAGGGTGTTAGGGTGAGAGGAAAGACTCGGACCAAGAAGCGAAAGTACGGTTTGGACTGGTGGTCCATTCATTAATGTATCTAATAGAAGGAACTCAGCCTGATACCGAGTTTTTGCTGAGGCGTTGGGCCAAAGTTTAACCAATGGTGAAGTCATTGGGTAGTTTTAATTCATGTAGAGAACGACAATATTGCTCGTTGCCATGCCCCATTATGGCAGGCTGGCGGCGAGAAAGCTGCTGGCGAGGCTGTAGTTTCTGACCCAATTGACGAACGAAAAGCAGCGGAGGGGTCTATGTTGAGTTGTTCGATGTCAAGGCTACAGTGGCTTACAATGCGCGTTCGAGAATCTCCAGACTTTCGCACTCTCCCTGGACAAGATTCCTCCGAGGCTATTGCATTGGAGGACGAGGGGCCGAGACAAGATGTAAGCGCACGGATAAAATGACGGGCTCGCTGAAACGATCCATACTATACACACTTTACCACCTTCTGCCACCCAATCGCTATTCTTGCATAGTCAAGGCAAGTGGATGATATGTACTGGCGGCGTTGCCTGGCATGATGGTCAGGATCCACCCATCCATTACTAGTCACACCTTAACCGTATTTCTCAACCAGATCAGCGTTGTAGGATAGGTAGAGGACTAGCGAGATCGGTGAGCCCTGTGGAGACCACCTTTCTGCCATCGACGTGCATCTATGATATTTTTCCGTGAAGGGTATTCGAAGCTACTTCGGCTTATTTAACCAAAAAGGAGCTAGTAAGTTACCAGTGAATGACTTTTCAGGTCGAACAAGTTTAAATGAACTGTATAAATTGACCCTGAAAGTCAGAATTTTACTTTAAACAATTGACTTGTCCCATCTCAATGCCAATAAAATTAAGCTTCTCTAGCTACAGATTTCGGTGTTCGACATCAGTGTCATTCGATACCCTCGGATGGCTAATCACCCAAAGCCGCATATATTTGAACTGATTTTAGTAGAAATAAAATATAAATTTCCTTTAATCAACATTGGCGTTTTGTGTCGTATTGTTGCATTGAAGATCATCATGCCCTTGAAATATTAGCCTAAAAATAAGAACAAAGATTACTCCTCCACTGTGCCTATCCTTCAATACGTATCGCAGGGTGTGGTTTTTGTCATCAACATATTTTATGACTGGTATGGTGAATCCTGGAAGCTTCAAAGAGTAATCTGTTCTCGTTCGTTAGAATACGCAATAAAGATTTGAGATGCTGGGGAAACAAGGGCGTACTTTGAAAATCGATATACCCATTTGCAAAGATTGCTTTGTATATGAGGCCAGGTTCAAAATCGAAACCCTGGCGATTTTCCCTTTGGAGGAAGTATTTTTTCCGCTGGTGTGCCTCAGGCGGGATATTCATACCCCGTACGGAGACTTCTTCTCCAGCCTCACCACCTTCCTCGATATCCTCATTGTGCAACGCATTTCGCCAATTTTCCGGTCCTTTCGGTAGCCTTTAGTAAATTCGCCTTGAAATTCTAATTTCTATTCTTGCAATAATCCATGGTTCCAGACGCACCTGTTTTTCCACATATTCGTAGACAATCTAAGCTGGAAAGTGCAGGACTGTATAGATATGGCTTATCTGCATATGCATCACCATAAACGCCTGGATCAATTATCCATCTCACAATGCGTAGAGCAGTGTTGAGGCCGGGAGGCAAGCGGTCTCGGATTGGATTGTCGAAATCATTGCCGAAAATTAGGCTATCGCCTGAAATGGTCTTCTTCAATCTGAAGGAAAAGATGACGCAGTATTGGTGGTTTTTGTGAAGGGGACAAGAAAAATATGAGTGTGTGTCAGGGGTTCCTTCAGGATAACCTGCGCAATTGAATGACAATATACCATTAGCTATAAATCTCTCAGAGCACTACATAAGTGACATTCAAAGTACAAAATATAATAGTTACCCACCTGTGTAGTTCTTAATTCTCACGCAAAGACTGACGACCGCACGCTCGTTCTCAAAAGTTACAGTCTCCTGCTGGTTCACAGGAACAATGGTATGACATGCTGGATCATACTCTGGCCCTGCCGTTACCTGCAATCGATATTTATTCTTAGTGTCTAGCACCATGTTATTTGAGTTGGTGTCTGGCGCTGAGAATAAAGATAATGTGAAAGATGGGGTAGTTAAAGAGGCATCTACCCAGTTAACGGAGATGGAGAAAGGATTATTCTTTTTATATGGAAACCGGTGGTTGGATTGGGTTAAATCCCATTGGTTACATGAGCCGATTATATAGGCGTAAAAAATTAACCGTTAAATTCTAGCCGTAGTGTATCAAGATAACAGACCGATACTGTATCATAAACCAAGAAGGTAGAGTGTGTGGTATTCAACTGGAAAGGGATCGGCCCCGAGCCCGATTGTGCTGTGGCCTCGGGAATATTGACACTATAGGTGATTTGATCGTACCCAGAAGCATAGACGCTCTTGATTACAGCTAGAGTGAAATCAGCCCACGAGAGCTAGCAAAGGAAGCGTAATTTGAGCATCTGGCAAAGGGATTGTCATTCATCCAGCAGGGAATCGCTCACAGAGTAAATTACGAGCATGTTAAGCCGATGTGCTTCTTGTTTACATCAACCTAGCTCACAACGAAACGAATTGTTTTCGTTTCCGTATCAGCCGGGTCCAGGCAGCTTTGACTTTGTGGTACGACTCGAGTCGTGTCGTTCTCGTTCCCGTTCTCGTCTTCCCTACCCCAACAGCGGGCAGGCGAGGCCTTGCCTACGGCGACCGATATCCTTTCACAGCCTAACACTATCTAGAAAAGGCAACCAGTGCTTGCCAAATGAAGTAACGCAAACGGGCCTTACTATTTTGCGTGGCGGATAAAGCCTTTCCTAGGACAAATTTCGTCCACCAAACTTTATCACAAAACTTATGCCACACCTTCCTCTCATAGCGCTGGATGGCCCCTGTAACACTAAATAGCTGAGCAAGCCAATATCAAATATCACCCACATATGCGCGCTCTATTACAAAAGCGGATGATCACGTGACTGGGTCATGAAATAAACTATTGCGTCATTGGTATATCAGTATGCGGCAATAACGCGCCCCCAAGCCACACTTGACGCGCGTGAATATGAAATAATTTCTCTACCCACTATGAATTCCTACTCCTTTCTTTTAAGGAAACTATACTCAGTCGTCCGCCACAAACCAAGTGAACAACTTTATCTTTTGACCAGGCCTTGAACGATTCAAACTATCGTCCGTGAAGGTTATTCGAAGCTACTATTGCTGATCTGACTAAATAAGGAAAGTACTTAAAAAGGAACGAGTTTTTAGCGTGATCGCGGTTAGATGGATCATATATAATTACTATGGATGCCAGTATTATATTTTAAAGAATCGACTTTTCCTATCTCAATGCAATCAAAGCTTAGCCTTCTCTAGCTACATATTTCAGTGTTCGGCATCAATGTTATTCGATGCCCTCAGATGGATAATAACTAAGCCGCATATATTTCAACATTTTTCAATAGAAATAGATTTAAGAAATGAGCTTCCTTTAATCGGTATTGGCGTTTTGCGCCGAATTGAAGCTTTGTACTTCATCTTGCCTTTGAAATATAGTCGTGGAATTATCCATCCGTTTTAGGAAAATGTACAAAAGTGGGCAACGGTGTGCGTACGCATGGGCCGGGTTTCATTGAGTTTTAGGCACGAGGCAATTTATACTTTCTGCAGTGGCGTGGTCGAGCAGGGGGCAAATGAAAATTGGCTGGTAGGTATCACATTAATCTCCTCACGGAGTTGGTTCAATATTTTAAAGTACTTAACATTAAATTCGGTCCGCAGGAGTTCGCAGATTGCCTGCATTCCTGGATCTCTCAGTTTTCTCCCGGGGTTTGTGTGTAAATCAGACACTTGAGAACGTTGTCTTTGCTCAGCAGTTACGAAGGAAGACCAAACCGAGGCTTATCGCAACGTAAACAATCACCTTTATAGTCCACATGCTACCGCCTCTCGCTAGAAGCTTTTTGATACATCCAACATCAAATCTATCGACATAGATCCGATGTCAGCCGTAACGGATACCGCTACGGACACCGGCAGCACCGGCGCTCCCAATAACCACTCAACAGGTTGGTACTCGATGCCTTTCTCTTCTCTTTTATCTTCGAGGATTTGATATTGACTTCGGTTACAGCCATAATAATTATCTGCAGCACCGTGGGGATCATCATTGCTCTGTCCCTAGGCATCATCATTACGGGTGTCGTGCGTGCCCGCCGTCATCCACGTCGACCTGGGCCTCCCCAGCTTGGAGTGCGTCCACGACGAAATCGAGCGCGAGGTATAGTAAGAGCTATGCTAGACACAATACCCATTGTCAAATTCGACGATACCAATGACGGCGTCGATATCACCAAAAGGGATGTGGAGATGTCCCTGGCCTCCGAGAATCCTGCACGCAATCACTCTCCTCCTCGCTCGGAGAGCATCGCTGCTGTTGGGCAACCCAACCCGCACGAATCTGGAACTTACATCACCGATCAGCCCACAGATCGGCCTACACCAACGGTCCCCGAGTTGAGGACTGATGCAGTGCCTGATGGAGGCAACTTATCGTGTCCCATTTGTACTAACGACTTTGTCAAGAGCCAGGAGCTGCGCGTCCTGCCATGCAATCATCAATTCCACCCTAGGTGTATTGATCCTTGGCTTGTGAACGTCTCCGGCACATGTCCTCTTTGGTAAGTTCCACGGTCTTAAAGGAATAAATTTCCCACTATCTCATTATAGACCCACATGTTGACACCACCAGCCGCATTGACCTTAATCATCCGCAGAGTGAGGACAATGCCGGACAAGATAGGGAGAACGCCGAGCACACGGAGAATTCGTCAGATGGGACTGCAATACCAATAGCCGATGCGATGCAGGACCGTCACTCCCAGCATGGTATGAGGAAGTACCTTCGCAGGCCATTGAATGCCTGGCGGATGTACAATGTCATCGTCGAGGAGCGCCTGGCTGCCCTACGCCGCGTGCGTGAGGCGAACGAGGGCTATGCAGCCGGCGACGAAGCCGGGGAACCACTCAGCCGGAATCTACTCACCACGCAGCTACGCGAACGTTTCAAGATCCGCACTCGTATCCACATGGCTGGGGGATCTAACTTAGGCTGGGGAATCACACCCATGCCGAGCGTTCTGGCGCCCGTTCACATGACGGTACCATCAGCATCGGAATCAAACACATGATTGCTGCTATCGTTATGCACAACAATACAGACTTACCCACTCGCTAGACCACATATTCAGGACAGACAGGCTCTTATCACCCAGATGACCGAAGGCATTGTCCAACTTCTAGAAAGAGGCTATGAGATCAGCTTTCGAGTCCTCACAGATCACGCCGGAAAGATAGTAGCTCCAGTGCATAGCCTTGTACGTCAGACAACTGCCAACTGGACTGCCACTATGGGTGAAAGCTCAACCTTGAGCGTCACTTTGCTCCGGGCGCGTGTCGTCGCTACATAACACCAAGAAGGTCTTCCATCCGCAACCGATTGCCATTTTAAACGTCAAATAGACTCAGCACTCCCAGGGTGTCTCACTAAGATGCTCTACGACTTCGTCGTTAGCAGACGCCATAAATCCACTGAAGAAGCTAGTATCACTCATAGGATGGTATGGGTTGTTAAAGGCCGCCTGAACAACAGAATGACCGCTAGGATAAAAATGGAACTCGACTACGCCTCCCGAAGGGACATGGATAGTTGCGGGATCAAAGGCAAAGCCATTTTGACCATCATCAACCAATTGGGTGGCACTTGGAGCTGAACTTCTCTTTGTTATCGCAGTGGTGATAGTAGTGTGCTGGATCCCCTTCCTCCTCCGCCACCACCGCCGTCACCATACTGGGCACCAACGAGAGGGAGGAGCAAAAGGGTAAAAGTACACAAAATTGGGCTGATCATTATTGTCAGTAAACTGGATAAAAAAAATATGAAGGCAATGGTCTGCATTGAAAGCCTGAAATCTAATCTGAGGAATCAAGAAGCAGATCTACTTTATGTGATTTACACTCCGATTTGCCCCCCAATTTACCGGTGCTGCCCCCTGAGCTTGCACCCGCAACTGGATGCCAGGATATAATGTGGAGATCCCAGTGCTCGTGTGAGGGTCTCACCCGGGTGTCGATATGGAGATCGTGTCCCCGAGATGAGCAATCAATATTGGAACAGCTACCCTTGACTCTAGATACAAGACGTGGCAGCGCGAGGAAGCAAAAGAAAGGAGCTTCCTCGCGTTCAGGGGAACCCAGAAGCTATGTGAGTCCGTCATACCGTACTTGTGCCTTTCTGCCTACCTACACCGTCCCGTTGTGGTTGCGCCCAGCATAATTACCAACCCCACCATAATTACCAATTTGATCACATTCACAAAGGTAGTTCGCGGCACGTGGGTCGCGTTGTCGCCATCAGAATTGTGGTCGGTCGTGGGCGTGGAGATAAAGAAACTGTCAAACATAAATCATAAAAGCTTTGTCGACATAGCGCATCTCGCCAGCACATCCATTTGTCAATACATAGCCGGTGGAAGACGTCTCCACACGGGAATCGCCGAGAGATCGAGGTCTTCGAAATATGACAATACAAAACCTATCAGTACTAAACATTGAAGAACCAGAAGTTATCTTCCAGAGGCCCTACCATCATATGAATCTTTTGACCGCCGTAACAGGGCATTGCTTTCTCGTCCAGACAGCATCATGAAAGAGACCACAACTATTGATGAAATTAAGCCTACGCCAAAATTCCCCACATGAGACTCGGTTAGAATTGACATGGGACCCGGTTTAGCGAGTTATACACATCTAATTCCCATTCCCGACTCTTCATGGATGGTGGGGAAGGGTGTGGATTTGTCAGCTGGAATGTCCGAGTTGGCAGTGTCTCAAACTATCCTAGCGGATACAAGCCCATCGATTTTCGAGCCTACAACCTTGGGATCACGGAAGATATGAATAATTGATGATGGATAACGCAATCCCGACGGACTCATCTCGTCAGCCGAAGAAAGCGACAACTGCGTGCGAAAAATGCCGTATCCTCAAGGTGAAATGTATTCGACCCGAGGAAGGACAGCCTTGTACCAAGTGCGCATAACTTCCCCGGCCGTATACTTCCTCTCGGGCTTATTTCAGTAGATGTGCCAGATCAAACTGTCAATGCATATTTCCGGAGCCGAGACAACGAGGTCAAGTTTCACAACGAGCGAAACCGTAAGTGACCGTGGAGGGCGCTCCCTCCGCAGGCCAAGTTTTGCTGACAGGGATGGGATGAAGGCGATTGGTCGACCTTGAGTCCAAGCTCACCAGTATCATCGATCTTCTTTCTCACTCGAGTGCACCCCCTCGTGAACATGAAATCCCCGTTGACACGAATTTTGGATTGCCTGCAATCCCCGAATATTTCAGCGGCAGCCCACGAGCTGAATGGATGAGCCAAGGGTGCTCGACTGGTCCTGAATTTGATGAAGGCCTTGGATCGAACGAAAACCAAAATTTCACCGAAAATACCCCAGAAAAGTCGTGGGACGCATCCACTGCCATAGACGCCGCGTGGATCACCGACTTGGGACTCAGTCCTGTCGTCCTCGAGCATCTTCTAGACAGGTTTCGTGGTATGGCGTCTTACTTTCCATTTGTACGGCTCTCATACGCCTGGACTGCGGCATCAATGGCTGCAAACCGCCCCTTCCTATTGCTTGCAGCTATTACTGCTGCTTCCTCAAAGTACTATCATCTCCAAGACGCTTTGATGAGACATTTAAAAGAATCTCTCAGTCAGCGAGTCATCATGGCTGGCGAGAAAGATCTAGATCTGCTCCAGGGATTACTTGTCCACCTTGCCTGGTAACATTTCAGTTCCCATATGGCTATCGGAGGCACCGGCAAGCTGACCAATACCAGGTTTCATTTTCACTTTGTTCCAGGAAGTCAACAAACCTATCAGTACTTACAAATCGCAATTAGCATGGTGATTGATCTTCGTCTCGATCAGGAGGCTACCGACTTTCTTGAGCAGCGAACCGAGCTGAGCGATACTTATATACGGGAAGCATGCCGTGCTTATCTAGGCTGCTATTATATGTCTAGCATGTAAGATGTTATTACCCGCCCGGATAAGCGTCAATGGGCTTGAGCTGACCTGAATAGAATAGCAATGTCTTCGGGGAAGCCAAACAATCTCCAATTTCACGAGGGCATGCTTCAATGCGCTATGGTGCTGCAACAGCAGCCAGAATTAGAAACAGATCTCTTGATATATCCATTGACGAAGGTTCTACAGTTCGTCGAGGAAGTCTGTGAGACTTACCAGTCAGAAGGCATCAATTGCCCTCGGCTGTACATCTATGCTGAACGATTCACGACGCGGCTAGAAGAATGGTGGTCGTCTCTATCGACTGATCTTCGCAACACAGGTAGGACCTCTCAATATTTGGGCTCCCCATTTAGCTGATTGAAAATTTCTAGTATTGCTGATAAACTGTTATCATGGTGCCAAGATCCGGATTCAAGAAATGGGATTGGTATATTGCTACGGGCAGAGAAGACCGCCGTCTTCAAAGGTGCAGGAAGATTCCACCATTTTAACTGCACCTTCGATGGTCATCAGCAACTTACTCAAATGCGTCAGCTCTACAAAAGAATACCTTGATTCGTTTTTGGCCATCCCCGCGGCGGAGCACAATACCTTGCCGTTTTCCACGTGGTATCACGTTATTTTGACAGTATTTGTGCTGTACAGGTTATCTGTGGGACTGCCAGAAATACCCGAATGGGACGTGGAAATTGCACAGCAAACTGTGGATCTACAAGGATACCTTAATGCGCTGTTGTCTCATCTACAGGCTATTAAGCCATCGCCAGACAGGCAAATACCCACCAACAACCTCTTTGCAATGCTGCCCGAGATCATAGAAAGCGTACAAGCTTCCTATGCATTAGCAAAAGAGAATATCGCACAAGTTCGTGATAGTCGCCGTGCTCCTCACGAGCTCAAGGCTTCGAATAATACAGTCTCATCTGTTCAAAGGCTGCACCGCTGCCCTGCATTGAGGTATTCGAGCCGCCACGCTGTCCAGGTTCCGACTCAACCCACGCTACGAAATGCTATTGCTACCGAAGTCCAGAGGATAGAAGATGAGAAGCTTTTGGGTGATCTTTTACTGATGGATACGTTTTCTAGCATGACAGGTTCATTATCTGGAGAGCTTTGACAGGTTATCCATGATCCAGACCTCGACTTCGCCAAACTGCAGTTTCAGCATAACAAGACCTCAGATCTCGTCGGGAAAGACATGGGTAGAAATTTTGTTTCCGGCCGAATCGTATCGCTGGGGCAGCACGTTGAAGAGTCCATCAACATCCCGTGGTTCATAATCAAGCGACAGTCCCGCGTGAATAAGAATGTCTAGCCCAAAAGCCTCTTTGATCCAGTGGGAAACCATGTCCATCCCCGCCACAGCTCCACTCCCAGTCCAAATATTGCCGTCAATAATCCACTTCTTCTCCTTTGTCCATTTGACATTAGGGTATTTCTTCTTAAGCCAGTTATACTCGAGGTTATTTACTGTGGCCCTCCTGCCGTCTAGAACGCCGGTGGCCGCAACAACCGCGGCCCCAGTGCAGACCGTGAAAAGTAGCTTTCCAGAGGCAGCATGGCGGCGAATGAGGTCCTGCAATTTTGGAGGAAGATTGGTCTTTGCAGGGCTATCCCCACCGATGATGAGAATATCCAATTCGGGGACGTCATCCACGGCGACCGTAGGCACCATCGTTACAAAGCTTGTAAGCAGGCGCACCGGCTCCAGGGTCTCTCCGATATGGTGGAAGACGAATTCGGGCGCCTTTGCCAGAATGTTCGGATCCACAGGGGTGTAGAGATTGATACCCTCCAAAACCATCTTACTCGCAGAGTTGAGCAGATCGCATGGTCCAATGATGTCGATCGTCTGGTAATCGAAGAGCAAGGCGCCAACGTGGATGGGAGCCATTCTAGTAGGAGTATCGAGGAATGAGTGTCAAATGAAGTTTTTTTGATGTTGATTGTCAATATTATTGGTTATGTTTCCTTGCGCTTAAATACTGCCATTTTCCGGGATGCCATAATCGCGGCGCGGGCTGTTCCAGGACTCCGTCCTCCGTGGTCGAAACTTGTGAACCGTGTCCGTGGTTTGTCGATTCGGAATCTAGATTAGAAGACTCTAGGGTTTTAGGGGTTCGTTACAGACCATAGTGAGATCATATTCCGTCAACATGCAGTTCTTCCTCAAGCGTCTCACATCGAAAGCAGATCTGCAGTCGGCTTCAACGATGACTCATTTGGCATAAGTAATCAAACTGGACAGCATACTTTAGCGTATATAGGCCTTGAACAAGTATCTAGACATTGAAACGGACAGCTCTTGGACAAAGAGGGGCTATCTGTCATCTGTCCATAGATACCTAAACTGGCCAGAATTTTTACGCAGGATCAAAAGTTGGTCCCAACCCATAGTTTCTATGCACCAATTAGGATTCTGTGTGGCTTTCAATGCTGACAAACTGTCGCTGAAGATGGTGGCGGACCTCACACGCACACTTGCCGATCTCCGACATTGGAGTGCGACCTTTGTTTATGATGTTGATGGCATACAGAATTCCGATCAGTTCATCGCGGAATGCACCGACCACACTGGTCCATTGTTCCGACCTGAGTCTGCAGGGCTTCGGCAACTTCCATGTTGTCGTCGAGTGTTACTGCTGCTGCACCCAGATATCCTACCTCAAACAGAGTATAATCAACTTCCCGTATTAAGATCAAAGTTGTGAATTTTTACACGCAAGTAAGTAGTTTCAGGTAATTTTAATATCTTCTAAGGGTAACGGTAAGCTAGGTAAAACATGCTGACTGTACATCCACATTGAGCTGCCCAAGCAAACAGAGTGAACACCGACATAGAATCCACACGATACGATACAAGGAACTAGACCCAAGAAGGGTACCCGCGGAACAAGCCGAGGATCAGACCCACCTTTCAATGTGAGAAGCGGGGACCAGAAGTAGCAAGTCCCAAAATTTTTATTTAAGGGTTCCGACAATGACTCTTCTCTACACAAACGATCCTCCCATCCCAGTTTAACCTTAGAAGACCTCCATCACTGAGAACCTGGAGAAAATGAACTCAGACATGTCATTCATCGACACCCCGCCAGACCGGCCGAGCAAACTGCGTATTTTCGCCATCATGATCGCTCTCTCTGTAAGGCCGCCCCACGATTCCGGACAGACGGACTACTAATTTCGATTTAGTTGTCCATATTCGTCGCAGCCCTGGATCAGACCATCATGGCGACGGCAATCCCCACTATCGCAGCTAAGCTACACTCAGCTGCGGGTTACACTTGGATTGGCGGTGCTTATTTGCTGGCCAATGCGGCTGGCGCGTGTATCTGGGTGAAACTGTCCGATATTTGGGGCCGCAAGCCTATTCTGCTTATTGCTGTTGCTTGGTTCTTTGTTAGCTCGATTATCTGCGCTGTTGCGGTTAATATGCAGATATTGATCGCTGGTCGGGCGTTGCAGGGTGTTGCAGGTGGCGGTATCTTGCAGCTTAATACTATCGTTATTTCTGATCTGTTCAGTGTTAGGTACGTTCGTTATCTTGCCTTTCTAACGAGTTTGCTAATTTGCGGATAGACACCGAAGCTTGTATCTTGGCTTGATGGAGTTCATGTGGGCTCTCGCTGGCGGCATCGGCCCGCTACTTGGCGGTGCTTTCTCTCAGTACGTCTCTTGGAGATGGACTTACTGGATCAACTTGCCAGTGTCAGGTACTGCCTTCCTTCTTCTTTTGTTCCTGCTAGATGTCCACAACCCCAAAACCAAGGTGCTGGAAGGCCTTCGGGCTATCGATTGGCTCGGCAGCTTGTCCGTCCTGGGCTTGACCCTGATGCTGCTTCTCGGACTCGACTTTGGTGGAGAGACTTTCGCCTGGAGCTCACCGACAGTCATCTGCCTGGTCATCTTCGGATCACTCTGCTCTCTGCTTTTCATATACAGCGAGAAGCAACTCGCAAAGTACCCGCTGATGCCGCTAAACATCTTTGCCCGTTTCTCCAATATTGCCACCCTCGCCGTGGCTTTCGCACATGGCTTTGTAAGTTTTCTCCGTCTATGCGCAGACACAAAGTTAACTGGTTCTCAGGTCTTCATTGCCGCAGAATACTACATCCCTTTGTACCTCCAGTCAGTCAAAGGCGCTTCGCCCATGCGATCAGGAGTCCTAATTCTCCCCCTTTCCGTTGCTGAGGCACTCTCCGGCATCGTCGCGGGAGTAATCATCCACAAAACAGGCCGCTACCTCGAGCTTATCTGGATTGGCATGACTCTCATGTGCATCGGAACCGGCCTATACATTCACCTCGATGTATCCTCATCCGTTGTTGAAATCGTCTGCTATCAATTGCTGAGCGGTGTCGGTGCTGGCTTCCTCTTCCAAACGCCCATCATCGCCCTCCAAGCCATAGTCTCCCAAGAAGATACCGCCACGGCGACAGCTACACTTGGTTTCATTCGGAATATTGCCATTGCATCGTCGGTTGTTGTTGGTGGTGTGGTGTTCCAAAATAGCATGACCGAGATGAAGCCCAGTCTCTTGGCCGCAGGCATGTCAGATAGCCTTGCGGAGAAACTGACCGGTGATTCCGCGGCTGCAAATATTGAGTATATCAAAGATATCAAGGATATTCCGCAGTTGCTTGCTGTTAAGCATGCATTTGCCTGGAGTATGCGAAATATGTGGATTCTTTATACTTGCGTTGCGGGTGTGGGGATTTTCTGTTCTGTCTTCATCCTGAAGATGCAGTTGAATGAGGAGCATGTTGAGACTGTTACTGGACTGAAGAAAGTCAAGGCACCTGGGGCTGATGAGCTGCATGCTGTGCAGAACCATCCTGCCACTGTGTAGATTAGGTTGGGGTTGGTCAAAAATTCAATATACAGTTCGTGTCCGTATGTAATTGTTGATAGAATACAGTGCGTCTCGAAACCGGTGCACCACCTACACTCTGTGCTAAACTGACGCAGTCCGGGACACGTATCAGAGGCAGCAGGTCTTTACGTGGGAGACCAAATCAGGGGGGCGAAAGTGGAAGACCGACGGTCCGCGACACATATTCCCACTGAGGGCTTTTTGAAATAATTTGACTAGCTTCTTTTCTTCATTTTCTTTCCGAAGGTAACAGAGTCGGATGGTTTTAATACGTCGAAATTACAGAGAAGGTCGTCGGAAACCGACATGATAGCTCCCCAGTTATCGAACTCGCCGCAATACTTGAACAAGAATTCTAGTCAGCACTTATCACCATAATCAAAAAATGGAAGAATAGAAGACTCACATTTGGTGCAGAAAAAACCGTAACAAGATTGCGCTCCCCAAAGAATTCATACCCCCCTTCCACAACCATATGCGCCCGACAAACTAGGTCCAAATCATAGCGCTTCAGAAAATTCGCAACCACCTTCCTTCCAAAGACCCAGCTAACACCTCGGTCGCCGTTAGGTCCCCAGTCTTTAATATTTGCAGGGTCACTCCATAGAAGATCGGTCAGGAGACCTTGCCCAGGCACTTCAGTTGGACGAGCGAGATTTCGGATATCATTCATATCCGAAAGGCAGGGAGAAAGGCCGCCATGCACACAAAAGATCTTTTCTGCAACAACTGCAGCAATTGGAAGACAATTAAATACGTCAATAAATGTCTTCCAGATTTTGATATTACATCTTCGCTTGCACTCATCGTAGAAGCCGTAAATCCGGGAGATATTAGCACATTCATGGTTGCCCCGGAGTAGAAAAAAGGTCTCGGGGTATTTGAGCTTGTAGCATAGAAGCAGAAGTATTGTTTCCAAGCTTAGTCTCCCTCGGTCGACGTAATCTCCCAAAAAAAGGTAATTGGTGGTAGAAGGTAATCCGGAAATCTCAAAGATTCGAAGAAGATCCGTAAATTGACCGTGGATGTCACCGACAATGTGAATTGGGGCATTCAGCTCTAAAAGAATAGGCTGGGAAAGGAACAGGTTCCGGGTGGCCGAGCAGATAGACATAATTTCAGTATTGGTGAGACACAGCCTTTTTGTAGGTTTCGACTTTCCCGCTTGTAGGAGTCGTGAGATTGCATCATCTAGGTCAATAAGCCTTTGCATATTTCTGCCGTCTCTAGAAGAGTCATCCCAGACAATTGAATCTATATTGAGATCGTTATGCCTTCGCAAGATAGATTTGCTTGAGGCTTGTGGAGCGCCCGGCGGCGGGGTTTCAGATAAGGGCACATCTGACATGCGATCGGAGTGTTCAATAAGTTGGCTCGCCTTCTTGATCGGTTTAGGCGTAAGATTTGTCACTGGGGGTTGTGAATTGCCACGCTTGCTGAAGTTGCGCAGATGGTGACTTCCTATCTTCAGGAAGTCAAGGAATGAAGGCTCGTTAGTTGGGTTGATGTTGAGATCCCTTCCATGGATCGTCCTTCGCTCGTTGGTAGTTTCAAAGTCTATGACACTGGCCTGCTGCAGGTCATCTGGCAGCTGCTTTAAAGATTCCATTTGAGGAAAACGGCCTCTCTCTTTTGTCGCTGCGACTTGTTGCTCCTCGTCCTCATCGTGTCCTGACTCGAGTTCGCTTTTCTTTGGTATCGAAAGAGAGGCTCGAGTGTGAGAGACAATGCTCAGAGGCCGCTCAATATGGGCAGGCGACATAGTCCTTGCCTGCGCCTCTAAATAGTTGATGGTATCTGACAAGCCGTGGTGAACATGCTAGTGCAGAGTTTATCTCCATTTAAGGAGCGGCGTCATGTTGTTGCATGCTTGTGGTATTGGCAAGGTTGGAGGCAAGAGCGGATACAGAATGAATGGGTGCGTGGGGTGGCTTGGGGAAAACGGGGCGTTCTTGGCAACTACGTAAGTGGTCTTCGAGTGGACACTTTAATTCCCTCATATAACTTATACTTTTTATTATTCTTCAATACTTCTGCTAGCGAGAACCGTATGTACGATCCGACATTATTCCTATGTTTCTAGGCTCATAATAGCGCACTCCATACGGAGTGATCGCGAGGTAGAGCATCGAGTCCAGCGATAGTGTTCTACGCGTGGTAACAGAGACGGAAGTATATCGGAGGGACGTATGCTTCTACCTCTAGATTTGTTGTGGCCATGGTCCTAATCGCTCCTAGGATTCGAATCAGCGAGGTCCTCTACACTATATTTAAGTGTCGTAGGTAGAATTTGTCCTAGAGTAGGTCGTGCTATACTATTGACATATAGTCCACAACTAGTATAACCTATGCGTAATAGAGATTGTATCTATTTTAGGCGTAGATGCCGTTGCCTACCTGAGGCGAGATTTACCTTAGTTGTTCGCTTAATAGCCTACAAGACATGTTCCTTCTATCGTAGCCCTTAATTGAAGATTACGCTTAGCAGCTTCTTGGAAGGCGACGGTTTGATTATGCCTAGGTATGCCCAAGATGGGTCGTTCTGTGGCGTGTCTTCCGTGGTTCAACTGTCGCCACTGTGTCCAGGACTTCATAGCCAAGCTCCCTTAGCACTGCTGGAAATAGCCAGAGCGTAAACCTATTGTGGTTAAGGACATGCTTTGTTTCATCATTTAGAGCGGATTGCGCAGCTGTGTGCGGACGCGGGGGTGAAATTGGTTTACCTGCCGCCCTACTCGCCGAACTTGAATCTAATTGATTTTTTCGCTCAGCTTAAAATCTTCATAAAAGTAATTGGACTTACCATGAGGCAGATCACGATCAAGGATTCGAACCGTTCCTCGCATGATCTATCGACGTGGTCGGCGCAAAAGAAAAGAGTGTTAAGAGGCCATTTCCGGCTCACAGTGTACTACGAAGAAAGCTTTTTATATGTGAAGGGTTAAAGCCAAAGGTGATTTGAAGCAACTAGGCCATAAACTGTGTACAAAAAGCTTGAAGAGAAAGGAGACACCAGCAAGGATGTACTAATTTTAAGAGGGTATGGTCGATGTAGGTAGCATGCGCCGCACGTGGCGGCGAAGTATCAGCGGCAAAGCTGCGAAGTTTTATAGGACCAAACCCGTGACAGATCCCTACATGATGGTAGTCATGCAACATGCTTCAATATTGTTTCCTTGGGGGTCCAACACGAAGGCACCGTAATAGTTTGGGTGAATCTGCGGTCGCAGCCCAGGAGCTCCGTTATCTTGTCCTCCCGCTGCAACTGCGGCAGCATGGAAAGCATCCACGGACGTGCGATCTAAAAGAGTTGTCAGAGTTAACCATTCGAAGTTAAACTCACGGGTCCTAAAACGACTGATCATCTTTACGTACCAGGCGCTAGGAAGGCAACGTGTGCTTTGATATCGGAATTGGCGAAGGCAGTGCCCACAATCCACTCCGGACTCTTGCTGCCGAAGGCCACCCAGCCATTTGGCATGGTTTGAAGTTTCTCGGTGCCGAGAGGTTTCAGAGCCCTAGTGTAGAAGTCCACAACCGCGGCATGGTCGGCCTCGGCGACTTTGAGAAGAACGTGTCCGATTGGCATCACGTAATGGCGACTTCAAGGGTCAGACTGAGACTTTCCTAGAACAATAAAGGAAATGCAGATGAACACAAAAGGGATAGTTGAACGAGGACTGGACATGCCGCACGAGGAAAGGGGCCTTTTATATCCGAGTTTCAGAGCAGCACTTGCCTGGTGTCCAGTATGTCAGTAGGTTGTGATGATCCATACGCAGAACTAAGTTTCCAGTAAGATTATTCAGCTGATCGGAAAGTGGCGCACGAGGCCAAATGATTCCACACCAGAAAGATTCTACGTAAAGTGATTCCACATCAAAACGATTCCACACCAAAGTGATCCAACACTAGAGCGTTCCAAATAATTTTACATCATCTTGGACCCCAAGAAAAACCTACATTGAATAGTCGAGTCTAGAGATGGATATTGAATACAATATCTACACCCAATATCTAAGGATTTTCCAATCTTATATCCCAGTCAATGATACCTAGGATGTTTAAATTACATAAAAGTTGAAATGTTATACAAAAACGCATAACTTCTCTGACGGCAGTACACCTGCGTATTGGATGAATTCAGCCACGCGCGTACTTATGTCTCCAGAATTGGTGACCATTTGATTTGATGGCTCATCCAGTTTAGCTTGATTATGGATACGCTGAGCTCTATGTATAAGATGCGGCTTCGGATATGTTCTGATTTGGATTGAAACTTGTAATGATATAATCAATGGGAGGATGCGCGCGCCCGGGGTGTAATAGGATAGAGAAAAATCCAAAGAGTTGAATGGAATGCGTGGAACGTAGGGACAAAAGACTTTGATTTGGGCAGATTGATGGGTATGACATCAAAATTCTGAATATGGCTGGACGAAGCCTTTGGAGTAGGTAGACTGAGTCAATGTATAACTGGTCATAGTCATTTGTGGACCTCTCTTTCTAGCGTATTGAGGCAATTCAAGTGGTGGATAATGTAGCAGACACACCGAAGCACCCATAGGCAAGCTGCAACAATGGCATAATTAGAGGCTGGTAGGGATTATCTTTCCAGAGATTCAGGCTGTAGAAGCTGTTTTGATTTGAGTCTGCTTGTCACCAATACGAGGCTTGGCAGCAGCTCGTTGTTTGCAGGATTGGATCGTAATTGAATTATGACAGCCATGCTGACTGTTTCATATGGCTCGTAGATTTGTGGGAGTAATCAAATTGGCTTCGACTATGCTGATGAAACAAATACTTTGCCCGATTTATGTCTCAGAAACCCACGCGTCACCATTTTTGTCCGCCGCGTGGAATAGTAAAAGAGGTCTCCAAATATCATCGGCAGCTCTTCCACTCTGGGAATGATTCGGACTTGTGTTTTTTAACATAGTTCACCACAAATTTGACCTTATCCCGACCCGTGGAGCCTCTATTGTAATATTGTATACGCCTGCGCGAATCCTGTGACATCTGGCACCTTTGAGGGGACATGTCGTTTAACAAGGCTATTCCCTGCTGGTCAGCATCGAGTTTCCTGAAATCGGGTGAAGTAAGATGCGAGATCGATGAATGGCGTCATTTGTCAGTATGTAGGTACACGCTTGCGGTAGCAACTGGACCGGAAGGACCAATTGGAAAGGGAAATCATACCTGCTATGAGGCTCGAATACTCGCTACTTCGGGTTATGTCTCTTGAATAGGTTGTCGAAGCATGTTTAGTAGTTAATACTCAGGAGTTCAAGGCATTTCTACCCGGTTTATACAAGTCGGCAGCGAGCAAAGACACTGCCGGAATCCGAAGCCCCATTCCTTGCGGTTTCGTGTTAGAATATCGGCGCTATCGAAGTTTGGAATCATTCTGGCGTGATTGGCGGTCTGAGTGGTAGGTATCCCTTACCAAGGTTTGAAACAAGTTTGGAATCATGACTTTTGCTCGGACCCACCATTGGTATTGTGGAGAATCTCATTGGGTATCTTCCTCCGGTGCCATTCGAAAGGGCTCGGACGATCATTACGTAACTCATTGACGAGGAACAGTATTTCTTCCCTCGTGACGACGAGCGCACAGTTTCAACAGTCCTTCGGGAAGAGGCAAAAGTCTGGACCTCAGCAATATTCCTAGAACATAAGATGAGTAGGGATTGCTCTACTAATCCAGCCCTCTCTACGCTGCCTCTGTCCCGTCCTACAGCTCCAGAATCTCGGACGTCTTACTGAAAGCATCGAGAGGAATGGGAAAAGAAGATCCAACCCTCATAGGTACAAACAGTTTGGTGACAACTCAAGAAGAATAATTATCGGAATAACCACATTGTCCAGGGTCATCAACGGGCTCGAACAAGAAAAAATCCTTGACGCCCAACTATGCTCGACGACGAGAGCAAGTGCGACGAGCACAAAAGTCAGGTGGCAGCATCTATGCAGATTACTTATCATAGCTAACCCCTGTACAGAAAGCATCGCGACCAGAAAGAAAAGCGCTGTCGCATGCTCGAAGATGAGGTTCACAAACTCTATGGGCAACTCATGAATGCTCGAGAGTTACGGGATCTTCATCGCGAAAACGAAATTCTCAAGGACATAGTATCCCGCCATTCAATCCCTCTTCCATCTGGAGTCCATTCACGCAAATTCCCATTGGCACGAGTGACCATAGTTGGTGAGAACGGGGCAAACCAATATCTTCAGGTCCAGATGCCAGATGATATGGATCAATCTTATCGTTCTGCCGATCAAGATTCAATGCTAAGGACAGAAGATGGTATAGATCAAGACTCTCAATTGCAATATGATGAATTATATGAGTATCCGGAAACAAGGTCTGAGAAATACCCAAGCATAAAGCGCAGATAGCGAAGATGCAAATCTGACATAATAATTGTTTAGGCCTCCGCAAATAGCCAGCAGTCCAGAAATTACGCAGCTAGGGGTTGACTTTGTATTATCGTGAGTTTTCCATCAGCACATTCGATTTAAACATCTAACTTTACAGCTTGGAACGACCCTGTCTGTTCCACACACAATCCTTAAGTGCAGAAGAGCCATCAGGCCATGCTATGTCGATGCAGGGGCTCTTACTTTCAGATGGTCCTTCGGGCCTCAATAATCTTGCTTCCTGGGAAGTCCCTGCTCAGCAACTAGACAAACTTTTTGAACTGTCTGGGTCTCTTGGATTGGATGGATACATCACCCCCGTTCAAGCATGGAATAGGATTTGTCACCGCTGTAACATTGGAAAATTGCCAAAGGGAAGACTGGACATGTTAAGATCTGCCATGGCTCCACACATCCAGTGCTATGGGTAAGAATTGCTTCCAAAATTCCAATCTGCCATTAGTCTGTCATGTCTAACACACTCAGGTTCGGTGCACGGATGAATGAGCAAGTTTTTGAAGATCTTCTTTGCACCATTCTACAATGATATTTATTAAGCACTAGATCATCTAAGCCAATGATCAGAGAGATCACGCGATCCAGTAATATACGGTAATCTCGGACTTTTCTGCAGCTATAAGGCTTCAATTGTAATTTGTGAAGACCTCAAATCAAATCCAATGATTTCGTTTGTCGACGAGTCAGTCAAAACAGAATATAATGTACTTGAGCTAACCAGAAACTTGATGAAAAGCGAAGTTGGAGAATGAGATGGCGCGTGTTTTCATTCGATCAGACGCTCAGAATAAGTTAGGAGCCGAAATGTTCGAAGACAATAATCCTACATTAAGTTATTACGGCGTCGAAATCTGCTCAGATTTCCTCTCCTTGTGCCTTCCGATCTACAACACGTCACGTGCTGCCCAGCCCCTCTACCTAGTCCAGTCACCTGTGCTTCTCAAGCTTCGTCACCCTCTCCAGGTTGATATTTCCTCCCCCCCACACCCTCAATGAAGCCTTTACTCTCAACCTTTGCTTTACTAGCGGCCGGTGCCTTCTCAGCTGCTCTCTTGGAGCCGCGGACGGTCGCTGTAGACCGCGAAACGCAGCTCCCTCTAGTGATTTGGCATGGGCTAGGCGACGACTTCGAACGCGAGGGCTTGCAGGAGATCGCTGCACTAGCTGCCAAGGTCAACCCAGGCACGTATGTGCATCTGATACGGCTGGCTGACACGGGAAACGACGATCGACAAGCTACCTTCATGGGAAATGTGACGGAGCAACTCAATACCGTGTGTGAGCAGCTGGCGGCAGATCCGATTCTGGGGAGTGCACCAGCGGTAAATGCGCTGGGCTTCTCGCAGGGCGGCCAATTTCTTCGCGGCTACGTGGAGCGGTGCAATGCACCCCGAGTGCATAACCTGGTCACGTTCGGCAGCCAGCATAACGGGATATCGAAGTTTCAGTCATGCTCGACAGGCGACTGGGTCTGCCGGGGCGCCGAGGCACTGCTCAATGTTGGCCGTTGGACTGAATTTGTGCAGAGCCGTCTCGTGCCCGCGCAGTACTTTCGCGACCCGGCCGAGCTGGACGCATACCTCGAGCACAGCAACTATTTGGCCGACATCAACAACGAGCGCGCGCACAAGAACGCTACGTATTCGGCAAATGTGGCAACGCTAAACCGATTCGCCATGTTCATGTTCGAGCAGGATACCATTGCTGTACCCAAGGAGAGCGCCTGGTTCGCCGACGTCAACTCCACTGATGGAACGGTGACTCCCCTACGCGAGAGACCGATCTATAAGGAAGATTGGCTAGGTTTGAAGAAGCTCGGGGATCAGGACAAGCTGGATTTTCGCAAGGTGCCCGGCCAGCATATGCATCTGTCCGAGAAGGTGATGGAGGAGACCTTCAAGGAGTACTTCGGTCCCATTGATCCTTTACGGTCAACGCTCCCACGTCTGGTCGAACAGCCGGGGCCTCAATAATGATGACTATGGGCATACATCTCGGGCGTTGCGGATTAACTAACATGACAACCCATATGCGAATTTCCGTGTCTTTTTTAGGATTTCAATGTACAACGGTCGACTTTGTTCCTGAAGTAGATCGTAGCGTCGTATCTTTTGCTTCTGACTCTTATGCCTCGTGGTTCCGAAAGCATACGTAAATCGCTTTACTGGTCATGATCGTGTCACTGAGCTACAACTCATCCCCCATCGTATTCAGATATGTGACTTGCGGCAGCATTCGGAGTCTGCCAACCGTGACGATCCGTTCTTCGATGACGGCACGTCGATTGACGGGTTCGCGGTAAAGAAGTCCGCAGGACGGATCATAAGCTGGAAGATCTCCACGGGCCTGCTGCTGTCAGTCTGGGATTCCTGGGAAGTGGAGCGCCAAAACATACATGACGGGCCAGTCCTCTACTCGCGGGTTGTGCGTGATGCCAAATGAATTCCATACCACAACGTCTGTATCGACCACAGCCTCTCCCCGGCGAACAGCATCTGCGACTCCGCCCACCTCGTTCTGGCTTTGCAACGTATACCGCCCGCCGGCATAGAGTTCCCCGTCTTGGTACTTGGTGACCCAGACGTGATGCTGGGCAAACTGGGCACGCCGCGCTTGTACCGAATGGGGATCCGCCAACAGCAACTGCGTGGGTAACGGAGTGAACTTGTACCCCACCGGATTTCCGCTAATCGGGTTCGTTCTGTGTGGGTTGATCATCTTAATGGTCCGATTGTGTTCCGGGGCGGCATCGAGCCATGTCGCACGATCCACCGTCTGCTTGACGACCTGATAGAAGTTCCCGTTGGGATTGGTGACAGCATTTATGGGCACTCGGTGCGATTCTTCAACTACCACTGAGTTCTGCGGCCCATCAACGGCCGGGTCAATCCGAACATTAAAGATGTGCTGATGGTTTTGGGCCAGAACACCACCGCTGACCACGTTGCCGTACTCGCTGACCTTGCCTGGGTCGATGTTGACGACATTCAGGATCCCAGTTGCGCGTGCCTCGACGGTGATACCACCGGACTGGTCGAATTTGTAGGCGAAGATATACTCGTAGTTCGCCAGTGTAATTATAAACTGCACGACCAGCTCGCGGTTACGGGTGACTACCGCACGGCCAGTCCGCCAGTTGGAGTGCTTCCATCCAATACCGTTGTCCTGTTCGTGGAGACAGATGGCGTTGGGAAGAGTCTGGGCGGTACCATTTGCCTGGGTGATCACGGCGTCGAAGTATTTGATGACCCCGAGACAGTCACAGCCCAGGGATAGGTTATTGGCCATGTTGCCGCCACCACCGTCGCCAAAATCGAATGCCTGCTTGCGATGAAATGGGGGACGCGGATCGGCGTAGGGGACCGTCTATGCTGTCGGGTCAATCTCGTAAACATGTGTTAAGGGGGATCAACCGCCTACCATCTCGCTGATTGCCAGCCGGTACATCACACTGCGGCCGTCATACCATATGTCGTGGATAGTGGCGCCTTCTCGCGGATTGAATCCAACACGAAACCGCCACTTCTGCCACTCGACCAAGGACTCGTCCGTCACGCGGAAAGAGGGTCCCTCCGGCTGAACGACATTTAACGGTTTGAGGTCCTTTCGCGGTCCTTCGGGCAGCAACTCAGGAATGTATTCGGAAGGCTTGCAATGGCCGATGATATCACGCTTGAAGGTCTGTTCCAGCAGCCCATCGCCTTTGCCGCCGGTAGCTGGCCGGTCCACACGAATAATTTCGTGGGTGTGTGCGTCCATGACGGGAATCACAGGCAAAGGGAAAGAATAGAAGTTGGAGTCTTCGTTGCCCGACCGCTTGTCCTGGGCAAAGCAGAGGCCCTGAAAATAGCGCCGGTTTCCATCGGTGAGATCCAATCCGCCATAGGGCCACGGTTCAATCACGACTTCAAAACCGTCTGGCAGATCAAAATCGGCTAGGGCCTTCTGGAACAAGGGAGACTTGTTGCATTGGTCCAAGAGGACATCGAACTCGCTCCTGTGGGCACTTTTAGTGGACGCTCTTCTGTATCTGAGGATCGAGAGCCATACAATACCAAGCTGGCATGATGTTGTTTCCCGACCACCGTGTGGTTGACCTGGGTGCGCGAGACCGTGTCCACAACTGACTCGTGAAACTGGGGTATACGATCGGCCCCGATCACATCATACTGGCACAACGCCAGGCGCGGCGGCCGCGGAGTAGTCGGGCTCAGCCGACCAGCGTGCTCAAGAGCCAGGAATTGCTGCACTTGTGCCTTGGGCGGTTCCTGTAAGAAGATTTCGCGAAAATCAATCACGGTGCCAGGATGGGCGGCCTTGACCACATCACGGGCCAGGTTGGTCTCCGCTTCGGAGAGGATGGCGAGTGGGTGAATCATGGTGCAAGAATGGATGTTTAAACACCAAAAGCCGAGTTAAGGGAAATGCGTATCTTATAGGAGTCCCTTGTTAAGATTATTATCTGCTAGAAACACCGTCTCGGAATGTCGGTATGCGCTCGGAATGGAGTGGAGTTGGATGACACTATGCCGTAACCGGATTCCGTGACAGTGGCTGGTTGATGCAAATGCCCCAACACTGATGAGCTAGTATCTATGTCCTTTTCGGTCAATCAACGTTAAGTTACTGGCTGCAAATATGTGCAAAGTAATCTCTTCCTAGATCTCCGAGAACTCAGTTGAAGCAGTAGCAAACAAAATCTACGAGGCCTCTCTCTCAAAGGCTCTCAAAGGCACTTACCTAGAGCGCACTCGGTGCTGTAAATAGTTTAGCCCAAATACGACAGCGCCGCCTCATGTGAAACGCCTTTCCCACGACGGTAATAATCAAGTGGAGTCCAGGAATTGCTTCCGCGATAAGGGATCATCACCGTCAGAATGCGGGGAACGCCCGCCTAGAGCGTGGAGATATCTTGTTGAACCCTTGGCAACGAGATCCGCCCTCTTATGTCGCTCCCTTTTGCCTAGTCAACCCATTCCGCAGGCGGAGGCCGCCCGTGGTGATGTCTGGTGCTAATGAACTATAATGCAGAATGCCCGTCTGTTCCGGGGGGTATAACTATCATGGATTGCCCTAATTTTGTCTTCTGCGGCCCCTTTCCACCTAGGGTATCGTTAAAATTCGCCCCTTGATTATATTTGAACTGTTCAGATAATGTCCGCCGATACAAAGCCCCTTGAGCCCGAAAAGCCCATTAGCGATGAGGAACAGCTAGCCGCTCTGGGCCATGTCCAAGAGCTACGCCGAGAGTTCTCATTGTGGTCAATTGTGTGCCTCCAGATCTCTTTAATGGCAACTTGGGAGGCACTCTCCTCGGTTGTGGCAACCGCGTTGACCAATGGTGGCCCACCGTGTCTCTTTTACAATTAGTGAGTATAGAGCAAAATTGAGGGCATTCAGGGGTGTGGATTGACAAAAAGATCTATTTAGTATTATTTCTTTGGCTGGCACCGTGCTGGTCGTGCTTTCGCTGGGCGAGATTGCTTCTATTTATCCCACTGCCGGCGGTATGTCCCCGTCTGAGACTGGATCATGCAAGACGCTGACAACGGACAGGGCAATACCATTGGGTCTTTTGCCTTACTCCTGTATCGTATCAATCAACTGCGGCCTGGTTTACTGGTTGGATTTCAATTGGCGGACAACTGGTACTGACGGCATCGGCGGCGTTTGCAGCTGGGCTGCAACTGCAAGCCCTCATCACGATTAACCATATGGACTCCTATATCCCACGTCGCTGGCAGGGGATGCTCTTTTATTGGCTCATCCTGGTGTATTCGGGCATGATTAACATTTGGGGGTCCAAGATTCTTCCGCACACGAATACTGCAGCCGGTAATCTCACGCTCCAACGATACTGATGATTAAGACTGAGCACAAAGCAGGTATATTGCATGTCATTGGTTTTCTCGCTATTGTATCTGTGTTAGGGGCTATGTCGTCCAAGCATTCGGGAGAGTACGTATTTACGGAGTTCTCCAATTCCAGTGGTTGGGACAACAATGGCGTGTCCTGGTTGGTCGGGCTGCTGAGCACCGTGTACCCTTTCCTAGGGTAGGCTTGTCCCAAACACCATAAGGAAACAGAACGAATACTGACAAATCTCATAAGATACGATGCTGCATGTCATCTCAGTGAAGAGCTTCCCAAGCCATCTCGCAATGTTCCACTGGCTATGGTGGGTAGTGTTGCCATCAATGGGATCATCGGCTTGGTATATGCCATTGTGCTGTTATTTGCCCTTGGCGACCTTGAGTCTTTACTCAAATCCAAGATCGGATTTCCATTCATGCAACTTTTTCTGAACGTGACGGGCTCGCCTACTGGGGCATCACTTCTGGCTCTCTGTGTTACCTTGATTGCTGTGGCCGCTAACTCCGCCGGGGTCACCTCAACTAGTCGCACAGCCTGGGCATTTGCTCGGGACCGCGGTCTGCCCGCATCCAGCTTTCTGTCAATTATCAATCCGATGCTGAAGGTCCCTGTACGCATGGTTGTGCTGGTGGTTTTCCTCCAGATGCTGCTCGGACTGATTTATCTGGGTAGCTCGACCGCTTTTAACGCCGTGTTGTCTATGGCCATCCTGGGCATGTACGCATCGTACCTGCCGCCAATCTTCTTCATGTTAGCTTACGGTCGACGCTCTTCCCCGTCGATCACGCACGGATTGGGGTCGGGTTCCTTCACCTTGGGCCCGCGATGGGGACCAGTGATCAATGTCATGGCCATCCTATGGCTGTTACTTGCAATGGTGTTCAGCACGTTTCCTACTGTGGAACCAGTGACACCGGTCAACATGAACTACTGCGTGGTCGTAACGATGGGATGGATGTTGATTGGTGGGTTGTATTATTATCTGGGCGGTAAAAAGCGATTCACGGGGCCTGTAGTAGAGCTAGCCGAGGGTCAGTAAGGTGGACCTTCATGATTCTGTACTTTGTCCGATATCCCCGATAATACTCATACGAAGTATAAGTGAAATGTCAGTGCCCTTAGCTACCCCACTCTGGATATCCCTAACTCCCCGCACAAACCCTAAAGTGGCCGTGTCCAAGGTGAGGGGTTGATGTGATCATAGATATAGTTGAGGATGTATATGGATGCAGGTCACCAACTTTCTCGCAATTATGCCAAATATCAAGACCATTTATATCCCCCATCTGGGGGGTATCGATGCAGCCTATCAAATGCCGAAGCCATACGACCGCACCAAGCCAACTCTCGTTTTGATAAATGCATTTACCACCTCGTCTGAGTTTTTCAGTGCGCAATTTGGAAACTCCAAGTTGACCGATACCGTTAACCTGTTGGCCATCGAGCTGCTGGGCCACGGTCAGACGCGCGTAGCTCGCGAGCATTGGACATACTGGGATTCGGCAGAGATGAACCTTCAAGTATTGGACGCGCTGGACATTGAGAAAGCATTTGTGCTGGGTGTCAGCCAAGGCGGCTGGGTCGCAGTGCAGATGGCGCTGATGCGGCCCGAGAAGGTACCATATCCCTTGTGCCTTGCTGGGGTTAACCCTATCTAATCATCAACAGATAATCGGTATTGTTCCTGTAGGAACATCGATGGATAACGAGTCGGAGCGCAGTCGCCAGCTGCAGTGCTGGGATGGACCGACGATCCTGACGGGCTTTGTCAACCAGTGGAGCAGCAGTCAGCCTACATTGGATTTTGAGCCCGACCTGGGATTCTGTGACGCGCTTATTGATGTCGGGTTCAACCAGTGTCCTGATGAGGTGCGCAAGTTCTGGAGGGCGACAATCAAGTCCAACTATCGTGGAGATGAGGGCCGGCGCCGTATGCGCATGGCAGCCGTCAACCTTGCGGAGCGCGGAAGCCTCCATCTCCGACTGCCAGATGTTCAGTGCCCGGTCATGTGGCTGCATGTAAGGCATCGATCTTCTATCCTTTCTTTCTTGTGGGGCTCAATTCTGACCGCTATAGGGCACCGAAGATGCCGTGTTCTCCATGGCAAATGCCAAAGAAGAGATTGGGATGTTTACCCGCTCACCAGACGCGCGCTTGGTCGGCATCGACGGAGGAGCGCATTTCCTGAACCATGTCCACGCAGCAGAAGTTGATGCAGCCGTTTTGAACTTCGTTTCCAAGTATAGCAAGTGAAAACGACTAAGTCATATTACTCTTTCGTTGATATAACAGTAGTGATTCAAGAAATTGGCGAAAGATAGCGAACCTTAGCTTGTAGTGCAAATTGAATTGGAACTCTGAGAGGCAAAAAAATAGTTTTCTTACAAGTTCGACAAAAGCGGCTCTGAGGCGATAATATGACGAGTTTTGTTAAAACCTATGTTTGTTATCCATAGACCTCGATGCGAGAAGGATACACGTTCAACATTCCTGCTGATGGTATATATCCCCACTTTTCTCTCGATATAATGGTGCTTCCACTGGTCCGTAATAGGAGAGGAGATTGTTTGATTATCAAAACAAACGTTTCCTTTAAAATATTCCATCTTTACTAGAGAGGATGAACGCTTTGGCTTGGGTACATAGTAGTCCGCGAATGAGAGGCCGAGGGTAATGGCCCGTGTCGAATAATTGCTGCCTTAATGCCTGAACGCCCGCCTCCTTTCTTCACATCCGCCATTGAAAATTGCTTGCTTGTTTACAACAGTAGTAGTGGGTAAAAGGGTTATGGCTCCAGGCATGATGACTTTCTCACTTGTATTTGCCTCCCTTGTGGATCCGAGCAAGATGTTCTCGCTGGCCCTCTCTCTGCTCGACTCCCCAACACCGTCCATCTCACAGGAAGCCTCATTTTACCCGCCACTAAGCTCCCTCTCATACATCACCAATTCCGAGTATGGGACATTTGGCGGTATTTTCAGTGCACCCGCTCGAGAAGCCACAGAGAATCTGTCTGGCTCTTATGATTACTGCACCATGCCTCATCCTAGCCCGGAGAGCTATCAATCTCCGCCTCCCGTCTATAACCACTCCATCGACGCACAGTTAGTGTATGTGGAGTACATGCAGCGCCACCAGCGACGCACAGCATATAACATTCTTCCTGGTGGCGAGGTAATTCATACATTTTCGAGACGAATCGTCCCTTGCTGACCCACCAAAAAGGACCAACGATACGAATGTGACGACGTCAATCCGTACCTGTATGCCGGTCCTACAGACGAAGATTTGTCGCGCTCACCGCTCCCCGTCTATGCGCAGACATACACAGATGCCAGCAATCCGTTTGTTGCCAGCTATGTTAATGGCACTTGCCAATATCCGCAGCTCACTATCGGTGGGGTATTAGATGGCTACCGACATGGCCGTGATCTTTGGGGAGTGTACGGCGAGAAAATGGGTCTCTTACCGACCTCCCCCAAGGCACCCGCGGTGTGGTTTAGGTCTAGCAGCTCCGCGTTGACGCAGGATTCTGCTGGTGCCGTCCTGCGTGGCATCTGGCCCGATTACCGCGGATCGCTGCCACTACACCAGCAAGCTGCTGCTGTGGACACTGTCAATGAAGGGTTCTCGTGTGCCGCCCGTTCCCAACTGCTCTCGATCATCCAGTCGAGCGATGAGTGGAATCAGCATCTTGCGATCACTCAGCCGTTGCGAAGTCGGCTCGGCACCCTCTTTGACGCAAACAGTAGTGACTGGATGTCCACATTTGATCACTTCGCGGATAATTTCCAGGCGCGGCTATGTAACGGATACCGGTTACCATGCAGCCGTAGCGATCCCTCTGCGTGTGCCACTACTGCCGACGCCGACGAAGTCTTTCGGGCTGGTGATTGGGAATGGAATTACTGGTGGAATCAAAACCGCAATGCGTCGCAGTACATTCAATTAGTGGAAGGGCTTTTTTTGCGGGAAATTGTGGGACGACTAGAGGCGACTGCTCAGGGGTCCCTTGATCGAGTGTACACGCATAACTTCGTCCATGATGGTGATTTAGGCCCCATTTTAGGCGCTCTCGGGATTGAACAGTTGCGATGGCCCGGAATGGGGTCCAATATCGCATTTGAAGTGTGGTATGTACCGAGACTCCTCCATCGGCAGTTCAGGGCATCCTGAGAAGCTGACCATTCTAGGCAAACATCCGATTCCCAGTCTTTTGCCCGTGTCCTTTACAGCGGGCATGCTCTACGAACAGCTCATGGTACCCTGGATTGGGTTCCTCTCACCGATGTGGTCGATCGGTTGAAAGCACATGTCCCGGATGACATCATAGCCATGTGCAAGGTCTAAGACATTTGACTGAAACGGCGCTAGACTGCCGCGCAATAATGTAACATACCCGAAAATCAATCCCCCTACGACAATCAAGACCAGTGACACGCCTCCACTGGTTGACCAGTTTGTGATCAACAACCAAGTTTCAGGGAATACAGTAGCATTGCGTCGACGTGATTGTCAGTTCCTGACGTCCTAGGGAAACCCTACGACCTGAGATCGACAGGATCATCGTGCGGGGAAAAATACGAGGGTATCTCTGGGGGCGGCAGGACTCCGGAAAGCTCATTATTATTTAATATTCTTAAAGTCACCTCAGTCTGCCTTATCCGAACCTGTACTTCACGAAACGTCGAAGGTATATCCTGAGCCACTTGCCCCGACCGAGAGAATATTGATCTTTTATTCCACCAACAAACCATCATGTATCATCCGGTGCTCTTCGCTTTGGCCAGTTGCCTATTCCACCAATTTGCCAATGCCGATTTTTTTCCACGGGCCGCTCTAGTCCCTGGAAATTTGCACCCGCGAGGAGCCGAGCTGGTATGCCCTGAGACCTTACAAACCGCCTGCCCCGGGGGAATAGGATGCTGCCCAACTGGTGCGGCGTGTGTTGAAGTGATGGGCGCACCCCAATGTGGAGGAGCAATCGCAACAAGCGCGTCCTCGCTCAGTATTAATCCCGGTGGCCCAATCATTACCACCTCAGCTTCAACTAGCTCCAGCGTGACCGCCACCACAGAGACCTCAACGGCAAGCACCTCCCCATCCATGACGTCCTCGTCCATGACATCCTCGTCTATGTCCTCATCCACCTCATCTTCCACGACGGCGTCCTCAGGCAGTTCAACTCCGGGCCAAGCGTCACCAAGCCCCAGTTCTGGAATGGCCAGTCTCTCTCGACTTGAGAGCACATCGTGGATGGCAATTATGCTTTGGATCACCAATCTACTCTTCGCTGCGTAGAAGAACTAGTGTTGGAAAAAGATGGAAGTAAAGGAATGTTGCAGGGAGAGACTGTACTTCAAAACGGCCCATGTCCAGCTAGCTTCCTGAAAGTTATTTTTGCTGCTTATTTAATGTTATTGTTTCAAAGCTTCGTATTTTGTTTCAACGAGCAGTCTCCGAAACGAAATCATCGTGCTACAGCTTAATTTGTAATCTTGGTGAGGAGACCCACCTCGTCATCATTCGTGCCAACCCCCAAATACTATGATCTAAAAGTTGAAATCGTGTCGACAGCGCTGACAAATCCAAATACACACGGCCATAGGCAAACAGCCATAAATAAAGTGTCCAATTCGTTATTTAGGGGATCAGAAGTCATCTTGCTGCAATCTTCCACTCGCATAAATAATAAATCGCACCCTGTTCTTTGTTTGAGATCATGAAGCCAATTGCTATCACGAACACCTTGATCAATGGAAGCCGGATTGCCTACGGAGTTTACGGAGACGGTGAGCCAGTTGTTCTGCTACATGGCACACCTTCGTCTTCTCTCATCTGGCGCGACGTAATTCCAGCGTTAGTTACGGCTGGTTACCGAGTCCACATCTTTGATCTGCTTGGATATGGGGTCTCCGAGCGCCCTTGGGATCCATCGATCGATACATCGATTTCCGGCCAGGTGATAATCTTAGAAGGCCTTTTGCAGCATTGGAACCTCAACAGCACCCATCTTGTGGCACACGACATTGGTGGCGGTATTGCGCAACGCTTTGCCATCTCTTCACCGTGGCGCATACGAACGTTGACCCTCATTGATGTTGTGAGTTTTGACAGCTATCCCTCAAAACGGACGAAACAACAAATGCGTGAAGGCCTTGATATCATGATCAAGGCATCAGAGGATAGTCATAGGAGTCATTTTGAAAAGTGGCTGTTATCCGCAGTCCAGAACCAACAAAAACTAGCCGACAGCAGCCTAAAGACGTTTTTGGACTATATATCTGGGCCCGTGGGACAGGCTAGTTTTTTCCAGCATCAAGTTCGCCATTATGACCCAAAGCACACAATGGAGGTCGCTGAGCGTCTTCCGGAATTAGCTGGTCTTCCAGTCTACCTTATTTGGGGTGCCAATGATGCTTGGCAGGTCTTGGACTGGGCATATCGGTTGAACCAGACTATTCCTGGCTCAAAGCTGGACATTGTAAACGACTGCGGCCATTTCTCTCTGGAGGACAAACCAGAAGAAATCTCAGTGTTGGTTACAGGATTCTTGAAACAACACTCACATGATTCTGGGGGAAGAGCCTAATATGTGGGATAATTCACATCATTATAGGGTTGTTAGAAACCTGTTTACTTCTCCAACATTAACGATTATCTTTAAATGTAGAGGTAATTACGTTACAAGAAACTACACTCAATCCTGGCAGATAAGAAGTAAATGCACCTCGGTTGCATGGCTTAAGATTAGGGAAGTTTAATTCGCCTCAATAGAGTTGACATTAGATTGCATCGAAAACAGTGATATTAGGGAGGAGAAGAAATTCAGGATCAGTTCTTGAAATATGCGCTGATAACTGTCCACCCCTCTGCAGGCGGCACCCTGAGACTGGTGCCATTCTTTAAAAAGCACTTGCCGGTGTGGTTTGATTCAGCAGGTGCGCTTTCATCCCACGTAACTCCCAAGCATTGCCCTATAAAGACATCGTTGTACTGGATGCATTTCGTCAGGCATTCAGTGATCGAGTCTGCTGTAAAGTCTGATAGGCCGTGACCGGAAATCGTGGATTCTGTACAGCTGGTAGAAGAGCAAAAGTCTGTGTTGCATAGTTGAATACAAGTAGTGTTCTCGAATGATTGTGTGGTTCCGTTTGCTGCAGGACAGTTGGAAGTAACGACCGTGGCTGTCGAGGGCTGAACAACTGTAGCAGAAGTCGGTTTGATCGTTGTAGAAGGAGATAAGGAAGAGGTAGAGTCGGAAGAGATGGAATCACTTGATGTTGATATAATAAATTTCTTATGGTCGAAGAGAATGTGAATTAAAGAAACACTAACCTGGACTTGCTGTGGTCGGATTTTGACGCGATTGACCTGCCAACGCCTCCACCAACAGCTGCAGCTATGACGATGACGATGATTACCACAACTATCCAAACGTTTCGTGCGCGTAGCTTGGCTTTTTGAGGGGGCATTTCTGCCTTCACTGGTATTGGTGCGTCGGCACTATCGCCTGCTGAAAGAGGTTTGGGATTGTAGCCATTGGAGATAAACAAACGATCCTCTGGTCTTGCGACTTCAAGCCCCGGCTGAGTAGGAGACTCAGAGCGAGTTGCTCCCATATTCAGGCTTAGGTAGGTCACGTTGTAACTTACGTATAGGAAGCAATGGCTGCGGTTTCATGAATTATTGAAATTTAACCCCCCAAGATGACTGTGCATCTTATTATTGGCTGTCCTGGGAACGTGCAATAAACAGGGATGGAACTAATTAACTATTTGCAGTTAAGTAGAACCAACAGTAACTGGTGTTGGCCGAGACATAGAACGGCGTTTAAAATAATAATTAGGTCAGATATAAGACTCAATTAAAAGGCAACCCCCCTCCTTCTTCAAATTCTAGTGCCTATGTCACCCCCAGCACAACGGAAAGACATTAACCCTTAGGATTAGGAAGGGATCAGGAAGGGACCAAGGTGATGTCGCCATCGTAGTGGCACTTCTTCGATTTTTCAGGACCCTTCGCTGTACTACATATCCACTTGGTGTCTTGGGCACCACCCTTTCCCTTATCATTGACGGTCACGGAGAAATCCTCGGTACCCTTGACCCGCTGTAGCTGCAAGTCAAAAGCGGAGATATCTTTCACGCCACCTGGAAAGTGGACAAGGTAGGCACCATCGTTGGTGCGGGAGTTCGCCTGCGGGTTTCCAGGACGATCCCTAGCCATCTTTGTTAGTTCAACCATCGAACATGAGGAGAGAGAGAGAGAGAAGCATACCAGATAACGTTGGCAACAGTCGCATCGTGGTAGTTAGGGTCGTTGAGTTTGAAAGTGACATATCCCGTCTGGTCGGTCTGAGAGGCACGAAGCTCGCTAATGGTGACAACTTTGTCACCTCGTGTGGCAGGTACCGCTAGAGCAGTACCAGCAACCAGCAACATGGAGTAGATTATAGTGGTCTTCATATTTCTCGCAACTTGGATTTCTCAAATAATAGAAAAAAAGTAGAACTTGTGGACGAAGCTGTATTGTTGATTATGATGGCATTCAATTTGGAGATGAACGTGCTCTTATACTTCATCATTCAAATCCTCAAAAACAGAATACTATATAGATTGTGAGACAAGAGGATGCTCGCTCCGCCCACCCACTGTCTCAGGAGATCTAGCAGCTGTGTGAAAATACTAGTACTTTAAGGTTATCCAAATATAGCAACTAGTACTTCAGTATGAAGACTAGGTCAGACCATGTCTTTCCCGGTACGGAAACTAGTGCTGACCGGCCGATCATGAATCACACCGCGTAGAGTAACGAATCCAGTCAACCGTAAACCTAATCGACGGGGCACGCATCTGGCGGATCCAACGGTCATCTAGGCGTCCCATCTTGTGAGACAGAAACAAGGATTCCAAATTTAGCAAGGAGTCAGAATTGCACCTCCTAGGGCTTTACTCTAGCTATCATGATAATAATACTCTATGCCAAATCTAACTAGTCCGCCTTCTCCAACGCCGCCGAGTACCCATCCGGCCGCACCTGCACATCGACAACCACCACTGTGCGCTTGCGCCGCACCTCGTCCACCGCCCGTCGCAGCGTCTCGCCCAACTCCCCCCGCCGCTGCACCTGTCCGCCCACTACGGTTGCCCCCAGCGATACCGCGTTCTGGCTCAGATCCGGTAAAGGGTCGTCGATCCGGATCCCAATCCACTTGTTTTCGACAGGCCGGCTGCGGACCCGGGCCACACGCTCCTGGTGTACCTCATCGTTGAAGAAGGACGCGTTGTTGGCCACGATTACCAACAGGGGCAGGCCGTACCGCGCCGCGGTCCACAGCGCAGATCCGCCCATCAGGAAATCGCCATCGCCCAAGATCGCCACGGGCAGTAGATCGCTGTCTTTCAATGCCAATGCGGATCCGACCGCTTGTCCAGGGCCAGAGGCCACGCCACCACCCCCGTCTTGGCCCAGGTAGGCCAGAGGGTGCGTCGCGCGCATCTCGCCACCTTTCCAGCCGAGGGGAATCCGGATGATACACATGTCGTCGGGACTCACGGTCGAATACAGCGCCTGGGAGAGGTGGCTCATGTAGATCTCCTCGCCGTCGGCCAGGACCGATGTAGGGATTGGAGGGGGATCCGTCCATTCTCGGGCGACAGGTGACACCGAAGCTGTTTGGAGCAAGCTGGAGACGAACTTGTCTGCATCTGCTGTGATTGAGTGATCCACCGGAGGATGACCAAAGTGGTCCTTGGACCAGCCGTTGTGTAGCGCCGAGTCGAGACTGATATGGACAACCTGGGCCGTTGGTTCCTCTCCCGGCGGGTACGCGGCCTGCAGTGTCCCCGCGAGATCGACCCATTCGAAGGAGACGATCACGTCTGCTTCGCGGATCAGCTCGCACGTCCGCGGCGTATTGAACACTGCGGGGGCGCTGGCATGTAGGCGATGCCCCGTCGGGAAAGCGGCGGCCTGCTTCAGATCTGTGAGCACCCGGGCCTCATACCGTTCGGCCAGCTGGATGCGCTCGCTCCAGCCCTGCTGCGAACGATCGAGGCGGCCGAGCAGGAAGAGCGGTTTGCGGGACTGCGCCAGTCGTGCGTGTACCTTCCGTACATCATTTGCCGCTGCACCGGGCGTCGAAAGGTTCAGATACCGCTCTGTGGTCGGGAAGCGCACCGAGTCTGGATTCGCCAGTTTTTCCTCCTGCAAACTCACGTCCAGACACACATACACCGGCGCACGGGGTTTCTGTGTCGCCAGCCCCGTCGCACGTACCAGAGTTGCGATCGCGGCCGGCACCGAGTGTGGCTGGTCGTCAAACTTGATGAATGGCCGGATCAGGGCGCCTTGATCCCCCGATGTGTGCACCCAATCGATCCACGGGCGGCGCTGCGCCGCATCTAACGGTCCTGTGGCACCGAGCATTACCACCGGTACCCGGTCGCAGAATGCGTTATACACCGCCATCGTCGCATGCATCAGTCCGACGTTCGCGTGGACCGCTGCCGCCATCGGTTTGTCGGTCACCTTGGCGTATCCATGGGCGATTGCAACCGTGTGCTCTTCGTGCAGGCACATCAGAATCTGCGGGTTCGTGTTGTTCTTGTAATTCACCAGGCTGTCATGCACGCCGCGGTAACTCGAGCCGGGCACCAGTGTTATGTACTCCAGGCCCAATCGGGACAGTTGCTCTACGATCGCATCGCTGTTCCACTGCAGACCAACGTTGGCCGGGCGAGACGGCCGGTCGGAAATCAAATTGGACATGATGAATGATTTGCAGGGTTGCTATGTGGAGAGAGATAAAGGCATATTTTGCGGAGAGGCACTTGGTTATATCACGACATGTTGCTCATCGCGGTAGGAGATCCCGAAGTCAAGGTTCAGGATTCCGACGTTCTATGTAGTGGATCCGGGGTAAAGAACCTGGGGTAAAGCTTAACCCAGCCGTCTCTGAGGGCTCCCGGAACACCTAGCCGTCCTTATACATTGATCTACTAGTATGGGATGACCCTCTTCCTCTGCTGGTCGAATATCCAGTGAACTGCCATCACTTCAACCATTTTCAGATTATCTTTAGTCCTCGTACTTGATTGTCCCGGAGTCTGGCCATGCCGCTGCAAGGGACCCTCCTGATCACCCTGATCACAATCGCATCGTCGTGCGGCTTCCTCCTGTTTGGTTACGACAATGGCGTCTTCTCCGGCATCATCGTGCTCCCCTGGTTCCTGCGCACGTTCAACAAGCCAAGCTCTCAGCTGCTCGGCACCGTGAGCGCCATGTACAACATTGGCGGCTTCCTGGGCAGCCTGGTGGCTTTCTTTATCGGGGCACCGCTGGGTCGTCGCCGGACCATCCTCACGGGTCTACTGATCTGTACCATCGGCGCAATTGTCCAATGTCTCTCCATGGATCTAGCTGAGTTGGTGGCCGGCCGGATCGTTTGCGGATTGGGAGTGGGGATTATGACATCTACCGTCGGTCTGTGGCAGGCAGAGGTTGTCCCTCCGCGGTCACGCGGAGCGTACCTGACACTACAGCTCCTGGGAGGTAGCGCGACAGGGCTGTTTCTCGCACAGTGGATCAACTACGGTTTTCACTCGGTGACTACGCGGGTTGCTTTCGTGTTCCCTGTCGCCTTTCAACTGGTGTTTATGGTGATATCCACAATATTAGTTATCTTCCTCCCCGAATCTCCACGCTGGCTGGTGAAGAAGGGCCGCCGCGACGAAGCCCTCGCCATTCTCCGCCGCCTGCATGAGGAGTCCGCCGAATTCCGCCTCGCGCAGATCGAAGAGGCTGTTGCCCTCGAGTCGCGCAGCGCGGAATCGTCGTACAGGTCTCTGATTACCATGGGTCCTACGCAGAACTTGCGCCGTCTAGGACTCGCCTGCGGGACGATGATCATGCACCAGCTGGGCGGCATCAACTCCGTTACTTATTACATGCCTACACTTCTCGAGACATTCATGGGAGCATCCCACACCAAATCCTTGTGGATTGCCGGGCTGAGCTCCCTGACCTCGATGATATGCGCTCTCGTGCCGGTCTTCACCATCGACCGCGTTGGCCGTCGGATCTTCCTCTGGGGTGGGGCTATCTGGCAACTCGTCATGTTCGTGATTATCTCGGTCATCCTGGCAAAGGCCGAGGAGCCGTCCTCCTCTCCGTCTTCTCAGAACACTCTTGGCACCACTGCCGTTGTGATGTTCTTCCTTTTCTACGGTGGCAATGCCATGACTTGGTTGGGTCCATCGTGGGCGTATCCGACAGAGATTCTGCCTCTGCAGATCCGTGAAAAAGGTCTCGCACTGGGGAACATCTGTTACTGGCTTTTCCAGTTCTTGATCGTGGAAGTCGCGCCCATCGCGATCACCAACATGAAATACCGGTTCTACATCATCTTGGCTGTTCTCAACACCTTCAACGCTGTGGTCGTCTATTTCTGGTTCCCGGAGACAAAGGGATTGTCTCTTGAAGAGATCGACTTTTACTTTGCGGAGAAGTATGGCTTTCAGGAATCCCGAGAGCTGGGACAGTCGTCAAAGAACGCTACGGAGGAGGTCGAAGATGTACGCAGCACTTGATATGGATGGTCTATGTAGAGGCCAATAGTCGGTTAATACTAGTCATTTATTTGATCGATATTCATCCAGTCTAAGGACCCGATCCAATCCTGGAACGCCAATGGTGACATCGTCAAGTCTAGGTCGTCCGCAAAATCAAGGCCTAATAATGAGCACTGGCCTTCGTTTTCGTGGAGTAAGTGAACTTACCCTGTAGGTGCTTTTCGAAAAGTTCGAGAATAGACACACACGTCCTCGCCGCGCTGCACCGCACCGCTAGCGCCTTCATAATCTCCTTACTCGCCCTCCAGGACGTCACGGTCGTCTCGCGTTGCAGCCCGGGGATAATCTGTGCAGCGAACAGGACCAATCCCGCGCTAAACACGGAGTACGTATTGTACCACGCTGCGCCGAGCAAGTGGCCGTCTGCGATAACATTCTTCCGGATATGCTCGATCAACTGTATGGCAGTGTCTATGCAGCTCTCTGCAGCTGTGAGTGCGAAAGAGTCGTGTAATGGGCGAAGATAGTCCTTGCCACCATCGTTAGCACTTGTTATCTGTGTGACGGTTGCTAAACTGGGCCGTGTTAGAAGGATTCGAATAGTAAGATAGCGGGCGTGAAGAACATGTCGTCGACGGAGGGAGTCAAGACTATCATTCAAGTTCACAGAGCTGTCCATTCGTAAGCATGGTGGTAAACTATCCTTCCATGCACGCAATTGTCGGTCAAACTCGAGCATCTCGCCTCCTGAATAAGTCGTCTCGCCATTTCCCTGGTACAGGGCTTTGAGAATGCGGTGCAGCACGACATAGAGCTTGGCCTTGTAGATAAACAGAAGGATCTTTGGAGCAGCTACATGCTTTGGCTGAGCAAATATTTGAGTAGGCGTGATACACGTATCATCAACACAAGCCGGCATCTCGTCGTCATTGTCTACCACGGCCTCATAGTGCTCCGAAGGGATCATCAACGGCCTTCCAAAGGTCATAGCGACCATTGTGTCCATGATGAGACAGCCAAACCAGCAGCGCCTCCGCAACTCACGCTCCAGCGGTGGACAGCGCTGGTTAGCCTCTGCTGACTGCAGACCGAGTCCTTGCGCAGTTCGGATCGCTAGCCCAAACACGTACCAGCAGCGGTTGACCTGTGTGGTACTCTGTAAGTACTGACCCATGAGCAAGAGAGCTTGGACCATGGTCAAACTTCCCGAGTCAAGACAGTCAAAGTTGAGAAGCTGCTTGGCCTGTGCGAAGAACGACCGGGCCGTCGTCTCGCTATTCTCCGCCGGCAACCGATCTGAGAATAAACTCCCCAGCGCAAAGACCGCATTGATGATACACAACCAGAGGCGGTCAGGCTCATCTGGCCCGGACTGCCACAGTTGTTCGTACCGGTTGCGGAAAGTCGGCTCGTGCAGAATCATGTACAGGTATGAAACCCGTGTAAAGTAGGTATCGACGAGGTGATCTGCCGTTGAACGAGGAGGCAGCAATGGGGCCTGAAGATTAAGCATCCCGGGTACTGAAAAGCTATCTATTTGCGGTGATCGATGCATATCCTTCATCACCGCGGTGCCGGTGCGAGAAGTCATGGTCTGTAGCACCTCGAGGAATGCCAGCGTTGATGATTTACCGAAATATTCCCTGCCGGTCTGTGGCGAGGGACCTGCACAGACCATCGCATCGGTGGAAAATTCTTCATTGTTCTCATTCTTCCGATCGTCAACAGACTGCGGCGAGGGTATGATAGTCGGTTGCGTTTCCACGGCGGCCGGAGGCACCGTCGTTATCAGCTCAGAATTGGTCTGGGGAGCATTGCGGCGTAGCTCCTCTACCTGACGCAGCAAGGAGTTCAGGTACTCTTGTGGCACCTGCACGCGTTGCGATGTTTTTTGGTACACGCAGGACAGGTCATGGTTTAGGCAATAAGTGCAGCAGGGTTGCTGGCCATCACATCGGATTTTGCGTCGTCGGCAATCATCACAGGCTACAGCCACACGACGCCGCTTAGACTGGTGCACTGTTTCCATGGCAATTGATCTGTTGTATATTTCAAGCCGGATATGCTACCGGTAACAACTGGGGAAGCCGGGAACGGAGAGAACTTCCCCCGCACTTCTTCGCAGCACACGGATGATGCTTCCGTGAGCTATCCGGAAACTGAAGAGGTTGCCGAGAGAGCGCGGAAACTGGAACCGTAAAGCAGGACAGATAAATAAAGAGATGGAGAGGCACGGCGTTTTATCCGTATCTTTTAATACCAACATTTGGTGCCATCATGACCCAGCTACCCGACCCAGCAGAAGCCCTCCCGAAACACTGCGAGCTGTTTTACGGCGGCGAATGGCACGCGCCACTCCAGGGTCAGTATCGTGAGACCTTCAATCCCGGCAACGGCAGCGTTATCACATCCGTCGCGCAGGCTGATCCTCAGGATGTCGATGCGGCCGTTCAAGCTGCCGCGAAGGCTTACCCGGCCTGGCGGTCCACCACTCCGGCGCAACGAGCAGGATACCTACGCAATGCGGCCGAGGTGATCCGGAAACATGCCGCGGAGCTGGCCATGATTGATGCCCTCAACACCGGCAACCCTATCGCGGAGATGCTCAGCGACGCCAACGTGGCTGCGGCCAACCTCGACTATTTCGCTGGTCTGATCCCGATGATCAAGGGCGAGACAATTCCTCGCGAGAACGATCAATTCCATTACACCCTGCGCGAGCCCTTGGGCGTCGTCGCCCGCATCGTCGCGTACAATCACCCGGTGATGTTTGCCGGCGGCAAGATGGCTGCTCCGTTGGCGGCAGGAAACACGGTCATCATCAAGCCGCCGGAGCAGGCGCCCTTGTCGTGTCTGCGGCTGGCAGAGATCCTCACTGATGTCTTTCCACCGGGTGTCCTGAATATTCTGCCTGGCAGCGTCCCTTGTGGCCAGTCACTATCAACGCACCCGCTCGTGAAGAAGATCACGTTGATTGGCAGCGTGCCGACGGGCAAAGCGATCCAGCGTGCTGCTGCCGACACCCTCAAGCCCACACTGTTTGAGTTGGGTGGAAAGAACGCCCTGTTGGCATTTCCCGACGCCGACATCGACCGACTCGTCGATGGCATCACTCGCGGGATGAACTTCACCTGGGCCGGCCAGTCATGCGGCTCGACTTCCCGCGTCTTCCTGCACGAATCGCACCATGATGAGGTTGTTTTGCGCGTATTAGAAAATGTCCAGGCAATGTACAAGCCAGGAGTTCCGACCGACATGGCGACAACGATGGGCCCCGTGATCAGCAAGGTCGCCCAGGAACGTGTTCTGAGCTTCATCGCCAGTGGAAAGCAGGAGGGGGCCCATCTCGCTCTCGGGGGTGTCGTGCCTAGCAATAACCCAGCTATTGAGGGTGGATATTTTGTCGAGCCGACAGTTTTCACCAATGTCCAGCCACATATGCGAATTGCGCGCGAGGAGATCTTTGGGCCGGTCATGTCTGTCTTCAAGTGGAAGGACCAGGCGGAGGCTCTGCGCCAGGTCAACGACACGACGTACGGACTGACCGCGGCGGTGTATACCCAAAACATGAGCACCGCCCAGCGGACTGTGGGCCAGATTGAGGCCGGGTTTATCTGGGTCAACCAAGTCGGCCGACACTTCCTGGGTGTGCCGTTTGGGGGGGTTAAGGAGTCCGGCACGGGGAGAGAGGAAGGGCTGGACGAGCTGCTGTCATTTACGCAAACCAAGAGCGTCAATCTCAACCTAGTGTGACAATTTCTCAAGTCGAATGGTTCTTTTTCTTATTAGATAATATCGATCAACTTCTAGTGAAACTATGAAGCATAACCTGGATATCATCGAGTAAGGATTTATAAGATGTCCAGCGGTTTGAACATCATGGTAAATGCCGGGACTCCAGATTCTCACTCGGAATGCGGATTCCAGGTTGCTTTTTCGTATCTGGTCTTGTCATTCGGAGAGATCCAGGATTCGGTTCTGCTGGTCTGGTGAGGGATCCACGATCTCGGACCGCTTAGAGTCTGTTTATTCCCGAGTTCCCCGGCTTGGTGCGGCTCAGGCTTCGTCGCAACCTTGCATACTATGATGTAAAGTTGGCGTTGGCATCAATTGTCTACAGGCTTGATCTTCATCTTACTGAGCCGAATCCGAAACTTGACACATTGGAAAGGTTAATCACAGTCCAGTTAGCTTGAAGCTGAGGCTGTCACCCCGATCATGCCCTACTATATCATGAGTTGGTTGGTACGGAAAGTTGTAGGACTAGGTCTCCTTTACTTTTTGTTTGATTGCAAGCGGCATGAACTATTCCAACCCAAATAAGATTCTCGGGTTATCATACCAGCAGACCTCCGTCGAGCGAATCGAGCGGTATCCGTATAATCAAGTTATGGCATGGTCTTGGGAATATGTCGTTGTAGACACTTGAAGCCTCTACGCAATATCTTTATCCTGGTTCTTATCTTGGGATTGATTCATGCCCAGTCACACGGCATTCGCCTTTCAACAATTCCTTATTTTCGGGCCCCACACAGTACTACACCCACCATGACCAACGGCTGTATAGCTCCCACAAAAAAAAGAGGTCTTTATTAGAATAAACTCACAGATTTCACAGTCACATATAATTATTAATTGCCTGATGATGGAAATTTTAGCCAAGAGTAGCAATTTTTCCCTTCACAACCAAAGGCCCGCCTTTTGTCCCGCGTTCGTCCCGATCATGTGAGCGGAAGTCTATCAGATAATCCATGGGATCGAATGCGAAGACAAAGCTAAAAATTACCTGAAACATATTTCTACAAGACTAGGGAAAGACGTAAGCTTAGTTCCTTTTACTGAAGTATAAGTGTTGATCAGTGGTGAATGGAGCGAGTATCTTAGTCGCTGTGGACTTCTCGAGTCTTGCTTTAACTCCTTGAGATGAAACGTTGGCTAGAAGAAGGTTATCTTCATATTTTAACGGCAATATTTTAACGGCGACATGCCCTAACATGGTAGAATTTCTACTCATTGGGAGAGGTCGTCGTTTTCCTTGCTCTGAAAAGCTATGTACATGCTAGAGTTTCGTCCTGCTTGGAGCAAAAGTCGACCCAGCGCCTTGACTGATAGCCTCAACAATAGTGTCGACACTGTTTAAGATCCAGGAATTGCCCTCATCACTGGCTAACCACTGCGCGGCCTCCTGATTTTCTCTATCGTTCGCCCATGTCCCATCCTCGAGCGCTTTTCGTAGACCAAAAATATGAGACGTCACCTGTGGACCAACGCCGGATTGAGCGCGCAAACAGGATACAGCCACAATAGAGGTGAGAACCCGCCCGACAGAGGCACCGGTACCACGCACCGGATCAGAGAGCAAGGCACCATAGTGACTGTTCAAAATATGAACCGGTAAATCCGGATGCGAATCTGCGAGTTTACGATATAGCTTCGTTTCAAATGGATAGTATATCGAGTCCCAAAGTGCACGGCCGCGGTCGCTGATAGCACCAATGTTGTTCGGAGTAGGGGTTCGCGTCGGAGTGGATGAGAGCTGGGAGGCGACTGCAGCGGGTAAACTATCTTTGAAGGAATTTAGGCAGTTGATAGTACGAGGAATGCCGTTAAAGCTAATGCATTTGAGGCCAACTTCACGCATAAGTTCGGCAGTTTCGACTGCGTCGGTTGAAGGACCGGTGGTAGCAAGTTGATACAGGGCTGAAAGTGAGTCGGGCGAGTTCATGGTCATTGTCGCAGCTGTCTACATGATCGCCGTGTTAGAGAAGGGGGAAACATTATTAGGTTTTGCAAGATTCAGAACTGACCGACAGAGCCAGCCATGACGACGGCGAGACATTTTGGGTCCGGACACTCTGCTGAATGACTCGATAGATAGCGGCGATGTTTTGCGGGGCAGGCACAGTCGCTGGGCGGGCGGCAGGAGCATTGATCAATGCTTTGAGACTGTTAGAAATCTTGGACATCCTTTCTTCGCCAGTATTTCCTGGAAAGATGTAGAGCAATAAATACGCGGTTGACGAGGCGAAGTGTGCAGCCTAGGCATTTGTCTCGGCGCCAGAACTGGACACCGACCGGATCCACCGCGGGTCACCCGAGATCACCTGCCGAGTACCCTCCGGTGGTCATGAAATATGATATGAAACGGAACTACACCCGGGCCGTTATGATACGCATTTAGAGTAATCAGCTAGCAGAAAGGATGGGGGCGAATTTACGAGGCCATTTTGAGACCGGTGTATTAATAGAACAAACAATGCTAAATCGAAGTACACTCTTCTTAATTCTTGCATAAAGAAACCGGTATCAAGCTCTGTCGGTCTGACATTTACGACCAGTTATCTCGCCAACGTCTTGTACTTCCGTATCTTGGACGTTTTTATAAACGGGGCTTCAGGTGGTTCTCGATTTGTGATGTAATAGCTGGACTGCCATCATAAAGACGACTCATATTCGGGTCGTACAATGGGTCAGCCGTAACCGTTGCTTGAATTCGCCGTCCAAAGTATTCGATTTCAACGGGTTCGCCTTCAGCCACTCTGTTCGGGAGCCAAGCATAGGCAATTGGCTTCCGAATGGTGTATCCGAACCCAGCGCTGGTAATATACCCAACCGGTTTGCTCTGATAGTACACGGGCTCCTTCCCAAGGACCGTAGAGGAGCCATCGTTGATGGTTAGGCAACGTAGCTTTCGAGATAATGTCTGATTTGCGCGGCCAATGAGCGCTGCCTTGCCAATGTAGTCTTCTTTTTTGTTCGCCTTGATGGCAGAATCAACACCAGCTTCAAACGGATCATGCTCGGTTGTCATGTCAGTACCCCAGGTGCGATAACCTTTCTCAAGCCGCAATGCGTTAAATGCTGCGCGACCGGCTGCAACGAGACCATGAGGCTTTCCTGCTTGCCAAAGAGCGTCCCACAGCCGATGTCCATACTCGGTGCTGGCATGGATCTCCCAACCCAGCTCCCCAACATAGGACTTGCGCATCATGGTAACAGGTATACCGGCGATGGTTGCTTTCTTGAGAGAGAAGTAAGGGAGCGCTTTATTGGAAAAGTCGTCCGAGCTGACAGCGCGAATAACGTCCCGGGAACGAGGACCCCAGAGTCCAAGACAGCATGTGCTACCAGTGATGTCGCGGACCCGCACCCACCCACTCTTTGTGCGCTGCTCGTGATAACGGGCTTGTTGGACAAGATAGGCTAAATCAATAGCAGTATTCGCACCCACCCAAAACAGGTTTTCATTGAGCCTCGACACAAAAATATCACTGCGGATGCCGCCGTTATTGTTCAGAAGCAGGGTATAGGTTATGGTGCCAGGTTTAGTCGTAATATCGCTCGTGGTTAACCTGTGGAGCAGATGAACAGCTTCTGGTCCTGAAACCTCGAATCGGTGGAAAGAGGTCATATCATACATCGCTACTGCATTTCGTGTCTTCCAGGCTTCTGCTGCAGCTATAGGCGAGTAGTACCGTGCTGACCAGGAATCGCGAGCAACCGGTTGCCAGTGTGAAGGGAGATGCTTGACCAATGGCGCATTTGCTTCATACCAATACGGACGTTCCCATGCTGCAGCTTCAAGAAAGAACGCACCCAGGTCTCGTTGTTGAGCGTAGAATGGGCTGACACGAAGATTGCGAGGGGAGTCTCTTGGTTGAAGAGGGTGTATGATATCGTATATCTCAACGAAGTTCTGCTGTGATGTTTCGCTCACGTATTCTTGACTGAGTTGGATCTCCTCAAAGCGGGACAACTCGCACTCGCTGACATCGATCTCAGATTGGCCCGTAGTAAGAATTTGAGCTACGGATCGTGCCACACCAGCCGAGTGTGTGACCCATACCGCTTCAGCAACATAGAAACCATCAATATCGGGCGCTTGACCTACGAGAGGTCCGCCATCGGGCGTAAACGAAAATATGCCATTGAAAGCGTCCGCTATTTCGGTTTCACGTAAAGCAGGCAAGAGATTTTGGGACAGCTTCCAAGCCTTATCAAAATCATGCGGAGTGAACTCGAGTCGAGATGGCATATTGTATTCATCGACATGACGAGAAGTTGCACCCAACCATGATGCGTTGACAGGCATTGGACGGTGGCCGTAATAACCGATTCCGTACTGGTCGCCGTGTTCGCGGTAGTAGAGATCCTGGTCTTGGTAGCGTAGGATAGGCAGGCTCGCGTTCAATCCGTTAGGCAGTGAATTGATATCACGACCGGAGAGAGCAGGGACTTTTGTCGTCTTTGCGTATTGATGCGCCAGTGGGAGTAAAGGAATTGGCAGGTCGACCATAGCACCCACCTTGACGCCCCAGAAACCAGCGCAAGAAACTATGATATCGGCAGGAATGATGCCGTTCAGGGTCTTTACACCTGTCACACATCGCCTTGTCCGCTCGATTCCAGTGACAGGGGTTGAGCCAAGGTATCGGACACCAGCTTTGCTAGTGCGTTCAATGAGCAACTGTGTCGCGCGAGCAGCTAAGGCTAAGCCGTCGCTGGGTATGTGGAGGCCACCGAGCACGAGATCTTTATTGAGGAAAGGGTACATGCTAATACATTTTTCGGCGCCTATGAGGTGCGCTTCGATTCCCCATGAGGTAGCGTAGCCGTGTTTGCGCTTGAGCTCCTCGAGTCGTGCAGGCGTCGTCGCCACTTCAAGACCGCCCACCTGGTTGAAACAATTCTGACCATCTTTCTCAAGCGACTGAAACTTTTCAACTGTGTAGCGTGCAAGTTGTGTCATAGTCTTAGATGAATTTGTCTGGAAAACGAGGCCAGGCGCGTGCGATGTCGAGCCACCCGGCATGTGTAATGGGCCTTGCTCGACGACTGTAACATCATGCCATCCTCGAGATATCAGCTCATCGGCCAGATTAGTGCCCACAATACCAGCCCCGATTATAACAACCCGTTGTTTAGATGCCATGATTCAGAAATGGTTGACTTGTTTCCACAAGCAATGGGCGAGATTTGCCTTTTTGGGTAATCGCCGACGAAAATGAAAATGGAAGAGAAAAACAAGGCCCTCGAGGCTTCATGGACTGTAGAGATGTATTTCATGATGGGTCCGATAGCAAGCAAAGCCCCGCACGTGTGATCGCGATATTGTATGGATGAATATACCAGCAATGGACATAGGGTCCTTTTTCCCCAATTGGGTATAGTTTGTTATCCGTGGTGGGGTACGGATTTCTACCCGGCCAATAATGTGGCGATTTTGACCCCGAACCACCTGGCGGAACAATCGGGAACCCCTCATAGCTCAGATGCCAGACCGCCCGGCGTCCCAGTGATCCTCTGGAGAATAAAGAATGCTAAGTTACTCCTATCAGTTGTGCTACGCTGCATGAGGCTCTGCACTCAGTATTTCTGAACGTGACCAGTTGTAATACAACATTTAATGATAATCCAAATCGCACGTCGTGTCCCATTTCAGAGGGGATTCTTGCCCTTCACAGCCTTCGCCTTGGATGTCCTCACGCGGAACACATAGTACAGGGTAATTGCTCCGAATATGTTGAACACAAAGTAGCACCAGAAGATGCCATAGTTCCTCCATCGATCGCCCCAGTAAATTTCCCGGGCTGCCAGATACTGATCCGCCGAGGACATGGCGCAATATTTGCAGTTTGAAGTGGCGTTGTGGTTGTAAAGTTGCGTTGGGCTCTCGAGATAGCTCGCCAGATACTCGATGCAAGTCTGGCCCGGCGGTGGGTCAAAGATGCTGAGCTCAGCCGCGCTGCACTCCACCTTGCGACCGTGAAGCGCAGTGCTGCTGATGCCGCTAATGTAATACGTGAATGGGGACACGCGATACATGAAGATCCAAAACCGTGGCAGGGCAGTTGGGGGCTGCAAAACTCCGTTGAAAATGAAACTCAGTCCGAACATAAGTGTGGCAAGCATCGCTGCAAGGGTTGGTTCAGGGATTGCACAGACGACAAACTGGGCCATACTTGCAGCATAGATGTAGAACTGTACAATATACAGCATAATGAGGCCGCGTCGCTCAGCACTCTGGTCAGCACCAAAGACGGACCAGTAGAAGGAGGCCCACGAACAGACACCGAGGCAAACTTGCCAGGGAACTTCCACGATAATTTGGGACACAATGAAGACCTTCCACGAGTAAATACGAGATGGGCGTTCGCGAACCTCGTACAAAGAGCGCTGGGCAACAAATCGTGGCATGATTTGGTTCACGAGAGTATTGAAGATAGTGCACAACAGGAAAATACTGAAGAGCACATCCTGGAACCCTTGCTGTGTGTTGTCGGACTGCCAGAAGGAGAAACCGATGAACAACCCGGAAGCGATACCGAGAATGAATTTGGCATAGATGTAATCGGGTTGGCGGAAGTAGCCCTGGAAGCAGCGTCCAAGTACAATCCAGAGCTGGGTGGAGAGAGGCATGGCAAATTCAGCGTTATCTTCGTCGGCGAAGGGTTCGTGAGTTGACCCATTGTGTAGTGAATGAAGCCGGTCGACTTCAGCGAGGACTTCTTGGTATTCCGGGCTTTTACTCCACGCTTGCGCCCAGTCCACTTCGGGACACCCTTCTCCGGCAACCATGTCGAGGATATACTCGGCAGGATTCTCAAATTCTTCGCATTTTCGGGCACCATTGCGTTCAAAGTACTCCAGAAGGGTAGAAGATTGTTCTCCAACATCACCAAAATACACTGTTCTGCCACCTTTGGCCAGAAAGAGCAAACGATCAAAGGTCTGGAACCTATATGGTATGTTAGTGCTGTGTGTTTGAAGAGCCAGCCATCCCTGACAAATGGTGTGGAGGATGTGGCAGGAACTTACAGAGTTGCACTCGGCTGGTGAATCGTAGCCAGTACAGCCTGCCCGTGATCCGCGAGCCGCCGAAGGAACTGACAGATGATCCACGAACTCTGGGAGTCAAGGCCACTCGTAGGCTCATCTAGGAAAATCAAAAGAGTGGGTTTTGCTGCAAGCTCAACGCCAATACTGAGCAGCTTCCGCTGCTCGACATTCAGTCCTTCTCCAAGGGATCCAACGACCGCTTCAGCAAAGTCTTCCATGCCAAGGACCTTAATCACCTGTTCCACATATTCGTACTTTTCGTGTTTAGGCACACTCTTTGGCTGGCGGAGCATGGCACTGAACCGTAGAGCTTCACGCACTGTGGTAGTGTCAAGGTGAAGATCTTGTTGTTGCACGTAACCAGTCCGACGGGGGAAATTTGGCAACAACGGCTGGCCATTTACCAGAATATCCCCAGTGACCACACCAATTGACACTCGTTGGGCGAGAACATCCAGCAGAGTTGTCTTTCCTGCGCCCGAGACACCCATCAATGCGGTCAAAGTGCCTGGCTTGACCCATCCGTTCACATTGTCCAAAAGTCGACGAGTACCTTCCTTCACAGGAATGTCGTAGTTCAGGGCCTTCCATGAGAAAACATCTTTCTGCTGCGGGAGACGAATCGTGTCGTTTGTATGCTGTACTTCGAGCTTGTTAGGAGGCTCCATCACCCCATCCTCAGCATCCTGGCCTACTTGGAGGTGTTTCGGGGCATGGCCAGGACGGAACACGAGTGCTTCTGCCTTTGACTTATCGCTGGAAATAAATTCTGTGGCCATCAGATAAATGGCATTGAAGAAGATCATGAAAGCGACGAGGATGCCGAAGTTGCGCCACAGATGAGAGTAGTAATAGTGATAGTTTTGTGCGATGAATGCATCCCCGGAAACAAACCGCTGACCAGCCACGGCACCGATCGACGAACAGATGAAGGACGTGCCAGTTCCGTAGCTTGGAATAAACTGTGAACAATCATAGTTGCGACCATGGAACTCATTGGCTATCAGTGCCTCGAACGTATAGTAGATCGGATTGATCCACCGAATCCAGGCGAGCCAAGGGTGCATGTAAGGCTGTGGGAGTGTAAAACCTGTGTAGACAACAATACAGAGTACCAAGATACCAGCAAATGCCATTGCCTGCCCGATGGACTTGGTCAGTGCCCCCAGGCTGCGGAAGAGCCCCGACATGGTGAGGACAGCAAAGATCAGGAACAGGTAGAAGATGAAGAAGGGCCCTGGTTCCCGGCGGAGGTTGGACAGGAAGTACAGGACAATACTGAAGATTGAGATACGCAGGAGCTTGATTGGCAGATCCACCACAAGACTGGCTATTGCCTCAGTAAAAGGGTGAACAAATGCATAAGCAGCCTGTTTCTCCACCACGGGACGCTGGCTATACAGTTGCATGATCTCGTTGATGGTGAGGAGAGCATTCATGAGCACAGCAAAGTAACACACAGCACCCTTTTGGAAAAAATAACTCGAGGTGTCCGGGGTGTTGTAGAAGACAGACCCGATAATCAAAGACAGGATTAGCTGGACAATAAGCGGAGACAAGGCCGTCGGCAGATCATTTAGCATTCGCTGGTAGGCTCGCCGTGTGCAGAGGCGAATCTGCATGGGGATAGAAAGAAGATAGGGACTGCGAGACCGCGTGTGGTGAGCTTGTTGCTGTTCATGGCTGGCCTGCAGTCTCTTGGCATCGTCGCCACTTGGGGGATGCTCTCGTTCATAGCTCGTAATTTCATTGCGCAGTGTCTGGTACTCCGGGCTCTTCTTCCAGTACTCGGCAAATTCTTTGGCGGTACGCGGCACCTTATTCTTCATCCCCGGAAGGGCCTTGCGCTCCGTGGGGTTGGTGATGGCGGTCAAAAAGTCTCCGCTGACCTGACGTTCGGGTCTCGCCCAACCCATGTCCTGGAAGTAGGACACGGCTCGATCCCGGGGGCCATAGTAGATCTCATACCCGTCGTAGAGAAGCACCAATTTGTCAAACAGATCGTACATGGATTGGGACGCTTGGTACGCGGCAATTGCATGGCATGAGCCCATGTCAGCCGCCAGTCGCAAAGACCGGACGAATTTCAGGGCGGAGGCCGCGTCCAACCCTCGCGTGCTGTTATCCCAGGCTCCAATGCGGCACCGAGACAGAAACATCTCGGCAATACTGACGCGCTTTCTCTCTCCTCCACTCACGCCGCGCACGAATTCACTGCCGACTTTGGTATGATAGGTGTGCGAGAGCCCAAAAACTGACATGACCACCTTGGTGATGGTATCGACATACTCATTTCGCGTCATATCCTCGATGCGCCGATGTGGAGCACGGGCGTGGGCAGCAAACGAGAGCGTCTGGCCAACCGTCAGGTGGGGGAAATGCAGGTCGACCTCTTTGTTGTAGGCCACTTCCCCACGGTGGTGTTGGATCATCTGCTCGAAGCCGATGCCCTCATAGTGGATCACACTGTCTGGCTCCATGGTCAACCCTCCCAGATGCCCACAGATGGTTTTAAGAAGTGTGGTGCATCCGCTTCCCGGACGTCCCAGGACGAGTAGAAGCTCGCCGCTCTGTAACAGGCCATCGAAATTGTGCAAGATCCGTCGCGGGGGCGACAGACGTCCAGAGAGAGCCTTGGTCAAAAAGCGGATGGGGAGAGTGAGACTAGAGATCAAGGTCTCCTGGAATTGAAGGCCAGCTCCTGAGCCACTCACACACAGGTTGGAGAAGACCACGCCTTGGTGTGGAATGTCGATGCCAGATTCGTGTACTTGGCTGAGCACAGTTTGGGCCCATCGGTGGTGATCAAACTCGGGGCTGCTGGGATCCAGCCCGGGGTCTTTGCTCTCTTTCCTGGCCGATAGGACTTGGCCGATTTTGCTGGAGGCAATGCGGTTCAAGGTCTCCAGCTCCCGTTCGTCCAGGGCGGTGACGGTTCGCTCCGTAATAGGAGCAAACTCGATGTCGCTGTCGCTCTCCATAGTCATAATCAATGGGTTGTGAACGGGGAGGGAGGAAGGTACCCAAACGGCACGACGACATATATAGATCCCGATTTTATGCATCTACCGCTCGGGGACGGCGCTCCCGAGCCCCACCACGGCATGTCGGGTTCCGTCTGCCCCGACCTGGTGAATATTTTCATGTTACTAAAGGGATCATCACTAGTTATTAGACGTTAACTAACCTGCTAGCTAACGAATCGGAATGGCAAAAGACCGAATAATCAGGATGGTCGCAACAGGGGGGACGCAGGATCGTCCAGCAAAGACTAACTAACTAGTTCGACACGAAATAATTCGCGGCCACAAGCTCCCCCAATCCCAGCTGCTTCACCATCGCGTCGGCATCGAATCTCGTGCGCTGCGTGAGCCCCATCGGTTTCTCCGTCAAGTTCGGGGGCGGGCTCGAATCGGGCTTCTGGCTATAGAGGAAAAACACATAGCGATGCGGCGCCGCACCAGGGGGGGGACCCGCAGCAGCCCAAGGGCCGATCGCGGGTTCGTCGCTCTCGAGGGCCTGTCCGGGCTGCTTAACGTGGAAGCCAGTCTGAATCCAATGCGCGATGGGACTCATCACATTCCACGAGACGAACGGCGCGTCCAGGTCGAGAGCAATCACGGTGTAGGGACCGGGCGGGAGGTCCGATGGCGCCGAGAGAGTCGGAGTGGGTTGGGTGTCTGGTGGGTGGTGAGCCATGTTCTATAGAGATCGTACGATGCATCGCCTACCTCCCTTGGGGATTTGGAGCCCGGGGGTGACCTGGTGCGAGCCGACGCTCACGCCCAGGGTGCGATAGGTGCCATTCTTCAGGCCCTCCAGGACCGCCTCATGGTTGGAAACGTTGGGCATGGTGATTGGGAATTCTCTGATAGGTATCCAGGAATCTGGCAGAGATGCACAGAGGGAAAATCGTTCACGGTGGTAAGTGTTGCGTCAAGGGGCCGGCGGATGGCACCCGGTCCCGGCCATCGACCTCCGGGACCGGCTCACTACTCCTAAGGAACGATCTATCGTAGTGGATAATTGTATATTCCGATGACTTGTTTACATACTCATCCCAGTTCACCAGGAAAATATATATCTGCCTAGAATGTCATATCAACGATCATTCATACCGGACGCATGAATATCCAGCCATGGAGGGTCAGTTTTCATAAATGCTAGAGCCAGGCTAGGGAGGATGTTAGAGAAGCGGGTCCGGCGATGAAGATGGCAGCGAAAAGTGCTGGCCAAACACCGTGGGCCTACGGGGGGCGTTGGGACGCCACGGGGGACTTTCGGGCGGACCACACGCTCGTTCGTGGTTTTTCCTGGTAGTCAGCTTGCCGTCCAAGGCGACTTCCTGTCCGAAGATCCTCAGTAGAGAAGTATCGCCCCCTCGGATTGCATCTGCCCCAGGAACTTGGGAGCCCGATGCGCGTAGGACATGCGCTGTGTCGGCATCTGGGCTGATATCTCTTGAGAAACGCCAATCGCGACGGCTTGGGTGTGTGGCTCGTTCGATGGCATTGCGGGGCTTCCCAAACCAACCCGGCCCTCTTCGTTCCGCCTCCGTGGGACTGAGAGGTGAATATTGGTCATGCTGACTCGACCGAGTTTCGATCGCGGTGTTGGGTCGCTGCTGAGCCACCAGGCCGACGCTGCAACCCATCCGCTCCGCGAGGAATTGGTCCTCAATTGTGAAATGCCTGGGTCCCCTCGGGACGGAGGAAACGGAGCCCGAGCGGTCGACAGTCGACGGCCGAGATCCCGTTGCGTCATTTTGCTCACCTGCTACTTGATTTCGTATGTCGGAGTCATCTGAAGTCTCCTGCGAGGTTTGCACAGAGAGATGTTTGTCAGGAAATTGAGCCAGAGCGGCTCGCCGAGGGGGAGGCGGCAATGATTTGTGAGACTGGAAGGACCTCGTGTTCGATCTCAGCGACAAACGGTTAGTGTAGATGGCCCCCTTTTCCCTGCCTGGAGGGGCAGATTCCTCGCAATCAAAAAGCATTGACTGGGATGAGCCATTATTGCCTTGGCTGTTACTGGACTGGAGACCGGTGGAACGACCATTGATTCGGATATGGATATCCCCAGCGTCCACATTGAGGAGAGTACATTTGGTCCGTTCTTGGTCGGAGTGGGTCAGCCTGAGATCCGCTCCGTGTCCATGAGTATTCAGTCGCCTCTTATCGTGGTCGTTCAGTCTTCGTCGCTTTCCAAACCTCTCTGTTTCTTCGACTGGAGCGAAGGCGATGTTCAAAGGACAAGCGGTCGATATGGTGGCCCAGTCACATTTCTGGAGGAGCTGGCGCTTGATCCCTTCCAGATGATTGGTCTTTGATGCTGGTGACGGAGGGACAGACTCCTTGGCTCTAGGAGAAGATATGGAGGGTTAGCAGTGCAAAAGGGACTGACAAACCCTCCATGAACTCGAAGCAATTGACCACTGACTTCGGTCTCAGGTCTGCCTTGGCCTTGTCTCGATCCTCTCTCGAAGCAAAGCTTTCCCACTGGAATGGGCTTGGTGGACGTGCCACTTGGGAGGTGCTGGACGCTTTCAGCCGGGACCTGACGAGGTTCTGTCGCTGAGATCTGGTCAATGCTCCCGGTCTGACAGCCGAATGACGCCGCAGCTGGCTGCCCATCCAGTTCATAATGTTGGTGGTGGGTGTGCGGCAATCAAGCAAGCAACAAGCAAGCAAGCATACCGATACCTCAACAAACAGTGCAAACCCACCACGTGACCTTCGCACTTTCTTCCCTTTCTCTTCTCTCTCTTTTTTTTTTCTCTTCCACTTACAACTCGACTCTCACCTCCCCTGGTGTTTCATCCCCTCCCCGATTGACTGACTTTGACCAACCCGGTTCTCACCCACCCCCTTTCACTAGGTAAGCAATCCTACCCTCCCTCCTTTCCCTCTCTGCCGACCGCAAGGCCCCGTGCCCTGCATGATGAGCAACAATATTCCAAAGCATAGTTCACCTGAAATCTTCGGATTGCTGAACGACAACCTATTACCATCTTTCTTTTTATCTGACAATTCGTCTTCCTGCTGCCTGGTTGATCGCGTTCCCCTGTTTGTCCCATGCTGACGGACAAAAGGATTTTCATTAGTTGACGCATGGCTGCCCAACAGTGGGTCGGCGTGGCTCGCCCCGAACCGCCCACCCGCGAGGTTTGACTAGATACGGAGTAGATAGAAACATAATCCATGTGCTTGCAACGCAGCTCCTGCAGCCCCGTAACGACTCCCTCGGAGACGTGGATACACTCCTGACCAAACAATCCCCGTCATCGTGCGCCGACCCTCTCCATGTGCCAATCACCCGTCGCCAGTTCACCGCTCCCGTTGCACAGGCCATCACATCACGTAGTGGGATGGGCCAGCGCACTTAGACTCCCGTCCTGCCCATCGGCTAAATACCTGCTGATCCCCCTCGGCCCTTCCCGTCCCTTTCTCTTCTCTTCCCACCTTCGAGATACCCTTTTTCCCTTCTTGTTGATTCTTTCGAGATACCCCTTTCACCCATCCCCTAGTCACTACTACAACATTTGACCCACTGGACGTGGAACTCTCTCCCCATCAGAGTTCTACATTGATTCCCACCAGGACTTCTTTCCATATATACATACTATCCCTCCAGGACAGGATTTGCTTTCTGCTTGTCGCTCCCCCCCAGGCTGCCCTTAGTCTGCACATCAACAGAGTCAATAGGTAGTCCCCGTCACACTTTCCTTGTTCCTATGCGCCTGTGCTATCTTTTGTTGCCGGACCTGTGCCGCGTTGTCTTGTTCTCCCAAGGATGTCGTCGACACTTGAATTCCCAGGATCCTGTCCATGGACCCTAAATGGAGTGCTGGAACTCCTGCCAATTCTACTGGCATTCAATGATGGTGATCTTTTTCTTTTTCTTTTTGCTGCCATGGATACTCGTCCGCGGCGGCCGCTGCGTGACCGGACTCATCTTGAGTGATGTTAATGTTGCACACTCACTTGCTTCAAAACACTGCCACTGGATCTTGCCCTGGACTTTTTCCTCCGTTGGCCTCAACTGGCCTTGCCTTCAAGCCTGAAGGCGAGTGCATGGATTGATCCCTGGACGATGCTGCCATTCCTGCCACTGGATACCCAACGCCCCCAATGGATTGTTCCCCACAAGGATACGAAATAATAATGTTGATCCCTGGACTCATTAATGATGATATGCTGGCCTTGGCCTTCCTACGATGCTGTCTCCTTTGCCAAGGAGTTCACAGATGAGAGTTAATGTGCTCTCTATTCGACATGGATCCGAAGCACCTGCTTCGTCACTTACCCCAGGACGTTGACTCATAGCCATGATGCTGAATACGAATTATACTGCCTAGGAAATCAAGACCTTACTTACCTGGACTGCCGCGGATGATGATGACGACCATGATGATACCACTCCCTGGCACAACTAGCGCACTGGCCAAGCTTTACATGGCGCCCTGTTCTATTCCTCCTGAGAGCTTGGATCTATTCCAGACGATCAACCGGATGTGCATGCAAACTGCAATCTTTCTCTTCCAGGACCGCGCGCCCCTCTGCCCTCGGATTGCCCTGTCCTCCAACACGTCTTCGGTGCGTCAGCTTGTGAATCGCTAACCTAGATGACACTGCTAACACCGAACGGCAGGTCTTCGACCCACCCGGGATCTTGGACATCTTTATTGTTTTCTGCTGTTCTATATTTGCGTTGTCGAATTGTAGGTCACTAACATGATGCATCAACAGTGTATACTGCGACCTATCCATAATGTCGCTCAGGTCCAACGACCCAGACCGGGTCTCTCTTTCACACTCTGGACTGAACCCCGGAGTTCAGTCCATGTCCAGCCTGGCTTCCCAACCGATCCAGGCTGATGACTTGGTCAACCCAGGCAATTCATCTGCTTGCTCCAGTACTCACACAACCCATGGAACCCCCCCGGACATGAAGGACTGGACCATGAATGGTGCCGAGTCCCTCGACCAGGCCATCTCTTCTTCCAAGCCGGACTCTCCCGCAGTGCAAATGCTTGCATTCTCCATGTCTCAGCAGCTGATGACGCCCACAGTGGGGCCCAATGATGTGATGTTCCCAGAGATGACGGACTTCCCAGCAGTTCAAGACCCCAATGACCGCAGTGATATGTCCCAGGACTTGAAATACTCCTATATGGATTTTTTGAGAGTGATCCTGACATACACAGTGGCACCCCAGATGATACCTACTCCGATGGGCACAGTTCACGCACGGAAGATGGCCAGTTGATCATGAGCCCGGATCCCTGGAATTCCATGATGGATGATGCTGGACAATACCCCAGAGCCAATCTAGATCAGCTTTCATCTAGCATTTTCCAACCTGTCCCAATCTCTCCCCCCCTTAACGGAGGCTAGTAATGATGTCTCTGTTACTTCTTCATGTTCTCACACGGGCTTTTCTTCGTTTATGGCCACTGATGATGTCCTACTTGGAGACTTCACTTCTATTGGCAACCAGGGGGTCAACCCGATGGACCCTTTGTTCCCCAGCACGGCGCTCACTGACCGGGACCCCAACAAGTGAGTGTCACGAAGGCCAAGATTGTCCCTCAAATCCTGGTGACTAACTGCGCTACCTAGAACCATCAGACCTATCCGATCATCGCGCCGGGTGGCCCTGCCAGCCGCGTCTCAGCCCCAAGTGAAGGCTGATCCGGAATTTTTCCCATCTCTGCCTTTGAGAGAATCACTTCGGCAAAAGCCCAAGGAAAATGCCGAGGCACGGAACCCGCGAGACCACCCCTTCTACTCTATGCCCACTCATAGCGATGGAAAATACCACTGCCCATTTGCCACTGGAGACAAAACCTGCAACCACACGCCAACCACGCAGAAATGCGCTTACCAGCAAGTTCCCCCTTTCACATTAGCATAGCCGGACCCTAGAGGCTAACCGGCATCAACAGCAAATACCTGGACTCCCACTTAAAGCCTTACCGTTGCAAAGTGGATGTTTGCGTGGAAGCTCAACTCCGCTTCTCATCCAACGCTTGCTTGTTCCGCCACGAGCGCGAGGCTCACGGATTACATGGCCATGGAGATAACCCCAACCTCTGCCTTTGGGAGGGCTGTGAACGGTCCGTTCCAGGATACGGATTCCCCCGGAGATGGAATCTATTCGACCACATGCGGCGAGTGCACGACTACACGATTTCAGAGCGTCCCAGCTCTCCGGAGGCTCCACCGGTCTCCACGACCATCAAAAGAAAGGAACCAGCTGGCCGCAAGAAAAGGATCACGGGCGCAACCCCGGGCCAGACCATGAAGCGCACCCGTTCGGTGCACTCCCAGGCCAGTTCTCTCAAGGCCACCCAAAGCTCAGCACATCATGGACATCGGCTACAAAATGCTGAACGCAGTTACTACAATTGCCGCTCCCGTCTGCTGGAGGAACTCGACAGGATCACGCCACAGAATATCACCATGCATGATAAGGTCAATGCCAGCCTCCAGGAATTGTTTACCCTCGGACTGAACTATCGTCACATTGAGGCCAGTCACACCATGCCACAGCCGACGAATAGATCCCCATCTGCATGAACGATCGTAGAGCGGTTACCTCTTATGATGTGATATCATCCTCAAGCCCAACGGTTGACAGAATGGCCTCCTTGCACCGGCGTCAAGCTACAGAGGGTACATCCCGAAAATATGTAACGCCAGAAAGGTCCATTGTGAACCATTTATTGTTATGCCACAGTCAAGGCACTGCCCGAAGAACCAAGGATGGTCATAGCCCCAAAAAGGATTTCTGAGGAAGAAGCACCGGCTGCGTGGAACTTGCGACAATTAACCAAGATGCAAGTGACTTCCCCGGCAGAGGACTCCGCACATGCGAATGCTTCGCGGCCCCGGATTAAACTGCGACTAGGTAACTCGACCCAATCGGCTTCCTGGGAAAGAAAGCGCGAGCCTGCAGGGTATTGATTGGTACCAACCATCAGGTCGGCCACCATTGAAATCGTGTGAGAGTGGAGGAAGGAGAAAGAGAACGAGGAATGGGAATATTTGTTAGATTTTTGTTTTCGCATCGAATCCGTTCGTTTTTCTCCCCGTTCTAAACAGCAAAAGAAACATACTTAGGATTGAAATCATTCAGTCCATGTTTATTATCTCGTCATGTCGTTAATCCTTGGATCAGCCTTCTATATACACTTAGAATCCCCAAGCAAAACAAGTAAGCCTCTGTAAGCCTCTAAGCAGTTAGATCATCGTTGGCTTCGCCGCTCAGATCTGCATTGAGGAAGCGCACAAACGCATCCCCAATCTGGTCCGCCGTCAGGCCACCTTGCCCTGCGCCATGGCCATGACCAATGTAAGCGCGGTTTAAGCTGATCCACTGCCTACGCAGGCGCTGCAGCCGTGGAAGGGTCAAGATACCTCCCGCGCCAGCCAATTCATCAGTGGTACCGGCCGTGGCGACGTGGGCCGGAATGAAGACGGGGATGGACGCATCGGGTACAGCAATGGTGATTCCTTTGTTGTGCAAGCTCTGCGCCAAGGCTGCCTCGGCGGACGGTTGCGACTGCGTGAACGCGCGAAGGGCGGCCACAATACCCGAGGTCTGCTTCTCCATTGCGTACAGCGCGCGGGGGTCCGTCGCTGCTGCTTGCACCGTTGCTTGATGCGGGACGATCTTATGTCGTGTCGAAATGCCCCCACCGCGCCCGAGTGTCCTTGTTCCCGTTGCTATACTCGCGGTGTCGGAGATGGTCGATGAGGCTAGCGTTTCTGCCAGATTTGCCGTTTGCGACTCATCCGCTTCTGTTTGCGCCGAGGGCAGCAGCACTCCCGTGAGAGCGTGGAAGATATCTGCCACCGGTGGCTCGGGGTCTGACCATAGTACTGTGAAGAGTGGCTTGTCCCATCGGCTATGTGTGCTGGGCTCTTCGTAGCGAAAGATTAGGTTGTTGAGCAGGTCCGAGGGGTAAGGCTTTTCGTCGTCTTCGTCTGATGCGTCTTCTGCGGTAGTGGTAGGTTTATCATTCAGATGTGGTTGCGGCGCAGTCTGTCGTAGTCGAGCGTCGTTGTTCGCGACGCACTGGTCGACGGGAGTGCCGACGTGGACCTTGTTTGAATCTCTAGTCAGCAATCAAGTAGTGCAAGGCTAGCATGGGCACATACCACACAGCAGGTGGTACCGGCAGCCTTAGCCTCACACCACAGCTGATACCGCCAGCCCTTGATGTAGTTCATCCCATCAAGAATGACGATGCTATCGCGGGCCAGGGCGCGCTTTGCCCGGGCGTATGCGACACCACGGGCTTCTTTCTCGGTGCGGGCATGGTCATAGACGGTGCGTGGATGCGAAGAATCATGCGAGGGAATGACGTGTACTTTGAATCGCGATTTCAGCGGGGGAGGAGGCGGACGCAAAGAGCTCATCCTGCGACTTGTCGAGTAGCGACGCCAGCTGGCGAGCGCGGTAGCTCAGGCCGGAGCATGGGTAGCCGGTCAGGATGACAAGCTACAAGGTAGGAGAGAGGAAGAGTCAGAGACAGACAGTCTACTGCGGAGGGCAGGGACTCACGGGCATTGCTGAGGGTGGACGAAGAAGACGAATACGGAGAAGTAACCAGGACCACTTTTTTTTCGTCGGCGGTGGGCGGACGATTTAGCTGGTCGCCCTCGGGATCGATTAATTGACTGCGGTACCCAAGGTATTATTATGTACAACACGAATGAATTGATGAATCTAATTAATTATATACATTCATCATTCTCCAGTCGATTCATGGTTCACCCTATCGACGATCCTCCACCTGCTCTTCCGCTCTCCACGTCTGCGATGGAAGACTTCTCCAGCGCGAGCCATACACCTTCAGCATCAACACCGGCACCAGCAGCACCACCACAATCAGAGCGAAGGTCAGCCAAGCATACTGGATGCCAATACGCTCGCCAAAGGGGAGTCTAGTAATCAAAAATCAGTGGACGGCACTTGACGCAAACGGGGGCAGAACTCACGCGTAGAAGGAGATAAGACAGGAGAAAATCTGTCGGAAGGCGTTGAAGACGGTGGATATCTCCACACTTTGCGGTTTGTAGCACTGAGAAGGTTAGCATGGCTTTGAAAGGATGACGGGGCCCGACATACATCGGTCGCATAAGCATAGATTGTGGTCGTGGTGATCTGAAGGCCCATGTTGGCGATTCCCATGCCGAAGGCGCTGCCCACCCAGTGCGCCGTCTCCGGGTGCGAGAGGCACACGCCCTCGATGATGATGCCCACCGGAATTAGCAGGGCTCCCCAGATGGCATGCAGCCGTGCCTCGGGAAGGCGCTCGCCGTTGTTCTTCTGAGCGTGTCGGTTGGACAGCCAATCCGTCACCCACCCAGCGCTGAGCTCACCGATTAGGCCACCGATCAGAAGAGGAATACTCAGCATCAGGCCAGTCTGCGGCGTGGTGAAATGGTAGATCGAGGTGAACAGCTGGGCTCCCGTCAGGGCAAAGAGAACGGTGCCGTAGCCGAAGCAGGTCATGTACAAGATCGCGGGCAAGAGGATCGGCAGCAGCCGTAGCATCTCAAACGGTCGGACGAAGTCTCGCATGCGCGGGCGGCGAGCCGGAACATGACTGCGCGTGAACGAGAGGTTCTGTGCATAGGATTGCTCCTGATACGGCTCGTCACGGCCCTCGGAATAGAGCGTCTCGGGCAGACAGAACACGGAGAGGACGAAGGTGCCCAGCTGGATATAGCCTGGAATGTAGAAGCAGGCGCGCCAACCGAGGGAGTTGGCCACAAAGCCTCCGACCAAGGGAGCAAACTGGGACGCTGACAGTTAGCTATGATCTCGATGGGACAAGAGAGAATCTCCATACATGAGCACCGCTGGTCAGACACAGCGTGTAGATGCCCATGTAGACACCACGTTGATGCTGGAAGAACAGGTCACAGATGACCGCCGCACCCATGGCCATGGCGGAGCCGCCGCCCAGCCCGTTGAAGACGCGCGTCACCATGATGCCGGCCCATGTTTCACAGTAGCCGGCGGCGATGTTGGTGACGGCCGCGAGCAGGTTGCCCGCCAGGTAGACGGGTCGACGTCCATATTGCCGGGCAAAGGGCACAATCAGCAGCGGGCCAATCCCGGCAAAGACGAGATACAGCGTCAGCTCTAGAGGGATATGATAAGCACGACTCCTCGATCTCCGATGCTCCGATCTTACCATAACTGGTCTCCACCACGCCTTGGTGGAAGGACTTGGCCATCAACACAAATGCCGGGTTGGCGACCGCGGACGAAAAGGGGCCCAGCAGGGCCAGCCAACTGATCTGGAGCGCGACGCTCAGCTTCAATGCCGGATGCCAGTTCTAGTATTGTCAGTCGATGGATCGCTGTGGGTAAGCCAGGACCAGGACGTACCAATGGGTCATCGCGATGCTCCGTCGGCTGGGGCACGAGTGGCAGCCCATGCGGATCCAGGCGTGGTTCCTTGCGATTCCGGGCCTCCTGTTGTGGCTCGACAGGCGACGAGACGACGTCGTCTCTGGTGGCGGACTTTTCAGGATCCATGAGCAACCGTCAATCGTGGAGATAGGGAGAGATTGTCTGGAAAGGGCGGGGAGAGGTTCTTCAGCAACCCCCTTAATTATGTTACTAGCGGACCCTCGGGGAGTTAAGTCCGCGTCGATCCTATCATGGCCCCCATCGCGACCCGGACCGCGGGCCCTGGGGGGAGAAAACTGATGTGGAGCCAGTCGTTCGTCTCTCTCGGATTAATCTCCACCTCCCTCATCGCCATGGGGGACCCTCCACCGCACAAGAAGCGGCGCAACCGCGTGCCCATCTCATGTTTTAGCTGTCGCTCGCTCAAGACCAAGTGTGATGGCGTCCGGCCTGTCTGTTCGACCTGCGCCCACAATGGGCGGGAATGCGTGTTCACGCAGCGCGGGATCTCCGGGGGGAATATGGTGACGGTGAGCCAAGAGTAAGACGATTGACGCCCACTCGCATCGGTCGTTGTGTATGGAGCACTAACGGGTAGAAAAGCTATGTACGCGGCCTGGAGAAACGTCTGGAGCTGCTGGAGCGATCCAACACGACGGCGTCTGCCTTGCCCCCTGCCACCCCGGCCCCCCCGCGACCAGCGCCCGAGAGATCGATATCGTCGGGGCCCAGCTCCTCCGCCGTAATGGTGGACGCCAATGTGTCGATCGGAGGGCTTTCCTTCACCCAGCTGATCCTCAACAGCCTGCACGGCCACGATAATGTCAAAGCGCAGTCCATCATGACGGACCGCGAGGCCCGCGCCAGGCCGTCCCTGCTGGCCGGTGATGACCTCTATACGCTGCCCGAGAATACGGCAGAGGTCCTGGATCGGTTCTTCGCCGTCCGCAATATCCTCGCGCCCGTCTTCCACGCCCCCAGCGCTCGGCCGGCGCTCGAGGCGGCTATACGCTGTTCGCCCGCCGAGAGGCATCATCACCAGTCGGCATTGGCCCTGCTCAACATGATCCTGGCGCTGTGTACATCACACTTCCTGATCGATGAGGCGAATCCACACACGGCGCGAAAACACTATGATATCGCCATGGCCCTCCTGCACCCGACCATCCTTCGCGACTGGAGACTGGAACATGTTCAAGCCCTCGTGCTAGGCGCGAGATATCTCCAGGGTACTAGTTGTGGTGATGAATGCTGGAATGTCTTGGGTCTGGCCATCCGAATCGCCTACGGCCTACGCCTACACCAAGAGCCGCCCGAGACCGACCCGCCTCCGCTGCGAGAAACCAAGCGCCGAGTCTGGTACTCCGCGTATACCCTTGACATGCTTTTGAGCATGATATACGAACGCCCATCGGCAACCAGATCCGATTCCACAGTCTGCCCGCCGGAAGACCTCGATGATGACTGTATTCAGGAAGATCGACTCCTCTACCCGACACCAAGGCGGCCATCCTTCATGGCCTTCTTTCTTCAAGTGATCAAGCTCTACCGTATTGTGGAAAAGACTCTGGCTTGCCTGGGAAAGAACCCACAGGACCCCCGGGAAATCGCAGAGCTGATCATGGCTCTGGATGAAGATTACCAAAGATGGCAGCGCGAGCGACCTGCACACCTCGTTCTCAACTATGGCAATGCACAAGAGCCGCCCTGGATTCTGGCACTACGTGGCAATATGGTTCGCATTTTGATTCACCGACTGTCTCTGGGCGTGACCCTTCACCACCTCGGCCAACCCCAGCAAAATGAGGACTCGATGGTGAGCCATATTTTGCAACATAGCCAGGCGGCGTGTGTAGCGGCCGCGATGGATACTGTTGATATTGTGGCCTTGAGACATGAACAGACCAGGCATACCATGGGTCTGGACTGGTTCAACATTTATTATTGTAAGTCTGCGCCCCTAACACTCCTTGACGACCGAAGCTGATCCTTGCAAAACAGTGTTCAATGCCGTTCTTGTCCTGGTCTCCCATGTGGTCGACCCAGTCCACTCCCAAGACCGGCCCGCACTCGCGAAAGTCGAACAAGCCCTTCACATGATCAAGGCCATGTCGAGCAACCACTCCTTTGCACGCCGCGCGTCTTTGTTTCTGCAGCAGTTGGTTGGGTACATGAACCAATTTCTGGGATCTCGGCAGCCCAGGGAGGACAATGCACCCCGAGGCAGTATCCCGTCCGCGCCGGAGTCGTCCACATTGCCTCCCACAATGCCCGGTGCGCCCGTATTTCCAGATCTCCAAGCGTTGTGCGGGTTTACCCAGAACCTCACCGATAATCTGGAGACGCAACTAGAGGATTTTGACACGAGAGGTCTGTCCGGGTCGTTGTGGACGTTCCAAGATCAGGGACCATACACAGGATTTCAATAAATGGTAACTGGTAGCTTCGTTGGTTGGATCTATCGGAGGATGAATGTAGCGTCGGATAAGCTGTTTGGATGGGAGCGTTTCCCTGTCAAAATAGTCCACCTTCTCAATTCTCACTAGTTGGTCCCACGTCCGCTTAACTCCCCGCCAAGCCCGCAACGGTCAGACTTGCCTCCCCGGTTCCTCTCGAAAGGAAGCGGAATGTGCCCGATAAAATTATTTTATATGACATAAATATTTATATACGACCGGATATCTCTCTTTGTTCGGTCCACCATATCGAACACCCTTACCATGTTTCGTATTGCCATCATCGGCGGCGGCCTAGGCGGCCTGTTCGCCGCGCTCTCTATCAAGCACCACTCTCCCTCGAAAGATATTCACATCGATGTCTATGAGCAAGCGCCCGAGTACGGCGAGATCGGGGCTGGCGTAGGCATTGGTCCTAATGCCGCAGCAGTCATCGGAAAGTTAGGGCTCATGGAGGAGGCGTTGAAGATTGCCGGCAAGCGTGAAGGTGTCTGGCTCTCGTTCCGGCGTTTTGATACTGGCGCCGAGGTGCACACTGTCAACACACCAGCCAAAGGCAATACCGTCCAGCTACCGATGCATCGTGCTGAGTTTCTGGAGCTGCTGGTGGACGCAATTAAGAAGCGGGGAGCGGCGACTCTGCACACGAATAAGCGCTGTTCGGCGCTTGAGGTGAGATTCTAGGAAGGGATCCCACAACCATGTTCACTGACTTGACCTAGGATCAAGGAGACACCATGCTGGTGACCTTTGCGGATGGAACGAGCACATCGGCCAATCTGGTGATCGGGGCTGACGGCATCCACTCCGCTGTGCGCTCGCACTATGTGGTAAGCGATACAAAATATGTCGCACCGGTGTCACTGACTGACAGCTCATCAGAGTGATAATCCGCAATATGGAGAGATGGTTGTCTACCGCGGTCTCTGTCCCATCGACAAAATCCAGGACCAGTGGTCTCTGCCCACGTACGCGGCATTGTTCATGGCGCCCGGCAAGCATTTCCTCACATTCCCTATCAGTAATAATAAGATATTAAACGTTGTGGGGTTTGTATCTACTCCATGGGAGAAGCTGGGGGATGTCACCGAGAGTTGGACGCTGAAGGGTGACAAGGGCGAGGTCGAGGAGCAATTCAAGGACTTTGCGCCGGTGGTACAGACGGTGCTGCAGAACATGAACACGAACCCACTGAAGTGGATCTTATTCGATCGCCCGTCGACGCCGGAATGGATCTTCTCCGGGGGCAAGGTGGCTCTCCTGGGGGATGCAGCGCACGCAATGTGTCCCCATCAAGGTGCGTGTATTCTATCTACCTGACTTTTACGGTGTGCTGATTGCACCGCCCTGGCAGGTGCTGGAGCTGGCCAAGCTCTCGAAGATGGCTATATCGTCGGGCGAGCTCTCGCGGATCACTTCCAAGATCCATCCCGTTGCAGCGTGTCGGACGCTCTGCGGCTCTACCATTCCATCCGGTACCCCCGCTCGGAGAAAGTGCAGGTGACGTCTCGGCAGGCAGGCGATTTGTATGAAATGAAGAGCCCGGATGTAGCGGGACGGAGCTACGAAGACGGTCTCTCCATCGTCAAGGGCAAACTGGAGGACCGCATGAAATGGATCTGGAGCGAGGATATGGACGAAGTATACGAGAGTGCCCGAGACGCATGGCGACCATCCACCTCAGCGTGATGGATTTTGTGTATTATTGTACCTCGACATGCATTATTGCATATCTCATAGTGATCTATTGGCTCTAGCGATTATTTGTATATCAATCTTTCGGTTCGTCCTCGTTTCAAGTCTCCGGGTATCACATTCTTGTGGTTTACTTGCTCTTCAACTCGTCGGGGGCCCATCTGAGCTCATACCCAAACACGGTCCGCCGAAGCCTCTCATCCTGCAGCAAGTCAGCACATACAGTACACATACAGTAGCCATGGCCGGAGGGGAACTGACTCCCGGGTCATTTTCAAACAAGACCTCGTCCATGAGTTTTTCGAAAATCTTGGTCACGGTAAACCCGCTGGCCTCGGCGAGCGGAAAGAATTGTTCGGTCTTGGGCAGCAGCCAGGGTTCATACGGAGTGAAGATGACCAGAGCCACCGACCCCGGGTCCTTCTTGAGGGTCTGCTGCATCGTCTTGATCAAATTCGGATGCTCGCGGTGAGCATACACTACATCCGCCATGATCAGAACGTCAAACCGTGGCGACTCCCCATCTGGCAGAGGAGTCAGATACGCCAGGAGGTTGTCCACGGGGCTGCCCCATTTATAGCCCTCGACATGGAGTCGGGATTGACCATCTGGCGCGGCAGCAATCATCGTCTTGGCCAGGTCGGCATTATATCGCATATTCTCCACCAGTTCCAGGTCCGGGTAGTCGGTCATGACGACGGTGCGAGCACCCTGGACAGCGCTGACGATACTCGGCACGCCCGCGGCGGCACCGATCTCGAGGACATCTTTGCCGCGGATCAAGTTGGTGGTGTGCTGTTCGATGTAATGCGCACTGGTCCGACCGGCATTCCACAGTAGATCGGCCTGGTGTCAGAATTAGTTTTCCCCGTCGTCCCATGGCGAGTTCTGGAGGAGCCGTACGTAGAGAGGGTGGTTGCCCACGAGCCGCACGCGCACGGTCTGACCGGAGAGCATGCGGTGCTCGGCGAAGGAGGGCGGTTTTTCGTCCGGATAGAAACCCTCGGGGTCCTGGAACAGGTCCCCCGTCCCAACGTCGTCGTCCATGCTGGGCTGGTGGGTAAATGATTGGCCCCGCGAGCTGGAAAAATATGCTGGTTATCGTTATCACAGGCCTCCTGCCTGAGGCAGAGATCCGAGATCGCTCTAAGACACTTATGCTCGGGGAGTCGATCCTCCTACTGCTGTCCATACTTGCTGCTCCGGCTCTACATACACGATGTATTCCCTCCTCTGTAGTTCTTCTGAGGATGGCCTACCGATGGATCGACATTCCCGTTCAACCCCCGGGTCGCATTGGTCCGCCAGTCCCCTGCATGTAACTCCACTCCACCATGTGAATGTTCTGATGGCTCTATCTCTCTCTAATATGAGACCGTCCAGGCCAATAAGATCGAAGACCTAACTAGCCCTCCGCAGTTCTCCGGCCGAGGCTTGTGGGCCATCCTGCCATACCATACGTACCATACACAACTCTCCTGCCGTCGAATTGTGGAGATACCATTCCAATACGCGGGTAATCATGCACATCATCGACTCGGTTCTTCTTCTGCCTTCGGCGCTTGTCCTAGTTAACTCCTCCCTCCTCCCTCCCCCTCCCCTTCCTAGAACCTTTTGTCGGGCGCTGGTTGGGGTCATCTTTCACTCACTCACCTACTCGTCCTTTTCTACAACCATCCCCCCCCCCCCCCCCCCCCACCAGGCACGTCATTCTCCAGATTTTGGACCCCGCGGTTAAATTGTCCTGCATTCCCTCCGAACGGGGCTCCAGTCCCTTGCGCCATTGCCGTCATCCACCCGGGGGTCGAGTGTAGTTGGCCTCATCGATCTTGCACTCGATTAAAAGCAGATCGGTCGCCATGGCCTTCCCCGTCTCTCAACCTTCCACCTCGCTCCCTTCATCGGCTACCTCGACCATCAACCCTGCAATCACCGCCACGGCAGAGGAGTCTCACTCTCAGAAGAATACCCTCAACATCCCATCCACGCAGCCGACCACCATGTCACTCCCTTTACAGTCTCCGTCGGCCGTCTGCCCACCGCCGCACCCCGCTCTCCAGATGCAGGGCTTGCCGCAGGCCCTAAACACTTCATCTCATCCCGCTCAAGCGGTTCCCGCACCGGGCAACGACCAGCCAGTCCCGCAATCGGGCGCTGCACCGGTTCCACAACCGGGCACTGATCACCACTACCCACACCCGATAAATGGCCTCGGCGGCCCAACGGCGACCGCACCCTTCCTGCAAGACTTTAGTCTTGTCGCCGAAGCCGCGAAGCGCGCTCAGATGTCGATTGTCATGCGTGATCTCGAGAGTGTGACCCTATAGATCCGATGGAAGGGCAGGTCCCAAGCCGATAGAGGATAGTTGCATGCCCTCCTGACCGTGGACTGGCTCTGTGGTTGGCAGGATTCTTTTGCTGGTGTTTTTTTGGAAGGTTGTGGCTGTGGCGTATGACTCCGGATTTCTATTTTCTTTTTCATCGATCTGTCCTCGACATGATCCCAGGCCGCAGGGGATGTACCGTAATCCCTGGCCGTATTGCAAGAGGCGACCACGACCGGCGTTTGTTGGGTTTAGCTTGAGATCTTATACCATTATTATTATCTTCGATAATAGTACTATACTTCCCCTGATCATTCCTCCATGACATTCCAAAGTTACCTTTTGTAGGAGTTCCAAGGCTAACTATGCAATGACCCACCACCACATATTTCTGCTCATCCTTCGTAACTAGGTCGTTCATTCTCAGTTGGTAAGAGGCTTGATATCGACTCGAGAGACTGCAGGTTATCCTTGCGTCGCTCAGCATTTGGCTTTCGTTAAGATCTTGTATGTTTTGAGCACTCCAAAACTATTACTCTAGGCAGGATTGTTACGCTTTCGTTTCTGTCCCTGGTCCCCAGCGCGAACAAACAGCGCATCCAACCGCTGCTGTCCTTTTTCCTTGCGGTCCACCTTCACCTTCTCGGCGGCCAGCACCGGTGGTCGCCCCTGCACTCGCCGCTGCGCATCCTCTAGCAGTTCTATTTCCCGTTCGCGCTGTCCGCGGACCGTGGGAATGGACCAGGCAGACGAGGTGGCCGTCTTGTGCGCCAGTTTATACTTGGACCCCGTCAGGTGGGTTTCGTAGGTGTTGGCATCGACCTTCCTCACATGCTATACATGGTGTTACACATGGATTTGGTCTTCGGTCCGAGAGGCCTCTCTCACCTGGTGTCCTACAATCAACCAGTGATACTCCGTGCCCACGGGCGCACCACTGCCCTGTGGTGCCTTCCGCGCCCGTCGCTTGTGAGTCTGGTAGTCGATGGACCAGCGATCCGGTTCCTCTTTCGTCTCCTTCCAGATCCCCGGATCGTAGTTCCATGTATGTGAGCCGCCGATGGCCATCCCGGAGTAGACCTGCCCGTGATGTGTCTTGATCGCATTGTATCGCCCGCCCCCGACGTAGGATGGTTTAGATGCCGCATTTGGGTCCATGCTTTCGTCGGAGGGGTTTTCCTCTTCGTCGAGGAGAACGGTATCCATCGGAGGGCTGGGATGGTCCATAGAGGGCACACTGGCGGGACTATTTTTGTTATCCTCGTCGAGAGGTTGGTCGCTGGGCTGAGGTTTCTTCGTAGCCTTGGGCATTTTCGGCGCGGATCGTTGAGCGATGATGTGGATATATACATGCCATCATTGGATATGTATTTTATTTGTCGGTGATGTCACATTGATGCAGTGAATCTGAGTCGTCCACCCGTCCTTTGTTAGTTCGCATGATTCAAGACATAGATCTTCCCATGTTGTTTACGTGGTGTAATAATAATGATGAGGGGCAGAGAACAGGGTTGTTTGTTGTTTTCAACTCCTCTCTCTCTCTCTCTCTCTATCGCATCAATCCCACTACTTGAAGCTACTGAACATGCCAGCCCCTACCAATCACGCTCTCGTCTTCGGTGCCTCGGGCATCTCCGGCTGGGCCGTGGTGAATGCCCTGCTGAGCGACTACCCGGCCGCTGACAGCTTCGCACGAGTGACGGCCCTGACCAACCGTCCACTGTCCCAGGAATCGTCGCAGTGGCCGCCTTCGGAGAAATTCCAGGCCATTGACGGCATCGATCTGCTGAAGGGCGAGCAGGCCGATCTCGACCATGCGCTGAAGCAGCGGGTGCCGGACATCGACACCGTCACGCACGTCTACTTCTTCGCGTATATTCTGAACATGGAACCCCAACAGGAAATCCAGGTGAATGTGGAGATCCTCCGGCGCGCCATGGCGGCAATCCAAACTCTCAGTCCGAAGCTTAAATTTGTCGTGCTGCCCACGGGTGCCAAGGTCGGTCTCTACATAGGTAGACAGGTCTCTCAACGCTAAATAAACTGCTCGATAGGCATACGGGATCCATCTCCTCGATTACTTCCCCTTCAAAGACCAGGTCCCCCTGCGCGAGTCACTCCCACGTATTCCCGAACCCTTTGCCTCGCAACTTTTCTACTACCCGCAGATCGATCTGCTGCAGTCGCTGTCCGAAGGAAAGAGCTGGTCCTACTGCACCGTGATGCCCGATGTGGTCGTCGGCTTTGTCCCCAACAACAATTTCTGCTGCCTGGCACAGTGGCTAGCTCTCTACCTGAGTCTGCATCGTGAGATTTCTGGAGAAGGGGCCGAGGTCGCCTTCCCGGGGAACATGGAGACCTGGACAGTGAAGAGCAACGACAGCAACCAGGACGTGATTGCGCGATTTTCAATCCATGCCAGTCTGCATCTGGAAGTCAGCGCCGGCGAGCGGTTCAACGTCGCCGATAGTGCGGAGCCAACGACGTGGAAAACCAAGTGGCCGATCCTCTGCGAGTATTTCGGGCTGAAGGGCGTTGCTCCAGACGGAACGGGCGTGGACCCGGTCCAGTTTCTAGCCGAGAACAAGGACAAGTGGTTTGTGATGGAGGCCAAGTACGGACTGGAGACGGGAAGGGTGGCCAACGACCGGAGCTTCCCTTATCTGCCGATCGGGATTCTCTCCATGATGAAGTGTGACCGTCAGCTGGACTTGACCAAGACGCACACAGCGTGGGGAAAGGCGACCGAAGAGCTGGACGTGAAGCAGAGCTGGTACACGGCGTTTGATCGGTTTCGGAAAGCCAAGATTATTCCCTAGTCGTTTCATCGCAGCATATCGCTTTTCGACGCAGGAGTGGTCGAGGCCCTCGGCTTGAACTATACACCATATACATCTTCGTAGTTGGGCGCCCGACTTGGGGGCGAGTACCTAAGTTGTACATAGGCCTAGTTCTACTACTCTTATATATAGCCCTTAAAAGGGACGGGGCGTCGTCTTGAATTAGGAGGCGGCATCAAGAAAAGCTACTTTAGATCGGGACCAATGAGAGGCCGTAAAGTTCTAGAGAGAAAATCTATAATTACAATAAATAATAGATGACAGATTAGGCGAGGTCTCGAGGGTTGCCCCAACCCAAGATTAGCTTTCAGGATTAGCCCCAAGGATTAGCCTCAAGGATTACGAGCCCAAGGATTCGTTCTGATACTAAGCCACGTTCCCGTAGATATGATTCAGGGCTCAGGACAAAGCTAAGCAACCACTTTACTGCATTTACGGTTCCCGTTGAATTTCTTTGTATGCCTATGTTTCCTCGCTTCAGCCGTCAGTGCCGACATCACCGCAAGCTGGGTTCTAGTTGGACCGGACGCGCCACAAGATCTATTCATATGGGAAAATATCGAGTCCAAAGATGCAGTCGGCGTTATCGTGGCAGATAAGGCAGTTTGGGCTTTCAAGGTCGACGGAAGTGAATTCACATCGATTCGATTTCCTCTCTCGATGGGAGAATCGCAAGACGGCAGAGATTATTATTACTACATGCAGCCCTGTGGTGGTGGCGGTGGAACGTTCCAAATCTGAGAGGACGACGTTGAGGACGATATTGAGCCAACAGATGGGTAGCGTGCACAATAACGACTGCACTTGATTCGCATATTGACTTGGTGCGGTTGTATACCGTCAATGCCGGTGCCGGGATTGATGTAGCGCGCGACCGGAGAAGCAGCCATCGATGATTGGTGGATAGAAAGCGCGACCGGGGCGACCAGGATGTAGTTGGATACTTCACTTAAAGCAATTTTCTCCAGGAGAAGAAAGTAACCATCCTTCGTACAAGTCTCCGTACAAGCAATGCCCGACCCGGAGGACCAGATCATGGAAAAGGATCGCACAAGCGACAGCAACAATGCCACCGTCCACCGGGAGCCCGAGGATCGGCCCAGTCCCGATCATAACCTGGAGCTGTACTCGGTCTTCACTGTCGGCCAGAAGAGAGCCATCGTCACCATGGGTTCGCTGGCCGGCTTCTTTTCGCCCTTATCCTCGAGCATCTACTTGCCGGCTCTCGACACCATCTCCCACTCCTTGCACATCTCCATCTCCCAGGTTAATCTGACGGTCACAACATACCTGGTAGGTCCATGCATACAGCTGTCAGTGCTCACTATTTGCTAATCGATCATTGGCAGATCCTGCAGGGTATTGCGCCCATGCTCATCGCCGGTTTCTCCGACTCGGCCGGCCGCCGACCAGCCTATATCATCTGCTTTACAATTTACCTCGCTGCCAACCTGGGTCTGGGCCTGCAGAACAGCTACCCGGCACTAATGGTGCTCCGTTGCCTCCAAAGCGCCGGCAGCAGCGGGACTGTTGCACTATCCAACGGCTTGGTGGGAGACATGATCACCTCTAGCGAACGAGGCTCGTACATCGCGTTTGCCATGCTCGGAAGCATGCTGGGCCCCTCGCTCTCTCCCGTGATCGGCGGCTTGATCAGCCAGTTCGTCGATTGGCACTGGATCTTCTGGTTTCTTCTCATCTTTGCTGGTGTGTTCTTTGCCATTCTCGCTCTCTTCATGCCCGAGACGTGTCGCAGGGTCGTCGGCGACGGCTCGATTCCACCGCCGCGCTTGAACATGTCTGTAACCGATATGATCCGCCACCGCAAACGCCGCGAGAATGGTCTCGAACCGGACCCAGAGAAAGTCGAGGCGGTACGAAAGCAGTATGCGCTCCGATTCCCGTCGCCCATTCCGACACTCAAGGTCGTTCTTGATTTGGAAACGGCGGTGGTTCTTTTGACAACCGGATCCTTGTTTGCGGGGTTTTATGCTGTCATGACGGGTGCATCGACCTCTTTCCATGAAGTGTATCACTTCAACGACATCCAGGCTGCCTTGATGTATCTTCCCATCGGCGCCGGAGGAGTCCTGTCGGCTTTCACGACTGGACGTATCGTGGACTGGAACTACCGCCGGCACGCGAAAAAGGCCGGGCTTCCCGTCATAAAAAACGTGCGACCGGATATCTCCAACTTCAACATCGAGCGGGTTCGGCTGGAAGTCGCTCTGCCACTTTATTACCTCAGTAACATCAGCATGCTGGCCTACGGCTGGGTGCTGGGCCACAAAGTCAGCCTGGCCGGTCCTGTCATTCTTTTGTTTCTAGCAGGTTGGACTCTGACGTCCACCTCGCAGGTCCTGAATGCTTTGATGATCGATCTCTGGCCGGGGAAGTCTGCCACCGCAACTGCAGCAAATAACTTGTTCCGCTGCGAAATGGGTGCGGTGTCTTCTGCTGTGATCAGCCCCATGATCTCTGCCATGGGCCAAGGGTGGGCATACACCACGCTAGCACTCCTCTCGATTGCGCTGTCGCCCAGTTTGTGGCTGATTGCGCGCCATGGGATGGGGTGGCGACAGAAGAGAAACAAGAAAGAAGAGGCGAGGCGAGAAGCGAAAGCCAACCGAAACACGTAGAGACGACGACGACGACGACGATGATGAGGATGTTTGCTTAGAACGATACATACCTACTTGCATAGCTATTGATTGCTCTGTATAGAAAGATAATAATGTGCATATCTTGCTCCTCTGATTCAGGTATTTTTAGCATGTAAGCAAGCTTGCGTCCGATCTGACGCACGCCCGGCCCACTCTTGGCTTACAGCCGTGGCGCAGTTAGCTACGTTAGCGCTGATGAAAATGAGAAAAAATTCAATACAATTTAAACATCTGAAGATGTGTATTTCAACAGTCACCGTATAGTGTACAGTGTATAATGTTTATGAAATGTATAGATGATTCAGTGTGTCGGAATGCATTTTCCAAACTCCAAGCTATGCACAACGCCTCGATCCGAGTCGAAAAATAAATAAAAACAAACTCTGCAGGGGAGAAAAAATTTCCTCATCCAATGCGTCCATATACATAGTGACATCCCCGATGCCGAATAGAAATCAGAAAATTAATAATAATGTGGCTCCGAACACCCTGTACACTTTTTGATGTATGCGATCGTCGCTGCAGCCGGTACATATTAACTGCCCTGTCGATCTTTGAAAGAAATTCTCTCTGTCGAATAATATCAATCACATCCCCCACCCCTAGATGAAGGAAGCCTGACTCCGGCCCGCTCGGTGAAGGGTCGATGATCCGATCAGGCTGGGCGAGGAAATACTGGCTGTCGGAGGTGCTGGTGCCTTGGAGTGCCGCCAGCTGGAGATGCGGCGGGTCAGGCGCCGACTCAGTCGGCGGGGCTGTGATGACCAACCATCAATGGAGATGATGGATATCGGCCGGGACCGTGGTGCACCCGCCGTCATGGAGGTCTGCGGGCGCGAGCCCGAATCTTCGGCGGTGTTGCTGCCGTCGAACATGAACAGAGTCGAGCGCCGTTTGAGCCTGTCGGCGGTGGCCCGCACGTCTAGCTGCAGCGAGTAGTCTTCCTTGATATCATCCAGGGCGTGAGACACTCGGCGCAGCAGTTTTGATGGTCTCTCGATGAAGGATGGAGGCCGTTGTTCGATGCCATACATCTCTAGTGGTGTCGAGTCAATGCCCTCGTCAACCGGGCTGGAGTAGAAGCGGCGGAATTTGGGCGCCATCGTATCTCGGCGGGGACGCTGCAAACCCAGCGATAGTGAGGAGACCGGCTGGGGATGCCGGTAAGGCGAGCGGGATGGCTCGCCGGAGGACGAGACGGAGCTCTGGCTCGAGACGTCGGTACAAGATGATGTCAACATGGTGTCGGAAGCAATGGGAAGTGAGTGAGGGTAGTGAGGGAAGAGTGAGAAAATGGAGAGGAGGGAAAAAATGGTCCGATCGAGTTTCAAAAGCTGATGTTGAATTCGCAATAAGACTAAGAGTGGATCTTCTCTAAGACAGCGCTGTTAGCTCAACTTAACTAGCGGTCCGTGTAACATGTAGATGACAGGTAATTTCATATATTTCCTGTATGCTAGACGAAAATGGATGGAAGGAGTTTCTTCATCGATGATTTCGGGTCTGTTGGTGACGTGGCATCCTAGCAACATGCTTCGTCCTAACTCTCTGTGCCGTCGGTCGTCGGCGTTTGCAAATCAACCGAACATTGGAGAAGATGCGCTTCCACGGTTCGTCCCGGATCGCAGCGATGCCGGTGCTCATTGGGCCGATTAAGGTCAAGGGTGGGTTTAAACGCAAGGCGTCTACGTATACTCTTCATACTATGTCCGTAACGGAGCTACAATGGGAAACCGAGAGAAGATGCATAAATCACAATGATAGGTATAACCCCAACCAACACTCCGGGCAACAATAATAATGAATTTAACGCCCGTTGCCATCTGAAACAGTGCCCAACGAGGGAATTTTTATGAGTGGGGATAGTTCGCCTAGCTGGATGGGGCCGGATGGAGCCCGAAGGACAAACCAAACACGGCAGGAGTGTCGAATATGGTGATCGGCAATTCAGGGGTTCGCCGTGATGTTCAATTCTTGATTATTATACCATTTGTGACTACTATATACCTAAAAACCATAGTCCAGCAATAGTACCAACAATGAAGCCAATATATGTAATATATAACATACACGGAGTAATTCTAGGTGACGACAGAAAGATCTTTCTTTTGATTACCCCGGTCTGCTCCCAAATACGCCCCGCCTGTTCTACTTGTATGTTAATGACTTGTTCGAGTTGATGGTCAACTTGATACCCCTCTAAGACTTCTGCCTCCCTGGCCTCTCAATGAATATCTGTACTGTTCCCTAAGGCCCTAAGAAGTCCAGAAAAAGGCCCGAGGAATCCCTCCTAATCATCAAGGTCATAGCCGTAACAGAATCGGAATCAGGGAATAATCCGTCCATTTCTGACTATCATTCCAAGGTCCGGGTGTCCCGTCTTTTCAAAAGATTAAGCGAAAAAATCTCATCGTCCCTAATTCACTCATTGAGCAAAGCCATTACAGATATCATTAAAAGTGAGTGCTCATGTAGGGTCGTGGCGTCAAAGTATACCCTGGTTGGATAGTTGGGATTCTCCCAACTTGGTCTTGCTGTGGAATGCTATAGCCACACTGCGATTCGCATTTCTTTGTGAAATAGTTTTGCTAGTAGACATCTTAGCGTCAGCGAGAACAATGGAGCAATTTTGAGCTATCAACTCACCAATGCAAGCCAACTATAACTGTCTGGATTCTCAACTGCGAGTAGTGGGTGGGCACCTAATTCGCCGGTTGCACAAGGGCCAGTAGCAAAATGCTGATCAATAGATCCACCACGGCTAGCCCAAAGAGTTAGAAGGATCAATAGTATTTAGCGATCCAAACTCACTGAGCTGCCTTTAAGGCTGCCAACCCAATTTTATCCCAATGCCTGGTTAGAAACTAGTCAGCCGGAGAATACTATGAATCAAGGGAGCACACAGAACAACATACACGTACTCATGGGGGAGCATGCCGCCCAGAGTTAGCATCTGATAAGATGTCACGGAGCCCAGCTCCCCACATTGAATATCCTGAAGGCATTTCATTTTCACCATTCCCTGTTTCATGCAACAATGCTAGATCGCATCTCCCTCAACAGGCCCAGTGATGCCTAGGCCTCTGAGGAATCTTTCCTCTTCTGAGTTCTTATCCACATCAATGATGTAACATTCAACAGCATCCTGGACGCACCATCCAGCCGCATCTTGGTTATCAACCCAGATATTGAACTTTCCAGAAGGACTAATTTCCTGCGCCATCAACTCAAAAATGTTATGCACGATATCTGAGTCTGCTTTTGCGAAGTACTCATTAAGGATCTCCGGGTCCGGGTTGTTCAGTTGATTACTGATGAGCTCCAAGCTATCTCTCCACCCCTGTATTGTTGTATGTAGCTCTGGTCATTGGGATCGTTTTTGTCAAATTTGAGATACCTGAATCTCTCTCCCTGTAAAAAGGACCTGCTGTCACGGGCTGAAAGGGTAGTGTGTTCTCTGTTCGTGTAAAACCTTCAGTTTATGATAAGCCGATACTCCATTCATCTATTCATCTGGGACAACTCACCCTGGATATACCTGCAGAGCTTGAGGGTACCACACAATAGATCACAAGCCACGACAAATGCATTGTATAGTAGATCGGTATCAGCGTCGTAGGGGTTAGAATCACCCGGGAAAACTTGTCCTTTCGAGATAATGTTTTGCATTATGTCAAGACAGGGTTGGAGCTATCGGGCGATTCATGTACATTAAGCGAGATTGGGGGGCGGGAAGGTTACTTGCAAGACTAGTGAACTGGCGGGCGAGACTGAGCTCGGGCAACAGTTTGTGAGCCGGGCAATACGCCCAGGATTCAGCGATCCGCCATTCTCCACCAGCAGTCTCTGACTTAACATTTATTGAGCACATAGTCGGATTATCCCGTATTCTCATTATCAAATAGGGGCTAAATAGATGGATATAGCTTAAGACACTTCTGATCTACATATCAGAATCATTGGTCAGTTCGGTACTAGTCCATACCAGAATTCTCTCTTCCGACACCAGTGAATTTAGCATATTTTATCAATGCGCATAGATGGAAGCCTGGTCCCTGACTCTCGACCCCAGCCACCGTTGCACAAATTCTCGGGGCTCTGGCTGCGGCTGCGGGCATTGCAATTCTCCGGAAAACTCCCTGATAATGTGAAACATACTGCATTAATTACATCACAAAGCGCAGGTTGGTGTCTAATCTTCGAGTCAGCTGGGGTCATGATGGCACCGCAGGTCGCTTACCAATGGGATGGCTGCAGCTGAGCTGCGGCTTCTGGGTGTATTTCCCATCGAGCTCTGATCGGATGGTGTTCAACAGTTGTAAGTAGCTCTGCTGCGGCCACTGCTGCAGCGATTTGATAAAGGCCCAGCTCAAGGCGCCCCGCGCCTGTCCGTCCTGAAACGTATCCGCCCTAGTGGTGGGGGGACGGTGAGTATGAACTAGCCTTCTGGTTATGGAGGAATGTACTTACGACGTCTGGGTGTCCTTGGACCCCGAGAACATCACCACATCGGCAGGCGAGGTCTTGGTCTGGAGAGTGCGCTCGCGTGCAGATCCGCCGTTGGCGGCTTTCTTGAAAAAACCAATGGCCGTCGACGCGACACTAGACAGATCACCCTGTCCGTACGAGGTCAGCACACTGAATAGGTCCTGGGCGGCCTCCTTGGCCAGATTCGGCTCCTTCAGTATTCCCTGTGTGGAGTAGATGTACGGCAGGTCCAACGCCGTGCCGGAGTGACAGGAGTCAAAGATAGCTGTTAGTCGTACACCAGGCCGCAACGGGCGGACCATAATCGCATGCATATCGTCGTCCACAATGTGGCCGGCTACGCGGTAGTCGACCGGGTAGATCACATCGTCGTACCCGTCGTCTTCGTCACCGTCCAGGTCTGGCGTACGACCGCCGTGGCCGGAAAAGTGGACAAAGAGTGAGTCATGCGGCTGTGCATCCCGGACCAACCACTGCATGGCACGGATAATGTTGGCCTTGGTTGGGATGCTCATGGGATTGCGCTGGTCGTCGGTGAGAATGACCATATCCTCTCGACGATATCCGAAGCGCTGGTTAAGGAAAGTCGACATGTTGGTGACGTCGTTGATGCATCCGTGCAGCGAACTAGGCTGTCCATAGTAGTTGATGCCAATTAGCAGAGCCTTACGGCGGCCCGTACAGAGTGAATACTGGAACTGGTAGTTGGACGGCGCCCCCGCACCAAAATGTTGGTAGCCCTGGGGCGGGCGCGGCGGCAGATTGGGTGATGAGGTCCGGGGTGGTTCTAGTATGGTCCTGTTAGTTTTGACTGCGCCACTTGAGGGGAGGAGCATACCATAGCGAGGAGCGCCTAGATACTGATGGGGGGGTGGCGGTTGCGGCGAGGGCGGATGGCCGTACGGCGATGGAGGTGGTCTGGCATGAGCCGGAAGGGGATAGACACCAGGAGGGTAGGGACTCGGAGGAGGTCCCTGTGGTGGCGGATAGGGCGAATGAGGGTGCCGGTGATATGGCGATGGCGGGGGCTGGTAGGGCTGAGGCGGATGCCATTGCGGGGGAGGCTGTTGGGGAGGACCATCCCACCGGGGCGGCCCTGGCGGCGCATAATACATCAAGAATAAGACCAGCAGGATGCGATTTCTAGCAAGACGAATAGTCGCATGGCGTGGGAAAGTTCACCAGGCTGGATGGTACACTGCGGCTGACAGGTGGGTCGCACAAAACAGTTGTGAGGGCCGAAGTCAGTGCCGGAGCCGGAGGGAAAACACGAGTGTTCCGGAAGAGCCGTCGCCGGGTTGGCCTCAAGGTTGCGTGGTCCCGGAATCCAGTGAGAGGGGACGTTCACGCGTTCCTTGTGCGTAAACAAAGCGTCGTCGTATACTTGTAGGCAGCGACAAATGACCGGGCCAATCAAGGACTGCTGACAGTCCCGTGACCGCCATGAACTGCGAAGAGGAGACGGAGGAGAACAGTATTAATTACCCAGTCCAGCGTACCAGTAGTCGTGTATACCTCTCTGGATTTGTGGCCACCAGACTCTAACAGGTTGCAGTGTTGGTTTTCAGCCGCATTCTCAACATCCGCCGTTCCAGAGGTCGTAGGGTAGGGCGACCCCCGGTCCGGTTAAGCAGAGCCGCACGCTGGCCCCAAGACCGCCCGAGCGCCACACGGATACTGCGTGACCGGACATCGACGAGGCTCTGCACCCGGACGATAATTTCGAATGAGGCTCAGCTGGCCCGTCATTCATTAACCCCTCCCTCAGTGCGCCAGACAGATCGATAAGACAATGCCCGCCTTTCGTCTCCCTGCTCTCTGCAATGACGGCGTTCCCGCCACGCTTGGATTCTCTCCCCTTCGATGTTTTTTATCAGATCGCGACCTCGCTGGATGACCGTGACCTCATCCACCTGGGTCGCACGAGCAGATCCCTTCATACGTCCACCACCAGTGATCTAATTGCTCGCAAAACGGTCGAGGTAAACAAAACCGCCTCCGAACATGTCCCCCATCTCCAGCTGACACGGTTGCGTAGAATGTCTTGCTACACAGCAAAGAGGGTCAGGCCGCTGCGGCAGCCCAGGCTGGCTTTCGCAAGGCTGTTGGGCACCGGTTCGACATTCACGAGGCGGTGGCGACTGCCTCGCCGTATTCTGTTTCAGTTCTAGCCTATGGGGCGGATTTTCTCTACCACCAGGGCGTACTCTGCTATCGCGTGCGCCAGGAGATCCGGGTTCTGGACGTCCATGGTGTCGCCCACCAGGAACGCGTGCTAAACTTGCGGGATGTGATTCCCCGCCTGTTGGGTTCAGGCTCGGGAGCAGAGACACAAGTGTCGCTCCTCCACTATAACGATGGAATCCTGGTCTTCCGATTGCACGGAGCTGCACCGGATGACTCGCTGGTGGCTATAGATCTCGAGCCCCGTGCAGACAGTAATACAAAGCGCCGGCGGCTATTGCTCCACCGGCGTGTACCTCCATCCATTCCAATCGTGGTGCGTCACAGTCGGTCGTACCTCTGGTACGGGGTGTTCACGGCGATGGGCAGCTCGGAAGGTGTCTGGTCTATCGTTGGGATAAACTTGGCAACAATGGACAAGACCGAGTGTGCCCTGCCCAGCGTCATTGCTGGGGATCTCGGTCAGACGCTGTGTTTCGAGATGTATCAAGATCACCTCTACGCGATCTCAACCCAGTCTCAGCTGGATGTCGAGGAGGACTTCTCATCTTTCTACTATTGGATCTGTCTCACACCAGGCCACCAGGGCCGCCCGTGGTACGGCCGTCTCTGGCGCCGCGAGCACCGCGAGGGCCCGATCAATGAGATGTGGACTGACCTCTCTGTGCGCACCGACGAGACTACCGGCCGGCCGGTCATCCTCGAGTGCCGCCGTGAGTGGCGGGATGGCAAGAGTGAGAATCATCGCACTTACTACACACAGTCTCTTCCTAGTCCCTCCGAAGCGTTAGCCAGCCTCCCCCAGCGCTTTTTCACGGCCTCCTCCGACACCTCAGACTCAGACAACTTCGATGACCCCCTTCTCAAACCCTTTGCTGTCAACCCCCAGCCCAACGACCAGCGGCCCGAAAAACGGCTGCGTCGACATTATCACCCCGAATACGAGCCGGGCTCGAACCCTGCGAAGCGGCATGACTTTATTGCCGCTCGCACAAAACACCGTGGTTACCATCTAGCGGGAGCTACCTTCGTGGACTTGGTCAACGACCCAGCACCACACGCTGACGGCGTGCGGCCACGCGATAGGCTGCGGTTGCGGGCCATTTCTCGGAAACGTAAGTGTCCAGTTGATGAGGTTGGCGAGGAGGGGCCTCAGGGTTTGCTGTTCCAGCCAACGCAGACCGACGCAGACGGTTGTCCAGTCGATGGCTCTGAAGAGAGGTATATCTCTCGCGGCATGCACATGTGGCCTGCCGATGACGCGCCCGCTGCGCTTCACCAGCTCCTCTGTCCCAACCCTAATGCTGGCTCGGTGCGTGCGGTCTCTGATGACCGCTCACTACTCTACTCTGTCTCCTGTGAGGGTTTGCCGCCAGACCACCAAGCCCTAATTCTCATCAGCTTCGACCCATCTATTCGCTTCCCCACTATGACCTCTCTCCGCACTCTTCAAACACCTCCCTTAGGGCCTCTTTGTGCTGCAGATCCACCTCAGCCTTCACAGCCTACTTCTTCTGGTGTGCATGAAGCGCCGGCTTTGTACCTTGCTCTTCGCCGAGGATATTGGCTGCGTTGATTGGTATAAATCATCTAATAGTGACATGAGCAAACGTATTGCTCGAAGGTGCATAGTAATTGCTGGGTAATAACATACCACTAGCTTCAATATAATCCATCAAAATCAATCCGATGAAGCACCTATATGCAAAGCCCCAAGACTAGCACACACATAAGGGACAACTCCGCTGCAAAATGTATATGTAATTGACAGATGATATCATCAAGATGCTAGTTATATGTTTATGTATTATTATCTTCTGTACCGTCTTCCCAGGATCGGGCATGCAGCATCCGCTCGCCTTTCTATATACACAACACGCGAGCTCTACGCACGCAGCCCTCACTCAGGGAGTCGGATGGACAGGATTATGAACAGTAACGACCCCTATGAACTAAAGACCATACCAGTGGAACAAAAGAAATGAAAAACTCCGAAACTCAATCAGCCTCGGGCAAGGGGAATCACAAAAAGGGTCGTCTCGGCATCAGCGGCGCATCCTGACAGTCAAAATGCATTTACGGCTCTCCTGCTGTACTCTTCGAATACAGATTGGCCAGAGTGTCGATCATTGCATCGCGCTTGATTGGGTGCTCGTTTTTGAAGGTGTCGCGTACGGCCACGTTCTGCTTCAGATGAGAGGCTAGGCTGGTAGTGTTGAGTGAGCCCAGCATTCCGCCATTGCTGTCGCTGTTGCTCTTGAAGTCCTGGCCAATCTGCGTGAGATTCAGGCCGCCGTTGTGGGTGAGATGATGAATTGTGTTCTTCAGGATGTCGGCGACGCCAACCACGGCCGTCAGGGGCAGGTCGTGCATTGCCTTGGTGTAGTATGGCACCTCCGTGCCGTTCCAAACCACGGATCGTGTGATGGTTTTCAGGGCGAGAGTTCCGTTCTTGAGGGCCGCGGCTTGCGACTTGAGCACCTCGGACAGGTGGCCCAGCACGGTGGACAGGTCGAGGACGCCATTCAGGGGGAAAGTGTTGTTCCCAGGCTTCAGCTCAACGTCGGTCAGCGTGGCATTGCCAATGATCAGGTCGCCGCTGTAGATGTCCAGCACAATGGTGCCGATCTGGAGAGTCAGCACTGACGGATTGGGAAGCATTGCGTTGCCGATGAGATTGGTGCCATCGGCTTTTGGCTTCAACAGGAGTGCACTGTCCGAGATGGTGAACCCCTCAAATTTGTTGAGCGCTGCAGGACGGTCAGTATCTGTGTAGGGTTGAATGCACAGTAGAACTCACTGGGAGAGACAATGGTCTTATCCATGACGACGTGGGATTTCAGAACACCGAGGTACGAATTGGTCTCGCCATGAACGGACAGCCCGGCTGCCTTTTCGAACACCACATTGTGGACATACTGGTCCCAGGTGCTCGCGTTGTGAATGGTCTCGTAGTGATTGGTGACGCCCAGGGAGGTATTGCCCCTGATGGTTTGGCCCGGGATGGTGATATCACCCCAGTAGTTCTGGGCCCCGAGGTCGCGCACGAACAGGTTGAGCGTAATGGGTTCAATGCGGACGGGCAACGCAATCTTCAGGTCCAGCGCAGACACCAGGGTCAGAACGATCGAATCCGGCTTGGGCTGCATGACAGCCGCATTGACCAGCAGGAGGTCGGACTTGTTGACCACGAGCTGCGAAATCGCGGGAATGCAGATGAGGAAGCTGATCACGGAATGGTTAGTTCATCGTGATGGGACGGATTAGGGCTCCATCACGCGACTCACAAGATAGGTAGGAAAATCGCGAGGAAAATGACATTGCCGACCAAATAGACACACCAAAAGCGTTTCCAATGGCGCTGCAGTTTCTCCTTGCGCTTGAGCTGCCGTGTCTCCAATGACAGGCCGCCGGCCGACGTAACATGCTCGAGCTGGGAGCTGTCGTCGACGCCCTTGGCAGGCAATGGCCCGCGATGCAGGCCTAGGGAGTATTTGGCATCATCGGAGCTCAGATATGAAGGCCGGTCGTCGATAGTCTTGCCCATGGTGACGGTCTGGCTGTCCAGCGGAGGAGAGGGGAGGGAGGAAGCCAGAAATGGGCTGGGGAGGGTATATGTATACACTAACCAATGGACTTGAGCCGAACTACTACCAAGCGAACAAGAGAGAAAAAAAGCCCCCCGTCATTTTTTAGCAAATAATGCTCGGGGAACTGACTTCCTCTTTCTTCGCCCCGTCGTCGATAGTTACGGTTAGTCCGGGGGACCAGGGACTGTGGTGGAACCTGTTAGTGTCGGAGCAGGCTTCCCCTGTATGGCCAGACCCACGACCAAGCCCAAGCCCCGGTGCCCAAAGCGGCCGCGATCAGCAGCTTGGGAGATGGCGATCTACTGCGAACCGCGGCTAGTCGTCATGCTCGAGGGTAGAGGATTCATTCACATGGGCACCTTCGCTTGGGCGGAGCTCGGGCGCACGAGGTACGCCAGTCCGGATTTTTTTTGTTTCTGGAGTCCGGGGTGTCGGGAGGGTGGGGGCTTGCCAGATGAGGATTCTCCTTCTTTTCTCGTTATATTCTCACGCCCCCAAGCCAGCCCTCAGTTCTACAGCGTACTGATCACTATTGTCGACATGGCCAATGTCTCGAACCCCCCGTCGCCCCTGACCTCCCAGGAGGGCAACGAGGCTTACCACATCACCAGTGACTCCAGCCGCCTACACGCCCTGGAGCAGCTGGAGATTCTGCCTCAAATCCTGCAAGAGGGTATCCTGTTCGCGGGATCTGGAGCAGCACTCTTGCTCCAGGCGGCCATGCCAGCGATGCGAGAGAACAATTCCGGCCCGGACGCCCTGGCAACGGAGCTGCTGGATGCTCTCCAGGCGCACATCAGCTACATCTCTTGCCTGGTTTTTGGCAGCCGAACCGAACGCAAGACGCTCTTAGACATGCTGCACCGCGGCGAGGCACCGCTCATGGGCGGCAGCCGCTCGAATCGGTTCGCCGACCAGCCCGACCTTCAGATGTGGATGGCCGCCACGCTCTACGCCACCTCGACCGACTTCTATCAGCGCGTGTACGGACGCGTCGATTACCGCACAGCTCAACGCGGCTACAACGAGTTCACCCTGCTGATGAATTGCCTGGGCATTCCCTCAGCCGCTTGGCCGCCAACGCGGCAGGCCTTTTGGACGTACTGGGACGATCAGGTTTCCCGACTCAGCGTCTCGCCGGACGCTGCCCGTTTTGCGCGCGACATCCGCGAGAGCAAGGACATGCCGCCGTGGGTGCAGCGCATAAAACCATTTCTGCGCTCGGTGACGATCGAGATGCTGCCGCCGCAGCTGCGTGACGGCTACGGCCTACACTCAACCACCACCACACGTCTTTTGTACCGCACGTGGATGGGCTTTTCCGTGGCGGTCTACCCGGCCATGCCGACCAAGATGCGCTCGTACCCGCTGCGCTTCTATCAGGACCGTCTCCGCGAGAAGCTGAATGTTGTATGAGGACGGACGGGATGGCAATTTTGTGTGTTTCTGTATATACCCAAAGGCGTGACGAGATAATGGAATATTGTAATCAGATTTTTTTTTATTTTTTTTTTTTTTTGGATTTGTATGTACACTCTGCTCCATGTTGGCCAATTATTACTATATCAACACAAGACTCCCAAGTCGTTAATTCATATCCCGAGTCACCCATCTAGGTGAAAATAGTGCCGAGAAGCTGGGACACATCCGCAACCAACTACAGACGCGGTTAGTTTGAGAGAGTGAGGGCGCCAGACCAAATACATACCGGAGTGGCATCACCGATCAAAGTGGTCGTGTTTTCCACGAATTGCGCGGTCAGGAGAGTGTGTGCGTTGTTCAGGATATCCTGCAGGATGTTGAGGTTGTCGTCGGACAGCAGCTTGGCCGCGTTGCCGATGATGGTGTCGAGATTGTCGATATTCGTTTGAGTGAGCAGGCCCTCCGCACTGCTCAGGAGCTCCAGCAGTCCCGTGGATGGCTCAGGGGCGGGCGCAGCGACAGGGTTGGGCCGGGCCTCAGGGGAAGCCAGGGCCAGCGGCGCCAGGGCGAGGAGGAAAATCGGACGGAATTGCATGACTGTGGTGATGATTCTGTTGTTGTCCGGGGTTGTAAAGAGAGAGAGTCAGATCATCCGGGCAGCTTTTTCTTCCTCGCCATCAAAGTCTTATACGAGAAAGGGGCGGCGCAGGAATGCCCCCACTTAATCTAAGCCAGAATCCTTGGGTAGCAAGCCGCTAGGTTAGCTAGCACAGGCCGTTTGCCCGGGCCATTGTCAGGCCCACTACAGGGGAATTCTGGCAGCTGGGTCGCGGGTGCTAGAGGAGACTAAAATGGCCGAGGTCGATCGCGATCTCCCATGTGAATCCATTATTGGTGGCCCCGGAAAAGTTCTCGCTTGCAACAGCCAAAAAAACTAAGCAGCGGCTCTCCGCATCTCCACCAGACTGACCCCGGACGAACCCCGAACGGTAAAAGATCAGCCACAAGCAGACAATCCCCACCCGTTCGGGTTAGAACAGGACGCCACCCATAGATAACAAGAATTGGCCGAGCATTTCATGTGATGCTCTCGTTGCAGTGACATATCCGATGGACTATAGCGGCCAGAGCCGTGGGGTGAGTTCCGCAATTCTTGTGGCCAGGCCGGGGTATTCTGGTCTCGTTCCCCTCTTCCAACTGGTTTCCCGAGACCGTTTTCATGGCAGGATGTGCACGACTCCACATAACTAGGCCACGTCCACCATCCTCTCCCCACCGACAGACCGAGGTGGATGGGCGACAGACCAATCGGGGATGAGACAAATACCATCACATTCACCATCTGAAGACTGTGGTTTTCTTGATGAAAATCGAGGAAGACAGAAAGTTCATGCATGGCTTACCATAGAAACAGGTTTGCTTAACCTGAGAGCTTGTAACTTCCTGTTCAGGAGCTTGATGATAGGCTCGATCGTATGTATAAAACTACTACATACGGTGGTGTATTCTCTACAAAGAGTCCATCATCGCATGTGCTTGTAACTACTACTGCCTACAACGAAAATAAAATAAAAATATTTGAATGTTGGCGGGTTATTCCTGGTACCATCTATGGATTCGTCGTAATTCTGTGTCTTGCTCTCTCTGTTTCTCTTGACTCGTGTACGCGTTGTTGCGTGGTGTTGTGCATCCTTCTCCTTTGCTTTCGATGCTATATCCTCCAGCCGTAGCTGGAGGCCCTGTTCTGTTTCTCATCGCTGCATTCCATCCTTGACATGATAGTAACATCCAGACCTCCGGTCTTCGGCGCTGCTCCGAAAGCATCTATTTCCTGTTATTGGTCTTTGGTTAATCTGGAAACGGGTCACCGATCCAGACATATGCAAGATACCACGAGCTCTCTGTTGCTGTTGCAAAAGAAAGGCTACGAAGACTCGAGGTGATCAGCCAAGCGGCCACTCTGGGGTTGCCTTGATAAAAGGGTGCTTATGCCGTCTCTGGTCATGGGAGAAGTCCAAATCATCGGCCTCATATGCTACCTCCAGATCCGATACTTTCACCCTAGCCGGGGTCGCTAGTTGATCATTCCAGACACCTTTGCGAAAGTCCTAGACAGTGTGACATTTGCGGGTTAGACCCTTGAGTATCGGCGTGAGTCTGGATACCTTGGCTGCTCCGCTGTGACATAGTGGGCGTCTCTGGCCAAGAATGCAACGGCTGGGACCGAGGTCGCTTAGTTGGCCCCAGGATCAGCAGAGTCAGATGCATATCGATCGGATGCGCGAAGCGGAGATGCAGGTAGTCGACAAGCGAGATGCCAGTATTGCACCCTCGCAGTGATCGTCGCGTTGATCAGCCGTATGTAAATTAGGGCCAACGGGACAACACCAAGAAGACTCTAGAGGGGCATGCTACTAAGACGAGATAATGATTAAATGCAAGTGTAAAGCAAGGTCAATGACCGTTCAAATTGGATATCATAGTACAAGCCGTCGTAACAATCATATCAACCCATCGAATCCCGAAATTCCATCACTGTGCTTCCCGGGACAGAATCTACTGGCCGCCCTTCTTCGCCATATCAGCCTCCGCACCGCGCTGTCTCACTTTCCCTTCGTCATGCATATCGCGCCACTTCTGTTCTTCCTCGCGGTCGCCCACAACGGCAGCCTGGATGCCACCAACGGTGCCCTGCGCGCGGTCCGCGATACCCTGGCCCCAATCCTTAAGCTGACCCTTTGCCTCAGCCTCCTTGCCCGCAGCATTCTGCTCAACGCCCGCACGGCGCAGGTTCTCGTTTCCGATCATGTTTCCCACGGCCTCCTTGGTCGAGCCGACGGTCTGATCCCATGAGGCAGAGCTGCGGCTGGGATCGTCTTTGGCGGTTGCGCCGGTGTTGGGGTCTGCGGTGAAGGGACCCAGTTTGGCAGCTGTGTGCGAGGCAGCGTGCTCGTCTTGGGCTTTCTGGATGTTCGCATCGGCCTGGTTCTGGAGGGGAGTTAGTAGCCGTGGAAGGAGAGTGAAGAAAGAACGAGGGTAATTACCTGGGTGGAAGAGTCGCCCGTCACGGCGCCCATGGCACGCTGGGCCATACCGGTGGCCTGGTCCACGTAGGACTGGAGAGTGGAAGAGTTGCCGTCAGACATGTTGATCGTAGATAGATTTAAGTTGGTAAGAGTAGAGGGATCGAGTTGGTAACGTAGATGTCAAGGTAGATGGATGAGGAGTTGGAGTTATAGTTGTAGGAGAAGAACTCCGGCCAAGATGAACAGTACTTATAGCCAGAACAGCACCATTGCCACTTCCAAGGCACCTTGTTTATTTCTGGAGAAACCGTGATCGATGACATCATAGCGGTGATGTCACTCATTCCCGACGCGCGGCGAAAGCAAAAGAAGCTTCGAGGAATATTCTAGAGGAACAGCCACATGGATCTATAGTATACAGCGGCGAGGATAATGATTTAAGTGGCAAAACGTTGAGTCTATTCTGTAATCGTAATCTTTCGTGTCATCCCTGAACGCCATACTTTCCCACTGCGCCTGGCTCGAAAGTCACCAATCCACCCAGTTCAAATGTAATAACACGCTGAACAGAAAAAAATAAGAATAGAGAAACATAGAGCTGTCTCTTCACCAATGGCAGATGCCTCCTTCACTGTCGTCCGCGGTCCAGGTGCCGCAGAGACCCACCACTTCCAGATGGCCGTCTGGATGTTCTCCGACTTTACTCAATGCTGCTGAGATAGCATCGGCGGGACCATTGCTCAGCAATCGTCGCGCCCATGCATCAATGGCCGGTTCTCCCGTTTCGTCCCGCGCCTGTTTCAGGAAAGGGATGAGTGCCGTGCCGCCCGTCCCTCGCAACTTCTTACTGTCTGGGGGAGCAGCTGTAGCCAGGTTCGTGGCCTCGGGGCGGCGGCCGGGACTAATGGATTGTGAGGCACGTCGCGCACTCCGCGAGGGCACGATAATGTAACGCGAGACGATCTGGATGTGCTTGTCGCGCATTGCGCGCAGCATGGCCAGACAGGCATCGTAAGCCAGTCGCAAGGCAGGGTCGCTCCGCCGGGCCTCCACGTACTCCCGGAGGTTGGCCACGGAATCGATATGCTCCAGGAACCGGCGGTGCGGCCCGGGCATGTATGCGCGCATCTCGTGGATAAAGTTGTGTCGTGATTTCGGGCCATCATCATTCGCAGCTTGGTCGTTGCGGGATACCCCCGTGGGTCGATGCTCCACTCCCAGGATGATGTCGAAGAACTGAATCAGCGAGCTTTGTGCATTGCTTCCACCGCCGTATTGGCGGTATTCCGGGACACCATGGCCATCATCGTACAGCAATCCCTTGGGCAGGCCGGCATCGGCCATGTTCTTGCTGCCAGCCAGATATGGTCGGATACGGTGGTAGAAGATGTACGGATCACAGCTGTCGTACATGCGCTGCAGCAATCCGCCAATCTCATCCAACATTTCTGCCAATCGTTCCAGGCAGTCCGTTACCAAGCGGGTGTCCCCGACTCGCGCAGCCGCAATAGCCCGCAGCATCAGCGGGATGGACGGAGCGCCCCGGGCCTCGATGGCGACGGAGACCAGATAAAACCATTGTTCATCGAGGGATCCGGTGAATGTATGCAGGCAGGCGAGGTTATCCAGGTCGTCGGCTGGCTCGTCGGCGAATATCGGCTTGTAGTTCCAGAGAACCGTGCCCGCGTATGTCGCAACTGGGGGTACTTCCAGGTGCTCACAGACTTTGAATAGAGGTACTGTTAGTTGAGGAGGAATTTTCTATTCACCATTAGCATTTCGTTTTCCATCTGTTCAAAATGATCATACCTCCGCAGGCCGGTCGCCACTCCACACATATCCGTGCAATATGAAAACCAACACCACATATGCCCTCCGCCATTCTGCATCCGTGTGTAGATGTGACGTGGAGAGAACGGGCAAGCGATCCACCATCGACCGCAGGCGTTTGCTCAAGATGAGCGGCTGCAGATTCTGGACGATGGCCTCCCACTTGGCGTAATAAGGGTCTGGGAGAACTTCCAGCGGCGGTTCCGGTGAGAGGAAGCCATGAGCCAACGAGATGCCGTAGTCGGTCGGCGAGGGAATTGGAGGCAACATGTTGGAGAAATAAAAAGAAAGAAGAGTAAGAGGAGAGAGGTCGACGGAATAGGCAAGAGGCGGCACGTGCCCGTCAGTCGTTGCCACCAGTCATGAAACAGACCAGCAATGATAAGATTAGATGAGCGTGTGATAAAGATGAAAGCAGGAAGTGATGGAAGAGAGAGAGAGACAATGGAATAGTTAATCGAAGTGTCCGGGGAAACCTTTCACTTATTTGGGTCCGGAGCAGAACGGAAGCGGGTGATCATGGGAAAACGTTATTTATCAATCACTATTTCTAAGCAGGAAGTATCGGCCGGTGGGAGGGGGAAAAAAAGAATACTACAGGCTTGGCCCCGACTCGGACCGCGGGTCATTACATATTGTTGGTTAGGTCCGATATAGGACCGGAAGAATATGGTCGTCGTGAGTCGTGTCGTCCAGTTAGTCTCTCGTTTGGGTCTGCGGTGAACGGATGATCGACAGGGCGCTCGATCGGGTAAATTCTGCTACTTGGGGAATAACCGAGGATGGACTAAAAAGTGGCAATTTGTGGTTCATTCTGTACAGTATTTCGGGCAATGCATGAAGGGGGGTGTAGTAGTTGCTAGTTATTACAGAAATCCAACGCCGAACGGAGAGGGTTGCTTTTTCTCGAGAATCAAATCAGTGCTGGCTCCACTCGATCGTGTTCAGATCAATGCCCTCCTGCACCAGCTCCCACAGCGGGCTCAGTTCCCGCAGGAAGTGCACGCGTTCCTGCACCGCCTTGAGCACGTAGTCAATCTCCGCATCGGACGTGAATCGCCCAATGCCGAACCGGATGCTGCTGTGCGCGCTCTCGTCGCTGCTGCCCAGGGCACGCAGCACGTAGCTAGGCTCGAGCGAGGCGGAGGTGCAGGCGCTGCCCGAGGACAGTGCAATGTCCTTCAGCGCCATCAGCAGGGACTCACCCTCCACGTAGGCAAACGAAATGTTCACGCAACCGGGGTAGTGGTGCTCGGGGTCGCCATTCAGCGTGGTGTGCTCCATGGCCAGCAGTCCCTCGCTCAGACGCTTCGACAGGCGGTCGATGTGCTTGGTGTCGTACTAGACTAACTGTCAGTATGGCTTGTTCGAGGTATTGCAGCAAGCATTTTGGGTTCATCTGGCTCATCACCCCTGCGGTTTGCTTCATCGACGCAGGGCACATACCCGATGGGTATGAAGCTACCGCCCACGCATCTCGGCTATACTTTTCGCAGTGTATAATCACGGCCAACAGAATAAGAGAATCGGACTTACTTCCATGTCCTGACTGGCGAGTCGGCACGCTTCGCCGAACCCCACAATCAGATGCGGCGCCAGCGTTCCACTGCGCAGGCCTCGCTCCTGGCCACCGCCAGAGATGATAGGATCAATACGAACACGAGGGCGACGACGGACGTAGCACGCGCCTATGCCCTTGGGGCCGTAAATCTTGTGGCTGGAGATCGACATCAAGTCGATGTTGAGCTTGTTCACATCCAACGGAATTTTGCCGAAAGCCTGCGCGCCATCGGTATGGAAGAAGACTTTCTTCGACCGGCACAGCCGACCAATCTCCTCCAGGGGCTGGATGACACCAATCTCATTGTTCACGGCCATGACGCTGACGATGCAGGTCTCCGGGCGCAAGGCCGCCTCCAGGTCCTCCATGCGAATCAGCCCGTTGCTCTGGACGGGCAAATAGGTCACCTCGAAGCCCTCATCTTGCAGGTGACGACAGCTGTCGAGCACACACTTGTGCTCGGTCTGGGTAGTGATGATGTGCTTCTTCTTGCCGGAGCGACCGAAAAACCGCGCCACGCCCTTCAAGCTCATATTGTTGCTCTCCGTCGCGCCGCTGGTAAAGATAATCTCCTTGGGGTCGGCTCCAATCAGCTTGGCGACATGCTCACGCGCCTTTTCCACTGCCTTATCCGTTTCCCAACCGTAGGCGTGCGTGCGCGAGTGCGGGTTGCCATAGATGCCGGTGAGGTAGGGGAGCATGGCGTCGAGGACGCGAGGATCGAGTGGCGTAGTTGCTTGCATATCGAGATAGATGGGCCGGGTGCCCTGGTCCATGACAGTGGCCTGCTTCAGGATGCCGGCCGAGGGACTCATCGCGGTATCCCCGGAGACCGCCGATCCGGGCAAGTCGACATTCTGGGGCGCGAGGCCGGTCTTTTTCATGAAGGACTTCTGCTCCTCCTTGATGGCGGTCTCAACGTTGACCTGGGCCTGTCCGGCCTTGGTTTCGGTCACATAGGACCGATTGGTAGCGCGGTGCATTGCGGTGGCAATGGGTCGGGAGAAGGGCACCCTTTGGCCGGAGGAGGCCAGACGCCGGGAGCAGGCGCGGGATGCCTGTCTCCAGGCAGCGGGAGCACTCGACATGATGAATATGATGATGCTGTTGTTGTTGGATTGGTTGTGTCGAGCGGAAAACTGGAAGACACAAGGCCGGGCTTTGGGTTATGTTATCTGATCTCGGCTCGGGGTTTTCTTCCCTGGGTTAGTCCGGTGGGTTGGATGCCTGAGGATGCTTTTCGGTGCCTGAGGCAGTCCTCGGGTCCTCGTTACCTGTACCGTACGTACCTAGGCACCGAGCAGGGTCAACCCGCAAGTGCCGAGCACAGTTACAGGGAATAATTCTGCTCAGGCTACCAGGATAATAATCATAATCATAATTGCCCAATCACCAATTCAGCTGCCTATTATAGTGAGACTATTCCAGATGCTTGATCGCTGCGCCACAACCTTCCAAGTCCCGCCCGCCACAGGCATCATCGTCGCATCCTAGCAAATGTCTTATGTCATAGAAGAGATCCCCAACTATTTTCTTGCTTCCTTCCCTTTCTCCATCACACTCTCACGCACTCTCACTCCCACACTCGCCTCCCATCACCATGAGTTTCAAGGGCTTCCAAAAGAGCATCGCGCGCGCCCCGCAGCAGTTCAAGGTCAAGTTCAACATTGGCGAGCACTCCTCGGATGCCGTCTACTCCGACGCCGAGCGCCGCTTCCAGGAGCTTGAGACCGAGACCAAGAAGCTGCACGACGAGTCCAAGAAGTACTTTGACGCCATCAATGGTATGCCCGGCCCTGGATCCCACCCTCTCACCTCCCACTGACATCCGTCTCCCAGGCATGCTGAACCACCAGATCGAATTCTCTAAAGCCATCGCCGAGCTGTACAAGCCCATCTCCGGACGTGCCTCCGATCCCAACTCCTACCAATTTGAGGGCAACCCCGAGGGCATCCAGGCCTGCGAAGACTACGAGGTCATCGTGCGCGAGCTGCAGGAGGCGCTCCGTCCGGAGCTGGAGCTCATCGACAGCCGGATCATCAGCCCGGCTGACCAGCTGCTCGAGGTGATCAAGGTGATTCGCAAGGTCGCTGTCAAGCGCGACCACAAGAAACTCGACTACGACCGCCGCACGGCCACCCTGAAGAAGTTGGAGGAAAAGAAGGACAAATCCCTCAAGGATGAGAAAGCGCTGTACAAGGCCGAGAACGACGTCGAACAAGCAACCCAGGAGTACAACTACTACAACGATCTGCTGAAGGAGGAGCTGCCCAAGCTGTTTACCCTCGAGGCCGAGTTCATCCGCCCGCTATTTCAATCCTTCTACTATATGCAACTTAACGTCTTCTACACCCTGCACGAGCGCATGCAGGGCATGCAAATCCCCTACTTCAACCTGGACCTGGATGTCGAGGAGGCCTTTGAGCAGAAGCGCGGTGATGTGAAGGAGCGTACCGAGGCCCTCAGCATCGTCCACTTCAAGACCAAGGGAACTGTTCGTCGTTCGGACTCAAAGCTCAAGCCTGGCCTGCGCGGGTCGGCGGACATCAAGGGCTCGATTAACCGTGCCCGCTCTTCCTCCACCACCGGCAGCCCTCCGCCGCCGTACTCGTCTGCTGGCAGCCCCAACAGTCCTTCCGGTGCCTTTTCTGACGCAGCCAAGAGCAAGGGTGCTCCGCCGCCACCACGGGCGAAACCCTCGCATCTCAGCCGCCCGGCTGAGACCGTGACTGCGTTGTATGACTACGAGGCCCAGGCTCATGGAGATCTTGGTTTTTCTGCCGGCGATGTGATCGAGATTGTGCACCGTACGGATAATCAGAACGAGTGGTGGACGGGTCGGGTCGATGGCCGCGAGGGCCAGTTTCCAGGTGAGTATGCACCAACCTCTCTTGAAATTCGCCCAACTAATGCCTTCCTTCAGCCAACTATGTGCAATTGAATTAGCATCGGGTACTGCGGTTCTTTCTTCCAGGTTGTTATTCTATCCTTTCTTTCTTTTCCTCTGGGCTGCTTCCGGCACATGTGCTGTTATACATAGAGCGTTCCGTCTGTAAATATTCCACCATTCTTAATTTGATTCGCTGCCTCAGTGCGGCTTTACCACTTATTCACTTCCGTCTCAAGTACCGGCGACTTGAAACGAAAGCTCTCCTTTGTCTTGTGACGCCTCATCAACCCCGATACCTCGTTTGGCGACTCAAGGACATCGGATACAGTATGCACCTCTAATATTCTGCGAAGACCATGGCAGAAATGGCACGAGAAGCGAAAGCTGCGTGTATTAACTAACTATGCGATTGTTCTCTCGCTTGCGCCGGATACAATTCAGAAATCTCCGAGTACAAAAATGATAAACCCTCGGAGAGGATAGGATAAGAGGATAGAATAAAGACAAATGAAACGAAGTGTAAGCAAGCATGGGTCTCGACCATGGGAATGAAAGAAGAGAAAAGGATGGTGCGAGCCAGATACAACCATGCTATGCTACAGATCCATACCACTATTCTTTCAAACCACATCATGGTTCCTGCGAACGCTCTCAACCGAGATGTCATGCTCAACAGCAATCCCATACTGGATCTCTGACTCCGTCGACTTGGCGCTCAACGGCTGATCCGAGTAGCACAAGGTCTGCGCCGCGGTGCTGCTGGACCTATCCGATTCCGTGGGTTTGCGGGGCACGGTAGTGACGGTCGTGTTCGTGTTGGCGGTAACACCAAAGGCCAGGGCCTGCCAGAGGTTGCGACGGCCATGGTGATGATTGCCCGTGCGGCGAGTATGATGGTCGAGGGTAGCACCGGCCCAGATTGAGGAAAGAGGAAGTGAAATGGTGACGAGGGTGAGGACGTTGGAGGACAGTTCTGGGACGGTGATGGCGTATTGCAGGATCGAGAATATGGCCGGCACCGCGAGGGTCTGGCAGCCCATGACAAAGATGGCTTTCATGGGCCCGAAATCACGTACGCCCAGCCGGTTACGCTGCTTGATAGCGTAGCCCAGCTTGGTGACAAACACCGCGCAGAAGAAGCAGATGCTGACCGTGATGACGATATTGGTCGCGCTCTCCAGCCACCAGACTGGCGCGGTGCTGGCTGCCATCATAATGTACACCGAGTTCTCGACCATCCAGCCCATGCGGAATCCAATTGGCACCAGTGCCATCAGAATCGACACGCCCAGAAGAGCACGGCGGTAGCGACGGCGCAGAGTCGCGCACACGACCTGGACTTGCATGACCAGCGACACCTGAACACAGATCACCAGCAACGTCTCGAGAACGACGGAGATGATGGCAATGGCGTATGCGCTCGGCGGGACGGCAGAGTAGTCATAGGAGAAGTATGGGTAGACCTTCTCAAAGCCGGTCGAGAAGTGAATCGTCTCAAAGAGCAAACGGAGGATGTTGAACATCAGCGCCAGGCCGTTCAGGAGGAACACTGCAGAGCCACGCTTCTCGGGCCGGGTCAACAGCAGCAGAATGACCAATAGCACGATGGAAGCGCCCAGCTGGGAGCCGTAATTGATGCAGACGCGCACATTGTACTGGACGAACTCGTCCAGCATGTCGATGGGCACGGGGAACGAGGTGCCATTGGCGTAGTGGAAGATGACGTTCTGCGTGTACGGGTTGATCATGTTGCCGGACTTCGAGGACGAAATCATAATGAAAAAGAAAGAAAGGATAGATGCAGCAGGATCAAGCAAACAGCATCCGGTCAGAAAAAGAGATCTGTATAAGAACAGATTGCATGTCGCGCGACACTGGCAGGTCTCGGAGGAGAGACGTAGTAGGCATGGTGAGTGAATGAGCCGAAACAGACAATGTATATGGGAGTCTTGAAGTCAACGATTCAGTGTCAGACAAAGGGAGATCTCGCTTTTGTGGTGGAGGTAATAGCGTGGATTGTGGCGAGGGAGAACAATACGAAGGGTTCGGGAGAACAATATCCAGACGGGAAGGCCAGAGCCACACGTCGGAAGGCCCAGACTGGTTTCCGGAGGCAGGGGTGAAGGGACAGGTCTGGCCACACAGAGCTCATGCTGTTCGACGGGTGGCGGCTGTAGGTCTGTCCTCGGTTAGAGAGCCAGTCGACTTGGTTCATCATAGGATCGTGTCCCGTGGCGAAGGTTGACTCAGAAGCTCTTCTCTTAATCCCAGGGCAGAGATGGCCCACTCGAGGGATGAGTATGCCTCGCACAGTAAATACTGAGCTCTTCGAGAGCAGTGGAGGAATTGGAGGTTGTATGCTATATCCAGCTACGGAACATGGGTTATATTGAATATGATGGCGAAGACCCTTTGGTAGTGGCGGACTTATAGATCACCAATATATATCGCAGGAACCAGCTGGAATAACCAGCATCGACCCGAGTGAGAATCATAAACTTCTTTAACGTCAATGAAATCCAATATCTTGACATATCGCATAATCATCAATGCGATAGCCATTGGCGGGCAAGGAACTACCGCCTAGTATACCTCCTACCTTCGCCAAGCGGTTGCGGGGAAACATAGGCTAGGCATTCGCCCGACCTTCCACTTCCTCCGCAACCCACCATGGCCGTCCCCCAGCGGACGCTGACCTGGCTGTACAGCGTCCTCACCAAGGTGGAAATATATTCTTGCTTCCGTTCGAGCGCAAGCTGACCTCTGCAGGATCACTACGACCCCCAACAGACCTACCACGATCCCAATCGCTCCTATCACGACGTTGCCAACGCGCTCGCCCAGTATCCCTCGCTTTCGCCCCGAACCGATGTATATAGTGAGTACACTGCTCACGAGATTCGCTACTAATGGCCCTAACTCCGTCCCCGTTCTAGCCTACGAAAATGGCTTCTCGGCGCTCCTCCTCCACCTCGTGGGCACCTTGCCTGTCGTCTTTCGCGGCACCACCTACCGATTCCCCATCGCGATGTGGATTCCCAATACCTATCCGCGCGACCCCCCGATAGTGTATGTGACACCAACACAGGATATGGCTGTACGGGTCGGACAACATGTGACGCTGGAAGGGCGCATCTATCACCACTACCTGGCGCACTGGGCGGAAGCCTGGGAGGTGGGCGTTTTTCGCTACTGGGAGCGTCTGCTTAAGACTAACCATGACTACAGAGGTCTACAATTGCCGACTTTCTTTTGATTCTCCGCGAAGTGTTCGCTAAGGAGCCACCGGTTCAGTATAGACAGCAGGGGCCGCCGCAGCCACAATCGTCGCAGACCAGCTCTCCGCCGCCGAGGCCGCCTTTACCACCTGGGGTCGGGTCTGCGACAATACAGAATCAGACGCCGCCGCCACAGTCTGCAGCCCAAACCCCCCCACAGCCGCCTCCGAAGCCCGGGGCCGCGCGCGAACCGCGAGACCAGCAGCAGCACCCACAACAACAAGATGTCGCTGAGCGATATCGATCCCCTCCTCCACTCCCACCAAAGGCACAGCCAGGCAGTATGGCCCCTTCCAGCCCTGGAAATGCCGCGCCTCCGTCGGGTGCACCTCTGCCGGGTCCTGTAGGCAGTTCGCTGAGTAGCCCTCATCGACCACCGCAGCCATCCGCCCAACCGAGAGGACAAACAATGTCGCCTCCGTCGCATCAAGGCCCGTTGTCATACCACCGAGATAGCGCTGGACCTGCCAGCCCTGGCTCTGGACCGAACATACCAGGTCAATTTCCTTATCAGGCAGGATTTCATGGTCCCCAGCCAGGTCCGTCGGCTCAGCCAATCCATCACCCCCCGGGATATCAACCTCGGCCTCCGCAGCAGCAGCCACCGCCGGGTGCCCCATATCCACAGAATTCTCCGCTCCCGCCGCATTACCAGCGTCCTCCGCCTGCAGCTCCAGCGCCCAAAACAGATGCCCCGGATCTCCTGACTTCACCGTTCGAGCTTGACCTCCCATCATTTGCCGCGGGACCTGCACCGCCGATCCCGCCAAACCCTGAGAAGGATGCACTGCTGCGCGCTGTCTCGCAGGCGTTGGCCGAGACATTAAGCACCAACGCAGCACGATCGGATACCGCGGCCCACTCCCTCATGTCCCAGTCCCAGTCCCTGCACGCTGCGCTGGCCACCCTGCAGGGGGAGGTGACGGGACTAAACTCTCTCCATGCAACTTTGCAGTCCAACACCGCTGTCCTGCAACAATCGCTCCACCGGGCCGACGCCGCCATCGCCGATGCAAAGGCCCGCTCCACCTCCGTCTCGAGCTCTGTCCCTGTATCAAGTTCGACTGCTGCCACAGCTACAGAGCCCCCAACAGGCCTACCTCCCATCGACGAAGTCCTCGTCGCACCCACGGTGGTAGGCAAACAGCTGTACGATTTAGTAGCCGAGGAACAGGGTATCCAGCAAGCCCTGTACGCTCTACAAGCCGCACTGGTCCGTGGCGTGATCGGGATGGATTCCTGGTCGCGACAGACACGCGGTCTAGCTCGTGAGGCGTTCCTGAAACGTGCCTTGATCCGCAAGATCGGGAGGGGTATGGGCTTGGAGAGTGCGACGTGAGAGTGGCCCAGGTATAGAGATTAGATCATGTTCGTCGTACAAGTATATACCCTTTTGTGCAGAATGAAAAGAATGGGACCCAACTCGAAATCGGGCTAAGTGGATGTTAGCTGGATCTGTTCTTCTGGTCATGTAGATTGTGATGATATCTCCGGATGTAGTTCTACTGTCTACGAGTCAACTTGGATAATGATGGTGCCAAAGACAAAATTCCATTTCGGACTCCCTCTCCACGCATGTCATCACTAACTGTACACGACACGCACGGTCGACGGAAGAGAAAAAAGAAACACCATATACAAACCAAATCGCGTCCATACATACAAAGAAACACAAGTGGTGTGTGTGAGGGGGAAGTGATTCTAACATCAACAACATCGACAATAACAAGGAAAAATCAAAAAGAGATCAGAAAACCATTGCGCCCGGAACCTTAAGATACTTGCTCATGAGACCTCATTCGCGTCGGAGAAGGGACTTTCGACTCGGTTTAGGGCGGGCTGGTTGTTTCGGCTTGAGCTCGCGCTGTGTCGGTGGCGGTGACCTAGTGTCGATCCGCTCTGACGCTTCAGGCCCGAGGACGTGGCCTCCATTGTGGAGGCCTGGTCACGAAAGGGACCAGCGTCTGTAGCCTCGAGTTCAGGGATCGTGGGGTGCGCGGGAGAGGGGGAGTGAGTGGGTGGTTGGGCGCCGTAGCTATTATCTTCATCGGAAGAATTGCCATCAAAGGTGGAAGTGTCGTGAGTGAATTGGCGGCTGTCGGGAGAGCTGGCACCGGACACGACACCGCTGGACGCTTCGGTCGTGGCGCTGTGGTTCGTGTCGGGTTTGCTTCCTTTCTTCTTCAGCGAGGCGCCGCGCACCATCACCGGCTTGGCCACCACAGAGCGCGCAACGATTGAGCTGCTCGAGGTATTGGCAGATTCCACAGTGTTGGATGAAGCAATTGCCCCGGCCTTGGCCAGTTGAGCTGGTGTGATGGCCGGCACGGCGGGGGCATCGGACGGTGTCACTACCACCGGCACTAAATTGCCTTGTGTGTTCGATCCTGGCGTGCTGGGGTTAGACGCGGTGTGAATGCTGACCACGTTGGCACGAGAGCGGGCGACCTGTTGGGCCGGCTGTGCGCTGACAATGGCGTCGCTGCGATAGATGGTCGTGGCGACACTGCTGCGCAGAGTCGGAGAGAAACTCTGGTGGCCGGTGGCTTGCGTCCAGGCCGAGTCGCGCAGATCACCGGGCATGAAGAAGTGCTGGTCGGGTGTGGCACCGGGCAGTGGCGGCACCGGAGGCACGAGCGAGGACGGCGTCTCGGGTGGAGAGCGGTTGGTGACACCGGGGATGTAGGCGATCTGGATGACGTTCGAGGCGCGCGTGAGAACAGTCGAAGCGATCGACTGCACAGACTTGCGCTGATCCCGTCGGGCGTCGAAGTCGCTGTTCTTTTCCGCCTCGCGCTCCTGGCGCTTCTTGCGGATGACAAACCACCAGATCAGAAACACGATGATACCCACGGCGGCCACGCCTGCAACCACACCGCCAGCAATGGCTCCGGTATCAGAGCCACCACCGCTGCTGCCTGAGTCTGAAGAGCTGCCTGAGGATGTATCGGATCCAGGGATCTTTTGGCAATACGTGCTCGCACATTGGTTGCATGTTTGAGTGATCATTTGGCACTGCGTGCCCTCGGGACAGGAGGGACATGGCGGAGCCGATGTTCCACAGGGCTTGCACTTGTCGACGGAGCGGCGCGTGAGGCCTGAATAGATTCATCGAGTCAGCGGTCGGGAGGCCATGGAGAGAACACGGGAGAACGGGGAAGCATACCATTCAGAGTCAAAAAGTCGCGATAAACCGGTTCCAGCAGCATGATGGGCGATAGGAGAGATATGAAATCACGATAGAGGATATAGATATATGCAAGAGAAAGGACCGATCAACGGTATGGTGAATGTGCACGACTCGGAAAAACAAGTCGAAGGCCAGGCGCGAGAGAGAAAACAAGAAAAGAGTGTGGGAGGCTCAATCGGCGTCAAGTCGTGAGCGTCCAGGCAAGATCATCAACTCCGAGCCGCAAAAATGGGCGTCGGATTGGGGAGAGGGAAAACGAGTGTCGGGGTGAAAGAGAGAAGCGTCGGCAGGGAAGAAGAAGGGGGTCTAGTGGAGGGTCATCCTCTGCGACCGTGGGTAGAAGTGGAGACGGGAAGGATCGAGTGCGGGCGGATCAGGGGAAGAGATTCTAGCACCGTGTCGACAGGGAGGATGTAGAGGATGGATGGGACAGTGACGGGAAGAGGGTGAAGAGAGGAAGACGAGAGCAGAGAAGGACAGATGAGTTGGGCGCTGACCGAGTCCGTGGGTTTTCTCCTGATGGGAAAAGAGGAGGTGCAGCAATCCGCACGGGCTGGGCTTCGCACCACGACCCGTTGGTTTCTAACAATAGGTTGCACGGCACGGCAGCGGCGGTCGTTCGTGGGAGGATTCGTGTATCGACTACGAGACTAGTCCTCGTCTTCTACATTCTATCATGGACGGACTCCTCGCTCCTCCCATCCTCCCCTGTTCGTTATACTCCGAGCCTGCTTGGGTGTGGCAGCAGCCCAGGGCCGTGGTGGTTGGTGGTCGAGGGCCTGGACTCCCGGATTATCCTGGGCCCGAAATTAACGACCACGCCCGGCCGGACCTGACTCAGCCAGGTCAGGTGACCTAGGCAGAGGCAATCATCACACCGCAGTGTCTCACCCCAGCAAGGCTGAGAGGACCCTCGGCCGTGGCATGGCTCTGGGTGGCGGGCCCGCCGGCCGCCCGGCAGGATTCTGCTGAGACAGATTGGATGTATGTGTGCTGACATGCCATCGAATCTGAAGAATGCGGGTGCGTTGGCGCGTTTCACTAGTGGGTGGTGGAGCGGGAGGGAGGGAGCTAGTGTCACAAAGAGGAGAGAACAGACAACCAGACAGAACGAACGAAGCAGATGAAGGTCAGAGAGAAGCAGATGGAAGATGATAAACACGAACGGCCTCCTCATTGTTATTATTCCATGATGGTGGCGAGAGAATAGTTGTTGTTCCGCAGAGAGTGATCCGCGGATTCCAACGCGCTCCCCAGTGGCCAGTCAGACTGGCCCTGATCGGGTCCAGCCTAGATCGGAGGCACCTTATTGTGCCTGACCCAAGGGATGGCCGGCATGCTCGTTGTATCATTACTGGGCACTACGGATGTTATTCGGTGGTAGGAAGGAACAAGTGAAGGCGAACAACAGAGGGACAGGGAAAAAAAAAGAGGCACTAACCCGTGTCGAGACTAAGCCCTGTCTATTTTTGCCGCGACTCAGCCATACGATCTAGTTTCACTTTATCCTCCTTTTTTTCTTTCTTTCTCCCTGTCCTCATCCTCTTCTCTTCTTTCCCCCCATCCTCATCCCATCCCATCTATCTGCATCCCACCCTTTCACCGGTCTTTCCACACTCCCCCTGGGAAACCCTCCCTTTCCCACCATTCGCTCGCTCATCCCCGGGTGTGAGGATTGTTCTGTTCATGCTCCTTGTTTCCCCGATACCCCTCTTCTGCTGCACTTGAGTTTTGTCCCCCTGCTTCGTTCTCACTGTTCCCACATCAACCATGGCCTACCAGGGCTCGGGCGCGCACTCGCCGGGCTACGACGGCAACCATCCCAACGCGCCGGTAAGAGTGGAGTATCCTCACGCGGCGACCGTCGCTAACCAGATCAGTATCGCGAGGACGAGGATGCCGCACACGGTCTGCTGTCCCACCAGCAACAGGGTCCCTTTGCCACACCTTTTGATGACCCCCACTCGCGCGGTGTCTCGCCCGTACGACCAGCGTCTGGCTACAGCTTGACTGAGACCTACGCCTCAGATGCCGCACCCGCTTACCACGACCCCTATGCCACAGGCTCAGTCTACTCGGGCCAGTCAGAAAACCCCGCAGCGGCCTTTGGTGTTCCTGGTCGCGTTGCGTCGCCCTATGCTCGCAGCGAGACCTCGTCGGTCGAGGCCTGGCGCCAGCGTCAGGCACCGGGTGGCGGTCCTGGCAGCAGCAATGGCGGCGGCGGCGGGAACCTGCGCCGATACGCGACGCGAAAAGTCAAGCTGGTGCAAGGTTCCGTGCTGAGCGTGGACTATCCTGTCCCCAGCGCGATTCAGAATGCCATCCAAGCCAGATACCGTAACGACCTGGAGGGTGGTAGCGAGGAGTTCACACACATGCGATGTAGGTGATTTTTGTTTCGCACACACAGAACAACACCCACTAACCCGCGGCTCTTAGACACTGCGGCGACCTGCGATCCGAATGAGTTCACCCTACACAATGGTTACAATCTGCGACCGGCCATGTACAACCGCCACACCGAGCTGCTGATTGCCATCACCTACTACAACGAGGACAAGTCCCTCACAGCACGCACTCTTCATGGTGTCATGCAAAACATCCGCGACATTGTCAACCTGAAGAAATCCGAGTTCTGGAACAAGGGTGGACCCGCTTGGCAGAAGATCGTCGTAGCCTTGGTGTTCGATGGAATCGATCCCTGCGACAAGGATGTCCTAGACGTCTTGGCGACCGTTGGTGTTTACCAAGATGGCGTTATGAAGCGTGACGTTGATGGCAAGGAGACTGTGGCTCATGTTGTAAGTGGATCGACAAGACCCATCAAGACTCCACTAACGGCGACATCTAGTTCGAGTACACGACCCAGTTGTCCGTGACCCCAACCCAACAGCTCATCCGGCCTACCGACGATGGCCCGAGCACACTGCCTCCCGTGCAGATGATGTTCTGTCTGAAGCAGAAGAACAGCAAGAAGATCAACTCCCACCGCTGGCTGTTCAACGCCTTTGGTCGGATTCTGAACCCAGAGATCTGTATTCTGCTGGATGCTGGAACAAAGCCTGGCCCCAAGTCCTTGCTGTATCTCTGGGAGGCCTTCTACAATGACAAGGACCTCGGTGGTGCCTGCGGTGAAATCCATGCCATGTTGGGCAAGGGATGGCGAAACTTGGTCAACCCTCTGGTGGCCGCCCAGAACTTCGAGTACAAAATCAGTAACATTCTCGATAAGCCCCTGGAGAGTTCTTTTGGCTACGTGAGTGTGCTGCCCGGTGCCTTCTCTGCTTATCGGTTCCGCGCGATCATGGGTCGCCCGCTGGAGCAATATTTCCACGGTGACCACACGCTGTCCAAGCAACTCGGCAAGAAGGGTATTGAGGGCATGAATATCTTCAAGAAGAACATGTTCTTGGCCGAGGACCGCATTCTGTGTTTCGAGCTGGTCGCCAAGGCAGGCTCGAAATGGCATCTGTCGTACGTCAAGGCCTCCAAGGCCGAAACGGACGTTCCGGAGGGTGCTCCCGAATTCATCTCGCAGCGTCGTCGTTGGTTGAACGGTTCCTTTGCCGCCGGCATCTACTCCCTGATGCACTTTGGCCGCATGTATAAGAGCGGACACAACATCATCCGCATGTTCTTCCTGCACATCCAGATGTTGTACAACATCTTCAACACCATCCTCACCTGGTTTTCGTTGGCCTCGTACTGGCTGACCACCACCGTCATTATCGACCTGGTCGGCACCCCCAGTCCCGACAACAACAACACTGCCTTCCCCTTTGGCAAGGAGGCCACGCCCATTGTCAACACCGTTGTCAAGTACGCGTATCTGGGTTTCTTGCTCCTGCAGTTTATTCTCGCGCTCGGCAATCGGCCCAAGGGTTCCAAGTTCTCGTACTTGGCCTCCTTCGTCGCCTTTGGTATCATTCAGCTTTACATCATCGTTGACTCGATGTACCTCGTGGTTCGCGCGTTCACCGGCAACGCTCCCATGGACTTTGTGACCAACAAGGGTCTCGGGCCGTTCCTCAGCTCGTTCTTTGGGTCGACCGGTGCCGGTATCATTATCATTGCCTTGGCAGCCACCTTTGGTCTGTACTTTGTGGCCTCGTTCATGTACGCGGACCCGTGGCACATGTTCACGTCCTTCCCACAATACCTCATGGTGCAGTCGTCCTACATCAACATTCTCAACGTGTACGCCTTTAGCAACTGGCACGATGTGTCATGGGGTACCAAGGGCTCGGACAAGGCTGATGCACTGCCATCTGCCAAGACAACCAAGGATGAGGGCAGCAAGGATGCCGTGATCGAGGAGATCGACAAGCCGCAGGCGGATATCGACAGCCAGTTCGAGACGACGGTCAAGCGCGCTCTGACTCCATACGTGCCGCCGGTGTCGCACGAGGAGAAGAGCTTGGAGGACTCCTACAAGAGCTTCCGAACGCGGCTGGTCACCTTCTGGATTTTTAGCAATGCTTTCCTCGCCGTGTGCATCACCAGCGAGGCCGTCAACAAGTTTGGTTTTACGGTATGTGCTTTCTCTTCTCCCATTACTCCACTCACTAACACTCGTTCTAGAACTCGGCCACCAAGCGGACCGCGCGCTTCTTCCAGGCCCTCCTGTGGTGTAACGCCGTTGTGGCGCTGTTCCGCTTCACGGGTGCTGTTTGGTTCTTGGGCCGCACTGGTATCAAGTGCTGCTTTGCCCGGCGGTAGAGTCGATGGCCGGGTCAGCCTTGGGGGTTTTAATGGAGGATGGCGCTTTTTCTCTTTTTCTGTCACGAACCACTGCTCTTGGCATGCCTATTACTTCTTTCCTGCTTTTTTGCGACATGTATTCTAACTAAAGATGTCCGTCCCTTTCTTGCGTGTTTTTTTTTTCTCTTTTGGGATTCTTACGAGTATGTCCTGTCCGCGGGGTTGATCAGCATCCCCGGGCTGAATTTGTCCAGCGATGCCAAGGGAAGCATTCGGGACGCAATACATGAGTGAACGTGGGTTTTCTCTCCTTGTCGTAGTGTTCAGTGTCTCTTAGTTCGTATCTCTTTAGGGACATGTAGTTAGTTGCCTAACGTGGACATGGATTACTCATAGCGGTGGCCAAGGCGGAGATGCAATCATCGCGATAACCCCCACCAGCATCCTTCTTTCTGCCCTTCAACTCCCCCATTCCCCCCATCCAGCCCTGTCGGACATTCATTCTCGTCCAGCCACCTCTCGGCCCGTGATTCTGTTTTCCCGCTTCATTCCACCAGGTGGGGTGGCGCCTCGCCTAAGATGTTGAAAATATGGTCGATGGTATGTATGGCGCCCAGCCATCTCCTGGCTCGAACCCGAAGAAATGCTCACCCCCAGTGCAGAAACAGCAACAGCAGCAGGCTGAAAATGCCGATGGCGGTGCAGGAAAGAAAAAGAAGAAGGTCACGGCGGCGCAGTTGCGCGTGCAGCGAGGTCGGTTCTCCAGACCTCTCTCTAGACTCCCTCTGGTCTCTCTCTGGTCTCTCCTCACACAACCACCGATCCACCAAAAGAGCCTCAGAGTGATCGATGATGGCTAATACTAATAACCAACAGATCTCCAAGAACTCACACTGGGAAGCACGATGAAAATGTCCTTCCCAAACCCTGATGACATCCTCAACTTCACCCTGACCATCGAGCCGGATGAGGGCATGTACAAGGGCGGCGTCTTCCACTTCAGTTTCGCCGTCAACCAGAATTTCCCGCACGATCCGCCCAAGGTCAAGTGCACGCAGAAGATCTACCATCCCAACATCGATCTGGAGGGCAATGTGTGCCTGAACATTCTGCGGGAAGACTGGAAGCCCGTTTTGAATCTCAATGCCGTCATCGTGGGCATGCAGGTGCGTTTCTTTCTTCTTTCTGTCCTGTCCCACGACCTGACTGTGTTCCCCCGCCGTATATAGTTCCTCTTCCTCGAACCCAACGCTTCCGATCCCTTGAACAAAGAAGCCGCCGATGACCTCCGCACGAACCGGGACGCTTTCAAACGGAATGTTCGCTCCTCCATGGCCGGCGGGTCCGTCCGAAGCGTCTCGTATGAGCGGGTGCTGCGGTAGAAGATTGTAGAGATTGACCACAACTGGCTGGCTCGACTATGACCATGCGAGAATACGGGGTGGCCGATCTACGGTGCTGCGCTTTTGGGAGGCCGAGGGTGGGAGGATTACTACAAGCGGTTTCGCGCGTCGGCGCGCTGGTGTGCCACGTACATATATCGGCGTAATTAGCGACTGAATACGATAGATCTGATTCGATCATTAAGGACTCGATGGGGGGAAGGTTGATATAGCAATGCTCGGCCCAACACAAGAGATAACTGAATCCAAGACTCAAATTGTTCAACCACAGGCGTATATGTACAATCGATTTCAGATCAAGCCCTCCTGACTCATACACGACCCGTCGATCCAACTACCCTGCGGAATACAAGCACGATGGCAATTCCTCAGTGACGTTGCTTGTTTTCTGGATACATTTCAAACAAAGGAAAAGGGAGTGATGATGCCGACAGGCACAGCGGCAAGGCGATCAGTGCCGGAGAGTCGATTTATGCCCGCTGGGCGGCGCGCTCCGTCTCCAGACGGGCGTAGTAGGAGTCGCGGGCACGGACACGGGGGAGGTGGTAGCCTGACACGAGAGAATGTTAGAGTTGGAAGCGTATGGTGGGTTGAAGCATGTCTACTACTTACCGTACCACCAGAGGTAGCCGAAGGTGGTGCCGAAACCTGATAGGATGGTAGTTAGCCAATTGTTCTGGCTGCACAAAGGTCCACCCTCTCAGTGGAATTGTATTCCATATTCAACGGTCGGTCGTTCCGCCACGAGGGAATACGACCACCACGTCACGACGCCTGACCAGGAAACTCACCAAAAGCGGTGCTCAGGTCCAGAACCAGACCCCGGCGAAGCATCTACATCAAGTCCAACACGTCAGTCTATTGCTCAGATTCTCGTCGATGATCCGACCAGCCCGCTCGGGCGCAGCCGGAAGGGGGAGAAGAGGGAACACCTACGCCGGTGATGGGGGGGATAGCAGCGGGCATTGTGACGGATCGATGTCGCCAGTCGATTCTCGAGGAGGCAATTGACCGGAAAGGGACAGCTCTTCGACTGCCGGTTGTGTTTGGTTGGGTGGTGGTGGAGGGGAGAGGAGAGGCAGAGATGAATGACAGAAAGAGTGAGGTGAAGTCGAAGCTTGCGGGCTAAGCGAGGCGCCGGATTGGTCGATGGGGCCACCGCCTACAGTATGGACTGAGGGGAGGAAATGCTGGCACGATTATTATTGGGGGGTTTATATTATGATTTATTGAGGGGATAGTTTGGCATTATTTATTATGATTGACATGGTTGTTTTGATCATTGCCAGTTTCATCTCCCTCCCTTCGTCCGGGTTTTCGGTCATGGCCAAGTGAGAAGAGATTCTCTGCCCCAGGTACTTACACGTGACCCCATCCTGTCTTGCTCGCAACCTGGTGAGCTTCCCCTTCACCCAGTGAACACATCGGCCATGGCATCCTCAGGGCCCTCCCTCAAGCGGCCATCCTCCTCGGTAGGCCCTCATGACAACAAACGACCGAAACAATCCTACCATCACCACCACCGCTTGCAGGATCCCTTCACGCTGCCTCCGACGGCCGAGCCCGCCCTCCAGGATGACGCCAGTATCGACCATCTCATGAACCGCGCGATGGGGCAGCTCCTGCGGGACTCGGGCTTTGATATGGCACATCCTGCCGCGTTGGCGAGTTTGCGCAGCGCCACAGAGGAGTGTATGTGACGGGCAACAAGGCATTCACACGATCAAGAACTGACGGGGTCTTTCTAGATCTCTTTCGTTTCACAGCTTATGTCCGCCAATCCATGGTATCTTCCCGACGAACACAACCCATTCCTCAAGACTTCGAGCTTGCCCTGAACCGCCTCCGCCTCCGCATCGACGACCTTCACCCATATCTCAAATCACAATCACCCGCAGAACCTGCAGCTCCGCTCCTCCCTCCCCTCCGCCCGAGGACGAGGGTATACGCAAGTTCCCGTTTTTGAGCTCGCTCAGTGGCGAAGACGACCGCGCCACCCGCTCCTACATCCCCAAGAATTTCCCGGACTTCCCCAGCAAACACACCTACTCCGCGACACCGGTCTTCACCGAACGCGAGAGCGATACACGCAAGATCCGTGAGCGCGCTACAGAAGACGGACGCCACGGCGAAGAAGCGCTGCGCAAGTTGGCGCGCGCTGCATTCCGCGATAATCAAGTCAATTCGACGGGTAACAAGAAGCTCTGGGGTCGGCGGATGGAGAGTATGGAGGGCATGTTTGAAAAGACCGTCAAGGGTATGACGAAGAAAGCGCAGAAAGATTCTCTGGCTTCTTCCAACGTCCCCGGGGCTCTGAGCATGGCTATGGATATTGACTCGGCGCCAGTCTCGGCCGAGGCCGATTCCAAGACGCGGTCGAATGTATCGTTGCATCTGGAGCTGGGTCCGATCGTCAACTGCGAGCGAGACTTTTGGCGGCGGACGACGTCGGCGAGCGTACGACGAGCAGAGGATAAGGATACTCAGCCGACTGCCAGTATTGAGCCCTTTGAGACTGTTGGAGGCGCATAATATTGGGGCGTGTCGCATGGAAAAAAGGTCGGCGTTTTTTGTGAGATTCGGTTGGCGCTTTGTGTATGATTCAGGAGCATGATTTAGGAGTTAGGAGATACCCCAGACAGTGACAAGCATGATCATTCCGTTCTGAATTGTAAAAGAATAGAAAAGACCCTCCACGCCGAACTCCGCCCAATGCATTGATACCCCCAAATCACTTTCTGCTTTCAGCCTCCCGTTTATGCGCCGCCTCTTCCTCCGCTATTCGCAGTGGTTCCCACGAGGTAGTCTCGACCGTCAATCCGCCAGCACATCTGCAGCCTCGTCAGCAATGCCCTTCGTAGTTGACCCAGCCGTTTGTTCCGTAAAGACGTACCGCCGGAATAAGCGCACAACTGGTTTGCAGACAACCGCCCCCGGCTGCGGAATTCCATCTTGCGGTGGGTTGCACGAGTACTGCATCATCTCCAGCAGCGCGCACTCCTTCAGATCGATCGCGGGACCTTTACGGCGCTTCTCTTGGAAATTGCGGCGGACGGTGTTGACATGGTCTGGGAGGGTTTCGGCGGAGAAGACGGGGACGAGCGGCGCCATTGGTGGTTGGTGGTGGTGGTGGTTGAGGAAAGAAGTTGGAGAGCGGAAGATCGCCCGCTCACTTTAGCTTTCTTCCGTTCTACACGTAACTTGGTTACCGGCTGGGTTCCTCATCTCACCACACCACGCCACCTTATATGATGAGGAATGGTATTTCTTCGCCGATTAAAGTGATGTGCGATCCTTGATGCTGCTGGCTACTTCCGACTATGGCTGCCAATCTCGGGGCGAGCGCGCTGGCTGATGTGCATCAGGAGAGTCTGGACCAGGTACTCGATCTACTCTCCAATATTGGACTATCCCAGCGCTGACTTGCGTAGATTCTACATGAATTGGTGTCTATTTCTCCTGACCAGCAACAGCCGCTGGGAGTCCCTGTTCTGGACTCTTTGCTCGAAGTGTTCACATCAAGGCCATCACGCGTCTCAGCCGGCGCCCAAGGCCAGTCTGGACAAGCTTCGGATGCATCTCTGCCCGGGGATAGAGGAATGCTGCTTCAAGCAGTTAACGAAACCCGGACCCCGATACAACTGCCTCCAGTGCATGGCGACAGTAACTCCGAAGCCCGTGTCAGCCGCGGAACCAAGCGACCAGATACGATCCTGGAGATTTCAAGCAGCTTGTCAGCCGCAGGCAAATCGCACCTGCTGTATTATCTGACTGCTCTCGCCATCTTGCCGTCGACGTACGGGGATCTTCCAATAGGCGGCCGTGATGCGGCCGTGGTCTTCATAGATACCGATGGCCGATTCGACGCAGACAGACTACGCACCGTGGCCCGAGAGCTTGTGCGACAGCGAGTTCCCTTAGATGCAGACAATAGACTGTTGCCCGAAGACCTCGAAATGCTTCTGGTTTCCTCCATTCAGCATGTCCATGTCTTTCGGCCGCAATCCTCGTCGTCGCTGCTTGCTACAATATGCGCGTTAGATACCTACCTCTTCGATCTTTCGAGGCATCGCTCTGCTTCCCGATCGTTGCAAATGATTGCCATTGACAGTGTCACGGCATTCTTCTGGCAGGATCGCCTGCGCGAGGAGGCCTCTCGCACCGAGACAATTGGACGTCCCCAGAAAGAGATTGATAGCCTGCGCGAGTCGAAACAACTCTTTTATCTTTCTGATCTCTATGTCGAGCTCGCGAAAGAACTGAAACAGCTACAGGGTCGTTTCGGCTGTGCAATTGTCTACACTGCAACAATTCCAGGTGGACGTCCTGCCAATGCCAATGACGCTTCTGGCCCATTCGAACAACACACGTCGCGACGACCATCACTTCGGCCTGCTCTCCCTGCGCCATGGGGTACATTTCCAGCTCTACGCCTGATCGTTTACCGTAGCCAGGTGCGCCCATTTCCACCTGGGATAAATACACAGGATGCCGAGCGAGAGGCACCGCTGCGGCAGAGCGTGGTCGATCAGGGCACATTCTGCGCCTGCGTGAATGCATGGGGAAGCGAGGAGTGGCCCCGTCGAGTGGTGGATGGAATCGCTGCCAGAAAAGGTGGGAGGTTTGCCTTCTCCGTGAGAGAAACCGGAGTAGAGATACCTCTATCATGAAGTGATTATGTTCTCTATTCGTTTGTATCTACACTTAGCTAAACAGCTTCCCAATGGCTTCGACCGTCGTGTTTCCGCCGCTGAACACGACCGCAACATCCCATCCATCCTCGCCGCCATCCTGCTCGACTCGCCGTCGGAAGTTTTCGTCAAATAGACAAGCTGCCAGCCCGACGACCGCGCTCGGCTCAACCACCACCTTCATCCGCTCCAATACGAGACGCATAGCCGCCTTGATCTGGTTCTCTGTCACGGCGAAGACGCCTTCCACTTTCTTCTTATTCGATATCACTTCCCAATTGATCATACCAACCGGCGTGCGCAGCCCATCGGCAATTGTTAGCGTGCTCACAGCCTCCACCCGCTGTCCAGCCTGCAGCCCACGCCGACAGTCATCCGCACCTTCGAAGCTAGGCTCGGCGCCAAACACCCGCGTCCGCGGTTTATCCGAGAAGTATGTCGCCACGCCGGAGTTGAGGCCTCCCCCACCAACCGGCGTAATCACCGCATCCAATGTTCGAGAACCGGTCAGTTCGGCATGTTGCGCCGCAAGTTCCAACCCGGTCGTTCCCTGTCCGCAGATGATATTGAAGTCGTCGTATGGGGGAACAAGGATGGCGTCCGTCTTCGCCTGGATCTCCTCCACGACCGCCTCCCGCTCCACGCTTGTGGATCCACTGAAAATCACCTCTGCGCCGTGCGAGCGGGTGCCTGCGATCTTGGACGGCGTGCTGATGCGGGGCATGACGATGTATGCGGGGATCTGCAAGGTCGAAGCGGCGAGGGCGAGGGCCTGGGCGTGGTTTCCTATGCAAGGCTATATCAGAAAGAGTTCCATTGACTGTTGTACAACTCCCCGAAAACACCTACCAGAGCTATGTGTAATCACCCCGCGCCGCTTCACCTCTTCTTCCCCGCGCTCTGCAACCAGTCGCAGCAGCGCATGGAAAGCGCCGCGTGCCTTGAACGCGCCGATGCGCTGAAGATTCTCGCACTTGAAAAAGAAGCGGAAACGCGGGTGTGCGGGCGATTGGCCCTCGAAGGGTGTTCCGAGCAGCGCATCGGGCGACTGTGGCGTGGAGGCGATGGTGTCGAGCGTGTGGCAGGTCAGTAGCGGCGTGCGGTGCACATAGGGTTGGATCAGGCCGTAGGCGGCCTCGATGGCGGCGGGGGTGAGCAATTGCGCGGTTTCTGCGGGGGAAGGCATGGTCGTGGTTAGGAAAAGCCCTAAACAACAACATTTGAAGTCCATCCATATTGACCAACCCCGGTGTGCTTACTAACCTCAACGATATCGGAGTAATCAACTGTTATCTATCATGTCTGACCGTTATATAGTTCCGTGTTGGTAGAATAGGAGACGGAGAATACAACTACATCAGCGACTACACAAGATTGAAAATCCGAAAGTGTTAAAAACAGTTCATTGTACATCATAGCTTTTGCAACCCCCTATGGGTATATTATTTATTTCTGGTTCTCGGGGCGCAGGGAACGGACGGCCTTGCCGGCCCGCCAGATCTCCAGATCGCGGATTTCCTGCATCTCCTTCTCGTACTTCTCGCGGTAGTCCTTCTGCGAGTTGTAGTCGAGCGAGCGCTGGGTCTCGGTGCCGTCCCGGACGCTGTTGTAGAGCTCGTTGAACAGGGGCTTCAGGTTGTCCTTGAAGCGGCTGGACCAGTCGATGGCACCACGGCGGGCGGTGGTGGAGCAGGCGGCGTACATCCAGTCCATGCCGTTGGCGCCGATCAAGGGGTACAGAGACTGGGTGGCCTCCTCGACGGTCTCGTTGAAGGCCTCCGAGGGGCTGTGGCCGCGCTCACGCAGGACCTCGTACTGTGCCAGGAACATACCGTGGATACCGCCCATCAGGCAGCCACGCTCGCCGTACAGGTCGGAGTAGACCTCCTTCTCGAAGGTGGTCTCGTACAGGTAGCCGGAGCCGACGGCGACACCCATGGCGATGGCCTTCTCCTTGGCCTGGCCGGTGGCGTCCTGGAAGACGGCAATGGAGGAGTTGATGCCGCGGCCCTCACGGAAGAGGGTGCGGACGGTACGGCCGGAACCCTTGGGGGCAACGAGGATGACGTCGACGTCCTTGGGGACATCGACCTTGGTGAGGTCCTTGAAGACGGGCGAGAAGCCGTGGGAGAAGTAGAGGGTCTTGCCCTTGGTGATGAGGGGCTTGATGGTGGGCCAGGTCTCGGACTGGGCGGCATCGGAGAGCAGGTTCATGATGATAGTACCCTTCTCGATGGCGCTGTTGACGTCGAACAGGTTCTTGCCGGGAATCCAGCCGTCCTGAACAGCCTCCTTCCATGACGCACCGTCCTTGCGCACACCGACGATGACATTGAGACCCTGGTCACGCAGGTTCAGGCCCTGGCCGTGACCCTGCGAGCCGTAGCCGATGAGGGCGAGGGTGTCGTTCTTGAAGAACTCGTGAAGCTTCTCACGGGGCCAGTCATCACGCTCATAGACGACTTCCTTGGTGCCGGCGAAATCAATGGTCTTCAGGCCACGGGTGGTGGGGGGAGCCACCGACACCCGGGTCGCGGCCGACGCAGCCGCCAGAGCGGGCCGGGGAAGGGCGGCGGTGACGACGGAGCGCGGCGCAGCCACGCGGGCCAGGCGGAGGGCACGGGGGAGACCACGAGCAGCCATTGTGTATGTAGGAAAGAGAGAGAAGGAAAAAAAGTAGAGGGGAGAGGGTGTGGAAGGTGAGGAATTGACGGAGAGAAAAAAGTTGGGGACGGAGGAGTCATTGTCTTTTAAGTGGACAAGTGGGCAAGCTGTCACGTGACGGACTCCCGGAAAAGTGCTATTGCTCCCCGCCAATCAGACAAGACGGTAGTCATACTTCCAAAGTCTAGGTCGACAAGGACATTTTCCACAACGACGACAACCGATCTGCTAATAGGGTGGATGGCACCCATCCATAGCTATAGACGGGCCATAAGGGTATGAAACCTAGATTAGTGCAAGTATCGTATAGACGGTCTCCTGTAAATTCGATAATGTTAGGAATAAGGGACAAATCCCGCCATTGCTGCCTGAGGTGTTCAACCCCATCACAACCCCACTGTTCTTGTTGACCTCTTAAGAGGCCCCACGCTCCTTCCCCTCCCTATCATGTCCTTACGATGAACATCTTCTCGTTCGGCGATCTGCCTACTATCCACACCCGCAAGGCCCTGCTGTTGCTGGATTTCCAAAACGACTTTGTCCGCCCGTCTGGGGCCCTGCCGGTCCCCAACAGCGCCGACATCCTCGAAACTTTGCCGGGACTTGCAGCCGCCTTTCGTCGAGTCGGTGATGTCGTCTGGGTGCGATCGCAGTTCGAGTCCTCTCAGTCCACCGTCGACTGGGACTTTGGGGACCGCATAGTCCTGGAAAAGGAGCCGCCGCCGCCCCCGAAGCCTGAGCCGCTGCCGGACATCATAGAAGCCGCGTCAGATTGCGATACCCCGGAACCTGTCGACGACGAAGCCTTTTTGTCGGCAGACCCTTCGCCATGTTGCAATCCCCAAACGCCCGGGTTTCAGTTCCCCGCCCCTATTCTGGCGGCTATCGACCGCGACCAGGATACTGTGTTGGACAAGACTGGATATTCTGCGCTGGAGTCGGCCGGCCTGGTGCTGTCATTCCGTACCCGCTTTGTGACAGAGCTATACCTGTGCGGCTCTCTGTCGAATGTTTCTGTGTACGCCACTGCCTTGGACGCCGTGCGCAACGGCTTCTCCGTGACACTCATTGAGGACTGCTTGGGATTTCGGGATTTTGGGCGCCACCAAGAAGCCATGCGCCGTATGGCAGACATCCTCGGGGCGACTGGTCTCAGCGCGGAAGAACTAACTCGGGAGCTGGAAAACGATGAAACGGAAGCAATTGCGCGCCGAAGCCGGAATGCGCCGCCAACCAAGAAATCGATCGCCTCTGCTGGCATTGAGAACGTCATGGACGGACTTGAGGTTGACGCTTCTGACCGGATCGCGAATAATGATCCTTCGCCGGACCGAGAAGGGCGCAGTTTGGACGATCTCATTGGGATGACACGAGCGCATCGCGGCTCTTCGGCTAGTTCACAGCCTCGAGTTGCTTCAGAGGGTAAGAAGGCAGTACGCGCAAGAGTACGGCGGCCGAAACGTCGCGATCCCACGCCAGATTCTACAATCACCGATGGAGGGTCTGTTGCAGAGTCTGTCACTTCTACTAGGTCTGTGGCATCTACCCCACCCACAGAGATACTCGAACGGAAAATTGGAGAAGGCGACTCACGCATTGTGCATAACATCGGCCTACCTCCAAATGCCTTTGAGCGCATCCGGGCTGAGGTCGCTTGGCAGAAGATGTACCACCTATCTGGCCAGGTGCCCCGGCTGGTGGCGGTGCAAGGACAACCTAATTTTGATGGTGCAATTCCTATCTACCGTCACCCCGCGGACGAGTCTCCGCCGCTGAAATCGTTCACGTCAGCCGTGGACGAGGTACGCATCGCTACTGAGCGCATCCTCGGGCACCCGTTGAACCACGTGCTCATTCAACTTTACCGAGATGGGCAAGATCGCATATCGGAGCATTCAGATAAAACGCTGGACATTATTCGTGGATCGTTCATCTGTAACGTCAGCTTGGGCGCTCAGCGCACCATGACTCTTCGTACCAAAGTCTCAGCATCCGCGTCCAATAAAGAGACAGAGTTCAGCCGAATGACACAACGCATCCCTCTTCCCCATAACTCGCTTTTCGTTCTCGGCGAGAAAACAAACATGCGATGGCTGCACAGTATTCGAGCGGACAAACGACCAGACTCGGAGAAATCGCTCGAGGAGCGGGCTTACGGCGGCGAGCGCATCTCTCTCACTTTCCGGAACATCGGAACCTATCTCAATCCTACCGCCGACACCATCTGGGGCCAAGGAGCTGTCAGCAAGACATCTGATCAAGCGCGGACGGTCATACACGGCGATCCTACCGAGACCGAACGACTCATCCGGTCATTTGGACAGGAAAACCACGCCACTGAATTTGATTGGGATGCTGTCTACGGTGGTGGATTTGACGTGGTCAATTTTGTCACTACCTCGTCAGCACGTCTAGCGCTTAGCGGGGACCCGGTAGCGGATCTGCGCGTGCTACTCTGTCTCGGGGAGAATGGCCTTCGATATGAAGTGGTTCCTGTGGGTCAGGACATAGGCATTGCGGACGCACCCTCCAAGCGGCCATTGTATATATCGTCGGATGGAAAGATGGTTGCTGGCGATCATTCCATTCTCACCCATCTGGCCAAACGAGAACCCACGCGACCGGGTGTGGACGTCTTGCGGGGTGGCAGTCGTCTCGCGCAGCTGGACGGGCTCCTGGCATGTTGGCGCGAACATCGCAGGCGCGATGATGAGAAGAGGCTGTTTGACACAGGCTTGGAGATCTGGGAACATGCGGTCGAAGGCCAGCATTACCTGGGCGGCACAATTCTGGATGTTGACGATTGTTCCCTCTGGCCCATCGTTCGCGAGATGGCGCAGATACAAGACGGATTTGCGGCACAATTCCCTCACCTGTACCAGTACTATCATCGTGTCGGGAAACGAGGAATCGTCCGGGCTATTCTCGAGGAGACCCGGCTGGACGGATGAGAGAGATTCTTCGTGTGTATGTATGTGGTAGTCGTACTAGTTCTGGGACACAGACGCGCTCGAAATCAATTTCACCTCTTTGCTGTCTTCAATTCTTTGTCGAACTCCGTTTTGCATGTCCTCATACCTTGTGCGATCAGTCTACATCTGACCCGCATTAGTAGCGGTATCTCAGGACAGTAATAAGCCATGGTAGAGCTATCGTATCATGGTTGTATGTATGGGCTACGCCTGTCTAAAGCCACTCGTTTGCAAACAAACCAAACAGACTATAGGTTATCCATGCAGCCCTATAGCGATCGTGATAGAGGGGCTGAAATTGAGGGGCAACGCCGGCCCCATGACAGGTTAGTCGTACCCACACCCATCAGGACAAGGCCTTGTGCTTGGCCTACAGATAATTTCGTGTTTTTCAATCACTTTCCCATTGTTGAAGGTATCCTGTTCTACTGCCTGCCTTACGCACAAGGATCGGGACGGCGCTATGGATCCCCTCACAGCCATCAGCCTTGCCGGTAACATCCTTACATTCATTGATTTTTCCTATAAAGTCATTCACGGAGCAAATGAGGTCCTTTCTACTTCGAATGGCATGACCCCCGAGAATGAACGCCTGAGTATCTTGGTGAAAGATTTGAATGTGGTCACACAGGACTTGGTCACGAACATCCCTGCCCGGACCGAAAACGAAAAGCAGCTCTGCGCCTTGGCTGCAAACTGTCATGCATTGTCAGGAGAGCTCTACCAGATCCTTCGACGTTTGAAAGTGGGAGATAAAAAATCGAAATGGGAAGGCCTGATGGTGAAGTGGCATAGTATGCGGAAGGAGAAGGATATTGATTTGATTGAGCGACGACTGAATGGGTACCGATCTCAGATTTTGATCCGGTTGCAAGTCATGTTCAGGTACGTCTTCGGGTGAAATGATTAAGGACGGGAAGGTACTGAGACAAACATAGTCAGAAAATCGATGCGCAGGACTCTTCAGTATATTACCAACTGGAGGCCCTTCGAAGTGAGGGCAAGGCTCTCCAAACTCAAACAACATCCCAGCTAGATGAATTGCACCAGACTATTTTGACACTGGTGGATTCCCTGCAGTCGGCTCCAGCACAAGATAAACCATACGGGACAAAAGAGGAACCCTTGACCAAGTTGGGCGCTTCGTTGGTCGAATTCCAGACCGTGAGGACTTCAGTCTTACGAGAAAACAAGATCCTAGAGCGTTTGGCCTTTACATCCATGTACAGTCGCGAGAACAACATTGAAAATGCCGAGAGTGGGACGTTCGCGTGGATCATTGACGAGGAATCTCAACCGGCAGAGGATCGGAGAGATTCTTTCCTCGAGTCCAAAGGGCCCGAAGAAAAGCATGACGAGGGAAGGAGAATGAGGCGGCGGTATGAGTTAGAGCAGAAAAAGCAGGAGGTTCTGCGGAAGTGTACTCGAGAGAAATTTCTCACCTGGCTCAACTCTGGCCGTCACATCTTCCATATATCGGGCAAGGCAGGTTCCGGGAAATCGACTTTGATGAAGTTTCTTTCTGAGTCGTCTCGGGTCAAGAAAGGATTAGAAAGCTGGGCTGAGGGTCGTCCCTTGATTTTTGCCCGATTCTTCTTCTGGAATTCGGGAGATAAGGTACAGATGTCTCTCGAGGGCCTATATCGAAGTCTGCTGTTTGAAACATGCAGGCAAATCCCTAATCTAATTCCTCGGCTCTTCCCTGAGCTCTGGGGCAGTTCAAATCTCGGAGTGGCCCCAATTCGGTTTGATGAAATCAGGGACTCATTTAATCGCCTGATCAAAGAAGCAAGCTCTTCAGAAAGCTATTTCTGTTTTTTCATTGATGGACTGGACGAGTTTGAAGGTGATGAGATCGATCACTGGAATCTTTCTCGAGATCTTCAGTCTTGGACAGCAAAATCGGAGAATATCAAGCTTTGTGTCAGCAGTCGCCCTCATATTCCTTTTGTTCAGCCCTTGGCGAATGACTTGAATCATCAAATTAGTATCCACGAGCTTACCCGAGAGGATATTTCCAAGTTTAGCGTGGCCATGTTTGAAAGGGACCCCAACTTCCATCGTATCAAGGACTCATATGAAGACTTGGTCATTGAGGTTGTGAACGCCTCAGATGGGGTATTTCTCTGGGCAGGGCTAGTTGTGCGCTCCCTCTTGAAGAGTATAGGATACCAGGGCAGCGAGAAAGACTTGAAAAGGAGGCTTCACTTGATGCCTAAGGGGCTGGATAAGCTATTCGATCAGATCCTTAGCTCTATAGACCCGGACGACCAGCTGCTCTCGGACCAATTATTCCTCTTGACGACTCGCAATTTCTGCCGATGGCAGCCAACAGTCCGAAATGCGATAGCATACTCATGGCTTGAGGACCTTGAGGATCCAGGCTTTCCTTACGAACTACCGATGCGATCATGTACAGAGAGCGAGATCAATGAGCGACTTGAGCGTGTCTCGTGTACTCTGGATTGCCTTTCTCGGGGCCTACTGGAGATGTCCCGAAAGCGCAGCCGTGAAAGAGACGGACATGATTATTTCACCTATGAAGTGCAGTTTCTCCACCGCAGTGCCCGCGACTACATTGTGAATACCCGTGAACCGCAAATGCGAGCCCGTATACCTGACTTTGATGTCTACTCCGGGATATTCCGATTGTTACTTGCAGAATTCAAATTTGCGCTATCCACACTACACGATACCAAACCAAGAGTATGGGAAATTGGGGGAGAAGGTGGTCCTTTGAGAAAGGCTCTCCATATGCTTTTTACCGTTGTGTCTGCTGCTCACAAACATTGCGGGTATGACGTGCCGTCGCGTTTCTTCGAGGAGGCCAGCCGCATTGTCCAGCATCATACCCAAACTGTGGAAACAACACATGTTCTCCCCAGAAATGAGATCCCAGAACCCAGAGGTCACATCTGGGGGCAGAATCTGCAACGTATTGGTTGCGTATGGCTCTCACTAAGAGAGTCGAATCATTCTCCCGATTTTTTATGCGAGGTTGTTTACCGCGGTCTACACCAATTTCTCTCGCCTGATCTGATGAGCCGCTTGAAACAGCAGAACTCGGCTTCAGGTTCAAATTTACTCCTTACTGCTGCTATTGGATCTACAAGCCTGGAATTTGTACAGGATCTCCTACATGAAGGACGGAACCCCCAAGAGATGGTGCCCATGGAGCCAATCCGCCCACTTGACAGAAGCAATTTCGAGAGTTCCACAACAATACCGGCTCCGCAAGCTACTATTTCTCTGTGGCTGATCTTCCTATATCGCTTCATTGAGGATTATTTCTTGGCTGGTCGTACTCATGACCCGGAAAATCGATGTCTTGAAGAGTTCTTGCAGTACGATGTTGATCGCGATGTGCTGTTTGTCGTGAGAATATTCGCCTCGTCCCATGAACCAATCGAACCGGCGGATGACGACCTGGCCCCTAAGGAAAACAGCGGCGAATCGGACGAAAGAGTGGTGTTTGAGTTGCTGGAATTCCTAGAGTTGGTGGAACCATCCAACATAGAGACTCTTCGCATGAAACTTTCGAACAAGCGAACCCGAGAAGACCCACTAGCAGTGACGCCCATCTCTGGGCCTCCAATACCCTATCAACGAGGCTCCTTATCTAAGGCCCTGGAAGCAATTGTGGCGGCGGGCAATGTTAGCCGGCATTTTGCATTTGGACCATCTCTCTGCCTCGAAAGTGTTATCACCCCCTCTGAGCGGCTAGACGTGCCCTTCAGTTTCCGGATCACCTAAAATGAATCCTACCAGAGTTAATAAAAGAGTGGTAAGGGGCATCAAGAGTATCAATCGATGAGAATTTGAGGTAAATTGATTACAGAGAAGCTCATTATGTTACTTGCTCTTATAATAAATTTCGAGGCCTTGAAACCCGCTAAATCACTGAGTTCGGAAAAGAATCAAAGAGAGTAGTGGTGAAACTGATTTCGAGCGGGTTTGTATATCGCACTCTCTTTACGAATTTCATTATCATCAAGCGAGCCTCATCTCACCCATAGTGCCGGACTGAATTCCACTGTCCGATCCACCGAGATCCAGCCAATTCAACCGAGCGGGTCTAACTGCTCCAGGCATCCACTTATCTCCCCGCACGATTTATAAAAGGCTTGCTTATTCTCTCAGCCATCTCCATTAACCTATCACCTATTTTATTGTTATCAGTCACAATGGAACTGGAACAAATTAGCCCACCGAATGGTGAGAATGCTTCCACGGCAATAACCACCAAGCCCCAGGCCGCGAATGCGGAAGACAGCGAGGTCGTCCAGCTGTCGACCTGGAAGTTTTTCATCGTTCTGGTCTCTTTATGCTCTGCCGCCTTCTTGGCTGGATATGTGGGTGCACTGGGTTTTGTGCTATCAGCATTGTTCTATGCTAACATGGAAGAAATAGGACTCGACATGCGTGGGCACGTTGTCCCCCATGATCAGTGATGAATTCCGCTCCCTCAGCGACGTGAGCTGGTATGGGATTGCATAGTCAGTTGTCTCATTGCATATTTTCCAGGAGTAGTTTCATGCTTATGAAGAATGTCTAGCTCCCTCTCATCCTGCGCCACGACTCTGAGCTATGGCAAACTATATTCATTCTATCCAACCAATACAGTCTTTGTGACGGCTCTCGCCACCTTTGTCGCAGGATCCGTCATCTGTGCGACGGCACCGTCGTCGATTGCGTTTATTATTGGCAGAGCAGTTGCCGGCGTGGGCAATGCAGGCATTTTCACCGGCGGCAATATGTATGATTCGCCCAGTTTAGTTTAAAAAACATGCTGACGCCCCTTTTAGCATTTTCACTCGGATAACTCCTCTCCGATGGCGACCATTCTATCAGAGTCTTATAGGCAGCGTGGAATGTATTGCGCTAGCCACGGCACCTTTGATCGCAGGAGCAATTGCCGAGTATTCGTCATGGAGAGTATGTTTTTACGCCAGCGTTCCTCTAGGCGCGATCCCGATCATGACCGTCTTCTTCTACCTCCGACTGCCGAAGACGGACCAACAGTCCTCGGCGACAGGACTGGCCAAACTCCGGCAGCTTGACCTTGTAGGCATGGCCCTTTTTGTACCCCTGATGGTATGCTTCGTTTTGGCTCTGCAGTGCGGAGGCACGGAGTATCCATGGAACAGCAAGCAAGTCATTGTTCTGCTCAGCATGACGGGGGCTCTGCTGGTGGCTTTCGTGGCACAGCAGGCTTATATGAAGGATAAGGCAATGGTGCCTGCGAGGCTGCTTCGGTCGAGAATTTTTCTGTTCAGTGTTCTCGTCAGCTTTGCCACGTCAGGAGCACTCTACGTGTTTACTTTCTATGTGAGTCTCGCAGGGTCTGATCATATGAGCATCATACTGATATCATCTAGCTCCCCATTTACTACCAGGCCATTCGAGATGTCTCCACCGTCCAGTCTGGCGTGCGCGATCTATCCCGAATTCTTGGTCTGGTTATCGCCATTATCGTGGCCGGTGCCATGACCACCATCACAGGATATTACATGCCCCCCATGCTCTGCGGCGGCATCCTAATGACCATTGGCGCGGGTCTGACAACAACATTCAACGAAACTACCTCCCTCGCCCACATAGTCGGGTATCAAGCCTTGTTCGGGCTCGGATGTGGTCTCGCATTTCAACAACCCTACGCAGCCGTGCAGGCCACGACATCAGCAGCCGACACGAATGCCGCAATCGTGGTACTCCCCTTCGCACAGTTCTTGGGTTCAGTGGTCGTGCTGGCCATTTGTCAGAATGTGTTTTCTATTGAAATTGTCGATGGTCTTGCGGCGAAGATCCCCGGGCTTGATCCGGGGATCGTTCTGGATTCGGGTGCTTTGAATTTGAAGAAGGCCATCCCCACAGAATACCTTGCACAGGCGTTGGAGGCGTACAATGCTGCTCTTGTGCATGTGTTTTATATTGGCATGGCGGTGGCGTGTGCGACTACTGTTGGTGCTCTGGGATCCGGATGGAGGTCTGTCAAGCATGCGGACAAGAATAAATAGATGCGAGCGTGAATATACAAGTAATAGTGTTATCGACAAATTTGAACATGATCTGATATTTGCATTTGAACTATATATACACCCCTACAACTTCTCAAAAGTCGGCGTTCGCTTTTGCATCCCGGCCAACATTGCCGCCGGCACATCCTTAGATTGAAGAGCAGCACTATTCCAAACGGCCGTATATCTTAGGCCTTCCTCCACAGTGTGATCGCGAGAATAGTTCAAGATCTCCTTCGTCGACTGCATGGCAAGGGGACTCTTCGAGGCCATCAGCGCAGCCATCTTCAGCGCTGCAGAAACAGCATCCTGACGCGACTCGTAGATAGCATTCACAAAGCCAACGCGGAGAGCCTCTTCCGCGCCGAAAGTGCGCGCCGTCAAGGCCACCTCCTTCACCCAGCCAAAATGCCCAACTACCTTGGGCAAACGACTGAGCGTTCCAATATCAGCTGCAAACCCAAGATCCGCCTCCTTGACGGAGAACTGGACGTCGCGCGAGCAGATGCGCACATCAGCTGCGGTGGAGAGGTCGACCGCCAGACCGAGCGCGAAACCATGCATGGCTACAATGACGGGCTTCTCGCACCGCTCCACGGCAGAGATACAATCTTGGAAAACACCAATATATCGGCGGAGGTGTACCGCTTTCCGGGCTGGATCGTTGGGCACGTCGGGAACCAGACCCTGCGACGCGGCCTTGACGTCTAACCCGGTTGTAAAGGCTCGCTCGCCCGCGCCGCTGAGGACGATGGACCGGACGGAGGGATCGGAGGAGAGCTGGGTGAAAATTTGGCCCATTTCATGCCACATACTGAATTCCCATTAGTTCGTTCGCTGAAGGGCGAGGAATAATGACAGGGGGGGAAGGGGACATACGCTTCGACAAACGCGTTCAGCTTATCTGGGCGGTTGATTTCCACGTGCGCGACATATTGGTGGTCGCTTGGGAAGCGCACTGTAAAATATTGGAAGTTGTAGGCCTGGCTGGTCATGGCGAATGAATCTATGAATGCGTGGTGTTGGGGTGATGAAGTTGGCAGGTGAAGCTGGGGAGGTAGGCGATCAAGACAGCTCTCGGTGGGCGGCGGATGGACCTCGGTAAGTCGTGCATGGCAGGATGCGACTTCCGAACCAAGTGCTTGACAGATTTAATGACACATTTAATTACAGACATTAGGCAGCATTCAACTGAAGCAAAATAAGGAGGATTCGGACAATAATTTTTGTTTTCTACGCCGAACTCGTCCACTTCACATGCCGAGGCTCGGGCAAAGTGCTTATCGGATAAGATAGAGCTACGGTTTTCTACGGTTTCTTCGAGTGGACTTGGATGTAGATGCATAGACACTGTAGCGATAGGTTAATTTCTTCAATTTATTAGTTAGAGTACATAGAGAACAACAACTGCGATCGTCCAAAGCAATAATACAATCTCATAGCTCGTATACAGGCGTCAATCGTCGAGTAAATTACTCAACCGTGATCTTCTTAGCAGTCGGCGCGGCAGCCTTGGGGACCACAATGGACAGGATCCCATTCTTCAGGTTCGCTTTGACGGCATCCTGGTCAACCCTGGTCGGGAAGGTGAAGGTGCGCTGGAACTCGCCGACAGAGCGCTCCTCAGCCCAGAAGCGGTAGGCGAGCTTGCCGGACTTGCCATCACCTTCTTCAGTTTCCGTGGAGTCATCCGAGGGAGACGAAGATTGGTATTCGCGCTCGGTGCGACCCTTCACGACCAGAGTCTGCGGGTCGGTGAACTCGATGTCGATGCCACTCTGTACGATGCCCGGCAGTTCGCCGTCGAGGTGGTAGGCGTTATCGCTTTCGCGGACGTCAAAGCGAGCAGAGAAGGAGCGCATCGCCGTGGACTGGCCGCTGCGGCTGCTGTTGGAGCGGTGGACATCGTAGTCGTCCAGCAGGCGGAAGAGAGGCGCGAAGCCGTTGGAGGCGGGAAAGTTGGTGTGCCACAGAGACATGGTGAATGGGTGTGGTGGTTTGTAATTTGTGGTTGTTGGAGTAATTGTGTTCTTCGGAAGAAGAGCTGATGGGAAGCTTCAAGAGTTGTATAGCTTGGAGAGAGATGAGTGATTTGGAGGAACTGATGAGCAGCTGAGACGGTCGCTGACGGGCCTTATATAGCCCAGAGGCCAGGTTCCAGAATCTCCCATTATGCACCAGAAATTGCGAGTAATCCGGGAGGAAAGATGCCACTGGATGGAACCTGGAAGGAGCTGGTCGGAGGTGGGTGTTGCGAGAGGACGCTCGCAGGTTGTAGAAGCTTCTCCAGGGTTCTATGGGTCACGTGATGATATATGGGGGAAAGATCATTGAACGCCGACATAGACAGGGGGTTGATTGGACGGATTTCATGATTATTGCATCATTATTATTACACGGCTGTATATCCGGCTAAGAAGACATTCTTGGGCCCGAGGTGCGCAGCATGTTCCATCACCGATTCCTTTACCCACCAAGCCGCGATCATGAGTCTTTCCAACCCAGCATCCAGGACATCCTGTATCGTGCCGAGAGTTACCATGTTCGTCCACTGAATCTGACCATCATAAACGGGCGGTATCTTCCCAGTGGTTGGGGACGTGCGGTGGTATCGCGTGGACGGAGGCTCATGTGGTGGATTGCGCCAGGATGGTAACGTGATCAAGTCGTTCGTGCCGTTATGATTGTTACGAAGCTTCATTGCAGTACCAAGACATGCTTCTGAGTTCCCAGACTACTCCGACTCCGACTCCTCCAGCTGCATGATCTTCTCGTCGAGGTCCTGTTCTGACTGTCAGCACTGGGTATGATCTTACTAAGAGACACCATACCTGATCCAAGCGGGCCTTCAGGTTCTGCAGCTGGCTCTCCTTGATGACCAAATGATTTTCATCGTCTAGGTCTTCCACAATGTAGTCGTGGCGCTCCTCGTCGTATTTCAGGATCATCGCCTTGATCGAGGGATCGCACTCGATGAGCAAGCCTGGTGTGAGAAGTCGAGAGTTAGTGGCTGATAACAAATTTGACGAAGAAGACATACCTCGGACTGCGCGCGGCATTGTGAAATTGGGTTGAATGAGAGAGGATGGAGAGGAGAGGCTGAGAGAGTAACGGAACAGCGGGTGTAGCTGCCAAGGCTGTCAGGCAGCAAGGCACCAAATTGAGGTGTCTAGACCGTCTTTTTACTAACCAATGTTCCAATGTCTGGTAATATGCAAGTAGACGGAGAGTAAATAGAATATTGGCATCTCAACTTGAAGCGTCGTTTCTTTGTCTTTTGGTTGATACTAAAACTCATTTAGGCTATATTGTCGGTGGATAGACAAAGCCATCGAACTCTATGGATGATGTATTCTTTTTAGATGCCCCTAGGATACAATATCCCAATATTATTCCCTCAGTCTTCGTAATTGTCATTCTTATCATCCGTCTCTGCTGGTGTCCACCCAGTACCAGCCTGGGCGGCCGCTGCAGCCAGTGCCAGCGCGCCACCGGCTAGGAATAGCGTCCGCACAGCGTGTTCGTAACTCTCAGCTGCGATGACCCTTTCGGAGCCGGTTAATTGGGTTACTGTTGCAGGACTCCCCAACAGCTTGCGGACCAGCTCAGGCTGTGGGGCCAATCCATGACTAGCAAAGCCGCTCTCCAGGGAGGCTTTCAAGACTCGGGCAAAGAAACCTCCTCCAACAGCCGATCCAAAGCTGCCCGCAAACCCGCGAGACATCGTCATGAGAGACGTGACAATATAATGCATTGGCACGCTGGTGAGATGAAGCACATGCGACAGGGTATAGTTCACCAGCGCCCCCGCAAAGAGTCCATCGAAGAACGTGGTTGCAAAGTACAGAGCCACGGGGGAATCCGGAGTTGAGAGCAAGGACAGGGCCAGTGTAGCCAGTGCAAAGAGAAGGAATAGAACAATACATGAGCTATAATGACCGGTATTAGCCTCTCCCGGGGTGGTATAGCTCCATGACTCACATATAGTAGCTGCCAGTTTTCCGAATATGCAACCAGCCCACCAGCAAGCCTCCAAGTCCAAACCCGGCATTGGTCGGGACCAAGATCAGGCCAGCGGACGCCGGAGACCATCCACGAACTGCCATCGCATAAACTGGGGTGAAGAACAGGACAGCCCATCGGGCCATCATCATTCCCAGACCAGCAAGGCAGGTTAGCAACACACTGCGAGTCTTCAGAAGTCCGACTGGAATAACAGGTTCGGTGGTCCACTGCGCCTCAATATATACAAATATGATGAAGGAGACAGCAGACCCCAAGATGGGCCAGAGACTTATCTCGGGTGATGCGAGGCTGGACAGCAACAGGACGACCGAGATGGTCTGAGTGGTCAGCGTCTTGAACGATTGAAAGGTCGACGGATCTTACCAATGTCAGGGCACCCGCATAGTCTACTCGGGCCAGACTATACCACAATGACTGCCCCTGGGATGGATTTTCACGAAGTTGTGGTGGTTTGGGAATCGCAAAAAATAGCAACGGACCTAAAAGCATTGCAACCGGAGCCTGCATCCAGAACATAAAGCGCTAGAAAGACGGCGTCAGCAATTGTAGATGTAAAAATCGATTCAAAAACTCACCCATCCCAAGCTCGGGGTCAAAGCTCCGGCTAGGACAGCACCCGATGCCACTCCAGTGGTCATCCCCGTATTGATCAAACCGATACACAACCCTCGACGTTTTTTGGTCGCCAAGTCCAGGACCAAAATGATCGATGTACTCATCAAGCCCCCGCTACCACAGCCAGCAACTGCCCGCCCCACTAAGAACACCGCCAAAGATGATGCCGCGGCGCTGATGAATAGACCAATTGCTAGTAGAACAGCAGAAAACAGCACGTAGAGACGTGCGGTGAATATCTGGGCGAGACGCCCTGCTAGTGGAGTGATACTGGACAGGGCGATCTTTGCAGAAGGTAATGTTAGCAATTGATAACTTGTTAGAAAAATGTTCATACCAGATACGCGGATGTGAACCACGACGCCTCCGCAAAGGCATCCAGGTCAGCTGCAATGTAAGATTGGGCAGTGGTCATCATTGACATGTTAGTCGCTATAAAGGTTTATAATCAGCGATGGTCCTTCATTGACATTCCCGATGAGAGCATACCCTGGATGAAGACTAGAAGGCCCATCAGAACCGTGATGCACAACCCTCTCGGCATGCTAATGGTTCGCCTATGAACGGGAGCAATGAGCGGTGTCTGCTCCGATGGCGATATATGGTCTTCTTCTTCCATGTTGTAATTGATGAAAAGGGATCGTAGCCCAAGTGACTGCAAAAACGCATTTACGAGCTGTCAATTATTATCGCGCCATCATCGCGCCTGAGGGGAAACAATCCTTGTTGTACCGGAGATTGCGGAATGCGCATTTCTAATCAATTCTCATAGGGCCCCATTTACCCGATAAGGGGCGATCGATCCACTGGCGGTTGTCGCCACTGTTGCAGGGGTATGTATTATGTAGGCCAAAGCTACGTGTTTCCACTGTTTATCTCAAATGGGCAAATTCATTTTTTGGCTCAAACAAGGTCTTACTCGAGGTGAAGGCTGTTATACAATTTGTGCTGGACCGAAAATACATTTCTCTTCGCTTCTCTTGAACCCAAGTCTGAACTGGCCTGCTCGGTGCACTAATGATTGTGTCAAAATTCAGCATGTACGACGTCCCAACATGGAAATCCAACCACGAGATAAATCTCTATTCTCTTCTCAGATTCTGCAAAGGACTAAAATGACAAGACAATTTAAATAGTTAGTTACACAAGCCCAATTATGTCATCCCAACCACGCTAGTATTGGAGGTAAAATCCCTGTATGTGACCTGTAGGAATTCCAATTCTTGACAGATTGTACAATTTATCGAAGCATTTACTCGATATGTAGGTGAATTACAACATATGGCTAGCATAGATCTTAAGTCAGAATATATAAATCCTCGACATGATATCAATTTGCTGCGAAGACAGCAGGCCAGTGATGGCGTACAGTCGCCAAAACCTTCTTGAGATCCACTGCATCGCCTGTAGGCTCAGGGTCATCCCATTTCTGTGTTTGCCAATTAAGTTCCAGGTCCATCAGCAACGCATTTAGCATCTGGTCATCGTATGATTTGGACGGGGTCGTTTGGAGATATTCGATGAACGTACGCCAACGTGGGATATAGTACGAAGAGACGAGGCCGCCCCATGCCTTGGAGGCATAGTCGGTGATCTCGCCGAGGGGTCCCCACAGTGTGATCTGGTTACGCGCATCGTATTCAAGGAAAGAGGCCGTTTCATTGTTGCCCTGCGCCCAGGAGCGGGCAGCCTCAATCCATGTAGAGAAGCGGTAATTCCGGTCAGTTTGGAGAACAGCGTCGTAGTCCATGAGAAATCGGATGATCGCCTGGCTCTCTTGTGATAAGGCGGTCTTGGATGAATTTGAGGTTGGGCCTTCGTAAGTAGATAGCAGCTGATTGTACATCGTGACGAAATGATTCGCCATAACTTGACGGGTCACATCAATCATATCATACTTGTACGATGGATTTGTCCACAGTCCGGGCTCTGCGGTGGCAGCGCGGTACATCAGGTCCCCCGCCTGAACGAGTTCAGAGGGCTTGTAGTTGATAGTCGTGCCACTGGCCACACCGAGCAATCCCTCGATTGAAGGCCGGAGTTCAATGATGGATTTTGTCACGGAAAGGGCAGATGTGAGGTTGGTGTTGTCGTAAACTGTCGTTCGCAGAATCTCCCAGGCCTCGTACAGTTCCTGCGGAATCGATTTCTCACCAGCATACCGACTTGTCACCCAATTGTGGAAATACTCCTTGGTGTCAAGAGGGGTCTGAGACCATGCCTGCTTCAGCAGAATGTCGTACACGATCTCATTACCTTCTTGACCCTCTGGGGTAAGGCCATACCCAACCATTGAAGGGGACTCAATTCGCGCCTGAGTAGCGTTCTGTGTGATATTACGGATTTGGCCGTACAATCCCTGGTTGCCACCGAAGTCATGCAGCTGGCACCAGATCCACGGTTTTCCATAGTACGACTCCGTCCTCTGCCATTGAGGATTTGACTCAGAGAACAGGTCCAAAATCAGCATGTCCTTGTTGTCTTCCACGCCGGAGAGATAGGCCTTTATTCGCGAATCAGTCCAGAAATCGGCACTGTTATAGAACAGCCAGCCCTGCATCATCCAGATGGCCTTTGGATCGACTGCCTTTAGACTTTTCAATGTGTTGCTGGTGACGTTACGCAGATAGTCCTCATTTCCCGAGTAGGGATTGTTTTCATTGTACTGGTCCAGCGTGTAGATATGGCTGATATCGCCGTACGCGGCCTTCTGCTTGGTGATAAAGCTGCGCTGAAGCTTCGCAAAGTGAGGATCAGATGGCTCAAGGAACGAGTCGTTGGTGTATTGGGCAGGGAAGTCGTTCCATTGAGATCCACGAACAACACTCGCGCCGGGTAAAGCGCGCGTGATGTTCATGGGCACAAATCCTGTAAATGCTGGCAATACTGGGGTCATGCCCAGCTCCACCATGCGGTGTACAATCTTCTTCTGGAGGTCGAACTGCTGGTCGATCCACGTCTGAGGCAAATCGCCATGCCACGAGCCCTGAATGTTCCCAAACCGATTCCAGGCTTGGAAAGCAGGACCGCTTAGGTAGGTTGCAATCTCTGCGTCGGTGAGGCCAATCTCACGAAACACCTCGACGAGGATTTTCTCCTGGCCAACCCAGGCAAGCGGAAGATTGATCCCGTGGAGAGCCATCCAATCTAGCTGGGTCTCCCATTCTTCCCATTTCCAGAACGCAGTGGTGTAGGAGAAAGTGACTATAACAGAATTGGTCAGCTCGAACGGAAGATAGAATTGTGTGCGCCGTACCGGTGTTGAAGTGGTAACGATATTGAACAGTGCTGGAGCCGCGCAAGGGACTGGACAAATGAGGAAGCTTGGATGGTGCGATGTCCAGACGACTGCCAATGTACCAGTAGATATCGACGTGCGCCACATCCGTCAGATACCGATGAAGACTGTCGTGAGGTTAGTACTGCTCAAACGCTGGATTTGGTGATGCGAACCCCGACGACAACGCGCTGAGTGAGTTACCCTGCACCTGAATTTTCCCATCGGGTGCACTGCTCACGACATAGCTGTCGTGGCTGGCACTTGTAGTGGTATTGGCATCCACCAGCGTGAAATGAAAGCTGTCAACATGGTTGGGCATCCGACGCTTGACGAGATCTTCGATACCCTCAGTTGACCGAGCGACCGCCACTGAGGCCGCGCAGAGCCATAGCAATGGTTGAGACCACCGCATGACTGCTATTTAGGAGTGCAGAGAACCCTTGGGAGGCAGGACCGACTATCAAGACTATATTATGTTTGGGGTATGAGAACCCGATCACTGCATACCCCACACTCGCAGCCGTCTACAAATGTTGCCGTAGCATTTTCCTGACCACTACTTATCCGCCTCGGACCCCTGAGACCCCCCATCTCCGCAGTACTTGGTGTGACTGTCCGATCCAACGTTTGCCGATCAGTGGGGGCCAGTCGGAGCGTACCGCCCCCAGCCTTGTATAAAAATGTCCCGACGCGGAAGAATTAGTTATACAGAAAACAGGAATGTCAAAATTATTCACCGAGAAACAAAGGCTTTCTGGCCCTTCAGTGCCTTCGCCAATACATCCGGATACCATCGTTGCCCGACGTCTTGATGGCTTGTCACTCGGGCGACAAAGGTGCCTTCACCAATGCTGCCGCGGAACATCTCATTGAATGTCGCTTCAGCATCAGACTTGACTTTATCATCCTTAACCAGGTCGCGAATATGCTCGGGAATAACCAGTGAGATTTTCTCAGCAGAGAGATCAAGACTGACACCCTGAAAGACGGGGAAGGAAAACCGCGAACCGAGAGATTTGCCATTATCATCTAAGAAATGCTCTCGACGCAGACTCACTCGGTGGGTAGTCGCGCTGCAGATGCCGCCAGTCAGAGCCTCGAGAGCTCGGCCAATATTGACGACAAGCGTGTTTGGAAGTGGAGGAGCCGGTATCCAGGTTCCGGCCTTATTTTGAACTTCGAGCCCACGATGCGGAGTAGCTTGCAACAGGAAAGTGAGAAAGCCCGAGTCTTTGTGAGGGCCGACACCCTGAAATCCGGAGTCATCGTTTTCCGAGACCGGAGGCGGAGGATACTTGATCAGTTTGAGTTTATGCTGCTGTGGATTGTCGAAGACATCGTCGAATGCATTTGAGGGGAGATCCAATGCTTCTGCAATAAGGGACCTGAACTGCTCTGCTAGAGCGCTAACTTCGGATAAATAGGTTTCAGTTGCGTGACGGAAACCAGGAATTGCTGTTTCGTCGGGCCACTAGACAGTTTAGAGTCGCATACTAGAAGATACGACTGGAAACATACCTGATTCGGACCAACAACATTCCTATACAATGGCTCATCCGGGCCAGGCGCAGGAAGCTCTGTAGCAAACTAATTAAAGAATTAGTGGGAGCTTTGGAAAAGACTAGAAACAAAAACTTGCATCAAACTGTTCACGATGATCCTGCTTCAGGGCGGTAATCTCGGCCCCGAGTTTAGAGTATCCAAGAAAGTGTGGGCTATTGACCATTTCAATCTCAAGCTTCTTCTCTAATGGCAGCTGGAACAGTTCTAAGCCTTTGGCCGTAAATGCATTTTGAATATCGGGCGAAATGGGCGTATTGCGGAGATAGAAGAATCCCACATTAACTAGTGCATCGCGGAGATTTTCAAGGAAGACAGATTTGGTTGATGGAGACGAGACTTGTGCAAAATCTAGAATCGGGATCGACGTAAAATTCTCTTTCTGCAAAGGTATCTTCAAATCGTAGGTGGCTGCCATGGTTGTTGTCAGGGGTTAAACAACAAAAGAGTGAGAGTGTCAAGATTGGGGCGAGGTGGGGTGATTGGGGCGATTGTCGCCATCGGGTATTTTGGTGAGGGCTGACGCTATCTCCGCGTCTATTGACGCATGCAAAGTTCATATTCATCATATCTCATAGTAACATATATATCTATAAACAGACACAGAACGTGTTACCACCAGGTCTCTAGAGAATGTACCTGAACCCGACAGCTCGAGTCTCCAAATCGTTAGTGCCGACAGCCAAATCTCCTCGAGCAGTCTCCGCTTCTTCAAGATGCTTGTTCATCCGCACATGAACCAACCGAATGACTAGCGCCAATACTGCTACCAGAAATGCTATGGCAGCAGTTGCGCTACCGCCCGGAATATAGCGAGGACCCGAAGAGTCCGGCCACATGTAGCTGCCGTAAATGGAAGCCGTGTTGCCAATCATATTAGCCAAGGCAATTGCAGCAGACCTTTTAACGAATGGACGAGGGAAAGAGTTGGCGATCCACGCGAGAATGATCTGGTAGGCAGAAACTGCACCCATAGGCATTCTGGGAAAGTATGTCAGTCACATCCATCCTTGCCAGAGACCCGGTCATCAAAACCTACAAGAACATGCCAAAGAATTTGGCGCCCGTGTTTGTGGATGCAGTTACAATCACACACCCCACAACACTAACCAGCATTAGGGCAATGATGTGTTTACTGCGGTCATTTGTCTTGCCCGATGTCCACGTCACCAACAAGGAGACCAGAAATGTCGCAATCCAGACCGGAGCCGTGATCAAAAGTGTAACGATATTGTTATATTTTAGCTCTTGCACGATAGTCGGGAAGAAGTACTGAAAGTTTTGCGACAGGAGCGAAGTATGCTGTAGCAAGATGAAAAGATAGATGCGTTTATCGGCAAAAACAAGCGCGAGCGCCTCCTTGATAGTGGTAGAGCCAACATCATCGGCCTCTCCGGCATCATGAATCAACCGCCACTGGGCATAGGCTTGTTCCTGTTCGTCCAGCCAGGACGTTGTAGCGGGATAGTTGGGAAGAAAGAACCTATTATCTCAGTAAAAGGCACTCAAACTATCAGAAAATCTTACTCACGTAGCAAAAAGTGAGACTCCCACCGTGATGGACCCTTCTATGATGAAAAGCCATCGCCAAGCCGCGATATTGTGCGCTCCGTTGAGATTGGCTAGTACTCCTGCCCCAATCAAGCCTCCGAAGGCATTAGCTAGAGAGCTTCCAGCGTAGAACCACGCAATCCGGTGACTCAGCTATGCCGATAGGTTAGCTGTGGTGGTCCTGAAGTGTTTATTTGATTCCCTACCTCTTGCCGAGTATACCAACTTGACCTGTTTAAGATGGGTTAGCGATGATATTTCATCAAACATGAGTTACGCACATCAACATCACAGCTCCAGGGAAGAATGGCGCTTCGACAAATCCGAGGAAGAAGCGCGTGACAACCAGTCCTGAGAATGACTGCGTGGCCGCTTGGCAAGCGGAGATGACACCCCTGCGAAATGATAAGCATTGTATAGTTAAAGGATTTTTAACTCGACACATACCAAATGGCCATGGCAATGCCTAGAAACAACGAGGGCCGGACGCGAGTCAAGAATAGATTAGATGGCAACTGCATGAGCAGATATCCGACGAACAGAATACTCGTGGCTAAATTGTAGTCGGTGCCTTTCATCCCTAGGTCCTCCTCTAGTGATCCTAGGCGCGCTTGCGATAAATTACTGAAAGCAAACAAGCGTTAGGGATTAGGATTGACGATGATGCAATTCTCTCGATCCCACTTACTTGCGGTCTAGAAAGTTAAGGAGATACATGACAATCAGGAACGGCAGGAGATGCAGGTCGACTTTTCGGAGAAGGCTGCGCGTCATGTTCTGATGCCACTCTGGGCTTTTGGAAACATACGCCTGGTAGAGGGCATCCTGTTCCGGGTTGAGACCCTTGTGGGTAGTTTCGTGGAACTCGACCTGTTCCGCCGCAGGCTTCGCCATCATGTGCAGTTGATCACAGTCGGGAAAGTGTCTTACGTCCAACTGCAAGGCATTCTTCCAGGACCGGGAATTTGTTTCTTATACGGCTGCTAGGATCGTGAGCGGAGACCGGGCCGGCCAAAAAGCCCTTCTCGGCCGTCGGTGTAATTCCGAGTGTGCCAAGTGCCCCCGTGGGGGAGCAGAACAAAGCCGACAAGCAATAATAATGGCCACAAGCCTCAAAGGACCGCTTAAGCTGATCATGCGCCTTTGACCCCCAAAAAATATGGGGAATGTTGAGAGACCCGGGTTAGCTCACCCCGAGAAAATTCAAGGCATAGTCTACCAATTGGTCCTTCGTAGTGTCTGGCTTGTTTTCTCTCTCAAAGGTGAATATACTGCAATAAGAATTGCTCAAAAGACTTGACAGCTTCGAGGAGGGTCAAGCACGACAAAAATCAAAACATTCAAAATAGATATCTGCCTGGTGCCTGAGTGCCTGAGACGTCATTGATGCCTGAGGAATAACATCTTACCTCAGCAACATCACATGACCATTGTCTCGTCTGGAATGGCATGACGTCACCAGTCGATCTCGCCAAGCGCCATGAGTAAACGCAGCTGTACGCTCTCGGTCCAGATCGGCAAAATGAGATCAGATTTGCAAATGGTCATATCCCTGCACTACTAGCGGTAAGCGCACCGCAGCCTATGGGATCGTGCAGGGTCGACAGGGATGAAGACGATAAAGTGCATCGGACACACCGTGTGGGGCAACGTCTGAGCACAGCAATGACGATAACATTCTCGCCCTGGACGAATCATCACGCCCTATTTTGATTATTTGCACTAGGAGATCTCCGCTCGCAAGGCGTATAAAGAGGCGGTGCTGGCCTACGACCCTTTTCATATCTTCGACTCATCTATATCAATCAAATTTCTTTCCTCAATCTACAATTCACAGATCTCAATATGGATAAGCTCTCTGGTCTCGCGTCCAAGCTTGGTGGTGGCAGCAAGACCTCCGGCGGCTCGAGCTCAAGCTCGGGTAATGAAGACTATGTCGACAAGGGTATGCTATCGCCGTGAGGACTAAGCAATTCTTTGACGCTAACAAGACTCTAGCTCTTGACCAAGCTGAGGGCAAGTTTAGCGGTGGCAAGGCCGATCCCGCGAAGATGCGTAGTACCAACGAGAAGATTACCGACACTGCTCGTGAGCAGTTTGAGAAGGCTACCGGGTAGGTTTCTTCCAATGTCCCAGTGTAGTGAAGACAGATTAAAGCTAATGCACCCACAGAAAGAATATTCCGGACAAGGTCTCGAACTAGGCCTGCCATGATTTTCGTGTTGTTATTGTGGAGCACTGCGGCCGAGACTTAAGATACCTGCTACACAGTGTGATAGTTGAATTCAATGTCTAGTATGATGATGATATAGATTTGCTCTTCCCAAGGTCTCCTAGACCGTGATTTCTGTAAAGAGGATATAATTCTGGGCATGCTCACTGTACAAATATTCGTTCCACGGTACGGCGCCAGGGGTGCGTATGACCTCTTGGCGAGCTCTTACTTCGGGAAGATCAAGTGCAATTTCGCCGTGTCTCAAGGAACCTTCTTTGCCTTTGCACCGCTAGGTCCAGCTTCAATGATGGACTAACCAAGTGAAGACTGAGCCTCGTCTCTGAGGCGCCCAAAGTATGTTGCAAAGGCATCTTGCTTTCACTATAAGACGTTGAGGGCACAGATAGTCAAGGGGTTTCGATACACAACCGTTTTATGGAGCTCTTGATAGACTATCAGAGGCATCTTTAATGCCCTTTGCATCTGTTCAACGCATGGAATGTACTGACTTCTTGGCAAGAGAGGTCGAGCGAGACCCACCAGGGTCATAAACAAGCCAGAGAAAGCTTAAGGAAGAACCACTGTTCTATGCCCGATGCTGATCAATGTCACGACCATTATCTTCATCTTTCAATGTCAGGTTCTGCAGGCATGGAGCATAGAAGAGATTCCCTCGCCATGCCCCTTGCGCGGTTCGCGACACCACCAATGCCCACAGCAAGAGAACCACTGTGCTTAATATCTAGCAAGGCAATCGAATCAGCAAGCCGCGCATATATAGGACAAGCACCAAAATTTAACCACTTACTGTTCCAAATACTTTGAAGAACATCAGATCCATCTCACGTCCGAGTTCAATGGTATTGGCGGCATACACACCAAGAGGGAAAGTAAATCCCCACCAACCCATATTGAACGGGAACGGAGAGCTGTAAAGCACAGTCGCGAAGGCAAATACTAGCCAGATCAAACCAAAGCTCCACATGAGAAGCGAAATGAAAGCACCAAGCACATAGGCAAGCCTGCCAGCCAGGGGATCCAGAATGTTGGAGTTTGCCAGAAGCTCCCGAGCGACCTTGCCCATGAAAATGATACTATAGCTTATCAGCAGAAAATCGAGGGAAGGAGAGCATGCACGCAATTCTTACCCAAAGCCACCGAACCCCAAAGGCCCCAGGGGTAAAAAACAGCTCACTATCATTTCCCGCGGTGGAAGCTTATGCACCGCCAGCCGCTGATAGTAGATCACTAACACCACGAGGGCTAAGGGTGTGCCCATGCCCCAAAGTATAAAGGAGACAAGAAGCGTACCGAGCGCATGTGATTCGTTGGGCAGAATATCAGCAACCCTTGCGCCCACTGCGGCGGCAACAATTGTTGCCGCAATTGGTAGTAGTTGGATGGCTGTGATCCGATCCAGTGAGGTGATATGGCGTTGGGAGATCCTACCAAACCCAAAATCAGCACAAATAAATCCAAGGGCTAGATCACAAAGACCAACAAAATGAAGGATAGAGAGAGGGTAACCGCTGCCGCCGCAACGACGTCGATAATCCACAGCACCCAAGCAACGGTTATACTCCACGGGCCCCATAGCGGCACGCAGATAAAAATCCACATCTCGATCAAAGTCGCAAAGCCCATGGGTACCGTCGCCATATATAATGAATTGGTCGGGTCCTGGATCATGACTCGCCAGATCTCCGGATAGAGGGAGTATCGCAGGACCGAGGTAAGAAATGCCAGACCAAAGAGCACCACATTCAGCAAGAAAAAGACTATGGAGAGATAGTGGAGGACTGGAGTAGGAAATGGCACTGATTTCATCAACACGGCGACGATGCCCGTGCCCATTGTCGCGGAAAACCATCTATCACGATTGTTGGCTCTGGGCCGACTGCAATGCGGGGTTGGACGTACGAGGGACTGAAATTCCGGACCACGCGCCTCCAGCCAGCATGGTGCTTAGAGACCCTGCCCGACGCAGTGGCAGGTGTCTCGTTTGATTTTGGCATGTTTGTTTGATTGTTTGAAGAAATAGGGAAGAGGAAGGCCGGCCGGGAAAGTATACAGGAGTAGATGCCTAAGGCGGCGATATCGGCCAAGTCCGATAAAACGGCGAAGCGCCTTGAACCACCAATGACCTCTTAATTCTCTAGCAGACCATATCTAACGAACATCTACTCTCTACCATGCGCCCACAATACCTGCAATAGGAATGTCAATGCCCGTCGTGTACGAGCTGCCATCACTCAGCAGGTACACATATGCGCCGCCCAGCTCGCGTGGGTCGGCCAAACGAGGCATACCACCATAGTATTGCATCTTCAGATCCCAGTCCGGCGACTTCTCGACATAGTAGGTCATCGCTGTGCGCACAAACCCGGGCGAGATGCTGTTGACCCGGATCCCGTGCTTGCTCCATTCCATCGCAAGGGTGTGGCACATGTTCCGCACTGAACGAAAGTTCAGTCCGTGATAGTACATCCAACAAATATGGATTGAATAACTCACCAGCAGCCTTTGTTGCTCCGTACGGGGCAGAAGGAGCAGCCTGTTTGAATATAGTCAACAAGGAAAATTTTTAGAATAATAGCATTCGGTCTTACCCGGTTTGGCCGGTAGGAAGTCATGCTGGAGGTCATCACGATTGACCCCTTGATACCCAGCTCGATGAACTTGCGTGCGACAACCTGGGCGCAGAAGTATGCACCGAAGACCTACAATACCAGGCTTAGCAAGACATTGCCAAGCCTGTAGACTGAAGCCACTCACGTTCAAATTAAACAACTTCTCCAGCTCTGGACGGTCGAAGTTAAGAGCCGGCTGATGCTTGGTCATGCCAGCGTTGGCAACCAGTCCATCGATTCGACCCGTTTCTTGCACAACCTGGTCAATGGCCTTTTGCACGCTCTCCTCCGAGGTCACGTCCGTCTGAATATACCGGAAGTTGGGGTACCGCTTCTGCAGGTCCTCAAAATCCTCACCGGGCTTCATCATATCCAACGAGTACACCACTTTAGCTGAGTTAGCAAGACAAACTTCCGCAATACCCAGGCCGATCCCGCGGTTGGCACCAGTGATAGCCACCACTTTCTCGACGAGAGTAATCTGCCATGAGAAGTTACTGGCAGGCATGGTGCTTAGATAAGGTGTCGGGGTCTCTATCTTAAATGCGTCAGAGGCAGCATTTGTGTTTGCAACCGGAGGCATATTGGTGGTTCAGAGGTACACAACAAAAGTGATTATTGTTCCAGGATTTGTTTTTACGATGAGCAGAAAGTTAATAGTATATATTGGGACTCCCCGCTTGTAGTGACACAAATACCCCTCCAGTACTTGGTTTTTATCTAGTAGGCAACATCGTAGGGTGGGGATGTACTTCGGCACGAGGACACCGAGATATCACCGCTGTGTTGGTAGACATTTCAGTTCAGTTTCATGTACTAGGATTGTAAACTATGTGCCAGCTGCTGTCAGCCGGGTCCGAAACCTCCCACAATGATGTGATGAGGCAGTTACTGGTATTTTCCAACACTTTAAAACGCAACATCATGCCTCCGCATCATTGCCCGGGTCGTGACAGTGGAGCCATCTTGGCGGCGAATAACTATTTAGCCCTATTTAAATAACTAGGGATAACCGCCCTTGACTAAGCACTCTCGACACGAGGCACTCCACCGAACGAGAAAGTTTGCTGGGGAACTTAATAGGTATGTATATGGTCAACGGTGGAAGCCGTATGGGATGATGGCTGTTAACGTCCTGTCTTATCTTGGACTAGGACTGGACAAAATTGGCAAGATGAAAGCTTGAAGTTGACCTTGATCCTTGTCCTTTGTCAAGGCGAATAGCGCCCTTATTTAGCTTGAGGAGATGACAACGATCATTATTACGGTTTTATTGTATCTGCGCTTCTTTTGGTCAGGATATGATATGTAATATTTTCGTAATTTATATCAATTACAGATAAAACATACATACCCAGCCTTTTTTCCAAGACCTTGTCGGTTGACTGAGTCCGGTAATTCAATTTAAAACATCTTGCCACCCACCGAGCCTTGCATTTTAAGCATGGCAAAGCTGGGATGCCTAGGAAGGCTCCTTGCTCCTCGCAGGCCTCACAAGATTGTGCTGCTGACTCGTCAAGAAATAATCCTCAAGGGTCTCAAGCCCAAGTCCTTCTTTAGAATGGGGAAGAGGTCCTCTCTACAAATCTATGAGCAGAATTTGTTGTCAACCGCAGATGGTCAGTACACCCACCTCAGTAGTTTTGCGACGCTTGCCGTTCCGGTGGGATACGGTATCGTCCTTTTGAGAATCCGTTTCTTCACAAGTCCACAGGCCCCTGCAGGTCGGAAGACAACAATATGCGCATTGCTTTCACGCAGAGCGCGTGTATTGTTCTCACCGTACTCTGTTGCATGACTATGGCGTGGCGTGAAGAGCAAAAGAGAAGAACAAGAAGACCAGGTGGTGGTTGGAAGAAGGAAGAAGAACCGATAGAGGGAGCCTTTTTACTTTAGGAGGCGCGTGTGAGAGACAACAATATTGTTCATCGGGTGACTGTGCTGAGGCTCGCTGGTGCCGCGTTTTCATTCACTGGGGTTTCTGCCAACACAGATCTTTATATTACAAAAGAAGAGAAGTTATCGACATGTCCACTATGAACGTTCCTTCAGAAGACGTCCAAAATAATCATTTTGGGATTGATGCTATGTAAATTTGGATCACATAACGTTGTGCTTGAGAAGAAAACAAGCACCCCAAAGATCAGAATTGCTAGATTTTGTAGGCCACGGATCTGGCGATTGATTTGTGATCAAACACTTCCAATGGGTAAGACACACTGGCCATCGAGGTTGTTCTCCACCAGTAGGTGCTTGCGACACGATGTGTTAAGTCATAGAATGATGAGTTATCCATACCAAAAAACAAGAGTCGTTCCACAACCATGCTTGTCATCGGCAAGAGGACTGATCAAGGTTGTGAACAGGAGAAAGTCGACAGCCATCATTATTCGCTGGTTTCATCCAGCAAAATCCGAGAGATCATCTTTCTGATATTCCAGTTCTAGTTCCTTGCGCAGCGAGGTCAAGGGCCAGCGCACTCGGTTTTGGCACGAGTCGAGAAGATCCAGAACTACTAATCGTTCTTGGGGATCATACACACACATTCCAGCTGAAAACAAAATTAGCTATATTTGCTTCCCAGCCAAAATCACTCAACTTACCACCAAAAAGACAGTGCAAAGATACCAGACTCGCCGCATTTTCTGCCTTGTCAACTGTCCGCGCAATGCCACAAATGGTGTTCATGGATAGGGCAAGAAGCTTTTGCGCTGCGCGATAATCTTGATAACCGCCCGAGGACGGTCGATGAAGAATTACTAGGACTCGAGCAAGACTGTGTATCTGCAGTCCAGCAGCATAGGATGGCGGATGAACCCAGATAGGCGGGAAAGGCTCAGTGTGGGAAACAATAGGTAGGGGACTGAAGTCTTGAGGCAGAGCGTCATGCCATTCCTGTAGCATATAGAGCAGCTCGCTTCCCCGTTCCAGACGCTGTGCCAGAGTTGACGTTTCTATCTCCTCCTTGGACGCATAATTCACGCACTGTGCCAGCAGATACGTGGCGCGTGTGGCCAACTCTGCAGCTGTCAGGGCTGATGCAGGCTTTTTGGGTTGCCAGAAACTGAATACTCGACGTCGCTCGCGCATGGCAACCCACACATCCTGTCGCAGCCATGCCCACCACACGGCCTGCCGGAGGCCACCAGACTCGCCGTCATTATTTTGAAATCGTTGAATCCAGAACACGCCTTTGAGATGCCGCTCCCAGTCTTGATTGGAACCATCGATCATCTCATACGTACTAATGAGCAGAGCCGTTGCAATCAGTTCAGGGCTGCGGGTATAAGAGCGGTACTGCATCGCTTTGTTCAGATAGTGCAGTGTCTCATAGTAGTACTCCACTGCCATGTTGCGGTCAATGGCGTCGTGATCGGCTCCACTGTCGGTGTCGGTGTCGGTGTCAGTGCCTCCAATAGGGGGATCGAGCATACCAGATCCTAGAGAAAGATGCCGTGCAGATAGGGCCAGCAACGCTTTCATCAGGCCAAGATTCCGAAGTGCCAGACGTGGAACCAAGCCCGAGAAGTGCTTCTCGGGATCGTAGAAATCCAGCCATTGGCTAGAGATGCGCACAAAATGACGGAAAATGCGATGCTCACGATCGGATAGCACGATCGGATGCGATGTGCTCCATAATTTTGTTTCGTCAGACACCGTAGGTTGCCCTTCAGTGTTTCGCGAAACTAGCTGCGACTCGAAGGCGAAGTCTCTGGGGAAAGCGGCGGCCTGGAAGCTCTCGCGTTCTTGCCAACTCCGGGGCTGTAGATTCAACCGGTAAGGATCAGGCCCCGCGACATCCCCCGGTGTACCTGGAAACCAATGGGGTGGCGATAGCAAAAACCCGTTGTCCGCGTTGGCGGCGTCAGTTGCCAATAGCTCGAACCAGCTGAGAGGCGCGACCCTTGATGTGACCGAGCTGTCAGTCCCCGGCGACGGGACGAATGGATGTGGTGCCTCGACGGACGCAAGTGTTCTGGGTGCTGGCAAGTGCGTCTCGCCTGCAGACACAGATTGAGGGGCCACCGACACGGAATCCCTCCGGGTGCCCTCCTCGCGTAGTGGCTGCTCCTGATCGCAAGCGTCAACCAGCACCTGCAGTGGCGCATGCACGGGAGACCGTCTCGCATCGTTAGATGCTTCTGGAGACCACGGGGAATCACTACCGGGGCCACACGGGGACTCGCGTGGCGTATACTCACAGGGTCGACTACCTTTACTACAGGGGCCGCATTGTGGCCGAGCCTGGGAGATTGACTTAGGGCTGGGCTTACGACGAAAAGGAGAGTCATGTCAAACATACCTCGTCACACTTGACGTGGCGGCGTTTGCAAATGAGACTATGTCCGTGGTCAGTGACATCTTTGCTCGTGTTCATGATTAACGGGTTGCGGGGGGTGGGGAAGCCACCAACCAGCCGGTCGTTGCCCGAAGTCCGCGACCCCGGGATTTACGTTTTGGTCGAACTGCACCGTTTGGTTTTGTCATGTCTTGCCAATGGGCTTCGGGACGGTGCACATGGAGCTTCAGCATCGCAGCCTCCAGCCGAGATCTGGAAAAGGGGGAGAAGGATGGGGCACGGCCAATCGATATTGACGCCGCTTGATCGATCGACCCACTTACTCGCTCCAAGTTGGGGCCGTGCGCTCGAACTCGGCACGAGTGTAAAGGTGGGCTACGAGAGGGTATGAAGTCTCGCGAGCTTTGAGAGGATGAGCTGACGAGAGAACAACGGGACATTACAAATTCTCTCAGCGGCGAAAAGGGAGGCTATGGAGCAAAGAAAGTGTAGGGATCGGTTATTTCACATTCTAAACCTGTAGACGTCTTGGTTTACTTGCATAGAAAGAATAGAGTTTGGATTAGAATTGGCGAATCAAGCAAATCGACTTTCAAAAAAGTCCCGTACCGAATACCAACTATACCACAGGCCATCCAGTGGAAAAATCAATCTGATTCCACCCAAATTGCTTCTGGTCGTCAGCATACCCGATATCTGTGTTGATATAGTGGTAGTAAAGAACAGGACCCAAGCTGGGATCCGTGTAGACACCTCTGCATGACACGGTTAGGGTTACATATTTCTAAAGCGAACAATGATACTTACTGTCCACCAGGACCGTAGATATTGTCATGACTTTCCAGCACAATGGTACCACCTCCATCCGTACAAGCAGTACCATCTTGGTCGACCTGGGTAGTAGTCAGGGCCTGTTAATAAATATCTACAGAGCAACTTACAAAACCACCGCTGACACTGGTTGACCGACAAACTTTGATCTTATATTCCTGCCCAGCAGCAGGCATAGAAGTGTCATAACCACAGCAAATACCCGCTGAGTAGAAAAGATAGTAGTAATCTCCGTACTGATACATATAAGAGCCTTCAACAGCATGATCCCCGGACGGATCGTACGCTATGTTGTATGACGAGGACGAACTCGCTGTGGCAGCTGAGTTCATCGGCACCTGGTAGATGTCGTCCCAGAAAGAACCAAAGTTCAGGTAATAGGTGCCGCCAACATCAATCAAATTGGGATCAATGGCATTGTATGTCTTTGAAGATGTGGATGCGACGCCTGTGGATCCGTGATCCGTCCAGGAATCTGCCTCCATGGTTTCTGATGTGGCCAACCCGATGGCCGAGTCCTGTGAGCCGAATGTAGAGACGGCGTAGTAAACGTAGTAGAGGCCGTCAACAATGTGAGCGTCTGGTGCCTATGTTATGTCCAAGTATGTTAAACTGGTTGCTCAGAACAGTCTCCAAAATATGACGCAGTAGAAATTGAAGAGAATAAATACCCAGAGATCGGTATTTCCAGCCAAATCAATTGACGACCCATCAGGCAGCATAGACCCAATCACTGTCCACGGACCCTCAATCGACGACGAACTGGCGTAGGAGATTTCATTTCCAGTAGAAAAGCGGAAGTATACATTATCGGAAGATCGTTGGATCAAAGAAGGATCACTGACGACGCATTCTCCCGAACAAGATCCCGGGTTAGCATACGCATCTGCTAATGCAGCGAAAAGCAGTGCAAGATTTGCTATGCGGCAAAGATTCATGATGTTGATGACGCTCAAGCGGTTGATTTCATGCCAACGTTCATTGCAGTCTATTTATCTGCAGAAAAGTGAGATGTACAGGTTCAGCTAATTCGTGGAATATCCAGCGCTGGGTCCAACTCGGCCACGGAGCGACATCCTTGTCAGAGGGTCCTATGAATCTATCTACCTCGGGATACGGGGACTGAATAGCTAGAAAAGCAGTGTGATAGTTGCAGAAACAGGCGGATCAGTACAGGGTCCGGTGCCCGACTGGTGGGATTTGCGCGGTGTTGCATGAGCCAAGACGGAATACCCCGGACCCCGGACACGAAACAACTCCACTCCCGGGGGGGGGGAGTGTGATCGCTCAGCTGCGGGGGAGTTTCGTCAGTCGGTTAAAAAAGGGCATGCAATGTACGTGATGCAGCTGGTGAATGCTTTTAACCGAGTATAATATTAGAGTGGCCGGTGCAGGATATGGTATAATCCCGGCTGGCACTGGAGTTCCGGCGATCCTACTATGCATTCATCATATCACAATAGGCCAGCCATAACCCGTGTCAATGCCTCATCCTCGGCATGAAATGCGTCCAGCGCATTGGGCAGCCTTGAGTCATTGGGATGGGACATTCCCACATCCAACAAATCCGTACCGCCGCCTGGATCGAAATATAGTCCGCCAGCGATTTCAAAGAAGCTGCTGAGATCTTCACACCCATTCGTCTCTGCATCTCCCACCGTGCCGGGGGACATTGGCCAAAAGCCACCAGGGGGCTGCGGTGTAGGGAAGCTGTTTGTCTGGTACAGAGTAGGTGTGCACTGCGCACTGGGGGATTGTGTGGAAGCCGAGACTGGGGTAGACTCCCAAGCAGTTGGGGTTGTGTTAGGACGCGAAGTCAAATGGGAGTCGGGGTGGGGGATGGGTTTGGCACTGGATGCCCCCGCGTCATGGCCGGAATGCCGACGACCGGACATATTATCCCCGTGTACGTTCAGCTGGATTCGCTTTAAACTGCGAATAATCTTCTGGAGACGACGAGATGTTCGGGCACGGGTTGCTGAGCGCCGCACCATATCCACAGCCGTGTAAAACTCCGGTCGGCAGACATGGCTGAAGCGAGCCGGTGCATGTAGAACCGCAAGGAACAAAGCGGCGAGAGCCGATATCAAGAAGTAGTTGAACGGCTCAGGTCGTTGGAAGTAGACATTGGAGACGCGGCTAAAACAATCAAGCATTTGCACGGTACTTTTTGCGGTCTCCACAGCCGTAGTGGCTCCGGCCATATCTTCTGCGATTCGTTCGCTGCTAAGGAGATTCTGACGATAGACGAGAATGCGAAGTTGGTTAGCCTGCAGGGCCAGCAGTACCTGCAACATCATAGTTCGATCAGTGTGCTCTGATCCCACAGGAGAGCGCCAGGTTGGATCGAAGCGCAGTTCATGTGGGATAGACCGAATCCATTGCTGAACCTGTGCATCGAGATAGGCGCATCCGTCCGATGTGGCCTCGCGTGAGCGGCTCTGCCACCCGGTTACTAGTCCCCAGATCTTGGTACTCAGACGCGCGTAGGAGATCATGCAGGTCAGATACGGGGTAGAGCTTCCGGGCTCCGGGAGATCGGTGTCCATGTCCGAGTCCTGGATGGCAAACGGCAATCCGGTCCCAAACGACCACTTTCGGTCTAGCACATAGATGCACCAGAACAGTCGGCTGGCCCATGTCTTCTCCAGCTCTCCCGGAAAGACGCCATCTGTCTTTTGCCAAGTTTCCTGGCAGTGAAGACCCAGCTCCATGCTGCCTCGAGCAGCCATTCCAGTCAATCGCCATGCAATCACTTCGTCGTCTCTGTAAGCGTGGAAGATCGCCTAATGTGGTCAGCAGGCTCTTAGCGATAAGTCGGTGGGAATCGTACGAGTAATGTCAGAATCAAGATCTCTTTCATGTCCACCTCGGAAATCTTCAAACGGCTGGCAAACCGGTCTTCGACGCTGTCTGCCAGTTGAGCGGCACGCTCGCTGCGGCCATGAGATTCGGCCAGCAGCGCAGTAGCCAGAAGGATCTTCAACACTTGGATATCACGGGCAGAAAACCAGTCTCGATCTGCAGTCGTTTTTGACGAGTGCGAGTTCGAGGTCTCTGGATGGTGGAAACGAAAGTAGTCGCGCACGTAGGCTCGCACGCTGCTTAAATCAACACATGGATACATCACACCAACGGTATCTTCATAGACCCGAACAAGCCTTAGGGTTTCTTCCAATCCCAGGATGTCGAGCGGGTCACCTGTAGCCAAGGCATCCTCATTCTCAGAAGGTGCAGGGCTCTGGATGGCAGTTGACAAGCCGATGTCCTCGTCCGGACCCTCATCGTCAGCTGGGTCATCTTCATGGGGGTGAGATCGATGTGGCCGACTCAAGCCGAACTCTGCGCTGGTGGGCCCGACATATGATGGGGATTTGGGTGGATTTAGAATGCGATGCAGACTCGCAGCCGGTGCCGCTGGTGGTCGTGAAGACGCTCCAGGGCTTGTTGATTCCAGCGACAGCAGGCGCGCGGAAAGGTTCCGCACCTCGCGCTGCAGCGTTGCCAGGTTGTGATCGACTGCTTCAAATCTTGTACTCACGCTAAGGGAGTCAGTACCTAGTCTGGGATGGTCTGCCGTTGAATAGAGAAAAGGTGGCTACCTTTCATCCTTAACCTCGGGCTCCATGGGTGTCCCCGGGGTGCGCTGCGTGGTTGCATAGACACAAGAAACTTGGTCGCGGGCACATCGTGCGCAAACGGTTCCGCCGCTGCATTTCAATTTCCGTCGCTTGCATTCATTGCTAGGGCCACTATTAGCGGTTGGCACGGCGGCGGATCGGGAGGCAAACAGAACGGACCAGGCGACTTGGGTGTACTTGGCTCTTTTCCGGGCGCGCAGGAACTGGGTCGAATCACCGTCTCGCTTAGGAGACTCGGGGACCATGCTGTTTTGGATGGGTGTGGATGAGAGATGCAGGAAGCAAGTGAGCAGAGGGCGGTCGGAATTCGGAAAGAAACCGAGCCAGTCTCCACTTGGGATCGACCAGCAAGTATACAGCGGACGATCAGTTGCGAGAGGCTGCGATGTATTATTATTCAAGGATAATACCGATAATAGGAAATGCCAGCGATGATTGATCGGGTTGGGTTGGGCCTGATTACTAATTCTTGAATACGATGCTCCCCCCTCCTCCTCCTTTAGACAAGGTCTGGACACCTGTGTTTGGTCGACAGTGCTAGGCAACTATAACGAAAAAGCGCCATGACAAAAAGGCCAGCAGCAAAACCCTTGGTTCTACCTGCTGTACAGGAGGATGCGGCGGAGCGGAAGCGCGTCCTTAATGTTCTGGCACAAAGAAGATACCGTGGGTTCCCTTTCAGCGAAACAATTCCACTGATACCAATGCAAAACCCGCACAGGAAGAAGAAGGAGGGAGCGCCTCCAAGCTCTTGAGTCTAAGGAGAAACGGACCGAGGTGCCAAGAAACGAAGGAACTGAAGTGCGAACTACATCAGAGTCTATCAGTGATCTGCCGGCTGTGATGAATCATCCAGTACAGTATCTTGATGCAGACATCATGCTTCCACCCCAAGAAGAGAATCCCACCGCTCCCTCCTTGTCATCGTCTGCTCCTTCTATGGAAGTCTTGGCACCATTCCCACCTCTGGCAAAGGTCAATCCCCAGCAATCGTTCGGCCTTTCTCCTACCGACGCATGGGATCCCTTCTTGGCAACAACATGGCCCGAATGGATGTCGCCGTCTCAAACATCTAATGGCTATAGTGACAAGCTTCCATCTGTGGAATTAAACGACCTAGATAATGACTGGGACCTCTCTGCGGCGCTCCAAGCAGACGAGACCTCTTTTTTCACCTTCCCAGATGATGAGCTGCTCGAGGTTCCGTCCCTCGTCCTGCTGAACGCAGCAATGAAAGTTGCACAAAGGTTAAACATCACGGACCTCCTCTGGGACTTTACAGCAGTCAGTCGTTTCTACCAAGCAGCCCGCTCTTCGTTGCCTGGTCTATCACCGCCCTCTTTGGAAAGCAGCTCGTCGACAGCAGAATATTTATCAGCAAACCTCAGCCAAGATACAGGTCAACCAATGGATGTGACTGAGCTGCCAACACATCTTCAGCCAACCCGAACCCAGCGCCTGATCCCCCACCACCCAATCCTGGATCTTCTGCCCTGGCCAAGTACACGGGACAAGTTGATCCACGTCTTCCATCTTCCTCCTAATCTACGTCCACGGTGCGCGCAGGATCCAATGGCGCTCATGCATCTAGTGTATGATATGGAGGATGACAGTGGGGAAGGGGTCAGAATTCACGGAGAGGACCCTTTTGAGCCAGCTAGATGGGAAATCGGTCAAGTGTTGTTTGAGCGGTGGTGGTGGGCGTTTGAGAGAAGTATCGTGGAAAGAAGCAATCGAGCTAGGCAGAGGAGAGGCCAGAGCGAGTTGTTATTGGAAGGTCACCAGAACTAAGAACTAATACAAACAGAATTGAGGTGGTCAAAGCAAGCGCCGCTTCTATACTGACGATATTCAACGGCATGGCTACTCGGCATTGAGCGTTTTTCCCGCTTTGTACAGTGCCCAGATGGGAATGGAGATACTCCACGCCCAAACACCCGTGCGCAAGTAGCTGGCAGCCTCCGAGCGGACCCCCATATATACCGCTGTATACAGCAGACGCACGCCTAGATATTCGAGCGCGAGCGAATTCAGATCTTTAGCGGGCAACTTGGCTAAATTTCCAGCAAGCTACGTCAAACTATCAGCACCTCAACATAAGCTGTTTTATTCAGTAATTCACGACCCACCATAGCAGCAGCAAACATTGGAATCCCTTCAAGGGCATTTAGATGCGAACCACGAGCTCGGGCGAGTTTATCCCACACCTGAGCCGGGATGCGACCTTTCAGAATGGACAAATTTTCGCGTGGCCTATTCTGTATAAGTAATTTGTTTCAGGTCGTATTGCTGAAAACCATACAGCATATTGCTCGATTGGCCCTTAGCGTTGGCCATCATCTTCACCAGATAGTAGCCGTGCGGGGCGATGCCAAGGCCATATGCGGCAATGATGGAATGAATGGAATAATTATTGTGAGACATATCGAAAGCTGGATCTTATGATATTTGACCGTGTGAATAACTCGAATATTTGAAAGACCTTCGAGTGCTGGGTCTGATCTTATATATTGGGTGGTTTCTTGGGAAGCGTAACGTTAGGGTTGGCATCTTGCCATAACCCCAATGTGTCCACCATAATTCGGGCTGAAGTAGGAAATTCCCATAGAGAGCTTATGACAATACAAGCTCTAGTAATGAAGATTCGCTTCAGAGTGAAACCCTCACAGTTATGGCTGGCGTTATTGTCCTCGTATTTTCTGGACGGGCCCCACATTCGGGGACGAACATAACGTTATGTGTCAAGAATTGGAATCCCCACAGCTTACATACAGGGAGTTTACCCGTCGCCAATATTTCCTCCTCGCTGGGCGCCTGAATCTCAGGGGCCTGTACATATATACCTCGCTGGACGCCTGAGTCTCAGGGGCCAGCGATCAGTCTTAGAAATATACTAAGTCGCACCCAAAGCCTCCCTGCGAGTCTCTGTTGCCCGAATCCGTAAAACCACTACTACGGGTGTATCGTGAGACACATCCAGACAGTTGTCCGTTGAGCAAAACAAGATTACTCCGAATAAAAACGCCGGCAGGAACACAACTCCGGTGAGAGAGAAAATTCTCCTCCTGTTTCACTTTGCCTGATTACTTTAAAGTGTTAAAAATAACATTTATTCAAAAAGAATTTAGAAAAACCTGACATTTGCTACAAGTACATATCCAACATCACATGCGCTACATGTCAATAATGACGCCCGCTAAGCCTACCATTGCCCTTGTTCCTGGTGCCTGGCACTCACCCATGCACTACGAAGACTTCCTTCAGGTTTTTCAGGACGCAGGGTACCCGACGAAAAGCATTACTTTGCCGGGCGCAGGGTCGGTTAATCCCAGGGCGCAGTCAGTTAGAGCAGATGCTTGCGCTATTCGAGAGAATTTGTTGCTTCCATTGCTAGAGGACGGCAAAGATGTTATCCTCATCATGCATTCTTACGGGGGGTGTCCCGGCTCTGCCGCAGCGCTGGGCTTGAGCAAAGAGGAGCGAAGCACTGGAGGTGGTATCATCGGGCTGGTTTTCATTGCAGCATTTCTAGCTCAGGAGGGTGACTCCCTCCTCAGTGCACTCGGAGGAAAATACGACTCCTGGGTGATTAATGACGTGAGTGACATCCGCTTCCACTTCTCATAATTTAAATATAATGCTTACAAAAATTTGTAGGAGAATGGACAGCTAGATGTGGAAAATCCACTTTACGTGTTTTATCATGATGTGCCAAACCACAAGGCCTCCAAAGCCGTGGCTGACCTTAAGCTGCAGTCTGAAGCTACCTTGTCGTCGCCTAGTCCTCCCAGCGCTTGGGATAACAAATTTTATGATGGTCGGCGATGCTACATTCGCACGTTGCAGGACCACACCATTCCCTACATTGCGCAGGACATGATGTTGCAAAATAGTGGGGTACGTTGGTATATTAAGGATATGGATACCAGCCACAGTCCTTTCCTGAGTCGCCCACGAGAACTGGTAGATCAGGTCCTAGAATTCGCATCTTTGTTCCAAGAGTGAAGGAATTGGATTAGGATGAAACAAGGCATTGGGCTTGCATTATGATAGCAACTGGAACACATAATAACCGTTTCAATGGGTGCCTTTTTTTTTCTACTGAATTCTGAGTGTTAGATGATTCAATCGGGTCCATTGAGAGCTCTAAAACCATCTGGTGTTTCCCGAAAGAGAAGCGTCGCAACCGTTTGCGGACCCAAATAGATATAGCTCGGGATCCATCCTCTCAACATCCACATCAAGCCTCCGGAGCGTGGTGTCTTCTTAATAAGATCAACGATAGAGACACTGGTATTTGAGCTCATTACCCTCGTCTTCATGACGTCCACCGGACTACAAACTGTTATGGCAACCAGGCTAGCGAGGACCGACGCCAGAAGCTTTGTGCGCTTATCGTCTTTCAAGGAGGCCCACTGGACTAGCATGGTCTTAAATCTATCATATGACGCTAATTGCGACGTAGTCATCAGTGCTGCTCTGGCAGAGTTCGGCCACCATGCCCGAGAGAAACATTGCTAGCCTTCCTCCTTTTGCATCCGAATCCAGGCATCGAAAAGTTCTTGTACCCGCGACGGGAGGAAATTGGAAGCCAAGAATCACAATGTAAGTCGAGAACATGTATAAGGAACAACAAAACTACGATATTCACACCAGTTTCTACCATGATTGATGACCCCCCTCTAACATTCAACGATAATAACACTAAAAGCTGGCAAACTGTCTCTCTACTAAAGTCTTCGCAATACCTTCGCAGGCACACCGCCAGCCAGACACCCAGCCTCAATATCCTGCGTGACCACAGCACCAGCTGCAATGGTAGTGCCTGCTCCAATACGCACTCCGTCTAGTATGGTAGCTCGTGCGCCGATCCAGCAGTCCGCCTCAATGGTGATCGGGCGAGCAAAAGACGTACCACTCGCTTCTTGTCGGTCCTTCGCCGCAGTCTTGTGAGTCCCCGTGCAAATACACACGCCCGGCCCAATAAGGACGCGGTCGCCAATGCGGATGAGGGCGTTGTCATAAAGTGACACTCTGTTTCTTATCAGTCAACGAAGCTAACATCATGCAGTAAGCTCACTCGCGATTGATATAAACCCCGTCTCCAATGAATACATTGCAGCCCCAGCCGACGAAAAAGGGCGGTTCAATATTAGCTCCCTCTCCTAATTGACCAAGCATAGACTTGGCTACAGCCATCCGCCGTTGCTTTAACGATGTAAGCGTGCTGTTTTCGGGGATTGCCAGATTATTGAAATCATTTAACTTCTTCAGGGTTCCCAGTTTATATTCCTGCATTTCCGGAGAGTTGTACGTAGAAAAGCTGCAGAATGAACCTGTCAATCTTAAAATCACAACCCCTTGCAGGAACTTCAACAGACAGACTTCAACCCACTAATCATCTTCTCGTATTCATCACACCAAGGCACGGGAACATGGCTCTTCTGGAGTTCCGAAATCACACTTGGATCTTTTGCTGATGATGCCATATTTCTTGAGTTACATAAGAGCGGGGAAGAGAATGAGATCACGAACGCAGGTTGTCATGAGAAACCTGAGTGCCCATTATCGGCAACTTGCATGTCAGAGTGCAGGACATTAACTGAATTAGGAATAGCTCGCTCGAAGGGAGAAGAGAGTAGTCCTAGCCGATTGGAAACAGAGAGTGACGAGTTTATTTATTGGGTTCTGCTCCTAGTATACACAGATAATATGTGCCTTCAAAAAGAAACGTGTTTTCGTGATATGTTTTCGTGATATGTTTTCGTGATATGTTTTCGTGATATGTTTTCGGCTTTGATTTATATACCAGTGCACCTAGTCAGTTCTTCGTATCCGATTTCTGCAAAATGAAGTTGCACGCTCGTAGCAGAGTATGCGAAAGCCCGAACTCGCTCCCTCTATAGCCTACTTGCCCCCGTTGTTCCTAGGCCCTTACTAAAACAAAGCCCTTCATATAAACTCGCCCCAAGCGACGTGGGGTAAAACACTTGTCTTAATAAAACAATTCGTTTCTAATGCTGCTTTGCAACCTCAACCTGAAACAAAAGCCAGACCCATACATAGATACACAGGAAATGTGAACATAACATTCACAGCCGGAAAAGATCGGGACTAATCCCAGCCAAATGGCAAGCACCTTCATACATCCTCTGCAGTACCGACCGCATCTTCTCCAAGTCAATCGAGTCCCTGGACCAGTACTTGAGCGTACGGATCGACAACCGGATCAACGCCGGCCAGTTCGTCGGAACACGGAGGCCCCAGTCACGCGCATAACGAGCACTCGTAAGATGGCAGAGCACGGCTGCAAGGATCTGAAGCGCGCACCCGAAAGTGCCTCGCATGACGTTCCATACCCATTCGTGTCGGAAGTTATACCAGTAGTTGGGGATCAGCTCGGCGCAGTTATCGATGGCGCGCTGGGCTACTTGAAACAGTTGCAGCAATACTGGGTTATTGCCTGGTGTAAACCCTGGCATCGACTGGTAGTGCACGGCCAGATAGATTACAGGTCGATAGATCCGCTCCAAGCCCATGCTATAGCGGCCACGCAGGAGGAACTCCAAGTCCTCATTCGCGGAATTTGGAGATGGCTGTCCGATTGGAACCATTTTGAACCTGGTCCTTCCATTAGTAGATATTATAACGAAGGAAGTGACAAAGTTCTATACCATGAGTCGACTACGGTTTGAGCCTCGGCACATTGCCCTAAAACATGTTGGATATCTTTAGTCCAGCTGTGTTCACCATGCCGCCACAAGTCACAGATGATAGCGTTCACGGTCCGACGGTTGCAGATCGACGCGATGTAAAACATCCAGCCTTTTTCCTCCTCGGTTCCATTGAGTTGGGTCTCGGGTGTTGAAAATGAGGAGTGATCATCATCCATATTGTCTGGCGATCCGGTTGCTGATGGTGTTTTCGGGTATCTTGGAAACGGATTCAAGTACCGAATGCTATACAGCCCAGTGCTCCATAGAGGCAGTTCACACTGCGTCTCACTTTTTGAGAGGTATCAGCAACACTCGCCATCAATAATAATCAAAGTATCTTACTGTTCAGCCTGAATACATGCCCAGTATAAACGCGATTCAAGATTGTGATAGTCCGTATTTGCCATCCATTGTTCTCTGTTGAAAGACCGTAACCGTACTTCCAATCTGCAGGAAGCTTGCTGGAAACAAAACCACGCCTGCAGAGGGCGCATGACATGTCTCTCGTATGATCCAGCGAGAAGAAAGCATTGGATGTCCGTCGGGGACGTCTGCAAGGAGCCCAAACGCCTCTTGGCAGCATTGAACCACTTTTCTGCAAGCTCAAGCCTCACCGTCGAGGGTGGCGGCGGGATTCCGTCCAGATCGTCGGGAATACCTGTCAATGGCTTAAATTGGCAAGTGCAATAAGCCAAGGCGCACGCTAGCAGCTTTACAACTGATCAGCCACCAGACTATAAATAAAGTCGGAAAACATACCACTTGACACGAGGGTCCATCCCACCCAATGCCCTGTTCGGCCACTTCGCCAGCATAGTGCATGAGCTTTTCAGCGTCGAGGATTGGGTTGCGTCGGTGGTTTAACATTAGGTATTGTTGGCATAGAGGGATGATATCATCTTGGATAACGCCTACTCTGGACGAATGATTATCCAGCGGCGGCTGGTTATCCAGAGAATCAAGTAAGAAAGATCGGACATGTCTCTCTGACTCGGTGGTAACCTTATTGAAGATGGGCCAGCGCAACATGTACTCCGGCGCATTAGCCGTATAATGGAGCAGGGGATCATGATCCAATCCCCTCTCCTCCTCGATCCCGGTACTACTACCACCTTGGATATTGCTCCCCGAGAGTGGATCGGTCAGGGGGCTGGCATTCTGCAGAGACATATCAAGTAGGGAGTCTTTGAGAGAGCGGTTCGACAAAATGGTTGACCCGTTGCTCCCCTCCTGCTTGATATCCTCCAGCAGGGCGGTGATGTGGCCAAGGCGCTGAAGAATCTCATGGTTGGACGAGTCGAAGCCGGTCCTGTCAAGCTATATCTCAGCGGCCGTTTTTAATCTGATGAAATGATCACAACTTACTGGGGCGGTCGCGGCGAGGTCTCGGGGTAGAGGCACTGTGTTCCCTGCATGGCACAGTAGCTACAGACCGGGCGGACATTGTCGCAGCGCGTCTTGCGATTCCGACAAGTCTGGCAGGCTGTAGGGGCCCGTGTACGGCTTTCACGCCTCTTCGACAAGGTCTGTTCCACGTGATCCATCTCGACTTGAGCATAGAAACCACTGTTTCTGGGCAGCGACGATGCAGCGTCGGGGAGCATCGGGGACGTGGGGATGGGAGAAGCGAGGAAACAAATCCATCCTATGGGTATTGAGGCGTACTTAGGGGGTTCGAATTACCTGCGGAGAAAGGCCGAGTCCTACCCCTGGTCTGGGAGACAAAGAAATACGAGGCTATTCCCATACTGGGCCGCTTTCGTCCAGTGCTGACGGCTGTGGCGAGAGGAGAACAAAGAAAACGACGACCAGGCGATGCCACGACCAGGGCTAGTCCTGCGAACACTCATGACCGAACCTGAGGATACAGCGTGCTTATTGGAAGGATCCTCCCTGGGTTCGCCATCCTGGCAACTGTGCGAGTCCCCGAACCCCGCCGTAGGGCTTCGGGGACATCAGCATGCCTCTGTCCATTCGGGTTTGGTGCAGCGCCTCAGCTGGGGAGGCGAATCGGATTACAAGTTGAAATCCACTCGGCCTGTCGCCATTTCTATCCGGAGCTCTGAGATGGGGGAGGGGGGAGGGAGTGTTGCTGCTGAAGTAGTGTAGGCTCACCCAACCAACTTGGCTGTCGTCGCCGCCAGGAATAATAAATAATCGAACAACGTCATTCATGCCCTGCACTAAATAGAGAACAGGAGGGAAAGTATCTGTCCATATCGCCGTGCATCGCTAATGCGCACGAAAAAAGCCACCGAGTGTCCAAAGTACATGTACATGCGAAGCCCCCAGCATTTTCACTCGGGCAGACACAAAAATCAGACTCCAACGCCAGTGAAAAATGCACTCAAGACATCATATCAACTACCATCACTGAACCTTTCTCTTGCCTCTCTTCGCAGTGGGCGCCTCACACAGTTCAGTCCAAGCATCTTCAAATACAGTCTTCCGGGGCCCAATCTGGCCCTCGTAGAAGTTCAGCTTCCGCACGACTTCCATAGCGCCCGTGCCCAATCCCACCGTCTTGCCCATGATGATACATTCAGACACACCCTCGATCAAATCAGTGCGACCTGCACCACCGGCGTCGAAGAGGTGGTCGGCCGTCTTCTCGAAGGAAGCCAACTGAAGCACCGAGTCACGCATCTTGGCCAAACCGAACCGAGTAATTCCCAGAACTTCGCCCTTATATGTCATCACGTCTGCCAGAAGTTGCATGTGCCGGGGGTCGATGTCCATGTCCTTCATGACCTCGCTGATTTCCTTGATAATCGTAGTCCGCGCAGCCTCAATACCGAGCACGTCGCGCGCTTCCATAACATTGTTGGTTGTGGTGTGCAGACCGTTCACACCGGGGGTGGTCATGCACGCCCGAAGTCCGTAGCCCTCCACCAGCAGCGTGTGCTGGGTTGAGGTCTCGTCGGTGCGAATGATAGCACGGTTGGCATCCGGGTGGCCCCAGACCTGGATGTTGGGCAGGAGACGTCTCAGGTGCTTCAGTCGCAAGAAGGGATCGACGCTCGTAGCTGCAATCTCTGTCTTTGACAGGGATGACTTGCTGGATGGATCCATATCGACGTAGATCATGATTTTGTTGTCGGCATACGAGAACTTGAGATCATCAGCCTTGAATCGCTTGTGATTCTTGATAGCTGCAAGGATCTGGCTCGTCTTGAGCTCGAGTTGCAACGCATCAATGGTAGTCTGGTTGATCCTAACGGTAAGGAATGCCTGGCCGTCTGGAGTCCAATCATCGGAAAGCTTGGAGATGATGTCACGCAGATACGTCTTCTCGATTCGTCCCTTGGTGATGCGGGCAGCGTGGATGCTAGCCTTGTTGTCCAGTTCACAGGAAATGACAGGAGTACTGATCGTCTTCGAGGCGTTGATGATTTCCTTGATACGAGGAACGCCCTGAGTGATACTCATACCAGCGACACCAGCAAAGTGGAAGGTTTTCAGCGTCATTTGCGTTCCTGGTTCACCAATGGACTGTGCGCCGACAGCGCCAACAGCGTGGCCAGGCTCGACCTGGGCTCTCTTGTATTTCAATAGACATGCCGTGATAAATGCCCGCAAGGTCGTCTCCGTCAGCTTGCCTGTGTGATCTAAGCCCTTCCGGCTTCTCTTGTCGGAGGGGTCGATATCTCCACCACGAGAGATCAACTTTTCGGCTTTGGTTTGGACATATTGTTCAATCGAGTCAAGGAAGTCACGGGCACTCTCAAATTGATCGATACCGTGGTCGCTTCGGTCCGCATAGTCAAGATCTTTGCCCAGTAAGTCTTTGCGGAACAACTTTGCTCGTTCCGTTGAGAGCATTTCCTCGCAAACATCCATGATTTCAGATGGCAACAAGCTGCGCTCATCATTGTTGTACGTAGTAGACTCGGAATGGATGAAAGTTCGGTCAAAGTGGACAGGCTTGGCTTTGCCTTCCATATCCACGGGGTCCAGTTTATCATCACCGTATTGGAATTGCACAATGGCAGCCGAGGAATTCCGGACGGTGTCATCGTATCGAGTAGATAGATCTTCCAGGGATTTCATCAGTCGACGAGACATGTAACCGGTCTCAGCAGTCTTGACAGCTGTATCAACCAGACCTTCACGACCAGACATGGCGTGGAAAATGAACTCGGTGGGCTCAAGGCCCGAGAAGAAACTGTTCCGCACAAATCCCTTTGAAGGAGGCTGGCGCGCGTTCTTCGGGAAATGGGGCAGGGTCCGATCTTGGAAGCCATCCTGCACACGTTGTCCACCAATAATTTGTTGACCGACAAGCGCAACCATCTGGGACACGTTGATACTGGAACCCTTCGATCCAGAAGTGGCCATGATCAAAGGCGAGTTGTACTTGCTGAGCTGTTCAATACACTCATCACCGGCTTGCTGACGAACCTTGCTGAGAATACCGGAGATTTGGTTCTCCATGGTCTGCAGTTCATCACAGCCAGGGTATTTTTCGAGAGTGTTGGATTTGTATTTGGCGATGACCTCGTCACACTGAGCATACGCGGTCTCGACAAGGTCGTTCTTCGACTTTGTAAGCTTCTCACTGGGGTACACGTCTCCGATACCGATCGAGAAACCGATGTTGGTGAACCACCGCGCCGACAATTTCGAAAGCCGGTTCATACCCTCCGCAGCGGCGGCAGGGCCGAAATCTCTCAGCATGATGTAAAACACGTTGTCCTTCTTTCCAGAACCAATCGTGGATTTATCCATAACGCCGCACATGACCTCCGAGTTACGGATGACCAGCCAAGCATCGTTGGGGTCCAAGTCCTTCGGCCGGCCATCCTTGGGTTGTTTGAACTCACGACAAGCCGCATCCAGGTTCACAAGAACAGGGTCATCCTTGTTTGGATGCATAAGGACATTGAAAACCTGTTTGCCAGTCCAGAGCATCTGTGGCTTGAGAACCGACGGCGGCGGGAGGTCAAATCGAGTTCCCGGGCCCAGCATATAAAGGCAAATCTGCGCGAAAGAGGCGCGATCAAAAAAGTTGTCTTTGCTGCTGAGCAAGTAAGCGGCACTGATGAAATCCTGAATGGCAGAAATTATAGGTTCGCCGTTCTTCGGGGTCGCCAAGTTGTTCTTCACGCCCATCAGTTCCATCGCCTCAGCTCTAGCCTCCTCCGTTTGGGGGACGTGCAAATTCATCTCATCTCCGTCGAAATCGGCGTTGTAAGGATTGCAGACACATTCATTCAGGCGGAATGTTCGGTGCGGTCGAACTTTAGCAAAGTGAGAGAGAATACTAAGTTTGTGGAGAGAGGGCTGGCGATTGAAGAGTACAATATCCCCGTCTTCAATATGACGCTCGACCACATCTCCCTCTTGCAGCTCGTCGGCCATGTATTTGAGGTTGCCGAATTTCAAGTAGGTCTTGTAGGCGGAACCTTTCTTGACGATGTAGTTCGCACCAGGCCATTTCCTCATGCCATTACACACACGCTGTTGCAGCTTTGCCTTGTTGTACCGGGTCACGGTCTCTGGGTAGGTCATGTTCTTTGCCACCAGTTCAGGGACGGCAACCTCGTCCACACGCAGGTTCGGGTCGGGCGAAATCACCGTACGACCAGAGAAGTCAACACGTTTTCCCGAAAGGTTACCACGGAATCGACCTTGCTTTCCCTTCAGCCGCTGAACAAATCCTCGAATGGGCTTTCCCAGGTCAGCTTTGTTGAGACCCGGCACATCACTGTTGATGTAGACTGCAATCTGGAGCTGCATGTAGTCCCAGCATTCCATGATGGTCTGTACCGGCACGCCCTTCAGCAAAGCGTTTTTGAGGTTGAGGTTGCTCTGGACGATATCACCTAACTTTGCAGTCAAGTCGTCCTCCGTCGATGCGGAATCCTGGCCCACGGAAGGCCGAATACACACGGGTGGGGCAGGGATGAACTGCCAGAGGAACATCTCCGGTCGTGCCTCTTGTGGATTCAGGCCCAAAAGCTCACAATCCGTGTCTGAAACCCGCTTGAACAGCTTCAGGACACGCAAAGGGTTCATGTCATCCTGTGCCTTCTTGTAGTGTTTCTCTACCTCGCCATTTGATCTTCTCACTTCCTCAAAGGACGCATCGAAAACGACCTTGCTGGGAGGCGGGTGCTTCTTGGCCGAGGTCGAGGCATTGTAGGCGCGGAATTTGTCGTGGGTGATTTTGAGCGCGCTAGAGCCAGTCTTTTTCACCACACCGTTCTCCGTGCCGCAAATCCCACAGTGTCGGGTCTTCCTGCATCGCTCGTTGATCCGTTTGGCGATTTGCATCCGCCGCAAGTTATCCAATCCCGGTCGGCGCATTTCCCGAAGGAAGGCTCGGCGCTCCGCCTCTGGGAGTAGGATGTGCGAACATTCTTTGCAGATTTCTTGCAAGATTCCGATGACGCGCTTGAAGTAACCAACATGGAAAGCAGGAAGAACCAGCCTGACATGGCCAAAGTGGCCGTTACAAATGTGCAGCCCACCTCCGCAAGTCTGACAGGTTCCGGTTTTGTTCGAAATTCCCATGCGCGCGTCCAAAGGACCATGCGCTACGACCGTTCGGTCATTTTCAAGGTCGAAGAACTTGCGATCCGAGACTTCGACCACGGCTTGTCCGACGATATCATCGTTTGTCCTGGAGTGCGGCTCATTAGCGACCAATTCTGCGGTGACCACAGAAGGTGTCATCGCAGGGCAGATAAACATACAGAACACCGAATTTCAACTCCTTGATCACTTTAGGGACACGGTCGATGACCTGGGCCTTGCCCAGGTCGACTTGCGCTCCTTCAGGAGGCTGCATTGCCGGCGTCAGGAACGGGGCATGGCAGGGCGAGCTGGTATGACTCGATTGGCACGGGCGAGGTCAGCCGCAACCAGTCGTTACACTCGGTGGGGGATGAGATAAAGTTGCTGAGGATAGTAGATAGGGGGTTGGAGAAATAGAAAGAAAGCCCAGACAGGTGAGCGAGAGGAGCAGGGAAGAGGTAGAGGAGGTTGGCGAAGAAGAGAAGAAGCAAAGACATTGGCGGGGTTGGCCACGAACTTTTTTCTGCCGGCAAAGTGTTCACCGCTCTCGCGAAGTATGAATAGACCGACTGTGGTTGTGGTTGTGTACAATTATTCACCTATTTAGGGTTTTTTTCATAATACAGGTAGTTCCTTCACTTGGACAGGAACTTTTGGAAGGCTTTATGCTCAATCACCACATTGCCAACGGCCCTCAGTCTCTTGCGGCCCTCCTTCTGTTTCTCCAGGAGCTTCCGGCGACGGCTAACATCACTGGCATGCAACTTGGCCAACACGTCTTTGCGGTATGGCTTGATAGTCTCGCGAGCGATAATCTTCTTGCCAACGGCAGCCTGAATGACAATCTCAAACAGCTGTCGATCGACATGCTCCTTGAACTTGGTCACCCACTGCCTTCCCAGGCGGTTGACCTGACTCATGTGCATGATTCGCGAGACGGCATCCACAGGCTCCTTGTTGACCAGCAGCTGGAGCTTGACGATGTTGCCTGCTCGCCAGGCGGACTCCTCGTAGTCCAAAGTGGCATAGCCCTTGGTCGACCCTTTCAATTTCCCGAAAAAATCGTCCACGAGATGCGCCAGAGGCAGCTCATATTTGAGGATGACCTGAGTCGCCGTGAAGTATTCGAGGCTGACTTGCTCACCCCGGTTGGCCTCACATAGCTCAATCGCCTTGCCCAAGTATTCTTCTGGGAAGGTCAAGGTGGCAAGGACGTAGGGTTCTTGGATCTCGGCGACCTTGAGACGAACGCTATCGTCGTCGGGAAACTTTGCCGGGTTCGTGATAATCTCCTCGGTGCCATCTTTCCATACCACATTGACTGGGACTGAAGGAGGTGTGATTATAATACTGGCGCCATGCTCTTGGCGCAGCCGATCTTCGAAGACCGAGCAGTGAAGGGTACCCAAGAACCCCATCCGGAACCCAGCTCCCAAAGCTTCAGATGATTCCTTTTGCACCGTGATACTCCGGTCATTCAGACAAAGGTGGTTAACGCTGTCTTCCAAATGCTCAAAAAGGTCGGCATTCACGGGATATACGGCCACGAAGACCATCGACTTGGGCTCCTCGAACCCGGGCAAAGGCTCTACGGCCTTTTCTGAACCAACTCGAGTGTATGTATCGCCGACCTTGGCTTCCTTGCTCCGCTTCATACCCGGATTGAAATAAATGTATCCGACTTGGCCCGCACGCAAAACAGTTTGTGCTGTCTCGGTAGGATACATGATCCCCACTTCGCCGACATAGTATTTGATGCCCGTTGCAAATGATACAAGCTGTTGGCCAGCACGGACCTCGCCATCGAACACGCGCACCAGAAGGATCACGCCTTTGTACGAATCGTACCAGGAATCAACGAGAAGCATGCGGAGCGGTTTTTCGCGATCACCAACTGGTCTATGCAAAGATTAATATCAGATCAACGGATTGAACGAAGTCCCACATACGCTGGAATTTTGTCCACAACGGTGGGCAGTAAAGCTTGCACATTCAATCCAGTCTTAGCCGAGACTAGAACCGCGTTGTCGGTTTCAAGCTCAAAAGAGCTCTTCATCTGCTGCAGAGCCCGCTCTGGATCGGCGGACGGCAAGTCCACCTTGTTGATCACGGGGATCAGCTCAAGGCCCTGCGCGAACGCCAAATAGAAATTCGCGACTGTTTGCGCCTGGATACCCTGGCTAGCATCAACTAACAGCAAGGCCCCGCCACAACTGGCATAGCTTCGCGAGACCTCGGCGCGAAAGTCCACATGGCCGGGTGTATCCACCAAATGCAATAGATAGTCCTCGCTATTGTGGTTGTAGATCATCGTACACGTCTGCGCCTTAACGGTGATTCCGCGTTCTCGCTCGACGTCGAGTTTATCCAAGACTTGTTTGTTCATGCCGGGCTGAATGGTCCCCGTGAGTTCGAGTAACCGGTCGGAGAGGGTACTCTTGCCATGGTCGACATGCGCGACGATGCAGAAATTGCGGTAGCGCTCAATTGGAATTGCAGAAATGCGCCGCTCGAGATCTATGTCTGGTGTCCGTACCGCGGATTGCGCGGCATTCCAAGATGCCGAGCTGGTGAAAACCCGGGCTGAATGGCGATTAAAGATCGAGAGATCAGTTGGCAGCCTGAGGAGACTCGCGGCCGGATTTGGCGCTGCGCTCAGCCATCGGGCCAACTGCAGACATCCTCGCATCGGGATCCGTGTGGCACGGGAGCGTGTGAGTGCAAGAGACCAAAGTCGTGTCCGGGCCCTTTGCGGAGAAAACCCGTGGGCGGTGAGGGCGATTGCTGCGGCGACTATCGGCATAAACAAAGCTCCCTTTTCCCCTCGACACTCTCACCATAACCCCAATCATGCCGGAAACAAAGGATTCCAAGGACAAGTCCAAGGTGCACAAGTTGTCGCTGAAAGGTAGTGTTCATTGACTGTGATTGGCGGAACGCAACTGACACAAACATTTCCAGGGTCGGCCAAGCTTGTGGCCGAGTTTGTAAGTCTCCCTTCTTCCTAGCAGTCTGTGAGACTCTACTGACCATGGTCTAGTTTGAATATTCCATCAATTCCATTCTGTGAGTGGTCTCGATTGCTTACATAGCAGCAGGAGCTCATGTGTCCAGCTTCCAACGAGGTGTTTACCCTCCGGAGGATTTCACAACGTAAGTCGCTCTAAGACCGTATAGCATCAGATGCTGATTAGCTTTAGTGTCAAAAAATATGGCCTCAATATGCTCGGTGTGTCGCTCACGTCCTACCCCTCTAGCATACCGAACCTGACCCCAGATAGTGTCCGCGGACGACCAAGTGAAAGCCTACATCAAGAAGATCATGTCGCAATTGAACAAGTGGATGATTGGCGGGAAGATCTCTAAGCTGGTGGTTGTCATCACGAGCAAGGAGACCGGAGAAAATGTGGAACGGTGGCAGTTCGACGTATGTTGATGTCCAATGCATGAGATGTGCCGGTCTAATAAGACGTTCTCCAGGTCGATATATTCAGCAAGTCATCCAAGAGCAAGAGTTCGCGGAAGTCAGCCGACAAGGAGAATGCCTCACCCGGGTAAGTTACCTGAACTGATCATTGAAATATCCAGACTAATCTCCCTATCAACAGAGACGCTGACCCCGAAGCCTCCGAGGCTCCGATTGAAAAGACCGAGAAGGAAATCCAGGAAGAAATCCAAGCCATCTTCCGCCAGATCACAGCGTCGGTCACTTTTCTCCCCGTTCTGGATGGAGACTGCACCTTCAACGTGCTGGTATACGCGGATGCAGACTCCGATGTGCCCGTGGAATGGGGAGACAGCGACGCCAAAGAGATCAAGAACGCCGAGAAAGTTCAGCTTCGCAGCTTCAGCACGAACAACCACCGCGTGGGCACTCTGGTCAGCTACCGGCTGGCCGATTGAGGGCTGATCCAGAAAACCGAAGGGGATGGTGGGCTCATCATTACAAATCGGCGTTTGGCAGGGGAAAGGATGGACTTTTTGGTACTGTGTATTGTAGCAACAGCTCAGCATAGCGACGCTCACAGCATCTGTGTATGTCTGTCTGTGTATAATGAAAACGATTACGACTCCAAACTAAACCAAGGCAATTCCTCCATCTTAGAAAACCATTCCTGTTTATCCCAGCAGATCAACTCGAGCACAACATCCTCCAGTCCATCAAAAGACACCTTTTCCATACCCGGATACCAACCGCGCTTCCTCCTCTTCGCAGACAATTCCGGCCCAACGCCACATGGATCAGATCTCCATAGTCCAATCCCACTCTTCATTTCCCCTCGGACAAGAGATTCCACTGGCGTCACTTCTTCCGGTGGATTGATGCCAATCACCGCAACGCGAGCATTATTTCGTTCTGATTTCTCCTCTACCGTAGATGTTGATGGTATGGGCAATAATCCCAGTGCAGGAAAATGACATTCCATGAATCGGGCCCTCTTGAACTCGTGCGTCACCACAGTGATTCTGCGAGGGTAGATACCTGTATACTGTCGAAATTGAAGAAGCGAGAAGAGAACATTCTGATAGGAGTCCGTGGCGTGGGGCTCCACGACAATACTTGACGCTGGTATTTCAAATTGATTTTGGAAAAAGTTGTTGTCTCTTAGGAAATTCTGGGACATGGAGTCAATTGCATTGTCGGGATTTATGCTGGAGAGTACCGCACCAGATATGATTGTCCTTCGCTAAATTCAGCGCGTGGTCTTTTCGTTGGTCCTCTATGGCACAACTTAGACGAAATACCGAAACCGGGAATCCTGTCCTTACCCCGAAAACACGAGCAATGCAGATGGGTCCTTGGATAAAGCTCTCAGTCCTGCTTGGGCGTGGTTTATAAATGTTGGGCTTTCTCCCCGTTGGAAGGGCTCGAGTAGCCTATGTTGGCAGGTACCGTTAATCTTACATTCCAGGGAAGTTGATTCTTGCTTGCTTGGGTTTCCAGAAGAACATGCTCACCATTCATCTTCAGAGAATCCATTCTGAGGTCCTCCGATGTAAATTGCATGGCAGCAAACAATAATGAGATGGTTGCATCTGCTAACTTTGGAATCACTATTTGAGGACATTTGCTCGCACTCGTTCTGGACGATCAGTTCCCGTGCAGTGCAGGTCAAGAAAGAAGTCAAGTTAAGGACAAGAGCAGAGGGTGTTGTTTATTACTTAAGCCGGCTAACCGCCAGCTCATCTACTCTCCAAGTATACGCTCGAGTAATATGAATGCAATCACTTCAAGTTCTGCGCATTGAGATATGACTCGGTAATGTACATCTGTCTTTGCCCACTAGAGGCAAAAAAAAAATTGAAGAAAATATGCGCCATAAGATGTCTTCCAGCACAATGGAACGCTTGGTGGGAAATGCAACCGTAAGGGACAACAGAAACTGGAAGAGGGAAAGGAAACAGAAGGGAAAAAATAAACAAGCAGAAACTAGAAAACGCCGATGCCCTTCGGGGAGCATGCATCCATCTGAAACCGATGCTTGATACTTCCTCGACTTTCCTTTTTCCATGGCCATGCAGCGTTCTCATCGACACAAATCAACGCCATACTAATTCCGCGGGGAAAAACCCCCTCAAGTCATTGACTGATGCAAGATAAAAACACAATCATGACCGAGTGCAAACAGAATATGAAAGAAAAGAGAGAAGAAGTTAAACCAGTCAATAAAGGGGATGGGTATCGTATTAGTCAAAATTGTCGTGGCGGAACGTGCAGTTAGCCCCTTTTCTGCACATGCCATCTTTCCAGAATCTGCAGGCCACTGATCCAGCTTTGGGATGCGGCATGGGCCCGTTTTTGCTGCGCTTCTGCCGACTCCATTCTGATTCGTCATCGTATGTGTTGTTTCCGCGCATGCGTTTGCGCTCAGGATCTTCGTATCCCTGGCTCTGATACTGCTGCTGAATAGCTTGCTGGTTTTGTCCAAGCATTTGGGATAATGTCGCACCGAGCCCCGCCAGGCTCTCAGCCTGTTGTGGCTGCTGGGCGTGCGAAGGAATAAGGCCTTGCATCAAGGCCAAGAACTGTTGCATATCGAAGCCTTGTCCTTGTGGCTGGAAGGTTGGGAGCTGTGGAACCTGCGGCACCTGGGGCTGTTGGCTCAGCATCTGGACTGTCTTCTCGAGATCAAACGTTGGAACCTGCTGCTGCTGCGCAGGCTGTTGCACCACAGGTGCAGGTTGTCCGAGCCTCTTCAGAAGATCAGCGATGTCCGATCCTGGAGCTGCGGTATTGGACTGCGGAGCAGAGTTAGGTTTCACATGGTTGTGGAAGCGTTCCTGACGAGTCTGTCACGACAGTTAGCACTTCAATAATCACTTCAGTCCAGTCACAAACGTACCTTGATCAAGTCAGGCAGTTCCCCGAACGGAACTTCGGCAGTAGCAGGTTCGTCGGGGTCGACAGCAGGTGGCTCCTTCGGGGAGGGAGGGATCTCGGCCGGGTTGGTGTAGAAGACCATGAGTGTAGTAGACTCCCGATGCTCCTGGGCTTCCTTCTCCGGGCTCGTGGGCTGTTTGTTGCCGTGACGCTTGAAGAAGTTGACTCCCTTCAGATCCTCACTTTCAATAACGATTTCTGTTACGGTCAGTAGAGTTCTTGATGCTTGGAGGAGTAATAGGGTCATACCAGAGAGATCGCGGTATTCGTGGAAACTGGTCTCTTTCAAGCCAGGATCTTCTTCCTCCAGTTCATCCATATTCTTGTGCAATTTGAGCACGCTACCTTCTCCCTTGACGTCACCGGCTCCGCGCATGGAGCCGTCACCAGGGCCCAGCTCTTCATCGGGATCATGGGTGAAGAGTCGAACTTCAGTCAGAGAAGCATCTGGTTTCCACGTCACGCGCAGTTTGCGACGGGCTTCCTTCCGCAATCTCTTTTTACGCTCTTCTTCGGTCTCGGGGGGTTGATCCTCCGCGGGCTTTACAGGCGCGGGCTCTTTGGGCTTATCGAGACCGGCCATGATATCCCCGAGAGAGGTCGGAGGAGGCCTCGGAGGAGGGGGAGCACTGTTAATCACGTCAGCAAAACGGCTCATAATCCATTTAAAGGCAAATACTTACGCAGGCTTTGCGGCGGCGGCAGCAGCCTTTCTCTCCGCATTCGTCGTCCCTGGCTTCTTTGAAGCAGAGCTCAAGCTACCAAACAGGCTAGACGGATTGGGAGCGACGATGTTGGCCTTGGGACGCGCAGCTATAGTAGACTTGCCTAGCTGGGCACCGGGTCCTGTCCGCTTCGCCGGACCATTGGTGGCAGTAGCAGTCTTGGGGTTTGCGGTTACAAGCATTCGCTTTGCGGGCTGGGCACTGCCATCACCCTCGCGAGGCCGTTTGGAGCCAGCTACTTCAGTCTTGAAGCCATTCACCGAGGCAGAGTCCATGGGACTCTTCATGGGCGAATTCTCTTTAGAAGAAGACTTTCCATTGCTCTGCTTCCGCTTTGTAGAAGCCGCCGCATTGTTCAAGATCTTCTGAGAAAGCTCTTTGACTTGCCCACCTTTCTTCACAAGTTTTGTCACTACTTTGGTATTATTTGTCTTCTGGAGCAACTCTTCATCCACAGTTACGAAGCGCGCAAGGAGCTGACATAGACGTGTGAGCTAAATCGGGCAGATGGCAAAAATAAGGACGTACCCTCAGAAGGTTCAGAGTCAATGTGCCTTCGAAATCGGCCGCCTGGAAGCGGTCCGCAAGAAACGAGTTGATCTGCGCCATGATCCTTGGATGTTCTCCCAACCTGTACAGATCACGGGCAATTAGCATCTTAAAGAAGGAATCTGAAGGTCAGACACTGCATACTTCTCGACAACCGTAGGGTGTCCCATCTCCAGCGCCGTGCTCACGATCTTATCCATCGTATTCCGTTGGGAGACGACCTCATGCTTGAGCATTGTGGCCGTGACGTTGTCACCTTTGTTTTCGGCAACATTCATCGCTTGAACTTTCTGTTTCCATGTATCTCGGACCACCTGCGTGATTTGTTGGAATCCAGTTAATGCACTCTTGACTTTATCCACGCTCGCTCGCTTGTTCCGTGGGGACCACACTATTTGAAGCGTGTCATATTCAGCCGCGGCAAAGGGCTCGGTCGGTCGGATGGGAGGGATTGGGGATGGCTCGGGAGGGGCTTCAATCTCAAGTTCGGAATCGTCAGAGCTGCCGGTAGATGACCCTGGAGACGAAGACTTGGATGGCTTTTTGGTGGCTGCCTTAGCGGCTGCCTTGGTGCCAGCCTTCTTCGCCGGGGGTTTTCCTTTGGCAACAGTCTTCTTGACCGGGATCACAACCTGTGGGTAGGGGACTTTGTGTCCTTCTGAGGTCAGCAAACACAAGGTGGAAAAGTATAGGCTCGTTGAGAACACACCTGGCTGGACTGACGGTCCCTGGCCGCCCGATTGATGCACAGCGGGTGGTTGTGGTGGTTGAAGCGAAATCTCGTTTTGGAAATAATTAAAATTGAGTCTAGTACGAACAAGTAAGCCTGTGTCCTTCTTATAGATGTATAACCATCCATACTTTCCACTGTCTGCCCGTTCAAACTCGGAGGGGTTTACGTAGAGGAAGCTGTTGGACGCAGTTTGATACTGCTGGGTCGGGGCTTGAAGTCCAGAGTTCAGGAATTGAGGGTTGATGGTGTTGTGTTGGGGGACGCGTTGTTCGGGGTCCGCGTAGTCGCCAGCGGTCAGGTCAATCGTGTTGTTCTACTGCCAGTCAGCCACGATCATTCTCCATGTCCAGGATCCACCTACCAGCAAGCCATTATGAAACCCCGGGTAGTTCGGTTGAATAGGCCGATACCCCGCGGGCCGTTGTGGTGGTAGTTGTTGCGGAGCAGCTTGCTGCGGAAACGATTCTTGAGCCGAAAGGTGTTGCGGGAGGTAGGTATGTTGGAACGAGTAGGATGGAAAGGCAGAGGATTCGGAAGGTGTCAGGGGGCGGGAGTCATATGACATCGAGCCCTGTTGGTATTGAGGATCTTGGGAAGGTGGGTGGTACTGCGCTGCGTAGCCTCTGGATTCGGGGTTCTGGTGCAGTGGATTCGGCTGCCATGACTGTGGGATGGCAGGGTAGATGCCATGATTTTGGTCAGACAGCTGGCTAACCCGCTGCTGCTGGAATATCGGGCTATCCCAGCTCATCCCCAATGGCTCTTGCTGGGATTGGGGTAGTTTCTGGGATTGAGGTGGTTGGTCGGCAAAGATGGGGTCCAGTACTGCCGGCCAGTAATCTGAGGGTAGGGATCCCTGTGGACCAGGAGCAGCCACATTGGGCATACCTGGTATGGGGTTCTGTGTCGTGGACTGCTCCATGATGAGCTCGCAGCTTCTTTTTTCCCACTGGAGAAAGAAGTATGGCGGTCACGTGAGAGATGCTCCGGCTGCTTTCACCGCCTTGCTGGAGTGGAGCAGCGGGTGCACGCTGATTGGCTGGTGGATTCCTCAGGAAACAAAAAGGGTTGGGCGAAGGGACGGAACAGGATTTGGGTTGGAAGGAGTGCGCTTGGGATCCCCTTGGGCGGTGGTGATCTCACACACAGTAATAATAATGGTGCAAGGTACCCTGCTGGCAATCCCCACCACTGCACAAAAACGATATCTTCGGATTTTGGCCCCCTATTTCCTCAGTGTTGCCTGGCCTGACTTATGATGATGGCCGGGGGCACACCCGTATTGCAGACACCACCAGAGTATGTATAGGTACTGAGGTCCAAGCCTGATGTCCACTTGTCCTTGATATTTGAATCTGTTTCGGGGTCACTGGCTGGGGACCAGTGCCGCTGCAGATTGTATTCCCCCCTTTTCAGCGCTTAAAAAGCCTGCCTGAAGATCCTGGAGGGAAACAAACAAGAGCAGGCACTCATACAACAAGCCCCTCTAGAGCCATAGCTCATTCGCTTTACGAAGAAAAGGTGTGGACGGGACAGCAGTGTAGTAGGGAAGGGGAAGGGGATGAGGATGCAGGGGTTGGGGGTGGTGGTGGATGGGGGAGATGAAGAAGAGAGAAAGAGTTGAAGTGACAACGGGACAAACGAGACGGAGCGCAGACATGATTGGGCGCAGAGCATGTGACGGGTTCCTTTCGGCGGTGGTGGGCGGACTTAGTCAGCGCCCGCCCACCGCCCGCCCAGCAGAGACACCTAGACCGAGAGCTGTCAACAGAGCAGACCTATCTCCTGCGTCGGGTTTCTTTATCTATTGAGGTCTCAGTTGCCGGCAATTGATTCTCTATGCTGTGAAGCTCAGCTGAACTCTGCCACGTCATCTGCCCTCCCGGTGCCCACTGCTGCCATGGCATCGTCGCATCCAATGTCCCTGCGGGACCGACAAGTCGGTAAGTGGACGACGCTCCTGGGTCTTCGAAGGGAGCGACCATTGACAGTGTTACAGTCTCCATTCAAAAACTCCTCAACTTGAATCATGACCCCCGTCCGGCTGATGAGTCGGCGCTGGACTCGTCCGCGCACGGCGGCCTGATCTCCCACTCCACCCCGATCTTGAATGAAGACGGGGATCCAATCTGGAAAGTCCTGGTCTTTGACAACTTAGGCCGCGATGTCATCAGCAGTGTGCTGCGCGTCAACGACCTCCGGGCATGGGGGATCACTATTCATCTGTACGGCGACTCTCCCCTCGGGGTGTGTGATCATACTGACTGATCCCCTCCCAGAAACATCAACTCGCAACGATATCCTATACCCGACGTCCCCGTGGTCTACCTGGTTGAGCCGACGCCGGAGAACATCCAGGCGGTCGCACATGACCTGTCGCATGGCCTCTACTCCCCGGCCTACGTTAACTTCTTATCCTCCGTTCCACGGCCACTTCTCGAGGACTTCGCCTCCCAAATAGCTACCTCTGGCGCATCCGATCACATTGCGCAGGTCTTTGATCAATATCTCAACTTCATTGTGGCCGAGCCGGATCTGTTTAGCTTGGGACTGGGCAAGGATGCATACTGGAAGATCAATAGCCCCAAGACAAGCGACGAAGATCTGGACGCAATCGTCGATAAGGTCGTGAGTGGGTTGTTCAGCGTGAGCGTCACAATGGGTATGTTGGAAGACTCTTTGAAACGAAGTGCTTGACTAATGAACTAGGTACTATCCCCATCATCCGATGCCCGAAAGGTGGTGCGGCGGAATTGATCGCTACAAAACTGGACCGGAAACTGCGTGATCATATCCTCAACTCCAAAGACAATCTGTTCTCTGGCGGTCAAAAAGCCCTGCCAGGAGTGCCTTCAACCCGGCCAGTTCTCATCATTATGGACCGCAACGTCGATCTGGTTCCGATGCTGTCGCATTCCTGGACGTACCAGTCGTTGGTGCAGGATGTTCTTGAAATGCGGTTGAACCGGATCACTCTGGATGCAGATGAGGGGGGAAGAAGTCATATGATGTCAACAGCAACGACTTCTTCTGGCAACGCAATGCCGGGGCTCCCTTCCCCCAAGTGGCGGAGGACATCGATACCGAGTTGACACGCTATAAGGAGGACGCGAACGAGATCACGAAGAAGACAGGCGCTTCTTCGATCGAGGATCTCCAAAACGATACCAGCGCATCTGCACAGCACCTCAAGGCCGCTATCACTCTACTGCCCGAACTGCGGGAGCGCAAGGCTGTCCTCGACATGCACATGAATATCGCGACCGCTCTTCTCAAGGGTATCAAGGATCGGCAGCTTGATAACTTCTTTGAGCTGGAGGAAAGCATCACCAAGCAATCCAAGTCACAGCTTTTGGAGTTGATCAATGACCCCGCTAAAGGCAACAACCCGACGGACAAGCTCCGCCTGTTTATCATCTGGTTCCTCAGCACCGAGACCGAGCTGAATCGCACAGAGATGTCACAGTTCGAGGAGGCGCTCACCAAAGCCGGTGTTTCGGACATCAGCTCTCTTGCGTACGTGCGACAGGTCCGTGAGATCACTCGTATGACGATGATGACCACCTCGGCGCCACAGCAGCAGTCTTCTGATTTGTTCCGCGGGTTTTCTTCGCTCTCAAACCGCCTTACGGACCGCATCACTTCCGGCGCCCTGGGGGCCAATTTTGATTCGCTTATCTCCGGTGTGAAGAACTTCCTGCCCGCCAACAAGGACCTGACGGTGACCAAGATCACCGAATCAATCATGGACCCGGCCGCGGCATCTAGCTCCGCCATCGCCAAGACAGAAAACTACCTCTACTTCGATCCCCGGAGCGCCAACGCGCGCGGCGCCATGCCCCCTGCCTCTGCGTCGCGCAATGCTCAGGCTCCCGGTGCGATGGGTGGGTCGGGCCCCGGTACTGGGGCCAGCTTCGGCCAGCGTCGCCAGGCGTTCAGTGAGGCTATTGTGTTTACGGTCGGTGGTGGAAGCATGGATGAGTATGGTAATCTGCAGGACTGGGTGCGGCGAACCAGCGGCCAAGCAGGGCAGGAGGGTGCAACATCCACCCAGCGTGCAGGGGGCGCCCCCGGAACGCGCCGGCGGGTGGTCTACGGCAGTACGGACCTGCTGAATGCCAGCGAGTTCTTGTCGGATTCCTTGGCCGCGCTGGGCCGGGAGAGCTGAATTGCTAGAGGAAGGTAGCTGTAAAACATACCTATAATGCAAAACCTTGATATGTCTAGAACTTGTGGGAATTTTTGAATTCAACGTAATTCTTGGGGCTCGATTTGCGGGCATTGGCCTTTCTTCCCCTTCTCTCGGAGACCTTGGGCTCTGCTGGGCTCCACGGTGGTGGCATCGAAGAGTCTTGAAGAGTACTCGCAACATCATCCGCCTCCCGCGGCGATGGCCTGGAACCGCATGCCTTGAACACATCGAGGAATCACAGCGCAACCCAGAAAAAGGGACCCCCCGCCTCTCGGTTCCATTCCAACCATCGATGTTGCCTCGCAGGCGACTTCTCCGCTACTCGCCGCGGGGCTGATGTCAGGACGGGATCATCTTTCTGACTCGCCCACGCCACAAGATGAAACAAGTCTATATAAGAGTCCGGGAAAAAATGGAAAATGAAAGAGATCAGATCTAGATCAGATTCTGTGGGACAGATACAAGTTCAGTTCAAACTGGGCCGCCGTCGCCAAAAATTCCAAGACAACAATCATCTCCTATTCCTCTTCGCCGCTTCAGAGGAAGCTGAAGAACAAACCATCAAAATGGCCAGCCACTACCACGATAACACCTACGGCACGACCTACGACACCACGGGGACCACGTACGACACAACTGGGTACGGGACCACCGGCTACGGCACGACCTATGACACGGGCTATGGCGCTACGGCGTACGACCCCAGCACCGGCGCCTACGACCAGCACCTCGACTACCGCACGGACGGCTCGCAGCGACATCATCGCGAGCGTGTCGATCCCAGCGGCATATACCGCCACCGCGACGTCGACCGCCGTGACGACGGCAGCTCACGTGTGCATCGTGAATACGACAATCCCAATACTGGAACCAGCTACCACCGTGACTATGAGAGGTAGACCGGATTCGGGAGATTGATCCAGGCTTGTGTATAGGATGGGGGCGTGTATGATATGGGACAGGTGGGTATATATGGCTTGGTATGTATATATGATGAGCTTACGCTTTGTATAATTCGACAAAAGAAAAAACAACAAAACGGATCAGAAAAAAAGCAGAAAAGAGAAAAAGAGCAAAAAAAATGTTTTTATTTCACAATGTCAATATGAAGAAAAATCAGATTTGTGTTTAGCCTTGTTGTTTTAGCGAGCCACATTAGGGACAAATATCACGATCGTTATGCCAACCTTCTAGTTCGTGATAGGACATTATGGTGGGGGCAGCTGTGCATTTAAGCTTATTTGGTTCTTGGCTTCGCTTGGCGAAGACCTGAAACCTGTGAAGTGGTAACTTAGATGAGTGAGTTAATACTCGTGTGATATTGAGATTATAATCTTCTATCTAGTTCATCTGTTCATTCGTCATCTATCTGTCGTGACACGTATATAGCACCAAAGATATGCAACATGATGGTTCATTGTGACCGGAGAGCAGTGCGCAGTTTGTGAGATAGAGCATGAATCTCTACATTTCAATTCTCCTAGATACCCTCTATGTATTAGATAGCACCGATTCGATTAGTATCGGTCCCATGAACTACTCTATGTTGTGATCATGCAATTCTACCTGAACAACACATGTAGTGAGTAGTGAGGCCTATTCAACAGCCCTGAATGCGGTAATATGGTAGACTCTCCAGCAGAAGATTGACACTATTAAACCTGGTGAGGAAAATATCATAATTCTTACATTCATTTTACGTATACGTGGTCAGGCATCAGTGATGCCTCAGGCACAAACAAGGCTGACTCCGCATGCTGTTAGTCGTCGGCATCTCAACTTTGTCCCGCATTCCACCCAGCTCTGTATGCCGGGCGGACCTCGCTCTCTCTCTCATATCGCCCTCGTCATTCTCCTCGTCATTCTCATGTCCCCGTAATCATGTCACGGAGGACGTTGGGAGGAGGGCGTGTACTGGGTACTCCGAATACTCTCGCAGCAGCAGCAGCTCCAGCCCCGCCGAAGCAACGAGTGCTATCGCCGACCGCCAGCAGCGTCTCCCTCAGTTCTCAAACATCTGCATCTCAGTTCTCCTCCGAAGCGCAGGATCTGACCTCGCGCATCTCTCTGGAAAATGGCGACACCTCCATCTCTGCGGCACCGGCTGCGCCCGGAGCTCAACTCTCCTGTCCGATTTGCAGCGAGGAAATGGTATGCCTCTTCCTCTCTGTGCATGCCTGACCATACTAACTGTTTGCAGGTAACTCTACTTCAGCTAAATAGGTACCTACCCATTGATCGTTAACCTCCCCTTTTCAGCCCCGTGACACTGCTGTTGACGCCTAACCTAGGCATCTCGACGACATCCACCAGAATCTAGAAGACGATCGGCAAGATGAAGTCAAGGACTGGTTCAAAGTGCAGATGGAGAAGGCGAGACGGTTTCAGCCTCTTGCCGTCCTAAACCAAAAACTCAAAGGCTTGGATGTGTTTGAATCCAACGAGAATCAGCAGTCCGTCTCTGTTTCAAGTCGCCCCCTCGTACCCCAGTCGACCTCACCCGAACCACCGACATTACTTGACCCTGCAGACCTTATTACGAAGGAACACTGGCAAGTCGGCGCTCTCTATGACGTCTGTCTGGAGCCATCATGTGGGAAACGGCTGAATGGTACCAACGGGTGCGTGAACTGCCGACAGTGCGGGAAGCTCTTTTGCGAGGAACATACAATGTACCAAATGAAGCTCTCGCGATCGGCGCAGTATGAGCCAGTGAGAGGGATTTGGGCCAGAGTGTGCGAGACCTGCTACAAATCGCGGGAGGGATATAATGATCATAGCGGTGAGGATTCCTCAAATCTCTCTTTGTCTCTGGGAGACTAATGGAAAGTAGGAGCAACGCGAGACCGAACAAACGCGTTCAAGTCTATACGGAAACAGATCGTCGACAAGGATTTATTGGAAGTTTCTCGCCTGGAGAAACGGCTCACACGGCTAACCCAGCTATTGGCCGACCTACCCGCAGAGCAAATTCAGCCTGGTGCAACCAAGCTTTGGTCCATGTCGTGGCAGAGCGATCAACGAAAAGCTCTGGAGCAGACGATTGTCAGCTGGCAGGATGATGCGAGCGTCTCACGCTGTCCATTTTGCCAACAGGATTTCTCAAGCTATTCATTCCGGAGGCATCACTGCAGGACCTGCGGGCGGGTTGTTTGCGGTGATCCCAACACAAAGTGTTCCAGCGAAGTTGGGCTTAGTATTGCTGCTGGTAAGTTGAGCTTTCCGCCGCAGATACGTGGCAACTAACCACATTTAACAGTCACGGGGAAAGCCTCCACGGAAAAATCCAATTCCAGTTTGGTCGACACAGATGTCCGACTCTGCAAAGACTGCAAGGCAACCTTGTTCGATCGACGAGACTTCGAGGCGGATATCACGCGGAAGCCTCCAGAGATGAGGGCATACGAGAATTTGGTCCAGTTTGAGAGAGGCATCCGTCTACATCTTCCTAAATTTCAGAAACTCCTGACTGCTTTGCAGTAAGTTCATTATCTCTTCTCCACATGCTTTTGCTAACAGTGAACCCCTGTAGAGATCCAAAGCGGCCGCCTTCGTCTCAACAAATCGCAGATGCTTCCAAGGTCCGTAGGCGGCTCATGGACTCGTTTAACAAATACGATGTGGCCGCACGGCGGATCCGTGACATGCCCACTGAATCACCAACTCAGCAACGGCTGCAGAAGGCCATCTACCAGCAGGCCACCAACTTCCTTCATCTTCATATGTTACCTTTGAAATCCGTGCCGAAAGTTCTCAAGCACGCATCCACCACTGCAGACCGAATACCTAGCCGCACAGCTTCTCCTAACACTCCGACCAATGGCTCATCGGCCCCATCCCGGCCCCGAGAGTCAGCCCTCGCCTCAATCAAATACAACAGCGTTGCCACAAATGGTAGCAGCAGCAGTGTCACCAGCGATACCAGCAGTGCCGTTTCCGCTCTGGAAGCAGAGGAGAAGTCTCTTCGAGACCGGCTGATCGTGCTCGAAGAACAAAAGTTCTTCGTGTCTGAAATGATCGCCGACGCCAACCGGAGGCGCAAGTTTGACGAGGTCAGCAGTCTGGCGGTGAATGTCGAGGACCTTAGCCGGGAGATTGACCGTGTCAATGGGATGCTGGCCAATCTCGACTTTGAAGGTGTCTACACCGCCAGCAACCTTCAAGCCAGCGCTTGATTTTTTTTTCTTTCTTTGCTATTCACAAACCCGCAAACTCATAGCGTTTCATTCACTCATTGTTTCCATTTTGCTCTCTGTCACTTGTTTCCCCTCACCTTACGACGATATGAGCATAGCATCAGGCGTTGAGGGTTGTTTGGGTATATACTGAATGGCTTTGGCTATTTTTTCCATCCCATCATTTATCTATCATTTATCCAATCAATGTCCACTTTCTAAGTTAAAAACCAAAGAGCGAAACCAGGTCCTAGCTATTCTTTTTATCTCATCATCGGAATGCAAAAGAAGATGCCAAAAAAAATGTCTCAAGATGTTCTTAGGAATAGCCGAACGCGGGGGTCGAACCCGCAGCCTTGAGATTAAGAGTCTCACGCTCTACCGATTGAGCTAGCCCGGCAGGGCTTGAAGAGCGTTGAGAAACATGGTTTCATTAGAGAGAACCCGAATTTTTCCATTATCCAGAACAACTAGTCCATTCTAGGCCTAGCTCGATATTACTAGTTTGTAGTTCATCAACAACTACACAGCAACCTCACACTACTCATTGAGCACTAAGAATCCAAGGATAATATACGACACGTCAGGCACATAGATGATACATAAATCAGGGGCTCAATATAATTATCCATGTATATACCTATACGGGACCCCGGATCCAACGCACGAAGCAGACTACATTTTAGGAGCTATCCTCCGAAACATAAAACGTCTTCTGAATATTGACGCCATGGAAGAACGTGCCTGACTCTTTCGGATTCAAATCCTCCTGGCTACTCGTGCGACTATCCTTTGTGGCAGTGTGCACGGTCGTGGTGAGATGCGAATCCTCCGGGTCGAGGTCCGGTCTCCAGTACCGTGGGCCTTTGGGGTCTGTCGAGCGGGACGCATTCACACTGGAGAGGGGCATGCTCCCTCCTGTGTGCTTCGTCCGCGTACCCTTGCTACTGGGGTCGCGAAACCAGCGGAATAGAGGGCGTAGGGTCACCAGGCTGCCTGCCGCGATGCCCAGGCTGGCCTCGACATTGGACCAGATCGAGATGTTGGCAGTTGCATCTAGTGGGCGGGATCGAGTCAGTTTCGTGAGGCATGGAAAGATAGGTCGAGAGTTGGACTCACATAAGAAGTCGGGGTTTTTGTAATCGTGCAAGTATGGAATGCGGATGATGACGGCTGCGCTTGCACTGTAAAGAAAGTCAGAAGAGAGCTGGCAGAAAGCGAGGGGTACACATACACACAACCCATGCCCAGAATACAAGCCAGCGCCACCTTGGTCTGAGTAACCATCTGCAAGTTCCAGACCAGAAACATAGGCAACAATCCCAGTGCAAGATCACAGCACACGGCCGTGACGCTATAAACGTAGGCGACAGCAATGACAATATTAATGTTCATGCACGAGCCATGGATGTCGGCCATCGGGTCGACCTTGAGCAGGATGCGGTGCCAGAAGTACGAGACCGGTTGGCACTGGAGGGTCAGGACGAAGAAGAAGATCACCCCAACGATGGCGGTCACACCGATGACTGTGTACAGGATGATATTATGGATCCGGCGAACGGTCAAGCGGAGTAGAGCCACGGCGATCGAGCTCTTTGCGATGGCGCAGACCCAGACGTAGCTGGTTTGGCCGAGCCACCACCACTGGGAGTGACATTAGGTATCTTCCGCGAGAAAAGGTGGAAAAGGGAATCAACATACAAACATGGCAGTTTCGGCCGTTCCTTTCATCAGAAGAGGCTCTGTCCTCTGTCCGATACCATACAATGCACCCGTGATACCACAGAGCGCGAACAGGATGTTCAGCATCATGGCAAAGACCATCAACGCATCATCCCACCCGAAGGCCTTGACGAGGCGGAGGCGGACGAAGCATCGTAGACAAACCGTAATGAACGAGATGCCGAGGAAAATCGTCGTGACGATGAAGATCGTCGTGCTGCGGCCTTCCAATTGCTGCATGTTGAATGGTGTTCACTTGCGATTCATGGCACACCAATTCACCTAGTCTCTTAGAACTCTCGGAACTGGTTCAGCGAAGGGAAGAGGGATTCAACAGGCGACACCAGGCGCGCGCCGTTGAGCTGAGATGACAAGAAGGAAGGAAAAGAGAGGGAAAAAACCTAAAAGAAATGAAAACCCGCTAGTAACGGCCAAGCATAACCCTCGCCGCCGTCTGTGGCAAGCGAAAGCAACGCGGCTGACCTGGGTGGGGGGTTTTCAAGCGGCGCTGGCCGAGGGGCGGGTGCCTGAACTCCTGTAGAGAGAAACCTAGTGTCCAAGTTTGGTAAGTGAACTCGTCCGTAGTGGGGGGCAGCAGTCGCAGTGGATCGAATTCTCGAGCAAAGCCGCGAGTTTGGTGGAGATCTCGGTAGTGGACGGTCCATTCATGCAGTACATCAAGATGGCGCCCCGACTCCTACGTTATGTTTATCTACTGGGATTGTCATTCACCAGGCAGTTATCCATGTGAGGGTTGGCAGACTGTGGAGAGAGCAGTCCAGAAAACATCCCCGAGGAACACGGTATTTGCCTACCATGTGGGAGCGCCACCGTTCCATGGAAAGGCCTGCAGAACGGGGGGTCTTTGGGAGTCCGCGGCACCAGTTCATCTGATTCGGTGGACGCGGTTCCACATGGCTGGGCTTTGAGGCTTGATCTAGCCAGATTCAGGGCAAGACCGTTTGGTATTTTGTCTTGCAGGTGATCCCCCCGTGAAAAGGGGTTCGTGGGTAAAAGGAACCGCTAGTCGGTCCTGTGGCACCGTAGATTTTACCAAGATCGGTATGAACCGAACGGCGGATCAACAAGGTCGGCTCACCGATGCCTCCCCAACCAGGGATGATCGGCGATGTCGGAAATGACAGCTAGTCAGGCACAAAGCGAAAAGGCCAACAGGTCTTGCCTAGAAGAAGCTAAATCCATGGATCCTATCCTGGATCTCAAAATGAGAAGATCGGGGAGACCGCTCCAGCCATGGATGCTAGCGTGTCTTGTACCCCTGTCTAATACGTCTTGGCGATACTTTGTGTGGAGCGAGTTTCAGGGCACCATCGCCATTTGTGTTGGATTTGGCGCAAGCCCAAAACGATCTTCCAGAGAAACGGGGCGCGCCTATCATGCCAATTGGGAATTCATGAAGTGCCTGTGTATTCACACCCCAAACGGAGTCAACCTCCACAGCTTCCGTTCGATTTCCCACTCCTTTTCATACGCACGAGTGGACATCTTGAAGAAGCCCGTTACGTTCCCAACTGCCGTTCCATCCGAATAGAGGAGATCAGACGGTGCTTCGGGATGAAAGTGTTCAGAATATACTTCAAAACAGATGTCAGTACTACTCTGCGTGTAGGATGTAGCCACCCGGTACTTGATGTTAAGAGCCCATCGGGACGTAGGCGCTGGGATGGAGGCTTGTCTGCGCTCGTTCAAACAGGATTGAGCTTTATTCTTCCATCCAGCACCGAATAACCACCCAGAGCTACTTCTAGCACTGCGCTGGAGGTTAGCTCCTCGGCGAATCTCTCCCCCACTGAACACCGCATCTGGGTGAACCCAATGGGTGACATAAAGCATGGCGTTCCAGTCATCCACCTAGCGGTAAAGCTTGGCGTTTGGACTTCCCCGGTCTACTTGCAGTTTAGGGCTACGCTTGACTGATAAGACTCCAAATCCTTGCATTCGCTCTACCAACACACGCTCGCAGATGAGACCAGATGGAATATGTACAGATCACCACCGTTCACAGGCACTGCTTTACTTCCACTGTGCGTCCTTGCGCGCTTGGAAGGTCTTGAGGATCGCCACCACCTTCTCCAGGGCCTGGACTTCACGGTTCATGGCCGTTGCGATCTTGGCTTGGTCGTCGCCCATCTTGGCATAGAAATCTTTCCGGTAGGGCGTGGCAGACATGGCTGCGCTGAAGATGGGCTTGATCACGAAGGAGTGGTGGGGCTTGAGGGTGCCGCCGTAGGCCTCGCGGAAGGAGTTGGACAGCTCCACCGCGGAGTTGTCCAAGTTGTGACGGAGGGCTTGGGCCGTGAAGTCGAGGCCGCTATGTAATCCAGTCAGTGGAGGGGTTCGGGATGAATGGAAACATCAGAGCATACCGGACCAGCCACAGCAGACCTTCGGTGGCGGTATGCTTGCCCGCCTTCAATTCGTTCAAAACAAGAGCCTGCAGAGTCTCTGACTCGGCGGGGGCTGCCAGTTGCCTCTCACGGACTTTCTGTATTTTGGGGTTAGAGGTCGATGCGGGGGTTGGAGGGGGTGAGGGGCAGCGCACCTTGATGTTGCCCAGCAGGTCATTCTTGACGGGCAGGAAGGCCTTGGAGCCGAGCAGGTCTAGAATGGATTGGTTAGAGGGGACAATTGGTCCATTGACCCCATTATCTTCTGTGAGCACTCACCAAAAAGAGTGGTCAGGGACTCGGCGGCCTCGAGGAACTCGGTGGTGGAGATGCCATCGTCATTGGCGGCATCAATGGGCACGTCCGCAAAGGACTTCTTGATGGTGTCGAACCAGGTTCCACCGGGAGGAATGGCAGCAGACATGGTGGGTAATAATATGGGTGGTACTCAAGGGAGGGAGGAAAGAAGACAACAACCAGAGTGACCCTGGCCACGCACGCAGGACAAACAGAGCAAACAAACAAACAGCGCAAACAGCACCGCCCCGTCTTCAATGACGTCATTGGGCGGTGCTGGCTCACGATCCGATCGCGAGGACCGCATGGAAGCTTGCTTTCGTTACCGACCCTGAGACCCTGAAAACATCCACTGTCCGTCGATGTATAGCTCATAGCTATCTCCAGTCCTCCGGTGTGCTCTGATCAGTGCGATGAGCACTCCACCTGCCTCCACTGATCAATCCAATGCGGATCCTCGCACGCCATACCACGAGCACTACCATGGCCTGCCAGAGGGGTCCTATACGGACCAGAAGCTGGTACGTTCTACAATCTGCCCCGGAGACAAGTACTGACTTCCCCAGCGTCATGGCTCTGCCCGCCATCTGCACATGACCAGCCGCCGCTACTTCATCGGCCCAATACCAGAGGGCTGGCTGCAGGGCCACCGCAAATCCTGGTATCGAAGACGGCTTCGCTTCAGGAATTACACCTCGCAAACTCTCTCCTTCTCCGCGGACCCGGTCGCATCCTATTACCGCCAGCAACCCAGCCAGGACCATGAGACAGAGCAAGAGTCCGTCCCACCAGTGGAGGAGGAGATCGCTTTGACTCTCACAGATACAAGCGAAGGTGCACAGGAAGAGGCCGAAGCTGCAGAACAAGAAGAAGAAGAGGAGGAGGAGGAGCCATCGGGCGAGATGCGGGTACTCTCTCATCCAACCACGGAGGCAGAAAATGTTGACCCTCTGCCGGACCCGGAGGAAGAAGATTCAGACAGCACGCCGAAGGCTAGTACAAAGGGGCGGAGCAGTGTATACGGCAATACTATGGCATCTTCGTCATATGTCACCGCCAGAGAAGAAACGGCCAGTCTGTCAAGTACGGCAGACACGGGCCAGACATCATCGACCGTCAAAGGAACGAGTCCCGGCCAACCGGTCGAGTCATCACAGTATTTGGATACAAGCGGACCCAGTGAGACCGACGGGCTAAGCCGCAAGCTTTCTCCAACCACATCTCCAAGCGATGCCGATTCAACGACACGTCTGCTGAAATCAAAGTCCAAGGGCAAAAGCAAGATCAAGAGCAAAGCGTCTCGCATGACCTTGGAGCAACAAGAGCCTCAGCAGGAAGGAGATGAAGAGGCTACCAACGGGAACAATAATATCCAGCACAGATTCGCTAAAAAGGTGACGCGATTCAATCTCGATGATAACATCATCGACAAGCAGCAACGATTGCGCTCTCGCATTGCAAGGACCCAAGACGCGATGTCTGCTACGTTGCCTCGTCGGCGAAAAGTTCAGGACGGACAGATCATCAAAGCCGAAAAGATGCTCGTGCGCATCGAGGAGACGTTGCACGAAGAGCTGCCTGCCGACTACAACGAGAACGACAGTCTTCGGATGGAAACTCGGGCTGTGGACAAGTGGCGCGAATTTCTGGTTGTGTGTCGCAAAAGCTCGTTGGAGCACACTCCGTTTGTCTTGCAGATGTATCGCACCCGCGTGGTTCCCGACATCCACCGGGCGAATAGCAAGACAACGGCTTACTACGAGCTGCGCCTCAACCACAAGCAGACCAAGGTTAATCTCTACTCAACTCTTGACAAGACGATTGTGGTGTGGCATCCCCGACGGCAGGGCACCAAAATCTACATTATTCGCCCCAAATCGACTGCCCATGCTGCCGAGTGGTACACGTTCATTCGCCAGGTGCTCGGCTGGCGGCGACCGAAATCGCTTCCCATTAATGTTCCTGAGCTTGGGGTATCACTGGTCTTTAAGCATCCGTTTGAGCAGCTTGAGACAACTGATGATAACGGACACCACACTGCCATTCTCCAAGGATCCGCCTCGGACGAGCAATTCGCTGCTGCCACTATCATCCGAGGTTGCATCCAGATGCTTGAGGGTCGTCCCGAGTGGGCAGAGGTGTTGAAGAGCTGGTCCAAGACTGAGAAGATGGGACTTGCCTGGAAGCGCTACGACCGACTCGAATGGATTTTTGGGGTGAACGAGCAAAGGATGTACGGGACAATCGCGATGCAGTCCTCGCATGAGCTTGAGCTTCGGCCACGACACCATTATCCGACAGTCGTAAAGCATTGGGGACGAAGGGATGAAGAGCCATTGCCGGTCGAAGGGTTCTTGGTCAGGCTCACATCCCAGAAAGGCGTGCATCAGCGGGCGAACAAGATGTTCTTCAAACGGCTCTACTTTTTCACACAAGATCATTACTTTTTGTTTTGCCGACCAGCAAAAGCGCACCCACCTGCGCCGCCGAAATTGGTGGAGGAAGACTCGGGCGTTCTCCCGTCTGCCCGACAGATCCTGGACGAAATGCCGCAGTCATGGGATATTGACCCGTACCCCGTTGAGAACGAGGATATTGCATGGCTATCTAGTGGAAACCCCGAGTTTGTCCAGCGGCACGACGAAGAGGCCTATGCTCAAATGCAACGGAATGTACACAATATCGGCCACGCAGACGGATACATTGATCTGTGTCGGGTCCAAGAAGTACGCCATGTACATCGTGGAGCTAGTCCTGCGGATCCCAACACTGGCGCAGGCCCTGCTGTGGAGTTTGATCGCGAGGCACCCGATTCGCGACAGGATGATGGTGCAACGAGACAGTTTGATGATGATAGGACATTTGAAATGGCGTTGGATAATGGCTTGGTGGTTCGGTTACAGGCCCACGACAGTGCTTCTCGAGACCAGTGGGTTCAGCGACTCGGTGCACTGGTAACGTACTGGAGGTCGCGCAGCGCCCATGACGCAGCAGAGCTCAAAGGGGTGCGAGAGCGCAATCTCAAGCTTCTAGATATCGATGAGGAGATGGAGTCAATTCTCGGGCAGTTTGCACAGAAGTGGGAAGTGAAGAACGCAGAGGCGTCACCGCACACGCATAACATGTGTGCGCTATCTGGTTGTCGGACAATCAAGGTGAGCTTTCTCACGTTTATATTCTGACAACTATACTGACCCCTGAGTAGATGTCCGGACAACTATACCGCAAGCCCCGTCGACACGGCGCCTTTAATCGCTGCCATGTCATGCTAACGGAGGGCCAACTACTCATCTTCCGAAGCACGCTGCGCCGCGGCAACGGCGTCGAGATCCCGCACATCCACCAAGAACTCGAGACCAGCATCGACCTGCGCGATTGCTACATCTACTCCGGCCTCCTCGCGGAGGATGACTTGCTGTACGCGAACCAAACCTTCGACAGTAACAACCCCGGTCTTCATGCCCTACCACGGGTCTATCTATCTACAGATCGCTTCACCAGCCGCGACGAGGATACATCCATCACCTTCGTAGTATGGAAACCACTGAAGAGGAACTACTTCCGCGCGCAGGAGAAACTACTGGGCGGCGAGACGAAGAGCGAACTCCGGCACGTCTCGACATTGGGCAAGCACGGCCGCACGATCGTGTTCAAGGCGCGAAGTCGCATTGAGAAGGATCGCTGGGTTCTGAGCATTGCTTCGGAGATTGATCGTCTCCAGGAAGAGAAACATGAAGATATACGCATTGTTTCTAAGTAATTTTTTGGGGGATAGCATTACCATCCGGCGTTTGCTTTTGCTCTTTGTTTTTTTTTTTTTTCGGATGCATTCAAAATTAACAGATAATAATACATGATGATATCTATTCCTCGGGTCTAGGTATATGTACAATCCGATGGAAAAATCATCCCAGTGGCGGCCTCTCAATCTTCACAGCCTCCTTTCCAACCCTCCCCCTAACCTCCCACCGATAATTCTTCCCAAAAACATCATCCGGCTCCGCACCATCGACCCTTCCATCCTCCCACCCCTCCCAATCCAACCACCGCCGCCTATTCGAAGGCCCCAGGACGGCCATCACGCGACCAGTGATTAGACTGACGCTCACAGGGCCGTAGGTATTACTATCCAATGACTTGCGCGGATCAGCGGCGTCGCCTTCTAGCCAAACGTGGTTGAAGGGGACGATCTGGGAGAGTTTTGGACATGGTTCGCGTGTTGTGATCCTGTCGCCGGGGAGGCCGATTATGCGTTTGATGGCGATGTGGTTCTGGTTTGCGGGGGATCTAGCAACAAATGGTTCCCATTAGCATTCACACACGCAACATCCACGGCTATCCCATGGCAAAACGAGAAGGGGGCAATACCGAAATGTAACAACCATCCCCCGCTCAAGCCTCCTCGAAGTCTGCCCAGGCCAAATCTTCTCCCACGGCCACATATTCACAAGCACCATATCGCTCGCTGTATTCATCTCCTCATAATTCTCATTTAGATACGGCGTCATCGACGGCCCACGCACCCACATAACCTGGCAGACATGTTCAGAGAACCAGAGCGAGATGGGGAGGAGTGGCGCGAGCACCCGGGCTACGCGCATCGATCGGCGGATGGGATGTGGGAGGGCTGCGTAACGGGTGCGGAGGTTTGCGGTGAATTGGGAAGTGAATCTTGAGAGCCATGTTCGGCGAGATAGAGTGGGCCCTACGGGATCGGAGGCATGGTAGGGGGATGTTGTTGGGGGTTGTTCGGGGATGGTGCTGGCGGTGCTCGGTTTTTGATTTCGGGAGAGTGCTTTGGCGATGTCTGGGCGGAGGATTTTGTGGCCTGTTGATGTGTTTGGTGGTGGTTTGCTCATCTTGGTGGATAGAGCCTGGGTGTCAGGCTGAGATTGGAGGCTATGGTGTTTGGACTGGTGCTGGCATTGTGGTTGTAGGTGTATCTCGAGGTGTGAAGTGGAAGTTCCAAAGCAAATGGATCATCAACCCCGATATCAATGTTTGCATTGTTTGCATTAGTTTTATCAATGAATAAAAACAAAGACATGAACAGATCATAGCATTCATTATTTGTGAAGGAAATAAAAGATATTCGTAGCTACATGACATGCGATAACATCACCAGTCCTTTCCCAGGCGATTCTCCGTCTCACTCCCGTCGAGGATCCCGCTAGACTGGACGCTCTGCACGTCGCCCGCAGAAGGCGCCTTGTCGATCTCCACAGGCTCGTCGTCCAGCATCTCCACTGGCTCACCCTCTGACCGCTGAACCTCCTCCCAGTCATCTTCAAGCTTGGTGGTACCTGCATCAATCTTCGGCTTCTTAGCATCTGGCTGGCCGAAAGAAGCGGGGTCCGCAGTCGGCACGTCTGGGAGCCGGGCGGCGAGATCCGAGGGTGAGGGCGAAGCTGCGGACTCACTGGGTTCAGAGGGGGAGAGATCTTTGGCGGTGGGGGGAAGATTTTACTAGAAAAATTAGCAGGTGAGACAGGGGAAGTATAGGCACGGTGGGTACTTACGGGATCACTTCCTCGTAGGCATCCTCATCCTTGCGCTCGAAGTTGCAGAACACCACGCGCTCCAGCTTGCCCATGTTACCTGGCTTCTCAAGGAACCGGCGCACCTCGTCGGCAGCTGCCTGCGCGGCCTTGTCGCTCGGGTATCCATAGACGCCCGTGCTGATGGCTGCAAAGGCAATACTCTTCATGTCATTCTCGACCGCCACCTCGAGACTGCGACGGTAGCAACTGCGTAGCAGAGACTCGGGCCGCGAGGCATCGACCTTTTTCTCACGCTGGTAGACAGGCCCGACGGTGTGGATGACCCGTTTGCAGGGGAGATCGTAGGCATCCGTGATCTTGGCATCGCCGGTATCACACCCTTTCAGAGTGGCACACTCCTTGACCAGCTTTGTCCCAGCAGCACGGTGGATGGCACCATCCACGCCGCCGCCACCGAGCAGAGAGGTGTTGGCGGCATTGACGATGCAGTCAACCTGGAGCTTGGTGATGTCGTTGCGGATCAGCGAGACGATGTTGTTGAGGGTCTGCTGCGGTACAGTGGATGTAGCAGTCGGGACCAGTCTCTTTGTCTGATAGAGCAAGGAGGCGGTCGGGATTTCAGACAGTGAGATGGCCATGCTGCTCTTTTTGGGGGGTGTTTGGGAAGATGGGGGAGTTGAAGTCTCCGCACACGTGACGGGGATACATTGCGTCATTCGTTCCTTCACAGGAATCACCACCAACTATGGCAGACACTACCACGAACAACCAAAAAAGCTCATGTTTTGTATAGAATCAGTATAGTATTGGTTTTACTAATGGAGTGTTGACTATCTAGTCTCATCGCAGCTTGGAAATCTATAGATCGCAAATATATATTTTGGGCACATGTAACCCATCGAATTATGCAGCAGTTGACAAATTGTTGAGCACAGAGTTAGGCCCTAGCAAATACAACCAACTGCCGGGCACACGCTAGGGCTAACCGACAGATGTCTGTCATATTGGCTGCATCTGGCAAGCTGCATGTTCCATCAACATGGTCCCTGATCCTCCGGGGCTAAATCCCGCAGACACTCTACGCTTCCCGAACTTGCCACCGCTGGGTCTGCCTCGGCCGCACAGGTTCATCCATCCGTAGTATAGTGTTGCATTCGATTCTCTTCTCTTCAACTACTCTTCCTACCCTTCGGGGTCTACGTCTTTGGTCCATGATGATTAATATGACTGTGTTCCCGATAGTTAGTTCAAAATCGGGGATCCGGTGGAGTCCAATTATGGGGACTTGAGTGGACCCCTGACAGCCTGACAGCCAGTCTGACAGCCGTTGTGGTTGCTTTGATTGAAGATTGCCGATCCTTCGGCTGCTGTGCTGGCGCCGATCACAACATTCATCGGTCGCATTTTCGCTAGCTCGTCCCAGTCTCCTTCCCCTTGGAGCATCCTCCTTGGCCTTGATTGGCCCGTCAACAACCAATGGCCTCCGAACCTGTTCCTAGTTGACAGAAAACAGTCCGACGCCGTTGGTTGTGGTTGGCCCCCTTCCTCCTGCCGCTGCCCCACCACCCCTGGGATCGCACAGCGGATATCATGCCCAGTCCTGTTTATGCCATTTTTAGAGACTGGATCTCTCCACTCCAGAAAATTTGCTGAGGCTAGACCACTGGGTGCATGGCAGCTGTCATGTCCGGAAGACTAGGACACAAAAGTACCATGCAAAACAATGGGTTCTAGACTCGAGCACGAGCAGCTGTCAAACCCCCAAACGGGCCATGCGTGCAGCTGCGGCGTGCAGGAGACCAAAGCATATCCTGACATCTGGGCCAAATGCGAATCCCCAGCCCTAGACGGTCGGCTTCTACTTTTCATAAAATTGTGTCCTTTTTTCTTTTCGTGCAGCCAGCACAGCGACTGTTTGACTATCTACTGGCCCGGAAGACGAGCCAATTGACTTGTTCTGCGGGCTTAACCTGGCGAGAGCACATTCTAGACAATTCCACCTTTACTGGTTCCTCGTATAAACCGCAAGGCGATGAAATACCTTGCCAAAAGGTAACGGGCAAAGAACAAGCAGAAAACCGGCTTTCAACACTGACCCTGGACGCCATCGGTTCTGCTTGGAAAGAGCCAGACGGGCAATGAGCCGGGCCTCATTTAGTCCCAACCACAGCGGATAGCAGTTCCGATGCATTAGTTAGACCCGGCCGCTCCCTCAGCTGGACCGCAGCGCATGCAATCCATGCTAGCGAAGGAGCCAGATCGTGGGCGTGGTCTTTTCTCCGCACAGCCTCGATCGATCGCGCGCTGACTGGGCTTGGGATGCCTGGGGTCTGATGAGACTCATCATACGATGCGAGACACGCCAATTCGAAGACCGAGGGCCGTTCCCCCGGCCGAGAACAACGGGACGACCTAGAGCATACTCCTTACTGTTGTACTGTGTATTATTGCCCTCTCTTTCGCCCTCGCTTGATCCTGAATCGCTCCCGTCCTGCCGTCGTTTGTTTTCCCATCCCTGAACCACCGGGAGGGGCCAGCCCGGGTGGCCGGGCGCTTTCCATTCTACGCAGGAGGGGCGCTCTTGTCGGTTCTCTCTTTGCTTTGTGCCCTGGGCACTGTCCTACATCCGGCTCGTGCGGTAAACGGCCCCGCTTCAAGATCGTCTGTGTCTGCTTCTACTTCGAGTATTTCGTATTCCCGGAATCGTCATGTCTAGCCGAAGAGACAGGTCAGAGAAGTATCACAACGTCAATTCAAGTGTAATGTTCAAGGCACACGGGGATACCCGTTGATAGTCTGCTTCGTGGTTTGTTTGCCTTTCTGCTGCTGACACAGAACAACTACACGAATATGTCGCGAAAGAAAGAAAAAGAAAAAAAAAGCCAGAAAAAAGCATAGACCAGCTCGGTACCAAAAAATGCTCACTGTAGTTTTCTCCACGAACTACTGACTGTATGTCCATGCTCGAATGTAGTTAGTATGTCCCGCATACGGTGTTAGTCACGTTGATATGCCCGGAAACTTGGAAATCGGTGGGACAAGAGTAGCTTCGTCGAACGAGAAGCCGAAAAAGACTCCACAACGTCTATCCACCCCACCAGCGGATCGTAACTAGAGTCACTTCTTATTTCTCACGTGGTCGGCTTCCGGGGAGCCCTCTCCGAAGCGTTATACGTCCAGAGATGGGCGACACGAGTTACTGCGTTAAGAAGTAGATGGACAGAGAGGAAAATTGTTTTTTTCTGCTGGGATGTTCGTATTAAGCTTCAGCACGGATCAGATGCTGCGTTCCTGTTCGCACGGGTATTGGGAGATTTACTTTAATTTCCTTTTCGCTCAGATTGTTGTTTCAGATGGCCCGGAAAGGAAGCTAGGGAAGCTATCCCCCCTCCTCAATTTCGGGGATCAACAAACAGAGCTTTCTTCCTCTCGAGTCGAGTCAGATGCTGGAAAAGAGAGCTCTAGAACAAACTCCAAACCCTGAGGCCTAGCTTTCGCAATCTGCTGTTGCCCCAGTGGTGGTGGGTCTTGGTCGATGGAGCTCCTTTTTTTCCTTCGGGGTCCATGGCCCAAGTGGAGAATAATTGGCATCTGTACCAGGAGATTAACTGTTCGTTACAGTCGATATGCTCTATGCAGTCAATTCGATGTTAGTCTGTACTGTACCAGTGCGTCCATTCTTCGTGATTTACCGTTTTCTCCTCCCCGCCGATCGAGGCCCTAACTGTTCCTTCTAGTGGGTCAGCGAACGGTCCGACGTGTTACTACTGTATGTGCACCGTTTTGCCCCCTCCTCCTTCTCAGAGGAATCATCGTAGTGCCTGTGCAATCTTGTTGTCCCAAGCTGTCGGGGAGGGTGGTCCTCATCTCGTGGCTCGCCTACAGTCCTTGACCAGGCCGAAAAAACCCGCCGTTACCCCCCTTTGCCCGCTCGCCCCTCTCGTGCCTCGGGGAGAACGTGCAGAGATGCGGTTGGCATCACAGTCGCACTACTGGACGTACATCAACCAGCATCATCATCATCATCGTCCTTGCCACCCGTGGAGCCGATAAGGCGCGGCTTCACGTGTTGATGGCAGTGTGGCTAAGCCGAACCGCTGCCAATAGTTCCCCTCCGTCCGAACTAGTGCATAGCGTAGCCAAGAAAGGAAGAGGGCAAAAAAAAAAAATAGAAATAAAAAAAAACCTACTAGCAGATCTGACACCGAGATTATTTTACGATGAGGAGTTCGGCCCATCGTGGTATAGTACTGTTACCGTACGCTGGCCGACACTCGAATCGAGATTCGCGCCGTTAGGGCATGATTTCAGACTGACTTGGGGCGCAACCTGATTCAGGATCATTCCCCCTTTGGTCGAAATGCAGGACTTCCTTGGTTCCCAGCCTGTCAGAGTCGATATGAAGATAGTTATTCTTCCTTCCTTCCACTCCCCCTGTCTAGGAGTTAGCTCCAGCTGTCAACTTACTCCTTTGAGTCTAGAGATCGGAGAGATTACCCGGATGGCCCCCCCACCACTATGCACTCCCATGTCCTGTTTTCCCCCCAGGCCGGGCGAATGACACGAGTTCCCTGCCTGGAACGGTTAGGAAACGGGGAAAATGAGGGATCCCTCACCCATCGGGGTGGCGTTTGGGGAGGCGTCTACTCTCGGAGGTTTTACTCGAAGAATAAAGGACAGTGGGGATGCTCCCCTTGTCGGGGGTACTATTGATCGGGATTGCAGTGTATAGCGTTCCTGCGCGGCTGTCCCAGAGGAACGGTACTTTGTTTCGTTACCTCCGAATCTAACTATCGGGCCCCCCCCTTTCTGATCGGTCATCCAAGAACTGACTCCAGCCGCCAAAAGCGATCCGCGCACTAAGATTGGGATCGGATCTTAATCTCTTGCCGTGTTCGGACAAGCTCATGTCGCTCCTTTCCTTTGCGGTTAGGATTATCTGATCATCTTATTTAGCGATCCTAGCTCCGGGGCCCACCCTGGGCTTTGTCAGGCTCGAGTCATCCCTCATCAGCGGTGGCGGAGACCAGAAAACGGCTCTAACGGTCCCAGTCCACCGCTGTCGATCCCCTCTTCCTTCTGAGCAGACGAATCAGTCGAGGATCTTCATGAGAGTACAACCAATGCCAAGTCTTTTTTAATTGGCCTGCCATTTTGCACGGCATGATCCTGCAGGGCTGGTTGCCTGCTCCGTCAGGAGGCAACCATTGGGAGTGAAGACCAGCAGGGGTGGTGCTCCCTCCCCCCCGGATCTTGTATGACCCATCACTCCTCGTTGCGATTCGGATAGTCCAGATCGAAACGCCCGCGGCGGGGGAGGGAACCGCCATTGACGACTGTCATCGAGGCTGCACTCCTCCGACCGAAAAGTGACCTACCGTGCATACGCTAAGAAAATCTCGAGGACGCAGTGCAGCCGTGGCTGCATCGTCGAGCGATGGGGGGATGCAGATCGATTCTTCCCATCCGCAGGGTGGGATTTGAGGAGCCAATGATCCTGGCGTGGGAGAAATGCCGAAGATCTCGCTGGTCTGTCTTTTCTGATCTCCGACCGTTGAACCAGCGATGGGTCTGCGTCTGTGCGCGCCACAAGCGTGACCGTGTGATGGAGACGCTCTGCCGTGCGTGGGCGCTTGGACGGTGTTGAGAGGAAGGACACCAGCGCGATGGTACCGAACGGGATGCCTGGGAGGAGGAGGAAAGAGGAAGCAGGTGAGAGTAGGGTGCTTCGATCGATCGAAGCTTAACGCTTGTTGTGTTCTGACATGGTCCCCAGATCGAAGTAACCATGGAACGGCGGCCGGTCGCGGGCTGTGCAACCCCTAGCCCACAAACACACTGTCCCCCTTCACCCCGACCCAGAACGCCGTTCAGAGATCGGGGGACCACTCGGTCCTCCATGATGTCAGCCTGGGCGATGGGCGTCATGGGGCGCCACTGCTGTGGCAGAGCCAGTGCCCCTGGGTCGCGACAGGCACATCTCGAGGCCCTACGCACCATCGTACGAGGACAATACCTGTAGATCAGTTCGTACGGTAAAACGCCGTCAGGACGGAATACCGATCCTCCATCTCGATCCACCCGCGCCATCTGTAAAATAATAAAGTTCTTGTCCATTTACTATTATATTATCCCTCGTCTTTCCTCGTGCCATACTCGGATTGACATTCCCCTAACTAATAATATTCCCCCCTTCTCTCTTCGCCCATCACACGCGATCTATCGCTCTCCCTCATTCCATTGTCACCCTCCGCTCGGCCCTTCTGACACTCCGATCGGTTTATTTTCCATCATTGGGCCGTGGTCCCGATCTATACCGTTCCTTGGAACCCGCCCGCCGTCAGACTTTCGCATCGGACTAAACTCGCCATCTCGGGTCCATCTCACTTCGCCCTGCTGTCCATCCCGATCGAGCCCACCGCCCACCCCCATCGGCCCCTCTGCCGGCACGAACTGGTGGAACAGGCTTTCTGTCCTCCCAAAGACAGTCGCACGAGAGGAGGCGTTTCCGAGGCGCCTGGGAACTTTTTTCTGCTTCGGCCGGGTCCTGCCTCAACCTACTATTTCTTCTTGCCACCCTTCCTCCCTCTCTCTCGATCGGTTCCTTAAAGCTCGATCTCATCCCATCGATCTCTTCCGCCGCCACAACGATCGGACCATCGCCCTCACGCATACCCTCTCATCTTGAATGCCGCCTTAAGACCGGTCAGCGCCACTGAACGTGATGGGGTCTTTGGAAGCCGCGACAAGGCACAGGTTTGTTTTGCCCCCTCCCCCTCCCTCGCTTCGGTCAGAACCCCAATGCTGACGGGACCATCTGGACACAGAGACCCTTTGCCCGCAATCGGTTTCCTCGGCAAAGACGGTTCGGGGTACACACCCAACCACTCCTCGATCGCGACCAGCATCGGATCGCCTACCTCGCTGATGAGCCCCAGCAACATGTACACCGGCCAGCCATACTCGTGCACGCCGGCCACCAGCGCTCCCTCACAACCAGGATACATCTCATCCCCGGAGTCGCGCCGCGCGGTGGAGGAGGACAAGGATAAACAAGCTCCGCGGCAGTCGCTGCCGTCCATCCACGAGGCCCTGGGCAATGACAACCCGCTGCCATATCCGGCGCCCACGTCGGCGCCGCCATCACAACCCGGACACACCGCACCGCCGCCGTCACATTTGATCGGACGGTCAAGCGCAGAAGGTCCCTCGGGACCACCGAACCCTTTCTCCAATCCACCGGCGTTTCCCCATCAGCCTCAACTAGCGGGAGGCTCGATTCACACCCAAGACTCTCGGAATACGTCGCTACACTCGCTCAACTCGGGCAAATCTCCCACACAAAGCGCAAAGACGGGCATAACCTCGGTCTCCGGGTCGCAGAACTCGTCCGGCTACGACTACAGCGCGCCGACCTCCGCGGGCAGCGTGGCTTCTCCCAACGGCTATGGCCATTTCCCTCCAACAAACTACACCTTCCAATCTCAACCGCCGCCCAGCACCTCTTCGTATCCGCCAGCTCATTATGACAATCGTCCTTACATGGGCGCTCCATGGAAGCCTGGTGCAGAACCAGCACGGGTGGAGGAAGCCAAGGGCGGATTTGTGGGCCGGCCGATTCCAGGCCAACCCCATGGCGACAGTGTGAAACGGCACCTAGACGTCTACGATGTGGAGACGTCGCTAAATGAGGTATGTATCGAGATTTTTGATGGGAGATGGACCTAATTTTGGGAACAGATTGCCGAACTGAGCAACCGAACATTGGATTTCTCGCGGCATTATGCAGCGAGGGCGCATCAGACCCAGCGATCGGGACCGGTCCTTGGGTCTCTGCCCACGCTCACCGAAGTGGAGGACATGCTCCATATGCAGCGTCGGAACCAAGATGCGCTGATCCGGATACGGACAGCGGTAGTGAACCAGGAACAGGCGCTGGCAGAGCAGATGGCCCAGCGCAAGGCGTTTAAGCCCGGTGGAGTGGACGCCGATGAACACATGGCCATGTACCAGGAAGAGTTCAAAGGCGCCGGCGGGTTTGCGGGTGCCGATCCAAAGAAACGGCGTGGAGTAAGTCGCCTCAAGAAGGAAATTTCCCTTCCTCTTCTCCACTACTTGATGAGTTATGGGTGGGCTAACCTTGTTCCTACAGAAAGCGGCCCCTCCTGGTCGTTGCCACAGCTGTAACCGAGCCGAGACGCCTGAATGGCGTCGGGGACCGGATGGAGCCCGAACGTTGTGTAACGCGTGCGGCCTGCACTACGCCAAGCTGACTCGCAAGATGGGCGCCAACAAGGCGGCCACCCTGGGTTCCAACCTCAAGCCCAAGGCCGTCCTCGACTCGGCCTCGCCCACCAGCCTTTGAAGTTTGCCCTCTCCTTCACCATTCTTGTCATGTGGCGTTCTTGAACCGGCGGGGATTAGAAAAGGTTTCGGAGGCGTTATTTTTATTTTTGCGTCTGGTGGGCATTTTTGGATCTATTTCGACCTTCCTCTTTTGTCTCGGAGGTTTTGTTCCCACACCTCGTCCCCCTTTTGATTCCCTGTCTCTCTATCCCTCCTATTATTAATACCCGTTTGCACTCTGGGAGAAAAATGGCTTCAGCATAGATTCCCCCCTTTGGGTTGATGACGAAATTCAGGATTGTGATTTCTTTTTTAGCCCATCGTTGACCGTGGAAACGGGCGCCTTTGCTTTTTATCTCTTTTTCCCCTTTGCTGCAAGACTGTTGTTGGCTATACCCTGCATTACCCTGTCTTGCCCTCGTCAAATATGTGTTTTAGTATCTGTCTTATCTTTTGATGTGTGTACGATCTGTCTCATCTAGCATCAACGAATGGTCCATGACAAAAATTTCTTCCTGTTTGGAAATCTATTGCGGGTGGCGTGTAGTTGTTGTTTCGTTCGTGACGTCGATTTGAAGATGTGCTGTTGTTTCGCCACCGCCGCGTGGTTGTCGTATCGGCCGTAGCTTCGCCGACCCGTGCGGCTCCGCTGTTTGGTTCAACCAGACTATCTAGATCTCTACACTCAGGCACTCTATACAGAAGAATTTCATGGGCAATGTCGGCAATGTTTCATTTTTCGCCTCAAAGCCACCGTGTGGCAAACGGTCCAACCCCGGTAGGTTCAGTAGGATACCGTGTTTGCGGGAAACTACGCCGACCTGGTTTCTCTCTCGGTATGGAACTACGGGTCTGTCCAAAACCCTTCATCTCGGTATCAGATGCTGGATTCGGGTTTGATAGCCGCGGCCCCCAATTTCACTTTCTTTGATCATGATCGTCACTGCCCCTTCTGTCATGTGTTCGTCTGTATACGCGGGGTTCCGTGTCCCTGTTGCGTGGGATCGGGCGATCCACGCGCGATCGGGCACAGGGCGGGTGCCGATCAGCCCCAATCTCAAATCGGAATCTCAAATCTCAAACCTAAACCATGCCGCTCGCGTCAAACCCGCGGGAAGTTTTTGTTATTTGGAAGACGGGACTAGAAGAATGACAATTAGGAAACAAAAGTACACACCGCCACTGCATTGATCTGGTGGAGACTCACTAGTTGAATCTACACGTCCCGACGATTTGTCGTCCCGACGATTTGTCAGGACCAAAGAAGAATAAGGCAAGGAACCCCTGTTCGGGGAGATAGTCGGGAAATTTGGGGCATGTGCTCCGATCAGGTGGATTTTGCGCTATGGATGGGGATCGCCCTGTGTAGGCTACCGTCCGAATAGGATTGGTTTGTTGCTGCATTGAGAAGTACGATCCATTCATTCATCCCTTTCCAACACACCCAGCAACCGCCACCCCTGCGCTCGTGTGATACCCCTGTGGAGATCTTTTCGTACAGTCATGGACTGACAGTACCCGATCCAAACAGACAGGCTGTTTGTATAAGGATGATTTACTGATAGGGAAACTACTCCTGTCGCTTACCTCATCCCCATCCACAATTCTTCAACATGGTGAAATCTAGACCAGCGACGATGGCGGATATTCGCCATCATCATGGCGAAGGGTTTGCATTGCCACCGTGCCTCACTGTTGAGGCGACCTCCCTAGAACAGAGCGCACGCCGCTCGCCGGTGTATCCGGGTGTGTTGTTGTGCAATGTTCCAGCAGCGCGGAGAACCCCGATCCCGGCCGAAACGTGGCGGACGGCCTATGGGTGGAACTATGGATGGCCGGGTACATACACTCAACAACAATCCATGAAAAAATAAAACGAGTCTATTCTGTTTGCAGAAATCTCTCCGGTCGTATCCGGGCGGCGATCGCAGAATAGACTATCTGTTGGGCTGCAGGGGAAGATGAAATTAGTAGTTCCCGGGAATGACGCTGTGGAGGGAAAAATGCAAATAGTTTGTTGCTTTGTGAAGAAACCCAAACCCTCGTCCCCGCAACGTGCGCCCTGGCCACTAGCGATCGGCGGCATCGTAGTTTTGCTAGCGCGTCCAAGATCGCGCAATGGCCTCCTCAGGAGTTCGTGGGTGATGAACCCGAGGGGTAGTAGTGATTCACCCGGGGGTTTACTAATACTCTCTCTGTTTTCTGAGCAGTAGTATACCCCGTCTAGACTCATCAGATCTATTCCGTTCGTTCTCATCTGCGCCTTTTTATTTTACTCTAGACATCTACATCAAAGACGGCACGGCAGGTGGATCGATCCCTGCAGAGATTGCCGGACTAGCATCGATGGATCGATATTAACCCGTGCTCTCGGGCCCTCCGCGCCAACCCTAGTCGGGCGTGGACCAATGTTCTTCGGCTTCTCTGCGTATTCTTGGTATCTTTCTCGTGTAACTAAACTATCGAACTGAGATCAACCTAATCATACTTAATCGCGCCACGATCGCAGCCCGAAGCACATTCTCGCTTATACTGCCGTCTGATTGCGCGCATGCCACCACTAGCGCCGGTGAACCGTGGGATTCGCCCGTCCCAACTTCCCACTTACTGGGTCGCGCTATTGATTATAGTTTTGTGGCTTTGGAGAGATCACGAGAGAGAATACTCCGTAGTCTGTTAGTAAAGCCCAGTAGTAGTGCAAGATCTGTACAGATGGAGTATACTATAGTGAGTAGCAGACAGGGCTAGGGTTTGCCGGTCTTGCAGGATTCGGGGATTCGGGGACCCTGACTCGTCCGTGCAGGATCAGCGCCAGGTCCAGTGCGCAGATTGGTTCCTTTCTTACAGTAGTGGGTGCCTGATAAGCTGCATTTTCGATTTGAATAATCTGGTGGGTCGCCACGTCAGTCTAGCTGAGATCTAGTGAAAACTGACTCGGTTCACTCTGGATCCTGCGCGTCGGCGCGCCGTCAATAGTCGCGAAAGCGGGTGGAATGGTCACAAGCTACTGTAAGTGGATGGATCTGGCATCCGGGGGCTGAGAAAGAACTGTGTACAGTGCATGTATTTACCTTGGAAGGTAATGTGTATTCTATTCTGTACAGAATACCGGCTCCACCGATCTCAGTCCGCGTTTCCCACCCGCCCAAATGCCGTCAACAGTTGCATTTTTCACCTCAAAGATTCGCCTGCTTTCCTTGAAGAACAACATCTGCCATCTTCATCTCTGACTAATCTGATCGATCGGCCGACTGCAGAATCTCGGATCCGACTTTCGCCCTTCTTGGGTTCCGTGGTTGAGTCTCTGCTGGTTCCAGAGATCGTACCTGTCCCCGGCCGGCGATCGGAATAGTCAACGACAAAAGTTCGATTCTGAATTTATGCCAAGGGGTGTGTTGCTGCATGGCATTCTTGCGACATTGTCCTTCCCGCATTCCGACTCAAGGTGTGACAGCCATCATTCCTAGGCCTGTTGCCTAAATAGGAATTAGTTAGGCGGTCCAGAGAAATGTTTGGCCCACTTCAAGGCGATCTGATAGTCGATCAGTTAACTTACTTGTCGCATTGACGTCTTGTGCCATGCCTGTCTAGGAAATTGGTTTTTAGGGCTTGGCGGCATGAGGGTTTAACTTTGTGACTTGACCGTTTAGAACTCTGTAGAAATGATATTGTTATTGTAGGCAAGATAGACATATTATAGGTTGCTAGATTCTTCAACTGCGGCATACGGTCTGCATGCTGGAGCCGTGGTGGGAATATTGCAAATAGATACATCATGCTCTCGAATCCATACCATATACGCAACAATACGGTCAACCTAGACCAACTCATCCCCCATGCACAACCATATACCCTTCCCATCGGTCGAATCAAAACACATGGAAAATTCACACTAGCGCCAGAAAGCCTTCGCAACCGAGTTGATATAATCGATCCCCTCCTTCCGCCAGGTATCAGCCTCCATATGGCTCGAGATATTAGAATTCAGGAAGAAATCCTGCGGGCTGGCCTTGTCATAAACACTCCAATGCACCGATCGATTGACTACACCCGTGTTTGGGTCGAGATCATGAATGAAGGAAGCCCACATGCTGGTCATCATCGTACTGAGATCGATATACGACTGCGGCACGCCGGCAAACGGCTTGCCGTAGTGATATCCCAGACCTGCGATGTTGTGAAACACAGAAGATACTTCTTCGAAGTGCGTCGCGCCATATAGCAATGGGACATCTGCCGAGTGCACATTGAATCGGTAGCAGTACGCCGTTGTCCCGGTCTCGCTCCAGACCTCGCACTGTCGTCGTCGATTTGCGTGCATGGCCCAGTCACCTAAGAATGCGCTAGTCCGGTGCCATTCCCATCCCATTGATGGTACGCGCTTACTGCCAATAACTGCGGGAATACCTTCCGATGGTATGTCAGGGTATAGTTGCAGGATGCGCGATGCCACTGATGATGGCGCTCGGAATCCGAAACCGCCACCTAAGTCCATGTCAGTAAACTGATATGACCTATAAACATAGTTCACCTACCAGTCAGATACTCATAAAATTGCTCCGTAGTGTTTATTCCCACCGGCCCAAACGCGGTTCCCTCATCCGTGTTGCTGCCCATGAGTATAGGCACTTTGACAAACTCGCGCCTGTCCAGCTGGATGCTTCCCCAATTGCGAATCAAGTCTCCATCAATCACAGGCGCAAAGCTGTACTCAGATTCCCCATCTGTACCATTGAGCACGGCATTGAGCTGTTCAAACGGTACCTCGCGTAGACACTGCAGCGAGTCCACCACATTCGAACAATTCACCTGGGATGTGAGATTATCGTACAGTGGTTGGAACCCTGTGTAGTTGGATGGGCTGGGACTAATAGACCCGCCAGACTCCATAATGCCTGCTCGGAACAGATTGTCGTCGCGCCCGCCATATGCTGTGAGGTGATAGCCTACCGATATGGCACCCGCGGACTCGCCCCAAATGGTTACCTTGTCCGGATCGCCGCCGAAGGCGCCAATATTCTCCTGCACCCATTGGAGAGCGAGCCTCTGATCGCGCAGTCCCAGATTGGTGTTGCCCGATCCCAAGACTTGGCTCGAGCTGATGAACCCCCAGGCAGAGAGTCGGTAGTTGAGCGTCACAGCGAGGAACGGTTTGCCTTTGAGAGGTTAGTTTTGGTTCTAGCAGAACATTAAGAGAGGCATTACCAATTATGTACGAATTCTCAATCATGGCAGACGTGTTGTAGCGCTGGTCTCTGCCTGACCCTTCAACGAACCCACCACCATGGATCCAGACACCCACGGGCAGTTTGGAATTCTTATCAACGAATGAGCCGCGGATGACATTCAGTGTTAGGCATGCTTCGGACTGAGGATGCCAGATCGAATCCGTCTGGGATAGTATAGGTTAGTAGGGGTTTCGATCCCTTGGAAAAGGGCGTGCTACCCCATAACCAACACAGATATCCGAGTACTCTTTAGCATCACGCGCCCTGCCCCAGCTCTCATTTAACGATTGCGGCACCGTAAACCGCAAGGTCTTAACTGGCTGCTGTGCATACGGCATACCCAAGAAGAAATCCTGCTCGTATGCCGTGCTTCGCACGCCGACGTAGGTGCCATTACGCACCGTCACTGTCGGAGACGAGCTCGCTGCATATGCTGCGGCACAAAAGCCAAGAAAATTGAAAGCCAATCGAGACATGATAACGATAGTGCAGATTTACTCGCACTCTGGTCGCTCACCTGCGAAGCCACCTTTTATCATTATGACTGACAGGAATGTCGAATCCTAGTGGAGATTTGATCGGCCACTAATTACCCGATTAGCAATGTCGGGAATGTAGCCAAAATCAGAGGATAGAAGATGTCTGACATTCTAGCGATAATTTAGCTATCTCTTGAATCGTAAAAACTGCGTAGTAAGCGAAATGAGCGCAAAAATTATAACAAGGACTTTTGAGGGGAAAGACCGGGGTCCCATTCTGGGACTCGCCAGAATGGGCCCATGATCGGCACTCGGCTCAGCGACGACCTGATAGAAGCCGATGAAATGGAGTTCTAGAGAGTTTTTTCGATATTATTGGGCTTGCCGGCACATCCGGGCTTTGAAATAAGCCTTGTTTCGGGCGGGGAAGGGTTTGTTAAGGCCATCTTTTGCTTGTTTGGGGAACGGAGGTGTGGAGAAGGCCATTTCACCATTTCAGAGCGTCCAAGTGCAGCGGGCCTGTGTTTGCTTTTTGCAAAGGTCGTCCATGCTTGTCCCTGGAGAACCCTAAGGATTAACCGGCGAGGGTGTTTAGGGTTGATGACCTCGGAACTGGATCCGGTATTCCAGAGCTATCAAATTGAACATTCAGATTGGATGTTGAAGTTGAGAGCCGTCGTTTTGGTTTGCGACGAAGGCAGCTGACGTAGTCTATACACAGCAACATGAAAAATAGCCGAGGTCGTAAGACATAGGGATACTATACTGTTTAAGGATGACTCTAATCTTCTCCGAGGTGCGTACCAAAGTTATGATAAGTCACTATTGTTCGCATCTGTCCGGGACTATAATCATTGAAGAACAACAAAGCAGGTAAGCGTGAATAACTACTCTATTAGATCCGAGCCGAGGGAAGGAACCAGAAGGGAGGTGACGGCACGGTCCAAAACTGTTAGTTGCCTGAACTCTGTTAGCGGGTGCCACATGAAATTCACCCCTTTGTCTTACACAAACCCAGATCATGTCAGTCATGATGGTCATACAAGGGAGGAGGGGGCGGTAGGACCAAACTATTGCAACGGTAACCGTATTTATCGAGGGTAGGCGTTCTGAGGTGCCCTGTCTAGATAGTCGGTTGCTTTCATCAGGCAGTTCTATCGAAAACAGGGACAAAGCAGAACAGAACAATCAAATTGATCTCCAGAGAAATGCCTTGAGTTCATTACTATCACAAAAAGTATTCAAAATGTGCTGGACACTACCATCTCCTCAGCCAGAACCCTCCTCATCTACCTCCAAAGAGACAGACGCCATAGTCGCCGGGATCCAGGGCTTCCTCGCAGCCCTAAACAGCAAATCCCGCGTCGACTTCGAAAAGCACTGCGTCCGAGCAGGTGGCATGTCCCTCTCACCTCCAGCACCAACAGAGCTACGTTTCTGCACGATCGGGTCATTCGTCGAACACGTCGCTAGCGTTACAGACGAGATCGATGAGCGTATCTGGGATCCAAAGGTGGAAATGCACGAGGCTGGGAACCTTGCTGCGGTGTGGGCACCGTTCCGAGCAAAAATCAACGGTGTAGTCGATCATGTTGGTGTGGAGCTTTTTATTCTGCATAGATTGAATGGCGAGTGGAAGGTGACTGGGTTGGCGGATTCTTGTCGAAGGCCGACGGAGGATGAGAAGCTGTTGGATTAATAGGGCATTTGATTATGTAGAACAGTTTTTGACCATCACGGTTTTATGATCTTTGGTATACACTATCCCACTGAGTTAGTATGCACCTGCAAGTACAAACCCCCGTCTTATTGTTTCCCAGCCTATATATCCGGAAATCATCGACCCCATGAATTATAGCAATTCTGCAAAACCGTTATCTTCGCCACTAAGCGCTAATAACGGGCACAATATTTTGTAGAAAAGGCCCTCGAATATAACCATGTTATCAATGACAATTTGCAAAAATCGATTACGGAAACGTGGAAGTTATAACACAATTCTAACAATACTCCTGAGTCTCCCATGAACCTCCAAAGCAGAGCCTCACGATTTGGCAAGGGTGAAAGCGCAGTAATTTGCCCAATCCAGCGCATCAGATAGGTTATAGGCCCGGTTCAAAAAACTGACGTTGAGATTTATCTCGAGAGGAAAATGGTTGACAAGTGACGAATTAAATACTTGCATCAACGCCAGCCAATGTGAACTAACTAACGTCGTTCCTTGAGAAAGGTTCTCACAGCCTAGGTATAACGGGATTGAGTAGATATCGCAGTGAGGCCAACCGATGAGTTATGGGCGTCACAGAATAGTCGAGAGCGACTTTTTCTCTTTCTCTTTTCGCGTTAGTATCTTTTCCGCATTGCGCCAGAGCGGACATCAGCCCCAAGGAGGGTTAACTGAGGATTAGACAGTTGTGGCATGTTTTGCAAAATGGATTCCTTCAGTTCCTGGGTTTGGATTCTTCTCTCGGAATGCGCGGGGTGTTTTGCCAGGTTCGGACCCCCACGTTTCGCGGTGGCAATTTCCGGGGTTTGGCCCCACTTAGGGTTAATCAAAGACCCTGAATTGGAATGTCACCGCAGCTAATGCTGTTCCCCGAACAAGGAGCCAGATGCGGGGTTGGGTTGGGGGGACGGGCTATATAAAGGTAGAAGTCACTTCCTCAAGCTGAGAGATATCCCACAATCCGATATCTGTCTTATATCTAGCCAAACCAGGTAACCGGATCCGTTTGGAAAATGTTTCTGACTCAGATCGCCGGATTGATTGGCTTGCTGGGCGGAGTTGATAGCTTAAGCATCGACAACATCCGAGGCTTGGTTCGTCTCAACGAAGAGAGAGGAATTGCGGCCAATGTAACCTGCCCTACGGACTACACGGCATACGCCAGCGTCGGCCATGCGCCGTACTCGGCAGGCAAATACCATTTGCCCTATCAGCGTCCTCCACCAGAATGCCGCACTTTCGTGTCCGAGGCTGTCGAAGACACTATCCAACAAATGAAGAAAGTTATAGCCGACCCAGACCTCTTCCGGCTGTTTGAAAACAGTTACCCGAATACACTAGACACAACTGTGAAGTGGACAGGCAAGGCGCAAGACTCGGATGAGGAACTCACGTTCATCATAACTGGAGACATGTGAGTCCCTCATATCTTATTCATGATATCGGATTTTAGAAAGCGATCAGTATGTTAAATAAACATTTTCCAGTGATGCAATGTGGATTCGCGACTCGACCTCTCAATTGCATTCCTACTTGCCTTTCCTCAGTAATGCGTCGTCTCGAGACTCTTTTGCCTCCCTCTTCCGCGGATTGATTAACCTTCAAGCTCGTTTCCTCCTCGAAGCACCGTACTGCAACGCATTTCAGCCACCTTTGGAATCTGGTCTCCCACCGGTGAATAATTCAGGCGCCTCAGCCCAAACTACCGTGACTCCGACGCCCAACAACAACACGATTTTTGAATGCAAATATGAGCTCGACTCAATAGCATCTTTCCTCCAAGTATCTTCCGAGTATTTCGACGCCACTAATGATACAACATTTTTCACAAATTACAAATGGATGGACGCTCTACAAGCCGTCTTGAAGGTCGTTGAAGACCAAACCTATCCAACATACGCAACAAATGGTTCAGTCGTTATCGCACCATACACCTTCTCAGCTTTCACAGATCGTGCCACAGAAACACTCAGCAACAACGCATATGGTAACCCTGTTCATGGAGGCACCGGACTAGTACGCTCAACCTTCCGACCCTCTGATGATGCATGTATCTACGAACTCTTCATTCCGGCCAATATGATGTTGGCCGCGAAACTGGAGGCCACCATTCCCATCGTCGAGTCCATCGGCGATCACGACGACTTGGTTCATACAATGCAGAACCGTGTTGACCTGATCCGGAATGGCATCCGTACTAAAGCCATTACTGCTGAAGGTGTCTTTGCGTATGAGATTGACGGCTTCGGTAGCGTCAACTCTATGGATGATGCGTCAGTACCTAGCTTGGTGTCCGCTCCATATATTGGTTACCTCTCCCGCAGTGACCACACTTACCAAGCAAGCCGGCGAAAGATTCTGAGCACCAGTAATCCATACTACATGCAGGGACCTGTAATCAACTCGGTGGGCAGCCCCCACATTGGGCCCGGATGGGGCTGGCCAATGGCAACGACCATGCAGATCCTTACCAGTGATGACGACGAAGAAATCAAGCAATGTCTGGAAACCCTGGTCAGTAGTACCAACGGCCTTGGTAAGCCTCACCTCTTCAGACCACTCCTTACTCAATGCCATTCGAGGTGTCAATACTGACCATCGCATTCTCGTATTTGTTGCAGGACTAATCCACGAATCTATATTCACTTTTGATGAATCCAATTTTACTCGGCCTTGGTGAGAAAATCTTTTCGTGATGATAAAAGTTCTTCGCTCAAATGGACACTAAATCGAAATCGTAGGTTTGCGTGGGTCAACGGCCTTTTCGGCGAAATGATACTCGATTTAAACAAACGCAAACCACACATTTTGAAAACGAGCTTCCAGTAATGCTCTCTAGCCATAAGCGTCGTGGCGAACACAATCATTTGATATCATTTGGGAACAACTTGACCAAAGAGGCCACCTTCAACCTGCAAATACCAAACATTGGTTCATGGATTGCCTTTCTTAAAGACCGGAATACACTGAAGGAGAACGTTCGCATAACTGAAGACAAGTGCAATTTCACCGGTTTGCTTATATGGTAGGAATAGCCCCAGATGTCTACTTGGCACTATAAGTTATGCGAAAATCTAGTACTCATATAAGTATAAAGCGATGATCTGTCTATAATTGCAAATTCGTGGTTTAGCCTCCTGTGCATGAGTTCCAAGTGCCTTTTCTAGTCGGCTGAATGTTTCTTGCATGATATCCACGATTTCGTCCGCATGCACTCCAATGTGGACCCGGGCGCAATGCATTAGGAATTGAAAGCTATTGGTGATGTCGTGATAGATATTTCTTGAAGGCGCCGATTGAATAGTTGAAGATCGTGATACTGACGTGGCGATTTCCATATGTTCCTCAGCATTCGCAAGTCTAGAACCACTACTGCAGGCTAATTAGCCACACCACCGAAATTTCCGCTTTGTCAATCAGGCATGGATCCGCAGAGCGCGCTAGTCCCGGATTTGTCCTAGTTTGGGTTTAATAGAAAGCTGGGGTCATATTGTTAGGGACACGCCCTTTGGTGCTAGTGGTACACACCCGGGTGTATCGCTGAAATGACCCTAAATGTATATTTCTATCGACAAATATAACATATCCATGGCACAATCGTTGTAAAGCAACGCCACTCATTGCAGCCGAAGACCGGCTTAATTCGTCATTACCAAGACAGTAGTCATCAAATACAATTCTATATTCCAAGATTCCATCGTGTTGTTGAGGGTAACCTTCAACGGATCTAAGCGACCCCCGGGGTTGGGCCAGAGTAATTACCATCCAGGCCGTCTCTCTTTACGGTCGAGCCGAGGTGTTTGAATATTGGGCTCGAGTGACGGCCACCGCGCGGTCTAATCGCTTTGTCCGCTAGTGACAGGATGGCGTAATCAATCGCGATAATGAGCTTCGAAGCAACATCTCCCCTCGTGAAAGCTCTCGATACATAACTAGACGGTTGATCTCTTTCCGTTAGCTATACCTAGTTTTTTTGGCTTCCCTGGGTCACTTTTTCTCCTCCATTCCCACTGCCGCCATTCATCGCTTCCATCTATAGTGCAACATGGGACTTCCTTTTTTTCAAGTAAAGACGACAGTGGGGAGAGCAGCATCCAGGAGGTCACAGAAGCTGAGATCATTGAGTCAGGCAGTCTGACTTATACCCATGAAGCTGGGGAAAACTCGTCACTCCCCACCTACCAGGAGGCCAGTGGTGCTCCTGTAGAGATCAGGTCTCCGCTGGGATACTCGGTCGGTCCAGCGACCATCATAGCTCTGAATCTGAGCCAAATGATTGGTATTGGAGTCTTCTCAACACCATCCACCGTCTTGCAAGGTGCTGGTTCAGTTGGCCTGGCATTTATCTACTGGACTCTGGGATACTTGATGGCCTTCAGCACTCTTGTCGTGTATCTGGAATTCGCGTCATACTTTCCCAGTCGATCAGGTTCCGAAGTCGTGTACTTCGAGCAAGCCTTCCCGCGACCGCTTTACTTCTTCCCGACTGTTTTCGCGATGCAAACCGTGATTCTATCGTTCAGCAGTAGCAATGCAGTTGGTGAGTACACACGTTCAGTGAAATATGAATTACAAACATTAATATAACCATAGCTCTTTCCCAATATCTATTCAAGTTAGGAGACTCTACCGGTACTGATTGGCAGTACAAAGGTGTGGCGATCGCATCATACACTGTGGCTGTCTTGTGTAAGTCTTTACCCTTCATGCTCCATACTTCTGTTTACTAAACAAAAGTAGGCCTCGTATTCAACACCAAATGGTCACTGCGATTGTTAAACGCAATCAGTTTTATCAAACTCCTTACTCTGATCTTTCTTGCAATCGCCGGTCTGGTCGTCTTAGGAGGAAACACACGTGTGAAGAATCCTACAGCCAACTTCAAGAATGCCTTTTCCGGAAGTTCTGAGGCCACTCCTTACGGCGCAACGAACGCATTAATGAAAGTCATCTATTCTTATGTCGGTTATGCAAATGCTTTCAACGTCGTGAATGAGGTCAAGAATCCTACGAAGACCCTCCGCTGGAGTGCGCCCTTGTCACTGACATTGGTTGCGGTGCTTTATATTCTTGCTAATGTAGCTTACTTTGCAGCAGCAACCAAGGAAGAGATCCTTGCATCAAAATTAACTGCTGCAAGCCTGTTCTTTGAGAATGTATTTGGAAATGGCGGCGCATCCAGAGCATTAAACTTTCTCATTTGTCTCAGCGCATTTGGTAACCTACTTGCTGTGTTAGTTGGGCAATCTCGAGTGCTTCGCGAGTGTGGAAGGTATGAATTTGTTATTTCTTATTCTGCATATTGCGTTCATCATTGAGAGATGTTGACTTGTTTAAAAAGACAAGGTGTCCTTCCATTCACAAGATTTTGGACATCTACTTGGCCTTTTGCGACGCCTCTCGGTCCCTACTTGGTTAAGTGGGGGTTGACAATTATCTTGATCATTGCTCCTCCTTTCGGAGACGCCTTCAACTTTGGTTTGTTTTTCCAAAGTAGATACCATACTTGTGATATTGCTGACTATTTATCGTATCCCTATAGTCGTTGACCTGTCTTTATATCCCGGCAATTTTTTCCTTTTTCTGCTCAGCATTGGGTTGCTTGTCACCCGTTGGCGTCGCAAAAAGCTCGGTCTTGGGCCCTCTGGTTACAAAGCATGGGACAGTGCTGTGGGGTTCTCTATTGTCTCGAATATTTATATGTTGGTGATGCCGTGGTATCCTCCCAGCACTGGTCGGGACGGCGGGGATGTTAGTTTCTGGTACGCAACGTATTGTGCCACTGGTCTTGCAATGTGAGTATCTCCGACTTAACTTCCGCTTCTCACACGTCCAACCCTCTTCACTGGCATGACGAGAATGAATGATACCCAGCAAGAAAAGAGAAACAAAAGAGAAGCTGACTTTTCTATGTCATTAGTATTGCTGTTTGCGGAGCTTATTTCTTCATCTGGGTCAAATTACGCCCAAAACTTGGACACTATGAGCTTCGTCAGACTATTATCGAGTTCGAAGGTGGTGGTACCACTCATAGGCTGGTCAAAGTTCCTTTGCAAGAGGTCGCCTCCTGGGATGAAAAACACGATGCAACTGGTCGTCTTCGTCACCGAAATGGTAGAAGCCAACACCTCGACAGCACCAACGCTTCAGAAAGCGCACGGCACGAAATTGATACAGCGGCTTGAATGGGGAAGTGATGGACGGTGTAGCACTGCTAAGTTATGGGGGCTACCGTGCATTAGGGTTAGACTGTTATCCACTTGTAGCGGTACAGCAAATATTTGAAACAGGACTCCCAGGGTATAAAATGCTACACCTAGAGATTCAGCCGGTATTGCCTTGAATTGCTAATTCTTATTAACAACAAGTTGAAGATAACTAGTTAACTGGAGGATTAATATTTCGCATTCTCCACGTTGGACGTCATGGCTTGCTGATCTGCATGTCTGCGCGTCCTCTCGGGACTGACATGCAGGTTATCGGAGCTTGGCCCAGACGCTGACGTCCCAAAGTGTTCGGTTCAATGCATTGGAAGTTCTCGCACGAATTGTACAGCTTCTCGCTTCAATTCTCAAGAAAGTGGAGCGAAATCCCTACTCAGACTTTCGGTGTCTTGCCAAAAGCTGGGAGTGTCTCGCCTACGAGCTGTAGTCGAATGATCGCCAGCTTCGTTCGCGCCATTTCTGCGCGGATGGCCGCATACCTTAGAGCCACGTAATAATACATACCCGAGCGGCATTGACGTGTGGAGACCTGCCGATATTTTACTGAATCCCACAAATAGAGTCTTAGGTTGCAGGTGTCATCTCACGGAAACTGATCACCATCGCCCGCGCCAGGAAGCTCATTATAGCAATTACGGATGACGCCAGGCCCGACGATACAGTTATGCAAATGTTTCCCTCCAAAACAGAGCCGTAATAATAAATGAGAAATTGATCAATGCAATGTGTCAAAGAATCGTATGAGCTTTGGAACTAGAAATATGCCCGCCCGGTTCTAGATGGCTTTCCAAAACAATGCAGCAGGGTCTAAATATCTGTTCTACCTTAAGATTCGAAAAAGAAGGGCTGGTGTTAATAGTTAAATAAACATCTATTTATGCAACTCAATCTGCAGCCAGATTCTTCTTTTGAAGTTTATGCTGAAACTTCCACACCCGAGGCGGCTTCGACTGTATTCCCATATGGAATAGCTCCTTGCCAGATCGACATAAGTCTTTCGACATGAACTTTCTTTTCTTCCAACCAAGAAGCAGTGTGTCCTTCAATCGACGGCAAGCCATGCGCAAATCTAGCGGTATTCACCCAGTCGATAATTTGCTTAACATAGTCCACTTCCTCGCCCCTGAGCGAATGGAAACTACGACCATGGCCCTTAGTTTCAACTCGGGTCTTATATTCCGTCCTCATACTCTCCACCGAAGGGAGCTGTGCCACTCCAGAAAACAATGCTGCGATTGCAATGGCCTGAAACTCAAAAAGAGTAAATGTTGCCGTATAGAAGGAAACACCCACGAAGGCCAGGGTTGGATCCGGAATATAGAATATGTCATGATGTAAATTGTGGAATTGGGTGCCATCCGTCACAATCACCGAGTCGGGCGAGGCAACGGGCTCGCCATGGTCGGTAAATTCCGGAAGGAATGGCAGAACCATCTGATACCCCGTGCAGAGAACGATTCTGTCAATGTTATTGAGGGTTTGGCCAGATTTGAGGCGAACGGTAAGAGGTAAGTGAGTCTCTGCTGTATCTGTTGAATCCATCTCAAATGACGCCACCTGCTCAATTCTCGTCGCATTCTTTGGCAGTGCGCTGGCTGGGACATCAAATAAGCCATTTCGAGTACTCTGATATACCGTCCGGACGACTGGACTGATCTCCCGGGCTATATCCACTGAAGATACACCCCCGCCTATCAAAAGCACGTTCTTCTTGGAAATTAGTAATGAGATCAGGTAAAGCTCCGGATTTTACTATGGGGTCAACAAATACCTTTCCTTCAACTCCTTCTGCATTTCGAAAGGATTTTGAGTGTGTAATCTTCGATGGCCACTTGGCTTTTGCTTCAGTAAGTCCAGGAATATCCGGAATCATTGGAGTGTGATAATGGCCTGATGCCACCACAACCGCATCAAATATCTGTATTACGTGTGAGCAATTTTCTTTCAAGCGTCTTAAGCGTGTGTCCCTCACCTCTGTATGTTGTTGCTCAACGACACCTTTTGTATGGCTATCTTCATGCAATGAGCTCCAAACCACATGCCACTTTTGACCATTTTTGAAAACCCTTGTCACTAAAGCGCCATATATTGTTGCAGCATCAACGCCTGCCACCCTTGAGGTATCCTGGATGTAGTCCTTGAGGACATGGTGATTGACGTAGCGGGGAGTTCCCTCTGGCCAAGCATTAAGCGTTGTACGTAGTAATGGAGTGGACACGTTGTTCCTGAGACTCTCATAACAGGGCCTAGCATTTTCATTAGCATTTCCTATCTGCGGAATGCTCTTCTTCATACAAACCCCGGTGGAGCGTGTATCAGATGTTTCCTTTCCCTCTCATCACGTTCATCTCGGCTGTACCTCTCCACATCAGACGGTTTGACACATGGGTACTGAACTTCGATAGGAACTCTCTTATCATAAAGCCTGCAAAATTTGTTAGCATATTGGTAAATGTTGGAGACAATGAGAGATCTCACCACACCCCGCCGGCTGCTCTGCTTCTTTCGAAGACCGTGACGTTTATTCCTGCGGCGAGGAGGTGGCCTGCACTGACAACGCCACTGATGCCAGCCCCAATGACAGCTACGCGTTGGATCGTACTGTCGGACATAATTGCTTCACTGACCTTCTCCGTAGATAGATTGGAAGGGAGAGATGGCCTGAGAGGATACTGCATTATTAAAGTTATTAAAGCGTCGATGCCAGTAACACTCCACGGTTGGCATTACGAAGCATTTGGCCCTTGAGATTTCGCAATCCAGGCTACTGCATTAGGAGTGATTACGCTCCGTCGCAATTTTCGTCACGGATTGTGAGATGAGATGCTTCCCCGCTCGTGCCCCATCATATCTATGGATTGCTTCGAGGCCGTGGGATACAAATCGCTGTCCTCTGATTGGAACCAGTTGAGGGGTTATAATTCAGCCAGACTAATCCGAGACCACACTATGCACTCCATGGAGGGGATGGTGGTGAATCTGTAAAAGGCGCAATACAATGTGGTGATGATGTGCTTCAAGAACCCGAATATCAACCGGTCATCATGGATGGACACCCTCGGTCTTCTAGAATAGCAGACAATATCCGAAACATACTATGCGGAAACAAGGTGAAATGCAAGGACAATAACGTCCCAAATATATGACAGATGAATAAAAAAAGGTTATCCTCCGTCTATGCTAAAAATATGCTCAGACATCCACTCACACAAGAAACTCTATCTGTTCTAACTCTTTCTTCCGCGAAGCATCTCCCACCCCACGGAGCCCTGTTGTCCCTCCTTGCCAGTCATCTCCTCAACCGCTTTCACCAGATCATAGCATACTTCCTCAGACACAACGCTGTCATGCTTGTAGGATGGATGCTTGGCAACGAACTCGCGAATCCATCGCGCGCCAGTCCAGAGCGTGCCGTCAGCACGCTTGCGGATGAGATCGAGATATCTGGCTAAGAAGCAGCGGGTCTCGACGTCCACGTTCACACTGTTAAGATACGACTCCACAAGCGGAATCAACCCCGGGAATGATCCATCCGAGCAGCCGTTGACGATATCCGCGATAGTCATGAGCTCATACTCACTCTCCACGGGACCGAGGGGCGGAGAGGGAGGCGGCGTGTTGACGGCGGAAGATGGCGCAGATGAGAAAGCACTACCACCATTCGACGAATGTGCGTGCTTCGGTGCTCGTCGAGGGAAGGGATCCTTGCGGAAATAGAATTTCTCGTCCAGAACGGCATTGCGGGCATGCGCTGTCTCCATGTTTTCGGTGGTGCGCGAGATGGGGATGTAGAAACTGAGATCGAAGCTCAAGATGGCTCGGGTGATGAGGACGATGAAGATGCTGAACGCGGCGTTCTCGAAATCAGTGATTTGAATCTCCATGGATCGGAACTCGACTCTCCAGCCAATATCTGAGTCTGGTGGTGGTGGCTTAAAGCGCATGTGCTGCCAATTAGTGGATTGCAAGTTTTCGAAATGGTCAGCCTTGTTAACGTCGAGCTCCTCCAGATCCTCGGAGAAGATGACCAATGGATCGCGGATGAAGAGGTGTGCAAAGTGCGTGGCTAGCAGTTCATCCATGCCGCCGTCCATCAACCGCTTCTTGATATCCTCGTCGACGACCAGATCTGGATCAAGGTACTCTTTCCGCAGCCGAGGGTCTTGTGAGATATAAGTCGAGTTCGAGGCATATCGGGACTTGGGGATCCTCCACCGATCATTCTTGAGAGGCTATCCAAATGTCAGTTGAATAATGATGAGCGTACGGTCATATAACTCACAACTTCGCCAAGTTCTTCACGAGTCCGGTCATCAACTGCTCCTCCAATTTGGTTCCACCGTACATCCGTGTCCACGAGAAATCCCTTGTAAATGGGAGTTGCGGCCGTGAGAGCAAGCAGGATCGGGCCCAATGGGCTTAACTGATCATAGAGCCGTCTGCCCTCCGTCATATTCTTGGCCTGAAAGGTGATTTGCAGACAGCAACTGCCCATTCCAAATGCCATGGCATCCATATAGACGTGGTCATCCTTGGCAGCACCATTGCGCACATCATCATCCTCGGGCCATTTATGAAGATCGTAATTGACAGTTGGGTCTTTGAAGGGTCGTGGCGTATTATAATCCTTGAAGATAGGCACATTCAGCTCCACTTTTCGCCCACGCCGTGATCGAATGTTGGCTGCGAGAGTGGGGAATCGGATATGGGGATTGGCAATCTCGTCTGGGACAAATTGCGAGCGAAGCGCTGGTCCGGACGGAGGATAATATGGCTGGATATAATCGTCCTTGGTTCCCAGGCGCGGAAATGTGGTAAGGGTAATAGGAAATTCGTTGGGTGCCATATGCGCTTTGGCGACCTCTCGTCTGGCGACTCGTCAATGAGCTGCCAGCCATTGAGCTAAAAATGACTTACCTCCACTTCATGTTGGATTCCACTTTGAGCAGGTCCTTAAACCCAATGCCCCACGGCCGACCGGGAGTTGCTTCCAGCATGAACCTCCCGAACTCCGGGTGGAAATGAGGCGGATCTTCGCCATCACTAGTACCGTCAGGTGTTGGTGTCCATCGTTAAGTCGTCCAACTCACTGTTCACTATTATTCGCATTATGGCAGGAGCCCGTCTTCCACAAAGCCTCGTCTCGAGCAAGAGACTTGAGGATATCCGCCTGGGCGAGGGAGAGCCGGGATTTCCTGTCGCCGTCGTCGAGGGCCACCACAAGGTATTCGACCTGCCATTGTCAGTTGAGGTTCTTTCGGGACGGACACGCAGGAAAAGAGACAGTACCTCATCACCCCACAGAAGAGCATCGCGCTCCTTGCCCTTTGCTCTATTCCAATTTGCGAGCAGTTGCTAGTCCTGTTAGCACTTTCCGTCCAAACCGTTTGACTCGAGTCCTACTTCGATCCCCCACTGGCGCACCTGGGAGGCCTTTTTCTTCGCCTCGGGCCATTCCAGCGCGGTGCCGAGTGCTCTGGGGTGCAGGGTTAGTGGTGTTCCCGGGTGCAGCAAAGGATGATGCGCATACAAAAGACCCATTTTTTTTTTCAATTTGCACTTCTTCTTTCGTGCCAGTGCGAGGTGGGCAAGGACAGTCTTGCGCAGCGACCACGACAGTAACCTTGAACAGATCAGGCCCGTCAGCACATGGCCTTCGGTTGGGTTCTTTTCAATTCTCGATGTGGGGGAAATTTCCCATGCTCTCCCACGGCGGGGCGTGAAGATCTTCTCGGCGATAACACTCGATTTCTAAGCAAGGGTCATGTGACGGAGGAATCAATTGCCCCGTTCGTGTCGGAGTGTGACGCTGATGATTAACTATGATGTTTAACGTTACTAGGTACGATGTATATATAAATGGGTGCGCCTGCAGCGCCACGCGCGGTGAGACATATTGGTCGGCGGCAGGACATGGATCCCGGGACATGCAGCTGGCAAATAACACCGGAGTCTGATCAATACGAGGCTGACATAGAGATGACAAATTCCTTAACTAATTCTTAACTAATTGATTGAATTTCAACTTGAAAAAGGTACACTTGCAGTGGATCTAGGTTCCGCGAAATGTGCCTAGATTAGGTATCTGAGGGGGAGGGCTTAGGCATCTTGCAAGGTCACCATCGATCCCAGTCGGTGGGCGTAGCGGAAGATCCCAAACCCAGAAACAGTCCATCCGCAGTACTCTCGACGTCTTTATATACAAGGCCGGCTAGCCTGACTAGCATTCCGGGCCATCTCCCCACAAGCTCTGTCGCTCTCTCATTTAGTTGCTCCGGGCGCCGTCCTTGGCCGCGCGCAGCTCGTCCATCTTGGCCACCCGCTTCTTGAACTCTTCGTACTGGCACTTCTCGTAGGAATGTCTCTCATCCTGTAAAGAAATCAGTCAGCCATGTATGAACGGGGGAGATATGATGGGCATGATTGCAGATCGCACCTCGCACTTCCAGGGCAGGTAGTACTCTGCTTGTCGGCATCGGTTCAACGGGATCAGGAGGTGGGCACATGAGTCGCGGTACTGCATGGGAAGACGGGCCTCGGACATTTCCTGGCGGGATGCTGCGTGGTCAAAAGGTGTCAGTTGCTGGCATATCGGCCGGTTGACGGTGGCCAATCTACGCACCGGAATTCTCCCCCAAGCCCACGGCACTCTTCAGCGTCTCGGTGACGGTCATGGTGGCAGACAGTCGGTGCACAATGGCAGAGTGTGGAGGGCAGAGACAGGACAACAAGAGGATGTGCTTTCCTTGCCTGAGTTCCTTCCTTCACCTGACTAGATCACATGACTTCTAAGCACGTGACCGTCATCGCCTCATCACCTGACTTGTCTGGCGTGTCACGGCAAAATCCATTTACGCGTCACGTCGCGTAATCGAGGATGCCTCACCCTCGGTCCACCGGCTGAACCTGTGCCCTCTTTTCTACTTTTTTGGGGGGGAATAAGGCAATGCGCCCATTCCAACATTTTTACTTCAATTGACTTGTGGATCCTCGCGGGTTGCTTCTAGTCAGGACCTGCCTGGCGCCTAGCCGCTTACCACGCCCATCATGGCGGGGATGGAGCCCATCTACTCGGCCACCTATAGTGGTGTAAGTGCCTCCCGATGATCTCGACGGCTTGTCTGACTCTGCTGGGTACTAGGTCCCCGTGTATGAATTCAAAATTGCCAACGACAGTGTGATGCGCCGGAGGGCGGATGACTGGATTAATGCAACCCATATCCTGAAAGCGGCGGGGTTTGACAAGCCGGCAAGAACGAGAATTCTAGAAAGGGAAGTGCAGAAGGGAGTGCATGAGAAGGTGCAGGGCGGATACGGCAAATACCAGGGTTCGTGTTGTGCCCATTTGAGAACCTCTTCTGGCCTGCTGACCCGATCAAATAGGAACATGGATTCCCCTCCCAGAAGGCCGCGTGCTAGCGGAACGCAACAATATCCTGAGCAAACTCACCCCCATATTCGATTATGTGCCTGGAGATCGCAGCCCCCCACCAGCTCCAAAGCATTCATCTGCGCCGTCCAAACCGAGAGCCCCGAGAAAATCAGCCGCTAGTCGCGCCGCTGCAAAATCGGAAGCTGCCTTCAATGTCGTTCAGCCTCAACGAAGCATGGGTCCGCCCACCCTCCCTCATGATCACTACGACATGAGTGCCCAGTTTGATGACAACGAATCCATCGAGCGAGCCACCATCGATTCATCGTCCATGGTGGCAGACGAAGATATGCTTCAAATGTCTCAGCACGGCGGCCACTCTCGAAAGCGGAAGCGTGGGATGAACGAGGAAACGGCCATGTCCATCAGCGAACAAGAACACATAATCTACGGCGATCAATTGTTGGACTATTTTATGACTGTTGGGGACGCTCCAGAAGCCACTCGCATCCCGCCGCCGGAGCCACCGGCTCAATTCCAGGTAGACCGGCCGATCGACGATTCGGGGAACACAGCCCTTCACTGGGCGTGCGCCATGGGTGACCTGGAGATCGTGCAGGATCTCCTCCGACGAGGAGCTGATGTCAAGGCACTGTCGGTTCACGAAGAGACCCCGCTTGTTCGCGCAGTTCTATTTACCAACAACTACGAAAAGAGAACATTCCCGGCCCTGTTGGACCTGCTACTAGACACTGTCTCCTTCCGGGACTGGTTCGGTGCCACACTTTTTCACCACATCGCTGAAACAACGAGGAGCAAAGGCAAATGGAAAAGCTCGCGGTACTACTGTGAAGTGTTGCTGGATAAGCTTTCTCGGACAATTTCTCAGGATGAGATCGATCTGCTGTTGTCGTGTCAGGACTCCAATGGGGACACGGCCGCGCTCGTGGCTGCGCGCAACGGTGCTTTCCGCCTGGTAAACATGCTTCTCATGCACTGCCCTCGATCGGGTGATATGGTGAATAAGAAAGGCGAAACGGCCTCCAGCATCACGCAACGGTCTCATAACCCCGAGCATGATATTATGCCTGCCCCGTCCTCGGTGACCATGGCAAATGAACAGTTGGACGGCGACACAGGTGGCATTGAAGCCTCGGATCACCCAACAATTGCTCCGCTGCCCGATAACTCTGTGACCTCCGACCTTCTTTCCAAGATTGGCGCGATCATGGCAGAGGCGAATAAGAAGCTGACCATCACTTATGGAAATTCAAAGATTAACCATCAGGATTCCGATGATGTCGCCAACCCGGAGGCGCTATATGAGCAACTGGAGTCGGATCGCCAGAAGATCCAGAAACAGGTTGCTGCCCTGGCGGCTAAGGAGGCCGAGTACGAGCCCAGCGATAGCCAGGTTGGCCGGTATGAGAAACTAAGGGCAAATTACGAGTCTCTGCTCGAACAGCTACAACACGCGAAGCTCTCCAAACTGCTCACCACAGGGGCGCCGCGGGACTCCGAGGTTGCTTCCTCTCCCTCCCCCTCCGACCTAATGGCCCGGTATAAGCTAGCTCGACAGCTTTGCAATGCGCAAAAGGCGCGCCATGAGGCGGTTCGCGCGCTCGCACAGCAAACCGCTGATGCGGGAGTGAGCACCAAGTTCGACGTGCACCGCAAGTTGGTCGCTCTGGCCACCGGTCTCAAGGAAGAAGAGCTGGACCCGATGGCGGCCGAGCTGGCCGAAACCCTCGAGTTTGATCGGCTCAACGGCAAAGGCCCGTCGCCTGAACCGGAGCGTCGACCATTAAAGACCGAGTCGACTACACTCCCTGGCCCGATGTCCGTGGATGCATGATTTTTTCTTTACGAACGAACTCTTTTCCGTCTGGTCTTGTTTCCTCATGTCCAGCAGATACCCCGATTTATTTTCTCTTCTGTTTGATTGTTCATTTTGTCCGCGAGTGTGCATGACTGACTGCCATTGCCATTTCCTTTGCGGGGGTGTTATTTTGTTTGTAGTGTTCCACGATCGAGTGTGCTTGTACATAGCGACGAACAGCCACTCCGGTGCGATGTATTATCTTTACTTGTGTACTAGTTACTGAACCAGTCAATGATTGCCCAATCTTGATTTACTCTTCTCGAATCCATCGAACATAACTACCGATCACAACGAATCATTCGCAGTGCTCTTTCGGCCTCTTCCCTCTCGAATTTTGAAGTCCTCATCCGATTTAATGAAGTCGTGAGTCGATGCGTCCATTTATCCTGGTGGACCAGTCACTAGTGATGCTCAGTGCAGGTCTGAGTACCTAATGCTCAGCGCGGTAAAATTCGTCTTGATATGCCGCCTCCCGTGGTTTTATTATGGCTGTATCACGAACACAACTCCCGTTGGACCGATCTCGGAGTGACAAAGCTCATGGAAATATCTTGAGCTAAATCTGCCATGGTCACTCGGCGTACATTTCGAGAGAAATGGAACTGTAGCCATCCACCATGATAGCATTGTTTTATGCCCTCATTCTTGACATCACGATCGATATTTCCACCAGCTAGAACTTTTCGGGGAAATGCTGGCGGCTTCGCTGATGGCTTCGCAAGAGGCGCCCTATCGGGAAGGAAATGAGTGGCCAAGCGAGGATGCTGAGGATCGTAAGGACACTCAGTCCTTGTCTCTAGATGCATAATGATTGGCTGGTCCCTACATCCAGCGTGCTCGAATATCTTGTTCTCTAACTGCCAAGTTTTCGTCCTTGGAGGGTGTTGCCCTCTTAGTGTTCTAGACCACGAAAATCCCATCAGACTTAGTATTCCCGGCTGCGCACGTAGCATCTTCCTGTCTCGCCCTATCAGGGCACACATAACTATTTTGATTCGGGTGGGTATCTTCTCCGATGATATCATCATACTTTTCAGGCCCAATGCAAAACAAGACCAAGGTCTTTTCTTTCTTGGAACAAACTAATAATTAAACCCCTCCATTTGAACAAAACTTTGAAAACGGTCACCACGTGCAATGCTCGTCATCCACCTCTTTCGCTCCACCTATGTTTGAGTTTCTCCCCAGAATCGCTTCCCGCATCGACCGTTCTTTACATTTCCGGACCCGGAACCGGGGGAAACTCTTAGCATTAAATCCCGGTTTGAGCTTTCTTTGGCTCGAGCCTTCCCATCCATTCGTCATTGTCGGATCACATCTCCGTCTTGGCCTTTCACGGGCAGTGGTGGCAACCCCCCGCGCTTGCTTCCAAGCTGTTTCCACGCTGCATCCCCGGTTACATGCTATCTAGAATGCGCGGCTCTAGACCCGGAACCCCCGGCGCTATATTTTGCGATCGTATATGAGATAACCTGTACAATCTCCCCTAAATGTCTTCTCAGTGATTCTTTTAATGCTTTTTGCCCAGTCTAAAATATCTGCCGAATATTCGTGGATTGGAAATTAATTTGTCCCCGCTGCGTCCCCTCTCAACATGGCCACTCTACTCCAAACCTCGACTATGAGCAATGTCTTCTCGAGCACACCACCGACATTCGAAGATCCGACGGACCTCTGGCTCAATGCACTCGACATATCTCAGAGCGATAAAGGGTCGTCAATCCAAAGCTTGCACGAGCATTCACACACGAACCAAGAATACAAGCCTCAATCGCAACCCGCCAGAAGGACTCGCCGATATTCGAAGCCCTACATCTCACGTAATGACGTCAGCCCAGGCAGGGCGAAACACCTCGAACGGAACCGCGTTGCAGCAAACAAATGCCGCATGAAGAAGAAGGAGGAGCACAAACAGATCCAAAGCGTCCTAGACAGCGAGGCTGCGAAACACGAGACTCTATTGGCGCAAGTCAACGTGCTGAAAGAAGAGATCTGGCATCTCAAAAACCAGATATTTGAGCATGCAACAAATTGCGACGGCGAGCAGCTCAACCTACAGCTCCCGCTGATGCCTCAGAATGTGCTTGAAGCAAACACTGATGGGATGCAATGTCTATCACCGCCGTTTTCGGCTAGTACGTGCTCCGACGGGTCGGTCGGTGTTGGAGATAGTGGTGGGATCAAGTCGGGCACGCATGAAGATGTCGCAGATGCTGCACCCGTGGACTGTCCTGATGGCTTCTTTGATAGTTTCATTGACGTGCTAAACATGTAGCAAGTCATTTTTCTGTCGAGATCTCTGTGGTTGTTAGCATGGCGTGAAGGGCATGGCGTGAAAGTACTTCCTAGCTTAATTTCAGTGATGTCATCCAAGTAACAAAGGTACCCTATCTATACTCAGTAGTTCGCAATGCATTCCGGATCCACTGTAAACGACCAAATGCAAAATCTGATCATAGGAGGATCACTCGTCGAGCAGGAGGTACATCATTCGAGCTCGGATTGCATCAAGTTTAGTCGGTCGAAAACACCAATCCAATTATAGGACAGACCTAACTGTGTCCAGCCGTGGAGGCTCCCTTTTTGGAAGAGCTTGTGTGGAGAATGCATACTGGGCGACGGCGCAGTTAGTTGGCTGGCTTTTTTTCCCGGTCAATAAGATTGGTAGAAGCCGAAGATCCTATGGGGCTCATAAGCCGGAGCGAATTGAGTTCGACTGGGGCTTTTCCAAATGCTGCGAATGGGTTATCTTGTTAGATTTTTGTAACTATCACTGTCCGTTGATGTCACAGACAGGAATCCCCCCACCTTAGCCACTCGAAATAGCGTTGTAGCCCCTAGTTGCTTATATTACAACCATAACAGGATCTCTTATCCGTTGCTGCGATCTGCGTCTTTGACCCGTAATACACACGGGGCTAACGTCCCAATATCTTACGCTGTATCACGTTTCCAGCGATGGGCGTATCACGATCGAGACGTTTGATTGGTCTTTCCTTGCAACCAGCCTACCAGCCGATGTCTGGAAGACCATTATGTACACCGAAGTTTTGGGACACCATGAGACCTTGGACTTCTCCTTTTCTTTATAATATCCGTTGAAGTATCTTACTTGAACCTTCAATTTTTTTGGTGGATATATGTCTGTGTGAGTCCCCATGCTCGAATCGTAGGAATGTGAAATGAAATTAACAAATTATGATTTGGATGCAGTCGATGAATAATGGGCCAGCTATGTTAGTGACTATCTACACGGGGCCCACCCCCTCTCTTCTTCTTGGTTCGCTGACGACCAGGTACGTAAGCCTATTGAAAACTACTTGCCCATATTTGATAGCATGGTCAAACCCGGCAGCGTCAATCGTACCCCTGCGCGGGGTACGATTGACTGAAAATTCTCTGGATGTAATTGGCTTAGTGCTATGGGGCCTTGGAGACTCAATCATGTACATCTGGAACCAGGGTCATGACAATGATGTGACAGTGGTTCATAACTAGATCCTTGTTGATGGAGATGGCATCACGAGAAACAGGTAGGCGGATCCTATTATCCTGGTATTTTCAAGTCGCGATGTCATGGGTATCTTCATCTATGATCCTGGTTTAGATGATTTCACCCCGACGTCACTGGCCCATAGCTCACACTACCTCTGATATGAGACCTGTCCTTGGAATTCATAGGTCTGGCAGGTTGTGTATATCAAGTTATGGCCATTTTGCGTTGGCAGAATCATCCGCCGTTCTTGCCACCGTGAGCATGCCATCAGTATATAAATCCACGGGGGAAGCAACGTACTGAGAGTGAGAAAATTTCGAAGCAACATACTTCTAAATCCAACTAGTTTGAACTAACTCTTCTTATGCAACAAATATGAAAGCCGTTCGATTTCACGGACGTGGAGATATTCGCGTGGACCAACTTGAAGAGCCGCGGTGCGGGAAGGGCGAAGTAAAGGTAAGTTGACGAGTTTGACTCTTGTAGATAGTGAAAAGAGCATGGATCTAACACTAGTATTCACAGATGAAGCCTGCCTATGTAGGGATTTGTGGAAGCGGTATAATCCATCGACCTTGTTGAAGCTTTGCGTCGCTGCATACTGATGTGCTGATAGATTTTCACGAATATACTTCTGGGCCTGTTCTGGTTCCTAAGACCGAGCATCCCATCACTGGAGAGAAATCTCCCATCACTATGGGTCATGAGTTTAGCGGCACAGTAGAAGAAGTTGGAGAGGATGTCAAGCATGTTGTTCCTGGTCAACGAGCTGTCGTTCGACCCACGATTTTCGACGAGAAATGTACAGCCTGCAAGCAAGGATATAGGCATTGCTGTAAGAATATTGGATTTATTGGGCTAAGTGGTGTGTTATTCTCAAGGATTCCATGTATAGTTTACTAACCAAACGCAAGGGTACGGCGGTGGCATGGCCCATCACATAGTCGCCCCGGCCGAACACTTCTACCCGCTGCCTGACAATGTCTCCTTCGAAATGGCAGCACTTATCGAACCGCTTGCGGTGGCCTGGCATGCAGTCAATATTTCTCCATTCAAAGATAACGATAATGTGCTGGTCCTGGGAGCTGGGCCGATTGGAATCGGAGTGATCCAAATCCTCAAGCTGCATGGTGCAAAGAGGATTACAGTCGTGGAGATGATGGAAAACCGCAAGAATCTCGCCGAGCACTATGGTGCTGATAACATCTTTGATCCTCATGAACTAGACATCCCGGAAGAGGTGTTGAAGGTGACTGAGGAGAAAGGAGTGGATGTTATTTTCGACACAGCAGACGTTGAAAGTGCGCTTAATGGAATTATACCAGCATGCCGAGTCCATGGGACAATCGTTAACATAGCAGTTTGGGAGACCAGACCGGCTGTCAAGGTAAATGACCTGACATACAAGGAAATTAATTATATGGGTGCTGCTTTGTATGATGAGAAGTCGTTCAAGGACGTAATCCAGGCATTGAGCAATCGTAAGTTCTTCCATCATGCAAGAGATAAATGTACTGATTGATCTGCAGGTCAGCTGAGGCCCGAAAAGATGATTACAGCCAAGATCAAGCTGGGCGATGCAGTGGAAAAGGGATTCCAAGAGTTGATTGATCATAGAGATCGCCATTGTAAGATCCTAATTGATGCGCAAACATCCTAGAGTAAACTGGGCGAGTCATTAGATAGTCATTAGGAGGATTTAATTATCATATTACAAGCCGGCGTGAGGTATAACAATTTACCACGTAGATGCACAGGTCTTTATGAAACACATCCAAAATCATCGATAGATTCACCGTAGATCCACCCGTGTACGCGGGCATTCGTTCAAAGCCAAGCGCCTGAGATACCATAGTATTAGAATGCTTCTATCAGGAGAGCACAAATCCGCGCATAGGAACAACTAGCAGCTGTCTCTTTCGACGTTCTTAAGGCTGATCACCAGAGACCGATGGCCGGCGGCTGGGTGCTCTGTGTCCCGCTCTGAGCCGCGCTGCGAGCCTTGCAGTCGTGAGTGTTGCGCCTCGAGTTCACGATGTTCAAGACTGCGACGGTATTGGTAAAAGAAACAGTGCCCTAGAACCGGTAGGTAGTAATGGCTCGTTGCATTTCTTCGCTCGCAGGAACTCGCTACTCAACATTTCCTAACTATGCATCTACTATTGCAAGCGTTGCATCACGGTGGTATTATGTTTCCATGCACCGTTTCTTCATAATCTACTGATCGTATATAGTGTTCAAGACTCGATAATAATCTATAATTTAATCAAAACTCAACTAATTGAAACGAGGATAAAAGTAAGCTTGCGATAGCATCATCAAGAGCTCTCCAGATTTATGACTACGACAGTACTAAGTGAGCGGGAAGAATGTACCTCGAGAGGTCGACAATAGATAGTAAGCTACGCGCGGGATATAACAGGTTGGGATACAAGCCCTAGCTGATGTGCTATGCCGATCATTGCCAGGGTGTTAGACACGAGGGAAGCTAGGTAACCTTTGCTTTGTGCAAAGTCGCGTGGGCGACCCAGAGTGACAATCGTCTATTTAGTTAGGCACCGCCAGATGCAGGTCAGACAGGCATCTCTCTGCGCGGCAGTCGAATCATCTGTTAGGCGAAAAGCCATAACCGCGACTTGATTCGCTGGCAGGGACTTGGCGCAGGCCGTCGGCGGCTGAAGGGCGCGAAGGGGAGCCATCCAATCACTGGAGGCACAGTGTGACGAGGGCAACACTCGTCACTCGTGGGGGCTCAACGGAGCTGCTGGACTGGCTGAACGGGTTGCCACCATGATGGAACGAGACCATCAGTAATGCCATCGAAGACGAATCGATCATAGACAGTCGTACTTATAACTACCATGAAGATATACTATGTAGTGGATCGATCGTGTTCCGCATGAGATCTCGTGATCTTCCAGTGTTTCTGCCTCAGGCACTCACGTGTTCCCCACACCGTCTCGTTCTCGCCCTTTCGCTTCTTCTGCTTCTTCGTCTTTCCTCTTCTTCACCCCCCTCTCTTCTCCTTCCCCCATCAAGTCCATCTAATCTTCGCTTCTTTCGTTTTTTCCTCTCTTCCGTCCTGCATTTGTTCCTTCTCTCGGCAGCCATCGTCGTTTATTTGAAAACTCACCCTTCAAAAAAACACCAAAACCCCCTGCAAATAGTTTCTCCGATTCGATCCGCCCCTGAGAAGAAAATCGTTGTTGGCTCGCGTTTGGTCGAGATCCCACCCTGAAGACACTTCGACATTGATCACCACACAACGACAGCTCCGAGCTTCGCTTTTCGTGTCTTTCTTCTCGCCATAGCGTCTGTTGCTACCCTGTTGCCGGGTCGGTGTTTCAGCCTCTACCGAGTCCTTTTCGCTTCTGCATCGCGCCAACACCTTTTTATTTTTGTTTCATCCGGGACGTGCAGAGCACCTCCCTTTTTCTTCCTTTTCCTCTTTCACGTTTCCTGTGAAAGTCTTACTTTTGATACCCGCTTAATTTCTTCGGACGTCCGGTCGCTTCTCGTCGTTTCATCATTACTTGGGTTCATCCAGGACTATCCCTCGGCTTCGTCCTGGAACTTGTTTCCCTGTACAGTCTGATAATACTGGAATTTTTGATTCATCATTCTCATTGAGCCTGCGACTTGCTTTTCTGCATTCATCACGTTGCGATCGGGTAAGTGTGCTGGTCTTCTCTCAGCTGATCCTTGACTAACCGTTGTCTCACCTTGGCTAGACATCTTGACGTTCGCAACCACACTTCCCTTCGACACTCGGTCTTTTGCTGAGTTCTCGCCATAGACCTCATAATTCCTACCTAATCAGTCTTTCTCCCAATACCGGCTTTGTGGTTGACCCCAAACGCCCGTGAAACGACCTTGTGATCGAGAAACGCTCTCAGTGCACATACCCTCCCCCTATTTGAAATATGAGTACGAACGCTGGCGGTCTTGCTCAAATGACGTACAACTCTTCTTTCAACAATGGCAATTCCCTCGGCGTTCCGAGCTCCGGCTTTGCCTCGCGAGGGAAGGGCTCCCACATCAAGCGCCTGAGTGTGCCTCCCCAGGTGGCCACCATCGACGAGTTCCAAGCGCAGGTCCCAGTCTCTACGCCTCGCACCAGCCGCTCGCATCTCCTAGCTGGATTGCGCACTGCACCCCGATCCGCTACAGTTCCGTCCCAGCATCCGCAGCGCAATGGCATGGACAGCGGTCGGCAGTATGGTCTGTCTAACCGTGGTGCTGACCGTGTTCCTCAAACTGCGACCGGCACTGGATTCCCGCAGCACATGTACGCGACGAACCAGACACAACACAACCGCCCGATGTACATGCTGCCCGAGCAGGTGCTTGCTCCTCCGATAATCGATATGGGTGGCGACCAGTCCGTGGATGAAAACATGTACGCGGAATTGATGTCGACCAATCTCTTTCTGGCGGCACAGCAGCAGCGCCTACAACAGCAGTTGATCAGCGTGACGGCTGCGGCTCAGCAGTTCCAAGGTCTGAATCTGGGCGGTATGCCCGTGCCTCAGCAGCAATCTGTTCCTTCGCTCTCTCTTCCTGGCATGGGTTTCTATCAACAGCAACTTCAGCAGGGTGTGCAGCCCATTGTGCAGCCGGTTCCTGGACAGCCGGGCTTCTTTTCGGTCTTCAACCCTCTGACCGGTCAACAAAGCTACATCATGGACAACGGTTTCCAGGAGGATAGCTCGCCGCAGTTTCAAACCCGATCTCCTGGCCCGCAGGTGCCCCAGTTCCGTGCAGAGATCTCTCCCCCGGCTGAGTCCGCACAGTCGCCGATGCACTTCCCGCAGCAGCCCATCTCTCCTCCGAATGGCACCCCATCTCCTCCGTATGAGAACTCCAACGCGTTCCGCCGCTCCCACAAGAAGAATTCGTCGTTCAACCCTGCTGTGAAGACCAACATCGACACCGCCAAGGCGAACGTCGGATTCGGTCCTCGATCTGCTGCTTTTCCGCCCACGCCGGCCACTGGAACATTCGGACCGGGCCAAAATCGTGCCGGTGAGCATCCCGTCCGTCAGCCTCGTGGACCGCCTTCGCTCGAGGATCTCCTGGCCAAGCCGACCTCCAAACACGAGGGTAGCAAGAACTTCGCAACGCGTCAACGGCGCCGCGCTGTTCACAACCTCGTCCGCGCAGGAATTGAGCGTCGCGGCGAGACTCGTAGCTTTGGATACCACAGCAGCGGAGGCACGAACACGCCAGCGAGCGAGAAGGAGTTCACGTTTTCAGACGGAGACGATGCCACTGTCCGCAGCGGCAGCCTCTCCAGCAAACCCAGTCTGGGCAGTCTGCGCGCAGCGGCCAACGGCGCCATCGGGTCTGAGCGAAAGGAAAAATCAGGCAAAGATCGCAAGTCTCCCGAGAGCCCGTTTCACAGCACAACCCCAACCAGCGAGGACGGCTACTTTAGCTCGAAGCTAGCTGACGCTCGCGCCGACCAAGTCTCTGCCTCGTCTTCGGGCACTTCATCTCCCTCCGTGGCGGCAGTCGTGGCTGGCCAGGGGCCTGTGGCCCAAGCACCTGAACGGCGCAAGACGCCAATGCTCGTGCTGTCTAGCGCTGAAAAACGGAAGACTCCTCTCATGTAATGCCGAATTCCCCCTCATGTGACAAGCGACGTATGACTTTTTCTTTTATTCTTCCGGCTGGCTTTTTTCCCCCTTCTATTGTTTCCCATCGGATATTTCGATAGGTAACCCTTTGACTCTATCCATTCCTTTTATTCTTATTCATGATCAGTATCCACATTGTCAGCCCTGATGTCCGCTTGATGAAAGGCCCGGATCAGTCTGAAATGACTTCTTCTATTCTTCATTTTCAACTTCCCTATTCTTATTCTTCTTATCCTCGAATTGTCCCAGTCAGCCCTGTATTGCAGGCGGAGGTTACTTTTGACACAGGACACACGCTCCTTTATTGCTGAAATCAGCTTCGACATTGAAATGCAAGGAAATATCGGACTGCAGCAACGCTGCCCGTCAGTCACTCGTTTTCTTTTCGGGGTTACTGGTGTGCATCTGGCTATGTACATGCAGTTCTTACGTACTCTCTTATCATTTGTTCCTCCTGTTTCAAGGCCTGAATTAAATCACTACTAGGCAAACACATCTTTGCTAAAGAATGATCATTCCTCGGGTCAATCCGTAGATGAAGTAAGCTGGTTGATCTTGAAGGTTTAGATACTAGGTACCTCGCAGGTCATATGCAGGATAACTATCACTAGATATATTATTCGAAGCTTGTATTCTAATATTGGAGAACCATGGGAAGGAAAATACAGAGGCCACCGCAGCAGTCTTACTGCAAGGACCCCCTACCGATTCACTCAGGGCGGGTTTCATATTGCCGACGGGCATAAAACTCATACCGTGACGCACATTGACGGCGCCACCTCTTTCCCCAGATCAGCATAGGAACATAAGTCGCAATGACGAGCACAGCTAAGCATCCCAAAAGAACAAACATGTTGTAATCGCCCATTCCGGCCTCCCACGGGGGAACGGCGAATACAAGGATTGTAGCGAGGAGATTCCGCACGAACGTGACTCCGACGAAACCATCGCCAATAATCTGGATAAGTTCATAGTTATTATACATTGTCACGGATTAAAATAAACCAATAGGGGAAATGCATACCTTGCTGTAGGAATCCTGGATGTATGTGACCACAATCGTTCCACAGCCTCCGACCCCAAATCCAACAAACCCGGCGCCGACACAGTTGATGATCCAAGGAAGACCCTGATTGTCAGATTAGCCTCACCATCATCTCATCTAGCATGAACCGTCTTACCGTGGTGATTGTTAGGCCATACATGAATATTCCAAGCGGTAACGCAATGCCCGGCACAATGAACATCTGGAGCCGCATCTCAGGCTCATATATGCCCTCGTTCCGTCTGGCTAGTTTCAAAATAAGCCAATCAGTCGCAATCCCTCCAACTATAGAACCTAAGATGCCGCCGATTGCAGGTGCAATGATAACATTTCCAACTCCGATGGGGCTGAAATTGTAAGGAGGAGCCGGGTAGAAAGCTGCCTGGGTAACCAGCATGACTGATAAGGAGGAAAAGGCAAAGCCCCATTGGAGGGCACCAAAGGCGATAGCGGGGAAGAGACAGAGAACAACAAATGGCTGCCAGAAATGTCTTGCAAAGTTGTGGTTTTCATGCTGTAAGTTCGATGGTGTTGTCGTTATAAGACTCATTCGGCTCCAGTACGGCTTGATTGGAATTGAGGTGTCAATATGCTGACGATTTTGGGAGCCAGTGATGTTTTCAGATTTGCTGGAGACTCCGTCATTGGGGGCTGGTTTGGCTTTCTCTGAATTTTGTTCTTCAGATCTCTCTTGGTTTTCGGCAATAGGAGATCCTTCAATAACGACGCTTGGGACATATTTTGTCTCCTCCAATAAGAATATCATGGCTAGAGTCAATGCTCCATTGAATATCGCGACATACCAATAGCCCCATCGCCACCCTTGGGATGCAGTCACGTAGCCCGCTGGCACAGGTGCGAGAAAGTTCTTGCAAGAGGTTAGTCCAGGATAACTTAAACGATGCTAAAATATCATACCCCGATCACCACCATCGCATAATAGATACCATTGAAAGTACCACGCTCATGGACGAAGAACATATCTGCGACCTGTGGTTTCAGGTAAGCAATTGACAAGGTAAAAAACAAACCGAAAGGAGGCATACCGAAATCTCGAATAGTGTCTCGTTAACGACACCGACGAAGCACATTATGGCCTGAGTGGCGTATAACTCTCCCGTAGTTGTCATACTCGCGGACCAAGCACCCATTCCGGTCACGATAGCCGAAGTCAGGATGTAAATTGGTCGCCGGCCGTAGCGAAGCGCAAACGGGACGAGAATGAAGCATCCAAGGGCCAAGGCACCGGTGCCAACTGCGTAGCTATTATTCAAGGCGGTATACGAGAAGCCGACATCTTTGTTCATTACCGCCCACATCGGCGTTGCAACCACCAAACTAAGAACAGGAGATTAGCACGGGAAATCTCGCCCATAGATCAATCTTACCATGCATCTACCAGGACCGTGTAGAGACCTAGGAGAGCAATCTGCAGCCATTTCCTCCAGGGAGCCCAGTTCTATACTCCCCTGGTTAGATTCTGATTTAGCTGTTCGACTTCAAAGACTCACCAGAGGATCGTTCGGGTCTGAAGATGGCTGCGGGGAAAGGACAAGGTCGTCATCGTGGGCTTGCAGTCGGACAGTACCGGGAGAAGTCTCTTGACTATTGTTATATTTACCGGCCTCAGTGTCCATGATTTAGCATAGAGAGTTGGAATAATCGAATCGTCGCGAATGATAACTATTGCCGGCCCCCTTTATTACTTAAGTGTCTTTGGTCTTGGGACTAACTAAAATGCGGAGTAACTAAATCCTTATCTGCGGAGTAATTCATTTATTAGCCCCCGCCCGCTTGCGCAGTGTTCGGCTATCGTTCGTTTAGAATCTCCAGAGCAGGCTGGGCCTAAAGCGAAAGAATAGTTTCCCGGCCCGGTGTAATGGCAAGGCGATAAACAAGGGATTGTAGGCACCACTCTAAATGGGAAAGAGATTGCGAGAAAGTTTAAGTCCCCACCCGGGGTAGAAGCACTTTGGTAATTAACTTTTAATTACTAGTCATTTAATTGCGCTCTGGCTCGACCGGGTATGATTCCGCAGGGCCCTCTATGCGCTAAGGTCGTCCCATATGCCGGTTATATATGCCGGGGTTGTCGCTGCGATCTGGCCTTCTCACTTGCATCTACCTCCATAAAGGCCTCTGACTCGAAAAGCGAGCAAGTCAGACCAATTATACTAGCGTCATGCCTGGAAGCGCAAAAGAGACGGTCTGGCAAGCACTGGATGAGTACATTCACAGCCAAGCGAAGGCACTGAAGGAATTGAATCACAGTGTGAGTGCTGCTAAGAGGATCATTATTTCTCAAGATAACTGATTCGTTAGCAAGATACATGATCATCCTGAACTTGCGTACAAGGAACATCACGCCCACAATGCCATCTGCGATTTTCTTGAGCAACTCGGAATTTCAGTTACCCGGCACGCATACGGGCTATCGACAGCTTTTGAAGCGACCAGTGGTTCCAATGGACGATGCATCAACTTCAACGCTGAATATGATGCTTTGCCAGGCATAGGCCATGCTTGCGGTCACAATCTCATTGCGACCGCTAGCGTGACTGGATTCATCGCCCTTTCATATGTTATCCAGAAATTCGGCCTCCCGGGCCGGGCCCAATTGCTGGGTACACCAGCTGAGGAAGACGGGGGCGGCAAAATCGACCTATTGGAGGCTGGGGCGTATGAGAAGGCAAATGTGTCGCTTATGATGTGAGTTGTTGGACTAAATGAAGCGAGTAGAGATTTCATCTAATTCTCTTTCAAGGCATCCAATGGCGGAGAGCGAATTTCTTAAACTTGGTGCGAGGGGCATTGCAGGACGAACCTCGATCGCTTGTTATGATGTTATTGGAGCCTATGAAGGAGTTAGCGCTCACGCCAGTGCCGCACCCTGGGAGGGTGTTAATGCTCTGGATGCGGTGGTGGCTGCGTACAACAATATATCAATGCTCCGTCAGCAAATCCAGCCGACCGACAGGATTCATGGCGCAATTCTAAACGCACCTGATATTACAAACGCCATTCCCGAGAAGGTGCAGACGAAGTATACCATACGGAGTCCCACAATCCAAGGTGCTAAAGCGCTTGGGCAGCGGGTACGCCAATGCCTGGAAGCTGGCGCCCTAGCGACTGGATGCAAGATCCAATTCGAGGAGACCAAGGCATATGCCAACTTAGTTGTCAACCAACCGCTCTGCGAGGAATTTCGAGACCATTCAATCGCGCAAGAAGAGAAAATGCTGGTGGCAGACGATGTACCCATGTCTGGCTCCACTGACCAAGGAAACGTTTCTCATGCATTGCCAAGTCTACATGCGCTGATCGGAATTCCAGCTACAGCCCAGAATCATACCCATGAATTCACGGCAGCAGCTGCATCAGAGGAATCTTTTCAGCGAACGCTGAAGTCGGGGAAATCCATGGCCATGACGGGTTGGGCGCTCTTGACTGATGAGCATCTTTATACGCGTGTGATTCAAGACTTCGAGAAGAATCAAGGTAACCAGTAGATCCACTGTCCACAAATAAAGAGTCATACCGGAATACCAGTCTAGAATTTACACTGTATACTTTCCCTCAGTTTGACATCTACATCTACATCGCACCTGCATCGCATCTGCACCTGCATGCAAGCTATCTGTGGACTTGGCTTTCTGTAGAAGCTTCGATAACACCGGAATTAGATCTGAAAACAAGAAGTCTGACTGACCACTTTGATACTATACCATCATAGACTCCACAAAAACCTATATGAGGCTCCTGATCATGAGCACGAACGCAAACCACCGAAGAAAAGTGCTTTGTCTCATTCGGCTGACCTGTCACGTGGAAACTGTTAACATTAGTTTTGGAAACTCTCTGCAGCATTTAAAATGTCACTAATTGCACCAGACAATATAAGTCCGCGACTATCAGGTTACAGATGAGATCAGCTCGTTGGATAGCAGATGCACAATGCATGATGCAGGAGGTGATGTTACCTCTATACATCCTCATTATAGGTTAATCTATATTCATGTTATGTAATATTGTGCTATTGCTCTTGTCTGGTGATTATGTCTCGAGGCAGGTGAGTACACGTAGTATACAAGGCGACTTATGGAATGAAAGCTAAACAGGCCTAGACAGTCTATTGTTTCGTATGTGTCAGATGGAGGATCATCTGCGCCGGAAGTACTCTCCGAAAAGTGCCCCAGCGGGCCGGTCAGATAATAGGCTTCCATTTGCTTGAGTTCGCAAACATCAACTGACCTGTTGCATAGGATGCCACCGAGGAATGTGGCCCGTTAGATATCCTCCATTGTTCTTGGCAGCCGAAGGGTTGATGCCTGAATCCTTGACAGAAAATATTTTCCTATCCACATGACAGAATCTGCGATTTTATCATGTCGTTGAGAAATTCGACGGATTGAGTGCGGTAATAGGGTGGCGGATCCCAGAGTTGTGGTAGAGCTTGACAGGATGTCCGATACTCTCCGGCCGGAATGTGAGGTGGAGCGCGTGTAAGTAAATTGAATTTGACAACTTTCTATGTGTCTGCTCGCTCTTTATTCAATATTGCGTGATTGAGTTGTTAATTGACCGTTTTCATCTAGGGATCATACACATCCCTGTGGCTCTCAGCCCTTTACTTAGATCAGACCTGATCGAGTTGGAGTCATGCTCGGGTAGTGAAATCATGGACAATTTGCGAACCAAACATACTTTAGCATAACTACAGTCAATCCATAACAAACGACAATTCCATTCTGGCCGCCTCAAAAAATGGACTGCTTACCCACCTGCACGTACCAAGAAGTTCCTTTGGTCAAAGCCCACTTTTATTCAACCTCGCTGCACTAACCCGAGGGTAGAGACAGCCGGTCTGTGGGACATGCGTATGACCATTACGGGCGCAGCCTATCTGTTCTGCCGGCAAAGATTAGGTATTGGTCCCTGCATCTTGTCTGGTGGTACGGTCATCCTCGGTAGAGCCGGCCGCTGGAGGGGGCTGTACGACGACGAAGAGGGCAGGGTGGTTGCACAGAAGGACTGTGCAGTCGCATCTCTGCAGCGAGCACGGGACTATATGTTAAAAGCTGCACGTTCAGCGAATTCTGGCATCCTGTTGAATTCAATTCCAGTCGAGGAGCTGATTATACATATATATCTGCTTTTCGATATGAAGACCCGGCGAGGGTGTCCTGGAAACCGCGGTATTTGCCCTCGATGTTTAATGAATGCTAATTTACAGCCTTGACTAGACTTTCAATGACCATGAACTCCGTGCCATCATTTCAGAATGGCCGATTGGTAGATCCATAATCTCACCCCAGCATCAGGGGAGGTTGATGATCGCCCATGACCGTTGACCTGGATTGGAAGAGGTTCGGCCAGCAGCCACACGAAGCTTAAGTACATTTAAGTAAATCCTGGCAAGTCTGTTCTAGACAAGGCCCCTTTGACTAGATTTTCGTTGCCGAGGTGTGTGTCGCGCAGCTCTGTGGGTAGCACAATGGCGTGCAAAGAGCCTAACTGCTTCATACACTGGTTAATATTATGGAGATACGGTGCAATGAACCTACTCATGTGCGTTGCGTGCTTAATGTCCTAAATAATGGTGCGACTTTCTTTGTAGTACTCTGTACGGTCGAAGAACCTCTAGTAAATGAGACAGTGGAAGTCTCTGGCTCGTATCTCGCAAGTAAGAAGTACCAATATGTTACTCGGATCAAAGATAGAATCACATTCTTAAAGATGGCGCAATTGACAATATATCCCCACCGGGATACATACCGGAAGGCTAAGTACGTATACTGAATATGTATAGATGCAGGGCAGGACTATCATGATCTCTGTTAAAGATAGCCATGATCTGATTGTAATATATGCTTCGAACTGGTGGGTCCGTCGGATGATTTTCTTGATGTCAAAAACAAGGAGATTGTTTGATTCAAGTTGACCGTCGATTTAGTTCGATCGTTGTTCCATGGACGACGATTTGCGTTTGTCTCGGACAGGGAATTAGCGCTGAACAACGTGACGACGTCTATCAATCTCAATCTCTTTCTAACTTCTATAGACTCGATCCACAGGCTGTGGTACCTCATGATGGGCCCGTGGAACCTGCTGTTGACTGCTGGGCTCTTTGGCAATACACTCGGCATGCCCTGCCTTCCCGGCCCCCTGTGGCCCCAATAGGGCCAAGGCCCTGAGCCGATCGAGCTGGATGCCTGCGTTCCAGACCGTCTATGGAAACCCTTCAGACAAGAAAAGAGCCTGGCTCCATCTCATTTCATGGAGTCAACGAGCCCCTTTGTCTCTATTCTTAGTCCACTATCAGCCTAAGCGCAGCTCAGGACTTCATAGCATCGTGGCGAACAGAGGGCGCCCTCAAAATTTCCTCTACCGCAGAGCCATTGAAGATGTTTATGCTCCTCTATACTCTTGATCCCTGTCCAACGGCTTTTCTCGCTCTCCTAAATACTACACCTTCCCGCCCCTCGATGGTCATTCTCCTAAAGCAACGTTTTATACAAATCGGTAACTGCCAATTCCCCCCTTCACATCCCTTCCTTCAGCTGTGCAGATGTCCTTAATTTCAGATGCGATATTGCGCGACTTCTGATTATGTACCGGTGACATAATTATCATTCCTGGCAGCAGGACTCCCGACTCTATCCCTTCCATAGAGCTCCAGTTTTTCGTGGACAGGAAACCACTCCAGCTGCAAGGCTAGCAGGTGTCCGTGCCTCTCATTTTTGTCCTGATAAATCCATATGGCCCCCTCTGAGATGATGTGATTTCACATAGCTGACATGTTGCCAGGCTACGACCTATCCTGCCACGAACCCGCACCTTCCACGCTATCTGCTGGAGCTAGGGCTGGAGCTCCAGCCAAGGAGCTGTTTAAGCTAATTTCCTATTACGACAAGAAGAATTCGGAAAATTACTCGGGAGGACGCGTTATGGCGGGTGGATATCTCGATCTTCCCACCTCATCTCGCCGGTCGAATGCGTATAGCACATCAACTGGATCGAGCAGTGTTTCTCAAGGAACACGAGCATTGTCCACGCCCTTTACCAGTGAAAGCTATCCATCAGAAAAGCAGCAGCAGGCCGAAAAGGAGTGGAGATCAAACGACGCCTCGAGCGCTCAGGGCAAGCACCGGAATGCGGGCATTCTGAGAAGCACGAATCGCGTCAAATTCACCGTAGGTGGGGATGAATCGCGAAAAGCCACTGGCGGATCTACGATCGAACCTCGAGTGGATGGAAGGGGTGTGGTGCTGGCGCAAAAGCCGTCGCCCACCTCGAGCATTCCATATAACCTGAATAAGGATGCCCAGCTTGCGTCCTTGGCGCAGAACGGCGCGTCGACAGATGTCAGAGGCTTGACGATCTCTTCGCAGACCAGCTTGGCGGGGATCGTCCCAGACTATGAGATTAAAAATCCAGGTATTAATGACAAAGGGTGGGCCATATACTTGACCCCAGAAAAAGCTCCGCGGCTGGCATCCCTTCCCAGTTGCCCTCCAAAATCTCCGAAGCCAAGTCCACGGTCCAATCTAGCGTCGTTGACCAGCTTTTTCCCGACTGAAGTGGTCTTTCCATTTGAAGATGGGGATGGAATCCCTATGATCAGCTTGCCCGAGAAACAACATCTCTACGACGATTTGACAGATGATGAAGAAGCTGGCTCTATAGACGGACGATCAACACCACATAATTCTGAAGCCCATCATCTCGTGCGACAAATGGCTCGTTCAGATTTTAACTTCCTTGCCCGTGTTCGTGCTCCTTCGCCCGGGATGCTTTCTGGCCAGGTCACCCCCGTTGAAGAGAGGGATCCTGATATCTATGTCGAGCGGCCAAAGCATTACCGTGGAGGAATCTTAGCATCCCTCCTCAAGCTCTACGATCAGAAGGCTAGCCGCAACAGCAATAGCAACGGCAAAATGGACCCATATTATCCCCAGGGCCCCTATGGTCGATCGAGACAAGGAAGCTCCTCCGAATTCAGTGGACGAACTCTAACCCCAGACTCTGTTTGGAAACCAGACCGACCCAGGAAGTGGTACGAGAAATCGCGCAGCCGGTCTAGCAGTTCTCTCAGCGGCTCGACAGCCAAGAGCTCCATCAGCTCCCCGATCAGCATGCTCAAGCGGTCCCGGAGCAGCGGCGCCATTACCAACATGACCCGCCGCATGGTGAAACCCAAGCTCGAAGACGAGATTCGCATTACAGTCCACATCGCAGAGCTTCTCTCACGCCAACGGTATCTGATCCGTCTGTGTCGTGCACTAATGAAGTATGGCGCGCCAACCCACCGCCTGGAGGAATACATGCGCATGACGGCTCGGGTACTGGAGATCGAGGGCCAGTTCTTGTACATCCCTGGATGCATGATCATCTCATTCGACGACGCCTCCACACACACGACGGAGGTTAAAGTCGTCAGGTCCACTCAGGGAATTGACCTGGGGAAACTCGCCGACGTGCACGAGATATACAAGGAGGTGATTCATGACGTGATAGGCGTCGAGGAGGCCATCCAGCGACTGGATGAGGTGATGAAAAAATCCAGCAAATTCCACATCCTCTTTCTCATCTTTGCACACGGCTGTGCCAGTGCATCAGTGGGGCCTTTTGCGTTCAACGCGCGGCCCATCGATATGCCAATCGCGTTTTTGCTAGGATGTCTCCTGGGCGTGCTGCAACTGGTTCTCTCGCCAAAGTCGAGCCTGTACTCAAATGTATTTGAGATATCCGCCGCTGTTCTGACATCATTCCTAGCACGTGCCTTCGGCAGCATCAGATACAACGGCGAGCCGCTCTTCTGCTTCTCCGCGCTGGCGCAGTCAGCCATCGCCCTGATCTTGCCAGGGTATACAGTGCTGTGCGCAAGTCTGGAACTTCAGTCGCGCAGCATCGTCGCCGGGTCTGTACGGATGGTCTATGCCATCATCTACTCCCTCTTCCTAGGGTTCGGAATCACTATCGGCACAGCAGTGTACGGACTGCTAGACTCCCAAGCATCAACAATGTACAATTGCGCACCCAGTCCAATCAACAACGAATACCTACAGCGATTCCCCTTCGTGCTCATGTTCACCGCATGTCTGGCAATTGTTAACCGCGCCAAGTGGAAACAGATTCCCATGATGATGGTGATCTCCCTGGCCGGTTACGTGGTCAGCTACTTCAGCTCGAAGCGCTTCGACTCGAACACGCAAGTCGCCAACGCGCTGGGGGCCTTTGTGATTGGCGTGATTGGCAATTTCTACAGCCGACTAAGACATGGCCTTGCTGCCGCCGCCATGCTACCTGCGATCTTTGTCCTGGTGCCTTCCGGTCTTGCGGCCAGCGGATCATTGATTTCAGGCATCACCTCCGCAGAGGAAATGACCCGTTCTCCGTACAGTGTCGTCAACAACGGCACGCAGGGGTTCGTCGACGCGGCCAAGAACATGTCTGCTACTGAGGCGCGCAACCAGAGCTACGGCGTCGTCTTCGATATTGGGTATGGCATGGTCCAGGTCGCTATTGGGACGACAGTTGGCCTCTTCCTGGCGGCATTGGTGGTGTACCCGCTGGGAAAGAAGCGCAGTGGTCTCTTTAGCTTTTGACCAAGCCAACACGTACACTCGCCTTTATTCATCTTTTTGTGCCTCTCCTGTTCCTTCAGCGTCTTCCCGGCTCTCGCGGGGCCTTCTTGAACATTTCGCATCTCCGAATAATCCGCAGATTGAGTCCTGACGCGCAGCCTTGAAACAGTAATTGGAAAATCGGCCTTCCTACTGTTTCTCTTACCGAAAATTATACCGACTCGAATAATTCCCGAAGGTCGATCAGTGCGGACATACATAGAAGCTACGATTCTCACGAGCCACGAACCAACCCATCGAGGCCAATTTTCCCAGTTTTCTGTTCCCTTATTATTTTATCCTGCTTTTGTGTGCGTGTCTATCATCCATTGTGTACTCGGTGTTCTGTGATGAATAAATTGGGTATATCCTGTTCCTCAGTGATTCTTCCTCTACTGTGATATGCGCCGTCTCTGTGTCTATTTGAAATTGCATCGTGTCTTGTCTCAGCGTAAACTTGGAAACGTGAAAAGCGCCTAAATGTATTGCATACTCATTTCCATTTTCGCTGCTGGTGCTGTATACACCCATTATCATCTATCGCGCGATACAACGCCTTCAACTATCAGGTTGTCTTTTCTTTCATTTCTGTTTCGTTGTCTATCAATTTAATTGAAGCTTCGATTATCCTCTATTCATGACCATAGGGTATGGTTTTTGGATTGGATATTGTAGGCGAAGGAAGTGAGGATGCAACTAGCACTTAATATCAGATTTAATTTCTAGCGAAATGCTGCGCCGCGCTGAAATTAGGGACCAGGAGAGCCAGAGAAGAGATGCAGAGCTTGAATTGGTCACTGGAGACGACGGCCAGCCACTTTATACTAGCGATAGACCGGGGGGAGGGTTTCCATTAGACTGAATCTCTGCGGGCTCTGTCGTAGAGATAAAGAGCCGCTGACGCCCCGAAAAGCTAGTTGAAATCCTGGTGGGTTGGACCTCTTTGGCTAATATTGCTTCGATCTGTTAGCTAACCTAACTACAGTAGTACAGCCGTGAAAGAGAATATCGCGCCGCCGCCATGAGAGTCCATCTACATGCTCACTTCAAATGTCAGATATCTGGCCCAACCAAACCCTCCTCCTTCTCTCAATACCCATTGCCCATTTAACCTAACAACAGAGAGACGTATCAAAGAAATAGGTAGTATTGAAGACTCTGTTCTTATGAGGCTACTACCTCTAGACTGAACTATCCACAAATCCATCCCCCTATCCATCCATCATCCATCCTGACCCGGGCCCTCAGAATAAGAAAATAACACCCCAAAACGCCGATGCTTGCGGAAACAATGCAATGCATCCTGAAACCCCCTAAGTTAAGTACGCCGTGCTCACATATCCCCACTTTGTAGGGGAGATATTCTTCATCGAGATTCATATCCATCAAATTCCATACGTGAAAGAAAAAGAGAAATAGGAGAAAAGAGAGAGAAAGGGGGAAAAGTCGCTAAAAAAAATAGACAAGAGAGAGGTGGGTGAATGTAGTACTGGTGAGTTAGTGAGAGACTGACGTTATCGTCTCTCAACCCGACTCAATGCACCCAGGATAAGACCCAGATCTTCGCGCGGTCTAACTGCAGATAACGCTGCAGTACTCGGGGAATGCGCTTCACCGTCACTGCTCTCGATCGCGGCTCGGCTCTGCGCATTGAGTGCATCGCGCTCTTCAAGGCGCTGGGCGCAGATGCGGAGGATCCGAGAGGAAACAGTGTCTGCTGTTGAGCGGTACAGTTCGATATCGTGTACTCCTGCAGCGAAAGCGTCGAGGGTGGGAGCGAGCCCGGATGCGATTCGGGAAAGACGCGTGGAGACGACGGAGGGGGTAACGGTGGGAGCGTTATCGGGGAAGAAGAAGAAGCGTCTTGGGATGGTTTGGAGGAAGGCTGGAGCGATGACAAAATTGCTTGTTGCGAGGGATCGAGGAGGGATGTGTCGATGTTCGGCTCACGCTTGGCTTCCTGCGAGTGTCGTTTTGTCTTCCGCGGAAGCTTGGATGGAGGGTCTGCTTGTGGCAACGAGGGGATTGATGGTTGTTTGAGGAGAGCGTTGAGGGCTTGCCTCTCTCGTTGGAGTCTTTGGATGAATGTGTTAGCACGAACCAACCCATGAGAGAAGCGACTCCCTACTTTTGTATTTGCTCCTCCAGTTCTTTAATCTTGTCCGTATTTTGCACGTTCCTCGGGTTCGGTTTCTTCACCACAACCGCTGGCGGGTTCAGGTCTTCTCGGCCAAACCAGTTAGAAAGTTCAGAGTTTGATTCGAGCTCTCTAAGCAGCTCCTCTTGGATCACACGAGCTAGAAAAGTAAGGTTAGAACATTCGCTTCGTATACCTGCCAATAGTCACCCACCTGCCATACGCGCACTCTGGTCTTCCGAATGCGACCCAGACGGCTTCTCCCCGATCGAACGCGTCGCACACCAAATAAGAAGTTGTCGCATCCTCCGCGGTTCCGGAAGACCGTCGTCGGCAATATGCTTATAGAAATCTGCTGTGCCGACCTCTCGATGCGGCAGGGCTGTATGAGACGTATTTGTTAGCATGGCTGCCATGATCCATTGCCGGACGAAAAATCCTACCGTTGGAAGCCCCCGAATCAATCAAAGAGCTGGCTCTCCGTCCTCTCATCTGCAAACTACTCCGCCTCCGCCCTTTGTTCCCTTTCGTCCCTCTCAGTTCCTTGTTCCGCTGGATAACTGGAGTGTCCGCCAGAGGGAGTGCCACTTTCGTACCCGCAGGAGGTGATTTGAAGCCATTTGGCTCACTGGCTTGTGTTTTCGCTGGACGTCCTTTCTTCCTAGCAGGCTGAGCTTCCGCTGTTGTGCCTCGACTTCGCGTGGAGTGCGCATTGGAAGATTGGAGTTCTGGTTCCGCAGACGGAGCCTTCCCAGTGCCTCGAGTTGGTCGCGTCGGAATCTCAGTAGTCGTCCCTTTCATCGGCACCGCGCTCCCCTCTCCCGTGCGTTTCTTCGGCGGCCGTCCTCTCTTCGGTGACGGTTTCGGCGGCGCGTTCTCTGCATCATCGGGCGCGGGAATCTCCGGGGCAGCTTCGAGGGACGGGCGAGGCTTTTTGTTAGGAAGTCGCGAAAACTGGAATCCCCCGATATCTTCTTCGTAATCTACCAAATGACAATCACGTCAATATTCGAAAAGAAGCCCGAGAGCAAGACGTACCAGCTTTCCGTTTCCCATCATGGGTCGGACTCTCTCCCTCCAATCCCTGCTGACTCGGGCTAAGTCGCGTGGTTCGTCGCTCCCCTCCTCTGCCCCTGCCGGCGGCGGACGACGCAGGACGCGATTGCGCCTGAGAAGCCGCCATGCCGATCGTCCCCAGTGGTTCGCGACGCTTGGTCTTGGTCACTGGAGCTGCCAGGACCGCGGTGGTCATGTCAGGGACGGGTTACGCGAGTCTTTCTTGGGCGCGAGTTCGAGCGCAATAATGGACGCGACGGAGAGCGATCACGGGTAGTTGAGCGACCGCGCAGGATGGGCGGAGTATCAAGGAATGTTGCAATGCAATAATGGGGGACCGTCACACTTGAAGAAGAGACAAGACAAGAGGGGCCAAGAGTCGCGGTTGTTTTGGTGAAGCGTGGGGCGCTAATCCCGTTTAGGCATCGCGTTGCTGCGACGGAGTATGTATGTGGGCTAACTTGTACGTTGAATGGAATTACAGGCTATTCCGGAAGAATTGAGGCCAAGCAGACCGGTGCTATATTCCATCCATCCGTGTCATTTTTATCTCCGCACAGAACGTCTCTGGCGTGTTAGACAGGTAGGCAAACGCTATGATGTTGATGATGATGATGATGATGATGATGATGATGATGATGATATGGTTGACCAGAAATTCAACCCCCTCTCCGAACGCCAGTGGTTTAAAAACAACACACGGACTATGTGCATGCAATCAACAAAAGAAAAATATAAGATAAAATCCCGGGTGCGAGACGGGAGTTGAAGCCCAATCCGCTCAATCGCTGAAATCTCATTTGATGGCAGCGAGCATGGACGGGTTGCTCGGGGGCGCCAGGCTGCCCTCGATGCGTCGCTTAGCGTCTTGCATCTCTTCGATGGTGACGTTCTCTGCCTTCTTGGGCATGTCGGGCTCGAATTGGGGGATGTCTGGGCTGTGGCCGACGGACATGCCGACTCGGATCTAACATGAATGAGTACTGAAGAAAAAGCCTTGCAGGGAACGACTTACCAGGGTCTCCAGGGCACCCTTCGAATTGTCCGTCAAGTCGCTGTCGAAATTGACCACCCCCTCCTCGAACAGCACGAGCAGCGTACTGCCCCCGAACTTGAAGTAGCCCAGCTCTTCGGCCCGCGCGACCTTGTCGCCCGCTCGTCGGGTGATCACCGTGCTTCCGACCATCATGGCGCCAACACAGACGACCATGACGCGGCCATGCACAACAGAATCAATCGGAACCAGAACCCGAACATTCTCACCATACACATCCAATGCCGAGCGAATAGCCATGGGATTCACTGTGTAGTACTCGCCCTCGATGGTCCTGGGCTCACCCATGATCCCATCAACGGGAACATGGAAGCGGTGATAGTCCTGGGGGGCCAGTCGAAACACGCCCAAGGCACCGTTCTTGTACCGTGCTGCATCTTCTGGGTAGGCATTACCCAACAGTCTTTCGATGGAGAACTCTCGGCCCTTGACCCAGATGCTGGTCGCTTCCTCAAGCCGATCGAAGACCACGGAGCGGCAGTCGGCCGGGGACACAACAACCTTGGGCTCGTTGGGCGCCGAGCACGGCCGCGCATCGTCCTTTAGTGCGCGGTAGAAAAATTGGTTGAAGGTTCGGAACTTTTCGATCGGCAGCAAAACCTCCGACATGTCCAACTGGTGGAAATTAATAAAGTCCCGAATCTGGCTAGCTGAGGCCGGATCGTCGTATTTTCGGCCCTGTTTAATGCTCAAGGAGCGTAGAACGCGACGGACTGCAAGATCGTTAGACAATACCAATATAAATTGAGGAATACAAACATACTTCGCTTTTTCTCCATGTCACGGCTCTTGAGACCCTTGTAGAGTAATCGAATCCCGAGCCGAACGTAGACGCTCATGCGCTCCTCATTGATCTGTCCCGTGATGCGATCCTGGACCAGAATATTGGCCGAATTCGCCCCGAGTCGATACCCACCGTATGATATCTTTGTGATCACCTTCGAATACCACTTGCGCTGGGCCTGGCTGGAGGTCACAAAGCCGCCCATCATCAGATTGTCCACCTGCCGCCAGTCGCGACTCGCGCACGTAGCAATGTGTGTGATGATATCGGCATCAGAGCGCTTCGCAAGCCGAGGCTGGTGACAAAGGGGGCACTCGCGAATCTCGATTACGTGTTCCACGCCCCTCTCATCCGCGAGATCGTCGGGTTGGAGATCCTCGTCGGTTGAGCTGGGATTCTCTTCGCTAGATAAAACCGGAATTGATGTGTTGTGGGGATCAATATTGGCCGGGTGGGAGGTGCTTGATTCGATGGCCAGCTCATCACCGCTGGATGGCTCCTCACTCGACGATGGAGCAGGGGCAGGCTTGTGAGGAACAGAAGTAATCGCATTCTTTTTCTGGAGCATCTGGAGAGTATCCTCAAGACAGATCACGGCCTGGTCGATGGTCAGGTCGACCGTGTCATTCGGCTCGTTCTCTGTGCTAAAACGTGAGAAGAAGCTGTCAATGGTCGACTCTTTCAAGGTGGATCCCAGAGTGTCGAGCATCGTCGTCATTTCGACCTTGTCAATGCGGCCGCTGTCATCCGCATCATATTGCTTCAGCATCAGTCTCCAGAACTGCTGCCGGAGGGCTTTGTATGGCAAATACTTCGCCTTGATGTGCAATTCAGGCGAGTGTTTGTCTTCCCATCGGTCTCGATTCTTCAGCGTCAGAGGGATAACGTAAGACCGGAACCCGTCTGCATCCACGGTCGAATCGCTCTCATATGCGGCTGTGGTTGTGGATGGAGCCTGAAGCGTACTACTGCTATCAAGCTCGAAACTCCCTTGTTCGGGGACCGGAACACTCGTGGGTGGAAGGAGAGTTGGCGTGTCGTGAATGGACTGGGTGGACAGCGAGGTAGCGGAGTTTCGAGATTTCATTTTAGGCCGTGACATTTTCGAGAGATTCGATGATGAAGCCGAAGGGCTGGGCCCATATCGGGGACTCGATTTGCTGACCGGACTAGTCTCGGGCGACGAAGGTGGCTCTACAAAACGGTACAAACCCGATTCCTGGTCTGCCTCTGGGGCAGACTGGATGAGAGTCTGCAACGGGAAACCGGCTGAGGCGACGAAGTCATTACCGGAAAACTTGTCTCGGTCCATCACCGTGAAGCTTATGGTGTAGGATTTCTCGTGGCGCATCACCTGGAACACCATCTTTTCATAGTACACCGGGTTCAAGTTATGGCGCACGACAGGGGTCCGAAGCGTTTTCCTCCCAAGAGAAGTCACCACAAAGGGATCCATGTCGAACGAAGTGCGTGTCACTGAGAACCGATCAATTATTTGCAGTAGTTGTGGGAAAGGAGCTCGTACCATTCCGTTCGGGAGGGAGATCAGTCACTTTAACAACTTCCATGAACATGATTCCCTGCACTCCAGTCCCCGAGCCCGAGAACTGATACGCTCGAGCCGCCAGGGATTTGCGCTTCAAACGTGCCAGCCGGAGTCTGCGCCTCCGCTTCTCCACCACCTCGGCTTTCGACGGGTCGTCGGTCTCATCGGATGTCTCTTCGTCACGGTCGAGGTCGTCGAGTTCGCCCGGAGGGATCGGGTCCTCGTCCTCGCCTGCATACACCAGGCTCCTGAACTTCTGACTGATCTCCGCCGGAGAGGCATCGGGCTTCGCGGAATCCGAGATCGAGAACTGGAGCAAGATCTCGCCGGAGATAACGCTGTCCTTCTTCTTTGCCGGTTTCCGTTTCGATGTTAAAGTATACCATTTTGGCTATGATGGAGGCCTCCGTCAGCATCGTAGCTCCTTTTCAGTGTTTTTGTCAATCAATCCCACCTGCTGGTCCACGTCGCCTTCCAGAAAGAGATCCTCCAGGGGGATATCGAATTCTCCCAGATAGTCTTTCCCAAACCGGTCATGATCCCAACAAATACACTCCAATAGCGGGACGCCCATCACGGGCATTTCGAACGAGACATTCCATTCTGGGTTGAGGGTCTTGGGTATTGTTGGCGTCGACTGCCTCGCGTCTCCCAGGTTCACTACCAGATACTGCCAGGTGGCATTGTGTGAGCGAATTGGATCGGAGGATGGTATAGGCCAGGTGTCTTACTGGATCACTGGTTCCGCCGCGGTCTTTGGGAGCAAGATTCCTTCCCTGCAGTGACGAGGGTCCGGGTTAGCTCAGTGGTGGGGTGGACAGGGCATTGCCAGAAAAACACTTACTCGGATCACGGTGATCTTGAGCATCAGAGGCTTGAACTCCGGCACCCGCATGGGACTGGTGCTTCTGCTCTGGCCCGGGGTCGAGCTCGCGCTCCTCGCGGACAGGTGTGAGCTTAGCCGGTGCGGCAGCGGTAACCGGACCATGACGGGATTGGTGGGCTGGTGCGAGCGGGAAGAGAAGAAGAGGGAAGAAAAGCAAGGAGAGAGAGGGGCAGGCCCGAGACCGTCCGAGGCCCGTTGTGGGAGAAAGCAAGTTCAGGCTTGACAGGCCTGGGGTGATCTACGATCTGCTCGGGTCGATCGCAGAGGGCCAAGCGAGCGGACCCAATCGCCGCCCAAACACTGGGCAAGTCGGAGCGACCGGTGAGTCGGAGCCGCGTATGTCGGCGGCAATTGGGTTTAATTAGGCCGATACTAGTGGGGACATTGGCCGTGGGTGGGTGGTTTGGGAGGGAAAGAAGGTGGAAGAAGAAGGAAGGAGAGGGAGGTCGCCCGCTCAAGGGGGTCCGAGAGTGTTGAGTGTGTGTCGTTTGAGGGGAATTGAGCGAGGCTCGTGGGGATCTCCACCGGTGACATCGGCTGGTGGAGATCAGGAAGACTTGGCTTTGGTGTTTGCTCCTCCAGGTCCTTGGTGTTGCACGCACGAGAGACCGTGTGCTATAGTTACCGAGAATGAGTTACGCTTTACCCGGCCACAGCCATTCCGAGCATCGAGGCGGCATGGTTGAACCATCTCCACACACCCCACATGGATCACTTATGCGCGGTCATTCAGGATAGGGGTCTGATTCTAGATGTATCTACAAGAAACAGCCCCCTGGTCAAAGGATCGTGGAGCGGAATTCCGTGACGTCTCACACGTGTGGTTGTCTTCCGTCTATTAATAGACGAGTCTAAGGATGGGAGGAGGAGCTGCAATGACACTGTAGAATTGGTTCGAAACCCGGTCGATCCCAATAGGACAGTTCGTCGGCAGCTGAATTGCTAACCAAGGAGATCTCCAATTGAATAATAACACCGACCGGGGTAATACCAGGCGCCCTATATAGCCCCGGCTGTCTAGTCCTGTCGACGGTCGGCCCGCCCCCACACTTCATCGGCATTCGCCTTGCCCTTGGTCTCCGGCACAAAGTAGTAGATAAATGCGCCGAGCAGGGCAGCCATCGCCGCGAACACCCAGTACACCTCCCCGCGGCCACCCAGTGCGTGGTTGAGGACGGGGAAGAATTGCGCAACGACAAAAGTTGCAATCCAGTTGGCCGCCAGCGCCCAACTCTGTGTGGCTCCCACGGCTTCTGGCCCCACGAGCTCCGAGGCGAGAATGAATGGCACCGGGCCCAGCCCGACGGCAAAGCTTGCCACGAACAAGAGGGCGGCGATGGCGGTCAGGATTTTCTGGCTGGCCGCCATGCCGATCGCCAGGAGCATGGAGCTGCTGCCCATGCCGCAGATACTGAGCAACAGGCACGTTTTCCGACCGATCCGGTCTGGCAAAGGTGAACAGGCCAGAGTCATTATGAGATTGATGGCGGATATGAACACGGTGAGCAGCGCGGCCGTTGTGGGCAGAATACTCTGCAGCAAGGACACGCTATACATGATGACGCTGTTGACCCCGGTGAACTGCTGTGCGACCATCACACCAACCACGGCGACGATGGCTGGCCGATAATGGGGATCACGAGCTACCTGCATGATCGTAACCGGTGGTTGTTTAGGGGACTGAGTTCCAGGCGATGGAGCAAGAAGAGATTCTTCTTCGGGTGCAACTCCCGAGGAAGCTCTCCAGGCCTCAATCTCGGCTTCGATGTCGGCATCTCCTCCTCGGATGCGTTGTAGGACCTTTTGGGCCTGACTGGGCTTTTGATGCTCCGCGAGCCATGCAGGACTTTCCGGCACTGTGAACAATCCCAATAGCTCCAAGGCACCGATAATACCAGCAACAGCGAGGATCAGTCTCCAAAAGCTTCCTTTGCTCCAGAAATACCCCAGCGTTTGGGCTAACAGGATTCCGACGTTGGTCATGACCTGGGTAAATGCTCCAAAGAAGCCTCGAGCACTGGGCGGCGCAATCTCCGAGATAAAGATTGGGCCGACTACTATCGCAGCACCGGAGCCAACCCCGGAGAGAAACCGACCGAAGCTGAGGACAGGAATTGCCGTAGCCAGAGATTCTGCCACAGGGCCCAGGATGAAAAATATGGTCGTCGCTCGGAGTGCCACTAGACGTCCATACTTGGTTGAGACGGGCCCAGCCAGCAGGGCTCCCAGAAGACCGCCGAGAGTGTAGATTGAGGACACGAGGCCGAATTGGGAAGGGTCCATGGGAATGCATTGCGGCAGGCCATGAGGGGCAATTGCGGAATGGATGGTTTTCTTTTCGCACGTTATCACCGCTTGGGGTGCATTGAGCTCTGCCTAGGACAGCAGGTGAGCCACGCAAGACATTGAGAGTGGGCAGAGAGATACCAAGTGATATCCAAATTGCAGCGGACCCAGCGTGGTAACGAAGACCAGGTAGACTAGGTACGGAGTGACCTTCGACTGGGTGGGCTGTTCAGCCATGTTGAGTATTGATTGAGTGGAGGAGATAAGATGATGGCACGCGGAAGGTGAACAGCCCCAGCTGACTAACCACCGCCGTCGTCCTTCCTCAAGAACTGATCAACTCAAACTCAACTCATGAGTCGGTCGCTCGCTCTCTACTTGCTTCTTTGCTCACTCACTATCGATCTTCATACCCCCGGTCATCGTTATTCGCGGAGAAACTTCCTCCCTCGACCTTTCCCTACGCCCGAATGGATGCCATTGCCTGATACCCACTGCGCTGCTCCACATCGTCTCCCCCAATGAGCCTGACCAACCCGCCCTCCTCCGGCTCCCTCTCTGCCCGCTCACGGCCGCCCGCGCAATCGCTCAAAAGAAGCTTGCAGGCCACTGTCGATGGTAATTCGCTGTTCCATGAATATTTGTCTTCTTTCTGCTTGACCTGGGGAGGGGAAGGGAAGAGAAAAAAAAAGAGAGAAGGGGATTCTGCCGGTTGTCCTTGATCGTGACCTCTTTCTGTATCTCTCTTCCAACATGTTTGGAAGGGGCTTCCCATTCTTGAATTCTGTCGGTGGATTCTATTCTCGTGGTAATTCTTGCCCTTGCGGTTGTTTTGTGCTCGAGAAACACGTGCGCATGGGGGTCTGGAAGGACGTCGATTCTCTCATCTTTTTGACTTGCTTCCCTTTCCTTGATTTTCACTTCGCTACCGGTGCATGCGGCTGACCTTTTCCCGTCATAGAGGCCATCGATTCCAGGAGATCCGCAGGAGGGGGCTATACCAGCAAAGTCCGCGTACGAGACAGGTATCACATCGTCGGGTTCATCAGCAGCGGAACCTATGGGCGGGTGTATAAGGCCGTCGGCAAAAATGGCCAGAAGGGAGAGTTTGCAATTAAAAAGTATGGACTTTTCCGGAACCCTCTGAACCCGATTAACCATTTGCGTTCGCAGATTCAAGCCGGACAAGGAGGGCGAGTCGATCCAGTACACCGGTCTGTCGCAGTCCGCCATCCGCGAAATGGCTCTCTGCACCGAACTATCGCATGCAAACGTCGTACAACTGGAGGAAATCATCTTGGAGGACAAATGCATATTCATGGTGTTCGAGTATACCGAGCACGACTTGCTACAAATTATCCATCACCACACACAACCTCAAAGGCACGCTATCCCGGCGGTCATGGTCCGATCAATTCTTTTCCAGCTATTGAATGGATTGCTATACCTCCACACAAACTGGGTCCTCCATCGCGATCTAAAACCGGCCAACATCCTCGTCACCTCGAGCGGAGCCATCCGGATCGGCGATTTGGGTCTCGCGCGACTATTCTACAAACCCCTCAACTCTCTCTTCTCTGGTGACAAGGTCGTCGTCACAATCTGGTACCGCGCACCCGAGCTGCTGCTGGGCAGTCGACACTATACCCCAGCAGTTGACATGTGGGCCGTTGGCTGCATTTTCGCCGAGCTCCTCTCCCTCCGCCCAATCTTCAAAGGCGAGGAGGCGAAAATGGACAGCAAGAAGACCGTCCCATTCCAACGGAACCAGATGATGAAGATCGTCGAGATCCTAGGCCTTCCCCGCAAAGAGACCTGGCCGGGCCTCGTCTCGATGCCCGAATATTCACAGCTCCAGTCCCTGGTGCTCCACCGCCAACCAGCCCATTTCCATCGCGGCTCCAACCTCGAGGGCTGGTTCCAGAGTTGCATGAAGAATGGCGGGTACTCTTCCAGCTCCAACACTGGAACTCCGGGTACAGACGGGTTCGACCTACTGTCCCGCATGCTGGAATACGATCCGACAAAGCGGATCACCGCCCAAGAAGCACTCGAGCACCCCTATTTCGCGAATGGCGGACCCATCAGTGCGAACTGTTTCGATGGGGTCGAGGGCAAGTATCCCCATCGCCGGGTTACGCAGGACGACAATGATATTCGCACGGGCAGTCTTCCCGGTACGAAGCGGAGTGGGCTGCCGGATGACTCGTTGATAGGGAGGGCGTCGAAACGGCTAAAGGAGTGAATGAGTGAATCATTGCACGTACGCTGGAGACTTTTCTTCCTCCGACCAGCTGTTACAGCGCCGATGACTCCTATTACCGGGAAGAGGTCTAGCGCCTGATGGGCAGGCATGTTCATAGTCCTCCTCACAACCCCGACAGTCCAACCCAAATTGGTCACTCATCATCAAGTGGCGTTACGCCTAGGACTAAAAGGGGGTTGGCTAGTCGGAAGCTTCTTCCACTAACACCAAAACAACTATATTTGCATTCATCACCGGCTCGGCGCATGGGAAAGCGGGGACTTTCGGGAGTTTGGACTGGCGTTGGAGTTTTTCTCGGTTCTTCAGTGGACATTTTACTGAGCATACCATATGGCATACGGTGTTGACAACGACACGTGAGTTATGTAGATCAATCAGATCCATCGAATGATGGGTTGTCCTTGTTAGACGCCTATGTAGTTCCTATTTCCATTTCCATTACCTATTGACAAACCCTCCATCCATACTCCCATATCCATACCCTCATATCCCATGTTCTCAACCAAAACAAGCAAAGAATTATTCAGTACCCTAAGAAGAGTCGGGTCAACCACAAAGCTCGCAGGGAAGATACCCAAAGACAAGACTTACCATTCTGCTCTCGTCGATTATCACCATCCGCACCATCCTGACCATCGCCACCACCAAGAGCCTCCGCCTGACCAGCCGCATCCTGAATCCCCTGCTCATCACCACGCAACTTCTCAAAATACCCCTTAATATCATCCGCACTTACGGCCTGTCCGCTCTCAGCGAACGGCTTCAAGAATTCCTTCACCTTATCACGTAGGTGGTTATATACCATTGCGCCCTCGATAGCGCGCACGCGGTCGACGTTGCTTAGCGCTGCTTCGCCGCGTTCGAGAATGCTACCCGTCCCCGTACTTCCCGGACCATTGGCCTCGCCGTCGTCAGAGAGCGGTGGCTCGTAGGTTTCTTCTTCCTCGCGCAGTTGGGGGTGGGGTGCAAGATTTGGGAAGCAGTCTGCGCAGCGGCAGAGTTTGTCATAGAAGTTTTCTTGAAGGAAGAGGGAGAATGATGAGGTGGGTGCTGAGGATGGGAGGAGACTATGTTTGGGGGGAGGGGACTGTTCCTGTTTGCCTGACTCCTCTTGGATGCCAGTGAGTGTGGAGGACTGCTGGTCATCCTTGGTCCGCTTCGCAGTGGGCTCTTCCCCTGTAGGCTCGTCCTCCTCTGCCTTGCGCTTTTTGGTCTTCGTCTCCTCCGCTGGCTTTGCGGGAGAGGTATTGTCCGCAGATGTGACATTGGCCTCAGCGGTCTTGTTCAGTCCACCCTCCTTGAACACCGGGGGCAGGAAGCCCGGCGTCCCTGCGTACTTCTTCAGCCAAGGATTCGAGTCAATGCATTTGAAGCAGAGGAACTGGTCGAAATCATCCTCCGCCGGGAAGTGAGGTGGTAGAGGTGTTTCATCTCCATCCTCGGCCTTATGCCAATCCCGCGACAAGCCGATTAGGCATTCTGGATGCCACCAGTCCTCGCCGCATCCCCCAGTTTCCACCGTGCCTAGTCCCAAACATTGGAACATGGTACCCTTCTCCTGATGAGGATCATACTTTTCACCACAGCCACAGAATCGGTTCCGGAAGTTGTGATTGTACGTGTTGCTCGCCGCTGGCTCTTGCGAGCGGACGCCCTTCCTCCCGGTCTTGGGATCATCGCGGAGTGTACACGGAGAGGTTGAAGGCAGGCGCGTCGTTCCGCAGTCACAGACAAAGTTTCGCTTGTTGAACAGCTCCACCAAGGTGTGCTCACCGTGGCAGGCGATGGAGCAGGAGTAGCAGACAGCGGCAGGAGTGTACGCATCGTCGGGATTTTCAGGAGGCGGTTTGCAAGTCTGGCACGCGAAGAGGCTCTGGCGCAGCGGGCCGAGGGCGTAGGTGCAGGAGTCGAAGGACTATCATGTATGAGCCTCGTCAGTGATGGGAATCCGTTTGCGATGTACGGCTGCGCTTACATATGGGAGTATTTCACGCGCATCGGCCTCCAGTCGCATCTGGGACTCGATAAACCTGGGTGACACGTCAGTACGCGAGAACACGCGTGGCGATGGGAGCGCATACTGCTTCGCGGTCTGCGAGTCTTGTGAGCTCAAGCTCTCGCGACGAGCCTGGTCGCTTTTGCGGAGATCTCCCGCCAGCGCAGGTCCATCCATGATGTCAATTCAGCGATGCAACACAGCCAAAGAGTTCGGAGCAGAGGAAGAGGAGGAACAGCTCGGAGCATCCCTGGCTGATGGCGAGGTGCACGGGCCACTCGCCTCCGAGTCGGAGGTAATGGAGTCTAGCCCTAACTCACCACCACCACACGTCTTTCATACATAGTGCAAGTTCCGGACAGCCAAATGTAAAGGCCGATGGAGGTATACAAAATAAAGCTAATGAAGGACAATCGACCCATTAATTACTTACAGCCATCATCTTACCACCGGAACGTGTCGACATGGTCGAGTAAAAGGGACAGGATTTATTGCGAAAGTCGGCCACAATGAGCTTCGACGAGCGAGCGAACATGTCCCATGCTTTGCGGACGGTACAAGGGAGGTGAATCTAAATGATACGATGAGGCCAAGCTGTGTTTTTGCAGTTTGCATTTTTAAGAGGTTTTGTCCAACGCGTCCAACGACGCGACTTGTCTCCACTCGCGTCGTTCGACGTGTCTCTCCCTAGTCTCCCTTCTCTTCTTCGAATCACCACTTCTTGATTTTTTTTTCCTTTGCACACATTCCAACTCAACCCAACTCATACTACATTGTGATTGGATTTGAAACACACATACACAATGGAGTCAGTATCTGTCTCTCTAGAGTGCTCACCCAGATCTAACCTCTCTCCAGTCCCCTCCAACCCAGCGACTCGGCCGCCAACCGCGGTCCGAGAGCGAACACTCGGAAGAGATCGAGAGAGCCAGATGACATGTCCTCGCCGGCGGCACTGCCTCCCTCAAGTCGTATGTGTGCGAACCCTGTCGTGTAAGTGACCAAACTGACCGTGAGAGTAGCGGCCGCACTGGGCTCTTCCCCGCCGCCCATCCCTTTCGACATGGGCAACGACGACGACGAGGAGGAGACAGAGCTGGTGCAAGATATCGACGATATTGACGAGTTGGCCGAAGATGAGGATGGCATTGACCTGTTCGGCGACAATTTCGAGCGCGACTACCGGGCGGGAGAGGAAGAGCACTACCAGAACGCGGACTACATTGACGACGAGGAGGATTATCAAGAACTCGATGCGGCGACCCGTCGCCAGTTAGATGCTCGACTGAATAAGCGCGATCGCGAATTGGCCCGTCGACGCCGTATGCCCGCCGCGTTCTTGCAGGATGACGATGACATGGAGATGGATCTGTCTCGCCAGCCCCGGCGACGGAGGCACCACTATGATGAGGACGGTGATGACATGGATATGGCGGATGAAGGCATGGAGGAGCTGTCTCTCGAAGAATTGGCAGACGTGAAAGCGGCCAACATCACGGACTGGGTTACCCAGCCCCAGGTCCTCCGCTCCATCTACCGCGAATTCAAGGCTTTCCTGACCGAATTTATCGATCCCACCGGTCAATCAGTGTACGGTAACCGGATCAAGACGCTTGGTGAAGTCAACTCGGCTTCTTTGGAGGTTTCCTATGCCCACCTGAGCGAGACCAAGGCGGCGCTCTCGTACTTTCTCGCCAACGAACCCACTGAAGTGCTGAAGGTGTTTGACCAAGTCGCGCTGGATGTCACTCTCTTCCACTACCCGCAGTACCACGACATCCACAATGAGATCCACGTCCGCATCACCGACGTCCCCATCACCTACACTCTGCGCCAGCTGCGTCAATCACACCTGAACTGCTTGGTTCGTGTCAACGGCGTGGTCACCCGACGAACCGGAGTATTCCCCCAGCTGAAATATGTGATGTTCCTTTGCCAAAAGTGTGGCATCACGCTGGGTCCTTTCCAGCAAGAAGCTAGCACGGAAGTCAAGATTTCCTTCTGTCAGAACTGTCAGGGCCGGGGTCCCTTCACGGTCAACTCGGAGAAGACAGTGTACCGCAACTACCAGAGATTGACCCTCCAGGAGTCGCCTGGCTCAGTTCCAGCGGGTCGGCTACCACGACAGCGCGAAGTCGTCCTTCTTGCGGATCTGATTGACTCGGCCAAGCCTGGTGACGAAATCGAGATTACTGGCATTTACCGCAACAGCTACGATGCACAGTTAAACAACAAGAACGGATTCCCCGTGTTTGCCACGATCATTGAAGCCAACCATGTAGTGAAGTCGCACGACCAGCTGGCCGGTTTCAACATGACCGAGGAGGACGAGCGCCAGATTCGGGCCTTGTCTCGCGACCCTGATATTGTGGACAAGATAATTCGGTCCATGGCGCCTAGTATCTTTGGTCATCTGGATGTGAAGACTGCCGTGGCGCTGTCACTGTTTGGCGGTGTCAGCAAGCAGGCCCAAGGCAAGATGTCAATCCGTGGTGATATCAATGTTCTATTGCTGGGTGACCCCGGTACGGCCAAATCCCAGGTGCTCAAATACGTGGAGAAGACAGCACACCGAGCTGTGTTTGCGACGGGTCAGGGTGCCAGTGCCGTCGGTCTGACGGCCAGCGTCCGCCGCGACCCTCTTACCAGCGAGTGGACACTGGAAGGTGGTGCGCTTGTGTTGGCTGACCGCGGCACTTGTCTGATTGACGAGTTCGACAAGATGAACGACCAGGATCGAACCTCGATCCACGAAGCCATGGAACAGCAGACCATTTCCATCTCCAAAGCAGGCATCGTCACAACACTGCAGGCGCGTTGTGCTGTCGTGGCTGCCGCTAACCCTCGAAGCGGCCGGTACAATAGCGCAACGACTTTCTCCGACAATGTCGACCTCACGGAACCCATCCTGTCTCGTTTCGACATCCTCTGTGTGGTGCGTGATCTCGTTGAGCCGAGCGAGGATGAGCGTCTGGCCAATTTCGTGGTCGAGTCCCATCACCGCGCTAACCCAGTCCGCCCGCTCAAGGACAAGGATGGCAATCTCGTCGACACAGACGGCAACCGCGTTGATATTGAGGGTTATCGCATTGACAAGGACGGCAACCGTCTCCCGCCAACACCGGAGGAGGCTGCCAAACGCGCAGCAGAGCAGGCCAAGGCAGATGAGGAGAAGGAGGGCGAAATACCGCAAGAGCTTCTGCGAAAGTACATTCTCTACGCTCGGGAGCACTGCCATCCGAAACTGTACCAGATCGACCAGGATAAGGTTGCCCGTCTGTTCGCGGATATGCGGCGCGAGTCTCTGGCAACGGGTGCCTACCCTATCACTGTAAGTTGGCGCCTACCCTACAATTACTCATAGAAGTGCAATCGCTGACCTTTTTTCTGCAGGTCCGTCACCTTGAAGCCATCATGCGTATCGCCGAGTCCTTCTGCAAGATGCGTCTATCGGAGTACTGTTCTGCTCAGGACATCGACCGCGCCATCGCCGTAACGGTTGACTCGTTCATTGACAGCCAGAAAGTCAGCGCGAAGAGGGCCCTCGCACGAACATTTGCCAAGTACATCTCTCCGCTCTTGAATCACATCCAAATACTGACCTTGTTGTTTTAAGATACACTCTCTCCAGACCCAAGCCGCAATCCAAGCGCCGCGCAGGCGTTGCAGCTTCAAGGACGGCGTGGAATAGCAGCCAAGTGCGGGATTAATTTCGTTACTTTTGTCTTGTGTCTAAATACCATCTTATCGGCATGTTCCTTGTTACGGCGTTTGTTCAATGTGTCTGGTTATTGGGTACCCAAGTTTATGAATATGACAATGAAAATATCCTTTCTATCATCAGCATCGTGGAGACCATAAGTGCATCCCGCTCAGATAGTAGTTTGTTCCCCCGCGACTTTCCTGAAAAAGCAGTTTGCTTTTCCTTGAAAGGAGATCTTTAACTCTGGATGTTATACTCTCTTGATGGTAATATTCGAGGACATAGATCATGTATTCTAAGTGAACTAACTAAACTATCTATAACTATCCAAGTAGAATCAACGCTATGTACCAACCATTCCACCAGAACACTAGGTGACGGTAAATTGGACGCCATTATCGGCGAGAACCCTATGATAGAGTAGAGCTACTTTCTGAGCAAGGCGGACGGACGGTCAGTGTGCCTAACTACGAAGTCGGGTATTCTGAGACTCGGGTGTATACTATAGGCCTTTCTCTCCAGCCACAGGGGGCTAACGCGCGATGGAAGTGAATGAAACGAAACATGTTTCGAGTCCAATCCGTCAAGTAGAATCATCTCAGGTTAGTATCAAACATAGACACACGAATACGACGCGGACACCAACATGGAGAGGTGGGTTTAAGGATACAGATTTTTTGCTAAGGAGTGGACAATAGACATACAAGAAGAGTAACAAAATCGTGGCCTCAGGAAACTGCGGCAGCTGTATGTAGCTAGCGCCCCATTTTTCGAACCCGAAAAAGAAAAGAAGAAAAGAAGAAAAGCAAAGAGCAACCGGTCTACTCCATTCAATATTCAGACGCCATGGAAATGTGCCGTGAGCACTTGCGGCCCTCTCACGGTGCTGGGTATTACACGTAGGAAAATCATGATAAGAAAACCAGGAATAGGGACAAGGGTCCGTCTACTCGCTGGTGCGCCGCTCGGGGCGTGGCTTGCGCAGACTCTTCATTCGGTTGAGGAAGCCGCCGCCGGGGTTCAGTTTCGACTCATCACCCACAGTGTTTGAGCGCTCGTTTGTGAGCTTGCGCTCCAGACCTGTCGACTGCTTTGGGCTACTCGAGGATCGGACACGCCCGCCCGAGACCTCACGTTCATGGACTTTCGTCTTGTCCCCTGCCGCGTCGTGGTCCTGGAAGTACGGGTTCCTCTCATTATTCCTGGAAGAGGCAGAATGGCTCGATCCAGGACCCTGTGCGGCAAAGGTGGGATCTGTCGGGGAGACGACACGACCCGCAGCGCCCGTAGTGCGTCCGCGGATACGCTGGGCCAGACTCTTCTTGCGCTGAAGACCACCGTTCTGAGTAATCTGGCTCTCGTTTTCACTCTGGCGGCGAGCAATCGCCGAGCGGCTTGCCGGCGCTCCGTCCAGGAACGTGCTCGTGCCCAGGCCCATGCTCTCCGACCCATGTATGGGATCCAGATTAGAAGTCGGGTCGAAGGTGACCGGTTCGTTGGTGCGACGGGGTGAAGGCAGTGCTGCAACAGCGCCCCTGGAGAAATCGTTGTAACCTTCTGGAGTGCTGCCGTGGAAAAGGTTCAAATCGATATTGGAGTTGTTCGGGCCCGCACCGCCCAGGGCCATGTTTCTAGAATCCTTCGGGAAGGCCTGCATCGGGGCAGTGCGCGCGCCCTTGCGATTGCGATGCGGGTTGCAAGCATCAAATGGGCCGTCGTGGTGGAACACTAAACACACACCAAGTCAGCGGAGTTTACGTTTCATGTTGATCAGATAAACTCACTTCCAGTTCCGTAGATGCCGGTCACATCCAGTTTGTCGATGATATCCAGACGGCGATTTTTGCGAGAGGACCGCTGCTTGCCGTCTCGGTGACGAGCTTCGCGCTCACGGTGGCGCCTTTCACGTCGCCGTTTCTCGTCATCATCATCAAAGAGCTGCGATGCTCGCTCCATCACAGATGACTCTGAGTTTCGCCGGGGTCGCCTCGATCTCTCTCCGCGGCCGGGGCCAGTAGTCGCCGACTTGGACAGGGTAGGAGGGTCGGCGAATATGTCCAGGGGATCCTTCGATCGCGGGTCTGCAGTGTGTCCACTCGGACGATCCCGTGGCGGTGGCCTACGTGCTGACGGCCGCCGCGGAGAGGGTTGCGGCGCAGCAAGCGCTGGCCGAGTGCTATTCTGTTGTGGTGCGGTGGTCGCAGATGCGGCTGCACGGACGGGGATCGTCTCCTTCAATGACAGGTTCTCCTGCATGAATGTCAGCATATGATGATAGCCATGCAGCCACGAGAACATACAAAAAGCTCACGAGTGTTTCCCGTCATGTTGGTCTTCTCGACGGGGGAGAACATGGTACCAGAGGAGAGGCCAGGGGCCGACTGGGGCGACAAAGTCTCCGTTTCGTCGAGGAAAGGGTTCGTTGACCTAGGCCGCTCTGGGCGGGTATTGGTCGTCGCAGAGCTGGCCGACGGCGACAGGGCGCGGTTGCGGAACGGGTTGTTGGACCCCAGACTGACGGGTGATTGGGGGGATCCTTGACGCTCTGGAAGCAGACACAGCAAGTCAGACACAGCTCTAGGAGTAGAGATTCACAAACTCTCGAAGGTGTGCGGGTGTGGTTTTAAAAGCGAAAACACTCATTTTCACCTGGAGGGGGAGGACAAAGCGGGGGTCCCAGGAACAGGATTACGCACCTGGCGGAGCGAGCGACACGCTGGCCGGATGGCCAAGCACTGGCGGAGCATTCATCTCGCAGCAGAGCGTGAGATGACGAGGTGGTGTGTGCGTGGCCGGAGGGCGTGTGGTTGGCTGGGGGGTGGGACGCAAGCGGACAAGGACAAGGCGATGAAACAGCGATGGTCGGAGCCCGTTGGTTGGAGGAAGCAGGAATGGGGGCAGTACAACCTCGGCGGAAGATGGGTAGGTTGAAAGGAGTATGGAAAGAAGGCAGAATAATGGAGAGAGTGCAGGTGTGTGAAAGGGAAGAAAGAGCAAAGAGAAAGGAAGAAGAGAAGAGAAGGAGGGGGGTGTTTAGGCGTACGTAAAGAAGCCAAGTGATCAGCGGCCAGAGGGACGGAAGGGCACGACGGGCGCCCTTCTAGGTACCATGGATGTACATAGTTCCTAGGTACTATTGGCCAGGTACGTTATTACGGCTTATTCTACATGACCCTTATTGTTTCCTAGGATCCATTTCACTGATTCCCTGCAGAACCTCCCCAGACTCGATTAGAGTGTCACTCACAATCCAGGGGCTTCCTCCCGATCCCCGAGGCTCCACTAAGTGGACTCGCCCCTTTTCGGCAGACCCTGCCCTAGCCTATGCGATTGCCGGAATGACGTTCGCATTCTTGGTTGATATTCTTGATGTCATGTCTGTCTGGAATGTAGCGAGCAGTACGTATTCATAGTGCTGGGAACATCGCGGAGAAACATCTAGGAGTAGGAAAGATAATGCCCTCCATGCACCGCCCTAGGAAGACCCTTTAACTCCTGCGTCACTGTATGTAGGATGGGACTTGCGTGGCCTGGCTTGGCGATCCCTAGAATGTCTGCTGTCCTTGCCCTGTATGCCTTTCATCATCATCCCAATCCGGTGGTGGGCGGTGGTGTTGATGATATGTATCTGGGTTGTTAGGAGGTCTACGCCCCGCGCAAATGCTCGTGTCCATAGATAGGTCCATTGTTAGATGGCCGGCGGTTCCTAGCTGCTATAGCTGCAGGAGAGCATGTCAGCAGGAGATCGTCATGTTCGCGCAGCACCATGGTGGACAACAACATATATGGGTCGGTGGATCTGATAAACCGGTGTTTTTTGTGGGCGATGATGATTGTGCCCAATACTTTTGCTATAATTAGAACGTCCCTTTCTGACACTCAAATCTGCCAAAAGAAAGTTAAAACTCTTAGCTATGGGGTGTCTAAAGAGCCTTTGGCCTATGAGAGGTTCAATTTTTCTGCGGTGCGAATTGTCAGGGCAAAAAGCGGCAGTTGACGACTCCGCGTAGGGCATAGACGGCGCCGACCACTATCATTACCAACTATGAACCTTATGATAGTCCTCCAGAACCCTACTCCGAATTCTCGAGACGATGTTATAGCGGCGCGGACATAGCGAGACCGTCTCTGGGTCAGATCCGTTAATTCCGCAGGTGTTCGGGGTGTGCCACCATCTCTGTACTACTTTGGCTAGAGCTAGACTTCGGCAATGATCCTTGATGATACAGCGAGATCTGTCTGACACATCAGCAAGCCTATTGTCCAATTTAGGCTAGCCGACAGAAACCTTAGCATCGAGGCGCTGCATCGGCTATGTCGGCATGCTCAACAACTGGGCCTTTTTCAATTGTGGCCCTCCTACCCTTGCATCGGACGCGAGGACGTTCTGATTTGATGGGCTAAGGCCAATCAAGTGGACTATTTTCAATGTAGAGCTTTCCTTGTTCTGGTTCCTGTACTATGTGCTCTTGGTTTGTTTACTTTGACCACATAGATATATATCCGACTGCTCACAACCCAGTCCTTACTGCAGCAAGGAGGATAGCCTAAAGCCACGTTGACATCAACATCGGCCATTTCTGCCTAAACGCAATTGAATACTCTGAACAGATTTGCCTTGTGTTCGATACGTACTCCAGTAGTGGTGGAGGTGGTTGGGAAGGGAGGAAACCTGTCCCGCCCCAGCTCCGCCAGACTTTCCTCTGCAACACCGCCAACTCTCTCCTCCCTCTTCTGCTTCACTCTCCTTCAACCTTCACCATGGAGCCAACGACACAACCTCCACCGCCCACCCTGACCAACCCTCGCTTCACCCTCGAGCTCGAATTCGTCTCCTCTCTCGCCAACCCTTACTACCTGTCGCATCTCGCTGTCACCTACCCCAACTTACTGGGCATCTCGCAATCCGATGACAACGACTCCGACTCCTCCTCGTCGCCAGACGCCCAGGCCTTCGCCGCGTACCTGGCCTACCTCTACAACTACTGGAAGACACCGCAGTATGCGCAGTTCTTGACACATCCCGGTCCCACGCTACGTGCGCTACGTTTGCTGCAGGAGGACGCTTTCCGTCGCGACATCATCCTGCCTCAGGTCATTGAGAGTCTCGCTGGGGTGGGCGTCCCTGGTGCGCCCGCGGAAACGGTGGAGGGACAGCAGGAGACACAGGAAGGGCCCAATGGATCGAAGACGTGACAGATGCCGGTGGGAGTCGGTATCATGAACTCTTATTGGCTTCGACCGGGGGGAACTAAATTGCGTCTCCCTGCCCAACTCTCTTTTTCCTACACCGACAAACGGCACAATACTTTCCTTCGACCGGCGGGATGTTGTTGTTCGCAGAGCGCTTTCTCCCCACCAGACAAGATCGGACGGAAAGAGACCGTGTCCATCATGTGCGACCGAGGCAATGTCGCCTCCGATGATCAACCGCGTCGATCCCGCAGCTATAGAAACACCCACGACCCAACAGCCGAGAGCGCACAGATATTATCTAACGGAATTGGCGCAGGGATTGCGGGGGGTTCGACAGGTTCGACAGGTTCCTTGGAAAGGCAGAGGGGACCAAGCGTCGGCGAGCAGTCGGTCTCACGGGTGTAACAATGTGGACTGGATAGCTATCGCAATAGCAGAGACACACACTTTGCAATTTTCCAAACTAGACGGAATCGTCGTAGTCATCGTCATTATTCTTATTGTTTGTTGAAATATTATCATCATCATAATAGTCAATCCTATAGTTTTGTCTCGCTGTGATCGCCCTCGTGTCTACGCCCCAAGCCCCCCGAACCGCCCAACCCTTTTTTTCCTCATTTCTGCATCTGTCTCTCTCTCTTCCCTTCTCTTCCGTCCTCTCTCCCAATTCTTTTCCTTCCTTCTTCTCTCCCCCACTCCTAATTTCAACCTCTTTCTGTCTGCGACAATCAGTGGACGGCCCCACCCCCCTTGGTGATCCACCGCAACGACCTCATCGTTCGCCGCCCCCCGTTCCCGTCCAACTGCCCAGCGGCCCTGACCCGGAGCTCCTGTCATTGACCACCCCCGCCCCCTATTGCCCATGGCCTTGCTACCATAAACATCTCGAAATTCATTGAATATTCTACACAGGCACGCACATAGTCGTGCGGTCGCCTGCGTCCTTCCACCTGGCACATTCTTCCAATGGAGACCGTCCGCCAGTCGTGCCGGCCGAAGCACCAGGTCTTGACTCTCAAGTGTTATCCCCGGTACCAAAAAGGCGTGTCGGAGGTGCGCCCGAACCCGAGTGAACTGTCGTATCTGCTGTACTATGCCAGCACACGCCGCAGCAAGCTGACCAAGGTCGGCGCGTTCCTCGAGAAGAGGGTAGCCCGGGATGTCTGGAGACGCAGGCTGGGGTGAGTATCCATGTCCCTGATCCAGATCTGATACAGTGACTAACTGTCAGCCAGAAATGTCCAGGTAGCCCTCCACATCCTGACCGCGCTCATCGAGAAAGTCCCTCGCGATCTGCCCATCTACGCCCGGTCAGTCCTCACCGTCATCCAGACGGTCCTGCGATCAAATGATATCACAATGGTAGAGGACTCGATTGAGACCTTCGAGACGTTTTGCTGTCACCAGGATATGGCCGCTATCGCCGTGGAGCAGGGTCTCGTGCATCAGTATCGCGAGGTGGTGCGGACATATGCAGGCTTCGCCGATCCGACTTCTCGGACGGTGTCGCACACCCCGCTGAGCCCACCAGTGGCGATTCGGTGGAGAACTGCAGGATTGCGCGCGATCAAGGGCGTGGTTGGTTCAGACGGTCTTGCGGCTGATGGGGGCACATCGCTCAAGCTCATTCTGCCGGTCATTTTGGAGAATCTGTACTCTGGAGAGGAGAATATCTTGGTCAACCTCCAAACCAAGCTCCGAGATTCTGAAAAGCCTGAGCGCGAGGGGCTCCGCCGTCGTCGGATGAGCGTCGCCACAGTCCGAACGGTCGATGCGACGGAGGGCGATGCTACACTGGCAGGACAGTCCACAGCCGATGCAGATCGGCATGCAGAGATGGATACCAGATTGTTGGCACTGCGCTGTCTGGAACAAATCATTGTCTCGGGCAGTAACCGCGGCCAGATCCGCATCGCCGCGTCTATCATTCTGCGATTCATCTCGAAAAAAAATGTTCCGCGACCTGATAAAGATGCCGACGACGATGATGGAGACGCCAACACCCCCAAATCAGGCGGAAACTGGGCAACAACTTTGGTCGAGCTTATTGCAAACTGGTGTCCGGTTCAGATTCGCTTTGTAATATTGATCACAGCGATGGAGATTTTGCACGACACCTCTCCCACGGAGGATGCTCAGGAATCATCATTCACCATTTTGTCAGTGGTTGACTGGCTCTTGAAGTCACCAGTGAACATGATTGGATTGAGTATTATGGACATTCTTTACGGTCTCATGCACTATGCATCGGACATCCTATCGCCCGCAGACCCCGCAGAGGAGAAGCAAGATCAGACCAGTGCCGTGTTCATGTCTCCTCGACGAAAAGAACTGCTTGCTCTCCTGGAGCAGTGCATCGGAAATCTGGCGACTCATATATACTACGGCGATCAAGTGGCTGACATGATGAGGGCCATCCTCCGGCGCTTTAAACCTGTCTCCGAGGACCCGGATATGTCCTCCAATGTGCCATCTCCCTTGGCCACCGTCCACGAAACTGGCGCAGCGCCTTCAAAAGACCAAACAACAGAGACGAGTGCGGCCAATACTGAAAAGCTGCCTCATACCGAACATTTCTCGCATGCTGCTATCAAACTGACCGCCCTTCGATCTGTCAAGGCCATTCTTACTGTGGCAAACCAAAAGGCACTCGCAGCCGCAGCTGGTGTCGAATCAAGGAACCCAGTGGGCATCCACGTGTGGGAAGGAACCCAGGGTCTTTTGCGAGACTCGGATCGAGAAGTCCGGCATGCGTATGCCGACGCTTTCTTGTCATGGCTGCAGCTTGAGACCAACAACGATAATCTCAAGGTGCGAGCCGATACGCCCAAGTACATCAAGCAACCGTCAAAACGTGATTCGGATATTCCAGACAAGTCATCGAATCGGCGCAGCACCTCTGTTCCTGGCAACCAGAGGGAGAAAGTAGTATTGACAGCACAGTCCAATTTCCTGCGTCTTCTTCACCTGGCCATCTACGATTCCGCCCACGAAGGAGCTGCTGATCTCTCGGAGATACTTTTTCTCCATCTTCTTCTGGCAACTCTGGTTGAGAATCTTGGGGTCAATGCTGTCCAATTTGGACTTCCTATGGTTCTCAAGCTGCAAGACGACATGCTCACGTCTGTTGATATGAACACAACTGCAGCTCGTGTCAACATTGGCAGTTTGGTGCATGGGTATCTTTCCGCTTTGTCAGAAAAATTCAACCTGGAGTCTTCTGCCGTGGGGGTCGAAATTCGCACTGAGATTGAAAGGCGAGAGCGCAAGGGCCAATGGTTCTCCAAGATCAAGTTGCCCGCTAGCGGCCTCGAGGCTATCGCCTTGGACGACGAGAAGATAACCGTGGGGGATGACACGGAACCGCCCGTTTTGACCCCTTTCCGTAACGTTGAGGGATTGGTCGATCAGATCGATAATTCCTACCGGCAATCTGTCTCGTCCCCGCCGCAGAGCCCGCATACGTCACCGAAACGCGGCTTCAGTTTCCCCGTTTTGAACCATGCCGTATCCAAGCCTCCGCCACAGGGCAGTCTCCCCTCCCCGGTGAAGGAACAGATGCTGTCCTCCTGGTCTCGAGAGGCGGTTCTGGCGGCCGTGGAAAAAGAGAGTGTGAAGACATTATCGATCAACGGTTCTCGGGGGGTACCGTGACCGCGCGCAACAACGGCCAAGCCAACGGAGTCGTAAACGGTTCTCCCGTTGGCTCGATGTCACAGAAGAACCGCCGCATGAGTATCCCTGAAGGTACAAACTCGCCTCTTTATAGCTCCAGTCGAGGTTCTCCCGTCCGTGTCAATGAGCTGCGGCGTGTCCTCTCTGTCAGCAACGAACCTTCCTCTCAGAGTCCCCTGCGAGGGCGCCTCGACAACTCGAACAGCAGCATCATCTCTTCTGGCAGCGAGAGTATGGTCAGCGGCACCTTCACTGCCTCTGTGGACGGAGATGCCGGGTCGATCCAGCCGCAGAATGGGGAGCTGACCCCTGAAGAAAAAGAAGAAAAAGATGATGACGATGGAATGGAGACGCCCCGCGCATCAGCGCTTGTACTGTCCGGGGACACGACACCAACGGCAGATAATCCGCAGGCCCTGAGCCTAGCCAAATCCGATGCATCGGAAATCCCGCCCGTTCCACCGCTTCCAACCTCATTGAACATCCCAGGCATGTTCCCGAACGACTCGGATAGATCACTCGATTCATTGGAACGTCCGTCTACCGCTCCGGGTCCCTCGCAGCAGTCTTCCGTCAAGGCAACGCCTGAGCACATCGTGCCACTGAACCGCAACAAGACCAGATCCAGCAACAGCCTTGTATTGACACCGGAGATGCGCGCGGACGCTGGACTCGCAGACCTGCTAAGCAACCACGACTTCAGTGGCCCAGACGTCTCGGTTAGTCGAGAGCATCTGAGGAAACTCCTGGATGGCTTCCTATCTCCTGAAGACAGCCCCTTGACAAACGGGAACCATCCGACAACAGCAAAACAAAACGGCAAGACTCCAAGGGGTAAAGTGCAACTTGGTCCCAGCAGACGGCACATCGGCGGAGGAGGCATTGGACGACCGCCATATTGATTTTCATTCAGCTTCGTTACTGTACACACCGTCATCACTGCATATACATTTTTCTTTGCTTTGACCGCTCACTTTTCTCCCTTCCCTGCGAACTTTTATATGTCTATAATTTTTTGGAACCCCTGTCTCCTCTTTTTTTTTGTATTCAGATCCATCTCTAGATTCAAGCGTACAAGCACCTTTCTTCAAGTTCGTTCGAGTATTTATTGAATGCGCTTCGACGTCTGGCCTGGATTTTGAAAGTCTCAAAGAGATGTTACAGTATGTCTCGAAGCTAGTGTCACCACTTATATAATACCGCTATATGTCTAAAGAGTGCGGCCTAGGATAATAGTGACCTACGATTAGAGTCCTTCGAGTCTACGTCTACCTAAATAGTTCTGGTAATAGCTTCATAATCGCCTTATAACTATTAGACGCGGCCTAATATAATAAATATAGTGTCTAACCTCTGTGACCCTTCGAGACTATATTCACCTACCTAGTCTTAAGTAATAGATTTATGTCTGGAGCACTTTGCCTGCGCTCCTGTTTATTTTTCTTCTATTCTCGTATAAGGTTTAATGATATCGACTTGAGGTGAGAGTGTGTCCTCATCTTTTGAGTTTCTGGGTTACTGGCATTCGAGGTGACTCCGGAAACTTTAACCTAGGTAGCCTCTCAACTCTAGTGAAGAACAACGTTCCTGCAAGGTATCCCAGTTGCAGCCTTAAGAACTGAAAATACTCATGGAATTCAATAATGAAAACAGGTCATGGGCCACCACATTCTCACAGCCTTTCTCCACTTGCTCATGACGAACATAGTAGCCACCACCACGCCATCGATGATCAATATAAAAGACCACATATGCAACTCTGTAGACACGGGCTCGGCAATTGTAGCTTCTTATCGTAACTATCATCCCTCCACAGCCCCTTCCATGCAATTTTGTTGGCCGCGATGCTGCCCCTCTAACGCTACACCATCGCTCCTGTCGCTGACGCCATCGCTCTCCAATTTCACGTCTTTACTTCGCCTGTAGCGACAGCCAAACCAGCGTCATGCTGCGGGGTCGGTACGGTATTTGCTTTTCTCGGTCGAGACAGAGTTGGGTCTGTATGCAGGAACAGATAAATATTGTCATTTGAGCCCCTCCGTGAGATGAATTTTTAGACTCTTGCCCCGATCCTACGATATCAAACTAGCTTGGAGATATAACCACACAACTTTCAAAACAAAATAGAGACGGAAACTGCAGTATGTCTTCAGAGAAGAAACAACTCATCCTCAATGCCTTCGCTATGCAGTCCCCCTCCCACCTGAACCCAGGTCTATTCCGATACCCTTCCGACCAAGGCGCGCAGTACAAAGACATCAAGACCTGGATCGCACTCGCACAAAAGCTCGAGGCAGCCAAATTCCACGCTATTTTCTTCGCAGACGTCTTGGGAGGCTACGATGTGTACAAGGGCCCTGCAAACCTAGACCCAACCATCCCTGCCGGCGCGCAATTCCCCATCAACGACCCTCTGTACAGCGTGCCCGCCATGGCAGCCGCGACGGAGAGCATCTCGTTTGGAATCACGGCGTCAACGACCTATGATGCGCCATACGCGATGGCGAGACGGTTTTCGACGGTTGATCATCTCAGCAATGGACGCATTGGATGGAATATCGTCACCTCGTACCTAGATTCAGCGGCAAAGAATTTTGGGCTGAATACCCAGGTCGAGCATGACGAGCGCTATCGCATTGCCGATGAGTATTTGGATGTTACGTATAAGTTGTGGGAGGGGTCTTGGAGAGACGATGCAGTCACCTGGACAAAGCAGCCAGCCTCTTCGAATGCAGCTGCGGATGTTGCTGGAAAGGGATACGCGGACCCAAAACTTGTCCGCCAAATCAATCACAAAGGGAAATACTTCCAGGTCCCTGGTCCGCATCTCTGTGAGCCGAGCCCGCAGCGCACGCCTTTCCTCTTGCAGGCTGGGACGTCGTCCGCAGGCAAGGCATTCGCAGCTAAACACGCCGAAGCGGTCTTTGTGCATGCTCAAAAGCCAGAACTCCTTCGTCCGTCTGTCGATAGCGTGCGCCAACAGGCTGCAGACTTTGGCCGCGACCCGCAGGATATCAAGGTGATTGCGGGAGCATTGGTCATCGTCGCGGAGACGGACGAAGCGGCGCAGGCCAAGTTCGACGAGTTGAAGAAATACGGCGATGAGGAGGGTGCGCTTGCTCTGTTTGGCGGATGGACGGGCTACGACCTTTCTACTTACGCCGATGACCAAGATTTCCGCTTCGTGGAGCAGCCCGCCGTGCGAAGCATGGTGAACCACTGGGCCAGCACGGTTCCCGGAGGCGAGGGCAAGAAATGGAACAAGCGGACGATCGCCGAGTACCTGGTTCTGGGCGGGAATGGCGTCAAGATAATCGGTAGTGTGCAAAGCGTGGCAGATGAGATGGAGCGGTGGGTGAGTGTTGGCGATATTGACGGGTTCAATCTCAGCTATGCTACTCTGCCCGACACCTTTGATGAAATTATCAATTTGCTACTGCCTGAGCTGCGACGGAGGGGTCTCTTCTGGGAGGACTATGCGGTTAAGGGTGGTACGATGCGTGAAAATATGTATGGGCAGAAGGGATTCAACAGGTTGCCTAACTCGCACGCTGGCGCAAAGTTCACTTGGAAAGCTGGAGAGGAGATTCCCAAGTATCAGGAGAATTAGTGTTTGCCAAATGACCACTTTAGTTTTCGTATTCCCTAGTAGGAAACTCGTAATATCTATTGCAACGGCTTTTATTGCGTCGTTCTCTTTCGTCTGGTTTGTATGGAGGCAGTGCTAGCCGTGAAATGAGAATCTTTTGGCTGAGCAAAAACAATTCTACCCCATCACAATGTGATTGTAAATGGGGTAGAATCCCTGAGTGAGAACGGCCCTTCGGGTGTGAGAACGGACCTTCGGCGTGAGAACGGACCTTCGGCATGAGAACGGACCTTACAGCGTCCGCGTCCACCTTTGCGGTCGACCTAGGAGATTTATTTTTGGTCCCCCACTCTATGATGATACTGACCGATAATTGTTACCAACCAACTGCACCAAAGCTTATGATAGCGATGTCTTTTTGTCCACGTGTCTCTTGTTCTTTAAAGGTATGCAGTATGCTTTGGCGTACAAATCCCTCCTCCTCCTGTGAACCAATAGTATCATCCTACGAGCTAATTGCAGTTTCCAATATCTAGCTCTGGATTCCTAGGAGCTCTAGATGTCTAACAAAATCTTTCTAGCCTAGATTCTATATTTAACGAAAACGGACAGAGGAAAATTTTGGGGCGGTGTCTGATTATACATTGCAATTTTAGAGCTTGGCGTTTCGTATATCGCCGAGCCGACTGTGTTGCCAAGAGCCACAGTCGTCACGATGACAGCTGCCTGGATTCATCCCTTCACAATTATCTACAGAAGGAGCACGCCTAATTGCCATTATGTACCGTTGGCGGAGCGAGTGTGTGTGGAATATTGGTTGCCTGGACTTGCAAGGCGGCTTGAACTATTCCCAAGCAGAAGTGCTATTTGAGCGGACACAAAAATAAAATATTTCAATTGGATAACTGTTGACGGCCTTGCATATTGAAGATCGCTTCCTCCCGTATGCCACCCGCCTAAGGCTGTTTCATTCACAGTTCTAGTATTTTAATAGGTCGAATAGAATCTCGCTGAGCCTCCAGGCAAGATATAAAAGGAGCCCAATTACTTGAAACACTCCTCCCCTAAGTTAACAGCCTGAAGACAACCTATTCTACCATAGAAGATCCCCTCTTGAGTACTACTTGCCTTACAACTCTAAAGTATCACCTTTATTTGCCCCCCTAATCAGATCAAACCTCTAACATAATAAAACAGACAATGCGCGACCTTATATCAGTTCTTTACCTTCTTAATCTCGCAGGAGGAGCTTTATCGTGCTTGACGGTTAGTGGCCAGGTGAGCGACGGCCTCACCACGCAGTTCGAGGTCACAACGACGGACAACGGGGTCCAGACATGCAGCTTCACATGCTCTGGTGACACAAATGATTGTGATGGAGATTGTATCTCAGGCTATTCGGGCACCTTCCATACGAATGGGCAGGATGGTGCTACACTTGAGTACACTACTTCCCATGGATCTTACACGGTTGACGTGTCCACTGAATCAAGTTCATGTCTCAATTGCTGTGGTGGTGAAATTCCATGCGTTTGCTGTCAGTATCAATATGGAGGTAGTTATTTTGGCTGTTAGAGTGGTCAAAGCCTCTTTTTGATATTGTTAGTCTTTTCCTACGCAGCTATTAATGTGTTGCAAACTTCTGGACTGCTGAAGTATTCGTCGTCTTACAACAAGACTTTGGGTATATCCTACAACTCTGAGCCTTTAGAGCTCGAATTCAACTCCGAGCGTCTACGGAGTTGTGGGTGCCGACCAACATAAAATATCGTCCATGCATCATTTTCTACAAATCTCAGTATCCGATTCAAGTTTCCCTTCATCTCTTGCTTTCATCCCGCGGAAGTGAGCAAATAGCGCTGTATTCACAGACTCATGATTTCCCAGTAAGTATTTGATCCAGTTATCAACGACATCCAAGTCCTAGCCGCCCCGAAGCTTAGACGTGGTAAAGAAGATTTTGTGCTTAATAGGGCGGGTGGCACGGTCGTAGCCTCGGCGAATAGCAGACATTGGAGCGTTTTAGGACGAATCAGTCGGGACACAAAATAACCATATAACCACCTCCTCAAGTGCCTACCAGGTTGCTGTCGCCATAGCAAGATCCTCTCAGCCTGCGCCAAAGATTGGGTAGCCTCATCATATCAAGGAAAACGTATGGGTACTAAGATAGCAGAATTTTTGGGGGTAGGGATAGTAAATATAAAGGAAAAGTCAGCGATGTAGAGATTCTGGCCCACCGACGCTGCAATCCAATCAATTCACCAACATTTACAATTCCAACTCCCAAAGTTCCCCAACCAATTTCACCCCGAATGACTCATGTTCCTTCGAAGCAACACGCTTATATCCTTCATTCGCATACAATCGACGAGCGGAGGTCAGCATGCTTTGGGTCCACAGCACAATGCGGGAATATTCGGCATCCCGTGCGAATTCCGTGCATTGACGCACGAGCGACCGGCCTACACCAAGTCCGCGGGCACATGGTTCTACCAGCAACAGGCGAAGCTTTGCCACAATTTGCTCTGAAGTTCGGTCTTTGACGAGCATAATGCATCCGAGAAATTTGCCGTCTCGTTCGGCAATCCAGCAACGGTCTAGCTTAGGGTCAAATTGGTCGATGAAATCGGCGGAAATTCTGGCCACGAGGGCTTCAAAGCGCTCTCCCCATCCGAATTCTTCGTTGTATAGAACACCATGTCGATGGGTTATCATCCCTATGTCGCCTGGGCGATTGGTTCTAATAGTAAATGGGCCACTGGTTGTATTCTCGGCACTTCCCATGGCGCCGGGAGTTGTAGTGCAAATGGCCACTGCAAAGAAGAATATAGTGACAGAAAAGATTGTATAGAAAGAAGACAAAATTCGTTCAGGGCCACACAGTGATTATATTCAGTGGTGTGTTCGGAAGATGGATGTCAGTTGGAGCTTGCAGGAAATTTGACGGATCTTTGCCATGTCATCCACAGGGCGCGAGTTTATCTGTAGCAAAGTGCGGCCCGCATACTGAATGCCGAAATATCCAATTAGAGCTTTGCGCGGTAAAGTGATTTGAGGCAACTGTCAGTTTCCTGAAAAAAATCTCGCGGCAGAGCTGAGGGTTAATGGTATGACCAATTGACGCGATATGACTTGATTCACTGGGCAGAATGTGCAGGGATGTGAATGCTTAGCCAAATGATTTCAATCCCCACCCTTCCCCTCTTTTCAGAGGGCACTCAGAGCTGTAAAATACGTGTCGCAATTAATCTGGTGTTTGGGGGTGGGCAGCTTAGTTGATAGTACATGATTAGCCCGCATACCGATTAGGTTACTGATACACATGGACTGACAGACTGGCGCAAAATAGGGGCGGAATTTCTAATGGGGGCCATTAAGCCCCCATCCTATTCGATGATCTATCATAAGCTGGCTGATGGGGCGGTAATGGTGGGTAATGGTGGGGGGGCCTGGGGGGGGAGGGGGGAGGGGGGAGGGGGCCAGCGTTGGCTCTCATCGTCAGGCAACCTGCCCACGAGTGAGATTAAAAAGAACACTGTCCTGGTCAGCTCGGACGGTCAACCATCTGTTACTCTATGATCCACACCCGTACATTTTTATCGTCATGACTGTTATCGAGCTAGATGCCGTCATTGTCGGCGCCGGTTTATCAGGAATTTACCTCCTGCAACGACTGCGAGATGAACTACATCTAAAGGTCAAGATCTTCGAGGCGGCCCCAGAAGTTGGTGGAGTTTGGTATTGGAACACCTACCCAGGCGCTCGGGTCGATTGTCCTGTCCCTGCCTATGCCTTTGACTTCGAAAAGGTGTGGTCGACCTGGAAATGGTCCCAATTGTATCCCGACCAGAAAGAGTTGCAAGCATATTTCCGCCACGTCGATCAAGTGATGGAGATCTCCAAGGACACTTTCTTCAACTCGCGCGTGAACGGCGCACAGTTCAACCCCGATACTGCACGATGGACTGTCACAACTGAAGATGGCAAGAAGATGGTCGCGAAGTACTTCATCCCCGCCGCTGGCTTTGCGGAACAAGAGCATGTGCCCCAGTGGAAGGGATATGAGACTTTCGAAGGAGATATCCATCATACCTCCTGCTGGCCCAGTGGCGGCGTCGATGTGAAAGGGAAACGGGTAGCCATCATTGGCACTGGCGCAACTGGCGTGCAGGTCACACAGGAATGGGCCAAAGAGTCTGACGAGACCTTTGTGTTCCAGCGGACCCCGAACTATGCATTGCCAATCAACCAGGAGACAATTGATGAGACCACCCAGAAGAAATTCCAGAAAGAGACGGGTGATATCTTTGCATTCTCTGCGACCACAATTGGTGGCCTCGCATGGCATAGTACGACCAAGAACTACGATGACTACGGCTCCCAGGAAGAGCTTGAAAAGATCCTCAATGAGATGTACGACAAGGGCGGCTTCCACTTCTGGACAGGCGGCATTGCAGACCTTTTCATCAACCCAGTTGGCAATCGAATTGTTTACGACACCTGGGCCAAGAGAGTTCGACAACGCGTCCAGGACCCGGTCAAGGCAGAGCTTTTAGCGCCCAGAGAGCCACCGCATCCGTTTGCCACGAAACGCCCTTCACTGGAAAGAGACTACTATGAACAATTCAATCGGCCCAATGTCCATATTGTGGACACCAATGCTCATCCGATCCTCGAAATTAGACCGCAGGGCATTGTCACTGACGACGGAAAACTCTATCAGGTCGACGCTATTGCAGTTGCCACGGGCTTTGACGCAGGTACGGGCAGTCTAGCGAAACTGAATGTTCGGGACGTCGATGGGGTGGACCTGAGCTCGCGATGGAAGGATGGTATCCAGAGCTTCCTAGGAATGACTGTCCCTGGCTTCCCTAACATGTTCATTCCTTACTCGGTCCAATCTCCGGCACCATGGACCAATGGCCCAGTTTTCCTTCGGTTACAGGTCGACTGGATTCGCGACATGATCGCGAAGATCGAAAAGGAGGGCATCCGCTACATTGACCCTCACAAGGAGAAGGCCCAAGCATGGCGTGACGAGCTATTGGCAGTCACCAATATGACTTTATTCCCGAAGGCGAAATCATGGTACATGGGGGCCAATGTTCCTGGCAAGCGAGTAGAGTTGATGTATTTCCCTGCTCCAATGCCCATGTATTTTGAGAGATGCGCTGCTGCTCGCGATGGTCAATTTGCGGAGTCGTTCTTCGCCAGTCGAAATGCGGCATAAGCCTGTGATCGCTAGAGTTGTCGCATCCCAATCCACAAGCTTGGACTGTATTCAAACATTTGTGTGATGACCTACTCAAGAGGTTCCATCTGGACGATCCGGGTATTCACTCTTTTGTCTCCGAATTGAACGTTTGGATTTGCAGAAAGCTTCTATTTGTTCTCTTTGTCCACAGAGACTGCCATTGGTGTATTGTATTACGTGTCGTCGCTTTTTCCTTCCTTTTCTCTTTTCTTCGCCATATCCATTTGCATTTGTGCTGAAGCGGCCATTTCTGGTGTAAAGGAGGCCAAAAATGGCCTCCTCGGCACAGCATGTCAGCACACGCACCTGTCCACTCACTCACCTGGTTTCTTACACGCCTGCCCTCTCCCTTGTAACAAGCAGCGTATCGGTCGATCCCTGACCAAGAGGCTCGCTCATCGTCCACGCCGCTGGCATTCGTTCCCTCGTTCCTCTCGCGCCAGCCTTTTCTGCTTTCTGTAACCTTCTACTCACCCTATACCTCTGTCTCCCATTTTGTGATTGCGTAAAATTATTTTTATACCATTATTTATATATGCCTCCTCTTATAGGTTATTGTAGGTAAGGGAGTTTACAGTATCACTGAGTGTGCGGGGAGATTTCGGCCCGGGGACGCACTAAATTTAGCCACGGCTGATCTGGCGCAGGGCTGATGGACCTTCACTTTTTACATCACATTTGCCACGCCAGCTCTGCGGCAATCATGGAGGCGCTGCCAAATAATCACCAACCCTCTACAAGTCCGAGATCTGGCAGTGAATCATCCGCTCCCACATCAAAGCGATCTCGTGTCGTTGTTTCGCAGTCGAAACGAGGCTGCGTGACTTGCAAGTATGGATCTTCACCCTGCCATCTTGGCGCCAATTCGACTGACCATGCAGGACACGCCGGGTCAAGTGTGACGAGCAAAAGCCTCTGTGCCGGCGATGCGTCCAAGCAGGTCGATTATGTGGCGGTTACAACCATGAAAACAAGTTGTCGTCGGCTTTGCAGCCTGCTCTGAAGTTCGGCGTCACAGCGGACAGCCATACGGAGAGGCTATGCTATCTCGCAGCTCATGTGTTGTCTCTGGACAACAACGGCCATCCTCTGCAAGAAGACGATGTCTGGGGGCGCATATTTCTCCAGCTATCGAATCAAGTCGAATGTGTCAAGGCCGCCGCTGCCGCATTTGGGGCTGCGTACGAATCATCGCTCAATAACGCCATCGTAAAAAGCCCTTGTTCCGCCTGGCGCTACTACGGCTCAGCTCTGGCAAGGCTTCAATCGGATTTTAACAACGAGACTGTCGGCCCAGAGTCCCTGGCTCTAGCATCAATGATCCTAGCCTGCGTTGAGATCCTAAGCCAACACGAGCAAAATGCATTCGCCCATTTTCTTGGGGCCGTACAGATCCTATCCAAGACCTATCAGCGCCGCCAGGGAGCTCCATCTGCTGACATTCTCAGCACAATCAAAGAGGCGCTCGTCAAAGTTAACCTCTTGATTGGTAGCTACGCTCTGTCCCAGACGCCGCAAGTTATGCACCTGGAATCTCAAGAAGCAGCCGCTGGTGACGATGCGTTCCGTGAGCCGGAGCTTGCTATTAACACCGCGATGCTCTGCCTTCACAGATCATATCAATTCATAGAGTCGGCTGCCCACCTGCGGTTCACGTATCCAAGCTGGAAAGAGCATGATCCCATCATGTGCAAGAGTCAATCTGACGCAGTGACCCAATGCCGTTCGGTTCTCGATGGCCTTGTGGCGCTTACCACAAGACTGCAATCCCAATACTCGTCTGCGACGTCTACGCTGAGAGATTCGGAGACGCTGGCGGAGATTTACGCTATTCGCACGCAGCTCACGTCCACTATAATCTTCATCCTGTGTGTCCACAACCCATGCGAAACGGGGTATGATGAGCACCTGGACCGATTTCGAAGCATCGTGAGTGATGCTGCAGCGTCGGCGCGGCTGAGGCGGCGAACCAAACCCAGCGCTTTCAAACGCTTCTCAATGCGTCCTGGTATTATTAGCCCTCTTTACTTCGTGAGTATAAAGTGTAGAGATCCGCCACTGCGTGCTTTAGCGACGACAATGCTCAACGAACAAAGTCGCGAGGGGCCTGCCGATGGACAAATTCTGGCGGCAATTGGTGCTCGACTGGCTGCCCTTGAGACATCTGACAGTGTGCCTTCTTCCCCTGGCGCTCCGCTGGCTGCCTGCAACGTCCTCGAAGGGCAAAGGATTCACGGCTACTCGGTGCCCCCTCCAAGATTAAATGGCGAGGGCCGCCGCGTCGTTGACATTGTTTTCAGCCGGCCAAACCCGCCTCTCGTGCAAGGTTGGGGTCATGTTGACTACACATGCCAGGATGGCTGGATGTACTGGTCCGAGCCTATCGATATATAGATATAAACTTGTACACGGATATAAACTTGTACACGCACATCCCAACGATGATCAAACTATCCGAAGACGAGAGTCAAGTCAGAGTGCCCATTGTCTGAGTATCGGTCCATACCCTGGTCCTCCCATCAGTTGTGCCGGCCTTGGGAGGCCATGGAGGACTGGGTTGGGGTCTTACAGTCTGACATTGCTTGAGCCGGGCTTGCGGCAGAGAGGTAGAGAAGAGGCGATGGGAATTAGTCGATGCTTCCGCCAAGTAAGTACGATAGATGCCAGGCGGCCACGGCTGCTAAGGAAAGACCAAAAAGTCACATGCTAGGTCACTTGCGTGACCCTGGCAAGAAGATTACATCTCGCTTTCTATGGCGAGCTATTAAATCAATCCTACATTGTGTATGGTGTATCAAAGCAGAGGTATAAATCTCGGGCTCCTTTGCTAGTCCTACAGTAGTTTGATAACGTACGACTTAAGCATAAACCATTGCAAACAACCATTCTCGACAGCGAGACTTCCACTCGTCGGCTGGTTCTGATGTCCACCGGGATCCTGTGGCGCCGATCAAACAGCTGCACGGGGTCTGGTCATAGAAGTGCTTGGCTTGCGAGAGCTGTTGAAGACGAGCATGGTAGTCAGGGCTGCGGTAACCATGAATAGTAGCCATTCGATCGCCCCGAAGACTGTCGCCGCCTTGAGCAACCCACATGAGCTTTTCCCTGTCGAACATGTGTCGGTCGAAATTTGAACAGCCACAGCAATAAAACCAGCGAGCCATGAGAGAACAGCCACAGCCTCGACGGCGACACGAATGTAGCCAAGCAATGCACGATCCGCGAAGCTGATTCCGGCAATGAGGTGGAAAATGACGATCAGAACTGTCCAGCCAGCACAGAACATCAAGAAGCCCCACGCATCAGGGACGCCGTAGTAATCGTAAAAGTTGCCGAACTCGAAGTGTTCGTATACCATGTGGCCACGAAACACATGAATAGCTAGGAAATGGGGTCAGACTCAACGGTCCGTCGACAGAGTAGGATGCATTAGTTCTGCGTACCGTAGCCGTCTGTTCCCATGACGATGATGGCGAAGATGAGCTGCAGCGTTCGCAGGGCATAATCGAGCGTTTTGTTCTCCGCCATATTCACGGCCATGATATGCAGCAATCTGTGATCGAATTTGGGAGGAGGTGGCGGGCACGTCGAGTGACTGATGAAGAAGTGAGGAACGCGGCGTCGAGCAAGAAAGAGAAATCTGAGCTCAGGAGTTTACAGGAGGGAAGTGATTCCCAGAAACGAAAAATGGGAACAGCTGTATTAATAGTCGCACGCTGCATAGCTGCCATTAGGAGACGGGCTAGGACGGCTCTGTGAATTAGGTATTACTAGTCATGGAGTCAAGCCATCTGGGCGATCCAAGAGCGACTTAGGTGAGTGGCTGAGCGAGGTGATGCGGCTGCAGGGAAAGAGAGGGCCGCGTACATTGAATACACCTTCTCTATTTGCTATGGTATACCATCAAAGACCGAGATGGCCTCCACAACTATTCTCGGCGATCCGACGGCGATGGGGTACTTTTTACGTCGAATCTGTGCTCAATCCAGCTTAGCTCGATAAACACCGAGCTGAGCTCCACTTGCCGTTGGCGGCTAATTAGAAGCCTTACTTGGACCCTGATTCGTCAGCGGGGATCCTGCCTGCAGTTAATGGTGATGACCTCAAACCGGCGGCGGTAGCCCAAGCAGACTCGGTACGGCTGTGAGACGTGCGGTGTAGCTTTATGTAACTTGGACGCCTTCTGGTACTTATATCACGGCAAATTAACTAGACGGCTGATGTACCTTTAAATATTTAGTAATGAAGTAGTTTTCTTATGTGCTTACGGCCATCAAATTATCGATTGCTCATATCAATATCATTATTTATGATTAAACTCCCTTTGTGTAATTAATCGCTTTAGAGGCACACCACCCTACTCTAGAAACCGTTCTGGGATATGTATCTCGCTTCTTTATATACTATTCTTGCATGCCCCTTGAAACTATTCTATCACCTATATATCCCACCACCCCTCCATATATGACTTCAGATCAACTTCCTCCGGCAGCTTTAGATGCGGCGTCAGATTTGCGCCCGGCGTCAACTCCCTTGCCGACCAACCATTCCCAAAGTACGCAAACCGATTCCCACTGGGGTTGATGTATGTATACTCCCAATCCTCCCAACGCGGCTCTCTGCGAATAATATTTGCATGCGTAGCACTTCCAGGGAACAGGCCATGGATCCTCCCGCCTGGCTGGCCGCCATTATACCAAGAGCTACAGTTCGCCGACCAGACAGTGCGTGGGTAGAACTTGTCACAGTATTCGACAAAGTCATCTGCGGCTTGCTTGGTGGGCACAATAGACTTGATACCTTGGCTGCGGACCTTGCGGAGCAGTTTGGCAATGTAGGTCACTTGGTTTTCGACGTTGTTCGGGACTGTGCCGCTGTGGCCAGAGGAGAATGGTCCGCCGAGCCAGAGAAGATTGGGGAATCCTGGTGTTGCGAAGCCAATATATGTGTAAGGAAACCCGAACAAACCGTCCTTCTTCCAGGCTTGTTTGAGGTCCACGCCGTCGGCAATAATAGAGAAGGGCGGCGCGTGGTCGATGTTGGCTCCAGTAGCACAGATAGTGATGTCTGCTTGTCTCTCGACGCCGTCTTCTGTAACAATTCCAGTCTCGGTAAATCGCTTGATGCGAGTTTGAATATAGTCAACGTTGCTTTTGGTCAAAGCCTCGAGATAGCCTGGACCAGGGGTTGGACGACGACAGTTAGGTGGGAAGTCAGGTATGATCTTGTCTCCCAGCTCGGGCTTTTCCGCGATGCGCTTCAGCATCAGCTCCGTCCATTTCTCTCTCACGGCATTGTTCTCAGGGGTATCTTTGAAAATTGACCCGAAGCGCCGGAAGAAATTGACTTCAACCCCCTTACGGTATTCTAGGTACGTTTTAGGGTCCTTGAACGAGTCCAACTGTGCGGGAGTGAAAAGATTGGCCTCCAGTCGACGGACTCCCGCTGTTTCGCCGAATGAGTCTGCAATCCAAGTGGGATTTCGAGCATAGTGGTCGACGTGGCTGGCGATTGGCTGGGCCGAGGGAAGAACTTGCAATCCCGACGCTCCGTTGCCGATAAGAGCCACTCGTTTGCCTGTCAAGTCGACGGTGTGGTCCCAGTTAGAGGAGTGGAACAGTGCACCCTTGTATTGGTTGATTCCCTCATAGTCCGGCAATTTCCAAGCATTGAAATGACCAATGGCATTGATGAGGACATCCAATTTCTCTTCGTAGACCTTCCGTAAAAGTCAGTCATCTCGCAAGATAACAAGCAGAGAAGCTCTACCTCATTTGAGCCATCTACATGCTCAATGGTGACCTTCCACTTCCCTTCGTCTGCTAACCACTCTGCTTTTTGGACTTTTTGTTGGAGGCGCAGGTATTGGTATACGTTAAACTTCCGCGCCACTCCCTGCCAATAGTCTCTGATTTCGTGTCCTTGGGCAAACTCTTCGGTCCATTGGGTATTGGGTGCGAAGCCGGATTGGTAGGCATGTGCGGGGATATCGCAGCGGACACCGGGATATGTATTTTCGAACCTGTTGGGAATGGTCAGTTTAGCTCAAGAAGCTCGAACCCAATATGGGGGATGTACCAGGTTCCGCCCTAAAAGTGGGTTAGTCGTTTTCATCCACAAATCTTGCTACTTGTAAAGAGACACATACCACGTCTGAATTCTTGTCCCAAATTCGGAGATCCAGACCTGGCAGTTTCGCCGGCAGTATAACGCCAGCTGTAACACCAGCAAGGCCGGCACCGATAATACCGACCTTGATAGGCCTCACTTGATCAATTGGATGTTCCTCGAGCTCGAACTGGTGCTGTGCCGTTGAGTTATCCGACTCAGAATCATTGACTACATTATTCTGCACAGTCACAGTTGGTGTTCCATTCAAACCCAAAGGGCTCTTAATTGCGTTAATCTTCGACAGATCATGGACCGGGGGATCTTCCACTAGTGCCATAATGAAGTGAATGCTCAGTGAATGCTCTGAAGGTCAAATAGCATGCTGCTGTTGGAGAAAAGGGCAACAGTATATATGGCCCCGCACACGGTTGCGCCATCCAGATCACCGCACACGCCACTGGGCGCGCAAGTCGTACCAGCCCATGTCAATACGATAAGCCACGATTCAACCGATGTACAACTAGGTGGCTCGTTATTCGGCCGAGCAGATGGAATCAGAGGGAGTGATTTGACGTGGCTAACACCATCGCGGTCCGCGATGATGTGCAGCGTAGGTTGGGGTACTTTTCTGTCCACCGCACCATCATCTCCACTCGCAACGCCATTGTGGAGTGTCGCATGTAGCTTTTGACGAGGAAGGGCCGAGGATCCCTGTTGTAGACTGGTAATTTAATGCTCAGTTCAGGTCGTTAGGATGTTGTTCTTTCGGAATTGTAATGACCGGTGTTTTGGGTGCCCTTGTGTCCTTGTAGTTGGAAATAATGCCTGGAAAGTGTTTGAGAAGCATGATCATCGAGCGTCAGAATGCAACGAGATCGGGATTTGGACATGCTAGTGTTGCTATGCAAATGCCGAGTCAAGTCTTTGAACACCGAGCATTTAGTTAGCTTCCAATTTGGTCTTTCTACGTGTAGCAGGAAGAGAGGCGGGGCTATTTCAAGATGCACTATGAGATTCTAGCGAGGAAAATACGACAAGCCAGTTGAATTATCCGTCATTCTGCTTGGTGCACATAGAAGTGATGCCCAAGTATACGGACAGAGGCTCAGCATGATTCGTGACGCTTATCTTCTGCCCCACCATAGAATTTCCCTCTGTCCTGCACTCACCATCTTCACGTCCATCCACACCAACCATTGATTCGACCACTTTTCTAATCTGCGCCATTCACAATCCACAATCCCTTCATTCAACCACCATGGCCATCCTTGACGAATACAAACCCCCACCGCTCCCCGCGCCCTTCACCAACACCAATCCCCCACCAACCCTTCTCACCCAAGGTGCCGAAGCACACCTCTACAAAACCACCTCCCTCGACCCATCTACGCCCGCGGCCCTCAAAATCCGCCCCACAAAACCCTACCGTCATCCAATCCTCGACCGCCGGCTCACACGCAGCCGCATCGTGCAAGAAGCGCGATGCCTCGTGAAACTCGTCAAAGAGGGCGTCAGCGTGCCTGCGGTTCTGGCCCTGGACTGTGAGGGACAAGGCGGCGAGGAGACCTCGTGGGGAGGGGCTTGGCTGCTTATGGAGTGGATTGAGGGACCTGTTGTGCGCGTTGTACTGGAGCAGTGGGAGGCGTGGATGAAGACCCAAATCCACATGGAGGAGACGATGCGGATATCGGAGGAGAATCGGGTGCGTGGGCTAATGAGACGGATGGGGGAGACGATTGGCGCTTTGCATAAGGCCGGTGTTGTGCATGGGGATTTGACAACCAGCAATCTCATGCTGCAGCCATTTGAGGGGGAATCAGAGGCAAATGATTCGGTGTCGATGGAGGGAAAGATCGTCCTCATTGATTTCGGGCTGGCATCGCAGAGTACCCAGGACGAGGACCGCGCTGTGGATCTGTATGTCATGGAACGCGCGATCGGGAGCACCCATCCGCGGACGGAGCCGTTGTTCGATTCCCTTCTACAGGGATACCGGGAGAGCTACAAGGGTGCTGTCTCAGCGCTGAAGAGGCTGGAGGAGGTGCGATTGAGAGGTCGCAAGAGGAGCATGCTTGGATAAATGGGGACAATTCCATCTGAATGCATTTGGGATATGTATTTCGAAGAAGCAAAAAAACCACAAACAAACGCCGCGCTCAGCAAAAGACAAGAAAAAGGAAAAGAAACACCCTATGACCGGGCCTTGACGCATGTGCCGACATCCGCCAGAGCGAAATATCCCTTGTTCTCGACCACACCGCGGTCCTTGACCACCGCCGTGTACTTGACGACCCACTGCGGCTCGACGTCCCCCTGGATGCCGTCTTTTGCGTCCGGCGAAGAGGCGAGAATGCCGGCACCTTTGTCGACAGGCCCCAGAAGCTCGCGGGTGGTGCCTAGGGGGAGGATATCATTGCAGTCGTTATGAGTCAACAGCTGGATGTGCTCCTGCTTGGCATACAGAATCAGGGATTTGGGCACAACGCAGCAGTCTTTCAGATTGATCTGGTCGACTGAGGGTTTGACCTTGGTATGAGGCAAGAACCGTGCTAGCCGCTCACTGCCAAATTCCGCCACGCCCAGCTGCGCAATCATGCCTTTCTCCTGAAGCGACTCTAGGACCCGCCATGTCTGCACCATGCTGTCAAAGTCATCGGCCTCTTTATCGGAACTGCTCTCCTCTTCCTCGCTGTCATCATCGGCATCGAACAAGATGCCGGGAAACGACACGATGAGCAGGTCAATCGATTTCACATGTAGCTCCTTCAATACCAAATCAATCGCCTCCCTTGTATGCGCGCAGCGTCTTGACGCAGGTATGCCCGGTAGATAGAACAGTTTCACCGTAATGTCGTACTGGTCACGCTCCTCCGCCAGCCCGGGCTGCGAGAAATCGATCGCGGGGATGTAGAGGGCGTCGTCGGTCTGGAGGGTCCAGGCGGTAGAGGGTGGGGGATGGAATCCGTTGGTGCTGCCGTTTGTATTTGCTTCACCGTTCGTGTCGGGCTGTTGCGAGGCAAGGAAATTGGAGTGCAGCGAGTTGATCAGCTCGATGTTGGATTTCTGGGTCGGGGGCTGGCGGATGACGGACGGCCGGCCGCCTTTCATGATATTGCTTCGAGAGGGAATTAGTTGCCGGACAAATGAGAGGATGAAGAGACTTACGAGGTGGACAGGATCAACTTCATGGTGGCGTGTTATTACTGAGGTGAGGGTGGGAGGGAGAGAAAAGGAAAGAAAGTTGAAATTCCCCGCGGGACCTGACAAATCCGATAAATCACTCCACTCTGTTCTACTCTATTTGTCTACTCTCCTACTACTAATCATCGTCCACCGTTGGATCCCAGTCTGTTGGCGAATACTCCCCCGTATCCAACATCTTCATATCCTGCGCGTCCAGCTCGAAATCGAACACGTCCGCGTTCTCCCGGATGCGCTGCGGGGTCACCGATTTGGGCAGCGGTACGAATCCCTGATAAGCCGCCAATCAACACATATTTTGATCTTGATAATGAGGAATTAAGGACTCACCATCTGCAAACTCCACCGAACAAGGACCTGCGCCGGCGACTTTCCATACTTCTTCCCGATACTGTGCAGCACCTCCTCATCAAACCGCGTCCCATGCGCAAGAGGCGAGTACGCCTCGACCACGATCTTGCGTTGCTGCAGCCACGCCGTGATATCCGAGTGGTCGAGCCACGGGTGCAGCTCGTACTGGCCAACATCGATTTGGCCGCCGCCACCGGATTGGATGTAGGATTCTAGTTCTTCGAGGTGATGGATGCCGTAGTTGGAGACGCCGATGGATTTGGTCTTGCCTGCTTTTTGGGCTTCGGCCAATGCGCGCCATGAGCCTAGGCGGACTTCTTTGCCACCGTAGGGTGCGTGAATGAGGATCCTGTTGGGGTTAGCTGGGCTGTATTCCCCCCACAGCAAGTACCGGACTCGGTATGTATATGGGAGGTAAACCGCGCGTGGACGCACAGATCGAAGTATTCCTGTCCCGCCTCGCGAAGACTTCCATCAATAGCCCTCTTAGTCCGCTCATACCCCATAGACCCAGGAGGGATCTTGGTCGTGAAGAAGATCTCGGAGCGATCGAGTCCCGAGTTCCCGATGGCCTTGCCGCATGCTTTTTCGTTGCGGTACATGATTGCGGAGTCGATCTGATTTGGAACGTTAAAATTGAGATGGTGAGTGGAAGGACAGATGCGTACATGGCGGAATCCAGCTTTCAATGCTTCGAGAGTAGGCTTCTCCGTTGAAGATTGGGGACTAGCTAGGTTTAGTTGAGAGTCAAGAAAGAGGAAGAGTGAGATCGACGTACATCATATAGACCTATTGCACAGAGTAACATTAGCGATCATATAGGAACTGCAGACGATAAAATGCAAATAAATTCCTTGAAAGCGATCCATGGCCATCTGGATTCAAGTACTCACCCCATATCCTACAACCGGAATCTCATGGCCCGATTGCAGTCGATATTTTGACTGTAGACTCAGTTTGGCGGTCATGCTGGATGATAGTCTTGCGCTGTGAGTGTGTAGAGTAAGAAGTGAGCGACGACGCAGACGGAGAAGTATCCGCGATGAGATCATAAAGTGGGGTTTGCGAGCGATGCGGTGAATGATTCAATGGTGACAAAAATATATGTAATAATAATACGCAATGTTTAAGGAAAAGACGAAGAGCGGAATTTACTTGCAATTGAAAGAGGACAAGTCATCGAGGAGTGTGAGAGGGAGAGATGACATTGATCTCAATGATCAACGCCTGTTGCTCTTTCGGGGCAATGACACGCCGAGGCAAAAAGTAGCATTATCATTGGCAAAAGCCTTGTATCTGTTAAGCCTTAATGAAAAGTACCCTCTCTTCTCTCCATTTTATTTTCCGAGCCCTATCTGAGACATACCTATACGCGCGACGATAGTCGCAAGGCGGCCACAACTATATAGCCTATCGTTTTGCTGGCAGAAATATTATCTAATGGTCTGAAATTGGTTAGTACATCGTACCACGTAGTAACGTTAATTTGTATGGTAGACTGACTAAGTGCCCCCTATCCCACAAAGGCCTCCCGGCCATCCAGAGTCTGCCCTCAAACTCAATTCTTAGAAAATTAGGTGTACACGATCTCTCATAGTAGGTACTATGGCAGGCTAGGTACTCATCCTTTCACAAAGGTCTCCCGAGTCCCGGCCACACAAAATCTGCCCTTAACTCGTACAATAATAGGTGTACATCCTCTCCCGTAGTAAATATGTACACCTATTTTTGTACGAGCTGGGGCGCTTTGCGACTAAGATATCGTCTTCTGTACACACCTTCCTAAAATGGCTTAGCTATTCCGTGGAGGCTGAGCAAGTGGATATGGTTTGACTTGACTCACGCTCACTCACCCTGACCCATTATTGTGATTGGCTTACTCTAATCAAGCTTCCTAAGATTATAAGAGCAAGACCACCACACGGTTAGCGATATCAATTCAACAGCCATTGGGTTTTTACAACAGCGTATGCTTGCATCTAATACTAATACCACCTCCACTTCTACTTCTACTTCTATCTTAACCATGGAATATCCCCTTCCCTCTGAGGTGCATGCCATCTCCTCGGAATTACTCGACCTTCGCCCCGATGCAGACATCGACTTTGATCTGCTGCACCCCCCGCCAGTCACGGGCGTCAAGAACATTTGGTTCTTTTGGCACTCAGGCTACGAGCACATGCATCCGTACACACAGCGCAATGTACGTGCATGGCACCGCCGGTTCACTAAGCAAGGGTGGACGATTCGCATCATGGACCGCCGAACAGGGTCGAAAAGCAATGTCGGGAACTTCCTAGATGTCACTGATCCAGCCCTATTCCCGCGCTGTTTTATCGATGAGACCATTACCGGTGCCTACGCACTACAGCATACTTCAGACCTTGTGCGCTGGCCGCTGCTCCTGCAGCATGGCGGCGTCTACGCGGACGTGGGGATGATGCAGATTGGCGACCTGGATAAACTATGGAATGAGACCATTGCCAATCCGGACTCCCCCTATGAGGTCCTCTGCTATAGCGCCGGCGATACCGACAGATACAGCATATGCAACTACTTCCTCGGCGCGCTGCCGGATAACGCGTTGTTCGCACGCTGCCAGAAGCTACTCCTCGCACTTTGGGGAGCCGATGGCGGCAAAACGAGCACCGATGGAATGCATGCCAGCCCGCTGCTGCGCGGAATACCCCTGATGGGGGGCGATTTCACCATCACCAACGACGATGGAAGCTTCATCGGGCCCGACGAGGTGAGCCGCATGCTGACGGACTACATCGTCCAGGGCCAGGCGGCCACGGCAGTAATGGGACTGGTTGATGCCCAGGACAGCTGGGACGGACCAGCGTATAGTGTGGCACATGTATACGCCATCGAGTTCATCGAAGGAGCGCAGCTCATCAACGAGTTCACGGCATGGGATGGACAAAGGGCATTTGATCTCATGTCGCTCTCTCTGCCCAAAGACGGGGAACAAGAATCCGATGAACAAAGACAAGCCCGCGAGATCGTTGAGGGTTGTCTGTCGCGCAGCTTCGGGTTCAAGCTTGCGCATGGCCTTATCCTACGTGTTAGCAAAGTTACTCTCGGCTCGCTGTGGCGGGACAACCCGGGCGTTGATATTGTGCCGGGCACATATGCGGCCTGGTTGCGACATGGGATTGTCTACTGGACTCAAAATTCAGTACCGGGTCCAGTGGAGCTTCCGGTGCTCCCTCCGACAAAGGTTGGGCGGTTACTGGAAGATACTGAATAGAGATAATAGAGACAAGAAAGCATTCCTTTCATAGATTATACACTGTTACATAACTGAGATCTACAAGCAAGAGCATTGACAAAAAAAGCCATGTATTAAATTCATCATATCTGGTCGACATGGACATTTCTATGAACCGTCCGTCTCACCAAACCAAACAACAACAAACAGAATCCACCCTGGTTCTATGTATACTCATCACCTACTCGTACACCCAAACCTCTCGCTATCGTCAAACTAAACCTTCCGTTGCGCCTCCTGCTTCGCCTCAGCCTCGATCTGCTCCTGGGCCTTGCGATCAGCCTCGCGCTTCAGCTGGTCAGGACGGCGGACAGCGATATCCTTGGGACGGAAGTCACTGAAAAGGTTCTTGAGGACGTTCTCGATTACCCAGCAGCCACCGTAATCGAAGATCATCAGCACGGTCAAGGTGAGCTTGAACTCATTGCTGAAGGGGACCAGGCGCAGCTTCTCGTTGATCTCCGGGATAAACTCCGTCGCACAGGAGAATGCCACACCCGACGCGGCGACGAGGCCCCAGTACATGGCCTTGTTTTCGCGGATGGACTCGCGGAAGGGACGGCCCTGGTAGTTGATTGAGAAGGTGGAGATTTGTTGGATCAGCTGCAGCAGGTAGATCGCGCTGTTGAGCAGGGATGGCTCGAACTCGCCCTCGAGGTCGACGTCGCTTTGTCTCCTGGGAAAGGTTAGTGGATGGTTCAGAAGGAAAAAAAATTGTCACATACGGCTCAATCGAATAGACGTAGTTTGACAAATAGATCAGAGTCACAATGTGGATCGCGAATTGTCCAAGAACGGATCCGATAATGTACACGTTGAAAATGTTTGGCTGCGGGCGTTCCTTGGATAGACCCTCGACAGACTATAAACTATTAGCAGGTGCAATATAGAAAAGAGGCGAGACAACAATACCTTTGCGCGAGAGATGGACAAGAAACACACACTCATCAGCATACCGCTGATGGTAACCTGACCGTCGCCAAACTTGATCCCATCCAAGTAGATGACACTAAGACTGTACGCACTGATCAGACAGTTCAGCGCCAGAATCTTGTACATCTGGATCGTAGCCACTAGAGTGCAACGGCCTTGACGGAGAATGTTTGGGATAGCGATAACGTTGGCCAGCTTGCTCGTGAACGGGGCGGCCACAGACGCGTCGCCTAGCTTGATGGTGGGGGGCTCGCTATCATCCAGCTCCTGCTCCAACATGGACGAGGTAAGCTTGTCCGCAAGACCAGCTGCAGCAACAGAAGCCTGTTGATGTCTCTGCTGTTGAGGAGTCATGGTCGAGGAAGACTGTTGCAAGGCCTGAGCGCCGGGAGAGGTGATAGTCGGGATCTGCTCGGCGTTACCGGCAGCGGTAGCAGAAGCGGATCCCTTTTTCTGCGCCTCTCTTTCAATAGCCTTTTCGTAGTGCGGGTTGCTGGGGCCAGGCGGATAGAGGTGAGCGATCTGAGCAGGCACTGGAGGCGCGGGCTGGTTGAATCGTTGCATCATGCTACACTGCTTCTCGTACAGCTCTTTCATCTTGGTGGTCCGGTAGTGATCGGCGATCTTGACCAGGTCATCGGGCGAGCCATTCAGAAGAGCAACACCGACATGAGCCTGCTTCAAGGCACCAACGTCGTTCGTGCCATCACCACACATCAGAGTGGTGTAGCCAGCATCCTTCAATCCGAGGAGAATATCTTCCTTCTGCTTGGGAGACACGCGGGCATAGACCCAGGTATGGCGAAGCAGATCGGGGAGAGCCTTTTGACCCTTGAATTTTGCGAGGGCATATCCAGTGATACAGATGTCCTTGTTATTCAAGATCTCCGGGTCCAGAGGTTGAGTGGGATCCACGGGGGTGTTGAGCTTGTCATCGATAGTGCGCCAAACCAGCTTGGTGCCTGAATTGTCATGTTCGGGAGCATCCAGGATAACCACCTCCCGATCCACGATTTCGACTTGACGGGCGACGTGCACAGCAGTCAGCGGGTTGTCACCAGTAATCATAACAACACGGTGACTGCTCTCATTCAGCATGCGAACAGAGCTAATGGCGTCCTCCTTCAGAGGGCATTGCAGAACAAGGAAACCGGCAAAGGACAGCTCCGACTCGATATTCTCTCGAGTATAATCGTTGATGCGACCTTGAGAGAGTTCGGATTCCGTGGAGAGATACTTGTAGGCCAGGGCGAGGACACGAGCGCCGTTGCGAGTAAAGTACTTAAAAGTTTCTTCGTAGTGAGGCGGCGTGTTGACCAACATGCCCCGAATGGTTTCGGGAGCACCCTTGACGCCGACGAAGGTTGCCTTGCTCTTCTTGGAAGTCTTCCGATCAGTCGAGGTGACGGTAGCGATGGTGCTTTGGCGTTTGAGGGCAGACGAAAACTGGAAGCGGCGCTTGATCTGAACTGACTCAACAGGACGCGAACCGACAGTTGGGGCAACGCCCTTGCAGGTAAGGATATCCTTCTTGCCCAGAGTCCAGCCAAGCCACTCCAAAGTGGCTTTTTCCATGGGGTCACCAACAACCTCACCCTCATCCAATTTCACAAGGGCATGGGCACTAGCCAGCACAAGAGTCGTGTCAGGACCAACAGCCGTTGCCTTTCCTAATTCGGTATGAGCACCGTCTGGTTGCACAGCGGCACCGGCTTGACCCAGAGTCAAGCCCGCGATGCCGTCCACGACGAGGTCTTCGCCAGTCAAAGTACCGGTCTTATCAAAGCACGCAACGTCCACACGGCCAGCGAAGGGGATACGGAATGGTTCAGTGCAGAAGATGGCAAATTTACTCAGGGCTGCCAGACTGGTGTTGACCGCTAGACTCAGTTCCATGGGAAGCTCCGGGGGAACGACGCTCGTGACGATGAGGACACAATCCAACAACAGCTTCGACCGCTTGCGGTCCTTCGACACACCCTCTTGCCACACGTACCACGAAGCGGCGACAGCGAAAATCAAAAGGAAGAGGATAAACAGCAGGGCTTCGACGTTGTTGGCGGAAACACGTTCGGTGGAATAGATCATGGTGCGCACAAGACTGCCTTGGCTGGTTTCAAACCCAGTCTTGACAACCACTCCCAGAGCACCATTGTCCGGGGGCATGGTGATACCAGTGGCCATGTTCTTAGGAGTCTCTTCTCCGTTCGCGTTCGGGTGGGTGATCTGCAGGACCTTGGTTCCTCCGTGGACAAACGAGTTCTTGTCCAACCCGTCGGGTTCAATCAAGTCAGTACCGGGCCGAAGCTGGACCGAGTCTTTCAGGAGAGGTGTGCTCTCGCCAGAAAGCATGGCCTCGTTCACGATCACGCTGCCCTCGACCAGAAGAATGTCACAGGCCACACCACTGTCCTCCTTGGTGCGATTGACAGACATCAGATCGCCGGGGAGAAGCTTGTCGCTGGTAATTTCTTGCCACTTGCGATTGCGGTACACCCAAACATCGTACGGCTTGATGCTCATTCCACGGAACTCATTAAGAGTCCTCTGGCGCTGCCAAACAACCGTACTTTCGAAAACCACCAGCATAAACAGCGTGAACAACGAGTAATACCAGTATTCGTCCAGCATCCACAGTCCAACACAGAATATCTGGAAAACGAAGAATGGCGCCACGGCATGCTCCTGGAAGAGCTCGATAAACGAGGGGACGGGGATGTCAAAGGTGTTGTCTCCATAGTGGTGTTGCACACGTTCAATGTCGGCGTTGGTTGCCAAGCCCTGGCTCTCCTGGAAGTAGCTGAGGGCGGGCTTGGGTTCCGCATCGAGGACATAGGACAATGGCGCGAAAGAGCGGCGGTCGGGGTAGAACAGAAATCGGCGCTTCTGGAACAGGAACGAGATGGTCTTCTTTCCAGCGGTGTTGTCATGGATCAGGGGGCAGATCTCCGCGGTGCCGGCATTGGTGATGGGGATCACTTTGATCAACTTGGCAGAGTCGATAGACTTCGCCTTGATTGTGGTGAACAGGGCGTTGATGTTGATGTTCCACTTGGTCATCAGCCATAGGAGGGACTGGGCCGTGATGATGGACCCGCTCCAGACGAAGGTCCATTCCTGGCCCTGGATGTAGGTATCATAGCGCTCCGGAGAGAGGTAGAAGCCGAAGAAGATAGGCCAGATTATCAGGAAGGGCCACACATATGTGTGCAGCTGCAGCGGGAGAGGGTTGTGCAGGGACGCATATTGGATCTGGGGGTCGTCGGCCAGTTTGACCCTGAAGGAATGGGTTAGTTGATGTCGTGTCTGTGCAATGAATGAACTCACATGGTGGCGCTTGGAGGACCACACTCAGGGGTCCAACACACACGCGAAATGAAGAAAATGACCCTCCAACAACGAACGGGAAAAAAAGAAGGATGAGCAAAACACCACGAAGAAGCCACGAGAGAGATTAATTGGATTCGCCGCCGAGCGCACGGACCATCTGCCGGATTATGTAAGAGGTATCGATAAGGGACGTGCACGGGACTAGAAGTATTTCGAAGTATATGGATGCTGATGGTGGATGGTCGCGGTGGATGGTCGCGGTGGATGGTCGCAAAAAGACCTGATATTATTATACTTCCTGGTGTGTTGTTCTTGCTAGGGAATTCGAAGTCACCCTTGAGTCCTAATGATATTGTCGCCTAGGAATACCTGCCTGGCGACCTCCCATGCTATCATCTCTTGGCAACTTTCCTCTCACACGCCAACCTTACAGCTATACCATCTCGCTTCTTACCAAAATATTCAGACACAAGAAAATTATCAATGGATTTAGAACACTCAAAACAAACTAGCTTGATACTCTGCAACAAATAGGCCCAGATCACTTCCCACCATTCTCCTGTCCCATAGCCTTAACCATCTCCGTCAACGCCTTAACCTGCTCCCTGAGCTGCTGAATCTCCAGCGCCGTAGTATCAGTTTTGATATCGGGTTTCGACTCGCTAACCTGTAGCTTCCAGTTATCATCCAGATCAAAGTCCACATCCTCAGCTACATGCTCCCACTCCTGCGTGGAGTCATCATCCTCCTCGCCTCGGCTGCGGTTCCAGCGGATCCGATACGCTTCCCGGGTTTCGAGCCAGGCGGTCAGGAAGAGAAGGGGCGAGTAAATTATGCCCATGATGATCTCGTTCAGTTTGGCGTAGTATTCGCGCGTTAGCCACCATTCAAATGGGGCGACTAGGAACAGGATTTCCAGAAGGTTGAATGCTAGAAAGGGTTAGTGGTAATGGTTTGTTTGGGGAGGAGGAATACCTACGTGGGATGAATACATTCTCGTCTGGGGCACGGACGAACTGCATGGTCTTTTGCGCGAAGATGGCCATGTACTCGTCCGTGGCATTGCCGGATATATCCTCGTATGCGCTGTTGTAGAGCGCAATGAGAATGTTGAGAAGAACTAGCGGGGATTAGTTGATAGCATAGAAAGAAAATAGAAGAAAACATACTGATCATGACAATGAAGTTGAAAACATAGTAGAGAATAATGCCAAAGGGAAACGCAAAACTTTGGAATGTCTCAAACTCAGGGCTCTGCATGACACTATTTGCCATGCCCTGGATGATAGCTCTGGACATGGGAACATCAGCATCAACCTGGGCCATTCCAATGAAAGCCTGGAAGAAACCGGCCAAAACAACGAAGAGAAGCGCGAAGAAAATCAAGCTCTCTTTCATCATCACGCGAAGGACGACGAACATGGCCCCGAAAAACTTGAAGGAGTCCAGGTAGAGCATCATGCGGATCCAGAACATCGGGCCTGCAAACGCCAAAAAGTTGTAGCTGAGCGTGTTGTACAGTTGTCTGTTTTCGTCATTGGCGGAAGGCGAGTGCGCTAGAGCCACAATGCGCAAGACGAATGAAACAGCCAGCAGAGTGTATAGAGTTGAGTTGAATGCATTCCAAAATTCAAGGTAATTGAATCCGATTTTCCAGAACTTCACTGCTTCGTCACAGATGAATGCAAGAGTCATTCCGTAGAGAATACCTTCCGCTACATCAAGATCACCAGTTGGATTCACAGTGTTGATTACAGCCGTGTAGATGGCCAGGTAGATCAGGGAGAAAAGTATCTGGCAGATATTCTGGTAAACCGGCGTCCTCATGCGGTCAGGATGAAAGTGAACCCAATAGTCGATGTTATCCTTGTCCTCGTACGCAACGAAGTTGGTTGGATTGCCATCTTCCTGGCAGATCCAGCCACGCCAGAGGTATTGAATACATTTCTGATATCCAGCAGATCCGATTATTCGCAACGCGTGGAGGTCGACTGACCGCTCAATGACATTGGCAGGGTCAGTTTCGAAGCCCTCAACGAAAATCGAGTATCGCTTGAGCAAGATCTCTTTGAGCAGATACTCTTGGTCTTGCTCCTCTTCAATTCTGTCTATGCTATTAATTTTTCATGTTCCAAACGAAGGCGGGGAATCTTACATTTGCTTCGCAATGACCTCACAGGCCAGAGCGCGCATCTCATGAAGATCCGCATCCCACAGCTCAATTGACGCCTGGATATTGAACCAGCGCAGACAAACGAGAAGACAATAAACCACACAGGCTTTGTAGTCCTCCCCGCCAGCCCGCTTAGCCGTCTCAACCACAGCCGGCGTGATGAGCGTGCTATTGGGATTGGTGAGGCTGCTTTCTTGCACCTCGCAGGCGATAACCTGTTCAATCTGGTATCTCAGCCGAAGCGCAACCTTGGCAATCTCCTTGGAAGACTGCGATGGTTGCGGCTCGTCGCCGGCGTACGCGGGGAGCACTGCGATCTCGTTAGTTGCGTCATGGGTGAATTTCAGGGCGGTGTTTATTTTCCGATGACGTACGGCGACGGCGCTCGACCTGGGCGCGATGGCGCGTGCGGCGAGTGTCGGTGGTGAAGAGGTCTCTCCAATGGCCCATTGTTCCGGTCAAAAAGACAAGCTGGGCGATAATAGGGGATGTTGCAAGAAGACCGACGAAGCGGAAAGATGGGAGGGGAACGGAAGTCCGATCGGCCCCAAACAATTGTAATGAGATCTGCGATCCGATTCACCGCCTGTTAGGCTATGTATACGAATACGATGAACTACGATCATGAAGTATCACAGGCATTGAAACGTTTCAGTTGCATCACAACATATGTACATCAGAAGTGGATGGACCACAGCCGGCACTCTGTTCGGCCAGCGCTGGCGGATGAGGGCTTCGTCATCCCCAGGCCCAAAGTGCAGGCAGGCTGCCCGGACTGAAGGGCGGGTTGCTCGCGTCAAAGTGCAAAGACTTTTTTCTATCTTCCTCCTCCGATGGTTTTGTTTTCCCTCCCCCCAATGCTAAAAAAAGAGATGCCCCGCGACTCCGAGTCCCGCGCAGCCTTTACTCGGGAACACCCTCGTCGCTCTCCGACTGACTCTCGTCGCCGCTGACCTCCATGTTCTCGCGCTCGCGCTTCTCCATGAGCTCCTGGAGAACGGCTTCGTCGTGCTCGGTAACGGCCTTGGGCGCCATCTTGACAGAGCAGTTGCCGTTGGCGCCCTTGATGTTGGCCGCGATCCGCTCGATCGCAGCCTCCAGCATTTGAATACCCTGGTTCTTGTCCAGGCACTGGCTGGTCAGAACGTACAGCGGTGGGGCCACCAGCCGAACCATGATCTGGTTTTCGGCGGTGTTTTCCACTTCGGCGGTGCGCAGGGCCTCCTTCACGGCGTCGATGCCCTCGTAGCCGAAACAGGTCACTTCAATATCGGCACGGACCTTGGTGGGGTGCGGGGTGAGCTTTTTGCTGATGTACTGCTGCAGCTCCTTCTTCACGGCTTCGCTGGGGAACTCGATATCCTTCCACACTTCCGGGTTCCTAGAAAATTCCTGTTAGGGGTGTTCGCGGGCAAGGTTGGGATAGACCTACGTGATGGACCGCTTGAAGGCGTCGTGCGAGTGACCGTATTTCCGGTTCAATGGCCAGCTGATCTGCTGGTATAGGGTCTCAAGGGGCACCTGGGAGGCCTCGGCGACGTGGCGCATAATGGAGTGCACCGCCTTGCTCTTGTTGTACCGCTCTTCACACTTGACCACGTCCTCGGGCGAGACACGACGCTTCGACAGATCGATGTAACCCTTCTCCTTGTCGACACGCAGAACAATCACCACCTCGTTGCGCCCAATGCGGATCAGCTTCTGGATACTGCGGATACGTCTTCGCGAAAGTTCGGAGAGCAGGATCATCCCGTCGATGTTGTCGTACTCGAGCAGCTTGACGTATGCGCCCATCTCGGCGATCTACCAGGTTCACGGAATTAGACGAGACCGCCAAACCGGTTGTGGAGATACCTACCTGCTTCACGTTGACCATGACATAGCTGTCCACCTCCGGGTACTTCTCCTCGTAGAACCGACAATTTGTCAACGACATCTTGGCGGGGCAGTGTGTTGCGTCTTCGGTCCGGGGGAAAGGGCAAGGGTTCAAAGAACAGAGAGGAACGGTGCTTATAGAGAGCGCGAGACAGTCGAAGCCAAAGAGAGATAGTCGGGGGGCAGACTGGGAAGGGAAGGGGGAAGCACAATATGAGTCGAATCAATCTCTCTTTGTGCCCAAAACCCACATTTTCACCGCGAGTCACGTGATGAGTTCACCGCCCGGATCTATCTTCAGTGTCCCAGGTGGATTATTATTTATGATGATGATGATGACAGGAAATATATTAATGAAACAAAGTGGCGGAGAGATCCGCCGTCTACTCTCCCCCAGGCAGCATTCTACCGCTGCAGCGGTCGCAACCCCGCCTGCGATGCCCTAGTCTCAGCGGTCAAGCTATATTGTTTCCCCGCTAAACTAGTGGCAACCGCCCTTGCTAACTCGCAAGGGAATTAATTCCCTCAGACGGCACCTACATATGGCAGACAACGACCCGCGTTGAATACCGGCCGGCCTGCTCCTTCACTCCCGGAAAAAAGAATGTCGGAGTCCAATTCTCTGCTCCGTCCAGAGCCGGAATCCCGGCGTTCCCTGCGAGACCGAATCGTTGATGCCTTTCGACAGACCAGCAGCTCGACCCCGCCGTCGGAGGAATCTGTTGGGGATGGAACACCGAGAAGTCATAGGAGGGTGCCACCAGCGGGCAATTCCAGTGAACCGGACGCAAGAAGCCGCCTCCTAGAGTCGTATTATCGACAAGACCCGGCCTGTGGCTCCAAAAGATGCAGCCATGGCACTTTCTCTCCACGGGTCGAAGACGGAGAACGGCAATCATGGCTGGGATCCTCAAGCCTCCGGTGCGAGCACGGGGCAGGCGACGGCGGCGAGGGTTCCGGGCCAGACGACCGGCCGGACTCGGAGAATCTGTCGCAGATGAAGTCTTCTCTCTCGGCTCTCTCCCTGAATGACCAGAAGAAATTGTAAGCCAGCTTTCCAATGTCGTCCAGCCGAAGGAGACTAACGGATCATTTGCCTGCAGGTACTTATCATACTACATTCCCTTCTTCACCTGGATTGGGCAATACCGCTGGTCATTTATCCGTGGAGACTTCATCGCGGCCCTGACGATCGCGTCCATATATATCCCCGTGGCGCTGTCGTTGGCGTCTAATCTTGCACATGCACCACCCATCAATGGCCTTTATTCTTTCGTGATTAATCCTCTGGTCTATTCGCTACTCGGAAGCTGTCCGCTCTTAGTTGTCGGGCCAGAAGCTGCCGGCTCTCTGTTGACAGGAGAAATTGTCAAGGCGAGCATCTCGCAAGGGCACTCGGGCGAGGACGATAGTTTGGCTAGCGCCATGGTCATAGGAGTAGCCACTTCCATGGCGGGTGCCATGATTCTCGTTGCGGGCCTGACTCGCCTGGGCTTTTTGGACAATGTCCTCAGTCGACCGTTCCTGAGAGGATTCATTACCGCTATTGGCTTTGTGATCTTCGTGGATCAGCTCATCCCGGAACTGGGACTGGCAGATCCTGCCCAAGAGTCGGGTGCGAGCCACGGTTCCACAGCACAGAAACTGGCATTTATTGTCCGGAACATCAAAGACTCGCATGTGCTCACTGCTGCGGTGTCCGTTGTCAGTTTCGTCGTCATTATGATCTTCCGGTGTGTACCCAAGGCATGTTACAGATGTAACTCCACTAATTGATTACCATAGAACACTGAAGAAGTGGCTGATGCCACGCTATCCACAAGTGGTTTACTTCCCCGACCGCTTCCTAATCGTGGTCCTCTCTGCCATTCTCGCTTGGAAGCTCGACTGGGAGGACAAAGGTCTCGAGCTGCTGGGCCATACCGAGATCAGCTCCAGCCGCCTATTTGTCTTCCAATGGCCCTTCCAGGCTGCACTGATGAAACACATTCGCACCGCCATGAGCAAGGCGTTCATAATTGCCCTTCTTGGCTTCTTCGAGTCATCGGTTGCAGCAAAAGGTCTGGGCGACGGCTGTCCCGACGGCGTCAAGGGCATGAACATCAGTGCCAATCGGGAAATGGTCGCTCTAGGCGTTGCAAATTTGGCCGGAGGTTGTTTCATGGCTCTTCCTGCATTTGGCGGGTACGGACGAAGCAGAGTCAATCAGCAGACCGGCGCGCGCTCACCCATGAGCAATGTCTTTCTGAGTGCTATCACGCTAGTCTGCATATTGGTGCTTCTGCCGTATCTCTACTACCTTCCCGTTAGTTCATCCTTTTCTTCAGACGTCTCACCACTAACCACACTCCAGAAACCGGTCCTCTGCTCCATGATCTCCGTCGTTGCTTTCACCCTGGTGGAAGAATGCCCCTCAGACATTATATTCTTCTTCCGTCTCCGCGGCTGGACCGAACTCAGCCTCATGCTGCTCATCTTTTTAACCACAATCTTCTACTCCCTCGAACTAGGCATGGCCTTCGGCATCGGGCTATCAGTCATAATCCTCATCCGACACTCGACCAAACCACGCATCCAAATTCTAGGCAAAGTACCCGGTACAGCGCGCTTCGACAACGCTGAACTCCGCCCGGAGGACATCGAATTAATCGAAGGCGCACTGATCGTCAAAATCCCCGAACCCCTCACCTTCGCCAATACAGGCGATCTGAAAAATCGTCTCCGCCGATTAGAACTATACGGCTCGAGCCGTACACACCCGTCTCTGCCGCGCATGCGCCCTGCGGAAAATAACAAGAACATCGTCTTCGACGTACACGGCGTGACGAGCATCGATGGCTCGGGCACGCAGGTGCTCTGGGAAATCGTACGCACGTACACCGAGAACGGGGCGAGAGTGTTCTTCTGTCGCTTGCCGAATGCGGAGGTGTTTTCAATGTTTGAACGCAGTGGCATTGTGGAGCAATGCGGTGGGCTTATGCATTTTGTGCCGAGTGTGGATGAAGCGCTTCGGTTGGCTGACACGGAGGAGCACATAGACGAGATGTAGAGAGGGTGGTTGGCTGGCAGTTTGTTCTTTTTGTACAGTTTGATGACGAGACGACTGTTTTTAAGAGAAGATTGTATTGAGTTTTAACTTGTAGATACCTCGAATGTGATATTTGTCCTTCATAACGAGACCTGCTCTGCTGTACTCTGTTTCGCTTGTCTACTGCCAAACTAGCCAACGGTAACCAGATATGCACTGGTTTTCACCCTAAAAGATCACCTCATCTTCAGTAGGTATGCGGCTCAGCAAAAGGCTCATTTGCGTTGGAAGAAGCGCGAATAGCGTCGAGCCAGGCAAGCGAATAGAACCGATGACAAACAGTCATGGCTCCCTGATTTGTTCCATCGACGACGTACTTTGTGTCTCCTTGCGCAACTGAAGCGTCGGTCAAGATACATCTTGAACAAGGCATGGCGCGTGGTTGGCTACCACAAGCAAGAGGCGAACACGAGAATATCGTGTTATAAGATAGCAGCATCACTGTCTTTCATCTTGATTTGGTGCATGGGGGCGGTATTTCCGGGGAAGGCACCCATATAACGGACACGTCCGCAGCAGTAAAGGGTCAAGCCGAAGCACTCGAGTCCGACAAGATATTGATCCTTTCCCTGACTAGAGAAATAGTTGCAGTGCACCGCAGACTGCTGCGCAGAGGCAATTCACTCGCACCATAGTACAATCTCGCAATTAGCACTCACAGTCAGACTCAAGTAGTTGCCTGGTCCCCAATAACCGCCCTGCGAATTACAGACCCTAAAAGAGTCTGACTCGCCCGCAGCGAGAGATGATCTCGATTCCCACCCCTCGCCTCAGCATCCCCATCCCCCTGCTCGGCATGCACAACCAGCTTCATGCGTCCTTCGCTACCAAGCACAAAAGCCGCACAAGCGACCTTGGACAGGCGAACATGCTGTTTAGATAGCTGATTCTCAGTATTGGAGCCATCGAGATCGAGATTCATAGCGAGATGCGTTTCCAAATAGGAAGTCAGATTGCCAATCAGCGGACTGCGCAGTTTCTGACGCAACGAGCGCCCCCGAGACGCGGTTGGCTGCTCATGCAAGAAATCCGCTAGAGTAGATCGCGACACGTTCACGTTGAGAGTTCGCAGCGCCGGCGCGACAAGTGGTGAGAACGATAGGGTCAGCTGTAGCTCCTTGATCACGTCTTCGACGAGATCGGCGGAGCCGCTGGGGCGCGTTGCTCTGCCATCATGCAGCACATCGATGTACGTTCCGAGCCCTGCACATAAGAAACTCGATTGTAGGCGCAGGGAGGAGCAGTATGTGTCGAAGTTCGAGGATAGGAACACGATGAATGTCTGGCGCAGCGCGGTAGGAAAGCGCGTCAAGAGCAGAGGGAGAGCCGTTGACCCTTTTTGTTGCCTTTGTGGTCGCGGTGATGTCTGCGTTTCTGCTAGCAGTGCTGCTTTGTAGGTAATGTTTTCATATTCCAGGGTCACCAGAATCCCGGGAAACGAGGTGTTATCGTCGTCGTCGTTGTTGAGCGCCCCCCACCCTGACAATGACTGCCAATGGCATCCCATTAGCGCGCCCGTCTTGGACAACCCGTCGTCGTCTGCGGTGGTCGCGCTAGCGTGGATTCCGGCAAGGACATCGCCAGTGAGATGGTCGCGCAGGCGCGTCGCGTAAGTGTTCAAGGCGGCGGGGTTGTCGAGGAGCGTCTCACAGTCCTTGCCATGGTGGAGAGGCGACAGACGGTGGAGGGTCCAGGAGGTGTTGAGCAGCTGGCGCGGGTTAGCCTGCTCCATGGCGATTGGACGTGATTATTGTCTATTTGGCGAGCATTCCCATCGCGGGTTGTAGAAAGGTGGATGTTCTGCAACATGTTTATCGACATGCAAACACAACAAACACCCATACATACTACAATATTGAAGTTGTATACCCAGTTTTTTTATATGATCGATCCAACAATACTGAAAGAGAAATGAGATTCATTCATGCCAGACCCGGGGAATAATAAACATTTAACTCCAATCCCAATGCCAGCGTTCATGCTCTGAAAGAAAAGAAAGCGTCCGACGCAATCATAATCATGCTCGCCAACCCTCCTCAAAGTGGCAATCCTGACATCCAAAGAGAATCGGTACACCATTCCAGACCCAGACATGCTCAACATTATGAGGAATCGCCCCCCTAGCCACCATCTCCGCATGAGCCGCATCAAACCAGATATCCCGCACGTCGCTATGCATGTGCGCATTCGACGCGCGCGCAAAGACTACGGAGTTCATATCGTCCTTCGCGTGGATCTTGATATCACGATCGAAATTATTCATAAAATTCTTCCGCTGCCTCAGCTGGCTGCCTCCGTGACCGATCTCGGCGGAGAAGAATTCAAGGATTCGCACAAACGGCGCCAGCGTGAGCAAGGAGCTAATCCAGGAATCGTCATGGCCACCTTCAGGGGACATTGTGTAGCGGATGTACGAGACTAGCAACTGCATGCAGTGGTGCGTCGCCACGAGTGTAGGTGTATCGGTAAACGGCGGAGCGCGGAGGATGTGGGTTTGCAAATCTCGGTACATGGATTGACGGACGCTTAGTGGGATGGGTACTGGGATTCGGCCGGCTTCGAAATCACGCAGGAGCATGTTGGTGTGCTCGCGTCTTGCGGCGGTGTACGATTCTAGGAAATAGAGCGTGTAGTACCTGGCCGATATCAGTTGGAGCTCAGTAGAAACAGATTGCTCGCCTCACATGAGAGGGGTCAGGTTAAACGACACGCTGACTTTCCCTCGCTGGACAAGAGCATTGCGCTCATTCCGTGACGGGAATGAAGCGCGGACAAAGGCCGGCTCACACTGCACGAAGCGGTCCATGATGCGATCTGCGAGATAATAACATAGATGAGAGCAAAGGGTCTGCCGCCGGCGCAGGCCATGCAAGTATCTGAAGGTGTAGAGGTGGCCGCCCTTGGCGCTCTTCGCAGGAGGGAACAGGTCCGAAAGGAGCACGACATCATCTTCCGGGTTGCGCGTGTATGTTCGTTCCGAGTCAATGGGGGAGGGGAGGCTACCGTGACGACGAAGGCGCATGTACTCGCGGACGATCGAGTGCTCATGGGCGAGGAGCAGCTCGTAGAATGCCTTGCAGACCAGCTTCAGCTGCAAGAAGTCCGAGATGCCGCAGTAGGCGAATATGTGGATCTGGATCTCGACAGGGAGCTTCCATGGTGAGGCGGTCACGAGCGTGACTGTTTGTTCCAGACTGTGGGCACGTCAGTGAATTGCTTCTTACGAGAGTGCGGAGCATTGAAGCTTACCCCAGCGACGAAGACGATCCGGGGATGTCGCGGGCGAGACCATCCTTAGCCACCTTCTTCGCTTTGATGGCTGCGCGCACTTGTCTGACAGAATTCACGAATTTGGCCAGGCCAGTCATCCTCGGCCCTGCAACCCATGGAAGATGCCCTTCAAGGCGGAATCTGAGGCCTAGCGTGGCCGTGGAGAATGCGTCTGACTAAGCTAGAGGATCAGATCAACATCGGATACGAAAAAATGATAAAAACAGCCAAGTAAGTTGTGTGTGCAGTAGATAGATCTGTGTGCGACGGTATTTGTGTCACTTGCGGCCAGATGGTAGATCAAAAGGATGAATTGATGGTATGTTCAACTCCTGCATGGAGGATGGCAATTGGTAGATATAGATTGACTTGAACTACATAGAAAAAATGGATTTCCTGATCTTGATTTATTATGAGTATTCGTGTGCGTATTGGTTGACCTTGAACCAAAAAACAACTAGCCTGAGTGAGCCCTCGATATTTCTCCGTGTCTGAAAGTGTGCCCCTACTGTGCAACTACAGGGGTTGGCCATTACGTCATTCTTGTCTTCCCTCGCATCAAACAGCAGGGGACTAGATTCCCAACCACTTCTCACACATTCTCCCACAGTATGAGCAGTGACAATATCCTCATTGTAGGCGCCACTCGAGGGCTGGGTGCCTCTCTAAAGGCCCTCTACGCCTCCAAACCATCCACTCATGTGTTTGGAACTACCCGCTCGGCCGCTTCAGAAGAAAAGCCCAACTCGCCCGTCACCTGGCTGACGGGAATTGACATGTCGAAGCCAGATGTGGGCCACAAACTCATCACCCAGCTTGGATCAGCCGAAATCTCAACTGCCATCATCTCCGCGGGCTATTTCGGATTGGAGACGTTTGATTCGCCGGACTGGGATAAGCAGGTGCGCATGTATACAACTTCCGCCATTGGGCCAGTCTTCGTGGTCCACCATCTAGTAAAGGCAGGTCTACTGGGAGAAGGGAGCAAGGTGATTCTGGTCAGCAGCGAGAGTGGCAGTATCACATTGCGTCATGAGGAAGAAGGGGGAGGAAATTTTGGACATCATGCTAGCAAAGCTGCGCTGAACATGGTGGGTAAGCTTCTCAGTCTGGACCTGAAGGAGCAGGGGATTGCCGTTGGTCTTGTACATCCTGGATTTATGCGAACAGAGATGACCAAGGGGGTTGGATTCGACAAATACTGGGATGCCGGCGGTGGTGAGTATTAACCCCCCCTCTCTTTTCTCTTTCTGGCTTGGGGTTTAGCTCAATTCTCAAACAGCCGTGACCCCCGATGAGGCTGCTACCTCACTTGTGTCCTTCATTGAACACTTTGATCTCAGCAAGACTGGCGAGTTCTGGGCGCCGAGAGGACCTGGGTAAGTGGTTGCTTTCTCATTTGAGCAAATGGTACTGATTGTATCAGGGATATTGGAACAGCAGAAAGTGTTCTGGGCAAGAACTTGCCCACTCCTCTCCAGCTGCCTTGGTAGAGGGGTTTGCCATTTTGAAATGAATCGTGCTGCTTCAATTCAACGCAGTTCATAGTTAATGCACACCTTATCTTACTACTATGTATACATGTCCCATTCCCCAAAATCATGACTGCGCATTGGGTCTCGCACATAGAAACGTCAACATCTTCCCCATATCTTCACGCACTTCCTGGCCCACGACCTTCATACCAAAGATCTTCTGGTAAAAGTCCTGCATGCGCTGGTCCCCAGTGACAAGCATGATCCGCCGCAGGCACGGCATGTTGGTCGGATGGAATACCTCAGCCACACACTCGATAAGCCAGCGGCCCAGTCCCCGGCCTTGGTGCTCGGGGAGAACGTAGACATCGGTCAGATACGCGAAAGTAACGTTATCGGTGACCATGCGTGCAAGTCCTATCTGTTGCTGAACACCGTTGGGGTCTGTATAATATGCGCCGAAGCATAGCGAACCATAGAGCATTTGTCGCATGGCCTTTTCCGGAACTGGCTTTGCCCAGTATAGAAAGTCCCTCCCGAAGGCCTCGTTGACAGCTGTGACAGATAGAAATGTTGGGTCGGTCGAGATAAAGAACCCGTCGTTGGCTTCCGCGCGTCTCCATGTTTGGGGGGCGATGGCTGGTAGGTGTGAAGACGACATGGTTTTTTCTAGAAATAGGATGGGGATCGTTGTGAAGAATTGGGGAGAAGGTTTCTTAAGGGTCAGCATCGGCCCGCGATAGGTTAGTTAGCCAATCTTCATAGATGACTCAGAGGATAAGCTACACAGTACTACGCTGCTTAAATGGTGGAATAATTATTATTGCATGCCTAAGCTTGTTCATGAATAGGAGCCATGGTCAATGTTTTGTTAACTCTGGTTTGGCCATACAGCGCATTTAGTTCCACCACCACATGCTCAGTGCGAGTAACTCTGGGCCATCGAATGGTCTCTATGTTATTAAGAATGGTTTTCATTATTTTGAAGGGCGTGGTGGTGAACAAAAATCAACTAAAAAAATCAGTGCATCATCCGTGAATCGAACACGGGCCTCGTCGATGGCAACGACGAATTCTACCACTAGACCAATGATGCTATTCTTATCAATCTCAAGAGACTATCTTTAATTGCCCCTCGTTTTATTTGATAGAATAGAGTCGTTGGCTCGACTTTCAATCGACTGGATATACCCGGTATCTTGAAAGGAAATTATATATTTCGTCGCCTATATTGTCAAGTCAAAAGATAGAACGTGAGCAATTGTAGGCATTTTGAAAGATATGGATGGGTACGACTGTGAATATATATTTGAAATACACCACAAAGTATAGCCATAGGTAGCTCTGGAAATCATCGTCGACCAACAATTGCAATATGGTATTCAAATGGACCAGTCAATAATGGATAGACATTTCATTGCAGCCAACAGGTGTATCAAATCAATAACAACTATGCTGCCGAATAACTCTTGACCAAGTGGCGAGGGCTAACCGATGGCTTAGTTTGCTTTAGTGAATCGGCCAGGGCCGACACACCATTGCCTAGCACTTCTTGATTCGATACATTGACGCATACCATGCTCCACGGATATTCAGGGGTCGGGAATTATTTTCTGATGCCCATTGGGCCTGATGCGGGGAAATGTCACCTAGTGGTTACAGCCGATCTTTGCGCCGACTAGCGCTGGTTGATTCCATCGTGTTCCTTTCAATTCATCCCATTAGAGACGGTGGATAGATAGCCGAGAAGCATTTCTCAATGGGTTTATTAATAATTCTCCTATTTGGATGCAACGTAAAATCGTGGGTTCAGCCCAAAAAGAAATCCCGGCCATGGCGCCGATCCCATACTCACCTATAAAGGCAACATGGTAGGCTACTGATCAGCAAGGCTCCTTTCCCATGAAGCGACAGATCCTGCCTTATTCGCGAGAATCACACCAGATAAACTGCCGAGCATGCATCCCAACACCCTTGTCGGGGTCTTGGCCTTCGCCGCCGCGGCGTCGGCCATTCCCTCCAGCCATCGCCGGGCTCATTCGTCTTCTTCCATTCACAATTTGAAGTCCAAGATTAAAAATGTCGTCCTTCTTTCGATGGAAAATCGCTCTCTGGACAACATCTTGGGTGGTCAGAAGCATAAGGGCCTAGAGAACCCCATCAACAATGGCCCTTTCTGCAACCCATACAATGTGACCGACCCTTCTCAGGGACACCATTGCGCCGCGCCGAGAGATTATAACTCGGTGACCAATGACCCTAGCCACGCTGTCACTGGAAACACTATGGAGTTTTTCGGCACCTGGACCCCCGACAATGCCTTGATTGCCTCGGGTAAGTTAGTCGCGAATAACAACGGGTTCATCCACGAGCAAATTTCCAACTACGGCTCGTCTGCCAACAAATCTAAACTGGCTAAGGAGGTTATGAACTACTACACCGAGGATCAGGTTCCTGTTATGACCTCCCTAGTCCAGAACTTCTTGACTTTTAACCACTGGCACTCCGACGTCGCTGGGGTAAGTGAAATAAGATCATCCTATCTTTATTTGGCGACTGATTTACTGACGTACACGTAGCCTACTGACCCCAACCGTTTCGCTATCGTTGCTGGTACTAGTGCTGGCCATGGTACTAATGATGAAGCCTTTGGGACATATGCGTTTACCCAGCGCTCTATCTTCCAAGCAGTGGACGAAACTAACCACACCTGGCTCAATTACTGGGATACCGCTGGCGGCACTGGTCCTGAAAGCCACTGGTTCTCCTGGACTAAAGACACAGGTAATACCGACAAGGTCGTGCCAATGGAGCAATTCTACACCGATGCAAGTAATGGGAATCTGCCTGAGTTCTCTTACCTGAACCCATCTTGCTGTGGGGTTGGCACCACTTCAATGCACGACAGCGGTCGGATCTCTGACGGTGAAGCCTTTATTAAGGAGGTCTATGACGCTCTACGTAACGGCCCTCAGTGGGAAAATTCTCTCTTGATCCTGACGTTCGATGAGACTGGCGGATTCCATGACCATGTTCCGCCCCCTCTTGCTACTCGCCCTGACGACCTAACGTATACTGAGACAGCCCCAAATGGGCAGAACTATACGTATGAGTTCAATCGTCTTGGCGGCCGTATCCCAACTTTCCTAATTTCTCCGTGGGTCAACAAGGGATTTGTTGAGCAAAAGGGCACCAACTATCAGGGGAAAAAGATGTCATACTCCGCTAGTTCCACCCTCCGCACCCTTGGTTACCTCTGGGACTTTGCGCCATTCAATCCTCGTGTTGAGGACTCTGCTTCGTGGGAACATCTGATTCAGAATACCCCTCGCAAAGACACCCCCTCTGCACTTCCCAGTCCAGCTGCATTTTCAAAGTAAATGTCCCGTTGGCGGGAGAGGCGAAATATCAACGAGTGTAAGCGGAAGAAGATAAGGGTTAACTCTACAAGATTTGGGAGACGATCTATAGATTTTTCCGCCCAGAATTGGTGGTTTGTATGTAGAGTGTTACGGATCATTTTATATCAACAGAATCTGACTCACAATATCCTTGCAAGCCGAGCCTGAGCGTAGGCCCAGGTGTAATAGATAGAGAGACAAGACAAGATAACAGAAAGAACGTAGGGAATAAAAAGATTGTAATCCCTTCGGCCTATGCCTGGATGATCAGATCCTGGGGCTACTCTCCCCAAACTCCTTTGCAAGAACTACGTTTGTTGAGATGAGCCCGTGCTCATGAATACTCCGACCAACTGATCCTGGATAAAAAAAAAAAAGTGCTATATACATAGAAAAAGAATTGCGTATCTCGACTATCTCTCTTTCACTTTACCTTACGACCTTGTTTTCATATTGATCTCACAATGCGATACCTCGCTGTCTTCCTTGCCCCGGCTCCTTCCCTTGTGGTGGCCGACCGGTCATTCGCTTGGCGGAGAAATACCGGCTGCGATGATTCTGACAGTGATGTTGCTGTATTGCGACCAGTTTATTGTTTTATCTAATACTGTCTGTCATGCATCACCGCGCAAACCCATGTGTTTCTACACTTGCTATCCCCGTACATATCCTAGCTCTATAGCTTACCTCATCAGGGCTCTGATTGGCGCTGCGGAGCAACGGATCCGGTGTCGTACGTTGCTGATCTTAATTATTATCTCCCGCGCAACTTAACTCTTCACCTATAACTACCTCAGGCCTGATCGCGCAAATTTCTGCGTTTCAATTTAATCATGGCGCCAAAGAAAGATCAAAGCTCGAAGTCCAAAACCCCCGTTCAGCCTGTTCCCGAGAAGCGAGGCTATGAATTCGGAGGCCCGTATGTTTTGTTCTCCCCCGGACCGACCTCACGGATGGGTGCTGACCATGCGACAGGCTCGGCGCGTTTGGAATTGTCTTCGGTCTACCAGTCCTGGTCTATACCTTTTACTTCGTCTGCAATGATGTCTCCGGCTGTCCCGCACCGTCGCTCCTCCACCCGTCCACGCTGTCGCTCGAGCGATTGAAACGCGAAGTCGGCTGGCCGAAGGAGGGAATTGTCGCGCTCTATGATACTCAGGCCATGCTGTGGACGCTGAGCTATTATGCCTTCAGTCTGTTTCTGCAGGTCTTCCTGCCTGGACAAGAGGCGGAGGGCATTGCTTTGGCTTGTGGCGGCCGGCTCAAATACAAGTTCAATGGTATGCGCACTTCTCCTGAATCTGCGGAGCTTCTTTCTGACCTTCTTCCCCTCTTATCAGCCTTCTCCTCTGCAGTCATCATTCTCTCTGGTCTGGCCGGCGGCACGTACATCTATGGTGCGGATTTCGTGGTGTGGACGTTCCTGTGGGACAACTATCTGCAGGTGATCACAGCAAATCTGATAATATCCTCGCTGATCGCGCTTTTCGTGTATGTGAGGAGCTTCTCCGTCCCCGCACCGGGACAGCCCAACCCCAATCTGCGCGAATTGGCTCCTGGCGGCCACACGGGAAATCCCCTTTACGACTTCTTCATTGGACGGGAACTCAACCCGCGTATTCGCCTGCCTATTCCATTTGTCAGCGAGCCTTCCCGGACAATCGACATCAAGGTGTTCATGGAGATGAGACCAGGTTTGCTTGGATGGACAATCCTGAACCTCTCCAACGTGGCCCATCAGTACCGGACTTACGGGTATGTTACGGATTCCATTGTGCTGGTCACTATTTTCCAGGGCTTTTACATCCTGGATGCATTATACATGGAACCGGCCATCATGACCACAATGGACATTATCATGGATGGCTTTGGTTATATGCTTTCCTTCGGCGATGTGGTTTGGGTTCCGCATATCTACTCTGTCCAGAGCCGGTATCTGTCCATCTTTCCCTATGAACTCGGCTGGACTGGCAGGGCATTCGTGCTGGGCGTCATCGCTGTCGGATACTCGATTTTCCGTGGCGCCAACAACCAGAAGAACCGATTCCGCACCAATCCCGATGATCCTAAGCTGAAGCATATCAAGTACATTGAGACTGCCAGTGGATCGAAGCTGATGACGTCCGGCTGGTGGGGCTTGGCACGACACATCAACTACCTGGGTGACTGGACCATGTCATGGGCCTATTGTTTGCCGACTGGTGTTGCCGGCTATGTTATCATCGAGAGCATCAACCCGGGCACTGGAAATCTTCAGAAGCAGGCCTTGCAGACCGCCGAGGCCCGCGGCTGGGGTATGATTCTGACCTACTTTTACATGCTCTATTTTGCGATCTTGTTGATTCACCGGGAAAGACGTGACGAGGAAAAGTGCAAGAAGAAGTATGGCGCTGACTGGGACCGATACACCTCTATGGTGCGCAGCCGGATCATCCCCGGAATTTACTAATACTGTACTATTAATATTGTGGAACATTGTAAGGAGCTTTTCCAGGTTCAAATTTGGATCTTGAACTATTTTTGTTTTCTGTTCGTCGAGGCCAGGATTTCGTTCTGTCGCCTTGTGTCCCCCATTGCGGTCCACAACACGTTATGTATTTAATTTCCAGCTTAGCATGGCCCCATAATAGTCAGAGCCACGCTCATACCTCAAGCCCTTGTTGGTTTTCAGCCCAAGTAGCGGAAAATATTCTCTTAGAACGACTCGTCTAATCCTAGGATGAACACCCCTCTGTTTTGATAATAATAGTTCTGGATAAAACTAGATGTGAAATATGCCATGCCTATTGTGCAAGCTCTGCTTGCCTATGTGAGGCTTACCCACTTCTTCGCCGTTATCCCCTCCTCTACGACCTTTCTCATTTCGTCACTTCCCCTAGTGCGCGCGTACTATATTGCACTCCCCACGACCCTCCTGCTGCTGGATCTGCCCCGTGCTCCAATAGCCACCTGACCCTCTCATTAAGTAGATATCTTCTTATGAGGGCTCAGCAAGAGCAAATCTATTCAATCGGCTTGACAAAGCCCTTCTCTATTAAAGCCCTCCGATGATCATGAGGGCGGTCATGATTAGGCTCAAATGTATCCCTCTCCGTTCCCAATCCCATCTTCACACTTCTGGGCGCGTCGCTGTAGAATGGGTACTCTCCCTCTCCGTAGAGGTAGTCATGCACCTCCTTTTCAAGCCAGACTCCACGTCTAGCCCGAGTATGGAACGCTGACACCCCAATCGTAACCTTTGGCCGTGAGACCATATCTCGGTCTGGCCAGAGAATATTCTCACATATCTGTTTGCGGATCTCCGCGAGGAAGCTATACCAGCTCCCACAGTTGTCGAGAAATTTCAAAAAACTCAAGTGGACCGAACGGAAAGTCTCTGGTAATACAGAAAGCAATGAGATGACATCTGATTGTGCAACTAGGAAACGGGATAATTCGAAATGGCGGAGTTTGGACCATTTTTCAATAGGAAAGATGCTCTGTAAAGGAATGAAATGACGAAGTGATCCAGCACCGCCTTCCGCTGTACTGTCATCAGAAGGATCACGAATGACGGTGGTATATAGCATGATATCCTCCATATCTTTTGCTTTGCTCAGTGCTTGGTGAAGCCTTCTATTGCGGAACGATTGCCAATTTAGTTCTTCGTTGTCAATTCCACCAACAAGCAAGGCAAGATCTAGACGACGCAACCCCGGGTGTTTCACCACTGTGGCAAGATTGGCATACTCCGCGCAAGGATCATCCAATATCGTACAATTGATTCCAGTAGCAAGTTGGTTGGCATTCAGAATCAGCTCGGAGACATTATGTTCTTCTTTCGCGAGCACACGTGTCACAATGCGAAACCCACGGTACTTCTCTTTGTGCGCTTCATTGAGCTCTTGCCACGGATAGGCGAGCGGAGGGTCCCTGCCTTCCCCTGTAATGGGCCACCCACGGGGGATGGGATAGTTGAAACCCTTGGGGAGTGCCCGAATCATTGGAGTAGGGTACAATGGAGCAAAAAGATGACCATGGGCCGCAGGCGTGATTGTGACTCTCTTCAGTGCAGGAAATTGCTTCAGTCCGTACAAGAAGGTGTCCTCATCACTCTTAGCGACTAGCACATCTTCTTGCTGTCGTAGTAAATCCTGATAATATTCCCAGTTCTTTTTCAGTGGAGGCTGGGCCGCAATCTGCTCTGCTCGCGCGATATGATCTAGGCGGTCCACATCGTGACTATTCCGTTCTCTCAGCTCGACAAGATTTTTCATACATGCGTTCTTAAACCACTTGGGACACTGCTTATCCTCATTCTTAATTTCGTTTTCGTCCTCATCCGAGAGCAGTTCATCTTCCTCCTCAGCGGGATGAATATTTCTTCGTGGGCCCCTGATGAAGCGCGCATCGTCCCAGATAATCTCCGTTACCCTGTGGCGGAACATCTTGTGGTCCGCGATAGCGCGAAAGACCTCAATGTTCAATGGGTTGGCCGACAAAAACACTCGCTGGACGTGGGGGCTCGCTGCATTGCTGAATTGTTTACATACGAGGCGCAGAGACTTGATATCACGGTTAGATAAATGCGACGATATCGAGCCCCACAGCTCCAGGGGGAGAGCAGGGAGACTGTTCTGGGCTGCCATTTGGCTTGGTCACCGGGTGTGAAGTGTGAAGTTGCCAGAGGGGCATGGTAGATACGGAAATTGCTAAGATGGAAATCGGAAGCTAAAGCTCCATAGGGTCCAGCGCACTGTCAGGGATCGGATCCCATCTAGTTCGCACGGTGTGAAAAATGAAAGGGTTGGGGGGCGGGGTGGGGGTTTCAAGGTGTTCGGGTGATGATGGGCTGCGCATATTATTGGAAACATATTTGTCCCTTTAGGATTCCTGATCTTGCCTGTCCTACTCCCGATCAATTAGGTTGGTAGAAGAGGGAATCATATCAAAAGGAGCTAAGGTCGGGACTCATTGTAGTGTGACTAGGCTAGATTAGCTGAGTTGGATAAACGTCAAACCGAAGGATGCTAGTCGCTACTAGGCTGACCTGATTATAGCTGTGATTGTATCATTTTATGCTTGGATGATTATTTCAACTTATTTAGATCAAGTAATGTGTATCGGCCGTCTGGACTCATTTTAACACGTCCAAGTCCCAACTCTCATCCCCCGCATTGGGAATCCAGCCTTTGAGAATTTGTTTAGTGTCCCATATAGCTTGCTGTCGAACTCGCAGTGGGTCAGCCAAGTCGTTTCCAGCGCGTTTGAGATCCCGGTATGTCATCACTTCATCGGTACAGCGTTGCATAAATGAGAGGTCCTGTAAAGCAACCCTTTTTGTCAATTCAGGAGATGATCCCTGTCCTTGCATATCATCTTGGCAACTATGACACGCTGGCCACTGAACAATCTCTCGGACAAGAGCCCAAAGCTTGGCTCGGGACAGATGCGATGCCCCGCGTGGAAGCGGCGTGCTTGCCCGGTTCCCCTGTTTCACTCCGTTGATAATGGTCTCATATAGACCTGTCTTTGACCGGCACAAGGTTGGCAATGATTTGATACCGGTGCCAGGGATGGTGGCGCATGGGTGAGAGTATGACGGTGCAGATATCCATACTGCGGATGTGTTACTCGGTTTGCATTTCTTGGAAATTGCAATATCCTCTGCGTCTGTCATTCCTGATTTCGGTTTCGCAAAACGCCACAATGTATTGATCTCTTCTGCTGGCACAGAAAGAACCTCAAATGGACAGAATTGATACAACACAGGAACCGAACCAGGAGTCTGGGGCCATGTCCGTCCCACGAGAGCCTGCATTCGACCAGTTTTCCCGAAGGATCTGTCGCAGGCAACCCGACTAATTTCATCTTCAGGTAGTATAAGCCCAGCAAGATAGGCATTTTCGGTAGGCGCGACGAGCGTACTAGTCTCCCAGGAGAGCAGTGATGATACTTGTCGCAGTGCGAGTTTATCAGAGCAAGACTTGCTCCGCGTGGCCTCAGCGTCCATGCGAGAAGGCTTTCGACGGACCACACCGAGGAGAGAGAAATGTGCTCGGCCGTCAAGAAGGCCATCTCCTATCTCGGGATCTGGCCGGCGAACCTCCCACGGCGTTGCGTCTTCTTGTGCCGCCATGCAGAGCTCCATGCTTGCATCGCCGCATGGTGCACATGTGCAGTACATGTACACCTTGACATCTGGCTGAATCTCAAAGGGGGGCCACTTGATGCCGTGTTCATGTTCACCGCTTTCCCTCCTTCGAATAAATGGAGAGCCCGGCATCGTCATATTGGCATCGGGATGATGCTTTGATGTCTCATGTTCTTCTTGAACCAAGATACTGCGGCATTCCGTCAGAAGCCAGTAGTTGAAAGCCCGTAGCGCCAATATTTCTGCATGGAAATCATGCAATACGAGACCTCGACACTTGGGAATGAGAGATGCTGGCAAGCACTTGGCTCCGGTCCTGAAGATTGTCAGTTTTCCCTGGGAGGTACAGAGCGAGACATACGTGACGGCAATGCAAGTTAATGTTTCGGCTGGCGTATTTTCTCCTTGGTACCATATTATTATCCAATCCTGAGAAAAAAGAAAAATATTTACACACCCTTAACGGCCACAATGCCCGTCATTGGGATCCACTCCCGCGATCCATCGGGGAAGATGTTGGGCTTGCTGCGCGTGGGTAGTGCATCGAAGTGAGTATGGACCAGTGAAGCTATGCGAGACGGTAAAGAAGATAGAAGAGAATGGCCAGACATTGAAATTTTGAAGTATTGAGGTATGAAATGAAGTCCATTGTGGTTTGCCCGAAAATATTGTATCGGACCACGTGATCAACAGTCCCGTCGCAACTTCACTCAAACCCTTCTTTCCTTCCTTTCCCCAACAACACCTACTCTTTGGCTTCTTCACATTCCCGCAATGGCCGATAAACTTCGCACTCTCCAGAACCTTGAGGCTCTGCAGGCCCGTCATGTTGGTACTGGCCACGCCGATACCACCAAGTACGAATGGACGTCCAACATCCTCCGCGACAGCTACTCCTCGTACGTCGGCCACCCACCGCTGCTCTCCTACATGGCCGTCGGCATGGGAGAACCTAAGGAGAAGGTTCGCGCAATGATGTTGGAGAAGATGGTTCGAGGCGCTGGGAATCCTCCTGAGGTATGTGCCTCCGTGCGAGTCCGATAGCTGTGGTGGGCGTGACTACTGGTGACTGCGGGTGGCTGACGATTTCTTGATTACTCTTTTAGACGCAGGATTAATTCAGTTCGCATACGATTTCTTTCTCGACACTTCTACTTTCTCTCATAGAGAACTTGTCACTCCGTTTAATCCTAGCAAGTCTACTCTATTCGCTCGGAACAACAGAGCACCTCTGTTCCGACAATGATCCCATGAGATCAACGAAATACGGAAATATACCTTACGCTTTTCGAGGTTTTTCTTGACCCGTTTCGTGCGAGACGCGCCAGGCTGGAAGAGATAGTTGCCCGAACTACTCGATATGATACCCATACGACTCCTGGAGCGGAGAAGTGTCGCGCCAGCGAGGGGGGTCCTAGCAGGGCGGAGCCAGCGAATATTATTTATAGCTATGTATGTGCAATGATATTGTTGCAAAACTGCATGATATGTCGACGGAAGTTCATAGCTGCATACCGCGCCTGGTTTTCTTCTAGAAAATAGAAAGTGCTTGAACCATATCCATGGCCTGTTAAAGATGCCCATTGATGGTACACTAGGATAGTATTCACACGTATGTATTGCGAACATTGTATCCTCGACGTAAAAAACAGACTATGAAGCACTCGTTCTCTTGCTTTCCTCCGCAGCAGTCAACTTCGTATTCTCAGCCTGCAGCGATGCAACTAAATCCACCCATTTTTTGCGCTCATCGCGCAGCTTTGCAACCTCTTTGCGCAGGTCCTCCACTTCGTGCCGCAGGGTCTCAGTCTCTGACCGAGACTTGCTCTTTTCAGAACGTTCAGCTTCCTTCCGCTGGCGCGACTCGATCTTCGTTGCGATTTTGAGCTGACTGGCTTCAATCTTGGCCATCTGCTTCAGCAGTTTGGTTTCCTCATTGGAAAGGTGTGCTGCTGCCTTGTGCACTTGCGCAGGTGCTTCTGGCGTCTGGTCCCGTTGCGGCGTCTGCGTGGATGACTGGCCGTCACTGTTGCTCCCTCCGCGCTGGCTTTGGTGTGTGCTAGTGCTAGCGGGCGTCGAAGAGCGCTTCTCGGCAGCTTGTTTGATTGCCGCGCTGCTGTCACTATCTATACCGTTGTTGAGGGACTTGCCCGTTCGTGCCGGTGAGAGGCCGTGCTGGGGAGGGATATTCAACTTGTCGAGCTCGGAGCGCACGGCGTCGAGCTTAGCCTGGACCTCGCGTTTACGAAGTGCCAACTTCGCTAGTTCCTTTTCGTTGTGCGTTGGTTTCCCGGACTTGCTTGCCTGTATGATTTCTGCGGGAGAATGCTGTGCTATCTCTTCGGCTGTGGGCGCGGCCAACCCAGACGATTGAGAGGCGTGGTCTCGCCCGACATGTGACTCGTTGTCCTTCAGTGGATCTGTGGTGGAGTGTAGGTTGGAAGTACTCTGAGAAATCTGGATTCGCCCGGGGAGATGGTGCGGTGATTCCTCGTGATGCGGAATGTAATCCAACACTGCTTGTGGTGCAAATCGCTCCAGGCCGTTGTTTATAAGGCTTCCGAGGCTAGCAATGAGGCCGTGGTGCACATCCTGGTTGTCTGTATCGGTCGATTCGGTGTCTGAATCATCGTCCTCACTAGAGTCTCGTTTGCTCGTTTCCCTTGTTTTGGAGGCTCCAATTGAGGCCATCGAAGAATTGGCCCGTGAGCGAGTCTTCTCCTTAAGTGGTTCGTCTTCTTGGACAGCCCAATTAACAAACTTGGCGGCATCTCCTTCCACGCTCCTCGGCGTGCCTTTGTCCACCATCCAGCGTGGAATATTGCCTCCCGGGTCACTCCGGGTCACCATTATCCACTCGACTGGATTCGAGTCAGCGTCCTCATTTTCGTGACTGAGGTCTGTTGACAGATCCGGATATTGTGAATTAGGAGTAGTGTCCTCTATGCTTTTTGGCGTGTTGCTTTCACTGGTCGTCTTGGCCACGGGAATCTCGCGGATTAGTTCAACAGACTCGTATTCGCCCCGGATGTAGCCATTCTTGTGCGGTACATCCGGATGCTCGCACGGCTTAGAGACCATAATCCAGCTTCGACCAGGCTGCTTCGTCCCGCCAGCCTGTAATCCAACGTCCGACGTGATTACCAGCGCAACGAAGTCGCGCGGTGCCGTAGGTTTTGGAAACTGTGCAGAGACATGATAGACTGTGATCTTTCCCAGTATAGAGCCATCCTCCTCAGTGACCTCGACAATTTCGACTTTTTCCTCAGCGCCGATGCCCCGAATAGACTTGTCCGGTGTCTCGCCCTTGGACATCTTTTCTTGATTCACCTTGAGCGTCTCGTCAAACTCGGTCGAGAGCTTGTGTCGCCACCGTGCAAATGGAAGTCCCTCGTGCACACTGCGTCTCCCGAACCAATGTCCACCACCATCATTGCCGGGTAGCTTGTACACATGCACCCCAAGTGGATTGTCCTTTGGTCCACCCATCTTGATCGGTTTGCCCCATTGATTTTGGAGTGTGGTGATCTCTGGATCTGTTTCGGCTACTCGTGCGGAAGAAGGGACCACATGCGGGGTCTCTGGCGGTCCGTCGTGGTGAGAATCGTGATTCTCATAAGGCGGAGGATCCGGAAGCGATTCGGCGATCAGGCGGCTCTTCTTGAAGATATCACGGACATATTCTCGGAGCTCGTCCGGCGATTTTGGGACCACGTCCCAGGTGGTCGGCTGTAGACACGAGAGGGCGTCGTGGAGGTCGGCCATGAAGGAGCTTGCGGCTAAGGCCTTGGAATGGACAGGAGTGTAGTCAAACACAACAGTTGATCAGATTAGGCAGGATGAATATGTACCGCTGCGGCATTAAATTTAGTTTAAAAGTTGGAACTACCCCGTCCGCGATTATGACGATGGAATCCGGCTCCTTGGCGATCCGGGGGTGATTGACGTCATGTTCGGCGCGTATCTATACGACCGGGTTGGACTTCAATTTTAATACCAGAAAAACAGGGCGGACTTTGTATGCATCTTTCACAACTAAGCTAAAAAGAAGACATACACAGAGAGATTGGATACATTGTTGTACTGACAGGAAATAAATAGGAGAACAGAATGGAAGCGCGAGGGACACAGACCCATCGACGGCCGACAAAAGCTAGTTCAAAAGAATGTAAGGATCCAAGCATCCGGTTCTCGGTGTCGGGGAGACAAAGAAAAAAATAACCCTTCCACCTGTGGAAGAGTTCCCGACGAACCGAGCTTGTCCAGGGCCAACCTGGACTCTAGGGGATGAGCCTAACATGCCACCCACAGTCATATTCTGGCGAGATGGTAGGCAAATGGAATGAACGCTCAACACTTATGACACTCGTTGCAAATAGGGCGGGATTTGACGAAAACACCTGGGTCACAGACCCATCGAGAGGTTTGTTATCCTCAGAATCCCACCCCTTTATGCGGCTGGCGTCCGCCACAGGCGGGTTAACGGCTCAGACTGGCGAGGCCGGTAGTGGAGGCGTGTTCTTACCCAATGCGCACGATCATGCACCTTCATAGACCATGGATAACTCGAAAAGTGGCACGGTCCATCCACACATCCCAGATGTAGGATGTGAACCACACCGTCGCGTAGATAGATCCTCAATATCTCTCCCCAATATCCAGGGGGAGGAGAATTGCCAGTCTGGTATCCCGTACCAGAAGGATGATCCTCGACGGAGGGAAGAGAAAGGGCGACAAGTGGCGGAACCCAGTTCAGCGACTTGTTCCTTCTTTTCCATCTCCGTCGAACCACGACTCCAAGAAAGGAACGCATAATGTTGGACATTCCACATCCAAATTCATATCCCATGCCGCGAGGCTGCCGGGTCTTCGTGACATATATGCGGGAAAAAAATAAAAACAAAGAGAGAGAATAGGAGACAAAGCTGACCCGCCGCTTCTTGATGCAAGAAATGAAAGGCAAAAAAACGAACGCTGACGCTGGCTGAAAAGAAAAAAAAAACAAGAAGAAAAAAGGAAGCAGATGCCGTCTCGGAAATTATTTCTGGGTATATAAATGCAAATCGCGGGATGGAGTATCACGGATGCACAGAGTCAAAGTGAAGAACGCCGTCAAGTAAATGCCAATGATTCAAGAGGCCGCAATGCCGGAAAGCGGGTTCGTGAAGAGAGAGAGAGAGAGGACGTGCTGCGAGGCAGATCGAGATCACGGAGTCGTCGGACTGCGTAGAGCGATGCGCTACATGATCGTGCCATAGGGCAGGGCGCATTCCTGGTATTGGTTCCAGCCGAAGCCGAAGCCCATGTTCGCTGCGGTGGCGCAGGGCTGCACCAGCATGCTGGGGAGCGGAAGCGTCGCGAGCGCTGCGGATGTAGCTGCCATGCTGTCGAAGGGGGCGAAGGAGGTGGTGAAAGGTTGACTGTAGGATGGGGTCGGCGAAGGCAGCTGGGCATCACTGAAACTGATACTGGCCCACAGATTCGCATTAGAATCATCGCTGGCCGGGGTTGGGCTGGGCGGCAGTACTTTCCACGACTCGGCGGACTGGGCCATTGCGCTAGGCCACCAGGTTTCGGGACCGGTCGAGCTGGGCAGGAGAGGCACCGGGCGCATTACATCCACCACCGGGGGTGGAGGAGGAAGCAGCGGTACAAACAAACTGCTGATAGCCGCCTTGGCCTCCTCGCTGCGGCCACACAATAGCTCCCCGGCGCCATCCTCCTCCAGGCCTTCCAGCGCCTCGGCGTTGGCGCGGTACACGAACCTGTTGGCAGCCTGCACGAACTCGTCCTGCAGTTTCTTTAGCTGCGCCTGCTTGCCTGACCAATCCCACGTCTTGGCGACGACGTCGACCGAGTAGATGTCTTTGTGATAATCCACTAGGCTCTCGATCGTCTCCGGCGTCAGTTTGAAGGCTACTTCATTCCGCGAAACCATGTCGACATGGACCACATAGGCTTCAATATGGATCATCTGGAAGTTGAAGAGCCCTTCGACCAGTGGGTTCTCATCTCTGCGCAGCTCCGTCTCGGGGGCTTTGGGAAACATCATGGAACATAAGGTCCAGATGGCGTTAGTTGACGATAGCGTCTCGGTCAGGCATCGGGTGTGCTGGGTGACGTTGTTCAGCGGGCGTTTGACTCGGTTGACTCGTTTCAAGGTTGCTGTCAGCCACGGCACGACCTTCCGGTTCAGCACGACGTTGGGTGATGACCGCGGCGCAAATGCGGCGGCCGACGAGGGCAGTAAGACTGTGGGCATTATGACTCTGTGCAATCGGTGACACGACCAGCGTCTGCAGATATATAAAAGAATGAAGAATATAGAATATAAATCATAAAAGGCGACATTCGCCCACACGGTGATCCGGGTTATCGTTGTTGGAAGAATTAGAGATGTCGCATCACTCTTGGTATCGTCAATGTTGGGGGGGATCGCAGTGGCGGGGATTTCTATTAAGGTGCGGGCGAATGCGCGGTAGAAAGAAGAGAACAAAGAGAAAAGAAAAAGGAAACTATCAATAAGGAGAGGACATGAAGTTCATGGATAGAGAAGGAGGAAAGAAGGAAGAAACAGAATAATAAGAACCCACGGGCGGATGCCTGGAGTCTCCCCACTTCGAGTTTTCGCTCACTACAGTAATCGCCCAGGGCATGAAGACTTCGTATCATGCAGGCTGATGGAGTCTTCCATTCCGGACGTGTACCAGGCGTACGGTACAAGTCAGTAATGGCCACCCTCGGACTCCCCGATCTGCGTCTTTACTTCCTCGCCACTTCACGGCCAGCGGGTGTTGAAACAAGGAATTCGACACCCGTTTCATCCACAATTCCGCAACCGTCTCCTGGTCTCACCTCGGACCGCGCGTTGTGCATTCATTTGGCCAGGACCGTCGGCGTCTGCAGAACTCAACTTGCTCAGCCCCCATGATCCGCACTCCCCGGCGGGCATGGCTGCATCGCAAAAGGGGACGCCCTCAGCTGGTATCTACGATTCAGACGAGTCCATCCCACTGGGCGGGATGCTGCACCCCAGTGTTCTACCGTCATGTACAATGCCCGAAAAGGGAAAGCCTGTACGGTCCAGATCGAAGGCATCCCGGTCTCGCAGATCGCCTCGTGTAAACTGAGTCAGCCAGCACTGTGAGAAGCCCTAAACGTGCAGTTCCCAAACCACCCGTTCTCGACAGAAATTCGCAGAAGACCAGGAAAATTACAGCAGAACATGTCTTTCCGATGTATCAACTGCCGCTAAGGACGCGGTCTCAGCTGATGGAGGGTCAAGTAGACGTGGGGCACCGTTGGTCTTGGGCCGCTTCAGCCATCGGATTCGCTGACGGCAACCGAGCCCGGCCGACGCGCTGAAGCTGAACAATCCCTGCTCCGATCTGCGATTGGGCTGCAGAGCGAACGCACCGTCATCTACCAGACTTTCCCCGACGCCACCGTCATTACTTACATACAGAATACTGTACAGGGTTCTTTTTTGGCTCTCCCCGGCCTTGTTTGTCATGCAGACGAGTTCGGTCACATGGTCGGCGCAAGGGGTGAGTTAGGAGGAGAGGCGCGCCAGATGGACGGCCAGGAAGGAATAGAAAAACTAGCGACCGGGTACCGTCGGGGGGTACCTCGTGGTGTGGTCTCTCCTTTGGCCACACTTCCCATCCTTCGTGGCTCCATCCAGACTGCGCCACGTTCCTTTGCCACACGGTGGCTGTGATGGTCGATCCGCCCGGCTCTCACGGTGCTTCCGAGAGGCGGGAATAATGGCAGAGCCCGGCGTCATGCAGATGAAAGTATTCGAAAGCATCTATTCCGACAACCAAATGTCCATAAATCAAAATAAACATCCAAATCGACTCGGATCGACACACCCTGCCACGGTACCCGTAGGAGACGGCTGGCACGGAAACAACCCTACACGACACTCTCATTCCGCGTATGTGCCCAAGGGTTTCACTATGAACAGTATACCGAAGGATATAGCACCGGGGAAGAAATGGCCATCTTCGGTCCCATCCATGTGCCCGTGGCCTGTGCGCCCACGTTGCACCCACGTTTAGTTCCCGCTCATGAGTCATCCAGGTCGAACCAATATTCAAAGTTGCAAGCCCCGGTTTCTCAACCACCCTTGGTGTCTTCGAGAAAGCAGGATGGCCTTGACGACCGCGCAGCCGAGTTCCCCGCGTGGACGCTTTCGAGATGTCGTTCCTGGTGCGAACCTGGGTAATTGGAAACCCGGTCCCAAGAATGGCATCACGGACGTGGAAGGTGTGATGGTCCAAACCACGACCATCCGAGATGGCGCATCCATCAACACAGGCCTCACAGCAATCGTGCCGCGAAAAGACTGGTTCCACCAAGCTTGCACGGCGGGCATCTTTCGTTTCAATGGTTCTGGCGAGATGACGGGCTCACATTGGATTGAAGAAACAGGTCTCCTGCACTCACCGATCCTGATCACCAACAGCTTTTCTGTCGGTGCCTGCTACACTGGAATCTACAAATACGCTATTCAGCACTACGGGCAGCAGGAGTCCGGAGTAGACTGGTTTCTGCTCCCTGTGGTAGCGGAGACGTTCGACGGTCACCTCAATGATATTAGCCAGTTTGCCGTCACTCCGGACCACGTGGTTCAAAGCTTGACCGAGGCCTCGAGTGACCCAGTTCCTGAAGGCAATGTTGGCGGCGGCACGGGCATGATGTGTCAAGGGTTCAAGGGAGGGACGGGGACTAGCAGCCGAGTAGTGCCAGGCGTCGATGGCAAACCCTACACCATCGGAGCTCTCGTGCAGGCCAACTACGGGCGGATGCGAGACTTGCATATGTGTGGCATCCCAGTTGGGCGAATCCTGGCAGCAGAAGCAGAGAAAGACGCTGCGTCGGCAGCCAAAAAAGCCGAGTACGACGCGGCCAAAGATAAAAAGGACGGCTCCATCATTATCATCCTTGCTACCGATGCCCCGCTACATCCCATCCAGCTTCAACGTCTCGCTAAACGAGCCACAGTCGGACTGGCTCGCGTGGGCGGTTATGGCCATAACCCGTCCGGAGACATCTTTCTTGCATTCTCAACGGGCAATGCGATTCCGGTCCAAACGGACAGCGGCCAGGTCGATCGTTTCAAGGCTAGGGAGCTGGACATGAGCTTCATTGACGACCAGTCGATCAATGGGTTGATTGAAGCGGCTGCCGATGCTACAGAGGAAGCCATATATAATGTCCTTTGTATGGCAGAGACAATGACGGGAAACCAGAATCGCACTGTCGAGGCTTTGCCCTTGAAGAGAGTGGCGGACATTATGTCAAAGTTCCAAGAGACAGAGAGTGTTTGTTTGGGGAATTAGTGAAGAAGAAAATAAATAGATCAAGGTTAACTAATCGAAGACCTGGAAAGCGTTTGACATGCAAATGTCCGTCTTGCATCTCAGGCTTGTATCTCGACACTTTACGAGAACGTATCTGTACTGAACATACTGAAGCGAAAGTAGACACGACATGATACCGGCCTCGAGGTCAGCATAAATCAGAGAAGCTTGGCTTGCACGTACGTATATGCTAATTGTTAGAAGCGCAAAAGAAAATTTCGAGTCCATATAACAGAGTTTTCTGTTGCAGATTATCAATTCAGTCTGTACCCTTCATTACCCATTTGATTTTCTCCTCTGGGGATGTTGGACCACAGGAACACGTATTTGCTAGACATGCTCTGATGAACGTACCATTCTACCGCCTCCATAGCATATCGGTGTTACCTTGGAAGGAATGATCGAGAAAGCTCGATTAAATTCTCACATCAACAAATTCAATCCATATAAAATGGGATCAGTTAAAATCCAGAAACACCAATAGAACATCTGGGCCTAACATATCAATGTCGTGAATTGATGTCTTCCTTGGCATCACAGACCGAGTCGGTGAAGAGAATCTTAAGAAAGGCACATACAAGCTCAATATTTGCCGGTTCTTGTTTCATTCTTTGTTCAAGCCTTTTACGCAATGATGATGATGATGCTGCTGCTGATGATTTATTTGCCCGATGTGGCTCGCTTCAAGTCCAGCTGCTATGCGGGAGTGCCGCCAGGCCTGTCTGTATGCCCTCAGAATTGACATGTAACGGGGAACAGTGCTAGTTCTAAAATAAAACAGCGGATCAAACAACAGTCACCGCGTTGCAGGGACCGCCATGTATAATCCTTGAGAGACTTCTCTTTGCCCACCAGTACATGCATGAATCAGTGAGATCTCACCAGTATGATCTTCGATGCGTATTGCCACCTGCGATGGCGCTGTGACGGGGAACAGCTGTAAGTCACTTAAGCCAATCGATCAGCATGAAAAATATCTGGTCCTGGAGTGAATTTAGAGCATCAATAGCCCAATCTAGAATCCAATGATCGTCTTTTAGTATGGTAGAGCGTTAATGTTGTTTGCAGAGCTGCAAACAATAGTACTAATCATAGGTGCAGATCCACAGATCATCTGCAAAAATTGAGTCGGAAGGGCGGCCAACTTCACTCACCGAGACGAGGATCGACAGCACACCAAGCGCATTTCACGGAGCTCGCCTACACCTATGTATTGCCCGAAGTGGGATAGAAATGGAGCCTCAAATTTTTCATACCTCACGATGGATTGCCCTGCGACCGTTCGCTAGGAATTTGGAGACTTCTCGCTGTCATGGAGTAACATCGCGAACCGGGCTGTACCTGGCCCCACTCCCCGGGGCGGAAGGATGCAACGAGGTTAAGCGATTATTTCCCGCCCTCACGTGTTTCTCATCGTGGCATCGGCATGCAAGCACCCGCAGTTCAACCGATCAATTACAATTCTGAAGGAAGTCCCTATGACGTGAAAACGTGCCAATTTAAGGGCAATACCTCACAGGGCAAGGATGTTGATGATTTGTTAGATCAACATCAGGATGCGGACAGGATTAGAGGGCACGCGAAGGATCCACCAGCCCTCCCTCCACCATCATAACACGAGAAAGGCATCTCGTCACAAGCCATCTCTCACGGCCTCTGGGGTAGAGCTGGGTTAAGAAAAAGACTTACGAAGTTATTATTATGGACGGAGCTTGATTGGCCTCCGTGCCCACGGGTCGCAACGGTGAAAGTTATGAGGATCGGCCAGGTACGAAAAAATCAGGGTCTAACGGGAGACCTAGCAGAAAACTCTAAGCGCCTTTACTACTCCAAGCGGAGGACGGACACATTTTGGGGGTGCTGGGTCCACGGGCTAACGGCGCTATTTGCTCTCGACGGGTATCGGTGATCAAACGGTTTTGAGGATTGAAGATTATAATCGTAGCTCGCGTGAGGATCATGTTATTGTTACTAGCGAGTCAACAATAGACAATAACAAACTATACAGGACATGAATCATATTGGATTCTCGTTCGTTCTCGAACCAAATCAATGCAACCCCCGCCCCTGTCGATCTGTGCGCTAGGGAGAAGCCCTAAGTTCACGGTTCTTGTTGATTTCTCTCCAGCTCACATGCTGCAAAAAGCCTTCGGGAGGCTTGCTAGCATGATTAGAGATCCAAGCGTAGGGTCCACTAAATTAATTTATTGTCCGGCACTTTTGGCGGGGACCCTGCATGACGCCCCTGGGGAGGCGGCAGGGTCCAGTTCGAGATGTCGTAGGGCGTTCAGGGGTAATATAAACAGATGAACGCCAGTTTGCGAGACTAGGGAGTGCGTTCCATGGTCAGAGTTGCAGTGAAAAGCCAGCAACAGAGTCTGTTAGCCGACTCATGTTTAAGGGATGTCTTTTTCCGCCCCACGGTATTGGGATTGCCCCGCGGGCAACTGCTCCCCGCAACAAACAGCAGAGACTGCACTCTGCCGGACGCCTGCAGAGGTTCCAGGCAAGCGGACTTGGCTGTGCACAGGCAAGAAGATGACCTCGCCCCGTAAGATCGACTGAGAAGTCGCTTCTCTGTCGGGTCTGGCCCAAAGAAATGCGCCCGCTTGGGCCGGGATCAACGAGTCAAGGGAGCGGGTCCGTCCATGGTCGCGACGAGATTTAGTGGACTGGCAGGTGCTCGCTATACCCAGCACGATGCCTCTCCATGCCGATCGCCCAGCGAAGATGAACCCGGCCCTCGAGCTTAGACCGAACCAGTTGCTATATCGCACGTCGCAATTTCCCACTCCTATCATTCGCTCCCAACCCGCTAGCTGCAGCCCTGCTAGGCTCGCATTGGCTGAAACGGAACAATAGCCTGAGCTGGTCCCTGAGGCCCAGGGAACCACTCAGGGCGGCTCCGCGAGGGTCAACCTAAGGGGAAATTACCATCAACACACGGAACGAAAAGGGGAAGTTCTCCGCCTGAACGGGTCTAAACGCTTCCTGCCACTTACATCAGGACAAATTAGACTTGAGCGGACCTGCGCTGGCTTCACATGTGGAGTGCCGCTGCCAGCTCCTCGGTCTGCTCCATCAAAGATCTGCGGAGAGCAATGTCCGGGGCACATAAAAGGGGAGCGGCCCCATATCGCCCGCCCGTTTTGCTCTTCAAGACGTCCATTCTTTTCGTCCATTCCTGTCATTTCAGTCTCTCGTTATCGTGTGTGTGTGTATAGCAATCCGTCAAGATGCGTTTCACCACCGCCTTCCTCTCCACGCTCGTTCTTTCCGGCACTGCGCTCGCCGGCCCGGCTCAGGTATCTACTTCATCTACCGGAAGTGTTCCGACGCAAACGCGTGAGACTAACGTTGTCAAGCCTGCCAACAATACTGCCGCTCATGCAGCTGGTGCGGATGACAACTCGGACAACACTCTGACTGCGTCCCACGCGGCCAACACCGATACACCGAAGCCTGCTAACAACGGCGCTGGTCTTGGAGGCATTCTCGGCGGCGGTAACTCTGATACCAACACCGCCACCCCAAGCGCTGGTGGTGACACTACCAGCAGCACCACTAGCAGTGGATACCCTTCTCAGACTAGCCCCCCTGGTGGCCTGGCTGGCATTCTGTCTCCGAGTGGAACGTTCCTGGATGGGCTCGGTGGCCTCACAAATGAGCTTAATGGTGTCAAGGGCCTGCTCTCGCCCACCCTTTTGGAGGATATCGAGTCCTTCTTCCACCACGTCGCCTATCTTTTGGATGACAAGACTACGGATCAGACCAAGTCTCTGATCGGCGCCGCCTCGGATCTTCTGACCCAGAAGAGGGTTAACCAGCTGTCCTCGCTGCTCGATCTCCTCACGCCTGCTCTCATCGACCAACTCAAGGATCTCCTCACCCCGGAGACCATCAAGGAGCTTTCTAACCTTTTGACCAATGCCAGCAACCTCCTCACCCCTGAATCCGTCAAGGAGATCAACGGCCTCCTCAAGAGCGCCACCACCTTGTTGACCCCGGAGGTTGTGTCGGAATTGAAGTCTCTCTTGACACCGGCGACAATCAAGGAGATCAACTCTCTCCTGATCAACGCCAACAACCTGTTGACTCCCACTTCGGTCAAGGAAATCAACGGGCTTCTCTCTGGAGCCAGCCAGTTGCTCACCCCCGCCATTGTCAGCGATCTGAAGTCCTTGCTCCAAAGCCTGGGCCCTATCATGCCCGAGCTCAAGAGCTTCCTCCAGCCGGGTACTTTCAAGGAGCTGTCTGGACTGCTCTCGAACGCCAATGCTCTGTTGACTCCTGCGTCCGTTAAGCAAATTAGCGGTCTCTTGGCCAACGCCAACAGCCTGCTGACCCCTGATGTTGTCGGTGACTTGAAGTCGCTGCTGGGAGCCTTGACTCCGATCATGCCCGAGCTCAAGTCCTTCCTGAAGCCCGCGACATTCTCGGAGCTGGGTGCCTTGCTGGGCAATGCCAACGACCTGTTGACCGGCAAGTTTGTCCACGAGACGACTACTCTCATTGAGGACGTTTCTGACGTACGTTATCTCCTTCTCTATTAAAATCTTGATCGAAGTTTTGCTGACTCTGCTGTACAGTTGCTGCCGACGCTCATGAAGCTGCTGGGTTCCATGTAAGGAGATTTATTATAAGTTCTATGGTGATGGAGTAATTACTTCGGGTGGTTAATATTCTCTGTTTAATATTAAATATGATACCGTTGTTGCATATATGAACTCTTGAGTGACTATAGTTGGTGTGCCTGTTCGTAGCGGCACTTTTAGGGCTTCTTGATGGCGGTCAGACTCAGGGGAAGTCGTAGAGCGCCACAGCAGAGACCTGATCGTGGAGGTCATGAAGGAGAGGAGACGAATGTAGTGAGTTGTATTGACTGAGTGATCGCCCAAAAGGGAAGGTCTATCTACAAGCGGCGGTTGACGCTGACACCTCAGGCACCCACTTAATCACTTGTAGAATCTCGTCGAGGATCCTAGGATCGAGGCGTGATTTTGGGGAAAGGATCTGTTCGTTTAGGGGGCTCTGATCCTCCCAATCTCTCCGCGAGAGAGTATCAGTTAGGGTGTTTCGTTTCCCGGCCGATACTTGATCATGAATTGAAATTGAGATAGGAACCCTCTCCAACGAGCTTGTCTGCCGTTCAATTTCTTTGACATTATAGAGTATTCGAGCTCCTGGTGGTCAGGGAGGATTCCAAATGGCTCAGGACGGTGTAGTCCACAGAGTTCTGCCCGCCACTCTTGGAGCGCGCGGATGATCGCTAGCATTTCCTTGTCATAGCTCCCCGATCCTCGTGATGTGTCAGATTCACGCCCTTGTAGATTAGATGATAGCTATCTTGTATTGGAAGCATCATCGTTGCCCAACGAGGGCGTGGATGCCGTCCATTGCTTTCCCGAATTGTGGTGACTCCAGTCGCAGCATCGCTGTATGGGCTGGAGTCCTACTTCCTTCGTAGAGAGCGGCTCTTCGTTAGCGTCGGAGCTATCGTCTGAGTGGTCATCGTCAGAATTGTCATCAGCGGCGTTGGTGAAACGATGTCTTCTCAGTTTTTGAGCAGGCTTCTTGCCGACGAGTCGGGCGTGATCGCTCTTGCCGACCAATGCATAATACCCATCCCAGATGACGATGCACACAGCATTTTCTACAGCGACCGCGTCACCCACCGGCACCCGGCCTGGGCGGAAATCTCCATTGGTGTCAAAATCGTAAGGCCAGAGAAGGCCACGATAGCAAAGCAACAAGCTTAGAATCCCGCTTTGTACGAAGCTGTGCATCGTGCCCACCAAAAATAGAGATGATACACTGAAGGGTGAGGTCGTGAGTTGAATTCGGATTGTGATTTAACTCCGGAACCAGCCAGACATTTTGAGAATGATGTAGGTGACTGGCGAATCCTCATGGCCATCGAGATCCATGACCACATCCCCGTACCCTTTTGAAATCATGCGATTGCCTGTCTTGGCATTAGCCGGGGAGACAGGAAGCTGACAAGGGGTATATGTGATGAAATGGGAATCATAGGGGTTCATGGTGTTTGAGGCCTCCGAGTCCATCATCCAATCGTTGGACGATCCGTCAAGGTGTGAAGTTTGTAGGTAATCTTATGGTACTGGTCTTCCTTGCGGTATTCCTCCACGATCTCTGCTTCTTCAGCTAAGCGGACAAACTCCGTCAAGAAGTCACTGAAATCTTGGTTCAGGCGCATCGTTAGGTCGTCGTATTTCTTTCGTACGTTCACCTGTCGATTCGGGTTGACAAAGACAGTTCAAATTGTTTCAGAAGGTCAGGGGCATCGGCTGGATTTGTGCGATGGTTTGATGGTTCGATGGCTGTAAATGATATCGAGCCTTATGGATCCTAGAGATTGCTGGCGGTGAGACAAGTTCCAGGGTGACATGCTCGATATTCACGAGATAGTAGAGAACTAAGCAGAAGACGGGTGATATCCTTCGCCTCTGAACTGGTAATATGTATCGTATCTTGTCGCCCTTTCTCTTGGAAGAAGCGGGCAGCTGTGAGTCTTTCGTCAGGCCAGCCAATAGTTCGTGCCAGCCAATAGTTCGTCTTGCATACGCTGGTTCAGCGTACGGAAAGGAGTAGGCTGAAAAGAGATCAAAGAGATCCGTAGTCATCACCGTTCGTTATGCCTTCCTCGGCGATTTCTGTGGAAAGAGCCGTTGCTTGTAGCTGTTTTGTGAAGCTAGGCTGCCTGGACCGGCGTTTTTCCTCCATATATTGTCGCCTGTTTGCTCTCGCACATCTCCAGCTTCACCGGCACGGCGCGAATTCTCCACGGGTCGGCCCAAGGGCTCGGAACATGACAAATTGGGCCTTGAGAATGGCGGAGCTGGATGTCACGATTTGAACCTGCTGGATCAAAAGTTGATTCGAATGATCGACCATCAAGCTGGTGGATTCTTCCCGCATTGCAGAGGCGCAGGGAACTTCGAAAGAATGAGTGCGAGGTTCCACCAGTCGCTACCAGGTCTATCAAGTAGGTAAACATGAGTGATGGTTCATGGAGAAAGAAAAAGCAAAACAAAACATACCTTCCGTGTGGCGTTTGATCCTTGTCTTCGAGAGTTTTGATGATGGACCTGGCCAGAGTGGTTGAAACCATTAAATGGTATGGCTGATGGTTGTATATGTATATAGCAGGAGAGGTGGAAGAGGAGAAGGGAAGAAGAGGGGGGGTTTTATACCTTTGCCAGACAGGGGATGCCATGAAAGGAAGGCAGGCATTTGCAGTAGCAAACAAAATCTACCTATTGTTGACAACAAATGGTCTTTCTGATTGAGGGCGATCTACAGCTCCTGTACGTTTAATTCAAGAACAAAAGAAATCGATTGCGGTACCAACATGCGGACGCAAGGCGGCCAGACGCAGAACCCATAGAGATCCTGCGCGGTCGCCTAAGCGCGAGACGATCTAAACGTACAGGGTAATAATCACATTTTGGCAACCCCTGCTCCTTTCAGCTTTCGTTCAGCTCCGGAGAGGCGCTACACGATTAATGGGCACCCGCAACAGAGGACGACGACGAAAAAGAACAAATGGCTTCAAAATTGTACAAGCTATCTTCACCCAAGTCTATGCAAGCGATAGAAGAGAAAAAAGGAGATGATCAGGAAAACAAGCACGACCCCATTTTCCGAGCCTCAAACCTCAAAATTCCTCGCATCTATGCGTTGAAGGACTTGTTGAAGGAGGTGATGACCTCCTTGAGCTGAGCCTCAAGTTCCTTGCTGACCTGGCCCTCCTTGTCGACGGTCTGCTGGATCTCGGGGTGGGAGCTCTTGAGGTGGGCGAGGAAGTCAGCCTCCCAGGTGAGGATCTTGGCGACCGGGATGTTGTCAAGGAGACCGTTGACACCGGCGAAGATCAGGGGCACCATGTCGGAGACAGCCATGGGGCTGTACTGCTTCTGCTTGAGCAGCTCGGTCAGACGCTCACCACGGTTCAGGGTCTGCTTGGTGGAGGCATCCAGATCGGAACCGAACTGGGCGAAGGCAGCGACCTCACGGTACTGAGCCAAGAACAGCTTCAGGGAACCGGCGACCTGCTTCATGGCCTTGACCTGGGCGGCGGAACCGACACGGGACACAGACAGACCGACGTTGATGGCGGGACGGATACCCTTGTAGAACAGCTCGGACTCCAGGAAGATCTGGCCGTCGGTGATGGAAATGACGTTGGTGGGAATGTAGGCCGACACGTCACCACCCTGGGTCTCAATGATGGGCAGAGCAGTCAGGGAACCAGCACCGTGGGTCTTGTTCATCTTGGCGGCACGCTCCAGCAGACGGGAGTGAAGGTAGAAAACGTCACCGGGGTAGGCCTCACGACCGGGGGGACGACGCAGCAGCAGGGACATCTGACGGTAGGCAACGGCCTGCTTGGACAGGTCATCGTAGATGATGACGGCGTGGCGGCCGTTGTCACGGAACCACTCACCCATGGCGCAACCGGTGAAGGGAGCAATGTACTGCAGGGGGGCGGCCTCGGAGGCAGTGGCAGCGACGATGATCGAGTACTTCATGGCATCGTTCTCCTCCAGGGTCTTGACCAGCTGGGCAACGGTCGAGCGCTTCTGGCCGACGGCGACGTAGATACAGTACAGCTTCTGGGCCTCGTCGCTGCCGCTGTTCCAACGCTTCTGGTTGAGCATGGTGTCGACAGCGACGGCAGTCTTACCGGTCTGACGGTCACCGATGATCAACTCACGCTGGCCACGGCCGATGGGCACCATGGAGTCGACACACTTCATGCCGGTCTGGACGGGCTGGTTGACGGACTGGCGGGGCAGGATACCAGGGGCCTTGAGCTGGGCACGGCGCTTCTCCTTGGTCGCGATGGGGCCCTTGCCGTCAATGGGGTTACCCAGAGCGTCGACAACACGGCCAAGCATCTCAGGGCCGACGGGGACATCCACCTAATGCATCATGAGTAAAGCCGTTCGTCAGATGTGGTCAATAGCATCACTTACAATCTCGCCGGTACGCTTGACAGTCTCACCCTCCTTGACGAGACGGTCGGAACCGAACAGCACAACACCGACCTGGCCGGCCTCGAGGTTCATGCACATACCCTTGACACCAGAGGCGAACCTGTAGGGGGAAGCGGTTAGCAATGCCAAGACTTTTACGGGGGCTGAAACGTACTCGACCAGCTCCTCAGCCTGGACGTTGGTCATGCCGTGGACACGGGCGATACCATCACTACACGAGGTTCCATTAGTTTTATGTTCCATGTCGAATGGCGTTCATCACGGGCGGATTCGAAGGGATTGGCGCCGAGGGACAAATTTTTCTTGAGGGGGTCAATCATACCCGACCGACAGAACACGACCAGTCTCAGCGAGACCAGCCTCCTCCTGAACACCACGGATACGCTGCTCGAGGATGGACGAGACCTCGGTAGGGGCAGCCTTGGCCTCGGCGGCGTAGGAGCGAACCTGCTTCGAGGCAGCGGAGAGGGGGCCGGGAACAGCCGCGCGAGCCTGCCAGGTAGCGAGAGAAAAACTTGTCAATGACCGAACCAGCAGGCAAAAAGGCATTCAATCCATTGTCACCGGGTCGGCGCATGTCCTCCGCATCGATCGAGCTCGAGGGCGAGATGGAATGGGTCGGACTGGCGATGGACGAGGATGGCCATTGGGACTGGACTCACCGAGGCGATACGGCCAGGGGCCGAGACGGCCGCGACAGAGCGGCTGGACTGCCGCAGAGCGTTTCTGAACATTGTGATTCGGGGGTTCAGAGGATTGGAGGATAAATTCTCTGGGGTAGAGATGGAATTGGGGGGAGGGGAGAGGGAAAAGACGAGAGAGGAGAGGTTGTGGACGGGAAGGAGAGCTTTGTTCGGGGGGGGGGTTGGATTCTCAGGACGGCGCTAAGCCTGTTTGGACGGACGGGTTGAGTGCCCCGGTCCGGCAGGGCAGGGCTGTTCTACTGGTTGGATAGATACAAGGACTACATTCAAAAATCCTATTGACCCTTCCGATCCTCTTCGACTACCTATTCCACGCTGTCAGGGTGTGGCAGTTTCTGTGAACCCTCGTGAGTGTGTGTGTTTCGACCGCACTAATTTATCCGATTCTTCCCGGCTTAGGTAATGCATTTTGTCACGGCAACCACTGATGCCAGATCCTTTGGATCTAATATACTTCAGATGAAGCAATGGAATGGATATTCGAGCTATCACAATAAACTCCAACTCTGAAAGCACATACTACGCAATGTCCTCGAAAACCGTTGAGAGGGGTCCCTTACATAATGCACAATGGCGAGATTTGCCAGGCATTTCCGACACCGTTGACTGAAGATTAGCCGCCAGTCGAGCCAAGCCCTGTCGAGTCATGGCAGAGCTGAAGATAGTCTCAGCCGAAACAACTCGACTCATAGACAACATGGTCGCGTGGTGGCACTGTCACGCCCCAACCTAATAGGTAACTATAGCCCTGGCGGACTATTTAACCGCCTTCCCCTGCTTCTTCAGCTGGCGAAACTTCTCCACCTCCAACTTGACGCTCTCATCGAAGCGATTCTTTAGTTCCGGCCGATACCCGAAGAAGAACAGGATCTCCATCCAGACGAACAGCGGCGCCAGCAGGAGCGCCTGCACAAGATTATCCAGCAGCGCGGGCGCGCGGCCCTCGTACACGCCATGGCCGACAAACTGGGCCAGCCATGACACGACGTGGATGCCGCCGGCGTAGTAGTTCACGACACTCCCATAGGTGCCCAGGAGGTAGTTGCCATAGGCCGCCGAGCCGACCACCAACGGCGCGATCAGGCCACCCGCGACGGGTTCCAGGAGGATGTAGAACGTGGCGTAGATGAGGGCGCCAATAGTGCCTGCATTTGCGGGGAGGTATTCGTATTGTAGTGCTTCGGGGAGGGGGAAGAGGGTTGGGCAGTTGCAGGCCTGCGTTGAGGGTCAGTAGGATGCCACGGGGGTTCGCTGGGAGGAGACCACGTACGAGGATGATGCCAGTAAACAGCAGGATCGGGACACAGGTGATGTGGATGGCGACATTAACCTGGGACGGTTAGGGAAAGACTACTGGCGGGCCAGAGTGCATACTGGGTTATTGTGGTAGGCTCCATACTTTTAGGGGTCAGTGGTGATCTCTCGTCGTGACAAGAAACAGCTTGGAAGGAGACTCACAAAGAGCAGCTGTTTCTCTAGGTTGAGGGCCATGCTGGCTGGGTGTGATGGAGGGAAGAGGTAAAGGTGGCGGACAATTCGTAGGATTGTCGTCCTGCGCGTCTGTCGTCATGTGCTGTGCCGAGGATGTGACACCGTTCGTGTTTTGATACCGTATTAACGTGGATAATGGCGCTGGTAATGATGTATAGTATGGTCATATAGTCTGACATGGAATTAGATGACACTAAGGAAAGGCATGGCTGTCAGGAAGTGTGAAATTGATTGAAAAGATTATGGAGTTAATTGGCGTTGTCAGTGAACTGTATGGGTAGAGAGCCTGTGTGCCAATCCGCCGCACATCTGAGTCGTCGAAATATATATCATCAGCAACATGATGAAAAAGAATCGACGTCAAGGTAAGACATCAAGAAAGATCCACATAATGGATAGAAAGATTCATTCATCTCCAATAGGCACCACTCACCAAGCCTGATTCTTCACACCCACACAATGGGATCGGGGCCCGTCTATACCTGGCCCGGTCACGTGACCAACACCGCCAAACCTCCCACGCGCGAGATCGACCTGTCTCGACCTGCCGAGCCAGCACCTGCAGCACTGTATCTGCCTCCCCGCGCACACGGCAGCCATCTTTGCCATCGCCACTCGTTTGTCTGCTGCCCGGTCCTATTTTCCCCCGTCTTGCTCTATCCACACCGTGGGGTCATGAGCTTGCGGTGGAAGACACCGTCGCTTGTCCTCCATTGACCGCTCCTCGTCCCCGTTGATCGGCAGCAATCGCGACCCTTGAGCCCCTGCCAGCACATATCGGACGAAACAGGGCAGTGGGAACACTGGACCTGTGATCTCTTCCTGTACGATCAAGGCGCAGTCACTCCTCAGCTGCTGATTATCTTCTCCTGCGCCGAAATGTTCTTCCTCAAGGAAGAGACCAAGGTCATTTCCCTGCACCCATCTTACTTTGGACCCAATGTGCGAGAATACCTCATCACCCGGCTCAATGAGGAGGAAGAAGGACGGTGTACCGGTGATCACTTCGTGATCTGTGTGATGGACATGGTGGATATTGGCGAGGGGCGCGTGATGCCGTCGAGCGGACACGCTGAATATACCATCAAGTACCGCGCGATCATCTGGAAACCCTTCCGCGGCGAGACGGTATGCACTGAGACCCGAGCTTTCGGGTCCCCAAAAACTAACCCGCGATTGCAGGTCGATGCCATTGTCACCTCTGTCAAGCCAACGGGTATCTTCACTCTGGCCGGACCGCTGTCCGTTTTCATTGCGCGAAAAGTATGGGATTGCGCTTCTTGCACGGGACGACCTCACTGACTTTTTGACCCCCGCCAGAATATTCCCTCCGACATCAAGTGGGAGCCCAACACCGTGCCTCCGCAGTATACTGACCACGCAGACCAAGTGATCGAGAAAGGAACCAGTCTGCGTCTGAAGATTCTTGGTGTGAAACCCGACGTGGCGGCCATCAATGCCATTGGCACTATCAAGGAGGATTATCTTGGGTAAGTTGACCGGGATCATTTTACGACCTGATACTGACCCCTTCGCTACGAATAGTCCCCTGTAATGAACAACGACGAGCCACATCCTCATTATGATCATGTACGATGCAGTCTCGTTTTACACTCGAGGACGCGGGGGAAAGGGAAAAAAAAGTGGCTAAACCAGGTCACGCACAAAGGCGTATATCCCGGACGAGCAAGTAAGTGCTCACAGTGACTGGCCGGTCTCGGGGCATCGCAAAGACGCACCCTGCTGGTTCTGGCTCATTTTTGCGGTCCTGATTCTTGTCTGCGCGTCCGGATAAGCCGACATCTGTCGAGCAGGTCGCTGGATGGGGAGGGGGCCATAGTACCTGTGCCAGCACTTTTTTGTACAGTCCACGGCCTGAATAATGTACAATAACTATCTACTGAAGCTTTTTCTGGCACGATCTCAGATTCTCGTCCGATGAGAGGGAGCATGGGAAGTGTGGTGTTTACCGAGACCATGAGTAGACCGGGGTTGCCGTAGGGACCCGGGTGCCCTTAACGGTCGTGGTGAAACACCGGCGTGTGTTCTGTAGTTCGTCATTCCCCTCCGCGCTAACTACCGCGTTCCTGCCCCTGACTGGAAACAACAAACCCTCCCCCTCCACATTATTATTATTCCCTCACTCTCCTCTTGTCTCCCACCACGTCTGACTTCCCCTGCTTTCATCCCCACCCCCCCGCGGTCAGCACCATGACCTATCTTCAGGACGTTTACCAGCGATTCCTGGCAAGCCCTCGGTCGGCCTCGCTGGCGGCCGACATCTCGCTCATCTACGTGACCTCCACCACCCAGTTCGACCAGCCAGATGCCGTCATCGCTCACCTGTCGCGACAAGCCAGCATTGCCAAGAAGACGTCCGAGAACGTCCTCAGCGTCGTCGAGGGCACCCGCTCCTTGTGTTTGGATATCGAAACCACTGTCCGATTCCTGGAGGGCGGCGGGGCCTGGCTCCCCTCGATCGACGATAATTTCATCGTCGATCGCGTCGTCACGTTCCCCACGGTAAGTAAACAAAAGAAATTATTCTCCGACGCGCAACGCTAACAAACGTCTGCAGGTCCACATTGTCAACTTCAATTCCGAGAATGAGATTCAGCAGGTCCGCATTTACTGGGACCAGGGCTCCCTGCTCAAACAGGTCGAGGTGATCGGGGCGCGGGGTCGTACCTGGCCCATTCGTGATGCGAAGGACCAGATCCGTTACATCAAGGCTGCTGATACTGCCAAGTCGGCTGCGCCGCCGTCGCACGGGGGCAAGACTAGCGACCTGCCGCGTCGACCGGCCTCCCCACAGAAGAGACACATCAAGGATCCATATGCGGCTGATTCTCTGTTCGATCTCTTGTCCCCCAGCAAGGCGGATGTGGCACGGGAGCAACAGAACGAGTCTGCCCCTGCCGCGGCCGCGCGACCCGCTTCTGCCCAAAGGGATGCTCCGGAGGCTGCCAGACCTTCCTCCCCCAATAAGCGGATAACCCGAGACCCGTACGCTCAAGAGTCCCTGTTTGACATGCTGTCGCCGAACAAGGAAGCCGAGTCCCGTGAGCCAATGCGCCCCTACGCTCCTTCGGCTGCGAGGCCTGCTGCACGTGCATACGGCGAGCTGTTCGTCGGTGATGATGAGCCCAGTGTCCCCGACTCGCCAACCAGGTCGGCTGCTCCCAAGGCCGGTGCGGGTCGTTCGAACCCCAACCGGATCTGGGGCGATGAGGACGTGATGCCTGACGAGCGCAATCCGGGCGAGAAACGTGCGATGTACAAGAGCGACCCCCGCAAGTACAGCCACTTCGATATTGGCGGTGAGCCCGTTGAGAACCAGGGGAAGGCAACCTCCCGATCTGGCAAGTCGCGTCACCAGTCGCAGTGGGATTTCAGTGACTTCACAACCCCTGAGAAGTCCGCCACGCGCGCTCCCCACTCCCAGGAAGTCCGCAATTTCGGCTGGAGTGATGAGGATGAGGGCACCGAGGCGCCGCCACGCAAGCCCGCTGTCCCTCAGCCCCGTCGTGACGCTGATATTCACTTCGAAATGACCGACGACAATCGGGGAGATGACTCGGGCCGCATCATCACCGCCTACCAGAACCGCGGCCAGAAGCTGTACGAGAACCGTCTATGGGATGAGAACGGTGAGGCCGTGCCCACCGAGAAGGAGATTACACGCCAGCAGCCCCTGTCCAACGTGGCCAACACCCAGAGCCGCCGGAAGGACTTTGGCGCGCAGTACGAGATGACCGATGACTCGCCGCCCCCGAGCACGACCGGCGCTTCGGAGAACTACCCTGTTCCCGAGGACCGCAAGAAGGCCGTGAAGATGATGGAGGCGAACTGGGAATCGTATGATGTGTCGCCCCAGCCCTCCAAGCCTGCTTATTCGCGCAACAACCACGACCAGCGCAACAACCATAACCAGCCTAGCTGGTCGATGAACGGCGAGTAAACTTCTCAATGATATCCACCATCTCTTTATGTTATTACTCCCCCTTCTACTGTATGACAATGCACGGCCGATTCGACCGACCACGAGCAAAACAATGTGTATCGATACCCGATGAATTTGGAAGAAACCAAAAAAAAAAAAAATATTGGGCGGCGGTTGATTGCGTCTACCTACATCTCTGCTTGTATGAATGAGTTCCGATGCCTCTATTGATTGCCCTTCTTCCCATCGTTTCTCTTATGCCTCTCCCCCTGCGCTGGGTCTTATCTCATACCATTCCCCGCGTTTACCATTTCTGTTTCTCTCTATGATACCTTTGCTTCCTGTACGAATTACTGTCACGAGAGCGAGGTTGTTTAGTTTAATTCGATCCAAGATTGTACGATTGACTTCTCTTGTTGAAGCATGGCGTATTGACGAACTATGCCGATCGGGCTTGCCTTGTAGCAGACTAATGGGGCCATGAATGTTCCTGTTTCTGCCACAATGACCTGGCTTGGGTAGCCACCATCGCTAAACCGAAAACACTCTATTTCTGATACCTTGCAGCCTCGGCACGCCTAACAAATAGACCAAGCCCTCCCCACTAACCCGCAACTCCGTGTACAAGGAGCTTCGTAATGCCCAGCCGGCGCCACGCACAAGACGACGGAACAAACAGACCAGTCATGGCCCTTCAGTAAGTAGGAAGAAGCATCTAAGTAGGAAGAAGCATCATAACAGTTTTCGTTGGCTTGTCTCCTGGAGGAAGGGAATAAACAAGCCCATTGTCCCACCCGAGTAACTAGACTATCCCCCTCCCAGCTTTTAGGTAGACCAGCTACTGCTCGGCATTCGATTGATGCTTTTCCTTGCCGGCAAGACGGTCTGTGAGTGTCACAAGGAGAGCGGGCTTGTCCCAAAGGAAATACACTTTCTGATCTGTCCAATTGGCGCTTTCCGGGCACAGGGCCAGGTTGAAGTGGTACAGCAGTTTGCAGAGGATCAGGCGGATTTCGCAGTATGCCAGGCTACACACACAGTTAACATGGAGGTAATGAATCAGTCATGATACTTGCAGAAAGCCAAAAAAAAAGTGCCAAGCAAGAATAACCTACTTTTTCCCCAGACAGTTTCTGGGCCCCAAGCTGAAAGGTTGTAGGACATCCTTTTTGTCGTTGTTGAATCGTGCATCAATGCCCAGCCATCGCTCGGGGATAAAGTCGTTAGGGAAGGTGAAGTTGGACGAGGAGTGGTACGAGGCGTAATGGTGGCAGGCGACGATGGTCTACAATTCCGAATCGGAAACAAAAGAGTTAGAAATCAGGTCTTTATATACGGCTGGAGCTGTGCATACACCCTCTGGCACGAAGTGGTCATCGATCATCGCTCCGCCTGCAGGAACAATACGTGCTAGGCTCGTCACGAACGGTGGGTACAACCGCAGCGACTCTTCGATGACGGCTGTTAGATAGGGTAGGCTGGCGATGGTGCGGAACGAGATATCTGAGTCCTTGGCGAAGGCGGAGCGGATCTCAGTGACGAGCCGGCTCATGACAGCTGGATTCGCCGAGAGGTAGTAGATGCAGCCTGTTAGGAGGGTTGCGGCTGTTTCGCTGCCGGCCACGATGAGACTAATGGCAGTGAAATAGGTCAGCAGGCCTGAAGAAGAGGAAAGGAAAGGAAAGGAAAGGAAAGGAAAGGAAAGGAAAGGAAAGGAAAGGAAAGGAAAGGAAAGGAAGAGGACGGACATAAAAGCGTTGGAATGGATCTCGGCCCTGCTCATAATTCGCTCGCCGTCTCGATACTGACCATTGGTCTCACTTAATCCATTTTGCAGAATTGCAGACATGAAATCCGTGCGAGCCATGTTTGTTGCCAAGCGCCAGTCGACCTTTTGGGCGGCGAGGTTGAAGTGTTCCTGGGCCTTGCGCTTGACTTCGTGCGGGACGAGGGCGTCGAGCAGAGCACTGAGCAGGGGGAATTGATGCACAACTCCATTGATGGAGAGGGCCTTGATGGAGCTGAAGATCAGTTTGATCCACGGGTGCAGCTGGCTGTCCTTCAGGCAGTCAAAGGACTCCCCAAACATCAAGTCGCCCGTGATGTCGAACGTGGTGTAATTCATCCAATTCTTGATATCCAGGTGGGGAGAGTCTTGCTTGGTGATCTCATTTCGCAGCTTGTTGATCAGCGTGTCGACATATCCCACAACCAGACTCTCTTGGTCTCTCAAGGCCCGTTCCGAGAAGGCGTGTGCCAATAGTCGCCGCTGGCGAGCATGTACAGCATTGTCGACCGCACAGACGAGGTGGTCGACTCCATTGGCGGGAGGCAAGTAGTGGCTGCGGTCCTTGGCAAAGCAGCCGCCAGGACGAGCACCGTAGATATCGCGGAATGCCTGCGTGGTGTTGAAGGCGAGTTCGTTAGGGCTGATGCGTACGACGGGGCCGTACCGGTGATGGAGGGCGGTCACGTCCAGGTGAGTATGACCGCGCAGGACCGAGAGCTGCGAAGGAATGCGGGAAATGGCCCACAGCTTGGGACCGGGAAAGCGCCTCAGAGACGACCAACAGAGCTGGTAGACGATGCTATACACCCCGAACAGCACCTGGCAGCTTCGGTTAGGGCAGTTCTAGACGCCGAGTGGTAGGAAGTACATGTCGGGTCCTGCAGCTGCTACAAACGAGGGCGTACGGATGCGACTTACCAGGACTCCGGCAGGCACACTCCAGAACAGGCTGCTCGAGGTTACCCAGGACAGGAGCATCATGAAATTGAAGGAAGGGGAGATGGACCCGAGGGCACTGTTGTCTCTGTCCATCATATCTACTGCTTTGGGGCCCATTCAGACACTCTGTCTGCTCGTTCTTGACTACGCTCTTCCTTGTATCGCTCAAGGGCCAGTGAGCTGGATTGATTGTGCGCCGAGCTAAGACAGAGCCGAAGTTGCACCGGCGAGAATGAGGAAAAGGAAAGAGCGCGGGTACATGCGGTGGCACAGACGAGCTGCTGGCCGAAATGGAAATATCTTTTATTGACACATGTCGCCAACAGTTGGTTTCACCCAGCCAGTCCGTCTCCCAACGGCCTCCGGCCGTATACAACATGCAAGTTGCAGTACGTGTGCACGTCCGGGTTCTTCAGGTCTCTACGCACACCCGCTAGGAACACCTGCGTCTCGATATTCGACCAGCCCAGCACCCGCGTAAACAGTGCCAGGGAATAGCTCTCTACAGCCATCAGCAGCGAACACAGGTTGTACCGGCCAATCTGCTTCTGTACAGGGTCGCTCGACCAACCACTACTAGGGACCTAGGGAACTCTCTGTCAGCGCAGGGGACAAACAGATACCAATCTCGGCAGGTCGCACCTTGTACATCTCGTCTCTGACCTCTTCAAAACCGGCCTCGATCAGCCGCTGCCGGTGCCCCTCGGCAATATTCATGGGCCGGTGGAACGCCTCGCTGGCCTGATGCAGCCTGCCAAGGAACTCGCACAACGTCGGCGCGAGACGCATCGACTCGTCGTCAGATTTGAGCGTCACCTCAAACTCCTGCAATTCCACCCAGCCCCCAGGCCGCAGGTGTTCGCGGGCCTGCCGCAGCAGCCGCGGCCAGTCGGCGATGGCGCCGCCTAGATCGCGAGCATGGATGAAATCGAAAGGCCGGGTTGCGCTGAAGAGCCACTGTGATTCGGCGTCATCCACCAGGAACCGGAGATTGGGTGGTACCCAAGACGGCTGGATGGGGCTCAGATCCGTCCCGATTACTTCGGCGCTGGGGAAGCTGTCTGCAAAGTCAATCGCCCAGATCCCTGTGCCGGTGCCAATGTCTAGTACTCGTTGGACGTGCTCGCCAAGTGGTGCGCAGAAGAGTGCGCCGTTTAGGACCAGGTTGCGGACGTGGTGGAGCAAGTCCTGTCGGTCTTGCTCTTGCTCGTCGTTGGGGAGGACATAGTGGCCTTCTCGATATGAATGGTAGCGCCGTCCATTCTCGTACGCATAGTTCTTGACATCCGACAGTAAGGATGCGGTATAGTTGGAGGTGTCAGAGTGGTAGTCCTCATCGAAGATAGACTCTCTGTCTTCGTGTTCGTTGTTTGTAGAGATGGTGGAGGATCCATCTCCAACGTCTTCCGCAACTGGCTGCTCCACAGGTGCTGGTGGCGTATCGGTCGGTGCTGTTGTGTCTTCTTGCGTAGAATAATCAGGTAGCAAGGCTGACACTGGCGTTAGAATGGGTGGTAAGGGTTGGGGTGCAGGCGCTTGTTGCGGGATATGATGCTCTGTGCCTTTCGCATCTGGCATCGAATCTGGCTGCGGTGATGGTGGTCCCGGACTCTTTCTCTCAGAATCATTCTCTTCTGATATTTCTTCCGATAGTGCATCTTCCGGTGGCGGTATTGATATATTGACTCCGGATTCCTCCTGTCCATCGAGAATGGTGTGTGAGTCTGGCTCTGGCAAAGGTGGTGGCGGCAATTCCAAAGTTTCCGGCTTCACATAACCATTCTCAACTGCCCGCTCCGCAATAAAAGCCGAAGATGGCGAGTAAGCTGTAATTTCTGGAGTATCATCCAGGACCAAAATCGACTTTGGTGGCGAAACCTCGAGTGGAGAATGTAACTGGAGCGGCGAAGGTTGCAAGTCCATTGCATCTGGCGGAACATCTTCAACACGAAAAAAGGACTTGGACGGTGAAGTCGAGGCTGAAATATCTTGCGATTGCAAAAGCGGCCCTGACTCCATAACCTTGCTCACACATCCATCTTTCTCGGGAGTAGAGTCCGAAGGCGAAGAATGTGAGGAGCCCATTTTGTTCGAGGCTCGCGCAAGGCCACAAAAGATAGGATGCCAGGTAGGCACGAAAAGTCAATAAAGGCAGCTGATGGAGAGACCAAAAACGTTCCGCGAGTGGTTCATGGGGGACGAACTTAACTTATCGCATGCGCGTCTCACAGGATGGTCGTTAGGGTTGGTTTGTTCAACAACAGTAGCAGCAACAAGCGAATGCCGAACATGATCGGCGGAGCTGGCGAGTAAAATGGATTCAAATCAAATTACCCACGCGGTCATTATTAGACTGGAAGGGAAAGGGTAGATAGGGTTGGTTTGGGTCCAGTCAGAATGAAGAGCAGGGCAATCCCCAAAAAAGTAGACAGTTGACGGTGGACAGTACACTTCCAGGGACTCTTTCCACATATCTAACAGGTAAATACTTTTCTCTCATATCTATACAAGATTAGAGATCAATGGAACGGTTATGCAGCAACTCACCTTGCCGTAAACCTAGCCGCCTCTCCTTCCGTGCTTCCAAGCATGTTCCTTTTCCACAGCTTCCAGATTCTGCGCAGCACTCAAAGGGAATTGGAAATGACATAAGATGAGGACTTTGTACGACGCAGAGCTATGAATGTAGCACTGCTGCTCAACCTGGCTGATTGTGTAGCATTTCGTGCAGCAGTAGGCTCGGGGGTTGGATTGGTTCGGCGGTCATATTGAGAATTTGCCGGGGGTGTGCAATCGGTGCAATATCTCATCTTGCTTTGATGTCATTATAATAGAGGGTTTATTAACTTGCAAAGCAGTTGGACCAGAACGATATGGGTTTGCAGTGGATTTGCTTCCAGTATGAGATAGCCTATCAGGCGGAAAAAGCTATTTATGCAGCAATAAAGTTGGATTTTTCTACTGAGTCATGTATTCATCTCTGAAAATGTTCATTTGCAGCAATTCAGGGCATTATCGTCTCGTTTCCTCATTTACAGATCATGAGGCGCGGGTTCTTCTCATAGACTCCTAACCAAGCATTCCGGCGCCGCGGGAGTGTCTCCCTGCCAGTCCCTTTGCTAATGATGGACCTTCCTTTCTGTCATGGGAACGGACCTCGAGACCCGCGTGAAGGACACTGGTGCGCAGGATCCGCATGTGAGCCTTTTCATTAAAGCTGCGCAGGCTCTCGAGCGTGTTTCGCTGCAGCTCTGTTCGCAGATCAGTCTGGTTCGAGACCAGAACCCCTTTCTCCAGATCGATTCGAGCATCCAGCACGCCATCCTTGATGAGATGGATAAGTTCCTGCACAAAAGGTGAGGTCGCGCTAGTTGGTCGAGCTTCTCCGCCGACAACCTCGGGAGCAAAGACGTTCGCCATAGACTCGAGAGTCACGCGGCTGAAGGGGATTAGATACTGCTCAATAGACTTGGTGCGGATGCGGGAGTACAGAGCGCTGACATGGCGCTGAAGATGGAGGTCGAGAAGGTAATCAGCCCGGTACGCATCGAGGATATCAAGACAGGGCCGAAATTTAGAGTTGCAAAAGAAACTGATCGCACGGCGAATGTGCGGCTCCAATTCAAGGAAGTTGCGGAAGGAATTGTTTTCCAGCACGCGACGTTGAAGTTCAACTCGGTCCATGGAAGCTAGCGCGCATAAGCCACCGTAGACAGCAATGTCGTTCGGGGTGATGGTTTCGTTATAGGTGTCGCCCAGGGACGGGTCGGTCAATAAGAAGCTGTTCGCAGCCTCGAGGAATGATCCGGAGTGCATCTGTGCCAGACTAAGAGCGGCAGAAATCTTGGGCTGATTCCTGGCTTGGTCTTCCGGCTTGGATTGAGCGTTGCGCAGTCGGTGCACATTGGACTGTACACTCAGCCACTCCCCACGCTCAACCGCCACACTGATCAGTTTGAACAGCATAGAGGCTATATGGTTTGGTGTCGTGCAGTAGTCCCTCATGCGGGAGTACGCTTTCGACGCTGAGACGGAATCTCCTGTCTGGTGGTAGTGAGTTCCTAGTTCCTCGTTGCCCATCTGTATGACATTAAAAAAATTCCGAAAGCTTAAAAAAAGGTGCCTCCTACCCGTATGCTCTCCTTGATCAAGTTGTTCTTGTACCCTCGCAGCTCGAGTTCCAGCCGATCGCCTTCGGCCCTTACCCGTCGCTGAGTGTCCTTCACCCACGCCAAGTCCAGCTTGGCGTCAGGTTCATTCGGAGCCACTTCCGACAGGGCACGGACTGCTTTTTCGTAACGAACAACATCTTTCCCGGACTTAGCTTCAGCAACCGCGGCTTTGAGCGCGTCGGTGGATAGCAAGGTGGAGCAGGTGCCAATAAGATAGAGACGATCAAATCGGGTTCGGCCTGGATGTATGTTAAAAAGAAGGGACGTAGCAAAGAGATGTGGCAAAATCCGTCAACTGACCAGTGTAATTTGCGATGTATGACTCTAGATCAAACTTTGGGGGATCTATCGAGATCAACTTGTCAGCTCTGGCAAAGCCCCCGCAGGGGGAACGAGAACAACACACCATCCACTTTGACGAAGGGAGCAGCTCCATTGGCGTTCATGATATCCTCAGCGACTCCATTTCCCTGTGCAGCAGAGGAACTTGATTGCGGGGGAGCAAAGGCATCGGGCAATGTGGTGTCCATCTCGCCAATACCCGCCGGAAACGAACACCGGCTCCGGAGACACGATAACTTTGCAAATCAGGTGAGGTATCAAGAAAGAGACCGATCTTTGAGGGGAAGTTGGTGAGGTCGAGGTCCAGGAAGAGGGAGGAAATGGTGGTGTTGTTGTTTAAGAGACAACGAGCCGCGACATCAGAGGTAATGAAGTGGACGGGCAGTACTACACCGCCCATTTCACCGCCCGCCACCATGGACCGGCAGGAGAGATTTACGAATATCGGCGAAATCAATAATGTATCGCTAATGGGCTAATACCTATCTTCAGAAGAAGGCATGTTCTAGAGGCAAATTAGTGAGTTTGTTGGAGCTCAATATGGCTTAGTCATGGCAGCAGATCATCGCCGAGGCCGGAATGTTCATGCCTCGGCGGAAGCGTGAATAATCACGAAATGCAATCGACGACATACCGAACTTGATAATCTTCCGCTCTCCCCGGATTATTATTCTGATGACCTACCGAATAATTAATTGATCACTAATTATCTCTCATTCCGGAATACATATATTAAAGCCGCAAACCGGTCACTCTCCTTCCCCTCCAATACATCACCACTCCCCAGATAACTTGTTCACATCTTCACGGCAATAATGAGCGACCAACCTACTGCTCTTATCATCGGCGCATCTCGCGGCATCGGTCGCCAAGTCGCCATTGATCTAGCCAAGAATGGCTATGCTGGTATGAAGCAGCGAGCCACTTTCTATCAACAATCCTAACATCTTACCCAGTAATGCTGGCCGCAAAAACCACCTCAGATGCATACAAGACCAATCCATTCCCACCGGATCCTAATTCCTCGCAGTCAACCATTAACACGGTAGCGCGGGAGATCCACGAAGCCGGCGGACGCGCCGCCTGCGTCGCCGTGGATGTGCGCGACGCGGCGCAGATCCAGCACGCAGTCGACGAAACGGTGCGGACTTTCGGGAAACTGGATGTTCTGGTTTACAACTCCGGGGCGATCTGGTGGTCGTCTGTAGAGAATACGCCACTCAAGCGATTTAAACTGATGCAGCAAGTTAATCCCGAGGGATTGTATGCGACTATTCAGGCGGCTTTACCGCAGTTTCAGAAGAATGGGTGGAAGGGAAGGATTGTGGTTGTCTCGCCACCGATTTATTCACGGTTCTTCCGGGGAAAGACGGCGTATGCAATGGGTAAGGCTGGGCTTGATTTATTTGATTGTGATAAAGCTGACTGAATGGGACTATAGGCAAGGTTGGAATGAGTGTTCTAGTCAAGGGTCTCGCTATGGATTTTGTGCGTCAGGGTCACAGTGAGATGGCTGCGACGAGTATCTGGCCTGCATCGGTATGTGGTTGATTTACAAAAACTATTTGAAGCTAAGGCTGACTGTATCTATCAGTCGATTGAGTCGGCCGCAACAGAACATAACAGAGCCTCGGATCCTTCTCACAAGAAGGATCTAAGAAAGCCGGTAGGTTATGTGCTGACAATGGTCTCTCATCTGCTTACAATTTCTCTAGACGATTTTCTCCGACGCTATCCTGGGCATGCTCCGTGCACCTCCAGCCAAGGTGAATGGTCTGCTAGACACAGACGAGGACTTTCTTCGAGAGAATTGTGGCGTGACTGATTTCTCAAAATATTCGGTGGTGCCCGGGTCGACGCCTCGTCGTATCATGCCGGAGAAGTTCCCGGTCTTGGAGGTTGCAGAACAAGACGATGAAGGACAGCGCATGGATAGTACGAAGTTGAGAGCGAAGATGTAATGTGGATAGCTGTCGGAGCATTCATTAAGTGTAGTTTATGAGCTTCTCATCAGATATTGCATACAGCACTTGAGTGTAATGTCAGAAACATAAACCATTATTAAACGCTCTCATTGTTGCTATTATGTAGAAGAAGAATGCTCCATGCTGATGCAGCGCAGATGTAAATCACGAAAAAAGAAAAAGATAGGATGACCAAATTAAACCACCACCTCCTTCAAGGAAACTATCACCTCAAGTCACCTCACAAAAGAGCCGCAAATCCAGCAATAAATCCAGCAACCAAAACACAAAGCCCATAAACATGGCCCATCTCCACTGAAACCAGCTTGGGCGCAGCACCAGTAGCACTGCCCACCAAGGTATTGGTCACGAAGGCCGAGGAGGCGCTAGTAGCATGGGTTGTGGCAGTAGTAGTAGTAGTGACGTTGACACGAGTTGGATTCTGCGCACCACACGGGTTCTGAGTCCGGCAGTCGGACTGGCAGGTGGAGTCACCGGAGGCGCAGGCATCCACGCACTGGTTGTTATGCTCGGTGCAGACGAAGTAGGGAATCGTCTCGGAGTACTGCGATGCGTTGGGGGAGAGGTTGTTGCTGCAGATGCAGGAGTAGGAGAGAGTTTGCTGGAGATATTCGTTTAGATAAGTGTATAAAGCATATTTATGGATTGGCTTACAGCAGAGCAGTTGTTGGCCAGCGGAGCTGACGAGACGCCGGGCATTTGCAGGCAGAGAAGTGGGCACGATGAGGTTTGGGAGGAGCACCAGGACTCTGAAAGGAACTTGTTAGTATTGAGTTCCCTTGGAGGAACTTGAATACTCACGTCGGGTGGACAGAGGGACCGTGCTAGGGACGATGGTGACGGCCCACTGGCCGCACACCAGCGTCGTGGCAGAAACAAGAACGAGCAAGAGCTGCGACAGCATTGTGACGATCAAGATAAGTTGATGATTCGAAAGAGAGAAGTGCTAGAAGGTCTGGAAGTGTCAGAAGTTTTGTTTCCTCGAGTGGATTCTAGCCACGATCTGGTGATCTGGACGGAATGAAGGGGGAGGAGCCAACTGAAAATAGAAACAGGCAAAAAAAAGAAGGAAATAACTTACAAGGAATTCCCAGGGTTGTGAGAAGGAATAGGCAAACAGGCAAAAGAAACGAGTGATTTGGGAACGAAAGTGGGATAGTAAAGGGGGAGAGAGAAGTGGGCCGCAGACAGACGATGGTAAAAAAGAAAGAAAGAAAAAAAAAGGGCATAAACACGGCATTCCTAAATGTCGCAGCACCTCCGCTCGCTATCTATACACTAGCCTGTACACAAACTGCACCAAGCGAGGCATGGACATTACTATTGGCTACCACATTCCTTTGCTGGATGTGTCCATCTGGGGATCTCGGTACCAGTCATTCTACCGGATGTTGTCCATTGCCACCCATCCTAGGGTGGATACCCGCTTGTTTGTTGTCTCGGCTGGCCATGACTACAATCTGAGAAGGAGAATGTCATCGAAAGTAGATTGTACTATGGAAGAATGGAGATATGTCTCAGTTGTCTCAGCCGATTGGTGTTTTGGGGATGGCCCCAGAGCTTGGCATGATTAGGGTTCGGCAGACAGGGCCATGGCATAGAGATATGTGAGAGGTCATATAAGATGTCTACCCAGAATAGGTACTTACCTCGAAAAAGAAGCATGTCGATGACTTCAGTTTCTACATGATATTCTTCCATATTGTGTTCATTCCTCCATGCAATACTGAATCCAACAGATGGTGGCCATGTGGGGCTTACTAACGGGCCTCGTGACCCTCCCCCGTGTCTTACTTTCCCTCCGAATCCCTTGATTTTCTACACTTTGGACCTGTCGCCACGCCCATTGTCGACTCACTATCCCGGAATCCACTTCCATCTCGCAAGGTCAGTGCATCCCTGTAACACATCCTGACCCCACCCAATCCGGCCCGGCGTTATCGCACCGCAGGGCCAATCCTTGCGTCGTTTCCCTATCTCCCAGAAAGCTTGTACCACCTGTGTCTATAATTACCAATCAAGGACTGACAGACCCCACCAGCGAGCTAACTTCAGCACAGCGGAAACAATCTCACATCCCGTGCGTTCCGCCTCAACCGTCTGATGGATGGAGCCAGCGACTGAGGAGGCCGGTCCGGCACCTCGACCGCACCCGCCGCTCTCCCCACCTTCGGAGCTCCAACAACATCAACAGGAAACCCAAGGATTTTCCGCAGAAGCCGATGACAATGTACCAACCGACATCACCAACACCATTGCACATGGAGCAGCCCTACCCCCGTTATCCCAAAGCCCTGCCTCTTCCACAAAGTCACGCCCGCCCTCCGGCGTAGTGCCGCCCTACTGGCGCCGTCATGAGCGCAATGTCTCCCGTGCATCGCAGACCTCATTGGCGCGGTCCACACTCATCACGTTGGAGGATCACACGGCAGACCCGGACTCGGAGACTACTCGCGGACTGTGGGCACGGAGTGTCTCTATCGATGACCATGTCGTTGTGCAGGGTATGACGGGGATCGGTTCGTATGTGGTGTGGAATTGCACTATACAAACACTAGATGTGAGTTTGACGGTGTCATTTTCGGGGTTCCTGGATTAACCTGCTTTGATTTGGTCTAGGGAGGCCCAATCGTTGTTCGGATGAGGTACGTTTCTATTTAGTGTTCTACTACGGATATACTTACACAGCAACCAGATACTCTGAATTCGACGACCTGCGCCAGCGGCTAGAATCTTCTTTTCCGCACGCCAAAAGTGCTCTTCCCGCTCTGCCGCCTAAGAGCGTAATCTGTATGCGCTATCGAAGTTTACATTCCGTGCTTCCCACTAATATGGACTGCATGCAGACAAATTCCGCCCCAAGTTTCTTGAGAATCGGCGCGTCGGTCTACAATATTTCTTGAAGTAAGTGGTGATTGCGCAACAATTCTGTTATCGCTTGACTGATACAGTTTTACAGTTGTGTCCTTCTGAACCCGGAGTTCTCAGGCTCACCTATTGTCAAAGACTTTCTCTTCGGTCGTGTCTCTTAGGATTATCACCCATTGCATCTAGTCCTCTGAGCAAGACAATGTATATACTACCTCGTAGCAACTTGATCAATAATTATTCTGGTCTTTGGAAATGGTCACCTAATGCTGACTACATCTGGCAGTGCCTTATGCAAATACTGTTTCTCTCAAACCCCTCAAGAAATCCAAAATTGATACCGTACAGCTTATTCCTAGCAGATAGAGAAATGAACTCATCCTCTCGAATGACTCCAGTGAGAAGTAGGAAAGACGGACGGACTGAAAAACGATACAGATAAAGTGGGAATCAAGGTAACCAACGCCGTTTGAGCCATGAAGAGAACGCCTTGCCTATGACACAGACCACTTGCACCGTTGCTACTGCAACCAAAAGAAACGAGAGAGAGGATAAAAACCACCACAACCCCACTACTTCTACCAGATGTGCCCTTTGCTTTCCTGTTCCCAACCCTTCCGCTGGCACATCAACCCAAATCGCCTACATTACAAACCAACTTCAGGTCATGCCTCCCTAGTAATAACAGCCTTACTCGCATCGGTTACAGGCTTCTGCGAAGACTTGCGACTATCTTTCACAAGCAAGTCTCGGACATCAGCCCATACGACCTTGCGCAGACTGATATTGCACATATGAGCCATGGCGAGTAAATGAAATGGGCCGGGAACGCCTCGAGGAAAAACAACGTGGAGACCCGAGTCCTGGGGTGGATCAGGGCGGAATCGATCGTGGTAGGCCTTCTTGCCGTGGATGGGAAGACGAAGAAACGCATGGTCATATATGTCGCAGGTGAGATGATTGAATGCACGAGGCATACCGATGATCTCGGCTGGATCGAGAGCGTTCAGGGGCTCGAAGCCGAAGCCCAGATACGAGACACCGGTGCGGTGGAGGAGAGCCATGGCGGCGATGAGGAGCAAGTCGCTGATACCCTTGGGGCTACCGGGCGCGGCGATGCACGGATCGATGTGATAACCGCCAGCGGCCAGTCGGCGGAGAGCGGCGAATCCATTGACATGGCCGTCGGGGCCCCGGGTATAGACGAAAGTCATGAGGCTGGGCAGTGCGAACAGTTCGTACACCGTAATGAAAGCCTGCGGAATAGCGGAGCGGTTGCGCTCAGAGCGCCAGGCGTCGTAGACAGCGAATAGAGCGCTTTGCAGCTCGGTGTCGGCACCGTGCGTTGCGGGTGAGTAGACTCCCAGTGTGATTCCGCCCTTGTGCGGATGCAGTAACTGTCGGTTCTGCACTGTGATCCGCTTCCCGCCACGTTCGAGCAAAACATCGTTCGTTTGTGGATTCAATGCACGCTGGGTGCCGAAGCGGATGGTTGTCCAGCCCTGTGGATGGGCATAACTTCGAACGAAGGAGTCGCTGACGCCCATGAATGCGATGCCCCAACGATGCCGGTGGCGGTACGCTGCAAACTCCTCCATTAGATCTGGAATAGCATCAGTATCACACAGCGGATCGCCGCCCACGACGGCCACCCAATTGTGCACTTTGAAAGACAGAGCAGCCGTTCGCGCCTTGTTGACGAAGAACCGATAGCTGCGGTCGAGGATGCCCATATGCGCCACTCGACCGTACTGCGCCGTCAGGTGCTCGATGGTGGCCACCGTGGAGAAGTCGTCCAGACTGAATACATCCGCATGTCGTCGGCGCTTGGTCTTGCTGCGAAGATTCTCCCCACTGGGGGCTGCTGTGGTGATGATCTGGATCGGTACTGCGGCCGGAGACTCCTGGGAAGGGCGACTGTCCACGCTGGTGGGTGGCGTGCCGTCGGATGCGGCCAGCGTACGACTGCTGCTGCTGCCCGAGCTAGCACTTGATGGGGCCGTGATGATGGCAGCGAGAGTGCTGCGTAAGTGATCAACCGCAGCGACGGGGGCATTGAGAGGCTCAGCCAGCTTCGGATGGGCGTAGAGCTGCTCTACCAGGACATCACCCAGTTCGTCGAGGAGCAATGCTTTCTTCGGCTTTGCTCGGACGTTGGGCATACTCGTGGCTTTCCGGCCACGCGGTGGTCGCTTCTTCTTCTTGTCTGTCGCTGCGACTGACAGATCTCTCGTCGAGGGATATGCATCCGGGTCTGAGGCGAGCATGGTAAAACGCCGGTGAACCGCTGGAGGGGAACGAGGGAGAGAATGTCAAGAGGTATGGACGAGGATTGTCAAGGTCACGGTCCAGGCCTTGAGCGCAGCACGAGCCCAATATGGCATGACGCAGCCGTGCCTGCCAAAATAAGCTTGCCGCCTGGTCTGCCACACCCAGCGGGACCGTCGTTTTCGTTTGCATGACTACCGTTGTGGCTGCTCTGAGTGGTTGCGACCGATGTCTTCCATGGAAATGCGGATGCCTTACGATCGACGGTGACACGGAACTAAGTTACAATTAAGCTTCGGTCATATCATGGCTGCCTGGCGATCGAAATGCTTGATCGCCTTTACGTCTTGGGTAGCCCGGGATTCTAGCCGGACGGAGAACCTTGTCGCCTGATGGCGATGGTCGATCTAGAGCCGGCCCCTCGTCCGCCGACCAAAGCATGACAAAGAAGAATAGAAAGAAGGAAGATGGTCGACACGGGTTAAGTCATCTTTTGGATCGCGGCAAACTCTCTGCGATGACATACCGTTTGCGTCAAGACCCGCCAATATAGACTATGACCTTATCCATCATGGGACCGCTGTCTGAATGAATGGTATTATTCGCAGACCGGAGGAGATATTAATAAGACCTCTGGCTGCGTGATGTATGTAGTTTGCAGCTCCTCCACCGCAGTGGGTCATCCCGGCCCAGCTATGTAGCTTGTGTCGGTGGAATTGCCACGTTCTTATTCAGGCATACGCGCCCGATCTTCGCGGGGAGATTAATCTTTTCTGATCCTGTCCAATGCAGCCCTTTCCTTGATCGGACTCGATAAACCCCCAGGTGACGGTTGAACACTCAAATAGAGCCAAGGGCAAAACCAGCTGCACCAATTTAAACTTCTTCAGTTAATTCGGAGCCCCACCGCCAAGACGCTAGTTCGGAAAGTGGGTATATGGCAGGACTGCGGTCTGACAGTGCGCGATACCATAATTCGAGCGCAAGGTGGAGCAGATATCGTACGGTGGTCCTCTACACGAAGAGCGAGATGATATCCCCCTTGTAGGCTTCCAAATCGACCTAGGAGCGAGGCATCGCGCGGTCGCTAGGATGGACATTGCCTCTAGACAACGCTAGTGAGGCGGTGAACATTCGGCCGCCGCAATCGAAGCCCCTGTTTTGGAAAAAGTAGCAAAAATCGATAATTTGAGAAGCTTTGGGAGGGCTAGGAAAGCGAAGGTGGTCGGGCAACTTGTGGCACAGGGGGGCATCCAGTTTACCATACAAAGAACTATGTGGTACAGCGGCGACACCACGTTCTGTGTTGACCCGGACAAGTGCCCAGCCACTACGGGGGCGCTGGATCAAGGTGTCGAGCGCGCGCGCCTTCTTCGCCAACGGCCAGTACTTCGCATCAACTAATATCCAGTCTCATGTTCTTTCATTCAGGACCAGGTTAGTCAGCGCGTTACCCCTGCATCTGATGTCCAACCCTCCAAACATCCGTCGATCCCCCACATCTGATCCCCCCGACAGCTAGTGCCCAGATGGTATGCCCGAATTAACCCGAAGAGCTAAACACAGTTAACCTGGACTAGCGTTGTTCATCCACGATATCCTCTGTTCTCCTCAGAAGCAGCCCCCATCGCTACGTTGCCGCCAAAACGGCTGCGGCCGCATCCACTAATACGGCCCAATCACCTCCCTTCGTAGTCAATGTCCAGGGTCCTCACGAGGAATCAAAAGATGATCACCAGAGTGCCTTACAATCCCAACTCCAGTCTATCCCTGCAGATGTCACCACTCTAAAGATTTACAACGACACTCTATCTAACACAGAATGGGCGTTGCTTGGGAAACACTTTTCCAAAATTAACAATCTCGAAATGGACGCAGGGATCAACGAAGAACTCAATGATAAACACATGCCTCTACATTGGCCGCTTCAACGATTGCTGCTAAGTTCTGCTTGCGGTGAAATCATCGAAAGCTCGTGGGTGCGGCAGGGTCGAATCTCCCACTTGATCATGTACCTGACTCATGGCCTTCGCTTTGAAGGTCCCACAAGCAAGGAGCTGGTACGCATGAACGAGGAAGCAATTGCGCACGGAGAAAAAGAACAGCAATTCTTCGCTGTCAAGGAAGGCACACCCGAAGAGAGAAAGATCAGCATTGTCTCGATTCCGGAACTGGTGAATGAGTGGATGAACAACAAGTACTCGAACCCAGATGCTACAGTGGAACCGGAGAATATGCCTCCGTCTGAACCTATTCACCTGCACACTCTGGAAATCCTGGAAAATGACGCACTGGATACGTTCTCGAGGATGATAATGGCACTGCCCCATTTGGTGACCAATCTGCACACGCTGAACTTGCGTTCGACAAGTGGTCTCGACTTTCGTTATCTTGACGAGAGGATGTTTCGCCAGTTCCCGCCCCAACTGAGCAACTTGAAGACACTGCGATTAACAGTGGGAGAAGTCTTCAAGGATCCATCCTATTTGCCTACACTATACGACTACCTTCCACCGAACCTGACCTCGCTGTCTTTCCGCGGTCCCGTGTCGCTGTGTAGGTCCGAGCAGTGGAGGGAATGGGTGGAGGCTTTTGAGTCAAAGGACTTCCTTCCCAATTTGGAGAACCTCGGGTTTGTTCTTGATCTATACTATCAGCCAGGTGAGAGTGACTGGGTTAAAAAGGAGGAGGTCAGAGCACCGGAGGAAGCTCTCTGTGAGGCGCGGGAGGCCTGTGAGGATCTCTATGAGGCTGCCCGGCGGCGCGGTATTGCCATCTACCCAGTGCATGATGAGTGGGTCGTGAAATACCCTTATCTCAGACAGGTGGATGATCGATGGCGGGGATGATGTGTTTCGAAAGATGTCTGTCCATACACCCCTCTCCACTACATGTACGTACGTGATGGATCATCAAACCATAATTCTACTCCATTCATGATAATATTTGCAGATTCATGCCGTATCCTTCCCGTCAACAATCACCGACGAGTCCTGCTCTTCCTCTCGGGCTCGTTGTACAGTCTTCGAGTATTTCTTGCCAGCAATAAGCCACCACGACAGTTCGATGAGCAAAAACCCACCGACGACAGCGCACGTATAGTTCATATTTGACGCTGTGACCGGCTTGTAGTATGGGAATGAGAAGAAAACAATAGCAAAAACCAACCATGCGGCGGAAATCGTGTTCACGAGCATTCCAGGCTTGAAGCCCATGAAGAAGGGCCCCCGATGCATGGTTTTCCGGAGCAAAAGGACGTTGGTCAGAATTGGGACCAGATATGCGATGTTGTTGATTGTTCTGGTCTGATGTCAGTGACTATACATATTTACCAATTCTAAAGTGGTCAACACGTACACTGCAGAGCTCATCATTGCATTGAACGCGGTGCTTGATCCTAGGTAGATGCATCCCAGAAGAGCGACGATCACGTCAACGCAAAGCTGAGCGTTAAACGGAGTGCCGAACCGCTTGTTAACACGCTTCCAACTGTGGGAAAGTCAATTCTATGCTCGCAGAATCATTGAAGCGTGAATGTCAACTTACACGTTGGACAGCGGAAGACCATCATCTCGCGCAAAAGCCCAGAATACTCGTCCGGTACCTATCTCAGTCAGAAAGAACCGTAGCCAAAGACCAGGTCACTGACTTAGCTGTGAACCAATGACGCAGGGACCAAGAGCAACCCAGATCATAAAGACTAATCCAAATGCACCCCCTCGAGTTGAAGTGGCTTGGTAGAAAAGCTCGGCGAGCGGTAGCCCGGTGCTTGTGGTGGCGAGTTTGCCATAGTTTTGAGTGGAAAACATTAGACTGATCAGATAGGTTATTCCGGTTACAAATGCAATCGAGAGGGTGATTGCTAAGACTTTGTCAGCGCTGCTCAAAAGGACGTGGAAATAGCTCTAGCATACCAAGGCCTAAAGGCGCATTTCTTCCGGGCTGTAAAGTATTAGTAAAGGTCGTGATAACCGTGAATGACAGCTTACATTGGGCATCTCCTCAGTGATGTGCTAGATTCAATCAGCAAAAATCCTGATTCCAAGAAAAAAAGAAAGCCATACTGAAATCCCATCCAACCCACCTAGCGAATAAAGTGGATTCACCAGGCCCGTGATGAAACAGATCGCATTATTCTCCCATCCCGTCTTATTCATCCAGGTTCGAAATACAAACTCGCTGTCGTTATGAGCGGGGGCCATTGCAGCCACAGTGACCATGGTGATAAACCATGCCAGCTGCAGATAGACCACTGTAGCTTCATTAGTCAATGCGGAACGCATAGGATAAAGCTCACGTACACGAAAACTTGTTGATAGCCGGAATCAACCGATTTCCAAACATGACAATTCCTGAAGTGAAGATATTCAGGATTTGGTAGGCCACAAATGTCATCCACGGCTTGAGCACCAGATCATCATGGTATAGGGCGATCAGAGCCATCAGCGTAGTGGCGTAGATCAGGTTCGTGGATGCGGTAGTAAAGATCCCTGTAGCCAGTCAGAAACCATCCCTCTTTTCTCCATTTATGGGAAACCTACACCCAAAAACCGTAGACCATCCAGTCGCAAAACTCAGAATACTGTTGTATCGTTTCGGTGCGATGGCCGCAATCCAATGGTACATTCCCCCCTCGGTCGGATATGCAGACACAAACTCTGCCAGAGACGCACCAAGAAATGACTGGAGAATAAACACCAATATGAAGCCGTAGATAACTGGGAGAGAGTCAAATTGGGTATGGACATGCGCGAAGAACTGGATTTGGTCATACCCGCACCAGGGCCGCCGGCATTGACTTCTGTTATCAATCCAAGACCAAGACCTATCCCTTAGTCAAAAACGAACATGACTTCAGTCAAACATGATTGAACTCACCTGTCCAGGAGATCGTACAATTGGCCGCTAGGCCGATCAAGCTCCAAACGGAGAAGTGTCGCACGAGTTCTTGCTTGTGGCCTATTCGCAGATTAGATCCAACCCGCAAAGTAAGTGATTTACTGACCCATCTGCGCCAAACGCAGCTCATCCTGATTTTGGACTCGAATGACCTTGTCATTGTGTTTGTCGGCGACCTGCACCTGCGGAGCGGCGTCTGTGATGTCGGACGCGGCCATCCTTCACTACTTTCGTAGAGAAAATAGAATTAGCTTAACCACTAAAAAGAAACGTAGTCGCGTAACTGTCCCTAGCAAACACGGGCGCAGTGACCCTTAAAAAATACGGGTGTGGCGGTCTTTATCAGGCACTGCAACAGTTCTTATCGCTCCACACCGCATATCATCAGAGAGACAAACCCCGGGTTTGCCGACAGAATACCCGGAAAGCGGGGAAGCCTGCACAAATGGGGTGGCGTAGACCCCTACGGCCCTAGGGCTTTACCAGCCGGCGATCAGGGGTTTCGCCGGTGCCAAGTGATGGGGTTGCGAGCTGTGTTCCGTCAAGTGACAGAAGAATATCTAAAAACCGGGCCGGGAATGCTTGTCGTCAATTCTCCGCTGAAAATATCTCTTTTCCATTTTCCCTTCTTAATTCTTGGCCGTGTCAGCCGGACACCGACTACAGTTCTTAGCTTACCTTCTCGAGATCCCTTTTATTACTCTGCTAGTATTTCATAGATCTTCACCTGCTATTCAGTTCTAAGCCCATACTTTGGTCTTCAGGAAATGCATTGTGGGTTAGTAATCGAGGCCCATGAGCGCAAATGTAAGAGAGAAATGAGTGAAGTGAGTGACTTAGTTACTTAAGTAGTTGTATTGACGAAGTGATCTCCCAAAAAGCGAGAAGGTCGATCTATCCGGGGCGGCAAGCACTTCTGACACCTCAGGCACTCAAATCATCACTCTAGCTACTAGTCGTATGATAGCTATCAATCAATTGTATCATTCGCAACACCTGCACGACACGGACGGGGTATATGAAGCAGTTCATGATGGGGTAGAAGACAATATGTCCTCTCCACGACCACGTGACTAGCTTGAAGCCCAAAGGACGGACGCTAACCAAGGTCGGTACAGAAATGTGGATCAGGCGCTCCGGGCCTCGGTTAAGGGCTACCGACAATCTGATTGCTTTCGAAAGCTGCTGTCGATTTCCTCCGTCAATATATTACTTCTTCAACTCAGCATGAAGGTCGAGGGCAGAACATTTGTCATATCTGGAGGGTATGTGCTAGCCTATCCAACGTGAACTGCAAAGGCTGACTGATGCATCTCTTTGCAGAGCTTCCGGCCTCGGCCGAGCATGTGCACAGGACATATGTCGCCGTGGTGGCTATGTCGCCATTCTGGACATGAATGCAGAACTTGCTGAGGAACTCGTGAAAGAGATCGGACACGGAAAGTCCAAGTTCTTTGAGACCGATGTCCTAGAGACGGAAAGCATTGCCGCTGCTGTTAAAGGGACTCTAGCCTGGTCCAAAGAAACTGGCAAAGAAATTGGAGGCGTCATCGCAGGTGCAGGTGTTTCTTCTCCAGCAAAGGTGTGTTTTCAAATACTCCCAACCGATTGAATAGGAAACTTGAGATTGATCCCATGTCTAGATTCTCGACCGCAATGGAAACCCCTTTAGCCTTGACGATTTCGAATTTGTCATGAATGTGAACGTCCGAGGGACTATCGATCTCGTTCGTCAGTGTCTTCCTCACATGGCCAAGACTACACCAGTAGGGGAGGACGGTGAACGTGGTATCGTCATCATGGTAGCGTCGTCAGCTGCATTTGACGGCCAACCTGGACAGGGTACTTCTCCTCTCTCGAGTTTCCCAGGAAATATTGACAATATGCTTTAGTTGCATACAGCGCCTCCAAGGGTGCCATCGCATCTCTCACCCTGCCTTTGACAAGAGATCTCGCTCGATATGGCATCCGAGTTGTCACAATTGCACCTAGTCTTTTTGATTCAAGGATGACCTCAGTGATGTCTGACAAGGTTCGCGCAAGCTTGACTAGGGTCATGGAATTCCCATGTAGGATTATCTCATCCCGTCGAAATATTGATAGTTACTGATTATGAATAGTGAGACCAGGACAGCCCCATGAGTTTGCCCAGTTGGTTATCCAGAGCATAGAGAATATCATGCTTAATGGCGTTGTGCTCCGGCTGGATGGAGGCATGAGAATGCCAAGCAAAATGTAAAGCCATGGGAAAAAATTATGTGAATTTAGAATGGAAAACAAAGCCAATATATGCTAGATATGTCGGCAATAATTTTCCGAGCGGACCTCGTGAGCTCTCTTGATCGTTGATACTATTTGGTTTCTTGCTTAGTGCGTCGCCTTTTCCCGGAATCTTACCACGAAAAAAATGGCAGTATATGGCCATACGCTTTTGCAACACTGTTCGAAAAGCTGCAGGATAGACTGAACATCGACCAACTTATTCATTGGCTGATAGATACCCGCCACACTAACTAAATATGGCTAGCATGTGTCAGCACAATGACCCCCCGCGGCCTTAACGGTGGCCTTAACGGCGGATATAAGATAAAAGACAAATTCCGGATGAAACTAAATGAGAGCCACGAATACAATTCAATATCCTCAATCGTTTTTATTCGCATCCCATCTTTGCTGATTATTTTGTTTCTTCTCCCTCAGCAACCAGGGCGTGAACCTTTTGAGGAAATGCCTCTCATATTGACAGGAGCAACAGGCCTGGTTGGGTCGGCCGTACTATCGCATATTCTCTCGTTACCTGAGGAACAAGCCCCACACCTGTTCATTCTTAGTAGAAGCCCTGTTCCGATGGCAGAGAATCGACCCAATGTTACCATCATTAGGCACGATGACTTTAGTCAATACCCTGCCGACTTGCTAGAGAAGCTCAAGGGCACCAATGGTTGTATTTGGGCCCAAGGCATATCTCAAACACAGGTATCGAAAGAGTATGTTTGATTGTTCCTGACCTTTCATTTATCGACAGCAAACATGGATCATGCCCTGACATCTGAACAGAGAATATGTGAAAATCACCCTTGACTATCCCCTGGCCGCTGCGAAGGCCTTCTCGGGGCTATCTGATTCCTTCAATTTTGTTTACGTATCTGGTGAAGGGGTAATGATTCTCAAGCCCTATAAATCTTGGTATGGACCACCGGTAGCTAACTTAAAACCCAGGCGACCCAGGAACCAGGCCGGTTCACACCTTTGTTCGGCGGCATCAAAGGCCAATGCGAATCCACTCTGATCGACCTATCCCATAAGTTCCCTAGTCTCAGGCCATACTCCGTTAGGCCGGCATTTGTTGACGCTCATCTTGATGCAAGAGTTTTGGAGCATGTGCTGCAACGACCGGATCAGCAGACTTTTTCGAAAAAGTTGCTCCGTAATGTTCTCGGGCCTGCTATCCGCAGCACTATGTCCAGTCAGACATCGCCTACTAAGGATTTGGGGAAGTTTTTGAGTAATCTGGCAGGTGGTGATGGGAAGCCACTGAGTGGAGAAGGAATTTTTGGTGGTGGATGGATCGTTTCAAATGTCGCTTTCCGACGACTTAGTGGGATTTAACAAGAATGCGTGGCCACAGTCTCTCAGTGGGGTCGGGTCTGTACAAGCAAGGTGGTGACATTCATAATTAGATCAATCGCCTCCTCCGAGTGCGAGCACATGTCCACGCGGGGTTTAGGGCGATCTCTGCGAACTTAGAAAAAACTCCTCTCTTATAGCGCTTTAGACAAACTAAGGCGAGAAAAAAGTATCATCTTGCGGCAATATGAGAACATTTCTAAGCTTATCCCCACTACTTCATCTCCTAATATTCACTTCGCGTTCTATTACGTTCTGGGTATCTTGCCATCGCATTTGAAAATGACAATTCAGGGTATGCAAGAATCGTGTTCCACTATGCATCCCAGAAAGCTAACAGTCCCAGCTCCTGGCTCATGCACTGCCACTTAGCCTGGCATTCGAGTCAAAGTTTGGCACTTCAATTTGTGGAGCGGCAGTCAGAAATACACAAACTGGTGGAGCTAGTATCAAAGGAATTTGAAACAATGTGTGAGGACTGGAAGGTATACTACAAGAGCGCGATATACACGCAAGACGACTCGGGGATCTAGAGACTGAGATGACGTCATGCGAAGGAGAGTGGCCTTACATCGACCGTAATATTTTCTGAGCGACCTACCACCTGAACGAAACGAATCATGACAATCAAAACCTACGATAAAGTTCTTGATTTTTGGTTTGGTCCAAAATCATCCGCCGACTATCTGAAACAGAAGTCCTTCTGGTACGGCAGTCCTACAGACGACGCCTACGTGCGTAAAAATCTAGGCGACTGCTATGAAGCAGCCAGAAACGGCACTCTAGACGAGTGGAAAGACATCGGAAACGGTGAAGGGGCTCTAGCTCTGATAATTCTTCTCGACCAAATACCTCGCAACATCTTCCGAGACACCCCGCAAGCATATGCGACAGACACCAAAGCAATTGGGGTTGCGCGACACGCAGTGGCCAAGGGCTGGGACAAGCAGATGCCCGATATCCAGAAACGATATTTGTACTCACCGTTCAATCACTCTGAGAATTTGGAGGATCAGGAGATGTCAGTCAAGTTGTTTACAGAGCTAGGGGATTCTTATCATTTGCACTGGGCAAAGGATTTCTATGGGCAGATTAAGCGGGATGGACGATTTAAGCACAGAGATAAAATTCTAGGGAGGTAGATGAAGGCGTTTCTACTCATGTACCTGAGAAATACTATTTGAGCTGGATATATTTGGACCTTGTTCTATCTGAGCTTCAGGTTCAAGTTAGCCTGTGTCTTCACCCGTTTACACCTTTACCTTCCATTTCCAGTTCCAATCCAAAACTGCCCAACGAGACAGCGTAATGCTAACCAACCCAATAAATAGCACTGCAGAGTAAAATCCCACGAGAGCCCTAGGCGTGGTCGCTTGAATCAATTCTCCTCCAATTGGCACAGTCAACAAAACCCCGAACGCTGCCACGCAGTAGATAGTACCGTAGAAACGACCGTATTCTTCTGTACGACAGAGCTGGCCTGCACAAACAGGGGCGAGAGAAACCCATCCACCAGATCCGAACCCATAGATAGCAACAACAGCATAAAGGGTAGCTTCGTTGTGCGCTCCATAGGGTAACCAGACGCCCGCCATGACCACCAAGGTAATCACCACCAATGATAGGAGAATATTAAAGCGGCCAATTTGGTCGGCTGCAAACCCTGGAATAATTCTTCCGACAAGGCTCATGCTATTCAGAACCGTGAGCGAGTAGAATTGGACGTCAAGTGAAAGACCAGTGTAGCGGACATAGGTGGGGAGCAGCGCAGCGCATCCAAAAATGATAAATTCGAAGGCAAATACAGCGACAGCCAGAAAGCAGAGTCGCGGCGACTTGAATGCACGAAAGTCAATGATTGCTCGACTTTGCGTGCTGACTGGGAGCCGTCCCTTTACGAGCATGATCCCTGTGGCGTAACAGGCCAAGGCAATGAAGGCAATAATCCGGATTGACCATGTCCAGCCATACTTCTGGAAAAGTGTTCGCAGGACTAGTGGGATAATGGCGCCGCCAGCTGACGAGCCTGCCATACAGATCCCGGATGCAAGTGCACGACGTCGGTAGAACCAGTGACTGAGGGCAGCGATGGCGACAGTAGTCACAACCGCAGAAGAAATACCACCAAGGATACTAAAACAAAGTATAAAATGCCAGTACTTGGAGCATTGCGCAAGAAGCATATACGAGGAAAAGCTGGCGAGCGAGCCACATAACAATAGGCCTCGTGGTCCATATCGATCAAACAGTGGCCCGACTTGAACTCCAAGGAAGAGAGTCAGGAAGACCAAAACCGCAGTGATCATACCCACATCACGAACGCTGTACTCAGCGAGCTGGTGAGTGCTGATATAGTCTTGGACTACTCCAACTGCTGTCTGGAATCCAAAAGAAGGGAAGAGGATCAGGAATGATCCCAATAGACAGGTCCAGGCATCCCGGCCACCCTCAGGGAAGGCCAGACTCACGCCTCCATCCGAAAGATTTTCGATGGGTGCGGTGTCGAGCTCGCGTGCCAATTCGGTCAGCTCATAGTTGATCGGGCGGGCGGCTCGGTGCATTATGCAATTTTAGATAATCTTTATAAGCTGTCTGGTACAATATGAACTGAAAATAAATGCCGCTGTGAAGAGAATATGGAAAACTAAAGTGCGGAGGGGGAGGCGTCTCGGGTGTCTTGGAAGGGCGTGGGGCCCCACTAGTATCTATAGGGCTACAGATGCGAACGGGCCTATACTGTATAGAGCACCTGCTAATATGAATGTCAGAGGTATGATGTATACATGTTCCGAAGGACCCGGCAGGGCGCAATAGATTTGGGAACAACAAGTCTTCTAAAGGTCTTTGGCAATGAAACTACCAACCAGCTGGTAGATAAGAATTAATTACAGCGCTATCTAAGACAGTCTAACAAATCCTATGTACTATATATCATTCGCAGCTTTCCAGCTATCCGATATCTTTTTCCAATATTTTTCAGGGTGCAGTCTCATGTGTCCGACATGCGGCGAGCCCTCGAACATCTCCAGATCGACCGAGTAGCCCCCCGCTTTGACCCGAGCAACATTCTGCTCTAAATCCTCCCACCCAATGATCTCATCTTCCTTGGAGTAAAGGTAGACCCTCGTGCAATCGGTTGTAGCGATTGAGTGATCCATCATGACCCTCGTGGCCCAAACACCCGACGGCTCGGAGCCGCGCAGTTGTTCCCATCCCCAATTCGCCCAGAGAAAGGAATACCATAGGCCCTGGGTGACGCAAAACGGCCAGGGGAAGTATTTAGACGTTCCAACCGCCATTGCTCGCGACCATCGACCAACTTGGGACGCAAAATCCAAACTGCCCGGTGTGGAGTCGCAGACGAGAAGCTTGTGAGGAAATTTCTTGTCAGCGCCGTGTCGCTGCTGATATGCGACGACAGATGCAGCCATGAAGATACCACCAGTATTTGACATGGCATGCAATAGGACGCGCTCCTCCTCAGTGCCGTCGCCCGTTGGGGTTGGGAACACCAAGTCAATGACCGGCATCATGGCTTCAATCCTAGCTTCAAGGGGTTGGTTTGATGCCTGGAATGTCCCCGATAGGACAACGATGATTCTGGCGCATGGATAGAGCTCATGGTAACCATCGGCATATTTAGAGACGTGTTTTGGCATGCCGTCGCCCCATCCAAAAATGATGATAGTCGTTGGCTCATCTGCTGGGGCGCGCCCGGCCTTCTCCTGGCCATTGCGAAGATAAACCCGGTCAGTTATCGGACTGAACCCGGGGAATGGCAGTGGCTGAGGAGCCATTGTGGCAGGTGTGAACTGTGGAGTTATCGAGACTTGCACGGGGGTAGATGTGGCTCCTCAATAAAAAATTCTGCGTAAAACGCGATATGGTCCAGTTGTTCTCTTCTCTGGGTGCTAGCTACAGGAAAACAAGAGATAAAAGGACGAATTTCGTGGCAGAGGGTAAGGAGGCCATCCTAATTTGGAAACTCATCCGGAGCAGCAGATTCTACAAGACTGGATGCAGGTTCCGTTGGGGAAATAACTCATCACTGAGCGAGCGCGCAAGTGGGTCGTTGGGAGGAATGAGGGCGCGTCAGCGAATGATATGGCTGCTGGTCTTATGAACCTCGGCATCTCCATTATGTCGTTTATTCATCCAACTCATAATAATTGTGTTCAGCAGGAGAGCAACAGAACCTTAACGACTATGAGAGACTGGGCTACTCACTGGCGTTCTGCAAAAAAAGCGGGAGACCCCAGCAAAAAGAAGCGAGAACACTTGGACGACGTACCCAAAGATATTTCAACTGGATAATTTCCAAGGCCAACCACTTATTCCAACTTCTATAGCGCGCCTCAAATGAATAACTATCCCACTCACTCCGTAATGCCTACACAAAAATATCTAATAAACGTCAAATACATTCGATTCAAATGTCGTGAATTAGATAGACAAAACAAGAGGTCACTATGGCAAGAAGTAGCCTAGTCGAAAAGGGCTTATCAGCCTAGTTATTGGGGCTGCTAATGATCCGCTGGGAAATTCTCCGACGAGATCTAGGTTTTGGGCTAGCAAGTAATATACACTCCTGCTGCATCGGCTAACTCGAACTAATGGTCGGTCGGTTGATCGCGGCACTGACTCGTTTCTGTACACTCTTCTAGATAAAATTCTGTTTACCTGACGTCATGTCCACATTTCTCGACGCGAATCGAATCGATCGATCATCGTGAAACCGTTAAATGTCAAATTTAGTCTTTTCTCACTAGTAACCCACCCCGATAGACAGGTAGGTATCTTTTGCACTATTATTTTCAGCCGAATTTGGTTATGTCATTGACAGGCACTTGAAGCGCGTATACAGCTGTGATGCAAATACTCATTCCAAGACCTCAAATGAATTCTCGAATTTCTCAGCTGCAGGGGTGTCTTATCGCCTGTGAGATGTGTTTGATCGCTTTATCATCACCAGACGTCATAGGGAGCCACGACCTGTGGCACAGCACTACAAGAAAACGAAAAGCGATAACTTGTCATGGCTTACCCCAAAATAAACATTTTGCTTGCCAGCAAGTTATATGGTAGAGCCAGCTGGAATATCTCCAATGATATCAGCTGCCGCCCGGGATGACCTGTGTGGCTGCGCACTCCACTTTAAATAGATTAAAAATGATGAATCGGGCGATCGATCATGATCTCATCCCGGCCAACTATCCGGAAGCACGACTCTCGCCTTGCTCCACCTGCTAGTGATCCGGTAAGGGTGATCCTTGTCGGATTTTGTGATCTTTGTATGCATTGTGTACTCCCCGGTGGATATCGAGGCGGCACGGATAGCATCAGCAGTGGCTGAGGAGGTACCGTCACATTCAAATTAATTTTCTTATTATGCCTCTCGTGTATCCGCAGTGCCTGAAGGGGGAAATGCGAGTTTGCAGTTTAGTATTGTCTGGTTGCACGACTTCCCACACGGTGTCTCGATGTCTTTCGATACTGATGTAATGATGACCCTCTGTTCACTCGAACACGAACAGTTAATTTACGGACAACAGGTTAGCGACAGACAGGGACAGCCCTGACAGACCCCAGTCGGAGGCAAATCAGGGCAGGGGCCTCCGGGTTGTAGACGCTGATTTGCCGAGCCATGTTTGATATTGATGGAGTCGCGGGGTTCCATGGATCGCAACGTCCGGATAACCTGTCATGTTGTATTTACTTGGTAGCGGCCTTACAAAGTACAAACAACTCGTGAAAAGAGATTGAAAAGAAATGTTGCGTTTATGTAGTTATATTCTCTCTTTCAACACTTAGAGCTCACAAATAAGATATCACGACAACACCAAATTCTAGGACTAGCCAGCCCTCTTAATTTAAAAAAATGATACATCTAGAGACTTGCGAGCTAAGTACAGCTACAAATAGAAATTGTACTACTATACAATGCTCCACTCACAGTCTTACCCACACGCTAGCTGACAGTAGCCACACCGTGTCCTTCCTCCATGCCCTCTCATTCGTGAAGACCATGTGGCGTTTCCCCAGCGTAGCTCTGGCCAGGCGCACCTGTTAAACACGTCCTGACCCGCAATGATGATACTAATGATGCTACACGATACCAATGATGCTACACGCCCGCTGGGTGTGGCGGGGTTGCCACAACGCAACGTTCCCCAGTCCCGGCACCGTGCGCCATGCACAGATTCATAATCTGGATTGATCAACGCCCCATAGTTAGACCAGGAAGGGAAGTACTTGGGTATGATATCAGTATCTTATGACGTAACTGCGTGGCCTACAGTATGTGTAGCTATATAACATCGTATTTCCCGGGATGGTTTGATTGCCATATCCAGATCAGACTTTCCGTTTATCTTCCTTATTTTCTACTCCAATACTCTCAACATTCTTCTTTTCCGAGTATTGTAATAGTTCCTCTACATATCAACTCGATTCTATCTATCATCTAAACGCCTGAACACACTCTCACGAAGTCTTACGTCTTTACGGTCTGCCATTTGACATACTCCCCATTCAAGATTTACAGCAATTGAGCAAGCACGAAAATACTCATCAATTCTCTATCACGAGCTCATCACGACTACCTGATACACACTCAACCACGCCTAAACAGTTGAAACAAGATGGCCTCCTCCGACGTGAACACAGCACCCCCGAAGCTTGGCCAGAAGGCCGGTACCTCGTCCAAGGCACGCACTGGCTCCTCTGCCTCCAGCGTTGCCTCGAGCAAAGCCGGTGCGAGCCCCAAGTCCGTCAAGAAGACTCCGCTGCGCAAGAAGGAGCCCGCGCCCATCCCAGACGATGCCGAAGAGGTGTCCGCGCCTGAGACCCCGTCGCCCAAGTCGAAGAAGACTGGTCGCTCGGAGCAACGTCGTCCCATCTCTCCGCCTGACGACTCCGTGTCTCAGGCCTCTGGCTCGACGGCTCGGCGTGGAGATGCTGCGTCTGGGCTGACCGGCAAGGCAAAGAAACTTGCCAACAATGCAAAGGATACCGCGCAGGAAGGTGCTGATACTGCCACCGATGCTCTGCCACTTGACCTGTCTGCGCTCAAGGGTCTCGAGGTCGCTGATGGTGGTCAAGTCCTAGGCCAGGACGGCAATGCCCTGGGTGAAGTGGTCGAAGGTGATCCCGAGGACCTGGTTGGCCAGACAGTTGGTGACGATGGCGAGATCTTGGACGAGGATGGCGACCTCATTGGCCGTGTGGATCTCCTACACGACGCTGTCGACCAGGCCAAAAACGTTCCCGAGGAAGCCCAGTCCAAGGCCGGCGATGCCAAGGACCTGGTTACGGATCTTGCTCAGCTGGAGGGTCTGCCTATCTCCGAGGGTGGCGTGATCAAGAATGCCGCCGGCCATGTCGTCGGTCAGATTGTCGAAGGAAACCCAGAAGACCTGATCGGATACACTCTCAACGACGAAGGCGAGATTGTCGACGACGACGGCGATGCTATTGGCCGCGCGGATCTGGTCCCCGTCGAAGAGCAGAAGAAGGCCATTGACCAAGCCGTCAATGATACCACGGACGAGGCTGACGGTCTCAAGGGCGATGACGCTGAAGACCAGCTTGAAGATGCGCAGAACGGCATCCCTAACGATGAGGCCCAGGACACCGTGGAAGAGGTCGCCGATAAAGCTCAGGATGAGGTTCCTGACGCTGATGAAGCCAAGGACACCGCGGAAGATGTCGCCGATAAAGCTCAGGATGATATTCCTGACGCTGATGAAGCCAAGGACACCGCGGAAGACACTCTCGACGACGCCAAGGATACAGCCGAAGATGCCACCGAAGAAGCCAAGCAGCGAATCCCAGCAATCGAGACCCTCGAGGGCCTGAAGTGCAACAAGCGTGGCTACATCGTCGACCAATCTACCGGCAAGCCCGTCGGTGAAGTCATCGAAGGCGACCCCAAGAAGCTGTCCAAGCTTGGCGCGACGCTGGACGAGAACGGCCAGTTCTGGGACAACCGCGGCAACGTGATCGGCAAGGCGAAGGCGCTCCCCGTTGAAGACGACAACGACGAAGAAGGGCCGTTCTCAGGTCTTGAGGGTCTTGTCGTTGGCCAGGATGGTTGGATCGAAGACGAGAACCAGACTCGTGTCGGCCGACTTGTTGACGGTGATGCGAAGAAGCTGATTGGACGGGCCGTTGATGAAGATGGCGAGGTCCTCGATCGACATGGTAATACCATTGCGCGGGCTGAGCGCTGGGAGGAACCCGAGGCACCTGAAGAGGAGGCCATCGATCTCTCTTCTATGAACGGTCTCTCCTGCAACAAGGCCGGTTATGTCATCGGACCTGACGGATTCCCCATCGGACGGGTTACCGAGGGTAACCCGAAGGAGTTGGTTGGCAAGAAGATCGAGGAGGGTGAGATCTACGACGGCAAGAAGGTTGTCGGTCGCGTCGAGCTCATTCCTGAGAACGAGCGCGAGAGCAAGGCCGAAGGTCCGTTCGCGGGCATGGAAAGCCTCATTGTCACCAAGGACGGGTTCGTTGAAGACGAAGACGGTACTATTGTCGGCCAGCTTGTCGAAGGCGACCCCAAGAAGCTGCGTGGTCGTGCCGTGGATGAAGATGGAGAAATCGCCGACAAGTACGGCAACGTCAAGGGTCGCGCTGAGCCGTACGAGCCCCCAGAGGAGGAAGCCCCCGCCGAGGATGACCTATCCTGTCTCGAAGGCAAGGTCGTCAACAAGTCAGGCAACGTCGTCGACCCTGCCACCGGTGCTGTCTTTGGCCGCATCGTCGAGGGCGACAAGCGACTGGCCGGCCGCAAGGTCGACGGCAAGGGTCAGGTTTGGGGTGACAATGGCAAGGTCGTCGGCCGGGCAGAGCTCATTCCCGGCGCGGAGCAGCACAAGGCCGAGGGCCCGTTCTTTGGCTTCGATAACGCACAGGTCGGTAAGGATGGCGTGGTCGTCGATGGCGACCGCATCATCGGACGTCTGACCGAAGGCGATGCCAAGCGCCTCCTGGGTCGCAAGGTCGATGAGGACGGCGATGTCCTGGACAAGAACGGCAACACCATTGGCAAGGCTGAGCGCTGGGAGCCCGAGGAGAAGAAGCGCGATGTCAACCCCATGTCCGGCCGCAAGGTCAACAAGGAGGGTGAGGTGCGCGATGCCGACGGTAACCTCATCGGCAAGCTGACCTCGGGCAACCTGGCTACCTTGGTTGGAAAGGTCATCGACGACAACGGCTTTGTTGTTGACAATGACGGCAACAAGCTGGGAGAGTGCACTTTGCTGGAAAACATCCCCGAGGAAGAGCCCGAGGGCCCTTCGCCTGAAGACGAAAAGGCAGAGACCGACCGCAAGCTGGCTGAGAAGATGTGCAGCATCCTTAGTCAGACCCTGGAGCAGGTCAAGCCGATTTGCAACATGATCACCGAGGTGAGTTTGTTGAATCCCCTGAGACACGAATCATCCACTAATATCTGCCCTGCAGTACATCGAGAAAGCCGACCGCACCCCGAAGGAAGAGCTGGACGAAGAAAAGCTCGTCGAGAACGTCAAGCCCCTTCTGGAAGAAGGCGGCCGTATCCTTCAAGAGTGCAACGGTTCCATCCGCGCTCTCGATCCCGATGGCCGCATCGCCTCCACAGCCAAAGCGCGCGCTGCCTCGCGCGAGGCTTCGTCGGAGGAGTATCAGCTGGCCGATATGCTCAAGCAGCTGACCGAGACGGTGGTCAAGACCATCGACAACGGCCGCAAGCGCATTGCCGACATGCCTCATGCCAAGAAGCAACTGAACCCGCTTTGGGGTCTGCTCTCCGAGCCCCTTTTCCAGATCATTGCCGCGGTGGGCTTGTTGCTCACTGGTGTTCTGAATCTACTGGGTCGTCTGCTGGACGGTCTTGGGTTGGGCGGCATCTTGGATGGTCTGCTGGGTTCGCTGGGGTTGAACCGGTTGATCGAGGGTCTGGGACTTGGCGGGTTGACGGATGCCCTGGGACTTGGAAAGAAATAAGCGCTGCCTGTCTGTATTTTTATGTTGTCATGTATTGTTGTTTGCTAGCGTTCAATCCCTAATAGGCCTTGCTTTTCCGATGTTTTCCTTTCCGATGTCTGTTTACTGCCATGAGGCTCGAAAAATTCTTGTTCCTGTTCAGATTTGAAGCTGCACAAATTTGATTTAACACATCCTGATGCTTTCTGAGACTATTCACAATTAATCATGACGCACGTACATATATGCAAAGGCCCAAATGTGTCAGAGTTCGCCAACAAGTCTCCCATCGCCATGATCCTTCCATTTCAGGACCTCGAATATTAAGAAAAGACGGTAAGCGGCCGAAAAATTTCGTAATTACAATGCAGCAGTGTGTATCGACAAGAAGAAGAGAGAGCAACATCAATATCCTGTGATGATGCCGGGAAGAAGTCCAATTGATGAGATCATCCGGCGTCGCATGGAGCAACAAGCCAAGATAAAAGACCTAATGGCTCTTGATGCCATCTGAGCTGTCACTAACCTCGCCAGGTTCTGGCTCTCCGAAATGCTGGTATACTCGTTCCCGAGCGACGGCCTTGTCTTTGCGGATGGTGAGGCAGTTGATCCCAAGGAAGGTGGTGATGCGGTTGATGACGAGGACTGCCCAGTGCATATAGATCACAAAGGCAAACAAACAGAACAAGCGCAGGTACCACAGCTCAAGCCCAGCGCTGATCGCTGGCAACCCAATCCGCGGCAGGTTGGCTAGCACAGCTCCAAAGATGACGGGAGCCTGCAGGACGGTCCAGTAAGGGAACGGTTGCTTCAGCAGATGCGCCAGGATGATCATAGTGGTCATCCGGCCGAAGACAAATGAGATGGCCCAGCAGTACAGAACCAGATGGTTCCCGGATAGGATAGTCGAGTACGGCGAGAAGAGCCAGGCAATGTTGCACAGCGTGAATAGGACCATGGGCAGCCATTCCTTCAGCAACGGGGTGAACGGCAAGCCCTGCTTCTTGCGTGCGGAAGCCACATTGTACACACATCCCGGAAGGTGGGCCAGGAAAAAGCCACCCAGAAGGATTGGCAGCCAAAGGTCGCGCACAGAGTTGGTGCCGAAGATTTGGGGAATGTTGATCAAATTCGTGATTGGCTGCGACCAAATACTGGGGCCCCAAATGCCAGAGGCGATCATGATGGCGATGGCGATGAGAAGACCCTCAGTTGGACCATTGAAATAGCCGAGATAGAGAGTATGCGTGTGGAAGGTTTCCCAAGTCGAGAAATACATCGCCAGGCAAGGTACCAGGGCGGTCCAGGCACCCAGTTGTGAGGCACCGAATCCCATAGCAGCCGTCTCCAACAGACTGGCAAGAGTGCAATTCAAAGAGTCAATCCCATGGCTGTCGAAAGTCAGCATGTGCCGAGTTCATTAGGAGGAGGTTGTACGAACTCGAAGAGCTCCCCGAGTCCGCTAGATGTCCCCGTTCGTCGCGCTTGTTTGCCATCGACGTTGTCCAAAGTTGAGTACCTGTTAAGAGTGAGCGTAGATCATACGGCGCGGGCTTTTCTCCACTAACATCCAAACTCCAAGGGCGAAGCTAAAGTACAGCCAGGCAGGACCCTGCGTCGAGATCAGCATCCCAGCACGTTCAACCATTAGATCAACTTACCGGTCCCACGAGATCTGGCACGAACATCCCGATGAAAAACACGTTGACCACGATGAACACGAACCCGAGAAGGGTCACCATGTTGGGAGCCATCCACATGGGCAACACTTCGACGAAGGCATTCCACTAGATAAAAGACTGGTTAACCACCGATCTTATATCTAGATGAGTTGTTGCCATACGTAGTGCTTCAGAATATACCGCGAAATGAACGACTTATCCACACTCGAGTACTTGTAGGACCGCAGGGGTAGAAGGGCATCGTCCGAGAGCGACTCTTGGGTCTCTGCAAGAAACATGTCATCCATAAGCCCCCAAACATAGAAGCCGGTCATTCTGCACGCCACTCACCTTGGACCATCCGAAAGATCGCGCTCATCCTGGCAGTAAGGGCCGTATCGCAGGCGCGCGTGCTTCGATGCTGTATACGGGTGGAAACACACAGACAAGTCAGAGCACTGCGAAAGCACCAGGACAATCAAAGAAAGTATCGAGTCAGTCAGGTAAGCCCACTGGGTCCCCAAACAACAACGTAGTGGTGGTCAAGGAAAGAGGAATGAATGAATGGGTCTCGCTTTTCGGTCCGGTGGCCACGTGACCAGCACCATCCGCTAATGGAACGCGATCAGTGATTCACTTGATCAACTGATTCATTCACTGTCCAACTACCGTGAGCGTCCCTTCTTTTAGTTCTTGACGCTATCCGCCAAACTCTGTCCTTTAGTCCTTCACACTCCGATCGCTACGCAATCACTCCGCGCTCTCACTTCGCGCCCTCGCTTGCGCGCGTGCTGCGCAGTCTTCGCATCCACATCGCTCCCGAGTCCTGCGTTGCAACGTCATCCGCAATGGTCGCCTGCTAAACTGGATGGACATGCCGGTGGATGGTCCACACAGCGCTCGCCGCGCATCTCATCATTGAGAACTGTTCATGATGCCCGGTGTCGTCGAAACGCCACTGGGGGCTGCGGCCCAACCGGTGGACCTAGGATACAGTGTTGCTCATCAGAAAGTTGAGCTGGAGATTGACTTTGCAAACAAGGGTCTCAAGGGGAAGACCGAAATTACGATCCATCCGCGCACCAAGGACCTGAAAACAATCCGTCTCAACTTTCGGCAGGGCGAGGTTAAGCGCTTGAATGTCAATGGGAAGGCAGCAACGACGAAATATGCAGACCCCTGCGAAGCGCTTCAGCTCTACGGACCGCACTACCACGAGCGCCTGACTCCCAAAATCGATGCCCTGTTGCAAACCCCACCAGAACCGGAGTTATGCATCACAATACCCAAGAGCGTCCGTATTGAGGAGCTGGACCCGTTCTCTGCAGAGGCCCAGGACCAGATGGCTTTGCAGGGTGCTGGGGACGACGTGGACGGACCAGCAAGCACCAAGTTGCCCGAAGCCAACCTCCCGCGATTCACGGCGGTCACCGTGTTTATCGAGTTTAGCCTGGATCATATTCGCGATGGGCTACAGTTTGTCGGGTGTGAGAATGGAGACTGGCGATATCCACACGCGTATACTTCCAACTCTCTGGAATCCGGGGTCGGATGCCCTCTGTTCCCATGTGTGGATAACCCAGCATCGCGCTGTACATGGGAATTCTTGATCACTTGCCCGTCCTCGTTGGGGGATGTTTTTGGATCGGGCTCGACCACGCCATCTCGCTCAAAGAAGCAAAATCGATACGTTTCTGCAGATGATGAGGGCTTGGATATGTCAGTGGTGTGCTCGGGCGACCTAACGGACGATATCGTGGATCCGAACAATCCAAGCAAGAAGACCGTTTCATTTGCGTGCTACTCGCCTCTTTCTGCTCAGCAGATTGGTTTCGCGGTCGGGCCTTTTGAATATGTCAATCTGGCCGACTTCCGTGAAAGCGACCAAGATGAACAGCTTGGGCAAAATGCCATCCCATTGCACGCCTTTTGCCTCCCGGGGAGAGGCGACGAAGTCCAAAACACATGTTTCCCTATGGCGAAGGCCATTGACTTCTTTTCCCTATCCTACGGATCATACCCTTTCTCTAGCTATAAAATCTGCTTCGTGGATGATGTCGCAGAGGATGCCCTGCCTGCGGCGGGCATGTCAATCTGCAGTACCCACCTTCTCTTCCCCATGGAGATCATCGATGCGATGTACGATTCGACACGGGCTTTGGTGCATGCGCTGGCATGCCAGTGGACTGGAATTAACATTATTCCAAACGAGCCGGTAGACACGTGGGTGACAGTTGGCGTGGCATGGTACATCACGGACACGTTCATGCGGAAGCTATGCGGGAACAACGAGTATCGGTTTCGGCTCAAGCAGATGTCAGACCAGGTTCTCGAGCTGGACTACGAGCGACCATCGATATACGAGATGGGTACCATCTTGAAAATTGATGCGTCGGAAACTCGCTTCATTGCACTCAAGGCACCTTTGGTCCTTTTCATTCTCGATCGACGACTCACCAAGGCGAGTGGAAAGGCTACCATGTCACGCATCATTTCTCGGCTTTTCTTGAACTCCCGTATGGACGACATTCCAAACGGAGCCGTTACGAGTTCGATGTTCCAGAAGTTATGTGAACGCCTTGGCCACGCAAAGTTAGATGTCTTCTTCCAGCAGTGGGTGTACGGGGCCGGGTGTCCGCGCTTCCAGGCCACGCAGCGTTTCAACAAGAAGAAGCTTGTCGTTGAAATGATGATCAGACAGGTTCAAGGGGACCAACAGGGGCCTCGTGATTTGGAGAAGCACGCGTTCCTGCGAGATCTCAAAGAAGAAGTTCGGCACGTTTATGCCGGGTCAGTACAGCCAGTCTTCACGGGCTCGATGACTCTACGTATTCACGAAGCCGACGGCACCCCATACGAGCATATCGTCGAGATCAAAGAAGGGGTGACCAAATTTGACATCCCTTACAACACGAAGTACAAGCGACTTAAACGAAACAAGAAGCAAAGAGAACGAGCCGTCGCTGCTGGCGATACCGCAGATACACAAGAGGACGTCTTGCTCTATTGTCTAGGCGATGTGCTTCAAACCGAGGAGGAAACGCAGGCCTGGCGTCTGGCAGACTGGAGCAAAGAAGACGAGGAACGGATGGGCCAAGAATCCTACGAGTGGATTCGCATGGATGCGGATTTCGAGTGGATATGTAAGCTTTCGCTGGGCATGCCGGGGTACATGTACCTGTCGCAACTCCAGCAAGATCGCGATGTTGTTGCTCAATTAGAGGTTTGTGTTCTTATTCGGTTCCGCGCTCTCAGCTAACATCTACAGTCCCTGCAATACATGGCTGCCCAAAGAGAACACCCTCTGATCTCCACTATCTTTGTCCGGACACTTATGGATAACCGATACTTCCACGGGATCCGCGTTGCTGCGGCACGGGCGTTGGTGAAGCACGCCAAAGATGAAGTTGACTGGATTGGGCTGTTCCATTTGGAGAAAGCATTCCAAGAGCTCTTCTGTCTCCCCAATTCACCCATGACCCGGTCGAATGATTTCTCTGATCGAGCTGCCTACATTCTCCAACAGGTCATCCCGGAGGCGATTTCGAAGGTGCGCGACAACGGTGGGAAAACGCCAATGCGAGTGAAGCGATTCCTCTTTGACAAGCTGAAGTTCAACGACAACTCCACGAACGAGGTATGAAGAACGAGAGGAGGTTTACGGGCAGGTGCTAACACTCTTGCAGTTTTCTGATAACTTCTACGTCGCCTCTCTGATGCGGTCCCTATGCGATGCCATGCTTGGTAGAAGCGAACCGCGGCCGGAGGAAGAGCTAGATCATTTCGATATGGAACGCGTTCTTGAAGCCCAAGCCGAAGAGCAGCTTGAAAAAGACACCATTGCTGAAATCGATCGGTATCGGCGAATTGATGATTGGTCTAGCTCTTTCCAAAACATATACGCTCGGGCTGCTTTGCAATGTCAGATGCAATTCATGCAGGCACGAATGATAGAGCTTGATCCGATGCGTTTCATTCCCTATACACGGCCCGGCACATACGATCTGCTCCGACTCCAAGCTTTCGAGTGCCTCGTCAACCTCGACCTATCTAACAGTCCCGAACTCATGCGGTGGCTTGTCTTCACTTTGTCGAGTGATCCGTCTGCATATGTCCGTCAACACTGCCAGGCTCTGTTTGGTCAAGCTTTGGCGCAGATCGCCTTCGGGCGACCCCAGCAAGAAACTACACAAGCAGGCGGACTGATCATTGAACAAGAGTCATCCACCGCAGTGCGACAAGCCGATCTCGCACGCCGGCAGACTGTCCCAGGCGCCATCGAAGCCCTCAAGCGGGAACTTGCGAGTGACACATCTCTTAAGGAATACCTCTGGGCCGCTTGCAACTCCCCGTACCTGGGAATCTTAGAGCTCTCCGAGCTAAACGACATCTGTCGGGCATTGTATGACCCAGTCAGATCTAAGGTAGCGCGGCTGAAGCTGCCTCGCTTCTGGAAAGCGGAAAATATGGGCAATGGGAAAGTGCGGTTCTACCGATCCACCAACGTCCGCAGCAGTTTCTCCTCCAAGGATTCTACATCCGCCAAGCGCAAACGTGAGGAGCAAGGGATGCCTCCTCCTCTACCGAGGATCACCTTCAAGCAGTCCAAGACTGTCGCTGGTCCTGGTACACCGAGCTCATCTCGTCCCAGCCCGCAACCCTTCCCCAAAATCACCATCCCCAAACCCTCGCCTACCCCCACCGCGGCACCCAGCACTCCTGCCCCATCTACTCCTGCAACTCTGGCTAGCGGTGGCGGGCTCAAGCTCAAGCTGAAGTTTGGCTCGAAGCCGAAATGAGCTTTTCCTGCATCCGCGATGTACTTTCAATCTGTCCATGTATTCTAATTTCTTACTTTTGTTGTGTCGTGGTCATTTTTTGCTGCTGGGCGGGATAAGGGAAATTTCAAGCATGGCTTCTGGCGTGAGGTTCGGCAATACTTTCTGTTTTTCACTCTTTGGTTCAAGGATCAAATCAGTTTCTAGTACGCTGGCCACTGTCACCTCCAAGCAACAAAGTAGAGTGCAAAATAGTAGTTTTTGTCCAATCAAAAGGTTTATCAATATATTGCGAGACCTGCCTTTGGCCGACGAGCCAAAAAAGTTTGGAAAAAAAAGAAAAAGAAACGGTTTTTGATTGTTCCCGTATGAGCAACCGACCCAGAACTCCCTATATCATTATGGATGATGGTCTTGTCTTGTCCTCCCCAGCAGTGCAGCCTCCAGTCCATCTCTCCGAAAACAAAGAAACGTCGTAGATCATGGCGTGGTTCTCATTTATCGGATATCCGTTCGAGGGCCTCGAGCATCACGACCGAGTTGCCGCGAATCACCTATACGAGACATTAGTCTTCAACCCCAGTGCGCATCGCAGTATAGGAAGAAAATACATACCACCATGCCAATAGCCACTTTCTCGCCGCCTGCCTTCTCCTCGAAGGCCTCGTCTAGGACGATGTTCATGAAGACCTGTGCGAAGAAATGATCAGTTTATGTTCCCGTACTTCAGGCCACGTGCTGCCTCCGCTCCTCCTGTGATTCAGGGCGGAGTGCATGGTAACATGCCAGACAGTTCGAAATCGCAGCACGGTCGCGTTGAGGTGGGTTGTAGAACGTACATCGTAGCCTCGGAGGATGCCAATGACTTTGCGGTTGCCATTGAGTTCGCAGAAGACCCGCTTCTCCATGTACTATTTAGGGGCAAATCGTTAGCCACACTCTTTGCCACAAAATCAATTACTCACCTTCTTCAATTCTGGCTGAGCTTGAGGCATCTTGGCGGGTTTGTTGGTGGTTGATGGGCAAGAGGGAAAGAGAAGCGCAGTTTGAGTTGGTGCAAGCTGGGCCGGACTAATGATGTTCCCGATAGGCGATAAGAGCTGCCACCCGACTTTCTCTTCTTTCTAACATCGTATACAACATGAGTTCGTTTGCCAATCGTCGAAAGCCGCGTAAAATTGGCGGGGATGAGGATGAGGATGGGGACACTGCGCAAGGTTGGTCTACTCTCCCTAGCTCGTGGTCCTATCTGACAGTTGCAGACAATGAGCCTGTCGTTAAGCGGCCCGCAAGCTCGAAACCGAAGCAGAAATCCAAACTGCGACTCTCGTTCGGACCGGGGGAGACGTCGATGAATGACGGCGGTGACCAAGAAAGCGAAGTCGTCATCCCAAAACGACACGGTCTAGGCCGGAAGGCGATGGAAAGAAGTGCTTTCCAGCGGACATGGACTCCGTCAGGCTCGTCAGAACAACTGTCCACACGAGTCGGCCAGGACAAAGATCGGCCGAGCTACAGCAGCGACTACCTGAAGGAACTGCGTGACTCTACACCCTCGACACCGAAAACGAGCACGGACGACGAAAAAGACCGAACGGTAGATGTGGCGGCCAAATTCGGCGAGGTCATGACCGTCTCCGGACCCTCGGCTATTCCCAGTGAAGCTGAGATCAGAGAGAAGAAAGCGCGCCGGGCCCGGCTGGCTATGGAACATGGTGCTCAGGAGGATGATTACATTGCACTTGACGACGAAGACGGCGTTGCCCATCATGATGACTGGGACTTGGCGGCACGAGGGGAGAAGGTTAAGGACACAAGACTAGTCAGAGACGACGAGGACTTTGCCGAGGGGTTTGAGGAGTATGTTGAAGATGGCAAGATCTCACTGGGCAAAAAAGCAGAGCGCGAGCAACAGCGCAAACAGCGTGCAGCCATGCGTGAGCTTATTGATGACGCCGAGGGTGTCTCGGATGAAGAAGATTCGGATATTGAGGAGAAAGCCGCTTACGAAGCTACTCAGACCAAGAAGGCGATGGGCAATGGCCGCGCAGACCGTCTCGATCGGCCCCGGACGCCTCCCAAGATGACTTCTCTTCCCAAGTTGGCCCACAGTCTAGAGCGACTACGAACCTCCCTGGCTGGTATGGAAACATCCAAAACGCAAATGATCAGTCGTATGGAAGATTTGAGGAAGGAAAAGGAAGAGGTTTCTATGCGCGAGGTGGAGATTCAGGCACTGATTCAAGAAGCGGGTGACAATTATGAACGACTCAAGAAAGAGGCCGGAGTTGACGCCAGTGCTAATGGAGATGCCTCCGCGGGTGCGCTAGAGCAACCGCGTGGCTTGAGAGCATCGGTGCGCCGGTAGCTTCGTCTGATTCCAGCGCGGAGGAAGTTTGAAAAAGCTCGTCTGCCTCGTTACCTCCTCGTCGTCGTTGGCGCTTTCCTCCGACACCGTTCTCTCTGTCCCCCTCACATTTTTGGATTTATGTGGAGTCGTTGTTCATTTGATACCCTGTGGGCTAGTCGTTTTTGTCTAAATATTACTGATGCCTCCTTCACGCTTCTTGTCTATATTCCGTCCATCGCCGTGTAAGCCTGCATTTGACAACGATGGTCCGCTGTAAGTCTCCCCGGCCAGGGTCTCCGAGTTCATTGACCTTACAAGAGGCTCGTAGACTCCATATCGCATTGCCCTGGATTGCGAGCCCTATCAACAACGATGAAGACCCTCCTCAGCTGTACCGCCATCCGGATTCAACGCCCATCGAGCTCTTCTTCGATCTGTTCTTTGTGGCCAACTTATCCACCTTCACCGATACACATGAGATCAACAACGTCAAAGGTGTGTGTGTGTCCCGGTCCAATCCTGTGTTAAATGACTTCTAATGGCCCCCAGTCTTAGGCGAATATGTCGGCTTTCTCGGCGTCATATGGTTTACCTGGTTGCAAGTCACCCTGTTTGACATCCGGTTTGCCCACGACTCCATCTTCGAGCGGATTTGCAAGGCCATACAAATGGGGGCTATGGTCGGCTTTGCGTCAGCCGGAACTCGTTTCACGACGCGGATTCATCAAGAGAATATCTGGGTTTTCCAATCCCTCAGCTTGATCCTTGCAGGAAGTCGGATGTTGCTGGCTATTCAATATGCCATCAATGTCGGCTTTTTGTATCGACGGTTTAGAACTGCCGCAAAAGGGATTGCGGTCACGGCGGCTATACTTTGGACAACAGGTCTCCTCTACCTTGGGGTATGGCTCTTATTTGAAAAGACTGGAAACGAAAAATACTGACACTTTCACAGATGTACTTTGTATTTAGCAATGCCCATTTATTCCATGCCCGAATCTGGACCTTCTGGTTTGTACTGTTTGGCGTCGAGATGTGGGCTGTCATGGGGGTTTCTTGTATATCTCCGGGGATCGAGTTTCAAGACACACACCTGAATGTGCGAATGGGCCTTCTCACGCTGATCATTATCGGTGAGGGAGTCATCTCAGTAACTCGTATTGTCAACAAGACTGTACGGCCCGGCGGGTGGACCAAGTGGTCATTTGTTCATATCCTAGGGGTGATTACCAATGTGGTGAGTATCCAGCTCTGCTGGTTTTTGACCATCACTAAAGGGAAGCAGTATCTGCTGTGGCAGGCGTATTTCGACCTAACTGCTCGAGGCAGGATGAAGAAAAGGGCCCAGAATGCATGGGCTCAACTGCATTTTCCGTTCCATGTGGCTCTCATTCTTCTCCTTGAGGGATCACAGATCCTGGCTTTAACCTTGGATGTCACACTGAAGCTGAAGTATCTGGGAGAAACTATTCAGTTCGCATGCGAGGAGCCGCGTCCAGACCCCAACAAGGCTGTCGGGCTCATCCGGAGCACAATTGCGGACATGGAGATCCCCTTCAGTCACGGTGCGACACAGGAATGGGCCGCCATATCAAGCCTGTTGGATGAACTCGCCCAGAACCCTCTGTGTCGTGAACCCGAGTTGCGTCTTAATTTTCTTTATTCGGAAGACTTGATCAACGACCTGATGGGCAACGTGACCGCGGCACTTTTCTCTAGCATGGGGATTACACCGACAGTCAAGGGTGATGATATAAGTCGTCTTGACAACGAGAAAGTGCTGCAGATGTACATGAAACTGCTGGCTTTTGTTTACGAATACTTCTTCACCGTTGCCAGTCTATGCATGTGTCTTTTCGCCGCCTTTCTCATTCTAACGCGCCGTCACCAGCAGCGGCTATTCCTCGGTCTGTCGATTGGAGCGCGGATTTTGCTCGCTGCGTTTCTTGCTAGCCTCGTTTCCTTCGCGAGTCACTTGTCGCTTGCGTACGCTTTCATGACTTCTCCGGTTATATTATATGCCTTTACGATGACGCTTTTAGCGGGTGAGTCTTCTTGTCCTATCCTCAGAAAATTGTTCTAATCTCTAATTGGCTATAGCTCTTCTCGTTGACCGACTTTTGGACTCTTTGGCTGCCCGGGAAGATGCACCTGGCCAGAGAAGGGGGTGATGTTGCGGATCTCAAGTATCAACTTCCTTTGCAGAGAATGGTTAGAGTTGGCTAATCCACGCCGTTTGCTTCGGTTGAAGGCATGTATCATAGATGCTTCAGATATGGGGGTTGGGTGTTGCATCAATTCAACGCAGCCATTATTCGGTGCAGCGACGTCTCGCTTCCATAAAAAAGAAAGGAAATAGACAACCCAAGTGCAGCATCAACTCTAGGCCAAGTCCAAAGGGGTTATCTCTTCCGCTACTGATTCTTCTCTAAATGGCAATGGAAAAGCTGAGAGGATGTTGGGGAGGGAGGGTGTCTGGGCCAAGGTGTAGAGAAAGGCACTGCGCCCGAAACCTCCGGTGGATGTCTAAATATGAGAGACAAAGAGAGATTCGGGGTGGGGGACTATTGGCTATCAAGCCGCGCGGCACGTATACCTACATGATCCCGCAGCCGTTGTGGGATGATGGATCTGCAGTGAGCCATAATTTTGAAACGGGAGTTGCTTCTGGGCTCGGTAATCATTTTTTGAGGCCGTGTCTGAGGAGAAGCGGTTGTTTTGATTTGCTTTTTGCTTGGAGAAGATAGGTGGATGGATGGCTTCAAAGATTGGGCTCCATACTTGAGTTGGGGTTGATGGGTAGAGTAAATGGACATTTTCACTGCCCAAATAATTACTACCCTTGGAATAGACGGTGGGGATAAGACTCCTTTGACTTCGGTAAGGCTTTGAGGGTTTAATCAGAGCAGAACTGGCCTGCCCCATGATCCAGAATCATTCCACTCATGCCCTAATTCCATATGCAAACCTCCAACTTCGCACGAGGATGGAAGGCAATATCTTACTTCACAATTTCAAACGATTCTCCCCAGTCCCCGGTTTGTTTTTCTAGACTTCGTCCCCTGAATCCTTTCTCTTGTTTACAACAATCCGAGTCCGGGATAACCATCCAGCATGCTCAACCCTATCGTTGGCACCCCCAGTTCCCCGGGGCGTAAAGTTTCAGATGAAATCCGAACATAGAAAAATGGCCAAGACACAAGCAGAGGTAATGGAAAAGTAGTAGAGAATTAAAATAAAACGAGAAAGACCTCATATGCAGCCGATCTACCATTATTCCGCGTGCTGAGATCCTCTATATATCAGCCATAAACAGTCCGTAGGTCAGTACACTCATCTACCACTTTGATCTACAGCACAGTATGTATACTGCATGCACACTCAAGGCGGGAACTTTGCAGCAGAAGGGACAGGGTGTAAGACAATAGCCGGGCGGGAAGATCGACAACGCATAGGTTTCTTGTTGGTCCGGCTTCTCTTCCGAATAGATGGCGGGCCGTTCGTTTCTCCCTAGCCCCGGATAAATTGCTGCAGAGGCAAAAGCCGGTTTCAACGCCACCCGTGCCATCCCTCCTTCGGGAGAGAAGCTTCTTTGAAACAAGCCTGCTTCTTGGTAAGTTGGATTCCGGGCCCAGGATCGGCAGCTGTGTCCGGGGAAGGGCGGGTTGGGTTCTTTCCCGAGAGTCTTGGCCGATCTGTTTGTGTTGGTTGATGGTGGAGTCCTATGATGTACAGACAGAGGGATGGGGATTTGCTAGCAATTGTGAGGCGGACATATATCACTCTAGGCCTGTATAAACCGTATGTATATAAGTATTGTTTCCCACATACACGTATAGGTAGAAGCTATCCTCCAAAATTTGCGTGCTATGAAAAGCTCGTGGAATAATAAGAATGGCACTGCCATCCCCAGGTGACAGATCACCTCCCGTCAAACAAAAAACCCTCCGTGTCCCGAACCAGCTAGCGAGGCATGCGGTTTCCTATGGAAATTGCTTTTGCACTCAGGCCTGATTGATCTGGGTGTTAAATGATTGGCGCGGATGATGTTGGGGCTGTGGAAGAACCAGCCCTATGTGGCTAACCGTCCAGGATGGAACATTGTCAACCTGGCTGGGCACTGTCAAGATATAGAGACGGCTCTACTCTGGACTGTTCGTCAGGTTCTTACTGCTTCGGGATTGATCTGCTGTCTTTATAGCCATGTAGATTATGGCTTGGTCAGGGATGTGACTATTCTTGTGGTAACTTTTAGGACGTATTCAGCAATGTAGAGACGGAAGGGAACAGCAGTATTGTTCTCTTTGTCTGGGAATCCCTGTGCAAATCCCTGAGTAATGGACGGAGAAAGGCAACGCAAGAAAGAAGCTACACATCAGAAAAAAATCCACCAGCTTAATTCGACTCTTCGCATCGAAGCCGTTGAAGAATTGTGACTTGGCCCTGTCCATCTCTGTCTCTGACGCTGTTTCACACAACACCCTCCCTCCATCCACCATTCCCGCTTCAATCCCCAGCCCAGATAGAGGACGCGATAAGACAACATTGGATACAATAAACTGAGAATAAAGATCTGAAACGAACGACGGCAAGTGGATTTTCCCCGATTTCTGGCCTGGCCAGGTCTGAATGTCATTTCGGCATTTCGGCAATACCCATGTCCATGTCCATGATCTTCTTCCTTCTCGCCTTCACCCCTTGAGACATCAAAGAGATCTTCAGCACTGGGCTCAGATATTCACGGGCCTGGAAGGAAGACACCAGCCGGGCCGACTGGAGGAGATGAAATGAAATAGCCCTGGACCAGACAAGAAGACGAAGATAATCCTTGGTGTTAGCAAGTCATATAATCTGCAAACGGTCATCTTGCTTTTGTCTATCCAGCGGACTCAATTTCTCTCTCTCCATATTGTCTCTCAAACAATCTCGACCCATTACGTTGGCTGTGGCAGTTTGGGGGAAATAGACCGAGAAAACACAGAGAATCACCTCAAAGTTGATTCAGCCATTGGCTAGTGCACTCCCCGACAGGGCTGAGACCGCATGTGCATCTAACGGCTCAACTGACACTTTGGATCCTCTCCCCGCCACTTTGGGAGTCACTTTCGGAGAAGAGGTGGACATTATTGCCCGCGTCAGGATTGCTTACACACTATATTGCGGCATTTGAAGACGAATCTCTCTTTGCTGCTAACAGGAGGCGGAATGCAGAGAAAGTAAGTGCCCGAGCAACCTGCCTCGATCTCGCAGGTGAAACCTCTCCATAAAAAACAAGGCACTAACGCCATCTATAACGGTCAGCCCTGCAAGTGTCCCTCCGCAACAAGCAGTCCAGTTATTAGGCGATACCGCCAGCCCTCAAAGGCTCATATACAGACGGTAGTCTACACGCAGCGACAACCCGCCGTACAACAACCAATCTGCAAGTAATTGCGGTGAGGTCTTTGTTTCTGATCCGGACCATGGTTGACTTGCTTGTCGGCGGCGGCTCTGGGGCCCCAAAGCCAAGGCAGAAAGAAATCTCCGCCATGGCCGCCGGGTTTATTTACTCTTTTGCAGACCAGCGGACGAGTTTGGGTAGTAGGGCTTCTTCATTTTCTCCAATATACCGCCACCACTCAGACACTGCACTGCATCGACGGCAGCAGCAACATCTACCACGAAGAGATCTTTATCCTCGAGACAGTACCGTGGCAAGAATGTCTCAAAAAGGGTCATATACTCTCCCAATGAGAGAAGGCCTTCCATATATCCCAGAAAATCTGGCACTTCACCACCAGTCAATCTTGCAGACTCCGAGCCCTGCTATGATGTCCGAGCCAGACATAACGACTTATCCTCAAGCTAAATACGTCTGTGAATCTCTGGAGCAATTCGACCGCTCCTTTAACACCATAGCAGCCAGTATCACCTGCCCTCTAGTTCAACCAACCCCCATCTATCAAACACCAGACAATTCCTCTTTCCTCACCAGAACCGAGGAAACACCATCACTCTCGTCTTCCCTTGGTTTTGTGGACATGCCACAAGACATGCCCTCCATCCCCAATGATGCCTGGTTCCAGCCTCTGGCAGACGATGATATCCAGAAGAACCTTGGCTCGACATGCTCTACAGTCGACAGCAGCAGCCCTGGCTGGCTGCCATTGACAATGGCCAGCAGTGCCGAGATCTGGCGCTCGTACTCCATCCCAGACTCTTTAGCTGAAGATCTAGGGCTGGCAGAAGCTAGGTATTGCAGCACTGGCTGGCTCGCCCCGAATACCAGCACCACCAGCGAGCAGCTCGTGGCTAGCCCCGTTATCACTCATGCACATGAGATGCACGCTCTGCAACAGTATCCTGTCCCCTCTCCGTCCCCATCCTCACCAACAACCAGCCATAATAGTTGCCGCTCATTTGTTGCACCCAAACCCTCCTCCAGTCACCGATGGGACCTGGAGCCTTACAACAATCACTACGACCACCCAAACACCGAGTCAATATTGGTCGATAACAGCAACACTTACACCCTTGACCAAAAGGTACAACCGCGCACCCAAACCCCACCGCCAACAGAGAATGTCTATTCATCATCTTCACAGCCATGCCGAAATGCATCAGGAATCACAGTCGGTCTGCACTACACCGACTCGCGCAACGCCTTCCTGATCGACTGGAAGCGGCGCGGACTATCGTACAAGGACATCAAGCGCCTTGGCGGGTTCAAGGAAGCAGAGTCAACGCTTCGGGGCAGGTTTCGCACTCTCACTAAAGCGAAAGAGCAGCGGGTGAGGAAGCCGAAATGGCATAAGGAGGATGTGAGTATACAACCCTGCCCTGTCCTGCTTTTGTATGACCATCTATAGTTGCTGATTGACATTGCGGACTAGGTCGAGCTCCTCATTGAAGCAGTCAACGCCTGCTTCTCAGAGTTGAATGGGTTTTCTGCTTCTCGGGGACCGCCGCGCAAGAATGCAGAGATTCTGCCCAAGGTATCGTGGAAGAAAGTCGCGCAGCATATCTGGAGCCATGGCGGATCGTATCATTTTGGGAATGCGACATGTAAGAAGAAGTGGTGTGAGATTAACAAAATTCAGATCTAGTATTCCCACTGGATGTTTCTCAGGTGTTGTGGGAGTGTGTCTTGTTTTCTCATGTCTCTTTTCTTGCATTTTCCCGGTCTGCTGTGCACTTCGCTTGGAAACACTTTTAGCTGGTTTGACTTATGTTGTACCGGTTTACTGTGGTGGTTTGGGTTCTTGCCATTTGTGCCTGTTTTAATTTTGTCGTTTGTATGTTTTAGACTGGTGTTAGAGTGATTTCTGTCTTCGAGGTTGGAAAAAAGAGGCCTTGCACATCATCGTTTCATTCAGTCGTTGGCAATGCATATGTACTTTGCTTTCTCCGTGTATAGTCATCCTCTTCTTAACACCTAGCGAAGCACCATGTCATGATCACAAGTAAGACAATCCCCTAGAATCAGTCCTGGGAAACCCAATCTTCTCCAGCACCTTCGTCAGATACTGCGGGTTCTCCCTCAAAGCATCCCACTCACTCTCGGCTTTAACCATAAGTGTGCCCGCCAGAATCGTCCCGTTCAGAGAAACAACACCAGAGTCAAGAATATCGTTCGCCGCATCCAAGTCAACGGGCACGGTAGCAGTCTCATGTCGCCGGGGACAAATCATCATCGTTGAGAGCGTCATGGCCAGATTGTAACTAATTAACGACGGTCCGGTCGTAGGAGGCGGTGTGGTGGGACCTTGGTGTGAATCTCTCCCTTGTGTCGCTGCCACGGCTGCGCGGTATAATGTCTGATAAATAGAGAAGAGGGTATCTGGCGATGGGTTGGACGGAAGGGGTAGAGCGTAAGCCGCAATTGGGAATTGATGGAGTGTTAGCGGGGCGGACTTGTTGGAGTGTGATTGAGAAGGAGAGGAAGAGAACTGGTCAATGAGAGGACTCCATCCCTCGCACTCGGGCTGTTGTCGCATCGCCTCAACGGGGAGGAACTGCAGATGTCGATGCGGCTGACTGGCCCCGCTCTCATCTCCAGAGTTGAAGAAGGCAAATAACCTCCCCTCAGGGTCTTTGTTTTGAGCAGGCCACGCCTGCAAACAATCATATGTCACCTCGAGGTCGTCTTTCTCCAGCAGATCGGTCTGGGCCCGCCATTCTTTTGTGGCGAGAATGAAATGGTTGGGAATAACCGGGAACTTGTTCAGCACGAGCGCGTGCGTTGGGTGAGAGGGCGGGAACTGCGCTACCAGCAGATCTGGGGATGGGTCTGCGAAGGGGTCCGGTTTGGGGGGGTTGGGGTTAGGGCCGGCGGGGGGCTTTGCAGCTGGATTGATGGGTTTCTTTGCGAGTGCTGGGCAGTAGCGGAGTTGGTACTGGGTGGTGGCCGGTCATGTTAGTTGGTGTGGTGGCACCTTGGGTCAATGATAGACAGAGAGATAGACGTACCGATATCCCTGCGGCATTTATTATGGATAGATAGGTTGAGGAGAAGACTAGATGACCACCATCTTTGGCTGCAACGAAGCGCCGGGCCACCAGGGCAGAGAGGTTCTCGGACAGGCCCAATTGCATGGCTGATGGTGAAGGAGATGCGGAAGGTAAGATGAGGGCGGGGATCGGCGGCAGATCGATGTTCGATGTATAAACCCCGAGGAAGACGGAATCTACATTATGACACGAACATGAACAACTTGGAAGTCTCAACTGCTCACCCGTGCCAGCAGGAGATGCATTATACAGGTTGGTAGGTGTATGGCTAATAGTAGAGAAGAACATCATGAAAAAGGTATCATCCATCAATCATCCCGTACTCAGTCAGAATCCGCTCATCAGAACGCCGCTGCTATACGGAAAGAAACCCAAAAGAAGGAAAAGACACAATAAAAGAAACAAACAGCATCAGCCCATCAAGTCATGGATGGAGATTTCGTCATCGTGCGCGCCCAGCTCCGGCAGTAGCATCGCCGGCTGGCCCATCATATGGCCCTCAGGGCCCTCAAACCAGGGGCCCCGCTCGTCATCCGTGGCATTGAGAAGGCCCTCTGCGCGCTTCATAGTCTCCATGTCCAGGTCCGTGACGTAGGCATCGCGGTTTGTGCCGTCACCGGCGCCGCCGGGGAGGCGAAGACGCACCTCGAAGTCGTTGTTGAGCATCATCTCGTCTTTCCATAGACGGCGCTGGCCGTCAAAGACGCAGAGCACGCGCTTCTTGGTCTTCACACTGCTGTTGGGACAGCCCCAGGACTGCGGGTAATTGCCGCGGTTGTTGCGGCGACGCGTTGGTACGGCACGCGTGCCTTTGCTGTTTGTGTTGGACGATGATGGCTTGGAGACGGCGTTGCCGCTGCCGATAATAGGTCGCGAGGAAGCAGAGGTGTTACCCTTAGTGGATTTGAGGGCGCCTCGGCCAGCCCGCCAGTTCGAGGAGTCGTGAAAGTCATCATCGTCGTGATCGCAAATGTCGTCCGAGTGGTCGACGGGGCCTGCCGCATCGACCAGCTGATGCTTCTCCATCGTCTTCTTCACCTCGTCGTCCGCGGCTACCTCAGCCAGTCGCTGCTGGTTGATAGCCTCGGACGGTTCCTCTTGTTGCACCACGCGCAGGACACAGTCGTCCAGATGCTCGTAAAAGTCCTGAGCATTGCTGAACGTGGCGGAACAGGTCGAGCATTTGCCCGTCGCATCGCTGCCGTAGTTCATGCCCTTCTTGCTGACGGCGGTGGGGCTGCGCTTGCGGCAGTTGGGCGGCGTTTGCTCGACGCCGTGTACCGAGGTCAAATGGCGTTTAAAGACGTCGGCCCGGTTGAAGCTCTTCTCTGCGGACGAGCCAGATCCCGGGCAGAACCCGCACACCATCGTGCCCTTGTAATGGGTCAAAGTGTGGCGGTTCTTGTCGTATTTGCGGGCGAAGCCCTTAGTGTGATAGTCGCAGGTCACGATCGGACACTTTTCTGGCCGTTCGGACTGGTGTGTGAGCATGTGGGCCTTGAGGTCTTTGAAGACCCGTCCGCAGTCCGGGTGCGGGCATCGGCCTTTTTCACGGGTCTCTTCGTCTGGCTCGACACTGCTCAGAGCCGGGCTCTGCTGTGAGCGCCGAGAGCGGACGGAGGAGATGGAGGACCGGCGCTCATAGACCGATACGGGCCGGGAGTGAGAGCTCGCCGACAGCATTCCCGGCCGCGGCTCGGGATGCAATTGCGGAGAAAGCTGATCTACATTCTCGCCGTAAGGGACCGGTGACCCGGCTGGCGAGTGAGGGAGGAAGTTGGTCGGCACTGCCGAGTATGTCGGGTTGGGCTGTTCGGGGTAGGAGATGATTGGTGGGGAGAATCCAGGGGCTGCTTGTGCGGGTTGGATCAATGAAGGGTCTATTTCACTTGTTAGAGAGAGGTTGACCCTGCCGTCCACCAACATCACTTACCAACGACGAAATTGTCCGGGAATTTCTCTTGATAGAACCCGTCCATATCGATAGCACCGCCCATGTACTCATTGGACATGGGATCATTCATGACGGCTGAGGGCAAACCCAAGCCGTAGCCGGTGTTCACCCAGTTGTCCTGGAAGACCTGGGCTGTTCCGGAGTATGGGGAGCCGATAGCGGAGGAGGAGGCGCTGGGGATAGAAGGAGCGGACGAGAAATGTTCCGAGGGTTGCGCGGCAGGCGGAGTAGTCGGCATCGATGAGATCTTGTGGAGGTCGGACTCGGCGAAGATCGCCGGGGTATCGTAGTAGGAGGTAGTGTAGGGCACGACGTTTTCCATGGGGAGGGCGAAGGCGTCGACCAGGTTAGGGTCCATTGCCATCTGCTGGAAATACTGCTGCGATGGTCGCGATCTTGTAGAGTCTATAGCCAGCATGTTTGAAGGGAAGTCCGGGGTGGGCATGCCACGCTGACGAGAAGTTTAGCGCTATGTCTTTCCGGTAGACATACAACGGAGCAACAAGTATTTCACAGACAAATCATCGAGTCCGTTGTGGCACCTGTCAAGTTCGGAGCCTGAGGGAGGGGGGAATGGGCATTATAACTCTAGAACGAAGCATTGCTCAACGATGATAGCCCGCCCTACCGCGTTAGTTCAGTCTAGTTCTGCATAGTTCATGAATGACAAAAAATAAAAATAAAAATAAAAATAAAAATAATTCCGTCCGCGCCCGTCTGGGGCTGTGCGTCGACAGGGACAAGCCAACTAGTTCGTTGCTGACACGCCAATCATCATCCGTGTCAGGCGTCCAGGCTGCGGGTTGTGCCGTTCACTGACGTCCTGGCCTGTCGCCCTACGAGAATCAATCTTCCAGTATGGTGATCAATTGGTTCCCAGTCCCTGTCGAGGTTCCTCTCTCCTCGTCCGACCAACGACGATCGCACCATCTGACAACGTTACATGGCCGTCCCAAAAACCCGTCCGTCCGGGTCAAACCCTATGAGGACCCAAAAAAGAAAAAAGAATCGGGCCGGGGATCAGCCACCAAGACCCTTGTTAGGCAAATGATTCGTCAGAGAGGTGAAATGAGGCCCAGAACCTCTCGTCCCAATCGAGGCCGCTACATCACTTCCGAACAGCGCGGACATCGGCCGCATGGTGGATCCTGGCGTCGCTCGGGGTCACGGTCTAGGCGATTTTGGTGATAGGCGGGTCGGCGATCATTCCTTTGGCTCGCTGTGTCGCCGTCCCAGAGCCGCATAGGATCGATCCATCGGGAGAAGGATCGGTTCGGATTTGCATTTTATTTGCACATGACAGTAGTGACACGAAAAGGGGATTCCTTTTCTGGGTCGGACTGACGCTTGACTCTTTACCAGTGGAGTATGCACAACGCGAAAAACACAGGGGTGGATAACAGACGGGCACCCCGAATCTCGTGGCTTCGGCATGGCGTAAGTCCACTCACTGGGGGTGACTACAATAGTATCGGTGAGGGCAACCCCACTGGCGAATCGAACCGCGCCACACTGGTCGTCAAAGCCACATCCCACCGTCCTCGAGACCAATCACGGCGCATCTCGGTTCTTTCATTGCTTCTGGTTGGCCCGACGGGAGGCGCAGTCGGGCTGCATTCACCGACTTGTTCGGGGATGCCCGTCGTTTGCTGCATGAGATCATTTTGGTTCTCGTATTATCATTATAGATTTGCTGTCCCCCTGTGCTTTAGTTGATTTTTAATCCTGTAGGTTGACAGACCTCCTTCCTACTAGGACTTACTTCCAGTGGTTGCCTTGAAACTAGCCGCCGGCCAGTCAGCACCACGCAATGGCCTGTCCCGTGTGATGATGGGGGCAGTCCAGCGTCCAATCCCAGTACCGGAACGCGCTGCTGGCTCTGGGCGCCCCCATTAGCACCCAGGAAAACAGGATGATTAGGGTAGGGCTAGGATCGCTTCACGCTAGCCGTCACCACGGTCCTGGGATGCTGTTTTCCATCATCATCCGGACTGGCATGATCGGCGACTCCGAGGGGCTTTTTTTTTTTTTTTTTCCCCTCTCCCTTAGGGCTGTGTGTACTTCCGGAAAAACAACACGATGCCCGATCAAGTAGGGAGTTCGGGACCATGGTTTGCTCGTCCATGGTACCCTCGATTTCCGATTTTCCAGTTTGTTCGTATAATCATGTCACACTCCATAAGAAGTAATGAACTTGGAATCAATGTACGACTTGCTAAATAATGCACATGGAATCGTTTCAAGAAGTTCCATCGTGCAACTCAACTCCCCGTAACTCCCCGGGGCTCCCCATAATTCATGATCAAGCCTAAGCCCTACGCCCCCAGTCGATCCCTGTCGTCCATGTGGTCGTGCTAAAAACAGCAACCCATTCAGTCATGAAGCAGGTTTTGTTCCAGACTTGTCCATCCACCCACCCACCATCCATGCTTGCTTGCTTCATGTCGGTCGCACAAAACAGTCTGCTCGCCTGTTTCAGATCTCAGAGTGATTTCCGAGATTTTAATGCAAATGGCCCCCAAGTTTCCACCCTGTTTTCCGCGTGGGAGACGATCTGCGGCCTGGAAAAAACGTGGCCTCGCTCTTTGTCTTACGGCCAGCGTCAATTTCTTGCCAGCGGATTATCGATGGTCCTCCAGAAGCACAGATGGCTAAGCAGCTTGCTCTTTCTCAAATTGGATTAGATTGGATTAGTTCGTTGGTTAGTCTCGTCGCAAGTCAGTCAGACAAGACAGCCTTATGGGGAGTCTCTTAGCATTTCGTCCCGACGATCAAGCGTCTAGACTGTGTCAGGATTGGGGCTTACCTGTCTGTGCCCACCCATTAATTATTGACAGATGACTCCTGGCCTCCGCTAATCAGGGACATTCTTCCTATTTGACAGCCCTGGAGATTAGCTACTCGTATAGCTACTCCTGAACCACGTCTACATGGAGCCATTTAACGCTTTAAAATCCACACCCCGCCTATGCCGGCTTCCGCGCTAGAGGACGTGTCTTCCTTTCACCCGGCTAAATCTAGTAACCCGGCGCGAGATATGGTCGCAGATCCAGTTTGGGTCTGGTTAGGAGGAGGATCTAGCGGCTCTAGTGATGTGCACGGGTGCGTCTGGGGCGACCGGAGGATAGTCGGCGGATGTCAAGTCTTCAAGTTGAGTCTCAAGGCATTTAATCAGACAGGTCATATAGTACGTAGAGTGGGTACTCTCCGATCCGTAATCCTGCCATATCAATGTGGAATTTGGCTGATTCTTGATTACATAGTGCTCTCTGTGCATATTCAGGGGTCTCGTTCGGCCCCTTTTCCCTTTTCCCCTTTTTGTCGAACACGATCTCGTCCAGCATCACATGGCCCCCTGCATCGTGTCTTACATCCTGCAACTGCACTTGGTGGTGGGCCCCGCGGTCCGATCCTCTGCCACATTCCATGCGGTCGGAATTTCTTTGTTTTGCACTGGCTCAGCATCAACCGAGAATTGCGTCCTGTCCAATCCCTCCTGCCAAGATCTGACCACTGACGACACTCTCCAATAGATAGGGGTTTGCGATCTGAGCGCCGTTGTGTTGAGTCTGTGCGCTCCTTTTCCAAATTACGTTTCCAAATCACCCATGACATGACTCGTGGTGAATCTCTCAGTTTGAGACTTTCCCCGACGTGTATTGTGTCTCTGGTTCAGAACCAGAAGAGTCACCTGACGACTGTGTATACAATGTGTAACCTCCCCTCATCATCCCAACAGACCCGTACATAGTAACACAAAGGCAGTTCCCAGGCAATAGCGTACTATCCTCCCTCGAGGCGCTTGCTGTCTCCCGTCTGTCGGCCCTGTTGATCAAGGCCAGGAAAATACTCCCACCCTCTCCTCCAATAACACATGATTGATCCAACGCACCGATCTACGTACAGCCAACACGGTGGTACATTTGTCATGGAAGATCCATCGCGGGAGATACACAGTCCCCAAACTCTACCTTATGGATGTGTCGATTTGGGCTTGTTCACCGCTACCTCCCTGATTCCCTCTCTATTTGTGATCACGACCATCCTTATCCGATGCAAATGTGGCTGGGAGTAATAGTGGAGCACTAGTGATCCACTTGAATCGGTGGTACAGAGGTCTTCTCCACCGAATCCAGATGATCTTGAACAGCAGAACAAAAGACAAAAGGGGAAAGACTATACCCGTCCCTCCGTACTCCATACATACAGCGCGTATCCACAGCAGTGAAAGGTACATCCGCACATCCCCATCCTAACCCCACTTAAACAGGCGCCATCGCCATCGCCGAGATACAACGATCGTCTGCAGGTGCGTGGCTTCCATTGCTGCCGTGTTCGATCTCCTTCTTGCTAGTTACATATCTACATAAATGCATATTGCACATGCAAATCTACTATGTATGAAAAGTAATAGTAGCATATAGCGCACGATCGAAGGTGACACCACACCACACCACACTATAGTTCGGGACTGATCCTTCGCTGTGGGTCAGGTCAAGTCATGGTCGATCTAAGGCAGTTGACGTGACGTTGCCTGCCGCGGACTGCGCTTTGCCACCAACAGAGTACAGTAGATGTATCGCGAGAAATCCTGATTGTGATGCGTGGGTGATCACCCGAATATACCGGGAACAAAGAAAGATATTTAGGTTCTATAGTCGCAGATCAAATGTCTGTCGGCGATGAATAACCCGGTCGGTGATTCCGCGGGCGTGATGGGCGATCGATGCGAGGTGATCGGCTGGGGTCTGTGTTCCGAGTGAGTTTCTACACTGTGGCGCAGGTTTGGGGCGCGGAGAAGGTTAGGATGTGATTGCGTCCATCACGTACATATTGATTTGCATTAGAGTTATAGATACTAAGGATCTGGAGGGAGATCATCTGCATGAATTAGTGTATACTGGGAATGGAGATGAAGTACGGACTTGAGTTGAAATTAGAGACACTACTTCAGTCCCAGCATTGATACCTACATTCTTATTAGACAATTATATTTCCCTCTCTGCAGTCAAAGAAAATTACTACAATCTAATGTAGGAACAGAAACCTTCCGCCATTCAATCATATTCCTTCCATCAGAAAATCACGAAGCACGTTCAACCAGGGCCACCCTAGTCGGCAATACATGGACACCCCAGCCACCAGGATAAGGGGCCATACACGAAAAGTCCCGGGTTCAGCTGCATGCAAAATCGCTGGAAGGATGCGTCTCGTGGCAGAGCACACGGGCATTGTTTTGGATGTTGGCTGGATGTGACACGGATCCGTGGATGTTTCTTAGAAGGCCGTTAACATGGTGGCATAAATGACGTCGTGGAGGTATATCAAAATGTCATAGCAGAGTCCGAATATGTAAGATGTTAAATATTAGGATAAAAACTATCTTTCTTCCGGCAGATCAGTACTCATCCTCATTTCCAAGGGGTTTGTCCGAAATATATATCAATGTCTCAACACCAGAGATATAATATTGTTGACGGTAAAGCTGCCGCTTCGGTTTGCGATCGACTCTGAGATCACGGATAGACTCTAAAAGAACAAATCTTCGATAATCAATCTTCAAGCCCGACATTGACGGAAATGGCCATATCGCCGCTGTATACTCAATTTCCCTTTATGATCCGACACTGTAATTGCAACCACCCTCCCTGTCTTTTCCGCGGCTGAACTCCACGGCGGGCTCTATGGTTGTTAAGGATCGTGGTCGACGGCTAGCAATTGGGTGCGTCATAAGCCAACCCCCGAGCCCTTGTTTCATAAACCGGCCAAGCCAGCCCGAGTCCAGACCATTTCAATTCCAGGTGCATTCCATAGCAAACCCACATGCTGCAAATAACACGCAATCATAGCACATGCTTCATATGCTGCATGTAAGAATATGAATAAGTATCTCCCGAATGTATCCTGGTCAGAGATATGACAAACCCCACGAATGAAGGGAAGAAGAAAAAAGAAGAAGAAGTAGCCAAGCGAGGATAAACATAAGCATTAGCCGTACTTAAATCAGAAACCATGTTCCCGGTAAGTAACAACAAACCTTCGCTCTCCTTTTCCAAAATATCAAAAGAGTTGATCATTCCATCTGTATCCCGAATCGGCCTGTGATACGGATGGAATTGAGAACCGGACTTCCTTACGAATGGTACAACATTTGCTCTTTTTTGTGGAACATCTCACTTCTGAAATGCCTCCTACATGATACACTGTAACACATCCCCAAGAGAAAAGACTGTGTCCCGGAGATGCTCGGGTACCACGTTTCAATTGAGCGGAGATCGAGACACGCGATCTTGCATCACATGTGGACATAGCCTGTGGCATTCTGCGTACAGCAGTTTTCGGAATCAGTTATACCTATTAGTTGCGGGAGTCCTGCCAACAGCTGGAAAGTGGTCGCCAGCCCACTGGAAAACCGTTTGATTAAGCTCGCAAACGCTATTGAACTGTCGCCGGCCGAGTATGACCAATGGGATGCCATGTGGCCCGGGTTCATGGATCACAGTGCCACTGTACTCATTCCTACCACACCTGTACTAAGGAAAGGTCAAGATCACCAATAGAATTGGGTATCGAAGTCAAGGCTAAAGTATATACAGGAAAACAAGAATAAGAAGTGAAAAGAGTGTCACAGAAAAAATAATGAAGGTAAAGCCCACAGTTCTCCTAACCATGAGCTCATCCATCCACCATGCCGTTCGCCTCCTAGGCAATAACGTCCTGGTCATAGTATAGATCGCAAGCATGAGGATGCTGCAGACAATACTTGGGCACAAGCGCGGTAGCCATAACACCATTTGCCACGAGATACTCGCGGAAATTCAGGATGCGCTGGGTCATCTCCGTGGTGCGCTTCTTGCCCGTGGTCGGGTCCCGGTTTCCGGACCAGAGGAGCTCGCCGAGAGCAGAGGCGCGAGGCCAGAATCCGCTGGAGACGGTTACGTCGTCGACTTGTTCGGACCAAAGGGGCGCTTCGCCGCCGAGGACGTGCTTGGCTTGCGCGTCGGTGAGGTTGGTGGTAAAGTCATAGTCGTAGATGCGCTGCCAGGTCTTGTACGGCGCGCACCACGATCCGCCATTGCCGCCGTAGTTGAAGGTCACGTCGCCGGTGGGGTTGGTCAACACGTCGTAGCGGGGATCGTTGGTCACCGCGCCGCCGTGACCGCAGTCCAGATACAGCCAGTCGGAGGAGGAGACCACGACGTCGTAGCCGCGGGCAGTCAGGTTATTGATGTTGGCGATGCCGTTGCTCCAGCTCTGCATGACGATGTTCTTGGGGACATCGTTCGCGGACACAGGGCCGAGCGCGATATCCTCCCACATCATGAGGCGGCGCGAGGGCGGGGCAGCTTCGTGGAAGATGGGGACGGCCTTGTCGACCCAGTACTGGGCGAGGTCATTGTAGGTGCGCGAGGGGTCCTCCTTGAACCACTCGGTGACGTACTTGCTGAAGTTGTAGCAACCGGTCTGGAGCTCGTCCGCGCCGACGTGGAACCAGTTATCAGGGAAGATGCCCGACAGCTCGTGATACACATTGCGCACGACATCGTAGGTGCCGTTATAGATGATGTCGAGCTGGCCTGGGTTCGGCTCAACGGCGGTGTGATACGTCCAGTCGTCGTTGGACCACCACGAGTTCGCGCACGCCACAATGGTCGGGTCAACTTGCTTCCATCCTGACTCCGAATGGCCGGGCATGTCCACTTCGGGGATGACCCGCACACCGCGAGCGCGAGCATAGGAAATGACCTGTTGCAAGTCACCATGGGAGTAGGTCTCGCGCGCGGAGTAGGCATCCTTGGTCATCTGTGGGTAGACGCTCATGTGCATCGGCCACGACTGCGAATCGTCCAGGTGCCAGTGCAGGACATTGAGCTTGGACAGGGCCATGCCGTCGATCTGCTCGAGGATCTTGGGGAGGCTGATGAAGTTGCGGCCCGAGTCGAGCATGATACCGCGGTAAGGGTAGAGCGGACTGTCCACGATGCGGACAGGCTGCTCAATGATCAAACCGCCATGGCCGTCGGAGATGACGATCTGCTGCAGGGTGGTGAACGCGTGCAGTGCACCCCAGACCGTCTGCGCGTTAATTTGGATGGTGCTGGATCCCTGGCCCACTTCCAGGGTGTACGACTCGTCCACGCCGTGCTGCAGGTCAGCATTGCCGTCGGCGACAAACACATCAATGACATGGAGCGGGACGGCCGCGGAACGCTTGTACGGTACGGGCGTGATGGTGGGTTCGCCGGGGAAGGGAGCGAAGTGATTTGCTTGGATCGGAGCCTCAGTGGCCTGGGGCACCCATTGAAGGGTGGTGATGGCTTGCCATGCGCGTTCCCAGGCACTGGTCAGGATTTGGGCGTTGCGGCCGTTGTGCTGGGCGCGCAGGGTCAAGCCCTGGACACGGACCGGGCCTGACGAACCCCAGGTAATGTGGCGCGGAGCGGGAAGTGGGTTGACCTGGACAGCCACAGCAGACCCAATGGCCGCGGCCACGCTGAGGACGGAGAGCTTCATAGTTGACGACGGTCGAGGGTGTTGAGAAAGGGAAAGAAGGGGCCAGGGGAAGGGGATGGACGTATTTATGACTAGCGGATCTGTTGGATCAATTGGAATGCAATCAACTAGCCAACTAGCTCCTGTTAGTTACGTGGAATTTACTACAGTCGTGTTTGATTGTTATTATTTCCGATCGGATCGAGTGTAACCGTCCAAACAGCCCTCGCTTAACCCTAAATCTATGGTCTGTACCCCTGAACAGGCCCTGAGCGGACCCTTGAGGTTTCGTTTCATGAGGTTACATCACCTGCTTGTAACAGTGCTAGCCCCATTTTACCCAGTGTGTCCTAACTGCGACCTCCACATACGACCGTGGGGAAAACAAACAAGCTTTAAATGACTGTGCGGATAATCGGATAATGGGATGATAAGAGGACACGAACGATTAAGTTACTTCTCGAGCGACCGCTCCATCTCCATCCCCTCGCGGAACTCCCCCTGAATGGCTGCCGCGGCCTGGTCCGACGGAGGCACACACGGCCGGCGTGGTAGTCCTCCATAGCCATGGTATGATTGCAGCGCACTCTTGACCGCCACAAATCCCCCATGGATGGCCGCCCAGTCCGCACGGGCAACCACCGCCTGAGCGCGTTGCGCTTCGTCGACCTTGCCGCTGCGATACAGCTCCATGACCCGGACACACGACCGAGGAATCACGTTGGCGACTCCCCCAATGATACCCGCGCCGCCGACAACCAGGGTCTGCAGCGTGAAATCGGCAGAGCCGCCGAACGTGAGGAACCCTGGCTTGGCGGCTGCCGCCACGCGAGCCAGCTTGCCCGTGTTGCCGCAGGTGAGCTTGCAGCCGATGATATTGGGATGTTGCGACAGGGCCAGGATATCATCTGAGCTGAGGTCCAGTCCCGACGACGCGCCGGGGAAGTTATAGATGAGGACCGGCACGGGCGAGGCGTCGGCCACGGTGCGGAAGTGCGCATACATGGCTTCGATGTTTACCAGCGCCTTGTAGTAGCTGGGTGGCAGCACCAGGACGGCGTCGGCGCCCGACGCCGCGGCATCCTGGCAGAGCTGAACCGTCTCGCGAGTCGAGGCAGCGCCGCAGCCGGAAATCACGGGCATTGAGGGATATCCAGCGGCATCCACGGCGCGGCGTGTGGCCGCGGTGATGGCCTTGCGCTCATCGCGGTCCAGATGTACGGCTTCGCCATTGCTACCCTGGGTGACCAGGCCGGCCACGCCCGTGCGGGCAAGGTAGGCAGCGTGTTTCTCAGTTGTTGGCAGGTCGATCTCCTCATCCGGACGGAAGAAGGCCACGGTGGGCACGTAGAAGCCGCCAGTGAGCGGATTGCGCTTAGAGCTGCCGTTGGCGGCCATGTTTTATGTGAGAGATGCCCGGAAGAAGGGAGATGAAGAGATCAACATGCGGACATGGGACGAATAAATAGTGAATGAGTGACCTAATGAACTAGGATAAACCCCCACGTCCACCCACAGTATGCGTGGGACACACCCGGAAGCCCCCACGTCGGTGTGTATGCGGGGTTGGTCCCTGCCCAGGGCTGTTCTTACATAGTCGACTGGTCGGATTGGTCTCCGTCAAGTAGGAACTATGTTCTGCGACTGTTAAGGCTACGATAGTTGCCGTATCGGGTATTCCTAGGCCGAGGGTCCTTTCTCCCCACACTTCGTGCCTGGCCGTGGGGGAACATGGGGTTTAGACATGAACCCAGGTCATAATCGAAGATATTGTTGTACGATTATTGCAATGAGCTATATGGCACATGGTCGAGTGTGTCACGGTCGTGGAAGGGAGAATTACATGAGTGCACGGCCACTATAACAATAAGAGGCATCACACAGTGGCCTCGTCCCCAATGTGGTTGGACTGACGCTGCCGGGGATGCGGTATAGATAGAGACCTGTGCATACAATTGTTGCGCTAGAAATGATACCGATAGACACGGTGGCAGTTGGAGGTAGACCATGATTTATTCCTTCGTGAAGGAACTGGTCGGCTTAGGGGTTCGCTCCCTATTGTTGATCGTGGGACAATTGGCAACAGGACACCTCGCCGAAGGCCCAATCGATCAATAGCCTCCCTCTGGACCAGGAGAGCTATTCATCCATGCGATCCATTCACTCTCGCCGTGCGCCAGTCTATATATACCTCGTCTCGCCAAGACTCAATAATCATCACCATCTCCGCCATCCTCACCCTTGCCCCATCAGTCAGATCTTTCTCTGCGCCCGATCGAGTCACCTCACCCACCTCCCGTTCATTCCTTCTTCTCTCCGCGCTGCGCTCCAGCATGACTGGGGACTAATTCTTCCGCCCATTGAGCAATGACCCTGCTGTCGCGGTCCTCGCTCCGTGGCTCAGGGCGAGCGGCCGACGACCACGACCACAACGACCACAACGACGGCGGGCTGGCACCGCCGTTGAAGAACTCCGACACACCCAAGAATCCTCCCTCGCGCCGCCGCAGAAGTTCGCCAGACTGTCTGGACACGACCACCACACTCGAGAATCCTGACGCCACCGACCCGCCGCCGCCCTTGAAGCCCTCGCGCCCGCGTCCCTCCGCCCGGCACCGTGCCTCGTCCTCCTCTTCTACCTCCTCCTCTTCCTCCCACACACCGGCCTCCTCGGCAGAACTGGCAACTCCCCGTGTCAACGGCAATAATGGCATCGTCAAGCACGCTCACCCTGCCGATTTGCACCCGGGCGCGCGCGAGTCTCCGGATCCATTGGACACCATTCTCTCGCCCAACATGACCTCCAAGGCTAATGGTTCGTCGGCTGCCGCAGCTCGCGCCCGTCACAGCGGTGACCAACCTGTCCCAAATGTGAACAAGAAAGAGCCGGTGGCGGCGACGCAGTCGACTCGATCCCGCCAGAGCGATGTCGTCGAGAACCTCGAGCAATCGGGTGATGGCAGGCGATCGTTGCGTTCGACGGATACTCGATGCAAGAGCGAGCTGGCACAATATATCCCCAATTACGAAGTGCTGATTGGGTTGGAGGAACCCCAGCCTGGTAAGTCTGAGTGCTCCAGGACGAGAACAGCCGCTGATGATCGAACAGAATTCTTAACTGCTACGACGACGATCACACTGATCGATGACCTTCACGAGCCGCTACCTTTCTCCGACGAATCAGACAAAATGCCTTTCGGCAATCCACTAAAGAAGCTTCACGACTGCGAGGTGATCAAACTCCCCGAGCCGAAGGGCGCAACAGACGTTGATCCACTGGGTGAAGAGACATACTTCCGCGCACACCGTAAAGTCGAGCGCCAGGAGAAACAGCTCCGCAACATAGAGCGAGACCGTTCAGACCACCAGCAGCAGACATTAGAGCGTCTTCTGGAGGAACTTCGTGGCCACGACTGGCTCCGCGTGATGGGTCTGACCGGTGTGCATGAGAGCGAGAAGAAGGCCTTCGAGCCCAAGCGGGACATCGTGATCCAGGAGGTAGTGGCGCTGGTGCGCAAGTTCCAGCTCTGGAAGGACGAAGAGCGTCGACGCAAAGTGGCCAAGGACAAACCGGCCGACACTGACTCGCGCTCCCGGAAGCGGTCCCAGCCTGTTGAGGATCATGACAGTTCCCCGGTCACTGACACCACGCCTGACCCCAACGATGTGGACGCATGGGCTGCTCGGCAGCTGCACCAGGAGGCTCGCTCGGCCACTGTCGCTGGCAAACAGGCCAAATCAGATCCAAACGCTGGCCAACCAAAGGAAGAGGTTGATAAAAGCGCCAAGGACAAGAAGTTCCGCCAAACTACCCTCCCGTTTACACCCCTTCCACCACCGCCAGAGAAGCCATTTACTTCATTCTTCGCCAAGCCATCCCAGCGCGCGGCCGCCATTGCTGCTTCCAAGGCCACAACCCACAACCGTTCCATCCTCGCATTCGGCCGTCCAGTCCCCGAAATGGGAGAGCTAGACTTCGAGCCACCCTCCGATGTTCTCACCGAGGACGCAATCCAATCCGCGCAGCGGAAGCGGCGCCGACTGAACCGGCGCAGCGGGCCTAAGTGATATCTTTTTGTTTCTGTTTCGTCTCATCTTTCTGATCGCATCCCATTTTGTACGATAGCATTTCACCGATCAAGCATGGCGTGCGTCTTTTTCTGGGGGTTGTGTTGCACGTTGCACCTAATGCCGGCGTTGGGCGAGTGGCATTTGTTAACTGTCTGGGATTGGTTGTATCTGGGTCTGTACCACCAGTCAATCGATAATATTCTGAGTATTTATTGCCGTCCCCGTGGGGATTTCAGTCAAAGCTAGAATAGTCTATACGATTGGGGAAGTGTGCGCCTTGGTATTATTATTGTTATTTTCTCAATGTGAGCGCCCTCGCAATTAACCCTGGTCTTCAGGAGAATAGAAGAGTCAATCAGTAATTAGAAGAGATGAAGAAATCTTCCTAAAAGCCTGGCCAATCCAAAACGAATAGCCAGCTCAATTGATACCATTTGTGTACAAATACATACTACCACAGTCACAACGAACCGGAGTGGCAAAGTGCGGCCCAATCCGGAGAAGCACACAAACTCCGGTGATGACGACTTGACCAACTTCAGCCTGCCGTGCAGAAGATCGACAACTCTATCTCATCTACTTTCGATCAAGCTTTTCACTCACTCACTCACTCATTTATTCGTCCTCTATCTCTTCGTCATCATCCTTTTCTTTTTTTTTTCAGAATATCCTAGAGAATAAACTTAACCCCTTCACCGGCATCGGCGAACCACCTCTCTTCCCCGGTTTCTGCAGGCTCCATCCGAACCACCGCCACCCGCCGTTTCTCTTACGTCTCGAGGTCGTGATTCGTGCTCTCGGTCCGACGCCGGGATTTTCAGGTCCCACTTTTAACTCATACTTTTGGAGGTCTACAAACTCAGTCATTATTGGATTAAACCCATTTTTTCTCTTATTTTCTACGCGGGTGGTTGTTTTTGTTTTGTCTTCCTTTCACTCTTTTCGTGACCTTCGTTCGATCTCTGCAGATATATCAGAGCCTTAATTTCGTGGGCCTCGCTCCCTCGCTGCCGTTATGACCGTCCAGGTGGTAGACGCGCCACCCCCGTCTGATCTGGAGGTTGGTGAGCTGCGCAAAGACAGCACCCAGGTCGATCCTGAGTACTTGGATGACGAGAAGGTCGCTTCGCCGCCGTATCGGCAGGACCCGTATGGCGATGAGGAGTTCGCGGAGGTGAAGTACAAGGTGTTGAAGTGGTGGTAAGTTGGCATCATACCTTGAGGAAGTTGATCGAAGCTAATTCATGTACAACTTTCTAGGCAATGCGGTTTACGTACGACCTTCTTTTCTTCTCCTTGATATTCGATCCCAATCCTAACTCCTTCACATAGTCATGGTCGCCGAAACTGTCTCCCTGGGTGTCTTGTCCCTCCCCGCCGCCGTCGCAGGCCTCGGTCTGATCCCGTACGTGACATCCCTCATACACCTCCTTAGTACATACACGAACACTACTAACACGGCCCATAAAGTGCAATTATCATCCTCATCGGTCTCGGCCTCCTCGCCACATACACAGGCTATGTGATCGGGCAAATGAAATGGAGATACCCGCACATCACAACAATGGCCGACGCCGGCGAGGTGATTGGCGGCAAATTTGGACGCGAGCTGCTCGGCATCGGCCAGATGCTGTTTCTGATTTTCATCATGGCGAGCCATCTGCTCACGTTCACGGTGGCGATGAATACCATCACGGGCCATGGGACTTGTTCGATTGTGTTTGGGGTTATGGGATTGATCATCTCGTTCTTGTGCTCGTTGCCGAGGACATTGGTGAAAATGTCGTGGTTGTCTCTCGTTTGTATATTCTCCCATCTCTCCCAACATACTCCAGTCAGAATGAACTGACTCCTCCCCAGCATTCGGAAGCATCATGACCGCCGTCCTAATCACCATGATCGGCGTCGGCATCGAGAAACCCGACATGCATATCGTGCCCGTCGTCCACACAGATCTGTTCCACGGCTTCTCAGCAGTGTGCAACATCGTCTTCGCCTTCTCGGGCCACGCCGCCTTCTTCGGACTGATGGCTGAACTGCGCAATCCTCGCGATTTCCCAAAGTCCCTGTGTCTGCTTCAGGGCCTCGATATCTCACTCTATCTCGTCGCTGCGCTCGTCATCTACCGCTACGCAGGAGATGATGTCAGTTCGCCGGCACTGGGCTCTGCTTCGCCGGTTGTTGCTAAAGTTGCGTATGGGATTGCCCTACCTACAGTAAGTTTTAGTCATTCTTTTACCTTGGATCAGTAGGTACTCACTCTTTATAGATCATCATCGCTGGCGTGATCAACGGCCACATCGCATTTAAATACGTCTACACGCGCATCTTCAGCGGAACAGACCGCATCCACAAGCGCGACTGGGTGGCCATCAGCTCGTGGGTGGGCATCGCGCTGGCCCTGTGGATTCTCGCGTGGATTATCGCCTCTGCTATCCCCGTATTTAGCAGTTTGCTCAGCTTGATCACGGCACTGTTTGCTAGCTGGTTTAGCTGTAAGACATCCCCAAATTCCTCTCCTTCCCAAGAAAAAAAGCTCTTTGCTAATAACTTCTAGATGGATTGAGCGGTATCTTCTGGTTGTACATGAATAAGGGTCTTTGGTTTTCATCTCCGCGCAAGATCGCGCTTACGGTCCTTAATTTTACGCTCGTGGGTATTGGCGCGACTTTGGTATGTCCATGTCTCTGCCTTCAATATTGAGAGGATATTTTGAAGCTAACTACAAGATTCCAGTGCGGTCTCGGCCTTTATGTCTCTGGCAAGGCTATCCATGATAACCCGAGCAGTGCCAGTTTCTCGTGTGCGAATAATGCGACATAAGATGCTTTCAGCTCGCTCTTGCTTATTTGCTTTGTTTCTTTCTTGGCTATAGGCGTCACGATATATTCCTTTTGAGCATCGAATTACCTAGCAATTCTAATATCTGTTCCCAATCAGGGGAGGGTTGTTGGCATTTGCTGCATTTGCATGGACTGTTTGCTTTGCTTTTGGGGGTGTACACTGCATTTGTATATAGACATGGGAAATATACACCAGCATTTGAACAGTTAAATTTTGGTTTGAGAGCAGATACGAAATGTTCGCAGGGAGGGTTCTGCGGAGTAGTGCTGGACAGCAACATGGCAAGTGTATAGAGATCCTCGATCAGCTGGCGAATCGGGTGCCACGAAGAGGCTGAACACATCTCTTCTCGGGGATCGTCCAAAAGGCGCCATTTCCACGTCTCGTTTCTGGGACGTGCAAATGTCGATCCTGCCAGCGGCACGGGGAGGGATAAATAGCTTGCAAGCCAAACTCACTATTCCAGGAGTGGCTTCCAACAACACCTAACCGATGGAGCACACAGGCAGTAGTCCAGACAGTACGGCCAGTCTTTCTTTCGACCAAGCCAGGAAGCATAAACCTATATATGACCAGTTAGATCTCCCCTTAATAAACCGCCAGAAAATCAATCCCCGCGAGTAACGCATTCCCGCTCAGAGAGAAGATTAGGTCGTCAAAGCCTTACACATGCGTGGATGGTATGGCATTCCGACTAAGGATGACTATACGATGATTTTCATCATTGTGGGAGGGAGGCTCGCGGAGAAAGAAAGAGAGGTATGCACGTACCTTGATGCCAGAGGGAGGTAGATAAATATCCCCAATCAATCAATCATCGTACGAGACGATCCTGCGCCCAGAGTATGGCGCATTCGATACTGGTTTTTCTGTTTGCGGCGTATCGCGTCCCAAAGTGTCTTCGCTATAATCCAATGACGCCGAGACGGGGGCTGCCTCAGCGCTGTTCTTAGCCGTTGAGTTTTTCTTCTTCTTCTTCTTCTTCTTCCTCTTCTTTTCATCCACGCTCTTCGTCTGTGTATCTCCACCTATCGCCTCCTGCCGAGATGACTGTGTAGGCTCTTCATCTTCCCCATCCTCATCCTGATGTTCGTCCTCCTCATCATCAGTCAACGACTTCCCCCTCCGAACCTCATACTCCTCATCATCCTCCTTCAACTGTCTCGCGCGCAGAACGGCATGGATCTCACTATGTCGAAAGATCTGGATCTGCTCATCTGTCAGGGTGCGCCGCACGCCATCGGGGTAGAAGCCTAGATCTGGGTCGGCATCTGCACTTTGGTCGTAGGTGTATTCGGGGAGTGTGGCGGGGGGTTGGTGCGGGAAGTGTTTTGAGTGGAAGGTTTGAAGGTCTTCCTATAGAGACTGTTAGTTTGTGAGTGTTGGAAGAGCGGAGGGACATACGCTGGTGATCGTTGGGACCTGCATTGGGTGGTGGAGGAAAACACGAGGCGGACGCGCGAGATAGTGCGAAAATTACCGTAATTACATTACAATTGATGGGCATCGTGGGATTCAGATTACAGAACCGTATGAAGATTGATTCTATCCAGATGTATTTCTATGTGCAGCTCTATCTAGTTCACTCCCTAGAAAGTGGTATACTAACAACATGATTCCCAATCTTTGCCTTGACACTATCAAATCGCACTCTCAATCCCTGCAGCGCCTTCAGATCCATCTCCCTCACCCTCTCCCGCTCCTCGGGGTCCGGTTCATCCAGACTCCACGCAAGCGAGATATGAAAGCAGTCCGTGTAATCGATATCCCCATCTGCCAGACCGCTCTTCTGACCCGCAGACGCACGGGACGCGCGGGTGTCTCGCTCGTAGAGCGGCGGCTGGTGAAAATGAGCAAGGGCGTCGTTCGCCAACCGCAGCAGCTGGTTGAGATTGTTACGGGCAGGTTTCTGCACGCGGAGCACGCGGAACCAGCGCGTGCGCTCGTGGTTGGAGACCCAGTCCAGGTGGGCGGGCTGGATGGTAAATCTGGGGTGGTTGGTGGGGGGTGTCAGAATGTGAGACACGATATGTCGACCAGGGATGTCTGGAGATCAAAACGTACGGGGGAATATGGGCGGTTTTGATCACCGTTTCCAGTCTCTCTGTAAACGAAGCCCGCTGTTCCGTGCGCAGAACTACCGGTCGCGACAGGCTGATGTGGAGGGGCAATTGCGCGCCCAGATCGGAATGCAGCAGACTGTGGTGGGAGCCGATGAGATCTGCAAGGAGGGGCAGCTCGTCTTTGGCGGGATACCCTAGAACGAAAATTAGTGAATGCGCCGGACTGAGACAATTGCAAGGGAAGACCGACACTCGAGGTAGAGGTGCGTGGGCCAGTTGCCTTCGACATGGGGAATGACGCGCTTCCGTCCGTCGTGGAGGGCCGGGTCATCTTGCACGCTGACGCGGGTGCTGGAGGCGTACAGATCGTGGAAGGAGGGCGGTAATGGCGGGAGAGCTGAGCGGGACTGGGCCGTTTCCTCCCCTTCATCGGAGTCGGAGTCGGAGTATTGGACCAGGGACATCAAGGGGTGATGATGTGGTGATGTGAGAAAGTCAGTGGTGGGGGATCAGCCGTGGATCCGCCCATCTGTCGCACAGTGTTCCAGCGCTGCAGGGTCTGTGCAATACATATACTACTAGGTATATCTAAGACCGAACTAAATACACTAGACCTACCTCCTAGGGATTTAGACCCAAGTAGACCATCCCGACATAAGCTTAAACCGTTATGGCTGATCGGGTGCCTCGGAAGGGACTAGTATGTGGGTCAACCTTAATACGCAAGTCACGACGTCACCTGCCACTACTATATACTGCGTCGACTGACCATCCCTAACTTCTGCCTAGTCTCGCTCTTCTCTCTCTTTTTTTCTCTCTTTCTCTCTCTCATCGGTTTTTTAACCCCAGGAAGACACCTACCGCTGTACTTTCACAGCTTATACTCCCTCTGATCTATAACAGTGATTGTTATACTCTCATAAATGGCCGCCGTCGATTGCATGTCCATGGCCTCCATGGCCTCGTGCCATCACCCCCATCATCCCTTCAACAACCCAGACCGCCGCCTGAGCTACTCCAGCTTTGGCAGCAACAACCCCTACGCCCGATACATGTCCCCTTCACCATCGCGGCACCGTCGGTTCCGCTCGGATTCGGTGCCCTCGATCTTGTATTCCGGCACTCCCGAGCACCACCCTGTGGATTCCCGACGGCACCGCGACTGCTCCACCCCCCGACGCCGCGCGAGCGCCCGCCAGCCGCGGTACTCGCGGCTGGTGCAGCCGGATATCATCGACGAGCTGGATAACGTGAGCCTCTACTCGTATCACCACGAAGGCCCATATGATGCAGTATACCCGGAACGAAACAGAGACATCGCCTACAGTCCCCTGGAAGCCGTCAAGGAATCCAACGCCGAGGCCCTGAAGGCCACGCCCCGCGACAAGGTCGTCGACTGCATTAACAGCCACCGACCCCTGGACGGCACGGCGTTCTATCCGCCCGGCACGACGGATCGCAACGGCCAGACCTATGAGTATGAAGAAGGCGCCAATATGATGAACGACCTGAGCAACTTCTTTCGCATTCCGGGACTGCGTTTCACCGACAAGGACTTTGAGAAGGATCCCTTCTATACCCGGCCCCTCTCGAATCCGTTTACGCAACTGCGCAAGAAGTTGAGTCTTCGACGCAAGCGACGCAGTAACACGACTTGACTTGATGGCTATCCTACGACATTTGACTTAAATTGATCACGAACGACGCGACACCGATAAACGAACCAACGACATGAGACTCGACTGATGACTTGGTTTTCTTTCTTCTTTTTTTATTATGTTTAGAATAAACCTCTGTCTTTGCTCTTGGGTGTGTTTTTTGGAACCGACTTTTTGACGTATCTTTCTTTTGTTGCTCGATCCGGTGTTTAATAGGGCTATCGGTGTACAAGGCGTTTCCTGTATGGGAATTTTGGCATGTACAGCCTATCTAGAGTAAATGGTTTTGTTTGAACTTCAATCAACCTCATCTGGTTGTTTAACTCTACTCCTCTAAAACTGTAGACTTCCAGACCGAAGAATTAGCAGTAATCAAGAGGCATAATAGAAATCAGCCTCCCCAACAAGGCATAAATCTCGAGATGATGCAAACCTCATCGCCTCTACCCGCCACACCTGTCGTCAGCCTGAGCTCAGCTCCGATGCTCAAATCGACACGCCGCGCCTCACCCGCATCCAAATCGATTATCTCCATGAACCTGAGCCCTACCCTTATATTCCCCATCACTGTATAGATCAATCTATCCTTTTTGTCATTGCACACACACCTTCGAACCTGCTTGATCATCATCATGACTGAAGTCCAACGCCATCTCCGGCAATCCCTCGGCCCCCTGCACCCACCCCAAGTTGAGCGCCAGGCTATCAAGCCGTCTATCGCGCGCCACGTCAATATCCAAGTCTCAGATCCGCTCGACCATGAAGCTCCCGCCATCCTCCACGAGCCGAGAAGCTACAACGCTACTGAGGCGCGAGGAGCGGCGGTGGTGCTTGTTTCAGGCGCTGGAGGTGGTGTTTCTGGTCCATCTGGTCCATCGCTCATCCTATAAACATATTGAATATCAACTAACTCTGGTATATAGGAATCTACCCCTCACTCGCCGACAAACTCGCCCTCCTCCTCTCCGTCCCCTGCATCCGTCTAGACTACCGCTCCCCAGCTCAGACAGAATACTGCGTCTCCGACATGCGCGCCTCCTTCGATTACCTCCGCGACCAGTACACCTCCTCCCGCTTCGTAGTAGTGGGCTGGTCCTTCGGCGGAAGCCCATGCTTCACGGTAGCAGCGACAGAGCCCGTCCGTGTCGTCGGCGTCGCAACGGTGGCATCGCAAACCGCCAACACGGACGGCGTGCGCAAGCTCAGTCCGCGGCCGTTGCTACTGCTGCATGGCGAGAATGACCGGGTTTTGGCGCCGAGTTGTTCGAAGGCGCTGTTTAATTCGTATGGAACTACGGGGAAGAGGGAGATGAGGCTTTTCCCCGGCGATGATCATGGGTTGTCAAGGCATGCGCCCCAGGCCGAGAGGACGATCTTCGTTTTTGTGGCTAGGACATTGGGGATGGAGGCGTTGTTGGATGCTCCGGTGTTGGATCAGGCGGGTCGGGATTTGGTGGCGAGTCGGAGGGAGAGAGTGCATGAGATGGAGATGGGACATGATCTGGAAGGAGGCGAGCGGTTGTTCTAGTTTCGGTCTTAACTGATAGTTCTCTACCTACGCAGGTATGTCGATCGCTGTATGGATCATGCATGATTCATAGTGTCACGAGTGGGTGGCCGTAGTATAGGGTGGCCAATCAGGTTCTGCCACTGTCATGTTAGGGGCAATCGTCCGATTGATTAGTTATTGGCCACCTGGACTCTTTTCTCGCCTTGACTCTCTTTTCTTTCACTTCTTACTTACATACATTTCTGTCTTCTTGTGGTTTTGTTTTTCTCTCCTCCCAGACTGATATTGTGCGACTGGTTCGCTCCAAATAGAACTAGAATATCTCGGCGATCGAGATCGCGCCCAGGCAAAATGCGCGCCACAACGGAGCTTTTCTATGCCGCCATCTTTGCCTTCCTAGGCGTCACCCACGCCCACCAGCCGAGTTCCAGAGATGACACCTGTGCGGTGAGTATGTCTCTCACCATGCCTTGCCCTCAACTGACCCGTCTAGCTCGACCCAAGGGCCATGGTCTCTGACGCGTGTGTCTCGTACGGCACCATCGACACCACGAACGACCAGATCTACACTCTCCTCCACTCCATCACCCAAGACACAGACTTTTTCTCCTACTACCGCCTCAACCTTTTCAATACAGAGTGTCCCTTCTGGTCCGACGCGAATAGCATGTGTGGCAACATCGCCTGCTCTGTCAATACCATCGAATCCGAGGAAGATATCCCGCTCATCTGGCGCGCGGAGGAACTGAGCAAGCTGGAAGGGCCCAAAGCAAACCACCCACCCCGTCAGATCCAGGCGGAACGACCGAAAGAACGGCCGCTGCAGGGAATGCTGGGCGAGGATGTCGGCGAGAGCTGTGTCGTCGAGTATGACGATGAATGCGACGAGCGCGACTACTGTGTCCCCGAAGACGAAGGGTCGGCGGGTAAGGGGGACTATGTGAGTTTGGTGGACAACCCAGAGCGATTCACCGGATACTCCGGGGAAGGGGCACATCAGGTCTGGGACGCCATCTACCGAGAGAACTGCTTCATGAAAGCCGACGAGCTCCAGCAGCAATCGCTCTTCATCCCTGGGATGGGCGGGGCCGTATCGGATTTCCGGAATGTACTCCAGAAGGAGTCGCAGCGGCTGGACGGCCTCCCGCTGGATAACGAGTGCCTTGAGAAGCGGGTCTTCCATCGCCTCATCAGCGGCATGCATGCCTCCATCTCTACACATCTCTGCTGGGACTATCTCAACCAAACAACCGGAGAATGGCATCCCAACATGCAGTGCTACAAAGATCGGCTACACGACCACCCGGAGCGCATCTCCAACATGTACTTCAACTACGCGCTCGTGTCGCGCGCCGTCGCCAAGCTGCGTAAGCACCTGCAAAACTACACCTTCTGCACCAGCGACCCCGCACAGGATCTCGAGACCAAAGCCCGGGTGGCAAAACTCACCAACGCGCTAGCGGACCGCCCCAAGATCTTCGACGAGGAGCTCATGTTCCAAGACCCGGACTCGATCGCTCTGAAAGAAGACTTCCGTAACCGCTTCCGCAACGTCAGTCGACTGATGGACTGCGTCGGCTGCGACAAGTGTCGGCTGTGGGGCAAGGTGCAGGTGAACGGGTACGGCACGGCGCTCAAGGTGCTGTTTGACTACGACGAGACCAAGAACGGCGAAAACCCTCCTCTGCGTCGGACTGAGCTCGTGGCGCTGATCAACACCCTCGGCCGGATCTCGCATAGTATATCCGCTGCGCGCAGCTTCCACCTCGCCCTGGTGGCGGGCCATGACCAGGCTTTCCCACTGCACGGTGGTGCGCCATACACGCATAATCACAACCACAAGCAGGTCAAGGAGGAGGAGACGAAAGAGGAGAAGCCGAAGCGGCTATTCCGGGACGGCGGCTCGGTGTTCTATTATGAGGATGACGAGGAGGAGTTCGTCTACGCTGACGGGATCTACGAGGGTGGCCGCCTGCCGTGGGAACGGCCTCCTCGCAAGCCAGACGCCACGTTCCTCGATTCTCTGGGCGCAGAGTACACGATGTTTCGTGATACATTCGCCTATGTGTTGAGGAGCTGGTTCCGGCTGCCGAACACGCTGTTACATATCGGCACATCCGAAGGTCATCGACTATGGAACTACTGGCTTGGCCTGCCGGTTCCTCCGCGCGAGTGGAAGATTCAGGTGCCCACGCCACGGTCTGTCCATGTTCCGGAGGGCGAGAAGCATTCTGAATTATGATTTTGCATTTTGTGCCTGTCTGTATATAGTACCTCACATTAGGGCGTTTTTGTTTTGGAGGGTTGGCTTTTTGGGTTGGTTTCGAAGGTATTAGTGAATTCAAAAAGAATTCCATACACTACATCCGATAAGTTTCTGCACTACGTATATTTCACATGCCCAGCTTAAATCCACCCCAGTTCAAACGAGAAAACACCTTGCTCGGGTCATAAGCTGCCCGAATTTCACGCATACGCTTGACGTTCTCCGCGGGAAACCCTACAAAAGGATCCTGCCAGTCACCAGCATCACCCATGTAGATAAACTCCGACGCGATGCCCTTCTCCTGATTGATGGCGTGGAGGTGCTCAGTTAGCTGCCGAGACCAAGCTTCCACGCGAAGATCGTCCTGGGCTAGAGCCCACCCCGTGCTGAATTGCCAAACTGGTAGAATTCACCGTTAGTCCATGTGCTCGACAGACGTTGCATTGCTAGGATTTAGAAAGGACTCGACTCACTCATCAAGGGCTCTGCTTTAAGGCCCCAGACATTGCCAACGCCATTGGTATTGGCAACCCGTAGCGAGGAAGGAGTAATCTCGTTGAGCACGAAAGTCGGGTACAGACCTTCGACATCGGAGATTTGACCAACGGCAGCTTTCCAGGCTTTGTATATGGAGAGGATGGTATCGGAGTCAGGCTTCATGGTCTTATGAGAAAACATGACACTGGCAATGGACTGTCAGTACATAAGAATGAATGAAGAAGCTGGGTTTGAAGTCAACATACCGGAACATTTGCTTCGGCGAATCAAGCTTTGAAGACCACTGGCCCATTGTGGTGACGTTATTCATCCGCATTGTCGCAGGAATGCTAGAGAAATTGACAAACTTGGACGGCGGCATGCTAACGCCCTCCTGAACCCCAAGAAGCGAGGCCGAAGCCACTTTCGTAGTCACATTATAGGAGATTGTTGCGATCATACCCGCCGCAGTGGGACCTTCTTCGTCCACCATGGCAGAGTTGCACATAGCATCGAAGAACTGGGGGAAGGCACTCTCGTTGAACATCTGAATGGTACTAGTGACTTTGGGGACATCGTAGGTCTTCAGAGTAAACTTGGTAACAACACCGTAGTTATTGGCACCGCCCTTGAGTGCCCAGAATAGATCGGGATGTGAATCCTTTGTAGCAGTGACTTGTGTGCCATTGCCAAGAACAACATCATAGCTGACGACGTTGTCCATCGCGTATCCGTACTTGTTGTTGAAATAGTGGAAGCCCCCGATTAGAGTCAGGCCAGGAACGCCGATTGTTTTCATTCGACCACCAATGGCGACTCGTCCGTGGGACTCTAGGGCTGTGTATACATCGTACCAGTTCAGGCCGGGACCGACGTCGATCGAGTCTTTATTCACAGTGAATGAATTCAGGTTGCTCAAGGCCACGAGAACGCCACCGTCGATGTTGTTTGATCCCGGATACTAAATGTGACGGTCAGATAATTATCCCATTCTACTAACCTGTTATGACGACTCACGTTCATATGGCCACCACCACGAACTGCAAACTGGGCATTGCACGAACTAAAGATCTCAATGGCACTGGCCACTGCATCGGCCGTCTCAGGCACAAAGACACATGCCGGGGACAGATCTGCTCGAACGTCCCAGTAGTAATCTGTAGTCTGTTCCGTATAATTAGCTTGCCCTGGGAGAATAGTATCCTTTGCAAAAGACCTCAGAAGCTTTCTGCAGGCGCATTGTTCTTCCTTGGTTATCTCGATAGTGCCAGAAGGCGTGCTAATTGAGCCTGTTCGGACAGCCGAGGCACTGGAGCTAGCAGATGCAAGACTCCCAAGAGAGAATCCGGCAAAGAAAAGAAGCTTCATATTGTCTTGAGCATAAATCAGAATGAGTTGACCTGAGAAATTTCGCGCTCATCGAAAAATAAGGGAAGATTTGACCGACTTTAATAGTCATCGCGGCCGTGCCAGCTCTCCCTTTCACCATACGTACTAGTACTAAATGGAACTTGGGCCCTTCGTCCCGAGTCCGGTTCCAGTATCGCGAACGGTGATCAGAAGGACCGGCAATCGGATCATCATTGCCCAGCCAGTTGAATTCCATACAAACGTGGGCATTAAGCCCATGTAGTTTCCACAACTAGGCTGCGCCCCAGGTAGAAAGGTACACTGTGGATTCAGGCAACAGTAAATTGAGGTACATGGCCACGTTCATTGGCAAGTCCCAAAAGCTGGACTTGATTAATAGTGATTAGGGGTTATGCTCAAGGGACGGTCATTGAATGCGGATCATACTCGTATTCGGGTTCGGATTTGGTCCTCATATAACCATTGGTGTAGTACCTCAGGACCCACAGCCCGTAGCTTGTAGTTATACATAGTGTGTAGTGCTCTGTCCCCCAGAACAATTGCACGACGTGGGATAACCATATTTTGCGCTAAACAAAGTTGTATACGCGGCCGCCTCATCCCTATGAAGCTACGTTTCATTCATAATATGGCAAAGTCATTATTCACTAGCCACTTCTCGAATTGCTGGTGCAGCCGAAAGCAGCGAGCGCACGACCCAGGATATATACAGGAACTTGCAACAGTTCGAAGTATCCAGATTCCCCCAATCATATCGGTTGGAGATGAAGTATAAATAACCGATGATAGAAGCGCTCTGCGATAATCTCAAGGATCGGTTTAAGGTTGGCAGTGATGTTGGCTGCCTCACGGCGTTCTTTGGCCACAATGCGTATATGCAAGACGAGAGAAGCTCCCTGTTTTGCGAAATAACCATGGAGGTATGCTTAGATACTAATCTAGGAGGTTTATGAGGTCGGACAGTTGTTCCTATCTAGGCCAAACTCAGTAAGATACACCTGCAGGTGGGAATCTGGAACCACTCGGAAACAGAAAGGCGGAACTCCTACAAAAGGCGTACTGTCACCAGCTTAGAATGTACTATAGTGAAGATAAGCATTTCTTTAAGAAAATCAATACAAGGCTATACATATACTAGCATTCGAGTTAAAATCACAATATCTTGCTGTGCTATTAGTTATACAAGGAGATGGCATTGCCTTTCCATAGTTAATTATTTCCCAACTTAATATTTGAAGAGTTCCTGCGCCAGGTTACACATGTACAAGATAAGATCGCCGTATGGAACCGGAGATGGATTATTCAGGGTCCGTCCAGCCTCGTCTGAATTCTCTGTCCGGATTTGCCACCACCCCCGACCACCAGCCAACGGGCACACCACCACCACGACGATAAAGAGAGCAGTAAATTAACGGGAAGATCGAAATAACAGTAATAATAATGAAATCGAAATAAATAATCATAGTCACGTCTGTAATCCCATCCCTTATGTACTCTTTACGTACTCGTTAGTTGCGATTTACTCGGTTAGTCATCTTTCCCCATAGTCCCGTCCCTGTCTTCGGCCAACCCCGACCTCGGCATCTTCCTCTCCGCCCACATGAAGTCCGTTTTCCTCCTCTTCCTCAACCTCTCTCCGTCATCCGCTCCACTCTCCTCCATCTCCCCATCGCTCCCTTCTCTCTCCATTTCCTCCTTTCATCGCCGACACTCGATGCCCGGTCGCTGATCGCTCCTCATGGCGTCGGTATCGCCACCAAAGCCGTGGGAAAGGGCTGGCGCTGCTGCGGGTATGTCCCTATTTCTCGTCATCGTGGTGGTGATAATACCCCCAGACACAGCAACCCTCATGCTAATACAAACTTAAATAGGAAACACACTCTCCACCGCTCCCACTGCCGGCGTCCCCTCATCCTCAACCGCGATGACTACCACCAATCCAGTCTCTTCCGCGGGAAACCCCACAACCAACACATCATCAGCAGTCCCCGACCTCCCCTCCCGCCCCAGCACCCTCAACTCCGTCGTCAACAACACCGCCTCCAACTACTCGCCCTACGGCGCCTCCCGCTTCGGTGCTAGCCCCTACGGTGGTGGCTACGGCGGGATGGGAGGTTACTCATCACCGTATTCCCGATTTGGATCAATGGGCTCCATGTACGGCGGGATGGGCGGTTACGGTGGTATGGGCGGAATGTATGGCGGGATGGGCGGAATGGGAGGCATGTATGGCGGCATGCCAGGCCAGGATCCTAATGATCCCAACAGTCTCACCAACTCATTCAGCCAGAGCACCCAAGCGACGTTCCAGATGATCGAGAGTATCGTCGGCGCGTTTGGGGGCTTTGCGCAGATGCTGGAGAGTACCTATATGGCTACACATTCATCTTTCTTCGGTATGTACTTTCGTCTTTCCGGGTGCGAGAAAATATTGACGATTTTGCAGCCATGATCTCGGTCGCTGAGCAATTCGGTAACTTGCGCAATACCCTCGGCTCGGCTCTGGGCATCTTTGCTATCATTCGGTGGTTCCGTACCCTGCTTGCCAAACTCACCGGTCGTCCTCCACCAGCAGACGCCACGTCCTTGACGCCGTCTGCCTTTGCAGCGTTCATGGGGGGTCGCTCCGTGCCCGCCACTTTACCCGACGGTAGTCCGGCACCGCCCAAGCCATCGAAGAAGCCATTTTTTATGTTCCTGGTCGCTGTGTTCGGCCTTCCCTATCTGATGAGCAAGCTCATCAAGGCCCTGGCCCGGTCCCAGGAAGCAGAAGCCCGCCGCCGCCAACAACTCGTCGGCCCCAATGGCGAGCCCCAGTCCGCAGCACTGGATCCCTCCAAACTCGACTTCTGCCGCGTGCTGTACGACTACACTCCCGAGTCGCAGGATGCCAACGGCATTGACCTTGCCGTCGCGAAAGGCGACATCGTCGCCGTCCTCAGCAAATCAGACCCCATGGGCAACGCCTCGGAGTGGTGGCGCTGCCGCGCCCGAGACGGCCGCGTCGGCTACCTGCCCGGCCCATATCTTGAAACCATCCAGCGGCGCACCGCACAGCAGGCTATCACGACAGGCAGCGAGCCTGCCACCCGCACCAGCACGATGAAGGGCGATGGTGCCGCCGAAGGCCGCGCACAGAGCATGTCCTCGCTGTCCAAGCCCGCCGATGAGAAAAAGCCAGAACTTAAGGGCAAGATGGGCGATATCTCGCCGGAGAGTTTCCAAAAGAGTACTTTCTACTCATAGACTTTCTTTATCCGTCTCCTAACCTACTACCTATGGATCATTGATCTTTATATATCCCCACTTTTTTCAGGTTGTCAGTGTTGGATTATTTCAGTTTAGCGATGGTTTTATTATTTTGTCTGATTTTCTTTGACTGCCACATATATCTAGTACCTACTCTTCATGGTGAATGGAATGGAATGGGTGCGAGCATTGAATATCTCTCGTTGTAGAAAATTGTAAAGAGCCTCTCGTACACCCTCCGATTGGACAGGGGCCGCTATTCCTATTTAGGCCAACTCTCAGCAATGCATGATCCTGGATACGCTCTGCTTCCACGCATATCCACGGCCCCCCGCTATCCCTGTTATCTCCCAACCCCATTAATTTCCATTCTTCTGGATCTGAATACTCACTCCTCATGGTCGTAATTCCAAATGCGGTCACCGCAGCGTCGCAAACCACAGAAAGTAGTGATGACGTCACGGGGAAGGAAGAGGCTGCGAAGACAATTCAGGTATCATTCCATGGAATTCGTGATGATAACGGTGAATAACTAGTGGCAGAGGGTCTATCGTGGATATCGAACGAGACGAGAACTCAACGGCTTGGGATTATCGCCTTCTACTCGATGGACGGAGGTATTTATATGTCTTGGTGATTAGAAGAAAGGATGAGAAGGGCTGATATCTGAGTGTTAGGCACTGAAAGATATTCAATGGACTCAGCTTCACGACCTGACAACGTCTGATGACATTTCCCACTCCAGCGAGGAGGGAAATGACACCGCAAAAGCGCGCCAGAAATGGCGGCGGGCCGTCAGCGTTGCCATGCAAGCCGGCCGCAATAATGACAGCAACAACAACTCTAACGAATCAGCCCAAGACCACCTTCAAGATGACCAGTCTGTACCACGGCCCGACATCCTACCAGCCCAAATTTCCAAACAAATGGACCTTAAATACTTCCTGGAAATGGTGGACCTCAAACACAGACACGGCAGCAATCTGCGCGCCTACCACGCAGAATGGAAGAAAAGTCCAACGACCCAGAACTTTTTTTACTGGCTGGATTACGGAGATGGACGGGATGTCTCCTTGGAGAAGCGTCCGCGGGAACGTCTTGAACGGCAACAGGTGAGGTATTTGTCTCGTGAGGAACGCGGGAAGTACCTCGTCAGCGTGGATAGGGCGGGACGGTTCAGGTGGGCGAAGAATGGGGAGCTTGTTACTACGGATGGGGAACGGTTCAGAGATTCCTTGGAGGGAGTTGTCCCTGTTGATGATCCGGCGCCACGGTTTAGGGGGAATGAAAGGGGGGACACGTCCTCCTCCTCGGACTCATCGTCAGCGTCATCGTCAGTGTCATCGTCGGGGGAAAGTCAGGATGAGACTGGGTCCAACGATACTGCTGGAAAGCAGGAAAAGAAGAAAATGGGCTCGAAATTGGCTCATCCAGCAGCCATACTCAACCGTCTCGTCGGCAAGCCATCAAAAAAAGAAGAGTGGATCTTTGTACGGGTACCCTCCAAACTAACCATCCACGAATGCTAACACCCAGCAATCCAGGTCGCAGACACGTCTTTCAGACTATACATCGGGATAAAAGACCACGGCACATTCCAACACTCCTCCTTCCTCCGCGGGGGTCGCATCGCCGCAGCGGGGACGATCAAAGTCCGCGAAGGACAGCTACGCAGCCTGAAACCGTTAAGGTACAGGATATCCTCTTCATCACCTCCACCATCTGCTTAATCAATACTAATTGTGATTTGTTCAACTAGTGGACATTATCAACCGGCAATGGCCAATTTCCACGCTTTCAACCACGCTCTCCAGAATCAGGGCGTGGATATGTCCCGCCTGTCGATGAGTAAATCCTATGCTATGCTTGCGGGCATTGCCGGGTATTCGAAGACGAGACGGAAGGTAAAGGAGTTGCAGGATACGCTTCAGAAAACAGAACAGGGCAAGGAAGTAGAAGAGTGAGGGGGGCATGGTTCTTAGTGTGTGGTGAATGTGGTAAACTGTATTGTTTTGAACGGCGCTTTACGAGATAGACGATTCTACACATTGATAATCTGATAACATATTTGGAGTCTATTGCATGTAGTTAGAGCCATTGTTCGAATTGCGACTAGTCGAGCCCGCAAAGGTACAAGGTAAGAAGTAAAAGGTACGGAGATAGAGTTGAATGTCAGAAATAGCGTTTGACGTTCCATGGACGAGTGGATCGCTTATTTGCACCTACTGTACTCCGCATACAGCAGCCCCAAACCCAAGAGCCCGGATTGATTTGAATTAATATCTAATAATAGCCCTGACAGTAGTTCAAGCCACAGTTTTGCTATTACTATGCGGCGAAAGCTCGGTGAGGCAGTCGGAGCCGAAGCCGGCGATAGATAATAGAAGAGAACGTACTAGTAGTGTAGGTTGAGATCCAGATACACAGACAGACGCTCTAGCTCCAATCCCGAACCCAGGGGTTGACCCAGCTAGTACATCTAAATGAAAATAAATAAAGAACAGCGGATATGCTGACGCTGATGCATGCATGCACGAGATAAAAATAAAGACAAGGGGATATAGACCAGAATGAAAAAAAGACCAGAGACAAGGCAGGGACAAAAAACTAGTCGAGAAGAAGAGTAAGCGCCATGATCACACACAACCAAGCGAACGACCAGAAAAACAATAAATGGATATCCCAGTCTAGTAGTGCTCGGGACCAAAGCCGGTTTAATCGATGAAACGCCCATGCTATGATTTATTCTCCTCGTCTTTGGATGCATGTGCCGGAAGGCGACAAGGAAGACTCCTAGGAAAAAGACCAAAAAAAGACAGAACCTAGAAGGCTCGGAAGAGGCAATGTACAAAGAAAGGTAAAGGTTGGCACAGAAGGAAAGGAAATCACATCCCCAGTCCCTCGTGGCCGTTATGGCCGAATTCTTGGTTGGGATCGTTCTCGCGTGCCCATTTGGACATGGTCAGATCGAGAGTTTGTTGGAGGCCTTCGAGACGAGTCTGGAATGATTCGAGCCGATTCCATTCTTCGGGATGCGTCTCGGGTTCGCCCTCGGCATCTTCGTCGGAGCCGAGTGCTGCTGCTGCTGCTGCTGTTGGCGTTCGTGGAATCGGTACTGGCGGTTGTGCTGCGTGGAGCAGTGATGGATAAGAACGGCGGGATGGATGCATGGATAGTGGTGGTAGGCTTTGGTCGTCGCCCATGACCAGGTCGGGAAGGGAGTCCAGACGGGGTTGGGTTGGTAGATACGGTTCTGGAGATGCGTTAACCCAGATCCAGCCAACAGGGAGGATCGATCCAAATACCAAAATCGAAGGGACTCGGTCCCATGTCCCGGGGAGTGGGAGAGTGCACCTCGGTCATGGGGGAGATGGGCGCTGACGACTCCTCCGCTGGTTCGGGGGTGAAATATGTCATATCAGACGGGGTTTCTATACCAGAATGAGTGGATTGCTTCCAAAACCAGAGACGGAACACACCCGGCTCCGGACTCAGCTTCTCGGCCGGCGTCTTTTGAACATGATTCCACACATCAGGGTACCTCCGGCCGAACCGAGTGATGCGCTTCTTGTCGACGACTTGACCGTGCAGCCGAAAAGCCGTCTGCTTGCCCTGGGCGGCGCGCCTCTTTTGCTTGCGGAGCATGACGTGGACTTCTTTCTGCTTCAGGTTCTTGCGAAGATTCCACTCGGCGAAGCGATCTTTATACTGTTTTTCTCTTGTATAGGAGTTAGGCGCGGACCATCTTGGCGCGGAAGACCATATTTACGAGGCGTAGAAATTGTAATCCCGCTCCATGATGCGTTTCACATCGCGCAGTTTCAGCTGGTCGTTCCGGTAGAGTTGCTCGATCGTCTCGCGGTAGTTCTGCCAGTCTTCCGACCGGCGGGGACGGAAGATGGAGGATGAGGAAGACGGATGAGGGAGTGGAGGTGACTGAGGCGACAGCGTGAGCGACGCCGGTCGAGGATGAGGGTCCATGGTTCGGAGGGGGTGGAAGGTGTCTCTATCTGGCCCTCCACGGACGATGATATACATCTGAAGGGTCCAGAATCTCCCAATAATAAGCAGAAGAATGCGCCATCACGCATAGTCAGGCAACCTCCGATCTAGACGCTCGGGCCAGGAATCTCGACTTCTCTTTGCGGCGAGCTGCACCGGACGCACGAACCCCTGCTTCCGCGGGCGAATCAGCAGGATGGCCCAGTGGAGTCATCGTCGTTGTTGATCGTCAAACGGCGGCGCACGGGGAGATTATCTCCGGCGCATGAGAGGCCAGCAGCGCGTCGGTCTGGCCGGTGGTTCGAAAGTACTACTGCACAGCCGACGCGGCGCTATTCCATAGCGTGCGGCGCACTGGCCACGGGGGTGCATTTTCCGCTGCCTCTTGTCCTCCCCCCATGCGAGGGCCGACCGCTGAGCCACTCCTAACGGGGCAGGAGTCTCTGATCCCGTCGGTTATGCCTCGTGCATGTCGGGAGCGGGCCGAAACTCCCTGACAGAAATCGCAGCGCCACCATCCCGAGGGATGGGATTCGACTGTCTGAATCTGGAGGAGCGCCGACCGTCGTGGCTCCGATTGACTGTTGGAACCATGCCGCTGTCAAAAAAAAAATAGTCTGTCAGCCCCCTTGTTGGCATTCCTGCGCTGGGTCCGCGGATCGTCTTACGCGCTCCCAAAGTCAAAAGTACCCGGTCATATCCTTTCCCCTTCGGCCGGAACTTCCTCGCTTCCCCCTGGCCCATGCACGTCAGGCGCCACTCGAGACTCTTTCTCTCTTGGGCGATGCTGCAGTGATCGCCGCTGGCGGTCGTCGCGGAGAGCTTCCGGCCAAAGGTCCTGGGCACCAACCCACCGTACTTTACGCGGGTCAAGAAAAGTACCATCGGGCACCACTACTAGTAACTCCTGCGTGCAGATTCGATATACGCTAGTGCTTTTGGAACGGATCTTGCTCCCGTGCGGAGATCGCGCCCTCCTGGAGGAGTGACGACGATCGGTCCGTCAGGAATGGTACATACAGGACCAAAGAGAGGATCGTTCCCGCGTGGGTCACCGGCCCACCAGAACCCGCGCCCGTCGAAATCTCGCGGAGAAAGCTGCCACTGCCTCTACCCTAGGCCCACAGACCACCGTTCACCGGGTCGGCTCGCCTGCAGGTACTAGGATGTCAGTCGGCCGCTGGTTCGAGGACCATGGATCGAGAACGATGGATCGTCGCATGGCACACACCTCTCCCCCACTTCCAACGATCCTGGTGCGTCAGCGCGTTAAAGAACAGGATTCGGGTTATGGCTGGGTAAGCAGACCGTTCCGACCCACACGCGAGTGCTGTGCGCAACCGGTCAGCCCCGAAAGGGGTTGTCGCAGAGCAACTAATTAATATGCGGCCTCAGGGGTTGACATTTCAAGGTCGGCTCTTGGCGGAGGAGGCGGTCGGCTGGCGAACCTGGTCGGCGGCTGCCACGGCTGCAGCCGCAACAGCGGCGGAGTTGCTGGAACTGGCACTGGCGACATTGCTCGCGTGCGCCAGCAGGAACTTGCAGCACGTTAGGGTGTACTTGCAGGCGCGCGTCCACGTTTCGTCGTTCTGGTTGAACCCCAGTTTGATGCTGGCATCGCCAATACGGTCCCGCTTGATCTCGTAGGGCAGCTTCAACCCCGGAGCGGTGGCGGCGGCCTGACCGCGACGTGGGGAGGCCACTGCGGCAGAGGTTGATTCGACAAATTGGCCCAGCTGGCGCAGACACTCCAGGAACGCCACCATGCCCGCGTCAAAGCGACGGTGGAGCCAGGGGAGATTGAGTGGCAGATCACCCGAAGAAAAAAGCTCCAACTGCGTGATTTTTGGGCTGTCAGTGTCGGGCTGACTCGCAGACTGCTGCGGGTACTCGATCTTGTCAATCCGCGAGGTGGACCCTAGGGGTCTGATTCGGTAACCCTGAAACTGAAAACCAAGACGCTCCGCAATCGTGGCCAGGAGCAGCGCCGTCTGGCCCCATGCAGCGTTGATCTCCGGCCATTCCACAGATGGGTTGGCCAGTCTGCCAAGGCGTAGTCCATTGATCGTACCGAAATATCCATCATGACCGATGCAAAACGCATCATTGTAGACATTCGTCCGTTGCAGTCGCTCAAGCTGCTGGGAGTCGTGGTCGTAGCGCATGTTCAGCGCATCCCGTTCATTTTGGAACTCAGAGAGCGTCAAGGCAAAGCCGTTGCGATCCCGCCAGAAGGTCTCCTCCTCCACATCTAACTGCCGTGATTCTTCTTCCAGTGCTGCAATCTCCTCGTCCAGCGCCGCCTTCTCTCGCTCCAAGCTTTCCAGCTCGGCAAAGCCCGCTTCTTCTGCTTCCAGACTCCCCTTCAACGCTTTCTCTGCGGCCTCGAGCTCTTCGGTGGTGGGCACAGATGCATTCAAGTTCCGCAGAAACGAAATGTACGCATCCCGCTCTTTCGTCGCGCCCGTCAGTCGTTTCTGGAATGCATCCACCAGCATCTCAGTACATTCCACGCAGATCGGGTGGTCAATATCCGAGCGCGCCGAGATAATCTCAAAGAGCCGGGTCGTCTTCTCGACCTGATCGGAGTAGGACACATCTTCCTGCTGCGTCTGCACGCTGCTCGCTCGTCTAGTCCGGTCGGGTCGCAAGGGAGTGTCGGCCGGCGGCACGACTTGGGATTCTGTCAACATCACGAATGACATGTTCCCACTGTCCCCGCGCGGCATCCCTGGCGGGTTGGACTGGCTGCCCCGGCGCGGGGCCGGGATGGATCGTCTGTAGACGGGCGATGTCGCTTGTTTGGATACTCGATCGTAGAGCTCACGTCGTTCGGGTGGGTAGGATGGGCGGGCTGGTGAGGGGCCATGCTCAGGGACGGTCTTGCCTGTCGAGTCTATGAAAGTCTTAGTAGCTTTTCAAAATTTCTGGTGAAGCTTCACTCACTGACGAGCAAATCAAAAGCCGCTGGGTTGAGCGACTCCAGCGAGCCGTCTAGCCGTAGTGGTGTGCGACACTTCTGGCAATACATGATGATGTGACGTGATCGGGTTGATGATAAGGCGAAGTTGGGGAAAGCGGGATCGGCGTTTGTTTGTCGCTTGACTTCTTCTCCCTGCGACAAACAACACAACAACAACTTCAACACTCCACTTCCTCCTTCTTCTCTTCTCGATGTAACACCCCTCCTTTCCTTTCTTAACACACCCTCTCTCAACATGGACGACGCCCAGGAGAGACCAGCCAAACGCCCGCGTCTCTCCTTCACTCCCGGCTCTCCCTCCCCAAACGAAGTCGACGAAGACTTCGACCTGCCCACCGCACGCGCGCGTAATGACCAGAGGCTCAAGTCGATCTTCGAGAGAATTTTTGACAAATACGGCAAAGACTTCACCGAAGTCGGCGATGAGATTGACTTGGAAACGGGCAAGATTGTGATCGACAATGGCCACTTAGTTGGGATGCGCGCTGAGGACGACACGGGTGACCAGGCGCAGAAGTGGCTCTTCCATGATGCTGTTTCGGGTTTCAAATATACGGGTGACCACGACCCAGAGGCTCGAAGCGTGGAAGAAGGCGAGAATGAACGGGACGTGGTGACGGAGACTGGCGACGTGCCATCCCGCCTTGCGCAAGAAGCTGCCGACTCTGATGACGACAGGGATAGTGTCGACTCGTTGTGGGACTCTGCGCTGGCTTGCAAAGACTCAAATGCCCCAGACAACCCTGTCATCCCGCAAGACTTGGAGCCCAAAGACCCCCTCTGGCAAGTCCCGGACATCGAAGCCAAATTCTCAACCCCCACCACGACCAGACGAGTTCATTTTGCTCCTGTTCTAAACACTCCTCGCTCTGCGTCTCCACCTGGCGCAGGCTCCTTGTGGAGTCTTCCTAAACGAGGTAGACCGCGAACCGAGGGGAAACTCAGGACGACTCCGAGCAAGCGCAAGCCACGAACAAGGCACAAGCGTGACTGGTCCTTTGCACAGACACCAGATCCTGACAGCAGCGAATCCGACGATCCATTGCAGGAGGACCAGGCATCGCCGACGCCTTCAAAATTGATCAATATCAGAAGGAGGGAGATGGTGAAAGCCGATCGTGCGCACATCAGCGGCAAGACAGTCGGTCTCGACAAACCAACCGCTGCGTCCGAAGATAAAAAACCAGATACACAGAGCAATGTGACATTGAAAGCGCCTACTGTACATGGCAATACTCCTATCTGTCAACAAATCGAGACCGTCCACGCTCAATCTCCAGCAAAATCCCCAAGCACACCTAAGCGTGGCGTGACGCCCGACGCAGCAAGGCAGACCGCGCGCATGCGACACATTCATGGCCGAAAATGGAAACAGATTAGTGATTCGCTGCCGGGGTTTACTTGGACGCAGCTCTACCTTTGGAACCAACGTCACTGGACCGAACGCCGGGCGAACCCGCCTCTTCTTTCTGCGCCGTGGTCACAGACAGAGCAAGAGACACTGGCTCGGTTGAAGGACCAGCGCGGTCTCTCTTGGGTGCAAATCCATGCTGAGTTCCCAGAGCGGTCGTTACCCGAGATCGAATTCGAATTGCTGCGTCTCTGGGTCGGGGATGCTGTTTGGAATGACGAGGGCATGGAGAATTCTGCGGTGGATGAGCAGGGGCAGGACCAGCCCAACCCTAGGAAGCCTGCGAGCGAGACGCTCAAGCCTTTTACCGATCAGGTTCCGACGTTTTCTCAACGCCTTCGGAACTTTCCAGTTCGAGATGCGCCGACGCCAGATGCTCCAATGCGGGAACCATTGAAATCAGTCGGCGCTCGAGCCATTGGACCAATCGAGCGTCCTCCAAATCAAGACCGAAAAATGCAGGACGATTTCGAGAAGCTCATCGAGGATGATGAAGATGACATCGTGGTCATTTCCAGCCAAGCATCCTCACCTTCCAAGCTGTCGGCAATCCACCTCGACAGTCCTGCTCGCAGCCGCATCGGCTCCAAATCCCCCGGGCGCCCATCGCCCGCGAAGCGTTTGAAGATGACATTCTAGCTTAGCCCAAAAAAAGTGGTATCATCACACCACATGTACTATGTCATAGGATCATTAAAAGTCCTCATCGCGCGCATTCAAAACGTCTTCCAGCTTCGTATCAACAGCGCCACCCACATCCCCAGCCCTAGCCCAGAACCGCGACAGATGCCGCGACCCCGAGTCCGAGAGCACCGTGACAATCCGGTGTCCGGGGCCGAGTTTCATGGCTGTTTTGACTGCCGCAATACCTGTAAATGTCAAGTTAGACAAGAAAGACCCGATGGCAACCAGAAGAAAACTCACAGTTGACCGCACTACTGCTCCCAATAAAAATCCCATCCTTCTCAACAAGCCATCGCGCCATAGCCAGCGCCTGTGCATCCGTCACGCGCACCGCATCGTCAACGAGCTCCTTTCCAGCCTCAAAGTTCGCCGTAACACGATTTATCCCAATTCCTTCAACGATCGTATCAACCTGCGGTCTCCGCCGCGTGCCCTCCCGCTCCTTAGGATCAAACATCACACCATACCTCACCCGATTATACAACCCGCTACCCTGTGGATCAGCCAGTACGACCGTGATATGCGGCAAGAGAGGCTTCAAGTAGCGCGCCACACCGGCAATGGTCCCTCCCGTCCCAGCCCCGGCAACGAAGGCGTCCATATGTCCATTGCATTGAGTGTATAGTTCGGGTCCGGTACCATGGTAGTGCGCGCGCCAGTTGGCTTCATTTTCGAACTGGTCCGCGAAGAAGCCACGGCCTGTCCCTGATGCTGTGTGGGCTTGTGCGAGGGCGCGGGCTTTATTGACGAAGTTGTCTTTTTCGACGATTGGGGCTGGCGGCACGCGGTCGACGATTGCGCCGAGTTTGAGGAGCAGGTTGGATTTTTCGATTGCTTGGTCGGAGGGCATACATCTTACGGTTTAATTAGTAGGAGAGTGAGCAGAGTAGAGAATGCGAGGGCTTACATGTGTGCGAGATAGCCCTTTGCCCGGGCTAGGGTGGCTAGTGAAATGCCCGTCGATCCGGAGGTGCCTTCGTAAATGGTGTCGCCCGTGTGGGGAGCGAGTATACCATGTTCCTCTGCCTGGATTCAAGTTAAAAACTGGATGGTTGGATGTCAATGCGGTCGTACCATCTCAATCATGCTCAGTGCGACCCGGTCTTTCGAGCTCTGTCCGGCGCCATTGAGGAACTGGACGGAAGTGTCAGCTTTGGTGTAGTTGCCATACAATGGGATACACACCTCTGCTTTACCCAGGATCTCACACCCTGTTTCCTCGGAAAGCGACTTGATTCGAAAGAGCGGCGTGTTCCCGATACAGCCCTCGATGCCCTCCACAATGGCCGGGGGACCAGCCCGCGCAGGTGGCTTCGACTTGTCTGTGGTACTCTCGGTCTCGCTACGACTCGATGCAATCAAGTCGCGACACACAATTGTAAGACAGACACCAGCCACAAAGGCAGTGCCAATATAGACCGGCGAGTCGGGCATGGTTGGTTGGCGAAGCAAGAGGTTCAAAAGCGATGCAGTTAACTAAGATAAGAAGCTCGGGCCAAGTTCTGCGGTCCCTTTCTTTCTCCCTCTTCCTTCCTACGCTTCTTCTTGTCTCTCTCTCCACCCCCCTACCAACAATGGACTCGCCCGTCCTCACTCAGCTATTTCGACAACTCTTCCGCCATCCGGCCTGCCAGTCCCTGCGCCGGCAGCCCCCGTCGCTGCCGCGCACGCAGTCCCGCTCGTTTCTCACGCGACGCACCCCGAACAAACGCAAATCACAGGACGATGGCATGCTGTGGACGAAACGGGGGGACATCCCCAAGGACATCGACAAGGAATACTGGTCATATCCGATAGTCACAGCCAAGGAGCTGCGCAATCGGAGAGAGCGGCCGCGGCAGGTGAAGATGCTGACACGCGAGTTCATCGACGGTGAGTCGAACGATCACTGGTCGTGGGCGCGTGGGAGCTGACATATTCTTTGATTTTCAGACAGCCTCTACAATCCGCATTACGGGTACTTCTCCAAACATGCAACGATCTTCAGCCCCGGTGAGCCATTCGACTTCAACAATATCGAGGATGGGCCGGCCTTCCACCGGCTACTAGGCCAGCGATACATCGAGTTTGAGGATAAGCTGGACGAAACCACACCGGACATAGCACGGCAGCTATGGCACACGCCCACAGAATTGTTCCGGCCGTATTATGGCGAGACGATTGCGCGGTACCTGGTGTCGAACTACAAGCTGACGCTGTATCCGTACCACGACCTGATCATATACGAGATGGGTGCGGGCAATGGCACGATGATGCTGAATATCTTGGATTTCATTCGGGACACGGACTTTGAGGTGTATCAGCGCACGAAGTTTAAGATCATTGAGATCTCGCCTGCGCTGGCGGACTTGCAGTACAAAAACTTGTTGGATAGCGTCAATGCCGCAGGTCATCGGGACCATGTCGAAATCATCAATCGGTCCATCTTTGATTGGGATACATACGTGCACTCGCCATGCTTTTTCCTGGCGTTGGAGGTATTCGACAATTTCGGCCATGATTCCGTGCGCTATAACTGCCGCACGGAAGCGCCGCAGCAAGGCGGCGTGCTCATTGATGCGGATGGCGAGTTCCATGATTACTATAACACGCAACTGGATCCCGTCGCCGCGCGGTTTTTGCGCGTGCGCCAAGCGGCAGCACGCCAGCCGTTCCCTAGCCCCTTAGGACCACGTGTGTTGCGTGGCCTGCGCAATGTCGGGCCCTTCAGCAAGGAATTCAGTCAGCCGGAATATATTCCTACCCGACTGATGCAGTTCTTTGACGTTCTGAACCAGTTCTTCCCGGCGCATCGGCTGGTCGCTAGCGACTTCAGTTCCTTGCCCGACGCGGTGCCGGGTCTCAATGCACCGGTCGTGCAAACGCGATACCAGCGGAAGACGGTTCCTGTAACCACTCCATTCGTATGTCCCCGAATCTCCTTTAGGTCGTTTCTCCAAGCTGACTGGCTCTTGCGTACAGGTTCACCAAGGTTACTTTGACATCTTCTTCCCCACGAACTTCAACACAGTTGAGGACATCTACCGCGCTGTGACGGGTAAATTGACCAAGGTGACGAGTCATGAGGACTTTGTGCATCACTGGGCGTACATTGAGGACACGGAGACGCGGAACGGGGAGAATCCGCTGTTGAGCTGGTATAAGAATGCCAGCATGTTGCTGACGGTGTAAATAGTGGACACCGAAGTGCCTTGTAACTATATCTATCACATTAGGTATCTATGATATTATCACGGAGATTCCCGATTATGCTTATCACTTAAGAACTCGCGAATTTGACTTTGCATTCATGACTTATCGATTTTGGTCCATTTGACTTCCGCGCTTCATTCCTCCTGGTCTTTGTGTATTGCTCAAAAGAATCACGCCTATCGTAGTACATACCCCGTATGCATCTACGTCCGGTTCAAATAATGGCAGATATAAGGAGAGATCTCATCATAGCTATGATCTACCCGATGTCTTATCCCTTTGGCGGGCTACTCCGCACAGTCATCCCCACGGAAGAATCCCGAGGTGCCGATCAAAGGAGCGGGGGAACTATAACGTTATGATAAGAGACGAATGATGAGTAACTCATTCCCTCTTTCTCCCCCCCTACCTCCTACCCATCCATCTTCTATTTCATCATCTGTAAATTCCCCGAACATGACAATCGACGCCGACACCATTCCACACTGGAAACCCCACGTTCACCGCAAACGCGCCGCCCAGCACGAATGCATCCCGCCCTCTTGGATCCTCCCCGCCTCGGTCCTGGCCAACCCGCCTTCCAACAGCCTGGACGCCATCCGCGCCAGTGGAATCCTCACTGCGGATGAGCTAGCTTGGACAGATACAACTGATATCCAGGACATCGTGGCCTTAGTCGCGAGTCGGAAAGTCAGTAGCGAGCAGCTCACGACAGCCTTCTGTAAGCGCGCAGCGATCGCGCAGCAACTGACCAAATGTTTGACGGAGATCTTTTTTGAGAGGGCTCTTACTCGGGCTCGAGAGTTAGATGAGCATCTTCGGACGACGGGGCAGGTGGTTGGGCCGTTGCATGGTGTGCCGGTTTCTATTAAGGATCGGTTTGACGTTGAGGGCGTGGATAGTACTGTCGGTATGTACAGAACAATGCTCTTGAGTGGAAAATACACTAATTATCTGTTAGGCTGGGTCGGACTCGTCAATAAACCGGCGCAGTCATCCAGCTCGGTCGTGCAGCTGCTCGAATCTATGGGTGCCGTGTTGTACGTCAAGACGAACGTGCCGCAGTCTCTGATGGTAAATAGTACCGTCAACTATATTATCTGCGGACTTTTTACTGATTCTGTAGATGTCCGACTCCTACAATCACGTCTTCGGGCAATCTGTGAACGCTTTCAACCGTGCCCTTATCTCTGGCGGTAGTTCCGGCGGCGAAGGAGCTCTCATCGCAGCCGGTGGTAGCGTGCTGGGTATTGGCACGGATATCGGTGGCTCGATTCGTATTCCTGCTGCGCTGCAGGGGTTGTATTCTATTAAGCCGACGAGAGGAAGGGTGCCGTGGGATTGTTCCTTGTAAGTCACCCCTTCTCCTCCTCCTCCCAGATGGGTATTCTTTGGGACTTAATATTTACGTATCTTCTACAGTTTGAATCAGTTCTACATGGTCCCACCCGTGGCGGGGCCGATGGCTACATCTCTTGCGACAACGGAGTATTTTATGGACCACCTACTCGCTTCACAACCGTGGAGAATTGACCCAGGCTCTATTCCCATCCCATGGAGGAAGGAACTGGCTGCCTTGCCCACAGACCGCAAGCTTCGACTAGGCGTTGTATTTGATGATGGAGTGGTCAGACCTCAGCCGCCAATTATAAGAGCGATGCGTGAGACTGTTCAGGCGTTGCGGGATGCCGGCCATGAAGGTTTGTTCCTACCTCCTTATTCCTTTTCTCTTCTCTAACACATCGCTCCAGTCATCGAGTGGGACGCCTCACTCCACAAGGAAGGCACAGATCTCTGGACGAAAGCCATTCTCGCCGACGGCGGTCGTCACTGTAAGCACTTGTGTGAGATCGTGAACGAGCCTTTGATCGAGGGTATGGTTGTAGGCACAGAGAAAGATCTACTGAATACCGAAGAGAGAGAGAAGGTAAAATCCTCACCAGTATATATAGCTGTTAAGTTCCATACTGACTGATATATAAAGCTTGAGAAAGAAAAAGTCGCCTTCGAAACCACCTTCCTCAACCAATGGGTCACATCCCGCATCGACGCCCTTCTAATGCCCGTGCAGCCATGGGTAGGCTACAAGCCCAAGACATGGGTGAAGAGCAACCAGTGGCTAGGATACACGGCTATGTGGAACATGTTGGACTACGCGGCTCTCACGGTTCCGATTGGGGCGGCACATCGAAACCTTGATTCTGTTGGTGATGGGGTGAATGCTGAGTGGGAGGGGTATCAGGTCAGGAATGAGAGTGATCGGTTTAATTATGAGCAGTGCAAGTTTTCCTCCACCTATGGGACCAGAGTGTTTGGCATGCTAACCTCTTATTCAGATGATATTGATCTCGTCGATGGTATGCCCATCTGTGTGCAGATTGTGGGAGAGAGATTCGGTGAGGAGAAGGCTGTGGCTGTTGCGAAAGTGGTGGATAAACTGGTGAATTTGAAGTGAAACCTACCACATCATGACCTTATACAAGCACGTCAGCCATAGTTGTTGAGAGGCAAAGCCTAGGATGATGAAATGAACTAGCGATAGAGATGAGGAGAGCTGGAAGAAATATAGACAGCGTATATTGACACATAAAATTCTGCTAATAGCATAATGGTATGGCAATAATAATACTAAATCACTACTACCTAAAACACAATGAATTACAGTGGCATTGCTTAAGTCTGAAACCCTTCGAAGTACCGCGCTAATATCCTTGGACTTCATTCTCCCCACTCCTTTCCATCTTTATAAAAAGAGCCGGTGGTTGCATGCAAGGGCTTTAGCTTCACTTGGATGCGGCACATATAGGGGAAAAAGTCTCTTCGACATTCTGTTGCTCAGTATGTCGAAGGAAGAGGCTAAACTAACCTACTCAAGTTAGAGTGGCCCTCTCGAGGTGTATTCATCCACCTAATGTTTACTAGTAACACCAATCGTTGTTCAAGACGACGGATGATTCCCCAGGACATGCCCCCAACTAGAAGATCACAATTTACTATTGGTCTACCCCAGACTAGACGAATCCTGCGGAACAGGGCAAAAGATGAGAATTAGCATAAGTAGAAATTTCCTCTCATTTTACTATTTAGATTCCTCAACTATTCTTATTGTATACACCGCGATTATGAAGTTTTCTATCTCCCTCTTTTTAGGCGTGACTATCTTCTCCGCCTCCGCGCTCGCTGGCTGTGCCACTGAAGGTGAAAGTTGCCCTGGACCAAGCGGCTACCCCCTATATATGTGCGAGTGCAACTCGGGCAATTTGGTAAGTTTGACTCCTACGAAATTTATTAGCACCTATATGCCCCATTGTTCACTATTCATCATCTATTGGTTATATCTACTAATATGATATTTGTGTAGATGGAATGTGTTGACAATGTTTATGCCTATGGCGATGAATATGTATGGGATCGGATTACGGCGTGTGGAGTGCCTCCCGGCGGGGGACTCCAATGTGTTGATGGGGGATGCGCTTCTGATGAAGGGAACACTTTTTTTTGGTAGGTGTCACGGTGCTTGACCGGGCTCACACCTGATCTCACGATGTTTACTTGCTGTGTTGATTTCTGCCCTATTCGTAGCCCTTCGAGCTACGCCTTGTATATAATTCAGATAGCTAGATTGCAGTGAAACCTATCGTCAATTCCTAATATTCCACTAGAATAATGAAATACAGACATCGCCATAGCCCAAAAACCTAAACCCAACCCAAACCTAACTTTAGGTTTGGGTTTAGATCGGATCTACCCTACGCCAGGTGTTGGGTTACGACCTCAACCCAAGTCCAACGCTATGTCAGAAGTGCTTCTCAGTACCCCCTAGGTTGGTTGTTTTACGAATTCGGGAAACAGAGCATCGTGGGTGAACCTGGGGTGCGACTGATCGACGTTGGCAGTAGTCTTAGGCACGATATCTCGTACCCTAGAGAGCGATAACCTGCTATGCCAAGCCGGCTAATCGTGGAGGACTTGCCTTCTAATATCTTGATAGGATCGAACGGCTATAGGTCCGGCGGCTATAGGAGCGGACGGCCTCCGAAGATGACAAATTGATCAGCTTACGCCCCCATTAAAGGGTTTCTAGGCTCTTTACCCTAGCGTGTAAACCTTGTTGCATAGAAACAGCAGGAGATTCGCACAAGACCGCTTCCAAGACATTTGTGATTATCACCAATTGCCATGATCTCCCCGCCCTCCTCTGCCGACTATATAATTGTCGGCGGTGGCACCGCCGGCCTAGTGGTCGCCAACCGACTGTCCGAAGACCCCAACATCCATATTCTTGTGCTGGAAAGTGGCCCAGACTGCACCACCGATCCTCGAGTGCAGGATCCAAACGCTTGGCCGACCTTGCAGGGTTCAGATCTGGATTGGCAACTGAAGACGGTGCCCCAGGTGGGTAAATGTGAATCAAAGCCACAATGGCCATTCTGATCATAAGTCTAGCCCGGCTTTAACCACCGTGAACAAAACTTTCCTTCCGGAAAGGTCCTGGGAGGTTCGGCTGCCATCAATGGATTGGCCTATCTGCCGCCATCACCTGCCGGCATCGACGCATGGACCCAGCTGGGCAACTCGGAATGGACATGGGATTCGCTTCTTCCATATGTGCACAAGTCCTACACGGTCTCTGCGCCTGATGCAGAGACCTGTAAGGCAATGAACGTGAATCTGCAGACCACAGGCTCCGGGCCCATTCAGGTCTCTTACCCGGTCCTGGCGACAAAGACAAACCATGCTCTCCTTCAAGCCTGGTCCGACACCTTCCAAGACCAGGGGTATGAATGTGCGAGCGACCTCCTATCGGAAAAGAAAACGATCGGTTCTCGCCACTATTCAGCGGTGATTGATCCCAATTCTGGTCTTCGGAGCAGTGCGGATGGGGAGTATGGCATCCCAGCCGCGAAGAGGCCCAATGTTGAGATTGTGACGGGGGCGCATGTTCGTCGTATCGTGTTTTCCTCTCTTTCCTCCACTCTGCCCGTTGCAACCGGCGTCGAAGTCTGTATAGGTGGCCAAATTCGCATTGTAGATGCAACAAAGGAGGTGATCCTCGCTGCGGGTGCCCTTCACACCCCGAAGCTGCTCGAACTCTCCGGCGTAGGAAACAAAGAGGTGCTCGATCGTCTTGGGATTCCCCAGGTGATTGATAGTCCTGGCGTCGGAGAAAACCTGCAGAACCACGTCCTCAACGTCTTGCCCGTGCCGTTGAGCGACATCCCTGAAGCCACAAACGCGGTGCCAGGTATCCAAGCCACGGCATTTGTGCGCTTAGATGCGCAGGAACAAGCAGAATTCCTAGCCCACATAGCCCCATCTGGTCACGATCACGACCGAGTCATCCGCTCGATGATCGAGCAACCCGACGAACCATCGGCGCTGGTGCTGTTCATGGTCGCGCCAGGCAACCTGGGCGTGTTGGTGGTGATACCCTGTTTCCCTCTGTCTCGTGGAAGCACTCACATTAACACCACGGACCCGGACTCCCAGCCGACCATCGATCCACAATTTTTCAGTCAGGAACTGGATCTAGAGGTCATGGCTCGGCAGGTTCAGCGCGCGCGGGAACTGCCATCTGCACCGGCCATGCGAAGATTCTTCCAGACGCCCGATCTCGAGACCATGGATCTGAGTGCGATCAAGGAATCGCTGCGATCGAGTGCGCAGACAGCGCATCATTACTGCGGCACGGCGATTATGCTGCCACGCGAGAAGGGAGGCGTAGTGGATCAGAATCTGCGAGTTTACGGGACGCCTAATGTGCGGGTGGTAGATGCCAGTGTGTTTCCTCTGATTCCGCCCGCGAACCCCCTAGCGACGGTGTATGCGGTGGCCGAGAGGGCTGCCCAGGTCATTGCGAACAAAGAATAATGAATGTAAGGACCGCCTGTTTCCACCGCAGGCATCTAGATAACGGCCCTTGAGTGTCATCGGGCATAAATGCGTCAAATATTCATGAAGATAAAGAGATGCCTATCTATATTCCCCTGGAGACAACCAGCCCCGAGTTAGATACAATGCAGCCAGAAACCAGTTGGCAGTTCCGTGGGGTTCAAAAGTCGCACAAGAAAGAGATCATATACATCCTCTCCAAGGCCCAAACCTAAAACTCAAATTCCTTGCGGAAGACGTTCACATCCATACCGGCAACAACCTGATCCGCCAGATCGCGACGTCCCATCTGGCTGAAGACCCGACGCAGTGTATCGTACAGATTCGTGCTCTGGTTCTGGCTGATATGCAGCATGCGTTCGAGCCGCTCGTCGTCCAGACCATCAGGACCTTGACCGTCGCCGATAATCTCGCGGGCACGCTCGCGGCCCTCTTGTTCGACGACGCGGTGCATTGACAGCGCGCCGAGCAGATGCTGCGCGGCTTCCGGATAGCAGCCGATGTTGATGCAGGACACGCCTAGGTTGTAACGGGCGCGCACGAAGTTCGGGTTGATGGTGAGGGCTTGCTCGTATGCCTCGATTGCTTCTTCCGAGCGGCCTGAATTGGCGAGTGTCGCGCCTAAACGGTTCCAGAGGAGATGGAGCTGCTCGCGCTGGTTGGTGCTGCCGGACTCGGTTGAGGCGAGGGCGGATGAGAAGCAGTCGACGGCTTTGTCGTATTCCTCTGCGCAGTAGAACAGCACGCCGAGTCCGACTTGCACGTCTGGGTCCATCTGTGCTCCGGAGGGAGAGAGCTGGGCTGCTTGGATGAAAAGGTCTGTAACGCGGTCGTGCAGGAGCTGCCGGTCTGTGAATCCTAAGTCGGCATCACCAGACACATCATTCGGGTTGATGATCTGCGGGTATTTATGGGATAGCCAGCGCTCGAGTGTGCGGTAAGCGGTTGAGTCGTAACCTTCGTTGGTGTATGAGACGGCCAGACCCATCAGTGCGTCCAAGTTCCCGGGTTCGATCTTGAGAGCCTGCTCCAGTGCCCGGATGGCCGGTAGCTCCTTTTCGTTCTGCGCCTGCGCCGAACCCAACATCGTCCAAGCTTGCACATGTTGCGGGTCTTTCTGAACAGCAGCCTCGAACGCCAATGCTGCTAGCGACAGATTGCCGCCCTCGCGCATGATCTTCACACCTTCCTCAAACGGGTTGTTGACAGCCTGGTAGACATTGTCCTCTTCGAACATGTAATCGCCCAGCTGCGGATCCCGGAAGCGGGTGTTAAGGCTATCAAAGCCCTCCCAGTCGTTCAAGTCCCCGACATGCAAGCTATCGGTAACCTCAAAGTCATCTACCTCCTCGGCGAGTTTTCTGTGTGTCGCCGTCTCAGTCTGGGCCCGTTGCCACACGGCCTCGAATTCTGAATTGGGCACTGACCTGTCCAGCTCGTTCAGCTCTGCCTCCATCGCCGCATTGGCCTCGTCGTCCGTGCGCGTCTCATTGCCAGCCGTCTCCATCTCGGCGAACTGAGCCTCCCAGTTCTCGTCGTCCAGTTCTACCATCCGGTTCTTGCCCTTATCCTGCGTCTGTCCCTCCACGGGCTGCTGCTGCATCGCCATCGGTCCGCCATATGACGGTTGCATCATGCCCATTCCGCCCATGCCTCCCATGCCTCCCATATAGCCACCCATCCCCATCGGGCGCTGATACCCGGCCATCGCGGGCGGTGTGACGGAGGTCGCCGGGCTGGACATCCTGCCTTGTTGCTGGAAGCGCGCAAATTCGGCCGGCGTGAAACCCGACCCGTTGTTCATCTGTGCCGCGCCGGGAAAGGCCGCCTCCATGCGAGCCTGCTCGCCGCCATCAAACTCCGCCGCCCATCCGGGCGACCCCGTGCGAGGCGGTGCAGTCTGGAAGTTCTCGAGCTCGCGCCGCATGTGCTCCATGGCAAACGGCTGCGGGGACGGACCGGGTATTTGCTGGCCCGGTTGCTGCATGAAGTCGTCCATCATCTAGAGATGGTGTTAAGTTGATTCGGCTTTGTTCGGGAAAGCCATCAAACCACGTACCTGGTCCTGTCCGCCCATCATGCCCCGCGACCGCATGCCCTCTTGCATGCCGGGCCCGCGGCCCACGAGTCGGTCGCGCTGGAGCGACTTGTCATCTTGGACGTGCTTGGTAAATTGAGTCAGAGGGTTTCCCGCGGTAGAGCATTCCGCGCCACCGAGGAACGACATGGCTGAGGAGATGTGATGCAGACGAATATGAGAGTCAAGAGAGAGAATGAATCAAAAAGGAAGCAAATATGAAGACAAAGAAAGGAGAAAGAGTCTGTCTGGCAGGGAGAATAATGAGGGAGTGAATAATCGACGAGCCCCGGACTCAGACGTGGGGTTGACCGAACCGAGGTTGTCCGTCACGTGGATTAGTCAGGACTTTTGTATAAATTGAAGGTGAGATCGATCAGAGTGAGAACAGCATTGGATAATAATACATTCTAGGTACATGTTTTCTACGAAGGACCATCAGTCACCTTGGATTACATCTCCGGCTCCTCGGGGATGGACCTCCGCTGCTGCATCTTCATAGGCGCCGCATAATTGAGCCGCAGTTTGCGGCCATAGGGGTCCCTCAATGACAGCATCTCCTTTGCCCGGACAGCGCTGGGGACATCCAGGAACTCGACATGCATGAACCCACGAGGCATTCCCGAGCGGCGGTCCACGGGAATGCGCACGTCGACGATATTATGGATACCCTCGAATAGAGCATTCACGTCCTGGTCTGTCATTTCGTACGGCACATTGCCGATAAACAGCGTGAAGGTTGGAGCAGTCTTGTCAATTTCGGAACGCGACATCGCCGTGTTGGCAAATTGCACAACAGTGGTTCTTCCTTCCAGCACCTGCATATGCTGTTGTTCGATGGCTTTCTCAGCCTCTTCGATGGTGCTGAAGCGGACATAACCGAATCTGGGAAATAGTCAGATTGATGAATTCGTCTCCAAAAGCCAAAATCAGAAATATTGAACGCACCCTTTGCTCAGCCCCCGGTTATCGTGAATAATACTCGCCATCTCCACAACCCCAAACTTTTCCATCGCCGTCCGGAGATCGTCCGCCGTCATATCGAAGAACAGATTTCCCACGTACACCGTCTCCTTGCGTTTCAGCGATTTATTCAGCATTTGATGTCGCCGCGCCCGCTTTCCTTCCTCAGGTGTCTCGGACTCATATTCCGCTCTGACAGGGCCTCGTTCCCTCTCCGCCCTCGCAGGACTATGCGCCTCGGATCTCCTCAAATTTGCCAAATCTTCTTCGGGCCGGACCGAGTCAGGGCGATCCACTTGGGGCTCCTCTGTCTTTTCTTGATCCAATGGTCTAGATGAACTAGAAGAGGAGTTCCATCGTGTCTGGAGACTGGACGGGAGAGCGAAACGGCGCTGCGCAAAAGGGGGAGCAGAGGGAAGAGAAAGGGCGCATCGTGGTCGCGCAGCAACAGTAGAATTGAATGTCAACGACGAGGATGACTTGAAAAGCCGCGTTGCGGCTCGGCTGAGAGGATGCCTGGTACGGACGATGGCTGTTAGCAGTGATTCTCGGATGCGATTCTTCTTTGTGCGAAACGCGACACGAAACAGAGGTGGGAATGGCGATGGCTCAGAATGAAATGACAAAGGGATCATTCTCACATTGTTCTATACATCCGTCCTTTTGTAAAGACGAAAAGAAGGGTTCGGGTGAAAAAGCAAGTGCTGGAATCGCGACTTCGCGCTAAGGAAAAGTCTCCGGGGGATATCGGTCACGTGATGCAGCTTATCATGGATGGACCAGCGAGTTCACAATAGAGCGGAGTAGATGTAGTATTCTGAACTAGGTATGATACAAAGGAATCACAAGAAACAGTGGGCATCGCTTTTTTCCATCTTGGAGTCCTCCCATACTTGCCCAACCCTAAAAGTCATTGATCCTTCCATCCTTCCCAAGACACCAGGTCAAACAAAATCCGCAAGGCTAGAACATGAAGTAATTTTTAATGTAGAATCCAGAGAAATACCATACTATACTTCACATATTTCCTTGGTCCCGGCCTGTACTTCCGGGCTGGGATGTCGAGGGCGTGCTAAAGCTATGGCCACCGCTATCGGAGCTGCTAAATGGCGGAGAAAATATGTTGGGTGCCCGCGGGCCCTTGCTCTCCGATGGGATGACACCCATGGCAGCGGAATAGGGTGTTGTCAGCCGTGTTGAGGCCAGAGGACTAGTCACAGATGGTTGGGACATGCCGACGGTCTGTGGTGTTGGCTGCCGTTGTGCGTCCATCATGTGCCAGAATTGGTTGGTTGTGTCAAGAGTTGGATTTTGGATGTAGGTGTCCCATGCATCCTATAACAAACAATGTTAGCTCTGTTATCTTGATGGTTAATCCATCAAACTCACCCAGTCGAGGTTGGCCTGCATGTCCGGCATCTGGCCGAACATGCTACTGAACGGCGAGAGCGCACCCGAGATTTCGGTGGGATTGCTCACTCCCGCAGTTGGCATGGGCGAACCCGCCATTTTGAACATTGGATCCGGGAAGGAGGCCGGACCTGAGTTCATCGGGCTCATCCCACTACTCAGCAGACCGAGCGTCATAGCGGCATTCTGCTTCTCGTCTTGCGGCTCAAACGGTATGTTCGGCGCAGCCCCGTTTTCCAGACCCGGGATCGTGTTCAGTTTTCCGAGCATCACACCCAGAATGCCGGATGCCTTCCAGGCTTCCATACTTTCGTCTCCCAATTGGTCCCAGATTTCTTTCGACTGCTGAATCGCCGCCATCATCTCCTCGCGCCGCTCTCGACCCCAGGTATACGTGTCTCCAGATGGTCGTCCAGTTGCCTGAAGCTGGAATCCTTGGTACAAATCAAGACAGACGATGGAGGCAGCAAGCAGGAAGTCTGCTGATGTCAAAGACGAGACTCGGCCCTGTCCCCTCCGTAGGCGCCCCGTCGGGCCATTTTCTACGGAGAGGATCTTCTGGAAGCTCAATATATCCATGGCCGAGTCGATGCATGTACGTCGGGAGTATGTGAAACGGGGATTATCACGCGCCCGTACCAGGTACGGTCGATGCAACACACATTGTGCCTTGTTATACACACTCATGATCTAACGATTGTCAGTATCTAAACCAGGTTTTCAACAGATTGACGAAAACTTACACTGAACCGTGACGAGATGAGATTGGCCGGATCCATCTGGCACTCTTCCATGGGCCGAATTTGCAGATGCTCAGGAATCAAATCCCTTGCACGACGGAGATCGGCGTCAATTTCCATCACCTTGTCGTAAGAGCTAGATGCAACAGAAGATGTGTGCTCAACGACGCGGCCAAAAGCCTGTGCCAGACGGCCTTTAGCGATCAGATATGAGATTGAGGTCGGCTCATTTAGCGGCCGGGGAGGAGGCAGCTCCTTGCAGTTTTCATCAAAATCGTCGTCATAGAGATTCCGCGGGAGTTCCGTGTCACTGTCGGTGCTGCGGATCATGCTCGGCAGTCCGACCTGAAATGAAAATAGCAGATCCGCAGAGCGGACAAAGGTCCACACTCGTCGTCGCATCTCGCCCTGGAACGGAGTTATGTTGGGGAACATCTTGGAGTCCCGATGATATCCCATCCGCATTGCCAGTCGAGTAATCACACCCGTCAGCACCCAAACGGACACCGAGGCATCTCGAGTCTGGGAGAAATCGCCATGCAGGTGGAACACGAGCGATTCGATGAGATAAGGGTAGGGTTTGGTATAGTCAGCTAGGGTCAAGCACTGGGCCACGGAATTTCGAAATGCACTGGCCATGTCTATAGACTTGCCCCGGAACTCGGGAGGCTCGTCGCCTTCCCGGCTATAGGACAGCATGGCCAGTCGCATCATGCCAAAGAGCATGCTGATCCAGACAATACAACTTTGAGACGTGTCTTCCCAGTGTTTGTTGTACTGTGCTTGGAATGTAGGAGCATGAAGAACATGAGTTGCAGGGTCGTAGGTATTGAAGTAGCGGGCAACAAGCATATCACACGTGTACTTGGACGGCAAAGACGACAAAATTTCAGGCCGAGTCATGGGTTTCATGGCACCAAATAGCAGTGTTGACTCTGAAACATCTGTGGGCGGCTGCTGACCCTTGACCTTCTCTGCCTGCTCCTCATATTGTTTCTTGTGTGATGTAAAGAAATTCCGCACTTCAGAAATCTGTCCAACATTTAGTATTTGGAAGGGCCAATCTTTCCAGCATAACTTACATCATTCAGCACAGAGGCCCAGTGAGCATCACTGATGTAATAGGATTTGTTGTGGTTGTCCACCTTCATGATCCCGAAGGACTTGGTAACCTGCTCTGTATCACTTTCCTCCGGGCCATCATTGTCATCGTCGTCGATATCAATATCAAACTCGTTGGAAGGATGAGCCGAGTCCGCACTGCTGTCCCCTGTGATAGCCGCCAAGGCCGCCGCCGGACCGGCCGACTGAGAGCCGTTGGTCATCAACGACAACACCAAGCCCTCCAGTCGGTCGATGCGATTTTGCATATCATCGGGAGTAGTCGCCGTCTGCTGGGGGGCGTTCTTCTTGCGCGTAACTGTCTGCGCATAGGTACATGAAGCGGCGTCGCCGCGCTTGACGCAGTTCTCACACGGATGGGAGCGGTTGCATTTCAGCCTGGATCGCCGTTAGTCAGATCCACCGATCCAGTCTCCGAGACACTTACTTGCGGTGACGGCACGGGCCGCACGACAGAGGCACACGGTTGCGCTTGCGAATCACTCGGAACTCGGGCGACTCGACGCTCGAGGAGGTTGTGGAAGGCGGCGTTGGAGACATCTTTTTGGTCGGGATTGGTGCTCAAAGGGAAGAAAATTGGTAATCTGTGTCGATCAGGGCCGCGCTCTTTATGTCGGGACCAATGCGCGGCGAGGGCCGCAAGCTCAAGTGTTCCGTGAGCTCGGCCCGGACGGGGTTCTCAGCCTGGTTGCGAGCCCACAGTCGAATATCACTGATAGTGGCCAAGAAAGATTTGCTTTGTGCGCCTCTATCCTGATCGAAAAGAGATCCGTCAGATGTCGCGCGGATCCAATGTCCCTGGCCAGGGACTGCGGGGCAGACGAAGTCGATGGGGAAGACAGCGCAGTTCGCAGCGGGGTAAAGGTCGCAGGACAGGGGGTCGAGGTGAATACGGTGAGGGTTTGTCAAGCTGACCCGCGGTGCGCGCACAAGGGAGCTGAGGAGTGGAGGGGTTTAGGGGAGAAGAAGAGATGGGGATGGAGGGAAAAAGGACCGGGGGCCACAACAATAATTAGCCAGACAGTCAGGCAGGGTCGCTCTGATGTCGCCTGGGGAGTCTGTGAAAGAAGAGAAGCGAGGGGAGAATGGTGATCAGTAGTAAGGCTCCAGGGCACGACGACGAACCATGATGATTAATCCCCGTCCTCCTATCTCCGTTATCACCTCATGATCTCACACCCACCGTCTCCCGCTTGACCAATAAGATGCCCGCGAGCTAGATCGCAGGGATCCATGAGTCATCCCGAGGGGGACGGTCTCGCTCTGGTACAATTCGGTGGAGTGTCTACATGTCCCCGGTTTTCCTGGAACAAGTATCGATGAATGCTTTCCCAATAGGTGAGTCTCGGATGTGATAATCGCAGTGCACTCAGGCATGTTGGTGTTGCATCAGAGTGAGATTTAATACGCCTGGATTCGCCATAGGACGCTGCCAGAGCGCCTATAAGCAAGTTGATGATTATCTCTGAGATGGTCAAATATATCCATATCGGGAGGTAAGGTGAGGGCTGAAGGGGCAGTCAACGTCAGCTCGAAGGGGGCGGTAAATATTCTGCTAAATTTGATATATAATTCTTACATATTAAAAAAGGTATAAGGGAAAAATATCCCCTTTACGAGTAGTATCATAGTGATTATGACGCTGTCGCTCTACACGCGAAAGGTCAGGTGTCCAAGCCACCTATCTCTTAATTAATGCGGATTAATGTAATAGTAACACCATAATATTTAAACTTGTAGCAGGAAACATTGGCTTAAGAGTCAACTGGAACCCGAATCCAATCGACAAGGATGTTTGCCTAAAATCACTTAGGCAATATTAAACACACAACTGCAACAGAAGTAATAGATATCCTGGGGAATTGAGTACGTGAATTCCTTGTACTTTACCATTACAGACGCCAGTGGTACGACCTTGGCATCTATACGATCTACAGCATCATACCCTGACGTGATGGTCTCGTCACTCCAGCACCTGCAATCTTACCATATGGTATCCATTCGCTGCCAGATATCGATATGGCATCTGCAGACAATGTAATAACTGATCTCTTCCGGTTTCTCTCCAGTCTTCACACTGCTTCTCCTGCCAATATAGCACCCATCAACCCACGTCCAGGCCACATTTTTCTCTTCAGCTACTTCTTTATGGCTCTAATATTCCAAGTGGCCAGTTATCTGCAGCAGTACCTCTGGTCATGGCTGCATGTAACACCGAGTAAACGACCAGACGCCTTGAAAATGGGTGTTATCACGGAGTCGGATCTTGATCCTGAAACGGGTGAGTACAGCACTTACAGCCATACAACATTAACAAAGAGTATGCTGTTCGAAATATGCTAACCTTTCCAAAAAGTCCTATATCCAGCAACATCTCACCCCGGCTTAATTCTCCACGCCATCGCCGCCCCCGACGTGCCAACAGCGGAGCGTCTGGCTGCACGCTTCCACTTTGCAAAGGCATACGGCTCCCGCACCGCGTTGCTCGATGATCCCTGTATTGCCGCTGTGTTCGTCTCTGCTCCTATCGGGCTACGTTTCTCCGTTGTGGAGCTGGCTCTGAGGAAGGGAAAACATGTTCTCTGCGAGAGTCCCCTCGCCGCGAATGCGAACGAGGTGAAGATCTTGGTAGACTTGGCGAAAGCGATGGGACTTGCGTTGTTAGAGGGTGTAAGTTGCAGGTTTTTTCTCCGTCTTTATCGACCGGATTGGACTGATTGATGTATGGGAGGGAATAGGTCGATTGGCAGTTCCATCCGGCGGCGCATGCATGGCGCAAACTGGTCGATGCGCGCGAATCTGGACGCATTCTTCGCTCCGAGGCTGTTATGACATCGACCCCGAAAATCCCCTTGGAGGATAGTCGATGGAAATTCCATTTAGGAGGTAACTAACACCCATCTCCAATTTAATCAGATCGTAGATACCATATGCTCATTGGACATTTCAAAGGCGGCTCAACTTTAGCCCTAATCCCAGCCCTAGCATGCACGCGGTTCTCTTTACACGCAACAACGCTCGCAACCGTACTCTCCGTAACGGCGCGACTAGCCCAGAAAGACCCACGCATCGACGCAGCAGTGCACGCGCACCTGGTCTTCGAAAATGCCCACAATCACTCCGTGCACAGTCGGATATATACAGACATGGCGCGGCCATGGGCGCGAGGATTCGTGCCGCGCGTGTGGGAGCTGCCCTCTATTGAGGTGGAGACGGAGATGACGGTGTTATTTTTCTATAACTTCACGCAGCCGCATCTGTATCACTATATCAGCGTCACGAATAAGACAACGGGGGAAACGAGCTATTATAAGCAGTATGACGGGGGTCCGTTGTGGGGTAAAGTGACCGTTTCCACAGGCGAGAAGGGCGGACAGAGCGGGTGGAGTACGTATCGATGGCAGTTGGAGGCGTTCGTGGATGCCGTGTTGGGGAAAACGCCTGCTTATTGGATTGCTGCGCAGGAGAGTGTGTGGAATATGGAGGACGTGGATGCTATCTACAGAGCGGCGGGTTTGCCGATGCGGGAGTCGAGTACTGATGGAGAAGGGAAAAAAGACTGAAGATGAAGGAATAGATAAAAGCGCTGCTTGAAAATTGAATTGAAAAAAAAAAATAGGTATCAACGTGAAATTATAATAAGTAGATGTGCGTACACATATTATGTTCATATGTATAATATACATCCATGAGAGAAGAAGTTCCAAGTCCACCAACCCCTTGCAAAAAAAAGAAAATGACTCGTTACCAGGATCTGATATCCCTATGTTGCTAGGCCTATCACGCCAGGGCAGCGGCAAGCGCGAAGAGCGCACCACCCATAGCCAGCACGTTAGACGCACCCAGCGCCGGAGCGGCGTTGGCCGACGTGGTCTTAGCAGGGGGCGCAGGAGTGCCCGAAGGAGCCACAGGGGTCGAGACAAGAGGAGTCGAGGAGGCCGGGACAGAGCTAGACGGGACAACAGAGCTGGTCGACCACCGAGGGGTAGATGTGGGGGTCATCGTCGGAGTCTGGATCGGAGTCGAGGTGGGAGTGGGAGTCGAAGTGGGCGTTGGGGTTGAGGTTGGCGTAGTGCTGCAGGTGACCGGCATCCAGTTCAGATCCTTCGAGTTCAGGGTGGACATGCCGCCCGTGTGGGTTTGACCGTTGGCGATGTCCATGGCGGAGCACAGCGCATAGGTCTGGCCGGCGATGTTGCAGGACACGGAAGCGGACGCAGTCGAGTACGAGTACATCAGCTGCATTGAGGTCGGCGCCGACATAGCGGTCATGCCCGAGCTGGGAATACCGCAGTTGGTCACGCCCTCGGCACAGGTGACAAGATAGGTGATCGTATCGCCAGACTACAAAGTCGGAAGTCAGAATTTGATATCATATCCAAATCACCAATCAGTACGCACCTCGCCGATCTCCTTAGCAGCAATTTTGCTTTCGTATCCGTTGAAGCCGGGCAAAAGCAAATTCACCGTGTCTGCGGAGACCGCAGCGACACCGGCCAGAAGGGCAAGAGTCTGAAGACGCATGATGATGTTTATTTGGGGCGTGCGAAATATAACCGAGAGAAAATCCGTTCGGGAAAATGGTGTTGGTGGGTTATTGAAAGGAAAGGCCGTACGCTGTACTCTGGTAGGGTCAACTACCGATGAACGAGAGACTGGAAAGAACCAAAAGAATGGAATGGTAGCAGCGTCGTGCCCCGGGTACGGATTGGGAGAGAAGGAGAGTGAGTGAGATGACTAGGGCATCGCGCCGGGGCCGGGGGCTAATCCAGCATATAAACGGAGGGGGCCCGCGGACCGTCACATTGGCAATAATTAGCCCAAGCGAAATGGGGCTTGGCGCGACCCTTGGTCTGGATCCGGTTCCTGGTCAACTAGGCCTAGTGATTGGCGCAGGGGGGCATGGTGGATGGTCCAGGCACAGGGCCGCGCTGATCATGGGCCAGGAGATGTGCAGTTCGAGTTGGGAGTTAGCGCCGACTGGAGGAAAAGGGGCACCACACTATGCCCGAGCAGGGATAGTCAGGACCGGATGGTCGATGGGGCTAGCGATGAGACCCCTTTTTGCGCAGACCATGAGGCTCGATCGACACACGAAACGGGCGCCAGGATTATGATTGCCTTTTTCTGCCCATGCGGCTGCTTCGGAGATGAGTTAGCAATATGTTACATAGCTCGTAAGGGATTGGTGGGGAGCAATTGATTGCGGTTCGTCTCACAAGCCCCGGTGTTTGTTGTCAGGAACGCGTCAGGGGAAATTAAACGGGACCCGTTGTGAGCCACCCGAACCCCAGTTGGGACTAGTCAGGGCGCCTCGTAATCGTAGTCGTTCAAGCCTTGCGGGGCCAAGATTCGTCATCGGAAAATTCGGGTCGATAAGTTAATTAATTTCATTTGGTTGACAATATTACAATATTACATAGTGAGGGACAAACCCTAAATCCGGAGTACAAATAATAGGAATCTTCAATTCGCAAGTATTAACATATAAATCACCAAAAATGATTCATCACGCCGCACACAATGCCCGTCAGCAGTAGGATCCCGTTGAACCCCGCCATAATATAGAATGGGGTGCCCGACGACAACACATCAAACAGCAGCCCGCCCAATTTGGTGAGCAGCAGGATTCCTGCCCCTCCATACAGCGAATAGACCCCCGCGATGGATCCCTTCAGGTTTGACAGATGCTGCAGTTGCTGGTCTACAGAGGCCGAAAGCAGAGGTTGGTTCTCGTCGGGCTCTGGATGACCGTCATCATCTGGTCGGGCATAAATCTGGCGCAATGTCTCGTCGTCAGTGCTGACACGAAGAATGCCATTGCTGAGCACGGCTAGACTACAAACGATAGCTCCTATCTGGCTGATCCCGATTAGGGCCATCACCACAAACACGCCTGCATTGCCGTCGGGGCCTTTGTACTGAGGGCTTGGGAGCATCGCAAAGACCAGATAGCCCACAACACCCACCAGGGCAGCAAAGAGAAGCGGGAAATTGTAGCGTCGGGATCTTTCGGTTAAGAATCCAAACAAAGGTGCTGCGATCAACGCGACCAATTGAGATGCGCCGGTCAGAATCGAAGCGAGGATGTATGCACGCGGACAGAGTCTTTTGATATCTCCCAATCTTGAACCGGGCCCCGGTTCAAGCTGTTCGTCACATAGACCTGATGCTCGGAAGTAGTGATTGACGGCCAGAGGAATGAACAAGGAAATACCCACAGAGGATGCTCGGGCGACAAACCCTCCAATGTAACCAAGGGCAATACTGCGATTTCGGAATCCCAAGAGGAGCGCCGTCGTCAATTGCTTCCAGTATGGGAGCCGGGTCGGTTCGTTCGCAAATTGATCATTGTCTGATGCTGACGAGGATGACTGTTGTGATGGCTTCCACAAAACGCTCCAGCTTTTTCCGTCCTCTCCCGGAAGGCCTCGAAGACCAACGAAGCAGCTGAGACTGATTAAAAGGGCCACAACGGCGACCAAGTAATAACTGAGCTGAATAGACTGTGACGGTGAGAGACCCAGTTCCTCAAACCGAGCTGGAAGAGGGAGAAATGCCGCCAGAGACACAAGAGCACCACAGCCGGCAAACATGCCGACAAACCCAGACAGCCGAGCAGAAGGAGAAGACGGGGTGACATTGGAGTCACCCTGTTCGGGGTTGACCCGGTTTGGCGCGGTGGCTAAATCAGAGGGCATTGAAGCTCTATACGCTTCAGATTTGAGTGATTTTCCAGTAACTGCAGGCAGGACTGCGGTCACCATCGTTGATACCGCAGAGCCCCCGACACTAAAGAGTAATCTCCCCAGCAGAAGCTGCGGATAAACATTCGTAGCCTGCACGAAAAGGACCAGCGAGAGCGCTATAATAAAATAACCAGCCGTGCAGACCTATGCATCTATCATCAGCCAGTGTGGGTTTTTAGATAAAATCGGAAAGCTTACATGACGAACGCCAATACGATCGGAGAGAACGCCCCAAAGCGGACAAGCAACCAGCGCAAGCAATTCGTCTGAAAACCCCAGCGTGCCCACTGCATCTCCCTCGCCGTCATGGATCCCAATTAGATCAGTTACCACGAAGGAGACGGATGAGTTGACGAATACGAGGAAAGCGATGGAGAACGGGCAGACGGCCAGCAGGTAGGTCAGCGTCTGGGTCCGCGAGGCCGTGAATAATGCCGGAGTGGACGCCATCATCTTATATCGACCATTGTTCTGTAGAGCGGACTGCGTAGAGCTCCTGGTAATTGAAGACCAAAGCGGGTTGTACGAGGGATGGTGGAACTCGGATGGATTGGGAAGGGTCACATGACCTGTCGATCAGATAAGAAATCACAATACACGATCATGCTACCGATGGATTGATATTTAACATTGAAAGAGAATCCTCTGAGGTCCAACCATACTAGTTATGTGGTCAGAGCCAAGGAGCTGCTGGAGAGCGCCACCAAAGGTAATGGTGCATGTACAGGATTGCCGGCTTGAGGCCATTCGATCAATATTCTCCCACAAGTCCTATTAAAGTCTTCAATCCACTCGGCAGTTAACGCTACTGTGATTCTATTCTGATTAACACTCTCGAAAGGACTACTATACAACGGTTCGGTACTTCCGCCCGAGTCTGTAGCCTGCTGGGCACGTGCCCCCGCTGACATAAGATGCGGAGTGAAAGCTGTCCAGATCGTCATTGCCTGAACTCCACGGTGTTTGTCCTGTCGAGGCTCTTTCTTTTTCTCATGACTCTCGACCAGAAGTAGTCAACAGCCATGAGGATAGCCGCGTACGCCGGGGTGAGTGGCACTATTAAAAACGCGAAGCATCCACGCTGACACTCGTTTGCAGGCTTCGGTGGCCCTGGCCACGGGTGTGTTTTTGAAGGCCATCCATCAGAGAGCCAACTTCTACGCGGCCTGCGTGTATCTCTCTCAAAGCAGCGCAAACCTCATGGTGAGTTTAGCCGACCCTCAGTGACTGACCGCGTTCTCATCTCGACCACCTAGATCCTGACCAACCTGTGTCTTCTCGCCTCCGGATTCCTCCTCTTCTGGCTCCAGCGACTGCTCTATGGCCCCCTGAGAGCCATCGAGACCGAACAGCTCTACGAGCGGGCATGGTTCGCCGTCACGGAGACATGCCTGGCGATGACCATCTTCCGGGGGAGCTAGGCGGCTGGTTTCTGGTGATGTTCATCTCCCTGTTGGTCGGCAAAGTCTGGGGTTGGATTGGCGAAGGCCGCGTGGAGTATCTGGAACAACAACCGCCGGCCAACCCGCGATTGTTTCATACGCGATTGGCGGCCTCGTTGGCGCTTTCGGTCTTGTTCGACTCGTTCATGCTGAATTATTGCGTCACAACGGTGCTGGATCAAGCGAGACCTGATATGATGGTGATGTTTGGCTTTGAGTTTGCCATTCTGACTATCTTGTCCACTTCAACTGCTGCCCGGTATGCAATTGCCTTGGTTGAGATCTATATCACCCGCCGGCAAGTGAAGAACAAGATGGAGGAGCGCCGAGCTGAAATCCGTGAAGCTCGCGCGGAAGCTATCCGGCAACATGCCATTTCTGGGGCTGCTGCTCCTCCTACCGACCTGCCGGATGAGAACGACGTCGACGAGATGGAAATTGATGTTCCAGGATGGGAGGAGAAAGGCCGATGGGTCTTCTACCTAGACCTCTTGACTGATTTTCTGAAGCTCTCGGTCTACCTGACATTCTTTGCTATTCTCATCACTTTCTACGGTTTGCCGATTCACATCCTGCGGGATGTTGTCGTCACGATTCGCTCGTTTGGTCGGCGAATCATGGATTTCCTCCGCTACCGCAATGCGACCAGGGACATGGATGAGAGATATCCGAACGCTACAGCTGAAGAGGTCGCGAGAGAGGAAGTGTGCATCATCTGCCGGGAAGAAATGGTTTCGGCAGAACCGGCTGCGGATGTTCCTGAGAATGTTGGTCAGCAACCACCGGCAGCAGGAGCTCAGCAACGCGTGCCTGACCGTCTTCGCCCCAAGAAACTACCATGCGGACATATCCTACACTTTGCATGCCTCCGAAGCTGGCTTGAGAGGCAACAGAACTGCCCCACCTGCCGCCGTCCGGTGGTAGTGCCCTCAGGCGCCCGAGGTGCTGCTGGTGTCAATAACGCACCCGGTAATGGCGGCGCCGGCGGTCAGCCTTTCAACCAAGCTGGGGGACAGCCAGGCGCCCAGGGACAGGACCAGCCTCGTGCTCGGGTCTATCAGCTCGGACCCTTCCGGATCGGCTTTGGAGCTGTGCGTGGAGACCTCCTTCAGAACCTCCACCAGCAAATCCACCGAGGCAATCCTCCATTACAACCGGCGGACAATGGGAACCCTCCCGGTGCACGCCAGATCGGTTTTGGCTTTGGCTTTGGACGACGCCCACCACCGCCAGAGGCCGCAGCTCCAGGGACGTCCAACATGATCAATATCCATCAGCAGTTGGAACATATCGAACAACAGATCACGGAGGAGATCAACAGCCTCCGTATTGCCACCGAGCGCCTACATCATGTTCGCCATCTTCAAACGGAGCTGGACCGAATCCGACTTCAGCAAGCGGCTTCTTTTGCTCCCCAAGTGACACCTACGACTGCTGTTCCGCCACAACCAACGCCTTCAACCTCTGTTCCTGCCCCGTCATCTATCACCACTTCTACCACTATCCGCCATCAGTTTGTCTCGAACCCGGCCGTGTCAGCCATGGGCTCGGATGATGCCCGTCTTCCAGAAGGACTTACTCTCCCACAAGGATGGACACTTGTCCCTCTTCATCCCACCGGGCAAAATGCTGATCCCACGCCTACCGTCCCAGAAAGTGCGACAACCCAGCCGGCTCCAGACAGTGCCACAGCTCCTCAACATGTTCCTGGCCCCGAAACCCCCGCCCCGCCCCAAAGCAGCGAAGAACCCGAGGCATCTGCAGTTGAAACGGCCGCTAATACAGTGACACCGGCTCCGGTGGCTGACATCCTGCCCAACTGGCAGTCTACGCCCAATGTCCCATCGACGGATCACCGCGCCGAATCACCTTCGCAGGAATGGACTGACATTCCCCCCGAGCAGCCTCACGCAGGGCCTTCCTCCGCCGCTCCGCCTTCCTGGGGCTCCGGCTCCGGTTCCGACTCCGAGTCCCCTTCCAAGGGCAAGGGGCGCGCTGCCACAGTGGAAGAAGCAGCTGACGATGGAGCATGAATTTGAACACCCTTGTATTATTTCCCGCCTTTCTTTTCGCTTTCCCCACTTTGCATGGCGTTTATGAGCAAAAGATCATACCCGGATTCCGTGTCTATAAGTCAGACCGTCTATACCAAATTTTGTTGTTGTTCCGTTTGTATTCATCTCCAGTAGAGCAGTCTCAGCCGGCTATTGTGGCTTGTAAGCGCAGCCAAGCTTCGACCGCGTGGGTGTCGATTCGTGGCCTCTCTTGACACGGGCTGATCAGGGGGGCGATCGTCAGCCGCATTGACCATTTGGGTCGGGTACGTGTGGCCAATTTTGGGGGTTGCGATTCCACTCGCATTCCAGACCGACACCATTTCCCATTCCGCGCGAGAATGATGATTATTATATTTTGTTGTTGTCCACCAGTCAGTCCATCTCGGCATCGGAATTTTACCCTGTTGTCCCTTCGTCATCATCCGGGCAACTTTACTTTGACTTAGGGCTCCACCCGCGCCCGGCCTTTTCACTGGCTCTGCTTGGCCCCCGCGCTGCTCTAATTTGGTCTCCTTGGCCGCCACTCGTCATAGGAATTTCCCTTGACCCTAGCTGAAAGTCGGGCCATCTTGCCTTCCTACCCTCTTTGTGATTTTTCCCTTTGGTTGTATATTGGATTTGCCTGGTGAGGGCGCTTTTTTCGCTCGCTCACGCTCTCTCGGACATCCCGGAACGCGACGGTCGCCCCTATTAGCGGCCTTTGACACCTTCCTCGCTGCGCTTGGAGGCCAATGGTCGGCCCAATGCTGGTTTTTTAAGTCGCAAGTACGTTGCACCGAATTCCTTCCCGGCCGATACCCCTTCTAGTTATGTTGGATATTCGCCTATCATCGACAGTTTCCCCTGGGCGATGTGGCGAATTAGAGCCTCACCTCTCTCGGTCATGATACCTCTGCCCAGTGCCAAGCTGACAGTGATCTTGTGCGACAGACTGATATCTCCGAAGCCATTCTTATTCGCTATATCATTACTACACCGATCTTGATCGATGATTCTCTCACGGCGGGCAGTCCCCCTGCTCGGCCTGTGCTTCTTCGCCGCCTTCTTCTTCACAGCCCGCCAACTCTCACAACCATGGGGCAAGATGGGGCAAGTCGTCGGCATGGGGGACGTGATCGGCCAGGGTGATGACTTCGGCCAGGGATCACGATTTGGGATGTCGTTGAACGGGACGTGGAATCTCACGATGGGGCGGCCGAAAGCCAAGGAACAGAAAACCCTCTTCGCGCCGCATCCCCATTTCGAGCCCGGCGTCCCCAAGCCGCCTGGCCAGGAATACTCGAAGGTCATCGTCGCGCCGCGCACGAAGTACGAGGATACCTCCTGGATGGAAGAAGAACTGCCCGAATATGGCACTGCGGTCTATTGGGTCGACGATCCCACCGCAGAGCTGCATGTACCCAAGAATAAAGGCCACGAGGTCATGGTCTACCTCACCTATATCATCGACAACTACGATGACCTACCGGATATTGCGGTTTTCGTGCACGCGCACCAGAATGCATGGCACAATGACCCCATTTTCAAAGGCGATGCCGTCGAGATGCTGAAGCGACTCAACCCGGCACGCGTCATCCGCGAGGGATACATGAATACCCGCTGTGGGTTTGGGCCCGGCTGTCCGGACTGGATGCATCCCGGCGCATTGGTCGAAGACGGCAACAAGCAGGAAGAGGTCCTCATGGCCCGCGCATGGGCTGAAATCTTCCCGGATGACCCGGTCCCCTCGGTGCTGTCGCAGCCGTGCTGTGCCCAGTTCGCCGTGTCCGGCGAACGCATCCGCGCTATTCCCCGATCCCGTTTCATCTTTTACCGAGACTGGCTGCTGCAAACAGATTTCAGCGACTACATCGCCGGCCGCGTGTGGGAGTACATGTGGCAGTATGTGTTCACGGGCAAGCCCGTCCTCTGTGTGGACGAACACATCTGTATGTGCGACGGCTACGGCTTCTGTTTCGGTAGCGACGATGGATTCCGCGCCTACCAGGACCTGGAAAAAGAGGTAGCGGGCCTCGCAGACCGGGTGATGAACTTGGAATTCTTGCAAAACGAGTTCGATATCGCGGAGGAAAACCACGACCTCGATGACTCCATGCCCGTGGACCCCCCGGAGACTCAAGAGCCGGGTGTATACAGACTCCACGAGAAGAAGCAGAAAGAGCTCAACGATATGTGGAATGCAGCTATCGAGCGTGGCAAGAATCCCAAATACCGTGCCCTGGAGGCCGGTCGGCCGTGGAAGGAGGGCGATGGCTTCTAAGGCCGTGTGAATATTGTGACTATACTCTTCATGGATATATACAGGCGTTTTGAATTATGCGCTCATTGGTGCTGTCTTTTTGCTCTCTTCGATCCCCTTCTTGTTTTATTTCTCTGCGGTTGGAGGACTTTGATATACTGCGATTTTCGTTGGCACGGCCAAAGTACATATATCGTTTCAATGTGAGATTAACAATATTGAGCCAATTTATTGAGATGATGCAATTATTGAGGAGCTTCTCATTTTTCTGTTTAACCCTCGACTAATTCATTCAACACATGGTTCTCTAACTTCCCATTCCGGGCGGCGTGTGAGGGCGCCATTGCATAGTTGCCTGAGGCATCAAAGTCACATGACCGCTGCAAGGTTTGCACTGTCTGCTATTCCTTCAAACCACGCAAACACCGTCACAACCAAACGAGCATCGCGAAAGTTGCTCTTATCGGCAGAATCGCGTTTCTGATTCTCCACTCTCGCCAGATCAACTCTTCGTCGCGATTTTCACATCTCCTCCCATTCTGGGGTGTAGCGGTGGAAGCATCGCTCGAATTGCTGCACAAAGCCCGCGACGCGACTCATCACCGCGGAGCTTCACTGAGCTTCTCCACTACTTTATCGCGCTAAAGATCTAAAGATTCCCCGACTTCTGGAGACATGGCATCCACCTCCTCCGGCGGCCAAAACCCGCCTACCACCTCGTCGACTAATGGCCCGACCCAATCGACGACGAATCCCTCCCACCTTGATCCCAATGCGCAACTGGCGAACAACGGCTATGCGTCAACTGATAACCAACTCGCTGGGTTAGTGGAGGCAGCCACTGCTGCCGCCGACCAAGACATCTCTAATTCCGAGTGGGCCGCTGCTGCTGCTGTCGCCGCCGCAGCGGGAGCAGCGGGACATCACCAGCTGGACGGGTATGGTGGAGATATGCACCTCGGCGATGATGGGTTTGGAGATCCGAATTTTGTGACGGGCATGGGTGGTGGAAGACATCTCAGAGGGCACAACGACTCCTCCAATTCCGGGCTGACGAGGACGGCCACGAAAAAGCGAAAGAGGAATGAAGATGCCCTCGACCCTGCTCTGACAGGCGTTGGTGGCCCGCAAAACCAGCACTCGCATTCCTCGCAACAAAATGCACATGGCTACGGTGGAGACAGTCTTGATATTCGCTCTATGCCGGCTCCCTCCACTGAGGCGCGCGCTGTTGGGGTTCACTCTGCTGCGGCGTTGTTCCGCCAGCCTTCCAGCAATAAGAAGTATACGCGCCCGCCTATGTCGAAACTTTTCACCTCGCTCGAGCTGTCGCCAGAGAATTTCTTGCATCTTCAAGCTGCTGCGAAGGCATATATGCTGGACGAGCGGCACCCGGACAGACGCGAGTGCGTTGGTCAACGGGGCAAGGGAGACACAGAGATGGTGAAGTTGAAGCTGTGGGAGTGTGTCCGCAACTTCTTGGAAGGCGAAGGCAACGGAGAGAAGTTCTTCTCGAAGAATGTGGTCAACGAAAACATGGGTCCTCGAACTTATGTTTGGCCGGACCACCAGGCAAAGATCATTGCATTGGTCATCCCATTGCTTAGGCGCATGGTCACCAACGAACGACAGCGCCAATATGCTATCGAAACTCGGAAGGGAGGTGGCGTGGAAGACCGACGACGCCGCAGGACGGACGAGGGGCTTTCAACCCAGCATAGCCCACCCTTCTCTCCTGGCCAGCAACTCCATCTTCATGGTCAGACTCATCGCCCTGAAGATATGGGACATGCCATGCCGCCGCCATCGGACTCGCAGCCGCCCATGGATTCCACACAGGCCATCGTGCATCCTGGACTGGCAGATCTTTGGATGGACGGATACACCACTGACTGGAACGAGATCAGCCGTTCCTACGACATGTACAACCATAACTTTGAACTCGACAATCTGTGCTCTCTGTCTGGTTTGCAACAGCCGGATTGGCGTGGTTTGGTTGCGGCAGTTGATAGCCACTACCAGATAGTCCACAATGGTGATTATCAATGTGCGCCGGAGTGCGAGAACTACAATGTTGACCGGATCGTGCACTCGAACACTACTTCTGATCTGCCTTGGAGGATTGGTGGAGGGCGTTCTATCCCCGCACGCGACGAATTGTGAGTAATTGTCTTTCCAGTCTTCTGTCATGCAGCACTAACTCTCTCAACAGTGCCAGTAGCATCACCCGTGATGTCTCCCGAATCATCCGCGAAACCATCGCCGGTCGACAAAGTGGCGCCCCAGTGACATCGGACCAGCAATACATCCCCGCCCAGCAACCATTCCACGCCCCAGCAAACGAAAACGGACCCAACCAAGTCTCACTCCGGGTAAACGTTCTCCAGCGCGGAAAGCGAATCCTGCCACGCCTGGATCTCCCTGCTTTGCAGTGCAATAATGCCGACGTGGTCAAGCAGCTCGTTCTACGCCGCTACCCTGGTCAATTCCCCGGTGCTTCTTTCACGGAGGGATCTGACGCTGCCGCTCAGGATGCGACTGCGGACTGGAAAATGCGCGTCTGGCTCCCTAACGGTCTGACTCTGGTTCAAAGTGATAGGGACTGGACGATTGCGCTGTTGTCTGCTGATACGGTGGATTGGATGGATGGGGAGTTGAAGTTGTTGATCGAGATCGACGGGGAGTTCCAGCAGTAGCCCAACCAAGGTTTCTGGTCATGGGATCCTCCCTTTTTATCTTACATTTTCAGTATTGTTCGCCGGAGTCGGCGTTACCTTTTGTTTCCCCATACCCTTTATGAATGCCTTTTATTAGAGCTCGCTGGAAATCTTACGAACTTTTGCTATGCCCGAAACGGAAAATCAAAAGAGTTGATTGCGGCTGCGTCCGCTCATCCAATAACCTGTATGAGTAGTACATCGATCTGCACGCGGTTCCAACCTAGGCTGTCTAGCGCGACGCATCTTTCATCCCCCAGCCCCGCCACTCACTGCAAGATACCCGATGTGATCTGGAAAACATTACTGGCAATGTTCAAGATCAGCGGAATCAGCCGTGCTGACGGATGTACATAGGTCGGATGTGAGGGTCCAGCTGCTGCAGATCATCTTACTGCACCGCACGCAAGGATCCTTGATGGCGATTGAAGTGCATCTGTGCAGAGACGAGGTGGGGGGAACTTAGAATTAGTACTAAGTTGCCTGAACTATAACCATCTCCGCCGGTGCTCACCCGCTCTTCTTTCCCTTCTTTCTTTCTTTCTTTTCTTCTTCTCTTCATTTTATTTGCTTTTTGCTTTTTCCTTGCTTGCCAAGCCGAGCAGGGCACAGCAAGCCGACCGAGGGTCCTACGGACTAGGCTGTCCGACTTGTGGTCACTACTTTGCTGGCCAACGGGGACAAATTACAATAGGTATCGATTGTGAAACGTAACCTCCCATGATGGAGCATCTTGGAGCCGCCACTACTGCGAATCCCACGACGGTGACAGAGACAACCCCCCTACTACTGGGCGAGCCGATCCCAGATCCAGAATCCGCCGAAATCAAACCCTCAGAGCCAGGATCATGGCAACAAGAAACCAAAGTCATCCTGCGGTACTCCGCGCCGCTAGCCCTGGCCCTCTTACTACAATACGCCCTAACGACATCCTCCATCTTCGTCGTTGGACACCTCGGCAAGCGCGAGATCGGCGCCGTCAGTCTAGCCAACATGACCGCCACCATCACAGGTTACACGGTCTACCAGGGGTTCTCGACCTGTCTTGACACGTTGTGTCCCCAGGCATACGGATGTGGCAAGAAGACGCTGGTAGGACTGCATCTGCAGCGACTGACCATGCTGCTGCTATTGCTCACTGTGCCCATCGCGGCGCTGTGGTTGAATGCAGACCGGCTCTTTGCTTTGATATTGCCGGCCCAAGACGATGAGACTGCGTTGCTCGCTGGGCTTTATCTTAAGATTCTGTTGTTTGGGGCACCTGGATATGCTTGCTTCGAGGCTGGAAAGCGCTTTCTCCAGGCGCAGGGTATGTTCGCTGCTTGTCTTTTCATCCTGCTGGTTTGCACTGCGTTTAATGCATTCATGGGCTGGTTATTTGTCTGGGTAAGTACATCGATTCTCTACTACTTCTAACAATGCATGAAACGTAAAATCAAAAACTAACGCCCCGTCTGTCCAGAAACTAAACTGGGGTTTCATCGGCGCCCCAATCGCAGTAGCAATAACCAACAACCTCCTTCCCATCCTACTCGCGCTATACGTCTACCTAATCCGCGGCCGCGAATGCTGGCACCCGCTCTCCGGGCAGGTCTGGCAAAACTGGGGTCCAATGATGCGCCTCGCGCTGCCCAGCTGGCTCATGATGGAAGCCGAGTTTATCGTGTGGGAGCTTCTCACGCTCGCATCGTCGCATCTCGGTCCCACGGAGCTGGCGGCCCAGTCGGCCCTTATGACTGTTTCTTGTTTTGCCTTCTACATTGGTTTCGCTGTTTCCGTTGCGGGGGGTACGCATATCGCGATCCTTGTTGGTGCGGGTGCCTTGCGCCGCGCGGCGGTTGCGACTAGAGTGGTTCTTTGTCTGGCACTGACCATTGGATCGAGTGATTTGGTGCTTCTGATTTTGTTGCGGCATGCTGTGCCTGTTCTTTTTTCGAATAACCCGCAAGTTTGCCATCTGATCACCTACGTGCTCCCGCTATGTGCGCTGCTGCAGATCCCAGATGCCTTTGCCGCCTCGCTGAACGGTGTGCTTCGCGCTCTGGGGAGGCCGGATCTGGGCAGTTACGTCCAAATCCCCGTTTACTATATCTTAGCGTTCCCGCTTAGTCTGGGCCTTGCATTTGGGATGGATTGGGGTTTGATTGGTCTGTGGGCTGGCCTTTCTCTCGGTCAGGTACTGAATGTTTTGATTGAGGGTGGTCTGTTGTGGTTTCTCCTCGACTGGGAAAAGGCCGCAAGGGAGGCATCTACGAGGAATCTATTGCCTTAACCTGCTGCTTCATCTGGGGGTCTAGTTTTGGAAAAGTTGAAACCAATGCTGATATATTCTTAGATTGGAAAGAAATTGCTTACGCTAGATGTATATACATGAACAAAACAAGTGCTCTCAAATTGTATGCAGGTGGCAGCAACTGTCCCAACCGCCGGCGGATGGGTCGGTTTGTATTTGCGCGATTGCCCATTTACTGGAAAAGCGCCTCTTCTGGTTGTCTCCGTCATAGTACAGGGGAAGGTAACGATGATAAGGATAGCAGAACAAAACAAAAGAACCCCGTTCTATACTTCGTATACCATCAAGAAAGGCAGAATGTGACACTGACATTCCCGCTCATTTATTGTGAATGAAAAGGTTGCGGAACGAGTCCCAGTGGTCCGAGTCGGCGTAGCTGTATCATAAATGTCAGAATACAGTTCCCCAACAGATCACCAACGACGACTCACATGTACACCATACTGCTCCGCAGACTGCTCACCAGAGTGTCAGGATACCAACGGAAGATATACATGACAAAAGCCCAGGTCAGACTCGCGAACACGGGCCAGGCGTTGTTCGTGATCTGCGCGCGGGCTTCTGGGGTGATTAGAGAGGAGAGGGGGTGCATATTCTCTTGGATGGCCAGCTTGGCGAGGGAGAGCATCACACGAGCGAAGACGTAGATGACAATCTATGATGGTTAGTCTGCTAGAACCAGAGATTCGGGACAGTTGTCGTACCTGTTGGCTAACGCTCCCCGGCTGCCGTCCGAACACAGTGTATCCGCCCAACAACCCGGCGAAGAAGCTATCGTATCGGCCCTCCTTCCCAGCACCGCCGGGATTGATAGTCTTCAATACAAGCATGGAGGTCTTGTAAACGACAGCGAATGTAGCGAGGTTTCGCGCATGTTGACGAGTTGCTTTGAGAACGAGTTTGAGCTTTTCCCGGAATCTGGAGATAGATCAGCGGATAATCCGGGGAAGATGGGCCACGGAATCACTAACGTCCCAGACCGGAAGAGAAATATCATCCTATTCATCAACAGCGCCGGTTAGTCTCAGGCGCTCTCGGTCAAAGGGGATGTTCTCCGAGGCACATACACCAAAGCATGCGGAAATCGCACTTTGGACCCATAGACGATGCCATTGCGCGCGCCCTTGAGGATGGCCAGAAACGGCGCGAGATCCGGGTTAAGCGCAAGGGCGTCCAACCGGGACTGTTTGGTCAGCGTTAGCGGTGGTGATGCTCGGAACTTAAAGGCGGCAACTCACCAAGAGTATATCCATGGCGCCGCAAGACCTCGGCAAGAGGTCGGAGGTGGGTGGGAGGGACTAGGGGAGTCGTGAACCAGGAGACGAGGTAGAAACTGTAATCGTGCAGGTCATGGGAGAGGAACAGGAGGAATAGGAGTGTGAAGAGAGAGAGAGCAACAAGACAGCAGGGGAGGGGAGGACGGCAGTTCCGCAAAGAGCAGGGCCTCGGCATGTGAGACTCAGCCGAAACGTCATATGTCACGTGATGGATACCGGGCGGATGAATATGGATTTGCAGAGGCAGATACAGAGAGAAAGAGAAAGAGAGAGGGAAAGAGACATAAATCAGGTAGATGTTGGAAGTACTAAGAGTAAGACCTTTCATGTACACCGTGGAAGAGTGATGGCCCATCCATCCCAGACGCCGGCAAGCAAACCCTAAATAGAAATGCAATATATCCTCCTCTACTCGGTCCGCACACGCTTGTGGCCCTCGTCCTCGGAGATCTCGTCCACCTCCATCATATCCTCATCCCCACCCTCGTCCTCATCATCTATCCCCGCCCGACGCTTGAGACCCTTCATCTTGCGAGTCTGCAAGCCCTTGAGATCCTGCTTGCCCAGATGCACACGACCAATCTTATCACCGATCGAGTCCATGGTGATATTCTTCTTGGTCTTCATCTCTTCATTCGGCCGCTTGCCCTGCTTCATGGCCTCCTTCATGGCCTCCGCGGAGGCCGGACGCACGCGGCCGACCTTGAAATCGAACTTGGGTCCGACCTCCTCCAGCTCCACGCGCGGCAGCTTATGGCCACTACGCTTGGTGATCACCTTGTACCACCGCAGGTGAACCACCGGCGACAAATTGTCACGGGGCTCCTCGGCACCGACCATAAGCACATACTGCAGGCCCTCGACATCGATCCGGTCGGCTTCCTCGCCCTTGAACAGGTCAAGGAACATGTTCTTCAGCATAACGTGGGCTGAAGAGGTTGGATCATCCCATGGACTACCCGAGAAAAGCATCATCGGCCGCAGCTCCACGCCGATGTGCATGACCAGCTCGTTGATGGGCGGGATGGTCTCGCCGTCCGCAGGAGGGAGAAGGAGGAGCTCGCACATATCCAAGAGCTGGGCATTGTAGATCCGTGCAATTGTCACGCAATTAGGCCGCTTCTTGTTGCTGCTCCCGAACACAACCAGGCCGCAATCGTTCTTGTTCGCCAAAAACTCGAGGCTCTCCGTGTTCTCGAAGGGGCGGATATTCTCGTTCTTCTTGTGGAACATAATCGAATGAGGCTTCGTCAGGGAGTGAAATGTCTTCAGCACAGTGTCCAGTACTTGCGGACATTTTGCGCCGTGCAGCAGGAGCGTCTTCTTGGGCGGCTCAATGAGTTGCGGTTCCCGCGCCTTGAGAATGCGCGCGATGCGCGGATTTTTGGGCTTGCTGGGAAGGAATTAGTGAATTTCCATGACACATCGAGTATATATACATACACTTCGCGCAACATGGTGTGGGAGTGGTCGGGGCAAGTTGGTGGTCGGGGTTTGAAAAAGATCGAACGGGAAAAGTTTTGGATGAGGCTTGGCGCGCTTATCGATAAGAGAGTTTCTTTGTGGCCTGAGGCACCAAATCCAAGTATGTACTTCACTTTCTCAAGAATTTACGCAACGAGCAGATAATATGTGGATTAACAAGTACAAATAAACGACCTTATTATCACATATGTGCACATGATCTGAAAACGTGGGATGGCATTGATGCTGGGGTTTTCCCAATCATTCTCAATGCACCCCTGATCTCCCTCTCTAGATGTCGGAATGCAAACAGCAGTTTTTTTGCCAAATTTTGCACTCGATTTTTATGCTAGTAAAAACGAGTTGCTTCTTCTGACATAGAACTGTCTCTCTAATCACCCAACTGGTTCTCTGAGGCTACATTTACTGATGCCTGGATTCTTGCGGTATGAAGTACCCGGGTCATTGGAAAATTTCAAGTCCTTATGTGTTGATAGTCGGTAGTCTCCCAATTGATGGCCAAAATATATATTAGGCTCGGCTTTGCTAGCATCATGTCTACGTTAGATTCCTATTGACTATTTTGGCTCTGAGTTATCTCAATTGTCAAAAGATCACACTGCATCGTTTATTTACTGTTTCGACTGGTTAACGGCACTCATGAAAATGAAGATGTATTAGCCGAGGCCTCCCAGGATAGGACCTAGAAGTATATGCTTTCTGCAAGAGAGGGAGAAAATACCCCTGACACGTGCCGGAGTCGGATTTTGGTATTTCCGCATCGGTCATAACAGAACCCCTCCAAGTTACCCGCGATAACACTCGACCACCGGACGGAGATATGGAACTTCTTTGCAGACAATGACCTTGATCTCAAGTCGTTACCAGAACCTCCTCTACCACCTCGAATTTGTTGCCCCTCGGACCCAGAATCATTCACCCCACGCTGCGATTTCTCGCGGAACATTTCAGCTGCACAACCCCGGACCTGCTCAACTGTCCCACCCACCGCCATTGTCTTTGCAGAAGCGTCGCACTAGCTTTGACCTCACGGGAGCTTTCCAACGTTGTGGGATCAGGGCCGGTGACCCAGCATGGTCCGTTTGTTAACGGATCGGCAAGCTGAAGAGCTGTAAGTAGATGTGGACGAGCTCTGATGATGTGTTGCTTTTGAAAGCCGATGCTGAGCCCGGTCACAGGCACAAGTCTATCATAGCGTATCTCTCAGCGAACGATCTACCGGAGACGGCTGCGACGCTCAGGAAGGAACTGGCCATTGCCGAGGACAGCTTCGATGCAAGTACAGTGAAAAAGTATGAAACACTGCTGGAGAAGAAATGGACAAGCACGGTTCGCCTACAAAAAAAGGCAAGTCGGAAATTAAAGATTATCTGGGACGCTGTGTGCATCTGCGCATTGCCTTTCTGCGATAGCGCTGACAGTTTCCCCTACAGATAATGGACCTTGAGTCCCGTAATGCAACCTTGCAATCGGAACTTGACAGCTCGACGCCTGCCTCCCTCCGTGCACGCAATAAAGACCCCGAATCCTGGCTTCCACAACAACACCCCCGGTACTCACTGCATTCGCATCGCGACACTATCAATTGTATCGCATTTCATCCCAAATTTTCTTCCATAGCGTCCGGGTCTGACGACTTCACGATTAAAATATGGGACTGGGAACTTGGAGAATTGGAGATGACTCTCAAGGGCCATACAAGAGCGGTGCGCGGTCTCGATTATGGCGGTCCTCCAGGGGGCATCCTTCTAGCCTCCTGCAGTTCCGACCTTACCATCAAGCTATGGAATCCGACAGACGGGTATAAAAATTTCCGGACGCTACAGGGCCACGACCATATTGTTAGCGCTGTGCGGTTCATACCCAATGGGAGCTTGCTTGCCAGTGCAAGCAAAGATAACGACGTGAGGTTATGGGATGTAACTAATGGGTATTGCGTGAAGACGATATCAGGACACACAGGCTGGGTGCGAGACGTCTGCCCATCCATCGATGGAAAGTTCTTGCTCTCTACCGGAGACGACATGACTGTCCGACTGTGGGACATTTCCTTGGCGAAGCCGGAAAACAAGCTGACCTTGATCGGCCATGAGAACTTCAATGAGTGCTGCGCGATTGCTCCACCAACCTCCTATCGCTACCTTGCGCCTTTAGCCGGATTGAAGGTCTCGTCTGCGGGGACTACCGCAGAGTTCATGGCGACTGGATCGCGCGACAAGACCATCAGACTCTGGGACGCCCGCGGGAAATGCCTCATGACGTTGATCGGCCATGACAACTGGGTACGGGCGGTTGTTTTCCATCCCGGAGGGAAATATCTTCTTTCTGTCTCGGATGACAAGACAATACGTTGTTGGGACTTGAGCCAAGAAGGTAAATGTGTGAAGACGCTCAGGGACGCACATGAAAGTTTCATTACATGCTTGAAGTGGGCTCCGGGAATAGCCAAAGATATACAAACGGATCCTGCCAGTGCCTCGGGAGCACAGGCTGCGGACGGTACAGAGGCACCGAAGAGCAAGGCCGGCGGAGAAGCCTCGCAGATCCGTTGTGTTATTGCGACTGGCAGCGTGGATCAGAAGCTACAGATATTTGCGGGCTGATGACAAGATATGAGAAGGAAGTGAGTGACCTTGTTCATTTCATCCGAGCCAAATTCTTATGCAGCTAGCTAGCACCTTACACAATTTCGGTATGGACTAGATCAATTTACCTAGCCTGCACATGTGCAGAGTGCCGTAACTGCGACTCGTCCCAAAGTACGATTCTAAGGGACCCTTCAGCCCGCGCACCGATTGGACCGATTGTCTCGGGCATAGATAGAAGTGCTGTTTATATTCGGCAAATAAACGAATTTTAGGACTCGTGAGGCTGCTCATTTCCCTCCTCTCGGGCTGGTTTCCTTGACAGGTTCCTCCGGCGAAGAAGCTTTCTGGTTTTAAAGACCCTCTTGATCACCATCAATTGTCTCCATTCAATCTTCTTCAAACCACCCTCGAGTAGATCCACCTCGAAAGACAAGTTCACAAGAATTGGCACTTGTCTCTTCTACATCCTCGCTGCCAAGCGCAATAGGGTGTCTTCAGTACCTTGTATTCAATATGGCCTGAATAGCCTTTAGTTCCTGTGGGGTGATGGAGCCGTAGATCACCCGATTTCTACACGGGTCCACGCATAGCGTACCGGTTATAGGCTGGGAAGACAAGGATGACGATCTAAACCCCGGGTTTAGTAAGTCTAAATCTTTGCTTTAACTACAAAAGGCTAACTGACTAATTCTGAAGTCGAAGACATGGCATATCCTTCCCTCGGTAAACTCGGCCCGGGCGGCATGTCTTCGATACAACGAGTCAAAGCGAACCATGGCCTGAATGTGTGGATCTAGCTACCAGGAGTTCACCAAGAAGGAGTAGAAAACGCATACAACTTTCAATGGTTTGCGTTGGTGACCTCTCTCGCACCAAAAGCCAATTATGGGCTGGGCAAAAAAGAAACCCCGAAAAGAAAACCCGAAATTCCTAGATTGAATACTCATATCGATGAGCTGAAGTTGGGAATACATACACTATTCTGCACAAGATCTTACCGTACATGCCAAAAGAGTGAAAGTAGATTTAGGGCTACTTTAAAGTTATGAGTCTGAAGTGCTTAAAATGCCGTTGCGACTAACTAGAGAGAGTAGTTCTAATAGTCAAATACCTCCCGATTCGCTACAACTATTTGGATGAAGATGATTCTGAAAAAACGATGTCTACTGAGAGGTGACCTGGTGGACTAAATTTCCTACGATAAATTACAAAGCTCAGATGAATTGGCGATACAATAGTATCTTGGATCCATCGCGGGGTTGAATAGGGTTTCGCCACTCATTTGGTATGACATCAATCCAGGTTGCTGGAAAATGAAAGTGCAAGCGTCATTTTCCCGCAAGAAGCCTGTCCCGCAAGAAGCCTGTCGCGGTCTAGAGTAGTCTCGTCATCCATTTAAACCCCAGGCGTAGTATGTAATGCGATCTCAAGATTCGTGGTATATCTGCGCATCCCGGACGGCCAGGTCGAGAAACTGTGACCTACGTATAGATCTTTGTCTTTCTATCACAACTTAACACACTCCTGCTGCACCATTATGGCCGACAACGAAAGCTCGGCGGCCGCTGCCCAGGGCGCGCCTGGAGCCTATGATGAAAGAAAAGTGAACGGAACACATCCGGATCGCGATGATCGACCTCCCCACCAGCAGTATGTGTCGCAGGTGCCCCGTTCAGATCAACCTGCCCACATACACACTGTGTCGCAGGTGGCCCGGCCTGAGTTTATGAAACTGGCCAATCCTGGACCCCTCGGTTTGCTTGCTTTCGCGATCACGACTTTTGTAGTTGGTCTTTATGAATGCGGTGCTGGGTAAGAATGGCTCAAATTTCTCTCTTCTGTCCTCCCGGGATGCCTAACCTTTCCGCAGACTTCCTCACTCAAACCCGGAGGGCAACGTTGGCCCCAACCAGGCTTCTTTTGGAATTGTGGTGTTCATGGGTGGGACCGCTCAGATTCTTGCTGGATTGATGCAATTTCGTGTCGGCAACACCTTTGGTACCACGCTCCACATCTCTTACGGTGCATTCTGGCTGAGTTATGGAATGTTCTCTCTGCCCGAGATCGGCATCAAAGCCGCCTACAAAGGTGACCAGAGGGCATTTACTTTTGCCATCGGTATTTACCTAATCTTGTGGTGCTTCCTGACATCTTTGTTTTTCGTTGCCGCGCTGCGGACGAACGTCGCCATCCTACTCGTCCTCTTTTTCCTGGTTCTTGCCTACTTCTTTTTGGCCATTGCCAACTTCACCGCTACTGAACATGCCACTGCCAGCCTGCATCTGAACAAAACAGGTGGTGCTTTTGCCGTTGTCTGTGCCTTCTGTGCCTTCTATGCCGGTGCATCCGGTATCATGGTTCCTGAAACCACCTGGATCCGCTTCCCACTCGGCGAGATCCCGGTCTAAGTCATGAGGTGAGATTAATTTGAAAGTGTGGATTATACGCTTTCACCGCTTGGAAAAAGTAATCGTTATGCGGCTGAGAACTGTGCGCCGAGGTTCAGGTAATCTGATTTTGGTTGAACTTGGAATACGGATGTTTTTAAGTGCTACTTTGTCAATCTAGGTATGCGGCGCGAAGGGTATGAGAGTATTGATAATCGCTTGCTGTTGCTTTTACTAGCACTAATCTTCAAATAATTGCTATAACCAGATTATTTGTCTAGTTTTATTGAGTTTTAATGGGTCCAAATACAATATCCGGCTTCTTTTGTCCACTCCTTCCATTCCATTTTAGTTTGATGAGAATGTCATGAACTGGGAATAACTGAATTTTGTGAACCTAATATCCTGTACAATACAATTGTCTTTTTGTAACCTTGATAGCAGTGTGGCTGCCACAAGCCCACACCCTTTCAATCTCTCATGGACGATCAAACAGTCTGCAGATTTTTGAGTGGTATTAGTTTAAACTTACGTCGGAATGTTCAAGACAAGAGTATTACCATCGTCCAGCCTTCTTTCTATCATCCTGTCCGGCATACCTGCCTGGTGGGAAGTTGTACTCATCATCCAGATTCTCCTTAGCGAGTAGAAGGGGTCTCCATTCCTTCTGAACGCGTTCCAAGTAGCTTTTGAGACGTATCAAAATTGTCGAACTCTGTTGCTCCTTGGCGAAGTTGAGCTCTTTGGTACTATAGGTAGGCGTTGTCTTACTCATCCTGCAACGAGAACCTTGGAAGATGGAGAGTAGGAGAACAGTTCAGTGGATGAGCTTGAGCCGGGTTAGTCTGTTTGATCTGTGCTTCCTACTAGTAAGCTTAGATATTTTTATTGCAATGAAAGTACTGTTCAGAAGGCTATTTTCTCGCGGAACTCTGAAGGCTTAATATGGGATGACGTGTTTGATCGAAAGTAGTAAATGGGCTCATTTCCATCCCAGTGTCAGGCCGACATTTGACAAGTACTGGTCAAGTGCCTTTTTTGCTGGATTTCTACTCGCCCTCGTGAAGGTCAGGTTAACCTGACGTACTCCACATAAAGAACCCCACAAACGAACAAGAAAAATGTGGAGCTAATTAGACATTTGGTGTACATCTGGTGGGTCACGTTACTTCACTCGAGCTAGTGACGTCTTCTGGCTTGTATGTGTCTACGACGGACCCATGGGTTTATCACCGTATAAATTATTGGTTAGTGAAAGTATTGGGCGGATTCGTTTCGATCTTATGTACACTTTTACTAGTCGATACCATTTGGCTGTCACGCGCTATGCGTTGAAATATGTCCCATGGTTGAATCCTACCGTTGGCCGAAAGAGATGGCAATCATCCGGAGTATTGCAACTGCGCTAATTGTGACTGGCGCACGGGCGAGGGGATCGAATACCTCTAGTGGGAGGTAGTCCAATGCCTGTTTGGGGACATCAAACAAAAAGACCGGGCGCACCTGACTCCGGTTTGCGTCCCCACTACCCCTTCGACCGAGTCATTTTGTCGGGATGTTAGTTTATACTCAATGACTGCCTCCATGCTAATCAGGTGTGGTTTGTTGTCACCCCCCGCTAACAAACGCGCCGTGCCTAACGGTCTTCTTCCTCTTCCCCTTGAGCTCAAGATGAGGCTTTGATTCGGTGGCATCATCGACTATACGGGAATTAGCAGGGAGTGCTACTGAAAAATCTTTCGAAATAGCGACGGAGGAAATTGTGACATAGCGCTAAGACTACCACACTTTGTTTATGTATGGCTTAGTGAAATAGCGCTTACTGCTTACACACATGTAGCGATATTACGGATCAAACCTAACAGTCCATTTAACATGGAAAGTGTCAGCATTGTAGTTTTATATATCAATCCTACACACTTAATCCAAGCGCAGCTTCTCAAACTCCTTAATCTGCTCCTCAAAGCGCGCAGCCTCGCTCTCCGCATCACGCAGGCGCTTCTCCTCCTGCTCCTGCACCTCGGGCTTCACCTTGTCCTTCCAACCAGGGGTGGCCATGATGCCCTGGCTCTTGCTCACAGTCTCGCGTGCCCGGGCCAGGTTCTCCTTGGCCTTCTCTTCCTGCTCAAGGGCAACTTCCTTGGAAACGCGGAGGTACACGGCGGCCTCGGCGCCAACGGCGGACACGACGCACCCAGGGGGAGGGGTCTTGTTCTCCGGTCCAAGAATGGACACCTCGCCGAGGGTCTTGCCGCCCAGGGATTTGATGCTGTTCACCTCCTCGGAGACGGTGGCGTGGCTGGTTGCGTCGTAGGTTTGGATGATCACGTCACCCTTTGTCTTGACATCGTACTGCGACAGGATGGAGCGAATGGCCTTGGAGGTGTTCAGGATAAGCTCGTAGGCTCTCTCAGCGGCGGGGTCATGGAATTCAGCCCGGAACTCAGGGAACGCCGCCTTCATGATCGAGATCGTCTTGTCATCGGGTCGGCGGGGAAGACGCTGCCACAGGTGCTCGGTGACGAAGGGCATGATGGGGTGGATCAGGGTCAGGGCGCCCTCCAGTGCGGTGTACAGGGTCTGCTTGGCGGACTCCTGGGTCTCGGCGGAGGCATCGGCGGCGAGTAGGTACTTGGAGTTCTCGATAAACACGTCGCACAGCTGGCCGTACCAGTACTGGTAAGAGGTTGAGGCTGCGATGGAGAACTCGCGCGCCTCGAGAGCCTCGTTCATCTCCTTCGCAGCGGCATTGAGCTTGTGCAGGATCCACCGCTCCGAGAGGGACTCGTGGCCGGTCTTGCTAGGGGTAGCCTGGGGCTTGAAGTCCTCGCCCAGCTTGCCAAGGACGAACTTGGTAGCTTGGTAGATTTTGTTGCAGAAACGGCGGTATCCGTGGATAACCTGGATATCAAAGGCAATATCGCCACCTAGAGAGAAACAATTAGCATCAGGAATATAATGTTGATGGACAAAACATACCGCCAGTAGTGTAAGAAACGAGGGCGAAGCGAAGCGCATCAGCACCACACTCGGGAATACCCTTGGGGAAGGCCTTCTTCTGATACTTGGTGGCAGTGGCAACCTCCTTATCCGCCAAGTTACCAAGGAGCAGCTTAGCGTGGAGATCCTGCAGCTGAATACCCTCCATAACGTCCAGAGGGTCAACGACATTGCCCAAAGACTTGGACATCTTTCGGCCCTCGGAGTCTCGGATCAGGGAGTGGCAGTAGACCTCCTTGAAGGGAATCTTGCCGGTCATTTTGATGCCCAGCATGATCATACGGGCAACCCAGAAGAACAGAATATCCCAGCCGGTCTCCAGCACAGAGGTCGGGTAGAGATTCTCGAAGTCGTGGGTCTGGCGAGGCCATCCCAGAGTGGAGAAGGGCCACAGGCCAGAAGAGAACCAGGTGTCAAGTACATCCGGGTCTCTCACGAGCGAAAACTTCTTGCCAGGGAACTTGGCCTCAGCCTTCTTTCGGGCATCCTCCTCAGTGCGGCCAGTGACCCAGAGGTTCCCATCGCTGTCATCGCCCTCCTCGCCTTCGATCTTCACGAAGTAAGCGGGAGCCTGGTGGCCCCACCAGAGTTGACGGGACAGACACCAGTCGTTCAGGTTGCGCATCCAGCGGAAGTAGCTCTTCTCGGCGCTCTCCGGGCGAATGATGATCTCGCCATCCTCGACAGCCTTGATGGCAGGCCCAGCAAGGCTCTCCATCTTCATCCACCACTGCGGCTTCAGAACGGGCTCGATCACATCGTTGGACTTAGCGCAGCGCGGGACCTTCATGGGGTTGTTCTCCCACTTCACATACAGACCCTTCTCCTTCAGGGCGTTGATGACCGCGTAACGAGCATCGAATCGCTTCATGCCAGCGAACGGACCAGCATTTTTGTTGAAGGTGCCATCGTCATTCATGACAGAGATGAACTCAAGGTTGTGATCCTTTCCACGGTTGAAATCGTTGAAGTCATGGGCAGGAGTGATCTTCACAGCACCGGTACCGAATTCAGGATCAACGCCCTCATCGGGCACAATGGGAAGCAGCCGGTCCAAGAACGGATGGCGGGCGGATTTGCCGATCAGGTGCTGGTAACGTTTGTCGTTGGGGTGCACGGCGATACCAGTGTCGCCAACCATGGTCTCCGGACGGGTGGTAGCGACCTCAAGGCGCTCCTTGGTGCCATCCATCTCATAGCAAAAGTGCGTCAGAACACCGAACTCGACCTTGCGCTCATAGCCTGGCACATCGAGAAGCGTGCGGCCCTCGATCTCTTTGTTTTCGACTTCCAAGTTGGACAATGAAGTGTTCAGGGCCACACACCAGTTGACCAGGCGGTTAGCACGGTAGATGATACCCTCCTCATGGAGACGCACGAAGGTCTCCGTGACAGCAGCCGACAGGTTAGGGTCCATGGTGAAAGCCTCACGAGACCAGTCGAACGAACCACCGACTCTCTGCAGAGCGTTCTTGATGTTGCTGTGGTACTCATCCTTCCAGTTCCAAATCAAGTTGGTCATAGCCTCGCGACCCAGATCGTGACGAGTCTTCTTCTCCTTCTTCCACAGCATCTTCTCGACAACGCTCTGCGTCGAGATACCGGCGTGGTCCATCCCAGGCAGCCACAGGGTAGTCTTGCCCTTCATTCGTTGCCAACGAATCATGGTATCTTGCAGGGCGTTCGTCAGGGCATGGCCCATGTGCAGAGAACCGGTGACATTGGGAGGCGGGATCGGAATGACGAACGAGCCCTGGGGCTTGACCTTGCCGTCGGGTCCAAACTCGGGCTTGAAGAGATCGCGCTCTTCCCACCACTGGTACCGAGAATCCTCAATGACCTTGGGGTCATACGCGTCCGTTGTCTTCTCCTTCTCCACCTTGGGCGCCTTCTTGTCGGCTTTGGGCGCTGCCGGCTTGGTGGCTGCGGCCTTGGCCTGCTTCTCTGCGAACTTCTTCGCCTTCTCGGCCTTCTTGCGTTCGCGCTCCACTAGATGTCTCTCAATGTCAGCAAGAGATCTCCCTCTTTCCCGCATGATTGCCACATACACTCCTTCTCGCTCTTCACCTTGGGCGCAGCGGCATCCTTGATCGCGGCGTCAGCCATCTGGTTGCGCGTTTGGTCGTCCGCGTGCGGAGGCCGGTCAGTCATGGTGCTGGAGGGCTCCCCAACTGTGTTCAGAAAGGAGTATTAGTATCGATGCGTGCGGTGTGAGTCATGGCAGCCCTTGTATACGCACTGGGATTGGGAGAGGCAGAGTCCTGAGTCATCCTGGAGAATGATCGATAGGTCGGAGTAAATCTCCAAGGCGCCGATCGCGCCACGAATCGCCGGATGAGTATCTTGAAGAAGGAAGTGGGATCGGGGGAGGGAATGGATGTGGTTGTGCGAAAATGCGGGCAAATAAAATTGAAGGCGGCGGGGCGGGAGGCGGTGGAGAAACAAAGCAAGACCGGGACCACGACGATAGGGTTCGGTTACTTGACGGCCACCCAGTGTGTCTCGGTCTGGGATTCCCTCATGATCTTGCTTTCCTCCGTCTCGAAATTTAGTCGATACTGTCGCCATCACGTGACTGCGCGGGAGCCAGAAGATGATCTGAGCTGCGAGTCAAGTGGGGATCGAGACACCTACGATATGAGGGAGCTAGATCGACCGATTGGCACGGAGATGGATAGTAATAGGCGTTACGTTGCAATGCATTGTCTCTCTTCAACTCCCACGAAGAATCATCATCAAGCCCCATGTTCCCACCTCAAAATACAGACCGTCGCTCCTTGAATGTGCAGGTGGATCCAAGACAGCGGAACAGCAAAAGACAGCAAAAGGAGAAAAACATGAAAGCAAGCAGTGGGAAAGACGGGCGCAGGGGAAAGAACGAAAGAAAATAGCAGCGCTTTACAATTAGACAGCATGAGAGAGAAGAGATGATGCCCCGGTCTAAAGTCGACAACGGTCGTGTGTGCGGAAAACGCCAGAAGAGCCGAGGCATGGGTGGGCCTGGGGTCGACCCAACAGAATAGATGTCATGTCCTGGTCATCAACGTCGTCTCTGTTCGGTTACTCGGTTCACTTCGTCGCAGCCACTTGCTCGAGTGGTTTGCGTGGATCATCCTCCTGTCGTGTTCTCAATCATTATTGTCCCGTTTTCAGTAGCGGCGTAGGTGTAGCTGGGAAAGGAAAACAAATGAATATGCCGTGGTTCCGGGGATAGCGGGAGTGGAGAACAAAGAGACGGAGAGATTTGCAGATAGAAGCTGGGAAAGCCACATGGGAGGCATTCAGGACTGGACCACGTTGTTCCGTTGTGCGTCCGCCCGCACCGGATCAAAATACTGGTGGGCCATAGCCTCCTGAGCTGTCAAACGTTCCTACCGGGGGGGTCAGCATCATGCCAGATATTTCATCGAAATGGAAACGTACCGCGTGGTCATATCGCAGCAGCTTGTCAAGGAAGTCAATTGCCTCCTCGCTGACGAAGCGCTGGTTTTCTGCCGTGACAAAAGAGTGCCACGGCTTGCGAGGGAAGCGAGATAGGATCTCGTCATACTGCGGGTCCAGCTCAATGTCGTACTTGTCTAGGTATTCGAAAAGCTCCTCGGTTCCGAGAACCTTGGCGATCTTGACCAATTGGTCCGAGTTGCTGTTGCCATGGAAGAAAGGCTCCTTGCGGAAAATCATGGATGCAAACATGGCGCCCAGGGACCACATGTCCAGAGAGTAGTCGTATTCCTGGAAGTCTACGAGTAGCTCCGGGCCCTTGAAGTACCGAGAGGCCACTCGCACGTTGTACTCGGTTCCCTTGTGATAGAATTCGGCGAGACCCCAATCGATCAACCGAAGCTAGACAAATGTCAGGTCAAACACGCCAGAAGAAAGGCCCACAACTTACCTTCCGTTTCTCATGGTCGATCATCACATTGTGTGGCTTGACATCTCGGTGCATGATACCCTTGCTGTGGCAGAAATCCAGCGCCTTCAGCAGCTCATAGACGTAGAACCGGACATCGTAGTCGGTGAAGCGCGGGTATAGCGTCCGGAAGTCGGTGTTGTTGACGGCTTCGAAGACTAGACTTGGTGTTTTGCTCTGGTTGTCGCGAACGACATCCAGCAGGGCCACGACATTGGGACCTCCGGCAAGGTTCTGGAGGATCTTGATCTCACGCTTGATCTTCTTCTTCTTGACGGGCTTGAGCACCTTGATAACGCACTTCTGGTAGTTGATGATGTTGATGCCCTCGAACACTTCGGAGTACTTTCCTCGGCCTAGGCGAAGGGGATCAGCAACAGACGGGCAACACCATTGTGGCCGGTGATGATGCCACCGGTTGATGAGATGAGAACTTCGATCGGGGAATTACCTATTTTACGGACCACCTCGTAGTTCTCGAGCACACCCCAGGAGATATTCACGCTGTCGTAGTCCCAGTAGGACCGCGGCATGTGCTCGTTGACATCGGCATAGACACGCGCCATGGTGCTCGGCTGCCGAGTCCCACAATCGAAAACGAAAGGCGGCGGGGGGACGAGAAGGGCGACCGTGCGACCCCTGAGAAGAGGAGATGAAGATAAAAGAGACGGAGCAGGACCAGTGGTGGAAGCCCAGCAATGAGCTTGGTCTCAAAGAGCGATGCGCAAAGGCAATGGGGGAAGATAGACCAGGTGGGATATTACGCGGGTGATCAGAGTGGGAATCACGGGATCTGCTGTGGTGGGGAGGGATCCCGGAGAGACGTTGATCCGCCAGATTTAAACCGTCGAGCTAAAACAAGCAAGCTGCTCCTTCTTCGTCGTGCAATCCGCCAGGCAATTCGGCCTGCTTTAAAAGCCCTCGCCATGTTCTACGACCTGAATGTCCCTTACAGCCCGGATGATCCAGAGCTGTCTGCGACTCTGGACTTCCTCGCCGAGTGTCAGTCATTCCCATCTCCACTAGACCACATGAGAGACTGACCAGCTTAGTGGGTTACACCACCGTTGCCCTGTCTCAAACGATCAGCGGCAAGCTTCCCCCGAGCCTCACCCCCCTCCTTTACCGCCAAACCCGCCCAAATCCCTTAAACTGCTGACCCGCCTGAACCTGACGCTGTCCGATCCCGCGCAGAATCAGCGGCTTGCGTCTCTGACGGGAATCTATGACCTGGTCGCCCTTCGTCCTACCAATGAAAAGGCTCTGTTGAATGCGTGCACCAGTCTAGAATGTGATTTGATCTCGCTAGACCTCTCGGTGCGACTGCCTTTCTATTTCAAATTCAAGATGCTGTCCGCGGCGATATCACGTGGCATTCGTTTGGAGATTTGCTACGGCCCAGGAGTCACGGGGAGCGGTCTCGATGCCCGCCGAAATCTGATTGGCAATGCCACGGCCCTGATCCGCGCAACACGCGGCCGAGGCATTATTGTGTCCAGTGAGGCGCGCAAGGCTTTGGGACTCCGCGGGCCGTGGGATGTGATCAACCTGACCTGTGTCTGGGGGCTGTCACAGGAGCGTGGCAAGGAGGCTATCTGCGAAGAGGCGAGGAAGGTGACCGCGCTGGCCAAGCTCAAGCGCACGAGTTGGCGGGGAATTGTCGACGTTGTCCACGGTGGAGAGAAGAAGCCTGCCGAGTCGGGACAGAAACAGAAGAATGCGGCCCAGTCGACGAAGGCTGCCCTGTCGGAGACTGGTGCCGAGAACCTCAAGCGCAAAGCATCACTCAGCTCTGAAGTTGTTGCCGAAGAGACTGAGAAGCCCTTGTCGAAGAGAGAGTGAAGCGACGGGCGAAGAAGGCTCGATTGGTAGCCGGAGGTGAAGATGCCAGCTGAACGTGACTCGTCCAGTTGGATGACCACCCTAACGATCCTCCTGAGTCTATTTGATAAAGACCCCGTGGCAGCCGCTGCCCTTGGCTTGCAAGGGCTGAGCAATCTATCGGCTGCCATGTGCCTAGCGCTGATGGAGCTCCTCAAAACATGCCTTTTTCTTGGCTGCCGGCTTCCATCACCGCTGAAGAATCCTCTTGCTCCATGGCTGATTACCTCTACACCCAAGTCAAATGCAGCACGAGGTCCACTATGCTTCCCGCTCTACATATGAGCGCATGATAGGAAGCTATTGAAGGGCCAGGCAGCAATTTAAGCATCAAGACAGGTAGCTTCATGCGGCCGATACGGTCCCTTCTTATGTGGAAAGACACATTCATGTACAACATATGACCACAGCGTACTAGTTTTAGTTTTGCGAACCCGAAGTTCGCCATGAATGTCTAAATGAGCAGCCCTGAATATACATCTCTGTCTAGTCTATTTGACAGTGCAGCACCGAAAAATTGAGGCCTGTCTGATATCAATCCATCATTGGAACCACTTATGGCCTGATTCTAATTCGAACAAGACGTTGCAGGACTTGAAGCTAGATACTCCAGAGAACCCTCCTAAGCACCTACCTAGAGCCCCAAGCTTGGCATATATGATAACCATCGCCAAGTTGCATCTTGAATGCAACTTGACGTGCTCGACACACGATGTTACATCTATATCAGTTTAAAATACCGTCTGGCGTCGATCGAAGGGTAAACCCGGATGAATATCACCCGGGCCAAGAAACAGCTTTGGGGTTGAAATGAGGGGCAAGCCCTGCTCCTCCGCATCTGCTTACAAGAGGAGCATTATGATTGATTATTTCTGCTTGCATTGTTTCGACCAATCTCCGGCTTGATAACCTAGTTTCTCCACAATTGCTATTGGTATATCCACCAATCCTCTTTGTCCGGACCTCAGGGTGCCGCTTGCAAAGTTGGCGCCCGATACACAGTCTTAGTTAACGTAATTTTCGCATTTCCTATCTAACTCCTCTGCATAATTTCACATGGGAATTTCCTCCACGATAGAATAAATACCCCAGCCCATGTTTTTTGGGCAGCTGCCAATCTCAAGGTACCAAGGCCGCTGAAAATGCGTCATATCCAAGCTGCATCTCGTAGATCAAAACCTGATCGAAGTCTCCAGGTATCACCCAGAGGCCTACCGTACCCCCAAATCCTTTCATGGAACCCAGAACCAAGAGTATATTCGGGATCCCGAAGTCTATTTCTTATTTGTCTGGGTTGATGAGAAGAAAGAATCGTTGAAGACCCGGGGGGTGTCTTTACCTACCCACGCACCAATCCCCTGCAAGTCCTGTTGCATCGTTATAGACTTCGCAGATGGGGTTCTGTAGAGGTTGTTAGCAATTCTGTATAACTGCCCGCTAAGCTTCCTGTACAGTACCTTTGAGGCGGGTCCCCGGACCTTTGACTGGACGGAGAAGTGGACTGCCCCGCAGATATGGTGTAAGAGCTACCCTTCTGGGGGGTTGGGGTACTTTTGGGGGAGGTGGGGGAGGTAGTCGAAGAAGAATTCGACTGCTTAGGTGGATTCATTGTTGCGAAGAATGGCACAAGTGGGTGGTTCAAGGAGGATATAAATGCCAGGACTCTGCTTCCATTTTATGGATGCCACGCAAGGATCCTGCATGAAACGGGGGAATTGTCCGTATTTTTATAATCCGGATTTACTTCAGCAGAGGTAGCGCGCTAGCGAGTTCCGTATCGAATGTAACTATTCCGCTTTGTCCTTGAGGGGACGTCGGGCTGCACTGCTTGCTTTTGCTCTGTACTACACGACCACATGACTACTGCTGATCAGCGCCAATCCGACTTGATCCAGCGCATTTTCCGGTCTGACAGCCAATCACCCCCGCGCGCCAACTAGCCCCGAAGCGCGTCTTCTCCTGCCCAACGTTGCTCGTTGCATCTCTCCAGAGCCGCATCGGCTGTGGATATTTGGATGCAGGCTGCAAGTAATCGGTTGCCTTGTCTAAATGCGAACCAGAGGCTCATTTTTATCGGAGGTTGTGAAATCAACAAAGGGTTGTCATTTTTATATTGGTATACGTTATCGGCACTTTGTTATTCGTCACTTCGGCAACGGACCGGACCGGAAAACACGCATAGTCGCCAAAATGCGTATGTCCCATTTACAGCAGATATTTTTTTTGAAAGCTTTTTGAAGCCGGGGAATAGCCTACACGGGAAGGAAAAGAGAGAAACCAACAGCCACAGCAGGGATAGTATTCAGGCTATCAAAATCAACAGTCCCACGTGGCAGTTAGGCGTCGAGATGATGCGCTGTCTCTTATGGTAAACTATATGATTGGGTATATCATTCTGCACGGCGTAACCCTAACAAACCACATCGGAGGAATATAGATTGCGTATACAATGGATCCGTCGGTTTGCTTCGGAGTCAGTGAGCATACACCGCATGAGAGAAGATAGTAACCAACCCTGAAATGGCTAGTACTCTTCAGATCATACATAGTATTTCACCATCACTAAACACTATTAGTATGGGTCGCTCTAAGCTACTACTACCCCCACATCGGCCCTCCCCGTTTTATCTTATCGCGCGGCCACCCCGGAGTCGGCCGACCAATCCACTCCTTCGCGGCGCCTTATAACCTCCCCGACTATCCCAATATATTGTTCCTCTGTGTTAGCGACCCCCCAGACCTGCAGTCATCATCAGCCATGGCGCCAATTGTCACCACCACCCCATCCCTCACTCTCACCCCGGAGCCTCTCACCCCGGAGAACTTCGCTCCCTTTGGCACAGCAATCTGCCCACCTCTCCCGCGGGACATCAGCATCCCACCGCAGCCGTCGCACCTCCCAGCATACAACCCAGCCCCTATATTAGCAAACCAAGGCTCCGCGCTGAAATACAGTCCCATCTCGCCACTGCTAGATCGCTACAATGCCTGTCCCAGCGGCAAGGCGTCGTCCGCGCGGATGACCATGTTCTGCTGCTTTCCGCGCAAGCTGCGAAGTGTCACCACGGGTCGGCAACAGGCTGATAAGGAGGTTTTCGACGTGCGCATTCTTGAGCGACACCCGTTCACGAACCAGACTTTTATTCCTGTTGATCTGTCGAGTCACTCCCAAGTCGGAGGCAGTGGAGAAGAAGAGCCCGTGTTTCTGGTTGTGGTTGCGCCAACGCTGAAGGGCGAGACTGCTACCGCCAAAAATGAGAAGGGGGAGATTGTTACTATTCGCGATCCGCCCGATCTCAAGAATGTGAAGGCGTTTATTGCGCGCGGTGGGCAGTCCGTTAACTACGGTGTGGGGACTTGGCATGCGCCGATGGTGGTCCTGGGTCAACGGCGGGTTGATTTTATGGTTGTGCAGTTTGTGAATGGGGTTGATGATGAGGATTGTCAGGAGGCGGCACTTGGGGAGGGTGTTGTTGTTGATCTTGGTGCGAAGGGGCAGCATGGACGGGCTGAGAGGGCTTCGAACAGATTGTGGTCGAAGCTGTAAGGCCGATGGGAAGGAAAGGCTCATGTATCTCTTAACGAATTTCGCATTTCGGTGGTATCTTGGACAAAAAAAAACGCCGATGAATGTATATACACATAGATGCAACATAGTACAGTGCCAATAAAAATACACAAAGAAATCTAAACAACTTGGGACATGTCTTGATCCACGGGCGGTGTCACGATGTTCATCTCCTGCCGGACACGAGTAGCCAGCTTGAGTGTTTCCGCTGGCAAGCCGGCCAGCTGTGCAACCTTGAGAGCATGGGATTGGCGATTGACGCCCTTGCGCAGTCGATGAACAAACGAGAATGACCCGGATGACATCTCCTTGACATCTGTACAGTACCTGCCCAATCTCTCAAACGAGCCAGTCATATCCGCCAGGGCATGGAAGTGCGTTGCAAAGAGCGTTCGGCACTGGTTCTGGTAGTGCAAATGGTGCAGACAAGCAAAGCTGAGCGCGGTGCCATCTTCGGGTGTTGTGCCCCGGCCGACTTCGTCCATGATCACAAAGGACCGCGGCGTGGCTTGCTTGAGGATGGCTGCCGTTTCGAGCATCTCGACCATGAACGTCGACTGGTCGCGGAAGAGATCGTCTGCTGCGCCGATGCGGCTGAAGATTTGGTCGACGATGCCGATCTCCGCGTATGCTGCAGGGACGAATGAACCGACCTGAGCTAGAATCGTGATCAGTGCGTTCTGCCGCAGGAATGTACTTTTGCCGGCCATGTTTGGTCCGGTGATGAGCCAGATGCCTTCTGCGTCGCCCAGGAAGCAGTCATTGCTCACAAAGGAGCGCCCTTGCTCCTCAAGCCCGAGCTTGACTGTTGGATGCCTGCCTCCAGCGATCCTATGGCTGGTTCCTTCGTTAAGAATCGGCCGCACCATTTGCTGCTCCCGGGCCAGCGTGGCAAAGGAACATGCCACATCCAGTTCATCCATAACGGCTGCATTGCGCCGGATTTTGACCAAATTCATAATAACTTTCTTCCGCAAGGTCTCGAAGATAATCTGTTCTTCTTTCCGAATCTGAAGCTTGACATGGTCCATCCGGGTTCCCAGGGTGGTCCAATCTGGGAGGTAGAATGACCGAGTCGATTTTGTTGACGAGACGTTTCGAGTAACCCCCAATCCTTCTAGGGTTTTCTGCGATACTTTGGCGCTTTTGAGGTGGCAGATATACCCGAGACCTGCTGTCCATTTGAGATTCAGCTGCGATGAGCTCACGGCATCACGGAGACGTTGAGTCAGCTCGTCTTTCTCAGTGAAGAGCCGCTCCAATGATGTGTGAAGGGAGTTCAGATTTTTGCTGGCATCACGCCTCATGATCCACATATCAATAGATCCGGAACCTGCATCTGTCGCTGCAGATTGGGTACTGGTTTTGGACCTCACTTTTTTAGGCAAGCTCTCAAGCTCGTCAGATGTCCCCTCACTCATAGCAACATCTTGCGCCAGACTAGCTGCCTCTGAGGCGGTGTCGTCTTCGATGCGTTGCTTTTGCAGGAGTCCTTCTTCATCGATGGCCGCAAGGATCTGTTCTGCCAGCGCGGTCGGTCCATCGAGCTGAAGTCGACCGATCATGAGTTCGAGGCTGTGGTGGGAATCAAGCGCTTGAGCGGAGGAGTAGTGGCGCTGGCTATGACTAGAGAGGACTTGTCTGACCTCCTTGGAAGCCTCGATGGCGCGTGAAAGACAGATCAGGTCGTCGGCTTCACCTTTACCGAGCGCGAATTTCTGCACCAAGCGCTGAGCGTCATAGCTACGCTTCAATAGCCGGACTGTATTTTCCCGGAGATCCTCGTCTTGAACGAATAGCGAAACAAGATCTAGTCGCTCATTGATAATCTGCAGAGATGTAGATGGAGACGCTGCACAATAGACGTTAGTGATCGCGGGCTAAAAAGTCTCGGGAAGGGATTCCATACTGAGTCGGTCTCGGAGTAAACGTGCTCCGCTCTTTGTCGAAGTTCTGCGTACCGCATGGAGAAGGCTGCCCTTCCCAAGGCCGTCACGCGCTGTTTCCAGAATCTCCAGCCCGCGCAAGCTATTTCGATCGATACTCATTGACTCATCCAAATGCCGGCGACGAGGAGGTTGAAGTTTCAAGCTCGAACTTTGCAATCGCTCGCGAATGTACTCCAGTAGACTGTATCCGGCGGCCACTTCTTCTGCAGCAAAGGACGCCTGGACGTCTTCCGGGACCGGGGCTTCCAACATTGGCTTCCATTCAGACATAGGTGCAACCGTGTCTGGAAACCCGAAGAAAGTGACAAGTCGATGATCATGGCCAACCAGCAGCTGCAGCTCCTGGCCGACGAGATCGCGCACGTTTTGATCCACGAGAATCTCTCGTGCACCAATCCTCGCAATCGCAGATGGGAGCATCTGGGCCGTAGTGAGCTGGGTAAAGAAGTCACCCGTTGAGAGGTCTAGCCAAGACAGCCCTACGCGCTGGGGCATGGAGGACAGTACGTGCTGATGCGAGTGTTGGGGATGATCTTGCTGTTTCAGCTGTGCGTCCAAAGATGGTACATCCAAGTATATGGCTAGAAGAAAGTTGTTTTCGGAGGGATCCATGAATTTTTCGTCAATCAATGTCCCGGGCGTGATGATTCTGGCGACCTTCCGGTCGAAGAGCAGGCCACCTGATCGCGCTTTATCCTCTACCTCATTGGCGAATTCCTCACTGATCGCCACGTACTTGTTGAGGTCTTGGACAAGGGTCTTGAGAAAGCGATCCAGTTGGAAATGGGGGAAGCCGGCCATGGGAACCGGTCCGGCGTTGGTCTTCTTAATCGCAAGTTTGATGTTGAGCAACGGCGCAAGCTCCTCGGCTTGCTCAAAATATAGCTACAGAGATGATACCAATTAGCCATGCTTCTATGTAGTCACCAAATGTCTGTACCTCGTAGAAGCCGCCGACTCTTGTCAGGATAACACAGTTCCTGAACCTTTGCATGTTGTTGCGGTGTTGTTGAACCACGGTCGGGTATCGAGGAGCATCGTTGTCCACCTCATCACTGTATGCCTCCAATTTCAGAGCACCCTGAGGAAGGTCTTTCACCGTCACGGTCGTCTGGGTCTTTGCGCTCCTTCGTGGATCGACTGGTGCTGGTGCGGGCGCGACGCGAGGGCGCGAGGGCGAGCAAGTGTGCAAAGCATGGCGGCAGACCGTCCGATGTGCTGGGCAGCGATACGATCGCACGATCCCATTGCGAGCAAGAGCCAGTCCCACGGGCCGACCGAAGCGCATCACGGTACAGTGTTGTGTTAGTCGCAAAGGTGCTTGCTTCTGGGGAACAGTCAATGGATTTGACCGGCAGAATCCAAGCTCCCACTCCGTTCCGCCTTCGCCACCGAAATCTTCAACCCGCGTCCTTGGCTTCCTTCTTATCCATTAACCCTGGCGTCTTTCATTCTCTCCCAAACCAACGTGAGTTCGCTTGCGGTAGGAGGATGAGCCAGGTTTGTGAGACCTTTTGAAATCCTTTCTTTGACAATCCATTGTCGGCCGCGACCCCGTTTCTGAGCTCCGGACTCAGATACTGGTCGCGACTCATTCTTTTTTCTTTTCTGTTGCTTGCCTGCGATTCATTCGCTCCTACCACCAAAATGGCGGACCAAAATATTTCGCAGTACAAGTACTCGGCGATGTCCAACCTGGTTCTCCAGGCGGACCGTCGTTTCATCAGCCGCGTCAACGATGAACCAACCGGAGACCCGGAGTCCCTCGCAGGCCGCATTGGAATCCGAGAGATGGGTGGCCAGGTAGCGCGCGACCATGCGCCCAAGTCGAAAAAGAAGGCAGTCGGCCCAACAGATATTGAGCGCGGCAGCATCCATGAAGGCGAAGACGTACTGTTGCGGGAACAGAAAAAGCGCCTGCGCGGTCAGCCGGCACAGCAACGAGGCCAAGGCATCCTTTCCGCCGCCGATGCACTCGTTGAAGGCTTGAAATATCGCCCTCGAACACCCGCCACACGAGCCACTTACGACCTTATCCTTACGATCACCGGTGGCCATTTGGGCGATGTCCCGCACGAAGTCGTTCGCAGTGCCGCCGATGCCGTCTTGGAATACCTGAAGGATGAGGAGATGAAGGACTTTGACAAAAAGAAAGAGATTGATGATCTTCTGGGTAGCTCAATGAACCCGAAAGAGTTTAACGAGCTCGTCAATTTGGGCAAAAAAATTACGGACTACGAAGCCCAAGACGAAGACGAAGAAGTGGAAGGCGGCATGGAAGAACAGGGCGCTGAACTCGATGAGCGCCAAGGTGTCGCTGTTGTCTTCGATGAGGAGGATGAGGATGACGACCGCATGGGCACCGTCGACGAAATCCGAGACGATGACGAGCTCACCGATGAGGAAGAGGCTGATGAGCAAGATCGACCTGATCTTGAAGCCGCCCAGGACCTTGAAGACGGTGACGAAATGGTCATTGACGGTGGCATGGGTCGGGGCGATAAGGCTCAGGATAAAACCGGGCTGAATGTCCCTGCTCGTGAAATTGACGCCTACTGGCTGCAGCGTCAGATTGGCGCCATATACTCGGATGCGCACACCCAGCACGAGAAAACTCGTGACGCGCTCGAGATTCTTGGTGGCACGGCGGAGAATGGCACTCTACGCCCATTGCGCGACGTCGAGAATGACTTGATGGAGCTTTTCGATTACGACCATCCCGATCTTGTTGCCAAGTTAGTCACCAATCGCGACAAGGTCGTCTGGGTGACCCGCTGGCGAAGGGTCGCTGAGGATGCCGATGCGCGCAATCTCGTGGAGAGTGAGATGGTTGAGGCCGGCCACCGGGCAATCCTGGACGAGATCCGTGGCAAAACTCGCGATGAACTTGCGGAGCGACCCGAAAAGAAGATCAAGCTCGACCTGATGGACGTCGATGTTCCTTCAGGACCGACAGAAGAGAAGCCTGCTGCTGCTGCCGATGGTGGATTGGTCGGCGGCCTGCAGCCGCAACGGCTGATCAACTTGGAAAACCTTGTCTTTCACCAGGGCAACCATCTCATGACCAACCCCAATGTCAAATTACCCCAGGGTTCTACGAAACGGACGTTCAAGGGGTACGAGGAAATCCATGTTCCACCACCCAAAGCCAAGAAAGAGGCCGGCGAGAAGAACATCCCGACCACTGAATTGCCTGATTGGGCGCGTGTCGGATTTGGCAGCTCCAAGGAATTGAATCGAATTCAAACCAAGTGCTATCCGTCCGCCTTCCATGACGATGGTAACCTGCTTGTTTGCGCCCCCACGGGATCTGGCAAGACCAACGTCGCTATGCTCACCATTCTTCGTGAAATTGGCAAGAACCGCAACCCTGAAACAGGAGAGATTATGCTCGATGATTTCAAGATCGTATACATCTCCCCCTTGAAAGCTTTGGTGCAAGAACAGGTCGGAAACCTTGGCAAGCGTCTTGAGCCCTACGGTATTAAAGTCGCCGAGCTTACAGGAGATCGACAACTCACAAAGCAGCAAATCGCCGACACTCAAGTCATTGTCACCACCCCTGAGAAGTTCGATGTCATCACGAGAAAGGCTTCGGAGACCAGCTACACCAGGCTCATCCGTCTCATCGTCATCGATGAAATTCACTTGCTTCACGATGATCGTGGTCCGGTAATTGAGAGCATTGTCAGCCGGACAATCCGCCGGGTCGAGCAGACTGGAGACCCAGTGCGGATTGTTGGTCTTAGCGCTACTCTTCCAAACTACCGTGATGTCGGTAACTTTTTACGGGTTGATCCTGTCAAGGGTCTGTTCCATTTCGATGGCTCTTATCGGCCTTGTCCGCTTAAGCAGGAGTTTATTGGTGTCACCGACAAGAAAGCAATCAAGCAGCTCAAGACGATGAACGATATCTGCTACAACAAGGTTTTGGAGCAAGTCGGTCAGCGCCGGAACCAAATGCTTATCTTCGTCCACTCCAGAAAGGAAACGGCGAAGACTGCCAAATATATTAGGGACAAGGCGCTTGAGATGGAAACCATTGGTCAGATCCTGCGCAGTGATGCTGCTAGCCGCGCTATTCTGTCAGAGGAAGCTGAGTCTGTCGATGATCCTTCGTTGAAGGATCTCTTGCCTTATGGACTCGGTATTCATCACGCTGGTCTGGGTCTGGCAGACCGTGATTCCGTCCAAGCTCTGTTCGCCGATGGTAGTATCCAGGTTCTCGTGTGTACAGCAACTCTGGCTTGGGGTGTCAACCTTCCCGCGCACACCGTCATCATCAAGGGAACCCAGGTTTACTCTCCCGAGAAGGGTAGCTGGGTTGAGCTGAGTCCTCAAGATGTTCTGCAGATGCTTGGCCGAGCTGGCCGACCTCAATACGATACATTCGGCGAAGGTATTATCATTACATCACAAGCCGAGATCCAATACTACCTCTCGCTCCTGAACCAGCAGCTGCCAATCGAATCACAATTGGTCAGCAAACTTGCGGACAATCTGAACGCCGAAGTCGTACTCGGCAATGTTCGCACCCGTGACGAGGGTGTTGAGTGGCTTGGATACACATACCTCTATGTTCGCATGCTTCGCTCCCCAGGCTTGTACAGCGTCGGTGCCGACTACGAGAATGACGATGCCTTGGAACAGAAGCGAGTTGATCTCATCCACTCGGCTGCCGTCATTCTTGAAAGAGCCGGGCTCGTCAAGTATGAGAAGAAAACGGGACGTCTCCAGTCGACTGAGCTTGGACGGATCTCGTCGCACTATTACATCGGCCATAACTCGATGTTGACCTACTCCCAGCACATACAGCCCTCCATCACCACTATTGAGCTCTTCCGGATCTTCGCCCTTAGTGACGAATTCAAATACATCCCTGTTCGCCAGGATGAGAAACTCGAGCTTGGCAAGCTTCTGGGCCGTGTGCCGGTTCCCGTCAAGGAGACTATCGATGAGCCGCATTGCAAGATTAATGTCCTGCTACAGGCCTATATCTCGCGACTTAAGCTTGAAGGTCTTGCGCTGATGGCAGATATGGTTTATGTCACGCAGTCCGCGGGACGTATCATTCGGGCCATTTTCGAGATCTGTTTGAAGAAAGGGTGGTCCTCGGTGGCCAAGACTGCCCTTGACCTTTGTAAGATGGCCGAAAAGCGCATGTGGCCAACGATGTCCCCGCTACGTCAGTTCCCTGGCTGCCCGCGGGATATTCTGCAGAAGGCTGAGCGAATCGATGTGCCGTGGGCCAGCTATTTCGATCTGGACCCCCTCGCATGGGCGAGCTGTTGGGCATGCCCAAAGCTGGGCGCATCGTCTGCGACCTTGTCTCCAAGTTCCCCCGCCTCGAGGTCCAGGCTCAAGTACAGCCCATAACGCGATCGATGTTGCGGGTGGAGCTTACCATTTCGCCGAATTTTGTCTGGGAAGATGCTGTCCACGGCACCGCGCAAGATTTCTGGATCCTCGTTGAAGACTGTGATGGAGAGGAGATCTTATTCCACGACCGCTTTTTGCTGCGGAAGGAATTTGCGCAGGCCGAGGTGAATGAGCATCTTGTCGAATTCACAGTCCCAATCACTGAGCCAATGCCGCCCAATTACTTCATCTCCTTGGTGTCTGATCGTTGGATGCATTGCGAAACGAAGATTGCAGTGTCTTTCCAGAAGTTGGTCCTTCCTGAGCGCTTCCCTCCCCACACGCCTTTGCTCGATATGCAGCGTGCGCCAGTCAAAGCCTTAAAGCGTGCGGACTACCAGCAACTCTACCCTGATTGGGAGCACTTCAACAAGATCCAGACCCAGGTTTTCAAGTCCATCTTCGATACTGACGACAACGTGTTTATTGGTGCCCCAACTGGTAGCGGCAAGACGGTCTGCGCCGAATTAGCCCTGCTCCGCCACTGGTCATCGAAAGAGAGTGGCCGGGCTGTTTACATTGCCCCTTTCCAAGAGTTGGTTGATCAACGTCATACAGACTGGGAGAAACGACTGAGCAAGCTTGCCGGTGGTAAATCAATTGTCAAGCTCACTGGGGAGACCACGGCCGACCTGAGGCTCCTTGAACGCGCTGACCTGGTTCTTGCCACACCTGCGCAGTGGGATGTGCTGTCTCGTCAATGGCAACGACGCAAGAATATTCAGACCGTGCAATTATTCATCGCCGACGAGCTTCACATGCTTGGTGGCTACGGTGGATATGTGTACGAAGTGGTCGTGTCTCGCATGCATTACATTGCTCTCCAGACCGAGAACGAGATGCGCATCGTTGGCCTGAGTGTGCCCCTTTCCAACGCCCGCGACATCGGCGAGTGGATCGGTGCCAACAAACATACGATCTACAACTTCAGTCCCCATGCCCGCCCTGTGCCCCTGGAGCTTCACATCCAGTCATACACTATCCCGCATTTCCCCTCTCTCATGGTCGCAATGGCCAAGCCTGCCTATCATTCGATCCTGCAGTTGTCTCCCGATAAGCCTGCTCTTGTCTTCGTTCCCAACCGCAAGCAGACACGGTCAACCGCGATGGATCTTTTGGCGGCTTGTGCCATGGACGACGATGAGGACCGCTTCTTGAACGCCGATGCCGATGAGCTGGCTCCAATCCTTAGCCGTGTTCAAGAACAAACTCTCGCCGCCTCGCTCTCTCACGGTATTGGTTATTACCATGAGGCCTTGAGTCAGACCGACAAACGTATCGTCTCGCATCTGTTCACCATTGGCGCCATCCAAGTGCTATTGGCTTCGCGTGATGTCTGCTGGGAGCTGGATCTGACTGCTCATCTGGTTATCGTCATGAACACTCAATTCTATGACGGTCGTGAACACCGGTACATCGATTATCCTATCAGTGAGATCTTGCAAATGTTTGGCAAAGCTTCTCGTCCCGGCCAAGACAAGAGCGGTCGTGGTGTGTTGATGGTGCCGGCTGTTAAGCGTGAGTACTACAAGAAGTTCCTGAACGAGGCATTGCCCGTCGAAAGTCATCTACAGGTGTATTTGCACGATGCCTTTGTGACCGAAGTCAGCACGAAGACTATTTCGTCGACGCAGGATGCGGTCGATTGGATGACATACACCTACTTCTACCGCCGTCTGCTTGCCAACCCAAGTTTCTACGGTCTAAGCGATGTGAGCCATGAAGGTCTGAGTACGTTCCTGTCGGAGCTCGTGGAGAACACACTGAAGGAACTGTCCGAAGCCAAGATCATTGACTTGGATGAGGAAGATGACACCGTTTCGCCATTGAATGCTGCTATGATTGGCACGTATTACAACATCTCCTTCATCACTATGCAGACCTTCTTGCTTTCTCTGTCGGCTCGCACAAAGCTCAAGGGCATTTTGGAGATTGTCACATCGGCCACCGAGTTTGAGTCCATCCAGATGCGTCGTCATGAGGATCATATTCTTCGTCGTGTGTATGACCGCGTGCCTGTCAAGATGTCGGAGACCGCATTCGACTCGCCTCACTTCAAGGCACTTGTCCTTCTCCAAGCGCACTTCTCCCGAATGCAACTGCCCATCGATTTGGCCAAGGACCAAGAGGACATTATTCGCAAGATCCTCAACCTGCTCAGCGCGTGTGTCGATGTTCTTTCTTCTGAGGGTCACCTGAACGCAATGAACGCCATGGAGCTGTCGCAAATGGTGGTCCAGGCTATGTGGGATCGAGACAGTCCGCTCAAGCAAATCCCTCACTTCGGTCCGGAGGCCATTCAGGCGGCTCATGAGTACAAGTATGCACCCTTCCGCCCCAGTTTCGAACTAGTTGCTAACCTCGTCTTGTGCAGTATCAACGACATCTTTGAATTTATGGAAGCCATGAATCCCAGCGAGAATAAGGATTACGCGACGCTGGTCAAACGTCTGGGACTCAACAACAAACAGCTGGCGCAAGCAGCAAGCTTCACGAACGAGAAGTACCCCGACATCAATCTGGACTTCCAAGTCGAAGATCCCGACAGCGTCACGGCGGGCGAGCCAGCCTACCTGCAAGTCAAGATCGAGCGTGAAGTGGAAGAGGACGAAGAGCCTGACACCACGGTGCATGCGCCCTTCTACCCCAGTCAGAAGATGGAGAATTGGTGGCTGGTAGTCGGCGAGGAGAAGACCAAGAACCTGTTGGCTATTAAGCGGGTCACTATTGGTCGGCAGCTCGAATTGCGCCTGGAATATGTGGTGCCCACGCCTGGCGAGCATGAGCTGACGTTGTACTTGATGAGTGACAGCTATGTTGGAGTGGATCAGGCGCCGACGTTTACGGTGACTGCGGCGGAGGGGATGGAGGAGGATGAGAGTGAAGAGGAGGAGGAAGAGTGATTTTTGGTTCCTTCTGTCTGTCTATGTACTAGTACTGAGTGCGCAAATAATGGTTTCATTCAAAAATGTCCTCATATAGTACCTGATTTACGTTAACTAACTAGTTATCGATGAGAAAATTCTCAACCTGAGAATTAAGGTTGCGAACGGAGTGTCGATCACGTGATGGGATCCACTGCAGAAAATGTCTTTTCCCTCTTCGGACTTTTTGCACTCATCAACCACTCTCCCACACACTCCCATCCACCTGATAACCACCTCAGGCAGTGAACCTTTTGCAGGCGAGCCTATTCTAAGACAAGGCTATTTGAAAAGAAAATGGAATCCGCTGAGAACGCAGGTAAGACATCCTCACCTCTGGCCGATGAATCTCTGTGACCTGACAATCTGCGACGTACAGCCTGGCCGATGGCCGATGCCACCCTGGCACAAGAGCTCCTGGATGTCTTGCAGCAAGGAACTCATTCGCGTCAGGTGAAGAAGGGAGCGAACGAGGGTGAGTTGCATTATTCATGGGATTTTCGGTGAATTCGGAAACTAAGTCTTATCTACATAGCCACCAAGTCTGTGAACCGCGGCGTCTCGGAACTTGTCATCCTCGCTGGAGACACGACCCCCCTTGCCATCGTCATGCACCTTCCGCTTTTGTGCGAGGACAAGAACGTCCCGTACGTTTTCGTGCCAAGCAAGGCCGCGCTGGGACGGGCGTGTGGTGTGAGCCGACCCATCATCGCTGCTAGCATCAACTCGAACGAGGCTAGCGATTTGGCTCCCCAGATCCGTCAGCTCAGGTCCAAGGTGGAGAGACTTGCCATCTAATAGCTTGTCTAGAATGGTGGAGCAGGTTTGGTCAGTACTAGGTAGCTGTTATGCGACATCGTTTGGATACCGAGTTTCCTCTCTGTGCATAGCTTCTGCCTCGGTAGCTTTTAATTAAGTCGCTGGCTCTCATACGGAATGGAATCTTTTGATTGTCTTGTTCGTGTCTACTTCTTGTAGTGTATAGTTCAAATATTGCCGCTAAGATAAGCAACCCCGCATGCCTCCAACCCCTTCCCTTTTTCCCTCCTCAACTCTTCAACCTCTTCCTTGTCTCCCTCACAAGCATTCACACCTGCATATATTCTTGCGTATCGCAGTCCTCAACATCTGACATATATATTGCGGTTATTCTCGTACTATATTTGTTCACCTTCGCTCAACCCTAGAAGCTTTTATCGTACCCCGATGGCCATCCGCTCCATGAGGTTCACACCCGAGTAAGTGCAACTCGCTTTGCTCTCTTTGAATCGTGCAACTGACTGGCATTTTAAGCGTTCTCCTTGGTGCACCCCGACGGTCCTCCGCTGTCCCCAACGCAGCGGGGACCCTGGCGGTGTACACCCAGACCTCTTACTCCTTCGAATCGCATTCCAAGACCAATGAGATCCGTGTGCTCGATATTGAGTCTGGCCGTTCTGCACTCATTACCAATGACCCCGGTGCCAGCAACCCGCAGTGGCTCGGCGACAGCGACCAGCTGGTCTGGCTGAAGAACAAGGCCAATGGGAATACCAGCTTTATCGTCGGCGATGCGCGTGAGGTAGACAAGACGTACATGGCAGGCACTGTTCCGGGACCCGTTTCGGATCTTAAGGTCACGAATATCGAGCCTGGGAAGATCGGTTTCGCTGTGAGCGGCAAGGCCAACCCGGACGGCTCGCTGTACAATCCGCATGACGCTAAAAAGCCCTACACGACGGGTAAGCTGTACACGTCGCTCTTTGTCAGACATTGGGATGCATATGTTGAGCCGCAGAAGAACGCGATTTGGTATGGTCTGTTGGAGAAAGCGCCCTTGTCCCCTGCTCGCAGACAGGCGGGCAAGTATTCTGTCTCGGGACTCACCAACTTGATCGCGGTCTCGGGACTGAATGGGGTCGAGTCGCCAATCCCACCCTTTGGCGGCACCGGAGACTTTGATATCAGTCCGACTGCTATTGTTTTCATTGCCAAAGATCCCGATCTGAACCCTGCTACTCACACTGCTTGCTCGTGCTACTACGCACCTATGTTTTCATGGACAGCCATGAGCTCTAAGGACACAATCTGCCAAGTTCAAGGCTTTAAAGGCCTCCAGGGCGCAATGTCATCTCCCGTTATTACTTCGGATGGTGGCTCTATTGCACTTTTGGCTATGCAGGTTGATGGATACGAGTCTGATAAAAATCGGATCCTGTACGTTCCGAACCCATGGAATGCGGAGATGATTGAGGTTTTCCAGTCCTCGGATGGAAAAGGAGCCTGGGATCTCAGCCCTTCAGCCATCTCATTTGCCCAGGGCGACCAGTCCCTGCTCATCCACGTGGAAGAGAATGGCCGAGGGTTGCTCTATGACCTTCCATTGCAAAACATCCGCAGCGCCAAACCCGATGCGCTGAAGCAGTTGACTCGTTCTGGATACGTCAATGATGTGGCTCCTGCCGCAGCTAACTCTTCGAAATTGTTCGTCTCCAGCAGCAGTCTGGTCGACAACAGCTTGTGGACCATTATTGACCCAGCAAATCCAATCGATGTGCGTGTGGTATCGTCGAGTAGCCGGAGCGGAACAGCATTTGGGCTCTCCTCATCCCAAGTCGATGAGACTTGGTTCCGTGGAGCAGAGGATCATCCTGTACACGCTTGGATCGTCAAGCCGTCTAACTTCAAGCCCGGCGAGAAGTACCCTCTTGCGTATTTGATCCACGGAGGTCCCCAAGGTGCATGGAATGACCAGTGGAGCACGCGCTGGAATCCCGCCGTTTTCGCTGAACAAGGCTACGTCGTTATCACACCTAATCCCACCGGTAGCACGGGGTACGGACAGTCGTTCACGGATGCTATCCGCGGCGAATGGGGTGGACGCCCATACGAGGATCTGGTGAAGGGCTTCGAGCATATCGAGCAAAATTTGAAGTATGTTGATGTCACCCGAGCCGTTGCTCTGGGTGCCTCCTACGGTGGCTACATGATGAACTGGATCCAAGGGCATCCTCTCGGCCGCAAGTTCAAGGCCCTGGTCACCCACGACGGAGTGTTCAGCATGACCTCCCAGCTCGCCAGCGAGGAGCAATACTTCCCTCTGCACGACCTTAAAGGCCCAATCTGGAAGGTCCCCGAGAACTGGGCGAAGTGGGATCCGTCACGCTTCACGGAGAACTGGTCAACTCCGCATCTGATCATTCACAACGAGCTGGACTACCGTTTGACAATTGCAGAGGGTCTCGCTGCGTTTAATGTCCTCCAGATGCGTAGCGTCGACAGCGCGTTCTTGACGTTCCCTGATGAAAATCACTGGGTTCTCAACCCAGAGAACTCACTGCTGTGGCACCGCACCGTCATCAACTGGATCAATAAGCACGTTGGTCTGCCGCCTCTATCGGAACCTGATCTATCCCAGGGGATGGCAAGCATGTCTGTTTAGGATTGCCTCAGTTTTCTTCATGGTATACGAATGGCATGTGTTCAGATATGAGACATACAAAGCGTACCTTGACCAGGCGCTGGAAAACTTTGCAATGAATTCAGTGTTTAAAAATGAGTATGCAAGGACTCTATTAAAGGATGGCTGTATTATGTAGGACATGAGCAAAGTCACGCAAGGACGTAATGTTATCCATAGCAGATGCCATGCATCAATTGATGGCATCTGTTAATGGAAAATCTTGGTCTATTTAAAGTGGTGCTGAGCCGCGTATACACCACGACTTTCACCGATGTCTTTTCTTGGACAAAGCCACACGATTCCAGTCTCGCGTGGAACAAAGCATTCTATTTTCGAGAGTTTCAGCTTCTTCTTTCCTGCCTGCACTTTCATTGTTCATCCGCTTATATATACGCGTGGCTTCCCGATGTTGTTGAATGTATTGCATCCTACCCTCAAATTAACAATATCTGACAATGCGAGGCACCAGATCCCTCTCGGTCTCCGACCCTTCCACACCATCTTCTCCAAACTTCTCTACACTCAACAACCAACCGTCATCTTCATCGTCACTCCCAGGGACTCACTCACAATTCCACCCGGCCTTTCTTCCTCTCCTCCACCACCTGTCCAGTCCACTACACCCACTAGTCTCCAGCACCACGGGTCATCCGCATCCAGAATTCCCTGTGACATTACTGGCATACCACCTTCTCACCGCATCGCAACTCGACAGCCTAGCGGTTCATTTCCACCAAGTCTGGCCACCCGTGCCCGCAACATCGTTGTATCCCATCCGCATTCTGCCGTGGATCGGAACGCCAGAGGAAAAAGATGTTGGTCTAGCTACGAAGCGAAGGCGATTTGGACAGTTTATTGGGTTAAAGGACTGTTACGGTCCGTGGCTGAGAGTGGACTTTGGGGAAACGACTATGCTGTCGGGAGAACAAAAAAAATCAAGTCGGCATCTGACCGAGGGGGAGGTGATGGAGATGATGCTGGGACGGATGGGGAGGGAGTGGCAGAACAGTCTGGCGAGGGCTAGAGAGGAGGATGAGAGGCGGGTGGTGTTTAAGAGAAATGACTGATGTCTTGCCCATCTGTGTCTTTGGCTTGATTTTGGAGGTTGAGGTTGTGGCTATTTCTGTTTCTGTCTTGTAACAAAGAACATATAGACTCAAGGCATTCCCCCAGAGTTTGCCTTTACCCGCCCCGAAATGCCGCCATGCCGGGTCCAACGTTGTGGCGTTGGACGGGATGAATCTGGGCTGGTTTAGCCGGCGCGCGGGTAAAGGCTCCCCACGAAGAGGAGCATATATAACTAGGAGTGTACCATTTCTAAATAATTCTCCAGTTTTTTAGCTGCGGGGAAACTCCAGAGCTGTGTGGTTCTGATCGCTATTATTGCCCACTCCAGCCCTAACTCCGAAGCCTACTAACTATAACTCCCAATTCTCCAACCAACAAATCATCTTCATACCCAACAAGACAATCAAAATGGCCTCGGAACCACTAGTAAGCCACATCTACACGGCCGACCCTTCGGCCCACGTCTTCAACAACAAGTTGTACATCTACCCGTCGCACGACCGCGAAACAGACATCGCCTTCAACGACAATGGCGACCAATACGACATGAACGACTACCACGTCCTCTCAATGGACAAGGTGGGCGGGCAGGTAACCGACCACGGCGTGGCACTGCACCAGAAAGATGTCCCCTGGGTGTCCAAACAGCTCTGGGCGCCCGACGCAGCGCACAAGAACGGGAAATACTACTTGGTGTTTCCGGCGCGAGACAAAGAGGGCATTTTTCGGATTGGCGTTGCCTCCGCTGCGAAACCGGAGGGTCCGTTCAAGGCCGAAGAGAGCTTCATTCGGGGCAGTTATAGTATTGATCCCGCTGTGTTTGTCGATGACGGTGAACAGGGAGATGGGGAGGCGTATCTCTATTTCGGTGGCATCTGGGGTGGGCAGCTCCAGTGCTGGGTTGAGCCCTCTATCCTCGACAAGAAAGAGGGCGAGAATGAACTGAACACTCTCGTCTTTGACGCCAGCCGCTCCGGGCCCCAGGAACCATCCGGCAAGGGGACCCTCGCGCTTGGTCCGCGTGTCGCAAGACTCAGCGACGACATGCTCTCGCTTGCCGAACCGGTGCGTGAAATCCATATTCTCGATCCGGAAACAGGCGAGCCCATCGGGGCAGATGATCACACCCGCCGCTTTTTCGAGGCTGCCTGGCTGCATCGCTATAACGGGACGTACTATTTCTCTTATTCAACGGGAGATACGCATTATCTCGCCTATGCGACGGGGTCGTCACCTTATGGGCCGTTTACCTATCGTGGACGCATTCTGGAACCTGTGCTCGGGTGGACGACGCATCATTCTATTGCGGAGTTCCAGGGGAAGTGGTGGCTTTTCTACCATGATTGTGAATTGTCCAAGGGAGTGGATCATCTTCGGTCTGTGAAGATGAGGGAGATTGTTTATGACGAGGAGGGGGCGATTCGACTTGCTTGATATATATGTCTTCTGTTATCTAAGGCTTGGTTGTCTAGATAATGTCCTTGGGGTGTGTCAGTCCCGGGAAGTCCGAACCAACTGCCTGAAATCTAATGCCCCATTCCCTTCTCCCAGTTCTCCTGGACGATCTTCCAGTACTTCTCCCGCGTCCGAATACGACATGCCTTGCCCCATCGAATCATCACCAGGAAGACAGCCGCACAGGCCATGCCGATTAAAGCAGCAGAAATAAAGCAGTTCTGGTAGCCCAAATTGTCGATCCACGGCGTAATCCTATTCATTTTAAAGTTAGACCATATTTCCCCAGAGATCAGATCCAAAGTATTACGTACCCATAACCAATGGCAAAAGACATGGTATTCCGCACCAGAATCACACTGGCGATAGCAACCCCGCTCAGTTCGCGGTAGCTATCGACCATGTAATTGACGCTCAGTGTGACGCCACACGTGTTGGTAAATGCCAGCATGCACATCGCCACGATCAGACCGAACCAATGGACTTCGTGTGCAGCGCCGACGCCCCAGAGGATCAGAGAGCCGGGGACCAGGACTAGACATGCGACGAATGGCCATAGACGGTGCTCGGCTTCCATGATGCCGTTGTTGCGTCGGGCTAATCTGATGGTGAGCCAGTCGCTGAAGCGGCCGGTAAAGAGGGATCTAGTTGGCGTTAGTTATTTAAGCGGTATGGACAGTAGGAGGTAGGTTACCCGAGTGTGACGCCTAGACAGCAGGCTAGGTAGCTGACTCCGACCATGGAGGAACTGATACTTATTAATCTTGGATTTTGGGTGTTACGGGTTTCCTGCTTACCCGAAATTGTAAGGTGGCGAGCCTAGAATGATGGATGCGGTGCCGTTGAGGATGTTAAAGAAGACAAGGTAGGAGCCGTACGAGAATCTGCACCAACATCAGTAACAGGGCATCTAGTAAGATTGACACACATACCCAGCGTAGAAGATGACGGGCCATGAGAGGTAATACAACATCTGCCGCACTCTCCGAAGCATCGTATTCTGACTCTGCTTCGGCCCAAGCAGGGACAGCTTCTTCCAGTATGACTTCTTGGTATAAACAGTACCAGACTCTGGTGCAGAAGCAGGCTGTTTCGAGGTCTGCGCTGCTTTCTCTGGATCGGGGTCACCATCCTGCGAGCTTGTAGGAGATGAATGGTCGACTCGGACGTTGGCGATCGTCGTATCCTCGACATCCTGTCGCACATAGTTCGTTTCTTCCATGAAGAAGAATAGGAAGATCATGATGATGCCGACAAAGACGCTTGGCCAGTAGAACACCCATCGCCAGCCCTGGTATTCTGCGATGAACCCACAGATGACGGGTGCGAAATAGTTGCTACCTGCAAGAAAGAATGCATAGAGACCCATGTATGTTCCTCGCTCGTGGGTGAAGTACTAGCCACGGTGAGTGCGTGAATGAGCGAGAAGGCCAGGGATGACACTTACCACGTCTGTGACGGTGATTTCTGGGAGGGCTTCCACAGGGGCCGTGAAGAATCCCTGCAGGATGTTTCGAGCTATCCATTGCCCATTGGTGGGCGCATAGGGTCTGGCCGTGATCCGTTAGCAAGAATACTTCCTCTCCACTCTTCTAGGACCACCTTACCCCCACATTGTAACTGCCTAGAACTCCATCGTCAGCCTCACCCTGCACCTGAAGAGAGAAAGGAAGGAAGCAGTACCAGGATACCCGCCAACGACAATATATAGGTCAACCGTTTGCCGAATTGCATCGCAAACGGCTGCCAGAAGAGCAACCCCCACCCCGCTAGCAAAAACATATACCCCGTCCCCTCATTGAGCGTGCTCACCGGTAATCCGGACTGTTGATGCAAGGGTACGAGCACAGAGTACACGACCGAACAGGCGATGCCCGACGCCAGCACGTACATGCTCACACAGACCGTGGACAGCCATTTTCGGCGCCGACTCCAGTTCAAGGGATCGTCTGGGTCATTCGAGGGCGTGGGGATAAGCACAATGTCTCGGTCTCGTCCATGATCCAGGTGTCGCGCAGCCATGACATGGTCCACATCTACTAGGGTGACTGTGCCAGGGATGGCGGAGTGGTCGAACACCGGCGCCATGATGGAAATGGGATGGATGGTAGCAGACCAGGATAAGGAGCGAAGGCGAGAGATATACCTCCCTGGCCGAGGGACGGTCGGCTAACAACAAAACACCCGGAAGACTTCCGCAGATAAGCTCAGTTGCCTGCCCGAACGAGTTAAAGGAACCAGAGGCTATCAGGATCGTCGCATTCCCCGCACAGGAAGTAGACTAGAAGGGTTTAGGGCCAAGTGTGGAGGGAAGATACCGATAATCGTGCGTGGGAGTAGTGCATACTACGGGAGTAGCATACAAAATAAAACCATTGGTGAAAAAAAGATCATAATGGTGATGGTCTATGCCGTACGAAGTAGTTCTCCGACCAGCTCCTCGCTCCGTCTCCACAACGCGGTAGCACTGGCTTCACCCGCCGGGAAGTCGATCTGCGGCAGCGTGAGGACCTGGTTATTATCCAGGAACGCTCCAGACTGATCTGGTTCATGTTTCACTCATTAGTCTCGTGTCTAACAGATGTGGCATGGTATGATTCTCACCTCCCAGAATCGGATCCAGCAATCCACGTAGTATCGTCGCGCTGCCCTGAGCCTGGGACTTGGGCGCCTGCTGAAGAAGAATGGGCAGGTCTTCGCTAGCTGGGAATGCCAATCAGCGAGCTTGGTCTCGTGAGGATAGCGCAATGACCAACCAACTTTCTTCCTCTGCAGCCAGGACGAGACCTCTTCCGGCGAGACATAGGTCTGGATGTTGGTCTTCGTATCTGCAAAGGGTCAATATGATCCTCGAGAAAGGAATGAGAACTTACTTCCCGGATTCGCAGAAAAAGCCCCAATGGATCGTGTGGCGCATTGGCGGGCGAGAGACTTGACGAACAAGATGTTGGCGAACATGGACTGCGCGTACCCGTCGAGAGGATGGTATGTCTCTCCATTCTTGCCTCCCTCTCATACGTCAACAATATCCAGACCAGAGAAAGACCAGAGAAAGGAGCACAGAAGACACACCGAGAATCCCACATCCTCCCACTCCGATGCCGGCGCCTCCCTCCGCACACTGGTAGTAACAAGCACAACCCTCGAACCAGGCGACATAGCATCCAGCAACAGATTCACCAACAGGAAATAAACCAAGTAATTCTTCTGAAAATGCGACTCAATCTCATCCCCCGTTGTTTCGTACTGCACCGCCATGACCGTGGGAAACCCAGTGATGCCATCAATCGGCACGTTGAGTTTCTTGATTGCCAGCGCTGCGTCGCGCACGGAGGCTAGGTTGCCCATGTCGGCGGTGATGAAAATGATTTTCGTTTTCGGGTGCTTGCGGTTGAGGTGGTCAATGACGGGCTGGCAGTCGGGTTGCGAGTGGCCTATGAAGATGATACAGCCTGCGCCGCCGTGGGAGAGGGCGTCTGCGGTGCATGCTGCCAATTCGCCGCGGAGCAGGCCGCCGAGGAGGACTATGCACCAAAAAGAGAAAAGGGTGAGGTTGAGGTCAGAGCTGGTGAGGGAGGTGATTGTTACATGTCTTGTGTTTCACCCTGTCGGGGAACATGTCTGCCACGTCGGTTCCCTGCGTCTCGTTTTTGAACAGTTGGCTCATTGTGTCGGATGGTACTTTGTTGAGAAGACGGTAGATAAGGACTGGTGAGTATATACGGGTTGTACTCGACGTGTCGTCATGATGAGTTGAGGGCGATTACGTCGATTATATAGTTGCATTGATTGATGATAAACGCTACAAAGGGACCAAGAAGACACAAGCCGACATCCCGGCTGTATAACCAATGTCCATCCATACTGTACAGATCAACCCATAGCAGAGTCCGAGCCCGCCGGAGGAGTGCTGATGGGAAAGATAAAAAAAACTCAGTGAGACATGCCGGCGATGTCATTATCTTCTGGCAACTGCTCAATAACACCCTCCATGATCTGGATGAGCTCATCCATATCAGGCCGGTCCGCGGGCTCCACTTGAAGGCATTTGCGAACAACTTCCTTGACGGGGGCGCTGATCAAGCCCGTGTTGCCGCGAGAGGGCTCCTCATTGTTGCCGCCGACTTTGGCCTTGCCCTTGGACGCGCCGGTGTTTTCATCGGGGAATCGCCAGTCGCCGCCGAGCACGCACATACTCAAACTGCCGCCGGTCTCTTCACTGCGCGCCTCGAAGGGACTCTTGCCGACAAGGCAAGCATACAGGGTGCAACCCAGCGACCAGACGTCGACCTTGGTATCAATGATGGACCCGGTCTTCACGTCGAAAAGTTCAGGCGCACGGTAGGGCATGGTGCTGTGCTCCGCAGCGGTGTCTTGCACCGCCAAGGCCAGGGATCGTGAAGTAATGGCGATTGGGCTCGGCGACAGAGAGCCGAGATCCATTAGGATCGGGGTTTGGCCATCGTCATCAATCATGATATTCCCTGTGACATGTCAATCAAACTGTACAACGCGAATAGGTACGGCACTCACCAGGCTTGACATCGCGATGCGCATAGGGACGCAAATCGCCATCCTGAACCCCTTCCTGGCTGCGTGTTACCTCATTATCCATCAAGGGTTCCTGCTCCTCATCATCGTCATCGCGATGGCTGGCGCGCCGTTTGGGTTTCATCCGCATCGTCCTTTCCTCATCTGCATCCTCGCCTTCTTGCCGGATCGCTTGCGCCGCGCGCGTAGACCCAGCGCCGCTCTTGACACGATACTGGTGCATGGACCGGAGCGCATTGGCGACACCCAGCATCAGCATCATCAGCCGCTTCTCGGGAAACCGGGTGTGGTTGACTAGATTGGCATTGATGGCATCCTGCAGGTTTCCGCGCTGATAGTAGGGCAGCAGAATGTAGACCGTCTTCGATCCGGCGTCTCCGCCATCGTTGCGGAACTTCGAGCCCGATTCGGTTGAGACGCAATGGTCGATCGAGTGGATGATGTTGGTATGCGAGTTGAACAGCGTGTAGGCCTCGACTTCTTTCAGGGCTTGCGATACAGACTCTTGACCGAATGGACAGCGGATCTTCTTGAGAGCAAACAGTTCCGAGGTTGTTTTGTCTTGGACGAGGTAGACATAGGAGAAACCGCCCTGTTGCGAGTGGAGATCAGTACCGTACGTCGGTCGACCGGTCGGTCACGGGAAGCAACGGGAATCATACTTCACCCAGCAAACGCAGGAGCTTGAAGCTGCGATTGTTGATCTTCAGCTGCGGTGTGCTGGGGAAGCAGCACATGCAGTCTGTGACGTTGTAGAGCAGGTCGAAGAAGTACTGCGCCATGGTGCAGAGACGGATCGCGATCAACCGGGGCAGGGGCCCGAAGAGGAGTGAGCGACCGGTAATGGGGAAGGATAATGGCGGTCACTTGTTGCAAGTTCTTAGCCAACGCAGGCAAGGGAGTGGGATGATGTACAGGGGAAAGAAGGCCAGTCCGTGAGTGAGCGGAGGGATGGACCGATTAAGTGGACCCAAGCTTTGTTGTCCCCCTTTCTACTGATGTATTGATCTTGGGCTATCTTCCTACTTTACCACCACTGCTACCTGTTTAATCGCAACCATGGCCCCCCTCGAGGAAGTCCAGGTCGGCGACCTGGTAAATGTCCCCGGTGGCATGTACGGCACCGTCAAGTACCTAGGCCCCGTCGCAGGCAAGCCCGGTCGTTTCGCGGGCATCGAGTTGGGCGCCGAACACGCCGCTCGAGGGAAAAACAGCGGCGACGTCGACGGACGAAAGTACTTTGCGGCCTCCGTCCCCGGCTCTGGGATCTTCGTGCCCATCAACAACTCCAAGTACGTGACGCGACGATCGACTTCGGCAGCCACGGGCTCGTTTGCGACTCCCAAGACCCCGGCGCGACAGTCCAATTTCAGCAAGTCGGTTGGCCCGGGCCCCAGCCCCTCGTTGTCTCGGCCTCAATTTCGACGACCGTCTCTCCCTCGTCCCGAATCGCCTCGCGCGCCGCCTCCCAAACTCAGTCTCAGCGGCCTACGCACGCCTTCCGCCGCGTCGAGGACTGGCGGCTCTAACGGACTCCTGCGCAGTCCCGTCAAGCCCCCCTCGCGACTGTCTGATCGCCCACCGTCACGGGTCAGTGTGGACGAGGATGCCTCATACTATGGAGGGAGGCTGTCAGACTTTCCGCCGTCTTCGGGGGCTGCGGGAATGCAAGAGCTGAGAGACCAGATCAAGAGCTTGGAAAAACAGTTGGGCGATCGTGACAAACAGCTGAATGAGCAAGCGACGACCCTGGGCGATTTCCAGAAGACCCTGGAAGAACTAGAGGGATCCGACACACTTTCGATCCGGGCACAGCTACGCGAGAGAAATGAGCGAATCACCCAGCTGACAGCCGAGTTCGACGGACACCGTGCGGACTTTCGCAGTACTCTCGATACACTGGAGATTGCTGCTTCAGAGACAGAGCGGGTATACGAGCAGCGCCTCGATGAGTTACTGCAGCAGAACAAAGAGTTGCAGGATCGGGGCGAGGATGTCGAGGCCGTTGCATCACAACTCAAGCAGTTGGAGGAACTGGTCTCGGAGTTGGAGGAGGGACTCGAGGATGCACGGCGCGGTGAGGCGGAGGCTCGAGCTGAAGTCGAGTTCCTACGAGGGGAGGTCGAAAGAACCAAGCTGGAATTGAAGAAAGTGCGGGATGATTCAGCTTCTGCACTCAAGGATGCACAAACCTCAGCGGAAGGCCCACGCAGCTCGTACGAACTGGAGCAGAAGGATGATGAGATACGCGGTCTGAAGGCCATCATCCATTCGTTGAGCCGTGGGAATCCCAACGCGGCCAACTTGAACCCCGCGGTTGCAGAGCAACAGAACAACCAGCAAATCGCTCAGTTGGAGCAGCGAATCCAAGAAGCTGAAGGATTCGCCAAAACCAAAGACACTCGGATTGAGGAACTCGAGCGAGAGCTCGAGGGGTTCAAGGCTGATGGCCGTGCTCGCAGCTCGACCATCACTCTTTCGCCGTCGAAGCAGCACAAGCCGACCAACTCCGGTGGGCTGAACCAGATCAACCATGCCCATCGTCTCTCTGACCGGACCGTGGTACCAAACGACTGGCATGATGAGCCGTCCAATAATCCTCAACACCACCGTGGCGCATCCAGCTCATCCCAACGGCGATTGGAACCTATGCCCGAGTCAGAGCGTTCCTCCGACGATGATTCTCTGTGGTGTGAAATCTGCGAGACCGGTGGCCATGATATCCTGAACTGTACCAGCATGTTTGGGTCTGGTAATGGCCAGCAAACCGTGCCTGAGATCAAGACTGAAAAGCCTGCCCGAACGTCGGCCGCCGATTACAAGAAGCCCCAGGAAGGGAACACTTCGTCGCAAAAGACCGGCAAGGATGTCGTCTATGAGGGACTGAAGGGCATCGGCGGACTGGGATCGTCCATGGCACCGGTTGCCGGCAAGTCGTCTGGTGTCATCGACGAGTCCCGCTGGTGCGCGCTGTGCGAGCGAGACGGTCATGAGAGTATTGACTGTCCTTTTGATGAATAATGTTGCATAGGTGTGGCTTGGGTTGGGTTGGTATTGGTATGTGCAGCATCTAAAGCCGTCTGGTTTTATCCCTCTTCTAGTACATCTTTTGTTTCTTCTGGGTCCGGAACTATCCGGCCGGGTTTCCCCCTTTGTGTATTATTCCCCCCGTCATCTTGACCTTTTTCATTCATTCCGAAGCCTGTGTGCATAACTTCTTTCCTTCACTTCGTCTCTGGACTCTTTCCCCGGCTATTTCCCCGGCTTTCTCTTTCATTTTCCATTATTTACTTTCTTTCCATCCTGTGCCACGGTTCCCTTTTGTATGCATTCATGGGCTGGGATCACGTTCTTGAATATAATTTCCCGCTGGATGATCAAGAGATCATCTCCGTCTAAAATCTAATCCACAAGAACTGTCCAAATCACTCGCTGTCAATGAACAATATCAAACTCGTCAATCATAGCAGGCTACTGAACATCTAGAAGACAAAATCCCCGGTATCTTCTTCAATTCGGGTGTGTCGGCGGCTGGACAATCTCCCCGTCCCGGAATTTTGAGTGTGCAACAGTCCCGCAATTCTTACACTTCTGCTTCTCCTCGTCACCCGCAAACTCTTCCACAACCGCCTTGACCTGCGTCCCCAGATCCACACAAACGAACTTCTTCTCCCACACAATCCCAATACAGTTCCTGCAGTACCACCGCATAATATCCACCGCCCCCTCTGCGCGTGGCTGCTCCATCACCACTCCTACAGTATCTTTAAATCGCACAGGACAGTGCGGTGTATTTGGGGGGAGGAGAAATAGGGATCCCTCATGGATGGGGATATCCTGGAAACTTGGCGGTGTCGTGGAATTGTCCACCGTCTTGAGGAGCATGGACCCGCGGTACTGGTAGAAAAACTCCGGTGTTGTGTTAATGTGGTAGTCTGTTCGTGCATTGGGTCCCCCGACTATCATCACGGTATACCCTGCTGTTGCTGGGGAGGAGGGGTGATACACGCAATAGTTGTTCACCGGGGGTTGGAGGAGGTGGGCGTTGGCTTCGAGCCTGGATGATGCTTAGTCTTGGATACCATGGGCGATAGTGGAGGTCAAACACACCATTTGGGAATGTTCAGCGCAGGAGGCAGCATGATTACCTCGCCGTGGATGTGCCGGACGAAGAAAGGTAGTTCCTAGTAGGAGAGTGACGCATCAAGATAAGATAAGTCTTATCGCGGATCAACATTGCGCCGACGATTTTTCTTTTTCTTCGGCGAAGAGAAAGAACATCGAACACCAACACACACCCACAAGCCCGTCATGGCCACCTCCCAGCCTCCCCTCCGCTTTGTGTCCCATCACAATCTATTGTATCGCCTGGTCCTAGCTACCCTGACCGGCCGAACAGTCCACATCTCCCAAATCCGATCAAACTCGCCCACCAACCCAGGCCTCGCACCTCATGAAATCTCCTTCCTTCGCCTACTGGAAGCCGTTACCAATGGCTCCCAGATGGAAATCTCCTACACCGGTACAATTCTAGTCTACAAGCCGGGTCTGATCACCGGCAGCTCATCCGGTACCGGCGCCAGTGGCGGCATGATCAACTACGAACTGCCCGCAGGATGCACCCGCGGTCTGAGCTACTATCTCATCCCTCTGTGCCTGCTCGCCCCATTCTCAAAAGCGCCTATGAAGGTCCTTTTCACCGGCCCCGGCGTGATCACCTCTTCCACCCCGACGGGGGACATGTCCGTCGACAGTGTCCGCACCGCGATTCTGCCGCTGTACAATTCCTTCGGGATTTTCAACAACATCGAGCTGCGCATCTTGCGCCGGTCAAATCCCGGACCGAATGGGAGAGGCGGTGGTGGAGAAGTGCAGTTCGTGTTCGGGCACCAGGTCCGTCTGCCCAAGACTCTGCACCTGATGAACCCCGGCCGCATCAAGCGCATCCGTGGTGTGGCGTACTCGGTCGGTGTCTCAGGTTCCAATAATGCACGCATGATCGAGACGGCGCGTGGTATTTTGAATCCCTTGAGTCCAGACACTTATGTCTTTTCGGATGTGGCATCTGCGCCTTTAGTACCTGCCCCGGAGAAGAACAATCCCTCTGCGAAAAAGAAGATCGGGCTTGGGTTTGGTCTGTCTCTGGTTGCAGAGTCATCAACAGGCTGTCTTTACTCAGCTGATGTGGCCTCCCCACCATCTGGGGGTCAACCGCCAGAGGATATTGGGAAGCAGTGCGCGTACCAATTACTCGAGACGATTTCCAAGGGGGGTTGTGTGACTCCCGCGGCTGCGACGACTATGCTGACGCTCATGAGTATGGGTTCGGAGGATGTGGGTCGTTTGCAGATTGGGAAGGATGTCATTGCCGACCCGACTCTGATCCTATTGGCAAGGGACTTGGCTAAATTTGGTGCCCCCGGCTGGGGTATTCGGGATGCTAGCGGTGAGCATGAGCAGAGCGATGTGATTGTCAGCGTGGTTGGCCGTGGTATAGGCAATGTTGGCAGAAAGGTTGCTTAATCGGCGGCTATGGCGATTGCCTGCCATTCTGCTTCATTTCATCCGCTACCAATGCCTCGCACAGCCAGTGCCCCGCGTTTCTCCGCAAGAGCTACTCGGTCTTAGCTTCTTTCGCCACACAAGGCTCTTCGAATTCACCAGACCATGCACTTGCGACATGGCATCAAACTCTTGAATAGAGTTGTCTAGTTCGATTCAAGAGACCATTCGACCAGTCAGTCACCTTTGTCGGTCCCGTCAAGATACCCTCAACTGGATGCTGTCTTCATTTGGGCTAGGACTCGGACAATCCTACCAATATCCCAGTAGATGTCTCTACTTCTGCATACGACGATACCCAGATCTTTATTCTGCATTCCTGTCTGCTAGCTGGACGTCTGGCTCGTTGTACTTGTATATCATGTTGGAAACTCAGTGTATATACAATATACAGTCATTCTCGAAATCGCCTTGACCACTACACACACAGTAACTCTTTCTCGACCCACCGTCAAGGTCTTAGCGCGGATCAGTCATTGGGCGGGTCACGTCAACTCGAGGCTAGGTAACATACGCAGGTAGTATGTATCTGATATCTATCCCAGTGGAACAGGTTGTAAAGATAGTAGTCCCTTAAATCTGCATTTTGTTCTTGCGCGCTGCTTTTTTAGACCAACCCACTGAAGCGAGCGCTCTGCTGATGCTTTGAATCGTCACATGCTTTCCAAATTCATCCTAGAGAAAGACGGCCATCTCATCCTGATATAGAGCCGGCTTCTCTTTCAAGTGTTCACAAAGAGCTTCTAGCATAGGCGGAGTGATACTCCTTGGGCGTCCAACGCCATTTACCGGTGGTGTCTAACGTTTCCGAAGGCTTGCAGGTTGGAGTGAATGTGTAAAATTGATTGTTTGCTGCAATCAGCGGCATATGCCATTTGAGATGTCGTTAGGGAATTACTCTGAATCATATGATGGATAAGCTCGAGTTGTGGAGGTTTCAAGTTCGGTGCCATCTTGCTTCATGCTATGTGTTGTGACCCCGTCTTCCACTGGTACTACGTGGACCGTAGCTTCGAGGTAACCGACCGGCTTCCGTGTATGAAAATTATGGATTTATATAAATTCATGGATCCTCCAAGCGAAAAGTTTCGACGTTGGAGAGCCTGGTTTGACTAAAATTGTCGATGATCTCTCACAGAAAAAGTTGTTGGTGGTGCTTGTTGTGGTCAGCAAAGTAGCAATGATGATAAGGATGAATATGTACTTGGACTAGCACTAGATATCTTATCACATGTTAACGCTTTTGAATATATTTGAATATATACATAAAGATCTCCAGTCTGCTCAGTACCAACAGGGCATTATTAAAAGTGATATGATATAAAGAGGATAGGACATCTTTTTTCTCGTCTACAGAAAGTTTTGAGGATACAATATTATACGTAAAGCAGTTGTTCTGGAACTAAAACAAAGGGGGTCCTAAAAGTAGGAGATAATTATTTACACCGCATCTAAACATGATTTAGAATAGTTCCGGGTAATGTACGGGCTGTGAAACAAAGCGTAAGTGTCTGAGGGTTAATCTGTTTTCAAATTCTACTATAGCAATGCTAGACCAGCCATTGCTGCACCCACAATTAGACCAGTATTACCATGCACAAACGCCTCACTCGCACCCCCGGTCTTCGTTGCGTTCGCTGTAGCGCCAGTCTCTGTCGCAGTCTCGCTGTGAGAAGCAGCTGTTGTTGCGGACGCAATCCCCTCAGTCTTCCGGGAAGCGGCAGTTGTAGTAGCGGCCGTGTTAAAGCCCAGCTCAACGGAAGCGGCGGGCAGGGTGACAGTCGAGGTAAGAGTACTTATGCTTGTGACGAAAGAACCGCTCTGGACAGTTACGCCAGGAGCAGCCTGTAAAGTAACACAAACTGCCGATGCTCGAGCGTCGTTATAGGTACATCCGACTGAGGAAGTACTGTTGAGTGATTAGCTACGTCTCGAACTCAATATTTGCCTTTGGTTTAAATATCCTGGCTTACAATGTTTCCGAGGGTTCAGTGTATGATAATCCGATAGATGATGGGGCAGTGACAACGGTGACACCAGTAGCAGGAAGCGAGCAAAGAGTGGCCTCGCTATCACACTTTACATTGTATGTGGTATGGGTATCATCCTGTGGCGTTTTATTATTGGATATCAACCCTCTAGAATAGGAACGTTTTGCGACATACGCCTGCAACAGTAGAAACGGAGTAGTCACTCAAGATAAGGAACTGGGCCAAGAAGGGCGAGCCAACAGTAGTTTGAGCATAAGCGGCGGAGACTGCGCCCAAGGCAAGAAGAACGCGGGTGAACATTTTGTAAATATGACTTTGGTGCTATTGTTGGTAAATGCGGAGTAGACCGTGAACTGAAACGAAGATTCAGTTCGATTTTCATTCAGAAGAACCAGGGGCTATGTACTTATTATGTATTGAAACGCTAACTCGCTCGGATAAATCTGTGGGTTGAACTAAGTTAGCCCCTAAATTAGCCTTGGGAGTTGTGGTAGCTTGGACTCTCGCTTCCAGGGGCTTCGTCGCTGATTGGACCCTCGGCAAAATTAGCACTCTTTGAAGCTTCGTTGATTTAAGCCGCTTACTATATTAGGGCATGTAGAGGCCACCCATACCTGTCAGGCGCAAAAAAGGCAACAATCTCGTAAGGCACCTAAGACAGTTCGGCGAATGACCCGACTAAACCTTTATGGTGCAAAATACTTTGCAATCTGGCTTGGTACCCGCCTATCGTCTTGCATTTCTTCATTATTCATCTTCGAACTTCGTTTGTCTTTACTTCTCTCTTTCCGTTTTACCGCTATATGCTAGCCCAGGAAACTGGAATAATTTTTCGCTTGGCTTTTCGCATAGCACTTGACCTCAGCCGCTGCGCCTATTCGTCACGGTTACCTGTTTCAAACCGCCACGCTGGCCATACTGACAAGGATCTTTTAGATCTTGGACTGTGTGGGACAATACAAATCACTTCGCTATAGCACCTCATTATCGAGGTGACGAATTACTTGTTTCCATATTTCGAGCAAAATAAGCTGTATGGCTACTCTAAGTCGGTTACCTGAATATTCAAGTCCGCAAGGCATAGGAGTTGACCCGTTCGACTAGGGGATCCAAACGCCAGATTGGTTCCATTTCGATTCCTAGACCTGCCTTTCGAACTCCGAAGTCAAATAATCAATCATTCAATCAGCGGAAACTTCCTCAGGCCGCAACCGCAAAGTGGCGCTTTTAGAACGGGGGACGAAGTAGAGCCGCATGATTTCACCATCAATGCTGCGGGTCTCAAATGCCACTTCCTCAAATCCTTCAACCTTCTTTCTGTCAATCGACAGATCCGACGTGAATCAATGGCCATATTGTTCCAGCAGTCCTCGGTATGCATTCAGGTTGAGATACCTAGGTATGGGGGATTGAGCAAAGTAAATGCCTCAGTACCTGGAATTCTCAACGCTTTGAATGCGTATCCTCTATTATGTGAGATGACACGAAAAGTTACGGTTATTTTTCGTCCCGAATCAGCCATAATAAGTGGTCCTATGGTAGAAGTGGAGGGAGATGTCGTTCCTCTTATAAGAGAGCATCCAGGGGTCTCGGTGTTGGTAGGACTGTTTCTGGCGATATATGCCCCCATCTATTTTCTGGTCAAGGTGAGTAGCTGGGCTCACAGGGCAACTCCCTTTCAAGGGAGGCATGCAGATCTTCAGGCTCTCATTGATACTCTGACACATGGGTTCAAAAGCCGCAAGTCTCTGAAAATCATTGTCTATTTGGACGACTTGTATTTGCAAGATCTTAAGGCTATTATAGGCTTGTTTGAAGCACCATCTTGCTCTATCTCATTTGAAGAACGATGGTTGCAGTGGTATTATCGTGTTAGGCGATCGCATGTGGTGGGAAAGTATGAAGCGGACTATAAAAGGTTCGTCGAGCATGCTGCTGAAGAAGCTGGGCGCAACCTTCTTTTGGCTGTTCCTCCAAGCTTGGAGGATTTCGAAGTGGACATGACCGACGAGGGTGATACGCGGGGCAATAAAATTATTGGAAAAAGACGACGGGTCTGGCTTGAGGAGGTTTTATGATTCGCGATTGGCGGATATTGCTTGTCCTCGCTGTTAGGGAGCGACGATATAACTGAAGATATTAGAGAAACCGAACCTATAAATGGTGGAAACATCTCCCAAGGTGTTGGATCCTATGTACTGATGGTATCGTCCTGTTACCCTGATGCGCAGTACTACTCATGCATTAGGGTTAGATATGTATCTATAATAACGGGTCGTGACCCACAGACCTACACGCCGCATAGGATGAGAAGGAGAACCGAAGTCACCCAAAGATCATCAGGCTTCTGGGCAACAGGCCGCCCTCCCCCCATGATTTGCAGATCCACTATGGGATTCCATGGAATTTCCCACGGACGTTTCATACGCATAATGTAATTTTACGTAGCGGGGTAATGTAAGATACAGTACAAAGCGCATTTTATTGCGCAATCAATTTAACGCGGCCAGCTCAATAAATGATCTGCACTAACGCGTCGGCAGTGGGCCAGGAAAGAGTTTCACTGTATATTGGTCAAGGCGATTTCGAGAACGACTGTAGAATGATAAACATGTTAAACAGGAAAAAGCTAGTAATAGCCCATGCCATTGAAGAAGCTCTTTTAGGTAACTAGTATAAAGTGTTGTGCTTTAAGCGTGAGAATAACTTTCAGGGCTTCAAGTACCCAAGTCGTGATGAGAAAACCCGCACACCATGTAACAAGCAAGAAAAATTATACTAAATTACATGATGGTTAGGGGGAAACAAGCAATTGAAAATAAAAGAAAACAAAATCTGTTTCACTCCGAAACATCTTCGTCCTTCCCAGGATACATGATATCCTGCCTATAAACAGCACGAACATGAGAGACAAACACAAACATCCACATACAGATAACACATATGGACAGCGCAGATCCTACTCCTTTGATACCAGAGCTGCCAAGGGCATTCCCGAGAGTAATCGTAGCAATAGTGAACCCCGTATTTGGAAAAACCATAGCCCACCAACTAAGGTGAAACGCCCTCGGCGGAGCCCTCAGCACAGCGAGGAGAGCGATACAGAAGAACCAGAAACTAAGAGCCCACAGGAATGCTCCCGCTGCCAGAGCAATGATTTCCAGCACGCGACCGTCAACCGCGGCATTCTCTCTGTCCATGACCCTGAACTCCTCCGGTAGGCCCTTGGCCATGCCGATGAGAGCCAGGGCCGTGAAAGCCGGTGGTCCGACACAGATGAACATCCCCGGTCTGTGTTCGCGGCTTGGCAGACCTGATTCCATTAGACGGCCGATGTAATGGGCGTACATCATGAAGCTGAGGGAGAATCCGAGACCCTGGAAAGTCATCCCTGCTGTGACGATGGGAATGGAAGAGCGGGATGGTTGTCTCTCGACAATTACGGATGCGATGGTACCGCTTAGCATGATGGGGAAGGCGGGTAAGATCCACGAGGGCATCATTGTTTGGAGACGGTAGGTGACTGAGGTAAAGACGAAGGAGTACTGGACCACGGCAAGAGCGAAGGTGCAGACGCAGTATACCCAAAAGAGGATTTCAAGGGTCAGTGAAAATGCCGGGTCTGGATCATCACCGAAGTACCTTTCCAGGCCTGTGATTAAGGTTGCGGTTGAAAGCCAGAATGTAGGGAAGAAAAGACCCTCACGGTCGTGGTAGAGGGATTTGAGGAATCCGCCATGGATCAAAAACCGTGCTGCCATCAGAGAGCAGACTAGAGCGAAGAGAACAAGGTTGATTATGTAGACTGTCAGGCCAATCTCCGGGAGACCTTTGAACTGGTTGGGTTGGGCAGCAAGCAGGAGAGCTAGGCCGCCGGTGCTCATGGTGAGTGTGTACCAGGCCCATGTAAAATGTCGAAGGCGTTGGTGGAAGTTTAGTCGTGCTGGTGTTTGGGCCTCTTTGCTTTCAAAGATTGGTGTGTTCGAACGAGAGGAGGTTGGAGGGATGCCGGGACTACTACGGTAGGTCCCTAGCAGCACTGGGCTGGACATGGTGTTTGAAATGGCAGTTAAAAGACTGGATAATGGAGTATTTTAAATTCAGAATAAGAGAATTGTGACGACTGAGTGGTTGTCTTTTTGGTGCTGGATAAACAAATGAAACAAATTGACTGAAGAATTGAAGAAGACCGAGAGAAATATATAAAGATAGGATTCTATAGAGGGACAATCAGTAAATATACTGTGATTCCTACCAGCAAAACTGCGCCTCGATTCCAAATGCAACGACGTTCGTCGTCGTACCAACGACCCATAGCCAAGAAATCCTAAGACAACCCGTACATCATGAGAAACACATGACAAGAACGGAATTCTCAGCAAATATCGGTGAACACCTGCCTACCAGCGTCATCAAAGTTGTCGGGACCCATAATAGATGGGAAGAGCCAAGAAAACCAACTCAGTTACTATTGATTGGCGCAGATCGTCAGGCTTGGGCACACCAGGGGCGATGGCGGAGTTTCAGTTTTCCTTGGAGAAGGGAGGATGCATGATCCACAGGTGAAGTCTGGGCATTGAGATAGAGAAATTTCGGTGCCTAAGAAGTTAGTCAATCATCACTATCGGATAGACCACGCATGCTCTGCCAAGAGCAGAAGAAGTCTATGGTATGAAGCCAGTGGCCTGTGCCACAGAGATAGGGGTTGAACTTCTGTGTAAGTAGTGCACTCCTTCATCACTTGTCTGTCTCAATTAATAGTCATTGGTGGTTACCAGCATGATAGAAACGTACATTGATTCGAACCCAATTGCGGTTTGATTTTGAAGGCCATCCGCTTAGTGACGGGAAACAGGTGTCTTGGGGTATTACGACAGCGTCCGAAGATGACTAGCCAAGAATGATGATCGACGGCGCATCGACGGACTGGTCCGCCGCCGAGCTTCGGACTTTGTGGTAGTGAGGGAAAAATAGGAGAGGAAGCGATAATAGCAAAGGCTAGAACATAGATCCGAGTTGGTAGGCTTGGCTGTTACCGCCCAGGGATTGTCTTATCTTCACTGCCTCACTGCAGGCTTAAATAGTGCGTCGATCAGTGGGTCGTCCATGGGTGGTGCTTATTTTAAATGGGTTTGAGCTGTAGGGCATGTAATCGAAAATTCGTGGGCCAAGGGGTTACGGAGCAAGTGCTGTCAAAGTAAGTCCCAAGGACCAAGTCTTCCAAAAACTAGCTTTCCACCAATTTTCACAGCTTTTGTCGTACGAAGCATACGAGTTGCCGGTAGCTGCTCTGTTGAATAGCACAAACAGTCGCTTCCATACAGCACAAACCTTCGTTACTGTACATCGTATATGAAATTGTTCTATCCTCTGATCGCCAACAATTTGATGACCACCTACGGATCACACGGCTGCTTTAACAATGCTTAGCCTGAGGCTTCCGCACCGTTGATCCGTTTATAATCTGAGAAGTTTTATTTTATAAAAATATGTAAATAAGAATGGAAATAGAAAACCCCCCCCTTACCGGGCTACATACCAGAGGGTTGGTCCCGCTCCATCATCAGGGTGTGTCGCCGCTCAGTCGATCGCCTGCAATATACAAGGAATTGGAAATCCTTGCGAAGTTCAGCGGTACGCAGACCTATCGCTATCACCTAGGCCAATTCAGAAGAGAAAACTAGCGGTTAAGGCATCAAAGGGTTTTACCGAATGTCGTCAAAACATGAGACCACTGAGCGGCCAGAGCGGAGTATCTTTCTGGGAGTTTTTATCAGCAAACACTTGGCCAGCGTTATGTAAGGAAGAAACTTACGGCCGTACGGTGCGCACAATTCCCATAGGCCCCCGATTTTGCCGATAGTGTCGAGTGATTCATTATCAGTGAGGCTCGGACACTGGGTCTGCAAGTACGAACCCCCTTTCGGTATCAGGCTCATAAAGTCATAAAGATGCATGGCTGTACAGACGCATCTGTGATCATTCGAGTCGGAGCTGCTGTAAGCATCTGCACCACAGGAGGGTGCAAACTCTTGATCGAAGCCCTGCTTTATATGGCGTCGGTGGCATCTAGGGAGTGTTTCTACCAAGGCTTCAAAGGACTTGGGAGCGTCGGGATAAGAGGTGGGGAGAGCGTCAGGCGATGGAAGCTCAGAATTCGTCAAAGCGACGCTCGTGGTGGCGAGGCCGAGGACAGCTAGGTGGATGAATGTGTGCATGATGTGGGGAGGGAAGATGCGAACTAACTAGCGGTAGTGCTGCGTCCACTCCTATATATCAGTTTTGGCCCCCAAAAATTATTGGCTAAGGACCTTTCTTGGACTAAATTACACTTACCATACAATAGGCGATGGTAGCGTCTGTGCAGGATTCTAGAGGCACTATGGCAGATTTAAGGACGATTTAAGAATAAATCCAACCCGCGAAGCGAACAGGTCTTCGAAGAGCGAGCATGTTTTGTCCAATTAAGAGCGGACTGAGGTCTTAGGTAGTATGTAGGAAACAATTGGGTACAATACATACGTAGTTCAATCTTCTTGGCCCCTTATTTTAGGTACACGAGCTACTTCTCGGCACGCCTCCTTTTGTCAGGCGCCATTTTTGATGAAAACGGGCAAGGCTCTTCTCATTTCTATATTTAGAGTTTGTACCAACATCGCCTTTCTCAAAAACCACAACTACAACTCGTTTCTATCTCGTAGAACGGTTAAGAATAGACCTGAAAAACTGAAATTTTTTTCTTAAAGGAGTGGACTATCTAAGCCCAGTTATCTATGCAGATATTCATTCAGATGTCATATCTCTAGGGCATAGGGCTGAACTTGCGAAAAGGTGTTCCTAACAATCCAAGGTAAGCTAATTTTATCATACTGTAGACGTTGCTTATTTAAAAACCCCCATTTCCAAGAATATTAACAAAAGGAAAAAGGAAAACATCACATCATTCGATAAAGAAGATCAGAGCCTAATTCCCTCGTCGAATCCAACAGTTCTCTGAGAGTCATTGGAACAAAGTCTCTCCCAGTTTTATCTCTAGCATCCACCGGCCTCATCGGTGTCGCTCTGACACTATCTCCCGCCGAGGAACAATGCGCCAGCTCCCTCATCTTGCAGGCAGCGTAATGCACGACCAGTTTGCGCAGCTCATTGTCTCGCAGCTGCGTGGCAGATGTGGGTGAGATGGGTTCGAGACGGGTAGTTTGCGCGTAGACATAATGCAACAATTTCAGGACTACCTGGGCATTGCGTGCGGCCAACCCACCGGATATACTCTGTGTCTTCCAAGTGGAATCTGTCAAGTCTGCGTCTGATAGTGGCAGAAGAAGTAGATCTCTGTGCAGCTTTTGAAGACAAAGTTGTGCTAGCGCTGGGATGAGGTAGCGCGTAGCGAAAATGTAGACTTTTGCATGGAAGGTGAGGTATGGAATGGAAGCTGTGGCATCACTAGAAGGGTAGGGGCTGTTTTGGTTGCTTTTGGATGGACTATCTGTGTACTGGAGGGCCAAAAATTCGTCCCACAGGCTCAGTCCCGGCTCACGAGGCGCCCAGTCATGCTGTTTGGCGAAGGACATGTCGATGACTGCTCTTGGGGTCATTCCTTGCTCGTCTGAGCTATTCTTGGCATTTTCTTCTTCGCTTTTGTCTGCCACGATGGAAACGGATGCCGGTGCCATGCTGTTTCCAACAGCTGTATCTATGGCTGTGGATTCCCTCGAATCGTCTCTTGCTTCTCTAGCGTCTTCTGGGGAGGTCTCACCACTATCATTCGTCCGACCCAGAGGAGGCGTTTTCGGTGGTGTCAAATGAGCAACAGGCTGGTCTTCAACCATTCCTTTGCTCGGATCTGCTTCTTTCTTCTTCTTTTCGTGTTCTGCCTGTTGTGTATATTCTGACCGAGGTATCAATTCATCCGATTCCTCCTTTGCTGCGACCTGCGGGTAATCAAGAGCGTTTTCAACGCCCTCTTTCTGCCCATGTTCCTCTATTCCCTCTCTCTTCAGAGATTCACATTCATCAGCGTTCGTATTCAGATCAGCAGCCGTCTCCTCAATCTCTTGACTAATCTCTGGTAAAGCGGATGGCGGGATGGCCGATGAAATAGAACCGGATGCAAGCGTTTCAGCACCACCATCCGCTCTATCTCTTTCTTTTGCCTTGTATCTAGATGGCACAGTGTAATCGCCTGTATATGCATACTCGCAGAATGCCACAAAGGTCTCGACATCCTCATCTTCGAGCACAGCGATGCGATCCTTCGACTCTCTCGTAAGCCCGTTCATCAGATTATGCATCGGCCTCGAGACATGCTGGGCCAGCCCTGACTGAATGGTCAGCTTGGTGTGTTTTGGCCCGACGAGGAAGGTGAAAGAGGGAGAATGAATTATTCTGCATTTTGTCCGTGAATTAGTTCCAGTAGGTATCGGGAGGAGGTCGGTCAGTACACACCGACTATAATCTCGAGGAGAGGCCATGCCGGCAAATTGCGAGTGAGGATATATTGCTTTCATTCTCAGCGTATGTAAAAAGAACTATATATTCGGAGGTGATTGGCTTCGTCACCGGTCTGCTACGTGTTCGGCGGGTTTCCATCCGATCATGCCCAACGTGCCTCACTTTAGATGATCGGCCTGATCGGTGGGAACGTATACTTCACTTTTTTTACCAGTGGATAATACTATTGTCCAGATGCAGCCTTTTCGCGTTGATTTCGGGTTCCGATGTTTAGGGCTGAAAATTTCGCAAGAATAGGGCCAGAATTTTAATAGCAATCTATAGATGATTGGATTGGAGTATGTACTTTCAAAGAACCATAATTACATACAATATACCTCACTATCGGGGGGGTGCTTCCGACAATTATGAAGTATGCACGAGCCGAATCTCCGTATTCCCCGGCTCCCATTCCCTAAGTCCCTCACCGACACTGTACCAAAACCTCAGCCTGATACACTCCCTCCTTGCCCCTTCAAGGTCGCCACCGTCAAAAGCCCTCGCCAAAGCCCCAACACAACCCAAAACCCGCACTTCATTTTCCTCCTTCAGAGCATTTATATCTGTCTCCGCTTCCGGTGACGCACCCACTTCCTCAATCGTCTCCTGCACCTCCATAACCTCCATCAGCGTCTCAGCGTCCAGCGCATGCTTTGTGGCTGCGTCCTCGGCCGTCACGTCGATGCCGTGCCATTCGCGGAGCAGATACTGTGCGCGCTGGAGCGGGTCGGCGAGTGTGCGATATGCTTCGTTGATGCGCGCTGAGAGGGCTTCGGCGTGCCGCTTTTCTGCACCCGCCGGGTACTTGTCTGGATGGATCACATTCTGAAGTTGGAGGAACTCGCGGCGGAGATCGGCTAGAGAGATTTCGAATGGTGATTTTGGAGGTGGGCCCCTGGGGATGGTCTTTGGAAAGATGGTGTAGTAGTTGGTTATATCGGGAGCGCCGGTGATTGGTACATGTTCGCCCTGGCTTGCTGCAGAGGCGGACTTTGTAGAGGCATAGCGACGGAGTATTGTACGCTGTGCCGTAGAAAAAGGCTGTGTTTGGGCAGGTTGGACGCGATATCGGCACAATACACAGGCTTCGGACTGGCTGTTCAGCTGAGAGATTGGCCGTGTGGGTATGGAGATGTGGCGAGATATCGGCTGTCGGCAGAATTGCCGCATAGCACCCTGCCGGAGAGCGACTGCCATCTTGGTCGAGGTTGAGAAGAGAAGAGAAGGGAAAGCAGAAAGAACGAACATTACATCATCCCACGTTTCCCGCACGTGACCATTGCTAGTATGCGCCTAGGATAGTGGTCTTCATATTCCTCCTAGACAATATAATCTCTTTCCTACATGCTTCGTGTTTCGCAATCTTCCACTGGTCTGACTCTTTGCTTGGTCTATGTGACCGCTACATAATAAACAACGAAAGTGGAGAAAGGCGTCAACAATAGACTATTCATTATCATCGGATCTTATTATAGAGTAGGCCAGAAAGACGACTTTCTGGAGGTTGGATAGGAAATCTTATATTTATGGAAAATGAGAAAGGTAGGTAGAGAATTAAGCATGTTTTGATTTTAAAAATCTTTTGAGCGATCAGTCAATGCCCCAGAGCTTCACCGTACGGTCATGGCCACAGCTGGCAATCCACTTGGCATCGTTACTGATATCTGTACTGAGCACATTGCCCGAGTGCCCGCTCAGCGTCTTGACTAGCGACCAGTCGTCCGCGCTGAAGATGTTCACATTCTTGTCGAACCCGCTGGTCGCAAAGAACGTGCCGGATTTCCTGGGTTGAACGGCCGACGATTGTTCAGCCGGAGCAGCGCCGTCAATCTCCATCTGGCCATTCCCATCGGCCGATGGCAGATGCGAAGCAGCCGATTCGGTGCCTTTGTACCAGCGCAGATCGGACACGACGCTCTTGTGCGCGCCAATACCTCCAATATTCCGCACTTGTCGAAGATCCCAGCATTTCACCCAGCCGTCCGCTGAGCCGGAGAGAATTCGGTAGCCATCCACGCCCCAATCCAATCCGTAGATCTCGCCGATATGGCCCTCTAGGATCATCACGGTGCGCCCCGTCCGAAGATCCCAGATCCGCCCAATGCTGTCCAGGCCACCACTTGCTAGTAAGGAGCCGTCGTTGTTGAATGATACTGCGTACACCTCTCTGGAATGACCTTCTTGTAGAAGCAATTCGGCCGTTGTTTCAACATCCCACAAGCGCCAGGTGGTGTCGAAAGATGCGGATGCCGCGTACCGTCCGGACGGATGCACATCCACACGACAAACGCGCCCAGAATGCCCAGAGAGCGTGGCGAGCGGCTTTTCTTGGTCGAGAGCCCAGAGATTCACATTACCCTCGCCGCCTCCCGAGATCAAATTCACAGACGATGGTGAGACGTTGGAGCTGGGTAGAGTCGCCCCGGGAAACCATGCCAGACCTCCGACGCGATCGGTGTGGCCCTTGAAGTTGGCTTTCTCCTCCAGGTTCGGTACGGTGAGAAGCTTGATTCCACCGGCCCAATTTCCAGCAGCAACAGTCTGCCCATCCGGCGCGAATCGGCAGATACTGACAGGCCGATCCCCTGCAATCTGAGACCCGTACAGCTCGAATCCCTGTAGCTTCTCCTTAATCGCTTTGCGGTACTTCACATGTGTTCGTAGCGAAATCGTTGAATCCTCCTTCAGTCGAGCGACACGGGCCTTGGCGCGTGGCAAAGAAAAACGAGCAATGGCCTTGCGCGCCTCCAACAATTCATCCGTGCCCAATGTGTAAAACTCCTGCTGTTCTTCCTCCTCCGGTTCCTCCTCTGCTTCTTCCATCTGTACATCATCTTCACCCGCTTGCCGTTCCGCCAGATCGGTCAATAATTCGCGCAACCGGTCTCGTCGGTCCGCAGGGCCTTCGCCGAAGAGTGTGATGGGCTCGCCGAACTCTCGTAACCGTGCGCGCACGCGGGCATCATCTGTCGGGACCACTGTAGCGGCTGCTCGCCGTTTCCGCTCGAATTGGGATAGAATGGCGGACGCGCGCTCGGCGGGGATGCCTGCTGCTGAAGCAGGGAGCTCATAGTCTTGATCGACTGGGATGTTGGCCAAGTCGATTCCCATGTCGGTGTCTTCGGCCTCCTCGATGTAGGCGTGTCTGGAGGGGTGCATCATCTTGGGCGAAGCTCAGAAGCTTGCGCTGCCCCGTCGCAGAGCAAAAGGAGTGGGAGGGTGGTGGTGGTAGTGGAAGAAGAAGAGGCGGCGGCAGAACTTGATAAGCTGCGAACTTTCTCTTCTTTATCGGCCATCCTTTATCCTCTACTTATCTATCCTGGGATAGAGCTCTCTCTTCTTTTCATCTTCTTTCACTTGCAACTCAGTATTCTTATTATTCCCGCTCTGGCCAAATCTAACTAGGGGGCATCATCGTCAATCAGAGCGAGCTCATCTTATACGGCTACTCGCGCTGGCTGTGACCTTTTGATTTTTAATCCTTCCTTCTGTCTGATCCTCCCATGCTCCCGCATTTATCATAATAGGGAGGGTGTCCACGACCGGGACTGGGCCTGCGATGCTCGCAAGCATTTCAATCCGGTGCAGGCCCGCCTGCTGCAGCCTCCAGGCCGGGGTGTTGTCGGCATCCGCCACGTCTCTCTTCCTCTCCCTAGCTCGGCCTTCCACGCTTAGCTCGAAGCCTCGCGCTGCAGCGGCTGCGCACAGAACCTTTCACTTAACAGCCAGACGTCTCTCCTCCGATGCTCCGCCCTCGTCCTCATCCCCACGACTTTCCTACCGTGTCGCTGTGTCCTCGTCCGGCAAAGGCCGCCGCTTTCACCCTCTCAAGAATGCATATAACTTCGACCCCAACGCCCCCGACGCACTAGGGGTGCTCACATTAGACAAGAGCCCCGCCAACCGACGGCGCCACCGACCAGATAGCGGCGAAGATGCCTTTTTCGTAAGCCGCATCGGGTCGCGGCATTCCGAACAACAACGGCAAGAAGGCGCGGACGCGATCGCCTTCGCCGTAGCAGACGGCGTCGGCGGCTGGACCGAGTCGCGCGTTGATCCGGCGGATTTTTCACATGGGCTATGTGCCTACATGGCGCACACAGCTATGGCATGGGATGAGCCCGCGCACAAACTGCGGCCTAAGCAGCTACTACAGGCTGGGTATGACCAAGTGGTAGCGGATCCCAGCATTCGCGCTGGTGGCAGTACTGCCTCCGTGGGCGTGGGTCTCCCTGACGGCCGTGTCGAACTGGCGAACTTAGGAGACTCGGGCTCAGTGCTGCTTCGGATGGCGGCAGTTCACCACTATTCCGTCCCGCAGACGCACGGGTTCAACACACCCTACCAGCTGAGCATCATCCCGCCGCGCATGCGCGCACAAGCCTCGGTCTTCGGGGGTGCTTTCCTGGAGGACTTCCCGCGCGACGCTGTCGTCACCAACATCCAAATGCAGCACGGCGATGTGCTACTGCTCGCCACGGACGGCGTGTTCGACAATCTCAACAACCAAGACATCCTCAAGCTGGTCACCAGCCGCATGGTTCTGACTGGAGCTTGGACAGCCACTCCAGAGCAGGGCATCAGCGTCGCAGATAACCTGAGCTCTCTAGCTGCTCCAGGCGGACTGGTGGCTGCGTTTCCTCCGCCATCTGAGTCTGCTGACTCGGCTACCCGTCCCGAAAGTGCTCTCACGCTTCAATCGCTCCTCGCAGCCAGTATAGCCGGCGAGGCCAAGATGGCCAGCGTTGACTACCGCCGTGATGGGCCTTTCGCCAAAGAGGCCCAGCGGTCCTATCCCGGGGATCATTATCGTGGCGGCAAGGTGGATGACATCTCTGTCCTGATCATCGTTGCGGTGGATGAGAGTCTGGATCCGGAAAAGAAAGATCGGTAATAATATGCCATGTCGCAAGGCTCATATATAGAAGAATTGTACTCTAAGGCTCAGGCTTGTTTGTTATTTGTTTGTTATAGAACGGCCTATTTGATAGATATTGGTGATATTTACCTTACCTAACGATTCATCACTATTCTGCTACAGACACTATACCCTAATAATATAGGAGGAGCGGTCTTAAGCGCGATTCGACCCCAGTGCGGGACTATCCAAGTCATCAACTCGTGTAGGCACAACATCAAGAAACCCGGTGCAAACCCCGTTCTGATTTTCTTTCGAGGATATTTTCGTCTGATATATGAACCTCTAATAATTATAAATTAAGCTCGAAGACGTTAGGTGAGCCTATTAAAAAAGAAGCAACGCAATGAACTTTTAGAGGAGAAAAAAAAAAGCACCGAGGGCGATTTGAACGCCCGACTTCGGACACTGCAAATCCACACGCTAACCCCTGCGTCATCGGTGCTGTGTTAAAGATTTTTGTCTCCAAAAGCCATATATCAAGAGGCAAAAAAAGACCAACAATAGCGATTGACTCCTTCCAACGCTAGCAGACTCGGGATATTTATGATTGATAGCGATTTAGTAGATAAATACAGTCAATGAAGAACAGTCTCTAAAGAAAGGTCTGCTGTCAACATCGAAGCGAAGCGAGCACAATTGCTGCATACGCCGAAGTCTGTAATGGCTGATCACGAACATCCCGACAGTAGTCGTGGGATCCGTTCTCTGGAGAGGTTCGGCTTCATTTACCGCTCCAACACGCTCTGGTTTAAGTCAGAGGACGTCTTCAAGGCTTTTGAACATTTGTTTAACCAGGCCTGCGAGCAGAACCCAATGTCCTGATCGATGCAAGCGGGTGGGACGGCCTAGCCACCCACCAGGGCGCGTTCCAGAAGCTCTTTACCAACTATTGCGAGAAGTCTTGCCGGTAACCCAGTACCCGACCCGCTTCAAGTATATGTACCTGCTACGCTAGCTAGCACCATCGAAGACACTATGCAGGGTAAGGTTCAATTTGTCTTAACTCGGTGCTTGGGTCTATAAGCGAGATACCATTTTCGCGTCTTGGGTAAAAAGCATCTCCATACTGCTGATGCCTCTTTGTATTGAGCTGGATGGTCTACATTGCCCATTTCCCCTATAATATCTTCAGGCACCTACTGGCACGGACTTAAAATAGAACACTGTACTCAGTTCACCATTCAAACAAAAAAACTTACCCGTGCTAAAACACAAACATCCATCCCTCCACTTTTGCACCATCTCTCATGGACAGACCAGACAGGAAAGTACGGGCAGACCTTCTCCTTCTTCGCGCATCCATATCTCTAACAACAGGCAATTTTTGTTCCATACCTCCCAATGACTCACTTTCTCCCTCAACACAAATCAAATAACTTATCAGAATCAAAAGAAAAGGACTAGACCACGCGTGGTTGGGACCGCCAGAGTGGATTCCGATGTGAACTTCCGCATAAAATGGCCAGAAAGATGTGAAAATGTACACACATAACCAGGAAAACCAGAGAAATAAGATTTGTTGGATACCCACCCTAAGGTCCGAGTAAGGCAATTCAGCAACAAAGGTGAAATATAAGAAAAACAACAACAACAACAAAGAACAGAATAAAAACTGGAGGGCATAAGTGTCGCAAACGTAATCAAAACAGAACGGAGCAGAGCAAGCTCTTGAAGATTCACTTATGCAGTAGCTTCGGTCTTCTCCTCAACAGGCTTGTCTTCCGTAGGCTTGGTCTCGCCCTCTGTTGGCACTGCTTTCTCCTCTGCAGGTGCTTTATCGGCACCAGCGTCAGGCATCGGGGTGTCCAGAGCATCCTCCTTGGCCAGCTTAGCCTCGGGTTCCTTCTCTTCACTCTCGATCTTGGGGGTGCTTGCGCTCTCGTCATCCTTGGGGCCACCGTTGGCCGCTAGCAGTGAATCTTTGCCGGCCGACTCCGACTGAATATCACTGTCCAACACGCTCTTCCAGCTGCTCAGAATGTCCATAGCACGGCGACGGAATTTGAATTCCTCGTCCCGGGGAATCGAGTTAAGTCTGACGATCATCTTCAAGACCTTGTTGATCTTCGTTTTCCGGATGATCGAAACCTCCAGATCGGTGTACTTTTCAAGCTTGTCGAAGAAAGTAGCAATCGTGTCCATCTCTTCTTCCGTGGGCGGCGTCTCACGCGAAATGAATGCTTTTTGGAGCTTGTGGCGAAGGATGAGAACTAAGATGGAGTTAGCCATTGCATCTCCTCAGTGGAGAGAATAACGTACCTTCCCGCTCCTTCTTCTCCATCAATTTCTCTGGGTCGATGGGTTTCTCAGGCTCCGGCGCAGGCTCCTCATCGCTGGCGGCCTTGCCCTTCTTGGGAGCGGAGGCCTTCTTGGATTTGCTCGCAGAGGCCTTCTTTTCATCTCCAGGGGCCTTCGGAGAGGTCAACTTCAGCTTAGTGCCAGTCTTGGGGGTCTTGGAGGGCTGTAAGAATGGTAGGGGATCAATGTCAGGGCAGCCGGGCGGGAGGATTTGGGGTACTCACCTTGCCCTCGCCATCCGTCTCGGCGTCCTTCTTTCGCTTCTTCGAGCTCTTCTTGTCTGCATCTTCCATGTCAACATCCGTGTCGGCACCCTTGCTCTTCCGCTTGCTCTTCTTGGCTTTCTCCGCCTTGGCCGCAGCCTTGGCAGCTTCCTGGGCCTCGCGCTCGTCGATCTCCTGCTGCAGAGCAGCCTGGTGATCAGCCAGAAGAGTCTTGAAGTATTCAAGATCGTGGCCCTCGGCGGCAATCTTGTAAGCGGCAATGAGTGGTTTGGCCTTGCCCTTCTCCGAAACGTCCTTACATTCGGCCGGGTCCAAGGGGGTCAGCTGCGTGTTGGGGATCCAGGCACTAGCGGAAAAAAGGTGTCAGTATTGAGCCCCTCGACCACGTAAAAGTGTAGTAGACACTCAAGGGGATTGCGATCACTCACAATTCGTTGGTCTCAAAAAACATTACAGGGAACGTCCGGTCATGGGTTCGCTTGCCGCCATCGACAAAATCGCCCTTGTAAGTCCCATCAGGCTGCATGGCAGTGACGGGACGAGTCTGCAGCAAGCTCTGCGGAAGCATGGCCTCGTCACAGACAATCGCAGGCCATGGCGCGTAGCTGCGCAGACGCGCCAGGTAGTACTCGCCGGGCTTCGCGTTGATGTTGGTAATTTTGCTCTGAGACTTCTTGCGACTCAGCTTGGAGTTGCTGCCCGCCACACCGCTGGAGCGGCGACGGTCCTTGGAGGACTTCTTCGCCGAGGGGGTACCGTTGGCCTGCGCGTCCGCAGCAGCAGTACTGCCCTCGCCCTTTGTGTCGGACGACCCGTCCGCCGCAGCCGGTTTCTCGGAGGGAGTCTCGGTATCCTTCTTGTCCTCGGGGGCAGGCGCTGGAACGGGAAGAGCAAGGTCAGCATTTCTGGATCGCAATCATTGGGATGGGAGCAGCTCTCCGTCCCACCGACCATGGGATGAAAGATTCGAAGCTTAGGACTCATTCTGACTTACCAGCAGGCTTGGTATCCGGCGCAGTCTCAAGCGACTTCTCGTTGGGTGTCTCGGTGGCCGGGGCGCGCTCAGGCTGCGCACCAGCCTCGGCGGTGGGCACAGCAACAGGGGTATCCTCGGCCATGATGGGAGGTAGTAAACAGCAGGAATCAATGGAAGGGAGGAATTGATGAGAAGAATGGACCAGTATCGGGATGTTGGGGGGAGGGGGTGGGAGGTGGGAGGTGGGAGGTGTAGGCGATGATGAGGTCAAGGTGGAAGAGGAAGAGCGAGAGTGTGGAGAAGGAAGAAGCGCGACGGGCGGGCAGCACGCGATGGTTGGTGGGTGACGCCACTCGGGGCCCACTTGAGCTACACTAGGTACTTCCGGTATGGCCGTTCTAGCACAAGTGTTCGAGGATGGCAGATAGTGCCTGCTTATGAGACTAATTGAAGGGATTAGTTCCTTGTCAGTAAAGGTAATCATCATGACGTGCGTGATGCCATGCCCAAGCTTCATAGTGATTAAGGTCAAGGTTAGGTAGGTTTAACCATCGGATCGTCCCATTATTCTACAAATACTCCATAATGATATGTGCCGGGCCAGAGGAAAGTGTGCACAGGAATAAAGATGGACACACACGGAGTGTTACCCATAACAAACATCCACCCAGTCAAGATGGAACGGCAGCATAGGCGGGTGTGGCCTCGTCAACGTCTCGATCCGTATCATCGTCCTCAGCAATGACCTTGCAAAACAACGGCTCCGGTTTGTGGATCCGGACCAGGCAAAGAAAGTAATCCTCCAGAGGCAACAGGCTCAATAGGATCCCATTGCACCACCACGCCAGGGCACAGACCAAAGCTCCGACAACAGCGTCAAGGATGAAATGATTGGCGGTCGCCACAATGGCTACTAAGATGATGAATGGATAGAGAAGACAGAGTACAAGACAGAGAAGACGACGCCATGAGGGAATAGGCAGTCCAATGATGCGGGCCAGGCGAGTTCGCACGATGGAACGCTGGTGAGGTGGTGAGAGAGGAATCGTCATGATGGAGAATCCGATCACCAGGGAGTATCCGAAGTGCAAGGACGGCATCGCAGCTGTAGAATCTGAGTCAGAATCTGCTTCTAGTGAACCTATCAGACAACCTCACCGTATTGGTTGCAAAACCGGTTCGCCGTCCACACACTGCCCATGCCATTGGCGCCATGGACCGTGTCAACGAAGCCATAACTCCGAGCCAGCTCTCCTTCCGCGCCCTCCACGGCTGGATCACTCAGCAGACGGGGTGGCATGCATGGCCACAGCGTGAACATTACAAATGCGAGTAGGTTGCACACGGCCAGCGTTCGTCGTCGTTCTTGATACAGGAGCGGCCCGGCTGGCGGTCCGCTGATAATGCCAGAAGGCTTCCCCGGTTGAGAATCATCGACGCAGGTGCCTGTGGTGGTGTAGTAATAGAGCCAGACGAGGAAGGCGATTGTCCCTGGGATGTGAATGAAGGAGTAGATCCAGTTGAGGCCCACCATCAAATGAGCATGGCGGAGAAAGTGCGTCTGAATTCTAACCTCCCAGAACATGCCGAGACTTTCCTCGATCTTTATCAGCTGAAACGTATGCCCTCTCGCGACAACGACGGTGCTTTTTTGGAGAGTGAGAGCGGTAAATGCGCGGCCTATTTGGTATGTCTGCAAACATGTGAGCCTCTGGTTAACGTGCAAGGAAGCCTTTCGGCATACCCAGTATACCAGGGCCCAGTACCAGCATTCCACCAAGAAGGGAAACCTCCAAAGCACCCGGCTGAGCAATCGGTCACGGAAAATGGCCGTGTTGGGAGTCGTCACTTCGCAGGTCATGCCCAGCATCGCGATCCTTCGCTGGCGCCATCCTTCGCCTGCGTCTCCAGACAGTGGAGATCGAGATCGAAAGCCCAACAGCGCATCTTTCGAAGTCGGGCTGGAACTTCCAGATTCAAGGAAATCTTCCGACACCGAACTGATAGAGTTTCGTCGAGAAGGTAAATACTCGATAACGCGGTTGATCCAGGTGCCTCCGAAGAGAAGGACGAAAACCACCAAGGGCTCCACGATTGCACCAACCCCCATGGTGGGTTCTAGAAGAAATGAGATGGTGATTGGCAGGGATTTCAAGGAGAACTCATGATAATGAGCAAAGTATGTGGGAGTAATAATGCGGAGAGAGAATTTTGAATGGCAACAAAATATGTCCGGCTCGGCGAAGGTGCCCTACTCGGAGGTTGTGCTGCGCAAGGCAGGAGCTAGTGAGGCCGGTAGTGTTTGCTTCAACAATAATTAATTCATCATGAACGAGACAAGTAAACGTCAAAATCTTTGATCTTTATTATCTCCTGTGGTATGCTTGATGGTCGTTCCATTCCTGATCCCTCATGAGAGGCCTGCCATCCAACCGTGTCATACGATCAACGGTTGTAGCATCCTTCAAAAAGGCCAGATTAAATATTCTTCTAGTCAGATTAAAATCTCGAATAGTGATCATTACAGAATCCAATGCCCTTAGCATAAAGATTGCGCAGAAACTGCTGAGGCAAGATATTCGATTTAAGAGGCTGGCCAGCTCTTCGCCGAGCTTCTGAGATTTATATAGGGCAAGGTTCAATTCACAAGGCGTACCTTGAGTGACCGGTTCAAAATGAGGTTTATATTACACCCTATGATTCGTTGCATTCTTTCCTCTCGTCACACCGTTTCTAGAAGTTTGTACGTCGCCCTGTCTTGTAACTGAATTGGCCATCCAAGGCAACTAGGATTTTCCATAGTAATGTTTGGGGTCCTGCATCCTTAATCAGTTGATGAAGTATACTTGACGTCAGCCTCTGCAAAAATTCGGGGGCATGGAGATATTTAAACGCGGTCTGCTGTTTTTTAGCTCTTCAATTGACTCCTCTATTACCATATCTCAATCATGCCCCTTACAAAGATTCGTCTTGGATCTGTCTACCAGCAGGCCATCCCTAGCGGGGTCAGAAGGCTATCGACCACAGTGCCTTTACGGCAAGGAATGACCCTATTACAGGACAAAGAGAATGGCTTTGGGTTTGCAAGGTCTAATCCAAGACCAGTCAAACCGAGAAGCAAGGGCGTGACAGAGATCCGGGGCCCGTACTATACAGTCTGTATTGATTATCCTCATTCTCCCCATGATTCAGAAACTGATAATAGTCAAGGTCATGGGGAAGCGATATCTCGCAGATGTTCTCGAAACGTAATGTTCTTCATGATGAGCAGGTATAACAGCATCTGATTGAGACGTATAGGATGGGCAACCATGTGGACGGCCTCAAGTTTGCTGGAGGTTGGTACGGTGCACACTTGGAAGACAGCGAGTACTCACCCGAAGACCAGGTTCATTCTCCTTGTTCCCAGAGAAGCCTTTGCGCGAATTAATTGATCTCGCCCACGACCATAGTGTCTATGTTTCGACCGTATATATGCCACTTGCCCCCAGGCTAGCATTGACTAGATGCTGATAGATTCATAGGGAGGCTGGGCTGAGCATCTGCTCACTCACCCTGATGCGAGTACCGTGTTTGACCGCTACCTAAGTAAGTGCAAGGACCTAGGGTTCGATGTCATCGAGTGCTCCTCTGGATTCCTGTCGATACCCGAGGATGACTGGCTTCGACTAGTCGACAAAGTCCATTCGTACAAGCTCGAGCCCAAGCCGGAACTGGGTATCCAGTTCGGGGCTGGGGGAGATACCTCAACCTCAGGCCTGGAAGCCATCGGAACCTCTGATCCTGGAAAGCTAGTCAATCTGGGCCACAGGTTCCTCGATGCCGGCGTGAAGCGGTTGATGATCGAGTCGGAGGGCATTACGGAGAATGTGAGCTCATGGCGGACGGACGTGGTGTCGAAGATCATGAAGGAGCTGCCTCCGGAGCGGGTCATGTTCGAAGCGGCGGACCCCAAAGTGTACGACTGGTACATCCGCGAGTTTGGCATCGACGTGAACCTGTTCGTGGACCATAGCCAGATTGTGCAGTTGACAGGCCTCCGGTCGGGGATCTGGGGCACCGCAGATACGTTTGCCAAGGTGGTCTCGTTCCGCTAGGTAGAATTAGAGTCAGAAAACGCAAATGTAGTTATGTCGGTTTTTAGATAACTACGCACGATCTGCTTAATCATCCCCGGTATATGCCTTTCGTCATTTCCCCACAAAACATCTCTCGGCATGCGCTGACTTCGTTTCCGCAATCCTCCGCCGGTCGGTCTGGCTTCAACCTCCAGAAAATCTCCAATGATACGCTGACGCCCTCCGACCCGTTGAGAGTGAATCACTCCAGTCTCCGCAGAGCCCCTCGCTACCGGGATGCCGCGAGCGAGCACTGCGCCAGGAGCGCGGCTTCGGTGTCGACGCGCCTGCGACAGCTGTAAACGGCGGAAACAAAAATGCAACGGCGAGTGCCCCTGTACAATATGCATCCAACGACACAAGGAGGCGGAATGTCACTTCTCCGAAATACCCGCGCGTTTACTCAAGCCCGGCGGCGGCGACAGTAAGGACTCGACAATGCTGCTCAGTGAACGGATAGTGCCTTCGCCGCAGAGAGAAACGGCTATGGATCGCCTGTTAAACTCGCTCGAGGACCGCGGAATGAACTTGGAGCAGCAGGTCAGAGACGAGAAGGAAGGAACCGCACCAGTGCCCAAGGTCGCACGACTCCTGCGTGATGGTCAGGGCAAGTTCATGTATATTGGCGACTCCGCCAGTCTGTCCTTCCTACAAAGTGTGCGTCGGGTCGTTTCTTCGTCAATTGGCCGTTGTGAATTCACCGAGGATAACTCCCGACACTCCATGCTCGAGGCCTACCAAAATAACCCAAGCACCCAACCCAGTGCCCTCATTGACCCTCCCACAAATGACGAAGCTCAGCGGCTAGCCGGCCAGTACGTACTCGCCACAAGCCCTCTACTAGATTTGTTCGACCTAGAAGAGTTCTATCCACGTTTGGCGAACTGGGTTGCAAACCCATCTGGTGATGAAGATACGGTGAGCTCCATTTTCTACCTGGTTCTCGCCATCGGAGCGCAGGTTTCCGATATCAACCAAACATTAGCGGAGCAATACTTTGGCAGCGGCCGCCAACTGGCGTTCTCCGCATTTCAAGAAACACCCAGCATCCACACTATTCAATCGTACATCCTAGTGTCCATGTATATGCTTGGCGCGTGTAGACGCAACGGCGCATTCATGAACTTGGGTATCGCCCTCCGCGCCGCTTACGCCGTTGGGATTCACCGCAAAGATGCGAATGCGCTGTTCTGTGGCCGCGAACGACGAGCACGAGAGCGAGTGTGGAAAAGTCTGCGCATGATGGACCTATTCCTCAGCGCTTCCTTGGGCCGACCTCCAGCGACATCGGATTATGACTATGATATTCGCGACGATCTACTTGCTACTGGAGATCAACACCGAAACATGGGCCCAGAGCAACAGATATCTCTTGCGGTGACCTCACTGTGCCGAATCTTCGAACGGATCCTTACGGACGTGTATATGAAGCAAGTGATATCAATCACTGTCGCAGAAACAATATCCAATCAACATCGGGCTTGGGTTCGGACATTACCTGCAGTCCTCAAGATGCAAACAGAACAGCTCGACCACAAAACTATGGAAGGAAGCTTAGCCGCTGCCCATGTTTTTGGATCATACTATTGGTCGATCATTCTACTGACGCGGCCATTCTTGATCTACCGTGTGGCTCAATATGTCAAGAGCAAATCCGACCCGTCCAGCTCTTCGGACTCTCGAAGCGGCAACTCTCGTATTGCCCTTTTCGCAGATGCGTGCGTCTACTCCGCTCTCCGTGGCCTCGACGTGGTGGAGAACCTCAGTCAATTCCCGGCTTTGCCTCGCCGATTGCCATTCCTGATCAATTCGGTCTTCAACTCAGCCATTGTACTCGGGGCCGCTTTCTTTGCCGATTACGATAATCTCTTGCCTCTCGCAGAGGGCATGAGCAAGGCAGAACATTTCCTTGGTCACTTTGTTCCTCACGACCCACATGCATACCGTTTCTACCAGATCATCAAGTATCTGAGTGGTGCTGTAGCGGAGTACGTCCAACGCCGCAATCGCCAATGGATGGAGCGCCGCAGCAGACAGGTCGACCAATTGTTCGGACAAGTTGGAAACGACAATCGGACTTCTACTTCTGGTCGTGAAACCCCTCCACTCAGCCAGCAACCTGAGCCACAGCAGCAACAACCGCCAACTGTACCTTCTCCAGCGTCTCCGGCTAAACCCCCCGGCGAAACCCCGCCTTCTTTCCTCGCCAACAACCAAGCAACACCACAAGTCCCTCCACTCGGAAACGATGTTTGGGGTACCCTGTACAATGGTGCAGATGCAACGGCTCTTTCTTATGATGCCGCCATCTCTGCGCTAACCACCTCCGGAATCCCAGTCGACTGCTCTCCTGGTGGAACAATTCCCCCCGGCGCAGGACAACTCCCTAACTCCGGTGGCCCGTCTCCGCTGTCTGATATGATCTTCCCTGAAAACGGTCTGCTCTACATGGCGGAAGATCTACCAATGTTTGGAATTTGGGAGGATACTTGAAGCATAAGATGACGTGTTAATCACACTCTTCTTGCGCACCTACAACTGCAAGCATCCGCCGCGCGGAACTAGGATCAAACGAACAGATGTATCTTGAACACCACCAACACCTGCTAGACAGATACTCAAAATGCGCAACTTTCGCCCTCAAAGTTTCGTGGTCTGAGCTAGAACCTAAATTTGAAGAAGATATCGATTTCTGGCCAAGTGAATTCAACGGTCAAGTCAAAATGGCCCCTTTGATCACAGTCCACTCTCGTGAGAGGGTTACTATCGAGAAGTGGGGTTCACAGCCTACGTCTACCAGAAGCTGTACTGCTTCTGGTTGTTCACAGAAGATCAAGGTTGTCAAGTCCAGCGCCAAATTGTCCTAGAAGAAAACGACGCTCAAATTACGAGTTTTGAGACGTCTTTCTTTGAGGTCAGCAAGCGGACGGAGACCGACTTCGCCCTTTCACACAGCGATATAGAGCAGATCGCAACTCAAGTATGGACTTTTCAGTTCGAGCAAAGGTTAGTGGCTGGTGAATAAACTGGCCACCCTAGGCGGGGCATACTAGTCGGGTGTCCGTGGTAAAACCTGGGAGGTATTATGACTCGAAACTTTGTACATATTTGCTATTATATAACGAGTGAAGATGCTGCAAAAACATAGGCCATAGTACACTTGTCTAATAGATACGATGTGCGATTAGCTAACATGATCCCTTTGACCCTTTATACAAGGGGTCTCTACTTTATGCACTAACTCCCTGCCAGATCTGAACATCTTCAACAGACTTCTTGTTTACATCCCAAGCTGAGAATATCCGGACCGACACACCGTCCTTACTCCTCCAGGTAGTTAGTTAACCCTACTTCTTCAAAACGTGGCGGTCCTCGGTTCTACACATTTGTTCACTTCCCTTACAACCCATTCCAGGGTGTCGACATTAGACATGCCCAGTTGCACAAAATCACCCTCGATTCAACGACCTATCACTATGTACCATTCACACATCATCCGACAGATAGCTAATTATAGAGGGCAAGACAGAATCGAAAGGAAAAAGAATTATGTATGGAACAGCTAGCACAGAAAAACATGAACATCAGACATCAAAAGCAGACCATCCAAGCAAGACAAACGAAATGGGGATGGCGGAAGAGCGGTGGGACAGGGACACCAGGACACTCTAAGAGAGGAAAGATGAAAATGTCCATCAACGGGATTATATGACGCAGACAGAAAAGGGAAAGGGTAAAAGAAAAGCAAGATACGAGAGACAAGACATCTTCATATTGTGTGTTCGTGGAACATACACATACATACAAAAATTGACGATGGCTCGCTAAACGGGGGCTGGGCTGGGCTGGCTTTTGCAATGATAACGAGGCTCGTGGCACTGCTAGATGCGCGCTGCGTGAGATGAATGGGGATGGGGTAGGGTAGGTGTTGCATGATTGATATATACGCAAAAGACAATTTCAAGAGCGCGAAGCTGGGAAAGGCAGGCAGGTTGCGATATGTAAAGATCTGATCTCCGAGGCTATCAGAAGAAACAAAGACAAAGTAAGAAGGGAAATATGCCCAATCGCCCTAGAAAATCACCGAAGGTAGTTATAGCTAGAGGACAAGAGAAACTTTAATCGAATCCGAACGGATTGTGCGGAGCTGTATCTCAATTAGTTATTGAGGTTGGTAAAATGGCTGAAAAACAACTTACTAGCATGAGAAAGGTTGGCTCTAAGTCCTGTTGGCTGTGGCGCGAGTTTCTTGGGCGCGTCTGGCTTAACACCAAAGCGAATCGAAGGCGCGGGTCCTGTTTTCTGCGGCGACAGGGGCGTGGCAGTTGGTTGTTGAGGAATGGGCGGGATCGGAGGTGCAGGCATCTGGTAAGATGTGTTTCCGAACCCATTCGCGCCGGTGGGCTGCGGCTGCAATGCTGGTGGTAACATAGAGTTGATTCCTGTCTGCATCGGCTGCTGTGGCTGCGCATATCCGCCAAAGCCAGTCGGCTGCGGTGCCATCCCTTGGAATCCCGGCTGGTTGAGGCCTGGCTGGCCATTTGCAAAGGGCCCTTGCTGTTGCTGTTGGATCCCAAACTGTGACTGAGGTTGGAAGCCCGTGGGTTGGGGCATCATCCCATTCTGGAACTGGTTGAAACCAGTTGGTTGCGGCTGCATTTGAGGTTGGAAGCGTTGCTGATTCAGCTCGTTCATACTCTGGCCAGGAGGAGCGATTGGTGGGCCCGTCTGCGGAAAGCCGGTCAGTTGAGGTTGCAATGGAGGTGGACCGAAAGAGGTGGGTTGTTGTGAGAAATTCTGCGGTGCCGAGAGCGGGCGCTGCGGAGGAGGGAGGAGCGAATTTTGACCCACGTTCTGCGGAGGCTGTGGGCGCTGTCTTGGCTGCGACTGCTGAAACCCGGTCTGCTGAGGGCTGAAGCCCTGTTGCGGCTGTTGTCCGATCTGTGCCACTTGGGAGAAGAAATTGGGAGTGGCACCCGTAGGCTGTTGGGGCTGTGCTGTCATCGGGGACTGTACAGCCGTTTGTTGAGGCTGCAGAGCAGGGATGCTGATAGTAGGTTGAGATGTACCTGTTGGTTGAGCTTGAGTTGGCTGCAAAGGAGCCTGGAGCAAGGACAGGTCTGCCATGGCTCCCGTGATCTGCTTCTGGGCCGGAGCTTGGGCCGTGGCAGGTGGTGTACTAGACGGCGGTGTTGATGTAGACGGTGCAGCGGCAGTCTTTCTTGGTTGTTTCACTTCCCATGCATCGTCATCAAATCCAGTCTTAACGGGCTTGTCAGGCACCGCAGGAGCAGCTGGGCTGGGAACTCGCTCTGGGGATTTGGAAGAAGCAGCTTTGGGCTCGTCTGCGACTTCGAACGCCTTGGCATCAACAACATCACCAGCTTGTACCGCCGGGGCCGGTCTGCCTTTGCGGGTGTTGTTGCGTAACGTGCCACCAGCTCCAGCAAACAACCCACCGCCATCTCCGTCGATGACTTCTTCGCCGCCGAAGCTGACATTTCGCAGCTTGGCCTTGCTACCTGTACGGATGAGCGTGGCATCCAGATGGCGCATTACTCGCAAGATATCGCCTTCTTTCAAGCCCAGAGAGCGGAGAGTGTCGGCGGTAATGTCGGGCAGCACAGCTTCATCCATCGAGTCCTTGAGGAAGTTCTGCGCATAGCGCTCGCATTGATGCGGGTTGACACCGGCCTTGAGGAAGAAATCGAACCAATCGTAATCGGATCGCTGCACTGAAGCACCAGCTTTTGAGGAGGCTCGAGCTCGGATGCTCGACAAGGGTTTGTCTTCATCCAGCGAGATTCCGGCCACCTTTTCCACATATTCCAGGTCCTCGACACACATCTTGGTGACTGGGACGGCGATTTTGATGCCATTCACCTTATGAAGATGAATCTTCCCGTCTTGAATGCCAATGAACTGCGCTTCCACCGTGAATTCTTTGGTTCGGTCCGTCCATTTCCTCACTTTACTCGAGTCGGGCTCTAGAGTCTTGTTAGACTCTGAATTTTGTGTGGCAAAAAGGGGCCAACTTACTTGACTTGGTTTTGCTGTCGCGCTTCTGACGCTGTAAATGATAGCGACTCTTCAGCATCGGTGTATCAGGCGTATGGGCGTGAATTCTCACCTCTGAGGAATCAATCGAGTCCTTTCTTGGCTTCACGGCTTCTTTGGCCAGCCGGGCTTCCTCCTTGCGGTTCTTCGCGATCGTCGACTTCGCAGATTCCGCGGGGGGTGGTGGCTCTTCGGTCGCGAAACCTGTGATCTCGACAAAGCTGCTGGGAACAACGCCTTCCTTGCCGTTCTTCATCCGTCGCACCATCCACCACTCCTCGGACTTGTGTTCATCCAAAATGACAACCTCGTCACCGGTAGCCACGGTCACCTCGTCATCGCCCTGAGCCATGAAATCATACAGCATCTGACCCTTCTTCTGGCCACCGCCTCCTTGTTCGCCTGCTTCAATTATCTCCCGTAGCCCTTCTGCGCGGTAAGCACCTGCAATCTCACCCAGCGCGGCGACAATCTCTTGGGCAGTGTCTTTGGCTCCCGCATGGAAATCGATGCTTTTGCTTGGTCGAACCAAGTCCACAAAGACATGTTTTCCTTCAATCGAATAATGAGTCAGTTTCTCAGCAGTCCACTCCTGCTGGTGGTCATCTCCTTCTGGGGAAATGAAGATGATCCCAGTAACCATATTGATCCCCAATGTGGTAGGCATCTTCTTCCTCTTGCCCATTACCTCTACCATCTCATTGACGTTGTACATATGGTATCCGGATGGTGAACGCGGCGTCATCGCAGAGGCTTTGTTGTAGGGAGGGGACTCTTTCAGTCCTCCTTCGCGGCCCGCTCCAGGAGCGGGTGGCCGGCGGGGGTGCGGAGAGGACTGGGGTGACTCTTGGTGCATGATTGGAGTAACCTGCTGCGACGGCGGTCGCCGTGGAAGGGCAGGCCCCGGTTCCTCTTCTTCCTGGTCGTACGAGGGCCGGACGGGAAGGTGAGGCGGGGGCGACTCGTCCCTGGTGGACTCGGCAGGCATCCCAGCTGGAGCGTGCTGCTTGTGTATGATGTCCGCAATAGCAGCGGCTGCGGGGTTATGAACGGTGTCAATCGGAGACGCCGCGGGACTTTCATATTCGTCCGTGCTAGGCTTGGAGGGCCGCTGCGGGAGAGCTGGCGCCGGGGGCTCTTCTGGGATGGGAGGTGATGCAACGGCGGTACCAGCAGCGGGAGCCATATCCTCGGTGATTTCGATATAATTCGAGGGCGCAAATCCAAAGTCGGAGTTGGCGCCGACCAACGTCCAATCCGGATCGGAGGTGTCGTACACCATCAACTCCGCATCTTCGGTGAAGGAGACTTCCTCGTCCGTCTGTCGCGTGTAATCGAAGAGTGCTTTTGCCCTGTGTGTGGGTTGCGCCTATGGAGATCATCCATCGTCATCAGCCAACTCAATGTTTTTGTGGTCGGGGCCATCCAATGCGCCGAGTCAAACCCTGGAGAAGTGTATCACAGCTCCAGCGTCCTCATACATGCACACTAGGGTATGATCTTACCTCTTCCACATAATTGTTTGGAACGAGACCCTCGGGTTCGTCCTCATCCTCCCGCTCTGCCTTCTTCTTGGCCTTCCACCAATCATCCTCTGCGCTCTTCTCCAAAATATAGAGCAGATCACCTTCCCGAATCTCGAGTTCGCCCGCTCCCTGGGGCTCGTAGTCGTAGAGAGCCGAGTAGACGCCGAGGAATCCCATGGCGGAAAGGGATCGGGGTCTCCGAATCTCACAAGGCCCGCACCTGCTACCAATACCTGCTACCAACAACAATAAAAACTCCGGCCCGCACTAAGCGGCAGCACCAGGGGAGTGTGCAGCTCCGGGTTACGGTGAATTGTGATTGTGGTGCTGTCTCCGCGAGGTTGGGTGGTTGGTGACGCTGGCCGTTACGCGATCAGCGCTTGGCAGGATCCGGCTGGGGTGCGCGGACGAATGGGTAGAGGCAAAGAAGGGAAGTCAAGAAAGGGGAACGAAGAACGAATGCGTAGGAGAGAAGAAGAAGCGACAACGCCAGACGCAGGACTCGAGACGGGGGAAGAGTGAGTGAGAGAGAGTGTGAGCGAGAGTGCGTGAGTTGCAGTTGGATCAGGGAGGGCGGGAAGGTGGGCCGGTCGCTGGCTGGCTCGAGGGGAGGGTCACGTTCTCTTCACCATGTACTTGCAGCAACGCACCAACTGGGACTGACTGGACCGTAATTACTATGGCTACAGCTGCAATGCCTAGGGACTCGTTTTCCTCCCTCATCGGCTCTCTGCAGTGCTGTCTGGAGTGTCTCTCCGATGCCGGCATCCCCAACCGGGTCCGACTGGGGCAACGCGGACCGTGACGTCTTCGGGCATGAAGCTAACCGGCGGTACCTGACATGGATGGATCAAACATAAATACATGAGAATCATCTACTATACAACGAACCACCTCACAGCTCGTCTTTGAAAATCTCTTTACTGCCCTCTTCCTGGTCCTCCGTCTGGCCTTGATCCAACGGCTGTGGACGCTCCGAATTGGTCTCCGGCGTCCGGGGCTCGTCCTGGGCTGGTTTCTGAGCAGGCTTATCCCCGTCTTCTTCCCCCTGGCTGTCCTGGTCTTCCTTCTTGTCAACAAACACGCGGTATTGAATATCCCCGTTGACCTCGACCGCCTCCAGCGTCCAGTCTCGCCCTTTGGCAATCTGCTCGACCCGCTGCTTCATGTTCTCGAGTCCGTCCTGGTCGAGATCATACTTTTTCAAGTCCTGCTTGGAGAGCCACCACTCCTCGCCATCCTGGCGCTTCCCAATCAGCTCGACCCGCTCCTCGCCGGCCGAGGCCACGCGTCCCTTCTCAATCTCCTTACCCGCCATCCCTACTAGCTTCTGGCCGCCGACTTCGATCCCGCCTACGGTCTGGATGCCAGATAAATCGGCGGCGGCTTCGGCGGCGGCGGCAGCTAGACCCTGGGCAGTATACCAGCCTTTCGCAGCCGCCCATTCTTCAACCTCATCGGGCATAAGAATCTCACGGCATTCGATGTTGTGTACCTCGTCCTGCTGGGGGGTAGGAACGCAACGTCGTCACAGAGACGCGGTGTGTAGATGACCATCAGATACGAGCAAGTAGTAAGCTCCTTGATCCAGCCGATTTGGTCTGTTCCCTGAGGATGGCAGTGGAACTGTACCTCGACTCGGCGATCGCGCCCAGTCAAGTCGCATTTGGTTCCGCCACGAAGGTGCTGGACCAGATACCGTGATCCTCCCTTGGTGTGCAGCTCCGCCACGTCGGGTTTGGCCGGCTTGTGTTCTGTCTCTCCATCCATCTCCGCGTCGTCGCTGGGGAACCTCCCCAGGATAAAGGAGAGCGCGTTTGTATCCTCAACCGGTGGATAGGGTGGTGTCCCACGCCCGGCAGGGAGAGCATGGAATTGCTTGATTTGTTTGCGATAGCAAAAGGAATAGGACCACCACCCGGAGAAGTAATACAGGCATCTGCCTTCCATCTCACGGAGGAGTTCGAGACCGCGGTCGGTCGCCCGAGCCAGTTCTTTCTGTTCTTCGGCTTTGGTGTCGCCTTGTGCGGCAGCCGTCGCGTTCGGGTCGTCCTGCTTGACATGGGGGATTTGGCAGAGTAGGCGCCGGTCGTCGAGAATCATTTCTTCGTAGGTGTACATCGGTCTATCCCGCTCGTCTGTTCTCTCCGGGTTGGCGGCGTCCTTGCCCAGATAGACCTGCGGGTTTTGGGTGGACGGGTTGCCGCCAGATAGGTCGTATTCGTCCTGCCACTGCAGTAGTTCTTCGGCCTGGTCATCGAGGATGTACTCGCGTGGGAAAATCACTTCGTACTGGAAGATATCAGCATCAGTTGAGGCCGACACAGGTCATCAAGCGCACCTGAGGAAAGGCCAGCAGGTCATCATTGATGCTGAACGCCCGCTTAGCTGCCCATGTGCCAGACGCGGCGCATACCAGGACGAGCCAGGGACTCAGCCGTGGTATTGATCGCTGCATGGTATGGATTCTCATCGTCGGATGGTCGGGTGGATGGGGAGAACGCGACTGGGTCTGCTGAGAAGAGCTTCCCCCGCGGAGGGTGTGGTCAATCGCAGCTTGGAGTCGAGGGGCGCAGGAGGTTAATGTGCCATCAGAAGAGAGAGGAGGAGGAGGGTAGAAAGAGGTCAATCGGCAAAGTCAAGCATTCTCCGAGAGGAGACGTTGGGGGTGGTCTGGCGCGAGAGGGCCAGCTGGGCAGGAGAGTTCGGGGGATCCGCTCCGTGGCCTTATCAGATGTCTAACGTGTTTCGCGATCGCTATATCCTGTCACTCTTGGCAGCTTCCACAACCTTCAAATTTTACATCTTGTCTACGAAGCGGTCACCGGCTAGGGCTTTGCGACCTCGGATTATGTGGGAATCAAGGGAATGAATAGCCGAGATAGAGATCTTGGTATAGTTAAGGGAGAGACATCTCGAAGCTATCCCTATGATGGCACAACCCAAGGACCAAACCTGCAAGGCTTCAGTGGAAGTTATCCTGTTGAAAATGAGCGCTCTTGCCATTCCACGGCTTAGCCTTCTTGCAACTGGCGTTGAGAAGGCTCTTCACCTGCGGCCACTGGGCCTCGGGGATATTGCTGCAATCCACTCTCACAAAGTCGCGCCCGGAGTCATTGTCGTCTTCATCGAAAACAGTCTTGCAGGCGTCGTATTTCGTAACAAGGTCTGTCGCCATGCTCTTGCCGTCGGAGTAGTGGACTGGCTCACAAACGTACTCGACGTGACCGTCCTTCTTTTTTTCGTCCCTGACATCAGCGATGAACCGGCCCCCCAGTCCTCGTACGGCCGCGTGGTAAGGACGCGAATCCAGGGACTTGTCCGCGGGAAAACACGCGTCCTTCTCATACTTCACAGCTTGTCCCATGATCGTATCCGTGCAGATGAGCTTGCTCATCGCCACCGGACCATCGCACCACTTGAGAGCATCTTTGCAAATGCCTTTGGCTTTAGGAGTGTTGTTGCACTCATTCTCCCAGTCCGTACATTGCCTTGCGGCGCAAGACTTCTCTTCGCTGTCTGTACAATCTCTCTCACAGTAGGAGCCGGGCGCGTAACCGTCGGCCTCCAGATGAGTTCTCGTGTAGCCAGAGGAACACTGTGCGCTACCAGTACTGTAGAAAGCAATACACTTGTCTCCGTCGCATGAAATGTCGTCGTCCCTCTTAACGAGATGGGCTGCAGAAACGCTGGCGATAAAAGCGCTGTACGCGACCAAAGCAACAAGGGGACGGAGTATCATCGTGCTGTGGATCGATTAGAGCTCTAAATTTTAAAACAACGTTTCAAAAGCTGCGGTTTCAAGCGACGTACCTTGAAGATTGGAGATTGGTATCGTCTGAATATGTTGCAAGTAAACGAGGCTGATCGAAGGAAGCACACGAGGGGAACGAGAAGGCCTTCTTATATGCGCTGAGAACCATACAAAGGCTTTGCAACGAGCTAATCCTCTTATTGCTTGTCATTCCTTTCTTAGAGGGAAATATCGACCCTGCAAGGGCTACATGCCCATAGATTGGTGTTGGATGCCCATCTCAGTCTAGTTGATTCTGACAGCTGCCACCATCACGATGTCGATGTGGAAGCCACCACTCAAGGGGCTGCTGTAAAGAATTTGTCCTACTCTTACTACATTCTTGTGGCGTTCAATAGAATTGAGAATGTGAATGAAGGTTTGCTATGCGAGCTGCTCAAATATGTGCAGGTTGGTTACCCAAAATGGATATCAAGTAACAACAGCCGACTGAATTCATTCTGTTTTTCCATTCTTCCTATAACGGCCTATAACGGGCCCGAGCCGCTGTCTGGTCACGTGTTGGCACGTGCCCGGCGCCCATCTGTACCTCGATTGTGGGTAGGGCAGCCAAAGAACCCTCCACACAGGTACTTTTAAAGTTCGGTCCCAAATGGGTCTGCATCATCTGATGTGCCCAAGAACAGCTATATGCTTTCGAGGCGTCGGACCCAGGCATCTTTAGACCCAACGTCCCACCGCGGTGTTCCAAGGAGTTCTCCACATATGATGCGTTCATCCTACGGCTCCCATAGTTATCGATACTCTACTGGTCGTAGTGGCGATCCTAGCTACCTTATTTTCTATATAATAATAGGGATAAGAGGAGTGATCACGAGAACATGGTACCAATCAGGCAATATGATGTCATTCGACTGGTGGTAGGTCAACTATATATAGAGGGCTCTTGGGGCAAAGTCTGCTCCCGAAGTTAGTCCTCCAAGAAAGATCACCAAATATCCTCGAACAACTCGAATCGATTTATTAGAAACACTTATATTCCACGATGTCCGACTTCTTCCGCAGAGCATCGGACGCGCTCCATCATCGCAAAGACTCAACCGACTCAACGGACGCACCCAAGACCCTCGACGCAAAAGAGCCTCTTGAGCACGGGCAGTCCGAGCCTGCTCAGCCTGAGGCTCACGTCAACGAGACTTTTACTGATACAGCGGCTGGTACAATCTCACTTTCCCTCGTCTGGATATCTGCGTCTGGTATGTACTAACAAGATCATACAGATGATAAAACCCGTCCGAAGCAACGCCGCCATTGGGTCTGGGGACATCACGAGGGAAACAAACCCGAAACAAAGCAGCAACCTAGCCAGCCCGAGGCGCAAAAGGACAATACTGACTGGGTTGTTGGTTCGTAGAAATGTAATCGTGCTCGACAGAATGGCCGAGGAGCTAGCGTCGGGTTTGAAGGAGGCTAGCAGTGACTGGGATACGACGAATGTGAGATTTTGAAATAATTTGGGACTTTTCGAATTCAGTTATACCCGCCGTTTACTGTCTAAATATCATTTTGTTATCTTTCCAACCTTTGAAGCTATTTACAGCTCCCCCGTCTTTCGTATAGTATAATGTGGCTGGCCGTCATCCCCCTTTACCCAACCACGGTCTGCTGCTCCACCAATTTTCCTACTCCCTAGTTTAGTCTTAGCGAGCCTATTCTTCCCGCTTCTGTTTAGTCTCCAGCACCACATTAGGGTATTGAGTCCCTAACAGTGAGAATGTGACCCGCTAGTTTTATCTCCGTGCAACAATTTCTTCCATCAACAAAGGACTGGCGTCATTGATGTCACCCTTATTGAACCTGGTAGTCGCCTTGTACCTGGATGGCAAATGCACAGTTGGGCCTCTCAGTACCCATGCCAATCTCTCAACATCCGGTGGTAGTATGTCTAGTTATTTATACCGCTTTTCCGAATGTATTACCAATAATGACTGTCAGCTAGTGAAGTGATCGCCTACACTTGTTAGCCATGGATTTAATCTGAGATTATAACCAACTAACATCCTGGCTCAGTTCATCGTATACCTTCCGTCTAGCAACAACCAATGCCCTCCAATTTAGCGACGAAGTATCTCCTAGGCCATGTTGTGTTCCTAGGAATATAACTCTACCTATCAACCCCTTAATCTATAACTGTAGCCTTGGAACACTGCAAAAGTAGGGGTAATCAGATGAAACTGCTTGAAGATCCACATTCGAGTTCGGTAACCGCGCGAGCCAGTCATCTATGCTCAAGATACGTCTACCTATAATTACTTGTCGGCACTGGCGCACCTATCAAAAGTCTCTATGAGTGTTCAATCTCATTCATGTCTTTGCACTAGTGTCAGGAATTTAACTACGGGGAGAATATGCCTTGCCGCCGGGGAATACTGCCCAACGCAACTAGAACTGTGGACAAGGAGAGATAACCGGAATGGGGCCTCGGAAGAACGGCGATTCTGTCCTCCCCTACTGTTCTAACAATTCCAAAGCGGACCCTGGTTTACAGCTTGGAAATCTCAACCCGCCGCCCACTCTCATCAAACTCAATCTTCTTCCCCGTAATCAAAGACTCTTGCAATGCACATCCAATAATAACAGCCTTGACCGCAGACTCCAGCGCCAGCGGAGCCGGCGTGTTATCCAAACAAGAGGCAGTAAACTCGTTTGCCTCCGTAATGAAAGCTTCCCGGAATCGGCCATAGTAGTCCGCCGGAATCTCGCGCCGAATACCGGTCGATTCGTACAGATTCACTAGGTTCATCTGCGGCTGCGTGTTAACCGCGATCTTGCCTTCTGTCCCGAAGATCTCTGTGCAGTCTTCTTGACCCGCGGCCATCATTCGTGAGCAGTAGAGCTGGGCAATCTTGCCCCCCTATTTTAGTTTTCTTAGTTTCCATATCGTACAACCCAAGTCGGCCTATCATAACTCACATAAAACTCAATAATCCCTAGCGCATTATCCCGATCATTGTGCTTCCGTAAATCCGGTTGCACAGCCGTGATACCAACAGCAGTTACACTCTTCACTTTGATATTCTCGCCGAAGAACCACAGTGCCAGGTCGATATCGTGAATCGAACAGTCCACGAATATCCCACCCGAGAACTCCGCATATGCGACAAAGAACCCGCTGGGATCTAGCTTGTCACAAGTTTGAGAGCGGAACACAGACGGTGTGCCGATATGCCCGCTTTTCATGCGCTGGTGTGCGTCCCGGTAACTAGCATCGAAACGCCTTGAGAAACCGCAAATCACTTTCTGGTTGGGATACTTGTTGATGGAGACTTTGTAGGCGTCGACGACGGATTGGGACTATATTAATGTGATGTAAGCTTGCACTATACCTTCAATCGTGTTGTAGGAGCGACAACTCACAATTTCAGGACTCGTGCTGATTGGCTTCTCGCAGAGAACATGCAATCCCCTCTCAATTGCCATGATAGCCTGCTTCGCATGCACGGTCGTGGCGCTGGCCACGACAACTGCCTGCAGGGTCTTCTCCTGTGAGAGCATCTGCTCGTAATCGGTGTAGGTGCGGACATCGGCAAACTCCTTCGTGGCGGCGTCCAGCTCAGCCTGTATGGGCGAGCACACAGCGATCAGCTCAGCACGGGGAGTGAGAGTTGCAAAGTGACGGGCATGGCGCATGCCTGTACAATATGTCAGAGCCTTTAAAATTGATTTGGTGGTTAATTGGAACCAGAAAGGGCATTTACCCATGCGTCCAATGCCTACAACTGCTACCTGAAGCTTTTGGGACATTTTGGATGTTGCAGGAAGGTAAAATTGGAGTGAGAACGGATCGAAAAAGATAGAGTGCGATAGTACAATTCCAATGCTGGAACATGATCGAGATTTATAACTGCTGGTTTAGCTATGTAGAGCTCTGCCACCTTCCGGAGGCACCTTGCTGTCCGAATATCCCGCAGTAATTTAATTGGAGGCAGCATGTCATCGGCGAAGCCTGCCCTTTTGGTGCAGCTCTACTTCCTAACGATATACTTTTTGCCCATGGCTGCAAGCTATGCGGGGATGAAATGCGCTTTGATCTTTGAATCTCTTGCCTGGCTTCTACAAAAGATAGCCAACCAAAATTGAAGAGTGGAGGTTTCTTCGCAACGAAGCTTGCAAAGAATAAAATATGCCCGTCCATTGTCGCACAGGCGACACTTGATCTGCGGATGACTATCCCACGGCCACGAGCCACACTTCATCATCTTGCTCGTCGGGCTAACTTTGTCTCGGGGCTGGTTTCCTATTTCACCAGGGAAATTTTCCCCGCCCTGCTTGTCCCCACATAGTCTAGAATACAGGACATGATCAACTCTGGGATACATATGCTCGTCATCCGTGCTATCGAAGACTCGTTTGTCATAGATGCTTGAAAGCAATTGCCGGTAGGCCTTGAGGGTTATTTACTTGACCACACATATTATATTCATACTCTGTCTCAACGTTTCTCATCAACCTTTTCTGGTCAGACTCTGAGGAGCTTCCGTGTCAAAGTCTGCTGTTATTTTATTGAACGCACCTTGATATTCCCTGTGATTCTGTTCATTTTCCTTGGTGACATACCGAGAGCTTCAACAAGATGTTGTTGTTCATTGCCGCCGCGCCATACGCGATTGGCCTTGTTATCTTCCTTTTCATCTATTTTGTTACTATTCCCTACGTCAAATATCTCCATGATCCCAAAGGCATGCCATCGGGTGAAGAATTCTGCCAAAGAGTAAATCACTAACAACTTGCTAGGTCTTCGAAAATATCCCAATCTCTCTCCTTTCTCGGGGGTTTCCGCGCTCCCCTTCATGATCATGGCCTCGCGAGGCTTTCGATCCATGGAGCTTTCATATTTGCACAAAAAGTACCCAATCATACGAACGGGACCAAACATGCTATCCTACGGAGATCCTCGAGCCATCAAGGACATCTACGGTCATAACACCAAATGCACCAAGGACGGATCGTATTCCGTCACTGCTGGCACCCATTTCCACTTGGCGGATGTTGTCGACAAGTCCGACCACGCCAGAAAGCGCAAGGTGCTTTCCTCGGCATACGCGTTAAAGAACTTGGAAAGCTGGGAGTTCAAGGTCACCGACAAAGTCCAGCGAATGTTCAAACACTTTGATAACGTTTGCACCATGGCTCCCAAAGAGGACGTCGCGTCTGGCAGAGTCGCTCCGAACCCTAAAGAACTTACTCTTGATTTGCGCTCTTGGACTAACTTCTTCACCCTTGACGCTATTGCCGATATTGGTCTGTCCGAAAAGCTGGGATTCCTCGACTCGGGTAGCGATGTCTGCATCGCCGAGAGGAGGGATGGCTCGACCTATGAGGTCAACTTGCGCGAAGCTCTTTATCCAACGGCTCGGAAGCAGTCCCTCATTCTTTGGGACTACGCCTGGTATCCTACGCTCAATAGGCTCGTCAACGTGTTTCCATGGTTCAACCGAATGCAAAAGTCTTCAGAGAACTGGGATAATATCATGTGGCGCCGTGGGATGGAGAGACTGCGGCGCTACGAGACCGGCGAGAAACTTGACGATTTCTTCCACTCTTTAATGGAGGACAAGAACGGCAACCCTAACAACCTTGAATGGGGTGAGATTGTCGCCGAGTGCAACATTATGATGAACGCAGGCAGTGTCACTACTGCCATTGCGATCACAAATGTAATATATCAACTTATCCGGAATCCTCGCTGCTTGGCCAAGCTGCGCGAGGAAATTGACACTGTTCTCGACGAGAACGAGGTCGTGGCGGATTATGATAAGATTAGGCACCTGCCGTACCTCCGCGCCTGTCTCGATGAATCGCTTCGCTTATTCCCTCCTACTTCTCATGGTCTACCTCGCGAGACGCCTGCCGAGGGCGCCGACATTCTCGGTGAATGGGTGGCTGGAAACACATCCGTCAGCATCTCGGCTTTGGTTGTGCACCGCAATGAAGACGTTTTCCCAGATGCAGACCAGTACATCCCTGAGCGATGGCTTGGTGAAGAAGGCAAGGCTCTTCAGCCTTACTTGATTGCCTTCTCTGCCGGCGCGCGGTCTTGCATTGGTCGTAATATTTCATACCTGGAGCAGACCAAGGCAGTCGCATCCATAGTACACCGTTACGACTTTGCTTTGGCCTATCCTGGATGGGAACTAAAGCGATTGGAAACCATGAATTTAATTTTGGGAGACATGCCAGTCAAAATTTGGCGGCGCAATTTGGGGGGTGAGGCTTAGATTTCAGTGTTGTGTTTCCGCTTTTAGCTTTCACTTGTCTTTGGATGACACTTTTTAACGAAACGGGCTTGATTGTGGGATCGTTCCTTTTCCAGATTTGAAATGGATTTCAAAGGAAACCATTCAATTAGCAACATTTGAACCTGCCTTTTCATAAACTTGCTACCAGGCGACTGGGCCCGGATTATAGAGTCACATACTCAAATAAGAGAGTAATCTTGTCATAGAGCTATTTCAGTCTTTTCGTCTTGCATAATGATCATCTGCGGGCGGCAACAAGCATAGCCCGTGAATGGCCATAATCTCCGCGCCAGGACAGACTCTCTGCAAATCCATCGGGGTAGTTGCCCCGTTCTCACACTTACTCTTCACCCCACATGAACAAACTTTGATACTCCACTTGTTCTTCTCAACCAAATATACCGCTAGACCAATAAGTACTAAGGTCTTTTTCGATTCTATACAGTAATACTCCCCGTAGATAGATTGATGGAGATCCTAAAGTCTAACCGCCTCCTCGCGTCGATAAGGCAGGCCGGGAATATGCCCTTGTCGTGGAGTAAGGCGCGGGGTGATGATGTTTTTATATCTAAAACATATCTAATATCTATTATTTAAGAAGCCCACTCTTCAAGATTCCTCACTTGCAATTCTCAAAACCCCCATCCCATTCCTCTCTCTCTCTATGCATTGATATCGAGAATATCAGAGAGCTGGACTTTCTCTGAACGCGATGGCATCCTACGTACCATTTTCACAGTGGAGCATTTCACCGGAAATTTTGAAAGAGAGTCTCAAATATCCTACGCCGACCGGAGTTGTTGATTATGCTGCACTGGCAGTCATGGGAGTTGTGAGTGTGGGTTATCTGTCCCGTGGCATCCTTTGGGACCAAGCGGACCCATATCACCACCTGGCATTCGAACGACCGCAATTGAAGAATGGAGGCTTATTCAGGGCAAATTTTAACAAGGAAACAAGAAACATTGCGCTAAAGATGGAGGAGACTGGCAAGAATATTGTCGTCTTCTGGGGATCTCAGTCGGGTACCGCTGAAGGTTTTGCTGCCCGTCTTGTAAGAGAGATATCCATTCGTTGGGGCCAAGAAAGTATAATGGCAGAGCTCTCGGACTACGATCCTATTACTATCACTGAGATTCCAAAATCGAAGCTGGCCATTTTTATCGTCTCGACCTACGGAGAAGGCGATCCTAGCGACAACACAGCTGAATTTTGGAGCTGGATCATCAAGGCCAGCGATGCCTCCCTGTCCAATCTACGATATGCGGCATTTGGTCTGGGTAATTCAAATTATAAGTTTTATAATCGCGTTGTGGACGTTATTGTTGAAAGCCTGGAGAAATTCGGAGCTAAGGCTATCATGCCGCTCGGCAAGGCAAATGACGCTGAAGGTACAACGGAAGAAAACTTCATGGCTTGGAAGAATGACCTGTGCGTGGTCTTCAAGGAGTCTCTAGGTTTCCAGGAAGTTGAAGCCGAATATGCCCCACGCTTGCTGGTTGAAGAAGACCTGTCGTTGGAGCCTATTGACCTTCACCACGGGGAGCCTAGCAGCCATGCCGAAAACTCCAACTCCGCCGCTCAGTCATCGCCTATTCGAACACTCAGTATCTCCAACTCGACGGAGCTGTTTACTAGTTCAGACCGAAACTGCCTGCATATAGATCTCGACCTAAGCAGTCAACCCGAGCTGAGCTACAAGACTGGCGACCACCTTGCCATCTGGTCTTGCAACCCCGATACCGAGGTCGAACGCCTTCTCGAGGTCCTTGGTATCTCTTCTCGACGGGATATTCCCCTTATCATCAAGCCAATTGACTCGGGCATCAAGAACAACATCCCAACACCAACCAGTGCTCTTGCTCTATTCCGTTACTACCTTGAAATATGTGCGCCTGTCAATCGTGATTCCGTCCAAGACCTTGCCCAATTTGCTCCAACATCAGAAGCAAAGGTCTTCCTCTTAAACCTTGGTCAGAACAAGGCCGTGTATGCAGACTTTATCAGTCGTACTTATGTCACTCTCGGTCGGCTGTTGCAACTCGCATGCCCTGGCCATATTTGGTCTAATCTCCCGCTTTCCTATCTCGTCGAAACCGTCCCTCACATCCGGCCACGGTACTACTCCATCTCGTCGAGTAGCGTCATCTCGCCTCGGAAACCTTCAATCACGGCCATTGTATCCACGACCCCCCTCCCCGAGAACTCCAACGAGTTTGTCCACGGTGTTGCCTCAAATTACCTTCTCGCTGTCTGCCAACACTCCCGCTCTCAGGCCCATCCCCATGGAGTCACCTATCATCTCGATGGCCCTGGTGATGCTTTGCAAGGGGGCAATATATTTGCTCATATCCGTCGAAGCAAGTTCAAGCTACCCATCACGAGCAAGACGCCCTTGATCATGGTCGGCGCTGGGACAGGTCTTGCACCGTTCCGTGCATTCCTCTCCGAGCGGTGCCAGGTGCACAAAATTGGAAAGGAAATTGGCCAGATGGTCCTTTTCTTTGGATGCCGTAGCCAGAATGAAGATTTCATCTACCGAGAGGAGTTGGAGCAGATCCAGAAGATCCTCGGCGACAAGTTTTGTCTCATCACTGCGTTCTCAAGACAAGAGGGCTTGCCTCGCCAGTACGTGCAAGATCGGGTTTCAGAGTTCGGAGATGATATTGTGAGACTCATCGAGGAAGGTGCGAGCTTCTATGTCTGCGGAAGAGCTGCTATGGCGCGTGAAGTAGAGAAGGCCGTCGGGACGACTATGAAGAAGGCGAAAAATTGGACGGAGGGTGAAGTCAATAGCTGGAACAAGGCTGTCAAGAAGAAGAACAAGTGGCAGGAAGATGTTTGGGGATAATAACATATGAAAACTTGTTGTTTTTGATTTAGCTGGACGATATACAGGCTGTGAAGGCCAGAAACGGGATTTACTCGGGGAACTACAAATCTCATTTATCTTTCTGAAACGATAATGTTCCAAAAGAGCACGATCCTTTATATCTTCTAAATAAATCAAATAAATTAGTTAGCTTAACTGAACTTCTGAACTCCATTTAGAATTCAGCCTTGTTGCATCGTCGAATTCTCCGACGCAAACACTATCATAGCAAGGTGCATTCGGGTATATCATAGAACGTACTCCCCCAAAATATCATCAGATAGAATAGTTTGACTAAAGTGTATGAAGCATTTTCAATTCAAGATTGTTTCAACCTCTACATTTTCAAACAATAAACTCCAAAAGCCCTTCTCAAAACTTGCTGGGCGGTAGTCACTAGACCTTCACCTCATGTTGGATCAACCACTTTGTTGACACACTTCGCTAGCGTGCCCCGCTAAACATTACTTCAACCATCTAGCACCCGTCGCATAGGGCAGTTATCTCTTCTCTGTCTTGTATGGCGGGGATGGAAATTACATCATATTCCGCTCGGGGCAGTTTCCTCGACTCACGGCGAGGGAAATTTTCGGCGAGACTTCCCCGGTAGGTGTGGAGTCTGCACGGAACATCCCCAGATTTCCCCGCAAATAATAATTGTGGAATTGGAATTCAGCTGGCAAGGGGCCTCCATCAATGTGCCAAGGCTATAAAGGAGGCTGCAGCGATCCTCATTCTTGATGGTCTCTTCTCTTCCCTTCATCTTTGGAGAATCGCAGTGCTCCATAGCTTGTACGTGTGTATTGTTGCGGGGTTTCCGACTTATATCATCCCTTTCGCCATGACCAACAACGAAAATGCCAAAGATGTGTCCGACAAGGGCGATATATCGACAGAACATGATGAGACTGTCATTGCAGAGCCTTGCTTTTTGCAGTCCATCACCTACGGTCCCAGTGGCGTCCAAGGTCTTACTAGTTCTGCATATATTTTCGGAGCTGCTGTCCTCGCATCTCTGGGAGGCTTCTCCATGGGCTACGATATGGGCGTGATCAGTATCATCAACGTTATGGATCAATTTCACCAAAAATATCCCTTTGCGAAATCGGATTTCGGAACCGAGTTGATGACCGCAATGCTGCTACTTGGGGCGTTCGTCGGGTGTCTATTCATGCCTTACATGGCCGACAAATATTCTCGCAAATGGGCATTGACCGTCGTTGTTATAATATTTGACATCGGCGCCATTTTTCAGACCGCAGCCCCCAATTATGCGTGTCTTGTTGTAGGGCGATTCATCGGTGGAGTAGGAGTGGGCACGCTTGCGATGGTAATAACCACCCTCCTTGCACGCCATACGAGACTATTCACACAGAAACTTATATAAATAGGGCGCACCTCTTTATATTTCAGAAATTTCTCCTCCCAATATTCGCGGTACGCTGCTGGTACTCGAGTCTATATCCATAACTTCTGGGGTTGTGATAGCATACTTTATTACATTCGGCACGAGATATCTGGCGGGAGATGTATCGTTCCGGCTGCCATTTGGTCTACAAATGATTACTGCAACTCTTCTTGGTGCAGGAATTCACCTCTTTCCATACTCACCTCGCTGGTTGGCTCTAGCTAATCGACAAGAAGACTGTCTGAAGAGCCTCACTAAATTGCGTGGCTTACCTAGCACCGATGAAAAGGTACAGGCTGAATTCCACAGTATTGTTGCCGAGGTTGCTTTCCAGAATCTGGCCCAACAGAAGCGACATCCAGGTATCAGTGGCATTAAACTCGAGATCTTATTATGGATGGACCTTTTTCGGCAACAGTCCTGGAGAAGAACGGCCGTTGCGGTCGGCATTGCCTTTTTCCAACAATTCTCGGGCATCAACGCCTTCATCTATTACGCACCCACTCTCTTTACTTCTGTAGGTAAGAGGTCAAAGGACTCATTTTGGCACTTTCTGACTATGGCAATAGCTCGGGCAATCTGCAGAGATGTCCAAAATACTATCTGGAGTATTTGATGTCATTCAGATGGTCGCTGCACTAGTCTGCTTCCTAATCATTGAAAAGGTTGGTCGGCGGCCACTAGCAATTTGGGGTGGATTCGGTACAGCTGCCACATATACCATCATAGCGGTTTTATCGGGCCTATACTCGGAGAGCTGGCCAGATCACAAGGCTGCTGGTTGGGGCTGTGTGGCGATGGCGTTTCTTTTCATCTGGATATACGGCCTGTCCTATTCCCCGCTCGGATGGGCGCTTCCCTCAGAGGTCTTCTCCACCACTAATCGGTCGAAGGGCGTTGCATTGTCCACATGCACTATTTGGCTGTCGGACTTTATTGTGGGGATATCAACTCCATCAATGATGGCAAATATTGGGTACGGCACTTATATCTTTTTTGCTGTCATGTGCTTTTTAGCTGGCGTCTGGGCCTTCTTCTTGGTACCTGAGACGAGTGGCAAGACTTTGGAAGAACTTGATGAAGTTTTTGGGGACACCAGTGGACAAGCAGAGAGGGATCTCGTGGCGGAATCTGTTTACCTCCCCCGAAAGGTGTCCATCACTATCCCGCCAGATGGGGGGATATCTAGCTCTGCAGTATAGTCATAGCTGTTTAAAGCCCGAAGATTAACTTACTTTCAAGATTACATACCAGCAGTTGAAGAGAGCACTTGCGGTCGAAGATATGATTCTATAAGTAGTCAAAAAGCTTCAAAATAACAAAACTCTTCTCTTCAAGTGGACGTAATTAATTAGACAAATGCCACAGATAGGTATAATATCGTTCCGCCGCAGATTTGGCCGAATTGAGGTGTGAGTTTGCTCCCTGGCTATCTAATAGGCATAGTAAGATCAGCCCTTCATCTATTCCGATTGACTATCCGATACAGCAGACAATCAGTCAAACAACATCATCTCATGGAGATTTGACTTAAAATGATCTCCATATCTTTCTGCTGTGGCAACCCCCAGGTTTTGTTACCCCGCTCACTACTCCCGGAGTGGAGATGGCCGGCGACACCTGCCTTTATTTCGTTCCCTCTCTGTCCTTCCTGATCTCTGTTCCCCGAGATTCAGCTGTCGAACAATCTCTCGCTATGCGGCGGAACAAACCTGGTCCCTGGTGAGAGTGGGACCCCATGCTCCGCGTTAGTAGTCACTGATACGTCAAATGGTAAAGCCAGGAGTGCCGCAGTGAGTTGCGTGCAATCTACATGACAGACATTGACTGACCAAGCTATGGCTAGATCGACATGTAAAGTGTATGTTTCGCTCACAGTTCGTCTCCGAGGCCAAACTGACCGACTCGAATCCAGGTGACGGGCAGAAGCCGAAATGCCGCCGATGCGAGCGAACTGGGTCACCTTGTGTCTGGAAAGAGATATCGTCCGACTTTCGTCATGGATCTAGCGCCAGTGTACGGTATAACTTCGCAGACGATCAACCATGGTTCCCGGTTGGCCAAGGTGCGTGGATTTCATCTTAAGAGGCATCTAGGACAATTGAATCCTTTCGGCATATGGGGTTGTCAATTGCAGATGCTGACCTAGGGGACAGTGAATTACAAATATGTCGATGAGACAGCCGACATAGCTCGACAATATTTAGTGGATTTGAGTTTTGGTTACAGTACCAATGCATCGTCGCACTTGGCGTCAGAGACACGCCGACCTGTGGCTTCTCCCTGGCAGCCAGATCCCACCGAGCCGTCTATGCTCAGTGATACTGGCAGACCACATTCCTCCAACCAGCCTTTGCTGCCGCATGAACCCAGCAGTTCTCTGGCTGGGCACTCGCCGTATGCCCTGCAGCTGCCGGAGAACCAGTCCTCACTCTCGTCTGCCTCGACTGGCTTCTCGCACAGCAATTATTCGTCACCTGGGTCAAGAGATTTGATCACAGTTGAGAGTGGATTCCCTAGTCTTGATGAATATGAGGCGTGTCTTATGCGATATTTTGTTCTTCAGCTAGCTCCTTGGGTAGGCTCCTCCTGTCTTGTCGAACCTCACACTCCTAACACTCTCTAGTTTGATATTTGCGATGGAGAGAGGCATTTCGCTTGCACCGTGCCATTGCGGGCTCGAACATGCCCACCATTACTCAACGCAATCTACACTGCTTCAGCAAGGCACTTGAGCCGGGTTAAACGGTACTACTACGGGAATCAAGTGCACTATGGAGGTAAAGTCCTTCCAAACCTCACACCAGAAACGGCTATTCGCTACCACAACGAGTGTATTGCGCACTTTATGTCGCTTTCAGAACACTCACGCGAGACTCAGAATGAGAACCTACTGGCAGCAGCTGTGATCCTTCGCTTCTACGAGGAAGTGGACAGTAAGAATCAAGCAGCCACCAAACTGCTATCTTCGCTGACTCTTACAGTCCAATACATGGGTGAAGACATTGAGAATGCCCTCCGCGGAATCCAAATATTCCTCGATGCCCAAGCAATGTCCGCAGTAGCGGGGTACGGCCTCCGTCACGCCGCCTACTGGATCGCACTACGACAAGAAATCATCACAGCGTTCAGCAAACAACGAAGTTTCCGTTTACCACTCGGACCATGTGAGCCCTACCGCTCCTTCGAGCCAGCGGATGACTACGTCTGGGCAGACCGCTTAGTTATCCACTGCGCCCACGTTCTGCAATACTGTTTTGGATCTGAAGAGGAAAACCCCTCATCAGACCGCCAGCTCTGGAGCATAGACGGTCTACACTCCCTCACGGCCACTGATCTGCGGATAGCCCGCTACGATGAACTCGTCGCGTTTGAGGCTCATTGGGCCGAGCTCGGCCCGCCTAGTTTCAAACCTATCTACGCACGGGAACCAGATCGATCACGCGGGGAGGTCTTCCCCGAGCTATGGTATCTAAATAACTGCCACGTCGCTGGGTTGCAGTTTTTAGAGCTTGCACGCATCTTACTGGCGGTATATAACCCTAAACTCGCACGGTTAGGTCCTCATCAACGAACGGGGATGCGGTCGGTGGATCTAAAAGTGCGGGAGATCTTAATACGGCTGTGTGGGATCGCCCTCTCTAATCAACATAGCCCGCCCAGTCTCGTGACTGCGTCCGTCGCAATTGGGATGTGTGGAGACCGATTTACCGATCGGCTCGAGCAGGAAGCGCTACTGAGTGTGCTGGTGAGACTAGAGGACGAGCACGCCTACCCCACGAACAACACACAGGAATTGTTGAAGGAGGCGTGGGAGTGGAATGTATCTGATGTCTCGTCCTAGATGATAGACCGGTATAATCGATCCTAGTCAAACGTACTTTGGGAGATAGGATGCGATATGAGGGGCAGTCTCCTAAATAATGCCGTCTTGATCGCACATTTTATTGTCTCAAGCCACTTTTGAGTCTCGTCTGTATACCAAGGTAGAGAATTGGCTTATGATCAGGAATGGAACTTGGATTTCATGACCTACAAACACACCAATGTAGATCGCCACTGCATGCCCCGGCCTCCTCCAATCAACGACCGGGGGCTCTGGCTGACACAAAATTTGTAATTGATTCCTCAGGAATGAGGCATCCATCCGGAACCAATCAACATCCGGCTGACCCGCTGACGGGGATCTTTGTCAAGCTGACTGATTCCTCACCAAGCACATAACTAACTAGTTGCGTGGTAGAGGAATTGACTAACGCTGAGTGAGGACTTTGATATATAATTGCTGGAACCTTCGGACTTGTCTGCGCCAGGTTATAAAAAGCCACCATCTCATCCATGAGACTCCTCCTGGCTTTTCTAATTTGCATCGCTGCAATTGTCTTCTCCACGAAAGACAATCTACTTGCCTATCTCAAGCCGAGTTCGCTTCTAAAGACCGAGAACACCACCCTGTCAACCAACCTGAACTCGTTCCCTCTTCCTCCCACGGTCGGCCCCATAACCAACATGTCCCTCCCCCGCGCAATCCGGCAGGTCTTCCTAGCCATCGAACAAGCAGAAGGCGCCGGAGCCCGCGTTCGCCGCTCCATCGGCACCGCCAAGCTGCGCAACTTCAGCCCATTTCTCATGCTTGACCACTTCACCATCGGCACGGGCGCCGGGTTCCCAGACCACCCGCACCGCGGCCAGGAGACCATCACGTACCTGCTCTCGGGTGGAGTCGACCACGAAGACTTCGCCGGCAACAAGGGCACTATCGGCCCCGGCGACCTGCAGTTCATGACGGCCGGTCGCGGGATTATGCACGCCGAGATGCCCCACGAGAACCCAGACGGCAGCCCCAACGTCGGCATGCAGCTGTGGGTTGATCTGCCGCAGAAGCTGAAGATGTGTGAGCCGCGGTATCGCGACCTGCGCGCGTCGGAGATCCCCATCGCGAACGTGGATGACGGCCGCGTTACTGTCAAGGTCATCTCGGGCCAGTCGCATGGCGTCGACTCCGTGCGCGACCTTGCCTACACGCCTGTCTGGCTGCTGGATGTGACCATTCGGCCTGGCGGGCGGATCTCGCAGCCCCTCCCGAAGGGCTGGAATGCTTTTGCGTACACGCTGTCCGGCGACACGGTCTTCGGGTCGAATGACTCCACGCGGATTATTAAGGAGTTCCACAATGTGGTCTTTGACCAAGAAGGCGATTTTGTCGATGCCTCGGTGCCTGATAACGCTGACGCCGAGAGTCGCTTCATTCTCGTCGCGGGCCAACCGCTGGACCAGAAGGTCGTGCAGTACGGCCCGTTCGTGTTGAACTCCCAGGAGGAAGTCTACCAGGCTATGATGGACTACCAAACTGCGTCGAATGGCTTTGAGAAGTCGCGTGGGTGGCAGAGCGAGATTGGAAAGAGAATGACATGATAGATTGTTGGTTGATTTTGTTTCTTTATTTAATGATGCACTACGATGGCGTTCAGGTTGTACATAAGTCTGAATGAGATTTGCGAATAGAGAAGATTTTGATCTATTAAAGAGATGTCATGTATTCGTAGAAATGCGTTAACAGTTAAGGTACAATAATGGCGGCCACGAAGGATGGCAGGATAGAAGATATCGATCGAAGTGTAAACGGCCGCTTCCTGGACGATCTAATCGACCGTGACTTTTGCGGTCACAAGGCCAATGAGTGCAACTCCCCGGTGAATATGAAGATCTCGAATGCCGAAGCACCCGAAGACAACCAGCTTCGTAAGGGCCGGGCAGCATCGGACAATGCACTGCGCCACATAGTCATCCATGGCCCCTTGGAACGAGATATCCAAAGATTTGAGTGCCGGGTATCTCTTCGTCTCACTAAACACCTCTTCGAACGCGGCGTGTGTGATGTGACGGCATGAAGCAATGTTCAAGGTCTCGAGCTGAGACCCCGAGTGTTCCATAAGAGCCTTGAATCCATCTGATGCGAGACCAATCGGTTCCGGAGGACCAGCGGGGTTGCCCGTATCAAGATCTCGGAGCATGTGGAAATCCACAAATGTCAGAGGCGGGTTTTTCCAGTCCCGGAAGAGATCAGCCAGGCCCTTGTCGGTAATGATTGCATTGCTGGTGAGTCGCAATTTGGACAAATGGTGGCAATGATCATGGATGCTTTGAAGTAGCTGATCATCGGCTTGTTGAAACTCCTCCAGAGACAGGGTCCGCAAATTCGGGCCCAATTGAGAGACCATCTGGAGAAGCGGCTCGTTGGTGGTTTCTTGTTTGAGGCTGAGTGAGAGATGCTCAAGGGATTTCAGCGACGAGATTGATGTGAGCGCGGCATCGCCGATATTCCAGAGATGCTTCAACTTCAGCCGCCGAAGACCAGTGCAGTTGTTGCTCATGACTTTCGCGGTTTCGTCGTCAAAGGCCCAATCGAGGTTCCAGAGCTTCAGAGTCTGGAGCTGAGGACCGAGCTTGATGAAAAGCTGGCGCCAGCAACCGTTGGAGACCAGGTTCGGTGAATCCAACTGCAGATCCCGAATTTTCAGATCGCGGTCGAGCATATATTCAAAAACGGCGTCCTTGAACGGGGTGACAAAGCGGAGATTCAACCGAGTCAATCCGGGCATAGAGGCGAGGATTTTGTGAAACGCGTCGGTGTCGAGTTTTGCACAGTCATAGAGATCGATGGATCTGTACTGAGGCCGTAGGAAGAGCTCCAGAGTCCTCGAGTTTACCGCTCGATTGCGGGACAGAATTTGGCTGAGGCGATGCATCAGCTGCGGAGGCAAATCGCCAAATTCTTCGATATTGTCAATGTTATCGCCAACTTTCTAGAATAAGGGTCAGTACTTGGCCAAAAACACGGTAAGTCAAAGCTCGTACTTTGATGCATGTCTCCAGCAGACTCGGAGCCCCATTAGAGACATCTCCATCCAGCAAAGTTTTCTGATTTTGACGGCGCCCAATCCCTGAGCTGCGCTTTTTTGCCGGTGCCTTCTTGCCCGGAGCTTTTTGCTTCTTAGAGCAGTCGGCACAGAGCAGGCCTCCTCCGGGCCCTGTCTTACTGTAGGGAGTGACCGTAAAGCGCTTTTCGCAGATCTTACAATTGGCCAGCTGACCTGGAGTCTTCGGCCGCTGCTTCTCATCCATCATCTCATTTGCCAGCGCGTCGTCGTCATCATCATCATCAGGCTCGCCAGCACGCCGGGCCTTGCGACGAGCGAACTCCTTGCTCTTCTTGGTCCTTTCAATTGCCTGTTGTCGTTTCCGCTTCTTTGTCTGCTCTTCGGGGGAATCTGGTTGGTACTCGCTGTCCTCGACTGCATCTTCGGCCTCTTCCTGCTGAGCAGCCTCTTGTTCGGCCTGTTGCTGGGCTGCCTGCAGCCGTTGTTCGTAGTCGTCACGGATTTGTGCAGCTGAAATATTATTTGACTGTCTGGTCAGCCGAGTCTTCTAGGCAGAATACAAGACACCTCAAAACTTACAGCCAGGAAGTCTGTCAGAGCCGAGTGCCTGTTATTGGGTTGTCAGTCTAGAGATGGCATGCCGGTCGCTGAAGGTGGATACGTACGGGCCCCTGATGGGGTTTCTGGTTGATCGCCTGCCAGTCCTTTTTCTCATGGTCAGCATCAATATATATTCAGCCGGCATTAAGTACTTACATAGTCAGACAGGAGGACGGGGGTGGGCGATGGACAGTGTCAGAAGGGACTGTGGTGGCAAGTCACTGGACCGTGGCGATTTCGCGTTGCACTTAACGCGCCCGCTTATCAGGAGGGCGATAAGTTGGAACGAATGGATCGTAAGGGGGAACAGCGGAACAAGAGAAAAGGGAGACCTAGTAGACGGAGAAATATGAGAAAAGGGACAAACAAGAAGAGAGGGCAGGGTAGATGGAGAAAGATTCCATGGGAAAGAGCGTGTGAAGAGTTTTCTGGTTCAGGCACTCACTTGATCCATCACTTGTTATCACTTCCCTCCTACAATTCCCTTCCTCCCTCACCTCTTTCTTGTCCTCGCAGTTCCGTCTTTCCTTCATCTCAGCCCTGTTCGTCACATCTCTCTCTCTCATCCACTGAGTTCTCGTCGCAACTGCTCTCTCCTCTTGAGGAGTCACGTAGTGCCCCAGCGACTCTCGATTGACCAGGGTATTCTTCTCGATGCCATCAAGACTTGCTTCATGAACTAACACACCCATCCTTTCTCTCTCTAGAGCACAATCTAGCCTCATCACTGTGTCCCTGTCCGTTACCCTATCTGTCCGCGGCTCTCCGAGTGGGAGCCAACACCTGCCACCATGAAACGTACCACCACGATTCCTGATTCTGAGGATGACGGATCTATTGGAACATCTTTGCAGAATTCCTCGCCCCTCCCTCTACGCAGATCCCGCCGATTGCCCCGGTCCGCCCCTTCCAATTCACAAAATACACGCGTCATCCAGGATTCCGAGGATGATGACCCCGACCTGTCCAGTCCTAAGCCAGTCAAGACCCGGGGCCCCGACAATGTCAAGGTGGTGATCCCGCTCAAGAGCGAGTCACCCTTCGATTCAGGGTCCGGGAGCTCTACTGGGGATCCATCTCTTTATGGCGCGACCGGGGTCAGCACGCCGGCCACGAGCGTTTCCGCTGCACCGGGCGAATCCGACTCCAAGAAACCATCGGCCCGTGTCAATGCTTCTGAACGTGCCCAGCAGCTTCGCTCAAGTGCGCTATCCATGGTTAACTCCAGCCGGGGAACCAAGCGATCTGCGGCTGCGATGACAGCAGACGAGCCGGAGACAAGCCTTGTCACAGATGAGGAATTTGCCCGCGCAGTCCAGCTGAGAGAATATGACAGGATCTTGCCCAAAAGACAGAAGCGTCTGTCTCAGGCTGAGAGACATCGGATTGTGGATGATCGCCTCGACGACCCAGACCTGTCCGGAGGCGAGTTGCTGGATGTGATTGATATGATCTCCATGGCGACATCTGAATCTGATGCAGAAATCTTTGACGACGAAATTTCTGACACGACTGAGGATGAAGATGTGGACAATGATGGAGAACGGAGGGCTGTTGGTTCGCGTACTTCAAGCGAAGAGCCACCAACTTGGTGGGAGCAGCGAAAGGCTCGTCGTGTAAGCTGTTGCATAGACTCCGTCATCTTGCAGTATTAACCATGTTATAGGCACAACTCAACCAAGATAAGCTGGAAAACAAGCATCCCGGCCTCAGGACAATGTGGGACGACCTGAAAAACAAGCCTGTTATCACCGCCAAACAAGCCGAGCAACCCGCCTCCATCACTCGCAGATTGAAGCCGTTCCAGCTGGAGGGCCTGAACTGGTTGATGGAACAGGAAAAGTCAGAATACAAAGGCGGCCTTCTGGGTGACGAGATGGGTATGGGGAAGACCATTCAAGCTGTGTCTTTGATCATGTCCGACTTCCCTCAGAAGATCCCAACCCTTGTGATTGTCCCGCCCGTTGCGCTGATGCAGTGGGTGTCTGAGATCAAGGTTGGCTATATCCTCACACAAGACTCGTCATCCGCTAATACGGTCCACAGGAATACACCGACGGCAAATTGAATGTGCTCGTCTACCATAACTCGGACTCCAAGGTCAGAAAGCTAACCGAGGCGGACCTTCGAAAGTATCATGTAATCATGATATCCTGTATGTGAAACTCTCGCGTTGCCTCTTCAGGGGCAGGACTGACTCTTCATCTAGATTCGAGCCTGGAGTCTATGTATCGCAAGCAGGTGAAAGGGTGGACTCGAGCTGGCGGAACTGTCAAGGAAGACAGTAAGTCCTGAGATCGAGTCCGCAACATCAATACTAACATAACCCAAGGTGTCATTCATTCCATTGATTATCATCGACTCATCCTGGACGAAGCGCACAGCATCAAGGTAAGTGTGTTTGCGGCTGCTACTCCGAGTCCCACTGACCTATGTAGCAACGTACCACGGGCGTCGCCAAGGCTTGCTTCGCTTTAAATGCCAACTACAAATGGTGCCTATCGGGGACCCCTGTACAAAATCGGATCGGAGAGTTCTTTTCACTTCTGCGCTTCCTTCAAGTGCGGCCCTTCGCCTGCTATTTCTGTAAGGAATGCGACTGCGAAAAACTTCAGTGGGATTCAAACAAAGAGGGTCGCTGCACCCACTGCAAGCACACGGGTTTCAACCACGTGTCGATCTTCAACAAGGAGATTTTGAAGCCTATCACCGAGGGAAGAACTACAAAGGAACGGAAAGAAGGATTGCAGAAGCTCCGTCTCATTACCGACCATATCATGCTTCGTCGATTGAAACAAGAGCATACCTCATCGATGGAGCTGCCCCCCAAACGGGTCATTCTGCACAATGAGTTCTTTGGCGAAATGGAACATGACTTTTCGCGAAGTATCATGACAAACTCCAACCGCCAGTTCGATACCTATGTTAGCCGAGGCGTGATGCTGAATAATTACGCCAACATCTTCGGCCTGATCATGCAGATGCGACAGGTGGCCAATCATCCAGATCTGATTCTCAAGAAGCACGTGCAGCCCGGGTTCAATATTCTGGTGTGTCGCGTGTGTGATGAGCCCGCAGAAGATGCCATTCGGTCTCGCTGCCGTCACGAGTTCTGCCGCCAGTGCGCCAAAGACTACATTCGGTCGTTTGACGATGAATCGATGGTGGACTGCCCGCAGTGCCACATTCCTCTGTCCATTGATCTCGAGCAGCCTACTATCGAACAGGCCCAGGAGTCCGTTAAGAAGAACTCGATCATCAATCGGATCCTCATGGACGATTGGACCTCCTCCACCAAGATCGAGATGCTTGTCTACGATCTCTACCAGCAGCGGAGCAAGAAGCACAACCCGAAGTCGATCATCTTCTCCCAGTTCACGTCGATGCTGCAGCTGGTCGAGTGGCGACTGCGCCATGCAGGACTCACCACCGTCATGCTGGATGGCACGATGACGCCGGCGCAGCGACAGAGGTCTATCGAGCACTTCATGACCAATCCCGATGTCGAGGTGTTCCTCGTGTCGCTCAAAGCTGGTGGCGTGGCACTCAATCTGACGGAGGCATCCCGAGTTTTCATCGTTGACCCGTAAGTCCTTTACCCTCTGTCCCAGACCCTCGGCTAACGCAGCATCCTATAGGTGGTGGAATCCCGCGGCAGAATGGCAAAGCGCCGACCGAAGCCATCGCATTGGCCAGCAGCGACCCTGTGTGATTACGCGTCTCAGCATCGAAGATTCGGTGGAGTCACGCATTGTGCAGCTGCAGGAGAAGAAGGCGAATTTGATCCAGGGCACGATCAACAAGGACCAGGACCAGGCGCTGGAGAAGTTAACCCCGGAGGACATGCAGTTCCTCTTCCGGGGTACCTAGATCCTCACTCTCACGAACTATTACATCGACGGATTACGGCGGGCACCTTTTTGTTGATTTGTATGTTATCACGAACTCACGATATTATTTGCTGTGTTTTTTTACCCTCCACATCCTGTTTTGTCAGTATCGTCCATAGGTGATAGCCAATGCATCCATGGGGAACCCCACAATGAGGTCATCGCTTCTGATCTTGGCATCGCAGTTCCCGAAGTGGGTAATTTCTGCTGCCTGCCAGGGCTGATCGTTTCTCTCCCCTCATAAGGCTGAGAATCAACCCAGCCTACCCACTTGGTTCGTCGTTCGTTGCCAAGCACGCATCCCTCTGCGCTCTCTCTCTCTCTCTTCTCTGCGTGTGTGCGCTGGTGGAACCTACTCGGCAAACTGGTCTGACGTTAGAACATCCCACCCCACATCATGGACAACGACATGCCGCGATCGCTGCCGGTGCGCCCGATTGACAAGTATGGCCCAAAACTCGTCGAACGGGCCGACAAGGTGCACCAACGAGTTGGCTCGAAAGCAGACGACAAACCCGCCGGGGGGTTCGACGCGACACCCATCCCGTCCGCCCCGCCGGGTTACACCCTCAAGATCACCTTCCACCGCGCCGCACAACTGCCTGTCGCCGACTTTGGCGCCTTCTCCTCCGACCCCTACGTTTACGCGCAGTTGCACGTTGACCTGCCCCGCCGCCATAAGCAAGATCCCCTCATCAGCTTTCGCTCTCATACCGTGCACAAGAATAGAAACCCCACGTGGGACAGCGAATGGATCGTTGCCAATGTTCCTGCCTCAGGCTTTCTATTGAAGGCGTATCTCTACGACGAAGACCCGTCGGACCACGATGACAAGCTGGGGATTGCGTTCATAGAGGTGCCCTCTTTGCAGGAGGACTGGAAGGGGATCAGCGAGCAGTCGTTCAAGGTCAAGAAACGTTACGGCAGCAAGCGCGTCTATGTGGTCACCAATGTTTCCGCTTTCGCGACGGGCCATCACCCGGAATCATCCTTGGTGGTCAGTATTCAGTGCCTGGGGCGGACCCCCGGCAACGAAGGGGGCCAGATGTACACGGTTGGGCCGAATCATTGGTTCAAACATTATTCGCCTATGATCGGGCGACTGGCTGGAACCAAGGTCCATGTCGAGAGTAAGGATGGCAGTGGAAAGTCGATTACTCGCTACAAGTATGCTGTATCTCTCCATGGTTATCAGTGATCTAACAATCTCCCGAAAGCTTTCAAGCCATTCAGATACAACTCACGGGCCCCGTGCCCTCCGAACTCTACCATCGATATGTTGAATTCAGGCCGTTTGTGGCCGGCATGTTCCAGGCGCAGAGCCTCCGAGGGCGAATTCTGCACAAAGCCCTCCATCATCAACATCAGCGAATCTACAACTTTGATCGCAGTACAGAGCACGGGGGGTTCACCACACCCTGCCGCGAATTTGCACAGAAGTTCCTGGAATTTACACATTACGGCCAGGACGGACGCATTTTCACCTACGTGTTGACACTCGACGGACAGTTGCGCTTCACCGAGACCGGTAAAGAGTTTGGTATCGACTTGTTGAGCAAGCATACAATGCACAGTGATGTGTCTATCTATATTGCATATTCGGGGGAGTTCTTCCTTCGGCAGCGCAGGCACCAGAACCGACAACATTCTCCCTCGCGCGCCGATGAGTTCCCTGTGGAAGAAGACGAATCCACCCAGGAAGTGCAGGAAGTTTCCACCGACCCCGCGGATTACGAGCTATTCATCGACAACGATAGCGGTACCTACCGTCCCAACGCGGAGAAGCTGCCCCTGCTCCAAGAGTTCTTGTCGTTCAACTTCCCCGGCCTCCACGTCACGACGCTGGACTGCCAGAAAGATGCCGAGCGGCAGCAGCAGCTGAAGAACGAGCAGCGCGAGTGCAAGAAGACGCAGGGCACCCAGATCACGTACCTGCAACAGAGCAGCGCGTCGTCGCTGTCCATCTCGAGCTCGGAAGAGGAGCAGCTCCAGAGACAGAGTGGCGAGTCGACCAAGCGTCGTCGCAGCGACATGGCGCGACGGGTCCATGAGATGCGCGATGTGAAGGGCCAGATGATGCGATGGGTCGAGGCCGACGGGCATGCGGACCGCTCCAAGCACAAGTATCACTCCGGGCGCGAGCGGGCCTCGTCGACTGGGGAGGTCAGGGATAGCAGCGCGTCGGGGAACCCTCGAGCGGCCTGAATCCTGGGGAATCGTGCACCCTTTGTTTATTTGAGACCACACCGTCGTGGTTGAGCTGTCTCAGGATACCATCTTAATCTATTTCTGTCTAATAGTTTCGTAGGAACAATAATAATGAGACAACATGAATAAATCGACCCCAACCCATCCCGAATCCTTGCCGTCATAGTCAGTCGATCGATCGCCCGCCTTTCCCAGCACCGCCCCATCCTCCATTCATTCATTTGTTCATTCCTCCCCCACCCCACTCACCACGGTTCCTCTTCTTTCCCCCCAGACAATCATCATCACCACCACCACTCTCATATGTTCTAAGCCTCCCCTAATGCTTGCCAACGCCTGCTTCGGTGCCCGGACTCCTGCTCGTGCCGTCACTTGATTCTCTCCTCCCTACCGCCTCCCACCATGGGCAATGTCGCCAGCCGTCTGGACGACGCGGGAAACCTGTTCTTTAAGGACCAGAATAGGTGTACGTTTCATCCCGTCCTCCCCCCTCCCCAAGTGACCCGTGCTGATGGACTCTCCGGATACCTAGTCTCGGTCGCGTCCATTACGATAAGCAACTCAAGACGTCGACTACTGACCCTCGCTCCCAACGCGTTCCCGGCGGCGAGATTCACGGCAAAGCGAGATGCGGGCGACGACACCCCGATCGAGTATATCCAGGTGCGATCAACCCGTACCCCAAAGCCCCCTGGAGGCTGACCTCACCATCGCAGGATCCTGACGTCTCCCCCTCCGCCGCGGTCCCGACGTTCCTGCTTCGCCTGTCGAACGATGACGAACTGATCTTTAACTTCACCTTCATCCTCCGACAGACACAAACCGGTAATACCGCAGGCTCTACGGTAAATGGCGTCGCGACGTCTCTTCCCGAGGTGGCCGACACATCCCTGACCGGCCTCACCTTCGCCCACGCATCAAACTCGAGGGAGCTGGACAACCTGATCACGCGAGAGTTCCACGCGAACCCGAATCTACAAAATAACTCGAATGTGCAGCTGATCGGAGATTTCTCGACCGAGGGCACGCCATCGGTTGCGTTGGACTGGGCCTGGACATGGAAGCCTCCCAAGGCAACCGAGGACAAAGGCGGTGGATGGCGGAATAGCTGCAGCTTCCTGGACTACGATCAGCGGACGAATCGTCTCAATACCCTCGCACATTTTTCCTTCTGGGTGCACAACGCTGGTCGCCTTGCCCCTAGCCCCCAGACCTTGTCGCCGACTCTGGAACTGTCGGTACCCCACCGCAGCCGCGTCCCTTCCACCCAATCCGTTCTCTCTCAAGTCAGCGACGCCGAACCCATCTCCAACCCGAACCTCCCTTCTACAACTCCCCCCGAGACAGCCGACACTCTAGTATCTCCGCCGCCGACGGCCGTCGGGCCACCACCGCCCGTCAAGGTGGACTTGCCGCATTCTCGACCGGGGGACAATATAAGTGCTGTGGAGGATGGGCCTCTATTCCGTGCGACGATGAAGGCCCTGGAGCAAAAGACGGGTAATATGCGGACGAAGATCAAGAAGGTTCTTAAAAAGGCGGAGGCAGCTCAACAGGCCCAGGCGAGCTGCAATGATGCCATGGAAGCCTTCCTGGGATCCTTGAATGATGCATCCACGTCCAATGCAAACGCTATCCAGCCGGCGTTAGATCACTACTTTGAGAGGATTGCCCGCCAGATCCTTCATTACGAGCAGCTCAACACGCTCCAGCTTCAGAAACTCGTTATCGAGCCTCTGATCAAGCTTTACAATAACGATATCAAACAAGCAGAGTCAAAAAAGAAGGATTTTGACGAGGAGAGTCGCGACTATTACGCTTACGTCAGTCGCTATCTGGGCCAGCGCCAGGATTCCCTGAAAGAAAAGAAGCGTGCCGAGAGTGACTCAAAGTATCAAGCCAAGCGACGGAATTTTGAGCTCAGGCGCTTCGACTACTCATCCTTCATGCAGGATTTGCACGGTGGCCGCAAGGAGCAAGAGGTCCTCTCTCATCTCACCAAGTACGCCGATTTTCAAGCGAAGAACTTTTTGGCGGCCGCCAAGAAGGTCGAGGATATGGTCCCTCAACTGGACGCCCTCATCCACGAAGTCAACCAGGCAGACAAGGAGTTCCAGTTTCAACGGACCGAACGCGAAGAGAAACGCCGAACCCTGGAGAAAAACAGCAACACGTACCTCGAGCCCGAGGTTGTGACCGGCGCCACCGCGTCCTCTTCCGGAATTGCGAATGGAAGCTTCCCTCCTACCGAGACTGAATTGGGCCGTGCCGACAGCACCTCGTCTCAGCTCCGTGGGGTGGCTAGCAACACCTCATCGGTTTCATCCCAAGTAAATGCAGGCTCGGTTAGCTCTGCCACCGGAACATCTGCACCTACAGCGAGCGCTCCTATCGGCGCCTCGGGCCAAAATCGGTTCAAAGGCATCCGAGATCTCGAAGAGGGGAGTTCTACTGGATCTGACCGAGCTGCGGGTCAACAACGGAAAGAAGGTCTACTGTGGGCACTCTCGCGTCCGGGTTCGCATATTGATCCAAAGGGCATCAACAAGCAAGCATGGCACAAGTAAGTGTTATTTTTTTTCGTATGCCATCCCATCGCATATACTGTGCTAACTACAGCTACAGGTTTTGGATCGTGCTGGACCAAGGAAAGCTGTCTGAATATAGCAATTGGAAACAGAAACTGGATCTGCACATGGAACCTATCGATCTTCGGATGGCTTCAGTTCGGGAAGCTCGAAATGCGGAGCGACGGTTCTGTTTTGAAGTGATTACTCCACAGTTCAAGCGCATCTACCAGGCGACTTCAGAGGAAGATATGGCGACCTGGATCAGATCCATCAACAATGCGCTGCAGAGTGCGGTCGAAGGGCGAAGCGTGACGCCTGTGCCTCCCGTGTCATCCAAGAACGATCCCGGCCGGGATATCGGCTCCGTTCTGACTGGTAAAAGCTCGTCGATGTCCGGCCAGCATTCCTATTCGAACAGTTCAAGCAACAACAGCGTGAACCGCCGAACAACTGTTGGAGCGCGGCCCAGCTACGTCCGCAATGATAGCAATAGCTTTGAGGAGAATCCATCACGGCTGCTACAAGTCGTCCGGGATGCTGACCAAGGCAACACTTGGTGCGCCGACTGCGGATCCTCGTCCAAGGTTGAATGGGTATCTATCAATCTCGGGATCATCCTGTGCATCGAGTGCAGTGGAATCCACCGCTCGCTAGGGACGCACATCTCCAAAATCCGGTCGCTCACACTGGACGTGCACTCCTTCTCGAACGACATTGTCGAGATCCTCTTGCAGATTGGCAACCGCGTCAGCAACATGATCTGGGAGGCAACTCTTGATCAGACCCTCAAGCCAAACGCGGGATCAACACGCGAGCAGCGCCTGCGCTTCATCACCACCAAGTATGTCGACCGAGCCTACGTCGAAGGGCTCCCATCCCCACGGTCCCGCTTCGCGACTCCCGACGAAACCCTCCTCGCTTCGATCAAGCGAAATGACATCCAAGGCACTTTGTACGGCATTACCCTGCGCGCAAATGTGAACATCACCGACCGCTCCCGCAACACCCACGCCGTGTTCTTGGCCCTTGCAGCCGCCGACCCTGCCTCCCCCGGCTCCATGCCGTCAAGCCTAACCGTCCGGTCTACTACCAAAGCGATCCCATTCCCCATTGCCGAACTGCTGGTCCAGAACGGCGCCGAAATCCCCCCGCAACCCCCTTCCATTCCGCTCTCCCCCGCCGCCCAACTCTACCTCAGCCAACGGACCACCCGGTCCTCAGGCTTCAGTGCCCCGGCCGCGGCACCAATACCCGGCAAGTCCACCACCATCGATACCCTCGGCTCTCTGCCTACTATCCGTTCATCGAGCAGGGATTCCAATTCCACTAGCTCGGGGACGACGGTCCAGGCACCGAGCTCCTTGGACAGCAAGGAGAAGGAGAAGTTGTCCAAGAGAGGTAGTGCCGGCGCCCGTTTTGCTGGGAAGGTGGCTTCCCTAGGCATCGACCGGTAATTTCTTTCTTGGAATGCAGTGTGTGCACTGCAGTTCCCTAATCATAATTACATCCACTCTAATGAGGTTTTGCATGATTGTTGCTTTTTGTCTCATCCTTTTCTTTTCTACCCACCTGGTTTGTGTGTGCGTGTCTGGTTGGACCAGCGGTAGCTTCTGCCGTCTTCTTCTTCTTCCCTTCACTATTTCCTCCTTTCCATTCAGTACTTCCTTCCCCTATATTGCATTAACTGCCCATCTTGCTTTGTGAGGTTGTGTGTGGGGCTTGCTCTTTTCCTCTTTCTTCTCTCTTCTCTGTTCTTTTCTGTTCTGCTCTGCTACCATCTGAATGAACCCTGGGCGGGACCAAGTCGTTACGGATACCCAGTATACCAGCTTTTTGTCTTCGATTGTCTTAAGTAAGACATAATCGCAATGATAGGATCACTTGCAATGCATCTCTTCTACGTGAAATACTATGTTTACATCGTTGTTCAGCTATACTATAACTTGTTTAAAGCTCCCTCGCAAGGGCCTCACCTACCCGCGAGTACTCTCGACAATACTTAGCTGCCTAGTAGTGGCAATATGATCTCTATCAGCCTCTCAAACCGACATTACTAAGAGTGCGGAGCACAGTGACTGGCGCATGCGGGACCCGTGGTATCCGCCGGTGAGAAAGACTGTGGATGAAGCCCGAAGGGGCATGCATCTCCGACAATTCCAAATACCAACTCGGGCACAAACTAGTGGCGTCCAGCCTGAGTGACGATATCCACTGCTAAGAAGATGAATATGAAACATGGCGAAGAGAGAGAAGGGAAAAGAAGCTCCGCTAGTCCATTGATCCGTGCGGAATTGCTTGGCAGCTTTTTATTTTTACCCTGATCAGAGCACCACAGCCACCACCGACGGGTAAGGGATCGTCAAGCTTTGGCCTGCATATGCTTCCGGGAGGGATTCGTTCTCGTTCTCGCGGTCCGGTCTTTCTCAGAGGCTGTGTCTGCCGTGTGATCTGTACGGTGACAGTATTGTTCGCACCAGTTTACCCACCGGGCTACTCCCAATGGAGGGATCAACGTCAATGGCTGTAGGTGGAGAATGCCATGCTAGAGAAAACATGCGCGGGTCCTGGAGAGAGGGCGTTACGCCCACTGGGTTCTGACTGCGTTGCTCCTTACCGTCATGTCGACAGGGTCAGGGGACCCAGCGGGCACGGTCATTGGGCAGTGGTGTCAGGAACGTGGAGAAGTCCCGCGAGCGCTATGACGTCAGCCGACCAGGAGTTTCCTGTGGCGTCGATCTTGTTAGAGACAGAATTCCCCCGACACTTCGAGAAGATTGTCCCGTCATGCACGGATCTGCTCATTCCCCACCGGTTGATCGCTCTGCAGGGCCGTTCGCCGCAATCTTATGGTTGCCGACGCCACTGCAGGGTGCATCATCCAAAGTGCCTCGATGGGGCAATCCGATCCAGGAGTGGCGACATGTAAAAATGCAGGATGTGTCACGAGAGACTCTCCAGGTTGGGCATGCTGCGAGGGAATGGAAAGGAAGAGAAGGGAAGAACAGAGGGGGACAGTAGTGTTGACCGAGGTCACATGACCTTATACTTGGATCAAGCCTCTGGGGGGTTATTATGTCTTGTTGATTTAGTAGCTAAAAATAGTAGACTCAACTTGACTCAACTAAACTACCCCAGGACAGTAGGCGAGTCCCCATTGGCGATACCTGAGGTGTATACCAATCAATGCCTGAGGTGTATACTAAGGCCGCAGGAGTATACGTGTAGTATACGTGTCTGTGTAAATCTCCGGAACTAATTGGTGTACCCACTGACCCAAATCAACAATAATTCATGTGATTGCCACATTATTGTTGTGGCTTGACTGCTGGAACAGGCAGGAGAACAGGGAGCGGAAGTGAGCAGGACAAATACACTGCTTACATAAGACATGTCGTCGACCAGGGCGCGCTGTGAGTGGCTGGCATCTCATCCCGACCAACGGCGGCCACTTCTACACTTCACTTTTTCTGCTTCGACCATGACCAACGGGAGGATTTTTCGAGCTGCACAGACACGGACAGTCAGTGTGTAATGAGCAGCCGGTGTCCATGGGTCGCCCCAGAAGGGCCCATCGCCTTCCCCTACTTCCCTGAACAGGTGGTTACAACTCCGCTATCCAGGAAATCACGCAGAAATGGCCAGACGCCACATCTCCACCACATTGCGCCGCCCGATGGGGATCGTCCCGTCATCATTGGCTGACTCCGATCGAAAGACTAGTGGGAGTGTACCACAGCTTTAACCGGCCGTCGGGCCAAAGTCAATTGGCGGCCCCCCCAACACTGCGGTTCCTTCACAAGCCTTTTACGCGATCATGGAGCCCGAGGCATATCTCTGTCCTTGATTCGCTGATCTACCAACTCCTTGTGGCTGCGCTCCACCCTGACCGTTTTAAAAATACTCGTTACTGGCACGGTTGGAGGCTCTCCGAATGTAAAACACTGGCTAGTCACCCAGTGCGCAAAAGGGACCAGCTGTCGGGCCTGAGTATTTTCAGCAAAGATCTTCTTGTGGCTTGCTCCGTCACCTTTTCCGCCACAGCAGTTATACAACCAACCTTTTATAAATGCCTGGCGAAGTGTCGATCGCCGGCAATCATCCTCATTTGAAATCATTGTGACGCCCCTTTCTGCTCTATACTCCAGATTGACTATACTGGGTCGGCAAGATCGGTGAGCCGGTACGTACGCCACCATGTTAGGGTACCTACCTACCTCCCAGTAGCCACCTACCCTAACCCTTCACGAAGTGTTTCTACAGGCCTCCTCCACACCCAGACACGCTCTTCTCTTCGTCTGGATACCTGCTGCACATTGACGTTCAATCTCCTCTGGTCTACTATACCAGGAGCAAGTCTTTCCTGACGAATTTCTCAGTCTTGTCGCTTTGGAGACAGGCCGATCTGTACCTCACAGAGTCAAACGGGCTTGTCAATCTCTCACGGACCATCCGGTACGTTGGCTCAGATCTCCTCCACATGTCAAACACCCAAAAAATTCTAATTAAGAAAAAGAAAAAGAAAGAAATAGTAACAGACCCACCAGCTCCCACGGGAATACAGTTGAATCATTGCCACTGACGATCTGCAAAGGGCTGGTCCCTGACTATCTTGTTCTCAGTCGGCCCAGGCCGCGCCACAGTGGAAACCCCCGTTGTACTGTAAGTCACCCCATCGACCAGGTCGTCCTGCCTGCTGAGGCTGATGGTCTGATCACTAACGCTTCCGGTTTTCTCAGCCACAAACTCGATAGGGGTGTGAATCTTTCTTTCGCTTCTTTGCGTTAGCGGATTTATCCACCCTTGCTGTCACCCACAGGCGCGCTTCTTGCTGAGCTTAGCCTTCCTTCTTCCTCCCGGTGACAGGCTACGGCTATTTTGGGATCCCGTTCTTTCCCTGCCCACCGAATCTTATTTCCCTGTTACAGACGCCCCCAACAGAGGCACTAGGTATATCCCAGTTGGTACTTCGGGCGCCGCCTAGCGTCTCACACCGGAAAGGACCTCAATCCTTAGCTTGTGGCTTATGCGCGTGTGTGTCCCCTAACAATTTGCAGTCAGCCCAGGCCTCGGCTTTGCTTTTATCCTCCCCGGCTTGGTCGCATCGTGTCAAGCTTTTCCGGTAGCCCGTGTTCTCTGGGTCTCGAAGTTTGGTTGCAACACTTACTTGCACTTTAATTTACCCTATCTCGGGCCACGTCGCCCAGTACATAACTCTTTGGGTATGTGCCAACTCTTTTCCTCTCTTCTTTCTTCACGCATGAGTGTGCGAATTCCCCCTCTCGGACACCTACCCTATGACCACACGGCCCAATCCCTCTTATCAGCGGCATTGTGCCCAGTAAGTAGGGGGGTTTCCTTTACGCGCTTCGCCACTACTACCTTGTTTGCCTTTCAAACCCATTCGTTCTATCGACTGTATGCCCCCACCTCATATTGTCCTTTTCCCTGTTTTCCCCGCTAGCCCACTGGCTGTTAAAGGCAATTCCCTGCAGAGATGCCGCACAATCCAGTTTTGGAAGATTCTAGCCGGCTCTTGGCTGAAAAGGAAAAGTGTCTGCAGCGCCTCTTTTTCTGAACTGTTTTGTCTCCCTCGTTCACTCTACCGATTTCCTCGTTCACACTTGAATTCACTTGCGCCCTACCTTCTTGGTCACCTCTTTTGACGAGACTGTGATTATGGCTTTTTGTTGACAATTGTGATTTCCTGCAGCATCCAGCCTTGGGAGTCTCGGCTCTTCATTCGTTTCCGATTTCGTTCAAACCTGTGCGCGTCGCAGCGAAATTTGTCATTTGAACACGGAGGTCCCCGGTGGTCTCTAGTCAAGCAGTGCCACCAAAGACAGGGAGTGCGTTCGGCAGCGTCATCTCCGTGTCTGTTTTTCACTGAGAAGAACCGGGCCTCATGGGAGATGTTCCACCAGGAAAGGTTAATACATCTCCAGGGGTTGCAGATACGACAGCCCCAGTACCCAACCCGCCAAATGTGTCTACGAGGCCAACTCAAGCGCCTGGTAAGTTTCCTTGCACAACTTGTGAGATATTCAATATACTGACTCGACTGCTTTACTATAGGGTCAACCAGTGTCAGTCAACCCTCGCGGCCGGCCAATGCCGGCCGTCACTCCAGTCCCAAGGCGGGCAGGGGACATGGGCAATACGGACACTCCCCGACACCATTGAACATGAGCCATATGGCCTACACCCTACCAAGCCCCCCGTCGCAGGCATTGCCATTCGAACAGCAACATTCGCCACACCCATATGTCCCCTCGATGCACCCCCAGGGCGCGATATACCCCATGCAGCCGATGGGGCCCTATTCCGGGCCGAATACTGGTGGTAGCGTTCCTTATGGCATTCCTTATGCACCATCATACCCGCCATACGGCGTTTCTCGGCACCCAGGCTCGCCTATTCAGCCGGGTAGTGCAAACTATCAACCCTATGGGTCCGTACAGCCTGGTCCCGGTCCAGGGCAGATGCACGTTTATGGTTCTGGCTATTACCCACAGGCACCATACACAGCGCCATTTGGACAGGGCGGTCATGTTCCCGGAGGTCCCATGCTGCCGCAGTCTGGGCTTCCACCTTACCAAGTTGCCCAAAGCGGTTCGCCAGTGACGGACCCGAGTGTACGAAAGGACGCTGTGAAACTACCTGCGGACTTGGAGTATGATGTCTCCAAGACGATTGTCGATGGCTCAAACCCGAAGAAGTCGGCGCAGGCTCAATCCCATCATGGAGGTACGTGGAAACGTTGGAAGGCCTTGGGACGATATCTTGTGCTGACCAAATTGTATAACAGGGATCCTGTCCTCGCCCCCTTCGACACCTAATCGCCCCGGCACCCCCCGAGGGCCCCCTCGCAAACCGAAACAGTCCGGCCATGCCCTTTGGGTCGGCAACCTCCCGACGGGTACCGGGGTGATCGACCTCAAGGATCACTTCTCCCAGGACGCTACCCAGGACATTGAGAGCGTGTTCCTGATCTCCAAGAGCAACTGCGCGTTTGTGAACTACAAATCTGCAACTGCCTGTGCTACGGCCTTACAACGATTCCACGATTCCCGGTTTCACGGTGCTCGCCTTGTCTGTCGATTGCGCAAGGGTTTCACTGTGCCTGGGTCCAGTCCTCCGGCGCATGCAGACGATGTTCCGACGACGGCTCTGCCCGGCCCTGAAAGTCAGGGCACGTCTGAAGCTGTTTCTACAGGGCCGCAGGACCCGCCGATCCGCATGCCCGAGCGATACTTTGTTGTCAAGAGTCTGACGGTGGAAGATCTCGAGATGAGCAAACAGAGTGGTATCTGGGCCACGCAGAACCATAACGAGGCGAGCTTGAACCGGGCTTACGAGGTGCGTTTATTTCTGTTCTTGTTCACAACCCCTTCTCTAACCCACTATAGACCAGCGACAACGTCTACCTGATCTTCTCCGCCAACAAGTCCGGCGAGTATTTCGGATATGCACGGATGATATCGCCGATCAACGACGACGAAGCGTTAGCATTGGAGATGCCCACCCGCCCAGAACCAGTACCCAGTAGCGCACCCGACGAGATGGACATGACCCCGACCGCCGCCACCCTCACGGCGCCCAAGGGTCGAATCATCGACGACTCGGCGCGGGGCACGATCTTCTGGGAGGTTGAGTCGTCGTCGTCGAGCGACGAGCCAGATACGCGCAGTGAGCCCAGCGTTGTGGCCGAGGCCGAGGAGGAGGGCCAGTCGTTTGGCAAGCCCTTCCGTATCCAGTGGCTGTCGACGGAGCGGGTGCCGTTCCATCGTACGCGCGGGCTGCGCAATCCCTGGAACGCCAACCGGGAGGTGAAGATCGCGCGAGACGGGACCGAGATCGAGCCGGCGGTCGGCCGAAAGCTGGTGCAGCTGTTCCACTTGCCGGCGAGGCCATAGTCCGTACAGTGTTCGTGTTCTAGACCCATGTTGAAGGCAACAATCAAAAACATACTCCCGCTGCAAGAACCTTGTGTACCCGTTCTTAGTAATTCATGTTGGCGGGGAACCCAGTCGTAGAGGATAGTGGAGAACAATCTGGGGTGAGCATCATCGACTCCACCCAATAATCGATCATCTTCTGCTCCTTCTTTCTCTTCCTTCACCCTCCCGCCCTCCTTCACATGTGCTCAGCTGTAAGTCCCCGGTCTCTTCCTCCCTTCATCTCGCTCTCTCTCTTTCTCTTTCTTACAGTCACACATCCACACACTCTCTTTTGACCCCTGCTGGTACTTCTGCCTACCCACCTCCCTTCAGTGGCGCCACCTCCCTCCCCTCTGCTTCTCCCTACCCAGACACTCTTTACATCCATCCCAACTCACCGTTCTCTTCTAGGTTCCATCATCTCCCCTCCTTCCAATCTCCTCTTCTCCCCCAATTCTCCATTGATTGGACAATCCAGGTCCACGCGGCTCTTGACGTCACCCACACACGACCATCCGCATTCGACAAGCGACACATTGCAGCTTCAGGGTGCTGCTTTTGGCCTTTGTCCAGAACAGACGGCCTTTCTTTCCCTCGGCTTCAGCTCCATGCGAAGGGCGGCGAGTCCGTCCGAGCTCTGCCTCCTCTGCCTGACCCCCCCCACACGCCTGCCTCTCATAACTGAATTTCACCGGTCCACCACCATGTCCGACGATCGCTCAACCTCCCCCATCTCCGTCCCCAACGCCCAATCTCGCCAGCGGCGAGGCTCCTTGGGTGCCACCTTCACCGACCTCTTTGCGAAGCAGAACAACGCACCCCCCGCGAGCGGCTCTCAGGCGACCGGATCCAACGGCCAGACGAACCAACAGCGCCGGCTGTCGATTTCAACCCTTGGCCTGTCCGGCTCGCCGACCCAGACCTCGGCTTTTGGAAGCCGTGCCTTCCGTCAGGGCAGCCTGTCGAGCTCCATGGGGTCCAACGCCCCCAACGCCGAGGATGCCGTGGGCGAAGATGCAGAGGGTGCATCCCCCGGCGCGACGCCCAACTCACCGTTCGCACGACGGGTCTCATTCGGCGCCCAGGCGCTGCGGGAGGCTCGCGCAGGAAGCATGCCAAATGGTAGATATCCCCTTGCACCCGGGCCGCCGGCCAAGGCAGTCCGAGCCAGCGGGTCCTCGCCCGGCTCGGCGTCGGTCCGCAGCCCACCCCGCTCCCCTGCTGCTGGTGCAGCTGCTGCAAGTACAAACACAGTTTCTCCCCAGGATGAGAGATCTAACGCATCGCGCCGGCCTACAGGCGAAGGCTTCAACTGGACCGAGGCGCTCCGTTCGCGTGCCGAGCGCGCCCCATCCATCGGTGGCCCCATCTCCCCGTCGGGTCCGCAGTCGGCGATACGTCAGCCGGGCCAGCATCAGCGGGCGGCTTCCGTCGCCACTATGGAGCAGCCCGTTCGGGAAATGCCCAAGCAGCCTAAGCAGAATAAGCCGGACTTCTTCCAGGAAAAGATCCTGCGCGGTGACTTTATGGACTAAACCGGGATGACCGACTGGTCATTCCTTGTTAGTGTGTGCGAAAAGTTCTACCACGATTACAACGTCGATGATTGTACTCTATCCACATCCGTCCGTCGTTTCCCGTTTGCTTTGCCCAGTTGATTTCTTTCTGGTCTTTCTTTCACGGCCGAGGAGAGGAATCTTAGGACAGGGAATCAGAATGAGTCTATTTGGGTCGGTTGATTAAATTGCAACCAGTGGATCTGGCGCCGTTTTCTTTTGTTTGTGTTGTTCCTCATTGCGGTCATATTTCTTCCATCAGTTCCATCCTGGAGATGCGTCATTCTTGTTTTCTTTGCCTGTACTTCCTGATATATGAATAGCCAGCCAAATTGACATGACAGATATCTACTACTTTGATAATTACCACTACCGCTCGAGATTTGATCTCTGTACAAGGTTGGGTATATATACACATACACTTGCCCACCTTGTATACCACTACCAGCACTGTCCTCGTCCTTCTCATAAATCACGCCGTCGTCGACGGACCTGCCTCCGGATCCTCCGCATGGTCATGAACCGGCGCGCCGCCCTCCGTGCTCTTCTTGGCTGCCGCATTCGTTTCCTCCTTGTCATATTGTTTTGCCACGCGACGATCCATAAGCTGATCCGTCGTGAGCCGCTCCTCCGGCGCTGGCGGCGTCCAGCTACTGCTCTTCCACGGCGGCACACGCATGACATACATCATATCCATCTCCTCAAGGGTCTTGTCCTTACCCTCAATCACGAAAAAATAAACCACTAGCACAGCGACGAATAAGCACCCAGCAAACACATACCCATAGGCAAAGTCGATATCGCCCGTGATAAACGGCGTGAAGAACCCAATCAGGAAATTCCACAGCCAGTTCGACGCCGTCGCCAGCGCCATCGCCCGCGCGCGGTAGCGAGAGGGATACAACTCCGCCACAATCGCCCACACCATGGGACCCCAGGTCATTGCGAACCCCGTGATAAACAGGCAGGCAAACACGACGAGTGCCTTTCCGGCGCCGGGTGTTCTCTGCGGGTGTTGCACGTCTAGCGAGAAGTGTCCCACCGATGCGAAGACCATGAAGCAGACGAACATCCAGATTCCGCCGGTGATTAGAGATTTGCGTCGACCGAAATGTTCGATGATATACAGCCCGCCGAAGGTCGTGCCAAAGTTCACACCACCGAGAATCATCTGCGTCACGTATGAGTTGTTGATGCCGGCACCTTTGAAGATCACCGTTCCCTGCATAGGAAATGAGACCGTTAGCGGAACCTAGTCCTAATGTTCAGAGAGACACATACATAGTAGAAGAAGTAGTTAGCACCGGTCAGCTGCTGTAGCGCCTGAAGCACGACACCAAGCACAACGCGATAGGGCATGCGCGGCGCCCGGAACATCTCGACCCAGCCATACATGCCACCGCGGGAGCCCTTCTCGGCCTCAAGCTGCTCATCGATCTCAAGGACCTCGTGCACGATAACCCGGTGGTGCTCGGAGATACCGTATAGCTTCGCCATGGTGCGTTTCGCCCGCTCGATGCGGCCATGACGATAGTCGTACCGAGGGCTCTCTGGGAGAAAGATGATTCCCACACCGAGTACAAGAGCCCAGAGGAAGGTGATACCTAGCGTAATCCGCCAGGAAGCAGTGCTGTTCATCTTCTCCGTGCCGAAGTTAATGCAGTAGGCGACGAAGATGCCCAGTGTGACGAATAATTGGTACGAGCTGGATCCGTCAGTGGTCGCCCTGATGGCAATTCAATAAGATTATATATATATTTTTTGACGTACCACACCATGGCGCCACGGATGTGTCGCGGCGAAACCTCACCCTGGTACATGGGGACCAGCAGCGAGCAGGCACCCACGCCGAACCCCGTCACAAAGCGGCCCATCATGAACTGATACCATTTCCCAGACGGCGATGAGATCTGGATAATGAGGCCAACGTTCAGAATCACGCACCAGAAGGCAATGCTCCACTTGCGGCCAATGCGGTCTGCCAATGGGCCGGCTATGAGAGCACCGAGTAGGGTTCCAATCGACAACTAGTAAGACAGTGTGAGCCCCGAGATAGATCAAACCCAAGTCGACGTTCAATCAAATGCATATACATACCAAGGAAACAATCAGCCCCGAGCGAACATTGCTAAACGTAAACGAACCATCACTCTGCAATTGGCCGAAGCGATGCTTGAAATTATTCATCTCGAGAAACCCTGAGATCTGACCCGTGTCGTAGCCGAAGATGATACCGCCAATCGACACGAACGCGCCTAGGGCCACAGAGCGCCATGTCACGAAGGGGACCTTGGACTCGTCGAATGAACTACTGCGTCGTTTCTCCTGCTCGGTTGATTCCTCCGATAGATCGGTCAAGGGCGGGGACTTGCCGCCCTGGCTGTGTTTATTGAAGAACGACAACATAGTGACGTTTGACTGGACTGACTGAACAAAGTGGAAACTGAAAGAAAGAGTCGAATCTAGAAAGCACCAGTAATGCGATTGATGTCAATTGAGGTGTGAGGCAAAGCATTTGTCTACGAGATCCGCCAAGTCCCTCCCCTGGTGGCTACGTGCTCTCGTTATATGAAATTCACGATGCGAGTATGTAATCATAGGTCATAATGGGTCTTGAAATCATAGGTCATAGGTTGCCACAATGCCATCCGCTCCGATTTCACGAGTGGAATTCATCCCGTCATTGACCGCGGTGCCGTCATGGCTCGCAGTGTTGTTAAGGCCCTGGTATAGTCAACCAACTATAGGTACCTTATAACCCCGCCATTTCGCGCGGCCGGAGCTAGTCAGCCACAATTTCCCAAACTGAGCTATTTCCGATCTTTCTTGTCCGTCCTGTGGTGGCTGACCACTGCATTTTCGGGCTCCGTGGCTGCAATCCAAGGTGTTGGGGTGAATCCGGCAGTGCGCGGGAGTCGTTTACGTCAAACCCCACGAGCGATAGATAATGGTCTTCCGATCCGCCCGGCTGGATTGCACTCGGCCGAAGGAAGAATCTTGGAGGAACAATGGAAATTATATGCGACGTGGTAGAGTAAGGGCGGGCGGGTGGAGTAGCTGAGGCAGCCACAAAGTCACATTCAATTGATTAACTATGGCACGGTAAAAAAAGTAAACAAATGAGGAAAGTTTAAAAAGTAGAAAGGTAAAAACACAATTTAGTACGGGATACCATTGGTCATCAGCTGGAACTGATCGTAGCCCTTAGTCGAGACGCTCATGTACGACTTCTTGACGAGTTCGCGCATGTACTCAGCGGCCTCCCTCTCGCTCTTATCCAGCACGAACCGGTCACGGAAGTTCTTCAGGGTCTCCGGCTTGAAGCACGGCAGGCCGCTATCCAGCATCAGAGCCACTATGTGCGACAACTTGGTGCTGTATGGCCGCGAGGCCAGGAACGCCTTGACAGCCAAGGACTCAAACCACTTGTAGGCCTGCGTGTTCGTTGGGTCCTTCGAGTGACCACCTCTGGGCAGGCCGCCGCTGGCGTGGTGCGCCGGACTCTGCGTGCCGCTCATGACGGCCACCATCTCCGAAGTCAGTTTGAAAGGTGCGCGCTCAAACCGCACGCCACCGGGGGCAATGTCGAAACAGAAGCCGAAGTCAATGTGGATGATGTGCCCTGCATCGTCGACCATGATATTTCCGTTGTGACGGTCCTTGAACTGCAGGAGGTAGGTAATGACTGAATACGCCGCCATACTCTTGACGAAGTTGGTGCGGGCCTCCTGGAAGCGGATAGAGTCCTCTCCGCCGTACTTGGACACAAAGTAGTCGTAGAGCCCGTTCACAGCCTCGCGTCCAAGCATGTCTCGAGAGATGGAATTGGGCAACACGTCGATAACGCCACAGCCCGGTGCCGTGGAGGTCACTCGGTACGGGAAGACCCAGACATCCAGGCCAACGCTATAGAAGATGCTTTGGAAAGCCGCGATCATCTGCAGGGCGAGCATGTCTTGACGACAGTCATCGCCCACTTTGAAAATGGCTGATTGCCAGATTTCGTAGGTCTCCTGGTTCGACTCCGAGGACTTGGCGATCAATTGTTTTTCCTCGGGTCCATGGACACCAGTGGTGGAATCGGTCGAGGCATCCAAGAGCGGCCGTGTTTTCTGGATTCGGAAAGTTGCCATGTATGGCGCCTTTGCGTGACTCTGGAGCGGCTTGCCCGATTTGCGATCAATGCCCACAACGATGCCATCAGGGTTGCTAGGAAGATAGACCCCGACCTCTACCTTGATCTTCCGCAATTCTTCCTCGATTTTCTCCTTCTTCTCGGGCTTGCTCCTCTTGATATATGGACGAAGCTTGCCAGAGACGTCTGTGATCTCGTTGAAGAACGAGAACTCTCTTTCATAGAACTCTCGCTCTTCGAGAGAGAAGCTGCCAATCAGAGTCTCAATGAATCGATCCAGTGTCGGTTTGAGAGGATCTGGCACTTGAGATTCCTCATCCTTGTAAGAGTTGGCTTTCATATTCCAGATCACCTGGTGTGCGAACAATTGAGATAGTTTGGCTGTTTCAAGGATATAGCGCTCGACATAACCCAAAGCGTCATACCGGAGGGCCTGGACCAACTGTGGAACAATATAGAAACGAACATCCATGGAATGGCTTTCCAAAGCCCGCATGGCATACTGCAAAATGAATGGGTGATTTCCGTAAGCAGGCAGGAAATAAGTCAGCGCTTCGATGGGGTTGACGGGCGCCCAGAACAACAGGTACTGTTTATGATTAGCTGGAACTGGCATTATATGGAGGAAGTAAACAAACCTTCAGCTGGAAATTAACGTCCGAAGCCAACGACGAGTCGAACATGATCTCAAGAGCAGACGGCTCGCCAATGACCTTATCGGGGAAATTGAGGATTAACCACCGAACTTCAGTCTGCAACTTTGCGGAGGGAAAACGAGCAGCGAGCTGGAGTGCCAATCCTGGATTCTCTGCCCAAGCAAGGCGGATAAAAGATGCAAGCCCGTCAACATTTTTGCTTCCGCTGCCATGCTTCTTTTCGGGCTCCAGAGGGAAAAGCCAGACTCGAAGGCGTGATCGTTCATTCTCGATGAAAATCTGGACGAGCTCTTGCTTCGCCTGCAAGGACTTGTAGGACTCGCGACCATTCACGGCGATGTTTGCCACGCCGCGCAACAGAGACAAAACGTCCCCGAGAATTTTATCCTCAGATTTGATCTGCAGTCGATTGCCTCCAAAAGACCATCGTGGCGGGTGTTTGAACCAACCGAGAGCAGCTGAGAGAATCTGGTCCTTGAGCTTCCAGGCCGCACCGCTGTTGCGAGGAGTGAGGTGCCTCAATACTGTCAGTCCGAAGAGAACGATACGGAAATGCACTTCTCTGGCCAGAGGATGGCCCTTGCTCTTCGAAAGACCCGCAGCGGTGCTGCTGACTAGGCGAATGGCCAGCTGCTGGTCCTGCAGGTTGCCCAGGCGGATAGCACTGAAGTGGCTTTCAAAGAACTGGAGAACACGTAAGTGTGGCGAAAGCGTGTTCTGAGCCTTCTGCTGCTTCCGCAACATCAGAGCCTTGTCTGTTGGCGAGAGCTCGATATTGGAATACATCGGGTCCATGTATCTTCAATAATTAGCAATTCCGAATTGAAATCTACCGGGAAAAGGACTTACCCAAACGATGGATCAAACAACCCTTTCCGGCGCTGTATACTCCTTTCCCACGCCTCAATCACCTCTGTCAGGATCCGTGGCTCCGTGCTCGGGTTCTCATGAATGACTCCAAGCCAAAGGGAGACTCCCAGCTTGATTGTATCTTTGGTAAATATCTGAAAAGGCAAAGCGACCAGATAGTGAATGACAGAAAGCCGAGGCTTGCTGGTACCACAAATGAGGCCGGCGGCTTGTCGTAGGGTATCTCTGACTTCAGTGAGAGGAATGTCAATCCCCTCGAGGCTTCGTTCATAAAGACGGGAAAGCTTGTATTCCAAATCTCCGGCAGAGGGCGCGAGAAGCTGCATCCCAGGTTTACGACCAAAGTTCAAAGAGGCGCCCCCTTCCCCTGGGGACATATCGGGACGTCTATATTTTTGGCGCGTTGTATACAGCGCCATAAAATCAGATGCAACATTAACGTCAGTGCTCTCGTGGTCGACAGATCCCAGTCGGGGGTCACTTTGCGGGATGACGGATCCCATTTCCAGGGCGAACGAACGACCCAGTGCAACATGGCCGTATCCGCCATCATCATCGTATTCACTGAGATAGGTCTGGAGCAGCCCTTTGACATCCAATGGAGCAATGTTCAAGACACTTGTGACCCATGCCCTGGCTCGTTCCAGGAATCGGTTCAAAGTTGTCTTTCTCAGCGCGTAGTTATCAGACAAGTCCACCCTGACTATGCCCATAGGCGAAACCAGTGAAGGCTGCCACTCAAACTCGTCAAGTTCTCCCTGTAGGCATGATGACCACATCACGGTCAAGATTTCAAGCAAAGCGAAGAGAGATTGCTTCTCACATAGCGCAGAAGGGCATTCCCGGATGATCTTATCAGCACATAGCACTGCAATGCTCTGAACTCGTTCGATGCGATGGCAGCATGCCACCAGGAACTCAGCCAGTTGGTTCGATAAGTACGAGGCCGAAAAATCGTCATGTTCTCCGGAAAGGGTGAGGAACAAGTAGGATTTGACCCCTTTCTCTGCAATAGCGTTCATACACATGACCATCTCCGGGGTGGCTAGGGCTGGGTCAAGGAAATAACTCAGGATCCTGGTGCAGTTCCCAGAGACCGCACGCAGACTTTCAACGAGCAGCACAGCATTAAGAAAGATGGCTCGCGGATAGTCAAGACGCTTGATGTCCGATTCACGACCAGGCAGTTCAGAAATCAGAGTCTTTTTCAGCTCCGTCGTTCGCTGGGGCCCCGAGCCCCGTCTGAGTACCGTGTTAAGTTCCACATCACTCTCTAGAGACTCCATACGGTCTTCGGCAAGCAATGGTGGAGAGTATTTCGCCAGCAGCCGCAGTTCCTTCCAATGGGCTTCGGCAATTTTCGAATTAAGTGAGATTCCATGAATGGCGAGGTTGAACCATGCATCCCGGAATAACGATGTGATAGATTCATCGTAATCGCCTGCAGACTCGGACAGCCCTGAGGAGACAAGCAATGCCAACGGTTTCAACAGAGGGGTAATGTCATTAGGCGAGAAAATAATTTCCTTGTGGCGTTCACTCTCCAGATCGGGAACATCGCCCTTGTTGACAATGCTCTCCAGTAGATGAATCAGGTAAAGTCTGCGGAGGGGCGAATTTCGCTCCAGGTTCACAGAGAGAGACGACATGGCACATTGAACTGCGTCCAGAATAATGTCCAAGCTTTTGTTGACCCCATCGACATAGATTCGGTTATAGAATTTGAGCAGAAGCTGGAACTCGGCCTGTCCGCTGCTTAAAGCTAGCACGGCAGTTTCCTGGATGATGTAGGCATCCACGGCCACATTGATCTTACCCACCTTTTGCAAAAGCATGGACTGCGCTAGGGCGCTAATCTTGTCGTCTTCACAACTATTTGCAACTGTCACGATGGCATGAACGACATTCCTGTGAGTGATCGTGTCTTCGTCACCATCGACAGGGAGAGAGATCAGGCTCTCAGTCTTCTGTTCGCGAGTGAGTTGATCCTTGTCTGCATTGGGACGGGGGCTCAGCGCATTGCCCAGAGAGTAAAGGGTGGTGATCACGGCATCCTCGGAAAGAATTCCCACCACCTGAGCCAAGCACCGGGCGGCGACGGCGACCACAGACCCGGTCGATATGCCACTCTGAATCAAGAACCGCAGGAGACTCTTTCTCCCCAATGATGCGCCATTGGAAGACATCCTTGCCAGGATTGCGGTGCATTTGAGAGTGGTCACGGCCAGCTCCGTGCTTGCCATCTGGTTGGCATCGATCAGGGTATCCTCAAGCCAGGACAGGAGAGTGTCATTGTTGGTTGCGTCTTCACCAAGGACCACGCAGTTCAAAAAGCCAACCAACGCACATCCTTTCACCGAGAAAGCAAGCCGTTGCTGCCACGGTGAGCCTACTTTGAGGTAGTCCGAACCGTCCTCGAGCAAGTGAATCTCCTCGCTGATAATGTCGGTGATCCGCTCAACCAAAGCCCTGTCTGTCTCGTCGTAGCTCTTAGCAATGCCGACACCGTTCATGTAATCGTCGAGAAGCTGGTCATCCGACAGGGTTTGCAGACCGATCAGAGATGCCGCGCAGGACTTGACAAACCGCATGAAGCCCTCTTGCACGAGCATCGCACTCAGCGGGCGACCGTGGGCGGCATATCGCCTGGTATACTTTCTCCAGTTCTTAAAGGCATTGTCTACGGAACTCGTGTTCCGGATGGTGGAGGAAGCCGTCTCGACTGCAATCATGAACGACTCCGACAACATGGCCCGCATGTGATCGACGATTTGGAGCTTCTCAATGGCATTCCAGACACCGGTAAATTTTGACGCGGCATCCAAAAAGCCAACCAAAGAGACTGCAACCGACAAGATTGTCATAGAGTCGTGCACAACACCCTTCCCACCAGACTCGGATTTCGAATATGAGAAGGGCGTGGCAGCCTTGACTGCCGCAGCGCAATTATTCAGATACGCATTGGCTGCATCCACGGCTATCTTCCGCAGAGACTGGTGTCTGGTGGCCAACGACAGAAGACCGAGAGTCAGGTTGTTGGTGAGAGCCTCGGAAGGGGACGGTTTTACGCTCTGGAGGAAGGGGGACGGCCGAAATAGCTGGCTGTGAGATTCGGGCAAGTATTGCGAGAGCTGAAAAGCCAGTCGCGAGGCGTGTTCGGGCTCATTCACCGATGAGGCGGCCTTGCTGAGAGCGAGCAGGACATCAAGTTCACGAATTCCCTAATGATGTCAGTTTCGCCTGGTGAGAGTTCCAGTCAGGCGCACATACCATCGGCACTCGGGATGCTGGAGCTTGGTCGCGCAAGACGCCATTCAGAGCTCCATCCTGGCGGGTCGGGCGCGACTGCTGGGCGAGGCGCTCCAGTTCGGAACCATCGCGGGCAGGCGACTTGACGGCCAAGGTCGCGAGCTTCTCCAGGGCAGAGCGCCTGATACCTGCAGCAACCCTGATTTGGTTCGTCAGTAGCAAACAACCGACTGGGCAAGGGAAGCATACCCGTCCATTATGAGTGAGGCTGGTGGGGAGGTTGGTGTTTGGGGGATGAAAAAAATCCGGGGAAGAAAGGGACGATTTCAGGGGATTGCACGTGTCGGACGAAGCCTAGGTCCGACAGCAGCTGTGTACCGGGCACAAGGTTGATCGGAGTATTTGATTATGTATTATATTATTATATGATATGGCATTATTACAATTATTCTTGGAATAGAGGATAACCGGATTCCAATCTGGATAGCTTAGGTGGTGTGCTAGCTTAGTTAGCTGGGTTCGATGTGATGGATTGTTGTCTCAGTTTTGTTGTTGAGCCTCATTGCGTCCTTCCTCTCCAGACCTCTTCCTTTCGCTCTCATTTGTCCCTTTCAGCCACACACCCTTCGGTCACATCCTTACTGCGCAGGACTGGTGCGATTTTTTGTTTTCATTCATGCAGCTGCGCCGCAGCGCTTTCCGTGACTGCGCTGCTAGGTAGCCATCCCCCCCCCCCCCCCCGGAGACAGCCTCGTTGCCTGCGGTGCTTCCATCACTACTCCAGAAATCATGGGCCCTCGCAACGAGAAAAGCTCGCACAAGCGGGGCAGGGTGAGTACTATGGCCAACCTAGAACCTTCGCCTCTATCATCCTACTCACTCCCTGCAAACGTTCCAGGCTAGCGCGGACTTGGATTCGGACCAAAAGAAACCCCGGCGCTCCCAGAGAATCTCTAGCCAGACCCATCCCCACGAGACCCCGATTGATTATCAATACCTGCCGACGCCGTTGACGAATCGAAAGGAAGTGACGGCCACTCCCCCCGCGAGCGCGAAGACCGCTCGTCAACGAACGCCCAACATAGAGCTGCTGCACTCCACTTCCTCGCCGCCCGGAGATACGCAGGCGTTGTCACAATACGTGTATCCGCCAAGGGCCTTTGCAGACGAAGTGGACGACGAGAATGCAGAAGGCGTCTGGGGTTATCTGCTTCCCCTCGATGACACGGTCGAGAACTCGCTTGTTTTGAAGACGCGTACCAATTGCGAGAACCGGGATACCAATGCTACAAAAGACAAGTCCGCCAAGCCGACCCAACGCTTGGGAAGAGAGCCATCTCGCAGGCAAAAGAACGGCCATCCACCGAGCGGCTACTTGGTCGGCCGTCACCCCGAATGTGGTAGGTACATGTCTTTTGCTATTTATGCTCGGGAAATCCGACAGCCAACCATTTTTAGATTTGGTTATCAACATTTCTACCATCTCCAATCGTCACTTCCTCCTTTTCTTGGAAAAGAAGGATGGCGACATAGTGGCTGTTGTGGAGGATCTCTCCAGTAACGGGACGTACGTCAACGACGCCCTTGTTGGGCGAAACCAGCACCGTGAGCTCGAACACGGGGACGAGATTTCAATCAGGGGCGAGTCGCGGTTTGTCTTCCGTTATCCTCGCTCTCGAGGTACGAATGGCTTCCATCAACAGTATCGGAAGGACAAGAAGCTCGGAAAAGGCCACTTTGCGACTGTGTACATCTGCTACGAACAGGTCAGCGGCAAAAAGTATGCGGTCAAGATCTTTGAGAAACGCGTGGGAGATTCGCAGAAAGCCCGGGATGAATCTTTTCAGAAAGAAATTGGCCTGTTGATGAGTGTGAACCACCCGAACCTTCTTTGTCTGAAGGATACCTTTGATGAAACCGATGGAGCCTACTTGGTGCTGGAGCTGGCCAACGAGGGTGAATTGTTCAATTTGATTATGACCAAGCAGAAACTCAGCGAGGCCGAAACCCGTCGAATCTTCCGACAGCTGTTCGACGGGCTCAAGTATCTGGTTTGCATGCCACTTTGTCGGTGCGTCCCTACGTATGGCTAACGACCATCATTAGCATGACCGAGGAATTGTTCACCGCGATATCAAGCCCGAGAATATTCTTCTTTCATCCTCGGCTGACAGCAAGCAAATGGTTGCGAAGCTGGGCGACTTTGGTCTTGCCAAAATCATCGGCGAGGACTCATTCACCACAACGTTGTGCGGTACACCATCTTGTAAGTTGCTCTGTTGAGTCCATGTCAGGCGCACCTTTCGTGCTTACTGCTTCTAGATGTGGCCCCAGAAATCCTGCGGCCGGGCGATCACCGCCGGTATACGAAAGGAGTGGACGTCTGGTCCCTCGGCGTCGTTCTCTACATCTGTCTATGCGGATTCCCGCCTTTCTCGGATGAGCTGTTCACCGAGGAGAACCCATATAACCTCGCCCAGCAAATCAAGATGGGCCGATTCGATTATCCCTCGCCGTATTGGGATTCCGTGGGCGACCCGGCGCTCGATCTCATCGACCGCATGCTCACCGTGGACGCCGATAAGCGAATTACGGTGGACGAGTGTCTCGAACACCCATGGCTCATCGGGGACAATCTCAGTCTGACCGACAGTACGGACGGACTGACTGGCGCTCTGGGCAAGTTGGACTTTTCGAAGCGCAAGGTCCAACGGGAGCGGACCATGCTCAGCAGCGTGAATGATGTAAACTACAGCGAACATGCTGAGGGCGGCAGCACCCCCGTCAAGGTCTTCCACAAGAACGAGGCCGGGAAGCGGGTGCACAATCGGCCGGCTAAGAAGCGCGAGGCCTCCCCGAGTGGTACTCGAGCGCCACACGACTTCATCAACCTGGGTCAGCACGGCGACCCGGCGCTATACGATGAGGAGCCCAGCAGTCGCTACCGGTGATTTCCTTTTGTGTGGGTTCTGTCTGTTTATTGTCCGAGTATGAAAGGTACATAGTGTGGCGGCTCTGCGGTGTTCTTTTTTGTGGTTCTGACGGAAAAGCCAGTTTCAGTTCGGCGCCGGATCTTCTTGTTCCCTGTGGCGTGACTGTGGTCCAGGCAGCCCCGATCATAATAATGAAAAGTATTCTTATGTGCAACAGGAGAATCCTGCGTAGTACTAGACCCTTACTAAATAACTATACTAGAGTCCCGGACCTCGTAGCATTACGTAGAACGTGGCCAACCCCTGGCGGGCCTGCAGCGAATGGCGGTGCAGATAATTAATTCCACTTTTTTTCCCCTTGGCCATCTTTCCTTCTTCACCCATCCATTGTCTTTCCTCTCCACCCCCTCCCCTCTCTCGCCCGCGACCATGGGTCTCTTCTCTAGTTTCCTCGACTCCTTCTGCGAGCACTGCTCCTCCCAGTCCATCTATACCCTGGTGGCAGTCGGCGCTTTGTCCTTCATCGCTCTCTCCGTCGTGATCAACGTTCTGCGTCAGCTGCTGTTCAAGAACCCTCACGAGCCCCCCGTTGTCTTCCACTGGTTCCCCTTTATCGGCAGCACCATCAGCTACGGTATCGACCCCTACAAGTTTTTCTTCAACTGCCGCGCAAAGTACGGCGATATCTTCACGTTCGTGCTCCTCGGCAAGAAAACCACCGTCTATCTAGGCACCAAGGGCAACGAGTTTATTTTGAACGGCAAGCTGCGCGATGTCTGCGCGGAGGAAGTGTACTCTCCGCTAACGACCCCTGTATTTGGCCGCCATGTGGTCTACGACTGCCCCAACTCCAAACTCATGGAACAGAAGAAGGTAAGTCCGAAAGACGCGCCCAAAACGACCGATTGCTGACGGGGACTTCTCGCTAGTTTGTCAAATTCGGTCTGACCTCTGAGGCGCTTCGTTCCTACGTCCGTTTGATCACCACCGAGGTGGACAATTTCGTCGAGTCCTCCCACTGGTTCCAGGAGCCCAAGGGCACCTTCAACGTCTCGAAGGCAATTGGTGAGATCACCATCTACACCGCGTCACGCTCGCTGCAAGGAAAGGAGGTTCGGGATAGGTTTGACTCGACCTTCGCGGATATGTATCACGATCTCGACAAGGGCTTTGCGCCAATCAACTTCATGCTGCCGTGGGCACCTCTCCCTCACAACCGCAAACGCGACGCCGCACAGAAGCGGATGACCGACACGTACATGGCTATCATCAAGGAGCGCCGGGAAGCCGGTGTTGAGAGGGACGAGGAGGATATGGTGTGGAATCTCATGTCGTGCGTTTACAAGAATGGCACTCCCGTCCCTGACGAGGAAGTCGCCCACATGATGATTGCCCTCTTGATGGCCGGCCAGCACTCCTCGTCCTCGACCGCTGCCTGGATGGTCTTGCGCATGGCCACTTGCCCCGAAATCATGGACGAACTGTATGAGGAGCAGAAGCGAGTCCTGGGCTCCGACCTCCCCCCTCTTACTTATGAGAGTCTGCAGAAGCTGGACCTGCACGCCAAGGTGATCAAGGAGACGCTTCGCATCCACGCGCCCATCCACTCGATCATCCGTGCCGTCAAGAACCCCATGCCCGTTGACGGAACCCCATATGTCATCCCCACCACCCACAACGTCCTCTCTTCTCCCGGCGTCACGGCTCGATCAGAGGAGTTCTTCCCCAACCCACTCAAGTGGAACCCTCACCGCTGGGACGAGACCACTGTGGCCGAGGAGGATAAGGATGAAGAGCAGATCGATTACGGATACGGTCTGGTCACCAAGGGCACGAACAGCCCATATCTGCCCTTCGGCGCCGGTCGTCACCGCTGCATTGGCGAGCAATTTGCCTATGTGCAGTTGGGCACCATTCTGGCTACCTTGGTGCGCCATTTCAAATTCTCCAACCCTCCCGACAGGTCTTCTATCCCGGACACGGACTACTCGGTAAGTCTCATTACTCATGTTCATATCTGGAAGATCATTCGCTAACTAAACATTAGTCGCTGTTCTCCAAACCCCTCGGCACGTCATTTGTGCAGTTTGAGAAGCGTGGATATAAAGCATGATTGGAATGGGCTACCCCTTTGCACTTAATGATGTCTCTTTTTCCTCCCCCCACCAGGGCCCCCTGAGCGATTCCACCAAGTTTAGATATGTGGAAAGATCGCAACCGCTGTAGATTAATCTTTTGTTACCCTTCGTTCGGGATGTTTATACTGTTTCAATGATAACCATTTAATATTGGTGAAGATGCCTTAGGCTAGATGATGTAGTAGGATAGTATAGTACAGTAGAAACAGGCCCAATAGCCCAGCTCACAACGGAAGAGATATGCTTGACAAAAGAAAAGACAGCTGTCATCAGCCTCACGCGCTCACCTTCCTCCGCTCTTCAACTCGCCGCTTGGCCTGAACCTCGACCCGGCGCCTCTCACCTCCATCAACCTTGTGTCCCCGCTTATCTTCCCACATCCCCTCCTGGACTTTGAGCGTTGCCACCGAGCCATTGCTCCCCTGTACGGGCTGCAGGAAAGGCCCTTTGATCATCGAGCCCCGGTGAATCTTGATGTGTGCGAACTTCTTCAGCGGCGACTCCGAGTTGTGCTCATATTTCGTTGCATCTGGAGGCAGATTGACGACCACCCGTCTCATGCCGGGGGATAGGGTCGCCGACGCAGACAGGTAGGCTTTCCCGTTATCCGGTTTCGCAGAGGCATCGGGAACTTCAACGACTCGCAACTGCGCTACGCCGTCGACGACATGCTCCAGGTCCCCTCCGGGGCCATGCAGGCCCTTGCGGAACTTCTCGCGCTTCCGCATCAGGTACCGGCGCTGGCGGGCGGGTTCAATGCCCGCTGCTCGGAGCTCGTTGGAATTGAGCGTGAAGAGTTTCTCCCACGAGGGCAGCTTGCTCGCGTGCTTGGACATCGAGCGGCCGATCAGGGTTAGGAAAGTCTGCACGTCCGGGACGAAGGGGGTCGGCGAGGGCACGGAAGCTGCTGGCCTGGCCGGTTTGTGGAATTGTCGGAGGCATTGCCTGGAGGTATTGACGGTATGGACTAGGCGTGATGGGAGGGCACCCAGCGGCGTGCTGCGCATCGCCATGATGATGTGCTTGGTGTCGCAGAGTCTTCTTGCCACACGACGGCTAAATAACAGAAATGGACGTGAGTATAAAGAGAGACTGGTGGTTCTCAGGTCGCGCGTATTGGACAGAAAAATCGGGGGGATAGGCCGGGATCAACGATAGTCCGAGCGTCCTCCACGCCAACAACAACATAATTCCCAGTGACTGAACTGCCATTCTCATTCCTCTCCTACTTTACTGCCCGGGATGGCAGCTTCTCCATTTGCCTCCCGCTCCCCTTCGCTGACCGTCCCATCACCCAATACCCTCCGGCTGAGAGCTTCGGCGGCTCAGAACGCATCTCAGACCTCAGTGGCCCGCCGGCCGCAGAATGCAGACCAAGAGCTTACGGAACAGCTGAACGATGAGGTGCGGCAGAAATACGTCAAAGGTATGCTTCATTGATGGTGTCAGGTTGCCAGGCTACATCGCTAACGATAAAACAGACAAGAGGCTCGGAGAAGGGACCTACGCCGTTGTATATCTCGGCCACCTCAAGGACGACCCCAGCTCTCCTGTCGCCATCAAGAAGATCAAAGTCAATGCGGAATACAAAGATGGACTCGCCATGGACGCCATTCGGGAGGTCAAGTACCTCCAGGAACTCTCGCACCCCAACATCATCGCGCTACATGACGTGTTCTCGTCCAAGGACCAAAACCTCAGCCTGGTCCTGGAGTACCTTCCACGCGGAGATCTGGAAATGCTGATCAAGGATGTCAACATCCACTACGGTGTGGCCGACGTCAAGGCCTGGATGGGCATGCTGGCCCGGGGAGTGTGGTTCTGCCATGAGAATTTTGTGCTGCATCGGGATATCAAACCTAACAACTTGTTGATCGGCGCCGATGGAGAGGTCAAACTGGCTGATTTCGGTCTGGCCCGATCGTTTGCTGACCCAAATTACAACATGACCCACCAAGTGATCACGCGGTGGTACCGCCCTCCGGAGTTGCTGTACGGCGCGCGCCAGTATTCAGGCGCCGTTGATGTCTGGTCCATGGGCATGGTCTTTGCGGAGCTTCTCATCCGCATCCCCTTTGTGGCCGGAAACACAGACTTGGATCAAATCTCGAAGATCTGCGAGGCGTTCGGTACGCCCACGGAGGAGAATTGGCCGGGAGTCACCCAGTTGCCCAACTACGTCCCTTCGGATCGGATTGTACCATTGCAAGGGCGCGAATTCTTCCTGCGACAGTTCCCCATCGCGGGTCCGGTGGGTGCTGAGCTGCTCATGTCGATGTGTGCGCTGGATCCGAGAAAACGCACCACGGCTCTCCAGGCCCTGCGGCACAGCTGGTGGGCCACTGAACCCAAACCGACCAAAAAGGACGATCTGCCGCGCAAAGCGGGTGGGGACAAGAAGATGGGCGATGACTTGACCCGACGGGGTGGCGAGCTGGACGATAGCACTTTCAAGAATGCGGCGCGCCAGTTAGATTTTGGAGCGAAGTAAGGACCCTCGGCTCGGACCCGACCCAATGGTTTCACACCTGGCGTCGAGGATGGTTTTCGTCGGAGATATATGTATGCAGGGACGGAAGGACTATTCAATAATGTCCATGACAAATGCCTCTGACAAATCCGGGGGACCTTGCATCCCGCTGGATACCTTGACAGGGGGTGGAACACGGGCCGGGAGGATGTGTGACAGGTCGAGCTGTCAGTTCGCCACGCATGTGTCAATAACTCCTGCAAGCCACCCCCGACCGTTTCCCCACTAGGGACTAGGGCGAGCTGTCGTGTCCCTTTTGCCCTTGCCGTGGACTATCGATGTCCCTGGCGTCTCTGGTCGCATCTCCAGGAGGACGGTTAAGCTCATCGCCCCCCGCCTGTTCTCTGGGATCGAGACGATGCGATTGACAGGTGCGCACTGGCGGGTGTGGGGCGATCAACCAGAGCGTCGGCTGCACATGGGCAATGCTTGCCGATCGGAGTTCGGCATTTCGCCGGGAGAGGGAGGACGGGACGAGGGATTGCCAAGGGAGATCACTATCTACGGATCAGGGACCAGAAGCAGGAGGGAAGGGCAAAAGCCCTCACGTGAGTATTCCTCTCCTCCCGGAGCAAGTCGAGGACGGTTACGACGGAGTGGGCAGTCAATCGTACTTTCTGTGGTGTTCGTGCCAGACGGTTTCGCCCCCTTTTCCTAGGTCCACCGATGCCGGGTTCATTGGCCGATCCTCGACTTTAACGCCATCACATCCATTTTAGTCCGTAACCCCTTTTTCGGGGCTGCTCAATCACATTGCAGACCTGCAGGGGCTGTGACGAAAGAAACCAGTGACGGGCATTATTAAACCGAATCGGACTCCCATAGCCATCGTATTGCATACTGTAAAAAAGACGAAAAAGAACAGGTGCGGGGAGTACTAGAGTCGCGAGTAAACAAGCCACGGCCCGTTGGTTTCCACTATTCGTTGAACTCTTTCATTCCTCTTTCTTCCCTTTCCCCATCGCTCTCCCACCTTCTCTTTCTCTCTTTCTTCCCTCGACAGACCTCCCTCCAGACTCGAATTCCAGTCAAATCTCCAATTCTCGGCAGATCGCTGCCGCCCGCCCGTCCGTTGTGATTGCAATCTCGCATGGTCGTTTGGATCTGTATGTACCCGGAACCTACCCACTCTCCCCTGGCCATGGTCCAGCGGTGGGCTTGATCCTCAGACACCCCTCTCCGGTGGTCACGGTGGAACGTCTTGCTCTCCCACGCCCACCGGACCATGTTGCACTGTCTGACCAGTTCGTTTGGGCTAACCACCATCTCGACCAACCGCAGATTCAATATCAGGCGCGCAAAGAGGGCCCGGCCCCTCCATTCGCATGGCCATCACGCTACCTATTTACTGATCCAAGCTTTGACCATACCATGGCCTCAATGTCAGCACTGCCGCAGCCGTCACGGCCGGCCACCAATCCGCCGACGGGCGCCCTCCCACCGCTCCCCAAACCCAGAAAGACCAGCCCAGCGTCGTCGACAGACCCGGCACGGGCTGCTTCTCCCGCATCGAAACTCCGAGCACCCTCCAGCCCGAGACCGTCCCTGGTCAAATCCCCTTTATCCAACTCGAACTCGACTTCCAACCTCAGCGCGGCCCGCTCAGCATCCACCGGGCGTGGACCGAGCAGCCCCGACAAAACGCTCCGCAGAACTATCAGCATTGCCTCGTTCCCGCAACCACCTAAACCTCCCACGGGTGGAAGGAGCCCATCAGCCGCCTCCACGAGTTCTGTCTTTCAAGTCCCCACTCCCGCGGGAAGCGGGAAAGCCAAAAGAGCATCTCGATTGAGCACGGGCACCACCAGTAGCTTCCGGAGCTCGAAAACTCCCTCATTGCTCAACGGTAGCGGAGATGGGAAGTCGATCCTGAGCTCGGACGCCCGAGATCTCGATGCCTCTCCTGCTCACAGCAGAAGCTCCTCCGCCCAGGGCTCCTGCTCTACCAGTGCAACCACGTTCGAAGATGGAGATGATACGACCACCGCGGGCAAGACGAATTCGAAACAGAAAGAAATCAAAGGAAATGTCCTTGTCAGTGTCCGTGTTCGCCCCGAGGCCAACACTGGCAGCGAAACCCCCAGAAACCACGGGGAATGGGCCGTGGATGGACGCCAGAGCCTCATTTCCTACCGAGGAAAAGAAGGGGGCGAATACTATTATGGTAAGAATCCTTCGGTGGGTCGAAAGTATATGCATTGACTGACAATATCAATCACCTCAGACAATGTGTTTACTGCCAACGAAAACAATGCAAAGGTGTACGATTCGGGTGCAAAGCGTCTTGTTCGGCGAGTTATGGAAGGTTACCATGGAACTGTCTTCGCATACGGTATGACGGGTACAGGAAAGACGTTCTCCATGCAGGGTACTGCGACCTCGCCCGGAGTGATCCCGCTGGCCATCACCGACATTTTCTCATTCATTCGAGAAACTCCGCATCGGGAGTTTTTGCTGCGGGTCAGCTATCTCGAGATCTACAACGAGAAGATCCACGACCTGCTCTCCACGTCCATGACCGCCAGTGGGACACCAGCGCCCCAACAGGAAGAGATTAAACTGCGCGAAGACAGCAAACGCGGTGTTTACGCGTCGCCACTCAAAGAAGAGATTGTGCAAAGCCCCACACAACTGCTCCGGGTTATCGCGCGAGGAGACCATGCGAGAAGGACGAGCAGCACGCAGTTCAACGCGCGCAGTTCCCGCAGTCACGCGGTGGTCCAGATCGTTGTCGAGAGTCGAGAGCGCGCTCCTACAGGCAGCTCTCAAGACAAACGCTCAGGAATCGCTCCCGGTGGTGTACGGGTGTCAACGCTGAGTCTGATCGATCTTGCTGGTTCAGAGCGCGCGGCCGATGACAAGGAGCGCCGCACCGAAGGCGCGCATATCAACAAGAGTTTGCTCACTCTAGGTAACATCATCTCCCGGCTATCGGACAACAAGGACAAGCAGGGCAATCCGGCCGACCGAGAAGGCCGCCATCTCCCATACCGTGATAGCAAGTTGACTCGACTGCTGCAGCCCGCCCTGTCCGGCAATTCTCTCGTCAGTATTCTGTGCACGATCCAATGTGCAACTGGCACCAATGCGCACACGGGAGAGACTTTGAACACGCTCAAATTCGCCGCGCGAGCGAAAAACAACATCGTCAGCCATGCCAAAAAGGCCGAGGAGGCGTTCGGTGCGGGTGGCGGCGATGGGAGTCGCGTCTTGCTGGAACGGTACCGAATGGAAATCCAGGCTCTGCGTGGCCAGCTGGACACGCAATCCAAAGATCAAGCCGAGAAAGAGCTCAAGCTGGAGGCGGAGCAGTACGAAAAAGAAGCGCAGACTCGCCACGACGAACAAGTGTTGGAGATGCAGCTAGCACGAACAGCGCTTAAGGAACGGATCGAACACCTCAATCGTCTCATTCTGAGCTCCAAATCGACCGGCGTGAACAGCCACAACAGCCTTTCTGCATTTGGACGGCTGTCTGGTATGTCCACAGGGACTCGGTCCCTGCGTTCTTCGGCCAGTCAGTCTACCCTGGGTGCTGGCCATTCGTCCATCCGTCCTATGTCTTTCATGTCGGTCACTAGCAATGATCCGTCCGTTTCTATGCCCTATTCTGTCAATGAGGACGACGATGATATGGGCGAATTCGGCGATGGCAGGGCAAGCTTGCAGCGGCAGGTTTCTGCACTGCAGGCCGACCTGGGCGATAAGAACCGATACATCTCGACTTTGGAACGCCGGCTGCTCCAGGCCCGGCGGTCCAGCCACTCGCGCATATCGGTGGGCATGAAAGCCAACAATACCAACACCATCTCCGAGCACCCTGATATGACGGCCCTCCTCCGCGAGAAGGATATGGAGATCAACGAACTTCGTCTGCAGCTCGATGATAAAGACCGCATGCTTACTGCTCTTCGGTCTGCAACGCGGCATCGAGATCTGGCCGTTGTGACCAACGAATCCCAATCGCCAACGGAACTGAGGAGCAAAGTGAACTCGCCCTCGGACGCCGATGGGCAAACCCCAGCAACGAATGGCATGATGGGCAAGGCTGTGAGTCCAAGCGCAGCTTCCTTGAAAGAGAAAGGGCAAGAGAAGGAGAAAGAAAAAGAAAACGACAAGGAAGGTGATAAGAAGAAAAACATGGACGAAGTCTCCCGGATGCTGGATGAAATGATCCAGAGTCGAGTTGTTAGCGGCCAATTGGACAATGGCTCTCATGGCAGCAGGCGAGAATCTGCATCGGCGGAAGTTGCTGCGCTCAGGTCATCGCCCGTTGAGAAGTCGGCCCCTGGAGCACAGGCCACGGGGGAGAATGCTATGGGGGAGAAGATCATTGAGGAGAAGACCAATGGGGAGCAGGCCTCTGGAGAGCCGGCCGCCGAGGGAAAGGCCGCTGCCTCTCTCTCGTCATGATGTCCGCAATCCCCCGTTTACAATAGGTCTTAATGGACCAACCCTTTTTGTTTCTCGCTTTTTTTTTGAGAATGTACGATCTGATACCCGATCTATGCGTTGGATTTTTATGGCTGTGTTGATAGGACCTTTTTTGTGTGTGTATTTGTCTGAGATTTCTGTGAATGGTGGGTTATTGGACATACAATTATCTACATAAGACCGTGAAAGATATGACCGTTGACTTGAACATTCCATACATCATCATCATCAAGAGTTCCTCGAAACAAAAATCACGCTACGATCTCCAGCTCGGTCTTCCTCTCGGTGGCGAAGACATCCTTCCACCGATCCCAGAGCCGCTGCAACTCCTGTACATACCGTGAATGAAGCTGGTCAATGTACTGATCATCGATCTTATCCCGGTTCGCCTGCTGCATGACCTGGATAGGCCGCCCGATGACGATATTCAGCGGCCGGCGGTAAGGCATCAGGCCGACGTCGTAGTTGAAGACCCCGCGCGCATGGAAAAGCGGGATGGTGAACCCCAGCGTCTGCTTGACCAGCATCTGGAACTTATGGATAACGGGATGCTGGTCTCCACGGACTTGCTCGTAGATATCATTCTCGCCGAACGCCAGCACAGGCACCAGGTCGGCGCCTGTCCGAATCGCCAACTTGATGAACCCCTTGCGACCCTTCAGTATCAGGCGCATCATATGCGGCTGCGCGTTGAGAGACTCTCTCGCGCCCCCGATCACAATGGTAATAGCGCGGCCCATGCCCTCGCCGTCTTCGCCGCCTTTCGTCAAGATATTCTCGCAGGATTCGCGGGACACGCTGGCCAGCCCCATAGCCAACGCATACTCGCGGTAAAAAGGGATCCGGAAGTTGGCGTCCAGAGTCAGCAGGGTGTTAGTAATGCCAGGGAAAAGTTTCGAGAAGCCCAGCGCCTCCGTTCCGAAAGCGGCGAAGGCGCCGTGGGAGATGATGCCGTGGGGATGGTAGCCGAAGATATACTTCTTGGTGGGCGGGAGGGGTTCCTCGCGATGCAGGCGGGCGGGGAAGTAGTTCGCATACAGACGCCAGATCGGAAGGGAGCGGAGGAATGGACTGCGGCCTTTCAGGTCGCCTGATGTGGCTGCTGTGGAGAAGAGAGAGATGTAGACTAGATAGGGCACGAGAAGGGGCCAGAATAGCGGAATGGCGCAGGTGAAGAAGAAGGAGGTTAGGAAGATGGCGATCGTGAGGGTGTGGCAGAGCACGATCAGGGTCTGCAGGCGACGCTCCAGGCCGACGTTGAGCGGTGCCCAGTGGATGCTGGGAATGTGTCAGTCAGTGTGGTCGGTGATACACCCTTGCCCTTATTGGCGGTTCTCACCGTCTTCTGGCCCGGTGCTCGACATGGTTGGGCTGGGAGGGGTGGCTGGGTGCAGGCCGACGCTGAGACGGCGTGGCCCCGTTCATCCTGTTCTGTGAGGGTTGGAGGAAACTCGAGGGAGGAAGAAAACAGGTGAACAACAGTAAGGGTGGATGACGTAGAATGGGCTGAGGTAAGCACGATCTATACTGCCTCGACAAATTACGGGGAGCGGGACGAGGTGGTCATCATAAATTCCAATTGCGCCAGGTATTATTTAGAACTCCGTAATCTATACTCAAAAAGAAAAATGCGCTTCATATGCCATGTTATGCTTTCACCATGAAGATCTGCTGCGGGTGAGTACGGGATGGTAGGGAAAAGGATAGGACAGCACTAACCTCATTAAGGGACTTGTCATCCAACAGTGCTCTCTTTTTCTGCGCGATATGTCGGCCTCGCAAAAACTGTCTTCCATTTGGCCTGCGCTCCCGTGCACTCGATGGCTCTGAGGCCTTGCTGGGCTGGATGGTGGTCTCGGAGCTTGGCTGAGGCGTATCCTCCTCGCTCGAGGGGTCGCCTTCCTCAGCTGCAGCCCTCCTCTTTTTGGATTTCTCTTTCTTCTCCTTCTTGTCTTTCTTCTCCTTTTTCTTCTCCTTCTTCATCTCCGAGGCCGAGGCCGAGCTATCGGGCTCGTCGGTGCGAGAAGAACGTGATTTCTTGGAGGACTTGGAAGACTTGCGAGCGGCCCTGCTATCGTCGGATGGAACGTCACCATCCGAGTGCTGTTTGGTCGACTTGTTTGGCTTCTCCTTCGGGGTATCGTCCTTGGCAGGAAGCTCCTCGGGCTTTTCTTGGGTCAATAAACCAGCGCTCACAAAGCGGACCTCGGGGAATTTCATGGCGGCATATCGAGCCAGTTTGATATCGTCCCGCTTCCTCTGTTCCTGTTTCAACACCACTTCAGACTTGCCATTCAGTCGACCGAGTAGTCCCTTGAAAGCGTCCAGGCCTGTGGGTTCCCCTAACGGATCCCGCCCAATACGAGCGCCCAGGCCTAGGGTATCGTCTTTGATGGAGACCTTGATGTGCGTTGAGCTGGCCGCGGTGAGAAAGTCAGCGTGAGCAGCATCTCGAGCTCCGAGAGTATTGCCGGGTGTCCACCCCTGGGCGCTCATGATCCGGTGCCCAAACCCAGACGTGGACCGAGCCCAGTTGGTGTTGTTGGGGTCATGGGAGATTTTTGTCTTTCTGATTGTAGATAGTCAGAGACACGGAAGTGATGGTCAAGGGAATATGTCATACTTGCGCGGACCGGCTAACCCCATGGCGGCGACGGTGAATGAATTGATCGGAGGAAGAAAAAAGAAATTTAAGTTGCGGGAAAAGATCACGGATGGGGGTGCTGAGTCAGCCATCTTAACTTATCTGCCAGGCAAGTCATCCACATGATTACAAGACCGACGGACAACATGACCCGATAAGACAGACCATGTTTAATCTGCGCATTCTCTGTCGGGATCACCCTCGGCGCACCATTGCCTTAGTCACCGCCGACCATGTTCTGGTCTTCCACTACAGCCCCGCCGATACTGGCGAGAAGAGCGCTGCGCGCTGTCAGGTGGAATTCGCCGAGATCTCGTCCGTCGAGCTGGAAGGCTATCGTTCGCTGGGCGAAGGATATGGAACCCTCGGTCTAATTACGTTGAACGACGATATCTTTGTCTGTGTGGTGACGGGCTCATCACAGGCCGCCACTGTGCGGCCCGGGGAAGCGGTGTCGCGGATTGACAACGTCGGCTTCTGTACGTATCCGTTGACCCCTCATGCGGGCGCATGCTCATGACAGCGGTAGATTGCCTCAACCGTCCAGAATATGATTATGGCGTGGACTATGAGTCCGGCTCTCAATTCGCTGCGGAGGGCGGAGGTCCCGAGGGCAGGGACGTGGTGACAGACCACCCTTTCCTGGCTTTGAAAAAGCTTCTCGGAGATGGGAGCTTCTACTACAGCCTGGACTTTAACCTGACAGATCGTCTGCAGGACCGGTAAGATGGAAAAGCTGCTTGGACTTGCACGATAGCTGATAGACATCCAGTGCGGATAAATCAGCGGCCTTCGACATCGACTCGCTCGATGAGGACATGCTTTGGAACTCATACATGATCAGGCCACTGTTACGCTTTCGAAGCAATTTGCCGCCTTCAGAACGGGCCAGATTGGATGCTTCTCAGATGCTGACATGTATCATTCGAGGCCACGCCAGTACGCTCACAATCCCAGCATCGGTCCCGATCCTTCCGCAGGTGCGGACTCAATTCCCTTCCCTGTTGACGGTCATCTCGCGGCAATCTTCTCGGCGTGCAGGCACGCGATTCAATTCGCGAGGTATTGATGATGATGGACATGTGGCCAACTTTGTGGAGACGGAGACGATTCTCTGGGTTTCCCCGGAGCATCACCTTTTCCTATGTACAAGTCCGCGGTTCGGTGCCCATTTTTTGGGAGCAAACGCCTGGGTTTATCCCTGGCCAGCAGAAGATCGAAGTCACTCGATCAAGTGAGGCTACACAGCATGCGTTCGATGAACATTTCGAAGGACTTGAGTTGGAATATGGGGCAGTGCATGTGGTCAACCTCCTCAGTGAGCAGAAGCCGGGGGAAGCCGAACTGTCGGCCAAGTTCCGGAAACACATCTCCAGAAGCTCACTGAGGCGAAAAGAAGAAACAGAGCAAGCTGCCAGCCATAGTCTTCTGCGAATGACGGACTACGACTTTCATGCTGAGACTCGAGGGCCTTCTGGGTACGGCGCGAGTAGCCAAATCAAATATGAGCTGGCAAACTCTTTGGAAGGGTTTTCGTACTTTTTGTCGGAAGATGTTACCCGCTCGAATGCATCCATTTATGGGGATGCAGTCAGCAGCTCTGCGGTAATATTGCAACAGGAGGGTGTCTTTCGGACCAATTGCTTGGATTGCTTGGACAGAACCAACCTCGTCCAGACCATCATCAGCGTGATGGCATTGGAATCATTCCTCTCGCAACAAGGTACACGTCTCAATTCGGATTTGGAAATGAGGCACTCAACCCTCTGGGCCGACAATGGTGATGCGCTCTCCAAAATTTATGCCGGCACAGGTGCTCTCAAGTCCTCATTCACCCGGCATGGAAAGATGTCGCTCGCCGGAGCGCTTGCGGACGCGCGGAAAAGCGCAACTCGGCTGTATGTGAACAACTTCACTGACAAAGCCCGGCAAAATACGATCGATTTGCTTCTGGGAAGGCTGGCGAACCAATTGTCAGTTCATCTGTATGATCCCATGAACGATCTGGTTTCCGAAGAACTGAGTCGGCGTGTGTCTGAATTCTCCTCGACGAAACGTATCCAGATCTGGGTCGGCACGTTCAACGTCAATGGACGCCTTCAAGGCCCTGAAACCGACCTCACTCCATGGCTTTTCCCGGATATCGCCCAATCGAACGAGGATCCGACCATTTTCGTGGTTGGATTTCAGGAAATTGTCGATTTGAGCCCTCAGCAGATCATGTCCACTGATCCTGGCACTCGAAAAGTGTGGGAAGGAGCCGTCAAAGCCTGCTTGAACCAACGTGCGAAAGCCAAGGGAACGAGCAAGTACGTGCTCTTGAGAAGCGGCCAGCTGGTTGGGGCCGCCCTGATCATTTTGGTGAAGGAGGACGCTCTGAAGGATATCAAGAATGTCGAGGGAAGCGTGAAAAAAGTGAGATTCCTCTTTACCAGGATTAAGCTTGAGTGAGTGGCTTGGCTAATCATTTTTGCAGACCGGCCTTTCAGGGATTGCTGGCAACAAAGGAGGCTGTGCTATCCGGTTCGACTTTTCAAACACCAGTATTTGCTTGGTCACTGCCCATCTAGCTGCTGGGTTCGCAAACTACGACGAACGAAACAAGGACTACGAGACTATCGACCGGGGTCTGCGATTCCAGAAGAATCGAGTAATCGAAGATCACGATACGATCATTTGGCTCGGGGACTTCAACTATCGCATTGGTCTGGGGAATCAAGAAGTGAGAGACTTTGTCTCCCGCAAGGACTACCGAAAGCTCTACGAAAATGACCAGGTCGGCCGCTATTTCTTTTCTTCCTCGACGTCGACTACCGTTTGCTGACCCTTATCCAGTTGAACCTGCAAATGATTGCTGGCCAATCCTTCCAATTCTACTCTGAGGGACCGATTAATTTTGCTCCAACTTACAAGTACGATGTGGGGACCACTCAATATGACACCTCTGAGAAAGCCCGCATTCCCGCCTGGTGTGATCGGATCTTATGGCGAGGGAACAATATTCGCCAGACCAACTACCAGACTGCCGACCTGCGAGTCTCGGATCATCGTCCCGTCTGGGCGACCTTTGACTGCGTGATTGACGTCGTGGATAATGTTCTCAAAGATAACCTGAGACGGTCATTGTACGAGGAAAAACAGAGGAGTCTCACAAAGCAAATGTCCCTTTTAGACTTGGAAGACGAGGAAGAAGCCATGCTGCAGGTTCCCATCGCAACTGGCCTCCCACCACCGAGTTCGGATCGCAGCAAATGGTGGTTAGATAACGGTGCGAAATGCATTTCCTCCATCCAATTATTGACAGACTGCTAACCCACGCCGCAGGTGCTCCCGTGAAAGCAACGGTTCATCCACCCCGGAGCGGACTTGTAGCAAATGTTCAACGCAAGTCAAATCCCTTTTCCTCAGATGTGAAGCCCGATTGGGTTCCATCGACTGGAGACCCAGGCATAACACGAGATGGCAAGCCTGCTCTGCCTCCGCGAACTGGATCGCAAGATCGGCTCGGGGACTCTTCACCGACGGTGCAGACTCTTCCCGGCCAGAAACAGCCGAACAGAATCCCTGAAAAATCGCCACCGGCCATCCCACGAAAGCCATTGTCGCTGAGCTCGCCCTCGGAGCGTCGGTCCCCGTCCCAATTTGCGGGCAAGTCTTCATCGTCTGGACCAACTACCGCAAACGCCACTGCCAGTCCGGCTGATCTCCTCGATGGCGCTGGCGCCGAGCAGATCGAGTGGAAACCCCTTCTTCCACAGTGATGGTTCCACTTTGCCTACATGCGAGTGGAACGGGAAAAAAGCAAAACAATAATAAAGTTGGGATAAAATCAAAGGACCTAAACAAAACATCTCTCATATCTCATAACATGATCGCCGAAGTGCTCCATTTTCAAGGTTTGGGGGACGGCAAGTAAACCAAGACACAACCCACTTCAGCATAGATAGACAAAAAAAAGGTAGCAGAACTCCCAGCAATAATAAATACCAGCACGCCATGAAGCCAATGAAGGCCCTGTCAAATCCGTGCTTTGATCCAAATTCTATACGCTCCAGACCCATCCGGGGAAAGCAGATAGCCCAGCCAATCCGACGACAAAACGTTGGTTAGAGAAATATAGAGAAAGTGCTGATAACTGGACATGGTCTGCTCCGTCACTGCGCCGCTTCAGGCTTTTTCTCCGCTTTGGGCGCTTTGGTGGTCCGCGTGGGATTGCGACCACCCATCATCCACATAGCGATGGTCCCGGGATCGGATTTCTTTGGCCGGCTCGCCTTCTTGTTGTTGCCTACTTGAAACATTAATCATAATCACTTAAGATCAATGCATAACATTAGAGCAGACGTACCTGGATCGGCCTTCTTCTTCCCGTCTGCAGCAGCACCGTCCTTTGCCCCCGCACCATCTTTGGGCTTCTCGGGAACCGGCCACATGTGCATGGTGATGGTCCAGTCGGGCTCAATGACGGTTTCCCAGACCTGCGGAAGGATAATGTCACCATTGGGGCCCACGAGGTCGTAATGTCCCTCGGCAACATGAGGTCCAATAACTTCGATGTGAAGGAAAGCCTGGCGAATGAGATCCTCCATTCCCTGTCAGTCCGAGATATGGTTAGCCTCGATTCCAGGGTGGTTGATTCTCGCACCGCAATCAAGAGGGTCCTTACCTGCCATGTGGCGCATAGCTCGAAGGGGAAACTGAACTTTCTTCCGACGGCATCCTTGAATTTGATGGGTTTCTTCTTCTCCGCAGGTGGCTTTTGAGCGGCCGCGGCCGCATTTGACGCTGCCGACGCTGCAGCTTTCTCTGCCTCTTCCTTGACCTTGGCTGCATCCTCCGCGGCTCTCTTTTCGGCATCTGCTCTGGCCAAAAAAGCCGCCTGTTCAGCAATCTTTTTATCGTGCGCCAGTCGCTCCTCCTGGGCCGCTTTCTCCGCCTGCGCGCGGGCAATGGCCGCTTCACGGGCTTCCCGCTCCGTTCGATCATCCAAAATCAACTTCTCCAGTCGAGCGATCGCGTCATCCTTGGCCATATCAACGGGGGGCTGGGCGGGGGAGCTTAATTCGGCCTTAGTCGGGGTAGGGACTTGGGGGTATAGGGAGAAATACGATTGGTGAGGCATCATAGAGAACGCGTCTCGATAGTAGTGATTTGGGGTGCCGTACGGCATTAGGTCTTGGGGGTTGAACGGCGGGCCTCCCGGAGGTGCCATCGACAACGGGTTGTATACATCGGCGCGCGGCAGCGGCGGCTGGCGGTGGTGTCGGTGTTGATCTGAGGGGTAGAAGGGCTGCATCGAGGCCGAGTACTGCGGTTGGAACTGGGGCCCGTAGGCATGAGTAGACGAGCCGTAGGGCGGCTGCTGGCCGAGTCTGAGGAGCTCGTCAGACTGATGACCGGGATGGCCGTATGGACCATGGCCATACGGATATGCGCTGTAGGATGGGCCAGAAGAAGAACTTTGGGCATACCCTGGAGTCTGCGGCACCCCTGGCCATATCCTTCTCTCAGACGCGCGGCCAAACGGGCCAGCGAAATCCTCACCCGAGTCCACGCTCTCCAGAGACTCTGAGGAATGTGGCCGTGCCCGGCTTCGGGAGGCAAAGTCGCGCTCCGGAATCATCTGTTGTCGGCGCGCGGTGCGAGACGTCTGGCGGCGGGCCGAAGCCGAGCGGGAACCGTGGAGCGAGTGACGGCTACGGTGCGCGTTCCTTGGTCGAGAAGCGGAATCAGACGCTTTAAATTCATCCGGGTATGTCAAGTGCAAATCTTCAAAGTCCACAAACTCATGGCCGACTGGATCAGAGGGCAAGGGGCCGTGTACGCCCGACTCCTCTTCGTCTGACAGCGACTGGTCCGGGTCGTCAATTCTGATGCTGAACCTGTTCGGGCGGGTTAGTGGCATGGAAGGGGAGTGAGGAAAGAAGGGGAGGAAGGGATCCGGGGGGAGCGAGTCTCTCTCGAAACATACGTCATAGAGACCGGCAGCCTCGCTGGGGGGAGCTGGCTAACTGGCGCTCTTTATCTGTGTGTGGTATGTATGGATGTGTTTGGATGTGTTTGGGTGTGTTTGGGTGTGTTTGGGTGTTTTGTTTGGGTGGATGTTTGGGTGGATGTGCAGGAGTTGTTGGTCAGAGGAGCCCTCACTCGCTCGAGGATATGCACGAAGCGAGGAGGGACAGACTGCGATGGCAGATGCGACAGAGATCACCGAGAAGTGGGGGGTGGCAGGAGAGGTTCGGCGACGAGATGGAGGAATGCGACGGGCGGAGGGGGACGAGCGCATGGACGCAAATCCTTCCAGAGCCCCGCGAGAGATGTGTAACAACCGAAGAGCCCCTTGCTTGAGCGAGTGCGTGTGTTGTTTCTGGAGGATTAATGGGAAGGAGGAGAAAGCCGAGAGGGAGAGAAGTAGAGACGAAGAAAGAAGTAAAAGAAAGAAAAAGGAAGAAAAAAAAGCAAACTAAAAAAGGGCGGGCTGTTTTTTGGCCTGACTGGGCTGGTTGGGCAGATGGTGTAACAGACAGACATGCATTGGGCAGGACTGGATTAGACTACTTTACACGGGCTAACTATTATTACAGTTCAGCAACTCTTTGGCCGCGATCAGTTCACTTCGGCTGCTGGCCCAGTTCTGCTCATCCAGCGTCCGCGCCTGCACGATCGCTCCGAGTCGCTTCAGCCCAAATGCCTTCAATCGCCCAGCGTTGGCATCCTCGGGCACACTCTCCAGCATCTGTGACGCAGCCTGCAACAGAAAATCAGTGTCGGCTCCCGATCGGGCATCCGGGAGACAGAACATACCAGAACAAGGCCATACAAGCCCCGTAGATAGTCGTCGCAGAGCTCGATGCTCCGGCAGAAATGCTGCACCGACTTGCTCAGAAGCCGGACGGCTTTCCCCTCCGCTAAGGCGCTCACGTAGAGCAGTTCACCCATCCTGGCGTGGATCTAGACAGGCACATCGAGGATTAGCAAGGGAATTCGCGCAGGTTCATGCATGCAGGGACAACCACAAGACATACGTTCCACGCATTCGGGGCGATCAGCAGCGCTTCTTCAAGGCTGAAGATCGCCTGCGGACTCAGCCCCTGGGACTGGTAGAGATCGGAAAGCTCACACCAGGCTTCGGCATCGGTGGGGATCGCGTCGAGCAACTGAATTAAGGCGGTGATCGCATCCGCGGGTCGCTTTAAGGACCGTAACAGGGCCACTCGACGCTTCAGGATGGGCTACATCATCAATCAGCCAGTGAATTCTCCGCATCGGAGCCGTTAATACAGACCACATTGACGGGGTCGTCGGCGAGGATCTGCTCGTATCCCGTCAGGCATTTCTCCAGCGCGGCGTGGTCCCCGGCCACAGCCTCTTCGTATAAGCCTCGAAGTCCGATGACGCGCTCGTTGGATGGGCCAAACCGTTGGCTGAGGCGGGTGAGACAGGCCTGGGCGGATTTGTCGTCCCCGGTGCGTAGACAGGCTAGGAATAGTTGCTCGAGTCGGGCATACTCCTCGACGGATTCGGGGGTGGCGGAGTGGAGAAGGGACGGTGCTTGTTGGGAGAGTTTCAATGCTGTGATCAGGTCGGAGCCATTGATCTCCGATCGGGAGTCCACAGCCATGGTGGGATGTGAGGGTAGGATGATTCAGTGGAGGAAATACAAAAGGATGGGGTGACAGCTCACGGGGTCCACGGATGATAGCAGACAGTCCCGTGACCAAGCCTTATCTAGTCCCTCCCCACGATCGTCATTCTTGTCTTCTCCAACTCACTGACGGACTTGGTTCAGTCCAGTCGATAGAGCATGGTCTCCCCCGAATAGTGAAACAGATGCATTGACTGCCCTCCCGCCACCATGTCCGTCCAATTCCTCCCCAATCTATCCATCGTACCCCCACTCATCCAAGCAGGTTCGAGAAGTCTCTCTACGACCTCATCAAGGGTCTGCGCAATCACAAAGGCGGCGAAGATGAGTACATCCAAGCCTGCCTGCGGGAGTGCAAGGTGGAGATCAAAACACAGGACATGGGTAGGCCCGGCCTCTCGCGCATCATTCACATCGCCCGCTAACATTGGGCGCAGACAAGAAAGCTACGGCCCTCCTGAAGCTCATATACTTGGAAATGTTTGGGTATGACATGTCGTGGGCATCCTTTCACGTCCTAGAGGTCATGTCGTCGGCCAAATACCTTCCGAAACGCGTCGGCTATCTTGGAGCCGTACAGAGCTTTCGCCCGGATACAGAGGTTCTGATGCTGGCAACAAATTTGCTGAAGAAGGTGGGTGTTGTCCAACGCGGGTTCGCGCGGCCCCGTCTGACCAACTGCAGGACATTGCCTCCGCCAGCATCCCCAACATGTCGCTACCCTTGATCACATTACCCCATTTCAGCACGCCCTCGTTGGCCATGTCTGTGCTGTCGGACATCCTATCGCGCCTCTCCCATTCCAACCCCGTGGTGCGCAAGAAGACCATTGTCTGTCTCTATCGGCTTGCCTTGGTCTATCCAGAGGCCCTGAAACTGGCATGGCCCAAGATCAAGGATCGCCTCATGGATGACGAGGAGGATAGCAGTGTGACCTCGGCAGCGATTAATGTGGTCTGTGAGCTTGGCTGGCGGCGACCCCATGATTTCCTTCCCCTGGCCCCGAGATTTTTCGAGCTGCTTGTGGACAGTGGCAACAATTGGATGGCAATCAAAATCATTAAACTGGTTGGTTCTCTCGGATCTCTCTGAAGGAGTGCGGGTCTCTAATACTTTTCAGTTCGCAACGTTAACGCCACTCGAGCCGCGATTAACTCGCAAATTGTTGCGGCCGTTGACTAATATCATTCAGACCACGTCGGCCATGTCCCTCCTGTATGAGTGCATCAATGGCATTATCCAAGGCGGGATCCTGGATGGGGAAGACGGTCTCCAAGAACGCGACGATGTGGCCTCCCTGTGTGTAGGAAAGTTGAGGGGCATGATCGTGATGGATGCCGATCCCAATCGTGAGACTCTTGGGTTCATTCAAATCCGCCTAGGCTAACGCACAGCAATAGTCAAGTACGTCGCTCTGCTCGCATTAAACCGAATCGTCGCTACACACTCTGAATTAGTTGCCATGCAACAAGATGTCATTATGGATTGCCTGGATGACGCGGATATCTCTATTCGACTGCAGGCATTGGATCTAGCGGCAGGAATGGTCACAAGCGATACTCTACAGCCGGTGGTCAACCGCCTCGTAGATCAGTTACGGTTAGCCCCAAGCTCGACGTCGAGACCTTCATCGAGCCACATAGCGGAGGATCCAGATGATGACAGGAGGCTATCAGACCAAGTCTCATCTGCAATGTCGGCCGCCTTACCCAGCGACTATCGGATCGAGGTTCTACATCGAGTTCTGGACATGTGCTCGCACAATAACTACTCAGAAATTGTCGATTTCGAGTGGTACGTTGGCATTTTGGTGCAGCTGATTGGCCTGCTCCCACCTTCGGAACCCCAGGATCACTGGATGCAGACTCATCCCGACCCGGAGGCGACAACTCACTCAAGGACGGACGTTGCTTTCCGAATCGGGTCGGAGATTCGTAACCTCGCGGTTCGTGTGAGGGGGGTGCGGTTAGAAACCACCAGAGCTGCAGAGTCCCTCATTCTCATTGACAATCGATCAACGCTCTTCCCTGCCGGTTCAATCCTCGGCGATGGGGTTCTGGGCCCCGCTGCGTGGGTAGTGGGCGAATTTGCAGACTATCTCTCTTCTCCTAGTCGATGTCTCCAGTCCTTGATTGACATGTCTCATGCCACGCTACCTGCGAGAACCCTTTCCCTCTTCCTACAGGCGATACCAAAGGTATTAGTACAAGTGAGCCGAAGTGGTCAGCAAGGAGCTCCCTCGTGGAGAAGCGAGATATCGCTCCTGTTGGCCCGGGTGGTGGAATTTCTCGACGCATTGGCCGCTCACCCAGATCTAGATGTTCAAGAGCGCGCCATTGAGTTCTTGGAGATCCTCCGCCTAGCCGCCGAGGCAATGCAATCGGGGGGGGAAGATATGCCGTTCCTTCTGGCCTCGGTTATCCCGAGCCTGTTCACGGGTCTCGAACTGAACCCCGTTGCGAGCACTGCCCAGAAGAAGGTTATCCTTCCCGACAGTCTCCGTCTAGATGAGGCATTCAATGACAATTTGCCGACCCTTCTCCACGACCGGGATTATATATCTCTCGAAACCAGCGACCCCGATATCTTCCAGGATTTTTACTATGTGCCAGATCGCACCCTGATCTCTCATAAACCGTCTCACGATGTTACGCCAGCTGATGTGCCACTCAATCCATCATATCAGAACTTCCCGGATACAGGCGACATGGAGAGGCGACGAGTTGAGCGCCGGGAACGTTTCAGGGATGACCCCTTCTACATTGCTCCCTCTGATGCGTCGTCGGGCGGTTCAACGCCGTTCCATGAGATTCTCAATACCTCGAATGGCGATGGCTTGGATATCGACTCCATCCCCATTGTTGACCTGAAGTTAGGGGATGAATCTTCCGCCCCACCAGGTCAAGCGCCACGCCGGGACCGACGACCCCGTCCTCGGAAGATGGAAGTCGCCGGGGACGAAACATTTGGAACGGAGGATCTGTCTGGCGGGGATGCTACATTCGGGACCGCTGGCAGGTCTACGGGGCAGACTCGCTCTCTCCTCCAGGTGGACTCGAGTGGACTCGGGCAGCTTTCATTCGCCGGCAATGACCAGGCACAGTCCCACCTGTCCGCAGACGAGGGAGAGACTGAGATGATCAAGGCCATGCAGCGCGTGGAGGAGGTGCGTCTGCGGATGCAGCGAGCATCTGAGCGGATCCAGCTCGAGGGCACGCCCGCCGAGGGAACGCTGGTGAAGAGGAAGAAGAAGAAGAAGAAGAAGAAGGATGGCGCAGAGTCCGTAGAGACATCTGGCCCAAAGAAAAAGAAGAAGGGCTCGGCCACGTCTCCGACCGGTTGAAAGCCTCTGTTGTGATTATTTGGTACAAGGAATTATACATCTCGTAGACCCATCCATCTTGAAGCCATCGACCCGCCATCCCGTCCTGCTTCTCCTTCCCTATCCTGTGATTCGCGAAACCATCGATGTCACGTACGACCAGATCTCGGGGACGACCCGCAGGAGCTCCAGGAGGAGTCCGCCGCAGACCACAAAGGCGAGGAGGACTGGAGGGTATCATTTCTTAGCACGCTGGTTGTTTCTGTTTCTGGTCGCGATAGGGGAACACATACCAACCCAGGTGGTGGAAACGGGGGCCTTGGAGTTCTGCTTGGGCTTGGTCTTGGTCACTGGCTTGCCGCGCTTTGCGGCCTCGTTCTTTGCGTATCGCTCGTTCGCACGCCGTTGTTGGGGTGTTTGTGCCTGGTTGTGGTTAGGACAGGGGCTCAGGAAGGAAAGGGAGCTTCGACGGACCATGTTTGCGGTTGATGGTGGGAGCTGAGGAGCGCGGAACGGGGGTCCAGGTGGTTAGTTGGCTGGCTGTATACAAGTCCGTCCTAGTCGGGCGGGCGGTGTGAGCTAAGGCCACGTTGGGTTTCTTCACCCCATGCGGGGGTACACCTAGTACTTTGGCACTTAATAGATAATAAGGGAGTGAGTAACCTGCTTGAGTTATAGTGAAATTGTGGTTCTCTGATTGTTTCCTGATTCTCTTCAATGGGATCAAATCGAATGTTTTTTTTTTGGGAAAGGTGTAATTGGGATATGCATCCGAAGTATATATCTCCATGACAATTCGATATTGAAGTCTAAACCAACGATAGTTTGAAGAATTAGGTCAAACAGGCTTGCCAGCAGCCCATAGCGCATGGACAGGCATAGCTTTTTTTTCTACCACTCTCCTAGTGGCCCCCCTAGAGATAGACCACACTATCGTCAGTGCGCGAAACCACAACACTAGGTGACTGTTAATCGGTCGCCAAAAAAGGCTACCTTGGACGCCGTTTTCGACTCCCTTTTTACCAGAATCTTCATCATCCGTAAAGTCATGTGATACAGTTGAACTATATGCACTCAGGGCTGCTCAGAGCAGACGATCTGAGGTGACGTGTGTGCTTTCTATCTCTGATCCGCTCGTAGCGCTTAACACAAAATAGCACCGTCCTGTTGAGCGCAGTTCATTCTACCGTCAATTTCTCCGGTGCTTAAGGGTTCCTCAACCCCCAACCCCACCCAAAAACGTAGACTCAGCGCAGAATCACTCGCCTACAACGGCCGCTACCCCATTTCTGCCCTAGGATTTTTCCGGATGGCTGTTATTACTGTGTTATATCCTATCTGTTCCGTTGCCTTGCTCCATCCTCCTTTTATTCTTAGTTTCTGCACCTAGTTGCTTCCTACGGCTATGACTATCTTAAATAATTACATTCCACAAAGGAGAAGGAACAGGCGCCTAGCCTATAGTATTATCACCGGCGCTATCGGCGATTAGAGAAAGGCATTATCCTAAAACGGCATACTGTATCGACTAAAAACAACATCGGCTACATCAAGCAAAATTGGACCAGGTAGATAATTATCGCACTTTTTTTAGTCTTGTATTGAGAAAAGGCTAGACATTGCCTCTATCTAGAGGAAGACATTTTGAAGTTAGTTGAAGCAGCAAGGAAGGAGGACATCATGATGTTTCTGGAATGGATATTGGACTGAACTTGGGAACTGAAGCCCAAAAATCCCACCTAAGGTCGCAAGCTCGAAGCTCAATCAACTCCACCACACGCGGCCATCGTCAACTCCTCTCCCAGACCTCCTGTGCCAGAACCTACTAGCGAACCAAAGCAGTATGGATGATGAAAGTTCACCATCCGGATAGTCTCTGTTGCGCTCAAGCCATGCTTGCTTGCTTGTAGGGTGACGTTACATCCTACAAGGATAAGGAAGGTCTTTTGCTTTGCATTCAGATGGACCACTATTGGAGCCATAAGTTTTCTAGTGGTTGCTAGCCAAAGTTATGGTTTTCCTCATAGTATTATTGATTCGGCCTCAAACAGTCCTTTTCGAGCATGTTGGACATAGCTGTACTACGCAGCGCCTAGTACTAGTCAATAGAGATCAAATATGAGGCCTGACTCTATAACGTGACAGGTGCCTAATCTTCAATTCCGTGGAAACAGCAATTTAACCAGAGTTTGTTGAAGTGGCCCGTGTTAAAACAGGTAAGAATCGGCGTTGTTCCGAAATTATACTCCAAACGTTGTCCGGCCACACTGCTTCTCTCCCCAGCGGGGAAACCCCTAACCATCAAGGATCTAGTATATTTTGGGAGAACAAGAATCAGAAGAAGAGAAAGGAAGATACGAGTCCTTAAGGGACTCGGATCCAGAGAGTGTAAGAGTTCGGTCATGAGGCAGCTCGTTGGGGAAGAACTAAAGGGATAACCACGGGACATCTCCAATAAAAAAGCTTAGCGGACCTCCAACTTCCCCACCCTTCAAGCTTCGGCAATATGTGCGGAGTAAACCCGGTCGGGTTGAATCCATTTCTTGTTGTTTCTCGTTTGTTCCCCCGGTGAGTCTACGTGGCACCGCCAAAGTCTCCGACCTTCTCCTACACTCCGCCGACATACACTGCTTTTCCCGGAATTTCGAAATCATGATAACCATAGATCAGAAGCCTGCAACTCTTTTTATTACATTGGATCCTTTCCACATAGGGAATATAACCAGAACTAGCAGCTATTGAACCTGCAATTTAGGGATATAGATGCAAATTTAGAATATTGTGACACGCAGAATGTTTTGTAAGCGGGAATGAGACAGAAACCTTTTGCGGTCCCACTGTACGGTCTAGAGCTGTTGACGATACGATATCGGCACTATTCTTCTATAATGTCAATCGGGATCGTCAATTTGAAGGTATGCCGATGTCGTATCGGCAATCGGCATCAGCAAATCTAGGAGCTCTATATACATACCCCATACGAAGTATATATCCGCCGTTATCCGAATTCGCCCTCGGGGTAGTCTCCTCATTCAGTTCCCACCCCCATCTCCTCACCGAGACGGACGGGACCTGTCCCCGAGTATTATTGTGTGGGGAATTCGGTATTTTATATTGAATTCTCCCGGTGGGCCTGATGCTAGGCAACATCTTGTGCCGAACCCGGGCGTCGAACCGGATCGGTAACTCGGAAGCTAATACTCCTTAGGCATTGGCCGCTGCTGGCATCCCACACCTTGACGGTGTTATCGTATGCAGCCGAGACGAGGAGCTTAGAACCATGGGAGAAGGTGACGGAGAGGACCGAGTGGCAGTCCGCACACAACCAAGCCCATGAACCTTGAACAATAGATGTGCAGTCACCGAGCCGGAGCCAATTGAAGTCTACGACTTGGAAAAATATCCGAGTTTAGCCTGACGTTCACGATGACCTGCCTTTTTAGGCCTCCAAACAACTTCTCCACAAACGATCCAAGCGTTGCTACAGAACCATTCAGAGAACAGTGGGACTCGCGAAGACTCCGAGTCAAATGGAGGCCTATAAAGAGACGGATGTACCTGTCTGGAGTCGAAATAGAATTTTAGTAAAGTTTGTGTCTAATCCTACGTTCTTTGCCTGTCATGGCGAGGTCAACTTTCTCTCTCCTTTTCGTTTCGTTTCTCGCGCAGCTTTCAGCAACGTCTGCCACAGATGCTGCAAAGGCAAGCCCCGTAACTGAACGTGCAGGCACGCCTACCGATTACTCCTCAGAAGCATGGTCCAGTCTCTGGTACCAGGTTGGACCGGTCAGTCCTCCTCCTTTTACCACTACAGTGGTCCCAACGCCGGAACCATCGCACCCGGCGCCGCCATTTTATCTGAACACTGGCTCGACGTTCACGCAGGGCAACTTGAGCACCTACCAGCTGCCCAAGGATTTCGTATGGGGCGTTGCATCCGCCTCCTACCAAGTTGAGGGTGCAGTGATGAACGAGGGCCGTGGGCCCACGATTTGGGATCTTCTCACCCATCGTGTGCCCGGATGGGTTTCCGATGGCACGACTGGAGATATTACCGATTTGTTCTACTACATGTACCCCCAGGATATCGCTCGCATGCAATCTTTCGGTATTCCCTACTTCTACCTCACCATTGCCTGGAGTCGTATTTTCCCCTTCGGAAAGGGTTACATCAACGAGGAGGGCCTGAAGCATTATGATGATGTGCTTCAGAAATTGGTCGATGCCGGCATTAAGCCCATCGTTGCCCTTTACCACTGGGATACTCCCCTGGCCCTGATGAACGAATACAATGGCTGGGTTTCAGAGGACATCGTCGATGACTTTTTGGCCTATGCGAAGGTTGTCATGGCTCGCTGGGACAAGTACGTCCCCATCTGGATCACCATCAACGAGCCTCAGGTGTACTGTGGTGACGGCCAAGGATACGCTGGATACCCAGAGGGCTACTGGCCTCAGTACAACATCACTGGTGAACGTGCCGTCTACTACTGCGGTCACTACAGTCTGCTCGCCCACGCCACAGTTGTTGACTGGTACAAGAACGACTTCAAGGGCCAGGGCCGTGTCACCTTTAAGAACTCCGGAAGCATGTTGCTACCCAACACCACGTCCACTGAAGACGCTGCCGCTGTTAAGAGAGGCTTCGATTTCGACCTGGGTTGGTTCAACGACCCCGTCTGGACTACCGGTGACTACCCGGCCTCCATGAGGGAGACCTTGGGTGACATGTTGCCAATGTTCACCCATGAGCAGTCGCGCATGTTGCTTGGATCTTGCGACTTCTTTGCCATTGACGGCTACTCGACTAGTTTCGCCGGCGCCGTGCCCAACGGCGTTGCTGCATGCCAGGCCAACTCGTCCGACCCCAACTGGCCCTTGTGCGTTCTGGAGTCCCAGACGACAGCCGATGGCTGGGACATCGGCTTTACGGCCGGCAATGCCGCCAACGCCGGCTGGCTCAAGTCCGTGCCTCAGGGTGTTCGCATGTTGCTGAACTGGATCCAAGACACCTACACCGGTCCCAAGGGCAAGGACATTGTTCTGACCGAGTTCGGTTTCGCCGAGCCTTTCGAGGACGACCTTACCGAGGAACCTGACCGCCGCTACGACCAGCTGCGCCTTGACTACTTCGTCAGCTACCTCAACGCGCTGCTGCAGGCCAAGGTCGAGGATGGTGTCAATGTCACCGGTTCCATTGCCTGGGGTATCTACGACAACTTCGAGTGGCAGAATGGTCTGAGTACCCAGTTCGGCCTGCAGAACGTGAACTACACTACTCTTGAGCGGTACCCCGAGGCGTCGTTGTTCGCTTTCACCGACTTCTTCAAGCAGCATGGTCTCTAGATTCGCTCTGGTGAATTACCGGAGTCCTTGCCTCCCCGGACATCTAGCAGGTCTGGGAGGAGACCACGATGCAAGGGAAGCTTTGTATTTACATGGGATTGAGTACTGAACATATAGAATTGAGGGTTAGATTCACATAGGATTGAATATAGAATTAAGTATAAACCGAGCATTGAATCAAGCATATAATCAAACGTAAATCGACGTGGAACCGTATAGAATCTTTCTCCACATTGATCATTTTGTGAGGGTGTTAAATGGTGAGTTGCGATATGCGTAGAGAGTGATCAAGTTGAAATTAGAGGAGCTAGTCATCGCCTAGTTCGACAGTGCAAAATATAGGCACTAGACACAACACTCTTCCGATACTCCGGCGGGGTGGTAGGCTTAGAAGGAAGAAAAAAAAACATGCTTCGACGCGGATTTGAACCGCGGATCTTTGCATATCATTCATTAACTGGAAGAGTTAACTACAAGTGCAACGCGTTACCACTGCGCCACCGAAGCAGTCTCTAAGGATAATTTTCAAATAATAGCTGTGATATTCTGAACGAAATAAATCGGATTTCTCATTTCTTGTTGAATGTAGTAGTTTTGGCGGTAAAATGTGTAACCCAAATAAGAAACCGAGATAGATACCAGACTTGGGGCCGGGTATTCCGTAAACTAAGCTCTTCAATTCGATGAGATACTGATCTTTCGTGGTCTGTAAAAGATTGGCCCGATATCATATGAGGTGTCACTGTGTTCCCCGCCAGTCTGTCCATCTCGGGTCGGTGGCTAGGAAGTGGGGAACAATGGCTTTCGCGAATACGAGAAACACCCCAGTGTTAAATTCAAGCTCCGCCTTCGCACGGCGACAAAATCCTCTCAGTCAATAACGGAGTATCGAAATCTCCAGTTGACGCCTGATATCAACAAATTGCTAAAAGATTAAACTGAACAGTGGCAAGATGGGTGAGTTCGAATCTCAACTTCCAAAACCCGCGGGACATGGAAACTGATGAATGAATGTTCCATCAATATAGGTTACTGGGAGGTTAGGATTATCTAGCTATCTCTTCTTGTTCGCGGGCATGAAGGTGATTTTTATTTTTATTTTATTTTGATCTAACTGATGTGGGCTGGATGTAGGTACCATGCCAGTTCTGCGGAGTCAGCTTCAATATCAAGCGGATTAGGATGAAAGACGAGCCGAGGTCGGCGGCCATGATGAGCGGTCTCAGAAATCAGTGGGTTCAGGGGCGTCAATTCCATAGGGATAAGGAACAAAAACAATTCGAACGTTCGCAACGTGATGGCGACGATGATGAGGAAGAGGAGGAAGGAGAGGAGGAGGACGAAGATAAAGATGAGCAAAGAAGTTGCTCATCGTCGACGGGCTGCGGCATGGTGTTCCGACCGGATCCCTTAGGTCGCTGGTGGGAGGATCCTGCAGAATTTTGGCTGTATGAAGATGATCCCGAAGGAGGGATCCTCGCCGATGACCCTAGTTACGAATATCAAAGTGATCCGGACCACGAGATCCTCGAGTACAGCTCAGACGCCAGTGGAGATGGTGACGACATGAGAATCGACGAGTGTGAGCCAGCCGAGGTCCAAGAGTGGCTTTTCAAAGTAACAGGCCCAGATCCCCCGGAATTTGATACAGAATTTCTGCCTCTAGATTCACCATTAGGCGCGCCGCTATACTCTAGAACCGGCCGAGTACACACGGTCAATCCGGCCGCTTTCGACAAGACACTCCGCCTCGAGCATGTTGGGGGTCTGGGCTGCCGACATTATGAGGCGTATATTGGAAAGAATATTTCCATCGAGGAGATGAGAGGCTGCCATACGGTCCATGGCATTCTTTGGAAGAAACCAGGCTTGAAACCTCGGTCTGATGACCTCGAGTTTGAGCGTGGAAGCAACTATTTTCTGACTGGTATTGCTGAAAAGATGCCGCCATCAGGGTCCTGGTTGGACTTCTACCCTGTTCGGTACGGTGCGGATAACGATATCGAAGCTGAAACGAATTTCGTTCTTGAGACGGTGAGTTCCTCATCCTATCCTGATTATGCTTTGTTATCTTTAGCTTCGTGTGCTTATCTACATCAATTGCTTGGAAACAGACCCAAGAGCAGCTGAGAAGCATCGCGCTCCCATTCCATCCAACTTGCTTCGAGCTTTATATCCAGGCCACGCGCCTGTGTAATGACCGTGTCGACCTCGACACCTTGGTCCATATTAGAGACCAGGCTTGTATTGAACGGAAGAAGTTTCCTGTGAAATATAATCAGGATGTCGTGGACGCAACAGACCAGGTATGGCGACACAAGGAAGCGCATGAATATCTCGTTGCAAATCCAATATTTGTCCCTGGTCTTCGGGCCATTCTGGATTCAGCTGTCACCACTGATGAAAGCTTCAGCGTGCATAAGAGCGCCTTTGAGAAAAGGCCACAACATGACCGCCTCTCGCCACAAGATCCTTTTCTAGCTTTACCTCCTGAAATCATCCTAAGTATTTCCAGCCGCCTCAACTCTTCTGAGGTGGCTAGCCTTCGACTTTCCTCCCGTGCATTCACGCACCTTCCGATCTCGTTATTTCGTCATTTTATCCTTGACGAGATGCCCTGGCTATATGAAGCATGGTCCCCCGAGACAAAACCCTACTACTGGGCAACCGTCATAGCTCGTGATTTACTTGATGAGAAACAAGAACGTGCAAAATTTAATCGGGATCTCGAGCAACGGCGTGAGATCATTCGTGATCACGAGCCAGAGATTTATGACGAATTTGTCTCAAATGAGCCGGAATGGGAATCGCCGGGGCGCCCTGGGTGGCAGGAGATCCTAGACACGGGACCGATCACTCTACCGCACAATGAAACAAATTGGTATAAAGTGTTTTGTGGTATCAGATCGAACTGGAGCTCGTTGAAAGGACTGCGAAACCGCGAGCGAATTTGGAAAAATGTGAAACAGGTTGTGGATGCGATTAAGAAGGCCCGTGACGGCCTCAACTTTTACTTGGACGACGATGACAACAATAAGGATAAAGATGAGGGTGCTGACAATGGTAACTAGAGTAAATTTGGTGATAGGACGTTTCTGGAGACGGTCTTTCTCGCGCTGGCTGCGTCCTCATCCCCAGATTTAATATTGGACTGTATTTGAAGCGTTTGTCAGTGGACAGCGGACATGAGTGGTATAGGTCGACTATAAATTGTCAGTATACTGGTCTCCAGATATTTTATCCAACAACCGATGGGGATAACCTCATGGCGCATCAATCCGTAACATAAAACACCCTATATCTAAAGGATATAGTAGATGTGATGAATGTAGAGGCATGTAGATTAGAATAATAGCGTTTTCGGCGCATAATTGATCAAAACGGGGGGTTAGATGGCTACTATGGCTATCTAGGACTAGTAGTCGATATTTATCCCTAGGGTGCCGACGCGTAAGCTAAAATATAATAGCGCCTAGTACGATTATCAAACTCTCGAGGCTGACCGCTCCGGGGCCTTGATTTAACTATAGCGTTGATGTAGAAGCGTTGTTTTATACTAAGTTGATACGTTCAAATTGCCATCTAAATGGATTTGAAACAATCATGATTTACCTATGCAAGTAAATGGACTTCCTAAATTATCAGCCGTCATCGATTTCCTTCTATAAATCTTACTTTTCCGTTTCGGTAGTTATAGGTCGACTATAAAACAATTTTTGACTGTAAATTTACTGTCCCAGCTGCATGGATTACCTAATCCCAGCTGATCGGTCACACCTGCCCGCTTCGTGCCTCTTCATTTCTCTTCTCAACCAACCCCATGCCGCGAGCAGCACCGTGACAATGCCAGAAGACGACCTCTCCAGCGTTGATATTGCCCAAGTGAGTCAATAACCCCAGTTGACGAAAAAAATATACACAACTAAACGTATCCAAAGACGCTTGCAGACCTTGCCCGGTATATATACCGATGTCTATTATCTCGATCTATGGTTTGCATTTCCTGACTTCAAACTTGGCAGGGGCGAAATGACCGCGTCCGCTCTCGAGAGCCACCTCAACGAACTAGAAGGCAAGGTCGAGGAACTCCTAGCAGGATTCGAACGCCACGACCCGAGCACCGACAACCCCGAATCCAAGGCAGGAGACCACAGTACCAAACAAGAACCCAAAAATGACTCAACGAGTGCCAAATAACCCGTCCATATGATACTGCCCGTCCGTATCCTTCTCCACCACCCCTACCTCGGTGATGATTCCGTCGATCAGAGCCGCCGGAGTAATATCGAAGGCCGGGTTCCAGACGTCAATCCCCGGCGCAGCGACGCGGATCGTCTCCAGCGCGCCGCTTGTCCCGAAATCCTCGCGGGGCCCCCTGATGCTGGTCACCTCTGCCCCGGGGCGTTGTTCAATAATGATATCGTTGCCGGATTTTGTGGCCAGATCGATGGTTGTCCGCGGTGCGGCGACCAGGAACTTAACCCCATGATGCTTTGCTAAAACCGCCAAGCCATATGTACCAATTTTATTTGCCGTGTCTCCGTTGGCCGCCACTCGGTCGGCGCCGACTACGATAGCACTCACGCCAGCATCGCCTGCCAGTAGAGCTGCTGCCATCGAATCCGTAACCAGCGTAGCGGGGATGTTGTCATGGACCAACTCGAAGGCTGTCAAGCGAGATCCCTGGTTGTAAGGTCGTGTCTCTGTGCAATAGGCCCGGCGCAAGACGTTTTTCGACGCCAATGAACGGATCACGCCCAATGCGGTTCCATAGCCCGATGTAGCGAGAGAACTGCCTCCTGGTTAGCCTGTGTTTCGGGACACTTTAAATCAGTTCTTACCCCGTGTTGCAATGGGTCAGAATGGCAACTGTCGGACTACCAGCACTCGCATGGGTCATGATCCAACCCGCTCCATGCTCTCCGATCCGTTGGTTATCCTCCAGATCTTTCCCGAGCATCTCCTCCGCCGCCCGGATAAAAGCTGTCGCAACAGCATGGCCGGTCGAAGCAGGCTGCTGAGCCTGGTCAGTGATCACCGTCTCCAGCTTGCGAACAGCGTCACTCAAGTTGACTGCCGTTGGCCGGCTGGTGACCAAATATTGCAATTTCTCCGATATAAAATGCCGGGCCTCCTGGGCCTCTGCTGGAACGTCACCGGTGGCCATCAGGGTGGTCAGCTCCGAGGCGAGGGCTAGCATGGCTACGATGGCAATGGCGGGAGCACCGCGCACTTGCATCTTCTTGATGGCGTGCCAGCCATCCTCGGCCGTTCGGACGGGGAAGTATTTCTCGACGAAGGGAAGTTGTAGCTGATCGAGGATCTCGAGGCGACCCTCGCTGTACTTGATTGCCTGCAACATAGTGTGGGATGGGAGTGGGAAACTTTTTTCTGGAGAAGAAGTTTGCCCCTCCGAATATCTAGATTACGATGACTAACCATGTACAACGTGATGGAAGCAAGGATTATAATTCGTAACTCTCTCTTTCTCTTTTTTCTCTTAGAACAACTGATTCCCTATTCAACTGGAAGAGATGTAAAGCACTGCAAATTCAGGAGTCAGCCCAGCACCAGTTCCAGGCCAGTCGCAAAACATACCGTTGTTCCCCCGGACAAAGGCGTCGCCGTATTTGCGTCGCAGCTTCCCATTCACGAATTCTTCTGTCTTCTCCAAGGCGATATTCATATAGCCATCGACAGATTGTAACTCGCCTACCAAATATCATCAGTATCACACGCAGAGAGCCAGAGGAGCCATTCTGCACTACCTTTGTAGACCACACCCGAGTTCAATTTCACAATCACTGGCGCGCCGATGATTTCGCCCAGGAATGCCGACGGGTCTTTCCCCTCGGAGGAAGGGCCATTCTCCATGATGGCGAGCAGGCAAAGTAGAGGTGATGAGTGGGATTTGCCTGGAGAGGGAGGGAGACCAGCGTGGGAGAGCAGAACGAGAGATCGGAAGAGGACGAGCGGTGGAGAGGGCGGTGAAGGCGGGTCATTTGGAGAGGGACCCCTTAGTCATGGATAGCCATTGCGATCGTCTTCCTCTCACCACAATAATTGCAATGCCATCGTTCTTCAACAGACCCTCCTGGGCATCGAAACAGACAGGCGATGCCAACCCGGAGTTTTATCGTCGATCGGGCCAAACATATTCGGACATTGTCGCGGCGAATCGAGAAGCGCACGAGAAGCACCATGAATCATCTGTAGATGACGGGCGCGGGCACAAACGGCTTCGTCTTTCGGATGCCGCGGAAGAAGAGCGCAGTCCAGAAGACTCCGGCGCTGATGGAGCTGACAGTGCACAGCATGGACCAGGCGATCTCCCTGAACCTTCACGCTCGCCATCGCATCCTCACAACAAACCCCATACTGAGTTGCTGGAAATTACTGACTCCGATGGGGAGAGCGCGCCCGCAGACTCGCCTGAAGGCGACCTCCCTGCAAACAATACTCCAGAAGTGGACCGCCCGAGGGCTCTAGAATCTCACGATGATTCGACTGCCCGCTCTACTACAATTCTTGAAACAGAGAGCGGCGCACATGACTCAATGAATAAAAATGTCCAACGCCCTTTGGATACGGCAATTATCTCGCCACATCCTCCACCATTGATCCCCCCAGCAGAGAAGGAACTACCCGCACGAAAGCCAGAAAGGCCGGCAATACCAGAACCAGCGGCAAAGCCCGAACCAACTGTGCAAATCCTGATTTCATCAGACATCATCAACACGAAGCCGCTGCTTGTTCATCGCAAGATGTCCCAAGGACTGCGGGAAGTGCGATTAGCATGGTGTAAGCGCCAAAACTTCACAGAAGATATGCAGTCGTCTGTGTATTTGACCTGGAAGGGTCGGAGACTATTCGACGTAACTACCTGCAACAGCCTGGGGCTCAATATGGACCACAGCACGATTCCTGAGATGGACGATGAAGTACCGTCCAGTCCAGCTGAACTAAAAATTCATATGAAGGCGGTTTCCGATACTCTTCCCACAGGCAATCCATCTGGGTCTTCTCCCGATACGGGCACGAGCAAGAAGTCACCGCCCCGCGATGAGGAGGATGCGCAGGCGCAACCGATTCGGATCGTCCTGCGAAGCCCCGGGATGAATGACTTCCGGATCAAAGCGAGGCTGAAAACACCAGTGTCCCGCTTAATTTCGGCTTTTCGAGACAAACACGACGTTCCCAGCGACGCAGACGTGGCCCTGGTCTTCGATGGGGACCGGCTGGATCCTGATACCTGTCTCGAAGACTATGATATTGACGACCTGGATTTGGTTGACGTGCAGATTAAAACCCGGTGATAATAAATAATAACCTAATATGCTCTTTCTAGTTTCCTCTAACTTCAAGTATGTAGTTAGGGTAACTTGTAGATCAACCCCTTTATCGATAAGCTAAGATAACATACATCACATGACCATCCCTCTATTTTTTTCTGCCCGAACAACTCCTAAACGCAAACTGGGACATGTCATTAATTGCACCGCTTGACCACAGGAGCTTCTGCTGAGCGGAAGCCCGCGCCCACAATAGCAATGAAAGTCATAACGGCCAACTTCGTGACATGCGCGGTGAAGGAGTGCAAGACCACGCAGACGTCGTTTCCGCTACACTTTCACGACGCCGAGCTGGAGCAGCAGGAGCTGGACTTCCAGCCGGAATTTATTCGCAATATCCTTCCTCGCGTTGACTGGGAGGCGCTGCGGGTTACCGCCACTGAGGTATTTTTCCCTTCCACCCTTTGTGTCTACCATGATGTACATATCCATTACCGAATGAATGAGTGCTGACCGGGCTTGTTGGTTGGTCTTTAGCTCGGATTCCCCAGTATTCCCGACTCCAAACCCGAAGGCGAGGCACTCGACAATGAGCAGACCCTGAGAGACTTGCATCGCCTGCTTCTGGAGACGCATGTCGTCGAGGGTAAATTGGTCTGCGGGAATTGCGGACACCAGTATATGATCAAGGAGGGCATTGCCAACTTTCTCCTTCCCAGCCATCTGGGTAAGATCGATTCCATCCCACTACATACTGCAGATGGAAGAAAATAAAGAGGAAACTTGCTAACGCGCCCCGTTGTAGTCTAAGGATGTTGATATTGATATTGATATCGAGTGCTGGTCGGCAAGACTATCGCACCAAGGATGCGCACCTTGGGGAAGCACGGGGACTGAGAGAGACTCCCAGTGAATCTGAGAAGGCGAGAACTACAGATCTTCTTTAGGGTCTGCATTCGGAATACACGCCAGGGTAGAGGGTTGGGCGGATACTCGAGCCCGGGACAGATTTACAATTGATTGGTGTTTTGCCTGGCGAATGAAAGAAGTCCTCTAATAGAAATCCACACCATATCGATTGACGACTGAAATTTCTAGGATTGGTAGTTATTGTACATGAGGGGGTGGTAGTAGTAATTCGAGGAGATAAACCATCGATGCTAATCGAGTCAAAAACAAGAAAAACGCCAGCCAGCCAGGCCGATCAAACGCCATGCACTGGATGTGCTAAATGCGAACTGAAGATAACCGCTTAATTGAGAAAGCCCTTGCAGCCCGTGGAACCGCAGAGACAGGGGATTCGGTCGTCGCTGTCCCATTCTCGCTCGAATTTGTAGTCGTAGGTGAGTTCCTCATCTATTGTCACTGTTAGTGAGAACGTCCAAAGCTTTAGTCAACAGAGGGGGCAGCTCCGCTTACCTCGTTCGATGTCCCGGAGCGCATAGATGACAATCCGCTTGCTGCCATCCGCCTTGATGATCTTGGCGGTGCAATTCGGTGTGCAGCTGTGGTTGATAAACCGGGCAATGCCTCCTCGCTTGGTCGCGTCGATGACGGTGTTTTCGTCGATACGGAAGAGATAGCTGCTGCCAATGCCACTCTTCAGATACCGGCGTTCTCGCATATCTGCGACCTGCTGGCGCACCTTTTCTCCCACATACTCGATGATCATGTCGTTGGCGGTGATGTTCTCTTCGGCATACAAACCCCAGTTGTGAATGGCAGACCGGGCAAAACGAACGGGCTTCTTTCGCTTCTTCAGCTGGTTAAACCGAAGAACGTCACCCTCGCCGCTAGACAGCGGGAGAGCCTGCTTTTGAGCATTGATGTCGGCGATGAGTCGGCGGTTGTTAACACGCGTCGACCTTGACGTGGATTTTGAGATGGTCTTGGCAGCAGCAATCCTCGCCGCCTCGGCTGCGGCGGTCTGGGGATCCGCCTTTGCCTTTTCCTCGCGCTCTTCGCGCGCTTTCTGGACCTTGATGCGATGCGGCAAGTACTTTGACTTCTCGGAATTGAGGATCCTCTTGCGCCCTTCAGTCCGAGCAGCGCCAGAAGCATTCGGAACGTAGTAGCCCAAGATGCCGAGTGTGTCGTATGTCGGACCTTTCTCCTCGAGTCGATTGAGCGCTTTGATCTCCTTCTGCCTCCATGCCCATCCAGCAAGGTTCCCAACACTAGATTGCCATTGCTCTGGCATGATCTCACGAAGGAACCGTAGATCTTCATCATCCTTGATCAGATGTTGCCATCCATCCAGATCCATCACAATGTTTTCATCATCTTCCACTGTGGCGCGCGGCTTCTCCTTGGACACACCCCAGTGGATTTCGGCTCTCGGTTCGTCAACGAATTCTTCCTCGGCAGGCAGTTCGATATCTTTGTCAGGCAACAAATCAGAGTATACTTTCTCTGATTGCTTGTCGTGGATAGCCAGCTTAGCCCCAGGACCTTCAGCGTCCGCAGTTGTTTCAGAGATTTGGTCTGTGGGTTTGCGGTCCGCTACTTCCGAAGAGTCGATGCCAAAGAGTTCATCGTCTTGTCTCTGCCGTTTCCGTGTTGCGTGTTCTCCGGTCAATCGTTTCCTCTTACGGGACTGGGGAGAGAGACTCAGATTCTTGTCCACTTCATTTTCAATTGCTTGAGACGGCTCCAAGCCATCCGAGTGATATTCCTCATCCTGTTCAGATTCAGACGAGATTGAACTTGCACGGCTCAATGGCCGACTTTCTTGTTCTTCCGTATCCCGAGTCCGAGGTGTCCGTTGCTCGTCATCGGAATCCTCATCATCATGCAACTGCGCAAGGCGGTGGTACAGAGGCCGAACCTCTCGTCTTCGCAATGGCTGCCTGCGCCGTTCATCGAGGAAGGCCGCTCCTGCGTGATCAAGGCCTTGGGCTTTCCGGATACGAGGGAGTGCAAGGACATTGAGGCCCGACGTCCCCAGTGGGTTTCGTCCAGCGGATAGTTCAGACCTAGTATCCGGGGTCCCAACGCTACTGTCGATATCAATGCGGAACATGGACCGTTTCGGGCCTTCTGGGTCTGCGATTCCCAGTTTCTCTCTTTTCGCAGCATGCCTGCTCGGATCGAGATAGTCGTACAATGCAGGACCCGCGATGCGTGACTTGACATCCTCCAAAAGCTTGTCTCGAAGATCGCGAATGATGATTGAAAGCACTTCTCGACAAGGATCCAGGTCAATGGCACGTAGCTTCTTCTCTTCTTCTAGGTCCAGTTCGTTTTCCTTGCGTGTCCGTTCCTTTTCGGCTTTTTCGCGCTGCTCAGCTCGAAGCCGTTCGGGGCTAGGACTGCGCTCATAGTTCGGGTTGCCATATGGTTGGCTCTCCATATTCATGATATAGGTGAACAGAGGTTTCATGTGGCTTAACCGAAAGCACCGCTCCGTCTCCTGCTCACCTCGTCGTGAATTCTCGAAGATAATATAGTATCCGGTCAGGTCACATCGGATATCCTTGTATCCAAAGAGCTTGAGTCGCTTTCTCAAGTGTGGGATCGTGGTACTGAGGACTGGCACATAGCAATGAGCAATGAAAATGTAAGGTTCACGCTTGATTTGGCTCAAGATGGGCACATCCTCGACCAGTGATAGCGCGGCAGGGGATCGAACGCTAGCCCTTGGCCCCTCGGGGATCGTGACTCCAGGCCGCATGGCCGATCGACCGGAAGGACCTTTGGGCGCGGTCGGTGGCGGTTCATTATTCTTGGTCTGAAGATCTGGTTTTGTGTCCGGGGTTGGTGCAGGGGTGGTTTTGGAGGCCAGTCGCTGAGATTCAACTGCCTTTGACGCCATTCGCTCCGAAACCGCGCCATTCCGATCCAACTCCACTCGAATCCGACGGGTTCCAATGCGTTGCTCTTTCTTGCACTCGTAATAAGCACGCCGTGCGGCGCTGGAGGCCGACACTGGACCTGAACCCCGGAAGGAGGCGGCGTCTTTGTATTTGATGGAACAAATTCCCAGAAACCGACCGGTGATTGGATCTGTGCGATTGTTCATTTCCGAAATGTCACCGAAGCTCGAGAAGAGGGCGCTGATGGGGGCGACTGGGGTCAGAGGATCGAAGCCGGTTACCACCACTTGGACTGGGGGCCCAGGACCGATACTCGTTGCGGCATCGTAGGGCCATAGTTTTAGGGTGTAGGGAGTCGGTCGGTATTTTGTTTTTTGCTTGCAACCTGATCCGCGTGTATAGTTGGAGATGGCTAGGCGCGGGTCCAGTGGAGGGGCGTCTTGACCGCTCGCAAGGATATCCACGTATTCTGGCTTCCTGCGCCTCTCCTTGGACGATGACCGTTTATCTAAATCTGGGTCATAGACAGCCTTGCAACCCTTGATAACGGTCTCATGAGGACGGATCTGCGACTGGGGTGTGGGAGGCGTGTGAACGGGGGTGATGGAGGATTTTGAGATTTCCGGATTCGATCCCCGGCCCAAGTCAGGCGAGCGCTCGCCAGCTCCCTTCAATTGAGATGGGCTGGCAGCTTTGCGAGGGGGTGACGACTCGGCATTGGTGAGTGGTGTCAGGGTATCAATATGCGACGAATGAAGATTCGTCGTGGGCGCCGTTGACGGTGCGGAGACCCCCTCAGAGGCTTTTTGAGAGGAAGAAAAACTCACTGCATCCATTTCCGGCGCGACGGTCGACGTTTGAGGCGGCTCCCCGTCTCCCGAGATGGCCTCGTCGGTGCTGGTGCTGCTGGTGCCGGGGATGTCGGACGCCGGGAGGAGGTTGGCGGCAGTGGCCTCGGAGATCTGGTCGCCATCGCCAGGCACTTTCTCGCGACGATCCTGGGATCGGACGCGCTTCCGCTGCAGCACAGAAGGGGCGGTTGGAAAAAAGTCCGCAAAGCCAGCCGAGGCGCGTGACATCGTTTCGAGATGGCTACACGCCAGAGACGACCGTGGCGCGACCACAAGGCAGCATCCTTGGTGGAGCGGCGAACAGACCGACCGGGGGGGACAGATGACGGTCTGGGTCTGGAAGGGCTGAGAGTAAGGTCGGAGGGGGAGAGGGTGAAAGGGACCAGAAAGGAGACAAAGACGCGATCGGGAAGTGGAATTGGTGGGGACGCGGACAATCGTGAAGAAGGGAGAATTTTCGATGACTAACCAACCAACCCATGCTCAGTAACGTAACTAACTAACTAGTTACAGGGACGACGACCACTACTACTGCTACGATACCACGGAATAGTAGAATTATCATCGTTCCCGATAAGTACTAATATGTACATACCAGCCACACAATCCTGCACACATACTCCCACTTTTCATCATTCCCAGGCACCAGGCTATTTTTATCGCTGCTGAAACTAGGATTCAGGGCAACTGAGACACACGGCAGTCACCTGATTGGGTGAGCCACGCAGCTGTGGTGGATCGGCACTAATAATAATAATCTCCCTCCCTTTCTTTCTTTCCTTCCCCCCCCCACTATAAAGCCCATCTGCTTTCCTTCCTCTTTCTGCTTCTTCATCCCTTCACTCGCTATTCATCATGTGGTATGTTTTGCTCTGGAGTCCCAATTTGGCTCTCCTAACCCGGATCTAGTGGAATTTTCGGCTATATCAACTACCTCGTCGAGAGGGACCGTCGGTTTATCATCGATACCCTGCTCAATGGTATGTGATCGCCTCTCCCCCACCCTCGGTCGCCCTCTAACTTCATCTACAGGTCTCTCACGACTGGAGTACCGGGGCTATGACTCCGCGGGCATGGCCGTCGATGGCAACAAGAAGAATGAAGTCTGTGCCTTCAAGGAAGTGGGCAAGGTGGCCAAACTGAAGGAGCTCATTGCAGAGCAGGATGTGGACATGTCCAAGATCTTTGAGTCTCACGCAGGTATCTCTCACACTCGCTGGGCCACTCACGGTACGCCCTCGCGCACAAACTGCCACCCACACCGGTAAGTCAGTCCGAAATGCAAGTTGGCGGGGTAACTCACCATCTCGGGTACTTCAGATCGGATCCCTCGTGGGAATTCGCGGTCGTTCACAACGGTATTATCACCAACTACAAGGAGCTGAAGGCTCTCCTCGAGACCAAGGGGTTCCGCTTCGAGACGGAGACCGACACGGAGTGCATTGCCAAGTTGGCCAAGTACCTGTACGACCAACACCCGGACATCGAGTTCACTGTTCTGGCCAAGGCCGTCATTAAGGAGCTGGAGGGTGCATTCGGGCTGCTGATGAAGTCCGTGCATTACCCTCATGAGGTGATCGCGGCCCGCAAGGGTTCCCCGCTGGTGATCGGTGTGCGCACATCCAAGAAAATGAAGGTGGACTTTGTGGACGTGGAGTTTTCCGAGGATGGCGCTCTCCCGGCTGAACAGGCCTCCCAGAACGTAGCCGCGAAAAAGTCGGCCACGAGCCTCCTGGCCCCGCCGGACAAGTCGCTGTTGCACCGTTCCCAGTCGCGGGCATTCCTGTCCGACGACGGCATCCCCCAGCCCGCCGAGTTCTTCCTCTCGTCGGACCCCTCTGCCATCGTGGAACACACCAAGAAGGTGCTCTATTTGGAAGATGATGATATTGCCCATATCCACGAAGGACAGCTGAATATCCACCGCCTGACCAAGGATGATGGCACCTCCAACGTCCGCGCCATCCAGACCATCGAGCTGGAGCTGCAAGAGATCATGAAGGGCAAGTTTGACCACTTCATGCAGAAGGAGATCTTTGAGCAGCCTGAATCCGTGGTGAACACGATGAGAGGTCGTCTGGATGCGGTCAACAAGAAGGTCACCCTGGGAGGTCTTCGCCAGTACATTACTACCATTCGCCGCTGCCGACGAATCATCTTCATTGCCTGCGGAACCAGTTACCACTCCTGCATGGCCGTGCGGGGAGTTTTCGAGGAGCTGACGGAGATCCCCATCGCCGTCGAACTCGCATCGGACTTCCTCGATCGCCAGGCGCCAGTATTCCGAGATGACACCTGCGTCTTTGTCTCCCAGTCGGGCGAGACGGCGGACTCGCTGATGGCTCTCCGCTACTGTCTCGAGCGGGGTGCCTTGACGGTTGGCGTTGTCAACGTGGTCGGCTCTTCGATCTCGCTTCTCACCCACTGCGGTGTGCACATCAACGCCGGTCCCGAGATTGGTGTCGCCTCGACAAAGGCCTACACCTCCCAGTTTGTGGCCATGGTCATGTTCGCTTTGTCCCTCAGCGAGGACCGCGCCTCGAAACAGAAGCGCCGTGAGGAGATCATGGAGGGCTTGGGCAAGATTTCCGAGCAGTTCAAGCAGATCCTTAAGCTCAATGACCAGATCAAAGAGATGTGCGCCAAGTTCTTCAAGAACCAGAAGAGTTTGCTTCTGTTGGGTCGTGGAGCCCAGTTCCCCACTGCTCTTGAGGGTGAGTTTATTCAAAAGCCCACCGATATGTGACCCATAAAGCTAATCGTTTGAACAGGTGCCCTGAAGATCAAGGAAATCTCTTATCTCCACTGCGAGGCGGTCATGTCCGGCGAACTGAAGCACGGTGTGCTCGCTCTCGTGGATGAGAACCTCCCGATCATTATGATCCTCACTCGCGACAACCTCTTCACCAAGTCACTGAATGCCTATCAACAGGGTGAGTCTGCTCGTCGCTCTCTAGAAGATGGATGGCCGATGCTAACGTTGTTTTCACAGTCATTGCTCGCGGTGGCCGCCCCATTGTGATCTGTAACCCCGACGACCCGGAGTTCTCGTCTGCGCTGACCGAAAAGATCGATGTGCCCAAGACGGTGGACTGCCTGCAGGGCCTGCTCAATGTGATCCCACTGCAGCTGATCTCGTACTGGCTGGCAGTCGGCGAGGGCCTGAATGTGGATTTCCCGCGCAACCTGGCCAAGTCGGTGACGGTTGAGTAGATGCTTATGATTATGATCTTTGCATGGCGAACCATCTGTGTTATTTTTAATCGCTAGGGTGTTGTAATGTCCCGGGAAGAATGGAATTTGGCTTTTTTGTTCCAGTCGTTTTATGTAGATGTGACATTCCCCGCCAAACAGTAATGAATGCGGGTATGTGTTTTGCTGTTCCCGTCATTTCTTTCTTCCGTCCTCCGTTCCTATTCCTCCTCTAGACAACTCTCGCCTCTAACAATTCCCGACTCTCATAAATACCACAATGACCTCTATTAAGGGCCCCGGCGCTGCGCCGACCTACGACGGTAAGGCAAGCAGACATCCACGAACTCGGGCCCCTCCAACTGATTGATTGCGCCATGACCTAGGCTCGGGATTGCGAGTCGCCATTGTCCACGCACGATGGAACACGAAGATTATCGAGCAGCTCATTGCTGGAGCGAAAAAGAGCCTGCTTGCAGCGGGCGTGACCGAGGACAACATTACCATCCAGACCGTGCCGGGCAGCTACGAGCTGCCCTTGGGTGTGCAGCGGTGAGTTCTTCTGGCCAGCATCCCGCCTTGTTTGTCTGTCGCTGACGAGACCTGTCTCTTTCCTTAGTGTCTATGCTGCATCGCAGCTCCAAGCTAGCAGCTCTTCCGGCGAGGGCATCAGCGCCACGGATCTCTTGTCGGCTTCGACGAGCGACCTGACGCAATCGCCAATAACCCCCGCGGCGGGGCCGAAGAAGCCCTTCGATGCCGTGATCGCAATCGGAGTCCTAATCAAGGGTGCCACGATGCACTTTGAATACATCGCCGACGCTGTCAGCCACGGACTGATGCGGGTTCAGCTGGATTCCGGGGTGCCGGTCATTTTTGGGCTGTTGACGGTGCTCACTGAGGAGCAAGGTCTGGAGCGAGCCGGGCTGGGAAAGAGTGGTATGCACAACCATGGCGAGGATTGGGGCAGTGCGGCGGTGGAATTGGGTATCAAGCGGAGGGAGTGGTCGGAGGGCAAGATGCTGTAAAGACGAGAGAGAAAGAAGCTCTAGGAAATGAAATTTTCTTGATTGCGAAGAACAAGGACATTAAAAGATATCGACCGGGCCCGTTTCTATTCCTCCATTTGCTCCCCGGAGCCCCGGGCCCCCTCGTCTTCCTCGTCCTCGCCCTCCAGAGCTCGCCTGGCAGCCTTCTCTGCCTCCTCGAGGAGTTCCCGGGGCACTTCCTCGTGTCGTCCCTTGGTGGGCCCGTCCAGCGAACTGATCCAGGTCATCTCCAGCTCGAATTCCTTGTCCTTACTGTCCTCGTGGGCCACGTAGATAATCCGGGCCGCTTCCTTGACGGCCTCGTGCAACGACAATTTCTCCGCGCTCAGGTCCAACTTCTCCAGCTCCGCCTTAGCCGCTTGTCGTCCCTTGCCAGTAGCGGCACCGTAATAGCCCTGCACACAAATGGTAGTCAGTAAACGGGAATCTTCCGATGACATGAATCCAGCGAGTGTTTGCTTGCGTACCCAATACAACCCGCTCGGCTCAATCATGTAGAGACCAGGGCCACCAGCTTTCGCGCCTTCGACCTTTCCACCAGAACCCGACTTGGGTCCGGTTCCCACCTGGCCATCCACGGCCAGCTCGGCCTCGCTATCCCATCCACCGACAATCGAAGTCACACCGAATGGCCGCACGCTGGAATACAGTGTATAGGCTTGCACGTAGCCGCCCAGGCGATTGGCAAGCGCCGCGATCGGAATGGGGCCTTTGTAAGTGCTCCTCCACGAGGAAGCCTCATCTCTGCCTCTGGAAACAAAGTGACGGCCGTCCGGGACGAGACCAGCGGATACCTTTTCGACAAGAACCCAGTCAGAACAGAATCACGATGCCAACTGGATTTAGGGTAAGAAGGAGGGAAGGATTTCTTACAATGCCAACATGGCGATCCACCGTTGCTATTCTCTTGTTTGCACCAGGCTTCAGAAGCTTGCTGGTGATGATCTTCTCCACGGCCAAGACCACGCCATCCTTGCATCGGATGCCGATAGCCGTTCCTCCGTTCTCGACTGCTTTGACTGCATACTCGACCTATCGAGGGAAAATCTGTTTAGGTTTCTGGCGCGCGAGCTTCGCGAAGATGGGGGAGGGAGTGCTGCTGACCTGGAAATTCCGGCCGTCCGGAGAGAAGACCGAGTTCGAGAGATCGTAGCCAGTGCCAATTGACGTCTGTGTCAGAAATTAGAATCCCGGAGGGTTGTATTGCTGGTCAGCGAAGCAAACCCACCATGGTGATGCAGGGACGCAACTAGGTGCTTCGGCTCGAAGCTTGGGGATGAGAGGAAGGAGAGGAAGGAGAGGGGGGGGGATTTAATGGAATGAGAGTAAGACGACCAGAGAGAAGGTAGGAAGAAAGTGGGAGTGAGTGGAAGGATGGAGGGAAGAAGATGAGGTGATGGGTGAGCTGCCGGGGAAGCTGGACTAGCTCGCGTCACGGGGGTTGCCTGCCAGGTCACATGATCCTCATAGATCTTGCGACTTTTACTACTGCTTAGTCCATTTCGATCCTTTGTTTTGGTTGATTCTCTAACAGGACACAGGTAGTCGATTTATTATTTCCCGCTTGGCCTGATGTTGGTAAACGAGGTGGGTGTATAATCTGTCTCTTCAAGACCCAGACCTCTATGTCCTGTCGAACTTAGGGTTACCACCACAACCCCTGTACTTAGTATATACGGAGTCAGCTTCTTATTATTATTCGAGATCCCATACTAAATCTATCTGCGATATCGCACTGCGCGACCGGACAGCTCTAGCAGTATCTGCCCAACTCCGCTCGGGCACTAACTGTCGGGCAGATTTAGTTAGACTTCCGGACACCATGTTCTTTGCTCAACCACCACCACCATGTCCTCCTCCATCTTGCACCAGTGCCCGTTCTGCGGACATGTCTCCGATATTTCCCTTGCACTGGCTGCCTTTGTCGAGAATCCACACTGTAGCCAGGTAGTTTCTGCTCCATCTTCCCTGTTTTCAAACTTCCTGACCGGGAAATGAATGCCCCAGTGCGGCCTGTCGGCGGCGGAAAGCAACCTGAAAATGCAGAATGAGCTGGCCGAGTTATTCACCAAGCAGATGAGCCTGAGCCAATTTGGTTCAGAACAGCCCACAGGCCCCTCGGTGTCCCAGGCTCCACCCATATCGTATAGCGTCACCCAGCACTACCACCACTCGTCCCATATAGCTTCCCAACAAAGAGCAGGGGCTGTGAACATTGATGCGCTGTTGCGACAAAATGGCCTGCAGCCACAGTCCCTTTCGACCAGTCAACTGGATCTGGTCAGACATGCGAGCCCGGAGCAGCAGGAACGATTGATCCAAACATGGAAACTGTACTCCCAGTTCGAACAGCAACAAGCCATCGCCGGAGTAAACCCTTCTTGTACTCAAGATCTGGAGATGTACGATAGCATGGACGATAACAAGCAGTACGCCGAGCCGTACATGATATCGGGCTATGAGATGCATGCTCCAGACGCCAGCTCGATACCCCTGCCCACAGAGCCGACGACAGGACAGCCATACTCTCCGTCCAAGGACCCTGTGTACCAAGGCCAGGGGCGGTGGGGGTCGGGAATCGAGGAAGGTGGATTTGCCCAGGCCCATTGGAATAGGTAGCCATAACTGTACATATTTCGAGCACAGCGAATTTGTGATATCCCAACGTGAATGTATTGGTTTTTCTCTTTTCTAAAAAACATTTTCTCTTCATAAACCCGCCCACATCCAAAAAACCCCCCAGGGGAGAATTGAATAACAAATGCCATGGCCAGTATCAAAAAAGAGTGTTCGCCATAGACAGGGTTCCACGAGACTTCCACGGTGCTTCCTCACGTACACTGGTGGTGACGTTGGTATGTCGATGGATGCTGCGCCGGGCAGAAACGTTTTTCGTTAGACAACTTAATCAACTCCGAACCAGTGCCGGCGGTAGACAGATGGGTTGAGTGCTGTTTGAGAGTTGGTCAGCATAGCGCAGGAGAGCTTGATCTGGGAGGGGAGGCTCACATTTACTCTTCGTCATCGAGGGCAGCCATGGCCTCAGCGAGAGCATCAGCGGAGCGCTTGACCTCATCGGCAGCCTCGGCGGCGCGCTTGACCTTGTAGCAGCCCTGGCCGGGGTGGCCACACCACTTCTGGAGAGCAATGGGGTGTGCCTCAGCCATGGCATCGGCGAGGGCCTCAGCAGAGCGCTTGACATCACCAGTGACATCGGCGGTGCGCTTCATCATGTAGCAGCCCTGGCCGGGGTGACCGCACCACTTCTGCAGAGCAGCAGCGTTGACCGAGGTGGCTGCCAGCATGGCAATGGCGACAGTGAAGAACTGCATCTTGATGGCTGAATTGAGTGAAGAATTGACTTCGGAGGTTGGTTGGTTTGGTTCTGAGAAGATTTGAAGAGCTTGTGGATTGTGCTTGGGGAAAAGATGATCCAGACAGTGAATCCAGACAGATTTTATACTCGTGCAGATCCATGGGATTCACGCTGGTGCCCTCGCGAGCTATGTTATTGAGACCCGAACTCGTCGTTGACGCTGAATAGAGTTGCTTATTGGGGGAGAGCCACGCTGGGCCTCATCAATAGAGTCGTGGAGTTTCATGCTCGAGCAGCCAAAGAAGCAGAGATCAATTCGTTCTTTGATGTCCCAACCGGAAATGGGAGTCAATAAGGATGAGTGTGGTGAGATAAGATCGGCCCGTGGGCTGAGTCGCGCGGCGCCAATGCCGAGCCCATCCGCCCTTTTTCTGCCGTTTTTCGGCCTTTTCTTTCACTTCTTCTTTTCCAACCACCGCTCACTCCCTCTCCCAATTGACATCCTTTCTTGGTGCCCTCCCCCGTTGTCACCCATCTCCCCCAATCATGTTCTCACGAACGGCTCAGCCTGCCCGGGTATGTTCCCCTTTGTCTGCCATCACTCGGTCCAATGATGCCACCTGCCACACTATCCACACCCTCTTCTTCTCCCTCCCCCCACAAGCCCCCTGATGGCGGGATGGCATTGCGCCTAGTTCATGGCTAATCAATTGCTCTTTGTCTAGACTCTGCTTCGCAGCGCTTCCGTGGCTCCCTCCGTCGCTGGTTCCATTCCTGCACGATGTACGCCCAACTGGCCCCCATCCTCAGCGAAAAATGACGTGGTATAGTGTCGCTAACCTGTTCAATTAGCCTTCGCGACGGTGCAGTCGGATATCTTCAAGCCGACCAAGTATGGTGGCAAGTATACGGTGACGCTGATTCCCGGCGACGGCATTGGTGCCGAGGTGGCCGAGTCGGTCAAGACCATCTTCAAGGCCGACAACGTCCCGATTGAGTGGGAGCAGGTCGATGTCAGCGGTGTGGACACGGGCAACAAGCATTCGGAGGAGCTGTTCAAGGAGTCCATCGCATCTCTCAAGCGCAACAAGCTGGGTCTGAAGGGTATCCTGCACACCCCCGTGGAGCGGTCGGGCCACCAGTCGTTCAACGTCGCGCTCCGTCAGGAACTGGACATCTACGCATCCATCTCGTTGATCAAGAATATCCCGGGCTACCAGACACGCCACAACAACGTCGACTTGTGCATCATCCGTGAGAACACCGAGGGCGAGTACTCCGGTCTGGAGCACCAATCGGTCCAGGGCGTGGTCGAGTCTTTGAAGATCATCACCCGCGCCAAGTCCGAGCGCATTGCCAAGTTCGCCTTTAGCTTCGCGCTCGCCAACAACAGGAAGAAGGTCACCTGCATCCACAAGGCCAACATCATGAAGCTGGCCGACGGTCTCTTCCGCAGCACTTTCCACAAGGTCGCCGAGAACTACCCCACTCTGGAGGTGAACGACATGATTGTGGACAATGCCTCCATGCAGGCCGTTTCGCGTCCCCAGCAGTTCGATGTGATGGTCATGCCCAACCTGTACGGTGGTATCCTTTCCAACGTCGGTGCCGCCCTTGTTGGCGGCCCCGGTGTCGTCCCCGGCTGCAACATGGGCCGCGACGTTGCTGTCTTCGAGCCCGGCTGCCGTCACGTCGGCCTGGATATCAAGGGCAAGGACCAGGCCAACCCTAGCGCCATGATTCTGTCTGGCTCCATGCTTCTGCGCCACCTGGGTCTGGATGACCACGCCAACCGCATCTCCAAGGCGGTTTACGAGGTGATCGGTGAAGGGTGAGTGATTGATCACTTGAAATGAAATCAGCATGCTAACAGATTGATAGAAAATCGCGGACTCGCGACATGGGCGGCAATGCCACCACTCACGAGTTCACCCGCGCTGTTCTGGACAAGATGGAGGCGGCTCTGTAAATTTTCATCTCCGGCTGCCCCTTTCTTTTGTTTTAGAATATCCACTGCAACGATTGTGATTGACACCTGCAAAGTCCGTGCGATGATTGAGATCATAGGCGGACCAACTGGTGTGGTCGGTCTCTGTTTATGTATTATCTTTTACTTTGTTTCGTTTGGAGGTTCCATTGCCAGCTGTAGCAATATAGACCATTTGGAAATCAATTCGTAACGTCATTAAATTATTTTAGCTCGGATTATCCTCCTCGATTGGTGGCATACATCCCCGAGTCCTCATTATCACACGTGGTGAGCCCCACGGTCTGTCGATTTCTCTGTCGATGCTCTTTCCGTGGCGCAAAGCTACTGCAAACGGGTCTCCCCCAGCGGTGGTGAGGCATCTCCCATAGAGAAGTTGGAGGGCGCACATGATGACGGAGTGACGCCTGGAGCCATCGACCGGGTTGTCTTCCTTCCCGGACGCTCTAGGCGCCTGTCGGCCAGCGACAGAATCGCTCAGAAGGCCGTACGTCGTTTGCGGCCCGTATACTTTGAATTGTGCTTCACCACCTTGCCCTTCTTGGCCATCTGCTCCTTCTTATTGAGGATCCAATTCTTATCGCCCTTGCGCGGTGACCGAGCTCGAGCATTGCTCAGCTCCATAGCCTTCCTCCTCGCATCCAAGACATCGACACCATCCATGCCATCGACCACGCCGGTAATATCACCATGCAGACCCCCGCCACCGACTGTCAGAACCAAGTATAGCTTGCTATTCTTCGTGCCGGGGTCGTCCTCGAGAATACCGGCCCCAAAGCCAGCCTTGATCGCCGCGCCACTGATCATGCTCCGCTGGGCATCATTCTTCGGATAGAACTGGCACACTGCGCGGCCGCCGCGACGAAGACTAGCGTAGAGGCCCTCGAAGAACCGCTTCAGCCGACCCTCGGGAGTGACGTCGCTCGTTTCCGCATTGCACAACCACTGGATGGCGCTGATGCTGATCGCGGCGTCGAAGGCGCCGGGCCGGAAAGGTACGCCTTGCCCGATGTCTGCGAGGAATAGGTCGCCCTCCACCTCGCGCTGCAGGGCCACGTCTAGCATGCTGGGCGAGATGTCCATGCCCACCCACGTGTGCGGGCCGCCTTCTTCCTCTGTTACTTCGGAGAGAATCTCGCCGGATAGACCAGAGCCGCAGCCGACGTCGAGAATCAGAGACGGAGACTTTAGGTCCAACAGCTCCAGAGCCCGATTGGTCATGTCGGCCTGGATGTTGCGAATGCGCGAAGAGGTGGTGTACTTGCGGGATTCATTGTCGTTGTAGAACAGGTCGGGCGGGCTGGAAGCGACTCAGTCAGTGTCATAGTTCTTGCAGGCCGAGGGTCAAAACTTACAGGATATCTTCGGGACGAGACATTGTGCTGTATATCGAATGTGTGGAGTGGAAGAAGTCGAAGGTCAAAAAGGAAAGTTCCGCGCCAGAAAAATAATTAGTTGCTGCCTGAGGCCAAAACCCGATGCCGCAACCAACCTGCCACTTGTTGTTGCTGTCACTGCCTCACTTTCTTCTGCTTCCACGTTCCACCCAGACTCACGCGCTTCTCAGTATTATTGTTAAATAGGTCACTCTTGCAGTCGATCCACCTTGCTTGCTAGCATGCGCCCAGTTTAATCACATCCCTTTCCGCCCGTCCTCCACGTGTTCCGGCTATCCCACGTCCCTCCCTCCCTGTCCACGCCTCCCTCTCTCTCAGTCGACCGAATCAGTCACGATGTGGATTCTTCCGCTCGTGGGGTACCTGGGGGTAATTTTTGGCTTTGCATTCTTGACACTGGGAATCGGTAAGTCTCAGTCCGGCGCAAGTCAAGCTCTAGTCTAACCAACCGTCTACGCAGCCTCGGGCCTCTACTACCTATCCGAAATAGTGGAGGAGCACACCGTGCTTGCCCGCCGGCTCCTGAGCCGCCTAATATACAGCATCATCGGCGTGCAGACCCTCCTCATGATCTTTGATCGATTCCCTATATTCCTCTCTCTCCTCAGCATCGCGTCGCACCTCGTCTATGCCAGCAACCTCCGCCGTTTCCCCATTGTCAAGCTTTCGGATCCCCTCTTCATTCTGTCCTGCCTCCTCGTCGGCCTCAACCACTGGCTGTGGTTCCGCCACTTCTCGCAGCCGATCGCTCCGGCCCAGCGATCCGAGAATAACTGGCGCCAGCCGTATAAAGTCGACTATAGCGACGTGCCCTCTTTCACCGATGTGGCCTCGTACTTCGGGCTCTGTGTCTGGCTGGTTCCATTCGCTCTCTTTGTGAGTCTCAGTGCTGGAGAGAATGTGCTGCCGAGCATGGGCTCTGAATATGCTACTGGGGAGCATGTGCCGACTGCGGGGCTGGGTGGCGCCTCTGATGCAAAGATCAAGAATAAGGGAATGGCCAAGGCGTTGGTGGATGGGGTCCGGGAGTGGGCAGCTGAAAACGGGGAGGTCTTGGGGTTTTGGAAGGGAGAACGGACCAGGCGGTTCTAGCGGGTTTTCGTGATGGGCATTTAAAATCCAGTCTAGAATGATAGTATCAGTTCCTATGTAATGAAGTGAACGGCTCGAAGATGATCAAAAGAAGTGTATTAATTATATCAAGAGAGTGGCAAGTCCCGACTCATTTTAAATGACAAGTAGCAGAAGCAGCCATCAGGAGTAAAGTGGATGGAAAAGATGAAAGCTGAGAACAAGAATCGAAAAGAAAGGAGAAAACGAGTATAGAACGCTGCAAGACGGAGAAAGAAAGGGGGTATAACGATGGTTGGAAGCTGCTTGGCAAGGGCACAACAGGAAGGAAAAGCATCGAGATCGACCACTGTGCAACCTCATCCCGATTAACGTGATTATCATTAAAGCGAAGGGAGGTATTCATTTCCTCGTATGGGTGCTGGCTTGAGTTGCCAAGTAGTGCAGGTCATCATTCCACAGTCGTGTATGTCGTAAACGGTCTCACATTGGCATGACCACCGGGGTTAGACGAAAAGAAAGAGCGTCGAGACAAGAAAACAAGTCAGACCAAACATTCAGGGCAGGCGTTTATATAATTGCCCTAGTCGAATTTGATGGGTTCTCCAGAAGCTGAGAGGCTTGACGTTAGCAAGCAAGAAGATTTGCTATCTGTGATACTCAGCGGACTGGCTGTACGTACTGTTCTCCATGAAAAGCATCGAGCTTTCGCGCCTCTTTGATCGGGCCGAACGCGTGTCATCTGGGTTGTTGGGAACCAGCATACCATTCAGCGATGTGAATCCCGCAGAGCCCCCTGCTTGCTGATTGTACATTTGCTGCTGATAAGCATTTTGGTCGTAAGTCGGCTGCATGGGGATAAATCCGGTATCTTGGAGCTGCGCTCTGGGAGGCTCGACGGCACTATTGGGCTCACTTTGGCCCCGGAATGAGGTTTGGTTGTACGAAGGCGTGGGGATCTCCGAGAACATTTGGTGGCGTGGGGAGCGAATATCATCCGCCGAGAGGGTTCGGGTTTCGTCGACCGTCAGCTCTATGGATGGACCAGGGCCAGATGATAAATCGCCGAAGATGCTGTCATAGTCTGTGAGGAACATCGAGAACACTGGGGCAGGGATGTTGAGAGTCGGAGCAAAGACAATGCCCACGTTACGGACGGTCATCTTGTTGACATCGGAGTTATTGACGATCTCGATCAGAAATTGTGACAGAGCGGACAATAACGTCAGGTTGGCACTCGGCAATCTGTGCACGAGGGAGTTGAATGCGGCGAGCTTCTTCTGTTTCTCATCAAGTTCTGTTTCGAATACGTTAGCACAAGTAAAACGAGCAACCCCACACCTATACATACCCAAAACACGAAGGAAATCCAAGTGGAGCTCGCGAGTCAACACCGTCGTCGGAAGCTCCCGCAGATATTGCTTGAAAAGGGAAGCGACTGCATGGACGTCGTAATACTGGTCTCCGGCAAGGAAATCGATATCGCCCTCGGTATTAAACCGTTCTTTCAGAGCCTTGATCACGACATTTGAGCCGCTCAGACGGAAGATTCCCTCTTCGGAAGCTGCTCCCTGGGAGTGAAGATATTCAATGCAACGATAGACCACGGCCGGCAACTCCACATGAACGCCTTGGGGCGGACAATATTCCACGGCCTCAATTAGCGGTATCCCGAAGACGGGCCTGACCGGGTCCTTCCGTTCCGCTTGGACGTTGTTGTTGGCAGCGGAGATGTCACTGCTGGCTCCGCCTTGAGATGCCAGGTCAAAAGAGGATCGTGTGCGGAAGCCCCAGATACTGCGCTTCTTTTCCTTGGTAGATGTTGTTGTTGTTGGTTTGTTGCCCCAAGCGCCTACGTCTTGAATGATTGCGCCATTTTTGGGTGCAGATATCATCTTCGGAGACTGCAGCGCCGGTTCGATGGTGGTGTCACCGAAAGCCATTGACATGGTAGACGGGAACCGTGGAGAACGAGGAGGCGCCTGATCGAGAGTGGTACCCAGTATGGGGGGCTCGGCTGCAATAGCATCGTCAAAGCTGAATCCTTGGACCGGGTCTCCGACAACCACGTCCGGACTCTCATCCCTTTTGGCAGGTTTCTTGCTTCCGTTGCCGGAAAACAGTTTAGACTTGGCGGCAGATCTAGGTTCAGATCCAGCGGAGGGTGCCTTTGCCGATGTAGAGGCTTGACTCTTTGACGATGGGGGACCACGGCTACTCTCATTGTCGGACGAAGCGCTTTCGACATACTCCATCAGAGCGTCCACCCAGGCGTCCCGCTCTGCGTCGCTCTCAGAACACAAGACATGCCGTACAAGCGCCGAGGAATCCTTCTTCTTCGGTTCCAGGACGAGGAACGCATGGCGATATTGATTGTCGGCGTCATCGTCACCTCCGGAGGTAGCCTGGCTGCTGGAGTTTTGCGATTGCTTGCCGATCTGAGCGTGGTGGAGCCTGATAGTGCCCATATGAGCACCTCCTGGCGACTCGAAGTATTTCAGCTCAGGGCCATGTAAGACAAAGTATCTCGCTTTCCAGCCACCGAAATTCTTGCCACGCTTCGTCAAATAGCCTTCCTTTCGCGGCTTCCCATCGGCCCCACGAAGGATGTCGGGCCTGGTTGGGGAGCCTTTCAGCAGGCTGGTCTCGTCATCTCGAGCCTCAATAGCGTCGTTCGTCAGGAATTGGCAGACGATCAATGCAGCGGTTTCATCCATATGCGTGTCCAGGAGACTGTCAAAGTACACATTCAAAGCAGCACGTCTCGCATCAATTTTCGCAGGAGAGTGACCACTGAAAATGGCCCGGTCAGGCAACTTCCCGGCAAAGGAGGAGGTTTGTTTAACCTGCTGGTCCAACTGAGGAAGGGACCCAATCACTTTTTCAACTCGCCAGAGTTCTGACACTTCCGATCGAGAGATCACGCTGAGTGTAAAAACAGGTTCCTCGTCCAGGGGTTTGGATGCGAGATAGCTGTTCCTCGAAGGCCGAAGTCGAGACGAAGAGACTCTCACTTGAATCAGAGGCAGCGCATTGGGCGGTAAAAGCAAGCCAGGATACTCTTCTGACACCAATCCTTGATAAATACTGCTCTCAGAGAATTTGGCTGATATCGGACTGTCGATTTTGACAGCGGGATCGATTGATGGAATAGACATGCCGGGTCGTCCGGTCGTGCCTGGGGCATCTCCCGGAGAGAAAGGCACTGGGTAATTGGGCGCTCGCGGAGAATTAGGCAGACCTGCTAGGTTATATCCGGTTGCCAGCGACGGGGATGCCATGGGGTTTGTGATGTCTCTGGTGGGCATTCTCGGCAAGGGGGAGCCAATAGGACGATCTTCTGGTCTCGGGCTCAGAGGCAATCCTGGACTCTTAGGCGTGGCCATCATATTGCGTCCACTGGAAGGAGCTGTGCGAGAGCTCAGAATGCTTCCCAGGGAACCCGCTCCGCCAACATTTGGTGGCGACCTCGACGACAGTTCCCGGGGCACCGGCGTCGAGCCGGTTGATGCGGTCTCTCTTGAGCTTTGGGAAGTTCCAGATTTGCTTGGTTTCGCACCATCGTAGATGCCCGCCTCATCTTGCAGCTCAGCTTCACGGTCCTGGTCATCCTCCTCCCTCGTTTTTCTCCTACCCCGTTCCTGGCTGCGTAATTCATCAACTTCCAAAACGTCCCCGTAATCAGACCCGGAGTCATTAGGGTCGACATTCTCCTTCTGTCTCAAGTTCAAGGGAGCAGGCGGTGCCTTGCGGCTTGTCTTGCTGTCGCCGGGGGAGGTAGGGCTGGTGGGACCGAACTCGGTAGCTTGGGCGTTTTCTTCGGCCCGCAGGTCGCTTCGACCTTCGCCGTTTGCCGGTTGAGTTTGAAGTCGAGACAGGGGTTTGGGAAGAAGAGAATCGTGACGGTCCGCCGACAGTCCGCGAGAATCAGCAGCGGGGAGCGGGGGCGCTGATTGTTGAATCTCCTTGAGCTTCTTCTTGTAATGGTCCTTCTCCTTGAACGCTCGCTCAAGATCCTTGTTGAGGCCCAAGATCAAAGTCCGTTGTTTATCCACCAATTTCCACAACTGACCATTTTGCGATGCTGCGTGATGTTTTTCTTTCAGAAGGTGGATGATGACGGCCTCGGGCGAGCCAGCCTTGCTAATAAGGTTGTTGATATCCGCTGGGCTCAAGGCGTTCGCGTCGAAAGATGATTTGTGTGATGGAGTAGACAGGGACGAGATGGCGGAATCAATCGACGAGGTTCGAGGGATCGTGCGCTGAGTCGCGCGATCTCCGGGTACGGAACTGGTTGTAGATTTTGGCGAGGAAGTTTCCGATCGATCGGGCTCAGGTCCGGCTGATTGTTTCGGCATGGTAAAGCCGCCGGTCACATCTGCCGATGCCTCCGGGCTTGTCATTTCAGGCGCTCGAGACGAGCTCGCGGCAGTGGAGGATGGGGGCGCGGGGAACGCAGCATTGGCTACGCGAGCCATCGGCGAGCGGTTTGTGGCAGGGGACGGGTTTGCGCTCGATCGGGCGGACACCGGGCTCTGCGACGAGGCCGAGTCGTCGTGGAGATAGGATAGCGGGAGGGAGCTGGTGTGCAACGGAGAGGGTTGGCGAGGGCCACCGCGCGGTGTTAGAACGTCGGATCGCGGACCCAGATAGTCCCGGTTCCTCGAGGCAGGGGAGGTGTCATCACTCCCTCGCCGCGGACCCTGCGACATGGCCGTGGGTGCTGCTCAGCATGCAGTGCCACGTTCGGGGGGAGCAACACGAGGTGAGGCAGGAGAGGCAGGCTGGATGAGAATTGGGAGGGAGCCGGGAAGAGAATATGGGAGCAAACGTGGCGGTGGGAGAATAATTTAAAAAAAAGCGCCGTTCTCAAGACGAAGAAGCAGCTCCTCGTTCAGGTGGGGAGGGGCGAACTGGACGAAAGAGAGAGAGAAGGAAAAGGGGGTTCGTGCTGGCTGGTGGACCCTACAATGACGATCGTTGGTGACAGCGGGAGATGACAAAGAGCCCTAAGTTGAACAACGCCGGAGATGCTAACTACAATATAATACACAATATGAAAGTTATGGATGCCGTGCTCAGGCAATGTTGCCGGCCATGCCCATGAAAATGGCCTGCGCCGCCAGTTGCAGCGACCAGAAGCCCACTTTCTTAAACCGCCGTTTCCGCGCCTGATCATCCACCACGTCCCGCGCAAAGGCATCGTACGACTGCTCGCCATCAGTATAGAGATTCCAACAAGAAAAGAACGAAAGAGACTCACCGCCGCCGACAGATCATCCATCAGACCACTGTCAAAGATAGTCCAGCTGCCGTCGAAATCGCTCACACGCTTGACCAAGCGGCAGTTGATCGGAATGAAGGTGCGTTTCGAGTTGATATACGCCACGATCGGGCGGATGAGGGCGTTGTTGATGTAGGACAGGTCCCGGGTGAAGATGGGCACCACAGCCCGGACGTTGTTGAGGTGGAGGCGCAGATCCATAACGAGGAATCGCCGGTCTGCCCCGGGGGTGTCATCGGTCTGCTGCTCAGGCCCGTAGGGAACTGATTCGGCATACTGGTTGGAGCTGACGGTGGCTTCCAACCGATCGTAGAAGTCGGCCATGACCTTGGCCAGGCTCTCGTCATTCTCAGCAGGCAGCATGATGTCCGCCACGATATCCACCGTGCCTTCATGAATCCACGAGAATGGGCCCTGTACACCGCGGTTGAGATGATCAATGCTGAGACCGTCAACCCGGATGCGGTTATACTGTTTCCACGGGCTGGACTTGCCATCCTCTGCCCCGTCGTCTAATCGGGGACCTGTGAAACCGTGGGTCTGACGAGGGTGGATGGTGAACAGGGAATTATCAAAAGATCCCGAGATCATGTTGGCCGAGAGGAAGTCATAGAAAAGCCATTGCTTCCGCAGCTGAGGAAGATCACACGAGAAGATGCTGACGGAGAAGGGCCGGAAATTGTCCGGCTGATAGACCGAGACCAGTACGTCGTGCATCTTGAACGAATCGATCTCAAAGTCCCCAGGATTGTGCTCATGCCGGTAGGTCTTGGGATCTAGATAATCCTCATCCGACCAGTGGACGGACCGACGGTCGACCACTCCCCGGATCCCATTCACCTCGACGTCACGAAGCAAGCCCTTCCCATTCAGCCATCTCGTAAATGACAGGGTAACATTGACCGTCTCGATCGAGAGATCGAACTGGGTATAGTTGGTGTCTTCTTCTTCAGACACTAGTACTAAATCTTCCGATACAACGTCCCCACGGGCTGCGGCGATAGCTGCCGCAGCAGCGGCCGTCTTCGGTGAGCCCTTACTAACGTATCCTGTTCCCTGACCCGGCCGCTTCGACACAAAGACGTTTTTGAAAGTAATGACGCCGCCCCTCCACTTGGGAACGATGGCAGATTCGAAAACAACTTTCACTCCAGACGATTTCGTCAGGTAGTTGCCGACCCATCCCGCCAAAGTTTCTTGGGCAAAGACCGTGTTGATGGCAAGGATAAGCAGCGAGAAGAAAGTGGTCGTTCCCAGAACTACCCACACCACATGGCCTAGCAGAACCCATGAGAAGAGGGCAGCGATCTCATCCAAATTGAATGGCCGCACGCTTCGTATAGAGAACCATTTGAAGCGGACCTTGAGGCGCGACCAAAATCCAGTAGCGGCGGCGAGAAGTTCTTCCTTCGTGGGCCGATGGAGATGCGGCATGTGTGGCAACCGGTCCATCAGATGGCGCTGGTGCAGTTCTTGCGGTAGTGGCTGAGGAGAGGAGTTTTGAGGAGGAGTGGTTTTGGGAGAGGAGTTGTTCGTGGATGTTTTTGTATGAGAGGAGTCATTATCGTGGGGTGTTTTGGCGTGTCGATCGTGGTTCGGTGTGTGAAGAGCTCGCTTCCAGATATACTGGGCGGCGATCTTCCTCGAGGGACCGATACATGCTGCGCTGGCCTCAGCTGCCGTCGAGCTTGGAGAGACGCCTACCACAAGGAAGCCGCCAGAGGCGACTCTCCTTGTGATGACTCTTCCCGTCGAGAAGGCGGTTCTGGGATAGCTGTAGAAGGGACGCGGGCTGGCGGTGCTGCGAGTTGTGCGGATGCGGCCAAAGAAAGGAGCGCTCTCCCAGAGATGGGCGAATAGCCGGCGTCCGAAGTTGGCAGACATGCTGGCCATCACATACTGGATGCGTTGCTCATCGGTGGTGGTTGGTTGTCTCCCTGATTCTGCTCGATTGGAAAGATGAAATCATGTTTGCTCTGTTTGCATCGAAAAATCATCCCGTCCACACTTTTTTTTGCCGGTGGGGAATCTTTTCCTGTCCAACTCACCTACGATAATAAAAGACACGACACAATCATGCCGGCACCTACTGCTCTTCGGCAGCCAGAGGAGGCCTCGGTGCCCCAGCAGACAACTATTCCAGCCGGTCAGTGGCCAAGTGATTCCCTCTCCGTTTCTATACTGACAATCAATCCACAGACCAAGACGATGAGATTCTGATCGACGCCCATGCCACAGCCGAGCAATCGAGTAGGCCGGTGGTCGACTCGGCGGAGGATGAGATGCGGATCGACGAAGAGGGCCGACCGGTGTTCACGCCCTCCAAAGAAACCAGCGCAGCGTATAAGGTGGAAACACGCAAGGTGCCTGTGCCGCCACACCGCATGACGCCGCTCAAGGCGAACTGGGCCAAGCTCTGTCCTCCAATTGTGGAGCATCTCAAACTGCAAGTGCGGATGAATATCAAGAGTCGCGCGGTGGAGCTGCGAACGTCCAAGTTCACGACCGATGTGGGAGCCCTGCAAAAGGGTGCCGATTTCGTCAAGGCCTTCACCCTCGGCTTTGATCTCGATGATGCGATCGCGCTGCTTCGACTGGACGACTTGTACATCGAGACGTTTGAGATCAAAGACGTCAAGACCCTCAACGGCGAGCACCTGGGTCGTGCCATTGGCCGCATTGCTGGAAAGGACGGGAAAACCAAGTTTGCCATTGAGAATGCCAGTCGCACCCGAGTGGTCCTGGCCGACGCAAAGATCCACATCCTTGGTGGGTTCAAGAACATCCATATCGCTCGCGAGGCCATTGTCAGCCTCATTCTGGGCAGTCCTCCGGTAAGTCTCCACCCAACACCCGTAACGTGGGGCATGAGCTGACGCACAGCAGGGCAAGGTCTATGGTAACCTTCGCACGGTGGCATCACGAATGAAGGAACGGTTTTGATTCCTACGAAGTCTCTTTTCGGCATGGGCAGGCGTTCAGGAGCATTGGATTTGATCGGGTATCTTACTGAAGACATGAATGACATATCCCGATATCTATTTGAAACCCGCACTATTATTTCTATTGGATAGTCCCCAAAATCACGAGTTTCATTGTTTGCACATTAAAGAAAAGACACCGTAGTTGCTTCAATCCTTAATCCTTCTTCAACGGGTGGAACACCTCCTCAATTCCATCCCGGGTGATGGTCATCATTTGCAAGTTATCACCCACCTCGATGTGTCGCTCCACGGCACTGGTGAACGCATCCCGCACGAGCTGTTCCACCGTCTGTCGGGGCAGAGGCTCCGCCTTCTTCGGTTGTAGCGCGTGGCCCTCGCCGCTGCCAGGCACGTACTGGTTCTTGAACTTAACCTGGTTGTCGAGGAAGGGCATGATCAGGCTTGATGCTGCACCGGCCGCACGGCATTCCTCCCGCTCGTATGAACCCACGGGGTCGTAGCTGTACAGAGCTCCCTTGCCCTCCTCGTCCAAACCGGCCAGGATGACGTGCACGTAGTAAGGAAAGAACCGCTTCCCATATAGAATGGTGGACAGGCGCTGCGCACATGCTGATACCGACATGGATTTCCCATGTTGGTATTTGTACATCTTCACCACGGCATCCAGTCGTTCCTTGAGAGCATTGCCGTCCGCGGCAAAACCAACGACCGAGAGAAGGATATGGGCTCCATTGCCAGTATCGTCGTCCCCACCAATCTTGAAGACCTTCGGCACCATGCGAGAATTGATGTTGTACCCACTCGTGGAGCGGGTGTCGCCGGCCAGGATAGCGAAATCAGAGCCCGTGATGCCCAAGGTGGAACCGCCATTGTCGGTGTACCTAGAAGATAATCGTAAGCTGCGGCTCTTGACAGGCTTCATCAGAGCAAAAAAACTCACGGGTAGAAGGAATGCTCTTTGACAGGAGCAGCTGTCGGCTGGGAGAAGGAATACCCAACGGTCTGACCACTTGGGTGACCCATGAGCGACGTCATTTTGGCGAAGCGTTGGGGCTGGAAGATGAATGACTGATAGGATTTAAGGCCAGATGGAAGAGAATAAAAAGACGAGAGGGGGGAAGACGATGAGGGAGCGCAATTCAAATGGAGGAGTTGGGAGGAAGGTGTCTGACGCGATTGCGGTAGCTGCCTCCGCTTATGTAACGGCCCAGCTCCAACGGATCCTTGTCACGACTGGTGAGTACTTCTCCTACACGCCACACATCATGCTGTCTCTAGATGCCTACGACAGCAGCGAGGACGAGGTAGAGACACATCCTCCCTCTGATACATCCCAGCGCAAACAGGCCCCTTCACCTACAGTTGGGACAGTTCAAGGTAGGGACTGTCGTATGGTTGAATACCTCACCAAGAGCTAACTAACACTCGTTATAGTCAAGACACCACTGGATCGCGAGCATCCCCAACCACAACCTGCCACCGTCGAAGCCCCGAGTGGTCCGGTACTTGGACCGGCGTCCGTGCAAACCCCATCCAACGGGCCCTTAGAAGCCGGCCGTTCCTCTCCCTTTTCAACCACCCGAGCCCTGATTCAGGATTTGACTCTGCCTCCAGTGCCCAATCTGGACATACCACCATCACCGCCGGGGTCACCGGACCCAGCCGCCAATGCGAAGTTTGAGCATTTCCTCTCCCTGAAAGCACAAGGCGTACACTTCAACGCCAAGTTAGCCAGCTCCTCGTCCTTGAAAAATCCCAGCTTGCTCATGAAAATGATGGAGCATGCTGGAATTGAAGAGCAATCGCAGTATGATACGTCTTTACCGGCTGAGGTGTGGAGTACATCCAATCTACCGCCCTGGGGGTTCAAGGAAGAGCTTCTCAAGACCCAGCAGGAAGCTCGACAGAAAAGTGAGGCGAACAAGTCATCTAGGGATTCGGTTGAATTTGTTTCTGGCTCCCGGAAGCCCAATTCTTGATTCGGATTTGATGCAGGTCTATTGGGAAACTACCCAATGCTGACAACCTCTGCTGAGAAGCGGGCACTATCTGCGCCAAACCTTGAAGAACCAAATTCAATAGCGACTCTACGATCTGCAATGAGCAAAGCTCATTCCGTGATCGGACTCGATTCTTGTATTCACGCCAGTCCGACATTAACATCGGCGGGATACACCCCAGTTGACTGGAAGAGTCAGATGGACAGAAGAAATACATATACATCCGGGATGGGGCTCGACATTCCACACAGACAGTCGCCGCGTCTGCGACCTGCTCTAGCCGCCACCACCACCGCCTCCCGCTGCAGCGCGAGCGCGCCGTTTGGCCTTCTCATACAAACTCAGGCAGGAAATGAAGACAATTCGATCAAAATCGTCCCCATATTCCACCTTGATCTGGATCTTCCCGCATTTGTTGTAAGTCCGCTCGCTCGTAAAAATAGCCACGACTTGGTCAGATCTCTCGTCTACCAGCTTGTAGTTGCGCACGCTGCCCCATCTCCGCGTCGAGTCCTCCACCACTTCATGGCGAGTGCGCTTCCAGAGAAAAGAGCGTCTCTGGGCGGGAGTGTCCGGACTGGGGGGGTCGCGAATACCCAATTCAATGCGGTGCTTGTTGCCGCGAATGCTCACTCGTGTCATATCCTCCCATTGCATGTTTCCTGGGTCATCGGGGTTGCCCAGACCCAGTTTGTAGTTGCTGGACAGTTTGAGGAACTGGCTGGCTGCTACAATGGGCGCATTGGTGTCGGTGCCCGCGTGGAGGGTGATGTCGGGCTTGTTCCATGTCCATGAGGAGACATCCGCGTAGAAGAGGATTTGGTCGTCAAGTGATTTGATCTCATAGTGTCGGCGGAAGGAGTTCTTGTAGACTGAATAGATACGAGCTGGGCCCTGCTCGTCCTCAGGTGGAGGTGCCGAGTCTGCCGAGTCGATTGAGCCTGAGTGGGAAGACATGGCTGCTGTTGTCTAAACTGTGGCATGTTTGAAAGCGAAGGGGAAGTTACATATCCAAATATGGATCGACGAGCGGGGTGGCTGTTCGGATGGAGCAACCTTGAAGTGCTGAACAACCAAGCCGTAATCGTTTCCAGACTCAGAAAACACTGGCCAGAATTTCATATAGTATCCCAATGTATTATCTCACACTGGAAACCAATTGCCTCCGTCAAATATACACCATATAGCTGTAGGCAGGTCCCGTGACCCGCTGACAAAGCCGAGCTCCGTCAGCTCGCCTGCCTGGGAAGCTCGTCATCTGTTGTCTACCTTGACTTCCCTTGGACCTTCGTTTAATCTCTCTCCCCCCGACTCTCCGCCCATCATGAATCACTTCCCTGAAGCTTGGGGTCGTGTAAGCTATCCCCTTCTGCAAGTCCTGGCTCCATTGCTCACCGTGTCCGCAGCCCAGGGACGATGTCTATGGCGCCTACAACAGCACCTACCTCCAGACCTCCGGCCCCAAGGCCCACACAACATCTCCCGCCGTGACGGGAACATCAGTGGTGGGCGTCAAGTTTAATGGCGGTGTTGCTCTCGCGACCGATAACCTGGGTATGCATTCGACCAACTAGGGTAGCTGCGTTGGGAATGGCCACAAACTAACGGGCGGTATCTATCCAGCATCCTACGGATCTCTAGCCCGGTTCACGGACGTCAAGCGTCTGCGCGTGTTTGGCGGCAAGGCCGTCGTCGGATTCGGTGGCGACGTGTCCGACATGCAATACATCGACCGACTGCTCGAATCGATCGACATCCGCGAGAACTACTCCATGCACGGCAACATGCTAAACGCCAAGAACCTGCACACTTACCTGGCGAAGGTGTTCTATAAACGACGCTCCGAGTTCAACCCGCTGTGGAACCATGTCCTCGTCGCGGGCTTCGACGCCGACGACCAGCCGTTCCTCAGCTCCGCAGATCTGCTGGGCACAACCTTCTCCGCGCCGCATCTGGCCACCGGGTTCGGTGCCCACCTTGCCGTTCCGATCCTGCGTCGTAAATTTCCTGATGAGAGAGATATCGAGACGATCAGCCGGGAAGAGGCCGTTGCGGCGCTGAAGGAATGCTTGAAGGTTCTGTTCTACCGTGACGCGCGGAGTCTGGACAAGTACTCGATAGCGGTGATCACTAAGGAGGGCATTGACTTGCGGGAGGACGAGAAGATTGAGGGCCAGAGCTGGGCGTTTGCCGAGACTATCAAGGGCTATGGGGCGCAGACCAATTAGACGCTTAATTGTTCTTTTTTTGTTTTCCTTTCATGAATCAGATCAATTGAATCACTAGTTATGTGTCCTATGGTATATATATCTCTCTATGTACGGCCCTTACAGTCGGGGAGCAGGCTTATCGTACACCACCCGGTTGACACACGATCCCACGCCCTCGAGCGACACTTCCACCGAATCGCCATCCTTCAGCCACAGCTGGGGCTTGCGGCCCATGCCGACACCTTGGGGCCTGGAAGGTCCTCTAGTTAGCTACGGTCGAGCATCTGTAGAGAGAAAGGGGAGACTCACGTTCCGGTGAAGATCAGATCGCCGGGCAACAGCGTCGTGCCCTGCGACAGGAAGGCAATAGTCTTCGCCACGCCAAAGATCATATCCTTGGTCGAAGACGACTGCACGGTTTGGCCATTCAACTTGGTCGAGATGTGCAGAGCATTGGGGTCAGCGATGAGACTGGACGAGACGATACCAGGCCCAAACGGCGCCCAGCCATCAAACCCCTTCCCCAGTCCCCACTGGCCACCACCGCGCTTGATCTGCCAGTCACGGTGGGAGACGTCATTACCGACCGCATAGCCGAGGACATATTCGAGCGCCTGGCTCTCGGGCACATTGCGGGCCTCCTTCCCAATGACCGCGACGAGCTCACACTCGTAGTCCAGTCCCTCGCCTTGCTGGGCGATGTCTGCGACGGGGATATCATCGACGGGGCCCGCGATCGCAGTGACGGGCTTGAAGAACAGAACGGGGTACTTGGGGATTGGCAGGTTGGACTCGCGGGCGTGCTGCTCATAGTTTAGGCCCAGACAGCGCACCGTGCCGATATCTTTGCGGGCTAGCGGTGCAAGCAGCAGCTTCACATCGGCGATCTGATCGGTTACGCGGTGCTGGCCGAAGATGTCGCCCTGGATGACCTTGGCGCGGGTGGCTGCTGCGATATCGGTCGTGCCGGCGGGGAGGAGTGCGTCGCCATAGTAGACATTGCCATCCTTGGCTAGGAAGCGGATAAGTCGCTGAAGATCGTCAGTAAAGAAAGCAGTAAAGACAGAAGAGGGACACTCACTGAGAAGGACATGGCTGGGCGAGTGAACATGGCGAGAGTGAATTGTTAAATAGTGGTCAGTCAGTAAGCTCCCTCCGCCTCCGCCTTTGCCCCAAGTCCCGGCGGGAAACGGAGCGCAGATCGTCCACCTCCCCCATCATCATGGCGCGGCTCTCCGGTCTGCAGCGCGAGGTATTGTCCCTGTACCGCCAATGTCTGCGTGAGATCCGGAAAAAACCTACTGTAGGAGTCTTTCTTATCTTTCTGTTTTTTTGGTTCCCTCAGACTGAACATCCCCAGGAGTCCAGAGCCAACTTCAAGGCCTATGCCCGGTAGGTTCCCCCCCCCAACTCATCGGTACAGTCCGACTAAAAAGACCACCCGACATTTCCAGCGCGGAATTCCAAAAACATCTCTCGGTGAGCAAGAAAGACTTCGGGGCCGTCGAGTACCTGTTGCGCAAAGGCCAGCGCCAGCTGGAGATGTACGCGGCACCGGGGATCCGCAATATCCGGTGATTGTTGATCCCGTGCGGTTCTCGTGCCTCGTCGTTGTCTACAGCGTTACTCTCGTCCTGCTCACTGAAGAGGAATTGCTTCGCGGCCCTATGCGATGGGTTAGGGATCCGATTTTGCCCGAGAGCGGAGTGTGAGTCGGGTTTCCTTTCTGGTCAATTATTTCTGTATATTAGATCTGGTTTGGATTCGGGTGGGGGTGTAAGAGTCTGGGATGCTTGTATTATTATTGGCCCAAGAGGGTTGACTCGGTGGTGCTGTATACTATACCCCAAAGAATATATATCTCCGACTATACCATATTCTACAGAAACCATGACTAGAAGATCTTGGCATTCCCATTCGAGAAACAATCGAAGAGAGTAGACGGTGACACCAATTTCGAGACGTACTGGACTGCAGGACGTGAGGTACCCAAAATCTCCGCAGCGAGCCTTGTTGACCACCTCAACGACCACAAAGGAGACCACTACACTTTCCACCTCACAGAGAAAGTCCTTTTCCTCAGATGGTAAAAGTAATGGGCTAAGGGAATTCCCCCTTTTCTCTCATTCTCATTACGCCCCATGAGAAACTATCGGCTGCGCTGGGAAATATTCCACGGGCAGCGGCTTTCGATCAGATTCTAGTTAAATGGTCGGAAAGAGAGACACGCTAAAGGGTCGCACCAGGCCTAGGCGGATGCTGGTCGTCAGGAAGCCAACTCCTCAACTTCAATGTGCGACGGATAAACAACATTAACATTAATTAATATCACGAGGCTAATCTCTTCCCTCGTTATAGGCCTATGTCAATTGTTTGTTTAAGGTGAAAAGGAAGGAACCTCAAAAAAGCATACTATATTGACCCGATATTACACGAACGAGAAAAATTCCAGAAAGCGAAATACTATCAAAGCAGGGAGTATACATCAGGATATAGCAACTGAACAAAACTTTTTTGCGAGCACCTATACCTGTGGATGGAAAACCAATATATTCAGCAGAAGTCATCCATCACGTTGGCGACACCTCAACTATGGCTGGTCCAGCAACGATATTATCATCACTCACGCCGCTCATACTACTCGTCAAGACAATATAGCTCTGACCCTCAACACCATTAGGAATAGTCGCGACGAACTGACTATTGCCAAGCGATTTGAGAGGCGCCCAGACAGGCCCAGTGACCGTTATAAACGCGGCTGATAGGTTCGAACTACTTGTCGAGTTCAAACCGGGACCAGCCACCAAAGTCGCCGTGGATCCGTTCATGACATTTCCAGTAGGGGTCATTGTCAGAGACGGGAAAGCTTTCACTGGAAGCGCGGGGTTGGTGGAAGGACATGAGGTAATAAAAGGCGAGGCAACCGTGAAAACCTCATTCAAATCAAGGGGGTTATCGAAAGGCTGAGCAAAGGGGACTTGGCCTTGTGCAGCTCGAAGGTAGGCATTATGGCGGGCCTCCACGGCGAGGATACTTCCAGCCGCAGTGAGATATGTCTTGTTGGTGATAGACGCAGCTGCTCCAAGGTAAGCACTAACTCCGACCCCTAAGCAGAAAGTGTTAGCATAGCAAACCTCTCTTTTGGTATAAGATGGCAAATAATTACCCTCTAATACATTTGCAAGTGAAATAAAGCTCTTCGGATCAGTGGCTGGGAACGTGTAGTTGCACTGCGCAACTGCTGGGGCACCCGCAGCTAAAGCGGTTGTCAACGATTGTTAATGGCGATACTTGGATTTACGTACCGCCTAGAGCACTTGTCAGGAACTGAACATGAGTCTGCTCGTCTGATGCAACTTGTTGCAAATTGGAATAGAAGGGATCCGGGAATCCAGCACTCAGAAAGGCCTCGTGACTGTAGTTTTGTAGGCCCTGCTGATAGAAAGTTGCTTCGAGATGTTCAAGAGTCAATGCATAGTTAAGAATGGTTGCTATTTATTATCACTGATCAGTACAGAAGAATCTCTCGTGAGAGCTAATGAGGCCATCTTTTTGGAATGGGAATCATACCGTCATTATTGACCTGACGTTTCATAAGTGGTATGCCGTGGACAACACCAGCAGCAGCACCAAACAATGCACAACGGCTGATCTTCATGTTCAATTTAGGATCTTATAATAGGAATGAAATAGTATAAGTCAGAAACCTTAGTCAATTCAGAAGAAAAGGCACGCCAAACCTGGGGGCCAAGGAGATATTTGTACTCGCTGCCTAGAATATTGCTATTGCGTACCAGACTGCTCTAGAGCAACCTACTGAGATCAGTTGATGCTTGCGAAAAATTTTGCCTTCCGCAGTAATACGAAAGTTATACTCTCAACCAGCGGATCCTGTGCACAACGATTGTTCATTGTGGCGTCATCACTCACTTTTGCTAATAGAAAGTGTACAAGAGCTTTACTTCGGGCCGCCCATGGGGATCGTCCCGTCTTCATTGGTGGATTTCGATCGATGATCTGATCTGAGCTACCAAGGATCTTCTCGGAGACAGACTATCGAGATTTGGATGAAGTTCCATTTATTCTATGATTTCATTGGTCAGGCCAGAGAGCTTGCGTTGGCTCTGCCTATGTAGGTAATGAAAACAAAGTAACGTGACTCCTTTCGACCGGAATAGGATAAGCGATTCCTGTTTGCGGATGAGGAGAAAGCGTGAAACTTGTTTTGGGTTTGAGCGGACCAGCTCCTAGAATCCTTGAAATTGAAATGCCTAGTAGATTAGAGAATAGACTTTCGTTGACGAGAGCGACCGAGAACGAGAGCGAGAAGTTGAGATGTGAAAATGCGGTTCTCACACTAACTTAAGTCACCTGTTTTATCGTCAAATGCACTCACGAGAGGCTTCTTTGTCATGATTATGCTAGGGTGTAAAAGCATGTCATGTTACTGTCCATATGAAGAAGCAAGGCAATTCTTTCATCACTGGGAGCCAAATGTCGAGAAATGGTTCCATTGAGACAAATGATTAGTTTTGTACGGCGTGCGGCGTAGGGCAGCGAATTGTCGCAAAGAGGGTCAAAATTCTAGTCACATAATTAAGGATTTGCCGCCCTGATATCCCCCTCGGCTCACTATTACCAGTTCGCATCTCCGATTGCTCCTCTTGATTATCCCAAAACCCATCGTCGTCTGTAGAAAAAGTTGAAACAGCGTGCAAGCGACGCAGTTATCTGGATGGTGGGGAGACAAGATGTTATGGGCCTTTATCAAGCTGATTTTGACTTGCAACTCAGAGCAGCTGAAACTAACATATGTATTTGTAGGAAATGAGGGAGGGCTTCTCATTAGAAGGCCATCGAGTCTGGTCACAGAGTAAGATACAACTCTTCCATAATCTATTCTCGTGATAAAAGGATAGTCAGTGTACACCCCTTTCATTGACCCTAAGCGCAGAGTCAGAATATCTGAAACCACAGGGGCCACTAAGCCGTCCACTGGACCATGTTGAATAAACCGACGGAAACTGAACACAGTGTACTCCATCAGGAGAACAGAACCAGCAGAAGCTGCATCCATGCAAACAGGATGATGAGGAAGATTGGTACAATCTTCAGCGAGGACCATCATCATTGGCATGCTTGCGGAACGAGGGGCTTGGTAGAAGGCGATTCATCTCGTGTTGCAAGACGTCTTGATCATCGCATTAGCGATGTCCACATGAATGAAGACGGATGTGAGGGCGTTCTTTTTATGTCGAATCACTTGGGGCATTGGAGGTTCGAAGCTTTGGTCGCAACGCGTATGACTTGACGGGCAGGAGCTTATATTGTTTCGGAAATCCAAGCTGTATCTCTGATTTGATCAAGTCCATTCCTGCCGCCTCAAAAATCTGCTTGAATTTCGAATCCGTTCTCGTCACGCTACTGTCCAAGTCATCGTACATATCTTGACCAAACGGATCAGATGACAAGTTTTCCTTCAGCACCATGACACCCGTCTCGGTTAAACAAGCGCCACATCGGGTAATATAGTCCACCAGTTGTGAGTCGGTCAGGTGTCCCACGCACCATTGTGTCCATATGAGATCGTATTTCTTCTGGGGGCACCAGTTCTCAAGACCCGTCGAGTATATATCACCAATGACTCCTTCTTTCTTCAGTAAACCATCACGTAGAACCTGCGTGAACTTCTCCACCGGCTCTACCACGTCTACCACTTCACAGACATGACTCAGGAACCCTTCGGTTATACGCCCGACACCTGCACCGCCATCTATCCCTAGTTTGAATTTTCCATCGGATGGTAGGGCTGGTATCAATCGACGAACTTTGGCCAAAAAGTTTCTTGATCCCTGCAGGTCGATCCGTGAATACCAGGGATAGCTGCCAAGCATGGCAAGCATCCCGTTCGTAGTAGCCGGAACGCTGTTCCAATACCTCAGGGAAGCGGTATGGTCAATTTTTGAATCGACGGTATCTCCATTTGTACCATCCATGCTGCGAAAATCTTAATATCAGAAGTCTGGGGCGCAAGTTCGGTTGTTATCAGAAAGAAAATTTACCCCATCCGACAAGGTCGTGAAAACCTTACATAATATGCATTTCATGACTAATTACCATGTGATCATAAACGCGCATGAAGACTGCATCGCGAAGTTAATTGCGCCCAGGTACTTCCTGGTAACCTACAAATGTCCTAGCGGAATTTTCTCTCTCCTTCGCCGACCGTGAAGTCTTAGATTGGCCAACTTCCGTAGGAGTCGACCACTTCTCTATTATGAGAAGTTATTTTCAAAAAAGTCATCGTTTATCAAGTATTCATAATCCTATTTGACTCTGGACGCTACTATGTTTTATTTATAATTATTTCCGCCTGAATTCAGGATTACTGTTTTTGGTTAGTGCTCATGCCACGTTCTACTAGAAGAGTGCAGAGGTCAACAATCTGCAACATAGGGTCTGTGCGCTACGATCCATTGTCTGTGGTTACCATTCCTTAGAATGTCTGCATTCGTATCCTGTGGCACACAATGTGAGCTGATATGGAACACTAGGCGCAACGTGCAATGGAGTTCCGGAAACAAACTAGCGCCAACCCAGTATCTTTATAGCTGAAAACAGTAATACAGCATATCTGTCTCGCCTTTCTCATACTGAATTATCCTAAAAAGTGCCCTTTTAAAGATATGGGGCGCGACCAAGAATTGTGTTGCTCACCATCTCGCTAACCCAGTGATTAGTCCAAAATACGTTGTCCAAGCTTGACAGCGCTCATACGTAGCCTGCTTTAGAGTACCCAGTCTGTGTTTTTCTGGCAACTATCTCTTCATTCTGTCCTGTTTCACTCTGACCAGAGACCTTTGTTCCTTTCATATGAAGTCCACGCTGAAGCAGGGATGCGATGATGACGCCCTAGAAGAAGAGCCGGCGATCAACGTCGATTACCTTTCGCACGCATGGATAGAAGAGGATATTTGGGCGACAAGGAGGTATTTGCTTAAGGAGAAAAGTGCCCTGAAGAACGGCATCCGGCTTGAGAATGCGCTATGGAGGACATGGACGAAGCACCAACAGCAGCTGAACACTTTGTCACCTGAAAGTGTGAGTTGGTTAGTAAATTCCAATGGCTCAGATTGCGCGAAGTGAATTCAGTTTTAACATTTCGATTGTCAGGGCGAAGGACAACGACATTACCTGGCTCTATGGTCCATGGAAGCCCATTGAGCCGTCGCTTGTGCAAACAACCTACCAAAGCTCACAGTTATCATCGTCCATCAGATCAGTGCTGAAGCGGCGGACACTGCTGTCGTTCACATCCTGCATTCAACTAATCCCGAACCGCTCGCTAAATGAACCACTTGTCCTTGAAAACGATATTCTCAAGCTTGGTGGCGCTCGAGCATGGCTCAGATTGTTATCATGCGTAGGTGCGTCCGCAGCCCGCCACACAAACGAGTGGTTCAGGCGTATCTGGCCCCCGCTTCCGTCAACGAACCGCACAAAGGTTCACTTTGACCTGTAGGTTAGCCAGATCTTGAAGTGGTTATTTAGCCAGAGACCGAGTCAACCCCCGCTAATAAGAGCATTTAGTCAGTCCTGATTGTCCAGGGTGCGGCGAAAAATTCCCGAACAATTCCAATCCAACAACAGGGTCCACAACGGCTGGGTTCTCTGAAGTGGTGTGTCCCGCGACAGGGACCAAGAATGGGCTGATAAACATCGGGTGTTGATAAATGACTTTACTGGGTGCTATTTTTCCTATGGAGGGATTGACAATTGCGTAGTGTATCTCTTAGCAGTATCAGTGATCCTGGCGGCTCTTTGCCAGCGCTAATTCATATGGCATCAGATCTGGAACAGCTCCTAGAACGTACGGGCAAAATACACGAGCAGCTGAGGGGGAACAAACCAAGTCACAGTTGCTAGTTCTCGCAGGACAACTAATAGTGGTACAATTTGAAACGACCGTTATTAAAAGAGGGAGTTTAATGTCCGGCTTCATGGATCTCACGCCTGGATAATATCCGAAACAACCTTCGCAGCCGCCAATGTCTCCTCATCCTTAAAGTGCTTTCCCGTCAACTGCAGACAGATTGGCGCACCCTCAAACTTCTCTGGCACATACTTGACAAACTCTCTCTCATCGATCACACTTCTTGGAACATAGGTGGATTCCGCCTTATCAATCTCGGGGTGTTGGAACAATCCTGTTGGAAAGACGGCAGTAGGTTGATCCAGGATGTTCCAGATAGCACTGTAGTTCCAGTACTGGGAAGTACCGAGCTCAGGAGCGACGCCAACGTACGTGGGACTAAGGATAAAATCGACACCACGCGCTTTCATTAAAGCATGGTAGTCAGCACGGTATTTCTCACGCTTCACGTTGTACTCCCAGTTTTGATGAATCGTCAGAGCCTCCGGGCGCGAGTAATTAAAGGCCCACTCGGTGAGGGGGAGCAGGGGCTCGCCGGAATCGGCGATGATCTTGCGTTGGCAGGCAGCACCGTCGGGGAAGTAAAGCGTGGACTGCGTCACGATGAGTGGACTTGCAGGGGAAAAAAGGAGCAGATTTAGTACTTACGACGATATCCCAGCCGAGGGCATGATCCATTGGCTCCCAGTCCACAACCTTGATCCCGGCGGCTTGGATCTTTTCTTTGGCATATCGTAATCCACGGGTAATGGGAGGGTGGGGGCGTACGATTCCATCATCCCACAAGACTGCGACTGTAAAGTCCTTGGTCTCTTGCACACGTTTCCATGGCATTGTCACCAAGCTTGTCTCGATATCCCACGGCTCTTGGTCAATGACTGCTGACATGAATAGATCCAGGTCCTCCACACTTGAACTTGCTAGAGGGCCAACAACGCAGCGAATAGATTCTTGGCCGTCACCTGCGAGAGTGATTCCGTTGTATGGATTCCTCAACGCAGTAGGGCGGAAGCCATACGCTCCGTTGAACGCAGCTGGAACACGGATGGAGCCCCCGATATCTGTACCAATTCCCAGAGGTGCACACTTGAATCCCATCGAAGCACCCTCTCCTCCAGATGAGCCACCGGGAGAAAGCTTTCGATTGTAGGGGTTGACAGTCATTCCAGTAATGTTGTTGTTGCAGTCGAGGTGCTAAAATTGTTCATTCATACTTTAGCAGGAAACAGGCAGTCAGACTTCTAACATACCATGAGGGACTGAGGCTGGTTCGTCCGAACATGAAAGACGGCTCCGGCTTTCTTGAGAAGCTGAACAAGCAGAGCATCTTCTGGAGCAATGTTCTTAATCCTAAAGGCAACAGTCACGAATAAGGTTGATAGGTTTCATCCAGAATTTCTCACCATGAAACGTATCCAGTGTGGCAGATGCGCCCCTTCAGCCCAATATGCTCTTTAACACTGATTGGAACACCATGCTTGAAGCCGCATTAGACATTCCTCTCATGTTCCGAAGACCCAAATCACTCACCAAAGGCCCCACCAACTTTCCTGTCTTCTTGTAGTATGCATCAAGCTCTTGCGCGCGGGCGATGGCCTCATCCGCCATGAACTCGGTAGCAAAGTTCAGCTAAAATATGAAGATATTGGTTAATCTCTAATCAAGAATTGTCCACCTGGCCAGTATTTGACTTACAAGTTGTTGTCCGACAGTTGCTCTCTTCAAGAAAGCAATGACAACTTCTTCCGCGCTAAGGGCACCTTTGCCCATCTTTACGACGAGATCGGTTGCAGTCGACTCAGTGATGGCCAACTCACTCTCGGACAATATCCCGCTCTTGTGACAGAAGTCTGCCACGTTGAGCTCCCCTCCACCTGGAAGGGCATCTTCTACAGCCAAATATTGCTTTGGAATCGAGTTAGCAAGGACCTCCTTGCATTTGGTAGCTTCGATCTCCCAGGAATCGACAGCCATGGTGTTTGAAAAGATGACGAGGAAAGGATATCCTGATATGAGAAGACTAGGCAATGATGTCAAGCTACCAGAGTAGCGAGAACTGGGATATCGGACATATTAATAGATCGCTCTGTGTCCATTAAATTCGAGAGGCTATCGTCGGCCGGGATTATTCCCGAGGTATTGTTCAGCTCCACCAATAGCCCCTCTGGCCACGCCAGCAAAGTAAATTAAGTGGTGGGGAATTTCATGTTTCTAGCTATAAAATAGCACCGCTCTTGTCATTATCAATATCATCTATTGAGCTCATTCACTGGTAGTATTCCTAGTACATACTTCTTTCCGGCACCAAGTCAGCTATTTTGCTACAAGAGGGGAATAGACCAGGAGAATCAAGAGCAATTTGGAAGGACGGAGGCTGAATAAACTGAGGCTGAATGGACGGAGGGAAAGCCGATAGAGTTCAAAATTGATTGCTATATGCCGTAAACTGATCCGAAAGAAAGTCCCAGGAAGTGATTGATGATAGGTTGAGTGTTTCAAGTAGTGATAAGTTAACAACGCATCTGGATAAGATGTTACTAGTAATCAAAGGTGGGGAACAACCAAAAGGGGGATAACCTAGTACTCTAATTTCATGATAAAGTACAGGTGTTTCTTGGGACCGTAAGCTCGATAAGCTAGTCACTCAAGTCATCGAACGCTTAGAAGTGTTGTATAGACTGTCACAGTTATATTCCATTAAACTTTCTGTCACTTGAGCCTGTCACAGCGTTGTTATATAGATACGGTCTAGGCTAATGCATGAGTAATGCAGCCAAAATGACAAATTCCAACAGAAGGAAATGTATATTTAGTCCCAAACGGCTGAATGACGCCGATGACTGAGGCACCCTAGGATACAGCTGTCTACCGGACTTTGCATCTCCGTCAATCATATATTAGACTTACATCGATGAGCGCAAACTTTCGTAGAACCCTTTGAGGGGCTGTTTTGCCGTGGGAAAGATAAGGGTTTCGTGGGGGTCGATTAGGGTTCGTGGGGGGATCTACAAAATCCCGTCCACGATTTGTCAGTTCTATCGTTGTCCTCAGTCGGTCGTCATCAACTTGAATCACATTCTGTAAATTGGTCCGAGGTGATGAGGATAGCAGGATAGGCTTTATTGTTAGGGTTGTTGACGACATTGACGTTATGCCGATACTCACGACACGATATTCTCGGATTAAGTTCGTGGCAGAATGTTGGCCCTCTGGACTCTCGTCCCACCTCAAGTGGGGGCTACTCGTGACTGGCCAGGGGCAATCAACCAATCGCCAACATGCGCGCTATCTACGACTCCAAGAACATTTCTCGGATCAGTATACCAGGTTAGAAACTTTGTATCTTGATAGGACGACTAACGATATTGATGGTAACCGAAACGCTCCGGGAATCGCAGATTCTTGCTCACACACTAGTTTCCCAGTCTAGGAGGGACTTTGACTTCGAGGAAGGCCCCAATGTCGGCCGAGTATTAGATCCTACATCTTGAAGCTATATAGAGATTGAGAATATCGGCAAGTGCAAAATATTTCCAGACCACAATATTCTTACAATATCAATTTTTTCTCCGAAATGAGTCTCAGCTCTAGTATTGACGGGGATGCCGTCCCTGGTACCGTACACTTAGTCGACGTCGATGGGACCTCGCATGCAATGCACTCTAAGGGCCACCAAGATATTATTCTCATACCCGTTCCTTCGAAGAATCCTGACGACCCTCTGAATTGGTCGGCTGGAAGGAAAGCCTTGAGCACTTTCTGCAATTTCACGTAAATATGTCTTGGCCGATCCTTTCTGTACCTTTGCTGAAAAGTTTCAAGGTATGTCATGGTAATTGGGATTTCCACCGCAACCATCTACTCTGTGATTGTTCCCATATCCGATGATACAGGCCTCCCTGTGGGAACATTGAACTCCGGAACAGGCTACGTATGCAGCCCATTGCTGTCGTTCTCATGTTCCATGTCACCTCTGATGCTGTACGCTACTCTACCAGATGCTGACTGTGGTTGCAGATGTTTCTCTTGCTAGGATGGGGCCTTCTTATCTGGCAGCCCCTCGCTCTTGTATACGGAAAACGAATTGTCTATTTAGTCTCTCTTCTGGCCACAGTGGTAAGTCTACCAGGCTTCGACCCACACATGAAAATTCACAGACTGACATCTCGGGCAATAGGGAATTCTATTATGGGCTCCGTATACTACGACTAGCAGTCAATGGCTGGCCAACAAAATCATCCAAGGATTCTTCGCAGCCCCCATCGAGGCTCTCTGTGAGATCTCCATTGCAGACATATACTTTAGTCATGAGAGAGGCACGTACATGGGTGCATATTCACTTTTCTTATTTGGCAGTAACTTCATTGCCCCAATCATTGCAGGTTTTATTGATGATGGTCAGGGTTGGCAATGGGTCCTTTACTGGTCTGCTATCATCCCCGGCATTGGCTTCATCATCTGTTTCTTCTTGATGGAAGAGACCAACTTTTATGGCCGCGGAACGGAACTGGACACAGCAGCGTACGCGAGCACTTCTGCGATGTCAACCTCACCGATTAAGTCACAGAGCGACTCGAATAATATGGAAGTGAACTCGGATATCGAGGCACCTTCCCTTGATCAAACTTATACTATGAAGACATATTGGCAGAAGCTGGCTTTGATAGATCGTCAACCCAACCGCCCGAAAAACATCTTCCTCATGATGTATCGACCGATTCTCTTGCTGCGTTTTCCCGTGCTTCTGTTCTCCGGTTTTCAATACGGTCTGACTCTCGTCATGTTCAACATTATGAATGCTACGGCATCTTCGATCCTTGGAAGCCCGCCTTACAATTTCCGCGCGTCCATGGTAGGATTGTCCTACTTTGCTCCTTTGATCGGCGCCTTCATTGGAGCTTCTTACACCGGCTGGCTTGGAGATAAAATCGGGCTCTGGTTTGCCCGACGCAACAAGGGCATTCGAGAGCCTGAACACAAGCTTTGGCTTTTCAATGTCTCTCTCGTCCTGGTGCCATCTGCCTTAATCCTTTGGGGCGTGGGTGCATATCATCATGTCCAGTGGGTTGGCTTGCTTTTCGGCATGGGTATGCTCGGATCTACGAATGCCATCGGGGCAACGACAGCCATCAACTACGCCGTGGACTCATATAAGGACCTCAGCGGCGAGGGTATGGTGACGGTGATCTTGATCAGAAACACGATGAGCTTTGCAATCGGATATGGTATTACACCGTGGATTGCGAATACAGGTCTTCAGAACACGTTCGTAGCTGCAGCCTTTATTGGTCTGGGTTTCACGGCTACTTTCTTCATCATGATAAAGTGGGGACGATACTTCCGATCCTCTTCCAAGGAGGCATATTGGAAGTACGTCGACTCCAGTGTTTTGGCTGGCCATTAAAGATTTGGTGGGTCGTTAGATTCGAATTTCCTGGAGGCAAATGTTCGTTATTAATGGCTTCGATATGACATCTAACAAGATGGGATCGAAAATCCAGGAAAGAGATTGATTAGAAGATACCAGAATTTGGATTTCGTATATACTATATATAGGCAGCCTAGTAGGATGTTCCATATAGATCAGATAATTAATGCCTGGCACTTCTTGGCTTTGTCTTTCCGTTTTATTGCTCATCCCTCGATTTTCGTTAAGATACAAATCTGCGGTTAATCATTCTAAGGTTCCATGCCAAATCAATCCAACCCAATGCATAGGAATTCCATGGATCTACTCATCCGCGAGGATACCCTTGCATTTTTCGAGTATGGGTGTGGCATTTTCATGCAACTTCTCCTCATCGTCGGTGACAATTACAGCGGCTCTGGTTGCTGGTTTCCCCTCGTGGTCGTAATCGGTGTTCAGGCATGCCCAATCTCCCGTGCCAAGCATTATCAAGTTTGTGTCCTTCGAAAGCGCCTTTCGAAGGTCGAGTATATTGGCCTTGCCCAGTTTAGCGATTGATTCCAAGCTCTCAAAGTCACCACCCCACATGGCAGCTATTCGAATAGGGATCTCGCGGCCGTCGAGATCGGCAGTATCGGTGCAATCTTCAACAAAATCTTCATTATAATTATCATCCCAGACAGGAGGAAGACGGCGCTGCAAAAGATGATGCTCATCGAATCCGTAATTCAGGGGAGTAAAATAAATATTATGGATAACGTCGGATTCGGTGTCCCCGATGTTGCGCTTTGTCCTTAGGTCCGGAGTCGACGGCATGTGCCATATCCGATGACAATATTGGGCATCGCAGTTCGTGTTCGTTTCGATAAGCAGGCGGGGCTTGTTATATTCTAACATCCGTCGAGCCACCGACCTCCTCGACTGAGAATTTGCGGAAATTGTGTCATCGTTGGCCTTTTTCACGTCTAGCCAAGAATTTTGAAACGCGGCTGACGCTTCTTGCAATGCCTTTTCGAGGGCCGTGACTGCCTCCTCGGCTTCCTGTTCCAGTTTGAGCAAGGCGGTCCAATGAAGAACGCCTTCCTCTCCGTCCGTTAATTGCTGAAGTGTCACAGCACGCTTCTTGTTCTCTATAAAATCGTCCTCGGCCTTGATAGTCTTGTCCATCAAATCCTCTGCTTTTTCAATCAAGGAGGCCATTGCGGGATTGGTGGCTATAGTTTTATAGCTCTCGAATTTAGGCTTCCAAGTGTACTGCCATGTTCGTTTTCTAGCGTTCTGCTCTTTATCGAAAAGGTCCCACGCCTGAATAGCAACTTCGTTTTTGGCTTTCTCTTCTTGATATTTTAGCATATTGATATCATGGTTCGATTTTTTGACACTGTTGATTGATTCTTGCAGATCATTCGCTCGCTCGCGTCGGCCATAATACCAGTGGTCATAGATGGCAAAGGCTGCCAAACTCAGGGATGAACCTAACGCAATTCCCCACTGCGTCTCACAGAGATGGGGAAGTTTGCTGCACACGCCATAGACCATCACTGCGTTCGCAGTCACCGGAGCAAAGATCGTGCTGATGATATTGGGAGCTCTGGGGCTTAGACCGGCGTGATGTTGTGTACGAAAAACTTGCACAGTATCAATGGGTCGAATATCGAGGGCAGTGCTGCGAGACTGGTCGTGTTCGCTCATTGGGATGGCATGGAGCAAAGTAGCAAAGAGTAAAAGAAGACAAAGACAGGCATATATTGCTTTCAGAGGCAAATTCATGGATACAGGAAGTGCTGCAGTCTGGCAGCCGTAATTTGATAGTAGTCAAGAAATGGGGGAATAATTAGCAAAAACAGCGGCTTTAATACTTCATCCCCGTCTGGATGATGCAATGGCCCCCGTTGCCTTCAACACTACCCCAATTCCTATATCTCCCGGTTAGGATCCAGTTTATAGATATCAGTAATAGAATCAATTGGAACCGTATCTCGGCCCCAGAAGATATCAGATTACGGTAGCATTGCGTGCCTGTTCATTATGGATCCACGTAAATGATCTACTGTCTCGTAGAGTGGGCCATGCGTGCTAGTAACAGCCGGTTAGTAATTTTGCTCTTGCTCTTACCTACTCAGCTAAGTATGCATCGTCTTTACTGCGATGATGATGCTCTAGAAGTCAAGCATCACAAAATGATGACAAGGTGGACTCTGTATAATGACATTTTGAGTATAAACAAAAGATAGAGATCTCTTTTCTAATCGTCGCTTTCCTGTGTGGAAATACTTATCAGGGGAGGCTGGGCCCAAGGATGGAGTTGTTTGCTTAGTTTGAGGGAATTCGCCTCGAAATGCTAGGGTTTCGATGCTTTTTCCGACCGGGCCAGGGCAGAGATAACGAATAGTAAATACCGTTCATGGCCCCCTTTTTGTATAAACAGAAAGGTGCATGATCCATAGTCGGCTCCACTAAGCCTATTCAGCTTCTGGAAACACGTTATCAATGAAAGAAGGTAACACCTAACTCTCCACTTGGGGCGCAAGATATGGAGACAAGAAGATGGTTTTGTTTCACCAAAACTCTCGTCTATGGGATTTGGCCCCCTTCTGGTGTGATCCCTATTGGATCCAAGATCGGTTTTTCGACTCGGCTGCCCGACTCGGCTAACCGGCTTAGTTCTATTTGTATGCAGATGCATGCTCCAACTTAGAATATCTCATCATTCTATAAATATGTTGCTTTAAGAGCAGTTTTCCGATGTTGGTTCTTCGGTCGGATCACTTTGTTGTTTCAAAGACGCTGCATTTCCCTGAAGACGTTCACATGACCGCCAAAAGAAAGCCATATCGTCAAAAATTCGTCGGCGCCACATCTAGAAGGGAAACCTTTACATGTCGTTGTATCTTGACTATATGAATATGGTATTCATTAGCCAAGCATGCGCCTTGATCTGGGCCTCAATCCAATCCCACACCTCCTTGACCCTGCCTTCCTCTAGTGCTTCGTGGATATCGTTCCTCGGGTTTTGAGCCTGGACTCTGCCCGAAGGGATGACGAGCCCGCCCTGTTGCTTCTCTGTGATCTCCGGGCTGAGGCCAGCATATTTTTCGGTATAGCCGCCTAGCTTTAATGGATATAGCAGCTTGTTTATGAAGAGCATAATGAGTTTGCTCTGGGTATTGTAGATCTGTCTCTTCAGTTTGCCCGGATCCTGAGCGACGCTGATGATGCCCTCCTTGCCATAACGCTTCTCTGCCTCGTCGGCAACCATCGAATTTATTTATCGCCTTCGACGTGGCATAGTTGATGTAGGCATTGTTGGAGCCGTTCTTCTCGATGTCCTCAAGGTTGTAGTCACCCTCCGGAGACAGTGGCTCCATAGTATACATATCTGAGCCCTTTCAAGCGTTATCACCGTCCCCAAGGTATTCGGTTGTGCCACTCATCGCTCCCCTACCTTGTTCCGTGGGAAGTTCTGAGCCTCGGGTCAATGTCTCTTCAATTACTACTTATCTCAAAATAAACTTATAAACTGCGTCGTACTTGTTCCTCTCAAGACAGCCTTAACTAAGATCCTGACCTAGAGAGCACTTTCGCCTAACAAAACCCGAGAATTTCTGGTCACAGATCTTCCTCGATGCTGTCTCCTAACTATATACATCATAAACGACAGAAAAGGTCCTCTGCCCCTCTAGTGCCGGTAGTAACACACGCCCAAGTGTAATCATAATTATCGATAATAAGCCCAGCTCCCACGCGGAACTGCTCACAGCCATAAGAATGGAGAGGGCCCAGGTATTTTAGTATTGCATTTGCCACATTAATGTCCATGCCTGGTTGTGGTGATATTTGACACCGCAATTCAGAGCCTGCAGGGAAACCAAGTGGCAATGGAACTAGTGTCGATTGCGTATAGCCGGCCCGTGGCAGCCGCGATAGTATGGTCCGAATGACACTAGTCGGGTTGTTGCACACGTGGATATGAATCTGCTCCTCGGTTCGCGTTGAGACCGAGTTCATAGCTAGAGCGCCTGTCTTCCTCGTGTATTGCGCGGGGGTTGTCGGCGGGTTCCTCAATACGGACTGTCCGAGTTGCCAGCCTCTATTTGGTTCAGGCGCTTGTTTCAATTGCAGGATTCCAGGCAGCTTTTGTGATGTAGTGATCAACCCGTGGGCAGCCTTATTCGACAGTAGCGCCCATATTGGGTCGCCCACTACGTTTGGCTGTGCAAGAGTGCAATCTGCGGAGTTTTTTAGACAACGACACAGAGAGCCAAACCAAATATAGCAAGCATTGCATGGAACATTAGCATCGATACAGCCTTGGCCCCACAAGAGCTGACCTCCATTGAATGGGCTAATTGGCACAACTTCATTCGGTGCTGTCGGTGAATTACATTGCGGCGCAAGTAAAGGACATTTCGCGGCAACCCCAGACTGTAGACAACTACAACCAGTCACTTGCATGGATGAAATCTGATTTGTTGTGCACTGGGCAGCTTCTGTGTTTTTGAATAAAACCAAAAACAGGACTGCGATATTGAACAGTGGGCTCAAGGCAAGTCGATATTTGAACTTCATGGTATCGGTTCGGCAATGTTTCAATTCAGAAGGGATAATCTATTGCAACGAATCGTTCGGAGGATGGAAAAGAACGTTGACAAAAATGGATGGAATAAAGCGTTCTCAATTTTCATTACTCTTGAAGGAAACAGGTCATTCTTATACCCAATATCAGTGCAAACTGACAATGGAATCAATGTAAATTCAATGCAGATCATACCTAGTCAAAAAAAGGTGGAATGTGCAAAGATAAAAAAGCCACAGAATCCAGAGTCAAAGAATATAAAATAAGAAGAGAATGCAGGAGTAGAATGTTAGGAAATCCCGTTTGTTAGATACGACCACAGCACGGAGGTGTGTTCCTAAAGTTATCCTTCCTGAACAGCGACTAGGGCTCCTAACCAGCCTTAATAAATCTACAACATCCTCATAAATTCCCCGAGGATTGAAATTCTTGTCGGTGACAGCGATTTCTGGGGGTTTAATGACAGGTTTGACAATGTCGTGGATGTAGATCTAAAAAACCACGTAGTTCATTGCTGCTAATAGAATGCCGCTGAATATCTCCTCAGAATCCAATATTGGCGAAAGTAGGGCACTATGTTAACTTCATATATGTGCCCCTTGCTTTGCCTGTTGACAGCTTCTAAGGGGCAAGAATGCTGCAATTTAGTACAGTTGTGCGCGAAATTTGCTTCCGCCTAATTTTGACTAGACCTACACAATTACTGTTAAGGAACAGACTAAATCGTACGATTTTAGTGTGATCTAAGTACAAGAAGAATTCGTTGAAGAAGGGGGAAATGGAGTAAGGAAAGGAAATAACAACATTTGTCACTCAGAAACAGGGCAAAATGTGGGGTGACGGTACTGTACCACTGCCCTCACAGGGCGTTATTTCTGGGATCTGTTTTTTTCAATGTCCAGCAGTCTAGCCGGTGTGGATCAACGCTTTTCTTTTTCTCAGGTCTGATCAGAAGGAATAATCGAGTCTAATGCTTTGGTTACCGACAGTATTCTAGTTAATCAGCAGATACAAAAGCATGTTTAATACAACTCTGCTGATAGGAGCAATACTATACTTTCTGAATGTTTCAGCCTGCTTACTTTTTTCACGCTTGTCCCTGGGGGCCTTATTTTCAGAAAGTCTAATCCCTCCAGTGGCTCTGCGGGTCCCAAGGTAGAAAGCAGAGTAATGATGCTGGACACAAAAAGGTAAGACGCGCATGTCCGTGCGGCAGTCGATAAGAGAAAAGCGAGCAGCGAGCATGCATATGCGCGCGACGTTAACACTTAAAAGAGGCGAGGACGAATCCATCCATTAAGGCTATTCGCATACAGCGGGTCTCGACACTGGTCCCACCCCCCCACCTACAGTCTTTGATTGTTTCCCAAACCCTAATTGCCAAGATTGCTAAGCTACGCTGGTTTCATAACGTTATTAATTATTATTCCGGACTGTCCCCGTCAACACCGCTCTTCAACCACATTCCTCCAAGCTCTGTTCCCTATCTCCACCGCGTCACAAAGAGTTACCGAATTCTGTCGAGGATTAAGAATAAGGGGTTTGATTGGAACGGCAACAATCGTCGGAGCGCATACTATGAATACAGACATTCAGGGGCTATCATTTGCAACTATGCTATACGGTCTTTTGAATTGATTCCTTATCATATAAATCAAATCTGTATATCGAATCGCAAATTTTTCGGTTTAAATGAAGTCAATGTTACCCAGCCCGCTGGTTCCGCGACCCTTTCATTTGCGCATCTAGCGGGAGAAGGTGTGGGGAGTGGGGAGCTTCTTAGGAGTATTCTTGCGAGGAGAGCTCTGGATCAGGTGATCGAAAGAGGCAGCATCCTCAACACGGGGGGTGAAAGGCTCGAAGTTCCAGAGGTAGCCAAGAGTGCGGAGCAGGGAAGAAGCCGAATAGGACTGGGTCTGGCCACGGTAGTTGGTACCCTTCTGCTCTACGTAGCCCTTGCTAACCCAGGGAGAGATGAGGAGAGTGGGGATACGACCACCTAGGCGGTTAAACTCGAGAGTATACTCCTCGCCGTTGGGAGCCTTCTCAGTGTAGGTCAGGTTGTCGGGACGAGTGGCAAGGGGCGGGGGAACGTGATCGTGGAAGCCGCCGCTCTCGTCGAAGGTCAGGACGAAGAGAGTCTCCTCCCACTGGGGGCTAGCACGGAGAGATTCGTAGACCTTCTTGATGAAGGCCTCACCATCCGAGATCAGACCGCTATCGTGCATGGAGGTGGTACCGACACCGCAGCAGGAGGGGTTCAAGTAAGAGAACTCTGGCAGAGAGCCGCTGGCGGCATCGGTGTAGAACTGGTCCATAGAAACAACCTTGTCCTGGTTGCTAGTAGCATTGGTCCAGGCGAACCAGTGGGCCTCGGGACCGGTGCCGCCAGCGGTGTCCCAGTAGTTAAGCCAGGTGTGGTCGGTCTCACCTAGCTGCTGGAAGATTGAGCGTTGAGTGAAGGCATAGGTACCGAAAGTGGCATCGTTGGAACCATGGCCAGCGGAGGTACCAGCAACAACAGCGAAACGGTTAGGATCGGTAGGCTATATTGAAATTAGTATAATATCTCGAAATAATAACATCAAGTGTCCACTTACACCAGCGACATCAGAGTGCCAGTGGTTAAAGGTCAGGAAGTTCTGAACCAGCGAGGTCAAAACGGGGGTTTGGTCCTCAGTGTAGTAGTTCATGACCTGCTTGGCCAGCATAGCCTTAACAGTCTCGTTGGCGGAAGCGCCATAGTTGTGGATCTGCTCGTGGATGAAACCATTGTTGTTAGGGACCAACTTGCCATCGGCAATGGCGGCATTGTTAGGTGTCCACTGGCTGAAGAACTCCATGGTATTACCAGTGACAGCGTGGCTAGGATCATCAGTCACAGAGTCATAGTCCTTAGCAACGGAGCAGTGGTATCCCTGGGAGGGATCGGTCACGTTGTAAGGGTTGCAGAAAGGACCGCTGTGGATGGGATTATCCAGACCGGCAATGGTCTGACCACCAAGAAGGTTGTCCAAAGAGCGGTTCTCCATAACGAGAACGACGACATTCTTAACGTGGGACTTCAGGTTCTCAATGGAGGAAGGCGAGTGAGGAACGCGAGGCTTGTGGGGAATAGCACCCGCGGCGGCGGCGAAGGCTAAGAGGCCAACAAGAGCACTGGGATGCATTTTGACGGATTGTCTAACTCGATTCTTCTGGAGGAATAAGAAGTAGCCGTTGCACAAGAGGGAAGTATTCAGCGGCGGTGCAACGGAGTGCCTTTATACTTGATCTTGGGATGGAAGCCATGATGGAAGGTGCTTGTCTTCAACCCACGTGGGTATGCATGCCCACCAAATCAAGCCTGAATCCAACTGCTTGTATACTAGAGACCAGCCTAGAACTGGGGTTCGCATAATTCTTCCGAGAGATCCAATGGGAAATTTCAGTGTTAAGTGCTCGTCTCCAATGAGATCAAATCAAGCAACCACGGGGGATGAGACCGACTCGATCAAATATCGGTTAAAACGAGAGTTAAACGCTAGCGTATATGAAGATGAGAGTGTTGTGTACGTCGTGCTTGAATTGGCCGAAGTGAATGGAAATCAACAATGGCCAAGAAAGGGAGTGGCGGCCTCGGCCGCAACACTAAACCAAATAAGGAAGCTGGTCAACGTCCGGGCCCGGCATTTAATTGATTAAAAGACCCTAGTCGTCCCGTGGAATTCTGTAGCAAAATGATTGGGCAATTGCTTTTAGTCGTTTTAGTCGCCAAATCGTACTCTACGGTATCAAGATAATATACGGACTACACCTACCATCTATTCCGTCATCTAGTGCAGATATAGCACATTCATTGTAATAGTATGTTCAAACTGCCATTGACCCATTCGATAACAAGATGATTGTAATATTACTCCGGCTTCGCGACAGAAAAGAGACGGCAAAGGCTTAATGATCCTTGAGGGGCGCATTATGGAATCATATCAAAAGACTAGTGGATCTTGACATTGGGGTTCGAGAAACCATGCGTCCAAGACAAAGGGGGGTTGGTGGCCCTCGTCACAGGTCGTAGCAGCTAGCACCAGGGGGGCGTGCGTGATGATTTGTACGGACTCAGAATCGTAGCCGTAGTAGATGGATTCGCTATAGTTGATGATCGTTTGAGTGAGGATAAGAAAGCTGGCATATGTCATTATTAGGCCAGCGATGATGCCGTCGTGGGTGTTTCGTTCGTCTAGAAGCCGGTGTTCAGTGGTTGCATGGGGATGGGTGTATCGCTGAACCTCTGGCATTGTGCTAAATCGAGCATGCCACGCGAGAATGCGGTGTTCGAGAATTTTTTGTCGGCTGTGAAGCGAGCTATCCGGTGGAGCCGTTCCTGTGTGTTGTCTAAGGCGAGCTACCTTCCAGTTGCAGTCAAGATTCTTCGACTCCAGAAAGAGGGCATAAAGACGATTTCGGGCTTGGAGAGGGAGACAAAGGGGGCATTCGTGCGGGACTCTTCATCGCTACAATTCCCCTCCGATATATGTGGAATACCCCAATGATAGGTGCCCATGCCCATGCGCTGCAGCACAGGTATAATCACAACAATCGCCGAGGTGGGTACCGTTATAGATCTTGCAAGTTGCAGCCCCTGTTTATATAACGCTGGCGCTTCACGGACATTCCCCTGGAGGTCTCGACGCAGATGAGCAGAATGCAGCTAGCCAGCGCCACTGCAACATCCACCACTCCTCGTTCGATCTGCCACTGCAGCGATCATATAGACCGGAAGTATCATGCCAAGTCCTGCCGTCGACGTTGAGTTGGCACTGTAACAGAGAAAAAGTACGAGGACAAGTCACTGGACCGCACAGAGGACGCATCATACAACCTGGACAGCACATTGGGCGACTCATACATTGTGCTCAACGCGACAATTGCATCCCAGACGGCAGGGATCGGCGCGGCTGATCTACGCCAGAAGCCGAAATCGCGCGGATCGGATAGCACTTGGGCGGCGTGGTAGAAGCAGTATTCAAGGGCGGCGCCCTGAACAGGTGAGGATGTCGTCAATAAATTCTGTAGAGCGATGAACGGGGCGTGATCGTACTCGCAGTTTCGGCCCCCGCCTGTATATCGTGTGCACGATGGTCTCTTCTCTCCGCACTTGACCCGACGGATTCTGACGAAGTTGGAAGGGGTTCGAGGCAATACCGGGCCAATCACCTGCAGGTCTTGCATCCCGTCTTGGACTTGATGCAGGCCGCAACACAGATTTCCAACTACATGGTAACTTCAAATAGAAACCTGGCGGATGCCCCCCATCTCTTCCAATCTCTTCGGCATAGTTTCGATTGGCCATACCGTTCGGTTCTACTCTATGGCTCAGGGGAGCAACCGCCTTCTTCCCATGAACGACACCACCTACGACCTCGTTGAGGACGCGTTACAGTTGAGAATTTGTTTGTACAAGTTAGGGAGACCCCTGAGCAGATCGTGTCCTCTGGATAGACGGAGTTTCGTGAAGATTGCCACCTTCCACGTGCGATAGCTTGGTTCTCTCAATGCATCCCACGCATCTGTTCGTTGACATGTTATTTGATCCATATCTCCGTTAAAGTTTCCATTCTGAACCAGAAACGTAGCTGCCTTATCCATAGACTAGGCTCTTTTAATAGCTTCGTCTCTTCCATCGTAAAGAAATTTACTGTACTCCTTCCTTTCTTGTACCTCCTCATGTTCGAGATTCCTCTTCCTTGCAAAGCCTCTTTCTCTTTTAAAGAAGGAAATTGGGCCAAAAGGAAGACTGAGGTTTAATTGATGAGGAAGGAGGCAAAATATCCACCCTCCCTACTCCCGAGGTAGAAAACGGCTCGGAGATATATGTAGTCACGTAACTGCATGGTAATCTCATATTGGAAACTAGTAGGTATACATGGGGTTCACCACCATCTTCGGAAAACTTGCCATTCTGAATAAGCTACAGAAAATCTTCTATTTATTATCTGGCATCTGCACGTACAAGCTTTCGAACTTCTGTTCCATAACAGTGGTTATTATACGGAAATAGCACCAGAGATACATCTTGACGACTATAAAAGAATGCCAAGAAATCTCAATTTCAAGTTACATTTTGGCTGCATTTCCTTTCTGACAAATATCGACAGAGATAAAGAATCCTTGTTCGCGATCTTTGGCCCACAGCTGTCCGATGACAGGTTACCGCTGCGAGATCCATGATGTGTGGATGACTAATATCCAAGGAAAGAGGCGCCGAAAATGGTAGCGTAGCCACCTTCGACGCCATTTTCGGTGCCCGATTTATTATCACGTAAGTGTTGTGGTGTAATAATGATTTGCAATCCCCCAAGCCTCCTAGAACATTCAGCACATTTATCAGCGTGTTTGTGTTGCTCATCCAAAGAAAGTAGTGGATGATGCCGGCAGCTTCTAGATGCTTCCACATACTTCTCCCACACTTTCACTCGTAGTATAAAGAGAAGCTCCTAGTCTGTGGTAACAAAAACCAGCACCAACTTCGATCATCTCTAAATCACACGAACGACGCAAAATCATGGCCTTCATTCCACGCTTCTCCGAGCTCTCGCCTCTGTTCCATCTGCTCGAGGACTACGAGGCCCACCGCACCCGCCCCACATGTCGTCGTTCTCCTAGAACATCTACTTCATCCACCACGGCCACACCACCCACACCCACCTTCACTCCCGCATTTGACGTGCGCGAGCGGGACGATGGCTACTATCTCGACGGCGAGCTGCCAGGCGTGGACCAGGGCAATATCGATATTGAATTCACCGATCCTCAGACCCTAGTCATCAAGGGTCGCACGGAACGGGCGTATGGCGAATCCACCACCAACGGCAACAAAGATCTCAAGTCTACTCGATGGCGTCAGCCTACCGTCCAAAATGAGGATGAAGATGAAGATGCTCAGTCCAACACTGATACTGATGCCACCACCACTACCGACCCAGTCTCAAATCATCAATCCCCATACCACTACTGGGTCTCAGAGCGATCAATCGGCAACTTCCAGCGCACATTCACTTTCCCAACGCGGGTAGACCAGGATGCCGTACGGGCTAATTTGAAGAATGGGATTTTGTCAGTGTTCGTGCCGAAGGAGGCTGCACCGCGAACGAAGAAGATTCGTGTTCTGTGATAAATAATTCACGGCTCATGATGTGCATGTATTGATTGCATCGGCTTGGCGCGGTCCCTTTTGGTCATCTAATTTCATGTCATTTCATGTCCTTCCATGTACTGTACTATCTATTTTGATAATGATCTGGTCTAATTAAATTGGAGTTGATTTGAGGAAACCACATTACTGTCTAGAGGTGTGTCTTGACTTTGGATGTATGGAAACCTGATTTGGGACCAAGTAGAGTATAAGCTAGAATAAGCTGGGGACAAAAATGTCAGCCTCAAGATCTATCAGATCCATCGCCTAGTCGGAGACGTGTAACTTAGCAGTACGCCCATACAAATTTTCAGTCATGCGAAGGGTCTGCCCTGCATGCCAGCAGCAAGGGTCATAGAAAAAACAGCCCTGCAAGTAACAAAATAAAACATTCCTTGCTGCCTTGCCTACGGAAAGAAAAACCAGTCACCTGGGAGAGGACCTCCAGCGATCCATGCCGCCGATCGGAGTTTAGGCTAGCACGAGAGGGCTGTACTTGTGCAGCGTCGCACATGGAATATATTATTCTACGACATGCACGCACGGATAGAAGGACAGTCAAAAACATTAAGTGGAAGTGGAAATCTCGCAGCTCGTCAACACATCATATGGCAAAAACGCCGGGTTTGAGCGCAAACCGTGTACAACGCAACGCCAAAACTCCCCCCGGGAGGAATGGGAAACCTGGTCCCAGTAACGCCGCCGAAAGAGAAGGGTATCCGATGAGAAGACAAAGAACAGAACAAAACAACCAGTCTCGGGTAACCGAAAACAGAAAGCAGGGTAACGAAATGCCCCTAAGAAATCACAGAACTTTTAGAGAACTCCATCCCAACGCTCGAGAGTGAAGCCAAACAAACTCCGAAATATTAGAGAAATTACACAAAAGAACAGGCGTAGATTCAGTGCAGCACAGAACGTGAAGTCGTCGCAGTGAGATCCGACGAACGGGCCTTCATCAACTTCCGCCGGCGATAGTCATGGCTCCGGCTTCGAGGCCGGCCTCGATACACCTCGGGTACCTCCATCTCCATCTCCATCTCTTCAGTGACCTGCAGGTTGCCGGGGGAGAGGATAGTCGGGAGCGGGGGAACGTCAATCCCCGGCTTTTGAGACCATCTTCGACTGCTCCGGCTCCGGGATCGGGAGTTCCAAGCATCGATTTCTCCATGGACATGTTTTTGGTCGGAGACAGCGCGGTGTGACCGGTTCACGGGCAACTGATGGTGGCGGTGTCTCTCTAGGACCGGGGGCGATGAACCAGGCCCATAGCCAGCCTCAAGATAATTGAGGGGAGACCAGTCTCCATTAAATGGCCCTCGGGTCAGTCCCGTGGGAGCATTGGGAAAGGCAGAGGCGTTGCTGTACCGTCGGCGGTACTCCGTAGAGCGGGGATCGCAAACAGTAGATCGTCGTCCGCGTAGACCATTTGTAGGTTCAATCATAGAACAATTGAGATCATCACGTGATGAAGCAAGCTGTGGTCGGGAGTAGTTCCTCGCCTTGGCCTCCTGGAGACTCAGGCGGCGTTGCACCCGGGCTGGTCGGTCAGGGCTCTGAGCACTCGACACCCACACGTCCTTGGAGCTGTCTGCACCGCAGGAGATGGACGTCTGGGAATCAATGGACTCCCGGGTTCGACTATGCTGCTGAGAGCCAACCGAAGCCGCGGAGCTGTATCCACTGTCCGATTTGTTCAGCGACTGAGTGGTCTTTTGACCGATGCTCGACTCCGTAGTCGTCTTCTCTAGCGGGATGTTCGCACTGTCAGAGGTCTTCACCTCATCACACATGGCAATGCCCTCATCCTCATGCTCTCCCGGGAACGCGGTCTTCGATCGTGATTGAACCGTGATTGTGGGTGACTTCTCGAATGAAAAGGGACTGCCCGGGGTGTCGTCCGCTTTCTTAACATCCGCCAGAGGCGGGATCCTCAGCACCGATCCTCTCACATCTGTAGTCTCCACATGATCCAGGCCAAGTCCAGGGCCCGTTGTGTACGGGTGAGTCAGAGGAATGCGTTCGCTCGGGCATGGTGACGAGCCGTTAACAACCCGCAGCGATCCCAGTTTAAGCGCACCAAGCTGAGTGTACCGAGAGTCCGTTGGGCTTGTGGGCCGGGCCGGGGGTAGGATGGCTGGCGGCGGCCGTTGACGAGGCGGCAATGGCCACTGCATCACGTTGGCCTCTATCTCCTCAGGGCTCTCCGGCTCTCCGATGGTTGGTGGCATTCGCCGAATGGCGCTCGTCGTGCGTCTTGTAGCAACTCCAGGTCGCGTCAACAGAGAGCGTCGTCGAGTCAGCGAGAATCGCTGATTGTCAACCAAGAAGTGTGTGTTGGATAAGGACACATTCTCAATATTGCTCTCGTAGATCACACTTCGGTGCCGCTGGAGAGGAGTCTGGGTCGAATTGGATAGCCTCGCCTGTTCCGGCTCAGACTTCGAAGGGGCGTTGATAGTCTCTGACTGATAGTTATCTCTCCAGTTGAAAGATGGGCTTGATCGATAGGTAGGGCGGGCCCCAAATGGGTGCTGATCGAAGTTCTGCGCAAACACAGCAAGGTCCCGAGCCTCCTTGTCGTTCTTCTTCGACAGTTCAGGCAGTTCTGGAATCTCAGGGATATCCTCTGCTTCGAAGACCGTGGGGGGAATTTCCCGGGGCTTAGGATGATAGCTAGCCCTGGTCCCTGACGAAGCATCAGAGATACGGGAAGCCACCCACGGATTCTGCCATCCGATCAACCCCGTCGCGAGCTCGGGAGGGTTACCCGGAGGATGCAGGTGAGGCGTCGAGCTTGGATCGAAGCCGACTTTCTGAGTAAGAGGCTTGGACAGCCGGTTGGCGCGGCGGGATTCATCATTGTTGGGAATAGATTGCGAGTTGCCCATGACGTTCACAAACTAGATCAATAGCGTAAAGGTCCCTGGAGCAGATTCACAAGGACATGCACAGCATGGGCCGAAAAGGCGGAAGATATACAGGTGCTGAATGGGCTGGGACCGGACCGACGGGGGGTTGACCTGGCTCAGATCTGAAGCTTTCCACGAGGGAGCATGGAGATTAGATCGGATCCCAGGCCGTTGACGTCAAGCCACGCCTTTAGGTTGCTGCCCACAGGGCGATCAATCCGGGCTCCGCGCTGGTTTTGTTGCCAATTGGTGGTACGATTGGCAAGCGATGGTTGCCCGGCAGCTGCGCGGAGAGGATGGAGACTCAGCTCCGTGTTTCAGATTGGTGAGCCTGGGGGGTGTGGTTGGACAGGGCTGGCGAAAGGTGCTGAGAGAGAGAGAGCGCAGGAAGAACGAGTGGTTACAAGGTCACAGCAGGGACCAGGAGGGTAAGGAAGAGCAAGACAGAAATGGACCTGCTCCAGAGCAGGCAGAGCAAACTCGTGCAGCCAATCAGGGTATTCGCAAACTATTATTTAACAAGCAGAGGCATTCATGAAACAAAGCGCGTGAAGGAGCAAGAGGCGCTGGGGAAGAGCGAGCGAGAGAGAGGGCGAAGAACGGCGGCGGTACATAATAAAAAGTGGACAACACACATCCCCGACGAAAGCGAAGGCGCCAATCCATCGTTCGCGACCATCGAGTACGACGGACGGTGAGCGAGTGTTGATGAAGCAGATGCAACCGGACAATGTGATTGGGAGACTGCGCCGCAAGCGGTTGGTACCGCGCCACACTCAGTACTGGTACTTGCTCCACGCAGTGGACTGGATAGTGGACCAGGTACCGGTACCGCCCTCTATCTGCGACACGCCGATCCTTCCCCAACAACAGCATTGTCCCTGCCCCATCCGGTGGACAGCCTTGATTCATGGTGACTTCACGCGTATAACCTGATTGTGAATACGACTACGGCGTGGGAACGACCCTGATTCCCTCGTCTCCGCCCCGTCCGCATTCGGGCAATGGGCCGCCCGCCACGATGTCCGACCACTCGCTCTCCGCGTTCCCTTGCTTGACGCCGGTGGAGTTTTCCCGCGCGTGTCAAGCGGTGGCCGAAGCTGCCTGGGCCCGGCCAGAAGGAGGCTGGGACACGATGCGACTCGTCACACAGGTATTATCCGGGAGGAAAGAATCATCATCATCATTCGCTGATGGATGATGGCATTGCTCTATTCGACTAGTCCACTAGCTCTATGCTCCAGATCACACAACACATCACCGACATCGCGCACAACACCCTACCCTCCGCAGAGTCGGAGGCGATCGACGAAGAAGAAGAACAAGACCCGGTCTGCACCTCCCAGCCTCCCCGACCGATGCTGCACGGTCCTAACCAGGTATCACAGGAAGCCCTCGTGCGCACCGCACCCAATCCCAGCTTACAGGTAGACTATGACATCCTGCTCTCGCCCACATACCGCGTGCCCGTCTTGTTCTTCCGGCTGAAATGGAACCACCACCATCATGGCCCGGTCGGACTCGACGCCGTCTACCAGTATGTGGTTCCCGAGCAGTATAGGCAAGGATTGCAGAGCGTGGGGGTCATGGGGGGCATCAGTCTCGGCGTATGTATGCGCGCGCTCACGGCGACTCCTCGTCCAAAATGAGCTCATCCTCTTCTTCTTCCCCGTAGTACCATCCCGAATCGGGCGCCCCGGCCTTTTTCGTGCACCCGTGCAACACGGCCGATGCGATGGCGCATCTGGCGGACGCACGAAACGTCACTCCGGGGACGTACCTCTTCATCTGGCTCGGGCTGGTCGGTCACTGCGTGAACCTGCACGTCCCGCGTGAGCTCGTTGCCGCCGGTGGGACCAGCCCTCTTCGAGGACACGCATAATGCAAACAAATCGGCGCATCGATCACTTCCTCCCCTCCCCAGCCGCGGCCAACGAATTAGGCCGAAGCGAATGACTTAATCCTCGTCCGACGAAGCTTCCATGGGAACGTCACTGTCTTCCTCCATCGGGGCTTCTTCTTCATCACTCTCCTCCTCCCGGGGTCTCTTCACGCCATGTGCGCCATTGACTCCCGGTTTGGGGGGCAGTGCGCCGGGGGGACCGCTGAAGATGGACTTTTGAAGATCCGTCGACACCCCCATCCCTTCAGCCGTGGCCGGTGCGATGTACATGCCACGCAGTTTAGCGATCACATTCGATTGGCCCTTGGCATAGACGATTTTCTGCACGCCCACAATGTAAGCGCTGGGAATTCAAATAGAAAATTGGGACCATACCATCTCTTTTCCGAAGAAGTCAAATCCTTGAAGGGCCCGCAGGGCTTGTGTGCTGGCCTGGACATCCTTGAACACAATATGGGCCTGTCCTCGCATCTTGTTCGTTTTCATGGCCACGACATCCAACACGGGCCCGTAGGTCGAGAATAGCGTATACAGCGATAGCCGCAGATCATACTTGCGAAGCTTGTCCGGGAGGTTGGTGCAGTAGAGCCTAGATGGGATGTTAGAGTCGGATCGCGTCTCAATGGCGGGCCACAGGGAGAGCTCACGTTTGGTTAGGAGGACCAGTGGCTGCGGCCTTGCCGTCAGCAGCACCGCGTGGGGGCATCTCGTGCGAAGGTGATCTGGGTGAGGTGGTGGAAATGATCCTGGCTACCGTGTGGCGGGCATGAAAGAAAGGGGGTTGTATTATTAGTGTGGTCGAGTGACGAGAAGCTCAAAATGCGAGTGGAAGAGAGAAAACCACTGGCGCGTGTCATGTGATCCATTACATAACAGCTTAGCATGTCATCCATAAAGCAGCCCCTCCAGTGCCTTCCCGCATCAACACCTAATCAACACTAAACCCCATACACGACGGTAGAGAGCTCCTCCTGTCGTTGACCATGGCTTCCCCCCAAGAGCACCACCTCTTCCACTCGTCAATTGCCGACCACTCCTTTTCTGCCGACAAGCAGACGCTGGCTGTGGCTCGGGAGAACAATGTGGAGCTCTACCGCATGTCAGGCAACAAGTTCTCGCTGAGCGACGAACTCAAGGGCCACGAAAAGACCGTCACCGGTGTCGACATTGCTCCCAACACTGGCCGCATTGTGACCTGCTCGCAGGGTGAGTTGGTCCCAACAATTTCAATTACTTATTTGCTCACTCTGATCACTCTGTAGACCGCAACGCCTATGTCTGGGAGCAGACTCCCGACGGCTGGAAGCCCACCCTGGTCCTCCTTCGAATCAACCGCGCCGCCACTTTTGTGCGCTGGTCCCCCTCGGAGCAGAAGTTTGCCGTGGGCTCCGGAGCCCGCGTGATTGCCGTCTGCTACTTCGAGGAGGAGAACGACTGGTGGATCTCCAAGCACTTGAAGAAACCCATCCGCAGCACCATCACGACGCTCGCCTGGCACCCGAACTCTGTGCTCCTGGCCGCCGGGTCCACAGACTCGCACGCGAGAGTCTTCTCCAGCTTCATCAAGGGCGTGGATGCCCGCCCCGAGCCGAGCGCATGGGGCGAGCGCCTCCCCTTCAACACGATCTGTGGTGAATACCTGAATGACTCGGCCGGGTGGATCCAGGGTGCCTGTTTTTCGCCAAGTGGAAATGCGCTCGCCTTTACCGGGCATGACAGCAGCGTCACGGTCGTGTACCCCAGCGCGCCGGAGCAGCCTCCCCGGGCGATGCTCAACATCTCCACCCGTCTCTTGCCTCTGAACAGCCTGATCTGGAACGGCGAGAACGAGATTATTGCCGCCGGTCATGTAAGTATTTGGTTTGGTCATTCCATGCCAGAGTGCTAATCGTCGGTTAGGATTGTGAACCTTTCCGCTTCCGCGGCGACGAGAACGGATGGCAGCTGGCTGGATCGCTGGAGAACAAGGCTGGCGCAACCACCGGTGCGCGCGAAGAATCCGCGCTGAACATGTTTCGGCAAATGGATCTCAAGGGCCAGGCTCAGGCCGACAGCAAGCTTAAGTCCACACACCAGAACACAGTGAACACCGTGCGAGTCTACGATGAGGCCAACGGGGCTCTGCGCTTCAGCAGTAAGTTGATCCTTCCTCCAAAATACGTTCGAGACTGACAGGATCACAGCCAGCGGTGTTGATGGGCGGGTGGTGATCTGGTCTGCTTGATTGCGTACATGTATGAGCCAAGTATAGTAGAAATGATGCCTCAGGCACCAATATGACATAATTACCCCGGATTGCCTCTAGCCCCACCACAGGGATGCTTTCGTCTTTCCTCTTCACCAACCTCCCGCCATGGCAAAATGGGCTCTCTCCCTTCTGAGCGTATGTATCTGCGCTCTAGCAACCAATAATAACCCGGCTCACGACATTCCCCGGCTTTTCAACTCGCTGGAGGAGCTCTCGCGACTAGTCGACATTTCCTACTGCGTCAGCACAACCGGGATCCAAAAGCCCTTCCAGTGCCTCAGCAGATGTGTTGAGTTTCCAAATTTGGAGCTGGTAACAGTATGTAACACTCCCTTCCAGAAAGCTTCATAACTGACAACCACTCTAGGCCTGGAACACCGGCCCCTTCCTTTCGGACTCATGCGGCTACGTCGCGCTCTCTCATCCGCCCTCCCCTCCGCGCATCGTCGTCGCCTTCCGCGGCACTTACTCAATAACAAACACCATAATCGACCTCTCGGCCTACCCGCAGTCCTACGTCCCATACCCAGAAGACGGTAGTGGTAGCGATAGCGACGACAAGGACCCCGCGTCGCCAGCGCGCTGCGAAAACTGCACCGTGCACGCAGGGTTCATGACCTCATGGCAGAACACGCGTGAAACCGTCCTCCCCGCTGTCGCCGCAGCGCTCGAACAATACCCAGATTACGAAGTTACTCTGGTGGGCCATTCGCTTGGCGGGGCCGTCGCCGCGCTGGCGGGTCTGGAGATGCGACTGAAGGGGTGGGATCCACTGGTTACGACGTTCGGGGAGCCGATGATCGGGAATAAAGACTTTGCGACCTTTATCGATCACCAGTTTGATATGGCCAGTAGCAGCAGCGACGAGGTCGACGGTAGTGGTACCGTTGTTGACCAGAGATTCCGTCGGGTCACCCACGTCAATGACCCGGTTCCGCTCCTCCCGCTTAGAGAATGGGGGTACACCGCACACGCGGGGGAGATCTTCATCTCCAAACCCGAGCTCTCGCCGTCTGTTGAGGATCTCCGGGTCTGTGTCGGGGACCAGGATCCAAACTGTATAGCTGGTGCTGACGCCGATCCCGCCGCGACTGTGCTCGATATGCTTCGCGACATCAACATCCCCATCATATCCTCATCGGATATCTCCAGTTCCAGCGTGGACTGCTACAATTCACACGACACAGAATCTGAAGCTGAATCCGAATCCGAACCCGAATCTGATACTGGCTCAGCAAACCAAGTCGTTCTCGGCACTCGGCGTGGTCGTGGCCGTGGCCGCTCTGCTGCTTGCGACGAGGAAAACGCGCTACGTTTTGGGAAATGGGATTGGTCGTTTATTCCGGCGAGGTACCGGCTGTGGGAGCTCTTTTATGCCCATCGGGACTATTTCTGGCGCATTGGGCTTTGTGTTCCCGGCGGTGATCCGACTGGGTGATGTTGATGCGATGATGTTATTCTTCTGGCTTTTTGGTTTATACTTACTATCACCTGATACCACCGTTTGGCGCTATTGTTTCGTTCCTCTTTTTGTATAAGGGGCTATGCTATATATAGTGTGATGTACTTTACTAGGAATCTATCTCGCGTAAAGGAGCTATGCTGTGAAGACCCAATTTCTTGGGCGGTGGGCCGTGTGCTTATAACATATTGATATGGCCATCAAAAACAGATGAGAACGGAAATGATACCTCGTGTCACGCCAAATAAACAGGAGAGCCAACGCAATAAGTATTCAAGAAGATAAACAGAGACAGTGGTAAAAAAAATCATATGTCGTGTGTGCACCGCACCAATTTGATCAAGAACCGCCAACCAACACCTCACCTTATCTTCCATGTTCCAAACACGGCACAATAACAGGGCCATACTTCACCACATTCCCCAAGGACCCATCGCCCTGGACCATAAAGTCCGCCGCAAGACTAAGCTTCCCATTGGGACTCTGCACGGAGCCCGGATGACCCGAATACGGGGTAACAGTCTCAGGATCATAAGCGACGATAGCGACGTAGTTGCGCCGAGCCATCAGCTTGCGGTGCTCACGCGCCTGGCCGGAGACATCGGCCTGGAAGATCTCCATCATGTCTTCTTTTGTGTCTGTGGGCTGGGATGGCGTGGAGCGGTGGCCGTTGGCGGGGACGTAGAGCGGTTTGTTGTAGCTGTGGAGTAGCTTGACGATGTATGAGGGCGGTGGGGTGTTCACGACGGGGGAGGCGATGAGCTGGTACATTGTCTTGTGGTCGGATGGTTGGGATGGATCGTGGACGAGGCCCGCGCCGCAAACGTTCACGGCGCCGGAGAGGAAGGTCATCCGGAGGGACTTCTGGTGGGCGATTCCCTGGAGGGTACGGATTAGGTATGTACGCTCGAGATCCTGCGTGGGGTTAGTTAGTTAGCCATTTCCCGGCGAATGAAAACGAGACAGCATGACATGCCTTTGATTCATGAGTCCATTGATCACGCAACTCGTCCATGAGATCAAACTCGCCGAATGGGCTCAAAATCCCACCCATAAGCCCGGATTTACCCACTGCACGCTTGACCGAGTCGAAGCCCGAGCCGACGACATCTTTAGCGCCGACTACTCCCGCGACTGAGCTAGTCACTTTCCCCAGGACGTTATACGCGCTGGTCACGGCGCGCTTGCCCGTGGTGACAGTTTGCGCGATATTTTCTGCCGTCCCCAGTCGAGGGTAGATGACAGGCACAGGAACCATCCAGAGACAGTGCTGTACACTGGGCGGCAACATGGCGACCTTGGGGAACAGACCCTGGTACGTGGGACCGGCCATGACTTGATGCGGGTTGCGCTCGGAGCGGCAGTCGGGCCCGACGACGACGACGCCGGGGCCGAGATATTTGACAAAGTGCCAACCGGTGCCTGTGATCGTGAACAGATCCATATCGTTGTTGACATTGCGGAGAATGTCGAGGGTGGTGTGGTGCTGGAAGAGGAGGTACATCTCGATCCCGATGCGGCCGATGTTTTTGAACATGTTTGAGAACTGCATGTGCTCGGGGTAAGAGCCGAAGCCATCGAAACTGGGAAGAGATATTAGATACGTTTCATTTCGAACAGGGGGTGGAGGACAACTCACATGTCGTGGTCATCGATTTGGCAAACATAAGGAATCTGGGCAAACGACTCCCGCAAATAAGGCTGGTCGAAATGGCTGGTGTAGTAGTGGAAGTACGCATGGGAGACATCATGCTCGTGAGCTGCAGTCCAGGGTGCGTTCTTCCGGGCTTCCTTCCCACTGATCCCCAACCACTGCTTGAGAGACGGAACCTCCTTCCACATACGGTCCGCATAGATTTGGCCGCCGATACACAGCTGAGTGTGGAACCCTCCAATTTCGTTGTGCTTTTGCATGATATCTTTCCACATGTAACCAACGCCACCCAGCCGAGATCTTTCATTGGCATTCACGTTGATGGAGAAGTCGTTCCCGGAGGTAGCAATGAACCGCCAGTTGGTCTCATGTCGACCCGCGACAAGGAATTCGTAGCGAGTGCACCCGAGGTGCGAGGTGATGGCATAAGTCCATTTTGCGGGACCATGTTCATCCATGCGCACGTCGACCTCGTACTTGTAGAAGATCCAACGCTGATGAACTGCAATGTTGGTTGCTTTCAGCTGTCTTGGGCTTGGAGAGAGATCCACACTCTGGTGAAGATGGATCGTCGGTGGCTGCTGGGCATCCGTCACCAGCAGGATGGAACCCATCCAGAGGCCGCGTTCAAGGTCCATATTGGTGTATCGTAGATAGGGACCGAAGTAAACTCCGTTCGTGGGGGCGGTCTTGTAAACATCCACGCCACTGCTCGGAGGAGGACCTGAGAAACCCGACATGACTGGAGACTGCAAACTCTCAAATCCAGGTGTCAGAGGTACCCCTGGGGACGCCATTGGTTTCCCAAATGCCGAGAGGCCTGGAGAGGTGATAGGATGACCACCGTACACGCTGCCCACAGGGGACAAGGGTGTTTCATTGAGGTTCAGCGGTGTAGGCCCTTTGGGAAACTCCCACTGGGTCGACTGCGTGGGCAAGTGGATGTAGTAGTACTGTCCTGAGCTGGGGTCCAGGTGTGCAATCCAACCCTCTGGAAGAGGCGGAGGAGATGCTGGCGGAGGTCCCGCAGCAGCGGGCGACGTGATCTGCTGCTGATACGCTGCGGCCTGGCCGTTGACAGCAGCGCTCTGCGGGGAGTGTCCCATATTCTGCTGTTGTCTAGGGTCATTGGCGAACGCGGGATGATCCTGTGTAGACGCCGTCGGCGCTGGTGAGGCCGCAGATCCAATGGCCGCCGCCGCCACAGCAGCTTGATTAGCCGTTGCTGGATGCTCCCCGGCGGGACCCGCAGGTGCTCCAGCCGCAGTTCCGTTCGGCTTGTCGTTCGGATATCCGCTCGATGCAGCTGAGCCGGAGACGCTGGAGTATGCTGGAGGTGGAGAGGAACTAAGGCGCATCCGGTCCATGTCGTGCTCCAGCGCATTGGGCGGAATTCTCGACGGTGGCTGCTCCTGCTCTTGCTGCTGTGGCTGTGGCTGCGGCACCGGTGTAGACTGCTGGGATGGAGGGCCGCTAAATTGATACCCGCCTGCTGGCGGATTGGTTGGACTCACAACCTCAGCACCCTGATAGACCGTGGGAGGCCCATGAGGCTGTGTGCCCGGCTGCTCAGTCGGAGTCCATGGCCGCTGCTGCCCGAAGTACTGCTCAGCTCGTCTCTGCGCCGCTGCACTCTGCGACTGGATCCCCGAAAGCGTCGATGTGCCCGCAATACCAGCCGCAGCGTAACGGGCCTCGATATCATTCCCAGGCTGCTGGCCCGGTCCCACAACCGGGGTCTCCGGCGGCGGCGGCGATCCTCGCTGAGCTAGGGTGGTAGATGTCGAGGCAGTTGAGTTGATCCGATGGACGGAACTGTTATTCGCCTGCGGCGGCTGAAGCATGGACGATGGTCTTGCTTGAGGCGGCGGATAGTACTGTTGACCATAGTCCGCATACTGGTTTCCACCCGATGTACTCCCCGCAGCCGGCGGGGCAGCAGGAGGAGGACGAGGGTAGGGCCTGTTTGCGAGTGTGTCTCGGTCCGGCGCATCTGCAGGAGACTCGGGGAGCGGTCTGGGCGCAGCACCTCGTCGCTCAGCCAGCGTTGCGACTCGACCCTCCCGACCGTCGCGCGGTCGTAGAGCGTTGGGATAGTCGGCCGGGCTTATTGCACCGGAACCAGCTGGTGGGGACCCATATCGATCCGTGGGCCGACCATCGGTGGAACTCGAGGTACGGATCTGGGGTCGAGGTCGGTCGTCGGGATACGGCAGCGGATTATTGGGCGGGCTGGATGCAGAGGCCGGAGAGGCGGAGTCTCGCTTGTTGATGCGCAGAGGCTCGACGAGAGGTGGTGAGTTGGCTGCATTGTTGGAGGAGCCCAGGAAGAGCTCGCCGTCCGGGTGCAGAGCACGGGCGCTCCCGCCGGAACTCATGGTTCAGGACCGCTGCAGAAACTGTCTGGATAGATGCGAAGTTGGCAAAAAGAAAAGATGGCCACAGACCGGTGCCAATCACAGCGCGGCGATCGGAGTTGGGTTTCTTCAGGCTGCGATGAGGGGCCGTAAGTAAGCCGGTGATGGCGGGGCACCAACGATGGCTTGAAGTATGGAAGTATATATGTAGGTATGTATGTAGGCAGGGAAGGCGTTGCAGGGGACGGGCAGAGGATGATGCCGAAAGATAAAAAAAGAAAAAGGCCAGGGAATGTGTCCAGGGGAAGAAACCAAGGGTGTTCACAATATGAATTAAGCGCCGTGTTGACGCCGGCCCCGCAGGTGACGAGAGGGTATCACGTTGGGATTCTTATTGGGGCCTGAGGCTGGCAGGGTCATCATCGTTTATAGTCGTACAACATCCGAGCTAACTAACTAATCCTAAAACACCAGAGAGAGATAACAACAGATTACACTCCATCCCACATGCTGTGCCCGTGAAACCAAACAAAAGAAGAGAAAACGCCCATTAAAATCCAAAGTTCACCATATGAAGCCGTTCCTGGGCCATCAACTCCACCCAGTCGACATCCATCGTGTGGCCCACACGCATCAGGCGCTCGAGTTGTCGCTCATAGACCACCTGGAGGATAGCGCGCGTGGTCGCTGCATTCCGGCCCATCTCTTCCTCCTCTTCCATACTGCTCATCAACTCCATCGCCATCATCTTGATTCCGCTGGCGGACGCAGTAGCACCGGCCAGAAACAGCGGGAAGATCAAAAATCTCCGATCGGCCCGCTGAGAGTGTGCGGCTTGTTCGGCGATGCGCAAGATCTCCGAGGCGTGATGGTCGATCTCGCCGTCTGTCGAGAACTCGGACTCTAGACGCTGCGCGGGCCACATGCTGCTGTAGGAAAACAAATGGCAGACATGGAAGAGCGCAATCGACTACAAGATAATTAGCTAAGGACATTTGAAGGGGTAAAAGGATGAATGTACCTGCTGCATCAAATTCCGAGACCGGGTGGGAAGGCTGTCTTGGTGCCGATGGCAAAAAGCCACATCAGGCGCCTCCCAAAGCCGTCCAAAGGACTGTCGCAATTGGCAAAGCTCCTCGGACCGAGGATTAAAGTCCGCATATGGCAGATTCTGCTTATCCTGGCGGAGCCGAGCAGCCAAGAACCCAAGTCGAGCGGCGAGCATAAACGAGTCGTAGTACAGGCGCATCAGAGTCGACAAACTATTGCTATCGTCGCCATAGATCACACTGTATCCCTCTGGCGCAGAAGGGGAGAGGAGACAGTCGGAGCTCGGAAGCATATGGTGATCGATGACGGCACGCACAAACTCGCCCGTCCCAGCCCCACTGAGTAGAGCATACAAGTCGATATGACAGACCCACCAGAGCACAAAGGGATGCGGCTCTCGTCCAAATCTGTCACGCCGGAGGAAAGAGATGTGGAGTAATCGGGAGATGTGGTGGGACCAGAGGTTGGAACCGTGAGGCTCGGCGGCTGCGACCTCGTAGATCAGAAGCAGGAAGTGGGTCAGAAACAGCCCATCCGAGATGAGATCGTCATTGTTCCGCAAGCTGGTCTGGAGTGATGGGAAGGCTTGCTGATAGTACTGCAGCGCGTCAAGATTCTGGACTGCACCAGTGAGCGACAGACTAAGAGCCGAAACAGCTCTGATTGCGTGAGAAAGCTAGATTGTGTTAGTCTTTAGATAGTCTTTCGATGATTGAGATTACTTACTGGAGGAAAATGTGCTGCTTCTCGCTCGATCAAATCCACGCTCAAGGTCGATCCATGGCCCTCGGACCAATGCGGATCACCCACCCCATGAGCAGTCGGAAACAATTGTCTCCACACCACGTCGCGAAAGTGGGCAAAGAGCATTGCATCTTCATTGTAATAGTCACTGTGCGGGTCAATATGTAGATCTCCGAACAGTTGAGGTTTAATGTCGTCCTCGATATCGCCCTCCGAGGGAACAGACGCGAATATAGGCGACAACGAGAGAGAGCAGAGCGGATCGGAAATCTCCGAAATGGGGGAGACTCGCGAGATTCTGCCGATGGACGACGAGCGCCGTGTGGCATCTTCAAATGTTTTCAAGATCACCAAATTGGGGTCATCGTTTGACACGTTCTCGCTTTTGAGTCCACTGAGATTGAGACTGAGGGGGCTGATGTCGGCCGATCGCTGGGATTCACCCGAGGATCTTGGTTTCGTCCTCTCCGCGCCATCATCTGCATACTCTGGCAGAGTAGAGAAACTGTCCGGGACGACAACCACATGGTATGTTCCCGGGCTAGTAGCCTCTGCTTTCCTTTCGCGTTCCTCATCCGTCGTGAGTAGCGCAAAGGGCGGGAGCGAATCGTCGCCCAAGCAGAAATAATCCGATCGGTCCTCGCTGGGAGTGGGTGAGGTAACTAGATGCTGGTGAGCATCCTGAGATGAGGGGCCGACGCAGAAAGCCTTACGATCCCAGACAATGTTGCCGGCTGTTTGCACGTCTGCCATGCGACCCATGATACGCGGGGTATCATCGCGGAAGGCGAGTCGTGGTCGGTAGTCGCAGATGTGACCTAGTCGAGCACATTGCTAACCAGGTGTTAGCGTCTGCTCTGAGCGAAGTGCGCGGTTCCAATGCCTACATTGCATTGTGGATGGCCTTCATCACACTTGACCTTTCGACTCTATACGATTCTCACGTCAATAAAGGGCTCATCCCCCATCAAGCAAGAACAACATACCCGACATGTCCTAGGAGATTGTTAGCCTAAACCGAGAGAGAACGTCGGGACAAACTTACCAGCAACCTGTCCTCGAGCGCGGCGGCAGGCGGATGCGGGGCGCAATCAAATTGGCCTTGTCGATGGCTTTGCTGAAGGCCGTGGTATCGATAATTTCCTCCTTGGGCGCAATGATGGGAAGTCGCAAAGTGCGCTTTGCGGAGGCATTATTGCCCCGCCGGTTTTGCATCACTACGCTTGTCGCCGTCATAGGGCTGACTGGTGGTGGATGCTGTAGCACCTGGGGTCAGCGATTTGCCTCATCTGCCACCAGGCCGGGACGGGATGGGGTGTACCTGGGGATAAGAATAAGAATAAATGGGGAAGGACGATGGTCCCACGGCAGGAAGCAAGCGAGAGAAAGGAAGAAAAGAAAGCAAACGAGAGTCGTCGAAGTCCACGAAGTCACTTGGCACAGCGACCCAGCGGGAGTCGGCGGGGCAGGGCGTTAAGTACCGTTCACATCACCAACAGGAACATGGGCCTGCAGCAGGAAGATTGGGACTGCATGATTCAAAGTTAAGGGTGGCGGGTGCAGCAGCAGAGTCAGGATCGAACGGGTGACTAGTGAGGAACCAATCCGGTTCGTCCGGGGGGATGAGAGAGAGCGCGCGTGGGCGTGTGTATGGGAAAAGAGAAAAGAGACAGGGAAGAGAGGAACGAGAGCGAGAGAAAACAGAGCCGGGCACCTGGCTAAGCTCCTGCCGGAATCAGAACGTAGGGCGGGGCTGGCTGAACGAACAACAAGGCCCAAAGAAAGGCGGAAGCGAGTTGAGCTCGGAGCCGAGAAATAATCGAAAGAAAGAAGGGCATGGAATGAGAGCAAAAGAATGGACCAGATCGGCCCGGCCAGGCCTCGATCTCCCCCGGACCACAGGACTGACAGATTTCAATAGTCCCAGACGAACTAAACCCGAACCATGCCTACGGACATGCCCGACGCCTTAAGCGAGTGGCGCCTTCGCTAGACAGGCCCGAATTAGGCCAAGATGGTTGCTTCTATTTTCAGATACAGACAGATACACTAGTGAACAGGGTGATCCTCCACGTGGGCTTCCTTCACACCAGGCCTAGCGCTTGGTCCAGAATCGCCTGCACACTCGCGGAGCGCTCGCCGTCCCTCCATGTGCGGAGGGTCTCCCCGAGAGTGGCCGGAATGCCGGGCGGCCGCAGCTTCAGGTACGCCAGGGTAGCCTCGGCGCGTCCCTTGCGCAGCGCCTCAACGGACCCGTCCAGCTCGCGCGTGAGGAGGGCCTCCGCGAGGGCGGTCAAGGCCACAGCGAGGGACCGGTCGTCGTGGACCCGCTGGTCCACTCGCTGGAGCGCCCCGGGGAGGTGGTCGTAAATGGTCCGGGCGACAGGTCGGCCGCCATGTGCCAGGGCCTGGTCCAGTGGCCCGGTTATCCGTTCCATGTTTTTTCCCAGCGCTGTGGTTTGGCTTAGCGGGGCTGGCAGCACGCTAGGGGATTTCCCGCTCGCGGTGGGGGCTGACGGACCTTCCTGGGTGGCGGCCGACGCTGAAAAACATTGCAGGAGACACTGCGCGCAGGCAGCCAGTGTGTCATCCACTCCACTGCCAGCACCGGAGTCGATCTCCATCTTGTCGTTCGCGTCATCGTCGGCCACTAGTTCCTCCACTACGGGGGGCACAATGGTCAGCGCATCGGGCATGAAATCCACTTCCGGACGGGCCCGCGCTATCTCGCCCAGCGCACGCAGGCCATGTGGTCGGTAGGCGGCGTTAGTTCGCTTCGCCTCACGCACAGCAATAGTCTGTCAGAGTGTGGGGAAAAGATGCCATCAGTACATATTTCAAATTTCATCGTAATCGTATATGCGGGGTGGGGGAGAATGTGGCACAGCCTACCTTCATCAAGTCCCGGAGCTCCGCTTTCTCTTGCCACAGCTTCTGCGCCTGACTAGCAAATTTCACCAAGGCCTTGAGCACTACCTCCTTACCCTCCCAGGTCTTCCCCGATAAGGCCTTTTCCAACACGGGCCAGATCAATTGGCCCGTGGGGAGATCGAGCTCCGCATCGAGAGCAAGGATGGCCTGGGCAATGGCTCGGGCAGCTGTGTGCTTGATGGCCCAGCGCGGGGAGTCTAGATTGTCCGCGACGAGCCCGACAATCTCCCGGATGTAAAGCGACACTGCGCGTGAACCGCCGACATTATCCTGCCACGTTTTCTCAAAGTCCTCTTTCACGTGGTCGTCCGCATCGTGCTTGCAGACGAAGACAAAGGGCAGAGCCGTTGCGGCAAACGCCATGAACCGGTCGTTGGCTAATTTGGACGACGAGTGCAGAATCTCAGCCGCAATGGCTCGTGGCGTGGCATCATCGGCCGTCAGATAGAGCTTTTTGGCATAGTCAATGGTCTTGAGAACCCGATCGTCCGACGCCAGTCGCATAAGATAGCCAAGTGAAGTGCAGTAGGATGCGCTGACGGTCTCATTGCGGTCGACCACATACTTGCAGAGAAGTTGGATGAACCGATCTGCATGCGGGCGGAACAGCAGCGTCTTCATACTCAGGAGTACCAGCACACGACTGCAGCCTACTTTCGAGGGCAGTCCCACCGCGGACCGGAGCACATCCTCCAATTTGAATGTCAACTCCTTCACATTAGTCTCGTCCACGGTGTCGATCAAATACCGCTCGATGACTTCCATCATGGGGGATGTGCGAATGCTGGAGAGTCGCATCTTGTCGATCTCCTGGCCGGTCAACCCGTACTTGTCGGCGTTGAGATGGACGTAGTTGACGGCTTGCGGCTCGAGAGAGCTGAGAGAGCCCAGGAATTTCTCGAGAATGGTGGGAACAAACGGCCGCAACAACCCGCTGGGACTCTTCTTGATGATCTGGACAAGGGCCCCAATGGCATAGCCACGCACATCTTCAACGCTGGAATCCAAACCCGTATCGCTCAGGAGGAATGGAATAGCGCTTCCGAGCAGACCGCTCGCCCGCTTCTCCGTGCCACTTGTCTCGAGCGTGCGAATGACGGAATTGGTGATCGTTTGGCAAAGTTTGAGAGCCGCAGTCCGCACCGACTCCTTGATATCATCCAACAGCTTGAAAGCCTTGCTGTAGATCTCATCCAGGTACTTGGAGTACTTCTCAGGGCGACGGCCCTGCACCAGGTCTGCAACGGCAGCACAACTGGCCTGGCGGCCGCGCCATTCGCGCCCAGCTAACATGCTCTTCAACAGATCCTCCATAATTTGGTCAAAATGGGCATCAATGACAGCATTCGGGTCCTTCACTAATGCTTGCCAGATCGTGTTCATGGATCGTTGGACGTTGGGATTTGGATCAAAGCGGTAACGGAACAGTTTCGGGTAGATCTTGGGGTTTTGCGAGAGATAGCCATTAACACTAGAATCGGAGAAAATAGTACTGATTCCGAATCGTCCGAATGCCGCTCGATTTGTCCACAGTGCGTTGTTGGAAGCCAGTGACATGAACCGATAAACCAGTGTCGGGTCTCCAGCCTCGGCCGCTAGATTCATGATATCTTTGTAGGTGCTGATGGACGACCCTTCGCCGGTAGGAAGAGCCCCGGGCTCAAAGAGCTTTGTGTCTTCGGAGACGTTGCCACCTCCCAGATTGGGGCCTGTTGCTGTGAAGGACTCCACCAGATCACGGACCAAATCATCCTTCAGCGCCTGGTCGCCGATTTCGTAAACCAAACTGAGGCCATGAGCACCTGTCTCCTGCACCACCTCATCCCGGTTCCCAAGAAGGCTTGCAAATGTTGCCTGGCACTTCCGTAGGCGGTCTTGCATTTCCTGCAGGTGACCACAATTCTTGACCAAAGACAACAGCCAGATGGCTGACGCCTTACGAAGAGATGGCTTGGGGGCGACACAGTCAGCTATGATCTTGTCGCAAACCTCCACAAACACTGTACGTGGAACACCAGAGCGTGGGAATTCTCCGTCGATATCGAATTCTTGAATCAACGCCCGGGAATCCCACCCAACAGCAACGTTGCTCAATGCCTCGCCCACCGTGAACTGAACTTCTGGGCTGCGAATCTCATGCAGGCCATAGAGAGAACCCACTAAATCAGCGAAGAGAGAACCATCCGAGGCAGACCGAGAGAATGCCAGTGTTAGTAAGCCAAGTGACTTGATGGGAGTTTCGTTCTCCGTTTTGGCATCTTTTGACAATTTGTCTTTGACCTTTTTCCATCCGTCCTCGGGAAGCACTTGGGGTGACAGGACCCCCGAAAGACTGAGCTGTCCGATGGCTGTCTGCGAAGTTCGTTGCAGAAGAGTGTCCCGAGAAGCGTCAAGGACATCCAGTGCTGTATCAATAAACCGTTTCACTTGCGCTTCGGGAATTCTATCCAGTAAATTGCGATATGCAAGCCTACTCAGCAGATAGGATAGGGCCAAAATCGCTCCACGAACTCGGAGCGCTGCTTCGCCCACTGCAGTATTCCATGTCTCAACAGTACCAGTCAGTTGTGTCACAAAGCTCTTGAGTTGGTCCTCAGCGAATGCAGGATGAGAGACCAGAATTCCAAATGCCCGAGCTGCTACTTCCTGGATATCCTCATTGTTGCTGGAAATGGGCTCGGACAAAGATGAAGCCCGCGGAAGCAGCTTTTCAACAACGTCGTTGGGAGCCAAGGAGCAAATCTCCACGAAATTAACACCACATTGCCGCATGCCTTCACGTCCCCCAGAAACAATCCCATCAAGTGTGCCGCATAAGAACGACAGCGCAGACTCCTTTGCTGAGTTTCGAATGTATTGTCTCACGGCAGACCGGGCTTCTTCACTGGTTGAAAGATGCACTTCAAGTTTGTAGTCCCAATCTTCCTCGAGGTCGATGCTGATGTCTGATGCTGAGAAGGCTTCCCAGATAAGGGTATTGCGTAGGAAAGAAATGGCTGGCACAAATGCGTTCTTGTAAGGCCCCGATAGAAGTTGTGATGCAGACATAGCTTGGACTGTCGAAGGTTCCTCTTGCTCTCCCGAACCGAGTAGAAACTGAGTCGCCTCAGCGAACTTGGGGAAATCAAACCAGGATTCATCATGTTCTTGAGCTGAGGGGGCATCCCACTTTCTCTCTCCAGTTGGATTGAGGAGCCGATACCAGTATGGGTGAAGACCTTTCTTCCCTTCCTCAACGATCTCTTGCTGTCTTTCGGGCCCTCGGGCAACGGCCATAAGATCGACCCAGCGAGCCACCACGTCGCTAAAGGGCAAGAATCGATTCGCAAAACGCACAGCGGCATATTGAACACCTCGCACAGCCTGATATCCAGTTTCAGGATCCACATCTCCGGGCTGCATGCTCATAAGACGAACCAAGAATGGCCGAAGCTGATCTTGGAAGTCTTTGTCGTGGCTATCCAAGGATGAATTGAGGATGCTTCCAAGCGCCTGGTCAATGCTGACAAAAATCTGCGGACTCGAGTCATCCGCACTCAAAGACATGAATAGCCATCGGACAAGACCGAATTCGAAGTTTTCCATCTCATCATCTCGAATTTGGAAGTCGACTTTGGGGACCATGATCCCAATGCTTTCATAGGCAAGCCCGCGTAGGCTTAGATCTGTTGCAGGCAATTTCATCCCACTGGCTCCTGGGCTGGGCCACCCTTGGGTTTGGATAAAGTCCCGTAATCCGGCGACGAGTTTGGACGCGATTTGTTTCAGATCGGAAGGCGAACCCATGCGGACCACCCAGGTAGTAAATGTGAAAATTTGAGTTCTTAGTTTGGACGCTTGGAGTCCCTGAGAGGAGCGTGCCGTATCAGATAGGAGCCCGTCTCCAATGAGCCTCAGGATTCTTTGGGGGTCTCCGGTAGCTTTGATTGATTTGCCTAAAAAGACCAGAATCTTCGCCTGGAGCGGCGGTCTCACGGGTAGAGGGCCATCGGCGGTTTCAGAGCCGAAATATAGATCATATAGCTGTCGTACGACGTCCGGATTTTCAAGGTCCGAGGCAAATCGCTTCAAAGTTTCATCGGCCAGATCGGCCAGGCGGGAATTCGAATCAGCCGAGGCAATCACACATGGCAGGAATCTCTCGGCATCACTGAAAGCACCGCTCCCCAGAAAGCGGAGGGCAGTGGCTTTGGTTTCGGTCAGATTCAAGCCGCCACTGGCCGATGGATTCCATGTCTCGTTGGCAGGTGCGCCCTTATTGAGGAACGTATATTCGTCTGGTGATAGGCCAGGGCAGGTCGGAGACTCCTTGGCTACCGGGGAAAGAAGCAGCAACTTCCCCAGCCAGAACGACAAGAACTGGGTATCTTGGTCAGACAGCCCGAGCCGCTTTTTCAAGCTCATATCATCCTCGCTTCCTTTCGGAGGCAGCTTAAAAAGAGGAAGCAGCCTCAAAACCAGGTTGAACACGATGGTACCTTGAGTGAGGGACGTGCCAATCTCCGAAATTCCCTGGAGAAGCGGGAGCAAGATCTCAACTCTGGCGTCAGAACCAAGACGATCGATTCCCTGCTGAGCGTACATAAGATCAAAATGCCGAACAAGCTGGGACTTTTGTTCTTTGAACTGATTGAGCAAAGCTGCCACGGGGAGCTGGATTGAGGGGGATTTGACGCGGGCGTTGACATGTTGGCAGACGGAGATGACTTTGTTGCGCACCGCGACGTGCTCTGAGTTGAGTTTGAGCAACAAGGGAACCAGATAGGTCTGGAGCAGCGACTGCAACTTCTCATCGGTGTCCGCCATGGCGATTCTGAATTCCACCTTTCCTATCAGACTCAGCTCGCGAGCCTCGGGGCTCGGAGTGTCGGACGCCATGGTGGAAATATGTTGTTATTCAGAGACAATCCTCACGGGGAATTGGCATGGACTGGAGATCCCTGGTTTTATTTTCTTGCAGCACAGGCAACCACATCCACGTCAACTCTTGTATGGGCGCAAGTGGGCAGGCAGTTTCCCCGACTTAGTCAGAGCGGCACTGCTTAGTCATGATCTGTCCACAGACACATTGGTCCCAGAGATAATAGTGGCTCGATGGATTTGAAGGAGCGGCAGCAGTCGCGTCACACGGAGCCTTACAATATTTTAGACGGCTTGCCGTAGTGAAGGTTCTGCAGCTCTGTGCGTTGAGGGAACCCAGCTCATACAAACCGAAGATAAGCATACGCTATCTTATCATAGATAAAGCTCCAGAGCTCGTTGGCCTTCCGAGGAGCTACGGACCACCTCATACAAACAGAGTCACAAGTTTGCATTATTCTCTATAGACAAGCTTCTGCAAGTTAAGGACATCTAAGGAGCTCCATGTCTCCCTTCATACAAGATATGCGGAGATCGCGGTAGATACTCTTTCGTGAGTATTTACGTCCTGGGTATTCATTATTCATCACTCTCTTCGCTGCTCCGCAGCTTCGCCTCGTAAGAACCTGCCAACCTCCTGCTCGGCGGCCGTCGAATAACCGTAGCTATCCTTGTGGACCGAATTCCCAAACAGGCATTGCCAGAGATCATCTTGTTTCACTAGCTCTCCACCCGAGGAGCCGCTCGCCATCAAATTAGTGAGGCTTGCATCTTGCATTTCCAGTGAGTTCGCAGAGTCGATAGCCGTCTCACTGAGATTGTTAATTAGAGCTTCATCGACATCGGAAGGCAGTGTTGAATCCCTGCGCTTGGCCTTCTTTTCTTTCTCGATGATGTGGGCGAGTCGACGTGCTACCGAGAGCTCATAGATCGATTCCTCCACGGTGCCGGAGACAAGATACATCCACACCGTAGTAGGGCGGTGCTGGCCGATTCGGTGAACACGTGCAATGGCCTGAAGCTCAATCGCGGTGTTGATGAGTGGCTCGCACAGGAACACATGGGTCGCGTTAATCAAGGTCAGGCCAGATGATTGTGCTTTGCCATGTAGCAAGAAACATTCAACCTGAGGTGGGAGTCAGTACATTTCCATGCATCGAGGAAAGGGTGCTATGACATACAGCAGGATCCTTCTTGAATCGTTCAATGCCACCAGGAGCATCGACGCTGCTATTCACAATTCCGAATCGTTGGAAGGCTCTTTCCAAGACGGCTAAAAAGTTCTTGTATTGAGAGAAGACAATCGATTTGGTCCCTGGGTCATGCTCCCGCAGCCACATGATATGGCGAGCGAGGGTGTCGACCTTGGTCCCAAAAGAGCCATTGAGGTCAATGAGCTTGATCTCTCGGAGAAGTCCAGAGCTGATATCGCTGTAGATAGCATTGTTAGAATGCCGCTCATGATCAAACTTGACGGGCGACTCTTCCTCCTGTGCAACAAGCTCTTCTGGTTTGTACGTGATCTGATGAAAATCCCTGAACTTCAAGGACTTCTTGCACATCGGACAGGTTCGGTGTTGTCGCCACCACAGCCGTAGGCAATCAGAGCAATACTTGTGGCCACACACAGTCAGCACACCGATTTCGAAACTAGACTGACAAATGATGCAGATCTGTGCATTATCGTCAGAGTTAGTCTCGTCTCTAAGATGAATGAGATATCGTCTCTTGGATTTCAAGGAAGCAATCTTGCCCTCCAGAGCTTCTTCTTGGTGGAGCTTTTGCGCAAAAAGAGCATCATCCAATGGTTTCCCGGCACTCTCCTCATCGTACGGAGCGACGGTGTCGGAAATCTGCTGCAGGTGGCGGTAGAATTCCAAACGATTGTTCATAGTATCGCGGAACATTTCAACCTCTCTCTCCAGGCTGGAGGAGACCTTGAGCTGCTCTGCGGCCATCTGACCAGCGTTCTTCAAGACCATCTCAACCAATTCAAGCTCTGCACGAGCACGCGAGCTTCCGCTATTGGCCTGCCATTCGAGAGTGGTGGTCATACTCCGAAGCTCACTGACAAGGCCGCGCAAGGATCCGAGCTCGGGGTCGGGCATGAGTTTACTGCGAGTGTTCATGATTTCGAGGAAAAGTTTGGGCGATGGTCCATCACCTTTTTGAGCCTGAACTATACCGGCCTTGACCTCGTGGGAAATGAGAATGTTCTTTTGCCCAGTGAGAGCATCGTGGCGATCTGCGTACATGGAGCGCAAGGCCTCCATATACACGTACATCTCATCTTGATGCTTTGTCGACGTCTCGTATTCGTTACCCTCGAGTTGTGCATCCTCCTCCTGGTCGATAAGAGATTGTGAAACAAGCTTGATCATAACATCACGCCATTGGTTGTATTGCTCGGCATGGGTATTCAAGGCTTCGCACAAGTCTTCAAATTTGTTGAGCAGCCGGTAAGACTCGAGTCCCCTGCTGAAGAGCTGAGGTTTCATCTTTGGGATGTGCACCAATTCCTTTTTCTGCACTTTTAATTTGATGGTTTTCATGTACCGCTCGGTTTTCCGGGAGATGTCGGTTAGCATCTCTTTACGGATCAGCTTTGCAGCCTCGTATCCCTCTTCTTCCTTTTTCTCGAGTGCTTTGAATTCTTCGGAGTCGGGTTCGGTGAGGTTTGTATCCGTCTTGATCTGGTAGTATGCATTTGCTGTGAAGAATACAGCAATATGCTGGACCTCAAGGGCAGCTCGCAGCTTGAGGCGGCATTGGCCGATGCGACTGTTTTTATCAACTTCCTCGTTCTCGTCGTCACTCGTAACTTCAGCTGCCGCTGTGCGTTCATCGGCGTCAGAAGCACCTTCCCGGTTCACCAGACGCTGTAAGCGCAATTGGGTACGGCTGTCTTCGACCAGCTCCGTAGCATGATCAAGAGCTTTCTGCCAGAGAGCGAGGGACTCTTTACGACGCTTCGCATTTTCCAGAAGTTGGCCCCGCCGAAGTTGAGATAGCAAGAGTGTGCGTTCTTCGGCGCGAATGGCTGTATCAGTAGACTCAATCATGACTTCCAAGACTTCGTCTACAGTACGCAAGGGACCACTGCCACCCAACGCTCGACGGTTGCTGCCGCTCACTTCAGGATGAAGGCAAGTTTGTCGAAGTCTCGTCAACCAAGAGCGCATTCTTTCGACAGTACCGGGATCGCTGGGATTCCAATCACCGCGCAAAGGGGCGCCTGAGGCATTGAGACCACACTCCTCGCACATTTGCTCAAACAGTTGCCCATAATGCTGCTCTTCCACCGCAGTGAACGGAACAGTAATAACTATGCGCTTCTGAGGAGGTAGATGAAGCTCATCGCGAACACGGTCTTTGCTGTGTCGTAGAGCTATTGTGCCGATAATGCTCACCAACACCGATCCGAATCGCGAGTACAGTCGTTTCCATAAAGAATTGGAAAAGCAGAATGGGCTGTAATGGAGGAACAATAGAAGGCCAAACAGATCATCTATGTTTTTCCGAAGCGGTGTACCAGTCACAGCCCACGCGTTGTGTCGAGGGACCAGCCGAGCCACTTTGGCGGCGTTGCTCACTCCACTCTCGATCATTTGTGCTTCGTCGAGACATACACGCCACCAGGAGATGCGCACCAAAGGGGTTTTCCGAGGCTCGAACCTCTTTTCGTGACGAAAGCTTCGTTTGGGGGCCGCGCCGGCGTAGTGGATTTCGCGGGCAATGACATTGTAGGTGGTGAGAACTACATCGTAGCCTGCAAGCTCGTCCACAACAGTCTGGTCTGATTCATCTTTGCCACGCTTGATACCGGTGTAATGGTGAACACGGAGATTCGGGGCATGCTGCTCAAGTTCTTGTTTCCATTGTTCGAGAATTGCCGGAGGGGTGATGATGAGAGTTGCACCAGACAACTTTAGGCCATCTCCGTCTGGGTCGGGCTTCAGCTGAATCTCTGAAGAGGAGAAGCGGTTGAGGCATATGAGCGTGATCATCTCAACCGTCTTGCCCAGGCCCATCTCTTCCGCCAAAATCCCACCTTTCAGATGGAGACCGGCGTCATACCACCTGGAAAAGTCTGTTGTGACAGTCATGAACAAATGACTAAATAGGCAAGTTCGACCGTCGGCATCCTTCATCTCCTTGAAGGATGGTGGGAGGCCACCCTTTGAGGCCTTTTCAATGGGAACTACTGTCCCATCTGGCTGAAGGGCCTTTCCTTCTCTCCATAACATCCAGCGTACAGCCCTCCTTTGAAATGGGAAAAGCTCACACTCAATCTGTGGACATTTAATTTTTGCGGAAGCGCTGTGTGTATTGGGAGGGACGTGAACACTTTCGTAGAATTCACGAGGAGCCCAGGTTCGAGAAGTGCCCAGCATTTTCTCTCGGTTCCTCTGCCTTTTTTCAGGGGAAGATGGTCGGTCATAATGCTCCTGAAGTACGTATCTTGCAAAGATTTCCAGGACAGGATCTTGCAAATGAACAAAATCCGGGATTTCCAAAGAATCTTTCCAGAGAATAACCGTCTCTAAATTTATCGACTTGTGGGTTGGTGAGGAGTATATCGCAGATTGGTAGCAGGCTGTCGGAACCCGGTTATAGTATCGATCTGCGCAAGCAAGCCTTTGAGCCTGTTCCAGCTGTCCTAAGAGGCTAAACACCCGTGGTTCTTTGAATTCGGAGACAAATATTTCCGCCTTCTCGGTATCTGTACTTTTCAAATTTATCGTATAGAAATCCTTATCATCGTGGAGTTGATAGCCGCGAGTGACTTCTAGAGTGACTGGAATTCGGCGAGAGGAATCGCCAGAGGTAGAAGGGCTTTCGTGCTTTAAAGTACCAGCCTCTGTAAATTTCTATTCAGACGGTGGCGACAAGTCAGAGTCTTTGGCTCGGGTGGGAGTGCCAATGTCCAGGGAGCTTACCATGCGCAGCGTTAATCGTGCTAGTGGAATGTACCCCACGGGAATTCCAGTCATCGAGACTCCATTTTCTTCAGAAAGACTATTGGGGCCAGATTTTGCGACCTTGCGCCGTTTGTTGGGACGGTCGTCGGCATTCTGCTCTTCGGTTTTCGCAAAGACGGTGGCTAGTGACCGGGGGACCGCGTCTGAATTCGAGAAAGATATCAGTAGATGCTCAGCAAATGCGTTTGAATGGAGGTGGAAGATGCTACCTGCAATGTCCACTTCTTCTGCGACCACACTCATCCTGATCTCGGTCGGATTCTTCACCGTTGTTGCCACAACTGAGAAGGGTTGGCAGAAAGACAAGATGCGCGCGACCTGGGAACCTCTTATCTTATCGATTAGATCACGTGAATATGATGCGGGAAATGGTTGTTCCATTAGTGATCTATGGCGCAGACAAGCACCGCTCTGGATTTTCATGACATGATTTGTCTATTAGGAGCCAGACTTTTCGATAACCACAGCACAAGAATGGAGATATTTCAGAATTGTTTCATAGGACTGTATCTGCCATGGTTGCTGATGGCCGGTTGGTAATTTGGGTCATTTTATTTCCGGTTTAACAAGATTATATATCTGTTGTTGTCATACTGCTTCTACAAACCATCCGTTCGTGGCCGATTGCTTCCCCGTAGTAATTATTAAACGGCATTTACCGTGATGAAAAACGACTCTACAATACAAAGTAAATCGGATGACACGCGACCCTCAATATAGTCATCCTATTCTTCGAACGGACCAATCAGGGAACTCCATTCGGAAAACACGACTTTTCCCGGTCTTAGTCATCCACATCTCTCGGAGGGCTTTCTCATCCACCTTTTCCTAGATCAACCGAAATCATCACCTTGGTCACTATGGCGCCCCCTAAACATGTGGCAGAGGTGCCACGGAGCATCCTCCCTCGTCTGACCTGGAACAGCTCTTCGTCTCGCCCAACCCTCCCACCTCCCTCCCATCCCGCCCTTGCAACAAGACAGCAGCAACGGCGCCAGGGCTGGAGTCCCCTCGCCCGCCAGCTGCATTCCCTGAGCGCATATCACTCGCCTTCTCAGTCCTTTTCCTCGAGCCTCTCACCTCGTGACACCTCTACTACCATCGCGCAACGGACTTTGACCTCATCCTCTGCTACACGTCCATCTGCAGAACCTCTCGGCGGCCCTGTCCGACACAATGGCGTATATGTCGCAACATTCAATCCAGCTCGGCGCGCGTTCCATGCGACTCCAGCTCGGCGCCGTGATCATCACTTCGATACTTTGAAATTCGTCAAGCGTCTCCAGGACGAAGGGTTCAGCGAAGAACAGGCCGTAGCTATGATGCGCGTCTTGAACGATATCATCCAGGAGTCGGTCCAGAACCTGAGCCGGACCATGGTCCTTCGAGAAGGTGAACATCTCCCCCGAAGTGTCTTTACTATCCCCAGCTGACCACCCGCTCAATAGACTCAGAGAGGTCAACATATACGCAAAAAGTCGACTTCGCTAAACTGCGCTCCGAACTCCTAAACGCAGACTCAACCGAGGCACAGCTGACTCGCTCCTCGCACGAGAAAATAGCAGCAGACCTCGCGAAGCTCAATTCACGGCTGCGCGATGAAATCGGTCGCACACAGGCCTCGGTGCGGCTAGACCTCAACCTGGAGAAGGGACGCATTCGCGAAGAAGCGAATAGCCAGGAGATGCGGATTAAAGAAACAGAGACTCGCATTGAACAGGAGGTGGCTGGATTGCGGGAGCGCGTTGAGGCGGTCAAGTTCTCGACGTTGCAATGGCTAATGGGTGTTTGTACTGGTACCGCGGCGCTGATTCTTGGTGCCTGGCGGATATTTATGTGATAAATCCGGGTTGGGAATAGGCGTGCATGGACATGGAGTGCTTTTTTGGATTTTGATACACAGCGAGACCCTCTGGTCGGACCCTTTCCTTTGTACAGATACTACTATATACACTACTCTCCTCGTTTATCTAACAGCTGAGGATATTTCGGGGTTTTCTACCTCAAACCATCATGCGTGGATCGCAGCGTAACTAACTCAATGTTTTGCCTAAATGTCAAATGTCAACTCCGCAGGGAAGCGATCCGAGAACTAAATGATTTAATTAGTCCATGCTTATCAGGGGTAACGTTGCACTCGGCGGGGGAAACCCCCGAGGCTCCCTTTAACAATAATGGCCATTGCTCCTCCCTTTCGTAGCCAAATTCCTGATTTACCCCTAGATTTACTTAGGGTCCGGTCTTGAACCTCGCCTAAACAATAGTAAGGTGTTTCGATACCACATCCAGGGTGATACAAATAGTCTCCGAGCCAGAATCAACAAAGGTGGAAAAAACGCAAAGAGGATGATGCTCCGGGCCTTTTCATGGACCTGTTTCCTTCTGGGACAAGTTCCACTCGTGTTTTCAAGTCCATCGGGCTTGCAGGAAGTGTTCCAAGTGTATCAGCCGGTGCCATTCGCGCCTGAAAGCAACAATGGTTGCGACGTGGAAGTTGTGCTCATGGACCATGTGTTTGGAGCAAGCTATGGCAAGCCGTTTGTCGGTCAGTCATCCTGCTGCTAGACATTGTTCTTTATCAGATTCATCTCTCCTCCACCAGGCAATTATAACCCGCCAAAGTGCAATTTTGACACCGTTCGTATCAACTTCACTGTTGAATCCCGAGGGAGACAGTATGATCGCCTCGCCCTGATGTATCTGGGCGATTACGAGGTCTTCCGGACCTCAACGGCTGAGCCAACAAGTACAGGAATTACTTGGACATACATCAAAGAAATGTCGCAGTACAATTCTCTCTGGCAGTCGCCCCAGAAACTGATTTTTGACCTGGGCAACCTGATCACCGATGTGTATACCGGCTACTACAACGCCACCTTGACTGCGCATTTCTCTCATACCGGGAATGCAAAGACTGCAGACATGATCCTGCCCATTTCGGCCAAGAAATCGGCATCCAATGCATCTAGTGATTTTCAACTACCCGCTGACAATGCCACGGTCCAGTACAAGATCCCAGCCGAGGCATCGCGGGCTGTTGTCTCCATCTCGGCATGCGGGCAATCCGCAGAAGAGTTCTGGTGGGCCAATGTTTTCTCCCAGGACACATGGGACTTCAACAACACCATCGGCGAGCTGTACGGATACTCTCCTTTCCGAGAAGTTCAACTGTACATTGATGGCATCTTGGCTGGTGTGATCTGGCCATTCCCAGTTATCTTCACTGGCGGCGTGGCCCCGGGTTTCTGGCGACCAATTGTTGGCATTGATGCCTTCGACCTTCGGCAACCCGAGATTGATATATCTCCGTTTCTGCCACTCGTTCAGGACGGCAAAGAGCACTCGTTTGAGATTAGAGTTACCGGGCTGAACATCACCGCGGATGGCATGGCGACATTTGCTGACACCGTTGGATCGTATTGGGTCGTCACGGGCAATATCTTCTTGTACTTCGATGGGACTTCATCTCGCGTGGTTCACGAACACAACCCTCCCAAGATCGAAGCGCCAGCACCAACGTTCTCCGTCAAGCGGCATCTCGTTCAGAACCAAACCGGATTCAACGAAACCTTGTCGTACTCCGTGATGGCAGAGCGCACGTTCAAAGCAACCTCATCCCAGTTCTCGTGGTCCCAGAAACTGTCGTATTCCAATCACGGTTATCTCAATCAGCAAGGACTCAGCCAAGTCAACGACCAGCACACCTGGGGCGATAACACCATCAGCGAGGTTGGGGAAAAGGGACGCTCGAGCAAGACCTCGTTCGAGTATCCCCTGCTGGTGAATAACACCTATGCTCTGACCGCGAACAGCATGACAATCGACGCCTGGATGAAGCGAGGACTGGATATCGACGCAGATGAAGGACTGGGCATATCCACGTACACCTTTACCTCGGGCCCGGTACGCCTTCACACTAGTCAAGCAGGCTCGGCGCACTATCAGTCGGTTGACAACCAGAACTCGACGTCGTCGGGTGATACGGTCGATGAGTTTGAGGGCAGCTCGGACGGTCAGGCATATAAACGGTCCGTACGGGCGGTGAATGGGAGTGTGGTGGCTGATACCAATCCTGGAAATGGGGCATCAGTGTCTTCTCATTCTCCAGATGTTAAGCTTCTCAATGGGTTGGGGAGAGATAGCGTGAGAAGTATGCTGGGCAGAGGGCCGGGGGCTAAGTAGACTGTAAATAAGTACAATTTGAAGGCAGCTGAAGGCAAAGGGACCAAGGGGATATATATAAGAGTGCTTTGCCGAAGGTTGCAAGAAACCATGAGGAGTTGCGAGCGGAGGCTTTTTACACAGTACAGAAGTGTCTTTATCACTCACATGTGTCCTATCTATACCATCTTCCTTCGGACAGGGCGCATGAGGGGGCAGGTGGCTAGCTGCACCGGGTTTGAAGTCGTGCTGAATTGAATAGGCTGAGATGAATTTCTCAGACGGTTATCAGAATTCGAGGACAGAGAACCGTGGATTGTGATCATTGTCTTGCCCACTAACTACAAGTATCATTCCCAGGTCTCGACCATTAACTTCGGAAACATCTCGCAGCTTGTTGAAAGCTGCCGGCTGACGCTCAAGACCATTTACGCACGCACTCCACTCCAGTAACCAGCACTGTTCTTATGGCAGTCCTGGCCCAATAATCAGCAGTTTTTTCGCAGGCGGATTAGGAAAAGCGGACATTTTTTGCATGAATTGCCGTTCCTCTCGCGGCTGTAGTGCTGGATTAATGAATTAGCATTTTTTTTTTTTGAAGAAAAGTTTAAGAATTAGTATGTACCTTCATGCCGTGATTATATTAGAACCGGCATCCGTCCCTACCATGGACCTCCACCATGGCCGCCATGGCCTCCACCTCCTCCTCCACGACCTCCACCTCCACGACCTCCGCCACCACCGCGGCCTCCGCCTCCGCCGCGACCTCCGCCGCCGCCACGACCTCCACCTCCACCACGGCCTCCTCCACCTGGGCCGCCGCCATGACCGCCAGGACCTCCATCAGGGATCCCACCTTTCTCAATTGCACCTTCGTCGGCTTCATTCTCGCCCATGGGGGCTGCAATAGCCAGGGCGGCGAAGAGGAGGGCTAGGAGTGTCCAGGGACGCATTTTGATAGGCAATTATAGAGAGGATTTTGAGCATAAAAGTTGAATGGACCTGAAGCTACCGGATGGGAAGAGTGGTTCCTTTATTATATGTAAACTGGAGATATCTTCTCACGGCATAGCACCGTCTTGCTCCGTGCAACAACTCCGGGTAATACAACAGCTCGTGTGGATCGAGTAGGAGTTTGCCATATTGCTTTGTGACAATCGCAGCTCACCGGCAAGTGCCATACCTTGATCAGAGCAGAATTGAGTGTCAGTTTCTGAAGCTCTTTTGCGCTACATACCCTGAACGGCTAAGCGAGGCGAGCCCGATGGGAAGATACATCGAGCAAACACGGCAGCAACCAGGTTTGTGACCTGTTTTTCCTGCAGTCAGCACGGAGATAGTAAACAGCTGAGTGAGATCTGGAGCTTCACAGCATCAGCCGTTGAGGTGTAGGTTTTCATAACTGTGTACCCAAAGTATATCCACCGAGTGGAGCGCACCCAGACCCGCAGCTGGAGACACCGGCAACCCGCAGCTTGTCTGTGCCTAGAACAACACAGGCGTTTTCTTAACGGTTCGGGCAGCCTAGACTAATCACCTGCACGATCTCTTGTACTACATATCCCCGTACAGGTCGGGGCACAAATGGATCTGACACCTGGGATGAGATACTTGGTCCAGGATGCGAGCTCACTCGCGTTAGCCGAACATGTGAAATAGCAAAGCCATGGTTGATCCGTGCAACTCAATCTGGCAAACAGGACACATAAGAGCTTTCTGCTTACAGCGACATTCGAAATCAGATACACCAACATGCTCATAGGAATTAATTCTTGAACTCTAACCTGAAACATGCAAATCTAAATTTACTTTCCCCTTCAGGAATCCTTGCTGAAATTTATCTCCCTTGGCCTTACTCCCCTCCGGCTTCATTTTCTCATCAGAGATTTTTTCTATTATGTTCGACTAGATGTCACAAACTCCACATGCAGACGCTATCACAAAGCCAGGCCAAGAATCCCGGTATATTTCACGGTTGCACCTAAAGCTGGAAAAGTTCCTTGATGAGCTGCATGGTGTGCTCGGGGCCCTCGACCGCGTGGCCGATCGTGCGCGGGTCCTCGTAGATCTCGTGGTCGTTTCCACCAGGGAAGCACTTGTCGCCGAAGAAGTGAATTTCCGTGTACTCGACGCCGGAGATGTTCTTCTCAGCTTCGACGTGTCGCAGGCAGAATGTCTTGTCCCAACCCGTTGGGAAGACGTCGAAGGAGATTTGACCGCCGATAGAGTAACTAGTTTGGGGGACCCTGTTAGGATCATGGATAGAAGGAAATGATGGATCAAGTAACTTACGTCAATCCCCAATCGGGGAACTCCTTCTTCAGTGCTGCCACCATGTCTCGGCGGATATGGTGGATCGCATCATACCTGAATGAACTGTCAGTCTCCAGCAACAGAACGAGGTACGGCCACGAACGCTTGGAACTCATCCCGCTCCTCCACGCTGGCATTACGGCCAATGGGGCTGACGTTGATCATGCCATTCCGGAACTCCACAAAGGTACCACGCTTCTTGGGCAGCTTGGTGCTGGCAATATACTTGAGGCAAAAATCCGCCAGCTCCTGGTACTTCTCCTCGCCGAGCCATTCAATGAAGCTGGTGCTGGCCAGTGGCTTGCCCTGGCGGAAGGCCATCAGGCCGTTTTCCGGGAAACAGAAGTCGAAGAGAGTGGTGACGTCGATTGCGTTCGTCCCTAGTTGTTCCTGCTGCTTGACCAGATTGGAGCCACCGACCTGGGGTAGTGTTAGCTAAACCGCCAGTTCATGACGAAGGGGGAAACTGACGTATCCAATGGTGCACTTGTGTCGCAGTTGTGAGAGCAGCGCGAGCATCTCCGGGGTGGCAGACTGTAAGAATTCATTGTCAGTCGCATTCTTTTGACTAGGAAGTCCAAGCACGTACCCGCCGAGCCTTGGTGAGGGTTTCGTCGACATCGAATAGGCAGATCACACCCTTCATTGGGCGCTTCTCCAGCGAGGGATAGATACTGGCAGCTTCAGTCATGGTGGGAGGGTGACGGCAATAATAACAATGTGAGAAAAGCAGCGATGGGGGAGAAGATAAATATAGACGACGAGGGGTGGCCGCAAGCGGTGAGCAAAAGACGGCCCGAAGTGGATCTGGCCAGAACGTCCGAGGAAGTGAGTGAGTTAGGAGGCTGGCTTAGTTACTTGTATGGACAAACAAACAATATTGGGCTAATTCCTCATAACTTGTCTGTGACTACCTTTTGGTCTATAAAGGAATTAATTGAATACTACGTGTGCGTCGGTTCTACCAGTGACTGGGAGGCTGTTATCGATAAGGAGTATATACCTCTGTCCATGTGCGCAAGGCATCTCTAACTACACTATTTAACTAAATGATATGGTCAATCAACCATCCAGAGATCCATCGGCCAGTTTCTACCGCCCCATTCCAAGAAGAAAACATACGACGAGACGGCTACCGTCCCAGCGAGGTCTGGAACACCTTCGCCGCCAACTCACTTAAGAGCCGCGCGCGACCCTCCCCCGGTAGGTCCAAGAAAACCTCATAGACACTTTTCCCCTTGGCATCACGCACAGCCCCAAGGCGATTCCCAGCAACGGCGCCAGCCACAGCACCCGGGAGATTGCCCACAATGAACCCGAGCGCGCCACCACTAACGCCTCCAACGACAGACCAGAACCGCGATGTGGGACGAGCCCGTCCATTCTCATCACTGGCCATTCCTTCCTCACGCAACATCTCCTCAAACACAGACCCAAACTGGTCGCTATCGCGCTCCTCGCGCTCGCGACCCCCAAAGCCGAAACTCGACCATGGAAAACCGCCGGGCGGCACCGCTTCTTCTTCGACTTCCTCCTCGGCTTCGGCGTAGGCACGGGCTTCGTCATACTCGCGCCGCCGCGTTGGGTCCGATAGCGTGTAATAGGCGTCGTTGATTTCTTGGAATTTGCGCGTCCGAGCGGGGCGTTCGGGGGAGTCGGCGGGGACGCGGTCGGGGTGGGATTTTAGAGATTCTCTGGATAAAATGTTAGTGTTTTCCCCCGAGAACTGCGAAAAGAACATGCCTCTTGTATGCGCTGCGGATCTGTTGGTAAGTGGCATCTTGGGCCACGCCCAGAATTTCATCTAGAATAGCGTTAGAGACGATCGGTGGGAGAAAGGAGGGTTCGTACAGTAGTCTAGTTCTTCTGCATAATCTTAATTAGTTTGGATTCCAGGTAGTAACAGGACCGGACACTTACTCGACATGGTTGTAAGTGAGAAGAAAGCAGAACAAGAAACATGTGAACATCATTGAACCAGTGACGTGGTGACGGCCTGAGGCATCAATGGAACCGTGGATCATCTCCGTGTCCCAAGTATAGCCCAGCCTCCTGATTTATTCTTACTCTGTCTCACTCTCCTTTTTAGTCTCCCTGGTCAACTCCTTTTTCATCCATGATGGCCGTGAGCTGCTCAGTCTTCTTCAATTGACCTCACTGAGTTATTCCTGGCAATTACCTCCAGCAGCCAGTCCAGCCGATCCCTGGTGGAGCAAAGGTTCCCAACGGCCTAGACCAGCATTCCATCTGCAGCAACTTAGTGGCTGACCTGCATCTGTGTCATTGCTGAAGCATTGCCACAGACAAAGAAAAAAAAAACCGAAGACGAAAAGAGCATTGCGACACTCTTGATCTCTCTTCAGCATCTTGAGAAAATCCCATCCTGAAACACATCTATCTCCTGACACCACCCCTAACTTCAAAATGGGCTGGTTCGACGGCCGCTCCACCACCACCCGCTCCAACCGCTCCTCCTCGCCAAATCTCTACTATGTCCGCCGAAAAGCCTCACCCTCGCGCAGTAAATCAGGCTACTCAACTCACCACTCGCGGCACTCGGCCCCCTCAATCTTCAGCCTCGGCCGCACCGGCGGACGCTCCAGTCCCGCCGCCTCGATGTTCTCGGCTTTTTCATCCTCCTCGCGCCGAGCCCGGCCGCGCGAGGGCTTCGTGCAGCGCATGATCCATTCCATCAAGCGCCTGCTGCGCGATATCTACCGCTACATGCGCCGGCACCCGATCAAGGTCCTTTTGCTGGTCATTGTGCCGCTGCTGACGAGTGGTGTTCTGCCGAAGTTGCTTGGGATGGTTGGGCTGAGACTTCCGCCAGGCGTGATGCATGCTTTGGGGGGGAAGTGCCGCGAACCCGGGACATGGTGGAATTGGGGGTGGGTTGGGTGGATTGGGAGGTGTGGGTGGCATGGGTGGGAAGGGGCTGTCCGAGAGTGTCAGTGGGCTGGTTAGTCTGGCGAAGATGTTTGCTTAAATGGTGGTGCCTTGGATCGCTTGGTCCTGTCGTTGTCGAGGGACCAGTCCATTCATAACGACCGTGATGATGTCTTGTTCCGCACTTGAAACTGGCGGTGTTGGGCGACCAACGATGGTACATAACGATAATAGTTCGACCTATTGTTATTATTGGAATATTTTTTCTTGCTACCGCTCCTTGTTCAGGACTATAGATCTCTCTCTCAAAACCTCTAGCCTCCCTACCCATTTCTTCTCCCTTGTCGATCTATCCAAGCTAGCAAACATCCACACTTCAAAAAACAGCCCGTAATGGAAGAATGGCCCATCTCCTGTTCCTTTCATGCCACATTTCGCCTGGTCGAACAATGCCCGATCAATCTCAGCCATCCAATGCCGACCACTCCTCGACTAGCACACCCACTACTCCGCTGATTTTGGGGCTTCTGCATAAGCACCTACGACGATTCTCTCGAACATATTGCACACGGACTGGGATTTCCTGCGATGACCAGATCGCGGAGTTGCGGATTACGGATGTGCTGAGGTGCTGGGGGAAGTCCAAACTTAGCTTGAGCCAAGCTTCATATCCAGGCAATTTTCGATTTCCCACACAACTGTCAGCGGGGAGCAAACATGTGACAGGCTTTACTTCTATATTGTGGAATACGAGGTGAAGTGGCTGTTTGAACCGACCAATTGCCTTTCTGTGGCTTGCCATTCACAATCAGAACGAGGAGATCAGTATGCTAACTACCAATCAGCTCAGGCCTCACCCGGTCCTTCTTCCTTGGTGTCGACACCAAAAGCTTGCTCTCCGTCAAAGATCAACGCAACCTCTTCCAGACTGTGCCCCTTAGTCTCCGGGAACCAAAAGTAGACCAGGACAATCTCCACGGCAATCACACAACAATAAACAATATAATATTTCCAGGTGATCGCAGTCATCGCAACAGGATTTGCATACCCATTAAAGATCAGAACACACGTGGAGGCAATCTGCATGACGTTCGTGCCCTTGGCTCGAAGATGAGTAGGCAGTACCTCGGTAACATAGACCCAAGGCGGACCATTGAGACCCGCGTTATAGAAGAATTGGTACATAAAGATCATGACGACAACTCCAGTCCCGAGGGAAGTGTCGTGGAAGCCCCGTTCCTGGTTGATGGCTGAAAGAATGGTCCAGATCACGTAGCAGGTAAGCATTCCCACCGTGGAGAAAAGGAACAGCTTTCGGCGACCAGCCACTTCCATCAGGGAGGACAGTGCAATCGACACTCCGAGGTTGAACACTGTCAAACCGCCATTGATGCGCAGCTGCTGCGGGTCCTGGGTGAAGCCGATCGAGTTCAGGATAAGGTGGAGGTAGTAGGCGATCAGACCGTTGCCGGACAGCTGCATCATGCAGGGCACCGCGATGATGATGAAGAGACGATGCATATTGCCTCGTGTGCTGAGGAACTCGCGGTAGCCAGTTTTCGAGCCGGATTTGGCAGCCTGGATGTGCAGGATGATTTCCTTCATCTCATAGTCTACCAGTGGTGACTCTTCGTCCCCACCGGCATGGTACTTGACCAACACCTTCCGAGCCTCCTCATGGCGATCCTTTTGCACAAGATATCGGGGTGATTCTGGAAGCAAGTACACGAAGAGCACCTGGAGCAACGGAAAAAATCCTTGCAGTAGCGATGGAATGCGCCATGCCCATGACGTATTTGGTCCCATAAAGTACGTTCCATATGTGATCCAGGCAGCCAACATGGCACCTAGATACCACAAATTGTTGTAGTAGCCCACCAGGACAGGACGATGGGTCGGGTACGCAAGCTCGCTGACCAACATCGGGGATGCCTCGACCGCGATCAGACCTCCAAACCCAATGATCATGCGGGAGACCAGAAACATGGCATAGTCCTGTGAGGCACATTGAAGGATCGCTCCGATGACCAGGAGAGCCGATCCGATAAAGATGGGAAACCGTCGACCAGTGTGGTCACATAACCACGGGGCAATTGGAAAAGCCAGAATCTGGCCGAAGATCACCCCGTTCGACAGAGAGCCCAGCCGAGAACCGCCTGGAAAGTCAAAGAAATGCTGCCATTGTTTCATGGATTGTAGACCGTTGAGCATCGATCCATCGTAGCCGTTGGTGGTCGAAGATAGATAGGGAATGATCATCATCAGATTTAGCAGCACGAAATGACGCTGCTTATACCATGGCTTGCCGGTCTTTGGCAGCACACTTTCAAGGCTCCATTCGCCGGGGCGGCTGTCGTCGACATGCTGGACTTCAGCCATTGGCTTGTCGTCAGTCTCGCCCATCTTGATCGCGATGGTTTTGATTGGGTCTGGATAGCAGATGAATGAGAGCAGTGCTGATCAGAACTGGGATCGTCGCGGTGCAGGCTCTAAATATATGCCATTTTTCTCCTCTAAAGAAAGAGACACGCAGAAGATATCCGTGACTCCGCAGGGAAGGGAATGTATTGCTGGAGGCGTGCATGTCCCGACCAACGGCATTATCCTCTGTCTCGGGCAAGCTTTGCTTTTTCGATACACGAGGCGCCGCGTGGAAGCTGCTAGCGTGATAGTGTGTATTAGGCTTTTCATGACCGCCAGCGTATTAGACCAACCGTATTAGGAGTCGGGTGAAGATAATCCCGGTTCCCCCGCGACAACCCCAACTTTCCCTCCTGTCTGGGGGAAAGGGCAGTCCGCTCCGACCAATCGAGTCGGGGTCCACATTATGATGGCGTTTGGAGAGGTGAAACCCTAACTCCAATCAAACCAAGCGCTTGCTTACTTAGGGTTAGCCGTACGATCAATACGAGCGGTCGAAACACGAAACCCCGCGCACTGCCGAAACTCCGCTGGGTACTTAACTCGAGGAAAGGGTCTTGGTGGTGCTAATGCTGCGAGTTTTCCAGTCGAGGAACCCTGAGAATGGAGACGGGCTATTTACCCACCCAATCGGAGACCCCAAACAAAACGAATCCCCAGAAACGAAAGTATTCCCGCGTGGCAGCGATTTACCCCCGAAAGCGAGCCACTCAAGCCTGCCATACTTGCCGCTTCCGAAGGACGAAATGCGACAACGCTCGACCTTCGTGCGCTTCATGCGTGAGACTGGGGGCAGAATGTAATTACCAGGAAAATGATCCCTCAACGTGAGTTGTATAAATTAAGATTATCCGCGGAGCTTCGGAGAAAGGCTACTAACCGAGACGACAGATTCGATCCTGCGAGTCTCGCCATTTTGAAGCGACTCGATGAGCTGGAAGTCCTGATCCAAAGCAAACCACAGGATCCATCTCCATTAGCTTTGCCTGCCGACTTTCCATCGACGTCGCCGTCTAACCCCCTCGGTGATGGTGACTTGAGCTCCGCGGCAACCGGCCAAAGAACCCAGCGGAAACTGCCTCTCATCACCATCGAGGCAGTTCTGGAATGGCCTGTGTTCGATGATCGCGAATTCAATCGAAAAGTCCATTTGCTGAACCCCCCCGAAGAGAATATACATCAACCAGGACTGCCGATCTCGGTTGACGTTGACCTCCATGAAGCCGACAGCCTGCTTAGGAGGTTCTTTGACGATGTGCACATCTTCAATCCCACCCTAGAAGAGGAGGATGTGAGAGAATATGTCAATGTTGTTCGTTTGAATGGCATTGGCTGGGACGCCATGTCCTGCCTACTGGTCACCACCCCTTCTCCATTCGATCGTGCTCGACTGACTCGGAATAGCTTCTGATCTATGCCCATGGCTCGATTGCAAGGCCCCTTGTGAAGAACGGACCAGGGGTACCCTCTGCTTTATTCCACGAGTCAAAATCTTTTCTTCAGGCCGAAGCCTACTTTTGCGCTGCGCAAAAGCGTATGGGCTCGTTCCTCTGCAGCAGCGGTGTGATAGAAGCGCAGTGCTTCTTTCTAGCCGGTGTATATCTCATGACAACATTGCGACCAATCGCAGCATGGAGAATGTTTGTGCAAGCGTTGGCCTGCTGTCAAGGGTTCTCCATCCAGCGACGGAATGAGCCTAGCTACGAAGACGAATGGAATACTAAACAGAGGATTTACTGGACTTGCTTCAAATCTGAGCTGTAGGTCTTTTCGATTCCCAAGTGAAGAAGCATGCGACTTAACTGCATGACAGGGAACTCCGGCTGGAGTTGAATGTTTCGCAAACAGGTGTTTTGGATCTCAGCTATCCATCCCTATTCCCTTCACCACCGGACCGACTCAAGACAAAAGATGAAGCTCCCTGGTACTTTTATCTCGCCGAAATTGCCTTACGAAGGCTCAAAAATCGCATTCTGGACACTCTGTACAGACACGACACGGCAGACCCTGAATTCAACATTGAATATGCCATCCATGATTTTGAAGAGCAAACAGACGCATGGTAGGTAAACCTCCTGCGAATTGGCAGGCTCGTACATTCCTGATGACTGACTTGTTCGCACTTAGGCTAGGATCTCTACCTGAGACATTATCTCTTGACGTGAGCAACTCGGACACAGATCAATACGAGCCTTTCCGATTCATCCTAAGCGGCCATTTTCTCGACTGCCAAGAGACGATGTACTGGCACTTTGTAGTCGAAGGAATGCACGGTGTCGCCCGTAACAGCAACGAGCATTTTATTCAGAAGGGACTGAAAGTATGTGTAGACAGAATCCAGCAGAATCGGATGGGCTTCTATCACCGGCATCATGGAACATGGTTAATGCTTCGGTCTTGCACGCGAAGTGCACTGGTTTTGCTTGCAGCTGTGCGGCGTGCCGAGCTTGTTAGGTTTCTACCACCGGGCTGGGAGGAAGCGGTGCTTGAGGTAACAAGGATGCTAAATTTTTGGAAAGAGGAGTCTAGGGATGTATCTGAGATGCTGAATGTTCTGCGGACACTGCTGGAGGTGGAGGAAGACTCAGAAATGTGATATTGTCCATAATGCCTGTATCCACCGCTTTGAGGAGGCCACATCTGCTAGAGATACACCGCGTAATTTGGAACACTGGTGAAGTGGAACGTGACCTAAATAAGTAGCTCTAACGGGGACAAATAGAAAGCACATCGAATCTCTTAGGTAACTCTGCTTTTTCTGGGTGGATATTGTCTGGCCCCCGTCCAAGACCCATTTTCCCGACATTCCGCGTTGCATGAACGTTCCAGTGTTACTTTTCTTATCGGACACTCTGTACAAGAGAAAGTTCCACACTTGCCATTCTTTAAAATAAGATCTTCCGGCCAAATAAGCACTTTTTTTTTTTAACAATTTTCTCAACCTAGAAACTGTTCATCTAACAATGTCAAACTTCGATATTGACGACGTGCTCGCAGAGCTTTCTCTAAACGAGAAAGTTTCCCTGCTTTCAGGTATGCTTCCCTCATTTTATACCATTGCACCACTGATTGTTGTCATAGGTGTCGACGGTTGGCATACAGCCGCAATACCACGACTAGGAATCCCGGCAATCCGTATGTCAGACGGACCAAATGGCGTCCGAGGCACTCGCTTCTTCAACGGAGTTCCCGCAGCCTGTCTGCCCTGCGCCACAGCTCTAGGCGCTTCGTTCGACACTGGGCTTATCTACTCTCTTGGGAAGCTTCTGGGACTGGAATGCAAAGCGAAAGGGGCGCATGTGATCCTAGGCCCAACTATCAATATCCAGCGAAGTCCGCTGGGAGGACGTGGGTTTGAATCATTTTCGGAGGACCCTGTTCTTTCGGGCTCCTTGGCTGCTGCTTATTGCTTGGGCGTGCAGAGTGAGGATGTCATTCCGACCCCGAAGCACCTCGTTTGCAATGACCAGGAGCATGAGCGTGTGGCTGTGAGCTCGCTCGTCACTGAGCGAGCTCTTCGGGAAATCTATCTACTTCCATTTCAGCTAGCTATTGCTGGTGCCAACCCCGGGGCCCTTATGACATCGTACAATAAGGTCAATGGATGCCATGCCAGCGAGAGTCCGGATTTACTTCAAGATATTGTTCGGAAAGACTGGAACTACAAAGGACTGATAATGAGCGACTGGTCAGTTCTTCTCCCTATAGCAAGATATGGCCACCACTGATCCAGAGCAGGTTTGGCACATACAGTGTGTCCGAGGCTGTGAATGCCGGCTTGGACCTGGAAATGCCAGGTCCGTCCCGCTTTCGAGGCCCGGGATTGGTACATGCCGTCACCTCGAACAAGGTCTCTGAGAGGACTATCAACAGCCGAGTTCGCGCCGTGCTCGAGATGATCCAACTAGCAGCCAGGTCAGGAATCCCGGAAGACTCGCCCGAATCCCAACGGGATCTTCCCGAAGACAGAAAATTGCTTCGCCGAGCCGCCGCGGAGTCGATTGTCCTTCTAAAAAACGACGATCAAGTTCTGCCTCTGGACCCGAAGAAAAGAACACTTGTGATGGGACCCAATGCGAAGATCGCAGTCTACTGTGGTGGGGGCTCTGCGGCTCTCCCGGCATACTATGCGGTGACGCCGTTGGAGGGGATCACAGAATGCTGCACCGCAGGTGTAGACTTCACGCAGGGAGCGTACGGCCACAAAGAGCTGCCACTTCTGGGACAACAGTTAAAGACCGAGGATGGCCAACCTGGTTACATATTTCGAGTGTTCACTGAGCCCTCCAGCAACAAGAACCGACAAGCAGTCGACGAGTTGCATATGACCAATAGCTCTGTGTTTTTGATGGACTACAAGCATCCGAAAGTCCACTCAGACCTTTATTACATCACCATGGAGGGTATATTTGAACCCACGGAGAGCGGGACCTATGATTTTGGGCTCTCAGTAGCTGGAACCGGAGAACTCTTCATTGATGGAGAGCTTGTAATCGACAACAAGACCAAGCAGCGGCAGGGAACATCGTTTTTCGGAATTGGGACTCCAGAAGAGCGCGGCTCCAGATATCTCGAGGCCAATCAGCGGTACAAGGTCTTTGTTGACTTCGGCACTGCCCCGACTTCCAACATGAAGTTGCACGGAGTGGTCTCATTTGGACCGGGAGGATTGCGAGTGGGAGCATGCCGGCAGATGGACACCGAAAAGGCCATACAAGAGGCTGTTGACCTTGCAAAGACGGTTGATCAGGTAGTGATAGTCGCCGGACTCAGTGGTGAATGGGAGAGCGAAGGATTTGACCGACCGCACATGGACCTCCCGCCAATGTCCGATCAACTGATTGACAGGGTTCTCGCCGCCCAGCCAAACGCGGTGGTAGTGGTGCAAAGTGGTACGCCCGTGACAATGCCATGGGCTCGACGCACGAAAGCTTTGCTTCAAGCTTGGTACGGCGGCAATGAAGTTGGGAATGGCATCGCGGATGTCATCTTTGGGAACGTGAATCCAGTCAGTACTACTACTTTGTATCTTGAGCTGTGACTAACATTGTATTCCAGTCTGGAAAACTACCTGTCACTTTCCCAGAGTGCATCGAGCAGAATCCGGCATACCTGACGTATCGCTCTGAACGAGGAAGGGTGCTATATGGCGAGGACATCTACGTCGGCTACCGCTATTACGAAAAGACTAAGGTGCAGCCTCTCTTCCCTTTTGGATACGGTCTGTCCTATACATCCTTCCGTCTCTCGGGGCTTTCCATCTCCCAGCCCTTGGAGAGCCGCAGTGGAATCAAGGAAGAAATCATTGAGGTGTCAGTTTCAGTAGAAAACATTGGGTCCCGCAGTGGCGCAGAGGTCCTTCAGGTATACGTTTCTCCGCCTCCGAGTTCCAGCGTTGGACGTCCTGTGAGAGAGCTCAAGGGCTTCAAGAAAGTTACACTGCAGCCTGGTGCGACGCAGGAGATTCTGATAGCCATTCCCGTCGGTCTGGCGACAAGTTTCTGGGACGAGAGCCTTTCGGCTTGGCTCAGTGAAGCTGGTGAGTATACAGTCACCGTTGTCGGAACTGGGAAGCACAACTCTCTCTCTGCTGGGCTTAAAATGGCCCACACAAGGGAATGGAGTGGCTTGCTTGGACCTGCGATACAGAGCCCATCTTTGCAAGTTAATGGCACTCACAAGAAGGATGTCAAATGTGTTTAAGCACTTAGATCGGTAGAACTTCAGGGAGGGATTGCATTTGGACAGTCTATACGGTGTGAATTATCTCAAAGAAGTACATAGATGAGGTCATTTTGGTCTCTACCGGGTATCCTATCCTCACTGCTGCTCAACGGATCGAGACTCTAAAGAACTTTTTGCTCAATGCAGACAAGCAATAACCACACTGTCCGAACCCAAGATATACTGCCTATATCACAGACATGTCTCCCTCTAGACTTCAATCACGACCGCTGAGCACGCTTCTTCGTCCTTCTCCGACCCGACCCGCCGGTCTTGGTGCCAGTAGATGTGCTGACTTCTTCATTCGCCGCCTCCTCGGCCTCGTCGACCTCCTCAACCTCCTCTTCCTCGGCAACTTCGTCCGTAGTGCCCATCACACGACCAACAGTCTTGCGGAAGCACCAGACAGGAAGCTTGCACAAAACCGTATCGCGAATTCGGGGGCGCTGGATCTCGCTGACATCCAGCAAAAACTCCTGTTTCTCGCCATCCTCGTTCTCCTCCTCCAGAAACACGTTGCCAATGGAATCCACGATCAGCACTTTGCCGTTCTCGGCGACGACGCGCTTGCGTTCTCCCGTGGTGGTGCCTGGTGCCGTCTCAGTCGTAGGCGTGGACGTGCCCGAGCCCCGACCGCCCGACTTGCCGCCCTTCTTGTTTTCCTTGCGGTTTTCCTTGTCCATCATGCGCTTCTGACGGCGGTTCATGGCCACAGCCCCGGCCTCACCGGCATCAGGCGCGGGGGCAGGAGCAGTGGCACCCACGGAATCGATCCCAGGGATCCCTCGAACGCCCAACTCATCCCCCCACGCGGCACGGCGCGCTTGACGGATGTACCGATCCACAAACTCGCGCTGCCGCTTCCACCCCAACACGAGGGCGGCGTAGTGCGCCGCACCACCAAACACCACGAATAGACCAGTTAGCACCGACCCGAGCCCAGGACGGAAGCGCTCGTAGTAATAACCAGTCCCCTTCCAGCGCGGGAAGCCATTCTTCAGGAAATGGTCGTAGCGCTCGCGACCGGGGCCGCGCAGGATGTTGGCGATGAGGTTGAGGCGCTTGGAGCGGATGTCGGCATCCTTCATGACGGCATCGATCTGGCGCTTGGAAGGACCGGTGGAGACATTCACGCCATGCTTGGATTTGGCCTTGCTCTTGTCCTTGGAATAGTTGGCGATGAAGTTGCGTTTGGCCTTGTCCGGGTGGATGATGCGCGATTTCTTGCGGTAGGCCTTGGTGATTTGTTCCTGGTTGGCATTGGAACGGATCTCGAGGAAGTCTAACAAGGGTTAGGGGGTGTAAAGCACAAAAAAGAGAGGCATTGGTCTACCGTAGAAGGTCATGTTAGGCCCTTCGGCCGTGATGAGCTCATCGTGGAGACGGAAGATCTCGTAGTCTGCAAACAATTTGTTAGCTCACTGTTAACCCGAGAGAAGGGAGAGAGACGCACCCTCCTTGGACCAGGCAGCGACGAGCCCGACCAGAGCAAAGCACAGGGTCCAGGCGAAGAGCTTCATGTTGCAGACCGCGACAGGGGAGAGAAAGTCGGAAGGCAAATCAGTGACGGGTCCAAAAAAAAAGCGGTCGGGCTGATCCACCACTCAACGTGGCCCAATCGAGATCACATTGTGACCGCCAGGGCAAACAGTAATATATAAAGAGGAATTGATCTCTCTCTTGTTCATTCGGATTATTGATTTTCTTCTTCTACTACTACTCCTCCTCTTTCCATACTCTGTAGTCATGTCCGCAAGCAGCGACTGGCCCAGAGCGGAAAGCCCGAGACAAACAAAAGGGGCCGTGCTGCGCTGAGCTGAGCTGAGTGACTAAAAAAAGGCAGCCGCGAAAGGGGGAAAAACACCTTCACTCATTCTCTCCGTCTCTCATTCTTCACCCTTTCTCCTCTCCCCCACACATCCTCATCATGGCCATCTCAATCCCCATCGACGCCATCACTTCGCGCTTTGGCGACCGCTTCAACAATCTCCGCAGCCAGTCCATGAGCACTCGCTTCGCCAACCTGCGTCCCGTCTCCGAGTTCCTCGACCTGAAGCGTCTGTCCAAGCCTGCCAATTTCGGGGAGGTCCAGAGCCGTGTCAACTACAACCTGTCCTACTTCTCCAGCAACTATGCCGTCGTTTTTGTCATGCTCAGCATCTACAGCTTGCTGACCAACCCGCTCTTGTTGTTCGTCATCATCTTCGTCACGGCTGGTCTCTACGGCATCGGGAAACTCGGTGGTCGCGATCTCGACTTGGGCTTCTCCCGCTTCAGCACGTCCCAGCTCTACACGGGTCTATTGATTGTTGGCGTGCCTCTGGGCATCTGGGCCTCACCCATCGCGACGGTCCTGTGGCTGATCGGGGCATCGGGCGTAACCGTTTTCGGCCACGCAGCCCTCATGGATAAGCCAATCGAGAATGCTTTTTCCGAGGAGGCGGTCTAGGTGGTCGGCCGCGAACTCCTTATGATATGCCCCGATGGGGAAGACCACCAGGGGCACGAATGGGGAGACACAACAGGGGACGAGCGGCGCAGTGGGATGGTATGGCGCGGGTGGAAGAGCTGGAGAGCGACGGAGAAGAGGTTGACGAGGCGGAGTATCAGCGGGAGTTGGTGCGCAGTGGCCGGGTGCCGTACATGCGGCAGCTGGAGTATGGGGGTCGGGGAGCACGGCGGCGGCTGGCCGACCAGGGTGAGATGAACGACGAAACCGAATCGGTGGTCGACGGGGCCGACTATGACTTGTATGATCACGGAGACAGCACGGTGTCCTACGCGGTTCAACTCGCAATGCGGGACAAGGAGGATCAGTTGGTGGAGAAGGCGCTGGAGCGGATTCGCCGTGCGCAAATGATGGGGAAGAAGAATGTCAAGTTGTCGCAACGGGAGTTGGATGCTCTGGAGCGCAAGCGTCTACAGACGGACGGGACTCGACGTTCGAAGAACTCGAACAACTCCGTCTCTCCAACGGCGGGACGGCCGAACTCCCGTCGCAACACAGTGGTAGCTCCGCCTGAGCAGCCGTCGGGCTATCCACCCTTTGCGCCTGATGCCCAAGGGATGTGGCCGTGGGGGACAAGCGCCGTGCATGGCCGGCCGACGAGCTCATCTTCTGCTCCGCGACCACGGACGCCAACGACGCACTCCCTTCGGCCCCAGCAGTCCAACTCGCCCCTCCGACCTACATACCCACCATATCCTTCCAACGGCCGTACGCAGTCAATGCCTCAGCATCCAATGTATGCGCGGCCACTACCAGATGATCCCCAATGGGCTCCGCCGTACTTCAATCCCGCGTCGATGAACCCATACGCCAGCGACGTGCCCCAATACCCGCCATCGGTCCCCCCCGACCTTCGAGTTGGACTACAGAATCGGATGAGCTATCCTCCCGAATATCATTCTCGTCATCGAGCTTCCATGGACGGCCGCCAGTCCCGGGGAGCGCGACCAGCTCCATCGGAGACCGAGTCTGACCAGTCCAGCAGCGAAGAAGAGGAAGAGGAGACCCCCAGCAGTGATGAGGAGGAAGAGGAGGAGGAAGAAGAAGAAGAGGATGAAGTGCAGATTGTGAAGGTGGTTGAGCGCCGAGGTCCGTCGGGCTTCCAGCGGCCTGTCTCTGGCAGTCGCCGTGGGCGAGGACGACGGGCCGGCCGTTGAGGGGAGAGTGTCTCTCGCAAGGTTGCCCCTTTTTTCCTGTCCATGTGTTTTCAACGCGAAGGGTTTCAAAATCGCTTGTTTTGTTTAGTTCTTACCACGCAAGGGCGTTCCTTGAATAGACGGGGCTCTAGGGATAGAGCCAAACATGGATATAGTAGTACAGTAATTCAACAGTTATTTTAAGCTCCTCAGGCAGTCATAAAACATGTGACAAGAACATTATGTACGATGTAATGCGGCCCATAAAAAAAATATGAAGATTACGCACGCAAATCGCAAGCGTGGGGCGTTGGCTGTGCAATTTGGAGCCGGCGATCCGGCGAGGAAACCTGGCCGATGACGTCGCCTCCTGGATTCCATGTCGTCGTCCACTCTTGACTTTTGTTTTCCTTTCCTCCTCTCCTCCTCTTCACAGGATATCCGATATTATCACCGGGTTATTCTCATCCTTTCACCTCGTCTCCCTCTCCTGCCCGAAATTTACCCGACCCCCGTGTGGATTCTTCGCCATCCGAGCGCCACCCGCACCCTGCGCGCTGGTTGGCGGCTGAACCTTTCTGGACCATTTTTTAGCGCTGGATTGCGGGCTTTGGTGATACCACTTCAGGCCATTCGTGTATAAATTTTGTCCTCGGTGAGCCGTCCACGGATTACGATCTGGCCGACTCGCCACTGGTCGGTCCCCTGTCATTTAGCCCGCGCAAGCATTGGACTTCTTGGTCTATTAGTTTGCATCTACATATTAGCTCCCGGCGCACGTATCGCGCCATTGTCAGTCCTGATCTGATCATTGATCATCTCGCAACGGCCCCTCTGTCGTCGCAACGATGTGGGTTATCTCGTTCTGGGTCTTCCCGGTCATTTCGGCCTGCGTGTGGGTTGGTAAGGCGAACCTGGCATCCGCGCACTAGATTCTGATGATCTAACCTCTTTTGTGATACTTAGCTATGTTGATAGCCATGCTTGCCACCTGGGCTAGGGAAGGCGAGCCGCATTACAGCTTTGAGTCGAAAGGACAGACGATTGCGTATGCACTTCTCTCACTCACCTATTTGAAGAGACTCCATCAAGCTAACGGAACTATTAGATACATCTCGGATATAGGGGCGTCGGGACTAAAGCCGCTGTTCATCGCTGGTAGCGCGGTCACCGTGGTGTTTCTAGATCTGTCATTCCTGGCGGAACGATGGCTTCGACATTCAGGCCAGCTGGTTCCGAACAAGGGTCTCTTCGATAAGACTTGCGCGATTCTTTCCATCTTCTTTGCCATTGCTGGCGCGTTGGGTCTGATTCTGCTATCGATATTTGATACCAAGAACCACCATCATCTGCATGATGGCTTCCTGGTTATGTTCATGTGAGTAGTGCTGTCAGAATAGGGCGACTGCGACTAACTGTCTTGTCAGTGGCGGATACCTCATCAGCGCCGTCTTGATTTGCGCCGAGTACCTGCGGCTAGGCATCTTCTACCGCTCGCAGCACAAGATCCTGATGGCAAGTTTCGTGGTCAAGGCTGCCTTTGTGATTATCGAGCTTGCTCTCGCTATCGCGTTTGGGCTATGCATGCGCAGCAGCAACCAGGCGAGGAAGAACCCGGCCGCGGTCCTCGAATGGGGTATGTTTCATTCGAATCGTCTTATCTCATCGATCGTCCACTAACCCTTTCTTAGTGATTGCCTTCGTCTTCACCGGCTACATTCTCTCCTTCGTTCTCGACCTGCTCCCCTCCGTTCGCACCCGCAGGCATCTACCGCAGGGTGAAAAGCGTTTGGAAATGGCGCACGAGGGCCCCAACGCACCCCACAATGGCATGGCTATTGAAGAGCCGCTGACTACGAACTCGACGGGCCCGAACCCGACCAATGCCTACCGGGGCGCCCACTTTTAGTTGTCTTATCTTGTCCTGTGACATGATACATATGCAATGATGATTGATAATGTTTTGTATTTCTAGTTGTGGTTACTTTGATACCTGTTCACAAATATGGTTCTTGCATGGAGTGTATTAGAAGGTGGTGGGCATCGTGATATGTACATTAGAAGAAGGGGTGTCCTTGCAAATTATTTCTCTCTTCCCAACCATAAGCACTCGCTCCGGTGATGCACTTGCCAGGTCATATGTATCGTATCTGTACAGAGTAAAGAAAGGAACGGCTGAGCGGCTATATCCCACCAAAGATGAGCTTGCGCCGAATCCGCTCCTGCATGTCAGCATCAATCCCGATGCCCGTAAGATATTGCCGCACGCCCCCATATCGCCGATCAAGGTACTGCGTAGTCGCGTCGACAAAGCCAGGCGGACAGCGCGTATACTCCGCATCAAGACCAAGGGCGCGAATCTCACGAATGCGCTCATCAAACTCAGTCGCGAGCTCGGGCTCCGACCGGGTATAGTCGTCCGCCATCGCAGCGGGGGAAACGGTCTCCCCGACGAGGAGCAGCATCAGCAGCACGACCAGCCCCGTGCGGTCCTTGCCCTGCGTGCAGTGCACGAGAACCGGGTACGTCTGGTCAGAAGCGAGAAGCTCGAATACGCTTCGCAGCTCGGCGGTGCTGGCCTCTAACGTGTCCTGGGCTAGGCCGGTCAGACCGCGCGGCTGCATGACTTGCTCGCCGACGAGCTTGATTGCGGTCTCGCGGTAGCCCGTTGATGCTAGGGCGATAACTTTTCTGTAAGATGTGAGCCATTCACCCTGGTATTTTTAGTAGATAGGTGGAGGATGACGAAGGGAGGGAGTACAAACACGTAATTATACCAATCCAGCTTCCACAACAGAGCCCGCTCGAATCCCTTGCCTGTAAGACTGATTAGAGCGCGCCGGCACCCAGGAATGAGCAGAAGATGTTCCTGGGCATCAACGGGGCTCTGGGTTTGCGGCGTGGATGGCTCTCGAAAGTGGTTGGACTCATTTTCCGAGCGGCGTTTGCGACTCGCCATTTCATGCTCGGTTCTTGGGCCGGTTAGTCCACCGTTGACTCGCCTGAGAGCGACTAGTTACCTTGAGCGCAGATCAATCACGGTCGAGATATGCAGTTCATCCGCAAGGCGACGCTTATCTCGTTCGGAGGCATCGTCAAGCTACAATCGACAGACAAACAGATTCATCAACGCCATTTCTTGAAAGATCAATCGGGAGAGAAAAATACCCTGGCACTGCGGAAGAGAATGCCCTCGGCTAGAACTCTGCAAGTCGTGTCAGTTTGGCTGTAAATTAATACCGGGGCAAGGCAGGGGACGGACTGCTTCCCGCAGAACTCGTTAACCGAGCGGCCGACATCGCGGAAGTTAATGATATTGTCGAATGGCCGGCCGGGGGAGTCGAGGTCGATACTGGATTGGCGAGCCATGACGGAAAGAAAGAATGTATCATGTATCTACAATAGTATCGAGAGGGGAAATCCAGAAAGAGCGAAAGAAGGAAAGAGAGCAAGAAAGATAGGGGGAGGTGAATTGGTCTAGTTTCCTTGATTGACGGATTATTGACAGCTGTTGGGTGGATTCCCCGGAAAAAGAAAAAGGAATGGCGGTGGACAGAGTGACGTTGGGCACAACCACCACCAACGTCGCCCTGTTTCTGGCCTGAAGGAATTTGACTGGGAAGGAAATGCCGCGGCTCAGTGCATCATTCACTAACAACTAACTATACTACCACTCACGCATACTGGCTACGATTGTCCTTCCATCGGGGCTGCAAATACGACCAATCGCGACTAAACTCGAAGCCGGTACGATAAACCCCGTATGCCGTGAGCTGCACCTGATCCAAGCTGGCACCCTGATCAGTCAACGCCCACATGCTCAGGGCGAGGGAATTCTCGCCGCGGTTATTGATCACGCCCGGTGGGAAGGGGAAGAGCGTCTGAGGCCCCAGATGGGGCAGGTAGTGCGCGAACATGTACCCGTTCATGAAGACCTGCACCACAGCCGCGGTACCGTTGGGCGCGCCGAGCTGGAGGCCGATGGGCACGTCCAGGTCTTCGGCCAGGTCCAGGCGGAAGGTCGTCGTGTAGAAGGTGCCCGCACCGCCGGCGACACCCTCGAGGGGACTGGACGTGGGAGACGAGCGCGGCGCCTCGTAGCCTGGTAGATGCCAGCCCATTCGCTCGCCGTACAGCCCGCCCTCGTTCATGGGACCGCGCACTGGGTCGATGTTCGCCTCGCCGCCCGCGTTGCCCTGGATGCGCCAGGAGGTGAAGTTCCCGTCGGACAGCGTGGCGCCGAGGATGCCGCGCGGGTTTTGTGTGCCGGCGGGCTTGACGTTGTCTTCGTCGTGGCCTGTGTAGTCCATGAGGATGGTCAGGACATTGTCAGTGTCGCGCAGCGTGGAGCCATTAAATGGCAGCAGAGCGGAGGTCGCGGCCAGATCGGGGTTGCCCAGAGCACCGCCGACGTATGCTCCATTCAGCCAGGCGGCCCAGCCGGCGCTGGCGCCGCTTTGGACGGTGATGTTGGCGCTTGTGGCAGTGTGGCCGTCGAATCGGCCCCGGTAGAGCTTTGAGCCGGCGTGGTAGCCGTAGTCGCCGGAGTAGAGCACTGGAAGCGAGAGCGGCGCGATGGCATTGACGGTGCTCGATTTGTTGCAGACTGTCCAACGTGAGTCGTCGTAGTCGGGCTGGATCTCGGGGATGGTGTTTTGAGCCTTCCACGGCCCTAGGGCAGGGAGCGAGATCTTTGTATCTTCAGCTCCTGGGGCTATCCCAATCAGACTGCCGTAGGCTGTCCGCTTGGTGGTGATTTTCTTTCCGTTCCATTTGACTGCTCGGACCTTGGAAGACCCGACATATACCCTGCAATGCCTCGTTAGTGGAGCTTCTTTGTGAGAAATGCAATGCATTGTATACTAACTCAAGGGAAGTAGTGTTGGCGTTATCGCCAACAAGACTAACGGTATCCCCTTTGACCGTAGTTTCACGAACCAAGTACGGACCTAGGGCAAGGATCTGCTCATGCGGAGCCACATTGGGGTTTGATGTCGTGGGAACGGCAAAGAAATTCCAAGCCGTCTCCTTGTCAAGCAGGTAGACGAGCACACCATTAGAGAATTTGAGAGCTGTCGCGCCCTGTCCCTGGGTATACGAGTACTGGGTCCCATAACTCGCCTTGGCGGAGCTGACCTGTGAGTTGCCGTAGGTCTGGTAGGTCAGATGGGCCGGTGCATCTTTAAAGGCGAAGTGGCCTTTCTGGCCGATGTTCAGGTAAAATACAATCACGTCCACATCAAGAGTGGCGTAGGTCAGAACCTCGGCGGATGAGTACAGCAGGCTGGACTGCTTTCCGATCTGGTAGTCCGTGACGATGATCTTGCTCTGGCGGCCATCTAGTTGGATATCCGGAATGGTGAGAGCACCTACATTTCACCCGAGTGTCAGCAAAGCCTTGTAACAAACATAAACCACATACCAGCTGTAGTATTGACATTCAACGAAAAGTCCGTCACATCGCGAGACGGACTCGAGTCATGCGCAAGAACATAGAACCCAGCGTCCGTGCTCGGATTCCTCAGGGCCCACGTAAAAATACTACTGTCATTAGTATACCCCGTGCCATTCCCCTCCATCTCCGTGTGCAGCAAGCCACCCGAAACTCTGGTGAAAAGGCCCAGCAACTTCGTCTGTTTCAACTTATCACGAATCTCGCGAGTCTCACGCAATGGCGCATCGTAGTCGTACGATGTATACACGACGGGGGCGCCACTGTGTCCCCAGTTCGTGCCACCGAAAGCCATGTAGAGGCTCTGCAGTGTCACGCGAGAGCCGACGTTATTCTTGTAATATACGTCCGCGAACTCGGGGGACTGCTCTGCGGCGCACTGGTCGTAGAAATACCCGCCCCAGGGCTGGAAATAGCCGCCCTCGAACTCGGGAAGGTACTCCGGCTGCGTGTAGGAGTAGTTCTGGAACCATTGGTAGTAGGTGCGCACGAGATTGAATCCCGAGTCTGGATTCGTGCAGGATAATCCGCCGGGATAAGAATCCAAACCGTAGACATTCACCGCGCCGCCAACATCTTCATAGTCTGTTGACCAGCTTTCGGAGCGCATGCCCTTCTCATTATGGGTACTTGGGACAACCACCCCGGCTTCAGTAAAAACAGCGGAGATCTGTTCCATATACTCAACGAGAGTATTAGTGGGACTGTGATCCGTCTCCTGCAGTTCATTCTCATGCTGAACGAGAATAACAGGCCCGCCATTCGTAATCTGGTTTTTGGCGATGATCCGGCCGACATTGAGAATCCACGGTTGCCAGCGCGTATAGTACGATTCAGCGCTCGTGCGCTCTGCGCCCATCTGCCCGTTCGCAGCCCACAGCGCGAACCCGCCAGCCGAGGTCTCGCCGTTGCAGTAGGGCCCTGCGCGGGCGATCACGTACAGACCAGCCTGTTTGGCGTAGTCGAAGACACGTTGGATGTCGTGGGCGCCTGTTTCGAAGTCGAATGTGCCTTCTGAAGCGGAGTGGTAGCTCCAGAAGAAGTAGACTAGTACATAATCGTGGTTAGGTATAGTTCACATTGGCCTATTTATTCTCGGGGAAGACGCACTGGAGACAGCATTGAACCCGTTCGCGCGCAGTTTCTGGAACACATCCAGCCACATCTCCGGCACGGGGAGGCGCATATAGTGGAATTCGCCTGAGAAGATATACACCCGCTCGCCGTTCACGGACAGGCTGTACGGATCCCAGGTTACGGCGGTGGTGTTGCCATTGTTGGTGGCGGCGACCAGGCCGAAGCCTGAGAGCAACGCAACGAAAAGCAGAGAAAAGACACTGAAGATGCGCATTTTTGGCTCATGTTCTTCAAGTGAGAAGTGTTTCGCGTCTATTTATTTTGGTTTCGTTTTCTCGGTTCTCGCGGTAGCAATACCCCGGGTGCGATGCTATTGGTGGATGTTTTGGGTGCGGATAGAGGCGCTTAGGGCTTGGTAAATTGCGGGGGAGCCCGGGGACGAAGTACGTCCTCTACGTCCGTGGTTTATTAATTAATACATTCAGGGAGTAGGTGATGAGTGCGTAAGACGGTCGACATAATCAATCATCTGTAATTGATTATAACCGAACATGTTCTACGTATACATCACGGATTAGGTATATACATCACTGCATGAGAGTGCGAACATAACGCCTTGTAACAACATATCAATTACCACAAATTCAACATCTCAAGGATATCATGACGAGCAAAAAACGACCGATTCCGTTTACCGAAGACATCTTGTATCCAGTTAGTGGAGGAGACGAGTGAGTGAAGCGCGGAAACCACTTACACATGGGTATACTTAGCATACAAATCCCCACCTCGATGCTGCCGACGACGATCATGGTGTGTTTCACTCCGCCGTGGCTGAACCAGTCGTAGGCGTAGAAGGTTAACACGAAGCTGAACATATTCTTGAACACCAGTAGACAAGTAAACGCCTCGACGGCGATCTCCCCTATACCAGCAGTCAGCAATAACCCTCCAAAATGATGTATGAGGTTACGTACGATGAGCATCGACGATGTAAAGCGACCCGGCCACAGCACCCATGACCATGCCGATAATAATAAACATCAGGAAGACATCCGGCAGCAGCCAGTGGTAGTGCTCTGCATCACCCGCCGTCCAGCCGAATCCGTAGAGCCCGATGCCGCAGAAAATTAGCTGGAAGATAACCAGCAAGATGCGGAACTCGGGCTCGTATCGGCCGTGGTTGAGGCGGATCATCACTTTGTTCATCGAGTCACTGAGCAGGCCGGACAACACAAGACCCAGCATGGAGCCGATGAAGGCACCCGTGTACAGATAGCCCGTTTGGACTTCGGTAAACCACAGAGGCGGGGTCAGAAAGACGATGGCCAGGATGACACCCAGAAAGACGGCCCAGCCGATGATGACACCTTGGATCAAGCACGCCTGCATTGCCCGTTAGTATCTGGTGTTCGTTCCAAGCAGGTACTCCGCTACTTACCCAGAAGACGCTTGGATGAAAGAACAGCGGAAACGGCCGGAGGAGCAGTTTGAAGAAATTCTCGTCGGTCTTGCGTCCATTGAACGGCCTCAAGGTCTTAATGAATGAATCCTTCTCCAGAACCGGCTGCTGCACAGTGACCTGCGTGCTCGACATGCCGTTCAACCCCTCCATAGGGAGATTCTTCGGCTCTTCTCCATTGGACTCGCGACTGAGTGGCCGCTCAGCCTCTGGAGACCCGTTCCTGTTCTGGGTCTTGTGCTTGAAATCTGTATTTAGGTAATCCGCACGCCGGTACGCAGTCTCCGGTACAAAGAAGAACATGAGCGGCAGCGCGGCCGCGAGAAAAATCGCCACGAAATAGAATGACCACTTCCAGTGCAGGGTGGCGGTGATTTTCCCGACGAGCACGGGGGTCAAGAACGCCGCGCCGAACAGGGCGACGTTGGAGACGGCCATGCGTTTCCCACGCTCATGCAGGAAGTATAGATCGCCGACGCAGGCATTGACCAGTGCTTCGAAGGGCGCCAACGCCACGCCCTGGAAGATGCGCGCCCATAGCAGACTGGTGGCGTTTGTACCGCTGGCCCCGGCCCAGACACAGCTGACGATCATCAAGACGTGCCCGATTAGGAAGAGGTGGCGCTTGCCCCAGACGCGCGCGGTGGGCACGATCAGGATTCCCGCCACGCCCACGCCGCACAGGTGGTAGCCGGTCAGCAGCGCGGCACCGGTGATGGTGATATCATCGTCCTCGGCGATGTTGAGTGTGTTGGGAGCCATGATGGAGCTTAGGGTGGTGCAGAGCACCGTCACCCACGACAGGACGGCGAGGATGAGGTCTCGCCTCCATAGTGGCCAGTTCTAGGGTTCGGGTCAGCTCCTGAACATGGATGGGATGGTTGCATGCATACCAGCGGATCGTTGGGGTCGTCGCTCGGCTGTGGCACGAGGATGATGGGCACTTTGCCGGAGTAGTCATACTTGAGGCCGGTGATGTTTGCATGGCCACCGTCGATGCGCTCCTGGTCGTAGACATCGGAGGTACCTGGACAGCAACACTATTAGCTACGCTCTTCACCCGTTCGCAGGCACTCTCACCCGGCACCTGGGCGAGCTTCGTATCCTCCAGCACCCCGAGACCCATGGTGGGGAATGTCGTCTGTCAGAGAGAAAAGTACAAAGTCGAGTGGAGAGGGGAAAACAAGGCTAGGCCGGCATCACGGTAGTTGGGGAGCTTGTTAGTCACACAAGGCTTTTCCTAGCTCTCTCCGTCGTCGTACAGACCGGTCCGAACGTGCTAGAGGGAGGGGGCGCCTGCGGTGTGACGGCGGTGAGGTGCAGCCCCTGAAGCCGATCGACAGAGGGTAGAAGAACTAAGTGGACGAACTATTCGCTAGTGGCTTCGGCCGAGGCTTCACACTCGTCCGTAGCCAATGGAGTGGAGCACGACGCGGCACAGTTTGGGATTGCTTGGTCGAAGCCAAACCTGGGGAAAGGAAAGGGAAAAGGGCGCGTCAGAACGGTGTATGGACGGGGTATGAGAGCGAGAAAGGGTAGGTAACGGGGGTACCACCATGACCCGGTCCCTGAATGCCCGTGCACTCGCCCCAGTTTAAAAGGCGGGGACGGGTTTAGTTGCCTATCTTTCTCCTTTTCTTTCCCTTTCCCTTTTCCTCCTTTATCTGTCTCACTTTCCCATTCCTCATTCCTCTCGACTACACTCAACATGAAGTTCTTCCAGATCACCGCTGTCGCTGCCCTCGTCGCCTCGGCTGCTGCCCAGGGCCTGAGCGATCTCCCATCTTGCGCCGTACGGGAAGCTCCCCATTGGACGCAGAACCTCCACTAACACCTCCCAGAAAAGCTGCGCCCTGGATGCCCTTCCCAAGGCCTGCGGCCTTGACATTGGCTGCATCTGCAAGACCAAGTCGTTCATCAACAACATGGCCTGCTGCGTGGAACCGGCGTGCTCCAAGGCTGACCAACAGAGTAAGTACCGTGCGTGAATAATCCTCAAGCACATGAAACTCATCATCAACAGAAACCCTCGAGGCCGCCAAGAAGATCTGTGAGACGGGCGGCGTGACCGACATCCCCGACACCGTCGTCTGCGACAAGGGCTCGACTGGCTCGACCACAACCACTACCGCCACGGGCTCTGAGGCCACCGGCAACTCGACCACGGCGCAGACCACTGCCTCGTCGGCCTCGTCGGCCTCGGGATCCAGCACGGCGTCTGGTACTAGCTCGTCCTCGTCTTCGTCCTCGGCCGCGGCCGCGGCCACCTCCAACGTCGCTATGCTCGGCCAGAACAAGGATGGCTCCTTGATGGCCGCGGCGGGTGCTGCTGCCGCGTTCGCCATCCTGGTTTAGGCTCTGTATTTAACTCACAACGGTGAATGAGAGTGTTGTCATGATAGTTTGAAAAGAATGGGCTCCCGGGGAGGGTTGGCAAGAGAATTCGGTCCTTTTGTTGATCGTCACTGCGTGCCCCAGGGTGGTAATGACTGAATAATTTTTTTTCTTTCATCGGAATAATATGTGTCAATAGCATTGTCTTGATCCAGACTACCTCATTAATAATCACGGTTCGAGGAGCAGGACACTTTCTTCTATAAGTACATTTCGACGCGCAGGGCGATTCAATTCTCGCGAGCGTCTTCCAGGAGCTTGGTCAATCGCTCCTGTCGCTCATCACGGAGCGTGCTGAAGATCTGTGGCGTGTCAGCCTGTCGAATATGACGGGAGATGCAGAGAAGCACTTACCCAGAACCAGGTCATCATCTCCATAAACCCAAACGAAAAAACCACACGATGCTTCAGCCGGTTCAAGCCCGACGTCGCCACTACAGAGGTATACGACGACAGCATGTATTCGCCACGGCCATAGTAAACAAAGAACGCAAGGGCGCCGTACACCAGGAACCGACAGCCGGAAATGGCAACCCAGACGTTCCAATAGACCGTCAAGGACTTGGTGATGTACTCGGGTAGCGTTTCCAAAACGCGGAGATCCTCCGCGGGGAGATTGCCGTTTCGCAGGGGACGGATGAACGGTAGGGCCTCGTCGAGGGCTTCGTGGAAGGGGATGTTGGATAGGAGGACCAAGTCGATGAGGGCCTCGGCGAAGAGCAGCACGGCGCAGAAGGTGAAGGGGTTGGTCTTTTGGGAGCTGGACATTGAGGGGAAGTTCTAATGTGATCAGTTAGTTCGTTGTCTCTCGCCGAGAAAGCGTTGGCGGCGTAGTTACAATGTTCAGGCTCTCGCCTAGCATAAACACTAGGTCGGAGTCGGTGATCGTCTCCGGGTTCTTGACGAGGTAACCCGCGATGACTAGCAGGAGCACGGCATGTGCCTGGATGAGGGTTTTGGATGAGATCAAAACCATGGTCGTGGTGTGCGACAAATGTGAGAGACGGGTGAGGGAAAGGAACAAGGGAGGAAGGAAAAGAGAAGTGACGGCCGATGTGGGGACGATCCGCGGGCTCGACGTGCTCTCCTCAACATCACCTCTGGCCACCATATCATGGCCTTCCACACCGAGCGCCATGTCAAGTACTACCTACGCTGTCTCAAGACCTTCCTGCCCTCCCTCTACACCTCCAATGACTCCAATCGCATGCTCCTCGCCTACCTGACCCTCTCGGGACTCGACGTCCTGGGTGTCCTCCACGACAAAACCACCCCAACAGAACGACAAGGGTATATCGACTGGATCTACCACTGCCAGGTACCGTCGGGCGGATTCCGCGGGTTCTCCGGCACGGATTTCGGGCGCGAGAAGCTCAATCGCGAGAATGCGGTCTGGGATCCGGCCAATGTGCCCGCCACTTTCTTTGCACTAGTGACTCTCCTTGTGCTGGGCGATGACCTGTCGCGGGTGGACCGGAGGGCGTGTCTGCAGTGGCTGCCGAAGACGCAGCGCGCAGATGGGAGTTTTGGAGAGGTGCTCGGCGTGGATGGGAGGGTGGAGGGTGGGCGGGATTTGCGATACTGTTGCTGCGCGGCGGGGACGCGGTATATCCTTCGCGGGAGAAGTGGGAAAGGGCTGGAGGGTGTGGATGATATCAATGTAGCGCAATTGGTCTCGTTCATTGAGGCGTGTCAGGTCTGTTCTTCTCGTCTGATCTTGCGCGATCGTAAGCTGATCTGCCTCGACTAGACATACGATGGCGGCATGGCCGAGTCTCCCTTCCGTGAAGCGCATGGTTGGTGATTGATTCATTTGGTTTACGTGCTGTTTCTAACGTGATCCAGGTGGCCACACATATTGCGCCCTTGGTTCTTTGACCCTGCTGAACCGAATACCCAGTGACCTACCACCGATGCCGCTCCTGACACCGGGCACAAAACAGTTCGAAGCATTGTTGGCATTTTTGGTATCAAGACAGACAGCGACGATTAGCGATGAACCGGAGGATGAGGCACTGGACGAAATTCCCGGCACATCGCTCGACGAACAGATCCAAACCTTGCCCGACATCACACCGCTGGATGGCGACGCAATACCCTGTGCGGGCTTCAACGGCCGATGCAACAAGGTCGCAGACACCTGCTATTCCTTCTGGAATGAGGCATCTCTCCTGGTAGGTCAGCTTTGTTCTCATCCGTGGCCATCCGCTGATTCCCCAAGATGCTGGATCGACTATCTCTGGTTGACGAAACGCGCAACCGGCGATATCTCCTCGAGAAGACGCAACATATCATCGGCGGCTTTGGGAAGTGTGCAGGAGAACCGCCAGGTCAGTATCGGGATTTCACCGAATTGGATCGTGTGCTTAATTCATTGGATCTAGATCTGCTTCATGCGTACTTCGGAATGGTGTCGCTTGCTTTCCAGGGTGAGCCGGGATTAGAGCGCGTTGATCCCTCGCTGGGAGCCAGTGAGAGCGCTGTTCGACACTTAGAGTCCCTGCCCTGGTGGCAGCCTTGACCGAGGCATCCATTGGCCGGACGGTCAATTGCCGGTCAGCGGGCCAAGCGAGGTCCGGGGGTCACCTCGATTAGGCATCGGCGGAGCGAAGTCAGTGCCTGACTGAAGGGCGGGCGTACATACATCTGGAATAAATAAATATCGAATCTCTATTAGACATCCATCCTCTACCGAGGAACGAACTCACGTGTAGAAGAATATTATTGTCGGACAAAGAGGTTAGTCAGAAAGGGGCATCAGGGGCGTCATTGATTGATGGAAACGCAACAGATCCACTCCACCGTTATCCCTTGGCTCCGACTCTTGATGACTGACTGACTGACTTCACGATACCTACTCTGACCAACACACCTGGCGCTCGCCCTTGACACATGCCGCCCAGGACGAGAGCGGGGGTTCAAAGCCAGCACCAGAAGGAAAAGGTGTGTGTGAGAGAGATTATCAGTCAAGTCGGGCCACTAACCACTCCATCCAACAGCTTGCCAGCTCCTACAATGAATTGCTCAAGTACGCATCCCCGGCCACCCATCATCACCGCCCACCTCTGACCCAGACTCCGCAGGGAATTCTCCTCCAAGGACCTCCGCAGCGTAGGGAACTACACGTTAGGCCGGCTGATCGGGAAGGGCTCCTTCGGCAGAGTCTACCTGGCGTCGCACAAACTCACCAATGGCTCCAAGGTCGTGCTCAAGTCGTCCAGCAAAGATGATACCAATCTCGCGCGCGAAATCCACCATCACCGCCAATTTCGCCATCCGCACATCGCGCGCCTGTACGAGGTCATTGTGACTGAGAGCTTGGTCTGGCTCGTGCTCGAGTATTGTCCCGGTACGACCCATCCTTCAAAGGAGAAGAAAGATGCTGACAATTGACTCACTCCGATGGTTTAGGCGACGAACTCTACAACTACCTCCTCCACCACGGCCCCCTTCCCGTCGAGAAAGTGAAACGGATATTTACGCAGCTGGTTGGAGCGGTGGCTTATGTCCACAGCAAATCATGTGTGCATCGGGATCTCAAGCTGGAAAATATTCTCCTGGACAAGAATGAGAGTGTCAAGTTGTGCGACTTTGGGTTCACGCGCGAGTATGAAGGGAAGGCGAGCTATCTCCAGACGTTCTGCGGCACCATCTGCTACAGCGCGCCGGAGATGCTCAAGGGAGAGAAGTACGCAGGCGAGAAGGTGGACGTGTGGAGCTTGGGCATTATTCTCTATGCACTTCTGGCGGGCGAACTCCCCTTTGACGAGGATGACGACCAAGTGACCAAAACCCGGATTCTCTCGGAGGAACCGGTGTTCAAGGATGACAAGTTCCCCGATGATGCCAAGGCGTTGATCAATCTGCTGCTTTCCAAACGGCCGTTGATCCGACCCAGTTTGGACGAGATTCTGGCGCACCCTTTTCTCGCCGAACACGCGGCGGAGCAGTTGGCCATTCTGAAAATTCCGCAATCTTCGCCGTTTACCACGCCGTTGGAGAAGACGACATTGCAGCGAATGAAAAGTGCCGGAGTCAACATCGACGAAGTCATTGAGAACGTGCTGGCTCAACGATGCGATCCGCTCGCTGGATGGTGGGCACTGTTGATTGAGAAGGAGCAGCGGAAGGAGGCCAAGAGAGAGCGCAAACGCCGGGAGCGGGAAGCCGACACGAAAAACCTCCGCCGTCTCAGTGCTGCGAGTAGCCGATTCGAGAAACGGTCGTCAGCCCTGATGGATGTGGCCGAAGAAGGTCAAGAAGCAAGCTCAAGCGGCAACCTCCAGGAACGCGGGCGCCGAGATAGACGAAGCTTACCCTCGCAGCTGGGCGTTCCGGAACTTCCTGCGCTCCCTGAACCTCTACCGGAACCGATGGAATTGCCACGGCCTGCGGATGTCCAATCTATCAAGTCTGTCAACACACACGCATCAATCCGACGACGCCCTGTTCCACCACCGAAAGACAAGCGACCATCGCGAGGCAGCATGCTTCACGTCAGTGCCTCTCAGCCGGAACTGGCGCAACATGGGGGTATCTTTCGGCGTCGCACCAGGCGTCACCAATATCCGATTATTAGCCAGCTGGCCTCACTCAAACATTGGTTTGTCGAATCGGCCAAGAGGGCGAAGTCTCCGAATGCAAAGGCCGTCTCCCGCAAGTTTATGTCTGAGAAGAACAGCCCTGCGAAGAGCCAGGATGGTGGAAAGAACCTCGGCACCTCGTCTTCGGCTGGCGAAGCTACAGGAGAGGAGGTCGTGACACCAACCCAGGCCAAACGGATCTCTACGGCCAGCAGCCTTGCTCCCAGCAGCGCGTCGTACCGTCAGAACCGCAACTCTTACGGGCGTCAAACGCGGGTATTGAACACAGGGCACTCTAGCAATCGCAATTCGCTTTCGCCCTCGCCGATCACACCGCGGGGCTCATACTACCGACATTCATCAACCGGGTTGCGAGGTCGCAAATCTACCTCGTCTTCAGTCTCCTCGATCCGCAGCATTCATCACACTCGTGCTCACTCAAAAGCATCGTCTCTCTCATCCAACAGCCTAGAAACCGCACCCACCCCAACTGGCAGACTTTCCAAATCTCCCCATTCATCCCTCAAGGTTCTGCCCACCACCCCAGGCCCTTCAGCTCGCTTCCCAAGCAATATCCGGCTAGTACGAGGGTCTGGCGGGCCACCCCGAAGTTTTGATAATCAGGCCGGAGGACCGTCGGGATCAGTCTTCAACGAGGCGGCACCTGCACCCATGCTATTTTCGCCATCCTCGAGCCTGGTCTTTGCTCGACGCAAACGGTCCGCTTTCAAAGGTCCCATGCTTCACACGGCCAATCTGATGGTATCGGGCGGGATTGGGTCAGTCAGCTCGCCTCTCCCAGGCCAGCAACCAAACAACAGCGGTCTGGATCCCGCAGCCGCACGGCCCGGTACGCGAAAGAGCCAGATAATCGAAGAGGAAGAGGACGTGGAGGATATGGAAGAAGAAGACATTGAGGAAGTCGATGAATTCGACCCTAACGATGAGGTTATTCCTGGTTCGCCGGACGAAATCATTAAGCCCCAGACTCCAGTCATCGACACCCCCGAGCATGAGCATGCCGTGGAGACCGGATCTCCCTCCTCAACCCGCAAGCCGGTTCTTGCCCCTGCTCCCGACCTCGAATCAAGCCCTTCTCGCCCTCCGCGGTCTTCGTCGCTTCGTGCGCCGCGGCGTCCGGGAACTGCGACTACTGTTTCTGAAGACGGCGTCGAGAGCAGCGCATCCGCCCCACAGGACAACGCTAAGGACAAGGTTGATTCTGACAAGGCTTCTGTTACTGCTGCTGCTGTTGATTATGATGTTGCTGCTGCCGAACCAACGATTTGAGCGGTTGCTTATTGTTGACACTCTGTTCCCGCAACGATTCTCATTCTTGCCTTGTTGGTTAGACGATAGACCTTTTTTTGTTTTGTTTTGTCCATTTTGTGCGATTGCCGTCCTTGCGAGTTTCCTTCCTATCTATACCCCCGATCGATCGATGCACTTCCCATACACAGCGAGTACCCTTTTTTTATTTTCATTATGTCCACATCTCCCTTACCAACCAACCACGGACATGGGTACCGAATTGTCTTTACCTGGTGTCCCTCCTCCTTCGCTTTTCTTGTTGATCTTTTTCTTACTGATTTTAAAGCCGCTTAATGAAACGCTTTGTTTCTTGTCAGTGTTTTCTTTTCTCTTATGATCTGACTTACACACTCACTCTCTTCTGCCACTCTATCTACTTCTTCGCTGCATCTCCACCCTCCTCTTCACTTTACCTTCACCATTACCCTTTATAGAATACTGTTTTTCCTATTCTGATCTGGCATCCACGCCCGCAAAATGATATTGCATTCTTCTTACATTTCCAGGTCTTCTATATGTCTTTTCTAAGGCTATGGTAAGGCCTTACTTTATCTTTGGCTTATCCCAAAAACGAGCCGTATATAATCAACATCAAATACAATATGCTACACACACCGCCGCTGCGACATGCTCACCCCAAGACTGTCTCGGCATTCAATCTCGTCATAGTATCCATCCAAAACACTGTTCTCCCGGTTTGGACCTCGTCTATGATATTCTCGATGACGAGGCTGATGGCATCAACTTGTTTGATAGGAAATATGTGACGGAAATAGTCGATCCGGTCCAGGATGAACTGCCGTGCTTGAAGAATCCATTGGTTGTTATCTGAATTCGGCTCCTCGTCTCGTATGCCCAAGGATCCAGCAGCAACGAGCATGAGAAGCAGTTGCAAACACGTAGTCTTGGAGCTAACAGGAATCTGCTCCAACCGAACCACGATACTATGACCCAGGCATCGAACGAGCTCTGCCGGGTCGTCGCTGCAATTTTTGAAAAGCGACCACACGCCAGTGGAATATACTACTCTAGGTCTGTGGTCATCCAGGAAGATTCGCTCATTCAACAGCCGCTGGCGGGTTTTGGCCATGTCGGGGAATACCAAGTATAGCTGGAATAAAGTAGCGAGCAAATATCCTTCGGCGATAAAGAGATGGTGTGAGGATGGTGTGTCAGGGTCACCGACAGCGTCAATTTCACGAAGATTTGGAAGAGTTGTCATCCAGGCATCCGCCTCAATCTTTTCTGCTGTTACGAGGAGTCGATTGATGTCAGCCGCGGGGATGTTCAGTGCATCATTCTGCATGGAACGGAGCTGCCGAATCAGCTTCGCTGTACAGGTAAAATGAAGCTGTGGCTCGGCGCCAATCCCCGTCCACGGATGCGGAACGACTCGAGAGCAGCTCGAAGTGAAGCTGGGGACTGAATCAGAGAGACAAGAGAGCATGGCACTGGCTTCATCTGTGCTGAAGTCATTATCAACAACGCAAGAGACCATTTCCCAGTATACCAACGCCTTCTTGAAAAAGGTCTCGGTAAGATATGGTGACGTGCATGTAAAACCTCGGGTCCTAATAATATCTCGAACAGCCTTGAGGTGCACCGTACCGTAATCCTTCGGATCATGCCAAACCGAACTGATGCCAAGCAGCAGGATGCAAAAGAGCAGCACATCTGTGATTGCTCCTGGTGAGTGAGAAATCTCCCTTGAGATCTGGCCATAGGCAAGCCGCTGGTTCTGCAAGCCGATTATCCTCATTTCGTCGGAAAACCGGGCCAGTGTCGCGCCAGTCATGCTTTTCATGGTTAGAAGCATAGATAGAGAACTTTGCCAGCCCTGCGCCACGACAGATCGGAATGGGTTGCTTGGGGAATCGAACGTTGACACCGTTGGAGATACGTGACTGAAATAACGCTGGACTAGTTCACTGTGAGGGTCTAGCAGAGACGAAGATAGACTGAATGGGTAGCGTTGTTCGTCTTCTTCCTTTATCGACAATGTCAACGTTGAAATCTTGTCACCATCACAAGGGATTTCTGGGGGAGTCTCCCACCATGTACACCCTGTATCGTGAAGGGTGTAGGGCGGTGGTGAGCTTATGAGAAGCTGCTGATGCTCTTGACACAGCTTATCCGACAAATTATCGTGTATATTTGATATAACCTGGTCTTTCCAGAGGAGGTTCTCGCTGTTTTCAAAGGCTAACCCGATAGTTGACTCCGGGTGCTCGCCATCCTCAAGAATAAACGGCGAAGGCCCCTGGCCATTGGCTATTGATAAAGCACATTTTCGAGTAGAAGCCTCATCTTCCACGAAATTCGACCTGAACTGCTCATGCTTCTTTGACCACCGCCATCGGAAGGCATCGTAGCCAGAGCAATGGATTCGGCGTGCTAGACACCGCTTGCAAGAGGGTTGCGTCTCATCGCACTTGACCTGCATTGTCCAATTTCAGCATTGCGCACCAGTCAGCAAAGATAAACCAAATACTTTTCGGGATTTGCACTCCAGGCAACCAGTAAATGTTTTCTGCACAGGCCGTCGCTTTACCTTCTTCCGCGTGCCGGGTTCAGTTACGGTATGCATTGGACTTTTCTCAATTTAAGATGAGGTACTCAATTCCCATCCTCGCAGAGTGTGAGTGAGGTAAAGCAAAAAGAGCCAGCGAGTCCAAATTGACATTCCCATATGCAGACGGACTGGCTTTGACATGATACTGGCAAAGTCTTCCTGCCGTTGCGGCCTGGTCGTACTAGCAAGTATCTAGTTTTAAGTGAACTAGGGAGGACCAGGGTGTTTTGGTCCGAAGATATTATCCTCTATAAGTAGTTCGTGAGTCAGCTGAGATGGTTTCTCCGCACATTAACGGGTATCTCGGGGGATGGCGTGCTCTCCCCGCACGGCTTCCCGATGGGGGACGCATTGGCGCGCCTATCGAACCCATTTTCGAGATGGCAGTATAGAGCGCTGACAGCAGTGATTATCATTTCGGATTGTCTATAAAGTTAAGCAAGGGATTCGCGATTCTAGCTCTACATTCGCCAGCTAGACCCTGTTCCATCAATTGATCCACCTATTCACGAGCTAGGAAGCGGATCTTGGATTTGGTAGTACCTTCTTTGAAATGATTGCAAATCTCCTTTGTCATATGAGATACAAGTAGTTCAATAACAACCTTTGAGCAACTGTATGGAAGATAGATATGGAAAGGCAATATGTCTTCCACACAACATTCCCCGAGCTAGGCATTTAGAATAAGAGCTCTATGCAGAATATTTAATGAGAGATAATCAAAAACGCGTCAATTTTCTGGCGCAGATTTAGTCTTTCTCTATATTAAGACCAAACAGCCAACTTATTCGCAAATTGACAGAGCCAAACAGCTTGTTCTCGACCGACTATCATCGGCGTCTCACTTTTCCTCTGCATTTGAAAACCCCGCAACCTGGTACTTGGCAAAGTGTCTAGCGGGCACATTGTTCTCGAACATGTAGTCAATCTCTGCGTATTTGCGGCCTGCGGTTTCCGGTAGGCGAAAGTAGGCCCAGATGAGTGTGGCCAGAGACGTTCCTCCAAATACGAACCCGACTTTGCCTCGCAGGTCCGCAGCACCTGGATTAAACAGATATGGCAAAGCAACACTCACGACAATCATGGCAAAGAAGAATGCAGCGGTGCTAAGCGCAATAGAGCGGCCCTTCAGCTTTGTGGATGGCACTTCACTGATATAGACATAAGACAAAGGCCCAACGGTGAGTTGGTAGAAGAAGCTCCAGACGATAAGCAAGATGGACTGCGCCCAGCTGTAACTTGGGTGCGATCCATAATGCGGCAGCACGTCGAGGATGGCAATTACAAACATGATGGTGGTCATAATGGTCAGACCACTGACGTATGCCTTCCGCCGTCCTACATAACTTAGGTAGAAGAAGGTGCACGCTGTACCCACGAACCCCACGGCAGTGTTACCAACGCCCAAATTGAATGATTGAACGGTAGACAAGCCGGCCAAGGTAAAGAAGTAGTTGCAATACCAGGAGAGAGGGATGCCGCTCAGCACCTGTGAGCAATAAGCGATGTTGGCGATTTCGGTCCTGCGGAGATTGACTCCTCGGAATAGATCCATGTAGGTCGATGACTCCTGCAGGGAACGCTCCAGCTGGTCTGTCTTTTCGATGACTTCGATTTGCTGGTCGATGTTGACAGGACTGTTTGCCGAAACCAGGCGCAGCAGGGACTTCTTTGCTTCGGCTTTTCGCCCTTTGTGGACCAGGTACCAGGGCGACTCTGGAGCAAATGGGATGCCGATAGCAAGCAGCACACACCATGCCCACTGGATTGCAAAAGGAATGCGATATCCCCATTCGTCCACCCGACTCGAGGTAGCCTTTGTGACACCTTGGCCAACCAATTGACCGATAATCCAGGCCATATTGATGAACGCGGTCAGCATGCCTCGGAGGGCAACTGGGCTCACTTCAGCAGCATACAATGGGGCAATCGTCGTAAAGCCGCCCCATGGAATGCCTGCAATGACTTCACCGACGGTCAAGACAGTAGCGTTGGGAGCAAAAAAAATTATGAAAATGGCGGCAATGCAGGCAAAATTGCAAGCGATCATGGTGTTTTTGCGGCCATACCGGTCATAAAACCACCCGATACCGAGAGCTCCGATCACCTCGCCAATGTAGCACATGCTGAGGGCAATCTGCCATCCTGCCGTCAAGGTTTTGGTGCCGTTAGCAGTCGTGGTGCCGTACTTATTGACAAAAGCAGGGAGAGCGAAGAGGGAAAGAATGATTTGAGAGTTGTAGCCGACCATGATTACACCCATCGAGACAAAGAGCGACCAGAAGACGGCCTTGGCGTAAATCTTCATGGATTCCATGACAGGGAGGTTACCCTCCGCCGCTGCGAGCTCATTGACAAGCTCCGCGGCGAGGACGGAGTCATGAGCGATCTCCGCGACGGCATCTGCCGTCTTGTCTTCAAGAATCGTGGACATAATAATGACGGAAAAGATGGAGGAAACAAATTGATCAACTGACCACCAACAGCACTCAATTTTCAGGTAGGCACCCGGCCTATAAGTGTAGTTCCTTGTCCCCTGCCCCCCCCCCCCATGGGCAGCGGATATGTGCTGCCGTGCGGGTCCACCGGGGAAGGCGAGCCACCTAATGCGGAGATAAACTACTACCAGCTCTAAACCCGAATAGTCCACCATGGCGAGTCAGCTAGCGGTTCTGGGTTGGAGGTGAATCCTTTCTCGCCATCTTGCCCAAAACGGGCAATACGTGCTGAGCTAATCCATCGGTGTCTGGAAGCTTGAAATTATAAAGTAACCTACCTCATCAGAGTCTTAGATTCGTTCAGCAAATCTTCCTCATAATCTCTGGACATCATGCCTCCTCCCCCGGACTATCTCGAGCGGGTTTATGCCGGTGTGCTCGGAAAGTTGATCGGGGTGTACCTGGGCCGCCCATTTGAGCTCTGGAGCCATCAACGCATCGTGAAGGAGCTGGGCGAGATCCATTACTATGTCCACGAAAAGACTGGGGAGCCTCTGGTCGTCACCGACGACGACGTGACAGGGACGTTCATGTTCCTCCGTGCGTTGGAGGAACACGGCGCGGGTGCCGATTTGACCGCAGAGCAGGTCGGCAAGACGTGGCTCAACAATATCATCCTATACCGCTCCGTCTTTTGGTGGGGTGGCAATGGAATCTCCACGGAGCAAACGACCTTCCTCAATCTCAAGAAGGGCATCCCGGCTCCGACCAGTGGCTCGATGAGGACCAATGGCAAGGTCATTGCCGAGCAAATCGGTGCTCAGATCTTCATCGATGGCTGGGCCATGGTGTCCCCCGGCAATCCTGACCAAGCCGTGAAGCTAGCAGAGCAAGCGGCTACGGTCAGTCATGACGGTGACGCCGTGCATTCTGCCAAAATGATTGCAGCGATGGAAGCAGAAGCCTTTCTCTCTGCCGATGTGGACCATCTTATCGATACTGGCCTGCAATATGTGCCCCAAGATTCAACGGTCCGAAAAGTGGTGGACGACATTCGTCAATGGGCCAAAATAGACCAGGACTGGTATAAGACGCGGGAGCGATGCGAGCAACACTATGGATTGAACAAGTACCCCGGCATCTGTCATGTCATTCCGAATCTCGCCATCTGCATCCTGGCATTAGTCTATGGAGGGTCCAGTTTCCACGATGCCATGACCATTGTCTGTACGGCTGGAGAAGACACCGACTGCAACGGCGGCACAGTGGGCTGCCTCGTGGCCTTGATGCATGGACTCCAGGGTTTCGAGGATGGCCAGGACTGGAGGTCACCGGTAGCTGACCGGGCCCTATTATCGGGCACGGATGGCGGCTACGCGATCAACAACGCAGCAAGACTTGCATATGATGTGGTGAACATGGGACGCCGCATCCAGAATCTTGAGCCATTACCTGCTCCAAAGAACGGAGACCAGTACTACTTTACCCTACCCGGCAGTGTCCAAGGCTTCCGTGCCTCTGAAAGCACGCTCCAGCCTGGTATGGCAAAAGTGGCTCAGGCAGTCGATGACCAGGGACGTCCAGGGCTTTCTATCCAACTGGACAAGTTGTCCAAAGCCGAGTCCGTGGATGTTCTCACAGACGTCTTCACTCCACCAGAGGTGCTCAACATGCGCACCTACGAACTCATGGCGTCTCCCTTGGTCTACTCGGGGCAAACCTTGAAGGCTGTTCTGCGTGGAGTGACGAAGGGTCGGGCTGTGCTCGCATCCATTCGAATCAGGGTCTACAACGAGAACGATGGCCTTGATACCTTGGATAGTCCTTCGACTCTCATCCAAGACGGCGAGGAAAAGACACTCACGTGGGAGATACCCCCAACGGACGGACAACCAGTCCAAAAAATAGGAATTGTCCTACACGCCGCTGCTGGATCTGTGAGCGGCACGGTCTGGTTGGATCGTATGAGCTGGAGCGGTGCCCCTCGATTGACGCTGAAGCCACCGAGCAAGGGCATCTTCGAATCTACCCCTGGACAAGGAACCACGGCTCTTAGCATCCCCAAGTGCGATTTATGGCGGCGGGCCTGGGTCCGTGGCGTGGACAAGTGGAACATCGAATTTCCCGTTCCCTTCCGCGTCTCTAACAACCATGGCGAGGGCATGATTATCCACGGCACTCGGGACTGGACCAACTACCGCGTTGTGTGCAAGGGCCTGACAGTTCATTTAGGGACCCCGGCAGGTCTTGCTGCCAGAGTGCAGGGGCTGAATCGGTATTATGCGATGGTATTCCAGCCTGACAACAAGGTGGCGCTCATCCAGGCGTGGGATGAGAAACGCATTGAGCTAGCCAAGGCAGATTTCTCTTGGGAGATGGAGACAGGCTATGATGTGACCATGAATGTTTGCGGAGACAAGATCGAAGGGTGTATTGCTGGAGGACCCCGTCTAACTGCCGTCGACTCACGGTGGTCTTGTGGAGGTATTGGGCTGTTATTGACCGACGGCGCTGTGTCGGCCAACCAGTTCGACGTGGATGGCTTATAAGGGCGTGGTTAGAGATTGACGGTTTACACAGATAGACGGATGAGAGGCAGCTATATACTATCTTGACGTGAGCTTGTACGTGGTGCTCGCGAACTGCAGGGCATATGTGGAGAGTTGCGCTGCAGTTATCTTGACAGCAAGGACAACGCGCATTGAGCTTGAGTGTTAGGATTTCCCATAGAAATGGTTATAAAACTTCTGCGCTAGTCAAGCTAAAGAATCTTGACTTCAGGTAATATCAAAACCAACACCTGAAGGGAAACTTTTGTACTTCGGCTTTGAAATGGGCGGCCATGGTTATTTTTCGGCACTTTTCAATTTGAGATATTACGCTGCGCCCATGAGTCTGGTATTTTGAAGCTTTTCTTTTATGCGAGTCTACTGGCGGGAATTGCCGCCACGGATTTCATTGACTGCCGAGTACCGAGAGCGTAGTGGAGGAGAGGCTATCTGCGCGCAAAAATATATGATTGGTCTACGGCATCAAATGCTATCTATCCCCGCGTGAATCGACCCAGATGAATGAATATAAATACCCAAAGCCAGCGTCCAGCACCGTTTCCCCGGGGTTCATATCAATAACCTGATCAATTATCCATTGATTGCCTTGGATCCCAACATGACCGTGCCTACCTGGGAAGAGAAAGCTGCCGCTAAACGGGCCGAAGCGGATGCTAAAATTCCCTCCGAATGGCGATTACCAGCAGAGATTCTGGAGCAACTCAAGAACAATGACCAATGTGTCCTGGATGTGCCCTCAAAGTGCGGCCTTCTCAGCGATGCGGAGCTTGCAATCACAGAGATACAAGACGCAACGGCCCTACGAGACAAGCTCGCAGCACAGGAACTCAGTGCTGTCGAGGTCGCGGCTGCGTTCTGCAAGAGAGCCGCCATTGCGCAGCAGCTGACGTTCTGCCTCACGGAAACTATGTTCCCCCAGGCTCTGGCCAGAGCGAAACAGCTGGACGAGCACTTGAAGGCTACTGGAAAGCCTGTTGGGCCGCTGCATGGCATTCCCATCAGTCTGAAGGAAACATTTAACATCGAAGGGATTCATTCTTCTCTAGGATTTGTTTCCTTCTTGGATCACCCACCAGCCAGCCAAAACTCTGCCCTCGTGGAGATACTTCTTGCAGCAGGTGCGGTGCTATACGTCAAAACCAACGTACCGCAAACCATGATGACTGCAGACTCGCATAACAACGTGTTCGGCCGCGTCTTGAACCCCCATCGTGGCAACCTCACAGCTGGTGGTAGCAGTGGTGGTGAGGGCGCCCTGGTGGCTATGCGTGGATCAATCTTGGGTATCGGCACCGATATTGCAGGGTCGATCCGGATCCCAGCCTTATGCTGCGGCACTGTTGGTTTCAAGCCGAGCGTCGGTCGCGTGCCGTACGGCGGCCAAAAGAGTGCTGCCCGTCCAGGAATGGCTGGCATTGCCCCAGTGGCAGGCCCCCTATGCCACTCTGTTCGTGATGCAGATATGCTGCTCCGTGTGGTATTTGATGCACCATCCGATGATATGGACGATACGGCCCTAGCTTTCCCTTGGATCGAGCCTACCAACTCCTTGCCACAGAGGCTCACCATCGGCATTCTTCCAGAAGATCCTCAGGCACCACTGCATCCCAACATGCAGCGAACTCTGGTGGAAGCCGCTAAAAAGCTGTCCAACGCTGGTCATTGTATAGTAGATTTATCGGACCAAATTTCGTTCGTAGGATCAGCCTCGGATTTGTCGTTCAAGTTCTTTCGCGTCGACCCGGATCAGACGCAGCTGCAACATATCCGCAATGGCGGCGAGCCACCTATCCCATCCCTTCAATTCACGTATGATCTGGAAGGGAAGGGGCCTGAGCCGACTCTTCGAGATTTTTTCGGCCTCAATGCAGTCAAAGCAGAGATCGCTGCCAAAATGCGCCGTGTTTACCTCGACAATAAGCTTGATTTAATCCTCGGTGCTGGATATCAGAGCACGGCTGTCCCTCATGACACGTATGGCGTTCCGATGTATACCGTCATTGCCAACCTGGTCGATGTATAAATCCCTTCCATGACCACGGGGAATCTTTTTGCTAACCATTACGCCTAGTACCCTGCCTGTGTCATTCCTTTTGGCCGGTCAAATGAGGCCGCCGACGCGGAGTTTGTCCGTACCGTGAACTATATCCCACCTTGTAAGGATTCGTCCCTTGTATGAACCGCCAAAACTCTATTCTAACTTGACTAGATTTTCCGAGGGAAGTCGAGAATGCACCAGGCCACGTGCAACTCATCGGCCGTCGCCAGAAAGATGAAGTGCTGATCCAGCATGCAAAGATTGTGGAAGCCATACTGGCTAAATGATTCTCTCATGACAGCAAATGATAACATATTGATTCAAAATAAGCCAAGCAAGATATGTAACCGCTGCAGGAGCATATTTTCGCTTTCTTTTATTTGGCAAGGCCCAGATGCGCTCCAACCGTTCCAGTAATTGTACAGCTTGTCCCCGTCGGCTACGTAGCCAAGAGGCGATTGTGCTTTCTATGATGTGATATTCGTCTTCGCTTATTGAGATAACTCCTAGAAGGAAGAGCTTGATTGTAATTCTCTAGCGTTGCATTGGCCGAAGGCCTTGGCCTTGTGTAAGTTGACGAGGATCAAAGTCCTGTGCATTTTTCCATGGAACAGGATATGAAAAGCAGCATTGCTCGCGCTTTCGTTAGCGACATTAAAGAATGGATTAATCGATACAAAGGAAACCTGCATGTTGTAAAAAATATTGGCAGAAGGAACAGCAGAGGTGCTTTCTCTTCTTTTCTATTTCACAAACCTCCAATACTATATAAAATGATCCTCATTTTTCGCACACGTTGTAGAGAAGGAAGACAGCTAAAATTAATTACCGCCTATTATGTCCGAAATCCTATGAAGGAAACCCGTCCTGACGCATGTCCCAGGGCAATTTTATTCGCTTTCATAGCCACACAAGACGGTCGAGCCTCAGGAGGAAGCCATAATACTTGTTTTTCATTCAGAAATAACCAGTCGCGCCGCGTCAGGAACATCTTTGAACTCGTTCTGGGTGAATTGGAGACATGATTGTCACTCATGGATTGAACATGAATGGACCTTAGCCTCATATTGTGTTCTGAATCATCTCGAGCGAATTCAAGTTCAGTGACTATTCCCTCTCTACTCAAGGTCTCCTGGAGGGCACCCGTCGTCGTGTCCCAGAGCAGCAAGGTGTGATCATAGAGGTTACCGGTGCCGGACGCTAGGAGCTGGCCATCGGGCGAGAAGGCCACCGACTCAACCAGGCTCGAATGGCCTTCGAGAGTTTGCTGTAGGGCACCCGTCGCCGTATCCCAGAGCAGCAATGTGTGATCGTGGAGGTTATTAGTGCCGGAAGCTAGGAGCTGGCCGTCGGGGGAGAAGGCCACCGACAGAACCAAGCTCGAATGGCACTCAAGAGTCTGCTGTAGGGCGCCCGTCGCCGTGTGCCAGAGCCTTACTGTCTCATCGTAAGAACTGGACGCCAGAAGCCGGCCGTCGGGCGAGAAGGCCACTGACCGAACCCATTCCGAATGGCCCTCGAGAATCTGTAGTAGAGCGCCCGTCACCGTGTCCCAGAGCCGCACCGTGTTATCCCTAGAGCCAGACGCTAATAGGCAGCCCTTGGGCGAGAAGACCACCGACTGAATCGACTTCAAATGGCCCTTAAGGGTCTGCTGTAGAGCGCCTGTCGCCGTGTCCCAGAGCCGCACTGTCTTGTCGACAGAGCCGGACGCCAGCAGCCTGCCGTGAGGCGAGAAGGCTACTGACCCAACCGAGTTCAAATGGCCTTTGAGGGTCTGCTGCAGCGCGCCTGTCGCCGTATCCCAGAGCCGTACTATGTGATCGTCGGAGTTAGATGCTAGTAGTCGGCTGTCAGGCGAGAAGGCTATCGACCGAACCGAGCTCGAATGGCCGTCGGGAGTCTGCTGTAGAGCGCCCGTTGCCAGGTCCCAGAGCCGCACAGTCTGGTCATGAGAGCCAGACGCCAGTAGCCGGCCATCAGGCGAGAATGCTACTGAGCAAACCTTGTCCGAATGGCCCTCGAAAGTCTGCTGCAAGGCGCCCGTTGCCGTGTCCCAAAGTCGCACAGTGTAATCGTCGGAGCTAGACACTAAGAGCCTGCCGTCAGGCGAGAAGGCCACCGACAGAACCCATTCCGAATGGCCCTCGAAAGTCTGCTGCAAGGCGCCCGTCGCCGTGTCCCAAAGTCGCACAGTGTAATCGTCGGAGCTAGACACTAAGAGCCTGCCGTCAGGCGAGAAGGCCACTGACCGAACCCATTCCGAATGGCCCTCGAGAATCTGTAGTAGAGCGCCCGTCACCGTGTCCCAGAGCCGCACCGTGTTATCCCCAGAGCCAGACGCTAATAGGCAGCCGTTGGGCGAGAAGACCACCGACGGAACCGACTTCAAATGGCCTTTAAGGGTCTGCTGTAGGGTGCCCGTCGCCGTGTCCCAGAGCCGTATTGTGTTATCGTGGGAGCCAGAGACTAGCATCCGACTATCAGGCGAGAAGGCTACTGACAGTACCGAGTCCGAATGGCCTTCGAGAGTTTGCTGTAGGATGCCCGTCGTCGAGTCCCAGAGTCGCACGCAGTGACCTGAGCCGGACGCCAGCAGCCGGCCATCGGGCGAGAAGGCCACGCACTCAACTACATGCAAATTGCCCCCTAGAGTCTGCAGTAGAGCGCCTGTTGCCGGGTCCCAGAGCCGCACAGTCTGATCATAAGAGCCAGACGCCAGCAGTCGGCCATCGGGCGAGAAGGCCACCGACGTAATCCAGAATGAGTGGCCCTCGAGAGCCTGTAATTCTGCACTCCATTTTTCGTTCGCTTGTGGCAATTGACATATCCAGCTGGGAAGGTCTGACTCAAACTCCGTACGAATTATTGCCGTTCGAGGCGCAAATACCAGCCCTGCGTAATAAATCTGTAGTGGTGCTTCGTCCGCTATCTGGCGATTTTTCATAACAAAGCGCTTTCCGTCGTATAAAAATTCTGATATTATAGAATTGGTGTCACCCTATATCTATTAGTATAAATCACGAATGACTTGACCATCTACTATTCTTACTTACTGGTATAATAGTGTGGAGGAGATCAAGCATACCCACCACCTCCGACATAAGACCCAGTAGACTCATCGCTTCCAACCAGTGCAGAAAATGCTTCTGAAGGAATATTCGCACATCTTCTATCTCGGAAGATAAATCATGACTTTGTTCGAAATGGTGTATCCAGTAGCGACAAGAGTATTGTAATGCTGGTGGTAGATGCTGGCGGATCAGTTGAGGGTCGATATCTGCCCTATACATTCCAGGGCTTGCTAAATTGCAAATATCTTTCTGTAGGTGACTGTGCATGGTTTCGAGGCACAACTTAGCGATATCGTTATGCTTTCTTGGCTCATCCACGTAAAACTTGGTCCTAGGCTGGACCAAAAAATCCCGGAACGATAGATGTAGAATCCTAACAGGCTGATCTTGGTCATCGGGAATGCTCAAAACCGATCGGAACGAATCTAATCGATTACTGATCTGGTCTACTCCTATTCTAAGGAATAGCGACAGCGAATTTATAGAAAGCGGAACAGCAAGAAGGACGATGACACCGACTATGTCCTGGAACTCGTGTAGAAGCTGCTGCTGCTCCGAATCGTCGCTCTCTTCATCGTCTAGTAGTCGTGTTAGGATTGGCAGGTACGTCTTGTCCATTCTTGAGACATATTTGGCTTGATCCGTGAGAAGATCTGCGAGGCGCGATTTCGGCTCCCATTTCGAATTTTCAATATAACGGCATATAGTGGCAGCCGAAATAAATAGTGGAACGGATATTGTGGCCAATTTTTGGATAGCATCATCGCTGGGCCAATCCTGGGAGATCTTTCTATCGTGTTTGATTTTCGCAAATCGGTCCTGTAGGAATAAATGTATGTCATGCTCTGTCACTTCTTTGGGTATCTCATGAAGAGCCAGGTCCTGATATTCATGTTCTGCGATCTTGGAAAAGCCAAGGCTGATTGGGAGTTCAGGCCTACTAGTCAAGAAGATCCGGAGGCGAACCGCTTTTGCCCTCTGCAGAAGAGGTAGTAACCGAATTATGTTCTGGACATCTTGACTATGTCCACATTCATCTAAAGCATCAATCACAATCACAGTAGTTTGAGGGGGTCGGCCGAGTTGATCAAGATTGAGCAGCGGTTGAAGGAGTAGTTTCTCAAACTGCTCCTTGAGCAATTTCGACCCAATGTCGGGATCATCTTGGAGGGCCTTCTGTACGCCAGATCTTAGTTCAGAGATCCTAAGCACTAGTTGCCTTATTAAAGTCGGGAAAAACTTCTTTGCGTTCCCTCGGTCGCCCTCACCCCTCTTAAAGAAGAAGCTAGCGCCAAGATGGTTGTTTTCTTTAAACGATCGTGCCACAGTCCGAGATATTGTGGATTTTCCAGTCCCAGCCATTCCCTTTAACCAGAACATGCTTTTTTGGGACGGCGACATAGCCCATTCCATTATTTGCTGAAGGAGCTCGGTCCTAGTGCCTTGGAGACATTCGACCTCGTCTCGATCGTTGAAGGACTCAAACTCTGCCTCCATCACGCCTTCCAACTTCCCAAGATCTATATTTTGATTAATACGATCGGTTTTCTGGACCACGCCAACTATCAGAGTACTATGGAGTCTTCTAGTCAATTATACAGAGTCATCTGATCGTGTTTCGACGTACCTCTGATCCACCTGTAAAGACAAGAGGAATGAAGATTTATATCTCTCGAGCTTCTCAATAGCGGCTTCCACCTCTACGCGCTTTAGAGGCCACTTTAAGGCTCGGAATCCCACTTTCCTCATCAGTTTCTTTTCCTTTCCTAGACCAAGTCTCACTTCTAAGGCTCGGAGGTCGGCGAGGCAATTGGTGGTATTATTGACTAGTCGTGAGGAGGTAGGTAGGGCCTTTCCGTTATTGCTCTGGAGCAGCTCATGTAGGTCTTGGAGTGTCCCTTGAAGGCCTTCAATCGTCCGTTGTAGGGTGAAATTTTCATCTCGTGCAGCTTTCACTTCCTGAATGTAGCCCCCACAGAGCTTCACGAGGCTTCCCGTCAATTGAATGACCGCGATAAGGCTCGCCGCCGAAGATAGAGCATCCATTTAGAGGAAGGCGGCATTAAAGCATGTATGTTCCAATGTGGGTAGGGGCGATGGCGACTGAAGTGTAAAATTTCGGCTTCGGGATCATAGGTTAAGCTTTTCTGGCGGGATAAAGAGGGGTAAGTTAGGCCCCGGGCGCGAGGTTAAGATCCAGAGTATACAGTATGTTAGTTAGGTGCGAATATCCATCCCCGAATTAGTTAACGAAAAGACCACTCTAAACATGCGATCGCAGTAGTTCACAAGAAGCGACGACGGTCGTATATTAAAGGTGAAATAACACGACTTAAAATCTATCGTGCTCAAGAAAACACGAACGGAAACTGTCTAGTGGGTACTGGTTAACGGCTCGACAGTCGGCCCGAATCGACTTAGACCGATGGCATCGCGCGTTGCCCTGCGCTCTTGGCCACAATATTTTCGGTTGACGGCGCGATAAAGACCATAATGGCGCCCCGACTTACATCGCCGCTTATGATACAACTTGGCAGCTATTCATCGCGCGCTTTTCCTTCCTCCCAGTCAGGAAACTGGAGCAGCGGTAGTTGATCCAGCTGCGGGTGATCCTGCAGAGACGGATAGGAGTCATCTTCTCGTGCATTGCCCATTGTAGCGATGCTTATATCGGAAGGCGTGGCAGTCATTCACCGAAGCCGCCAAGGGTAGAAGGAAACTCTTGCGTCTGACCCCATCAAGAAATGGTTCTTGGTATCTTCAAATTGTGTGAACATGCCATGACTTCAGAAACGGGCCAAAGACACTACTTTACATCTGCAATGTTTAAGGTGTTTAACCTCTCTGCAAGTCGCCGGGTCCTACTGTGATCTGGACCAAGGGCTTTTTAATAGCCTGACAGTGCTCGCTGGTACATCTCCTCTGCCTCCTTTCGCTTCCCCTGATCTTTGTAGAGATTCCCAAGGTTGTTGACTGTATCAAGAGTGAAAGTATGATCAGGACCGAGGGCCTTCTCGTAGCCTGCCAGTGCTCGCTGGTACATCTCCTCTGCCTCCTTCAGCTTCCCCTGATTAGAGTAGAGAAGACCAAGGTAGTTGACTGTATCGAGAGTGGACGTATGATCAGGACCGAGGGCCTTCTCCTTGCCTACCAGTGCTCGCTGGTACATCTCCTCTGCCTCCTTCAGCTTCCCCTGATTAGAGTAGAGAAGACCAAGGTTGTGGACTGTATTAAGAGTGGGTGCGTGTGTTTTGTGTTGTGGACCTAGGGCCTTCTCATACCCTACTAGTGCTCGCTGGTACATCTCCTCTGCCTCCTTCAGCTTCCCCTGATTAGAGTAGAGAAGACCAAGGTAGTTGACTGTATCGAGAGTGGACGTATGATCAGGACCGAGGGCCTTCTCCTTGCCTACCAGTGCTCGCTGGTACATCTCCTCTGCCTCCTTCAGCTTCCCCTGATTAGAGTAGAGAAGACCAAGGTTGTGGACTGTATTAAGAGTGGGTGCGTGTGTTTTGTGTTGTGGACCTAGGGCCTTCTCATACCTTACTAGTACTCGCTGGTACATCTCCTCTGCATTCTTTAGCTTCTCCTGCTTAGAGTAGAGAAGGCCAAGGTTGTTGAGTGTATTGAGAGTGGGTGTGTGTGTTTTGTGTTGTGGACCTAGGGCCTTCTCATACCCTACCAGTGCTCGCTGGTACATCTCCTCTGCCTCCTTCAGCTTCCCCTGTTTAGAGTAGAGAATTCCAAGGTTGTTAACTGTATCGAGAGTGGACGTATGATCAGGACCGAGTGCCTTCTCGTAGCCTACTAGTGCTCGCTGGTACATCTCCTCTGCCTCCTTCAGCTTCCCCTGTTTAGAGTAGAGATTCCCAAGGTTGTTGACAGTATTAAGAGTAGACGTATAATTGGGACCGAGGGCCTTCTCGTAGCCTACCAGTGCTCGCTGGTACATCTCCTCTGCCTCCTTTAGCTTCCCCTGATCAGAGTAGAGAAGACCAAGGTTGTTGACTGTATTGAGAGTGGACGTATGATCAGGACCGAAGGCCTTCTCGTAGCCTACCAGTGCTCGCTGGTACATCTCCTCTGCCTCTTTCAGCTTCCCCTGATCTCTATAAAGGTTTCCTAAACCATGGAATGCTCCCCATATCGCAATATTGCCGCCTGACCAATCTCCACGACGTACATAATTCGCGTGTGGAATAAGGCGTTGCTGAAGCTCGGAATAATTTCTGATACTTATACTGGGGACAGCGTACCCAACGGACACCAGTGCTAGTTCGGCGAGCTGGATTAAATCCACACTTTTGTCTCTGTTGGCAAGGTGAATGCACCAGTCTTGCACCACTGGGTGTATAGCATAGCCTCTGTCTTGTTCCTTTGTCTCAAGCAGAGAGAATCCGACGAGAATCTTGACACCAACTTTGAACGCGAGTTCGCTTGATATAGTGCTTTGGAGCCAAATTGGGAAATTTGAGCTATATTTGCTGCTTCTTATTAATTCATACCAGATATCTCGATTATCGAAGCGAGCAAGTAACAATAGCAGCGACGCTGCATTCGGGTCTCTCTTCTGGATCTCGTGATATGAGATCATCCAGGTTTGCAGCATGTTACCTTGTTGGTACTGGCGTTCAGGATTTGATTGCAGCTGTAGGTCGGACCAAGACTCTTGGTAATACTGCAAGTACTCAGTGATGCTAGTTCCAGTTTCACGCATAAAGGCCCCGGCGATGGCGATTGCTAATGGAAGTCCATCTAGACGATTAGCAAGCGCAAGGGTCTCTACTTATGTTAGTATCATCGAATACGGTCTGTATGTTAAAGGTCCTAGTACCTGGATTGCTAGCAAGCTCGCCAGCTGTACTTTTCGCCAATAGAGAGCTGCTTTGCAAGAGTAGCTGAATTGCATCCTTAGGGTTAAGTCTGTTGATCTGAAAAGACTTCCCTAGCTCTGTCAGCCTTTGGAGTCGAGAGGTAACGAGGATAGAACCATGATCGGCTGTGGGGAAGTATTTTTCAATGTCATATGCATCACCAGTAGCGCTTTTGACAGGTGAGTATTGATCGATGTTGTCAAAAATGATCAGCCAGCGTGAGTTCCCCTCTAATGCGAGCCAACGTAGTACATGCCTGGCTCGTTGCTCTACCTCCTCGTCATTGACCGCCTCAGTATTCGGTGACTGTCCTGGTAAACGGGCAAAGACAGAACTCAAAGATCGTAAGAGCGTGCCGCGATCCTTGCCACTCAGCCAAAAGATGGCAGTGAAATCTTGCTTGTGGTCTCGTGCGAAGCGAATCGCTAGCTGCGTCTTTCCTATCCCTCCAAGCCCATGAAGGACTGCAACTTTTCGTGATTGGGAACTTGTCGGCTGTAAATACTGCCATAACTTGTCTAGTTCGTCTTGCCGCCCCAAGAAATTTTCAATCACCGGCACAGCGATAAGATCTAATGGTACGTCAAAGCGGTGGACTATACAAAAGACCATTTAGCGATGAATTCGAGCAATTAGCAACAGTATGACCAAACAATCGTCTCCTTACCTGACTGCCGTCTAATGGTACGGATGGTATATTCCTATACTCTTTAGCAAAAAACAGGCTGGCCGGCAGCAAGTCACATACATGTATAACCGCGGCAAAAGAAGTCTCAGGCTTGTCTGCAAAAATCAGCTAAATGCTTTGATTTGCTATGCAAAGTCCTCCAGATACACACTCTGCTTGAGTCTCATGTTCTGAATGCAGTCCCGCAGGCGGAACTTCTGTGCCATATGCGTAAGGTAGCCCTCCGTCGCCGCCTCCATCAATCCCTTCTTCTTGTACTCCTCAAGCCCAATTTCCTGCAGCCCCTGCTCGACGTTAAACCGGAAGTACCGCTTTTCGTCGAAATGCCTTGCCCATCTCGCTATGAATCTCCTCTCCGTGTTCTCCGTCTCGGTTGAAATCTGAACTACGGTCTGCCCAAGGAACTTAACCATTTTGTCCTCGAACGGTTTCTTGCCTGGATTCCCCGTTCCGATCGAGATGAAGCACTTGACCAGAGGCTTTAGGTCTCCCGTCTCAGGGCACCATATGTTTGATGCCTCGCCCTCCACTTCATCCACTGGGTTATTTGCGCCTAGTGCACCATCGGCAAACGAGCGGTCTCCGATGCTAACGGGCTCAAAGAAGGTTGTGGCAGCAGATGTCGCGAGGGCGGCTTGGCATATCGTCGCGCGGATATTTGGCTCGTCAGGGAGACTATAGCTTCGTAGGCGGACGATGTCCTTTGTGTGGCGGTCGGCGGTGCAAACGAAACTAGCTATGTTAGACATATCACCTTGATTAGCAATGTACTTACGTTCTGCATCGGCATTCGGTGCCGTCATTAAATAGATCCCGCTTGGATACACCACTGTCCTCAACCACCTTTTGGATCGCGCTCTCCAGCTTCGCTGAGTCGAACTGGGCCGTGATATCACCTTTGAAGTTGATAGGGAATGACCTCAGCTTTTCGCGGAACACCGCTGCTGCAAGGTCGCTGTATGCTTCTATACACTTATCGACATCCATCTCGAGGCGGCCGAGCATGATCGCGATGAGACTTGCCGAAAATTAGCGCGCTGGATTAAAAATGACAAGCGCACTCACCCACCAGTGCTTGTGCCCCCGATAAGGTCGAACACTTCGCACGGCTTCACCGGGGGTAGCTTGATCTGCCCCCGCGCATGGTTTAGTCGGTCCATGATGCTCTTCAGGATGTATAGTGACGAGAGGCCTCGCACGCCGCCGCCATCCAGGGATAGCAGGCATAGGCCAGTAGTGTCAACTGGGTTCGGCTCGCCGTCATGCTTGAGTGTAGTATCTTGCTTCATGGTGGTTGTAGCATGCGGAGTTGTGCTCACTCACAACCTTGTTTCCTTCATTCGCAAGGTAATGATGCGATGAGCAGTGGGAGTGTCAACAGTGAGCCCTAGTAATATTACGATTGGAGGGTTGCCTTGTAATGACTAGCCTGTCAAACCATGGGGAACATGGGAGAAAGAAAGATATTGTGAATCGCTAGTCGTAGGATACCGCCCGAAGGCGGGGTTAAGGTGAGGCTGAACACCGGCCTCCGGGCTTCCTGTCAGAATTCACGTGTTGTACTTGTATTGTACCATAAAGGAAGCAGTGGGGGCCAGGAAAGAGTTTCTCAGTGTAGAGTGGTCAAGGCGATTTCGAGAAATACTGTATGAGAGTGAGTCATGGAGTCAAGAGGTATGTCCAAAAATCTTTAGCTTTCCAAACCATAATCTGTATCTAGTGCTTAAATACCATTCTACCAAGACCACCGAAAAAAAGACGACTTTTGTAAACAGTCTAATCATCCCTTCCACGCCCAACAGATATCTAATCGATACTCCACAGAAGAATAATGACATCTCCGAATATCAAATCCCAGCCTAAAGTCTGGACAAAGGGCCCATACCAAATTTCAACCGACACGTTCTTAATCCCTGTCGTAACATTAAACTCCTGGTTTGCAAGCGATGAATTATACTGGGCGAGACCAATGCCCGAGCCCGCCTTGCGCGAAACACTACAAAACTCCCTCTGCTTCGGCTTGTACCACGGCCCACGCCAAAGCCAAGCCGACGAAAAAGCGCGAGAGCCCAATACCAATGCCCCCGAATTCATCGGCTTCGCACGCTGCATCACAGATTCCACCACGTTCATCTACCTAACGGATGTCTTCATCCTGCCCTCTCACCAGGGGTCTGGACTCGGGACCTGGCTCGTGAAATGCGTGCAGGAGGTTATCGAGTCTATGCCGTATTTGAGGAGATCGTTGCTTTTTACAGGGGATTGGAAGCGGTCTGTGCCGTTTTATGAGAAGTTTATGGGGATGAAGGTTTTGGAGTGTCGACCTCCGGTTGATGGGCAAAAGGGCCAGGGTACGGCTGTTATGATGCGGAAGTGGAAAGGGGTTCCAGGCTTTGAGGGAGATACTTAGGTGTAGAATATTAGCCGTTAGGATTTGCTGAACAGGTTAGGTATTGTGGATAATTGATTTTAGGGATGCACACAAATGGAAAATTCGTATCTGTCATTTTGCCTCAGCCTATTATTCGTATTCAACTGACTATTTTGATGACTGTACTCGTATTCGATTTGTACTTAGTCGTAAATCCCGCCAAGGCTACTTTTGTTGTAGGCGCTTGGGGCGACTTGGAGGATCGATCTCAAAACGTCGCCCTTCAAGCGGCATATCTTTGGTTCCCTTGCTCTTCCGCACAACGAACGAGCCTTTGATGTCGCGGACGCTTGGTCTTGGTCTTCAGGTATGACCACGGTGAGGTATACGTCGCTGAATTTCATAAGTGATATCGCATTCTGAAACGACAAACGGAAACTAGAAGGTGATACAGCCCTCCATAACCTGTACAGCCGAACCCCTAAGCATCAAACGTTCAACACTAGTTCCTGAGCCATCCAAAGTGACATCTAACAATATATGGCTCTGACGTCCCATTTCGACGCCTTGTGTAATCTCAAATCTCCTGCTCCCGGATAAGTTTTCCTTTTCAGGATAGAGCAGGGAAAGATAAGCGACAAGGGCACAAGAGGCGGCGCCAGTGGCCGGATCCTCCGTCGAACCAAAGACGACTCTAGTCCTTAGCTTAATCGAGCCGTCAGAAGATTTCCCCATGCGAACGAAAAAAGCAAAAGCAGTAAATGTCCCATCAGGGTGCCATTCTGTATTCAATTGGCCGTCAACATTGACGTCTCGGAGGCTAGCACGGACCTCGCCCAGGATCTCCAGAGAGGGTAATTCGACCAGAATAAATGTCATTCCTTTTACCAAGGACACAAAGGGCGGTGGGTGTACCATATTCTGGGCGATTCCAGGTGCGAGACCATTTGATAATGCCTCATTGACGGTGAGCACCTTATCGTGGAGATGAAAGGTCTGTGGGACTTCAACGGAGCTCGTCCTCGACACTGGATCGTAGGTGAAAGGGATAGGGCCGGCTTTCGCTATAACCCTCCCGTGGATAGGGTCTTTGGAGGATTCCAACTGGCTGCGCGCTGCCTGGATTTGGGCGCCTAGGTAACACGTCGTCCCGATGGTTGGATGTCCAGCAAAAGGAATTTCCGCTGTTGTTAAAAAGATTCCGATTTTCCACTCGGGCAATTTGACGTCAGCTGCGTCTCCAACGCTAGCTAGTTCCTGGTCATTGTCCTGTAGAATGACCGTCTCCGAATAGTTGAATTCCCGAGCAATCTTTTGCTTGTCTTCCTGGGTTAGTGTCACTGATGCCGGAACCTTGACTATGGCAAGTGGATTGCCTTTGAATCTAGTTGTCGTGAATACATCAAAGGTAAGGTAGGCTAGCTTGCGAGGAGATGGTGAGGCCATTGTGTTTGGTTGTAGACACGCTTTGATAAGGAGAAAAAATGTAGCTGAAGGGCGATAATTTGCTTTCACATAAAAACGCAGAATATGTGTTCTGGATCCCGCGAGAGGAAAGTTTTGAAGACTCGGAAAAGGTGACTCAAAATACGAGGTCACTCGGAATACGAGGCCCGAGAGACAGTCAGACGATGGCCAAGTTAATTGCCAAGTTAGCCTCCATGGCACTATCAGAATGCAAATCCTCTTCTCTTGGCGACGTCTTTCCAGCGACAGGACACGGTTCCCCTCAATATGTTAGACCATAAAGAAAGGCTTCCAGACCCGCAAATTATCTCCCAGGAAGGCAGCCTTGATTCTACCCAAGGAACGAGTGGCATGCAGTTGTTGCACGGGCCGAGCTCTAGCATCGCCGCATCTAAGCGCATGTCATCCAAGCACGCGACGCACTGATACAAGTGTCGCCATCGCGAGCACCCGAAGTTCTACGCGCATTGAATACCCCTCAGCCTGACCTACCGTCGCCAAAGCAGCCTTGCCCCAGGTCAAGACGGGGCGAGAACATCGAGTTTATTTTGCTAGAACAGAGTTTGAATCAATATGCAGTTTCCATTATCATCTATGGAAGTGTAGGAAAATGGAGATGAGAGACACATGCGCGTCTCCCGATTGTTCAGGGCAATGTCTATCTCTCTATTCGCGCCTCTTGGCGTCCGCCGACAGACTCAACGTCTCAATCTTCACGCCCGCTTCGGCTTCCCCGCGACGCCATTCTGCGTCACCTTGATGGGAGCAACATGCGTAGTGTACAGACGACGCTCCACAAACTTAAGAGCCTCATCAATCAAACTAAATGCAGATTAGTATGACTGTTCATTTCATTTCACAGTGAAGGGAAGATGGATCTTACATCACAGGCGCACTAATCGCCAGCACGGCTTCCCATTCGATCACACCGAGAGGCAGGATCGAGAACAAGTTCTGGAGGAAGGGAATGTAGAGGATGGCGAAATGCAGGGCCATCGAGAGGGTGATGGCGTATACGAGCATCGGATTGTTGCCCAGGAAGAAAGTAAACAAGGACTCGCTGGAGGACAGGGCGTTCATGGCGTTCAGCATCTCGATCACCACCAGGATGGAGAGTGACACTGTGGATGCGGACTTGGCCATATCGTTGCTGAACATCTCACAGCCGATCTCGGGGAATTGCGAGGAGCACTTGTGGAAGTGCGACTAAACCGGGGTTAGTATGAGACTTTGGGAGTGACCAAGAGGAAGGAAAACGTACCAGCTGCCACATGGTAATCTGCGGGCCTTCGGGATTATACACGAACCACCACACGTAACCAAACACAGTGGCAACACCAACGTATGTACCAACGACCATATACCGGAACAGGAGCCAGCCACCGACAAGGGGCTCGTCGCGCCGACGTGGAGGGCGGCGCATCACATCGTGGTCAGGAGGGTTGAAGGATAGGGCCGTGGCCGGTAGACCGTCTGTAACCAAGTTCACCCACAAGAGTTGCACGGGGATCAGAGCCTCGGGCATGCCCAGGGCGGCGGTCAGGAAAATCGAGACGACCTCACCGATATTCGACGAGATCAGGTACCGGATGAACTGCTGAGTGTTGCTGTAGATAGAGCGACCTTCCTCAACGGCCACAGTGATGGTCGCAAAGTTGTCATCGGCCAGAACCATATCCGCCGCCAATTTGGCCACGTCCGTTCCCGTGCCCATGGCGACACCGATATCAGACTTCTTCAGGGCCGGGGCGTCGTTGACACCGTCACCGGTCATGGCGACGACGTGGTTCATGGATTGAAGGATATCCACCAGCTTAGACTTGTGGCTGGGCTCGGTACGGGAGAAGAGCGAAGCGGTCTGGACGGCTTTCATCTTCTCGGTCTCGCTGAGGCTGTCGAACTCGCGGCCTGTGAAGCTCTTGCCGGTGAGATCCTCGTCGGCACCGAACACGCCGATCTGGCGACAGATGGACTCCGCAGTGTTGGGATTATCACCTGTGATCACGATAACGCGAATGCCGGCAGCATGGCATTTCCTGATGGACTCGGCCACCTCGACACGAGGGGGGTCCAGCATGCCAACGAGACCAATGAGGGTCATGTTCTGCTCAAGCTTCTCATAGTCCTCGGACGAGGTAGCGTTCTTCAGAAGCGGGTTTCCGGAAACATTGTCGACACTCGCCATGGCCATCACGCGCAGTCCTCGGTTACCGTATTCGACAACTTCCTGGGAGAGCAGCTTCGCGTGACTTTTGGTCAGGGGGATGCGGGAACCGTTAGAGCCTTGCAGGATGTGAGAGCAGCGCTCCAGAATGGACTCGGGAGCACCCTTGACCAGTAGCTTCTGCTGCAAGCCCTCGCCCACGAGGACAGACATGCTCTTGCGATCGCGTGAGAATTCGTAGGTAGCCTTGAGTGGCAGACGGGACTCGTAGTGAGCGCTAGCCACGTGAAGTCTCTCCGACGCGGGGAGACGGAACAATTTCTGGTTCACGCCAACGTCGTTGGTACCAATCTTCTCGACCAAAGCGCGCAGAGCACCCTCAGTCGGCTCACCGATGCTGGAGAACACGCCGCTTTTAGCGTCGTGAGAGAGAGTTGCAGCGTTACAGCGCGCAATGACCTGCGCCAACTGATCCACTGTCGAGGACGACACAGCCAGGTTTTCCACAACTTTGCCGTCGCGCGAGAGCTTGCCTTCGGGAGCAAAAGTGGTGCCCTCGATGTCAATCTCCTCCAGACCACGACCGGACTCGGACAAGTAGACAATCTTCTCCACGCTCATCTGGTTCGTGGTCAAGGTGCCCGTCTTGTCGGAACAGATGACGCTGCAGCTACCCAGAGTTTCCACGGAGGGGAGAGACCGTACTACGGCATTCTTCTGGGCCATCTTGCGAGTTCCCAAAGCCAGGCACGAAGTGATCACCACGGCGAGACCTTCCGGAATGGCTGCCACGCCAAGAGAGACAGCGATCTTGAGGTAGTAGATCGCCCCCTTGGCCCAGCCACCGAACGCAGGGTCATTGAAGTGCTCGATGTTGATGAGCCATACCAGAATGCAGATAACTGTAATCACCTTGGCCAGCATGTCACCGAAGTCGTTCAGTTTCTGCTTCAGCGGAGTTGGCTCCGAGATCTGGGAGGTGATGCTCTCATGAATGTCACCAATCGCGGTCGACGCACCGGTCAGGGCGACCAGAGCGGTGGCGTGGCCATTGACGACAGTAGTGCCGGAGAAGAGCATGTTGATCTGGTCCTGCTTGACAGCCATTTTATCATTGACAACCCGGGTATCCTTGCTAACGCTTTCACTCTCGCCCGTCAGGATCGCCTGGTCGACACGGAAGCTGTTACTGTGGATGGCGAGCAGACGGCAGTCGGCAGGAACACGGTCACCCACGGCGATCTGGATCACGTCTCCGGGCACCAGATCCTCGGCCTTGACGCGTTTCGCTTTGCCATCCCGGACCACCTTTGCCTCGTTGGCCGAGTATTCCTGGAGCGCCGCAATGGCCTTCTCGGCGCTGCTTTCCTGCGTGACACCCACCACCGCATTGAGGATCAGGATGGTCAGGATCTTTGGTTGGAGTCAGTCATTGCCCGAATAGGTCATCTGTTTGTTTGCGACTTACTACAACGGGGTCCACGAAGGCGGTCCAGCCCTCGCCTTCTTCAAAGAGAGCCAACACGAATGACACAGCGGCAGATCCCAGGAGAATGAGGACCAGCTGGTCCTTAAATTGTTCCAGGATCAATTCCCACAACGGCGTCGGAGGTTCTTCCTCGATGGCTAGCGAGTGGGTTGGTTAGTGCTTGCCATCTTGGTTGGATGGAGAGGTGTACTCACCGTTGGGACCATGCCTCTTCCTGGAGCTCAGCACGGCGTCCTGGGACAATCCGGTGTGCTCCGCGACATTGAAGTGTTTCAGCGCTTCCGCGGGCGTATAAAGAAAAGCATTCTCCATGATTGTGGCAGCACCCAGAGGGGGGAAGACAGTCAATTGGGGATGTGCCGTGGAGGATGAGGAAGAAGGGAATGAAAAGAGAGAAATGAAGGGAACTAAAAGAGAGGCATGGGGTGGAGCCAAGGGCTTAGCAAGATGCGCCAGAAGCAGGAAGAAGCGTTGCGCGGATCGGGAAAGCAAGTGGAACGTGTTCTCATCCGCGGGTGAGTCAGCAGGGCTGGGCTCTACAACAAAGTATATCACCCGACCTTGATATGATTATGTGCTTGAATTGGATCGTCATGGCTACGAATCTGCGAACCCCTCGCGATGAGGGATTTGGAAAAAGGGGAGCATTAGGCTGCACCGTTGCCCGATGGATATCTGCACCACCCCCTGCTGAGGCACCCTTGCGAATGAAGAGATCCTGGTGGAGATCATAGGGCTGAGATCACTCGCAGAAAATATGAATCGATCTCGCGCTGATCGGTACCGGGAGACGAGTGGGTAGCGGAAGAAGATAGACAAGATGTATGTATGACGGCGATATATATTTCTGCAGAATATTTGGTCCGAAATCGACGGATTGCCCTTCCGATTCGACTACTAGAAATAAATCCTATAAGACGGACAGAACATCAAGTCGTTGATCGAGTTCGTCGATGATGATTCTGGGCATCTCTCGGTCTGGGCTGGGACTACATCATGGTCGTCTCGTTGATTGCTGGAAGGTTCGATCGCTTGCATCATCATCACCCTCAGACAATGCATTGTTCCTTAGGGACCTTTTCGGCCCATTCTCAGGGCCATTCCAAGGTACCAAACCTTCCCTAGTAGTTACTCCAATATCAACCTAAGTCCTCCTCGCTCAGAATCTATTTGAACTGCCTGGTGCCTGGCGATAGGACTTCCTTGGCATCGAGCGATGATGGCATTAGGGGCCCACCAAGTATTTTCAGCTGATCGTCCCGAGGAAGGGCGGGTGGAGGTGATGGGGGACACAAGAACACGGCGATCAGAGCCATCCATGGAGGTCACTAGCAGAGATTCAGTCTGCCGGAGTTGTGAATGATGATTTTCACACCACTCTGTCCATCGATCTAAATGTGGGATCCTTTCGCGTATTGTCACCGCCCAGCGAAATTGATTACCGACAGGCGGGGTTCTAACGTAATGCCCATACGGGTGTCTGCCCAAGTACCGGGGTACCTTGTGGCCTGATAGAGCCACCCGCATAAGGACAAGTACCCGGTACTTCCCAGGCGGCGTAATGTTATGATTCTTCCCAACTCCCTCACAACTCGCTCCCTCTCCCTCCCTCTTTCCCACCCCCACTTGGTCTTCTTCTGCACCATCCATCTCCTGCTTCTTTCTCTCTTTTTCCCCAACTCCAAATACCATCCCACTCCCAACCACCCCTCCATTAAACTCTCCTTAATCCGCTTTCATCATGGGTTCTGAGGTACGTCCACATTCGAGCCCCTCCACACGCTCTCTCTGAGCTGTCACCGCCATCGCAATCCACCCCCCTCTCTTCTTCCCTCCCGGCTTTCGTCGAGATCACCACCCCCATCAAACCCGGAGTACTTGCTGACAGACTTCTTAACCATGCAGCGTGAGAAGTAAGCACACGGTCGCCGGGATTATCTCCAAGTCGTCGACACTGACCCCCTCTGCAGCAAGACGTTCCTCGCGCGGCTCTGCGAACAGGCCGAGCGCTATGATGGTAAGACTTTCGAATATGTCGCTGCATGAGGCGCAAGTGCTGACCGCAGTTTTTTCTGGTGTTTAGAGATGGTCACGTACATGAAGGTCAGTGGTGTCGCTTTGTTTACTATCATTGCTAGCTGTCGAGACATCCATGCTAACGGCCGAACAGGAAGTCGCCAACGTATGTCATTATCCTTGCCGACCAAGATGGATCTGAGATTGACACTGTTGCTGTAGATCGGGGGCGAGCTTACCGTTGATGAGCGTAACCTGCTCTCTGTCGCGTACAAGAACGTGGTCGGCACCCGCCGTGCCTCGTGGCGCATCATCTCCTCCATCGAGCAGAAGGAGGAGTCCAAGGGCTCTGATGACCACATCGGCACTGTCCGTGACTACCGCCAGAAGATCGAGACTGAGCTGGAGAAGGTGTGCCAGGATGTCCTAGATGTCCTCGACGAAGCCCTCATCCCCAAGGCCGAGACTGGCGAGTCCAAGGTCTTCTACTACAAGATGTTGGTTGCGCCCTGCGTTTGTGTTGGTACGACATTCTAACTCCGATCACAGGAAGGGTGACTACCACCGCTACCTGGCCGAGTTCGCTTCGGGCAACAAGCGCAAGGTCGCTGCCACTGCCGCCCACGAGGCCTACAAGGTATGGATGCGATTATCCTCATTGACACACTTACTGACTCCCCCCATAGAACGCTACCGACGTTGCCCAGACTGATCTCACCCCGACGCACCCCATCCGCCTTGGTCTCGCGCTGAACTTCTCTGTCTTCTACTACGAGATCCTGAACTCTCCCGATCGCGCATGCCACCTGGCTAAACAGGCCTTTGATGACGCCATTGCGGAGCTGGATTCGCTGTCTGAGGAGAGCTACCGTGACAGCACCCTGATCATGCAGCTGCTGCGGGACAACCTGACCCTGTGGACCTCGTCGGACGGCAACGAGGGCGAGGGCGCTGGCTCCGCCGAGCCCAAGGCCGAGGAGCAGGAGGCTGCCCCCGCTGCCGAAGACAAGCCCGAAGAGCCCAAGGCCGAGGAGTCTTAAGCGGATGACGAGAGCCCGATACCAGATTGGTGGGGGAAGGCGTTCGCATTTCTTCCTGGATGTGGTTCTGCTAGTCGCTTTTTTGATTTCACCCGGTGGCTGAGTTGACCGGTACAAGATCGTTCTCTTTCCGAGAGACTGTGCGGGTCGGCCGGCGGAGTTTGATATTCGGTTGACGCGAGCGAAGAAAAGGGGCTGAGTGGAATTCCTCTCTCTTTGAATTGTCTCTATTCCCACTCCAGCACGTTTCAATGTGATTACTTAACAATTCCCCCAACCGGTGGCACTCGTAAAGTTCTTTGTAGTTGATGGACTGATGTCTGTGTCAAGTAGAGGGACCGCACCCATGAAGCCACGATCCATGAGCCTTCCCCATCTGAGCCAGAAGCCACCAGCATTATCATATTCTAGACTTCTTGCACGGCTTAGCTGGCACCTGCACTCCTCAGCAAGCAGTGGGTAGGCTTTTATGACTCGCGCAGGCTCGGAATCGTACCCTTCCCCCGTGTTGTCTTGATGAAGGGTCGACACAGGCCTTGCGTGGACGGAGCCACCACCACCATGCACTACGCCATGGATACCCGCCATACAGTCCAAGCACTAGGAGCCAATCAATACCTTCGGTCCTGGAGGGGCTTGGTCTACATGGCTGGCTCATATGACAGATCGAGTATTATCCATGGTGAAGACAGTATAGAATCGGCAAAGTTCTAACTACAGAACCAAGTCATTTTATTGCACGCAGCGGATATAACAGGCTCGCACAAACTTGTCGAATGCAGGGTTATAACGTGCCCAACCAGGTGTATGTCATGTTTGATTAAAGGTAAGTTGGTAACAAGATGATAATTGGGGAATGAATTGGTTCTTCTATATGTTATGTTATGATGGGGCTGTGTGGAGGGGACAAAAGAAGAAAAGCGATGTACATGATGGAACCGAGAAGACCAGCAACAAGAAAGAAAATGCGTGTATTTGCAACGGAGCAAAACAAAACAAATCACATAAAGTCATCATCGCCCAGGCCGTCATCGCCATCGTAGGCGTTGCTGTCGATGTGGTTCTCCCTGGTCGTGACGACAGAAACCTTCGTCTTGGCCGCCTTGCTCTTCTTGTTCCCCTTATCGGCCGCACGCTCCTCGCGCATCTTCTCATTGCTTGCCGTGGTGAGCGCACTAGCAATCTTCTTGATATCACCCGACGGCATCTCCTTCACCAGCTGCCGGACAAAGTCCTGCGCCCACAGACTGTAGTGCGGCTTCTTGGAGTGCGGCGTCAGCAGCGGGATAAGCGTCTCGCTCACCCTCGCAAACTGGTCCTTGGTGGTCGGCTTGAACAGCGGCATGGCACTCAGGTCAATCGAGTTGGTCGGATCCGCCGAGTCCGTCACGACCACGGCCTTGGGCCCGCCGCGTTTGCGGTTCAGATCGATGTCACCGATCAGATCCTGCGCGTGCTTGAGATCCGCGTCCTGCTCTGTTCGGCGCAGGCGCAGGCGCCGCTCGGCCTCGTCTTCGCTGATATCCAGGTCGTCTTCGTCGGCCTGTTTTCGCCGCTCCTCCCGGTGCTCTTCTATCCGCTGCGCCTTAGTCTTCTTGTTGGCTGCGGCCTTGGCTTTCGCGGCGGCTTCGGCCTCGGCAGCCTTCTTGGCTTTCTCGCGCTCGACTTCCGAGTCTTCAGCTGCGTCCCAGGAATCGAGGACCTTTTTGTGGTGGGGGTTACGATTAGCGTTGACTCAGAGAGAAGGAGGGAGGGTATGGTTTCTTACATCGTCATCCTCTTCATCGTCGAATCTGCGGCGCGCTGCGACGGGGACAGGGGAGCTATCGCTCTCGGAGGAGGAACTCTCTTCCTCGTCTGGGTCATGTCCAGTCAGTTGCGATGTCGACAGAGGGGTGGGATATAGAGTACATACCCCACTTTGAAGGCGGCATTTTGGCGGAAAGGAAAAAGGAAAAAAAAAGGATCAAAGAAAGACACACGGAGTGCAAGATCCGGGGAAATAGAGAGAAGGCCTCGCCAACAGCAATAGTAGGTAACCGTCCGACAAAGAAAAGGTCGGAGGGGCAAATTTTATGTGGGACAGGTGGGCTGTCACGTGCTTGGTGCCCGATCTATACTCGCTGCGCATTCATATTGAGAGAAATGTTTCATTCTGCTATTACATTCATAATCATCATCGCCATATTGAACCCCAATGGCATCTCTTTTGGGAAAGACAAAAGAAAAAACTAATCTGCAATGACCGCTTTACAGGTTGACCGCGGTGCGGAAGTTCTGGCCGGCGTACACAGCGTTGGAGCCGAGCTCCTCCTCAATACGGAGGATCTGGTTCAGCTTGGCCAGACGCTCGGAGCGGGCGGGGGCACCGGTCTTGATCTGGCCGGAGCGCAGGCCGACAGCGATGTCGGCAATGGTGACATCCTCGGTCTCACCGGAGCGGTGGGAGACCATGACACCCCAACCGTCGGCGTAGGAGTCCTTGGCGGCCTGGATGGATTCGGTCAAGGTACCGATCTGGTTAACCTTGAGCAGAAGAGCGTTGCAGGACTTAAGCTCAATGGCCTTCTTGATGCGCAGCGGGTTGGTGACCGTCAGGTCGTCACCGACGATCTGGAAGTCCGAGGTCTTGTAGAAGTAGCTCCAGGCCTCCCAGTCGTCCTCGGCGAAGGGGTCCTCAATGCTGACAATGGGGTACTTGGTGGCCAGCGACTTGTACAGGTCGGCCAGCTGCTCGTAAGTGAGCCACTTGGAGGGGTCGCTATCAGGATTCTTGAAGTCCAGGTCGTACTTCTTGGCGTCGACCTTGTAGAACTCGCTCGAGGCAACGTCCATGGCGATATGCATCTTGCCGGTGTAGCCGGTCTGCTCAATGGCATCGGTGATCAGGTCCAGGGCCTCCTCGGCGGTCTGGATATCGGGAGCAACACCACCCTCGTCGCCGACGTTGCCGGCAGACTGGCCGTACTTCTTCTTGGCGAGGGTCTTGAGCTTCTGGTAGACCTCGGAGCCCTGACGGAGAGCCTCGGAGAAGGAGGGAGCGGTGCTGTCCAATGCTGTTAGTTACTGAGAAGTGCAGATTTCTATGGGGAACTTACTCAGGCACAATCATGAACTCCTGGAAAGCCAGACGGCCACCGGCGTGGGAGCCACCGTTCAAGACGTTCTGGAAGGGGACGGGGAGGACGTAGGGCTTCTTGGTTCCGGCCAGGTCGGAGATATGGGCATACAGGGGCACACCCTTCTCAGCAGCAGCAGCCTTGGCAATGGCCAAGCTGACACCGAGGATGGCATTGGCACCCAGGTTGCCCTTGTTGGCGGAGCCGTCCAGGTTGTTGAGGAAAGCGTCAACCTTGGCCTGGTCCTTGACGTCGATGTTCTCCTTGATGAGGGCAGGGCCGATGGTCTCGTTGACGTTCTTCACAGCCTGAAGGACACCTAGAGCATTGTAAGCTCGGGTCCGAGTTCCTAGTATCAAGACGTCACTTACCCTTTCCACCCCAGTGGGTCTTGTCACCATCACGGAGCTCGACGGCCTCGTGCTGGCCTGTGATTTTTTTGTTAGCAGTCATTCACTTCCCATCTCTCTGAAGACAAAGAGGCACACACCAGTAGAAGCACCGGAGGGGACAATGGCGCGGTGGAGACCGGTCTCGGTGACAACATCCACCTCGACGGTGGGGTTGCCGCGCGAGTCGTAGACGGAACGAGCGTGGATCTTGGAGATAGGCATGTTGGGGGAGCGGTGGTGGTAAGCTGGAGGGGAGGGTACGAAAGATGGTCAGCTGGAGAGGAAAGAAAAAAAGTGGTGGGATGGACAGGTTATAAGGACGCCATGACTAAGGGGTGGGAGGGAGGTTCACCGAGGGCCCAAAAGAACAACAACAACGGGCAAAAGGGCGCCGGGGATCCGTCGCAAGACGAATGACACGAGGCAATGGGGCGAATCACGGGCTCAATTGAAACCGGGAATGACGAATGGGCAACACAGGGCACAACAGGTGAACCAACGGGGAAGGAATTGGTGGAGGGGCAGTGGAGGGGTAGTATACCTAGGTGGGTAGGATAGGTGGGTGACTTACTGATTGCTCGAGGGGATTCACAGAGACAGAAGATAGTGGAGGAGCAGACACTCTTAAATACTCTACCGTCACTGCATGCTCCGGTTCTTTCCAATGCGACGGTGGGGCCTTGATCCGACCGTCTGCGGCCTTCAGCTACGAGATCTCCCGTCCCTCGGGTGATGATGTAGGTAGTGAGGGTCAGTGAGGTTGTTAGGGGGAAAACAGGTTAGATTGAATGAAATATATTTAGTTCAGCCATACCCGACTCTGATATAGACTGACATTGTGTCGAGCTAGCTGCTCACTTTTTCTATTCAAGGTTGCATCATCCATCAGGACGAAAATGGCTGCGTAGTTCTGCCTGAGGCTTCGCAGCTCTGCCGTGCTGCCTGGTGACTAATCCACGTCCGTCAGATCACCTGACCGAGGCAGCTCACCCGGCGTGGAAGCTCCCAGCTGTTGTGGTCCCCCTTCGACATCACTTATCATCCTCTCTGAACCCATCTTCCTATTATCGTGTGCATTGATCCACACATCAATCACGATCATCGACGTAATCCACCCTCGCCGCCCTCCCTCGTGACAACCTCCGCTGTCATCCACCATGAGCGGCGCCAGCGATCCCGAGCGGGAGCAGGCGCTCGAGGACTACAAGAAGAACTTGCTGGAGCTACGAGAATGGGAAGCCAAGCTGAGGTCGCTACGGCTGGGTATCAAGGATCTGCAGCACGAGTTTGACGTCTCCGAAGAGAACATCAAGGCCCTACAGAGTGTCGGTCAAATCATCGGCGAGGTCTTGAAACAGTTGGACGAAGAGCGATGTATGTTTCCTCACTATCCACATGATGAAAAACCAGCTGACCCTTCCCAGTTATTGTCAAGGCCTCCTCCGGACCGCGGTATGTCGTCGGGTGCCGCTCCAAGGTCGACAAGGCCAAGATGAAGCAGGGCACCCGTGTCGCCCTGGACATGACGACCCTCACCATCATGCGAATGCTGCCCCGCGAAGTCGACCCCTTGGTGTACAATATGTCGCTGGAAGATCCGGGTCAAGTAAACTTTGGTGGAATCGGTGGCCTGAACGACCAGATCAGAGAACTCCGGGAGGTGATTGAACTGCCGCTGAAGAACCCAGAGCTGTTCCTTCGGGTGGGAATCAAGCCTCCAAAGGGTGTTCTACTCTACGGACCACCCGGGACAGGCAAGACGCTCCTGGCCCGAGCCGTGGCCAGCTCCCTGGACACCAACTTCCTGAAAGTGGTCTCCTCCGCGATTGTGGACAAGTACATTGGTGAGTCCGCTCGCCTGATTCGAGAAATGTTCGGGTACGCCAAGGAACATGAACCCTGCATCATCTTCATGGACGAGATTGACGCTATCGGTGGCCGACGATTTTCGGAGGGCACGTCGGCCGATCGAGAGATCCAGCGGACATTGATGGAGCTGCTGAATCAACTGGACGGATTCGACTACCTGGGCAAGACCAAGATTATCATGGCAACCAACCGACCCGATACGCTTGACCCGGCCCTGCTGCGTGCCGGTCGTCTGGACAGGAAGATCGAGATTCCTCTTCCCAATGAAGTTGGTCGCCTGGAGATTCTGAAGATCCACACAAGCGGCGTGCGAATGGAAGGGGAGATCGACTTTGAGAGCGTGGTGAAGATGACCGATGGGTTGAACGGTGCTGATCTGCGCAACGTGGTCACCGAAGCGTATGTTATCGAATCTACTCCGGAAGGACACCATCACTAACCCAGACGCAGAGGACTATTCGCCATCAAGGACTATCGCGATGAGATAACCGCCGACGATATGAATAAAGCCGCTCGCAAAGTGAACGAAAACAAGAAATTAGAGGGCAAGTTAGAGTACAATAAGCTCTGAGCTTCGCAAATCCAACGTTTCATCACGGGTGATCCGGTGTGGGGTGGAAGCTGATATATCAGAAGCTGTAATTGTACGCCTTGAGAAGTATAAGCATGTGTTATTGCATCTATCAGCATGAAATGCAGACGTAGCAGAATAAAGTAGACTGAGGCGTATTGTATGAATTATACATCTCATCCACCAGAATTGAAGTGTAGAAGTCGTGTTATTCGGAAGCAGATGGAGCTGTAGGTCCGTCCTCAGGTTGGTTAGTGATCGCCCTCAGTGTTTCCGCCTCCTGTTCTGCTACGGCCACGTCGCCGATACTTACTTTCCTCATCAGACCACGATTTTGCCCCGTCGCCCCCTTGGAACTCATGCTACATCATCTACCGCATGGCTTCGATAGCCGGTAATTTACGACAGATCAAAGATTGCGCGCCCGCATCTCCCTACCGTATGCCCGCCCAGGGGCCGCAGATCCCCGGAAACACTCTTACCAAACAAGACTGACGACATGCTTTCAGACCAGTAATCGCACGGAATCCTTCACCATTGCGCATCATTCTCCAGTAAGGGAATCTGCAATCCAACCGAGGCCCCCGGTCTGCGCAACCTTTGCCCCGTCCCGTGCGAGGGCGACACCTGGATAGCCATGTCATTCCAGGCACGGCAAACCGTTCGACCTCTCGACCCCCCTCCTCAATACCGCACGACAACCAACACCCTCGGTGGCTACGGGCTGTCCGCACCCCGGATGCCCCAAACCGTGACCAGCTATTTTGGGAACGACCGCGCTCTCCCCATGTACAAAGATAAGCCGTATTTTGCGCCGCGGCGCACGGTCCCGAGGCGGCGGTGGAGACTCCTGCTAAACGTGCTGGGCGTATGTACATTGATCTACCTGTGGTATTATAAGGGGGCTCTGCTATCGTGGAATACTACGGCACCTTATGAGGCCCAGGACAAAGGGTTAGAGCTTTGGAAGTGGATTCAGAGTCTGGACGACACCGGCGCATCCAAGGGGTCTGTGGATTGGGATGAAAGACGAGACAAGGTACGGGATGCGTTCGTTGTCAGCTGGGAGGACTACGAGAAAAATGGCTGGGGTAAGTAAGTTCATGTTTTTGGCGGACCAGTGCTGATGAGCGCCGCAAACAGGCTACGATGAGTATGGACCGATATCCAACAAGCGCCGAAACATGGTAGAAGGCGGGATGGGCTGGATCATTGTCGACGCGCTGGACACGATGATCCTCATGAACCTCACGAAACCGGTTCAGCATGCGCGGGAATGGATCCACACCTCGCTGCAATACAACCAGGACCACGACGTGAACACGTTCGAGACCACCATCCGCATGCTGGGCGGACTGTTATCCGCACACTATTTGTCAACCAAACACCCAGAACTGGCGCAAATCACCGATGACGACGTCGGCGCTCCAGGCGAAGACCTGTATATCGAGAAAGCCACTGACCTGGCTGATCGCATAATGAGCGCTTTTGATACCAACTCTGGGATTCCGTTGGCGAGTGTGAATCTTAACAAATCAGAAGGTATTCCCGCGCACAGCGGCGGTGGCGCCTCCTCGACTGCCGAGGCGACGACGGTGCAGCTCGAGTTCAAATATTTGGCCAAGTTGACCGGAGAGTCGGAATATTGGACCATTGTGGAGAAGGTGATGGAGGTCATGGATGAGCTGCAGCCGCAGGACGGTCTCGTTCCGATCTTCATCAGTCCCGAATCCGGAAAATTCAAGGGAAATGAAATTCGCCTGGGCAGTCGAGGAGACTCCTACTACGGTACGTCTCGCAAACACTCGTTCCAGAACGCTTCCCAACTGACTTTGCTTAGAATATCTCATCAAGCAGTATTTGCAAACCTCCGAGCAAGAACCAGTGTACAAGGAGATGTGGGATGAGTCTCTACGCGGGATCCGAAAACATCTGCTTACATTTACCCAAAAAGCCCGGCTGATGATGGTCGCCGAGCTGCCCTCGGGTATTGGAGGTAAACTCCATCCCAAGATGGACCACTTGGTCTGCTTCTTACCGGGAACCATCGCGCTCGGTGCCACGGGTGGCCAACCGCTGTCAGAAGCAAGAAAGTCATCAAGCTGGACCCAGCAGAACGAGGAAGAGGTTCTGATCTCCCGAGAGCTAATGAAGACCTGCTGGGCGACATATTTAGCCACGGCAACCGGGCTGGCGGGCGAGATTACGTATTTCCAGCTGGACAATGAGCCCGTGATGATGGCGGACAAATACCCCGACCCTCTTGCGTCGAGCAATGCTGGATCCACGCCCAAGGAACTGAAGAGCATCTCTGGTCCGTTGACGCGGTCCGACAGCGATCCCTGGCGCAGTGATTTGAGCATCCACACCGCAGACCGCCACAACCTCCAGCGGCCTGAAACAGTCGAGTCCCTCTTTTACATGTACCGCGTCACCGGCGATGAAATCTACCGCGAATGGGGATGGGAGATGTTCGTCGCATTCGTGCGCCACACCGCCGTGCTGGAGGAGGTGTATGACGAGGAGGGCCAGGCCCAGAAACGCATTAAGGGATTCACATCTTTATCCAACGCCGATACGATCCCTGCCGTCACGCGCGATAACATGGAGAGCTTCTGGATGGCTGAAAGCCTCAAGTATTTCTACCTACTGTTTTCGGACCGCGACTTTATTTCCCTTGAGGAGCATGTCTTCAACACCGAGGCCCACCCATTCCCGCGCTTCAAGCCTTCGGGTGATCTTAAGACGGGATGGACGCGGAAGCCTCGCTCTGATCCTAGTTCTGGGTCCAAGCCCGAGTCTCCGTAGAGTAGACGCCGGGATATTTTGCATTTAGGTGTTTTGGCTCTGCTTTTTTTGTTTTATTTTGATAGTCTATGGATGGAAGTGGACCCCGATACACTATCAATCATATTGAACTTGGCTTCTGGTGTGGTAATCTGTTCACTTTTGTATGCAATGCAATGCAAGAGTAACTAACAACTTGTACACATCCAATATCCTACCAGCCAGATTCCTCGCTCTTGGCATCCGATCTACCCATCGCAGCCGCAATCAACTTCTTATACCCCACAACAGCCTTGGTAATGTGATGCACAGAGAGAGCCTCGTTATCGCCATGGGCAACAAAGATACTCCCCGGTCCATACAGATACCGCTTCGTACCCTTCGCCACGCTCAGATTCGGCACATCAGTGCCATAGTTCACAGTGGTAACATCGAAGCCCTCGACATCCGTATCCAGATCCTGCGGCGGATACAATCCATGCGTGGAGAAATCCACAGTGACATTGGCATCAGTGTGCCGCGTAGCATCTGCAACCGCATTGGCGATGATCTTGCGCGCCTCGCCGGGTGTTCCCGCCGCAAGACGCACCGCGACATCTGCCACTGCATGAGCCGGGACGACGTTTGTAGCCACGCCCGCGCGAACGACACCGATGTTCAGCGTCGTGGGACCGTACTTTGGAGAAGAAGGAAGGCCGCCATGCTCAACGCCGATCTTCCCCAGCTGGTCGACCTTCATCAGCGCGGGAAGAATAGCAGAGACGGCACTGTGACCGAGCCATGGGTACCCGGAGTGCGCGGCCTGACCCTCGACAATAACCTTGAAGCCTAGCATACCCTTGTGTCCGGAGACCAGGGCGAGATTAGTAGGCTCGCCGAAGATGATGGTGTGGAAGCCGTCTTTGGATTGGTTGTTGAGGTCGGAATCGGAGAAGGTCTTCATGCCGCCGCCGCCGAGTTCTTCGTCCACGACAAACAACAGACCGAGCCTCGCGGAAGGATGTTGGGCGAGTGTTTCCAGTGTGGCGAAGACTTGGGCTGCGACGCTGGCTTTTGCGTCGACAGAGCCGCGGCCTCCCACGATCAGTTTCTCAGGGTCGATGGCAGAGGATGATGAGGTTTGGGGCTGTTGCACTGAGTAGGGGATGAATGGTGGGACGGTGTCGATATGGCTTGTTAGGAGGATGGAGGGTGGCGAGGTTAGGGAGGAAGGATAAGCGTAGATATTGTATCGGATTTTGGGGACAGCATCATCATCATCGTTGTTTTCCAGAGGAGCGACCTCTTGTTTAATGACGGTGAAATTGTGCGCCTCCAGGAACTGAGTCACGAAGATGCCGATGTCGTGCTCGTTGCCGGAGATGGATTCGATCTGGACGAGATCGCGGTGAAAGGATAGAAGAGGTGAGGCGTCGATAATATCATCCAGACTAGTTGGATCATGATTGACAACGATCTCGGGCTGCGACAGCGAGGGAGAGGTCCCGAGGTGCTGCTGTTGTTGATATGCGGGGTGCGGAGAAGCAGATGCCACGGCAATGGTGGCGGTCGCTGCCACTAGATACCGGGCGTATTTCATGGCTGCGGAATTGAAGCCAGAGATGTGGGTATCACTTGTTGTTGAACAGCCGAGAAGAGGACTCGGAGAGAGAGAAAGTGGTGGGAATAAGTAGTTCGTCGGACTTGTTTCCGCTGAGGGGGATCCGGTCACGTGCATATGCTCTGTATCACATTGGGAGATGCAAGGGCGGGCTGAGAGCGAATAGTTTGGTCTTGGCTATGATGAGGCAGTGGATGAGTGCCATTTAATATTGAGATTGTTGGAATTGGCGATACGACAATGTCGATAGTGAGGTTGTTGGTGGACATGCCCGTCGTTGACAGTGCGGAATATCGATTTCCGCTCTGGCAGATTTTCGAGAGGGGAAAGGGAGAGCAGGATATTCTTTTTTTCTTTCTCTCCTCAACAGTGCTTCATTCTTGGCCTCGCAATATGCAATACTGCCTGTAATTCAAACATTGACATGGATGAACCGAAGACAGAAGCTGCTCAAGCAATCGAGGTATCTGGTCGACAACCCGAAGATACTCCCAAAGCAAGTTTCCCTCACGGCGATGGTGCAATATTGCTGACTCGTGAGATAGAATTGGTCATGGCTCCGCAAGCACATTGTATTAATCCAGTGTTCCTCCTACGCGGTCGCCCCGGGCTTCACCAGCTCCATCTTGATTCCAGCAATCAACGAAGTGGCTCAACAATTTAAAGTCCCCGCTCAAACAGCAACCTATCTCGTGGCTGTCCATGTTCTTTTTCTGGGCATCTCTCCTTTCGTCTGGATCCCATGCATGAATACATATGGCCGCAGACCCGTTCTGATTGCGAGTCTCTCATTATCCTGCCTCGCGGCACTGGGTGGAGGCTTCGCAAAGAGTTATGGCGGTCTCATGGCTGCACGAGTCTTCCAGTCCTTTGGCGTATCGGCAGGGTTTGTGCTACCGGGAGTGATCGTGGTCGACCTATTCAAAACCGAAGAGCTAGGACGTAAAAATGGGGTCTGGGCACAGATGGTCGCTATAGGCGCTCCGCTAGGTGGTGTTATTGGCGGGCCTGTAGTTTACTATCTTGGGTGGCGATGGACGTTATGGATCACTTCCATCGCCAATGCTGTTCAGACCATAGGCTTCGTTCTGACATGTCCCGAGACTTCTGATTCCCACCGCAGAAATGGGGTTGGGACGCTCAAGATGCGACAATTTGTCGAGCCATTTCTTATACTACAATCGCCGCATATTGTCCTTGTTGCCTTTGCTTATGGGGTCACATTCGCCGTAACCTCAGTCGGACTCGCTTCCATCGTCCCTCTAGCATTTGAAGAGCGTTACGGACTGGGGACAATCGATCAAGGTCTAATCTTCCTCGGTCCTCTTATCGGCGTCTTGTTGGGCGAGCGGCTAGCCGGACCAGGAAGCGACTGGGTCATGAATCGTGAACGACGTCGTTGCTCAACTGCAGACTCTGAGCGTTTAGAGATTCGTCTCTGGATTGCCCTACCAGGCTTTCTGCTGGCCATACTGGGTGTTTTGATCTTCGGTCTCACATTACAATATAGCACACACTGGATTGCACCATGCATCGGATTTGCAATCTCTAACTTTGGATTGCAGCTTGTGACGACTCCAGTCAAGACATATTGCGTGGACTGCCTCAAGTCACACTCGGGGTCGGTGCTGCAGTTTATCAATACCGTCCGACAGATTATTGCCTTTACCGTGCCTTTCTGGAGTCCTAACCTGAATGCGAGACTTGACTATGGACTAGGCTTCGGGATTGAAGCAATCATTTTGGCTGTTTTCTCTTTGGGCTGTCTTGTGGTGCTCTGGAAAGGATTTGGCTGGAGGAAGGTTGTACACGTGAAGGGATTGGTGGATGTATAGTTCAGGTAGCTTTTGATACCAACAATGTTTGAGGTGAATGCCTCTAGTAACACGGATTTAAAAGCGAACTTGACATACGTAGCTGGAGGGCCTCATGTTTTCATTGGTCTGGAAATCGGAATGGCACTACATTGGTGTACAGGAGTTTTCGAATTCAGTTTTACCTCCGCAGTCTTACGACTTAATTTCTGGAAAATACATCCGAAATGTGCTAATCCCATTTCAGATCACCGCTCGATAATTTTGGGCGGAAAACTGTGATGGTAATAGCCGTACCCAAATCGATAAGTCATCGTCATAATACCGTAATGTCCCATAGAATTAGATAGAACCTCTGGGCAGTCCTGACGGTGTGCCAAGATCGCCCGCCTGCTTCCTCTCCCATTGAGCTGATAAGGACTTTCCAAGTGATTGATTTCAGAGATGAGCCAGTATGGCCGATGATATATCTCAATCTGTAGAGCATGAATCATGGGAACACAAGTCGGATCATGCCCTAAACCCTTTGCTACTGTGGCAGCCCCTACGCCATCTAATCTGCGATCTACAAGCCCCTCCTCATCTGGTGGCCTTAAAAATGGAATCGAGCCGACAAATAAGCTGACCCACATCCCCTCAGATTCCTTCAGCTTCTGACTCTCTTCGTATAGTAAGAATGGGTCTCAACTCCGACGGTAGAATGTTCAAGAACACCCATCCGGATACAGACTTCCAGGAAATCGGTATCACCCTCGATTCCTTTGTAGACCTCTTTTTGCTTCCATCTTTCCCCAGGCGTGGGGGCGGCGCTCGACCCCGAGGACTAGACTCACTTGAGGCCCGTACCTATACTCCCCACTGTAGATCTATCCTATCCCAACGCTAGTGCTTACATATTATCGTGCAGCCAACAGCGGCGCGTATCCACCTCCTAGGAATGGGCGTAAACTACATAACCGACCAGCCTCCCTTGTCCCAAGGCAGAATATCTTTCTACACAAATTTCATATCCATAACCCCAAATCCGATTACCAGCATGGTGTACACCCTTTATGAGGGCTTTGTTCTCCAGACAAAGCGGGCTTTAATCACACTTTCGAATATTCTCCACAAAGCCGAGGAGCAGCCCAACGCTTCCAGTCTTCCGTCCTGTCGACTTCACGATGACATGAAATCACTTAGTTATCAAGTATTCGCGGCAACCGCGCAAACATCGCTAGTTCTGGCTAAGCTAACAGCCGAATCATTGCCAACCGAAGACACGAGTAAGGATGTTGTCTACGCATATGCGGAAATGTACGCGCGTATCGACAAGGCGCTCCAGGCCCTCGACGTGGCAGACAAAGACTTCATCCTCGAACATTGCGAGGATGTCAGGCCTACGCCTCTGGGAGCGAATACACTTCCACTGTCTGGGACTACATACGCGTGCATTATGCAGGCTAATATCTTCTTTCATGTTACTACTGCCTATGGCATCTTGCGCAAGGAAGGCGTGCCCCTAGGCAAGGCGGATTATATTTTACCTTTTGTAACTTCCTAAGGCTCAACGTTAATCAAAAGGTTTGACTTGAACAAAGCGCATAGAATCACCAGTCCTCATCCTACGCGTTTGTAGAATCTGCGTACAGCTGTTGACACTCCGAATGACATCATGTAGTGCAGCCTCGGGGGCCTGATTGACCCTATCGCACGTCGCAGGAGGGGCACAGAGGTAGCGTGTGTATAGGAATTTCGTGTAAAATACAGGCATCGAAGTCTCGCGTCGTATTGTAAAATACGAAGTCTATCTAGGAAGTAGTCTAGGCACAGGGGGTGTTGACAATGATCGTGTCAGGACTCGTACATTTCGGATTTATTTTCGGGGACCTAACCGTAAAAGTGTGGAGGTAAAACTGAATTCAAAAACTACTGTACTGGACATACATGTGTGTGGAAGGCGTTCTGTCCTGTTATTTGCAGGCGCTTCGCCAGTTCCGGCCTTGGCTAAGTACCTCCGGAACAACGACGACGACATCTCCCACATACCTTAAGTATTCTAGACGCCAAAATACGTGCACGTTCTTTATTGCCACCAGGTCCTCGACTCCATGCCGCACTCCGGTCTGGACCAGCTCCTTCATCGACCACAGTCCGGACTCTGGCAGCAGTTCCCAGATCATCCTTGCGTCTTCCTCGTGCGACAGCTCTGGTCCTGATATCAAGCTATCTCAGCCAAACCACTCACAAGTCCTGTTTCTATCATCTGTATCTCTGATAGTCATAACAGCCAGCCCAAGCTTCCAGACGGAGATCTTCTCATCCATTCTGGTGATCTTACACAATCAGGCTCGTTGAAGGAACAAAATATCTGGGCCGGGTCGGTGCTAGATGGATTTTATGTGTTAATTTCGCATGATTCACCACGCATCCATCTTGACTTGCTGAGTCTGCCTGCGTGTATCTACTACGAGAGGTATGGCGAGGTCGAGCATGGCCACATGTCTTTGGACATGTTCATGAAAGCGCGAGTACAGAATGGCTTCTGTTTGATGGACTTCAAGACATAGTCTATCTATGATTTGGGGGTTTGCGGAATGAGGAACAGAGGCAACCCATCAAAGTCGTCATTTGATGTGTTGCAATGCAATTGGTTTATCAAATTCATAACTTGCAATGTCACGTTGGCCCGGCATAAAAGTGACTTTCACGTTATCTCCACCTTATACAACATAAGCACCACACAACTTTCGGCAGCACAAGCCCCGGTGGAACCAGACACGACGCCTCAGATTCTAATTCACAAACCCTATAAAAGCGACGAACTACACGCGATTGCATAGTTCCATGTGGGATGTACAACTTCAATCAAGTACATAACAGCGGGGAAAAATCTTGCAAGTTATCAAATCCCTGCGGTCGGAGGATATCTTCGAAGTCCCGTGTCACCGTTCATGCAGCAATGTTGATCAACAGAAGCTTCTTTGATCCTAGTCGGTCAGACTAGTACTTACCGCCCCAAATAAAAATGCCGAACAGGGAGGGCAACTAAGTGGGGGAAAGAGGAGGGGCCACAACTCGAGCAAAGATCTGCAATTAATCATTCTTCATGCACAATTATCCAGATTCGCGGCGGTACAAAAGGTGATCCTGGCGAAGCACTCGGCGCACGTTGAATAATCTTCCCGAGGCATGTTGTTCACTTATAAATCTATCTCTATGCCCCTCCCTCCTCCTCCGGCTCCAGTTTAACACTGTCTTTTTCCCCCATTGTTACTTTGTGTGGTTTATCTTAATTCATTCATTCATCAACACCTTCCCACCCGTCATGGCAACAACCAAGGAGCAACCCGGGAAACGGATTATGGCTAAGGTCGTCGATGATGCGGCCGCAGCAGACCCCGATAGGACGTTTGCGGTCATCCCGAAAGGACCAGAATTATCCGATGGATTGCAGACCATCACAATAAAGCAGGTGTCGAACGCAACGAACTTTTTTTGCAATTGGATCGAGAAGACGATTGGATTGCCGGCGCAGAACCGCGAGACGTTGGCTTACATGGCAGCCAACGACGTGCGTTATTGCTTTTTTCTACTCGCCTGTCAGAAACTAGGCTATCAGGTAAGAACTTTAGAAGATGGTTATCAGTAGAATGCTGATCAAAATACTAGGCTTTCTTCCCGTCTATGAGAAATTCGGATGAAGCCCACACCCACCTTTTGAAACTCATTGGAGTGACCAAGTTCTTCACTAGCGCAGAGCGTCACGGGCGTGTTCTCGAGATCCAAAGCTTTACCCCTGGCATCGAAGTCTTCGAGGTCCCCTCGTTGAAGGCCATGCTCGCCGAGGGCGACTTTGGCTCTTATCCATTCCCCAAGACGTTCGCCGAGGTCGAAGATGACACGGCATTGATCATCCATAGCTCTGGAACAACTGGTAAGTCTCACTTCTATGTAATTACAATAGTAATCAAACTCAACGTCTGTATAGGAATGCCTAAACCAGTGTCTCTCACGAATGGCTTCTTCGGTACGATGGATGCTATCCCTCGGATGGAATGGCCTGCAGGCCGTGAGCCCAGCGTTTTCTGGCAGGACGGTCAGAAGGATCTCGTCCTGAGCATTACACCGTTCTTCCATTTGATGGGGTTGATCAGTTTGATCTTCACTATCTTCCATAAGACACCGGCTTTGATTGGCCCCGAAAAACCACCATCTGTAGCATTTTTAACCGAGCTCATAAAATTGGGTAAACCTACAGCTGCGGTTCTTCCTCCCTCGGTACTAGAAGATCTCGTCAACTACGACGACGCGGTTGCTTCTATCAAAGAGATGCGTGCTATCTACTTTGGCGGTGCTCCGATTGCGTCGGAAACGGGAAAGCGGCTGCGCAAGTACACTAAGTTAGTGACTGTCATCGGATCTAGCGAAGCCGGCTGGATTCAAGCACTGGTGCCTGAAAATCCAGACGACTGGATCTACTTTGAATGGCATCCGCAATCCGGGGTTGTTATGGAACAAGTAGGCGAGGGCCTATACGAGATGGTGTTCAAGCGACAGGAGAACCGTAACCGGGACTTCCACGGTATCTTCCACACCTTCCCAACGGCAGATACATATCGAACGAAAGATCTCTTCACCCCACATCCGACGAACTCCGGTCTATGGAAATTCCACGGCCGTGGAGACGACGTGATTGTCCTAAGCAACGGCGAAAAGTTCAACCCGGTCACGATGGAGAAGATCATTGAAAGTCATCCACTGGTCTCGAGGGCTGTGGTCGTCGGCCAAGCTCGATTCCAGGCCGCTTTGCTGATCGAACCAAGCACGCCGGAGATGGATGCTAAGGTGCTTATTGACGAGATCTGGCCAACGGTGCAGTCGGCTAACCAGACAATTGCCCAACACGGCCGGGTGATGAAGAACCACATCGGAGTCGGTTCGAAGGATAAGCCGTTCAAGAGGACCCCGAAGGGTTCAACGCAGCGGCAAGCTACTGTGCGAGAGTACGAGAAGGAGATTGCTGCCATCTACGTTGCTGGCCTAGAGGCGGAATTGGAAGACCAACTCCCGGAGACCCTCGATCAGGCCACCGTTAGAGACTACATTCGCCAAACGATTGCCCGCGTGCTAGAACAGTCTGATGTTCCCGTAAATCAGAATCTCTATACAACTGCCGGACTCGACTCCCTCATGACCATCCAGATATCTAGGATGCTGCAGAAGGGCATTCAAATGCGCCGACCCGACGTGAAAGCAGAGCTTCTGACTCCTCAGACGATCTATGGCAACCCAACTGTGGAGCAGTTATCGCAGGTCGTTTGCGATATCCTCGCAGGCAAGGCAGGGCAAGGGCAGTCCACCATCAACCGAGAGGAGAAGATTCAGGGTCTAGTGGATAAGTACACGGCCGATCTCCCTATCCGCGACGAGAACTTCCCACAGAGTACAAATGCGCCCACCACCGTTATTCTCACCGGATCAACCGGCTCCCTGGGGACATACCTGCTCAATAGCCTTCTGGCCACCAAGTCCGTGAGGAAGATCTACTGCTTGAATCGGTCCGACGCGGCCCAGCGCCAGAAGAAGGGTCTCGAAGAGAAAGGCCTGCATATCGATGATGCTGGATGGAAGAAGCTGGAGTTCCTACAGGTATCATTTGGAGAGCCGCGGTTCGGTCTCGACGAAGCCAAATACCAAGAGCTCCTCGGATCCGTCGACACGATCATTCACAACGCCTGGAAAGTTGACTTCAACCAAACGGTCGAATCCTTCGAAGAGACTCATATTCGCGGCGTTCGGCGCTTCATCGACTTCAGCCTCCATAGCAACGCACATCTTCATTTTGTGTCTTCCATCAGTACCGTTGGAGCATGGAGCCCGGCCATGGGCCCGTCAGTACCAGAAGTACCGATGGAGGACTGCGCGGTGGCTCTCGCACAGGGATATGGCGAATCCAAGCATGTCGCTGAGCGCATCTGTCTAGAAGCTTCCCGGCGAAGCCGCGTGGCGACGACGATCTATCGCGTGGGACAGATCGCAGGGCCGACGTCCCCGAGCGGACAGTGGAATCCGCACGAATGGTTGCCCACGATCATCGCTACGTCGAAGGCGCTGGGACAGGTCCCCAATCGACTGGGAGCGATGGCCGTTGATTGGATCCCGGTGGTAAGAACCCTCAGTGTCTAATTTTATCTATCAAAATTATCCAAAGTCCCTCTCTGGTGGTCAATAACTAATCATTTTAGGATACGCTCGCCTCGATCATGACGGAGCTCGTCAACACACGTCATGCCAATCGATCCCTCGACCTTTGCTCCGCGTTCCATCTGATAAATCCGTCTACGGTGCCGTGGTCCTCGCTGATCCCAGCTATCCAGGAGAAATATAGCGGCGTGGAACCAGTCGACCTGGCGGAGTGGGTCGGCGAGCTCGAGACGATCGAGAAACCGACTGCGGCAGATGTAGCGCAGAAACCGGGCCTCAAGCTGCTGGATTTTTACAAGAGCCTGCTGAGCGAGAACTCGCTAGTCGTGGAGCTCGAGGTCAAGCGCACGCAAGAAGCCAGCGCCACTATGCGAACACTCGGGCCGATCTCCGCGCCGCTGATGTCGAATTGGTTGCAGCAGTGGCGGTTCTAGGCAAGAGTAGGGCAGACCTAGTTAGCTATCTATCTCTCGAGACCAACCGAGAATGAATCTTATGCGCCTTCCTGTTTGGGCCGTGCTTAGCTCATCCGGAAGTTTAGCCGGCGTCCCGATCTCGCTAGTCCTGTTCGGGTCAAGCTTCGGCGCCGTGCAGCAAGAACAGTTGATCGATCGGATGGATGGTGATGATGCACAGAGCTGAGAGAGAGTAGTAGATCCTCTTTCTCAGGACTATCCCAGACGGAGCAGATGAGGTTGGACTGGTCACGCGAGGTCTATCCTTCCCGTCGGGATGTACCATAGCCCTGGCCGCGGTGGTTCACTCGCCTCCACCGGCGTCCTCCAATCAGTCTACGCCCTTTGCTTCCTCCCCGAATCGCCGACCGCGTTGGATCCCAGGATCCAGACTAGCCATGTGGATGTGACGTTAGATAGCGAGACCCTGGTGCGTCATGGTCGACCAGAGATACACCACCCTCGTCGGGGTCCTCCGTGAAATACTAAATGTTGCCGAGAACTCTATTCCTGACAGAGCAGCCAGAACCCTTATCGGTGCAACCCTCACTAAAACCTCGGGCTGCACCACCCAGCCTCATCGGCAACAGACATCGGATCAATACAGGGGGTACGGAAGGTTCTGTACAGCGGACGGAAAGAAAGAAGCAGTAGAAGAATAATGATTGTTGAAGCTAGTGGATCCGCATCACATCATAAGCGTTCGGCTGCGGCTCCACGGACGTTCTAGATGCCGCCGATCGCACACACATCGATTTGGTTTGCGATGGCTGTATTGGGGATGATCGGGGGACACGATGCTGTGTTGCCGTTGCAATCCTCAGCGACAGTGCCGACCTACAGCACCCTGTAGACGGCGGCAGCCCGCAACTCAAGAATCGAAGCGAATGGAACGAATGGAAGGGATACGGAAAATGGCCACCCGTGGGTCTGCGTCGACGGTCAACCAACGGAACGGGCGGAGTCGAATTTTCTTTTTCGGGGCGCGATCGGAGTGGTTTCAAACAAAGGATTCGAGTCTGGGCTCTTGCTTTCTCTGTCTCCATCCTCCTCTTCGTCCTTCTTTCACCTGTCACACCCAACCAGCCCTCTGACTTCGTTTGTCCACCCCGTGTCTGCCCAAGCTAGCTGGTCGATGGCTGTTTGGTCCACGTCTCTCTCCTGCTCTGTCTCTTTCGCCATCCCATCACACCGCCACGTCTATTTCGCAACGGATAAACAACTGGCCATGCCTTTCTCATCTTGAGCACCCTGATTGCATTCCTTCCTTCCCTCCGGAAGACCTCCCCTTCTCTTCCAACCCGCTCGAGAGACATTCTCTGGCCATGTTGAAACAACTGTCTCACATCGATGGCGATTCGTCGTCTCCGACAATACCCCGCCTACCGCAGTCGCCGCTGACCGTCGACTCGTCTGCGCCTGCGTCGCCTGCTCTCTCCCTTTTCTCTGCCCCCGGCCATTTGCGCATCTCTAGTTCCGTCTCTTCACTCGTCTCCGGTCTGGGCAGCTCAATGGAGAGCCCCAGCCGGACCCAGTTGTCTGGGGTCAAGGAAGAGCCCTGGCCTCGTCAGTCGTCAGAGCTGGAAGACCAATATTTTGGTATGTATCAACCATTCAAGCATTTTGCATTCCGTACTAACAACTACTGCCGCGACAGAACATTTCGACCATAGCATGCCTATGGACGAGCCATGCTTCTATCCTATTGACACAACCGATAGCTACGATCTCAGTGACACGGGTGTGGACCTGTCTCACTCGCCGAAAAAGCGCTGCTCCGACTCCTCCATGAAGGGCGTGTCGCGCATCAGCTCGCACATCTCGACCATGTCCACGCGCTGGAAGTCCAAACACGCCTCGGGTAACATCGAAGACGGTTTTATCGAAGATCTCCAGTCGCACGCCAACTCTGCGGCCTCCTCCGCCCTCGCCAGCCCGCTCATGAGTCCCGTTAGCTTCGTGGGCCGGCTCGATTCGCAGATCCCGCCATCGCCCGCGCGGACGATCTTTGAGGAGCGCGTCAGTGATTCTGCCGTGCGACCGATCGATATCACGCGCGCCAATAGTTTCGGTGAGGACGATAATGACACCCTCCAGGCGACGACGCCACTTCTCCCGCCTTTCATGGGCGACGATCCCACCAGTGTCACTGCTTCCCGGGTGCAGTCGCCGCTCCAGTCCCCCTCCGTCGCAGATGTCAGCGAGTCCACTTCCTACAGTGTGACCTCCGATCCGCGTATCATGGGCGTCGCGGGCATCCCCTCGCCACCGCTGTCCTCAAAACCATCTGTCGCGTCATTCAGCCGGCCGCGAGCCAGCACCGTCCGGACAATCTCGGGCGAACCCACGCCCTTCATCATGTCCGACCCGAACGACGAATGGGCCAACAAATTGGGCCATGCCAACTTCACCATTCAACCGGAACCCTACGTACCCACCACCTGCGACATCGACACGTTCCAGCAGCTGCGTGCAGACTGGGATCTCGCCCGGTGTAACTTCGCAAAACATCTCGTCCGCACAGGGGAGCACTACGGCATGACGTCGAACATCTACAGGCTCACCGAGGAGAAATGGGAGTCCATCAGCCGCCAATGGAGAAATCAGCACGAAGAAATGCTGAGCATGCTCGGTTCGCTGGACGGCGTCGCCTTGACACTGACTCAGTCGAACATGCACCCGTGCGAGCAGGTCCGCATCCCTCGTCTGCACGACGACGACAAATTCCCCGAAATGGGCGACGAGGACATCGTCGGTCCAATGACCGTCGCGTCGCCGAACGAGGTCTCTTGTGGGGCTCTAAAGAAGCGGACTTTCTTCAAGTTCTTCCAGGGCCTGGTCTCCCGGCCATAAAATCTGTTCTCTCGTCTCGAAACACCAACACCCATCTTCAACGATATTAATGACAATAGACCGCCTTCCTTTTATTATTCAGCGCGGCGTTCCGATCCATACACCTCTTGATTTGCCTTTTCGGACACTTTTATTTGGCTTTTGGTTTTTGCCACGACACTAATGCCTACTGGTCCCTCATTTCTAATGACTCTTACGACTCACTCACGATTTCGTTGCCCGACTACTGCTCTCGGCGCCGGATCATGCCTTTCATTGGTCTTTCTCATCCTTCATGAGTCATTGTATTCTTCGTTTCTTTCTTTGTTGGTCTTGCCGCCCCAAGGCAGCAAGACTGTCCTCTCCTTTGTGCACGATACCCCGTACCATTTCTAGGTACTTCTATCATCTGTATTTCATAGACCAGACCTGCTATCTTCGTTCATGTTTCATTATTCAAGAGCAAAAAAAAAAAAAAATAAAAGAATTACTGATTTATCTACTGTCTGTCTGTATATATCTGGTTTATACCCGATGATGTGGATAATAATATAGCTGTTCTACAAAATATGCTCAGTTCATTCCTCTTCAAATATGGGATGTGCACAGAACTGTTAGTGAGATAACCCTCGCCTTCCATTTACGGTCATCGTCCAGGGCGGTGCTTAGTATATAGTAGATGAAGGAATGTATAGGAGTCGTGGTCCAAGTGTACAGTGAATGCATAGATCCTGCTGTAAATAATTGCATTCACTCAGACATGAGTAACAACTTGCTTGCCGCCGTTATAGTCATCAATATTGTTTGAACCAGATCCACAAATCTTCTCTCCTTCAAGGCGGCCAACACCAAGCTCGGCCCCGGAATATGGGATGTCAACAGGGCTGAAAGGGTTAAACCTGACTTCAAAGATGGCGTCAATTTCCTCAAGCGCGCGATCCTAGACAAGTCATGCCGTGTCAGCTTGAAACTTTTACAATTGTGGGCATAACCCGGGAAAAAGAAATCTCACCTTGGTCTCTGGGAGGAAGAAGAAGGTGAAGAAAAAGGCCAGTACTGAGATGCTGCCAAACACCCATCCAACCTGAAAGTGGATATTGTCGATGATGTATGGGATGACGAAGTTGGTCACAAAGGCCCACAGGACATTCCACGAAGTCCCCAAGGACTGTGTCTTCTCACGTATAGCGGCATTAGGAATCTCAGTGCCAAGTAGGTAGGGAATAGAGGCGCCTCCCAACTAGAGAAGAAAGAAAAGAAGCATATTAGGACTTTAATGCTTTTCTCTGTATGCTTCGGTTGAATACTCACATTGTAACTAATGTAGTAGAGCATAAATGCAGCCACAACGGTGTTACTCTCAGTAGACGACTTGTATGCCATCTCGCCGATACCGGCCAACAGAAACATAAATAAGCCCTGGAGGAAGAAGGTGATAAAGAGAGTTTTTCGACGACTATGGGGATATAGGTCAGTTGAAATGAGTTAAAGTACAACTATTCCTTTCGACTCACCCGAGCTTGTCGACCATGTACATGGCTGGAAGGACAGCGACGAAGCCAAGACAGCTGTTAATGACGGGGTAGATGAAGGCTTTGGCGGCGTATCCGTTTTGTTTATAGAATGTCGTTTGGTAGGTAGAGACGAAAGCTTGGCCAGTGGTCTGTGGTATTATATGAAGGTTAGACTATTGGTCATCCAGCGGAGCTTGAGCTTGACGCCACGGTAGCCATTCACCTGTTGGAAAAAGTAATAAACTATGACAAGCATCGTTCGACGAAAATTGTGGCCGCGCAGGACATCGAGCCAGGGGCCTTTGCGGACGTGTTCTTGAAGAGCCTCTTTGATAGCCTGGATCTCTGCTTCGCAAATACCTTCAGTGGCATCGGCTTTTGGTCTGATGCGGCGGAGGGCAACGATGGCTTCATCCTCACGGTCTTTGGAGAGGAGCCAGCGAGGGGAGTTAGGGATAAAGAATGTAAAGAATATAATGACTAGAAAATGCGAGCTTAGCTGTTTTTCCTCGATCAGGGGGCATAGTTTGGCAGGCATTGGGACGGTACTTACGGGCCGGAAAGATGAGCTGGATACCCGTGACAGTCCTCCATCCAACAGAATCTGTGCTTGTAGAGAAGCCTTTGTTAACGCCAGTGGCAAGCACATTCCCAGCATTCAGAAAGAGTTGCAGGGAAACCACGACGAGACCGCGGAAAGACGCCGGAACAATCTCTGCTTGATATGTGCTGAGATAGTAGATATGTCAGGTTTATCGTCTGAAAAAAGTAATATGAACTCACGTCACATCTACTTCAACAAGACCAACCGAGATATAGACAATGATTCGACCAATGACAAACTGTGCAAAACGCCCGGAGCCTTCGCCGGTGCCTGCAGCAGTTATCTCAACTACGGAGAAGGGGGTAAGCCAGCAACTACGGAGAGGGAGCCAAGGAACATACCGATAATGCCGATGAACGAAATGATGGAGAGACCGAAGAAAACCACACGGTGACCAAATCTCTCAATAGCTGGGCCGGCGATGAAACACCCGAGAAACTTTCCGATAAAAGCGAGCGACGAGATGAGCGATGTGTGGACAGAGTCGAGGGCATAGCTCCGAGTGCTGGGATCATACTCGCCAAACTGCTTTAGAAAGCCCTAGGTATAGCCATAAGTTTTAATAAATGGACAAGTACTCGGTGAAGGGAACTTCAAGCAAGCAAGAAGGACAAACTCACGGGATTGGCTAGGATGCCACCAAAACTGCCCGTGTCATAGCCAAACAGCATATCCCCCACGAGCAGACAGAAGCAGGAGAAGAGCAGCATAGGAGTAACCAAAGACCGCGACGCGGAACTCTTGTTGGCCATCGTGTCTCAGGGCCTCCAGGCGGTGGTCAAGTTATTTGGTGATGAGAGGAGTATGGCAACGTGACGATGAGAATCACGATGGGATGATGCAACATATTGAAGAAGATGCGCGCCTACCTTTGCGTTTATACTCCAATTGATTGATCATCTCATCCTCTCACGATATGTCGATTCTCGGAAATTGGGGCAAGATCATGTTCAAGGTTTGTGGGGAGGCGCTCCGAGCGAGATTTATTCGACCGCTCCGAGCGAGAGGCTCCACCATTCTAATCTGCGGACCAACCGATTTGTAGGATGACAGTATGCTCCAGGTCCGCGGTATAGCATCATCTCGCTCGGAATTGTTCATTGTGAATATATGATCAACGGGAACTCCATGAGAAGATAAAAACTTCCCCGCAATTCACAAAAAGGCGAGCCAGAAAGATCCAGTCACACATCCAAATCGACGGAGTGGTAAGTGCCTTCAAGTTCATTCGGTTACATGTTGACACTCACACACACTCAGATACCTGAATACTTAAATTCGACGACCCCATCAGAAGAAGTCGCAGCCATGAAGGTCCTCAGCGCACTTATTGTTCTCATTGACTTGGCTATTGCGGCCAGTAATGTCAATATCACGGATCATATCGCTATCACAGTGCCCAGCTCAGAGCCGCCTTTTGCCAAACTAGTGGATCCGGCCCTGGCATCCTTTTCGCTAGAGTTTCAATTCTGGCCCACTTATGCGGGAAATGCGACAGGCCAGCCAAATCATTATGTGAACCAACTGTTGAGCAACCTAGGCCAGAGAACGGGAAAAACGCCGGCGGTGCGTGTCGGGGGTGAGTCCATCAGTTCTACGGTACCATATCACATATCTGTCTCTAATTTCTAGCATATAACAGGTACGAGCGAAAATACTGCCTATGTTGATACTTCGTTTCAGTTATGGAACTCTAGCCAGCTGGAGGAAATCTACGGGCCTTTCATCAACCGTGCCAATACCACCATTGGTAGGGACTGGTATGTCCTTGCGGGCAATCTCCCTGCCGGGACTGAATTCACCTTTGGTCTTAACCTATACGACCAGTCTGAAGTTGCCAGCCAGGCAAAAATGCTGGCAGAGGCTTTCCAGGGCTCACGTGCTCATCTTACAAAGGACGTGACCCTCAAGTTTATCCAAGTCGGCAATGAGCCGAACTTCTACTTTCCTACCGCGGCGCAATATGTAGCACACTGGAAGCTTCTTGCTCAGGCGGCTCTACGGAACATAAAAATGGGCTATGAAGGCCTACCCACTTTCTGGATTGGGTCCGAGGTTCTCTCCGATGGAGGGTTTGACCTGACGGGGACGCTCGAAGCAGGTATCTTGGACAACCACGAGATTTCCCATGCCAATCATGTCCTTGATGAGCATCAGTACTCTGGTGAAATGAGCCTTGGCGCAATTCCTGGAGGCCCAGCCCCTGGGACCTTGATGAACAAATCGTCTATTCGAGGTAACCTCTCTACGGTTTATAATGGAATGCTGAATACGCAGAGCTACAAAAAAACATACTACTTGGTAATCAAGTGTCTCCCTTCTCGAAAAATACATGTGCTGTGTGGCTAATCTATGTAATGATCTATAGGGAGAAGCCAATACTTATGCTGTGTATGCACCCCTTCGTATCATCTACCAGGGCCATAGTTGACTGATATTCCTCTTGGATATATAGAGAAGCAATTTTTGGTCTATCTAACACGGGAGAATCAGCAATTTGGACCGTTGACTACATGCTCAAGGCCGCTTCGATAGGCGTCCAGAGAGTATATCTACACAGCACGCCTAACCGGCTTTTCTCCGTCTTCCAGCCCGGGTGGGGATTCACCAATGGCACTGGGATTGATCGCCCCCATATAATGCCAATGTATAACGGTCTCCTTGTCGTGGATGAGATGATTGGCAAGACAGGGAAGGCCAAAGTGGCTGAGATCGAGAACTCGAATGTCGCCATAGCGTCGTATGGTGTGTGGGAGAACGGCGAGCTGATCAGGGTAGCACTCATCAACTCCAATACTTTCGGGCAGCATGATACAACCAGACCTGCTTTGAATGTCACACTGAGCGGTGTGTTCATGGGAGGATGTACCACCATCAAGCGTCTGAACATTCCTTACACTACAGCCACCGAGGGCATGTGAGTTGATCCTATTTCCCCTGGTTCACTGGAGACAGAAGCTAAATACTCGTAAATTGGCTAGTTCATGGGCCGGCCAGTCATTTGAGACTGACAATGGTGCACCTTCTGGTAAAGTTGTTGAGGCAACACTCGAGGACACATCAATCACAATTGCGGCTTCCGAAGTTGTCATGCTTCAGTTCAACTCGCAACGCTGAAGTCAAGGAAGCGGACTGAGGTAAAAGGAATAGAGTGTAAAGCACAGCGTGGAGGCGTCCAGTATCCAGCGGCCCATACCCCATGAGCTCTTTCTATCCTTCTCTTGCTTAGATAGACAAATAAGTCTATTCGTTCCTTATGTCTCTCTCCATCTCAAGGGTCGTATGGTCAAATCTCGTCTGAGCACAAAGGTCGGTCTGGAACCTTTGCCGAGGCCCTCGCTCGGAAGTAAATAATGAATGATGATGGAGGGTTCCGAGCGAGTCTCCACTATCGCTTGGCTACTCCGAAATATGTAGCAGACCGGACATTTCAGAACATGCCACTTGGAAAGCTCGGTCATTTCATGTAGCAGATATTTCAAGTGTCGTGCGCCTGTCTTTCGCCCGAACCTTTTGAATAGCTGAACCACACCTTCTCTTCTTTTCATACAACCTCTACCATTTGAAAGTCCTCCGAGCAGCATGGGTAATATTCCCAGTGGGACGCGCAAGCGTCCTAATTTTCTCTTCATCCTCGCCGACGACCTGGCAAGTTCTCTTTTGTCTCCATACGCATACCAAGCTAACATATATTGTCTGTAGGGGTTCTCCGATGTGGGTTGTTATGGCTCCGAGATCCATACGCCCAACATTGATCGATTGGCTGGTGAGGGCATTCGAATGCTCAACCACCATGCCGCCGCGGCCTGTTCGCCCACGCGCGCAATGCTACTTAGCGGAACCGATGCGCATCTTGGTGGGTTGGGCGTGCTCATAGAATACAAACAAAATGAGAAGGGAGCAAAGCGCTGGGCAGGTAAAGCGGGATACGAAGGGTACCTGAACGACCATGTGGCAACATTGCCTGAGATCTTGGGGGACAATGGGTACTTTACCGCCATGTCTGGAAAGGTACATCTGCTGCCGTTCTCGCTCTTACTTTTCTACGTTCTGAGCACAGTGACTGACAAAAGCAGTGGCACCTAGGACTACGGGCCAGTCAAGGACCTTGGGAGCGTGGCTTTCAAAAGGCATTTGCCATGCTTCCAGGTTGTTGCAACCATTACGGTTGGGAACCAGTGCAGGAGCGCTTTCCGGTTGGTGGCTCGCCAATTCACGCTGAGAATGGGGCCAAAGTGGACATGTGGGTTCTTGCTGCAGAATGCGGGCGCTATATGTGCTAACGATGGATCCTGATAGTCAACCCAACAAGACAGAAGATCCCAAAGGCTTCTATTCAACGGACTACTACACCAACCAACTCATCCAGTACTTCGAGGAACGATCGGAGGATGACAGATCAAAGCCATTCTTTGGGTTCTTGCCGTATACCGCCCCCCATTGGCCCCTTCAATGCTCTAAAGAAAAGCGCGATAAGTAAGACTCATTTACATCTAGAGTCACTTTGCTATTGCGTTGACTAAATTCTGAATCCCAGGTACAAGGGAATGTACGACGATGGCCCATATGCCTTGCGGGAACGACGCCTGCACAAACTTGCTGAGATGGGCATAATCGACAGATCCGTCGTACCACATCAAGTCGAGACAACTACACAGGGTGTTGGAGAGTGGGACGAACTTACAACAGAAGAGAAGAAGTTGTCTAGTCGAGCGATGGAGGCATATGCGGGTATGTTGGAGACGATAGATGAGAACGTCGGCAAGGTGGTCGAATACTTGAAGAAGACTGGGGAATACGACAATACTTTGATCGTTTTCATGAGTGACAATGGGGCAGAGGGAGCTGCGTGAGTAATTTGAATCAATCCTCTTAGGGTTTTGCTGATATTGTGAACTTGGCATCTAGAATGGAAGCCGCTCGTGAGTTACAGCTAACAGGAGATTAATACTCGGACTAATCTTCATTTTGCAGCGGTCATGGGAAACAACATAATACGCGCCATTCACCAGTACTATGACAACTCGTACGAAAATATTGGCTCCTGGAACTCATTCACCTGGTACACTTCCTACAATACCGCTAACCAACTGCCCTCCAGACTAAAGCTAACGTTGCAACAATAGGCTCGGACCGCTTTGGGCCCAGGCGTCGACAGCGCCATCGAGACTGTTTAAATGTTTTCCCTCCCAAGGAGGCATCCTCGTTCCGTGCATCGTTAAACCACCTGCCGATACTTTCCATCCGTCTTATTCATTAGGTTCGTTCAGTCGTTCTTTCACAACTGTCATGGACTTCGTCCCTACATTTCTGGAGTTGGTTGGATTGCCTTTACCCCTTGCCTCCGCCAAAGGCACTACGACACGGAAAATGACCACATTCCGGGGGAAGGATGTTCATGCTATACGTGGCAAGTCATGGGTACCATTGTTCAGTCAAGGAAAGAAAGTCGAAGATGATGAGACGTGGTACATCCACTCTTCATCAGAGCCCATTGGCTGGGAACTTTTTGCTCGGGGCGCACTACGAAAGGGGAACTGGAAGATTGTTCATATCGAAAAAAGCCATGGGGGAGCTGGAGTGGGAGACGAAGGGTGGGAGCTATTTAACGTGGCTGATGATCCCGGAGAAACGAAAAACGTGGCTCAGGATATGCCACAGAAGCTGGAAGAGCTTCTAGCCTGCTGGGATGAGTATGTCGTTGAGTGTGGAGTTGTATGGGGAAAGGCAGCTATGGACCCAGGATTGGACGTCGGTGAGGCACCCGAGCTATGGGAGGATGAGGTGGAATTGCAAAAGTCCTGGATGGGTGCTCGGCAAGGAGAATGTCCGACCTTTTGTCGTTGAGATGGGATAATTAGAATAAGACTGATAACTGTTTAGAAGCTAGAATGATAGATATGTCGGAAGTGAGATTTCTGGTTTCCACTAGTAATACGGTTCTTCAATCGCCTTGGTAGGAGGCTTCGAGCTGTCTGAGTTGGAAACTGCGTAGCTCAATTACCTCCCTGTTTACACGACGAGGGCAGATTATTCATAATTCACGTGAGTAGAGGCTGGTGGTGGAGACATCAGAATAAGGCGCAATTCACGGTGGGCATGATACAACCTTTTCCGAGCGAGGGTTGTGCCGCGCCGAGCGAACTGCTTATTACGTACATCGACCCAAAGATCCCGCCTAGTAATGTGGGGCTTTTCTGTTTAAATCAATTGTGGTAATTACCTCAACTCGGTTCTCGGTTCGCTTCTTCCTCTTCGTTCCTCAGGTCGGGGAACCCTCATGATTCTGGAACCCCCGAAGATGCGCAGACAATCAATCCAGCACTACAAGAACCCCGCATTATGGCCAGGACGATGATCCACCGAACCCGGACGGGGTGTCGTACGTGCAGGTCTAGAAGGGTGAGATTGTTCTGGCGGCTTGACGTGGGGATCACAGTTTGACACATGATAGATTAAATGCGACGAGGAGAAACCTGTGTGTTCTCAATGTCATAGGGGGAAGAGAACCTGCGATTGGGCAGGGACAGACAATAAGCAAACAAGAATCACCAGAAGACCTAACTCAACTGCATGTGCCGCTTGTAGAGAGAAAAAGGTACCTCTATAGTGGTCACTTTGCAATTTGAGATCTCTAACCATCATCTGTTTTAGCTTAAATGTACTGGAGACGTGCGGGATGCTTGCGAGAAATGCAGGAACCTGGGTATAACTTGTGTGAGATCAAAGAACGCCGCTGAGTTAGCATCGCCTGGATACCCATCATTGCCTCTTCCGAGCGAAAGCACACCACAAGCTCCTTTCACGTCACCCTTGCCTATCAGCAGTTTTGAACGAGAGCGGCATCAGCATGTTACCGACCACAGTGATGAAGCGGGAGAGGCTTCGTCGCAGACACAACATGTGGAATCGGCGTCTCTGGGACAGCTGCCTAAGGGCAGAGAACTGGAAAAGTTGGTAAATTTGTATTTCTCGACTGTACATTGTGAGTATTTATTCCTACCTCATCGGTCTCTAAAGCAATCTAGCTGACATTATACAAGATTTTGGATATTTCGCCTTCATTCATCAACTACATTTCAATCGCTTGTTAGCCAAAGGCAAAGCACCGCGTGAACTGACCCTCATGATGATTGCGAGCGCAATGCGGTAAGTTGCATTCATAGCAAATTTCGTGTTAAACATCTCTGTTGACCATTAATATGTAGATTTGCCGCAGATCCTTCGCCGGAGAACCTTGCGAGAGCAGACGCATGGGCTGATGCAGCATTGGCCTCGGTATCTCGTATCTATCAAGGCTTTGGGGGTATCCAACTCATGGTATGTTTCTTGAGATACCTGCCCTATTTCACCTGCCATTCAACGGGCAATTAATGGATTGAGTAGACACTATTGCTAGCTCAGCATTACGATCTGAATCGAGGGAACTTCACGTCGGCCTGGCTTCTCGGAGCTAACTGCACGAGGTAAGGACTAAATTGCTACCTATAGAGCCTTGCCACTACTTGCTGAATGTTAATATCCCCAGAATGATGCAAATGATGTCCTTGCATGTATTCGACCGGACGTTTCCGGTGAAATTTCCTTCTAGTCTACGACTTTCGCCCCTTCTTACTGGCGAGGCCCTTCGCCGGGTGGCATGGAGCACTTTCTATGCCGACACAATGCTTGAAGCCGGCCGATACGGGTTCCACGTTGTGGACGAAAAGTCTTATCGTGTTCAACTTCCTTGTGATCAGACCAGCTTTCTAAGCAATCAGGCGATTGTGACAGAGCCACTATTCCACAACACTAACGTGACTGCAAATATCAACTCTGACGACTTTCAGCGAGCACCTCTTGATATGTCAGGATACCTTCTTCGGACTGCAGCAGTACGCCGTCGTGCTTTGCATTTTGCTTTTCGTGCCTCGCACCGGGAGCAGACAGTTGAAGAAATGATATCTGAGCTCGCTATAATTGAGGCTGACGTAGAAGAATTTGTCAGGGCCTTGCCAAAAACTTTTCAATTCAACACAGACAACATATTCATCCACCGCGATCAACTAATCACCTTTATTCTCTTGCATGTTCTTCGTCATAACCTTTTCATCATCATTGGAAGAGCTGCACTGCACATCTATCAGCGTGACCCAACTAAAGCCAATCTTATGACTCAAGTCCGAAGAAAAAGGATCTCGCATGCTCTCCCTATCGCTGCGGTAATCTCAGAGGGACTAAAGTCAGGCATTCCTTTTGATACACATATTGGGGTACAGGCATACGTTGCGCTAGAGAGTAAGAATCAATCGTCCCATGTATTTCGCAAGTGTGCTAATCTACAACACCACAGTCCTTCTTTTTGAGCCACGCCGTATGGTCCAGATAGACCGATCGATCGATATAATGGCACCAGAGATTATGGAGGCAATTCCCCACCTTCTGGCAGTGATTCGGGACCTGGGGGCTCGATCTGAACTTGTAAAGCAGCTGGTAAGTAGAGAATATCAATGGAAGTTCGGGCGCTTACAAAATCAAGCATATCGAGGCTGTCCACCGGCTCCTGCGATGTGATTGCATGCATCTTGTGAATCAAGTCGACTTTACTGTTTTCCACAGGTTTGTCAATCGCAATCTCTGATAATGTATGACTGGGCTGACATGATCTATAGTGAATATCGCCTGATCGGCCAGGACGTGGCGGAGTACGATTTCCGCGATTTTCGCTGGGCCAAACTAGAGCGGCTACGTCGAGGCGCGAAATTGACAACAAGTGGAAGTCGAGATGAAGCTCTGCTCGAGTATACAGTAGGCGGGGACGCGGCCGAAACGTCGACGGCCTCTTCACCACACCTGGACGCAATTGACATCAACAACACCTCATTGTGGCCTTCTAATGCACCATCACTTCACACTATGCCATCACATGCCCTGAATATGATAGCAGATCAGAGTGTGGATGGAAGTGAGGATTCTGCAGAGAAATATTGGGAAGTCCATCATCGTAGACAGGTCGATCAAGGATTTCCGCTAGATTGGCCTTGGCCCTGGCTGTTCGAAGAATCGAGTACCTCGGTGTATCAGACTGGTGACCCAGCCACCTTTTGGAGCCAGCTACAGTGACTTGGAGCTCTTCTGGTTATACTTGATGTTACCCAATATCCATTCCAGAATTATCATAACATCCTCCTTGCTTGCTGCGACGGGAAATGTAGAGGGTCTTCGTGAATGGAATGGTGGAACTGATTTCAATCAACCTTATCTCGGTTTATTCATATTCAAATACTTGCACCCCCCAGTTGGGCCCTTGGTCAGGTCCTCGAAGGGGCGGGTGTGGGAAATGTGTAATTGTAGGACCACCTACTTTCTCTAAATGATACAAATCAGGAGGACGTGACGTGGATATCTGCAACGCCATCGCGTTTCAGGCAACGGCGCAGCATAAGAAGATGCAGCCACGTACACCCACGTCGACATGTGTCGAGTCGGGTAATTCAACACAAGCACATGAGACACAGCCATAGGCTATATCCAGTATTGACTCCACACCTTTCGTGCATCCTCACTCCCTTGGAACTGGAACCGAACGGGGATAATATCCTCGAATCCCTCGTCGAGGGTTGGTTCCTTGAACCGGCTCGCAAAGCTTCCGAAAGCAATTCCCGGTACGGAGGTGCGGGATTCGGGATTCTAATGGTGTCAGTTTTTATAAAATAAAATAAATAAAAAGGGGAAAGGGAGACAAACTAGTTCCTTGTTCGCTGTTCGAACTGCATTGTTATGCCGGCACAGTTCAGGGGAGGAGATAAATTGCACGCAGCGGATAGGTACTTTTAGTTCCTTTGCTAGAGATGTCCAGTAGGCTCTTGTTTCAATGTCGGCGTTTGTGTTGTCTGTAGGAACACTTTGTTAGCTGAAAAGTAGGCGGGGAAGCGTGGAAAGAACATACCGACTGCGACGGACTTCTTTGCTTCGAGATGCTCTCGGGCAACCTTGAGGCATTTCGGACGCTGATTGCTTTTAGTCCTGTGAGCCTAAAAAGTCCTGGGGGCATACGCACGGTTCCCAGTTTATCCTGGTTGACACGCTCGTAGCCCAGTGGCTCCAAGTGGTTCCAGTAGAATGTGGATTTCCCTGCACCGGGACTGCCACAGAAGATGACGAGCTCAAGAGAATGTTTTCGAGAGAACGGTTTTGGTACTAGTTTGGCTGTCAATGGGATATTATTTGGTAGGAAAGAAGGGGCAATCAATCAGCCGTACCGGGTTGATCTGGACTCGACTTCGTGTATAACGACGGATCAAAGACTTCAGTCAACGGGTCCGGAGCTTGCTCAAGGAAGAACTCCTCTGGTGTCTTGAACGGTATCCCGATATTCGCAGCGAAACCACTAGGCAAGATTAGCATCAAGCCACAAACTTCTCGTAAACGATCCTACCGATCAGTAGAAGAGTGATCACCAGGTCGTCCAGCAGCATCACCAACAAACACAGACCCAGACAAATCCACACCCGCAACATCGAGATCATAATCGTCCAGGAGCTCACGCCACATGCCCATACGAGGCTTGCGGTACTCGTCATTCTCTGTAGCAGCGTAGACACTCAAGGGCAGTTCGAGTTGAGTCATGATAGCACTCGTTTTCTCCTTAAACGTCGCGAGACTCTTCGAGTCGCTGTGTCCGCTTTTCAGGTCCTTCTTGAGGCTGATCTTTTTCTGGTTTGAGACCACAACGACCTGGAATCTAGGACCGACAAACAAATCAGCGGGAGGATTGATAATAGGACAATGGTAAAATACCCCTCAGAGTAGAGTTCTTGTAGACGGCTCGGCACAGAGGCGTGCCACCATTTCCAATCTGTAGCCGATTTGGCGAATGTGTTCCCCGACTTTGTTGTGATGAGAGTCGAGTCCTGTATGCCCAACCAATCCGGTTAGCCTGTCCTTCAAGACAAAAGTAGGCCATGCTGACCAGATCGAACGCAGCGATCTTTCGCTGTCCTGCTGCCGGTGGTTGGGCAGTCTTGCCATCTGGTGTGTACTTGCCGATGGCCAAACTGTTACGAACGATGCGCCAGATTATGGGCTCAGGCTTCTTCTGTGAGGTTGGAGTGAAAAAAGAGGACATCGACTTCTCTAGACGTTTTGTTAGCTCCTATTAGCTGTCACGCTGCCTGCTCTGCTCACTGGTCACTGTCGATTCAACCTTGCGTCGCACTGGTGGAGGCGAGATCGCCCGGGTGGGGGAAGCGGCGCGCTTTACTCCCCCCTCGGCCATCTTGAGAGTTCGAGCGAGATGAATCGTGGTGGCGGGTGGTGTGAGGATTCCAGCTTAAACGGGCATGGGAGAGATGGTGTTGGTGGTGTGGAGAGAGAAAGGAGATTGAGGTGGGCGACGCGATGATAACGCGCGAGGAAGTCACGAAGTCACATGGTCTGCCCCCCAACTACTATAACCACTTTGGGAGTACAACAAAATCGTTAAGGTCGTTAATATTTTAGTTCTATCAGATGGAGTTCTCGTCTCCGGGTATATCACACATCATGCGTATAGCTGGTCTCTCTATTTGGCCCTCGTATCCAAGGACAGACGGTCCGCCTGCTCCAGACGCACGGCCGACTTAAGCTGCTCACGCAGCCCAAACAGATGCTGTGAGGCCGTCTTCATCGTCTCCTGGTTGCTGCCATCCTGGACCGTGATGGATGCCTGCAACACATAGCTGCCGCTCTTCTCCAGCGGGGCCATATCCTTGAATGCGGGCAACTGTCGCCGAGGCTCCCGATATTCCTGGTCAATCGTCGGGTAGTGCAGTACGCGGTGCAAGAAAATGACAATGTCATTGTGGATGAAAACATCGCCTTCCACGACGTATTCGGTGACAAAGCTGTGAACCACAAATGAGCTCATATGTCATACGATGGGTTGTGGATCATCAGACTCACCTGTAACCCCACGCATTCATCGGTGGTACGATGTCCCCCCGGGGCAGCGCCGCACTAGACATGACCCGCGCCGTGACGGCGGACCTCGTCCCGGCCTCGGGGATATCACGAAACTCCAGACGCCACGGCTGACGGGCATAGTCATATTGGTCTGCTGGGGGCGGATTGGCGTCATCGGTGGTGTCTGTCATGACCGTGTCGCCCGGGCCCGGCGGCGCAGCGCCGGCACCGCCAAAGTCCATCTCCGAGACGGGGCCGACCACCTGGGTGTAGAACATGCCCCCATTGAGCATCTTGTTCAGGCGCTGTAGCTCGGCCGATTGCAGATCCTGGCTGGCTCCGGTGCGCACCGTGACCAGGCCCGGTTTGCGGTAAGCCTTGAAGATCAACCTGCGCTCCAGGCAATGGCGAGGCTGCATGGCCGTCAGCCCGGCCAGCTGCTGGAGCAGCTCATGACGCTGGTGCACCGGGACCGAGGCGAACAGCAGCAGCTCGTGCATGGTTGTCTTCTGATTGTTCTTGAGGAACGGAACGGGCGGGCGAAGCCGGGACGGGTTGGTTAATCAGGGTCCAAGCTCCGCTGGGGTGGCGCGATCATCAAAGTTATCAGGTTGAATAATCAGGGCAATTGGGTAATCCGTTCCGAATGGTGGTGTCAAAATCCTCTAGGCGCAAGGGCCAGGAACAAGGGTTGGTTGTGTGGGCCCCCGCGGTTGCCCCCTGGAAGTTAGGCAGAGGGTGGTCCTCCCGAAAAGTGGGTTTGGTGTGAAAATGAGCGTGTTAAGTGCGTCCGACAGTATACTCCGACTGCGGGGAGGGAGACCAGGAAGATCCCAGTGGGACAAGGATTCGCAGGGCAAGATAAGAACTGAACGACATGCGGGGAGAAGGTTGTGTCGGGCGGCGCCGAGTTCCAATGACAACGAACCGTGACTAAGAACCATGGCGGACTCTCTCGGAATCTCCCAAAGCGGTAAGCACTGGCCTTATCGTTCTTCTTTCCTCCAACTCAACTCAACTCTTCTTCCTCTTCTTCTTTTTTCTTCTTCTCACACATTCTCTCACTCTCCCTTCATCCCACCCAACCCCATCAAACGCTCTTTCAATCCCAGCAATTGTCGCCAGTCCGGCTCTCACTCCTCCGTCCTCCACTCGGTCCGGATAGCTCCGACCGGCCCCCCCGTCGAAATTCGCACAACCCGCGGATTTGACCTCGACACAACCACCTTCCCACTTCCATCCACCTCCAACCTCGCACCCCGATCACAATGCGTGCTACTGTCGCTCTCCGCAACGCCGCCCGGACTCCTCTGATCCGGTTCGTGGGCAAGCGCTCCGTGCCTCGTAAGTAGCTCCAGCCAGCCGGCCCGGCCGATATCGCTCCCAACTAACACCGTGTAACAGAGGCCGTCGACCACTCTCCTCGCGTTCACCCGGCCTCTCCCACCGGTGCGCTCCCGGACTCGTTCGCTACCTACCGCGTCAAGGCCCAGCAGCACGGCCCGCTCGGCCGCGCCCAGTTCAGCGGCGCCATTGGCGGCCAGTCGGGCGCGTCCCTGGGTCCGGTCCGCCCACAGACGGGTGCGTTCTTCGATCGCACCGAGCTGCCCGCGCGCTTCAGCCGTCTTCCCTGGAGCGAGGCGGAGATTGAGGCCGTGGAGACCGGAGGAGCTAGCATGTTCGCCTAAAAAAAAGTTATGAATGCGCGTTACGGGGTACGATTACTTTTGATGATGGAAGTTGCGATCTGAACGAATGTCCCTGGACGCTGCTGCTGGTGCACGGCGATCCCTGGTAAGACTTGCAAGCGTGGAATTGGGTCCCAATGGCCTCGAGCGAGCGAGAGGCTGGGGGACACTGGAGAATCGCACCGGTAGGCGATTCTCCCGCATAGACAAGGACGCGGTTCCCTCCGGGCGGGGAGCGTCCTTGCGACTCTCCTTTGTATCTTTCTTTTCTTTTTGTACTTGGCGCTGGTGGTCTTGCTTTCTCTCTGGGTGTTTCAAACAAGCGTGCGAGTGTACGACCGGCTTTTTGTCGAAATGCGGGATACAGTTCTTTCTATACATAGATCGATTTTCTGGCTGGTCAGGACTGGGTTTGGATACATATTATACTACTCTATTCTCTACGACTTTCTCTAGCTCCCCCAGTCAGTACCTGCAGTAGTCCATTGGTAGTGTTCACCATGTGGATGGCCCGTGCCCAACCACTTGGCCTCTTCATCATCTCGCCCCAACCGTTGAACAGAGCATCTACCTCATGGATTCGTTCGCGGGCAACAGGTTGACCTTCCAGGAGACTGACGAGGCTGATACTGCTATCACCACTTTTATTTATTCGGAGCAGGATGATGGGATGTCGAAGCAGCCCACGGGCCGGGTGGATGTCATGGTGAGCCGCCATTCCCTTGATTTGATTCCAAGGAACTGTCATCGGCAATTGTGCATATTTGAATGTTTCTGTATCCAAACAATATTTTCCTTCTCTCTGAACTATTAGACATCCATCTCATAAATTGCATCCTGTCTCAAAATGATCATCTAATCGCGTCGCCAGGATTCATCCCCCACAGACACTACTTCATGGCTCGATCAGCCCCTGATCAAATCGCTCAGCGATGTCTTTCTTCCATCGGGGTATCCGCATAGTGTGAGCGAGGACTATCTCCCGTGAGTGTGCCCTACGACCCACCAGCTGTGCCTTTCACTCATACTCCAACTAGATATCAAATCTTCGTACGTTGTTAATAGCTCGCAACCAAACTTCGTCTCCCTAACAGAACCGAATCCAGGATTCGCTACAAGCATTCTGCAGCTCCATCGCAGGCCTCTTATCATCCAGAGCCGTGTTACAAGGTATACTCCCCCACTACCACCACACCCCCAAGATATCGAATTCAAGAGCAACCCCAGAATAACAAAATGAACAGGAGTCGGAGTCGGCAACGCGGACGCCTCGCCCACCTCCGCACTCCTCCTGCACATCCTCCAAGACTCCTCCGGCCGGGTAGCGACAATCTTATTCGCGCACCGGGTGGGCACAGCCCTGGAACCAGAATGCAAGATGTACCGACTTGCAGCCGATGTGTTTAACGACATCGCCATGATCCTAGACTGTCTGTCGCCCGGTGTACCCGCCGGATACATGCGTGTGACTGTTCTCAGCACGGCAGGTGTGTTGAGGGCGCTATGTGGTGTTGCGGGTGGGAGTTCGAAGGCGAGTCTCAGTGCGCATTTCGCCAAGTGGGGAAATTTGGCGGAGCTTAATGCCGTATGTATATCCTTTGGAGACTATGCGTCGAGAGGAGAGGGAGGATAGGCTAATTGATGGGTTTGTGCAGAAAGATTCGTCGCAGGAGACGGTTATTTCGCTGGTTGGGATGCTGGTATGTTTGAATCTCCCAATCACCAGTCATAAACACGTCTTTAATAAAGTCCGCAGGTCGGTTCTCTAGTCGTCTCTCATGTAACCAGACTGGGAACTACATGGGCAGCCCTCCTCTTCCTTCTCGGATTGCATCTGAGCATGAACTACGCAGCCGTGCGAGCCGTGCAGATGACCAGCCTGAACAGACAACGAGCCAACATCGTCTTCTCAACACTCCTCAGCTCAGACCCAGATCTGAGCATCGAAGCACTCCGCTCTGGTTCCAGTTCTAAGACTCAAGAAAAGAAAAAACGTGTCTCGAGGTCATCATCATCGAAAGCAACCCTCGAGAAATGGAGACTCCTCACGCCCGCCGAAGTAGCAAGTCAAGAACGCATCTTCCCTAAAGACGGAGCCCTCGAATGGATCTCCTACCAGCCAGACCAACAGCAATCGCCCATAAAACAGAACATAGGCAGCGCAGCCATCGGTGTCTCCTTACCCACATTCTTCAGGGATACCAATACCAGCACTACAAGCACGAAAGGGATTGTATCATCATCATCATTCAAAACTTCCCTCCCAATGGCCCAACTATCCACCCTCTTCGAAGAAGAAGCATACCTCTTCTTTCTGCGCCCATCATCATCTTCGTCTTCATCGAAGAAAGGGAAATGGCACGCCTCGATCCTACTGAAGAAGGGCTGTTCAAAGCAGGATCGGTTGAAAGCGTGGGCGCACGCATTGCTCGCTGTCTGGGTTCTGAATGGGAAGAAAGACGTGAGTGATCCGACTCAAATACTTGATGTTGTATCGCGCACTTTGGCGTTCATGTCGGAGCAGTCTCGCTTTGAGCGGTATGTAGCGGCTCTCGCTGCGGCTGGGTGGGATTTGGATATCGCGGCTTTGGAGACGAGAGGTGGGAGGCGGGTTTGCTTTTAGATCTCTGGTAGATTAGGCGATGGAGCTTCTACTAGGTCCTTGGGATTTATTTTCTATTACTGTGTATGGTAAATGATAGGAAGTATGTATATATGGGCTCTCAAGGTTGACAACGTTTGTTTGGTGTTGGGTATACTGGAAGGTATGATGAAAGGATCTGTGCAGTTGACACACCTATAAGAAAGGATTTACTGTTCAATCTACGTCGAGATCAAGTCAAAATGAAAGGGGTATCAAGTCTATTGATTCCAAAAAAAAAAAAGGAGGCCATGAGAGCCACTTATAAACAACAAAGAGCCCTGCGCTGCAGCACAGGAATAGCAGGAGGGAAGAGATTTTGAAGAGGTTAGAGAACCAAGCCCCAAAAAGATCAACGCCAAAAACAAAGTCTATATGATATGGACATGAAGGATGATGTTCAGTTGTTCCTGCGCCGAGGCGGCACAACATGCTGGGAAGAAAACAAAACGCCGGGATCAAATGCTTCGGTGAATGCATCGTGTCACTCGTACACCGCCAATAGAGAAACGCTCGATATCGAAAAGGCTAAGAATCCAGTCGTCTGGATGAGGGACACAATTTCGGGTCATAGGTGGATTTTCATGCAAAGAGATAGGTGAAGTGAGGTGAGGTGAGAGGTAAGGTGAAAAGTCGTAAGAATAGGTGGTGGTTTTGGTGTGGGTTGTTTTCACAGCTGGTCGTCCAGGCCCAAAATCTTGGGATCGCGGCTCACGCCACCGGATCGTTTCTTGAAACCCAGCTTCATGCCCATCTTCTTCCATGGGTTGTCCGTGCGGACCTTAGGGCTCGGCATGGACAGGTTGGGTTCGTTGGCTGGCGGGGTGGTTGGAGGAGTCATTGGAGTGATAGGCTCTTCGACCGTGGGACTAGACTGCGGACTGCTGGACTCATCGGTCAGGCTCGAGTCGGCGCTGGCGCTGGAGAAGGGACCCGAGGCGCGTTTCCCAATGGCGTGGTGGACGGCACTCAGGGACAGATTCGAGCGACCGGCATGATGGCCGTGGACCGGGGAGGAGAGATCCTTGGTCGATGACTGCGGCGATGTCCGCCGGGCCCGCGAGCGGACGCGCTTGACGGGGAGTTCGTCGAAGGATATGGTGGACAGGTTCACGTGGTCTTCTGGCCCTTGGGGCGGGTCGGACAACGGGCCCATGGACGGCGAGGCGGTCTGGCTGTTCAAGAAGGGGAGGAAGATCGACTCTTCCATCAGATCGTGGATGCGTTTGACGGCCGAGTCGAGGGTTTCGGGCGGTGGGGGCGAGGAGATGTTGATGTGACGCAGGAGGGCATCGCGGACCTCGCTCGACAGATTAATCTCTCGTGGGGCGCCGGGGAAGATGTATGCTGTGAGGAGGCGCTGCCAGAGCATCCGCAGTTGTTGGCCCTCGGGGCTGTTGGGGGCCAATACGACCTGGCCGCGTTGATCGAGAGCATTGTAGTAGGTTTCGCGGTACCGTTTGGCCTCGAGGGTGAATTCCAAGGTTTCGAGACAGTGGTTTTGTGAGAGGTAGGCCATGAACGCACCCAGGGTGTATGGTGGGGGAGCGGTGTTGGCCAGGACTTCTTTGAGGGTCGGACGCATGGGACAAAAGGCTCCCACCGAGACGGCCAGGCTGACCGGTCGGGAAGAGGAGTCCATGTCCTCGTCCGAGTCGCTGTCGGAGGAGGCAGGAGAGAGTTCCGGGGTGGTGATGGGTGTAGACCAGAGAAACCTCTTCCTCAGCATCGTAGAGGATCAACCAAGTGGTGTGTAGGGGAATGGTGGAAGAGGGTGGGTGAAGAGGGAGCGAGACGAGTCGTAGTGGTGATCCCCCCCCGTGAGAGCGGGAAGGGGCTTAATTAGTTCAGAAAATGGACTCCACTGATTCTGGAATCAGTGGATCGACAGGATGACGATACAGGCTGTAATGGGCGATCGACGAGCGGCAAGGGGGGAAGAGAATTCCTTCTGGAAGGGCCGTTACTTACCCGTAATCCCGTATTGTCCAATCAGGCCCAGTCGCCACTTGGTCTGGTCTCGGAATGGAGACCCACGGTTCCCACGAGTAAGAGACTCCCTTGCGTGATGATAGGGGAAAAAATCATCAGCACGTCATTTACGACGGGTTTGGATGTGTAACAATGATACGAATGATCGATAGATAGTACATAGTTGTGGGCGTGGGAATGCAACGCCCGGAGACGGAAGTAGTGTCCACTCCTTCTCTCCTTTTCTAGAATTCTAGAAGCATTCTGTGTCCAGCGCCACCTCCAGGGCACAACAGAAGGACAAAAAGAAAAAAAAACACTCTCTAGACGAAAAGGAATTCAATTCCTGCCCGGCAAATTTTCTCATCTTGCCACCCCACGAGATTGTTTGACAGGCTTCCATTGACCGAGCGCGGGAGGGCCAGTGGAGTCGGGCTGGTAAAGAGAAAAAAAACCCCACTGTGTGTCACCTGGTGATTTGTGCGGATTTGGGGGTCCACCGGCGCGCCCGGAGAGGCTGAACAGCCCCGGAGGATCGGTCGGGCGAGATCGATAAGACGAAAAGCGATTGGGGTGCGGAAGATGTAACGATCGATCTGGGCTGACCTCGACTGGTCGGAGACTGGCGTAGGTTGCAGAAACCCATGGGAAGAAGGGTCTTGGCGACTGTCAGTCTTATCTACTAACTTTCTGCAGCCATACTCGACAGACGACATACCACCTCCCTACACGACTACTCGGCAGGAATGGACTCATCCGGTCCAGACAAAGAAAATCTAGAAGTTGGCTCCAAGACTGATCCACAATTTTCCCGTGGCTAAGTAGCAAGGGCCTGCTGGATCCCCCACCTCGTGTCGATTCGTGCTTCGCCGTTGGGACTCATTTGGCGCCGAGGATTAGCACTAGAGTCGGTTCCTGGCAGACTGAAAGTACGGGGAAGCGTCGGCCTAGGGTCTCGCTCGGAGGGAAGTGCAGAATGAACGATGGTTTGAAGAATGGGAGAGGAGTCTAGACAACTCCGGCGTGGGGGGTGTATTCATACTGCTGCATATGCACTGCTATTCATGAATTTGGGCCCAGTAGCGTAGTAGTAGTATTGAACTTTGTTATTCTTAGATGGACTCTGTCTGTATCCTGGTCAAAGTCTCAGTTACCCCTGAGCGGTACATACAGAGCTCAGCGCCTGCAGATAGTATCTGCCCTGTGCCCGATCGGACCCGGGAAAAGAAAAGGAAAAACAGGAGGCCATTGCTCAGTTTAGTCGTTTGACCAAGCGATTAGGTCGGTCTCTCGCACACCATCAATAATAATCTACCCTATCTCGAACCAGACCAAACCCCACAAACTCATCAAACACAAACTTCACCCGGCCCGGCAGAAGCCGCAGTGAAGTCATTGACTCCACTTCCACAGTGAATCTTGATTTCCAATGGAGCAGCCGCTTTCTAGTTGCAGGCGTCTAGACTTGTTTCGGCGATCTTGGCGGTGGAAGAGGGGTGAGGCAGGGTCCCGGATTGGCTGCCTCGATGCCTAACTGTTTCCTTAGCGTATGGTATCACCAGCCAGTCTGCCCGCTGACTGGACTCCGCCGGCCGGCGCTAGTTAGGGGCTGTATCTCCCCCTGGTCGGCCGACGTGGTGGAAGAGATCTGCGTGCTAGAGAAGGTGGTGGGGGGCTTGTTGGGGGTTGTTCGGATGGTGCCATCTGTGCCGTGGTTTATTGTCGAAAGGCACGGAGGCCACCATGATTCGAGTGCGGTTTCATCTTGCGCTGGAGTGGAGTGGACCTTTCTACTCAGCTAGAGCACGGCGCTTAGAGCTATTGGTTTCAGATACTACTACATACGAGTCCTTGCTGCGTTTCTCTTCGATAATTAATGCATCACACTGCCTTATACTGTATTCCCTAAACATAGTGACATGAGACCAACCCCAGTCCGGCCGGGGTACCCATGCCGGGACGCCAATTGACCACATGTACCCCCAGCTTTGCAAACGAACTAGCCCAGAGCGGGGAAATGCCGTCCTGACTGGCGAGCACGCGACGCGCTGAGTGATATGCACTTTCGTCACAGCAATAACTGGGCTGGGCTAAACGCAAACGGGTATTAGAGTCCGGGGATGAGCAGGCCCGGATGTGGTGGCACAGACTGGAGATCAAGACGGGTGAATATTCTTAGGTAAAGGCTAGTAAAAGAATGTCCTCATATGCTGCGGCCTAATAATTGCACAGTATGGTATGGTAGTGAACTCGATAACTCATGATTGGATGGTTGATTAACACGCATAGTACACCGTCTCGGCGGTAGCCCCATATCCAGCAAGTACCTGTACTGTTGGATAGAAACATTAGGGTCCAATATAACCATGGTTTATCCATGTACGACCAAAGACAGACAAAGAGGCGAGTTGATCATCTCCGTGCATGGCCCCCTCCCCACCATCCCTCTCGATCCCTGCATGCCATGGCCGTTGGTCCGCGCCCGGGATTGGCTCGGGTGCTGCGAATTGCCTTCGAGGATAGACACAAACTTTTTTTTCCTTTCTTCAGTATGTATGATCCTAGGAGGGTAGATACCACTGGTGTCCCCAAAAATGCGTCATGTTATGTCGGCTGGAATACGGTGTGGCGACAAGCATGCCACAAAGGGTCTACATTCCAATGCTGAAGTTTGTTTGGATCGCTTATGCGAGGCTATTCAAGGTCAGGCAGGGGTTGAGCAGACTCTGTCACTGCATTGCCGGTGTGCAGCTGGTGTCAACACATTCTTGGGGATGTGATGGAAGATGGTTCTCTTTCGCTGTTCGTAGTGGGGAGATCTCGACTGTAGAGATATATATCGTGGATATATTGAATATGGATTCCAGAGATAAGGACTTTCGGAAAGAGCCAACAAAGAGAAAAATATTTCATAGTGTGAGTCGTGTTGTAGACAATATATAGATCACTGTTGCCTCCACACCGTCGACTCTATGACAAGGACATCCACAAAAGGGAACATGAGTTGCTGCTGTAGTCTCTTTCTCATCCATATGCCTGCAATTGTCTTACTTGACTATTCCAGCCAGTAGTGCAAACGCCATCAGCTCATTACCCTTCATTCTACTCTTACTCGTTACCCTACTAAGCACTCACGAAACTCGACAACTTTCTGCCAGCATACGAGCTCTTGAACACTTTATACAGGCCGTACGAAAAGACCCACGAGAGAACCAGCAGAGAAAAGAAAAGGAGGAATGCTATCTTATGCGACACACTAACAAACACACAACCCGCTTCTGACAAAGAGGAGCAAGGCACAAAAACAGAGACAATTATAAACACGGGCAAATAGATCCAATGGGTTGGAAACAGCAACACACACACGGGGACAGGGATAAGGGGAATCGAGGAACCGGGAGAATATATGCAAACATGACGGTCTCAGTGCGGCGCAGCAGTAGACTGAACTGTCCTTGCCACACCGAGACAGATGAGGTGATGGCTAGAGGGGAAGGTCATGAGGAGAAGCCCGGGAAATCCAACAATGCAAAAAACATTAGGTCTATTCGCTCTGCCGATAAACAGAGCGAACAGCACACAGACAGCTTAATCCAAAACTTGTCTGTCTCGACAAACAAACGCTTGACTGGACCGGCGAGATCAAACCACAAGAGAATGTCTGGATTTGACTCGACACCACCTGCTCGTCGCGCGAGTGAGATTCGTCTTCAACCCTCTATTAGAAAAAGAAAGCACCAGTGGACTCCAAATTTCCCGAGCTGACAAAACAAGCAGGATGTGTTCAATGGACGTTGACGGAGCATCATCCACCGAGGACGCGATAAACTCGCAGAGGATGAGTTTTTGGTATTAAACAGTGCAATCGTCGAGTCATAGGCGACACCACAGAGCGAAGTGAAATGGAGAAAAAGAAAAAAGACAAGACAAGAGATCTCTCAAGTCCGTCGCTCCGAAGCCGTAGCACCATGAAAGAGTGATGAGACGTAACATCAATGAGAGGAAAAAAGGGGGGTTCCTACCCACCATCGCTTGGTGGGTGGGAAGGGTCGAATGGGCGGAAGAAAGATACAAGGGGGTTGTTGGGACCAGAGGTAGTGTATGGTGAATGCACTACCTACCAAGGCGCCCATGCGTAAAGAAACGAGGGGATTCCCATGTCGACATTCGGCCGTATTTTCGCCATCAAGGGCAGAAGAACAAGTGCGCCGTCACTTTATCTGCCTCGAGTTCAACCTGGATCCCGAGAGTGAGCAGGCAAGCAGATGAGAATCACATTCGGAAAATCACCTACCGCAGCACAGAGCCTTCATCACCTTCTGGATGAATGTAGGTTGCGAGTCCTCGTTCCCTTGAGTGCCGGCAGCTTGATTGCCCACCCCCTGGTTGGCTGGGCTGTTTAGGCGCCCTGGAAGGTGAGCATTTGAGTTCTGAAAGTGTGCCTGCGTTGATGTGGCCGGGGTTGATGGCTCCATGTTCCCACTCCCGCGTTGCTTAGAGGGCATCCCGACGCCAGCACGGTCACGCGTCTTGCTGGCTCCCTTCGCCGGAGAGTTTGGGGGCGGTGGCTGAGGTGCGTTTAAACGGTCGGCCGTCATGCCGGGGCGTTGGCTGTTGCGAATGATGTCGCGGCTCGTCGAAGTCTGATGCTGATTGTGAAGATGCGCCTGCGACGAGTACGACTTGTAGTCCCAACCGCGTCCATTGTTCAGCTTCATCCAGTCGTATTCCCCGTCCTCCACCTCGCCGGCGTTCTTGAGGGATTGCGTCAGGAGATCCCGCAGATAGTCGTAGTCGGGGGTGTCCTCGAAGCCAAGGTTGCGCACATAGCTCAAGTACTTGTTGAACTCTTCTATGGCCATATCATCAGTATGGGATTATGATCATAAACGAGGTAACAAAACATACCAGGATAGCCTTCGCAGAGCTCCTTGATGGCCGTTGTTTGCTTCTTTTCGCCAATCTTCTCGTACTTTTGCTTGTTGGTCGCAGCCTTCAATCCTTGCCAGGGAAGGCCGCCCCGCAAGAAGTACATGAAGACGTGTCCAAGAGCCTCCAGATCATCACGTCGCGATTGTTCACGTCCCAGATGGGTGTTGATACTCATGTACCGCGCAGTACCAGACAGAGACTTGCGCTCACGGTAGGGGATGTGCTGCTTGGTCTTGGGGTCGCGGTATTGCTTTGCCATGCCGAAGTCAACGACATGGATGACGTTGGCGGCCTTTGTGGATGGACGGCCGATAAGGAAGTTGTCGGGCTTGATATCGCGGTAGATGAGGTTCTTCTCGTGAATCGTTTGAACCCGCGAGAGCATTTGCTTAGCCACCATCACAACAGTCTTGGTCGAGAACCGGCGGTTACAGTGGTCGAACAGATCCTCCAGACTGGGACCGAGAAGGTCAATGACAAGGATGTTGTGCAAACCCTCCTGACCAAAGTAGTAGACATTGGGGATGCCGGCTAGGAGATCGTTAGCAAACGTCACACGCAGAGTACCTGGAGAAACATACGACATCCAACCAAGATCTTGTATGTGCGATACTCATCACGGAGCTGAGGCGCATCGCTTTTCCGAGGTTCCTGGGACGGTCAGACGGGTCGAGAGTCAAGCGAGTGCAACGAGACGTACGAATTTGATGGCCACCTGCTGGTTGTTGAGGAGGTTCGTGCCTTCGAAGATGACACCGAACGAACCCTCACCGATTTTCTTGCCCACGCGGTAGTGGACACCCACTACGTTCGACGAGGAGGACGCCATGGATGTAGTTCTCGGGCTTGAGACCCAAGGAACACGACTTGCGTCCGAATGATGATGGCTTCAGGGTCACCGAGCACGGGATGGACACTGTTCTTCCACGCAGACGCAGTCAGCACGAGGTCGACGAGATAAACGGAATGAATGGCATACGCCGTGAGAACTATCTGACACCAGAACTAGTGTCTCCAAGAATCCAGTCACGTTCTTGGCACAACGTGAAACTTGGACGGTGTGAAACGGACTGGCGAGCCGAGGCTGTGACAGCGAGACGGATGCGATTGAGGGTGCTGCCCAGGAATTGAGGTAGTCGGCGGTCCTTTTTGACGGTCGGGATGATCACAAGTCTGGGGTGAACGGGTCGAGAACAAACGGGGGGACGGGAGGCGAAATTAAGACACGCCACCGGGAGAAAAAGGGGCAGGGCAAGAGCAGCCGAGGGTCTCGACCAAGTGCTTGTATAAGCACCCGTGAGTTGCCAGGCAGGGTGGGACAAGCACGAGAGCGAGAGAGACGGGGAGAGGGATGGGGAGAGACACAAATCGAGGAGAGAGGAGAAAGAAAGAAGAGAAGAGAGGGAGCGAGTTGGGGGAGAGTGCAGGGAGAGAGTATTGCCGATGTATTGTTTACGAGTAATGGGGAGGCGCAGTGCGGGAACTGGCGGTCAAGCGGTGGTATTACAATGACCGGCGCCAGAAATCATCGTACCGCAGCGGTCAGATCCTCTCTCCAACTGAGTTGCCTGCACCGCTCCGGGCTTGCGAGGCTCGGGCGCGTCGCAGGAGGGAGGGTCCTGTGCCCGTAGACACATTGGATCACATCTAACTATTGTGAATGACTGAGGCAGGGAATCACAGTGGATTTTTCCAGAGCATTTTTCATTCAGGGGATCTCGTGTCCCTGGTTGTCTGGACTCTCGGTCTGGAATGCGGGTAACATTACAGGCCGGATCGCGCCAAGCCATTGTGAAGCGCCGCCAGAGTGAGCCCTAAGCCAGGTACACACTGCATCCTTCTCCAGGGAAACTATTGAGTCGACAAAAGCAATTCTTATCCTGATTCCCCAGTTTGTCGATCCATCTCGACCCGAATCTGACACATCCACTCCAGTAAAGTTCGGCCGGCTACTGTACAAGTCCAAACGAAAGGCACATTATTACATTGTAGCACAGTTCTTTACTCGTCCGGGTCATCACTGCCCTCCTCCTTGAGCAGATCCTCGTCGTCGCCATCGCTGACCTGCTCCGCATCCTCGTGGAACTCGTCACCGTCTTCATCTTCCTCGCTGCTGGAGCCGCCGCTGCCTTCACTCTCCCCGTCACTGCCGGGGTCGTAATCCTCTTCTTCCTCATCCTCCTGGTCCTCGAGCTCTCGCTGGGCTTTTTGCAGTTCGCTTTCCTCGTCACCTTCGGTCTTCATAGCGGCAGCCTCTGGATCCTCGGCCTTCCCGCCGTTGATATTGTACACCTTGGCGCGTCGGGCCTCGGCCAAGCTGGCGTCTTGAAGACCATGTCGCTTGATGTAGTCGTCGATCCCACCGTAGTCGGCCTGGTCGATCATGGAAAACTCGAGTTCCTGTACATCCTCTTCGCTGCCATTGGCTGGGCGGGCCATGATGTTGAGGTTGAATGTGCGCTGGAGGACAGAGGTGTAGGAAACGGAGTCGATGGTGTCGAAGGAGAAGAACAGGAGAGGTTTTTTGAACGCAAACAGAATACCCGTAGAGAGAAGAAACAGATAGCCTGACAGAGACAAAATCAGCGCAGCTCAAGAGAAAAAAAGAGATTGGCTCACCTTCTTTGCTGCCTCGGAATGCCTTGACGTGATATGCCTTTTCCTTTTTCCGGTGCGGCTCGGGCATGGCGCTCACAAACTGCCGTTCATCAGGACAAATGACATTCGTCTGAGCCATGTTGTCGTTCAACACTTTCCGGATCAACGCCTCAGCCGTCTCGCCAGGGTTGTGGCCGACCTGCTGGCCCGTCCCTAAGAAAGCAGCCTTGGCTGGCCCATCGGCAACGGTGAACACCATAGCTTCGTATGCTGTTTCCCCCTCCGGTGGAGGTGTGATTCCATCAGCGAACTGGGGGATGATACAGAAATTGAACTGTTTCTGCGTTTTTTCCGGTACAGGAAGGCACAGGGCATGTCCTAGCCACGACCAGCCGTGTTAGTTACGATGCTCATATCAATGCCAATTGCATACTCACGGATTTGGTCCATGGGAACACCGAATTCCACCTCCTTGGTGGTCTGGTTTCTCGCCCGAAGGCATCTGCTCCCGGCAGTGATCTCGAGCGTGAGCTTCTTGCGCTGCGGCGCGGCGAAGGAAATATCTTGGACATAAAATTGAATCGACGCATTGCCCTTCAGGTCGACTGGCGCCTGCGCAGTCGCCCCGTTGGTGGTGTCGCCATTCTGCAGCTTTCGCTTTTTTGCGGCAGGGCCGTCGCTGGCCGGCGCGGGCGGCAGAGAGGTATTCGCGTTCCTGGCCAGCAGGTTGCAGGTATAGCGGGCGAGATCTTCGAAGAGAGGTGTATGTTGAGGAGTCATGCCTAGATTGACAGAATAGAAAGAAAAAAGTTAGTAGATGGCTTGCTAGGGGTGGGCGTCGGCGACGTACCGATCGCATCGTAGACTCGATTCTTCAGCGCGGGTTCGGTCGCGAAGGCCTCCTCAATGGAGGCGATCGGGGCGAACGAATTTATGGCAGCGAATGCCATTGCGACTACTATGTCTTGCCGAAGAAAAAAAAAGCAGTGCAGGGAGTGGAGGGATGGAGGGGAGTTGTCAGAAGTTGGAGACGCGGTCCAGTGGTTGCGCTCCCTGGCCCCGAAGTATCCGAGCGAGCCCTAAGAATCGACCGACAGTGAATGATAAATGAATGGAGAATCGGGAATGAAATAAATAGAGAGTCAATACTAGAATACAGTAGAATTTATACACAATGCTATTGACGAAAGAAATGATCACTCAATCTATTGAGCAGACTGACCCTCCTTCTTCCGTGCCATCCAGCTCTCAATGAACTCGCTCGTCTCCTTGTCCATAATCACATTCCCGTCGGCATCCAGCGTATTCTTCTTCGCTTCTGCACTCTCTGCCTGCCTCTTTGCCCGCCATTCCCCAATGGGCGTCAACATCGTCCGGCTCTCGTAGTATTGCCGGCGGTAATCCTCCTCAACCTTCAGCCTCACGTATTCTGGATCATGACGTGTCCGGAACTTGGAGAACTTGTTGCGCAGTTCATCAATGATACTGCTCGGAAAAGGCGGGTGGGCCAAAGATGGCACCCAAGTATCGGTGTCGGCCTCCATGCGCGTAGTGTCCCATTGTCCGTCCTTGGCGGGCGGAATATTCTCTACCGGCCAAGGGATTTCGATATCCTCGCCCAATACATACCGTGTAAATTTCGGAGTGGTACTGTCTGGGTGTCGTTCGACAAAGGGCCCGGCGGCATATGCGTGTTCCACGATCCAATCTTCAATGAGACCGGTCTTAGGGTCTTGGAGCGCGATGACATGTCGGATATCGTCAATGGGTATTGGCAGGGAGTTGGTGACAATGTCGGACTTGATTCCCATTGATGTCTGCATCCAGTCGGGGACAGCAACGTCGGCCTATGTTTTTGAGAGACGGTATTAGCGGGAGTTGGATCTCAGGAGTGATCGCAACAAGAGAAAAACACGTACCATGTTCGTATTTTTGAGAAACACCATATCTTCCTCTTCTTTAACCCCGCTGATCTCGCTGATTTTGCCCTTTTCTTTGCCATTGACAACACAGACTCGGTCTCCCGGAGCGAACAGGACGTGCTTCCGGCGCTTGTGTTTGGGAAGAGGCGGCGGCTGCACAAGTTGTGGTGACACGCCGCCGTAAGAGAAGACTTCAAGACCCGAATCTCGCTTTGGAGCCAGCGGGCCCTTTATCCAATCCTCCCGGCGGTTTTTGACTGCATCTTTCTTCTGTTGGGCGAGAGCCTTGTTGTACTCGACCTGCGCCCTGAACTGTTGCCTTTTGGTTTCTGGGTCTGGCTTCTTGGAATTCTTGAGGATTTTCTGCTGCGCCTGTTTCCGGGCAGCGGTCGTCCGCTGGATGACCCTCTGCATGACGCGGGTGGTGGTGGCTCAGCGTAGACAAGGACGACGGAGGAGACTCGCGGACGGAGAAAATGAAATGAGTCACGTGAATCATTATATAAGCATGCTGATTGGCGACCGACTATAGAGGGAAAGATGATGCCAATATAATTCTGTTCGATTTGAAACAGATATTTATATGGCTACTGTCGGAGCAGGTCGTGTGTTTAAAGTGGTTTATCGTACCCAGATCATTGCATCCCGTCTACTGTGTAGTCTATAGTACAGGATTAGATCAAAAGCACAGGCATAGCCCGAACGCAATACTGTATGTAATATGTTACAATAGTGCACATTATTCATCAATGAAGCGCTAAAAAACACAGATAGAATGAAACGAAGTCTATTGTCCCAAGTCCCGAGCCAAAACCCATGTGTCTTCACTTTCCACCTGGCCCGACCACCCACGGAACATTCTCGTCGGTAGTCCCATCCTGAACATAAAGTCAATCTGAGAACTGTTGCGCCCCTTCATTTCTGGGATCATCCACCAGGTTCCAAAAACGGCGAGTACCCCCAGAGCAAAATAGATAAATCCCAGTTTACCACCCAGATCGGCAGCGTCCGAGTTGTACAGGTAGGGCAGGACGATACTGAAGACAAGGCTCCACAGATCAGAAATGACGACACAGAGACCCTGTGTCTTGGCTCGTAGACGCAACGAGGAGGTCTCGCCCAACACTGCGAAGCAGGCGGGCCATGCACCCATGGAGCAGACTACGATGACTATCACCATACACACACCAGCATACCTATTTTCAAAGGAGTCAGATCTGTTAGGAAGATAATTGAAGGGTTTATCACGTACCAGGCAGTCGCAATGCCAGAGAAGCAGCCTGATATACCCATGGAAAGCCATACTACTGTTGTGATAGACAGAGTAACCAAAATAAGCCTCCGACGACCAACACAGCTGATCAGCCAGACTCCCACGCCGTTGCCAACCAGGGCCAGGGCAATGCCCAACACGGTCATCAAAAGACTGTCTTTGGCCTCCATGCCTAAAGTTTGCAAGAAGTAACTGGCAGATACCAGCAAAGAGGTTCCAAACAAGACTGGCATGGAAGCGCCAAACATGGAAATCATTGTGCGTCGCTTGTTCTCATCGCGGAAACAATCGCGGTAGGAGACCCTTTGGCCTTGGTCTTGGTCTTTCTTCTCAGACTCGACGGACTGTTTCAGATCTTCGAGGAGCTGGTTACAGTCCACGCTAGCAGTGTGTAATTTCTGCAAGGAGCGGCGTGCGCGAGCTAGATCTCCCTTTCGAACGAGGTGGGAAGGGCTTTCGGGGAGAAACACGGCCACCAGCAGCGGAATCGCCGAGAAAGGCCACATGGAGTTGTAGGAAACCATGTATGCGCTGCTGGAGGTACCGCCAGACCACAACAAGACCACCAAAGAGCCGAGCAGCTCGCCTATCATGTCGAAGGCCGGGAGGAGAGCCATCGCCGGGCCACGGAGACTGGTCGGCACGGCCTCGGAGATGTATGTCTGCGCAGCGGTCTCGGTCACGCCTAAGGCGAAACATTGCACTATCTCGCCGATGAGAAACACGACCCGGCGAGTCACGATGTCTGCCGGCAAACTCGACAAGCATGTCACAGCCACTGCTACAGCTGAGAGAACGCTGCCCACGGCTAATGGCCACCGTCGGCCCACTCGGTCCTGCAATGACCCTGCTATTATCGCGCCCGCCATTTGCCCGACACTAGGGAGGGCGCTCCAGAGCGATAGCCACAGTGAGGGGATGATATAGTGGTTTTTGTCGGGACCAAACTGTTCGCCATAGTCTCTTTGGAACTGTGGTACAGAGGGAATGGCGCCCACGACACAAGTGTCGTATCCCGTCAGCAGAAATGCCGACATGAGACCGATAACATAGCCCACAACCTTGGGATATCGTCGGATAATTTGTAGTAGGGACTCTTGTGATGGACTGTCGTTTGGCTTGGGAGTTTGAGTTTGGCGCACGGCGCTCTTCGTAGCGGAGTCGACATCTGACAGCTGGTACTCGCTATCAGATGGTAGGTACTCGGAGGGTAGGTCCTCGGGACGCAGTAGTTTGCCCATGGTGTGAGATGAGAATTGGTTTTCTTTCTTTTTCTTTTCTTTTTTGTTCCTTTCAGGGGCAATCCCAGAGGAGTTTATTTGTTGGTGTTAAGGCTGATTTAACTCATCCTCAGCCCCCCTTAGGCGTCCAGTTGCTGTTCAGAGCTGAGGTTGTTAAGTATAGCCGCCCCCAAAATAACACCGGTGGCGCAGCTAGGTTAAAAAACACATTTCAACCTGATGGTCTCTTCCATCCACGATATGTCTACATTTTCCCTTGGATCAGTGGCCCCCGTTCCGCCTTCCACTACTGCATCAACCCTTTCACAGCACCTGTGCGATCAAGTCGCCCGACATCCCGCATTTCAGAGCCCCAGCAACGGATGTCACCCGTGACACCGCGCAACGTTGTATTCCAGCAGTTGCAAAGTTTGTATCTGCGAACTCGTAGGTACTGTTGCTGATAGACAGGAGACGTCTAAAGCACTGCCATTATTTTGTCCAGGTCTAGCATGGACGGAAGATGACGCCGAATCTCAGGTGGGACGTTTTCCAGCGTGGCATTGACAGGACGGGAATCTTCTAATCCTGGCACTGATTGAGACCTTTCAAGCTGGGCAATATTCTTGGACGTGGTGACAGAATGTCCAAATTCCGAGAGCGCCCTTTCCCATTTCATTTCGAAATGCGAGGTTAAAACAAAGGCGATGGGGATGTTTTAGAATCTGTCGGGGTGATTGATTATCCCGCCCTGGTCCCGGCTAACTAGTCACATCTGGTCTATGGTAGACATGTCAATGGTAGGAATATCATAACAGTGATCATCGAGGATTCCTGGTTGGGTGACTCCTGTTCCAGTCGCGGGACCAGGGATCTGTATGACGTGCTCTGCCTCTTTTTGTGTGGCATCTCCTGAACATCCAGACAATAATTGATATAGGACTGTCGATCATCACACCTTCCTTGGTTCCTGTTAGGCAGCCCTCTTCAAAAGCTCTCCTCTCTCCCGTGATCCTTCAATCTCCTATCACGTTGACTTTCCATGGATATTGCCGTACCGACAACGGTTCCTGGACTCATGATTGCCGCTAATCCCGTCTGAGCACATTTCAGGACTACTATGACGCCAGTCTCCATCAGTCTATTCTAATGGCCATTTCTATCTCTCAAGTGACTTTCTTTTACACATGAACATCTCCAGTCGCTCTTTCTCTCTTTCTCACACTCTCTCGCTTACTATGGATGAACGACGACTACCGCCCAATTATTTGGGTCACTATAGCGATGCGATTTCCTGCGTCCCAGAGCTTGCGCTCACTGATAATCCAAAGACACCGAATGGTCCTGCCGTCTCTACAGCTGTCCCTGCTCCAGCACAAGGACCAGAGAAGGAGCTGCTCGAATCACCAACACCATGGTACGACCCACGAGGGAGGTCCCTTCGTAAGAAGCTGATCATTGCTTCCGTGATCGTCGTGGTGATCGTCGTTACGATCGTAGGCGCTGTGCAAGGCGTCCGGGCAAATCGATACCCCGACTACATTCCCTTAAACTACAAGTTAGTGGATACGTACGAAGGGCCCTCATTTTTTGATAATTTTGATTATTTCTCCGACGAAGACCCGACCAAGGGCTTCGTAGTGTAAGCCATATCCCTCTTTTTGTTTCTTCTCGGCCGCTGACCCTACCTACTAGATACGTTGATGAAGGAACCGCCGAGTATCTCAACCTCACATTTGCGACAGATACCTCGGCCATACTACGCGTTGATTCTTCAACTCCGAATGCGCTGGTGGGCCGCAACTCCGTGCGGATCGAGTCCAAGTCTACCTACGATACGGGGCTTTTCATTTTCGATATTCTCCATACCCCATATGGCTGCGCCACATGGCCCGCCCTGTGGCTTACCGACGGGTACAACTGGCCTAATAATGGAGAGATCGATCTAGTGGAAGCCAATAACAAGGGTACGGAAGGCAACGAAGTCACCCTGCATACGACCGCGGGGTGCTCGATGGACGTCAAGCGTAAAGAGACCGGATCACCCCAATACAGTTCATGTGGGAATGACACCAACGGCAATTCTGGCTGTGGGGTACAAGGGAATCCAGCTACATATGGTCCGACGTTCAATAATTACGGAGGCGGAGTAAGTGTCCCCTAGCTCGGGTCACTCCAATAACACTAATAAGACCGTCTAGGTCTATGCTCTCGAGCTTCGCGACGCTGGAGTTCGCGCCTGGTTCTGGCCGCGGGGCTCTATTCCAGACGATATCACGAACGCTACTGGAGTCCCTAATCCAGCTATCTGGGGTACAGCCCTAGCGGACTTCCCTAGTACGGACTGCAATATAGCCTCACACTTCCGCAACCAGAGTATCATTGCTAACATCGATCTATGCGGCGAGCTGGCTGCCCAGCCTCAATTCTATGAGGAACTATATAGCTGCCCCGGCACCTGCTCGGAGTTCGTGGCCAATAATCCGGAGGAGTTTGATGAGGCATATTGGGAGTTTAAGAGTTTCAAGGTCTACCAGGCAGTCTGAAGGTCTCTCGCTATGGCTTTCTTGGTATCTGTCATGATCTTGTTAGATTTGATTTGATTGGGTTTGGCTTGGGGTTTTTTTAAATTGGCTTCGGAGTATATCTTAGTTTTATGTTTTGAAGTCCTGGGAGTTACGAGTTCCTCCCGCGATAATGTGTATTATAACTGCTCTCTGGCTAGATCTGGGTTTAACCTTAGAAGGAGACAGACTGTAGAGGCTGCCAAAAGGCTTCACTTGTCTCCAATCCCAACTTGTTCACAAGGCTCTAATGATTCCTGCGCCTCGGATACATAGGTAATCCAGCGGTGATAATCCTATTGGAGTTGGTTACATGTTACTAGGTTGGGTTTGCGGATCCGTTATAATGCCATGTTATTGCCTCACGCCTACATTCCCAACTCGAGACAAAATCTTACAACAAATCGATGACCTGTTCCTAAGCCTGATCAATCTTTGTCCGCCACATGGTCAAGTTTTATTCTATGGTACGCTTGCTTCACACTATATAAATAGATCGCCTTACCTTATTCAAACCTGTGCAAACTCTAGAAGACCTCTTCAACTAGTGCAGACGAACTGTTCTCAGCCGCATTGCGCGATCAAAACCAAGAATTTCTAGTATGTAGTATTATTGCCGAACACCACCTTTTCCATCCTCCGGCATTTGGTGAATACATGGCTCGACAACTGCACAGTTTGCAAAACAAGAGGCGCGCCTAGTCCTTCGAGAGGAAACTCAATCACCTCTTCGTCGAAGGTTGGAACGTGCCAAAGCCAGGGTGGCTGCCTCAGGCATCGCGGGACTGATAGGTGTCAATTCGATTGGACTTTCGCTGGCAGGATCAAAGAAATGAGAAACAGCTGTGGTCGCAGGATCTTGGAAAACCCTATCCCTACTGATCGGCGCCAGCCCGGAAACGCAGGAAACCCCAGAGCGATCGTCAGTTGAGTCAAGCATTTTTAACACAGCCATTAGTTGGAGCAGGCAACCACATTTGGAGCATCTCAAGTACCTCGCACGGGATCTGGCCCTGGAGCTGGCTATGGTGGAGCTGAATGGCTGTGCCATACGCAAGCCGGAACACAGGAGCGCACGGGCAGCAGAACCGTTGGCTGGACCGTTGTAGTAGTATATGTCCCGCAACTATTCAAATTAAACCGGGAGCTATCCTTTTTGGCTCGGAAGCTCTTCGGGAAAAAAAATCAGGGAGGCTCAGAGAATCCAGGCTGAGCAAGTAGTAGCCCCTGTGTTGGATTTTTTTTTAACTCCCGGTCTAACCGAGGCCAGATACTCGATCTCAAACAACCTTCCCAAGACAGACGGAGCAATGCCGCCCGGATGGAAGATTTCCATAGCTCTAAGGGGATGGACATACCCTGACCTCATGGATGATCTCAGCGGACCCAATTGGTATGGATGTGCATTTCCCACCGAGGAGTCCGCAACCCGTCCAACAGCCACGGTGGCTGTGTTGTCCTACCCCTTTGTCTGTGGGCCTGTGACGCGGATGGGTCTCTGCTGGGCCCGCTCAGCCACACGTACTTTGCCAGGGCTGGAGCTGGGTATTGGTATTACCGGAGCCTGGGGATACGCGGAGGGTGGTGTTGCGCTGGCGGCCTCCCTTGGGGATACACGGAGAGAGGGGGAAGTAGACCCATGGTGGTAGATAGAAGAAAAGGAAACCCCCCAACGAGTGAAATCGCCAGGCCGAGAAGATCACTGGGCAGGCCCCAACGGCCAGGGGCATCAGCACGATACGGGCATAACATGGCTGGTACCTGAGTAATCAATACACCGCCCTGGCCGGCCTGGACAGACTGTCAGTCAGTATCTTCTCCTCCAACACACCTTCCTGCTCTTCCTCCACCTCACCATCGGCGCTGCCATCCTTTTCCATCTCCCTTGCTCAGTGCCCTCTTCTCATCCGCTAGACCTTATCCCGCGCCCGCTGCGCTTCCTCCAGATACTGTACGTGCTCACCCTTTCCCTCTCCTCTGCAAAACCCCCTCCCCGGGAGTTGACTTGTCCCTTTCCCATCAACAATCATCTCTTCCCGCCCGCTGTGTCCACCACACGCCCTCCTCACACCTCATCTGTTAAATTTCCGATCCGCAGACTGGCCTGTGCGACTGCTGCCTGCCTGAATTTCCATACTGACCCCCTCTCTTCTCAGATGGCCGAGATTCGTCGCAAGCTCGTCATCGTGGGCGATGGTGCCTGCGGTAAGACCTGTCTGCTCATGTAAGCCCTCCATCGAACGTGACTATCAAACTTGATCGCAGATACTGACCTGGTTCCCTTAGTGTCTTCTCCAAGGGCACTTTCCCTGAGGTGAGATTTCCATAAACCAGCAACCTGGATGAAAACAACCCCCCCGGCCCAGGAACAAATCATCTGACCTTCCCCTCCTTCAGGTCTACGTCCCCACCGTCTTCGAGAACTACGTTGCCGATGTCGAGGTGGATGGCAAGCACGTCGAACTGGCTCTTTGGGATACGGCTGGCCAGGAAGACTACGACCGTCTCCGTCCTTTGTCATACCCCGATTCGCATGTCATCCTGATCTGTTTCGCCGTGGACTCGCCCGATTCGCTCGATAACGTCCAGGAGAAGGTCGGTTTGCCCACTGGTGGTCACGAGAAGTGAAGTGCTGACACACCTTCTTGAAGTGGATCTCCGAGGTCCTTCACTTCTGCCAGGGCCTCCCCATCATCCTTGTTGGCTGCAAGAAGGATCTGCGCCACGACCCCAAGACCATCGAGGAGCTCACCAAGACTTCCCAGAAGCCCGTCACCCCCGAGCAGGTATGCCACCCCTCTCTAGTTTCCGTCCTCGGAGTTTGTCTAACATGTTACTGTAGGGCGAGGAAATCTGCAAGAAGATTGGTGCCTACAAGTACCTGGAGTGCTCCGCCCGGACCAACGAGGGTGTCCGTGAGGTCTTTGAGGCCGCCACCCGTGCGGCCCTGCTGAAGGCCAAGAGCCCAAAGAAGCGGAATCGACATGGAGTCAACTGTCTGATCTTGTAAAGAACTAAACTAGTCGTCGTCGTCATTGGGCAGTCCGGTTGTGGAAGCGTGAGGTCCAGCCGCTCGGAAGCAATTTGTTTGTGAATTTCGTCCTGCGCAGTTCCCCTGTCAGGACAGCCGGGCAATTTCGAGCGGACGCGTGTGGGAAACGACTATTCTCTCTCTCATGGGTGCAGTTTGGTCGAGACCTTTTTCTTTTTGTCTGTGTGTGTCCTTTACTTCCTTTTTTTACTCCACCTCTTGTCGCCGTTGTTTTTGCAGAACTTGTGTCTAGGGAGGCGTTGTCTTCATCATAACCACGTGGGCTTTCTTTTTTCTCTCTCCTCCTCCTCTTCTCTCTCTCATTCTCTCTCTCCCCGCCTTGTTTTTTCTGTCGCTCGCGCAGAATGCACAAATTCTAAAAAAAGGAGGAGCCATTGGAAGTAGTGCTGGTTTGTGAAGATGGGCAACGTCTGGACGGATACTCCCTGTGTGTGATGATAGATGTGAACACCCCTCCCCCTTTTGCAGAGCCCCTCGATTCGGCTGTTTTCATTCCCCCTCACTCTTAACTATATGTTGTCTCGTTAAAGCTCTAATACATGGAACTGCTGTTTTCTGTGCTTTACTTTTCTTGAACAGATGATTACGAACAGTAGAAGTAGATGATTCCGTGTATTGTATTTATATCGAGAAGCAGAGTAATATATAACACCTCCAACTGTTTTGTGCAACACACTACTATGCACTCGCTGGGTGAGATGCAAAAAAAATCAGCGATTCAAGCTCAACAGTCCCTCGATATACCGCCGCGCATCCATCCCTAACCCCTCCGCCAACGTCGCAGGAGCTGTATCTGCAGCGCGAGTCGAACCCGTCAAGCTCGATGAAGCAGATGCCCCCCCCAAATCACGGAAGAAGCGTGCACCACTGCTGACCCGGGTCTGGCTGGATGGCGAGACGTAGTCGCTCGCTTTGCGGATGATGAATGCTTCCAGGGGCTGTGATGAAAACGGATAGAGAGAAGCAGATGGAGAAGGCGAGAACGTTCCGTGATTGTCTTCGGTTGTGATGGTGGATATGGCAGCTGACGAGGGTATAGATGGTAGAGCCGAGGCAGGGTTTGCAGCTGGATCTGAAGGCGAGAGGCGCACCCAGACGACCCACCAGCCACGACTGGTTTTGCAGGTGCGTTCTAGTTCCTGGGTTCGGGAGCGGGTGTCGGTGTATGTAGATAAGAGGCGGTGGTGGATGGCTAGGGATTCAACCCGGGACAAAGGGGGTGGGAGTCCAGACGGAGAGGGAGATGGAGATGAGCGGCGGGATGGGGGAGATTTGGGAGCCTGGGATGGGTTTGTGGAGGTGCCCAGGTTTGGGATGTTGGGAATGGAGGAGCGGATGGTCAGGTTGGATGGGTCGTAGACCAGGTCGTAAACGGGCTGGGATCGTGTCGAGAAGCGTTTGGTGGGATCGGAGATGTTCTCGGACTGGGAGATGCGTGAGGCGGCGGTTGCAGGGGATGTGGACGCCAGCAATGGTTTTTGGAGAGGGCCGAGTTGGTGGTGGATTGTTGTGTAGAGGGATGGGGAGTTGAGCGAAGGTGTCTCTGGGTTGAAGAGGAAGGTGAACATGAACGGTTGATTCACATAGATCACAGCCTGCACCTCTTGCGTTTCTCCCTCTGCTTCACCAACCCGTCTGACATGGAGCGTCCGGTGCACAATGCGAGTCTTGGGCTTGCTCGATTCCTCTTCGGACCTTGGACTTCCTTCCTCTAGGTCATCCAGGGTCTCAAGATCATCCCGAGGCCCTAAGACAAAGCGTCCCAGCGCAATGTTTCTCATACTGTTTTGGGGATTAGTTGCCTGTGGAGACCCATGATCGGGAGTCTGTTTTGTGGGACTTGCTGGGGAGTGATCCACTGTAGCAGAGCTGCGAGGAGGCGTTGACGCTGATCTGGAACCGAAACTCCATGCTGAACCATATCCAAGACTCAGGTACTTCATGACTGTCTCCGTCCCAAAGCCACCACTCTGATCGTCTCCCTTGGGCGACTCGCCCGATGTATTGGCCTCATCTTGAATGGGCTGTGGTGCAGCCAAAACCAGCGGACGAGGTATGCCTGGCCTGAAGTTGCGATCAGGCGTGGACGGCTGAGCCCCCTGGAGATCTCTAGAGGATGCCCTCCCTCGTGGTTTCCGTGGTTTTCGGCGACGCAGTGAGCTCGGATCCCGTCCAACTCCATACGCAGCATCTCCGAACCGGTAAATCCACTCCATCCAATGAGACAAATTTGCCACGGAGGGCCTGGAGAGAGAACCCACGCCCGAAAAGAGGACCCCGTCGGTTAATCGAGGGCCAGTGTCTGATCCAAGCCATGGTCCTTCATCTTCAACCTGCCGTGAGGGATCACCGAATCTCGAGACAATCAGGTCGACCAAACCATCCGTTCTGGACACAAAGTCCTCCAACACCTCTCTTTCTCCGCTTCCCCATTCTTCTTCCCCCACACCAACACCTAGCTCACCACCGGCAGAGAGTTTGATAGCATTATAGATCTCCACAATAGGATTTCCGGTTAAAAGAAGCTCCCAGTTCCACGTAAACTTCTCCCAGAAGCGCTCGAGATAAAGACAAAAGGCTGCTCGTCCAACGCGATCGTAGAGTTCTTTCAAAGAGAAATCATGGTGGAGGAGGAAGATTGAATGTGCGCGGCGTAGTTGCTGAAGGTAAAGAGACGGAGGACCCATCTCCCTTGATGAGTATTGGAAAGTAGGCGTCTCCGAGCTCTCGGAGGAGGTTTGGTCGGCGGGAAGCCGAGTGAGGTCGATCGACTGGACGTATCAGGTTAATTGCGAGCTGCGAGTTTGTGGTCCTACACCTACAGCGACAACCCACCAGTCCTTCTCCAGTTCCAGAAGAACAATGCGTGCCTTTTCCGTCTCCACATATTCCAATGGTTTCCCCGCCGAGAAGTTGCTGGAGAGAAATCGATCAGAGTGATTCATCTGCAGTCTCGCAGGGAATGACGCTCACCTGGCAAAGTTCACCATGCCCTGTGCCAGGCCTATCTGGCGCAACCGTTCGTTCTTATCCCCCTCCGGAGCTGCATCCTCGTTCTCCCCCGCATTATCGGCATGTGGTGAGTGGGACGAGGTGTAGAAAACGATCTGGTCCTCTAAGGTCTCGTCGGTGGGCCCCAGAGTCGGGTTGTAGATGGCGAGGAAGCCAAGGCGTGCCGGAATCACCGAGTCGAGGTCGCTTTCAGGCATCGCATCGTCCGGCAGCTGCACTGGAGGGTGATGACACGCGAGGAAAGGCGGAGGGCGAGGGAACCGACGTGGCTTATCGATAAGGACCGGCCCTTTTCTGGTCGCGACAGCTTCCTTCGCCTCGACAACAAGTCAATCATGCTACTGCCACGAGGCCCAATCCTTGGGCTGTGTAGCAGACACTCGAATTTCAGATTATATTCCACCAAATCATACGACCCTCTGCGCATTCTCTTCTGCGGCTCCGATGACTTCAGCATCGCTTCTTTGAAAGCTCTCCATGCCTACCATCTCAAGCAACCGGACCGGATCGCCTCAATTGACGTAGTCTGTCGACCGGGCAAAAGAGTGGGGAGGGGGTTGAAGAAGATCCGCGAAGGTACAATGGCCTCTCAACTCTCGCGAAGGGTGAGCTCACTCGAATCCGACTTCTAGTCCCGATCAAGGCGGCTGCCTCGGACCTCTCCCTCCCGATCCACGAGATCGATACCTTCACTGGATGGACGGTAATAAAAATCCTCCTTTCTATCAAGCACTATACCTGACTACGTCAGCCTCCAACGTCTATCAATCTGATTGTCGCCGTGTCCTTCGGACTCTTCGTACCTTCGCGTGTATTGAACAGCGCCAAGTACGGAGGACTGAATGTCCACCCGTCTCTACTCCCAGAGTGTGTCATTACACCCTCCCTAAGCTGAATTTATAATTGACACCGATTGACCAGCTTCCGCGGTCCCGCACCCCTCCACCATACTCTCCTCGCTGGCCGAAGTACAACAGGCGTTTCCCTTCAGACATTACACTTGAAGCACTTTGATCATGGCACAGTCCTCTCCCAAACGCCTGATCCTGGGTTTGACATTCCCAACCCTGAGTCGTGCACAGTACCCGAGCTAGTGGAGGTGGTGGCCCCGAAAGGAGCACAGCTACTCGTGAACGGTATCAAAGATGGCCTCTTCGTCCCCCCGGTAGTGGATGCAGGGTGGCGTGCCGCGAAAGGAAGTGACAATCTAATACACGCAGCCAAAATCAAGCCGGAGGACCGGCACATCGACTGGAAGAATTGGTCCTTGGTTGACATCGACCGACGCAGTCGGGTTCTCGGACCTCTATGGAGTAGAGCTCTCGTCACCAGTCACCCTTCAGATGGTACCCTGCCATCGTTTCAACAGAAACGAGTCATTCTTACGGATATGGAAGAAGTAGATCCCCCCAAGGGCTGTGGTTCCTTCTCGCTAGTCCCTGGGTTACCGTTCGTGGAAGGTGGCCATCCTCTTGAGCCGCGGAAAGGGAAGGCCCTTTACACGTTTACATCGGATGGCAAGGTGATGCGGATTAATCGGATGAAAGTGGAAGGGGACCAGGATGCAGAGGGCCTCAGAGCTGCGATCAAGGCACGCATGTTTGGAGATCGAACATTTTTATCGGAGGGGATGGAGTTTGTTCCCTTCCGTAACCCTCTTATCTAGATCGAACAGGTTTCATGTGTAAGATATTGTGTACTATTGACTTGATACCATTTATACCAATCCTTCCCTCAGCCGACAAGAGTCTATCTAATCACCATGCCCGAATCTGAAAATGTCAGCCGTTGTCTGCAAGACGCAATAGGGTTCATACCAATCTGCACTGCATGTCCGGTCATGGAGGCGTTCTTAGCAATCGTGGTGTACATATCGGCGACGTCTTCAACCTCGGCCTTCACCATACTCAGTATTGTGGTTGACTGAAGTCTGAGGTGCTGAAATAACTTACAAAACGTTTCAGGGTAGTTTTTTCGAGAACGGCCTTCTGCTTCTCAGGCGGAAAGCGTTGACCCTGGGAAGGAATCAGCAAAAGAAAGACAAGACCAAACGACGATAGAATGAACCGACCCATTCGGTCATCAATAGACCCGGCAGGACCGCATTGACTCGGGCCTTGGAGCCCTGGGTTTGAGCAAGGCATTTCATGAGGTGGATGACGGCGGCCTTTGTCACGGCATATGGCAAGCTGCTACCACTTGGGGCGACGCCCTAACGCAAGAGTATCATGTTAGATATGACTCGAGTGAAATATATTTGTGACTGGATGGACTCACAGCAGTCGAGGAGGTAATGATGAAAGCACCTCCCTCGGGATTGGCATTGAAGGTGGGCATAGCAGCCTTGAACAGCCAGAAACTGCTCTTGACATTGACGGTCCAGCACTACGCCGGTGATCAGTCTGCCATGATCCACAAGTCTTGGAGAAGGCAATATACCTTATCCCAGTCGTCGTCATCCATTGCGTCGAGATCACCGAAATTGGTCATTTTCGTCCAGCCCTTGCGCAATTTGATTAGTTCGAGAAGGGTTATCTTTGGCGACTAAACGTACAGCATTTGAGATAACAATGTCCAAACCGCCGAATTGCTCGATGGTCGACTTGACGGCGTTGACGCAGTCCTCTTTAACCCCGGCGTCCTGTTATATCCACATTAGAGCCATTTAAATTCCACCCTGATCAGAGAAGACATACACCCTGAATGACAATAGTCTTCACATTGTGCTTGGCTGCGAGATCGGAGGCGACTTTCTCCGCCGTCTCCTTGCTCGACATGTAATTGATGGCGACGTTGCTCCCCTCGCTGGCAAACTTCTCGGCGACGAGTGCACCCAGGCCACTATTCGAATTAGGGGTGGATTTCAAAGAAGATCGGGCAGACAATCATACCGCGAGCCACCGGTGATCAGAACATTGCGACCTCGCAGTGAGTAGGGCATGGCGGGCAATTAGTAGAGCGATGTTTCCTTGATTGGCAATCCAAGAGGAAGAGCTGTACAAGGATTAAATGAGGAATGGGGGGAAGATGGGGATGGCGGGGCTTCCGGCCTTGTATGCGATACGCAGTTCAATCTGACCATCCACTGCGGCTTGCTTCCGGGCTCCATTGCTACACATAGTGTCGGATAGGCCGAAACCCCACTCGGTATGTGGAGAGGATGACTACCTCGGTACTGGTTTGAAGGGAACGACCAACGCCTTTTTTCATTTCTATCATGACTATCATGAGATCAGGAGATACAAAGGTCGAAAGCACTCAGTCCACGAGCGTACCCGCATATTGAGTCCTCTTCATCCCCCACCACGCGCGCCGCCCGCCCAGTTTCGGCCACTGGACGAGGAACGTGTCGGCAAGCGGGAGCAGCAATTTCCCAGACATGCTCAGGGTGCTCACACGAGCCCAGGACTCAATGAATACGGTTCGAAGCTTCGGCATTCCCGAATAGGCCTTGTGAAATGGAAGGAAACAGTGTAAGAAGCGGAGGAGCTTCGCCGCGACGATCATGCAGACTGCCGTGGCGGGGCCATTGGTGAGAATCAGGTCCGGGTACGGGGATGAGAATTCGGTTGGAAGATGTTGCTGCTCAGGATACTGCCCCCACAGTACCATCAGACAGGCCCAGAAGCAGTGCAGGGTGGAAAACGGAGCTGTCAGGTAAGACTGGTGGACCCGTCGTGCGCGGGGAACCGTGACGATGGTGTATGCGTGCTTCGGAGTGCCTCCCTCTGCCATGTGGTTCGCTTCAAACTCCCGGGCCTTTTGCGCGCTGAAGTTGTCCCCGGAGCTCACGACGTAGGTGCGATATGCGTATCGCGAGGGCTCGAGGGTCCACCGCCGAAGCATGGAGAACATCTCCGCCGTGTGGCCGCCGCTGCCTAGGACGACGAGCAGGTGGACATGGGCGTCCTTGGGGCGGCATTTACGGACAGGGGATCGGTGGGAGATTGTCAGGGAGAGCAGCAGGACCTAAGATAATTAGCTGATGCTGCTGAGAGCAAGTCGTAGAACTCACCGAGACGGCAAGGATGCCAATCGCAGCCACAGGCAAAGCGACGTGCAGGCAGAAGCTGAAGAAAGACATGAGGAAGGCAGCCATGGCAGGGACTGGCGATGTTATGGAGGAGGAGGCATGGTGAGTAGGAAGAAGAAGCGTTCATAGTGTCAACAATCAAGCAATCAATTGACTCGGCCATCCCACACGTGCCTCGAGTGGCCCGTGCCCTATATTTCGTGTTGGCGCATCATCTTCTCTTCCTCGTCCTCATTACCCCTTCTTTCCTCCACTTGTAGGCCACCCGGATACTATGTTATGGCTTCTCTCTTTTCTAAACGTCTGACCTGCTTCTACTGCGGGCGGCGCTCTACCCGACCGACCAGTGGTCCCGTTCGCAAGTTCCGCTGCGAACATTGTGAAGCCGACAACCATCTAGACGAGGTACGTTGGTTAAACTGCCGGCCTGGCAACCACAGAGCCCCTACTAATCTGCTTCTCTCACGGTCGCAGAATGGAGAAATTACAGATCCCCCAGCCGCGGAGACAAACCCAGGGATCTACGGACCCGACGCTTCAAGCCCGCCCTTCGAGACAACCACCTTCACCGAATCCGATCTATTCTGCGCCAAATGTACACGCAACCAGCACCTTTTCACCAGCCAATTAGCTTCCTATTTCCCCCCTGTGGACGACCCTCTCTACAAGGCCGCCGAGCGCGAGTATCCGCAGTTCCGCAGAAACCTGGAGGAACGATACCCTCAAGTGTGCGACAAATGCGAGCCTCGTGTGAGAGATCGTATCCGTCGGACAGGATATGAGGCGAAGGCGGATCATCTCAGACGTATGATGGATCGGAGCAGAGCGAGTAAAGCCTCTCGACGAGCTAGGGACCGGAATTGGAGGAGTCTGCTGGTCATTACAGGCGCGTTCGGTTATTGGGGCAGCATTGCTACCCAGATTGCGTGGGATTCAATGAGTGGCTTTGCTAACAGTCAATTGTCGGATGGTGTCGACACACCTTCATTGGCTTCTTGTGTCAGTCAGACGGTAGGGATGCGACGCATCCCTAGCAACTGCGCCTTCGATCTGGCGCCCTTGGCTGGCCTCGGACTCGTTGCGGGTAGTCTTTCTCTTTGGTGGAACCCGAAGCTGCGCATGAAGGTCGAGGGGAGAGGCGGCAGGTTCGCTGGTCTTGGGGAGTACTACAAGGTCCAACTGATAGTCTTGGTGGTGAGGTGTGTGTTTTGGGCGGTGCTCAAGGATCCGTCTGCCAGTGGTCTGAAACCCACTTTGCCTCCAGCTTTACATTTGTTCATGGTCTTGTTTACATTTCTGGTGAGTATCTCAAGCTCCTTTTTTTGTCGGGCCAGTGCTAATTGGATAGTCTGTGATAATATCCCGCGGTCTGGTCAAATACGACACTCGTCCGCTGGTGGATTGGTCCGATAAATCGTGGGAATCTACTCCGATTCGAAGCACAGAGGTATCGCCAGTATCGGCCCCTCGCAGCAGACAAGTCAATTCGACCCCCACCGCAAATGGCGTGCGAAAAACCCAGCGTTTTCCAATCGAGACACTGGCATCTCCGCGGCCTGCTCCAGATAGATCTCCGACAATTCCTCCCACTCCTCCACCCCCAGAGACGGATGATATGGATTGGACTCCCTCAGCCCCGCAAGATATTCGACCAACTGTGAGCATCTACCAACGAAATCAGTCGTCTGTTTTCGATGGACCTCTCCCGTTTTACGGAACTCTTCCGTCGGCCCCAAAACCTCCTGCGTGGAAACTTCGAAATCAGACTCCCAAAAAGCCCATCGCACAAGTTGTTGAACCCAACCCATTTAACCGAAGCCCTGCCCAGCAAGCCAACCAGTGGCAACAAGGGTCTGATCGCTCTGAACCTGTTTTCAGGCCTCCGACCTTTTTCCCCAATCAAGACACTTCCACGGGACTGGAGACGTTGTTTGACAATGCATTCACAATTCAATCATCCGATGATCCACCTAGAGGCAACTGGGCGCAGCAGAATCCGCATCCAAGACCTGCGTATCCTGACAATGCTCAAAATTTACTTACCTTCCAATATCTTCGGCTGGGATTATTGGGATTCTCTATTTTTGCGTGGATGTCGTCTCAGAACCGCCAGTTACCGATTCCTGGGAATTACATCGAGGTCGGAGCTTTGGGCAGCGCAAGTCTTATCGCAGGATTTGCTCTCCTGGAGGCTGTCAAAAGACCTCTAGCTCACTGGAACGGTATGGAGATCTTGATCTTCATCACAGAACTTGGCGCGGCTGTGCACCTGGGGGCGCATTTGCCGGGCGTCTCTATTGATCGAGAATATTTTGATCGGTACGGCAAATTGCTTTTGGTGTTCATGGCTGTGCAGGAGGCCCTTGGTCTTGTGGCATTCTATCGAGCGACATCAACTCAAGGACCAGATGGCCCGCTACCGGCAGAGTCCGTTTCGTCCACACAGGGATCACCGCAACAACAACAACCACATCGCAACGATATTGCCTGGTCTCCGGTGGACTCAAGCCCTCCCGGGCCGCAATCATTGAGCTTGCCGCGCTCTGCTGCTCCCTCGCTGTCATTTTCGTCAACAGCAGGAGGATCCAGCTTCTCCACCGCATTGCCTCCTGCGCCACAATACCGACTTTCCTCGTCCCAGACCTTCCACTCATTTCCGACCAACTACAACAATAACCCTCACAGTTTCACCATGAGCTCATTGAAGGAGAGCGATCCTCCTTCTGACTACGATGTGGATTCAGACAGTGAGACCATTGCTACGACCGCCACAACGCTCACCGATGCCACCACTCGCAACATCCGGTATGGTCGCAACCCCAACCTTGACTATGGGTCTCCCTTCTCACCGAAGCGGAGTGAACTGGGTCCCGGTATTGGGGGGTTGAGTCTCGAAGATCGACCTTCTGCGCGTCGCATGACCCGCAGCCAGACGCAGCAAGGTCTCTCGACGCGGCGGCCCCGTGCGGCCAGATAAGTTGATACCATTGCGTTTGTTGATTGATTCGGTTTATTTCAAACCCCGGATCTCTCTCTATCTTCCTGATAGATTGAACCGGCTGATCTCGTTTTCTTTTTTTGTCTCTTGCTTGGGCGTTTATTTGAGCGAGCATACAGATCCATAGCGCTTGTTGGGGGTTTCCTTTTTCCTGATTGTGTTTACTACACATTATCGGTTTGTTTGCCAGCCCGAGGAGGCTTTGGGGATGGCTGTACATTTTTTTTTGCTTCTCTGTTTATCTTACGATTTCGATGACATAACGATATGGGCAACAATGGGAAAGCATTTCACGGATATCTGAAACTGTTATGTAGCAGGACGAAAGCTTGATCATACCGCATTGGCACTATCAAATAAGCTTTCTACTTGTCGTCAAGTGCGAGATTCCGAGTCAGCACCAATATTGAATATTAAGCATGTATTCCCAAAAGAATGAAGGCTGTTCGAAGTCTGCGGCCCTGAATCATTCATCCCTACGGGCCTCGGGAGTCACCCGCTCGACATGCTCACCATTCGTAGCTTTGTCTGCATCACCCTGTGTCGAGGCTCGCTCAGGATCGGCCATTTTATGCTCCACCAGCTCTGTAACGCCGAAAAGGTCGTCCATTTTCTCAAGAGACAAGCCTGTGTGATTGACGAGTCAGCAAAGATATGTCCTGTTCATGGATGTGGGAAGCTCAAAATTTCTAAGGACTTACCTTTCGTCTCAGGAATGAAGAACCAGACGAACACACCCATCGAAAAGCAGAAGCATGCAAAGATGATATACGTCCTGGTCCTTTCAGTCAGCAACTACCATCGACCATAAGAAGCAAAAAGAAAATCTTACCCATATCCGTTACTTCCAACAGTAGCAAGCATATTGGGCACAGCCCTCGCAACCACAAAATTGAACAGCCACTGCGTAGCCGCACCAAAAGCAACGTTCAGAGACCGCAGTCTTGCAGTCGGAATCTCAGAAACATAGATCCAGCAGACGGGGCCCCAACCAAACTGAAAGAAAGCCGCAAACAGGAAAATACACACTAGGGCAACGTAGCCCGCAGGAATGACGGGTGCGCCCTTGACAGGCGGTGCGATGCGGACGTAGAGTCCGATGTAGAGCATTGCAAGGCCCTGTCCGACAGAGGTCCATAGGAGCGAGCGGCGACGGCCAAGTGAGTCGGCGACGAAGATCAAGAACACGCCGCAGCCGACCATCTTTACGATGCCGTAGACGCCTGTTGCGAAGAGGCCTGTTGCGCTACCTTCTACGCCGAGCTATATAGTTTAGTGTTGTTAGCAGTATCCTCTTGGGCTTTATTGACGTAGATGCCACTCACATTCTCGAAGATTTGAGGTGCGTAGTAATTGATAGCGTTTGTCCCAGTCATCTGCTGGCAAATCATCAAGAAGATAGAAATAAGAGCTCGTTTCCGATTACCCGGAATGAGCCACATCTCCTTCATGAGATCCCAGAACCCGGAGCCGCCAACGAGAGCACGCTCATGTTCCAGTTGCGTAGCAATAGCCTGGAACTCCTGTTCGATGTAAGGGTGATCAGCCGGCAAAGCGCGGACTTTGGCGAGAGTCGCGCGGGCCTCTTCCCATCTATCCTGTTTTGCCAACCATCGCGGCGACTCGTTGCACAGGAGCATGCCCACTAGAAGCAGAACAGCTGGCAAGCCCTGCATTGCCAATGGAACGATATACATGGCTGGCCCGGAGATGTGGAGTAAAGAACCGTAGTTTATCCAGAATGCAATCATGATTCCGGCTGCGATAAATAGCTGATAGAGACCTGTTAATCCTCCACGGATAGCCCGTGGAGCGTTTTCTGCTACGTAGAGGGGGTTGATCATTGAGGCGCCTCCGACTCCAAAGCCAGTTATAAGACTGAATTGGGTATGATAAGTTAGACGAGGAACTGAGAGCCAATTGAGTTGGTTTCTTTGAAGCATACCGTCCGATGTACATGCAAGTGAGGTGACCGCTTGCCGCAGTCTGCATGGTAATTCCTATTATGGCCAGAACCGCAGACCCGATCAACGAATTCCGTCTTCCCCATTTGTCGGCAGCAGGGGCCGCGCCTAGAGCTCCAAAGAAACAGCCCGCCTGAAGGGTAGAGACGATGTTGGCGGACAGGTTTGCTTCTCCGACATCGCTGAGATCCAGCAGGCCGTATGTACTGTAAAGAATAATGTGGTTAGATGATGTGCTGTTCTCGAAGGAAGAGAGATATTGCTGCGTACGCTTCGAATGGCTTCATGGTGAGAACACCGCCGATGATACCGGAGTCCATACCGAATAACATGCCTCCAAAGCATGCCTAAGAGATGTCAGTTTATTCAGTTTGACAGCAGGAATTAGAGTGCACGAACCGAGCAGGCAAGCATATAAACTCTCCATCCATATATCTCCGTAGGATCTTCTCGCATCGCATCATTGCGGACGATTTTTTGTATAAGTGATGCCATTTTTAAGATTGATTGATCAAAGGAAAAGAAAAAAGAGGATATAGATCGATGATAATCTCTTAGATTGTCAGAGGAATCAGGGGAAGAGAAAGAAATTCCCAAGATGGCGGGGAAGCAGGGCCAAGCCGAGACAATCATATATTAGTTATTGAGTTGATGATTAGAAAAATGAACACGAGGGCTAACCAGGCTAGTGCCCGCTATTGATTTGTCAATGAAAAAGGGAGAGCCCAGCTGCAACTACTACGACACTGGCTAGGCAAGGTATCATCAAGTCCGTGCTTTTGCTCAGAAGCCGATCAGACAACCATAGAACCAACCAACGAGAGGAGAAATGGATCCAAAAAGTCCACGAATCCGAGACCGTGCCAAGCTGTTTGGTAGCTTAACAAACTCAGCGGATTCAGAGATCGTCGTTCAATGCTCGGCTCCCTCTGGCTGCGACAGCGCTAGGTCTCTGCACGGGAAGGACAGAGCGGGGGGCGCCGGGGGCGTCGGGGGCGTGGGGGGCAACAAGGAACGGTCAAGCCTGAATGACCGTGTACTGTACTACAAGAGCTCTAACGTACCCCGTAGTGGTTATATTAGCCGGAATTGTGCTGGGTGTCGATCTGTCTGTTAGATACCCCGTGTCTATCCTTTGCGGGGGAACCACCTGACTTAGGGCTAAAATATTGATGCCTGAGGAATCAATAGCAAAGTGCATGGCGTTGAGACCAATCTTTCTGTCGAAATACTTGAGGAATGCCATTATACTCTGCTACCGGAGAATGTAGTTAATCCTTTCGTTATTTTCTGATATTCCATGCAAAGGTGCGTCTCCGGCCAGCTGTGTCCAGCTCGTTACGCTATATTAGTATCTTGCGAGATATATCCAACCTCAAAGAATCGACAGAGCCGATAGAGACTCTGCAACCTCCATTGCTACTAGTTTATAAATGTAATTTAGTTTTACCAATTTAAAATAAGCATTTTATTGCTCCCTGTTGCCGATTCTTTGCCGACCGTTCGATCCCGGCTAAATAGAGCCACTTCAGCCGCTGAACCCCCACGGCATGTATCAACAAGTTTAGAATGAGCTACTTCATGCGAATTTCGTCATTAGGTCGCGGACATGTGTCCGATACAAGTGCAACGCGTGGAATGATCTGATCCTTGTCAATAATGGATCCACCCGTGGAGTGCTCGCTGCAGCCGGTCGGTCGAAATTGACCATTATTCCCGGCTGAAAGAGTGATCGGGGAAAGAGCCGATGGTGTTTCTCATTTAACCTGGGGGTGCCGTCATTGGATTTTAACGGTCAGGTAATCCCCTCTGCTGCAAGAATTCCCCTTTCAAATCCTCGCCAATGTCGGTCCAGGCCAACGGCAAAACGCGTCCCCAGGCGTTCAGCGCATCACCATTTCAATCAAGATCTGATTTTCAAGATGCATGCCGCGCCATTCTGGATCCGCTTGTCCCTCATTTCACCCCGGGGGGCAGCCGCGTCAAGATAGGGTCGTCCACCACTCGGTTCGACGAGGGCGGTGCGCAGATCGAAGGATATGCGCGGCCACTTTGGGGTCTAGCATCCTTGCTGGCTGGTGGTTATGAATACCCTGAGGCTGCCCTCTGGAGAGAGGGCATTATCAACGGCACGGATCCAGAGAGCCCCGAGTTTTGGGGTGAGATTGAGGATCTTGATCAGCGCATGGTTGAAATGTGTCCCATTGGGTTTACATTGGCCGTGGCACCTCATGTCTTCTGGGATCCATTGACGGATAAGCAGAAAGGCAATGTGACAAAGTGGTTAAATAGTATTAATGAGCGCGAAATGCCTAATACCAACTGGTACGTTATGGTCAAGCCTGACTTGATCAGCCAACATTGATGCTAACGTTGTGACTTGATTTGCAGGCTGTGGTTCCGTGTCTTCGCAAATCTTGGTCTCAGACAAAATGGTGCTGAATACTCTTTATCGCGCATTGAGGCTGACATGGATCATTTGGACACTTTCCATGTTGGTGGCGGTTGGAGTAACGATGGCCCAAAGAGCCACCACCAAATGGACTATTACTCTGGGTCCTTTGCCATTCAGTTCCTGCAGCTGCTTTATGCCAAGCTCGCGGGAGACTTTGACTCCGAGCGAGCTGCGAGATATCGCGACCGGGCCAGGGACTTTGCTAAAGATTTTGTGCACTACTTCGATCCCGATGGTATGTTTCGGAGGAATCCATAACTGGAATAACGCTAATTGTTCAACCGTTACAGGAAGTTCAATACCTTTCGGACGATCAATGACCTATCGCTTTGCAATGGTTGGCTTCTGGGGTGCTTTGGGGTTCGCAGATGTTGATCTTCCAGCGCCTTTGACCTGGGGCGTTGTAAAGGGTATCCTGCTCCGTCATTTTCGGTGGTGGTCAACACAAGAGGACATATTCAGCAGCGACGGCACCTTGAACCTGGGGTACTCGTATGCCAACACATACCTGACAGAGAACTACAATTCTCCGGGATCGCCATACTGGTGCTGTCTCGCATTCACCCCATTGGCACTGCCGGAAACACATCCTTTCTGGTCCGCTGAAGAGGAGCCATATCCAAGCGCCGCACTGCCCAAGATTGCAGTCCTCAAATACCCCAAGCACATTATCGTTCGTCAGGGTGGACACTCATTCTTAATGTCGTCCGGGCAAGCGTGTCACTATCCGCTGAAAGCGACGCAGGCCAAATACGGAAAGTTTGCTTATAGTGCAGCCTTCGGGTATTCTGTGCCCACAGGCTCCTATATGCTAGAGCAGCACGCACCAGACAGCATGCTTGCACTGTCTGAAGATGGTGGCGAGATTTGGCAGACGCGAAGAATAGCGCTCGACGCCCGATTCGAGGAACCGGACCCTAATGGGCCACCTGTTCTGGTCTCGAGCTGGAAACCATGGCCAGATGTGGACGTAGAGACAATCTTGATCCCATTGACAGGGGACTACGAGAACTGGCATCTACGTGCCCACCGTGTGCGTACCAGACGCGATCTGCAAACTTCGGAAGGTGCTTTTGCGATCTATGGGTGCCGCAGTGATAATGGACGCATGCTGGGACCGATGACTGGAGAAGCAGATGAGGGGACAAGGAAAGATAATCGCAGTGCGCTGGTTGTTTCTTCTGCAGGTGCTGTTGGTATTGTCGAACTGCAGTCGACAGTTGCCCGAGAAGGGCAAAACGTGCTGGCAGACCCTAACTCGAACCTCATCCATGGGCGAACACTTCTGCCGTCACTGCAAATGGATTTGACTGCTGGTCAAGACTGTTGGTTCGTGTCCGCTGTGTGTGCTTTGCCATCCCGGCCCGATCAGAAGAACTGGCGATCAGTCTGGGAGAGCAAGCCCACGATTCCAGCATGGCTCGAGAAGAAAATGGCTCAAATTTAGAAAGCAGTGGATCTTATTCAATGGTTAGACTTTTTAGTATTCTATGTCTAATTTCGTTTCTTTGCAATTCAGGATGTTCTCAGAGACGAATTATCCTCTCTGCACTTTTAGATTGCATTTTCTTGAGGAAGGCGAGGAGGCCGCTGTGGAAGTGCTTCTCAATTATCTCGAAGGGCTCGGATGGTTTTACAGCATTGCATAGAGCAACTGGCGCCGATCGTCTGGCAGTTGTGGATATACAGATTACTAAGTAGTACCTGAGCCTTGGTTCATAATCGTATTGAGAGACTGGTATCGGTTCGCCCTTATAGATGTCCAAATACAGCTTATCTAGCAAACATCACAAACACTTCTGAAACGAACAGCCTCGCCAATCTACAAACCCCGCACTTAACAGGATGCAGTTTGGATAGAGTATTCCTCTACTGGAATTGTCAGTCAAACAATGCCGAGGAAATTGTGCTGGCTTTTCAATCGGAACAAGCCGAAAGATAAAGCGGGTGTAAGCCCATGACATGCATCTCCTCCAAAGCCGCTTCGATGTCATTGACAAGTGCAGTCCCAACAGATAAGCACCAACATTGAAGACAACGGCCTCAAACTACTATATACAGGCTCAGACCCACAATTCGAGTATACATCACACTCGCTTCTCAGGAAACACAGGCCTGGCTAACAATAAACAATAGTATCGTCGCAGTCCACGGACTAAACGGCCACCGCGAAAGATCATGGACAGCATCCAACGGCGTTAACTGGCTTCGAGATTTGCTGCCAGCTGATCTTCCTCAGACCAGGATATATACCTGGGGTTACAATGCACCGCCTGGGACAACTTCTCTCCAGGAAATCTCCGAGAGATTGATCTCTGATCTTTGGGAGATGAGAGAGTCTACAGCAGTATGCAACTGGGTTAAGAACTAAGTTGTTCACTTCGTTGCTGACGGATATTATCTAGACACATAATCATCCCGTTATTTTCTTCGCACATAGTGTTGGGGGGTCTGTCGTCAAGAGTGTATGTCTCTTTTCCTTTTCACTAGTTCCTTATTGAAACAACTCTTCCAGGCTCTACTATACTCCGACTCGGCACAAGAGACTTCAATCCACCACCTTCGGAGTATTAGCCTCTCAACGAAGGGAATGTTCTTCATTGGCACACCAGAGCTAGACTCTAGACTTGCGGGATTACAAAGTTTCGTCTCTACTTTCAAGGGAACCGACCAGGAGCAAAGCGACAGTTATAAGGAAGCAAGCTGGCTAGTTGATCTATTGGAGCGGTTTTCTTCATTCGGCGGGAGTTTTCGAACGGTTTTCGTTTATGAAAGGCCTAATAATGCCTCGTCAGCACAGGTGAGAGAACCGCTGCCATTGCCCATATTCTTCTACTAATATCTTCTCTTTCGAATAGAGTATTCCATCACCGCCGCACAAGCTCGCTTCATGTATGGCAATTGATGCTGATCATAATCACATGAACAAGTTTGGATCACCTTTGGACGTTGGGTATTTGAGGATCAAGGAATATCTACTTGAAATGACTGAAAATGCCGATGAGGGCAGTCCGTGGGAATAGCAGACCTACGCCAATTTAAAACAACCTAGTCAAATATAAAACAAGTCAATGACATCTAATTTCTTCGTAACTCCATTATATAGCATCCGAAAAGATACAAACCCGACATCATGAGGCCGGCGCACCGTTGGGAGCACTAGCAGGTTTAGTGGGCACGGTCTTCGGCAGAGGCGGCAGCAGGTTCTTCGCGCTCTCGCGAGCGTACTGAGCCATCAGGGCATCCATAATAACCAGCGAGGACATGGCCTCGACAATGGGGACGGCGCGAGGAACAACGCAAGGGTCGTGACGGCCCTTAGCCTCAAGAATGCCCTCCTCAAAGCCGTATGTGGCGGTGGTCTGGGCCTGGCCGATAGTGGCTGGCGGCTTGAAGGCAACACGGAAGTAAATAGACGCGCCGTTGGAGATACCACCCTGGATACCGCCAGAGTTGTTGGTCTTGGTGGTCAAGCGCTGAGGACCGGACTCTGCGGTAGCGGCAACAAAGGGATCATTATGAATCGAGCCCGGCACTTCGCAGCCGCCGAAGCCCGAGCCGATCTCGAAGCCCTTGGTGGCTGGGATGCTCAGCATGGCGTGGGCCAGCTTAGCCTCGAGCTTGTCGAAACACGGCTCACCCAGTCCCACAGGCACATTGCGGATCACGCAGGTCACTGTACCGCCAATGCTGTCATGGTTGTCCCGGAAGTTCTCAACGACCTTGGTCATCCGCGCGGCGGCTTCGGTGTTGGGGCAGCGGATCGGCGCGAACGAGTCCACCGTCGGCCGGTCAATCTTTTCGAGCAGCTGCAGAAATTCGGGGTTGGTCGAAGGGGAGGGATGTTCGGGAGTCGGGGGGAACAGGTGCTCATTGCCCACGGAAGAGACGAAGGAGACAATCTCGACGTTATGCGACAAACGGAGGTATTTCTCGGCGATGGCACCAGCGGCGACACGACCTGACTTTTCATTAGGGTACGGAGTCTTCAACGAAGGGGCCTGCCTTACCAATAGTCTCCCGAGCACTGCTGCGACCACCACCGCTGCTCGCCTTGACGCCGTACTTCTCCAGGTAGGTGAAGTCCGCGTGGCTAGGGCGGGGGTACAGGTCCATTGTGCTGCCACCGTAATCCTTGGGCCGCTGGTCCTCGTTGCGGACCATCATGCCAATTGGCGTGCCCAGTGTGATCCCAAACTCCGTGCCCGACTGGATCTCTACGCGGTCCTTTTCGTTTCGCGGGGTGGTCAAGGCGCTCTGTCCGGGACGGCGGCGAGTCATCTGGGGCTGGATGTCATCCTCGGTGAGCTCCATGCCCGGCGGGCATCCGTCGACAATGCAGCCGACCGAGCGGCAGTGGGACTCGCCATAGCTATAACGTGAAGAGTGTCAGTACAGGCGGCGAGAGTTCAGCTCCAGGCATCTTACGTGGTCACCCGGAAATGGTCACCCCATGACGACATGTTGAGTGGTGGTGGTTGTAAATACCAAAGGGTAATTATATCAAGGGAAGGCCTTGACAGAAATCGTAGTAGTCGTAGGGAGGACCAGAGAAGGTGTAATCAGAACGAAAGAAAAGTTCCATGTTCGACTCATCCCACCCTTCCTATCTGGGACTAGCGCATCCGACCATCGGCCTTGACTTTCTTTGGTCTTGTTGCACCTTGTGTCAGTAATGCTGCTGCAACTGCGAGGATGGTCTTCCTCCCGCACACTATGCGATAAAACTACAAGGCTCTGCTGGCCCCGCCGCAACTCTTCATACCCTCTCAGCCGCTTCGCTGAGCTCGTTGGCCGCCCGTCTTCGCGACACCAGATCTACCAATCCGTCTCCACGGACCCATACGTAAACCTCTCGATCGAGCATTTCCTCCTTGAAAATGCGCCAGACGACTCGAGCATTCTATTCCTCTACACCAACCGGCCATGCGTGGTGATCGGGCGCAACCAGAACCCATGGCTGGAGACAGATCTGCGCGCGCTGCACAATGATCGCCAGAATGGTACGGCCAGAGAGGATTGCGAGAGCGCGCTCTACGTCCGGCGGCGGTCTGGAGGTGGAGCGGTTTTCCACGACGAGGGGAATCTCAATTACAGCGTCATCTCGCCGCGTACGGCGTTCACGCGCAACAAGCATGCCGAGATGATGGTTCGGGCGCTGCACCGCGTCGGGGCGACAAATACCAGCGTCAATCAGCGACACGATATCGTGATGACCCCCGACGATGCATCAAAAGACCCAAGCGAGCCTCCATCCCGCAAGGTGTCCGGGTCGGCATTCAAGCTCACCCGGCACCGGGCCTTGCACCATGGCACATGTCTGCTGGATTCGCCCAATATCCATGATCTCGGCCGCTTCTTGCGATCACCGGCGCGCGGATACATCCAAGCCAAAGGTGTAGAAAGTGTACGATCGCCCGTAGGGAATGTCTCCTCTGCGTTCGCCGACTCTTTCTTCTCCACCCTCGCCGTGATTGAAAGCGTGGTGGAGGAGTTTGCGCGGCAGTATGGTATCCATCCAGACGCTGTTCTCCGGGCGCGCCGGGCGCATGCCAATGACCCCGAGATCTACGCTGGAGACAGCTGGGTCGCCGGCACGGTTGGAGATGTACAGGGCGAGCAGGTGCCCGAGATTGGCAAAGGCATTGCTGAGCTACGGGTGAGTTTCATTCCTCGCCCTTCTACGAAGAGCAATCGCTTACCTACTTCTTGCAGTCCTTGGAGTGGAAATACACACAGACTCCCCAATTCACCTTCTCAACCTATCCCATCGACGAAGACCCTCGCGAGCGAGCACCGCTCCCACCCACCCTTCCATCTTCCGTAAGTGTTGCCCTTCCATGTGTGTATTGCTTTTTAAATACTGACATCATCCATAGACCCGCGTATTTCTGCGCCTCAAGCACGGCGCTATCATTGGAAGCTACATATCTGTTTCCTCGGACCCATCCATAGCATCTGATCAGGCTGCTCGCGTGCATGAGGCTCTCAATGGACAGCATCTACATGAGATTATGCGGTCACAGTGGACGGAGATTCTGCGACGGGGTCTGGGCGGAACACAAGATGTAGACGATGGCGTTATCCGAGAACTGGCGCGGTTCTTGGGTGGGTTGCTTGGAGGATAGGTTGGCGATCTCGCGTGGTTTGATATAAAGATCGATGTGTACGATAATCCGCCGTGTATAGAGAGCCCGAATATGAAGAGCAGCCGCAACGACACCCCTCTAAACTGGATTCACAACCCCATCCAGATATTTTCCATGGCAAGAAGATTGTTTACATGCCCAACGCGCCGTCGTACAATACTGAGCCAAAAAATGCAAGCAATATGTCCCCAAGACCAAGACAGAAGTCCCACCACACGTCTATAGATTACGCCCAAAATGGAAATGTCACTTGACCGAGAGACATCACCAGCCCGATTTCCATAGTGAAGCTGGGCTCACGTGCAGAAATGATCCCCCCCCAACGGAGAAAATGTCAATTTTGACCCGGAATAAGAGGGTCAAAGGAGCTGTAACTCGCCGCTGCTCGCCATGAACTGATAAGCCTGCACTATCTTATCATAGATAAGGCTCCGCAACTCATCCAACATACGCCCCATCGTGACGGCCCCGTAGCCCTCTCTGCTATTGGAGGAGGTGCAGGACCTAGCTCATACTCATTTAGGTAACCACAGCTATACAAACAAGGCACATTCACCCCATAAAACACGCTAGATCTTTGACACTATATTCATTAATATGGAAGAGTGTTCCATATAAGATGTATACTGTGGGTTGCCCCGGGCAACCTGTGTTGATCCCCGCTCGGCAATCTATGAATCGACACCGTCCGTGATTGGGTTTCCTCGATCGCACTCTAGCCCTTCAGCCCCCCGATCGTGTTGTTTATCTGCGAACTTGCCACCGAACGGGCATCTTTCTCTCATTCCTCGCAGACGGCTCTCTCGGCCAAGCTCGTGGCACCCCCACCATGCTGCTCAATCCTGGAATGCGTCCCTTCATTCCCGTTTGAACGTGTCTCACAATTCCATTCTCTCCGGCATGGATCACCACCGTCATCCAAAGAAGCTTCGTTTGCTTCTACTGTCGCTCATACAGCCCGTTTCCGCGGCCGTTCCCTACGCACCCTCCTCGCTCTTCCTCTCCCCACAACACAATAACTCCCTCGCTTATCTCCTCCAGCCTAGCAGTTCCGGCACAGGCGCAACCGAATTCCTCTCCCTAAATCTTTCCAGTAGCGTCGATGCTGGCAGTCCGTCATATAACACCTTGCTGGACCGAACACCGTTCCAGAGCAATGACGAGACCTCCACGTTCGTCCCTGTCATCAGCGATCAAGGCGCCATCACAGTCTACTCAGGGGACTGCCATCTGTCCTCTCCAAATCCAGATCTATGGCGCTTCCACCCGTACAAACGCACTTCGAATGGCAATGGGACTTGGGAACGACTGTCTCTGAGCTCGGACACAACTCGACCAAACTACCTGGCGGCCGGGTTTACTTTCTCGTCTACCAATACAAGTGAATCCAGCATTTTTATGTTTGGCGGGATGTGTCCGTTCCAGAACAGCAAAAATGACAGCTGGATTTCTGCGGCGACCTACTCCCAGTCGACAATTGTCTTGAATCCCACTGGGCCTCATAGCACCGACTACCAATCCTCCACGACTGGAGCCCGAGCACCACCGATCCCGGAGGCAGGCAGTGCAATTGTCCCACTATCAGCTACTTACTCGACCGCCTCGACAGACAAGCAACAGGACTTCCTTCTCATCGGTGGACATACCCAAAACGCTTTTCTGAACATGTCTGAACTCGCCGTGTTTTCTCTACCGCAAGAAAGTTGGAGCTTTGTCTCGGTGAATAAACCTCCTACGTCAAGGACAGAGTTGGCTATTCGTGGGCAGGCCACGGTGGAGCCTCGATCGGGTCATACCGCACTGCTCTCGCAAGATGGCCGCAAGGTGTTTGTACTCGGAGGCTGGGTAGGGGATACCAGTGTCCCCGCTGAGCCGCAATTCGCAGTTCTGGTGCTTGGAGAAAACTACAGTGGCACAGACTGGAGCTGGATAGTTCCCTCATCCAATGGACTGGGCCTTCCTGAGGGCACTGGAATCTTCGGACATGCAGCAGCGATGCTTCCGGGTGATGTGATGATGATTGCTGGAGGGTACAGTATCCCAAAACAATCATCAAAACGCGCCGCTTCCACTGCACAAAAAAACTCGCAGGTCTATCTCTACAATGTGACATCGGACAGTTGGGTCACTTCCTACACAAACCCTGAAGCTCATTTTAAGGCAGCCTCGACACCAAGTGGTGGCAGCGGTCTGTCAAACGCGCAGAAAGCAGGCCTGGGTGTCGGATTAGGGCTTGGAATTCCCGTTTTAATTATCCTGCTTTTCTTTGGGTGGATTCTGTGGAGGAAACGAATTGTCCGGGGAAAGCGCGACTCTCAACTCCGTGACTTGGCCCTGGGAGCTGAACGCGCCCATTTCTGGGGCAGAGATGAACCGTTCCAGGCGAGCAGCGTCCGAAGCTCCCAGATGGGTGAGAGGCAGGATTCTGCTAATGCCTATCCCTGGACAGGGAATCGTGGCTACGGCGGCCGGCAAAACTGGAGGGATCCTGGTGGAAGTTCACCAGAAAGAACAGGACTACTCATGGATGCTGGGAGTCCATCGAAGTATGGCAATCAACCACCCATGAATGTCAGACCGTACAGGTTCTCTGGGACGACACAGTATCGACGTAGCGATCCAACAAGCGAGATCCATCCAATTGACGAGCGTGAAGAGGATGAAGCAATCTTCCGGGAGCGTCTAATGGCCACAATACCCTTCGGAGAAGGGCACGAGCTTGGCGAACAGGGAGATTCACTTATCGAAGATCCCTTTGCATCGCCCCGAAGCACTCTCTTTGGGATGGGCCTAGGTCCATTCTACAGCCGGCGAAGGGATGCTGGGTCTGTTGACCTCGACGGCCGCATTTCTCCCGCCAAGAGTGATCGAACATCCACAAACCTGTCCGAGTCATCGGCCGCTTCTTTCGTATCCTTCAGGCCCGCCGGTCATATTGCCCAGGTACAGGCTATGATTGCAGAACGACCGCTCAGCTGGGCAAGCAGCGGCGGCCACTCGTTCGAGCACCTCGCTGTGGCATCCACAGCCAGCAGGGAAACCACGCACAGCGATCCAGATGGGCTACCAGCCCCATCTGAGAAGTCCTTGTCGGGAGACTCCTATTCCACAGCTCAGACGACTATCACCCAGCGCCAAGCTGAAAACGACTCTCTCCTCTTCGACGACGCATCTCGATCCCTCCAGTCCTCACCCTCCAAACTCCCACGCGAATCTAAACCCAGAGCATCCGACTGGATGATGCAAACCATGCGCCGAGCCTTGACGCTCACCCGCCGCGGGACAAACAGCTTCAAAGAAGCCAGTTTCGCACCGCTCGCCTCGGGCATCGACCGCCGCAGCACCGTCATCGGAGCAGGCGCCGACGTCCAAGACCCCAACTCCAGCACCCCCCGGAGAGCAGTGAGTGCATCGGCAGAGCTCTTCCGACGCAAACAGGGCGCCAAGGACTGGGGAGCAAACAAAAATGTCTCGGACAACGTCTTCTCCACCCCCGGTCGACGCGCGATGACCTGTTTTTCGGTGCACCAGGTTATCTGGGTGATGACGATGACGGAGATTACGATATCGACGACGACAATGACTGGGACATTGAGGGTGCTGCAGAGGGCCGCCGCGTCCAGGTTACGTTCACTGTGCCCCGCGAGAAACTCCGGGTCGTCAATGCCACGGCTGGGGACTTGGATAACATCTCGGAGCGCTCGATAAGCCGTAGTTTTAGTGATGCACCGGGAAGCCTTAGCCGTCGCAAAGTGAGCGCATAACGGCCTCACTCTGTCTCATCTGGCTTAGCTACTACTTACTAGCTAGGTCTGGCTTGGGAGGCTTCTCTCTTGGTTTTTTTTCTGTCTGCTTTCCGCCATGTCCGCATCTGAAGCGTTCTTTTGCCCTCCTTGATTGGTGTACGATTGTGAGTCTGACTATCTGTCTGTGTGGTCGGTGGATTCTGTTTGAAGTCGGCGCAGCTGCGCCGTGGAGTCTGTGTATGGGATGGCGCTTGTTTAGATAACGTTGGTACTTGAGTACAAAATGAAATTTACGATTTATTGAGTTCAGTTGCTCTTGTACATCCTACAGCATTTCCATACTTGCGATTGGGATCAATTGGTTATCGCGTAGGGTATCTGGTACTTATGTGCTCGCAACAACAAAAGGGTACATCAAGATACATCCCCGTCTAGAATAACCCCTATGTATAGATCCCTACAGTACTGTTGTAGCTAACCGCCATATATACTAAGTAGACTAACGAAGATAAAAGCCGTCTATTTAAATTAAGAGATATTCAAAAGCTATCGTAGGGTCGTATTTGTAGTTTTTTTCCTAGAAGGACTCTAGGGGTAGTTAAATTCTAATATTATTCGAAGTGTTCTAGACGGTCCTAATCCTCTTCTAGCAAAGAGAATCATCTAGTTTACTATAGACGGATAGTTAAACGTGGACTAAGCACTTAAAGAAGTCCTAGACTAAACTAAGTCTATCACGTCCTAAGCGTAGAAGTCAATATAGAACGGGGTCGAGAATCTCTATATTCTATTAAGCGTTCCCATAAGTCATCTACTTCGGAATTAGAACGCATTAATCCACGGCTTCGACCGTCTTAAAATATATGAAATTCATCTTATCTAGGTTTCTAGAGGAGAAAAGTCTACCGCTATATCTTTGTGCTATGAAAGGCTTTCTATAGAACCATTATTACTCCCTTCTAAACTATGTTCGATAGTTTTATTCGATTAATTCTTTTTGAGAGCGTTTCCCCCCTTATATTTGCTCGTAAGCTCGTCCATTGTCTTTCGAACTAGTAGAGGATGATTCGACTCCTTTTTCTATTAGATACTAGTGCAATTCAAAATAACTAATGAGAAGAGAAGGTAGCTCACTAATTATTCCTTAGATAAAGGCCACCCTTGCGAGTGAGACGCTAATGTGAATATTTAGCCGGTTTTTCTCATTCGGACGACTAGGTTTATGTCGGCATCACATTCCGTGTAGTACTCAAAAGCTTTTTTTAAAAGTGTCTCCCTCCTTTTCTACGCTTTCTGATGGAGTCTTCTAGTACGAGTTGATTCTATAGTGTCTTTTTGGGGCGGTGTGGTTTTAGAAAGAGCTATAATAGGAGAGGCTTCCATTATCGCAAGTGTTGGTAACTTTAGCTGTGTTAATGCGACTTTGCGAGTACACATATGTATAGACCCTAGTTAATAGAGATTAGAAAAGCTCCTAAAAACTCTTATATTGGTTGCTCTAGCAAAACAAGCGCCTTAGATTGAGCTTTTCGGATTGCGAGAGAAAGTAATAGGCAAAAGAAGACCTATAGTGATCAATTATCTAAAAACCCCACTAAGTATGTGCTGATAATTATCATGGTGCCCTGGCTACGATTGATCGAGCTGAAGGAATCGTGACTGGAATACGAAACGGAGCCTGAAAATTGTCGAAGATGGCCAGGCTAATCGGAGTTGCTTCCTCTTCAGCTCCATATAGCCAAAATTTTGACAATTTCGCCGTCACGATGGCCATTTCATTTTTTTGATTATTTTGAGGGATGCAGACGAAGGACAAAGAAAGGGCGCCTGGTTTGAGGGAAAACCAGCTCATGTGTATTCATTTTGTATTGAAATCGTATCAGTTTGTCACGTATGTATCTTTTATTTGCTTAGCCTGGCGAATCTGCTCTACACAGCCACTAAACTAATCGCACAGCCACCGTCCCCTGAGCACTATTGTTTTATTCGTAATAGTGAAATCTGTATGTTTCTTACGGAAACATATTGGAGCGGGAAGTAGGGCGCACAATGGCATGTCAGGTCAGAACTGACAGACCGACAGGAGAACCAGGGCAGAATTCGGTCAACACGGAGTGCTTCGACTGAGTAGAATGATGAAGCAATCGAACGTTTGTATATTCTCTCCTGTGTACCGAGCATGTGTATGATGGTAGAATCTAGGATACAGTAGTTTCGTCCTCCAACCCGATTCCCTATCTGTAAGGCCAAAACATATCACGTGGCCGCCGAGCGCCAGCCCGGCTGCACTATATATGAGATCGATACTTCGAGTCAGCCCTGAGCCGTTTTTTTGCCTTCATTTAACAATCTCAGATCATCTTAATGGCTCCTTCTTCAGCAGTAACACTGCTTGACCTCTCAATCGTGCAGACATGGCGCCTTGAGTCTTAGGCGCTTCCCACTCAGGACGGCCTCTCTATCGACTATTGTCAAAAATGCTATACCGCTAGACCAAAAAGCACTATAGGCTCTTGACTAGCTAATACAGTCATTTTCATATTCGACAATTATGTCTGTCTTGCAAAAGATGTATCTATCTTCGATATCAGGTTTCAAGGGCAACTCCATCTGCTGTAGACCATCCTGAACAAACAGCCTCCGAAGTTGTTCCATCGAGGAAAGTCAAGGGGTTGCCATGCATGTTTTTGTTGGAATCCGAAGGGGGCAACGAATAGCAAAAGTGCCAAGTCTATCAAAGGGGCGCAGATGCTAGCAATTATCTGACTGGTTACTTAACGTTGCCAAATAGACCCTCAGCCACCGCCTGGCCCCAAGTCTGCGGATCAGACTGCTACTGAAACTGGCACCGAGCAGCCTCCAGCAACGTCAGACATCGATATAGTGGATACAACTCCGACAGCACAGCCCCCTGCGCCGGGACCATCTGAACAGCAACCAGAAGAGACTGGGGTCTCGCAAGCCGTCGAAGAGACACCACAGCCCAATATCGAAGCTTCCACAGCTCCTACAGAAGAAGCGAAGGCTTTGGATTCTGCTGCTCCTGTGGCTGATGAGACTGAGCCTGTGATTTCCAACAAGCCTACCCCCACTCCGGAGCCGTCTACAGCCATAGCAGAGCCCGCTGAGCAGGTAGTTTCTGGAGATGGCGATGAAGTAGCACCACAATCCATTGCCCTGGAGGCCGATGGGACCACTGAAGCTGCCACCGAAGGAGCGCCTGATCTTGCGCCAAAGGTATCTGAGAATGCACCATTAGCAAGCCCCGAGAGGCCCGTCGAAGAAACGCCTGCGGAACCTTTGACAGAGGCACTAGCTATCGAGGAACCCATGCCAACTTAAGCGGCTAAGATATCGCCAGAGCAAGCTTTAAGGGACCAAGAACTTGAAGGGATCCCTACCCCGCCTCTGCCCCAGCCCGACGCACCACAAGAACAACCTTCTAAAGATGGCTCTAAGAGCAAATGAGCAGCTCTTCTAGACACCCTTGAGAGCAGTCTCGACAACGCCGCTATAACCGATGAAACGCTAGTTGTCAAAGAGGACGTGGACATGAACGATGTGCCGACAGAAGCTGAGCAGCAACAAGAACCGGCAGAAGTTCCCGCTCCGGTCTAGCCGCCGCCACCATCAGTAGCGCCAGTTGCAGCGATAGACGAGGGTGAGCCTTAGTCTAGCCCAGACGAGTCTGCGCCCGCAGATTCGGCTGCCGTTGCTAAGCCGGCACCCGCTGTCAAAGGAGAGACGTCCACTGAAGACGACAAAGGTGAGGAAGTAGCAACTACTGCTGCTGAAGCAGATGTCAAGGAGGTTGTGGAGACCGGAGAGGAACAGAAGCCTGCATCCGAGTCGCAGCCCGCGCCGATAGACTCGACATAGTTTGATATATCTAGGTGGGGATATACTCTGGAAACATTTCTCACCGAATCTTGAGTTTGACTTCTATTCTGTCAATTTATGGTGTACAATGGATGAGCATCTTCGGTTTTCGTCTTTTTTTTCCCTTTACATATTATTTGCTCGGTCTGTTACACTCATTACTGGAAATGGATGTTTATGGTGTATCTGGTGTGATCCAATTGAATATTGAGATGTTTCTTATGAGATCTTATTGCCACCGATTCATAGAGAAAAGCGTCTGGTCCCAGCTGACATTGTAGTCCACGCCATCAAAACAAAGCAGATCCGTATATAAGCTGTCGATCGACATCCCTTTAAGCCGCCCAGCTCCAGGAGCCCCCTCCGTTACCCTCAATGAGAAAACAATTTGCCATATTCGATCCACTTACTTCAATAATCGTTGCTAGATCATTGCATCCGCTGTCACTAAAGATCTTCCATCCCAGCCACTCTCCTTCAAGTGCAACAGAAAGGAATGGTTCAGTAGTTGAAAAACATAGCCCATCTGGCTGCGGTGCTTGCGTGTAAGTACTCCCTGAACCGTCACAGATCCCCGTGAAAGTGGTAATCGCGGAAAGAGGAACTTGGCGTTTCGTGACATCCGAAGCCCTAATGAGTATCGTTAGCGATAAATTCTAAACATAATATACTTGTAACCATACAAGGGAGTGGCGTTGACGCCGAGGAGAAGCGAAGCAATGACAAGTCCGAGAAAACGCATTTTGCTCTGTAGATTATCGACGAAGAACTCGAGTAGCAAAGACAACACTGTGGAATTCACGTTTGCACTTGTAAAATAGATTTTGGATTTGCCAAGTAGTAATTGATTGAGCTTCTGTTGGGGAGGGAGTTCGAGCACTTAAAGTACAAGGGGCGTGAAAAGGAAAATAGGTAATAATAGAAGCGATTGCTGACCGGCGAAACTATACATTAGCATTTCGAAGGACCCTCACAAGTGTGAGAGGTCCAAAGGTCCTAGAGGCCTAAAGGCAGCAGGGGGCCTTAACTGAATATAGTAGCTAGCAGTCAAGAGCTGAGATATCACCTGACCGAATTTATGCGTGCGCTCTCTCGTATTCGCTGGCTCGTAGCGAGCTCGGTGAGGCGCGCTACACCATCGGGTCGTCGACTTGGTATCACCTCAGTATGGGGATAATTTGTCAAGATGCCTATTTGCCCCTGGCCTAAGTGCTCGATTGCAGAACCACTTGCTGGCTGGCTAAACAAACCAAGTTGATTAAAAGGCTAAAACTGAGTGATTTGGGATGAATCGTAATCCCCTGATCAATCGCCTAGCCGATACCTACCACCTATACTGTCATCTGTTACGCTGGTGGCTTGGTGTATGTATGTATGCCTGTGTGTCGCTTGCGTGTTGCGCACAGAACCACTTGACTGTATATAATCAGGGCCAAATCTAGAATGCGAATATGCATAAGGGACCCGATACAGAGGAAAGAGAGAAACGAAGGAAGAAAACAGGACAAAAGAAGCAGGATTGTAGCTGAGAGGTCCTTCGAATATTAGAGAAAATAAGATCGTTAATGAAAAAAGGCTTCACGATCATGCTAACTCAAACTCAGTCCAAAATCCCAGTTTGAATTACATTTGACTGTACAGAGAGAGAGAGAGAGAGAGAGAGAGAGAGAGAGAGAGAGAGTGTGTGTGTGTGTGTGAAATCATTTACCCCGACCCATCGCTGAGCGATATGCAGGCTACCGCAACTATATATATCCTTCTATGTACATGTAGAGCGTACCACTACCTGAAAACGAACTTAGAGCCTCGTCAAGGCCTGCCGTGGCCTGTTGCCGTTGTAGGTGTTAGGCTGCCCTCATGGCGCACGACTTTGAAACCGTTGTGATGCCTCCGCAAAGTCCAGTACAGCCCCCACTGTGCCGGCCCGCGTGGCAGTGTTTTGCTTACCTTCCTTACCTTCACCACAACCTCCCAGAAGGCTCGACACGCTGTTGAACGCATCGCCAACCTTCCTCCGTAGTTCCTGCCGCAAGGTTCTCAGCCGCGGGCAGTCTACGAGCACGTGGGCCACGGTTTCTCGTGCACCGCATACACACTTGTCGTCTTCGGCGTGACCTCGGAGCTTGCGATATGTTGATAGCCACGAATGTCCCGTTCGCAGTTGTGTCAGCAGGTAGGCTCGGTTCCTTGGCAGGGAGCCATATAACCGTCTTGTGTAGGTAGAGGGCAGCGTGTTGTCGATTCTGCGAAGGTGGCTTCCTTTCTCGGACGTTTCCCATTGCTGTTCCTCCTACAGCGATATTCGAAATCAGATATACCAATATGAGCCTCACACGGAATGATTCCCGAACCCTAATCCGAAACGCGCTAGTCTAATTTTAGTTTCCCTCAGAATCCCTGCTGAAATGTATCGTATTGCCTAACAGTGATTGATTTAAGTCATTGTTATAATACCGTATCGCTGCATGGAATTCCGTAGAATCTTGATTGCAAACAGTCCAAACGGAGTGGGAGCTGGCTGGGATTTGGGTTCAAAAATGGCTGGTATTTGCCGGAAGCCCAACAACCCTCACCATACAAAATGACTGGTATTCGCTGAATACCAGCGACCCCCATGGGATAGGTACAGATTCTCAATTGACCAAAAAGGTCACAAGAAGGAGAGACAAGCAGGCAATAGTTCCCCCAGGAGCCCAGAAGCTGTTACTGCCCGACGTTGGTGAAGAAGTTGGAGATGTCGTAGAGCTCGCACTTGTAGATACATTTGTGGTGGTGCCATTCGCATCCAGTGCAAGCGCGGCCTCGAGGATTTGGTCCCAAAACTCACACTTCTTATAGTCCAGCGGTCCGACATCTACCACATCGTTGATTGTGATGCCCTCGCTTTCACTGGGCGTCCAAGCTGGCCACTGGCTGCTGTTGGCTGGCTGTCCATTAGCCGCCATGCTTGTCCATGCCTCGACCATGAAGTCGCTGAGGGCGACCTCAGCCTTGGTGAAGCTGCAGTTTCCATCAGGTCTTGGTAGTCCCTTGGTCTGTCCGAAGACAAAAGGGATCTCGCTCGTGTGCGTCGGACCGAGAATGGCGAGAATCTCATCTGACTGCGGCACATCGAATCCCCACGCGCAGGTGTCGGTGTGGTTGAAGTTGTAGGCCCAGGCATCGATACCGTTCTTGGCAGCAAGCTTTAGGGCACGATAATTGGGGCATATCTCGGAGTAGTCAGTGCTGATAGTTGTCATAGCCGTGTAACCAGGATAAGGCGAGTCCTTAAAGGCACTCCAAGGGTACGTTTTTTTGACGGTGGATGCAAGCGATCCAAAGCTATAGGACAAAAACTCATCGTAATCGGCCTCGGTAATATTCACAATGCCGGTGCCATATTGCGTAAGAACGTCGATGCTGCCGTCGTTGGCCGTGTTGCCAAAGATGGCTGGAACGCGAGAACCAACCTTGCCTGGGTTCTCGGGGACGACCTTGCCGTCAACCACGGCAAGCCAAGCGCTACCGATGCCATTGCCATGATATAATGTGCCTACAGTAGGGACGTCTGGGCCGGCGTTGTTTTCGGCCTGCCACGTCTTGTTCATAGCCGTTATGGATGTGCTGCGCAGGCACTTGGTGATGGAGTCAGGATCATCCAGGTCGCAGCCAACTCCGCTAATATATTCCGAATAAAATGGCTTTGTCCAAGCTAGGTTTGGCGAGTCATGTCCTCCGCTAGACTCCATGGCCGCGGCGCGGAAAAGAGAGGGTGCCTGGGGCAGAGAGCTGAGGACGTAGGTGTCGTAGGCGCCGGCCGACTGCCCGAATAACAGAACCTTGTCCGGATCGCCGCCAAAGGCACCGATCTCCTTCTGAACCCAGCTTAGTGCTAGTAGCTGGTCTTGAATACCATAGTTGCCTCTAAGGCCAGCATCCTCGTACGCCAGGAATCCAAGGGGGCCGAGGCGATAGTTGAGGGACACAACGATGCTATCTCTAGCCGAGGGGCAACCATCGTAGAGAGCCATTGAGATACTCCCGCCCTTGTTACTGCCACCGAACAACCAAACTTTGACTGGTAGTTTCGAGGTCTTGGTTGCGCTCGCTGGGACCCAGATGTCCAAGTACAGGCTATCAGAGCTCTGGGTCAGCATATACGGGGCAGAATGTTTCGGGAATCAAATCAGCATACCAGTCTTCAGAGAAGGCCCCTTCCACAAGTTCTCCGCCGGTGGTAAACTGAGGGCAGTTGAGGGCCTTAGACGTGGCCTTCAATACCCCATCGTATGTCGTGTTATATGGTTCTGGTGCGGCAAAGCGAAGGTCTCCCACAGGAGGCTGAGCATATGGAATTGCTAGGAAAGAGTTTACATCGTAACCGTCGCACTTGCCGCCCTCAATGGTTCCATTTGTGGTAGTGACGGTCTTTGCCCAGGCGCTGCCAATGACGGAAAGCAGAGCTCCCAGCTTTTCAAAGTGTGAACGAGACGGCATTTTGTGAAGACTTATCTCTCTAAAACGAAAGATCCTAGTGAAGGAACCAGGAAAATAATGAAGAGGTAAACAATGGTTCGGCACCCAAGTCTCATGCCCTGTATAAGCCTGACAAGATGAAAAAGAAATCCATACGGGACGTCATGGCCGTTAAGTAGTAGAGTAAAATGCTAGCTCACCCATTGCTGAGAATGCAAAGTGGCATCACGGCCCCACGGCCCCACGGCCCCCTCGGCCTTAAGGCTGCGCCGCTGTGATCGACGTGATGATTGGAGCTACTCCTCGATTGCCGTTTCGGGTAACAAGGTTGCTATGCCGCGGAACTAATTAAAGCTACTGACTGCCCTCTGCAACTAGGTAGGCCTCGCCAACGGCCTGGTACCCTCGACCCGAAGCCCGCATTGGGTCAAATATATAACCCTTTTTTTGCACAAAGGGGTATAGATAAGCCAAAAATTTCCTATTTAGGACAATTTATGTACACAAACACGATTTGCGGGTTATAAAACGGGTTTATTGGGGGTAAATCTGCTGGGTTCCAATACTGGAGTTTTTGGGGGCCAGGGGCTAGGCATTGAGCATCCTAGAGGATTTTACAGTGATATTCGAAATCAGATATACCAACATCCTCACACGAATTAGCTCCTGAACCCTAACCTGAAACGCGCTAGTCTAATTCTAGTTTCTCTCTCAATGATCCCTGCTGAAATGTATCGTATTTGCGTAACAGTGATCGATGAAGTCATTGTTATAATACCGTATCGCTCCATGGAATCGCGTAGAATGTTGATTGCCAAGAGTCCAAACAGAGTGGTAGTTCTGAGGGTCTAGCACAATCCACCTTCTTCTGTTCCTACTCATCGCAAGCAGCCTTCGTCCACGCTCCTTTATTCGCTCGTTTTACCTACAATAGAAGGCTGCGCTAGTACTAGTAGCTAACCTTGGTAGGAGATTATGCTTGTTTCCGTGGTTCCTCTTCCTTGCGATTGTTCCGTTCGTTACTAGTGTCCGTCATTCTCCACTGAAGCTGACATGGGGCGTTATACTGTAGGGTCTTTGATTGCATGTGGAGATGACCCAAAGCCCATATCACATTGATTACATTCCTCAGCCCGAGGACCCTGAATCATGGGAACGTATTTGTCTGATGGGCGGCTTACGTTGGCAGCGATATGCAAGATTACTTTGGGGCGCCTTACGCACTGGCCATGTCAAGTACCAGTCTTTATTAGCTATTTCGCCTATATTGTGATGCTCCAAGTAAAGAAGTGAGGAAAAAATGTGAGGGTTTTTGTTCGTGCAACGTGACCAAAGGGGTTTTTACTCACTATTGATCACCCTAAACCAGCATCGCTTAAATATAGGCAAAATGTCAGTTCAATTTTATCATTATACCCTCCTTAATTAACCAGCCTCACTTTAATCGCTGTCACAACGCAATGATGACAGACCTTTCATAGTTCACAATGATGAACGATGAATTATTCCTAGTAGCTATGAAGACAACTTGCCATAGTAAATTGATGGTGGTTAAACGGGATGACCAACCTGGTGCGGACGAGAGAAGAGCAATAATGCCTAACGTACCGAAAGAATTATGCTCCTTGATTACATTGCATGAACAATATCTTCGCGCGGTTTTCCCCCCTTTACTTGAATTCGCTGCAGGATCTCATTTCACCATCCTTAGTTATTCTAAAGCCATCGTAGATGTCACGATTGGGTAAACTACCTCATTTTCTTTCTTCACAGAAGGTGGATCGATAGAGAAGGAGCATGGTAGCCTGAATGGTGGTTACGAAGTGCAGATAGTCTTATTCAACATTCCCGACGAAACTATCATACATGTTGATGAGCATTGTCATTCACACTACTAACCTTCAAGCTTGCAGTGTATGGCCGACTTGGGGGCGAGTACTCCTGAACGTATTGACCTCTTATTTCGGATGTAAAATGAAAAATTCCATGGTTTTTCTTTGCTTCTCAATTTGAACATGGGTCAAGCATGCCTAGGTGTTTACCCCGCAGATTGGGCCATAAGCTTAGGTCAATGTCTTTTCCATCGCGAAATTCAAACGCCAAGGCTGTCCATTAACTGGAATAAACAAGTTATTGGAGACAATGTCTTGTAGTTTTACCGAGTGCAAATTACTGAGCGCCAAGTTTAGGGCTTTCGGGCACCAGCTAGATGTATGTATGCACGAGTAGTTATCGATGAAAAATCTTCACCCCAAGAATACACCAAACGTAGACCTTGAATGTCGACATTTGAACACGGACTGTACGACGTGGCCACGGCAGCCTATCATTATTACCCAGAAGTTTTGCTGTACAGGTACAGTACGGAACAAAACCAAAACATTACATTACTTCGGGAGAGTACAGTGGTTGTGAGGGTCCAAGTTCAACAAGAAAGAAGTGACATTCTACGCGAATCTTCAAACTAGAGAGAAGAAGAAGAAGAACAGAAGGGGAAAGGGAAACAGGCAGACTAAATACAGGAGAGCAACAAAGAGCGACAAACACGATCTCGTGATCCGGCTTGTTCCTTCAGGTCTTCACAGTGGTGTTGCTAAAGTCTGCGTCCTCCAAAGTATATTTCCTTACCGCCTCCTTATAAAGGGACATACCGCCCATCAATAGTAGTTTTTGAGTGGTGCGGACGCTAATTGCCCGCAGAATGTTAGCGCGGTACTTTGGAGGGACGCAGACTTTAGCAACGCCACTGTATCCTTCTCTTTTCTATGAGGTGGCGGTGCTTAAATGTACTGTTATGCAACGATATTGTAAAATTGACAATGGAATTGTCACAACCCTTGCCATTTTCGAACATGCTGAGAACATAATGAGGAAAGCCACTGCCAGGCGGTATCTGGTGAACTGGGACAAGGCAAATGTCATGAGTGGGCGCCATAGACTTCTGCTGTGAGGGGCTAAAACCGTCTACAGAAACAGTAGTTTTCGGAGTTCTTGGGTAGGCCTCGCCACGCTCGAAATGTTCCAAGAAACTTCCAGACAATAATTTAGCCCGTGATGAATTGGAATTCTCTAAAAATGTATTAAGCTGTATTGTAGATTCATAAGTTTATATGGGAGCCATCGCCAAAACAAATGATTTTTAGAAAAGATATAGTATTGGATGTTGAGAATATTCAGAAGCCCGCCTGGATACGCTGTGCCTCAGTGAAATAACGCACTGAAGGGACACGTTGCGCATGGCTTTTCAGTGCTTTGTGTCCATGTAGAACAAGTCTATAGAATGTATCCGGGCACGGTATAGGCTCATCTCGTTTAAAGCCTCGAAGGTGTTTCTCGAAATGTTCTCTTGCTTTCCGCGTTGTCGCCGCAAAATAGTACTGATAGTTGGGCTAAAAGACGCAGAAGAGATAGTATCGATTAGCCAGAGAGATTGGACGATCGCGCGGCTCGGGTGATAGAGAAGATTCTTGTTCTAATCGAGAAAGCTCCTCTAGCGACGAACTCTGATTGTTATCGGCTACGGACTTAGTATTTGCTTTTAGTATAATCCTTTCGCGTAGTACTCTTTCGACTCGACTAAGGTCACCAAGTGCGTTGATTAGAGCGATACGTTGTCTTATTTCGTCTCACTCAGAAATACCTTAAGAAGGCAATTGCATTAACTCTACTAACCGACAACGTTCTTTAAGGCGGTGCACAATCTTTTCCGGTTCGTAGGATTTCTAGTCTATATCCATAAATAAAGGATCAAGTTGTTTGTTGATTTCCACGGTGTCAATAGTAGCGAAAAATTCATTTCGAGTACCATCAAATGTTGTCTTCTTTAGTTGCCGTTTGGTAGCTCTCAATACAGCTTCTGCCTTAAGCTCACTAATTTTCGTACTAGCCGCATTCTTTATGGATCCGTATAGCTCCTTAGCGTCCACAGCAAGGGAATCACGCATTTGCTATAGGCGGACTATCTAAAGGTGTTTTAATAGTGAAGTTCTCATATCCTTAGATAGATCATCGTACGTAGATAGGGCTCGAGGGTCAATATAGCGACTTTAGTAGCTAAGGATGTTTATCAATGTATCTTCCGAACGTAGTCTAAGAAATGCGGCTTGAACATCAGTCTAGACACGTTGGTTCATATATTTCTGAAAGGTGCTAGCATATACATGGCCTATCACTTGCTAGAGTAAGGGTAGAGATGTAGTTTCTAAATAGAGATTTTACTTTAGCTCTGAAAAACGGCCTATATGCAGGAAACTAGAACTTACTATCGACCGCTTCGCTAGTACCACGCCGAAGGTCGTAAGGCTTCATAGCCCGAATCATACCGACGGCTAAGCTTAGGCGCTCAAGAAAATAAAGATAGATATAGTACTTAAGAGGCTTCATGTTGTGAGTATTAATCCTAGTAGAGGTCAAAATAGGTTGACGATAGATAGGGACGTTGAGTTTCTCTGGCTTAAAGTCTAGTTTCAGGGAGCGACATGGGGGGTCACACGGGTTCTAAAAATTTCTTCGAGAGAACTAACATCACTCTTAAATACGTCGTTAAGTATTGCTATTGTAAGCACAAGATAACGACGTCGAAGATAGGCTGCTTCACTTCTAACATCAAAAATATTTTTCTTAGGGTATAGTTAGTCTAGTTAAGTACAAACTAGGCTATTAGATTACTACCTTTTTAGTCTACTATAATGACCCTTTGTATGTTTCAAATCAATTTCTATCATAAGATGATCACAGACGCCATTAGGATTTAGTAGCAAAATCAAGCTGATCTAGCCATAGCATAGAGTTTTGAGATCTAGGCCTTAAGATCCTAATCCTCTTCGTTATGAGTTTCCTCACTATCGTTAGCATTACTAAAAAAGTGCTAGATATTAGTTCGCTCATTCTTATCGACGTAAACGAGCGCCCCTAGTCGGCTTCTAGTATAAGCCGACACTAGCAAAAGAAAGGCTAGCTAGATAATTTGCTAGCCATTAGGGTAAGGTGTTATATCTTTTGTCTAGTGATAGTAGAGCATAATATATAGATCATCGACGTTCATGACGGGTTTTTCTCTAATAGAAATATCGAGTTCATAACGTAGGACTAGGTTTTCTTTTATATACTTCCCTATTTTCGTTAGAATTCCTAAGACGTAAGGCAGCAAGGGTAACCCATATCATTAATATCCTAGTAGCTCTTCGCATAAAGGCTACGCCCCATAGCTTTGCAATAGAGCTAATACTATATCCTCTAATTTTCGTACAAGCTACTAAACTTTTTTATTCTAGAGTTATCTAATATCCATTCCAGAAATATCATGACGTCCTCCTTCCTTGCTACTTCAAGCAACTTCAAAAGGGTCTTCTCCTAGATAGACGCAATGCCTAGCTTTTGTTAATATAAGGTAAAAAAAAGGTGCGATAATTATTTACCTAGTCCATTTTTTCTTAATGTAGTCGATGTTATTTTTAGTCGATATAGCATGCCGTTTCTAAATAATGCCTTTCTCTAATTGCTGACGGCGCTGGTGGAAATACTCCGGGCTAGGCGTCTACTTCTTCTTCTTCTTTATAGAAGCGTAATGATGTAAGACAGTCATAGCTTGAGAAGCAGTTAGGTGCAGAAAACCAGAAAAAAAAAGGACGGATTAAGGAAACGGAATTAGAAAGGATGGATCAAGGTAATGACAGCCACCCAGAAAGATTCTGGGAAAGTAATTCGGTAATGGCCTTTGCAGGCGAGTTATTCTGCGCAAAGTCTATAGTTGACCGAGGGGGAGAGACCCTTGAGTACTAAAGAAAATGACTCTGGAAGGACCAGCAGTAAAAAAAAGACGGTTCTATATTTGTGTTGAGCGGTTACAAGCGGATTAGAGATTAAAAAAACACACGTCACCTCTGATCGTCTGCTCTGAGCACTCTGAGCGAAGGCTGAGCAGATCAATGAGCAGCTCTGAGCGTTCAGAGAGCACATAGTTCAACCATGTCACATGACTTATGGATGACTAAGATTCCGGTAAATCGGACGCCGAAGATGGCGTCGAAGGTAGCCATTTTTGACGCCCGATTTACCGTCACCTAGCGTTGGGGTGTAATGTTGTAACCCAGCCGCCGGGAAAAAACACAGCACTTCACAATCTGATTACAATAGGTCACTCCGCAGCCAAAAGGGTAGCATGCACCACCCATGCACAATGTCGCATTTGCAGTGGGTATCAAACGTATGTACCTGTCCATCCATCCCGTGCCGGGATCCTCGGCCGGGTCGCATGCATGTCAGCTCCCACGCCCTTAACTCGACTTGTCGTGGTGCAGCGCACTTGGGAGTAGACTGTCGAATCAGTGGGCGGTGCGTTGGGTGATTGAATGCATGTTAGCAATAGTTTGGCGCACTATACAACAATAATCACGGAGCGGGATGGTCGACGATTTTCATGCAGCAGGGATAAGGGGGAGTTAGAAACGCTTGTTACTATAGCAAAGAGGAGATTTAATAGTTCATTGGATTTCCATAAACCTAGAAAATCATGTAGATGCTCGGATCGAGCTCGGTTTTTGTCCATCTCAAAAATCAAATCTAATAGATTACCATGCGCCGTGAAAGTCTTGCGATTCCTTCCTTTCGTCGGAGATTGAGTACGTGACGACGTCCTCGAAGAGTTTTGATATCCCGCACGGCGATGGTCAGCGCCAGTACCATGTTCAATTGGTCTTGTTCGGTTGCGTCCAACTTATGTGGTAGGCTAAGACGAGTCATCTGTACCACCAACTAGGTACCAGTACATCGTGCCCGGCGAGAACAGCGCCCGAGATGGGATTGTTTGGTAGCACCAGGTAAATGGCATACGCCGGTAAATACCAAGAGTATGAGTTGGTCTGTTAGACTATGATAGGTACGGGTTGTGCGGTCTATCGCATGGCCCGTCCACTGGGCCAACTCCGATGTCCCCTGACGCACTCTCCGCGCGCTGCGTCTTTTGTGAGGACTATAGAGTCCACTGCGTGGATCGTCTCGGCGCGTGAACCAGTCCATTGGGTTCGGCGTTGAAGGCCTGGAGGAGAAGCCAGATCAGAAATTCGCCATATAGAGGATAAGAGCTTTGGCTGCTGCACCAAGAGTGTCGATCTTGTATTTCGTCTAGGAACGCAATCAAAACCTCCGTATCCTTATGCAAGCATCGTCCAGTCTCGTGGATACTGGGACATATACAGATCTGACAACCACGCCTCAAACGCGACTGCTCAGGGAGTCCTTGGTCTTCTTTGGCGACGCTGCGATCGCCGCGCTCACAGCAGCCAGGACCTTACAGGGTCGACTGAGCGACTGCCGCCTCATCCGCGGCCTCGGTGTTCTTGTTCTTGACATTGGCTGCGCGCGGAGCGGAGCGGATCTTCTGGCGGAACTGCGGCAACCTGGCGGTTGGGGCGAGCGGCAAACCCTCTCTGTCCAGAGTGGGAGGTATGCCTGTCTTGGGGACGTGTGATATACCCCTTCTTGAAGGGCAATTGTCATGTCAGGAGAGGGCATTCTAAACCCCGTAGAGAACGCTCTCGGGATCAGCTGCGTAACGAAGCAGAAATAAGACAGTCTCAAGGTATTTCTGAGACCTATTAGATAATTAATTTAGGCCAGTACTCTCCTATTTATGAGTTCTTACCTGGGCCCGCTTAGCACCCATGGCTGCGGCCACGCAGTCGATAACAGCGACACAACCGGGTGAAATCAACATAAGGTTCATCTTTTGATCGAGCAATTTCGTGAGTTGCCGCATCAGGGCGGAGCATACAGTCTAGAGCAAGACTTTCGAGATCAGCCGATGCCGACTACGGCAGAGTCGAGAATATACATTGCTGGTTCATATTGTCATGGAGCAGAGTCCGTCGCCTTCTGCAACCAGCGGTAGGTGAGCGCCGTCTGGTGGCACACGGCGATAACAGCAGCGTAGCAGAGGCTATATCATGCAAGATTCGGGTGTAGGATGGCCGAGTAACACAAGAATGCCCGAACCCGTTCAAAAGGGCATCCCGGCGATGGGATCAGACCAGCCTGGTTGATGTATATAAGGAGAGTGTCTGTCTGGATTGAGGGTCGATACAAGGAAGAAGAGTGGAGGAACAGGTTATATAGCTCTGAGACTGCTAGGTCTGTCAGGCGACCACGAGCACAAACATCCTTTGACGAGGCAGCCAAGTTTGCTCTCGCAGATTGTTTTGTCTCACAATGAGCGGTACAGTTTGCCTAGCCGTATTCATGAGACTCTTGCTCTCGTCTACATTGAACTTCCACAACACTATGGTTGGCCTGGACCATCCGCACCATCCGACCGCCTGCGCATTGTCATGTTCCCCATCTAGACAACCTTCAAATCATCGATGCTAAGACATTGGGAGTCAGGCTAATCATGGGCACTCGGACTCACTAGCGACGACCGTTGAGGAGCCTGAGGCCAGACCCTTAATGGTAATGACGTCGGCTGGCGCACAGACACTGGGTACGGGCGCTCGGGGCCACCTAGGCCCAACCCTCTCGGTCCTGCAGCTGGCCCCGTCCGTGCCATGGGCCAAGACGGCCACAGCGTCGTGCACTTGCCGAATGCCCCTGGGTGAGTTGTTAGCGCTTCAGCCCATCCTGACAGTTAACTTTCCTGGGGTCCACGACCCGCCTGTAAGAATGCGCGGTGGTCGACGACAGACTTTCTTGCTCTCCAGCTCGTTGTGGAGTGTCGAGTGGCGGATACTGTCGCCGGGAAAATTAAGCACAAGGCAAGACCATGGGTGTGGCCCAGGAGACGCAAGGCAAGATGTGGCAGGTTGATAACCCTGGTACCATCGTAGTACTACTGCGCATTAAGTCCTCGACGTAATCCATTCTTGGCGGGCAAACCCTAACTGCGCTCGCACGGCGGAGCTTTGCCACACGAGTCGAGTCTATCCCTCCACGATCGAGGTAGGCTCTCGAATAATCATCATCAAGTAAATCCCAACGGCTCGCCAGTATACACGGACCACCGGAGTGTCGGCCGAAGAGAGAAATCTGACAGCCCCACCGCGCACTCCGATCCTCGCTGGCTCGACTCGGCCAACCTGGGTGATCCACTCCCAACTCATCCTCCCTTTCTCTCCCACTACTTGGCTCTCGGACTACTTTTCCACCCTGCTCTTTTTTCCCCTTCTCCCCTGGAAACATTGACGGTCCTTGTCTTCGCTCTCCATTCATTTGGACTTATCTCGACTCTCTCTGCCTTCCCTCTCCCTATCCAAGCCGGCCGATCTCGCCCCAATACCCGTTCATCCTACCATCCTCTTCCCCCCTCACTTCGACGACACGACCGTGCTATAAATACTCATTCCATCCCTATTGTCGACACGTGCGGAAGTAGCAGGTCTACCTCGACTCTTTCTCTCTGCATCCACCCTCGCCGCTGTCCGGAACACGGTTGATCTCCGTCGCCTTCCTACCTGCATGCCGGTCGCCCCTCGTCAAGTTCAGCGAGAGTAATGCCGGTCAACTCGTGCCTTCCCACAGAGCTCATCATCAGCTAGTCGTGAATAATTATTCCACCCCCCAAAACACTATCCACGCGAGGAAACAGAAGGATGGTCCACGGCACCCCCGGCACCGTTGGCTCGCACCCATAACTTCCCTCCGAACATAAAAAACAGTCGAACATGTCGGATCATCGGTCCACGATAGCTGGCCTGGAGGACTCCGACCGGCTCGCCACTGGGAATGGCCATGCCTCGGGAGACCACCCGAAGCGGGACCTGAACAGGTCGGACGAGTCCTTGCCGTCTCTATCCGCCGCCTCAGGCGACAGGGCCGATGCCCGACCGGCCGTCTCCAAACAATCGGCCGCCAAATTGCCGCCAGCGACCGACACAGCCGATGCACAGGGAGGCGCCCTTCGTCAGGCCTTCGCTCACGTTTATGGTCTCTCTCGGTCTTCTTCGGCCCGCACCTCCACGAGCTCTCTCCAGGCTTTGAACGAAGATAGTGTGGTGGATGCCCGATCGGAGCATGGCAGCGCTGGGCGCAGCCCCCGTCGGTCTTCACGACACTCTGAAACCCAGGGCGACTACCCAGTGTATCCCGACCAATCCTACGCTAGTCTACAGTCCCAGATTCATCCAACATGGCAACCTCCACACCTACGGTCGCGGAGCTCCTATACATCGCCAGTAGAAGCCATCCCTCATGTGTCGCGTCCGCGTGTCTCTCGCACCGCGGGCAATACTCCCGTGTCGAGCCCAGGACTGTTCTCGATGCGAAGCTCACGCATAACACCACCGCTGGGTTCAGACGAGGAAGGCTCCCTCGGCAGCCCCTACCTCCACCCAAGCCACTTACAACCGCCGAAAGAAACGCATACCGTCGAAGTGGATCGTGACTTGGTCACGGGTAACAAGGTCATCAATCAATATGAGATCCTGGAGGAGCTTGGACGTGGTGAGCATGGAAAAGTCAAGCTCTGTCGGCATGTGACCACCAAGCAGAAAGTGGCCATCAAAATCGTTCAGCGGTACTCCAAGCGGCGTCGGTTAGGCAAGCTGGGCAACCCGGAGGATAAGGTCAAGAAAGAGGTCGCTATTCTGAAGAAAGCGCGGCATCCGAACGTGGTCAGCTTGCTCGAAGTCATCGATGATCCCAACCAACAGAAGGTCTACATCGTGTTGGAATATATCGAGAACGGTGAGATCATCTGGCGCAAGAAGGGTCTTCGAGAGATTGTGCACGTGGACAAACTCCGGTTCGAGCGCGAGCAATCTGGAATCCCCGATACCCCGGCCTTTTTGGAAGAGAGCCATCAATTTATCCGGACCGCTCAGCATCTGCGTCGGCAACGCAGACGAGCACGTGAACGCATCGAAGCGCAGGCTGCTGATGCGCAAAAGGGGCCCATTCCCGCCTGGAGTTTGGAGCACGGTGCGGAGTTGTCAGATGAAGAAGAGGAGGGTGTTGGTCTTGGACTGGGTCTCGGGCGGACGTCCACCCGTTCGACGGCCATCCTTGACGAGAATTCCCCGAGTGCCTCCTTCTCTTCCACTCACGAGTCCCTGGCTGCGGTCGAAGGCAGTATGTATGGCGCCTATGTCGATTATCCGTTCGAGAGACGCTTCAGCACTGCATCCAGCAGCTTTGGATATGCTCCTTCCGAGCCGGAATGGTCTGCAGATGGAGATGATATGTCCTATGTCCCCTGCTTGACCATTACCGAAGCCCGCAACGCATTCCGAGACTCTGTCCTCGGGTTGGAGTATCTTCACTACCAAGGGATCATCCATCGTGACATCAAACCCGCCAATTTATTGGTAACCAGCAGCCACCGCGTCAAGATCTCTGATTTTGGCGTCTCATACCTGGGTCGACCTATTCGAGATGACGAGGAGGAACAAGTGGACGAGACCGGTGCGGCTGAATTGGATGATGCTCGCGAGTTATCCAAGACCGTTGGAACCCCCGCCTTCTACGCTCCGGAACTGTGCTACACCGGCGACGATTTTGTCGAGACAATCGGATCCATCCCAAAAATTACCGGTGCCATCGACGTTTGGTCTCTGGGTGTCACCCTGTATGGGATGATCTTTGGCCGTCTGCCTTTCGTCTCAGATGATGAATACAGCATGTTCCAGACCATCGTGAAGAAAGAAGTCTTCATCCCGCGGAAGCGTCTCGTCCCTGTCGTCAGAGAGGAGTCTTCCACTGTTATTCAATGGAACCACCGCAGCAATGATGAGCTAGCCTATGAGGAGATTGATGACGAGCTTTATGATTTACTTCGTCGGTTGCTGACCAAGGATCCGATCAAGCGCATCACTCTGAAGGAGATCAAGCACCACCCTTGGACCCTTCACGGCCTACCCAACCCCCGATCGTGGATCGAGGAAACAGATCCCGGCTATCAAAGCAAAGGAAAGAGGATCGAAGTGTCGAACGAAGAAGTCACCAGTGCTGTCAGCAAGGTTCCTTTCATTCAACGGGTTCGGTCCAACGTGGCAAAGTGGTTTGGAGGTCGGTCCAAGGACAAGGAATCTCGCAAGCGAACATCGAGTACCACACCATCTTCGGACACGCTATCTTCTGCCTCGACGAGCAGTACTTTCGGCAAAGCCTCGCAGGACAGCCGCCGGCACAGTTTGCGAGGAGACGAGGAATTCTTTCGGCCACTCAAGTGTGGCGGCCAAGGCGAACACCCCCTGGCTCAAAGCGTGACGGCCAGTCCAGTAGAAGAAGGAGAATGGCCTTCGTATTTCGATACCAAGACTGTCCCTGAGCCCAATGCTACTCCAGCTCCTATCCTGACTCCACGTCCGGGACCTCCAAGACGCGCTAAGTCTTCCATGTCGACCGCAGAGTCTGCAAAGACTGTCAGGCAGTCCAGTTTCGACACGACCCCCACAGTACGACCGCGCACGGGCAACTCCTCCATTATCGAAGCTCTGGGGACTGGCAGTCTCGGCGGCCTCTTCAGTGGATCTCGGCGGATATCACGGGGAATGCAAAGTGGCAGCCGCAGTCGGCGCTCATCCCCCTCTGGCGACTCGACATCCCTGGAAGGTGTGGATCGTCACGCAGAGCCAAGCCTTGCTGTCAGTGTTGCTTCGGCGATTGGCCAAGTGCGAAGCAACGGTCTATGGCAACACGAAGCCGGTGTCTCCGCCAAGAGCCCAGGGCCTCCTCCCCCGCAGCCGTGCATCGGCGCAACCGATCCCAGCAGCTAGCGGGCAAGTCCTCTGCGGAATCATTAACCCTCACCAAAGAAGCGCTTCTACGGCGCCGGCGGAGCGACATCGAACCAGGTGTTGACCGGGGTCCGTTGGCATCTACAGTCGAAAGCAAGATACAATCAAACGTCTCTCTCCATTTACCCCCGGCTCCTCCACTTCCGGATCCTGGATGTCCCGTCGACCCTCCCGGTCGTGGTCTCACCACCTCCACACCCTCCGCCGCCACCATCTCTTCCTCTTCTGCCGATGATTTCACCAGTGGCATGTCTCAAAGTGCTTCTCATCCTAGCATCCCCTCTGTTGTGTCTGGGGCTTCGTCTCTTTCTGGAGATGGCTTCTTCCAGGACAAGAGTTCTGATTCCTCGACCCAAGTGCCTTCTATCCTCCGCACTGGTGAGACGGTCAAAGCTCATCACTCGAGTACACTTCGCCCGTCAGAGGATGACGAGTCAAGGTACTACTGCGATGACGAGGATGAGGGTGATTCAGAAGACGAGGTTCTTGTAATAGGAAAGAAGAAGCCACCGGTCAAGACTGGGAATAAGTGAGCGGTGTCGTTGCGCATGCACGGCTTGAGCCCTCCGGCCTCTTTACATACTCCCTGCTTACCACCTCTCAACATCCCTCACGTATACCACTACCATCCGCACCACTCCCACATTTCCTGTATACTGCGAGGCCGTTGTATATCATCTCGATTGCCCTTTTTTTCTTGGCTTGCAGGTTTTCTGCCGCGCCGCATACCCGGTACCCATGATATCCTAGAGCTTGTTGACCTTCGTTTCTTCTATATGGCTTGTACATATAACATTCGCATGGGTGGCATTTACATCTGCATTTCTCTCCGCGTGTGTGTGCCTTCTTTCGGCGCTATCTGATGTCCCCAGATGCGTTGGATACATCTGCCACTGTTTAATTCGGTGACATGACTTGAAGATGACACCACACATACTCACCTTGTCTCACTTTATCTACACATGCCTCGAGTTTCATTTTGGGCCGGCTTTTTGACTTTTCAAGACCGTTGATTACCTACTTCCATGTAATGTTGACACTAGGCGGGGTTCTTGGGAGTTCTTCATTTCTTTCATCTGTTCGCGTCCTTCGTGGCTGAGTTATGTTTCAGCAAGAGGCGTGGCCTTTCTCTCATGGGAGGATTGCCTGTATGATTTCCATGATGCGGTTCTGTTTGCTTAATTGCTATGTATGGGTGGGAGGGTGGCGCGCGGAGGCGTATATCCGCGATGAGATTTCTGTCATGAAAATGAATCCAGCATTTGAAACAATAGTGGTCTTATCTATCCTCTGTAGATGAAAATGTGGCTTCGCTAGTCACTGAGGATGTTCTCCGGCGGAGTTTCCAGTCACAAGTAAATAAACCCTGCCCAGTCGTCCAAGCAAGTTCTTCAATCGCATTTTTCATATCCGTCTCCTTAGCTCTAAGCTACGTACCTTCGATGATTGTTCCTCCACCAATAAAAGCCCTAAGCACATCCCCCCCGACGGCAAATATACGGAGAATATGCCCAAATTAGTCTTATGCAGCAGCCAACCCCACTCTTCGAAGCCGGAGAGTGCTGAATATAATCGTGCTCTACTATAAGGAGACGGGGATCCTTTCCCCACCGGGAATCTTTTCTTCCTCTGATCCGATGTTTCATACCCAGGTTGGTTAGGGGATACACGCGTGCGGAAAAATTCCCTTGTTCTTTGCGGGGACCCTTCAGCTTGAATCAAATCGAAATATAGAAATGGAGGTCCTGTTCCGGCGGTTCTTCCATTCTCCATTCTCCCTTTGTGTGTATCAATAATTGACAACAACCCAGATGGTCTCCTCAACAATCCTCCTAGCCGCTTTGTCGGGCTATGTATCCGCAGAACTCAGCATCCGCGGCGCAGATATCTCTTCCTTGCTTGTGGAAGAAGATGCAGGCATTTCATACAAGAATCTAGACGGGACCACACAGGCCCTGGAGGTTATTCTAGCTGGTGCGGGTATCAACTCTGTGCGCCAGCGGGTGTGGGTGAACCCCAGTGACGGGTCGTACGATCTCGACTATAATATCGAGCTGGCAAAGAGGGTGCAAGCGCAGGGGATGACGACGTATTTGGATTTGCATTTGAGTGATACGTGGGCGGACCCGAGTGATCAGGTCAGTACCTAGACCTCAGGAAAAAAATTATGACGCTGATGTTGATGAAAAAGACAACGCCCTCCGGTTGGTCTACTACGGACATCGACACCCTTACCTGGCAACTCTACAACTACACCTTGGAAGTATGCAACACCTTCGCGGAGAACGATCTCACCGTGGCGATTGTGTCCATCGGCAACGAGATCCGCAACGGCCTTCTCTGGCCACTGGGTGAGACAAGTAGCTATTCCAATATCGCGAGTCTGCTCCACTCCGGCGCATGGGGCGTCAAGGACTCCAACCTGGCCACAACGCCCAAGATCATGATCCACCTCGACAACGGATGGGACTGGTCCGAGCAGGAATATTTCTATAACGAGGTGTTAGATAGCGGGTCCGACTTCGTCTCTTCGGACTTTGACTACATCGGCGTATCATACTACCCGTTCTATTCGAGCTCAGCAACACTCGCATTGCTGAGCACGAGTCTGAGTAACCTGCACTCAACCTATGGGAAGGATGTACTTGTCGTGGAGACAAATTGGCCATACTCCTGTCCGGACCCGGAGTATGCGTTCCCGTCCGGCTTGACGAGCATCCCGTTCTCTGTCGCTGGGCAGCAGACATTCCTGGATGATTTGGCGAGCGTTGTAGAGGGCGTTTCGGGGGGATTGGGCATTTATTATTGGGAGCCTGCTTGGGTGAATAATGCTGGGTTGGGGAGTAGTTGTGCGGATAATTTGTTGTTTAGTTATACGAATGACGAAGAAAGGGCGAGTCTGAGTACACTGGGAGAGATATAAGAGAGAGACCCAAGGGTGTCGTTGTGAGGGTTAGCCCCATTTAGTTGCCTCTTTTGCGAAATCAGAGAAATGTGTACGCTGGGACTATTTTGCAGATCGAGTTAGTTGATCAGACAATCGCTGACTCTCTAGCCAGCGATAGTGATGAAGTAGTACAGAGAGGGCTACATGTGGTAAAGTCTATCAACTAAACAGCAAGTAGCTGTAGCTACTATAGTTACCCCTATTATGATTGTGTTCCATGGTCCGAATCAAAAGACCGGACTGATGTATCCTGCAGCTGTGCTCCGCAAGGCACACGAGTCTGCCTCGTTAGAGCCTCCGCAACAAGGCTAGGGCTGATGCCTGATGCGTGGGTTAGATGCGTTGGCGCACCTCAGCTGGGTGGCTGTGCAGAGCTAAGGACGGTTAGCCGCCCGCTTTTTGCCCACTGGCCAACTTGTCCGTCGGCTAGTACGTAGTAGGATCACTGTTCGAAGCACAAGGACCGAAGACCAAATCCTTGTTATTAATTGGCCTATGATGATCTACTGTATGTAAGTATACATACTGGGTGTTCGCTATCTCCTATCGATGTAGCTCCATAGTAAATGTGGGGAGATCCATCGGACAGAGCCCGGGCAAAAGTAGTTGGTTCTGCAACTGTTTGCTCCCTCCCGTAGGGCAGGGCAGCTGGGGCCAATTCCCTGAGCTGCTTAGGCACCGTCTTTTTCGTCGTGTCGATCCATCGGGCCCCCATGCGGATCTGCCAACTATTTGGAACTCGGATACCCATCCCACGGTGGCACTGCAACTGACTAAACCCTACTAACTCCCGGGGTCTTTTCTGCTATCTCCTAAGCGCCGAGTAGTCCATCTCATCCATACTTTGTACTCGCGCCAGACCGCCTTGGGCACGTGCAGACCATTCATCCATCTCGATCTTCCCTGCAACCCACACACACTCGCATCTCGCCTCCTGTCTGCCTCACGTACTCTCCTTCTCCGATGCCCGCCCAATGACGATGAGCCTTGCGCGCGATAGCTGACATCCCTCATCGACATCCGCCACTCCTAGCACCTCCTTATCGCATATAATCCTCCTCTAACCCCTCTCCGCTGGACACGGATCGCGATTTGACGGATCATAAGCGCTTCGCACACCATGGCTTCCCACGACCAAGGCCTTGGATCGGCCACCTCTCCGGGGCGCAGTGTTAGCCCGTCTGGCCAACCCCAATATCACGATCCTTCAGGTGCGCTTGGGGTGGACCCCTCCATGTCGACTTTCTCAGCGGCCCCCGCGTTCGAAAATAGCAACCCTAATGCGGGAGGTGACTCGTACAACTTCTCCGCGAACTACCTCACTGGAGCACCGCAGAACTTCCCTCCCTCTATCAACACAAGCAACATGCCCATGTCCCAGTCGTTCGAGGCGAGCTTTGTCAATCAGCTCGAGCAGTCTTCCGCTGGCCTACGCTCAATGCAGCCCGACGAGAACTTCTCCAATCTCCTCAATACCAACCCCTCGGACTTCGAGTTCGGCTACCCCAATCACAGTCCCAACAGCGTCAACGATTCCGAATATGACTCGTCCTTGCTGCTGGATCCTCAGATGCAACAGCGCCAGCAGTCCATGAACCAAGCGGTTAATCCGGCCGACCTGGTCAGCCCGGTGTCCAATGCCTCTGTTTCGTCCCAAACGTCACCACAGGACCAGCACCACTCGTCGCCTGGCGCAATTTCGCCTCCTGGCTCCACGCCGGGCACCTTCTATACCCCACAACATTCGCGCAATACTTCTTTAGACCCGTCGGCGGCAAACTATTTGACCGCCCAGCCAAACCACGATTGGCAGTCTGTCATGAGCAACACTGCCTTTCAAGGTCACCGAAGAGCGCCTTCGGAGGTGTCCGAGGTGTCATCAGCCACTCATTCCCCATACCTCTCTCAGCACGATTTTGATAGCCTTGATAACAACACATCTCCGTCGCTGGCACCACAGAATGACCCGGCTCTCTATGATAATGCATTGGGTATTGAGTCGTTCACACTTTCCGAACAGCAGCAGCAGCAGGGATTCAGCCCGCTTCACAGCCCGTATATATCGCCGCAATTGATGCCTCAACAGGGAGGAGATGTGGTGCCGAATGCGCCTTATCTTCCGGGCAACATGAATCCCCAGGCCCCTTCGGCGGGGTCAGACATGTATGGTATGCCCACCGATATGGTGGGCGACATGGGGCAGGCATCTCAGATGGCACCCCCGTCGATCAATGTGGAGTTTGCTCCTCCTTCTCGAATCCCGAGCTTTGGGCCGTCGAGGCCGCCGGGTGCAAGCCTGGACTCGCTAAGCCCACCAGCAATGCGTGAGTTATTTCTTCCAGCATCAAAATGATCAATAATAACCTTTAGTCCAGGATCCCGTATGCGCAGTAAATCCGACCCTTACACACACCCTGCCTCCCGTTCACGGTCACCCGCACGTTCGGCATCCAGTCTCGAGCCTCAACCTTCCACCTCTCCACGATCCCTCTCCCCTCTCGGTTCTACAGGTGGTCAATCACGCAGTAGCCCCAGCTCACGCGATACATCACCATCACGAGCCAATCGACGTCTTTCGACATCTTCGATCGACAGCCGGAATTATATCTTGGATCTGGCCGATCCGCAGCGCCCGGGCGCCGTGCCTGGCGACTCCAAGCGAGTTCAGAAGCACCCGGCTACATTCCAGTGCACACTGTGTCCCAAGCGGTTTACCCGAGCATACAACCTGCGGTCTCATCTGCGCACTCACACAGACGAAAGGCCCTTCGTGTGTACTGTCTGTGGTAAGGCATTTGCGCGGCAACACGACCGAAAGCGACACGAAGGTCTGCACTCGGGAGAAAAGAAGTTCGTCTGTCGGGGCGACCTGTCGAGAAGTGGACAGTGGGGGTGTGGTCGACGTTTCGCACGTGCAGATGCTCTTGGCCGCCACTTCAGATCTGAAGCCGGCCGCGTGTGTATCAAGCCACTTCTGGACGAAGAATCGCAAGAACGCGAGCGAGTCATGATCGAGCAGCAGCAGCAACAACAGCCTGCTGGTCACCTCCAGCCGGTCCCGCAGCCCCTCGTCATGCCCGGCGTGCCTGGTATGGATGGCCAGTCTTCAGGCAACTTTGTTCTGCCTGCCGCGCTGCTTGCTCAGTACCCTGCACTTTCAACGCTGCAATGGGATCAGATCTCCGCTGGAGCAGATGATCCCAGTGATATTGGCGGTCGAAGCAGCTTTGAAGCCAGTTCAGGTGGTGAATTTGGCTTTGACGAAGACGATCTCTCCAGCGCGTCTGGGATGGGTGGCAGCTACGGCGGAAACCAGGGGAATATGTATGCCGGTCAGGGATGGACCGGATGACACGCCTCCCTCTCTATATCTCTTTTGGTTTTTTTCTCTTCCATCCTTTTTTTCCCTGTGTTTTCATGCCTTTTATATAGAAAAGGGCACCGGCGTTGGGTACAGGCCTGGGTAGGAGATTCCGCCATTGGTCGGCGAGGCTTTTTTTTCTTCATTCGTTTGGTCTTTGATGATTCTCTTTGACTTGGCACCTACACCGGCATTGCAACTGCCTTCTTTTTGATTGGGGTTTTATTTTTGAACTGCTTTCTCTTGGAAGAGCCCTTGTCATAACGTGTCACGATGCATTTTTTGATTCCCTTCGATCATACCCGAGTACTTTTTTGGTTTTCTGTTGACTCTATCATTATTGGATTTTAAATATGACGGCAGAGTCTATATACCTCGTTTTCTCTCTGCTCAACCCGACACAAGATTACCAAGTTACGATTTTCGAACTACAAACTACTTGTTCCGCCATGTAGCTGCCCTTGCGGTGGTGTGATATGGTGTAGATGCGCCTCGTAAGATCTAACTGACAGACCCTGTTCCCGACACTACCTTGATGCATCAACAAGCTTCTGCATCTGATTCAACCATTTGCGCGAGAACTCTTCCTCCGTGAACCTGCGGGCCGAACGGCGAGCCCGCTGCCGCATAGCGACTTTTTCCGACTGTGGAAGCGAAAGAGCCGCCTCATAAGCAGCGGCGAACTGCTCCTCCGTTTCAGCATGGAAGCCCGTCGCCCCGTCGCCGAGATCGACGACGATGTCCTCCCGCGGTCCGCCGGAGTTATGCGTCACGCAGATGAGCCCCGCGGCCTGGTACTCGACAACACAGATGCCGAAGTGTTCGTTCCACATGGCGTTGACGCCGACTGAGGCGGTGCCGAGGTGCGAGAGCACGGCGGGCCAGCTGGCGTCGCAGAGGAAGGTGGTGTGGTCGCGTATCTTAAGTTCGTGGGCCAAAAGCCGCAGGTTGTAGATGTGGGTTTCGTCGGGGCTGGATTGGCGCACGGAGCCGATCAGCACCAGACGTGCAGGCGGATAGCCTGCGTATTCTGGGTTATTTGCTCGGCCGTGGATGAACCGTGCGAAGGAACGCAGGACGAGCGGATGGTTCTTCTCGGGCCGGAATTGCGCGATGTACAGGAGTACCGGTTGACGGGTATTCTCGCTTTCCGCGTCGACTGTGATGCTCGATTCTAGCTCGGCCACGCCGGTTGGTGGGAATACCACCGCCGGCGAGAATGCTGTTCCCGCTCCGTCGGTGTTGTTTGCACCACTGCTCTTGCTATTGCCCCAGAGTTTGCGAATATGCGCCGCGGTCCAGGACGAGTTGCACATGACGACGTCAACGTGGCGCCCGACCCAGCCGTACAGCTGCGCAAAAATCTCCCAATACCGCCGCTTGATTGCTCCCTTGCTTCCCGTGCCTGCTCCAGAATTGACCCCCTGGACTCCGGTCTTGTCATCGAGGGAAGCGATCATATCTGTTGAGATGGTAGGATAGTGAACATAGGCGCCAGTCGGGACCGAGGGGAAAAGCCATTTGCACAGAGCCAGAGTAAAAGCGAAGCCCATGGTGTCAATAAAGATATCCGGCACTAACAGCGTGAAAGCGTCGTAGCCTACGACCAGTGATCCCAACGACTGGCCCAGCAGCGTCATGTACGGATATGAGCTGGCGACAACGTACTTGCGCGTCGTCAGGTATAGCAGCACCACTGTCGGCGCGTGCAGCTTGATGTTGAATCGATTCTCCACCCGCTCCAGCATCGTTGTCTTGTTGACCTCGTGGTCGCCCGTGTAGATGGCGCAGATGGCCTTTGGCCAGCGCCTCTGTGTCGCGCGCACTGCTTCCCACAGCACCCGCTCGCCACCTCCGCCAGCATTACTATATCGTTCACCGTCAGTCTTTTGTGGTGCATCATAGCTCCCAAAGAACGTAACATACCAGAAAGGATGGAAGAAGCCGACAACACCGTCCCAGTCGTCTTTCTTCCCTTCCTCCATCCCAGTAGCACCACTATCGCTACTGCTCGAAGGCCGCTCCCCGGTATCCACTTTCTCCCAATCTTCTTCGTCTTCGACCTGGCTGCGCGACGCCGAGTTCTTCGCCCGCGAGGCCCGACATTCCTCCTCCTCCGATCGCGCCCGCGCGATCACGTATTCCCTTCGAGAACGAGTGCGTCTCCGAATCAGCCAGCCCACTCCACGGAAAATGAGTGCCAGAAGGCCTCTAGGCAGTTGAGGCAGCAGCACCGCAATGGCGGTGAGTACGAGGAGGGCGAGTATGGCGTGGGACAATAAGGCCAACATGGCTGGTTGTTGTTGTTATTGTTGTGGATGAACAGCCGTGTTACCAGCGACTGCACATAGTAAGTCAGGTAAGTGAGAGTGAGAGGAATAAAGAGAAAGGGAAGGAGCAGAGTGAGTGAGGGGAGGAGGGGCCGCAGGGTATCATGATCATCGGAGCACCGATATCAGTTGACGTGTTGATGGAGGGTCACATGATATCTGGTGCCTTTCCTCATTCGCGCACCCGATTTACTTTTTTGAATTTCCTCCATCCCTGTCCTTCGTTCAATCATGAATTCCCTCCGCGCGGCACACCCTCGCGCAGCTCGAATACCGCCATTGCTGCCTCGCACGCAGCAGATCCGCCATTTCCACCCGACCAAGCCCACCCGGGTCCTGAACGAAGTACTCGATGCCTCCACCTGGTTTATTCACGGCGTCCACACCGTGTCACACCTACCATGGGTCCTATCAATTCCCCTGACCGCCGTCATCATCCGGACAGCAGTCGCTCTGCCGCTCCAAGTCTACATGAGAATCCACGCCCGTAAGGAGCGGGACCTGCTCCCGCTCAAATATGCGTGGAGCAAAGTCTACAAAACCAAAATCATGGCCGAGCAACTGCAGCCCGGCGAGGCCACGAAGACAGTGGAGAAAAGACTACGGCTGGTTAATACCGTAATGCACAAACGCTGGGGAATCTCCAGCCACTACAAGTACACGCCGTACTGGCAGATACCAGTCTGGATCGCGGTCATGGAAGGTCTGCGCGGCATGAGCGGCGCCAAAAACGGAATTCTCCCATGGGCTCTGTCGTTCTTTGATTCAGAGAAAACCGCCGCCGAGTCTCTCCATCTGACCGTGGAGCCGACGCTGGCGAACGAAGGCGCGCTCTGGTTCCCGGATCTACTCGCGGGAGATCCCACGGGACTCTTGCCGGCTGCGCTGGCAGCTTCGCTCATCCTCAATATCCGGAGAGGGTGGAAGACCCCGCAGCCCGCAGAGATGGCCGATATGCCCAAGTTATTGATGTTCCGCTCCGCTGCATTTGCCGGTCTGAAGTTTGGTCTCCAGGGACTGTCGCTCCTCATCGCATACTCGGCTTGGCTTCAATCCCTGCCTTGCGCCTTGATGATCTATTGGATTACCAGCTCAAATGTCGCTACGCTACAGACCTACCTTTTGGAGAAGTTCTTGTTTCCAGACCAGCCACTTGCGCCTTGGAGGGGTTTGCATGTCAGGTACAGCAGACCAGGTCAGGAGGATCCATTCCAAGTGAACATGAAGTGATTGCAGTCTGTGGAGGCGTCACTCTTCGATCCGGTGGATCCACTTCCAGTGTCACTCCGAGCTGGAGAGAGATGTCTGTTTGGAGATAACCACAGCACGATAGTTTATATTCGGCAGCATGTTCGCCACGATGGCTTTGGCCACTTTTCAAAGGCCATAACTGCGCCTGCCAGCTTCAAGGGCGGGACCTGAGGCATTCTCACTATTTACTTTCCGGACTTCGGCCTCCCGTGATAAAGGATAGCGACCCCGTCACCTTTTCACCAGGGTGCCCAAATTCACGGCTCACAGCTTTCGTTGTTGAGCCGAGGCAGTCTCAGGACTGAGCGCCCTTCATTCACCCCACCAAGTCGATACCTTCATGTATTTTTAACAAGATTTTTGGAAGATGTGAATGCGGGCATCTCGCGTTCCATGTAAATTAGGATAGATTTGGACGAAAGAATCGTGTTCATAGATGAATCATATTAGAATGTATGGCGCTGGAAACGCTCACCAGGCAGAAACATCTGCCACTCAGAAAAGTCTATTGCACGAAAACGACCATGGGAACAACCCAGAAGATCAGAAATGAAATGAGCTTGTGGTATCTGGTCATATATCCTTGATCCAAATGGAAAGAAAGGAAGGAAGAAAGAAAGAAAGAAAGAAAAAAGACCGCCTTGAAAGATCGCAGACAACACCATCTCAGAGCTTGGGCTTGGGATTCTCCTCGGACGCACTCGCTTCCTTGTTTATCTCGACGGTGCGAGAGTCGGTCCCCTGACCGAAGAAAATGACCTCGACCGTGAGGTCGTCACTGGAAGAAGAGGTTAGTGAAAGGGACAAGAGGTAATGGAACGAAAGAGAGAACCCACCGGTATCGACGAGAGTAGGGGCTGGGTAGCGTCAACAACGCACACACCATGTCCTTATCTTTGCCGCCCATGGCATTGCGCACCAAGTGCGTAGCCACATTTTTGTCTTCAACGACAAAGCGGCTCGCAGCATCCGGAATGGCATACTGCTCTTGGCGAATAGGGCGGCGCTGGCCCTCGGTCGAGGCATGGTCCGCTGCCTCCACGGGGAGTTGCTTCTTACTATCAAAGCCAAGCCAGCTGGACATCCAAGACTTGCTGCTGCCGCCGCTAGATTGCTGCTGCTCGATCCACTGGCCCACCAGACCGACGACCTCCTCGTTGCTCAGCATTTCCCAAAGACCATCGGTGGCCATGACGACGAAGTCGCCTTGCGAGGGATCAATTTTGGTGGTGGTGATGACGGGTTCGGCGGTGACGTAGGGAGGCGTCTTGAGGAGCGGGTGGGGGGTCCGTCCAAAGAATTGCCGTTTGATCTTGTCTTGGACGTCTTTGGTCCATTTGTAGGCGGCATCGCCGAAGGAGCGACTGGGTTCCAGTTGGCCCAGGATTCGACCCCTGGCGACGACGTTCGGTTCGCCGGGGTGTTCCTCGCGCAGCCGCTTCATCTCAGAAGGAGTCCCGCCAGTCTGGTCCTCGGACAGAGCCGTGGCGGTCCACTTCCCACTGGGGCCACGACGGCCCAGAACGGCGCGCGAGTCACCCGCAACGGCGACCTTGATATTCTGGGACTGAGAGTCGTAGAAGCTAAGAAGCGCACATGACCCAGACAGAGCAGGCGCAAGGAGCTCGGCAGCGACCCGTCGAGAGTTGGACTTCAAGACCTTCTCCACGCTTTCGTTCACGATGTCATGGTCGAGACGCACGAAGGCTTGCTTGATAGCCGCGTCCACAGCCTCGGATGTCGGAGCCAGTGAGGATGGGTTGGTCGCGGCGGCCTTGTAGGTGGAGTTCAATTCGCGGGCGACGTATGAAATGAGAACATTGCGCAGTTTGGCGGAGGTCGTCCAACCCGAATGACCATCGAACACCGCCCAGAACATCCAGTCACTGTTCGGCTCGCCATTCCGGGCAGCAGCCACAGACGACGGGACCTCAACAATCTTCTCGGCATGGTCGTCTTCAATGGGCGAATTGCTCGGAACCTGGACGATATCGTAGCGGACAACACCTTGGCCCCGATTGACAAGATATGACTCCTCGTTTTTCCGAAGCTTCTGGGTAGCTTGATCGGGGGTCAACATCTCGAGAACCCCACGATCCGAATCGTCGGTGGTTTTAGACAGCGGCTGGTCGCCAGACAACGTTGTGGTGTAGAACTGGTCGTTATCCACCAGCAGAGCACGTCGCGGAGGCTCTGTCGGGCCCTCGGCGTAGGCAGATGCGATCGCGCTGGAGGCAAACCCTCGAAGCTGTGTTGCGATGGATTGGGGGCTGCGGTCGCCTTGATACGCGTACCAGGCCCCGGAGGCGACAGCGGTTGAGATAACGGCAAGGGAGAAGTTGCGAAGATACATGGAGGACTGCAGCGCGACTGGCACAAAGGAATAGGCACGTTTGCCGCCAGAATAAGGCCGCAGACCACGGACCTGGTTGTGGGAGAAGGACAGCGGGCACGGCCGTTTACCGGCAGCTTTCCATACTGGTGCACGCCGAGCAGTACGGAAAGCCTGGATAGCAGCCCGACGCATGGATTCTGCGGGAGGTGGAACGACAGGGAGATGGCCCAGCGATGCGGGACTTGACGAAGGATGCCTCTAAGGGCAGAACGAGCTCAGGTGCTGAGATGGGAACAGCGGGCGTGGTGTGGAAGTGTGATGATGCTGTAACGGTCAAGTTTCCCTGATGTAATGTATCACGTGGGGTAGCCCACACTGTATTCGGACCAGTCCCTCCTTTGTCTCTCGCGCCTTGTTTGGAATCACCCACCACCCTCAACCACCAGCACCATGACTCGCCGGGGAAGTGAACTAGACTCCCAGACCTGCTCACGCATGTGCGAGCTCAAACTCCAAGGCTGATCATATACCCGCCTATCCGAACGCTTCCCAGACATACCAGTTGGGACTATAAAAAGCACAGTTCGGTGTGAAAGTTCGCGCGATAACAATGTTTCCAAATCCCAACCAGGGGCACCAAAAAAGACCTCCGAAGACGACCTTGCGCGGATCAAACAACGCGTATTGGAAGACCCGGATGTGATGATCAAAGCCTTACTTGCAGTAGTCGATTTCAAGTGCCATCGACGGTCAATCCAGCGACTATTACAGACTGATAAAAAGCGTAAGGGACAACAACGCCAACAGCCTGATATTAAACCTAAGGATGTAAAACATCCACTTGCTTAGAGCCTTTTTTTCTTATATCTGAGTGGATCTTTCTGTGCACAATCTTCTGTATTAACTATTAACATTACCATCATGTACCCATCCAAGCAAGCACCATCACCCCGCCATTTCTCCAAAACAGACATAATGTACAGAAAGAGCTCATTGATTTCATTATTAGAGAGAGCCAGGGAGAGAGAGCGAGTTTCGGTATCCTCGGCTCAAATCAGTCTCTATACATTATCAGCTTTTCTCCCCCTCTCCTCTCTTGGGTCGTTCCCGCATTTATGGGAGAGCGGCTGGGGCATAGCTCTGATCAGGCTTGACGACGGTTCCGTTCACAAGCTGCGTGTCCTTGTAGCCGGGGTAGATGATCTGACTGGTCGGGTTGTCGACAACGGCCAAGGTCGTGAAACCATTACCCTTCCCGAACTGGCCGCTCCAGTTCGAAGTGATGGTATATTTGCCGCAGGTAGAAGGGCCTCCTCCCACAATCTGGGAGGCATCGCTGCCCTTCTCAACATAGGTGCAATCGGTGGTAGCGCCTTTGCCGATTTCGATGCCAAAGGTCCAGGTGCACTCAGTGTCGGCGGCGTTGCAAACGCGCTTCATGTCCGTTATGGTCCACTCAGGGCCGGAAGCCATCATAGACACAGGGGCGGCCAAGACTGCCGATGAGGCGAAGAGAGTCGACAGGAGAAGCTGAGTGAACTGCATGTTTGCGGTATCGGAGATGATCGAAGATCGATGTAAATATGCTTGGATGACGAATGTTTGTACTGTGGAAGGCTTTGGTTTGTGAATGATATCAAGAAAAAAAAATATGAGCATCAGCAGAAGGAGGGAAGGTATTTATGCCTTTTCTCAACCCCATTCAGTTGTTGATGGTGCCACGACCAACGACTGGATCAACGACTTAACGAGGCATAGATCATCACGATCTCTTTGAGGTTTCTCATGATTACTTTGCAATGTCTCCTCAAAATAGATATCACTGGAACTAGCGGATGTAACACTACAAAGGGAACACATAGAACATCCCGCGCTAGATGCGTGCTGCGCATGTCTTGGGTACCTATTGTACCACAAGTGAGACAGTCTGAGCCAGTCTCCACTCCATCCCGATTTTCTATTTTCTGCCCTGCAATTCTTGGCGTAGGGGCCCCCTAGTAGCCGCTCCTTTACTACTATTCATCAGTCCAGGATTAACTACTAGTAGAGTCTAGCGTATTCTATAAAAGAATCAGGCTTCCAGACGGGCAGATGAGCTACACAGCCAAGCGCATTAGACGGGTTTGCCTCACGACTTGACCGCTTGACTCTTCCCCTCTCCCCTTTCCAGGACAAGCCTCACCCGGTGCCGTTCGTCTATTGAATTTGAATTATATGCAAGAGTAAAGAAGTTTCGATTTGTTATGAAGGATAATCGACCTTATTATTGGTTTATGTGCCTCTCTTGCTAATGTCGCATGCTGAGATCAATATTGCCTGACTACAATTAATGAATCTTTTTTATAAAACCATATCGTTATACCCTATGAAATCGTGCCCAGATACCCTCATTGTCATCGAGTGTTCGATCGTTGATAAGTCACGAGAAATATGCAAGAGCTAGCCAGTTGGTGAGTGTGAATTGCTTCGACTGTAACATGATGGGGCAATATCTGCTTGGCGGGTACGATGACTCACCTTGGGAGCGTTCGTCGCTAGATCCGCTGATCCAGATGATGAGGACGTTGATGGGCTGCAAGTTCGTTGGCTTGACGTAAACAGTGTGCAAATTGTGACTTTGGCGAGAAGAGCGACGGGTCCGACAAACAGGTATCGAGATCGTCGAAATTGTAATCGGCCCAGTTGGTATCTAGAAATCCGCGCGCTGCCAAATCTCCTGCGTTCATGGTAGCACCCGCGAAGTGATGAATTTATAAATTTAGTGCATGCCTGGGACAGAAGCCAGCCGATAAAGGTTCCTGAGGACCCTCGTGTCGCTAATCCAACTTGGGTCGTTGTTACTCTCGAGGGTGTTTCACCTTCATCGATGTACAGGCCAGGTTTTTCCGATAAGTAGTCGCAGGGCGCTTCGATCATTACAGTCGCGACCGTTACTGCCTTCCATGTCGGAAACATAGAGACCCTCTTTCAAACCCTAATCACATGAGACACTAAACCTACCGGGAATCGTACGTAAAAAGCCATTTTGTACGTATTCCGAAAGAATACCAGATATCATATGACACCAGTTTGAAAATATAAAATACTAGAAACATGGAGACCATGCAAACGCAGCAAACCACCGACAATCTATAGAATTTGTCGACAATTCTCTCTGCATCTCGCAGTTACTTCCCTGCAGAGGGCCTGGTGCTTTCCTGGGTGTCCATCTAGAGTCAAGTTGGTGGATAAGACGGTGCAAGTACAAATCGCAAGACCCCTTATACATCTATGCGATGGGAGCGTAGAAGCTGAACTTGCCCTGGGGGTCGTACTTGTGCTTTAGAGCCCGCAGACGCTGTAGACGCCACTTCTCACTGCCATAAATCTGCTGGGACGTCTCATCTCCGTAAGCATAGTTGATATAGGCGCGGATGTCCTTGCGCCCTGTGCCCTCGAAGAGGATGTTGCGAAGCTGGTTACCCAGATTGGCTGCCTTGCGCTCAAGGGTCGGACCGGCAGGGATGTAGTTGATGAGCGGGGCGGCAAGCAGGTTCTCGCTACGGAAGGCGAAAGCACTTGACTCGCTATCGATCGCGTGAACACCTTCAACAGAGTAGCCCTCGAACATTAAGATCGAGTTATTGAAGGCGGAGGATCCGCGGATGGCGGGGGCGTAGATATCCCACGCCTTCTTCTGGGCAGGAACGTTGTATGCTTGGAGGTAGATAGGGAAACGGGGGTTGGCAAACCCGGCCTTCTGGCATGGAGGAGACGAAAGGGCGATGCCGGTCCATGCAGCTAGGTCCTTGTAAGTACCTGCTTTGGGAGTGACGGACAGAGGTCCAATGTCGTGGAAGGGCTGGGTGTAAACCGAATCGACGACCTTCACGCCCTCCTGGATGATATAGAATACAATGACGGGGTTGTTAGGGTCGGCATCGGCATTATTCATCCAGTACGACCAGTTCGTCACGCTCACAGACTGCGTGCCGTTCTTCACAAGGTAGTCGTTGGCGGCTTGATAGACAGCCTCGACCTTATCACCGCTGAAAATGAGGGTCTCGATCGCCCAGTCCTTATGTTCGATATCGTAGACCTTGGTTGTAAGAGAGGTCACGATGCCGAAGTTGTGACCAGCACCTTTCATCGCCCACCAAAGGTCGGAGTTTGAGTCGACTTCGGTTAAGGTACCGTTGGCAAGGACAACATTCATGGAAACGAACTGATCCGAGACAAGCCCGTGGTGACCCTGAAGCCATCCGTGTCCACCCCCAAGCGCGGGTCCCAGAAGACTAACACATTCACAGGTTCCAGTGACGGTCTGCTTTCCCGCAGCCCAAAGCTCGTCGGTGACCGTCTTGGCCATGGTTCCTCCACCAATCTTGGCCGTCTTTCCATCTTTAGCGACCTCGACGCTGCTAAGCTGGTCCAGAGAGATGCCGACACCGTGGTCCATCTTGCCGAGCGAAACGAGGGCACCGTGCACACCGTTGTACGTGAGAAAAGGAAGGCCCTTCTTATTAGCATATTTCACCTATACCATTGCCGCAATTAGCATCCTCCCTTCCCAGTTGTTCTAATTGCCCCCCGATGGATATAGACAACAAAGAAAAAGACTTACTGTCTCAACAACATCATTCTCCGTACCGGGAACGACAACGACGTTCACCTTCGGTTCTGCCAGAACAGACCACCGCGTGGTGGCATTCTGGAAACCGCTCGAGCCGGGAAAATACACCTTGGCAGTGCTCGAAAGGCTATCCCCGAGGGCCGTCAGGTCACTATCGCCTCTTGGGCAGTGGCCCTCAAGGTAACTGCAGGCGCCAGGCAAGCTATGACAAGCCGAGGTGAAAGCCCACGCCGCGACGGCAGTGAGCACCTCCAACTTGAGCCGAAACATTGTTCAAACAGGGATATCTAGAATCGACGAAGAGTGACAAAAAGAGGCAAGCAAAACTCAATATTGCTCAGGTGGGACCCTCTGCGTGCAATTGCCAGAAGACGTCAGAAGAGAGCGCGGATAGGCGGAGGGGTCTCTGCAAGAATCCCTGCCAGTTCGGTTTCCTGGGGCGAAAGTTCTCAGGAACCAATATTTATTGCATGTAATGTACGTGAAATGCGAATGTACCCTAGAGTGTGTTGGGTTAAGAGGCCTTTTCTTACACTGACCTGGTATTAATCCTGAAAAAAGTCTCAACTGCATAATTAGGGGCATAAACATCGCCCCCTTGCACGGTCTTTTTTATTCGGCGCTTTGAGCACATGCATTCCAATGTGGCTGATGGAAATATCTCCCCACTGATGCTCGTAATTCTAACCAAGTCTTCTTGAAACTCTACTCTGCAATAGATAATTCTAAATGGAAATGTGGCCGACAGATTCCTCGTGTATACGCTAATGCAGGACCCATATAAGTGGCGAGGCTGAGGTTATGTTACATCCGGTATCAGTCCGCATCGGCCCCCTTATTAAGCGCAACCCGCCGATCTGATCTGGATCATTAGCCTCTCCGCTCTGGCGTTCCATGGGTGAAACGTCCTTGGCTGCATCCCGGTGGGGAATGAGATCGAGGACCACGAGTTGGCCCGCCGGAAGCTGTGGGGCAACCCATCAAGCAGCCGACATCTCCATGGCCGTCTCGCAAGGGTTCCAGAATCTCGCTACTGGGTTCGCTATATCTTGGGTCTTAGGTGTTAGCCCACTGATTTAATATTGAAAGTGCGGTTCAAGTTGAGCGAAATAGGATTTCATTTGTGATATTAGCAACATACAGGCAAGAGTTCTATGTCCCTTCCGAGATATCCGGTATCACCGGTACTTCAGGGTGCGTTTTTGGCAATGATGCCGGCTATCACTAGTTGGACCCGAACACATGGTAACAACCATGCATGCTTTGCAAACAGAGATGTGGAAAATACCGAATAGGATTTGCCCTTCGGGAAAACCTCCAGTTACAACTAGAATTGGCCCTGGAGTGGAGCCTCGCCAATGACCTCAGCCCGCCCGCCTATTCCAACCGAAACTCTGGTAGATGGTTGGTTGCTATGTCAGTCTGGTTGATCCAAACCAGTTGAACCGAGAAAATGGAGGTGATCCTTTGCGAACGGGACCTTGGTAGATCTCCAGAACCTTGGTGTTGGCCGGGAATCGCTTAAGCTTGAGGAAAGGAAACGGACCCCAAATTTTCGTATCGTGGGTTAGAAGGATCATACAATTGGTCATGCGTCGACTGCCATTCGGTCAGTCTCGTTTATTGTACTACGTAGAAGTTCTCTTCTCGCCCTACTGCTTTACCTAACTTCGGTTTCCACGATCAAACGGCTGTTCCGTGGAAGCGCCGCTCGTTGATTGAAGACAAATGAAGGTGTGAATCTCGCTACGAATGGGATGAGAACAGGGCGCTCTTCTGAACTTCAGACTGTCGTTACCTCATCTCTCCGCTACACTGATCCGATCCCACCAACCCACGGATAATAACCAGCATGGTATTCGGCCTGCAGGCACGGGATGCTGCGAGCGAGGCTGCTTACAGGACAACGGTTGAACTGTGGACGCTATATTCAATTGGCGTCGCTGTGACGATTCTAAGAACATATGCTCGAGTGAGAGCCGTGGGCTTGCGGAATTTGCGACTTGACGACTATCTGATATGGGTCGGAGTTGTGTGTGCCGCCAGTTGATCCTGTAATGCCTTGTTCACTCGCTGATTTTTATTTTCTGAAGATATTCTATACCGCGCAGACGGCGCTCGCATATAGTGTGGGCAATGTGGCCCAGGGACTCGCGAATAACAGCATGACTACAGCGCAACGGGCTACGCTGTCTTCCAGCAGTCCAGAATATCACGCCAGGTATTCTTTGTCCTCGTCGAAAAGACGAAAAGGTGGTACGACGCAATGACTAACAACTCGACTAGGGTAATAGGCTCCAAGATTCAAATCGCAGGCTGGACCACGTATACGGCGCTGATCAATTTCCTCAAACTGTCTATGTTGGCATTCTATGTTCGCCTTATGGTATGCTTTCCCAACGGCTTTTCAAACGAATGATACATCGCGATGGATAACTGATATAGAAGACAGGAGGGACTAGGTCGTCGGTATCAAATTCCCATCTATGTTGGGTTCTTGTTCGTGATCACGAGCTTCCTCGCGAGTATCGTTACGATTTTTGCGACATGCAGGCCATTCCACAAAAATTGGCAAATCAACCCAAACCCCGGCAGTCAGTCTTTCACCTCATCTTGGTAGCTCCATACCTGCTAACGATGTTTTCTTCAGATGTGTGCCAGCCAGCCATTGCCAAACCGGTCATTGCCGTCACCTTCGCTGCAAACCTCCTCACCGACCCGTACCTTATTTTCATTCCAATTCCCATGCTTTGGAAATCCAGTCTGAAGCTTCTCAAAAAGATTGCAACGACCATCGTCCTCAGTGCTGGCGTCTTTGTTCTTGTCTGCGCAACGCTCAAGAGTGTTTTCTTGCTAGTAGTGAGTCTTGATGCTCTCAAATCGCGCCTTCACATAGAGAGCTTTTACTGATGTTGTCACTTTCCCCAGGAACCCGATGATGGCGCACAGCTTGCCGACGAATGGGGCACCCGAGAGACTTTCGTTGCAGTCATCACCACCAATCTCCCGATGGTTTTCCAATTGTTCAGAATCTGGCTCACCAAGGCATTCGGCAGCAAGTTCCAATCATCTCAGAAGGTAAATTATAAATCGCCTTCGGGCGGTTTCCGAAGCATCGTCGGCGGCGGCGATTATGCCAGTCGCAGGGGTTGCGGGCCCCCTAGTATGGAGCCTATTACCATCGACATGACGTTTACTGAGAGTGAGGAGCGGATGATGGAAGACGTTAAGATGCAGAGCTTGAGGCCCTATCCGGCACCTGCATCTGATACCCCCTCCTCGGGCGCAATTGTGGTCTCCAACCAGATTGATATCACGCATGAGACTCGCAGCAGCCATCCCAGCGACGAGGCTATGCAAGACACTCGTGAGATATGGTAGCATCAGGGCTTTAAAACTAAAATTAGAAGTAATGTATGTTTCACGTTCCATTGCCAACCATTCGATTATGTATTTGATCTTTTAGTGTACATATATTGCCTGACGGTCTCTTGAGAATAGAGCTATCACTTTTTGATTGTTTAGATAGGGTCTAGAGTGACTCTTGTGTGATGATCCTACCCTACCTGTACGTTGACCCTATGCATCGGATGTGTAGCACTTTCGTGTAAAATACATTACGCAAAGGTCTCCTCAACGTCATGTAAAATACGACGTCTATCCTGGGAAACTGAAATCGAACACCGCCGTATAACGAGCAGTGATTGTGGCCGATCGTGGGCCGCCTCGACAATTGTGAAATGCATATTCCCCCAATCGCTTCGGTCAACCGCTCCGGCAGGTCTTATGTGAACATCCATTGGGTTGCCCTACAGCCGGTGCCGGTAGGCAGCCACATTAGATGATCCTTGTGATGAGTGTAAGGAATCGACCTCGGAAATAAGCTTGTCCAGATTTCTTGAGAAATCGGAGATATGACCATAGAGAGTTAAGTGGGGCGTTAACTGCATTGAGTAAGGTTTCAAACGTTGTATCCTTGCTATAGTAAATAGACTCGTGTAAATCCCTTCATAAATCACGCAGAAGATTGAAGGTTAGAAGACTAGTTCATAAATCTACCGCTATATCATCAACACGTAAGTTTCCTGATGGCGACCCTAATGAAATCAAATAACCCGTGATGTCCATATGTTTTCTGGCCCTCTTGTTTGCAGGTCACGTTAGTTATCTAGATAATCGAGAATAGACAGGGACACCACACGCCTTACTAGGGACAGCCCCGCGGAAATACAGCATAGGAAGGATCAGGTCAGCGACCAAATGATCGCCAAAACTAGGACATAATGTGCCGCAGCCGGAGTGGGTTTGCCACAGAAGCCTCGACCACAGTATACCTTGACCAGTTTAGCCACCGGTCCACCCGTCCGCCTCCTAGTGGTCAGAGGCCCTCTCTCCCCAACCCAAAGAACAAGAGAACTATAAGGCCTTCAGCTGCAACTATAGTAGGTCAAAATCACGCTTCCCAATGTCTCACGTCTAGTCATAAGGGTGAGAACGTCGACTTCCCCGCTGAGATAGTCGAAATCTCGGGGCGAGGGACCATAATGCCTACAGCTCCAGACCCACTTCTTCCCTTTTGAGACTGTCAGTAAACCCCCTATCATAAATACTGTTATAATGAAATTGTTCATATGCTGGGAACAAGTGGTCTGGATCGGCTCCCCCAGTGGCAGGCCGCTGCCGTGGTGGATTTGCGGAAGAGGTGCGGAGGAGGTGCGGAAGACTATTAATAAGCTGCTTCCGCCTCTTTGAATGGAAGTGTAGTGGAAGCTTGGTGGAACTGAAGGGAGAGGATGTATTTAAACCCTGATCGGAAAGCACCTGTTTGCCTTCATTTTCACTGTTCGCCACACTATCTAAGTATCATTTACAAATGCTAAGGAGCTTTTTCAAATTGAACTACCGCAACACGCCACACATTATGGGAAGCCAAATGGACCATCATCCCACTCCTCTTGGAAACTGGCTTGAAACCCTCTTCAACAAGTTGTTTTACCAGCCAGATGATGGACTATGCAAAAAAGCGATGGAAGAAGAAATAAGCCCTCAGTTGAAAATTTGGTAATCACTTCCGTATGGCCTCTGCTTGTGGATCATCGGTCAATCTAATATCATATGCCATGCAGTATCAACGGTCAGCATATGCCGAGGGAGAGCTATGATCGGGTGATAGCAGAGACAAGGCGTACATATAACATCCGTGTGCAAAGTAGCCGTGAACTGCTGGCCTCATCTGATGCAACAGATAAGGGTGTTGGTTCCGTTGCGCACATTCAGACTTTTACATTGGAGGATAAGAAAACAGGCGCTCAACGCAAGCAGACAAGTTTGACCATTTCTGTGATTGCGTCCGGTGATGGAGGGAAACAGTTGGTTGAACTGTCGGAGATTATGTTGGAGAACTGAGATTTCCTAGCCTCATGTTGTAAAGCTCAAATTGCTGTGGTCAGAGTTACGAGCCAATTTCGGGTAAAGTGAGACCAAATTCATGGAGTGCCTCTTTTCCTACCCAGTGACGACAGTAATCTATTCCCTTGATGAATCCCATCATTATCATCCCGAGTTCTTCCATATCTGAAGGTTGCGCTTGGGCCATATCGGACTCCCATGTCCGAAACCACACTGGAAGCAACAAGTGGTCCTGGAGAGCTGCCGTCCAGAAGTATTCGGATGGTGCAGCCCAGAGCGCCCGCTGTGCGTAGAAACTAAGTTCCGCAAAATCATGGTGGGAAGCATCCCAGCCGTTCTTGAGAAACGAATAGAGCCCTTCAATGGAAAACCCGACGATGAGGGTTCGTCGTACACATTCATCAACTATCCATGCCCACCATGCATCGTGTGCAGACCCCGTGTGAGTTGCATTTCTCAATGCATCGCTAACAGGCTTGGCATGGGACTGGAGCCGTCGTAGCCATCGATCCAGGACAGGCCCTGCTGCTTCGGCTTGCGATCGCAGCGCAATATCCCCATCGAATAGTTGAACGATCTGGTAGAGGCACAATGCCTGTACTGAAGCTAATTGCTCTGTGACTGGCATATTGTCTGACTCGTAGTGCTCCTTTACTAATCGTCGCGCCGCTTGGCTGATGCACCGGTTGACCAAGTGTTCGTTGTGACTATTTCTCATAGTATAAAGGGAGCACATTCCCAGAGCTTCTTGCATGACCGATGGCAAATGGAATGTATATAACCGCGCGTGTATGAACGGGATATGTCCACGATTTGCGTAGATACCTGGCCAGGACTTGAAATGCTTCACGGCCGAAATAATTCGTTCTTGATATATCTCACCTGCCAGGACACTTTTAGTCGGTGCCGTATTATCTGCCCCAACTTGGTCCGGGACCGCGAAGTTGTCGATATTTTCCATGATATCCGGCCAGTCCAGGTCATAGTCCGGGAAATAAGGGATAGTCGACCCAGTCAAGGTCAGACCCGCGGTAGCATTATTATATACGTCCAAGGGTCCGACAGCCATATTCACATCCGGCATCTCGGCAGCGGTGATCCCGGTCACACTCCGCGGGGAGACTGTCGACGTTGAGTCTTCACCATCTGCAACTTCAGCTACCACTACAGGTCTCGTGCTTCGCAGGTTCTCATATGTACACTCCAAGGACCGAACCCGGCAGCGATAGCAGGGGGAATTCAGGTCACAGCGTCGTTTCGCTTTCACGCAGTCTCGGCACGATCTCCGATATGGTGAAGGCATTGTAAATGCCGCAGACGAAAATTAGGAGAACGAGGAGGTCGTCTTCCGTCTGGAAGGAGAATAGCGGGAAGCGCCTAACCAGGAAGTGTGTAAGATTGCGGAAGCTCGTTAACGTTAACTCTAACATGATGAGTCATCCGTCCGTCCCGTTTGCCCAGTAACTAACACTCGTCTCCCTATAATAACTATTAATCATGCCGGCGTCCCAAAAAGGCCTAGCTTGTGAATCAGTATGATCTTTCAGAGTAGAGCTACTTTTGCACTTTTGTCTCCTTTTTCTGTGCATGAGATCAGTATGAAGCCAAATGTTTGTAGCGATTTAGTTTTGCGTTCTTCGCAACTCGCGAATACCGAGGGCGAATGTCCGAGTGACTCTTTGAATGAGATGGGGCAAGATAGCGACCTGGTTTTTCCAGACGGTGGTTGGCGCGCGTGGAGCGTCGTTCTTGGCTCTTGGTGCGCGATGGTGCCCTCATTTGGACTTATGAATACAATTGGTGTGTTCGAGTCTTGGTTGGCGGACCATCAATTGAGAGACTATTCGAAAGCTTCCATCGGCTGGATATTCAGCCTGTACATGTTTTTTCTTTACTTTGGAAGCGTGCAAGTTGGTAAGAAAGTCATTCAATCTGTTTGCTTATATATACAGGCCAGCTGATATCTGAAAGGACCTCTGTTTGATGCCCATGGTCTCGCGCCTTTGCTGATCCCAGGAAGCGTTGGGCTCGTCGCATCACTGATGATCTCCAGCGTTGCAGAAGGTCCGTTTTTTCCTAATAACCGAGCTTACTCCGCCAAAATTGATGATAAGCATTCGAATAGAATATTACCAATTCATGCTAGGATTCAGTGTCCTTGGCGGGATCTCCTCATCAATGGTGTTCACCCCTAGCGTGGCTTGCATAGCCCATTGGTTTCTCGCGCGTCGCGCCCTGGCTACCGGCATAGCCGCGACTGCTGGGGGCATTGGGGGAATTATATTTCCTGTCTTGATCTCCAACCTCGCGGATAGCCTAGGCTTCCCTTGGTCTATACGAATTATTGGATTTATAAGTGCAGCATTCTGCTTTCTGAGTGTCGCGCTTTTGAGAACCAGACTACCCTTAGATTCGGTACAAAAAGGAACAGTCGACATTAGAGCTTTGAAAGAACTACGTTTCTCATTGTTGACGGCGGCCATTGTTTTGATCGATTTTGCCCTTCTGATTCCGTTGACTTATTTGCCATCCTATGCTCAATCTCGCGGCGTGGAAGATTCTCTTGCATACAACCTATCTTCTATCTTAAATGCCGCGTCCATCGTTGGGCGGATCGTCCCTGGATATTTTGCTGACCGATTTGGACGATTTAATGTGATGATCATCACAACGTTCATCTGTTCAATGTTTACTTTCGCCCTATGGCTTCCATCCCAGTCGAACCAGGCGGTCATCTTGGCATTCGCCGTGCTTTTTGGATTTTGGAGCGGTACTGCAATCAGTCTCTCCCCTGTTTGTGTTGCGCAAATCTCTAAACCACAAGATTTTGGAAAGCGTTATGGTACAACCTATTTCTTGGTCAGCATAGGCACACTCATCGCCATTCCAATTGCTGGTGAGCTTTTGAAAGTCCAGACATCGACAATGGGCCAGGATGACTATACTAGTCTGATAATTCTTTGTGGGCTAGTCTATTCTTGTGCATGCGTCTTTTTTATCTTATCCAGGGGCGTGAGCGTTGGTTGGGGGTTGAAAGTTTTCTAGTACTTTACACGGTTAAGCAGGAGTTGTTTCCCGACACGGATTAGAATGGATTCGAGTACGAGCCGAGACGCAATGCGTGAGTTTCCAAGAGGGAATCTATTCCGATTTTCCTTGTAACGTAAAAATCCGCCATGATTGTCTATCATTCGTTCGAAGAATAAATAGCCCCTAGACCGCACTGGCAAAATTTCGATCCTGGAAACTTCGCTCTTCCGCCATTCGGACCTGCTATTCCACGTCTGCAAACTGCATTCCTGTGATCGAAGTGGCAGGTGGCATTTTCTACCAACACTACTCGCCTATCTCCAAAATAAGCGAATCTTCCACATGACGAGCAAAAGTAGTATAGACGACCCGTATTGCCGTTTTCATTGTGTGGTAGATAGTGCTCTTGTCTTGTACGTCAGCCGTAGTGAAGACAGCGAGTGGCTTTCAATTTACAAATTGAGAGTCTCTAGGCAGTGTGGAGCGACCGTTCGGCGACCGGTATAGTAGATGGATGTTCATTCTGATACCGTCGATATATATATGGTTCAGTAATCTCTGGCATATAGTATACATACCGAGTTGAGAAAGGAAAAGCCTGAATAGGAACTACATTCTAGACGCATATATACAGTGGAACGAACACTTCCACTGATATAGAACCAGTAAGTCTGAAAAGGGTAGCCATCAGGAAATCCATTCTTAGGGCCAGTGATTTCACGTGATATATCCCGCCAGGCACAGCGCTTGACCCGATTGGGTCGTGTCGTGTCGTCATCCGCCGAGGGTTAGTCACCACTTGTCGCAGTCCGGCTCTTGGATTTAGTCGTACACACCCCAGTTGTCTGGTGAGACGCCCAGATGTCGTCCCGTGCCATTCGGAAGCTGCAGAAACTGCGTGAGCAAGAGCAGCTGGAACAAGCGCAGCGAGATGAGTCAAGCGACGATGAGCCCGCACGCCCCGCGAAGCCAAAGTTTAACGCATTCGACCTGTTGAACGCCGGCGACGAAGAAGAAGAAGAAGATGAACCCGAATCGGAAGAGGACATACGGGAAGCGACCACCCCCGAGCCAGTTGAGCCCGAGTCTACACCGGTCAAGAGCAAGAGTGCCAACAAGAAAAAGAAGAAGAAAAAGAAGGCGGCTAAAGCTGCGGTTGCCAACGACGCGACTCTTGCAAAATCCGACGATACCCAACTGGATGAAATCGACAAAGCGCTGAAAGAGCTGGCAACCGGTGACCAACCGCCAGTCGGTGCCGGTGCGCCAGCTAGTACTACAGCAGACTCTCCCGACGCTTCGTTCCCAAAAACCACTGCCGCATTGCTTTCTGTCGAGCCCAAATACTTGAACGCGACAAACGAGATGCGCAGGCTGTTTGGGAATGTTGTGCTGGAGAACTTTGATCAGCCTGCCGACTCAGGAACGGGCCGTCGGCGGGATCGCAATCGCGAGACGGTTGATCTCGGCCGCGCATTGACTGGAAGATACAGCCCGGCGAGTCGGGGGCAGAGCTTGGCTGGAGTGACACTGCGTCGGAATGTCCTGATGCAAGGCAGAGACGAATGGCCGCGGGCCCCCAGTGGAGGGTTGGGCATGGAGGTTGTTGAAAAACTGCCTTTTGGAGATACCCTCTATCGAATTGTTCACAATGCCGCCTATCAAGATGTACAGAGGCAATTTGACCTCTGTGTTGAGTCGATGGACCCGCAGAGATTGATCCAGCACCTCCAGTACAACCCTTACCACATCTCAACCCTCCTCCAAGTCTCTGAGATCGCCAAACACCAGGGCGACCATGCTGTATCTGCGGATCTACTGGAAAGAGCACTGTTTAATATTGGACGGTCCGCTCACTCGTCATTCGGAAATCGTCTCAAGGAAGGCCAAGCGAGACTTGACTTTCTGCACGGGGAGAACCGGGAACTTTGGCTTGTTGGCTGGAGATATATGGCCAACCTCGGTATGAAGGGCACATGGAGGACCGCCTATGAGTGGGCGAAGCTTCTGCTCAGCTTGAATGACAACGATCCCTACTGTATCAGGCTGTTGATTGACCATCTTGCCCTCCGTGGCCGGGAATATGCTGAATTTGTCGAGCTGTGCACGCAGACACGGTTCAGTCGTGACTGGGCCGATCTCTTGAACATCCAATGTTCTCTGGTGATGGCCTACCTACGGTTGAATAAGCCCCAAGAGTGTCGTCGACAGCTACAGATGGCCATGTCCCGCTACCCGTGGGTGTTTAATCGGTTGGCACAAGAGCTAGACCTCCAACACATCCCCAAGCAGATCTGGGGCAAGATGCCCCCGACTGACTCCCATGAACTGTTTACGGAGCTTTATATCTCTCGTGCAAAGGATCTATGGAACACCCCAGAGGCCGTGTCTCTGATTATGGAAGTTGCCGACGGTCTTTCGGGCGAGGCAGCGCCCAGTGAATTACCAGAAATTACTTTGGACATTGCCCGCCATGTGGTCTTGTCTGATATCCCCAAAGTTACCACTCATCTTCCAAACCACTTTGTGTCGGGTCGTCTCTCTGCTTCTGACCCTCTACCTCCGCACGAATCTGAAGCCTTCCGCCAGCAATCCGACCCGACGCCGTCTTATATTTCGCGGATCCCAGAAGGCGGACGGCCACAGTGGCTGCGCAATCTGCTAGACCAAATGAACAACGGCGCTATTCACTTTCCCCGATTCGCCGAGGATGGCGATGAGAATGATGAGGAAGATGTCCCTGAAACGGACGAGACCCACCGACCAGGACACGCACAGGGTGAACAAGCTCTCGAGCAGTGGCTCTTACAAGACGGCCTCGAGTCACTTCAAATGTTTCTGCACCAGTATGGCGTCGATCGGGGCAACTGGGGGGATGTGGTGGATTTTTCTCCGCTGTCAGAGTACCTGGAGGGGCTGCTCACTATTCAGCCGGAGTCGTCGCGACAGCAGTTACTGCATGGACCCATCAAGGAGGTGATTGGGGAGTTTGCCGTGAACATGCTTGAAGACGAGCTGACCATGATGCTGGAAGAAACCGATGGGGAGCAGGAATGAGAGCTTTACATACTGAAGAAGTAAACAAACGAAAATAAACATGACTTGCATGACCGCAATGCAGATACCCGTAGCTCTTTCCTATTCGGGCAGGTCGTGCCATCATCGGCTGAGTCATCTTTGCAGCTCCGCCCGATCAGTTTTCTTCTTATCTTTCGCAACACAGGCCATAATTTTTCTCTCTTCTCGCTCTGTTTGTGTCATTGACCGACCGCTCGAGCTGCCTGCAACTTTTGGGCCACATGGGCACTGCCTCGTTTGCATTTTGCATCCATCGTCTCAACGCCCGCCGCGGCAGTCTCCCGGATCATAGTACATCTCGCGCCCCATTTTCTCCACGTCCTTTATCACTGCAGCCACCATGGCCCTCGCGCAGATTCTAGGCCGTGCAGTGTCGGACCACTCGGTGACTCTGACACCGCGCGAAGCTGCATCGGGTCTTTTGGGCTCGGTTTCTCTAACCTGCTGGCTTTTCTTGTTGGTATGATGATGGCCCCATCCCCGCCAATCTTCAGCCGGGCTTCCAAGAAAGCACCCGGACGGGAAGCACAATGTTTTCGAATGATAGCACACAAGAAGCTGATCCTTCTTCACGCAGGTGCCCCAACTAATCGAGAACTACCGCAACGGCAATGCTGAAGCGATTTCCCTCCTCTTCGTCTTCGTCTGGTTCATCGGCGACGTGACAAACCTGGCCGGTGGTCTTCTGGCGGGCCTGGTGCCCGTCATCGTCGCTATCGCCGTGTACTTTTGTCTCGCAGACGGTGTTCTCATCGCGCAATGCCTATACTATAAGGCTCGCAATTCCCGCCGTGAGGCGCTTCACCACCGCCGGCGCTCATCATCAGACACCCCGGATCCGACTACCCCGCTGCTAGGCAGGCGGTTTAGTGATGGTTTTGTGTCCCCGAACTCGCGGCGCCGGTCGTCCGGTTCGCTGCGCGGCCACCTTGGTGCTGGCCGGCGCGAGAGCCAGGTGGAAGATACACTGGCGAAGATCGTGGAGGAAAATGACTATGGGCGCAAGGCTTGGGCTAAGAACTTCATCAGCGTTCTCAGTATCTTCGTCGTTGGTGCCGCGGGCTGGACAATTGCCTGGCGGACGGGCATGTGGAAGCCGGCCGTTCTGGAGAGTGACCATGGTGCAGAGAAGGCTGCTGGTGGCCAGGTGTTGGGCTATATCAGTGCGGTGTGCTATCTAGGGTGAGTATTTTTGACAGATTTTGATGTATGGTTCTAACCTTCGTACAGAGCGAGACTGCCTCAGATCTATAAGAACTATTGCGACAAGTCTTGCGAAGGTAACACGCCGCGTCTCGATCTAGATGAGAAACCAATTCTGACATTCTGCCAGGTCTATCGCTGCTGTTTTTCATCCTCTCCCTTTTAGGCAATTTGACTTACGGGGCGGGGGTAGGTTCCTGTCTTTCTCCCTCAATTCTCGCAGTAACTGACCTTTACGACAGATTCTATGCCACTCCACGGATCGGGAGTATGTCGTCACCAATATCCCGTGGCTTATTGGATCGCTGGGCACGATGGTTGAGGATGTTATCATCTTCGCCCAGTTCCGAATCTACGCTGTGCAGGAACCCCAAGCTCCCTCTGCAATTTCATGACCTCTTATCTATATGACTGCAGCTATGCCATCTCAAAAGTTCTTGCCCATTTTCTGGATATCATTTGCATGGGATTCGGGGTTTGTTCAAGCATGGCGTTAGTTATAGTTACCTAAGTCTGACTTCGATGTACATTACGATCATCATTGCAACTGTGTTCCGGTGACCCATCAGCTGTCTACTCCGATGACAATATACTACGCAGCCCAAGCTCAGAATCGCAAACGGCATTCGTTGGTTCATGGTCGCATGAGAAGACATGGCATGATGACCGGGAAACTAAAGCTAACTGGTCCATCGGGGAGCATCAAGAAAAACACAAAGTTCATACATCTACCTGCCAGAGCCGGAGAAACATAACATGAAGCATGTTGATCCAGCCAGCCCTGAAAGAAACCGAGAGTGGTGCCCATCATAATTTTTCTTCCATTCCCCTATAGTCCAGGAAAAAACAACATAGGTCCGGAGTCGCAGCGGCATCCGAGCGAGAGTCTACCCTCCGCAACAAGACGGAAAAAGCACACACCTCGCACCCAGTCCCCATGAAATGTCCTTGTCCGTATGAATTCTTTTGCTAAATTTCAATTCTTTTTCTTCCCCCGAGTTCTAGGAGTTCGTAGCGGGGTTCGCGGAGTATCGAGTACAAGAGGAAAATCGTCGAGGTAGCCAGCTTGTGGAAGAAAGCATGGCAGTGGGGGAAAAGAGGCGAGAGACGAAAAAAGAGGAAAACGAGTTCAATTTCGGAATATGGTAGACGCTTAGTCGAACAGACCGAAGCCCATGTCCTCGTCGGACTCCTCCTTCTCTGTAGTGGGGGTTAGTATTTGCTGCAAGTGGGATTGTTTTCATAAAGACTTACCCTCCTCCTTCTCCTCCTTCTTCTCCTCGGCGGCGGCCTCACCACCAGCGGCGGCGACAGCACCGGCCGGGGCAGCAGCGCCACCGGCACCGACGTTGGTCAGGAGCTCCTTGATGTCCTTACCCTCGAGGGCCTGGAGGTGGAAATGATCGTCAGTCCCTGCGTTTTTTGTGCGCCATATCGCGAAACCGATGACAGCGGCTAAGGCTGTGAGGAGGGCTCAGTAATTACCTTGGCGAAGATGGAGGTCCAGATGGGCTCGACTTCCTGGATCTTGGCGGCATCCAGAAGAGTCTGGAGCTTGTCGGCCTGTAGATGCAAAAAAGACATTGGTCAGTCGGCAGTTCCAAAATGAGACAAGTGAACGGTTTTTCCCGGAGCGCAGTGTTTCTTCTCTGCGATGTCCTTGCGACAGTCGCTCGGAGAAGGCATGCTCTGCGGTTTCCACCATGGAAGCACCGATCACGAAATGGGAGTACGTACAGTGACCTCAACGCCGTCATCGGCGAGGATGAGGGCTGCGTAAGAGCAGGCGAGCTCAGCGGTGGTAGACATGTTTGTCGACGGAGAGAGGTTATCTGACCGGGTTGGGTTGGTGAAGGAGTTGGGATGGGAAGAAGAAGAAAGAAGAGAGTCCACGCCTGCCCGAACCGGCCAAACGCGGTGTGTGGGAAAAAGCCCTCGCTTAGACCATCTTAGTCATTGTGTGCCCACATCAGGCTTAGCGTTTGTTGGATCAGACTAGGCCGAAAACGGCTGCTTAGCTAAGGATCCGGACTATCGATTATCTCCAACAACTAGTAGTTACTAGATCCGTTCTGTGGAACTGACATCACTTCTTGTGCGGGAACGATTCCATATTACCCTGACCATCCACTTGCACTCGCCGGCTACATATTTGAACATTCTTCTGACTAGCTTGGACCACCCTCGACCACTGCGACCACTTCTCCCGCTCGCTCCGGCCATGGAGAGCCCCGCCGTGCCCGTCCCGCTGGATCCGCGAGAACAGCCTATCCTCGAGCGGCTGCTCCGGACTCGCGATTCTCTCCTGCTCATTAAGCAGGACAAATCCTCCTATATCAAGTCTCGCGATGTGCTTCCTCTCTACGAAGAAGTGATTGGAGAGGTCGAGACGCTCAATACTGTCCGCAAAGAGCTGGACCGCCGCTTGGTACACAACCGACGTGAGTAGTGATCTGGGTGCGCGATAGACCGGAAATATGCTAACAGGTGATTGACTGTAGTGGACTATGTGTTAGATGACTGCTTCCAGCTTATCTCCTTGCTTTTTTTGACCGTTGGACGGAACAACGAAGCCCCCGCAGTGTAAACTGGCTGCCCTTCTACCCCACTATTGCAATAATGACTGACGATTTTATGATAGTTACTCGTCGGCCACTACTGTTCAGGTATGGTTGAATTTCTCCTGAATTGGTCATAACAATCTAACTTTACTTAGCGCCTGCTGGACCATCTCGAAGAGGCTGGATTTTACAGCTCGAAAGACCTAGATTCAATCACCAAGACTCTTGATTCGATGCGAGACACGTTGGCCCGCGGCCGCAACACATACTCCCCTGCTCTTCTCACCCTCCTAGAGAGCCGACTCGAGCAATGCCAGCTAGAGCTCAACAAACTGAAGAAAGGGCTGGACGCTTTGGCTCCCGAATTGGTGCAAACACATGAGACACTTGTTTCAATTCTACGGTCAACTTCCGCGGTGAATACTCGATCAAAGTTCTCGGCGACGGAAGTAAATGGCCTGCGGGAGCAGCTGAAGAAAATAGAGGGCACAATGAAAGATGGGAATTTCGTGGATGCCCAGGGGAACATCCTTGCTGGGCAGGAGGATCTCAAGTCGTTGATTCATCGATGTTACCGGTGGACAGAAATTGTACTGGAACGGGAGGGCAAAATTGATGAGCGATTCCGAGACCAGTATGATCGGTTGCTGGAGATCCGAAATCAGCTCGACCGCCTATCAGTGACTCAAGCATGGTCGCTGCGCGAGACGGACCTGTTTGGATACCAGCGGAAACTCGACCGAATTGACGAGGCGCGGGTCAATGGGAACTTTGTCGATGCCGAAGGGCAAACGGCTGACCTTCATGCTCAGCGAGTATGACTTCCATCAAACGCTGCTGGTGTCGAAGCTAACTTATGATCTAGACGTTACTGTATCTCATTCGGCGGAGTTATGCATACATATATGCCCTCCTGATCTCATCAGAGCCCGTGTCTGAGGCTTTGCTACCCGTCTACAACCAGCTGCAGACCCTCCGGAGATGCCTGATTGAAGTCAAGGAATCCGGAGGCGTCTCCAATTCCCGTGAACTGTACCCTTATAGCATGAAGGTATGTCTCTTCAGTAACAAATTGTTGGCACAAGACTAATTCGCCCAGCTTAACTCAATCGACAACATGCGCGTCGATGGAAAATTCTACGTTGGCCCAGACATCCCGGAGGGACAGGGCAGCGTCAACGCCCTGCTCGCCGAATGCTACGACCTGGTTTGGGAATTGCGAGCAGCCGTGGCCGATGAGGAAGATAAAGAATCTTAGGGTTAAGGTCTTGTGGTGAGATTTTTTGTCTCAATTTCTTCTATTCAATGGCCATCCTTGAAGTTCCCTCGACATACAGTAATTGCAATCGTATGTTCATTTCTTGTCTAATGATCCTCTGCCATTTTTTTGATCTTCGTCATGAAAGGCGTTTTTTCCTTCTTTCCTTTGGTTCGGGGTTTAAGGGCATTTGCCTTCCTTGCCCTCTTTACGGCAGCTTAGTACGGTACCTAAGTAGTTAATTTCCATGAGATGGCACGATGGAGTAAATTGCTGTTATGAGATTGGACATAATAGTAAGTAGCAATATTTCCAGCAGCAAAGGGACTTGCGAAATTCCAAGCGATGGACAAAGGCTCGGGCATTCGTCAGGACTTTCATGCGAAAAAATAGCGCATCAAGAACCAGTCGTCGTACCCGGAAATCCTTTTCGGATCGAACACGATAGGAAACATCTTCAAGTCCTTCATTGTGTCACTTTAACAACTCCATTGTTGGACTTTATATAGCAGGCACGCGCCGTAGTGCAATGACCCTGATTGAAGTCTCGGTCGGTATACCAAGGCCTCTCGCAGCATCCACAGTCTCTTCCACAGCAACCCCCTCGTCTCGCGCACTCTTTCTTCAACCAGCCAGTGAGGTGCCATTTAGGGTCCTTGTCTCGTGTATTGATCGCTCGCTTCAAAGGACCACCACCAGAATCAAGATTGTTGTATAGCTTCCAAAGCTTCCACTGCAGAGCCAGTATATTATGCCTGCGAAGTTCTTACATCCACATATGTCAGCTCGTTCGCGGTGGTCTCTCTAGGAATTGAAGGATCTGATCAAAGCCCTCGGGCTCCTTGATCCAATGCCCATCTCCCTCCGCCCCCGTGAACTCATTCCACTCAACATGAAGCAACGCTTGCCGCAGAACCCGTGATGCCTGCCGGCCCAGTTCCACAGACACCCAGTCGTCGTCTGTGCCATGGCTCAAGAACACAGGGGTTGACAAAAGTGATATGTCTGGTGGTTGACTCGGCTGTGGCGCTTCGTGGGCAAGTGTATCAAAGAAGAACCGGGATAATAGACGCTGCATCTGGGGACTTCCAGCATCACCAGAAAGTTCGGATTTCTGGAGCAAGTCTTCCAGCTGCTGCGCAAATGGAAACCAGCCACAAAACCCTAACACGCCTCCCAACGGTCCCTGGATGCGTCTTGTCGCTATTGCGCCGAGGAATGTCCAGATGGTGGTAGCCATTCCCTGGCTTATGCCTCCGATATATACATGGGTGTGTTTCCCGCCAAGGAGAGCTATCTCGTTCTCCAGGATATCCAGGATGTATGTAGCCGACTCTTTGATTCCGTCTGCTTGTAATTCTTGTTTTTCTTGTGTGTCGCCCAACGAATAAGCATCAAACCAAGTACACATTTCCTCCTGGAACGTTGTGCTCCATCGATCAGCAGCAGTGGGGAACACCCATCGCCAGCCGGGGAGACAGGCAGTCAGGTTTTTGTCGCTGGATATTGTCGACGAGAAGAGCTCTTCGGCGAACTCGGGGCCCTCACTACCGCGGCCGTGCAGCAGGATAGCTGTGTGGGTGTGGTTAGCCTCCGGGTGGTGAATATGAAGTTGAGGATGTTCCATTTTGACAGTCTCACAGTATATATTTAAATAAAAAAAAAAATTGCAGTTGTTTTTTCGGTGCTGATGTTGTGTTCAAAATTACAGCCTCTTTCCCCACAAACGCATACCATACTGTAATTTTGAGATCCGGTACCGGCGCCAGGGCCAATCAGCGCCGAGGCAAATCACGAATAATTGCCATTCCGCAAAAAAGAAATCCACTTCACCTTCAACTTCCTCCATCGATTCCGATCTACTCCAGGTGTTGACACAATGGTGAGCCAGCTAGTTTGGCAGCGGGCATCTGCCGCTCGCGGGGTGAGTCTGATCTATCTCAGATGCAAAAAAAAATGAAAGATATTGGAACTGACTCTCTTCTAGCTGGCACGCCTGTCTCCGCAACGACCCTTCGCCCGTGGCCTGGCCACCGAGTCCTCTTCCTCGCGCATGCCGCCCTACCCCAAAATTGTCCGGAACCTCGAACAAGTCCGCAGAGTCCTGGGCTCTGAGCGTGCCCTCACCCTCGCCGAAAAAATCCTCTACGCCCATCTGGAGAACGCAGAGGAATCCCTGTTGTCCGGCACCAACAATGGCCGCGATGTCCGGGGCAAGGCCAATCTGAAGCTCAAGCCGGATCGTGTGGCGATGCAGGATGCCTCGGCGCAAATGGCCCTGCTGCAGTTCATGTCCTGCGGTCTGCCCTCAACGGCTGTGCCCGCCAGTATCCACTGTGACCATATGATTGTTGGCGAGCGCGGCGCGGATACCGACTTGCCGGCGTCGATCAAGGGGAACAGCGAGGTGTTTGACTTTTTGGAGAGTGCCGCAAAGCGCTACGGTATTGAGTTCTGGCCTCCCGGTGCAGGTATCATTCACCAGAGCGTGTTGGAGAACTACGCTGCTCCGGGATTGATGATGCTCGGTACTGACAGTCACACCCCTAACGGAGGTGGTCTGGGCGCTATTGCGATTGGTGTTGGTGGTGCCGATGCAGTTGATGCGCTTGTGGATGCTCCGTGGGAGCTGAAGGCCCCCAAGGTCCTGGGTGTTCGTCTCGAGGGTCAGCTGAGCGGCTGGGCATCTCCTAAGGACATCATCTTGCATTTGGCCGGCAAACTGACCGTTCGTGGCGGTACTGGATTTGTCATTGAGTATCACGGTCCGGGTGTGGACACCCTCAGCTGCACAGGCATGGCCACTTGCTGCAACATGGGTGCCGAGGTGGGCGCCACCACTTCGATCTTCCCTTTCTCGCAGAGCATGGTACCGTATCTGCAGGCAACTCACCGCAGCCATGTTGCGCAGGCCGCGGCGGAGATTGCAGCTGCTGGCCCGCAGAGCTTGCTACGGGCCGATACGAAGGCCGAATACGACCAGCTTATTACGATTAACCTATCAGAACTGGAGCCCCATATCAACGGCCCATTCACACCGGACCTGTCCGTGCCGCTTTCGCAGTTTGCGGATACGGTACGCGAGAAGAAGTGGCCCGAGACTTTTGGTGCTGGTCTGATTGGCAGCTGTACCAACTCGTCGTACGAGGACATGACCCGCGCAGAGGATTTGGTCAAGCAGGCTTCAGCAGCGGGCCTAAAGCCCAAGGCCGACTTCTTCATCACTCCTGGTAGCGAGCAGATTCGGGCTACGCTTGATCGAGACCAGACCCTCAGCACGTTCTCTGAGGCCGGTGGCACGGTTCTGGCCAACGCATGTGGACCCTGCATTGGTCAGTGGAAGCGCACAGATGGTGTGCCCAAGGGCGAGGACAATGCGATCTTCACCTCGTACAACCGCAACTTTCCCGGTCGTAATGACGGCAACCGCCGCACCATGAACTTCCTGGCATCTCCCGAAGTTGTCACCGCTCTCTCCTACTCCGGCAGCACGACCTTCAACCCCATGACTGACTCGATCACCACTCCAAGCGGCGAGTCCTTCAAATTCCAGCCCCCGAAGGGCTTCGACCTACCAAGTGCCGGCTTCGAGGCTGGTAACCCGGACTTCCAGCCCACGGCTGCGGTGCCCGACGCCAGCTGCGAGGTGGTTGTCTCGCCGACTTCGGACCGCCTGGCTCTCCTGGAGCCATTCGCGCCTTTCCCGGAGGGCGACCTGTCCGGTCTTCAGGTGCTGTACAAGGTCAAGGGCCAGTGCACGACAGACACGATCTCCGCCGCAGGCCCCTGGCTCAAGTATAAGGGCCACCTGCCCAACATCTCCGCAAACACGCTGATCGGCGCTGTGAATGCCGCGACTGGCGAGACGAACGTCGCATACGACGAGGCCGGGCTACCGCACGGGATCCCCGAATTGGCCAGCCAGTGGAAGAATCGCGGTATCGAATGGCTGGTTGTCGCCGAGGATAACTACGGTGAGGGTTCTGCCCGTGAGCACGCCGCTCTGCAGCCCCGCTACCTCGGTGGCCGGGTTATCGTCTCCAAGAGCTTCGCCCGCATCCACGAGACGAACCTCAAGAAGCAAGGTGTTGTGCCTTTGACTTTTGCCAACCGTGAGGACTACGACCGTATCGACGCATGTGACCGTGTTGACACCGTTGGTCTCTACGATGTTCTCAAGGCTGGTGGCCAGGGTGAGGTCCAGCTCCGCGTTACCAAGCAGAAGACTGGCGAGTCGTTCGTAATTCCTGTCAATCACACCCTCAGCAGCGCCCAGTGTGGTTTTGTCCTCGCGGGCAGTGCGTTGAACCTTCTGGCTAAGAAGGCTGGCTCTCAGTAAGCCCTCTCAAAAAAATAGGAGTTGATTGTTTTGAGGAAGCCGGTGCTATGCGTTGCAATCTTGTTGGCACTGTATCTTTGTGGACCCTAGATTTATTGTTGATTCGTACTGGTCAGCTAGATGATATCCAATTTATGTTTATGTATATGTATTCTATATTTTTCGTGGCGACACGCCCTTCCAATGACATCTTGTTTGACTGACTTATTCTTTATCCGCGGATTCCCCCGCAGCGGATTGAACCGCACGGGAAAACCTCTTCGACTGACATACAAAAAGCCATTGCGGAGCCATAGCTCAATTTTTACTCTTCAAACACACAATGCAGTCGTCTAAAAACGCCGACGGGTCCAAGAAGCCCTGGATCGAAACGCCTCTCATCGAGTCGGCGACGTTTTCTCAGCAGGCAGGATGGTGAGCTACCCCCACGCCCGTCGCATTCAACGACAAGAAAGTAGTACATTACCAGTAGAAGCAAATTACTGATCCGACTTTTGTCTGCACAGTCGAGTCTTCCTCAAACTTGAACTTCTCCAGCCCTCGGGCTCTTTCAAATCACGGTATGTCGAAAAAGAGCCTCAGTCTTTATTTCCAGCTCCAATCCCACACCCTGCTTCTCTATTCCCTGAACCCTATATACTGACCAAACTGCAGCGGAATCGGCAATTTTATCTCCAAATCCCTGACCTCCCCAACAAACGCCAACAAAAAAGTCCACTTCTACATTTCCTCCGGCGGCAATGCCGGTCTCGCAGCTGTCCACGCAGCCCGCGACCTCGGCTGCGCATGCACGGTCATCGTACCACACAGCACAAAGGCAATGATGATATCCAAGCTGCGCGCCGCTGGGGCAGAGGCCGTGATCCAGCATGGAGCCAGTTGGTTCGAGGCTGATACTTTCCTACGAGAGAACTACATCAACCACCAGGACGCGCAAACAGACTCTGTCAATGTGTACGTGCCGCCGTTTGATGACCCACTGGTCTGGGAGGGCGCGGCGACTATGGTTACGGAGATGGCGAAGCAACTACCAGAGAGAGATGGGGATGAGTTCCCTGCCGATGCAATTGTTTGTAGCGTCGGGGGAGGCGGTTTGTTTAATGGTATCGTTAGTGGACTGGACCAGTATTCTGCCTGTCGACGTGAAGCAAAACCCATTCGTGTCCTAGCGGTTGAAACTGCGGGCGCGGATTCGCTGGCTCATTCTCTGCGTTCTGGGGAATTGTCTTCGCTCAAGGCCATTACTTCGCAGGCTACTTCTCTCGGTGCGTTGCGCGTTGCACCACAGACCTTTGAGAATGCGCGCTCGCCGCCTTCGGGGGTCGAGGTGTCCAGTGTGGTTGGCTCGGATGAGGAGGCTGCGATAGGTATCTTGCGACTGGCTGATGAGCTGCGATTGCAGGTAGAGCTGGCGTGTGGAATCTGTGTGGAGGTTGCTCTTGGTGGCCGGTTGAAGGAGGTGATTCCAGACTTGACGCCAGAGAGCCGGGTTGTGGTTGTTGTTTGCGGCGGAAGCAACGTGACGGCGGAAATGATTACGGACTATAGACGCAAGATTCAGGAGGGATGGGATTGATGGCGATTTAGTATGCATCATGCGGGGTAATTTCTACGCAATCATAGACTGCCTGGACTGAGTTCATGGCATAGTTGCATTTCCACAAATAAACGCAATCTCACACACTATTGTACGCAAAGATCTACGGATTCTCTGGAGCATATCAAAAGCCCCTTCGTCATCATTATCAATAGCCTTCAAATACCGTCAAATGCCATCCGATGCCATCAAATGCCGGCGGTGCACAACAAAATCAAGTTGAAGATGAATAAAGGCACGATCCTCGCATACTTCCTTTTCGAGGACGGAGAATCCGGAGTTCAAGTCTAAATGTGTCGGTAGACTCAAGGCTTTTGTTAGTTTTCGGCATAGACAGAAAAAGCTTGCAGAAATGTTCTATCCAATGAGAAACAGTACCGAGATGCATAGATGCACACGCTGGCCCGCCTGAACGCCAGGGGTTAGACGAATGATACCTCCGGCCTAATGGAGAAATGATCGGTTATGTCGGTTTACCTCTCGGCAGGAACATCAGAGAAAGATCCAAGCACTTCGGCTCCACAATCTTACCTTGAAGGATTTCCTGTCTGCGCCACACTGATAATAATGTAACATTATTGTCCCTTCAAACATTAGGTTTTCAAGCATGTCACATGCTCACACTCTGTAGATGGTAAGATTTTCATTCAGAGAAACACTTGAAACACGTTAGTTATACATCAGATGAATTGGTTTCAAGTACCCCGACACACTGAGGTTCTAGAACAAAGTGCTTGCAGAAGGTCCACACTAGTACGCATTTTACTAGCGAACCAACTGAACGGTGACAATGGAATCAATGGCATTATTATTCTGTCAACTCTGCTGCACATATTCATCGTAAGCTGAAAATAGGAGAACTCTGCCTCGTACATACCGTGACAAATGCTAAGGGGCCATGGGCGGTTGGTGAGCTGGAGCCAATAATAATGCTATGAGTAGGATTCCAGACGTAGCCAATAGTACTCTATTGACACAGTGCTTGATCTTCCGTCATCGGACATTCCGTTTCATCTTAGGAACGGCCTCTTCTGGACTTTCAATCGCCGATGGTGATGGCGCTTCTCGAACTCTATGAGCTTTTAGCGTGTGTGGTTGTCTATTAAAGGAGCGGTCTCTCCCTTCACACGCTTTATTACTCCAGGCTTTATTCCAGGTCTCTCTGAACTCAAACCTGCTTCTCTCGATACGTATACCTTCTCAAAATGTTCTATAATACTCAATTGGCGCTTTTCGCTGTCGCGGTTGCCCTCCTGGCACCATCTATCCAGGCAATGCCCACCCCATCGCAAAACGAGGCACCTACGAAAGTCGCTCTCGAACGCCGAGATCCCATCGCCTCAATCTGTACCCAGAATGACATTATCAATGCGGCCGATTTCATTCTATACAACAATCTCTGGGGTGAAGACGATGCCACCTCCGGATCTCAATGCACATATCTCGACTATGACAACGCCAATTCGATCTCTTGGCAGACATCTTGGACTTGGGAAGGTCCCAGTGACGTGAAGAGCTACGCCAATGCAGTGCTTAACATTCCTGCTACCCAATTGAGCTCGATTACTAGTCTTGCGTCGACCTGGACCTGGAGGTAAGTATCTAGCAAGCAATATAAGCCCGATAGAGACTAGACTAGGTGCTGACATTTGGTACACAGTTATACCGGAGACTCTCTCCTAGCAGATGTGTCCTACGATGCCTTCTTGTCCTCTGAAGCTTCCACGACTGCCACGCACGACTACGAGATCATGATCTGGCTTAGTGCTCTTGGTGGCGCCGAGCCTATTGGATATGGCAATCCGGTTGTCTCGGTGCCTATTGGTGATTACACCTGGGATCTGTACCAAGGGACCAATACCTGGACTGTCTTCAGCTTTGTGGCACAGAGCGAGATCACAGATTTCTCAGGGGATATCAATGACTTTTTCACCTATCTCATTGACAACCATGGCGTGCCGTCGAGTTACTATCTTCAGACTATTGGGGCGGGCACGGAGGCTTTCACTGGTTCTGATGCGTGGTTTACTGTTGCCCCTTATACTATCAGTCTTAACTAAGGTTTACGGTGAATGAATGGATATGAGACTTGGAAACCACTTCAGGCGAATGGAACAGATGAAGTAAAAGGAATTTGAGGACAAGAGCGCAGAGATTGCAAGAATCGATCGATAAATACACATAAGAGTTAATGCTACCGACGCCAGATTGTTCTAAAAGACTTCATTCATCATCATAGCATAAAACCATCCTATAGAAAATATGGCCAAGTCTAAGTGCATGCTTGGAGATGCTATCCTCGAAGTAGTCAAACCGTCCCGCTCGCAGAGAAGACCTCGACTGAAGAATTTCTTTCATTCAGTGAAGCCCAACAAACAAACCCCCCCCCCCCATGGCCCAGACACTTGTCAATATCAGTCACTATCACTGGCACTGCCCTCGCCCTCATCCTCGGCCGCTTCCTCGCGCATCCCCTCGGCGAGGATATATTCCGCCTGCGCGAGCGCAGACTTGATCTCGTTGTTATCGAAGACCAGTTCGGCGGGTTTCTGGCCATGCTTATTCCGCACGCGTGGGTCACAACCGGCCTCGCACATCATCTTGACCATCTCCGTGCCCAATTCCTTGTCCTTGTCGTTGGCGTAGCGTACTGCGATATGGAGGGGTGTGTCCTTGTCCATGCGAGTGAGGGGGTCGCACTCGAAAAACTGGATGTCGAAGAGGGCGTCCATCACGTCGTCTGGATTGTAACCTGCAGTCAGACGGGGACACACACCCAAAGGAAATGGGAAATGGGGATGAGAGGGGGGAGAAACACGTACAGCTGCCGTACAAACTGCAGATGTGCAGGGCGTGGTTCCCCAGTGCGTCGGTCACCCCGTTGAAGAATTCGGCTACCTCCTCGTTGCTCTTGCCGTCCATGTCGCTCAGCACTTGCTCGATCAGATGCGGCTGGTCTCGGCGGCAGGCCTCGACGACCAGCTCTCGTGGGGATGCACCCTGGATAACAGCATTTTGTTGTCAACGACTGACTGCGCTAGATTTGGGTTGAGAATACTCACCTCGTCGTCTGCCATGGTGATATCTGGTTGTTTCGGGGCTTAGGAAATGCTGCTGCGGGCACAGCAGGGGGTCTTTGGTGGACAGTCGAAGCAGGCAAACGAGTCAGAATCAGCGTCCAAGTCCCGTCGTCAATCCCCGATATGTACAAGCTGGGAAGAGACCGTGTTTGGGGCCGATCACCCCGGGGTCCTGGCATGTCACGTGGAGGTCCCGCCGCCTTTCAGTTTACCCGCGCGTCTAGATCTTTTGCTCTTTGCTCTTCTTGTACGCACTCGGCGCTCAGACAGCCATGCCGCTGCTTTGTAGGTATTTTGTCCTCTGACCAGAAGAACCGCACTGACCCATTCTCTAGTCTGCCCCAACTGCAGCAATGTGCTGACCATCTCCCGCACCGAGACGAGCTCACACCCGCTGGGTGTCAACCGCTTCGAATGCCGCGCCTGTCCCTACGAGGAGATTCTGGAGAAAAAATGGTTCGAGGAGACCAAGATGAAGCAGAAGGAGGTGGAGGCGGTGTTTGGCGGCGCGGAGGAGTTTGCCAACGCGGATAGCACGCCCAGTGAGTATTTTTCGGAAGGTACGATGTGAACCAGTCTGACAGAATCCTCTCCCAGCTCAATGCCCGGCCGAAAACTGCGAGGGCGACCGTGCGTATTTCATCCAGGTGCAGATTCGGAGTGCAGATGAGCCGATGACTACGTTTTTGAGGGTGCGTTTCACTCCTTGCTTCACCTTGGGGACTAGTTTCTGACAGCAGACAGTGTACGACTTGCGGCGCCCAGTGGAGAGAGAATTGAGTTACGAGAGGGGAAGAAAGGGCGCAGGGAATGAATGGAGGGAATGAATGGCATAACAATGGCGTTGGAATAATCATTTGCTGTGTACTCGAGATACCCTAGCTATACATCACGAAGTGGTCGACGTCACGGCGGCCACCATTTTTCTTGCTTTAATACTCCGATCGCCCACATGTACTAGTAGGCGGGCGGGATTTTAGTTGGTCCAACCGCGGATCTTGGGCTCGCCATGCTTATCCGGGTGTGAAAATATAACTAGCCCGTGTGGAGCGACGATTAGCCCGAAAACTCTTCACCTCCTTTTGTCCATCAGTGCCCCGCGGAGGGGCAGGATCCAGTAGTGAGATCACACCGAATAATACCTCGTAGGAGCCATTAGTCTTCCTCTCCCCGATAGTAAAGGCAGTAGTCGTAATGAAAAGAGAATCCGGTCAACCATTGAATAAATCATGATCAGCCTAACCTGCGTGGCTGCCCAGGGTGGGATGGGTCAAAAAATTCACAGTGGAGACGCCAGTGCCAGAGAACCAGAAGGAGGGGTACTTCTGTTCAGTATGGCCGCGGCCCTACTGGAGGAAGTACACAGCCCACCATGCAGATTCTGCGGCCGCCCCACCATCAGCCAATCAGGTGACCACAACCCTCGCTTGCCCCTCCATATAAACCAAACCCTCCCTCGCCTTCCCACAGAATTTTCCCTTCTTTCCCTGTCCGCTTCAGTACGTATATCTCCCCCCCCCCCCTTCCCTTTTCTCTTCCATCCTCTCTTTCCTCCTTCATCCATCTGACTTTTGCCTCAGCACCTCTACGCGTCTTGCCGTAGTCTCTGAGCAATTTTTCTGAACTCTTTCTAGTATCTTCCAAAGAACTACAAGGATTCACCTCCTCCAACCGTCATAATGGGGTATGTGGCCATCATCTTCTCTTCGTCCTCGATTCATCACTGACCCCCTCTGCAGTAAGGACGCCAAGGCTCACATCAACATCGTCGTTATCGGCCACGTCGATTCCGGCAAGTCGACCACCACTGGTAAGCCCTGCCCCTCTTTCCCGCCGCCCACAAAGAAAAAAATTCTGACTCCGCCTCGAACAGGTCACTTGATCTACAAGTGCGGTGGTATTGACAGCCGTACTATCGAGAAGTTCGAGAAGGTATGTTGTCTTCCTTATCGTGCCAGCGAGAGCAAGTTACTAACTGCCCACACAGGAAGCCGCTGAGCTCGGCAAGGGTTCCTTCAAGTACGCCTGGGTTCTTGACAAGCTGAAGGCTGAGCGTGAGCGTGGTATCACCATCGACATTGCTCTCTGGAAGTTCGGCACCTCCAAGTATGAGGTCACCGTCATTGGTAAGTGCCTGCCTACTCTCACTGCTGGAGAGAAATCTTTACTAACCTTACCCTACAGACGCCCCCGGTCACCGTGATTTCATCAAGAACATGATCACTGGTACCTCGCAGGCCGACTGCGCTATCCTCATCATTGCCTCCGGCACTGGTGAGTTCGAGGCTGGTATCTCCAAGGATGGCCAGACTCGTGAGCACGCTCTGCTTGCTTTCACCCTCGGTGTCCGCCAGCTCATCGTCGCTCTGAACAAGATGGACACCTGCAAGTGGTCCGAGGACCGCTACAACGAGATCGTCAAGGAGACCTCCAACTTCATCAAGAAGGTTGGCTACAACCCCAAGAACGTTCCCTTCGTGCCCATCTCCGGCTTCAACGGTGACAACATGCTGGAGCCCTCCACCAACTGCCCCTGGTACAAGGGTTGGGAGAAGGAGACCAAGGGTGGCAAGGTCACCGGTAAGACCCTGTTCGAGGCCATCGACGCCATCGAGCCCCCGGTCCGCCCCGCCAACAAGCCCCTGCGTCTGCCCCTCCAGGATGTCTACAAGATCTCCGGTATTGGCACGGTTCCCGTCGGCCGTGTTGAGACTGGTGTCATCACCCCCGGCATGGTCGTGACCTTCGCCCCCGCTGCCGTCACCACTGAAGTCAAGTCCGTCGAGATGCACCACCAGCAGCTCAAGGAGGGTCTCCCCGGTGACAACGTCGGCTTCAACGTCAAGAACGTCTCCGTCAAGGAGGTCCGCCGTGGTAACGTTGCCGGTGACTCCAAGAACGACCCCCCTGCCGGCTGCGCTTCGTTCAACGCCCAGGTCATCGTCCTGAACCACCCCGGTCAGGTCGGCGCTGGTTACGCTCCCGTTCTGGACTGCCACACTGCCCACATTGCTTGCAAGTTCTCCGAGCTCCTCGAGAAGATCGACCGCCGTACCGGTAAGTCGATTGAGAACTCGCCCAAGTTCATCAAGTCCGGTGATGCCGCCATCGTCAAGATGATTCCCTCCAAGCCCATGTGCGTTGAGGCTTTCACTGAGTACCCCCCTCTGGGCCGTTTCGCCGTCCGTGACATGCGCCAGACCGTTGCCGTCGGTGTCATCAAGAGCGTCGAGAAGTCCGCTGGTGGTGCCGGTAAGGTCACCAAGGCCGCCCAGAAGGCTGGCAAGAAATAAATGATTTGCGGATGATTCTTTTCTTTTTGCAAGAGATGCCGTGATGATTTTTTTTCTCCAAAAACGCTGCAGGATGGAGCTAGACTTTGCTGTGTAGTTAGCTACATACAGATTCATGTCTCGATTTTTTTTCTCTCTCTCTTGTAGAATTGTAGTGTCGTGTCTTGCAATGTAGTCAAGTAGACCAATTGCTCTTGCCCTCAATTCTGTGTGTGCGTGACTTGTGGTGTCTGGTTGGTCGGTTGTGTGCCCTGGCGGGGATGTGCCGAAGTCCAACAGCACCATTCACCCGAAAAAAGTCTTCCCTCACCACCATGTTCCCCTACATAGTCAAAACAAGCGCATGAGACTACATATCAGAATCGGCGAAAGTCCTAGTTATAACAAATAGGAAATCCCTCACCCCAAAAAACTGCCCTTAGCAATAATCGGAGATATATTTCTTCTCTTCAACGGTCCGAAAACGTTAGCAAGAGGACTGAGTCCAAGGTGTGGTATGTAGTTCGTTTGTCCTAGTAGCCATAAGGGCATTCTCTGAGTGGGATGTGTTCGATGGTGCTTTCTCCTAGCGAGTATAACTTGGTAGATTTGAGAATTTTAAACACCAAAATTTCTCATCTCGTGGTCCTGGTATTTCCGAGGTCATTTCGTGCTGCAGAACTCCGAGCTTTTATACCAAATCTTGCTATATTTCCAAACTCAAAGGATAATAGATGGAGTGCAATGAGAGTGAAAATGTACATTCATATTCAAGTGGTATCAAACAGCAATATATGGGCCTCTTCCAATGCAATGGTTCCCCAGGCCAGCCAGAAGACAATATCAATCACTATCCTCCTCCTCCTCCGACTCATCTTCTTCACTCGAAGACTCCTCCCCCGCACCCGTAGTAGCATGTCTCGACGATCTCCTCGATTGGCTCTTCCTCCTTGCATCCTCCACACCATGTCCAGTCTCATTTCCAGACCCAGTAGCCACAGCACCACCATCCAGCGCACCGTCTTCCTCCGCACGATCCCTCCCCAAGTCCACAACACCTAGACTCCTCTTTAACCGATTCTCAAACTCCTCATTCTCCTCAATCTCCCACTGCGCCAGCTCCCTATCCCCATCGCCGCCATCCCGTCCATAAACTCGTTTCACCATCCCCGCAACACCACTCGCCCCAACCTCGACTTTCCCGCGCGGCCCAACCATATACTCGACCACCTCCTCGCCGCCGTCCATCTCGCGCGTGCGAACAATATACCCCTCGCGACATAGCCGTTGAAGCAACTTATCTGTTTTGTCGACGGGTGTGTAGGTATCTGCGTTTGTACGGGCGAGATACCGGTCGAGTTTTTGCTCGGCGAGCGAGCCGCCGTTTAGCGAGATCACGCTGATGATGAAACTGTAGAGGGCGGTGTATGTGCTTTCTGTTGCGGAGGAGGGGGCGCGTGTTGGAGGGAGGATTTGGGGGGTGCGGTACGCTTGCGGGAGGGTCGTGGTTAGCACCCAGGATCTGTTCGTTGAGGAGGGTTTGTCGGTTTTCTGCGCGGCTGTTCATGTCATGTAGTGTTAGTTAAGCCATAGCTGAAGGGTACCGCGCATAGACAAGCAAGCACGCAGACAGAGAAACAGCGGGAAGAGAAACTCCCCCCCTTTCAAAAAAGACTCACCCCGTCGCTGTGTAATAGTAACCTTCTCCCTAGCTGGCAACTCGCTCATCTCCATACCAAAATGCTGCCTCAGCTCGCGCTGCGCCAGCTCAAACACAGTCTTGAACTGCCGCGTCCCCTGCTCGCCCAAGACCTTGGCGCTGATGTCACTCCGCCGGATAGGTAGGCGCGCGTACTCACTCGCCAGCGCGAGCCGCACCATCTTCTTCACCATTGTGTCTATGCTGGACGGCGCGCTGCCGCCATCTTCGCTGTCGGAGGCGCCGGAGGGCGCCACGGAGGAGGAGCTGCGCTGGCGGCGGGCGTCGTTGCCGGCTCCTGGATGGTCGGACTGGGAAGCTATTAGGGGCTGATGCTTGGGAAATGGAGAGGATGTATCTACCTTTCTTTTGCGGATGAGTGGCATGGTGGTGGTTTGGTTGTGGTGGAGGTGGTGGGGAGAGAGAGGACTAAGTTGGACGCGACGCGATCGCTGATTTTACGTGTGGTCCGTGCGAGCTTGATCTTCCGTCCAAGTATAGAGAGCGCGGACGGTACGACTACGGAGTAGATCTTCAGAAGGTATTCATTAAAAGCAATCATCAGGCATTATTTTCTCTAAGCTAACCAGTCCAAATCTAAACCAAAGAAAAAAGATTACTTGGTCTTCTCACTGACGACGGCCTTCCCCTCCTCCTTCGCCGTCTGCAACCAAGAGCTCACCCACGCCAGCGACTCCTGCGAGAGCACCAAGCTAGTAGTGACTACAGCCTTCCCGGACGCAACAACCCCATCCCCGCCACACTTCTTGTACTCGTTGCCATACAGATCGAAGACATGGTGCTTGACGTCACCAGCCAGACGGACCGGGAACGAGGCCCGGTCGACCAGCGAGCCACGCAGGGCCTGAGTGTCCTCCTTGATAAAGGGGAAGCGGGTCTCGATCTGGTCCAGGCCGCGATCACCCAGGGCGTCGGCGCGGGCGAGGTAGGGGGCTAGGTAGCTGTAGGGTGTGGATAGGTAGGGAAGCACGGGCTTGGCGATGCGGGTATAGCCGTGGTCGGCGTATTCGAGGGATTTAGCGCCGTAGGGGTTGTGTTTGAAGGTTGTGATGGAGTCGTTGATGATGGGGTAGGAGGTGAGGTGCTGGTGTTGTTGTTAGTTTGCTGCAATCAAAAAAGATGGTGGGGCGGCGGCTTACGGTGAGGAAGCTCGAGTGGATGGTCTCGCCGTTGACGGTGGGTTTAGACATGATGATGACAGTGGAGTAATGACGGTGTCGAGCAAAAGGAAAAAAAGACGAGGATCAGAGAGGGAGAGAGAGAGAAGAAATGGATGGTGGAAGAAGAATAGGTCCAGAAGGTCAAAGATAAGGGAGCATAGGTACCTTTACCTGTTCCCATGTGATGGCGCCATCCGACATGTGATAATTGCACTCTGAGCCTAGACCACGTTTATTATTACTCTCATGCATCTTTGACTCGGGGCTAACTGTTATTATGTCTTCACTTATCGCTCCCGTGTGACTGGTGCGCAGCTTGATTCGTGGAAGCCCTGGCAGGCGTTCCCTGATGAGCCTAGCATCATCATCATCGTAGTATTTATCCTGAGGTCGCATAAACGGCGCAAGCGCATGCAGATACGCATTCTGACAGGCTAGTTGAAGGGCCAGGAAAAATCCTATCCGGGCGGGAAAGCAGTGGTTGGTCAATGCAGTCGCCCCTGGCGGAGGACTTTTGACTCTAGGCGACTGCAGATCATGTTTCGGTGAACGATCATTGACGGGCCGTTGGTTTTAGAGTTCCGAGAATACGTAGAATGAAAATTCCATGCCCATGGCGCCACTCGATGTCATCACGAAATAATACATACATACCCCTACGACCTGCCTAGGCAGTCCATACCTAGGCTTGTGCTCGTTATTGTTCCTCTCGATTGGAGTTCACCTGTACTGCGGGACCGTGGCGCAGAGATCTCCCGTGCTCGGTGGTGGCGGATCCTTCGTGTCCTCACTAGGCAGCTGAGCCTCGCACTTCCGTTTCCCTCGGCGAGATGGAAGGCGATTTCTTTCGGCAGGGACGAGCTAGTTTCACATGCGCCCGTGGGAATGCCGCGATAGGTGCATAGATATAGATCGGTCGGGGGAAGGATTGCCTTCACATGGCCCTATCTGACACAATACTCTGAAATGGCGAAGGGCAATATCGCAATATCCACTACAGGTCTGGGCAGATGGGGATACGCAGGCTACAGTAGTAGGGGACGGGTCGTCAGCCTCGGTCTACAGCCATTGACCATCTTCCCCCTTGGCCTATCGCGAATCAGAAGTTGATTTTAAATTTTCCATTTCATTCAGACGGACGCCCGATCAGGCGTGACGTCCCTCGTAAAAACTGGATGCTTCATCGATACATTCCCGATTCTGTTTCCAGCCATGGTATATGTCATCCATCATCCCATGCTCGCGGGATGGTGAGCTCGATGCTTTTTTCCTCTCCTCGCCTCGCCTCGCGTCATACCGTGCGCGCTCGAATCGACAAAACATTTAGAAACCTATTTCGTCGCATTAGCCGAGTGTGAATAACAAGTAACGGGATGGGACATACGGAGAGGAGTGAAGAACCAACGGTTCTTGCCGCTGGTGTACCGGTCCTCCAGGGCCTTCTTGACGGTCTTCTTGGAGTCCTCACGCTGCGACACCTCCTTGAAGGTGTCGGTGTTGACGGCACCCTTCAGACCCTCCAGCTCGAGGGTGTAGCGAGTGGGCATCAGGTGGTTGTAGTTGACGACCTTGATGAACGGCTTGATCCGGCTGCGGCGGTCGACCAGCTTCTTCCCCATGCGGCGGGTCACCTTCTGGGGGTAACGCTCGATACCAGCGACGATGGCATAGGGGAAGGGGTGGGCCTTGGAGCCAGTGTCGTTGGGCTGGACAATGACGACCTGGACGAAAATCCCTGTCAGCACCGTCTTGTCTTTTCTCTTCTGTCTTCCATTGTGTCTCCCATCATTGCTTGTGCGTCCCACAAAATTCCAGACTCTTCTCTCTTTGTGTCGTCCAACGGGCAGAATTCGAGGGGGGATAGAGGCGTTGCTTTCGTACCTTCTTGCCGGCGTAACGGCCACGGGTGATGATGGCCACACGGCCCACTTTCATGACTGTCGCAGCAGAGTCAGTATACGTATAGTAATGACAGAGAGGCAACCAGGAATACGAACACTTCATTGTGAAAGTCCCGGTCGAGGATTGGCGGGTGGTTGTCGAAGTTGCGGGAACAAGAGATCGAAGCGAAGTCGGTTTTTTGTGGTGGTGGACCAGGTTTGTGTGCCTGCAATTCATTGGCTGGTTTACCGATTCCACGCTAGTCCGTTTGGAGCCGGTTCCGCCGGCCAGTTAATCCGCTGCTCACCGCTCCGTTCTGCCGTTGTTTACCCGTTGCCCAGGGCAGCGCGGGTGTGTGTGTCGGCGTCTGGACTTCCATGACCTAACGACCACTCTTCACCCATCTCCACTGGTTTCGGCTGATCGCCTTCATCTCTAACCTCTCCCCATCCTCATTGTTCGGTGTGATTGTTTTGGTTTCCGTTTCTTCTAGCGATATCCAATCAACCTTGATATGCCGCGACGTCCTCACTGTTTGACTCGCGTATCACATTTTTGAAGCGCATTCCAGCCGCAACAGCTCAATTCTTTCCTGAGACATCTTGACTCTGCTCTCAGAGGGAGACGACCATGCCGTCCCACGAGCGGGACATTTCTTCCCGTGACCGAGAGTTAATTCGGCTCCAACCGAGTCATTCCGAGTCGAAGATCCCCATGTATGTTGTTGATGTCCCTCATCCCTTCGGCCCGATATGACCACCATGAGTGACTGGAAACTGATGCTCAAACGTCGTCGCACGCGTAGGTGGGATAGTTCTGACCCTGATCGCGCTCCCCCGCCATTGCCCTTGAACCCGCGGTCAATGAGTCCCATCACCAAATCTCACATCTCGCCAAACGTCCAGGCCATCGCGGCCAAGTTCACGGATAAGCCCGGCGAAAACACGATAAGCTCCTACACAACAAACTCCATGTCCCCCAAGCCTCCATCATCACCAGAACGACAGTTGGTTAAGGGCAACATCCACAAGCGCATGCAGTCGCAGCCCGGTGACGCCCGCTCTGAATTTCTCAACTACCTAGACAGCCGGTCGCCGGATCGACCTCAGCGTGCGACGATTGCTGAACCACCAGCGAAGACGGAGGACTCGAAGACTACCGAGTCACCGTCGCAACGTCCCCACTCCGAGCGTGACTTCTCAAATTACCTTCTTTCGAGTCGGTACCTTTCCAAGCCGATTTTTGGGGAGAGCACCCCTCCCTCAGCAACCATGTTGGCTCTTCAAAACATGCAACTACCAGCAGACACCGAGTCTCCATCGCCGTCAACTCGTCCCAAAATGCTCGCTGCACCCGCACCAGTAGCGCAAGAGCCACAGGCGCACAGCATGGAGTCGATTTCATCTCAGATTCATAGCCTTACCGATATTGCGAGCAGTTTGCGGCACGAAATGGCTCAGCTGAGCCGACGAAGCAAAGACAATGCCACCGATCTGGTCAGCCTCAAGGCTGCGACCAACGCCCGCGACGAGGACATTCGCAAAAGTCTCAGGGATCTGACCTCCAATCTTTCTTCCAAGTTTCTGGACCCAGACTCCGCAAGGTTTGATCTTAATGCTCTATTAAGTTCTGTGGATGGAATGAACTCTAAGGAATTGGATAGTTCTCCAAGACAAACGAAGTACTCGGCACCCCGTATGGCCAGCCCTAATCGGTTTGCTTCCTATGATCGAGAAATGTGTGGATCACCGGGACCCGTATCTGATGGCTCGGCCAGCATTGCTCTGCTCGAAAAAGTCCTGCGTGAGATGGCGACCAAGGAAGGTGAAGAAAAGCTTTTGGAACTTGTGGACGAAATCAAGTCTCGACCAGCTGCCACTCCATCCGACAAGGTTGCCGACAAACAGATCACCACGATGCTCGAAGAGATCCTCAACCTCGTCAAGGAGGTCCCCTCCAATCGAGCCCTCATCCGCTCCTCCACTGTCGCCGACACTTCTAAGCTTGCTCCGCCTGATGAGACCATGCATGACGGTCTTAGATCCCGTTCGCTTGGCTCTATGGAACCATCAACTGTACACGCGCTGGATATTGCGAAGGGCGATAAAGGTGAACGCTCGGGTTCAAACCCCGACGAGATTCTGTCCATTCTGAGGAGCGTGAAAAATAGCGTTATCGAAGGAGGCGGAATGACCAGCGGAGTGAAGACCTTAGTGCGCGAGCTGCGTGGAGAGGTTCTGGGCATGGGACGGGATCTGGCCCGAAGACTTGAAGCCATCGAGACAACCAACGAGGCCAGGGATGTTGGCAACGAGAAGGAACTCCAACCCCAGGCTCTTAGCTCAGAAGAGATCGCTACCGTTGTCGAAAACAGTCTTCAGGACCTGAAAGAGCAGCTGGCTGCCACTGTCAACGAGAGCCGAGAACATTCATCGGCACTTTCCCAATTCCAATCGATGATGAACAGCGCCGAAATTTACTCAATTGTCAAAAAGGCTCTTGATGAATTCGAGCCTCCACAAGCTGCTCAGAACGAGTCACGAGGTGTTGGACTGGAAAAAGAAGAGATCCTTGATACCGTCCGCGAAGCATGGGAGACCTACAAGCCGGAGATCGAGCTACAGAACTTTGGCTTGGAGCGTGATGAAATCCTGGAATGTCTCACAGAAGGACTCAAGTCATACCGGCCACAAAACGAGCAAGCCGTGACCTATGATCAAGTCTTGGCCGCTGTTCAAGCCGGAATGCAGAACTTCGTCCCACCCCCATCAGACCAACAGCAGCAGACCATCACCAGAGACGAGATCATCTGGACCATTCGTGAATGCCTGGAGAAGCCCGAGCCGACTGCTTCCAGAGGCCTTGATGAGGATCACCTCAACTCCCTTCGCGATGAAATTCTTGCCGCTGTCACTGGATCGGTGGCTACGCAGAGCATGCTCAGCACGAAATCTCTCGACTCCGGTCTCGGTCATGATGAGATCGTCAGTGCCGTTTCCGATGGCCTGGAGGCGCACTTCGCTGCTGCCAAGGAGAAGGACGGGACACACATTACGAGGGAGGATGTCGTCAACGCCATCAACGATGCCTTCAACTCTCAACAATCTGCTCTCAGCATACCCACCCAATCGACTGTTTCCCGCGAAGACATCATGAATGCCATTGCGGATGGCATCGAGGCTTCACACTCAATTTCCAGGGATGCCTCTCAGTCCTTCGTTTCTCGAGACGAGATTCTGGCTGCCATCGCAGAAGGCCTTGAAGCTTCATCGGCTGCTCGAGACAGTGCCGTCGCCAATATCCAACCAAGCGTGTCTCGTGAGGAAATCCTGCAGACCATCGCCGAGGGTATTGAAACCTCCAACTCGATCACCCGAGAGATCGAACTAAACAAAGACGATCTCATGGAAGCAATAACGGCGGGTCTCCACGAGGCGACCAACTCTGTGAACCTCAATCCTAGCGACCAGGTACTAGATAGGCTTCAGGACCTGCTGGATGGAATGAAGGAGGAATTCAAACAGTACTCCGCAGCCAATGGTAAAGACACTGAACAGGTCCTTGATGCGATCAAGGATGGTCTCCATGATGTTCGCAGAGAACTTGACGCCTACGTCGTGACAGCCACCGATGTCTCCGGGAAGCACGAGATCATCGACACTGTCAAGGAAGGGTTCCGCCTTCTCCAGGCTGACATGGAAAAAACGATCACGGATGCCACTTCGTCCACTGCACCCAAGAATCCAGATACTCCCGAGCTTTTGGATGCCATGGAGAAAGAGTTTGAGCACTTACGGTCGACCATTAGTACTCTGCTCATTCAGGACAAAGCCCCTGGTGACAAGGACGAGATTATTGATGCTATCCGTGACATTGCCGAGCAGCAAAGAAGTGTTGTGCACCCAGAGCCAGGTGCCGACAAGGACGAGATCATCGCGGCTCTTCGTGAGCACTTCGAGTACCTCCGTGAAGAAACAATGCAGCGACGAGATGGCAATGAGAGCATGCTCTCTTCTACCAGCGAGCTTCTGGACGCATTCAACGATGGCGTCGACTCAATCCGCGATGATTTGAAGAAGTTCCTGGACAAGCCTTTCGAGTTCGACATGACAGAAGTCCTCGACACCATTAAGGATGGACTGGTCGATCTCAAGACTGATATGGATTCTCTTCGTCAATCTCAAAGCGATGATGCCGGTACTACCCGGGGAGGTGAACTCATGCTCGCTGATTCGGGAGTTGGGAGTGGCATTGAGAGCCTGAAGGCGCTTATCACCGAGCTTCAGGGCAAGGTCGATGCCATCGAGACTCCTCGTGCCGACGAGCCCACCGAGGATGCACTGAAACGCGGACACCTGGACGAACTCCTTGTCGCCATCCAGGAAGTGCAGGTCGTCGTGGCTGAGATGAGCAACCAGCACACTGAAGGACTGGCTCGAAAAGAGGACACCGATAACATCGAAGGCTTAATCATGAGCACAAAGGCCCAGATTGACGATATGGTGTTCCCGTCGCCCGACGAGATCGCGACCTCTGAACAGATCGGCACCCTCGAGGCAGTAATCCGGGAGGCCAAGGACTCTATCGCCGACTTGTCTACGCGAATTGAAGCCGACGCCCCCACAAAGTCAGATATTGGAACTCTGGAGGGACTGATCAAGGATGTCTGGATTGCCCTGGACGAATTGAAAGGATCGACCAAGGGTGATGAAGCCGCAGAACAGTCCGACAGGTTGCTGAAATCCGACTTGCAGACAGTAGAGGCCATGATCTTCGAGGTCAAGTCGCAGGTGGACGAGCTGAGACTCCCCGATGTGGAGACCCTTCCAACCAAGGCTGATATACAAGAGCTGTCTACTATTGTCACTGAGTTCCGGGAGAAGATGGAAGCCGACAATGATCTCACGGGACAGGGATTTGAGGCTCGCAAAGTCGAGCATGGCGGTCTAGCTGAGAAGATTGAGGAGGCCAAGTTTCTTGTTGGAGAACTCGGCGACGAGCTAAAGAGCAAGCTTGATGGCAGCAGTGAGGGACTTGCTGAACTCAAGCAGCTTCTTGAAGGGCTTGCCGTCACAGCCGAAAGCTTCACCACCGTCGAAAACGTAAGGGAGCTCACCGACCTCATCAATCGCGAGTTCGAGCGCGCACGTGGTGAGCAAGACGCCGGAAAACTCGACAACGAGGAACGCGATGCCGCGGTCATGACCAAACATGACGAGACTCGCGCCGCAATAATCGTCGAACTCGGGGCCAAGATCGACGAGAAGATTGCCGAAGTCATGTCCAAGTACGACGACGCCCATGAGTCTCTTCATTCCCGATTCTCCGAGACCGAGGAGCGAGATATGACCCATACCGAGGCGTTGACTGACACCAAAGCCCTTGCTGAGGACATCAAGCTTGTCATCGGTGCTATGGGCACAAGCGTGAGCGAGTCGTGCGAGCGAATGAGCGTGGACACCAAGACGTTCTTCGAGAAGGTTGAAGAATCCTGCAACCGGATGGAAGACATGTCCAATGAAGTCAAGTCGCACCAAGAACAAGCCCGAGTTGAAAGCGAGCGAATGGCCGCAACCACGGAGCGTGTGGAAAGCAAGCTCCTTGAGTTTCACCCCCAGATATTGGAGAGTGTTCAGGAAATACTCTCGATAGTTAGCCAGCACTACGACCACTCCCAAAAGGCAGTAGATGAGTCCAGGTCGGAGCTCTCATCTACGGTTATGCATGCACTTCCTCCCGCAGGCGAAGACCTTGAAAAGAGTCCGCTGCATGACAAGCTCGACGATCTCTTGGAACACGCCAAGAACAACCAGGTCCAGGAAGTTCTGACTACACTTCTTGATCACTCGAGAAACGACCAGCTCCATGAAAAGCTCGATCGCGCTCTGGAGCAAGGTTCTGGTGCGAACGGTCCGGTCTACGACAAACTTAATGAGCTTCTTGATCATGCTACCAACGGCAATGGCCCCGTCCACGAAAAGCTGGACATGCTCCTTAGCCACACCGCGAACTCGGAGAGTTCAGTTACGCAAATGATGAAGCTTGATGAAATGCACAAGGACATCATGAACACTCACCGCAAGATGAACGAGATGTTTACTGCGCAGTCCGCGATGGTTGCCAAAGAAAATACACGGAAGCGCCAGGAAGCCGAAGATGCTGCCATTGCGCTGGAACGCCGAGTCGCACAGCGGGAGCAAGTTGAAGCTGACATCGTCGGTCTGAATGAAGAAAAGGATTCCTTGCTCAGCATCATCTCCACTCTCCAGGCGGAGAAGGAGGATCTCATCAAACAGAACACAAAACTGAACAAGGACCTCTCCGGACTCGAAACTGCTCTCGAAATCCGCCACGAAGAGATGCGGACCATGGAGGATCGTGCCGAGGGATTGGAGAAGCGGATCTTGGAGGGTGTGCTCGACCATGCTCGCTCTGTGCTCCTCAGTCGGTCTAACAGCAGCGTGCCGAATATGAGTCTGAAGCGCAACCGGACTTCTCATGGCACCATTCGCAGTTCCAGTGGGACTAGCAAGACCAGTTACGCTAGCACCACCAAGGACTCCAAAGACAACCGCGATCTACTCGGGAATGGTGTCGGCATTGCCCTCAAACGCCGCGTACCAGCCTCACTCCAGGCCGGCCTGGCGGCTGTGCAGCCCAACATCGGCAAGGAGCGGCGCATTCTCAGTCTCAGCCATGTCACAGGTAACCGGGTTGCGGATCGACAAGTGAGCGGCAACAGCAGCGTCACCGGGCTAAAGCGCAGCCACTCGGTCAAATCGAACTTCTCGCTACGCAAGGCCTCGTGGGGCGGTCGCACCTCGCTGGCCAACAAGGAGAACGAGTCCGTCCTCGAAGAAGATGAGCTCGACAGCGGGGGTGAGAGCGATGCTGAGACAGAGCGCCGGACCAGCTATACCGGCACGTGCACTGAGAGCGTGACGGCGACGGAGACGGAGAGCATGGTCTCGGCGACAGACCGACGCACCAGCGGCATGAGCTCCACCACCGGTCAGGTTACGGTCGCAAGTAGTGTCGTGGAGGAGTCACAGTCCCCTATTTCAGACGCCAGTGGCTCAGAGTACAGCAGGACTGAGTCTGAATGTGACATGCACACTGCGCACGAGGACCAGGACCCGGATGATGATGTGGAGGAGCAGGATGACCGAACCGCCTCTATCCACAAGAGGTTGCTTGAAAATGCACCGCCTCCTAGTGACAGCGGGCTTGGGACGGATATCTCTGTTGCGTGAGATGGATGGGTTTGCAGGGCATGGTGCTTGGAGTTGCTTTCTTTCTTTTTTCTTTCTTTCTGCACGCGAACTGTTGATTTCGCTAATATACCACTTGTGCTGTATTGGGACTAGGGGTGTTTTATTTTCCTTTTCTCCTTTTCGTTTGAGCTTGTATGAATTTCTTTGTTCTGTGATGATCAGTTCTGAATGAATGAGCAACTATCTTTAAACTCGAGTATACTTACTCTCTCGCTGCTCGCGTGACTGCTGATGTCAGCCCCAACGGATTGCCCACCAGGTCATGAGACTTGGATGCCCCAGGCAGCCATCGGATCAGCCGAGGCCGTTTTAGTGCAATAATGAATCAATCCGTCCACTTGACTTCTTTGATCTCACGCCATGGAGCTCGTTCCCTCTTAAAGGTGTCTCGGTCAATCTGGTGCTCATCCATGGTAGATCAACCTGGAAGCGCCCCTCTGCCACGGCTCTCGCATTAGACGGAGCAGCTATCTCCGCTATCTAACCACCTCCCCAACCCATCCAGCAACCAACTTCCCTCAGCTCTGCCTTGATCAAAAGGCGGTCCGGAAACCATGTTGGACCCCTTCCCGGCACCTCCGGACTGGCTGCGGAGCTTCATAAAGCCTTACGCGCTCCACTTCAACAGCCCGACCCTCGCCGAGCACATCCATGAAGTGCTGCTCGCCTTCGCCTTCTACCAATTCATCCACAGCGTGCTCGCCCCATGGCTCTCTCCGAAACTGTTTCCAAACCACTACCCCAAACTCAACGCCCGCACCAGACTCAACTGGGACGTGCACGTCGTTTCCCTCGTGCAGAGCGTCCTAGTCAACGCTGCCGCGCTGTGGGTTATGTTCGCAGACCAGGAGCGCAAGTCCATGTCTGCGGGCGAGCGCGTGTTCGGGTACACCGGCGCCTGCGGGCTAATCCAGGCGCTCGCAGTCGGCTATTTTCTGTACGATCTCATCGTCAGCATCGTGTACCTGCGCATCTTCGGCATTGGCCTGCTGTTTCACGCTGTCAGCGCCCTCTGGGTATTCAGTCTGGGATTCAGGCCGTTCCTCAACTTCTACGGCCCCGTCTTTATTCTCTACGAACTTTCCAGCCCCTTCCTCAATATCCACTGGTTCCTCGACAAAGTCAATATGACTGGCAGTCGCGCACAGTGGTATAATGGCATGCTCCTCCTGGTTGTTTTCTTCTCATGCCGACTCGTCTGGGGCACCTGGCAGTCTGCGGTCGTCTACCGCGACATGTGGTATGCCCTGCAGCAGACGTGGTCTGCGTCGTCCTCGCCGCTCCAACAACCCGTAAACGTCAACGCGCACGTTTTCCACCCAGTCCGCGACGGCGCCATGTGTATCGACGAGACCTGCGCGCGAGCCAACGCTGAAATCACCCGGTTCGCGGAGTATACTGCCTCTGGCGTGCCGACATGGCTGGTAGTCACATACGTGACGTCGAATCTGATTTTGAATTCCCTGAATTTCTACTGGTTCTCAAAGATGGTGGAAACAGTGCTCAAGCGGTTCCGCAAGCCCGTTGCGGAAGTGCAGGACGAGAAGGAGCTGTCACGCGCAGAGAAAGTTGCCAAGATCAAGGATGAGATTGCGCAGGACGTTGTCCTTGAGGCTGCTGCGCAGCTGGAGAAGGATGAGACGGCTTTGAGGTCGGGCGAGTTTCTTACACAGGAGCAGATCTCGTCGGCTATTGACAAGGGGTTTGGGGAGGAGTTGCGTAGGAGGAAGACTGAGTTGATTGGTCAGGTGTCTCTGCCTAGCCCTGGCACTTGATTGTTTTGGATGTGCAAGATGTGTTGTGTTGGTTTTCGCCTGCCTTGTCTTGTCTTGTCTAGCTTGGCCAGGCTGCTGGAGGCACATTTGGAAGAGGAGTCCTGTTTGGTTCCGGCCTTGGTGTACGGACCTGGATGCCCTGTGTCCTGTATAGTGGGTGAAGTGGTGGAACATCTTCTTTGGGTCTAGGGCTGTTTTGTGGAGGTTGTCTGATACCTCTGCTTCTTTTATATTTGTGTCTATTCACTTCCCCATTTCTTCACTTCCTTCACACGTTTTCCTCTGTTTCTCTTTCTCTCTCCCCCTCTCCCCCTGTCACTCTTGATACTGGAGTGTATTGCTGGATGAAGCAACGAAAGGCGTCAGATGAGCTGTGCTTTGATTTGAAGAAGATATAATGATGTCTCAGTTAGTGTTTACTCTCAGTAGAGAATATGAAACAATATACAAAAAACTTTTACCTAAAAACGATTATTCATTCCTTAAAATTCTTATGTAGACGACAGCATCGCAATACCAACACCATCCATCGGAGCGCCCGTACCACAAAGACGAAAACAAAAAAAAGATAATACACAGATTCAGAGTCACAACCAAGGTCAAAATCGCCATTGAAAGGCATATCTACCGCGCAGAAGAGGCTTCTGGCTTAGCCAGCATATAACGCACGGCCTCCTGAGCCACAACCGTATCCCAAGGGCTGTCAGTGCCGCCATGACGGAACTCAGGTGCATTACCATCCTCACCGCCACCGCGACCAGCCTCGCCAAGGATGGTCTCGAGATCGCGACGTTGGGAGTTGATCCAGCGGCGGACAAAGTTAGCCGGGTCCTTGCTTAGGGCAGTGTAGAAAGAGTGGCGGGCACGCGAGTGGGTGAGCGCCTGCACGATGAGCGCGACCTGGTCGTCTAGCGAGGCAATCTGGCGCATGCCGGCGGCATACTGCGGGTTCTGGGTAAGAGCCATCATCTTGGTGCGCAGGGGGTCTTCCACGGCGACCTGGATGTCATAGACGGTTGGGGTCGCGTCATTGTGGAACTCTTCGTCGACGCGAATGGTGTAGGGCAACTTGATCGGCTCCATGGGGCTGGTGTGTGGGCCGATGCTTTCGGGAATCTGGGGGAAGAACATCTGTTCTCGACCGAAAATCTGAAAGAAGAGTTAGCAACACCGCAAAAATGACTTGGAGATGATAGGACAGGCATACCGCTCGCAGACGGTGGTCGCACCGCACTTGGCGCTTCTCTTCATCCTCCTGCAGTCCCATCGCACGGATGTAGTCCCAGATTCCAAGCACAATCCCACTCCGAGTCTCCTCCTCAACATCTAGCACCTCGGCCAGCTCGCGGCTCAGCTTGTACCGTTCCGGGGTTTCATCCCGCACGAGGCTGATGGTAACATTTAGATTCTCTTGCGATGCTCGCGAGAACTGGATGCTATCAAACTCCGCATTTGGTGGTGCTGTCGTATTGGGGGGCACCTGCGGCTTGGCCCAGGTAACTGGCTTAACTTCCTCGGGGATGGCGGTGGCTGGCTTGTCAAAGTCAACCGTGATGGACTTGAAAAAATGCGAAAAGCGCTGAGTCTGTTTTGTGGACGCGGTCTTTTTCGACTTGTCTGCTTCGGCTTCATCCTGCTCCATCGCATCATCACCACCAGCTTTCTCGCTCTCCTTCTCACCGGCTGGCGGAACCGTGGGGTCGTTCTCATCATCTAGAAGACGTCCCTCGATGCGCACCTTATATCGGCCCGAGCCTGGGTTGTTGCCAGGGCCCTGCCACGGTTGGCTCTCGGCAGTATTAGAGATCCAGATGCGCATGGTCCGGTACTTCTTGCTGGTCCGGCTGACCGAATCTTGAATGTCCAGTCTTTTGCGGACAATGGCTGCATCCAATCGCTTTTCTACATCGCGAAGGCTCTTGTACTGCTGGACACCTTCGCCAATGACCACGTCTTCGATTCCGTCGGGGATGTTCCTGTCGGTCGGCTTGCGGCTGCGACGAAGAGCACCTTCGTTGGGATGTGCCATCGCGCGCTGGGTGGGCATATACTGCGGGTTGACAGCGTGTTGGGGCATGGGAACGGGCATTCCTGTAGCGCAGAGATTCGCGATTAGACTTGGGGGCTGATGGGGAAGGAAAGGGACTAGGACAAACCGGGTCCGGGAGGCCCGCGACGGGGAGTCGCTGGGGACCGCTGCGCGGTCGGGGGGTATCCCCGGGCGTAATTCTGCATGGGGGCCTGCATTGTGAGGGCTAGAGGCAGATTGAGTGATGAGGCGTAGAAGAGAGGGAGGGAAAAGGCGGATGGCAGGAAGAAGACGAGGCGCGATTCTTGGCCGCCGGCGCTATACCCTTTTCGGAACACGCAACAAGACGGCCGACTACTGTAAGACGCAGAACACAACTAGGGGGACAGGAAAATGCAAAATCAATTGGAAACTACTCCAGGAGCGACGCCTGGTTAGTATACAGCCCCTCCACCACATTGCCCAGCTTCTCAATCGTGTCCAGCGCCGCATCGTACGCTTGGTCCCGTTCCGTTTCATCGTACACAATCAGACACCGCGAGCCCTGATCCAGGACACCGATGATGACTTTGTCCAAAATCATCTGTGACAACTTCCGCTCCACCTGCTGCGTGTCCAGCCCGACCATCTTGGCGATGTGGTCCAACTCCACCCGGCTGAAAGGCTCGATGACCTTGATCAAGTTCTGCTCCAGCATGGCATCATACAGACGCCGGAGGTGGTTGCGAATGAATACGTCGCTGCCCAATTCGAACCGGTAGTCTGACAGAGCCTTCTCATACTCCTCTAGCGACCGATTTGCGTGAGCGCGGGCCACGGCCTTCATGGCTTCCAGCCGAGGGCTGGCGTACTTTAGAGCCTGCTTCGAGCCCAGCAGGTTCGTGACATCATCCACCAGGTTCAGCATGATCTTGCACAGCAGCATGTACTGCAGAGCAGCGGTGGCCTTGTCGCCTTCGTCGAGAGAGTTGTAGCCCTCCAGCGCCTCGATAAAATAGGAAAATGCAGTGTTGAAGTCCTTGTCCTCGGCGTGCAGCATGCCGCTCTGCATGTCCAGACTTGCCTGCAGATTAGGCGGCGTGTATACAGAGGCAGCGGACGTCCGAGCAGCCGTCAAAGCGGCACGGGCTTTGGCCTGGTTCCCCAGAGCATGGTACACCCGCGACTCGAGCAACTGCACCTCCACCAACATAAGCTTGTCATCCAGCCGCTTCAGTTCGCGCAGAAGGGAGTTGATGAGAGTGAGAGCATCATAGTACGCTTGCTTCTGCATGTGAATGGCCACCAGACGCGCTTGGAGGTTCTGTCGGAGGAAGGACCGTCGTTCGGCAATGGCCCATTCGATGCTTGAGTGGATGACGGCGCTTTGGAGGTCGAGGGTATTGGGAATTTCACTGATCAGGTCCAACAACTGGCGGACTAGAAAACCATCAGCATCGAGGAATCAATAGAGAATGGTTGTACCCTACCTAATTTGGCCGTCTTTGCTTTGGCAAATGACGAAAAGGTGTCCCGGCTGGTCTTGATGAGATCTGCGATCTCTTGCGGCTTCTTGTCATCCCGGTAGAGCTCGGCCAGGCCAACCAACGCCTGCTCATAATCTCTTGACGAGGCCTCTGTCGACCCGGGCCCTTCAGAGAGGATCTGTTGGTAACTGCTGGTTGCTTGGGGCTTGTCCTGTTTGGCCAGATCCCGGACTTGCTTTATCCGCTGCGAGACCTGCAAGGTGGCCATGGTTGAGGGTTGGCAACGGGGTAATTGAATGAAGCAGAGTTGGACCGGGAGGATAGAAGTACAGAGCAAGGAAAGACGGCAAGGGCAAACGAAGGATGAGGTGATGCGGCTTCGCGAGGGCGGCAGCTCCAAGCTGGCTGAGCTGCACCAAGGCGGTGAACCGCACTTAGTCAGCCCATACAAAGAAAAAAAAGTTCGGTTCTCTTTCTTGACCTTCGTTTCCACCGCAACACCATGGTGAGTTGTGCCTCTCGGCGGAGTTTAAAATGTCATTTCTAACAGATATCAGAAAATCAAAGCCCTTTCCCGCCCCACGGCGTCCCAGCAGGCCCCCGGGTCGACGACTGTTCGCCAGTCGCGGAATCTCGATCCAAGCCAGCATCCATTCGAGCGTGCTCGAGAATATACTCGTGCTCTCAATGCCGTGAAAATGGAACGTCTGTTTGCCGCCCCATTCCTGGCCCAGATGGGTAACGGACATGTGGACGGCGTGTATACCATGGCGAAAGATCCCGGCTCACTAGAACGGTTTGCTAGCGGCAGTGGTGATGGCGTGGTAAAAGTGTGGGATCTCACGATCCAAGACGAAGTGTGGAATACGCAGGGCCATGAGAATATGGTCAAGGGTCTGTGTTGGACCCCAGAGCGAAAACTCCTGTCATGCGCAAGCGACAAGACCGTCAAGTTGTGGGACCCGTACAACTCGACGCCCGAGTCGCCGCCGCTGGCGACATACTTGGGCTCAACTGCCTTCACCGGCATCTCGCACCACCGTGACCACTCTTCGTTTGCGGCGTCTTCCTCTGTCATCTCCATCTACGACCTCTCCCGGCCGTCTTCTACGCCCTCGCAAACTCTCCATTGGCCAACAAGCGTCGACACCATTACCTCCGTCGCATTCAACCAGACCGAAACGTCCATTCTTGCCTCGACCGCCATGGATCGCTCCGTTATTATGTACGACCTGCGGACCTCGTCGCCAGTCCACAAGTTGACTCTACGCTTGGCATCCAACGCCGTCTCATGGAATCCAATGGAGGCCTTTAACTTTGCCGTGGCGAACGAGGACCACAACGCCTATATCTTTGACATGAGAAAGACGGATCGGGCGTTGAACGTGCTGAAGGACCATGTGGCCGCCGTGATGGATGTTGATTTTAGCCCAACAGGCGAGGAATTGGTGACAGCATCATACGACAGGACAGTGCGGTTGTGGAGCAGAAACCACGGCCATTCCAGGGATTGTTACCACACAACGCGGATGCAGCGGTATGTCTCTTTTGAATCATAAGCCCGACTATATACTAATGGATCGTGCAGTGTCTTCTCCGCGAAATTCACCCCGGACAACAAGTACCTTCTGTCCGGGTCGGACGATGGCAATATTCGTCTGTGGCGCACCAACGCATCTGATCGCAGCGGGATCAAGAGTGCTCGTCAGCGCGCGAAATTGGAGTATGACCAGGCTCTGATCAAGCGTTACGGACACATGCCTGAGATCCGCCGCATCAAACGCCAACGTCACCTGCCGAGAACGGTCAAGAAGGCGGGCGAGATCAAGCGCGAAGAAGTGGCTGCTATCAAGAGACGCGAGGACAACGTGCGCAAGCACACCAAGAAGAGCGATTTAAAGCCGAGACAGAACGAGCGCGAGAAGATGATCCTTGCGCGGGAGCAATAACTGTTCATGAGTGGATAATGTGCAGATTCCGCCGTATGTACTACACTGGGCTCACGCTCTCTTCTTATCTACCGCGCCTCCTGGAGCTCGTTCCGAGGCCGCAGCTGCCTGTCCCTGAGATGATGCCCCCTTGGCCACCGCGTCATCCATCCCACTCACAAACCTCGCAATCCGCTGCACAGCAGCGGGCAAGACAACAAACCAATTGGCCAGCTTCGCATAAGCAGGCAATCTCAGCACGCCTCCCCGCCCGCCATCAACCGCGGCCACAATCTCGCGCGCAACCTGCACGGGCTCGAGCACAGGCGCAAAAAACGAATTCGGCGTATCAACCCAATCAAAAAGCGGCGTCGCAATCTGCCCCGTCTCAACGAGCAGCATTTTTATCTGGTCCTCTTGTCCCGACGCTCGAATCTCCGCCTCGACCGTCCGATGCAATGCGCTCAGCCCGGCCTTACTGGCTGAGTAGTCTGATAATCCTGTCGGACACAACTGGCCTAGCACCGAGCTGACTGTCACAATGGTCCCGCCGTTTTCTGTTGACAGCATGCCGGGTAGGAAGATCTGGTAGGCGTGGAATCCGGCGAGGAGATTTGTGCGGATGGTCTTTTCAAATGCGTCTGCGTTCAGGCTGAGGAGGGGGTGACCGTTTATGCGTGCTGCGGCGCAGTTGATTAGGATAGTCGGCGTCCCCAACTGGGTGAGGTTCAGACGTTAGAAAACCATGAGACAAACAGTACTTGGCAGAGCATAGCAAAGCATAGCATACCTCCTCTTCAATCATCCCTCTCGTATCCTCAACCACCTTCCGATCCCCAACGTCACAACGATAATACTTCACCCCCTCCCCCACCCCCTGTCCCCCAAAGACCTCCTCATACTGCTCATCATCCAGCACCGCAACATCCAAGACGGCAACGCTCGCCCCGCGCATGGCATACATCTGCGCAATAGCCAGGCCCAAGCCACTAGCACCGCCTGTGACGACGACGACTTCCGACGCGAAATCCACAGCGCGGGGGTTTCCGTGCGCGACGCGCTGGTTGACGATCTTGAGCACGAAGAGCGCTGTCAGCAGGACCGCGTATGCGACGGAGCCGATGAAGACGGGGTCGTTTGTTGGCGTTACTTGCGCGCGCAGAGAGAGCACGAGGAGCCATGATAGTCCTGGGTTGAGGAGGGTGCGGTGTAGGACGCTGAGGAGGGTGTCGAGGGTTAGGGATGCGTGCCATTGCTTGGGTTGGGAGGATGATGGGGTGGTTGCGGGGGTGGTGTGAATGAGCGATGGTGAAGACATTATGTATTGGTGATGATATTATTAAATCCATGCATATTTTGTCGTAAAGTCGTTGAGTGTTTATTCCTCGGTCTGGAGTGGGAGGTTGAAGAAGTGAAGTTGGAGAAGTCGAGTTGGACGCGTCGATCATCAGTAATTAGTGCGGCTGATCTGCTCTAAGTAGATAAAAAATATAAACAAGAGTATCATCACATCATTCAGTCATCTCCCCGACCGTTCCAGTTCAATTCACTCCATCGAATTGACAATCACCAGTTCTAGATTCCTACCCCTTCATCATCATCCCCCACACCTGAACCGGCTTCTTGGCGTGCTTCGCAGGCCCATGCAGGGCATGACTGAATGTCGTACACTCAGGATCTTCTCGAAGGATGTCCAAGTCATCTGGACCTAACGGCGGACGAAATCCATTGCCCGCTCGTGGGTAAAGACGGTGGTCCTCAACCTCTTCAAAGTCCTCGTCGTCCGCCTCTGTGCGCGCAGGCTTCTGGTCATGGATTTCTGGTTTGGGTGGTTCAATAGATGCAGCGACAGGCGAAGACTGATCTTGTATTTGAGATCCCTCAGGGACGGGAAATTCCGAGGTCTGTGGAGCAGCATGTACCCCAGTTGTCGGGTCATCTGCAGAGTTGGTTGCCGTGGGTTTCGTCGGGGCAGAGGTTCCGCGAGAGGGCGTCTTCCGCCTGGCGGTCCATGAAGTCGCCTGGTTGACTGGCACTGAAGCCCTGCGAGTTCTCATCGCCGGATTGATGATGGGCAATTCAGGAGGTGTCTTCATCGAATCGGCGCCGCGCTCATTCATCACCGAGGCCATAGCAAGTGCTGTCTTTGGCTGGTAAACGAATTCAGAGGCCCGCAGTTCGTTCATATTGACAGGGAAGATCGGAATTGTCGGGTTTTTATCTGAAATAGTGGCCAGCAACTCCACGAGCGAGGCATGAGAGAGAGACGAGAGGTACGCTCGCCTCTCTGCCGCAGTGAACCAGTTCCCTCCGACATGAAACTGCGGAGCAGGAGGAGCCTTGGTCAGAGGCTGCACGGGATGTGTTGTCTTCTTCTTTTGTTTTTGATACATGTCAGATGGGGCAGTCGGTCGCGGCACGGGCTTGCACTCATGACAAGACCACTCCTTTGACTTCACAAGCACAACCTCGTCGTCAATCGGAGGATCATGGCACCTCTGGTGCCACGGCGCATTGCATTCATCGCAGAAGACAATAGTATTGGTCGAAGGGCTGTTTCCCCTCTGGCAATGAATGCAAATGATATTCGCATCTTTCTTACGGAAGAAATGCTTGCGTTTTCGAGTTGTGCCCGTGCTTGTACTTGTGCTAGTAATCGTAGCCTTTTCCGGGAGACTCGGATCCTTCTGCGGAGAAGGAAGAATCGAAGTATAAGCCGCAGGCCGATTAACCGCTCGACCGGAGCGAGTCTGCGTTGAACTGGGCATAAAACCTGCCTCATAATCAGGGTCACCGTCCTCAGACGAAGAGTCCGGTCCTGCCTTGATGATATCTTCGTCTGCACGCTTGCGCTTCCCGAATAGGCTCGCCCCACCCCTTCTCCGGCCCCGAGGCGCAGAAGCAGTATTCCGCACGGGCTGCGGCGTGGTCGTGAATGTGGGCAGGGTGTAAGATGGAGGCTGTATGTGAGGATGAGGCAGGATCTGGGGCATATTCCCGCCCCGGTTGAATGTGATCTTCAATCGTTTGGCTGGAGGTTCGGCTGATTGGGGTACGACCTTATCCGGCGGTGGAGGATGTATGGATTTCTCTGTGGGTTGTGCTAGGAGAGATTGTGTAGCCTGGTCTGCAGGCTGGCCAAGATTTGAGAGTCTCATATTGGGAATAAAGTTATGAAGGTGTGCGGAGGAGACTAGAGCATTGAAGATGCGAGAAAAGAGGAGAAAGAACAGAAGGGGAGAGAGGAATTTATAAAGGGGGGTGAGTGCTGCTGCCGTGTATGGTGGACACGGTGCATACGATCAATGCGCCTGCCTCGTCTTGAATGGCGATTGAGGGAGCCTCACTGGGGAGGGAAAGTGCGATGGAGCGAAGGACCCAAGGTCTGTATAGCGTCACGTGATTGATGACTGAATTTGGGGTATACGATGCGACATTCCATGACTGATCCGTCATTATCATTTGATTGATAGTTACCATGCTGTTTGAAGGAGATCAGGTCCTCAGGTATCTATAACTGCATCCATAGGGATCTACAATGCCGATTGTTGAAATATATATCTCTATGACACTACCCCGTCAGCCTTCAGACGGGAAACATCGCCCTCCCCATAATCCAGAATCTCTGTCAAAATCTCATCTGTATGCTGACCGAGAGTAGGAGGAGGCGTGCGCACACCAGGTGTCGCCTCAGAGTACTTGATAGGCGTGTTGACGAGCTTAATCGGCCCACAAGCAGGGTGGTCCACCTCGGTGACCATTCCGCGGGCTTGAACTATTCGCAGTGCGATATTAGCAGACGTTAGGCGGAAAAGGCCCAGGTAAAAGGCACATACCATGCGCGTGGTTCAATGTTCCCTGAATGTCATTGACAGCCGCATAGGGCATGCCGCTCCCCTCAAAAATCTCCAACCATTCTTGCGTGGTTTTCTGCGTGGTGATATCCTCGATCATGCCGTCGATCTCGGCCCGATGCTTGACTCGATCGCTGTTTGTCACAAAACGGGGGTCTGTCTTCCACTCCGGAAAGCCGAGTCGATCGGCGAGCACGCCGAAGAGACGGTCGTTGCCGCCGCCAAAGAGAATGTCTCCATCGCGGGTCTTGAAGCTGCGGTAGGGCACGATTGATGCTGAATGATGTTAGTACGAAAACAAAAGAAGTGAGGGTATTGTCCACTGACGGTGCGCGGTGCCCCATCTTCCGGTATCCTTTTCTCCACTGATCAGTGCGGAGCTGGCCAGGTTCGACAGCGTCGCGACTTGGCAGTCGCTCAGGCAAGCGTCGATGTGCTGGCCCCTACCCGTCCGTGCGCGGGCGAGCAATGCTGCCATAATGGCGTTGGATGTATACAGTCCCGTCGTTAGATCGGTGACAGCGACACCGACCTTGACGGGTGGCCCATCCCGGGACCCGGTGATATGCATCAGACCCATCTCCGCCTCGACCATAACGTCGTAGCCGGCTCGGTTGCTGTAAGGCCCTGTTTGTCCATAACCCGTGATGCTGGCATAGATTAGCTTAGGGTTGATTTCCTTGAGGGTTTCGTAGTCCATGTTGTATTTCTTCAGTCCGCCGGGGAGGTAGTTCTCGACGAGGACGTCGCACTCCTTGGCTAGTTTGTGGAGGATCTCGACTCCAGATTTATGCTGGAAGGACAGGCCAATAGATTTCTTATTGCGGTTGACCTGTTGTACCTCGTCAGCCAAGTCAGTTGGTAGGATTCCAGTGTGCCTGTCTCGTACCGCCAAGTAGTACGCGCTCTCTCCCGGGCCCTTCCTGGAGGCATCCTCATATTTCGCATACGGGGGGCCCCATGCTCTGGTATCGTCGCCTCGCGTGGGGTGTTCGACTTTGATCACATCTGCTCTGCACCGGGATCTTAGCATCTTCATGTTTGGGGAAGCTCAAGGTACATACCCCAGATCACCCAGAATCTGGGTACAATAAGGCTAAGCCAAGCATGTCAGAACAATCTCCAAGCCATTGAGTAAATAAACCCACTCCAGCCAACACCCGCGTCATATCCAGCACCCTGATCCCTGCCAAGGGCAAGGTGTCACCCCCAGTCGTCGCCGCAGCGGAGTAGCTCCGCCATGGCTGCTGCGGGGAGCGGCGCAAGACAGAACCAGACCAGGAAGGGCGCGCTCGGACGAGCGCATGGAATCTAAGCGCAGTCATTGTGTGGTCTAAGGGGTATTATGCATGCATCCAACAAAACAGAAAAGATGACAACCGGAAGTATATGAGGAGAAACAGAGTTGGAGAAGCTCCGCCGAAACGCCGACACCGCTCTGCCCCTCCGAACCGAAGCCGAGGGAGACCGAGACAGATCTTCCACCATCTACCACAAAAATGTTTACGGGTCTGGTTGAGACAATTGGGAGTAAGCAACACCCAAAAAGATATATTATGCTCTACCGCACTGACAATATGTTTGAATAGCCGTCACGGCCCTCGAGCCCCTTGACACCACCACCAGCGGTGGTGGGGGCACGTCACTCACCATCTCGGACTGCGCGGAGATCTTGACGGACGCGCATCTGGGGGATAGTATTAGCGTGAACGGGACATGTCTGACGGTCACAGAATTCGACAAGACCTGGTTCAAAGTCGGAGTTGCGCCGGAGACGCTGCGCCGCACGAATCTCGGGTCGTTGACGACTGGATCCCCGGTGAACCTGGAGCGCGCGGTGTCGGCCGATACGCGCATGGGCGGTCATTTCGTGCAGGGCCATGTCGATACGGTCGCGACGATCTTGTCGGTGACTCCTGATGGCAATGCGCTGGTGTTCCGGCTGCAGCCGCGCGAGAAGGACATCCTCCGCTATGTCGTTGAGAAGGGATATGTCACCCTTGACGGGGCGAGTTTGACCGTCACCAAGGTGGTGGATGGGGAGGATGGGTTCTGGGAGGTGATGCTGATTGCCTATACGCAGGAGAAGGTGGTGACGGCGGGCAAGAAGGTGGGCGAGGAGGTGAATGTCGAGATTGACATTGTGGGAAAATACGTCGAGAAGAGCGTGCAGGGCTACTTTGCAGGCACGGCCAACGGGGATTTTGCGGTGTTGGAAAAGATGGTGGCCCGGATTGTGGACGAGAAGTTGAAGAAATAAGGGTTCATGATCTATATGGCCTGGGTATATATTTTCATTCTTCCTCCTCTTCCTCCTCTTCCTCATCCTCGAAATCATCACTCAGCCAATTCTCCTCATCATCCATATCCACATCGTCGTCTTCCTCCTCTCCCTTCCCCTTCGCCTTGTCCTTCTTCTTCCGCTCAATATTCTCCTTTTGCTGCTTCTTCCGCTGCTCCTTCTCCTTCCGGCGTCTATCCCAGCTCTTATCCAATGATTTCACTTCCGCCTCAGTCTTCGTAATGAAATCATGCCACATCACCTTGCCCTCGCAGACCTCTTCCTCAACCTTCATCAGACGCAATTTCATGCGCGGTCCCAATTCCACCAGCTTGACGGCCCGTTTCTCCACCCCCGGCGCAGACGGAGCTTTCTTTGGGTCTTTTTCTCCAGCCCGTTGGCGCTGCATTTCGCGCTTGTTGAGCACCCTTTTGGTCGTGCTCTCCGCTACCTCGACCTCGGCGTCTGTGTCCAGTTCGGTCTCGCTCGCAGAGGTATATCCCGCGGCCGAGGGATCGAGTAGATAGTCCGCCGCATCTTCCAGTTTCCCCAAATTCGGGACGGCAGTCTTCTTCTTGTCTCGATTCCGAATCTCCTTGGGATCAAGCCGACGAATGCGTTTCGATACACCAGTCTTCTTCGTAGCGATGGCGTAGTGTCGTAGACTCAGGATATACGAACCCTCATCTTCAGACTCGGCGGGCTCGCGGTTCAGCAGCATCACACGGCGGATGGAGGTCAGAGGTGTGGCTTGCGGGTTGATCGGCGGGAAAAGCGATTGGAAGATTGTCGTCGTCAGGGTCTCCAGACGTTTAGGGACCTTTGAGTCTTCTGTGGCATCTGGCGAATTGAAATTGTTCATGACCAACAACGGCGGCGTCTTGTGGTCCTGTCCGCCACTCTGGGGCCGCTTGAGTGCTCGCTCGACATCCTTGCAGAGCGAGTAGTTTTCCACCTGGAAGTGCAGCGTGGGCCCGCGCGGAGTGACAGCCAGCCGCAGGTTCGTGTTGCCTGTTCGGGACTTGGAGAAGAGGACAAGATGCGTGACACCGAGGGGACCGGTCATAACGGTGTAGTCCCGCAGGCGGTTGGATTTGCGTTCCTACATGTCAGGTTAGGGGGTGGCGTCAATGGGTCTCCATCCATGACATACCTTCAATCGCACGGCGGTATGAGGCTCCATCATCGTGCGCACGTCCTTAACCAGCTGGCTCACGCTGGATCCGACCTGCGAAGCGCCAACGCGGATGACCATGGACTTGGGAGTCTTGGACATGGCCGCATTAGCCTTGGCCGCTGCCGAGGCATTTTGGGGCTTGACATGGGTGCGCTTCTTGACTCGTGCTTTAGCCATGTTGCAGTACAGTTGTAGTGTTTGTGCAATGAGAAGAAAAGCGACTCGAACCAAAAAGATAAAAAAATCCAGCGGATCAACCATGTTCCGGCCCCACATAGATTTGACTGCGGCGCAACTTTTTTTTGGATCTTCGAACAACAAGACAGACGCAAAAATGCCTGGCACAAAGAAGCGCAAGGTCGCCCAGGAGGCACCGGCCGATGACAGTGATGATAACTCCAATGCCTCAGAGGGAGCACCACCGGCAGAGGCAGACACCGAAGCTGCTCAGCCCGCAGCCAAAAAGTCCTTTAAAGAGCTTGGGATCATCGACTCTCTATGCGAAGCCTGCGAGACCATGGGTTTGTTAACCTATAACGTTCCAAAATGACCTTCTTCTGAGTCATCTTCAATAGGTTACAAGGCACCGACGCCGATCCAATCCGAGTCGATCCCACTAGCACTCCAGGGCCGCGATCTAATCGGTCTGGCCGAAACAGGCAGTGGAAAGACCGCAGCATTCGCCCTACCCATCCTACAAGGTACGACACCTATCTTTTCCATATAATAAACGATGGTACTAACTCTACGCAGCACTCATGGACAAACCCCAACCCTTCTTCGGCCTGATCCTCGCCCCGACGCGAGAACTGGCGGTTCAAATCTCCCAATCCTTCGAAGCACTCGGATCAACTATCGCTGTACGAACGGCGGTAATTGTCGGTGGTATGGACATGGTATCTCAATCAATTGCTCTGGGCAAGAAACCACACATCGTTGTTGCGACACCCGGTCGACTCATGGATCATCTTGAAAATACGAGAGGCTTCTCGCTGAGAAGTTTGAAGTACCTCGTTATGGAGTTGGTCTTTCCTCAGCCCCCTACGAGAGTCTCACACTAACATACCACCCTCCAGCGAAGCGGACAGGCTTTTGGACCTCGACTTCGGTCCTCTTCTAGATAAGATCTTGCGCGTCCTACCCAAAGAGAGGCGGACATTCTTGTTTTCGGCGACTCTTTCCTCCAAAGTCGAGTCCTTGCAGAGAGCTTCACTTTCAAATCCCCTGCGAGTGTCGGTATCATCGAGCAAGTATCAGACCGTTTCGACATTGAAACAGGCATTTCTGCTCCGCCCACATAAACACAAGGATATCTACCTGGTGTATTTGCTGAATGAATTCGCGGGACAATCAGCCATCGTTTTCACCCGGACCGTCCACGAGACACAGCGCCTAGCCTTCCTACTACGCACACTCGGCTTCGGTGCCATTCCTCTCCACGGTCAACTCTCACAATCTGCCCGTCTCGGCGCGCTAGGCAAATTCCGCAGTCGTAGTCGCGATATCCTCGTTGCAACCGACGTCGCAGCGCGCGGACTGGACATCCCCTCCGTCGACGTGGTATTGAACTTCGACCTACCAACAGACAGCAAGACATACATCCACCGGGTGGGACGGACAGCGCGCGCGGGCAAGAGTGGAGTTGCTATCTCTTTCGTGACGCAGTATGATGTGGAGATTTGGCAGAGGATTGAAGGCGCGTTGGGCAAGAAATTGGACGAGTATGATGCCGCGAAGGACGAAGTGATGGTCCTGGCTGAGCGGGTGAGTGAGGCGCAGAGACATGCTATTATGGAGATGAAGAATTATGATGAGAAGCGCGGGGCGAGGGGGAAGAACAAGTTTGGTGGAAAGAGGTCGAGGGATGAGATGGATCAGGATGAGGGTTGATATGGCCTGTCTGTCTCTATATGAAAGATTGCTAGAATAGTCAGACTTCTGGAACAGACATAAACAGGGTCTCGGGCATCCCAAGTCGACAATCATGAATAATGCGTTGATATTGAAACTCTCATATACTTCCAGGAAACATACTCACCTCCACGACTGCCCATCCTCCAAATATTAATTACCAACGACCTGTAAACAATATCTATGGATATACGTGCTGTGTGTACTATAAATGAGACCAGACTTTCTCTCAATACCACATTGTTTTCTACGCTACGATGAAAGGGAGGCATGTATCCGTAAATTTCATTACTGTCAATGATGCTATTTTTGGGTACGGCCATGATCCTCGGACCTAAGAGAGGCAAATAAGACCAGAAAACTGTCGTTGAATTTTCGAGTTGGTAAGAAACTGGCAATGCCGCGCAGTGAGCCATTCCTCGCTGATTTTTGCTGCAGGATTCCCTGCCATGACACATTCGGGCGGCATACACCAATAGATCTCTTAAACCGTCTGCAGGATTTCCTTGACACTTCCCGCCTCGCGCACAGCATTGGCGACACGGGTGGCAAGGTCATCGGCTTCGGACCGACTCGCGGCCTCGGCGTAGACACGCACGGCATCCTCGGTACCGCTGGCACGAGCAAAGCTACGGCCCTTGTTATACCGGGACTGCAGGGACTCGATCTTGGTCTGGAGACCCGGCGGAGACTCGAGCTTGCGCTCGGCGTCGTAGGCCTTGAAGATCGAGCGGTCGCCGACCTCCACGCGCACGAGGCGCGAGGGGAGATCGGTGTACGTCCCTAGCCACTCCTTCGGGGTCCAGCCCTTGTGGGCAAGGATGGCTTCCACCAGGAGCATGTCGGAGATGGCGTCGCCGACGGCCTGGTTGATCAGGTCGGTTAGGGCCTGTAGGCATTCGAGGGAGCGCTGCTGGGCTGGGGATTGGGGCTCGGTGTTCTTGATGACCTTCAGCGCATTCTCGGAGAAAGTCACCGTGCCATGGCCGTTTGCCTCAAAGTAGACACCAACGTCGAACCGCAGCGCGGCGTGATGGAGATGCTTGACGCCTGTGTTGGTGCAGATGATGGGCAGCTTCAGCACCTTCTCAACGTAGTCGGTGCTCGCGCCGTTGGCATATGCGGTCTGCACGACACCGATCTTTAGTTTCTGGGAGATTCCAGCACTCCGAGCGAGGTCACCAATAAAGGAAGCTGCGAGCGTGGCGATGCGGTCGCCGTCCAGAAGTCGGAAGATGTTGCTCTCATCCATGAAGTAGTAGACCAGACGGTCCGCGTCACCGTCTAACGAAGAGCATCGGTCGAGCGCAGCAGCCTTGGAGGATGGAGGGGCACGTTGCTTGGTTTTAACGTAGTCGGCACCGCACTTGATGTTATTAGCCTTCTGTCTCATAGCGCCCTGGACATGACAACTCACCTCGAAGTTCAGGCTATCAGGATTGATGACATCGTCATTCACCACCTTGATATCAAGTCCCGGTTCTAGGTACTTGATGAACTCCCTGAGCTTAGGCCCGCCAACACCGTTGGCACAGTCGACGGTCAAGCTGCCCTGAATCTTGACGCCGCGCATGACCTTTTTGAAAGAAGAAGCAAGCTTCTCATAATAGCCCGTCTCCGTCGGCTCGCCGTACTCATACTGTGTCCCGAGTGTGTTCTTGCACCGCACAACGTAATGCAGCTGAGGAGTGGTCATGAACTTCATATCGAGGAACTCGACCTCCGTCGCGGTGAGGGCGGCATTCAGCACGCCCACCAGACGAGAACCCGACGCACGCGTATCCCGCGCGAAGACAACACGGGCCGGGTTGCTCATCTTGACGTCGATTTCCTTGACCAGCTCATCGTAGACATCGGCAATTGTCTCCAACGGGGCGTTCGCCAGCTTGGTGGCATATGCCTCCCACTCGGCCTAATTATGTGTCAAAAATTAAAGAATTTTGTCTATCCATTGAGGTTGGTCTTACTTCGAGCATTTCACCCTAGCAATTACCCAATCAGTAAATATTCACCGACAATCAATACCGCAAAAACTCACCATCGGATCGACCAATTTGACGCCATTATCCTCGGCGGGGTTGTGGCTCGCGGTGACCATCACACCTATCCATTGTCCACTAAGCTTCTTCGATCGAAGCCCAGCAAGCAGACCCACTGCGAAAACAACGGTGTTGAGAAGGTCGCTGCGCAAACGGTCAAAATACGGCCTCAGGGACAATCGCGGGGTTGAGGTGGAGGCGGGGCAGACCGGAGGTAGGCGAAGGAGGTGAGGAACTTACGCTTTCATGCGGAACTGCAGTCGTTGGAGGGTTAGCTAAGACAACTATGATCGTTCAAGATCGGTGACATACCCCTGCGGTGCCGTACTCGAAGACCTGGCCCTCGGGTTTCGAGTATTGCAGGGCCGCTGATGAGATTGCTTGTCTAACAGCCGGAGACGCCATTGTGGCGGGCGTACACTGCGATTGAGGAATTCACCTGAGATAGTGGGAGGAGATCTCACAATGTCGGAGAGAGTGTTCGGGGAGGGGAGGTGAAGAGAAGAGGGAGGGAGTGTGGCTTTGAAACAAAAAAGAACGAGGGGTGAGACACGCCGTTTAGATGGAGGTCGCGTATTGCCACGCGTGTTTCACCGCCAGAAAGTAGGTGGGGCTGTGGAAATAACTGGTTATAATGTGATGGAAATACAGTCTATCTACTCCTGTCCCAGTCCCGGGGGGGGAATTCTGTGCTTCAATTCCTCCATACCTCGGGACACACCACCATTATTATCGCATGAATTACGCCTTCAGTCGGTGCCCGGCAATATCGTCCTGCGCATCCTTGATCAGGAACCTGTCGCGTTATTAGTGCCGGATATCCTTCAGAGACGCCAAAAAACTCACGAATACCACCATGCGGTGGGCACCACCGTGCCCAGATGCCACAGACTGTGCGCGTCAATCAGTCCATGCCAGGGCGGGAAATCCAGCAGCTCCAAACTCATCGCCAAGATGATCCAAGCCACAATCATGCCGGGCCAGGCAGTCCAAGACTTGAGATATTTTTGATATCGGAAGATACTGAACCCCGTCCACAGCACATTTTGGACAATCCCCACGGCCACATTGGCGGCCATGTTGTACGTGTAATCCCACGACCAGAAGCTGAGATAGCACACATGCATCGTGTAAAGCAGCACACAGATCAGCGTCCACAGCCGACGCAGGGTCGGACGGTACGGTGGGCTGTCCAAGTCGAGACGAAAGATGCGAACCACGGCCAGATACAGACCGAACAGGACGTTGGCCCCCGCAGCAAAATAGTCCAGCTTCTCGGTCAAGGGGAAGTCGCGCGTGTGGAAGAGCATGCTGAAGGTCCAGCTGGCCAGCCCGATGTAGCCAAAGGTCATGTAGTACTGTCGGAGGGAGTGCCAGCGCGGGATGGCTTCTTCAATGCGCGACATGCCCACCCAGTGGGCGGCAAAGTTGAGGAAAGAGAAGAGCACGGAGAAGGGCTCCTGCATGCCTAGGATTCGGCGGAACGGCCATTTGCCGTGGAATTGTACGACGGGATCCAGCATCGGGGGATCGCGAGCGACGCGGCGGTCGGTGATGACGTGTTGACACGTATAGTCACACTCGGCAGGGCAGGTCCATAGCAGCAGACGGTGGTGCAGCGCTGTGTGCAAGAAAGACAAGAGTCAGTTAAGGTCCGAGGAACTGTTGAGGGAAAGAGCATACGCAGCACCGAGTTACCATTCTGGCAGTTCTCCGTTTTACAGATCTAGCATTGACGTCCATTAGCTGTGTTGGCAGTCCTGGGCAAAGCGTGCAAGTACCTCGACGCATTCCTTGAAGTCGTGGAGGTGGTCACCCAGGGAGGCGGTCGATCTCTCAAAGAAAGTAGCAAGACATAAAAGAGCGAACAGAGTATACAGACCCCGATGCATTGTGGGCCGAGGAGCAGTGCAGGTGGTCCTAGGCGCAACCGCAAAGGCAGGAAAGGAGGAAGGGAGCTTCGGGCGGAACGGGCCAAATCGATTGGTCTTGGCAGTTGCCCGTCAGGGCTATGCAGAGATGTCAGGACACCACCCTAGAAGGGATTAAAGAGCATACTGCTATGATTCCTTCCAGAATAATCACTCACTCCGACAGCCTCACTCTCAGTCTGACCGTGAATTCGATGAGGGCACTACATGTCAGGTGATGTCCCTAACCGGCTAGCGCGGGGACCGAGAGAAGGCTTGGCATGGGCCCAAAGGCAAAAAAAAGTTGAACTGGTTCTTCTTCTTGTATCACGTTCTGCTGCTTCCACCAGAATCGTTCGTTGCTTCATTATGGCTGAGTCTACGCAGCAGACTGGTGTCATCACCAGCAGTGCTGACCGCATGGTGGGCATGGAGCATGCTGAAGTGCGCTACTTTACGAGGTATGTCGAGTCGGGCAGTGGTCTTGTCCCTCGTCCTCGTTGGACCAATGCTGATAATCGCTCCCTAGTTACGATCACCATGGTAATTTATCCTGTCTTCCGGTGCGACGATCATCACTAACCATTGACTTTTCTGCTCGGCGCAGGGATTCACGAGGAAATGCTTGTGAGTTTTTTTTTCCTGCCTTGTGATTTTCTGGTTTCCCGCCACATCCCCATTCTGACTGACCTTTTTTGCGATTCGCAGAAAGATGATGTTCGCACAAGATCCTACCGCGATTCTATCTACCAGAACCGCCACATCTTCAAGGACAAGGTTGTCCTCGATGTTGGGTGCGGAACGGGCATTCTCAGCATGTACGTTCGATAATGATCTCACAAAAAAATTTCATGAATAAGACTGATTTTCTACCTGGCAGGTTCGCGGCCAAGGCTGGCGCAAAGCATGTGATTGGTGTCGACATGTCCTCGATCATTGAGAAGGCCAAGGAGATTGTCGCCGTTAATGGTCTGGCCGACAAGATCACTCTGCTCCAGGGCAAGATGGAGGAGGTCCAGCTGCCTTTCTCCAAGGTGGATATCATCATCTCTGAGTGGATGGGCTACTTCCTTCTGTACGAGAGCATGCTGGATACCGTTCTCTACGCCCGCGACACCTACCTCGTCCCCGGTGGCAAGATCTTCCCGGACAAGGCCACCATGTACGTGGCGGGCATTGAGGACGGCGAATACAAGGACGACAAGATTGGCTGTAAGCATTCATCCACCTCCTTGATTCCTGGTGATTTCTGACCCTCCCCAGTCTGGGACAACGTCTACGGCTTCAACTACAGCCCGATGAAGGAGATCGCCTTGACCGAGCCGCTCGTCGATACCGTGGAGATGAAGGCCCTCGTCACGGACCCGTGCCCCGTCATCACCTTCGATCTGAACACGGTCACCACGGCCGACCTCGCGTTCCGCGTCCCCTACTCGCTCACCGCCAAGCGCAGCGACTTCATCCACGCCCTGATCGCCTGGTTCGACATCGAGTTCAGCGCCTGCCACAAGCCCATCTGTTTCTCGACCGGCCCGCACGCCAAGTATACGCACTGGAAGCAGACGGTGTTCTACCTGCGCGACGTGCTGACCATCGAAGAGGAGGAGACAGTGTCGGGATATCTCGAGAACAAGCCCAACGACAAGAACAAGCGTGATCTGGACATCAACCTCTCGTACAGGTTCGAGACCGGGGACCCGACCCGCTCTGCTGAGGGCAGCTGCTTCTATCGCATGTGTTGATCTGGTTTTTAAATCTGTTGCATTGTTTCCGTCACCAGTGTCGGGATGGTAGCATAGCATATAGTTTTCTTTTGGCGTTTTATTCAGGACAGGGAAAAGGCATCATTGTGGCGCGATCCGGACTACCTTGGTTTTTCCTCGAGAAAGCTCCTCGCAGTTTCAAGTCGATACCCCGAGTCGATGCTGAGTCTAGCAAACTGCGTCCGATTCGTTCTATTTCATTCTGGTTGTCCTGTGTAGCGGTAGCGACAGTAAATCCTCCAGGGTTGCCGAGTCCAGATCAGCCTCGGCTCGGCTCTTTCGCAGCCCCCGCATTATTGTAATCTGAGCTCTTCTTTTCTCTACTTCCCACCCTTTCTTGTTCTTCATCCTCCCCAGAAGATAATCGCACAATGTCGTCCCCCGGTGCTGGTTTTGAATTCCCTTCCAAGGATGTGGCCTGGCAAAAGCGCGATGTGCTGCTCTTCGCCAACAGCATCGGCTGCACAGCGGACGAGCTGCACTTCCTCTACGTTAGAACCACTCCCTCACCTTTCTGATGTAGAACTGACATCCATCAGGAACTGCACCCCAACTTCTCCGTGTTCCCAACCTACCCTCTCATCCTGCGTGAGCAAAACCCCTCCACTCGAGGTTGACTGATCCTAACAAACAATCCAACCAGCTTTCAAACTCACCGACCAAGAAGTAGTCGACTTCTACGCCCGCCAATCAGCAACCGAGATCCCCGGCGTGCCCAAGCTCGACTTCCGCCGCGCAGTCGACGGCCAGCGCAAGCTGACCGTCCTGAAACCCCTCCCGCCCACCAGTGCGGGCCGCCAGTTTGAGCTGCGCAATAAGGTCGTCGGTGTTTATGACAAGGGCAAGCCCGGGACCGTTGTGGAAACTGAGCAATCGATTGTCGATAAGCAGACCGGCGAGGTGTACTCCAAGACTGTCGGTAGTGGATTCTTGGTTGGGCAGGGCGGTTGGGGCGGTCCGAAGGGTGAGTCGGAGCATTGCACCGGTTAAATCTCCGTACTGATTATTGAGTGGCTAGGACCGAGCACGGTGAACTACCCTCCTCCGCCGGGAAAGAAGGCCGATGCAGTGCATGTGGTTCAGACGAATCAGGAGACTGCGCACTTGTACCGGTATGCCTAGCTCAAAGCTACAAAAACACCCTTCTCGGTGATGTTCTAATCCTAATTAATTCCGTCCAGTCTAAACGGCGACTACAACCCTCTCCACGCAACCCCGGAGCCTGGCCAGAAAATGGGCTTCGGCGGCGTCATCATCCACGGCCTGTTCAGCTGGAACTCGAGCGCCGTCGGCCTCCTACGCCAGCTGGGCGGCAGTGATCCCGCGAATCTCCGCGAATTCCAGGCGCGCTTTGCGTCGCCGGTGCGGCCTGGTGATACGCTCACGACGGAGATTTGGCGCATGGGTAATGTGGAGGATGGGTTTGAGGAGGTGCGCTTCGTTACGAAGAATCAGCATGATAAGGTCGTACTTAGCAATGGGCGAGCTCTGGTGAAGATTGTTGGGGCGAAGAGTAAGCTGTGATCTATAGTTGCTCCGTAGGCCGTCTGTATATATTGTTCGGCTTCTCCCGAAATGGATGAATTGGATGGATGTCACTCCGCGTTCCAGATTTCGTTGGACACCACTCAATTACCAATGACCAAGACCTCCTAGTCGTGTATTTCCAATCCGTTACTCCACATCATGGGTTTCTCACCCCAACTGCCCAATTCATCCAAGTGTTTCCCCATACATGGGGCACGTGACGTCGTCGATCCCCGACTGCCACGACCACGACCAGCACTTAAAACCACCGTCCAGCCCACTTGTCGTTGAATACAATCGACCATGGCTTTCAACCGAACTGCTACCATGCAGGTAGCCAACGTTTGGAAACATGCGCGGTACCATTCTCCCTGCGTGACTGTTGACTGTCCATGCCGAGGCTAATGTATTAATCCAGTGGAGTTCGCACAAAGCCGTTTGGCCTCCAAAGTAGAATTGTGGTATGCATAGATTCCGTCAATGCTTTTTCACTGAATTTACCAGTGGCATTTCTTATAGGCCGTGAGCGGGAATGTTGCAGCTCCCGGGGGGTTGATAGCGAGGTGCTGCTCTACTCTAGGGGCTACTCAAGGACTGATGGTTCACGCTACTCGGTCTATGAGCTCTTCTTCTAGGAGGAGCCAGAATGGGGACCTAGCGTCCACACTTGATGGAATGCTCGCGGAAGATGAATTTGGAAGGAAGCCTGCTGGGGAAGCGCGCGAAACCCGCGAGAAAAAGGCGAAGTCTGGAAACGAGAATGTTGCAAGTGATCCGAGATATGTGTATATCAAAGCTGAAGGCGCCTATGACAACTCGCCTTATCTGCGATTGTGAGTTCTATGCCCTTTACACTGGGAGCCATAACTGACTCTTGGAACATAGTGGACGTTTCATGCTCAGGTCGGTGTGAATCTGGACAGGACTTGCGGGCACAATTAACCACTGATGCAGGGAAAACTGTCAATGCTCCGAATGTAATCATCCAGACACGGCCCAGCGGATTAGCGATACGTTCTCGGTATGAGCACCCGAAACCAAACTGCGTCTCTTTACTAATGGTTTCTTAGATACCAGCCCATGTCAAGGAAGAAGATATTGTCCACAAGTCCGAGGGCATCGAAGTCTCATGTCAGTGATTTCCCTCTGGTTCGCTGTAGATCTAACACAGTCCCAGGGTCTGATGGACACAAGGGTGTCTACTCGTATGACTGGCTCAAAACTCACCAGAACGATGTGGGCAGACCTTCTCGGACCCCAAATCGTGGCAGGTAAGACGATTCCGATTCTTTCAAGGGCAATTCTGACACACACCCTGTCTAGAATGCCTAGAATGCCTAGACCGTGTGTTCCATGCTGGCCACATGAGAGCAATCGCCCGACCGTCTCCTATGAAAAAGTCATGGCAGAAGATAAATCTCTCCTGGACTGGCTAGAGAAGATTGTAAGCTTCCCTGCTTCCCAAGAAGAAAAGCCACCTCTAATCTTCTAAAGTACTGGCGAGGATTCTGTTACATCGAGGGCGTCCCTGTCACCCCCGAGGCCACCAAGGGTCTCATTGAGAGAATCGCATTTATCAGACACACTCACTACGGCGGGTTCTGGGACTTCACTGCCGATCTCACCTTCAAGGACACCGCATACACCACTGAATTCCTCGGCGCCCATACAGACAACACCTACTTTACCGATCCTGCACGCCTCCAACTCTTTCATCTCTTGTCTCACACCGACGGGTCAGGCGGCGAAAACTTGCTGATTGACGGATTCGCCGCTGCCAAGACGCTCTGGCAAGAGAACAAATCCCACTATCAGGCCCTGCAGGATACATATCACCCATGGCATGCCAGCGGCAACGACGACATTTGCATCCAACCAGCTCAGTCGGCTGCGGTTTTCCATGTCAACAATGATTTGTCTAACGTTGATCAGATCCGGTGGAATAACTATGATCGCGCTGCGAAGAGAAACTGGAATGTAGAGGAGCAGGTGCGGTGGTATGAGGCGGCGAAACACTTTAACGATATCCTCAATCGGAAAAACAGGCAGTTCTGGACTCCGCTGGAGCCAGGGACTGCGTTGAGTGAGTCCTTCCGTTCCCATCGAACGATGAACGTAGGGTTGTTGACTGTCTGGCAGTTTTTGATAATTGGCGGATGCTGCACGGTCGCTCCGAATACACCGGCAAGAGGAGAATGTGTGGTGGCTATGGTGTGTACTCCCTTCTGACAGTCACTTGACCGGTTGGACTGACAGTAGAAACAGTCAATAGCGATGACTTCCTTTCTCGGCTTCGGGTGCTGAAATATGGCCGCAAGAAGGTGATGGACAACATTGGGAACTACCACAAGGGATCCCCCAACAACCCGAACCTTTTCATCTAGATGTTCAATAGAATTGCCCATGAATATAACATTCACCCTCGTAGACCTGCTGTCCTCGACACGGTAGAGATAAAGATACTCACGTGATGCGGGAGTATGTCATAAGCATGGCGGCCAAGCGGGTCACTCGACTCCCCTCCGGATCTCCTCTCATCGACTTCCATAGTGCTGACTCCCTCCACTCCCTTCTCTCTGCGGTTCAGACCTATTGAATACTCCTGCCCTCATCCGCCGGACTTCGCTTCTGCCTTGAACCTGCGACCTCCCCCGCCACCAGAGGGCGCCCCTCCCACGCGATTTGGGGCTGCCTGATTCCTTTATCTTCGCATCACAACGCAGCCCTCCCCTTCACCATCCCAACCACAACCACACCACCGCAGAAATGTGGTCCTGGTTTGGCGGCGCAGCCGCACAGAAGCGCAAGGAAGCGCCCAAGAATGCCATCCTCCTGCTCCGCGAGCAGCTGGACATGCTGCAGAAGCGAGAAAAGTACCTGGATCACCAGATGGAGGAGCAGGATAGCGTGGCGCGCAAGAATGTCAACTCAAATAAAAACGGTACGTCCCTGTCTCCTTCCTTCTCTTATGGCTGGCTCGACCTGCTGACGTGGGTGTTGTTTCTGTAGCTGCCAAGGCCGCCCTCCGACGGAAAAAGGTCCACGAAAAGAACCTCGAGCAGACAACCGCGCAGATCATGCAGCTTGAGCAGCAGATATACTCGATCGAGGCGGCGAATATCAACCACGAGACCTTCAAGGCCATGCAGGAGGCCGGCAAGGCAATGTCGCAGATCCACAACGGAATGACCATCGACAAGGTCGACAAGACGATGTGCGTAACCTAACCCCTCTGTCACTTTCTGTGTGAGTTAGACCGATGACTGATCCTTTTATTATACAGGGAGGACCTCCAGGAACAGCACCAACTCGGCCAAGACATCGGCGAGGTCATCGCCCACGGCCACGTTGGCTACGAGCTGCCCGACGAGGACGAGCTGGAGGCTGAGTTGGAGAGCATGGAGCAGGAGGCCATGGATGAGCGGATGCTGCATACGGGGTCTGTGCCTGTGGCGGTTTCTCAATTGCCATCCCCTGCGACGCAGGAGCGTAAGTCTTTCCCTCTTTGTTTCCCTGCTGTTTATCAATAGAGTATCGACTGACAGTTGCCTTTCTGTTACAGCCAAGCAACAAACCAAGCCGGAGGAAGACGACGAGGAGGCCGAGCTGGCCAAATTGCGTGCTGAGATGGAAATTACGATGTGATCTGCAGAACCCCTTCGACCGACCTACTTATGCCTTTTCTTTTTGTTCTTTCTCTTTTGGATGTGATCGTGTCTTCCCCCTTCGGTGTCTTGAATTGCGTGGCATGCATGACTGGACGTCTTTCTCAAGCAAAGGTTCTTAACTTTCCCCCCTTATCCACTGGCGTCTTCTCTCACAACTCGTCTCTTTCTCAGCAATCTATCTGCTACCTCTTCTTCCACTCCTAAGATATCTATGTGTGTCCCAGACGGAGTCGGTCATTCGTCTCTGCAGGGATCTAGCCCCGTCCTCTCAATAAATCCGAGCCTCATTGCTTCTTTTCTTACAGTTCAAATACAATTCTCTAGTTTCTCTTTCCTAGTCTTCGGATATATCACATCCGTTTTAGAGATGATCGGTTATTGTCGTCACTTAGATATCAGTCGACGTATTGGGGGAGACCCAAATTACCATGGCCTGGACTATTTCGATCCAGCCGATGGGCATTTTTCAAACTGGATGGCATTCTTCTTTTTGATATTTCCAGCCAATCAATCCTACAGCACAATTACATTCATTGGTACAAGATCTGGAACCCAAACGGCAAATGAATGGATAAAGAAGAAGAATATCAATCTGATATTAAGAGTGTTTTAAAAACAACAAATAATGAACTCCTTGGGTTTCATAAACCACCCATTTATCCCATCACCCCGTTCCATGCGAAGATCAAAACTGAGAGAAAAAGCATCACACCTAGAAAAAGAAAGAAAATCACGGAAACCACGCAAAATTCTTCAACGGCCTCGAGCGCGCCCCGTCGTCAGCCTCACTGCACCACTTGGATTTCCACTCCCACTCCTGCGCCGCGGAGGCAAGCAGGGCTTCCTTGCAGTCTGCCGGCAATTCATCCAGCACGTCGGCGCTCATGAACTCCGGGTGCTGTGGGTTGGCAGCTGTGATCAGGCCGTTGGCGCCGAGGTCGTGCACGTCGCCGTCTGGGCCGGGGATGCCCATGTTTGAGACCGGTGGGGACTCGTAGTGGATGTCGTGGATAGCGAAGCGGCGGGCGAGGGAGGCGGGGATGGACGGGAAGATTGTTTGGGGTTGTTCTTGTCCATCTTCCGTTGTGGGGATTGGTTCTTGGTGCTGGTTGGTGGTCTCGGTGGATTCCTGGGGCGTTGATACGCCGGCGGCGGTGCCGTTGGTGAGGCTCAGAGACGACATGTCTTTCATCAGTTGGCCGGGGGCGCGCGGGTCTAGTGGTGGGAGTCGTTCCCAGCGGGCGTGCGAGGGCTGCATGATCTTGGGTATTTGGATGATGTTTGTGTGGACATCGTAGATGCCCCCTAGGTTTGCGCGGCGCATGGTCGCGAGTCGAGCATTGAAACCACTAGAACAGAAATTAGGAAGAGACATTTAGCATGAGGGAAGCAACATACCTCGCTTCACGGGCATGCTCGAGCATCCAGTTGTCACCCGTCACCGTGACCCGGCGTTTCCTGGAATCGACGGGCTTCCCGCCAGGGACAGGAACAGACGGGGTGTTCGTGTGATAGACGCTGCTGGCACCGTGCCAGGCCACATACTGATTCCGGTTGTACTCCTCACCGGGGAGAGGCAGCCTATCCTCAGGGACAGCCAGTTCACCTGCGACATCGCCACGCTCACGAGCAGCCTGAGCGTGATAATCATCATCCACCTTCTTCCCCCCAACGACAATCTTGGCGCCGAACTCACGGAAGACCGAGCGTGCCGTGACAACACCAATTGCGCGTCCCTTGTAAGAGTGCGGGATGATATCGCGTTCGATCAGGTCGCGCTTCGCGTCGTCATCGATGATAATCTTGTAGAGCATCTTGTGCTTCTGGAAGAATAAGTACGAGTCCCTGAACCCAATGCATCGCGCCGGTTCCGTAGAAAGCATGTACAACCGGTCGTCGCGGTTGAGGATGGTGAAGGTGCGAACGCGATACTGGCGCCCCCCCTGCAACACTCCGTTCTTGTCGACCTTGCTATCGCCCTCGGGCTCCGGCGGCAAGGCCACTTCATCATCAATCACGTCCATCATGTTGCCCTCTTTATCGATCGGTACTTGTGTCAGATGCGATGGCCCCCGGTTGCGCGCCCAACGGCCTCCGCTGGCAGCAGGACGGCCTCTGCGTCTCTTGACCGGCGTCGTGACTCGAAGCGGCGAGCCCGTCCCGTCCACCGCGTCCCAGTCTGGGGGGCGATTCTTCGGTGGGCGCCCAGGGCCCCGTTTGCGCGGGATAACGGATTGGCGTCCGCCAGTGTAGGAAGGTGTATCGCCGCCTCCAAGGAGGGTGCTGTCGTCCGCAGCGGGTGTTGCGGCACTTGCGTTCCCTTCCTCGTCATCAGCACCTTGCTTGGATTCACCGGGTGTGTCGACCGGGGTTTCGACATCCTGGGTAGGCTCTGCGTCGGCTTCAAGGTCGGGTTCGACATCCTGGTCCTTTTCGTCGGATGCCGGAGACGAGGTCTGGGATGGGGGCGCATCCAGCATCTCCTCGTCGGAGGCATCAGCGGCGACGGGGGTGTCTTTCATTGAATTGGACGCCACTTGGGCAGCGACCCGGACCTTTCGCGGCATGATGTTTGGTTGTTGTGCTCTGCATGCAAACGCACCACCGAGCCGCTGGTTTTCTGAGATGCTCACGTGATTTGGTTGTCAGCCATGGGATGCCTGAGGCGATAATCGACGAAACGCTTCGGGCAATTCATTATGACCATTTCAGGCACGCCGTCCATCCGTAAGGAGCAGAATGTTTTGAATGTTTTTGACGTCATGTTCTTCGGGCCCTCCTCCTGCTGTCAGCTAGGCAACTGACTCGTGCAGCTTCGGTGCTAGGCCGCCCTGGCCAACGGGGACGGCTTTGTATACGAACCGTTCACACCCGACCTGAAATCCTGCATGTGATGTGGGAAAGCTGTCGGATCCAGGCGGCAGATGACCTACGAGGCAACTCATGATTCCATTCGGGATCGAGGAATTCGTTTCCTATGTTCACCTTGCGTCATTCCCTCGTCTCCCCTCTTCAGCCCCCCCCCCACTGGGTGGATTTCTTGATCAAGTGGGATGGGACGCTACAGTTGCAAGATTGACCCCGGCTACGGGAGCCGTCGATCCCACGGAGTTGCCGGCGGCATTGCACGAGAGAGGAGCTCTTCCACTCGTACTGCCGATGCAAGGGATTTAAGTATTTGTAAAGACGACCATGATGACATGGAAGAACCCCACCGGAGAGAACTAGTCGGAGGGGCGGAGATGGCGGAGATGGAAAGAAACCGAACACAGTAAGCTGAGAGGCGAGAGTCGTAGTGCCTGCATAGGGTGATGTCTTCTGCAGTGGTGGGGGATTCATTCTTATCATCGGCGTGGTTCCTTTCCTTTCTTTGTGAGTTCGACCCTAATCTCACCTAGTCACTCGGTGGTGGTCCCGTCTTAGCTCATCGCTAAGTTTCGTCCCGGCCTTTCTTCTTCCCTCCCACCTTTTTTTTTCGCTCCATCTCTCTCCACCCCCCACCTTGGCCTCCCTTCTCCTCGTTTCTCCTCGGTTCCCATCCCAATCCTTTTATCTGGGGAGTTCGCGTTGCATGGAATCACAATGGCCGCGGCGCACAGTGGTTCCGAGTCGCACGGCGAGACAGATTTGAAGCGGGCAAAGTGAGTCCACGCTGTTTCCCTTTGTTCCAGTCCCCCAGAGAACCACCACCGCCCCCCCCCCAAAAAAGGGTCTTCCAAACTCGCCTCGCACCGCATTGCTTGAGATCCTACCTGCATTCCACATGAGACACCCCTCGATGCTTATCTGCGATCGGGGATCGACGGGCCTGCCTGTCGGATATCTCCTGCAAAAATGCGATCGGATCGCCCGATGGCCCAGTCCACACCCTCTGCGCCGAAATCCATTCGCTAACCATCTCCCTGATCAGTTCCGGGCCGGACGACGACCACCACGACCACATCGGGTCAAATGGTTCCACGCCCACGGGGATCGCAACACCCCAGCCCGATCCCGCAGACAAACGTCTGCCCTCCATCATGCACAACTACTTCCAGGTTGGTTCCTTTTCTGGTGATAAAGCAAGCCTGCCCCGGTTATGGTCCTGCCTTTCCAAATCCGCCGACCCTCCGCCCGAGGCGCTTAGCCCTGGCCTGCCATCATCCTTCGGCCCGATGGAGCGGGATGATGGACTGCCCACTCCCCCACACTCCCTCCTGCAGCAGGATGAGGCGGAGGGGCCAGACCAGAGCGGGGGGTCTCTCTTCACTACCCTCAAAAATTATCTCTCTTCGTCCGCAACCGTTGATACCCCTCCCCGCCGTCAAACCTCTCTCCCAGTGTCCAGCATCTCGGACGACCCTGTTCTTGCCTCACATTTCTCCAATCCATCTTTACCCCCAGAAGCTTGTGCCTTGACCGAAGCTCTCTTGCTCGACCGCGAAAAGCCGAATGTTTCCATATCTTCCGAGAATCTTGCCAAGCTAACAGATGGGGCGTGTCTCAAGAACACCCCGCCGTTGACCCCCCGTGCCATGTCTAACGAGGGTCAATCGACCGACCACCCCTCCACCACCCCGGCGCCGCAATCGACGACCGAGAAGTCCAACCTGGACGACATGGACAGCTCGACCGACGAGATCACCATGAAACTCGACGAGGCATTCCCCGCCCAGACCGCGTCCTCTCCGCAGAACGGCCCTCCCGTGGGCCCGCTCAAGGGTAAATTGTTTGTCAAAATTTCCGAGGGCCGTGGGCTACGACCGTCGTTCGATCCGTATGTCGTGTGCGTGTTTGAGTGGAACGAGTATATTTCCAAGGGAGCGCGCGATGACGAGCAAGAGAAAATACGGCGGCAGATTGAGTCGGACGCCGCCGAGGCCGGCCGCCCAATGGCGATTCCCATGAAAAGCCGCCAGAGCAGCCACAATAGCGCCCTCGATAGTCCTGACCATCATAAGGGGAAGATGCCCGTGACCGATCCTCATTGGAGTCATGAGGCTGTCTTGTATGTTTCCCCCACTCCCTTCCCAGCATAGCTAACATCTATTTTTCAGTGATGTTATGGGTGATCAATCAGAAATCGATGTCACAGTCTACGATCGCAACAACCAAGAAACTTTCTTGGGCCACGTCCGGCTCTGCATTAATCTCAAGGAAGACCACAGTCGCCTTGAAGGCTGGTTTCCTCTGGTCGCGCGAGGAGTCGGTGACAACCAGGTGTCGGGGGAGATCCACCTCGAACTGCAATTCGAGAAGACGGACAAGAAACAGGTGGGCCCGAACGACTTCCAAATCTTCAAGCTTATCGGCAAAGGAACATTTGGTCAGGTCTACCAGGTGAAGAAGAAGGACACACAGCGTATCTACGCGATGAAGGTTCTTTCCAAGAAAGTGATTATCCAGAAGAAAGAGGTCGCACATACCCTTGGAGAGCGGAATATTCTGGTGCGCACTGCGATGGCTTCCTCGCCTTTTATCGTCGGACTCAAGTTCTCTTTCCAAACCCCAACGGATCTCTACCTCGTCACAGACTATATGTCGGGCGGCGAGTTGTTCTGGCATTTGCAACGTGAAGGCCGATTCCAAGAAGCCCGGGCCAAGTTCTATATTGCCGAATTGATCTTAGCACTGCAGCACCTGCACGATTACGATATTGTATATCGCGATCTCAAGCCCGAAAACATCTTGTTGGATGCCAATGGCCACATCGCGCTGTGCGACTTTGGTCTCTCCAAGGCAAACCTGACACAGAACGACACGACCAACACCTTCTGCGGCACCACTGAGTATCTCGCACCGGAAGTTTTGCTGGATGAACAGGGGTACACGAAGATGGTTGACTTCTGGTCGCTTGGTGTGCTGGTCTTTGAGATGTGCTGTGGATGGAGTCCATTCTATGCCGAGGACACGCAGCAGATGTACAAGAACATTGCTTTCGGCAAGGTGCGGTTCCCTCGCGATGCTCTCAGCACTGAGGGTCGGAATTTCGTTAAGGGATTGTTGAACCGGAATCCCAAGCACCGGCTCGGTGCCAATGGCGATGCAAAGGAGCTCATGGCACATCCATTCTTCCACGATATCGACTGGGAGGCCCTGTGCCGCAAGCAAGTGATCCCTCCGTTCAAGCCGAAACTGCAGTCCGACACCGACACATCTAATTTCGACCCGGAATTTACGAATGCCCTGGAAAACAGCAGCTCGCTGAACGACCGTGCTGCCGCACTGGCGAACGGCCTGATGCCTGGCTCGACACCGCTGTCCCCCGGCATGCAAGCCAACTTCAAGGGATTTACTTTCGTGAACGAAAGTTCCATTGATCACCACCTCAAGCACGACCCCAGTGATCGAATGGAGGAGGACCCCATGCAAGACGACGCGGGGTGGCAACGGTCCCACCGACCAAACGCCTCGACCGACCAGCGCATGGGCGGCGTCCAGAAGACGCAAGACGGCACCGACGCGGGTATCTTCAACGTTGACGATAATTTTGATATGTGATTACGTCTTTGCTTTTCGTTTTTTTTCCTTTTCTTGTTGGCCCTCGAATCTCCTCTACTGCATGATCATGGCGTCTTGATCTGGCATACATTCCCCTTTTGTACATGCCCGTGCCTTCTTCAGATGCATCCTTTGCCCGCAAATATGGGTTTCTCTCTTCTATTGGATCAGTGTTCCGATGTCTGTCTGTTAAAGATCCAAGCAACGCTAGTTTGTGACTTGTGACTGACAAACTCGGATGGTGGATTTGACTCCGCTCCCTGCCATCGATCCTACCTTTTCTTTTCCTTTTCCCTTTGATTTCCTTCGGGATCATGACTATCGGATTTCATGCCAGCGTGTCCTTCTTGGTTCATTCTTTGCTGCTTTCGTTTTACGATGATGAGACGCACACCTATGCAGCGGTAGCAACACATGTTGGCGGTAATGTGTGTCTTTTTTGTGATTGTTCTTTTTGGGGGCGTTACATGGGCACCATGGCGCGCCGGTGGCTGAATCTGGGACTGGGAGAGGGAGATGATTGATTGATTGCTTGGTTTGATTGGTTATCTGTTGTTGTTAGCATTGAGATATCTATCATACAATCCATCACCCGCGGTAGTATTCTTTGCTGCCTCTTTTTGCCGATTACTTTCGTGAGATTCCTCTGCTCGACTAGTAGCTCGAAACACCTCGCCCGGCCTACATTTTCTGTATACCCTGATAACGCATTTACGTGATGTTCTGTTTTAGTGGAGATCCTCCACAAGTCCATTTATGATTCGAATTTCAATTAAAGCAGTGCAAAGGCCAAGCAAGGGACCGATACATACCATGGTTCCCATATATCCCTTATCCAGAGTCCCAATGTTGGATGACACTTCCTTTGTTACCACTGATTGTATATGATCTTCTGCAACATGGCCCATTCATTATGTATGTGCAATAGAGAGTGTTCACAACCATGTCCAGATACACTGTATGTGCAGAAAAACGCATCCTATAAAATATGTGGAAAGTATATCCAGATGCCTCGAAAACTCCGTGACCACTCTCACTCCAGCCCAACATGTACAACGTATATCCTGTTGGTACAAATGCCTAGTCACCTATCCATCGTCGACCAAGTTCACTCGGACTCCTTCCATACCCATCGTGGTGGCCATGCGATCCATCCAGTCGGAGGTAGGTGGCTCCCGTGTTTCCGGGCCGATAATCGACTTGATCATCAAGCGCGGTCCACCAGACGGCCAAAGAGGCGTTAACAGAGATGCCGCTGAACAAGAATACTCATCAGTCTGCACTTGATCGGCGATAAGATGGTTCTCCATTTCCGCGGCGGACCGCTGGCGCGGGTCCAAGAGAATGATTAGGTAGTTTAGCAACATGATCCCAGATCGAATTCCCTTGATGGATAGGCTTGCGAACCTGTCGAAGAAATGGTGGGGAATTGGACCGATGAAGCCTGTCTGCTGCGCGTGGTCGGCCCGGCGAGTCGAGACGGACACACTAAATTCGGTGTGGATGCCCCGTAAGGCAGCGCGCACGGCGAGCACCTCATACAGCAGCATAGACCGCTTCTTTTTTTCCGCATTGGGCGCAGTCCGCTGCAGGTCGCGCACGCGCTTGACATAACCTGGGAGCTTGACGATCGCGCGAAAGGCGCGTTCTGTAATGTCAGTGTAAACGGATGAATCGGGCTTCTTGGCGTTCTCTGCTGCAATTTGCTCATTGAGTGCCTGCCACTCGGGCTCTTCGAGGAAGCATGCTTCCCCTGTGACTAGCGCTGAGGTCACAAATGTGTTGCGGGAGGCGATGAACATGGCGCGACCCAATCCATCAACGTGTGCGCCAGCTCCGCGCAGCCGTGTCAATGCCTGAATGCCACATGTATGATGTATCCAACCTTCCGTAGTGGTGCAGGAGTGCATCTCATAAACCGCAAGGACGACAGCCGTGGCCATTGTCTCGTCCAGTTTGGCCGTAGACATATGGCTGAGTAAACCGGACAGGCCCCGAAGAGCGCGAAGATAGAGGCCGCGACTCGCGTCTAGATATCGCGGGTCATTATGAAGACTGCCAGTGTACATGGTAGTCATGCTGCGGACGGCCCAATCAAACGGGGAGTCTGCGCGGCCGCCACACTGTGAGCTGATGTGCTCGACCCAATTGACCGGCAAACGGTTCATGGCGGCTTTGAAGTAGCATGGATACGCAGATATCACAAAATTGGTGTAGAGCTGGATTTGCTGCGCGGAGGCCGCCTTGGCCGCCAATGAGGGGGTCACATACTCGTCCATAGGTAACAGGAGGGACGAAAAGCGCGCATCGGTGCGACCTACCCGTGAAACTGGCGGCACCTCCCGGTTGGAGGATGTCTGAGAGGTTCTCAATGGTGCTCGTGCAGACCGAGATCGATGCGGCAGCGCCGCTTTCTCGTTATGGACCCTAAGGTGCTTGCGTGTCGTCTGGCTAGGGAGCCGGGTACCCCTGCATTGTGAGCAGGATGATTGGCCGTCACACTGCGAGCCTCAGAATGAATACGAAGAAAGGGAGCCTTAGGGTTAAGATGGGGAAAAGCATAGTCCCCACTTTGGCTTTGGATTGACAGATTCACCTGTCAAGACATGCCAGGCCTAGCACTGGGGTAATAGCATCTGCTTTGGGGAGACAGCAATGCATTGGGAGCGATCATGCTCCGAGAATGAATGCTCGGATAGAAAGTAAAGAATCACCCACCTGGACGTTCAGCTGGGCGCATCGCAGACAGTGGCGAGGCGCTGGGCCATGTTCCTCAAAACCGGCATGCAAATGTGCCGGCAGCGAAACTATCGACATCGAAGGAGCGACAAACGTAAACCAGGCCGCAGAAAGATACGAGAGGTGGCGGGGGAAAATGAGAAATCAACAAGGGTAGTTGGGTTGGCTGCGCCCACCCACCACTACCTGCAGGACCCGGCTAAACCTACTAACCATGTAACTATTAGTGCTTGGAAATCAGCGCTAATATCTGCCAATTCTTGGCCATGCTCAACACACAAAACGAGCCGCAGTTGACGGACGGGCCATTGCATCCCTACAACAAGGGGATCTCTCTGGTACCTTCGCTTGGCATGGTCCCTCAGCTGCTCTACCTTTCTAAAACTGTGCAAGGTCTGATGGACTAGAAACGAGTATAGTTGTGAGCACGGATAGTACCGTGTGCGCAGAGTGAGATGAAAATCAGGGAGATAATGTTACATGCAATAGGATTACATGGTCCCATAATGAAAAAGGATACGCATACGGTATGTTGATCTCTGAGACCCTGAGCCTGACATATCCTACAGACCGACACGCTACATACCAGGGGAGACTTTTTCAGAAAGAAAGGTGGGTATCGTATATTTCTAAAGGTCTTGAGCAGGGCTTTGGCGATGCACACCGCCACTCCGTTAATGAAGCTATATAGACAAGGTAAAGAAGAGGAAGCCAGTCAGTGCAGGCGTTAGGGCAATGTCGAGTCTCAGGATGATTCCGGCTGATCGTCTTCGGGTTTGGCTTCGATTTCAGTCATTTCACCCTCCTCAGTCGTGCTCTCGCCCTCGGTGGTCTTTTTGTCGACCGTCGACCACTGACTAGAACCAAGAGGTCCATCGGTGCTGATCTCCTTCTTTTCAGCATCTCCATCGATCGCGAAACCAACAATCTTGCCCGTGCCGGGTTGTGGGCGTGCTTCTTCTAGCACATCGCCGTTCCAGGGCTGGCACTTCTTGACCAATTCACCGCATCGGAGACAAATCCAGCCTTGGCCCTCTTCGCCTTCGAGTTTCTCAACGATGCAGACAAAACAGTAGATGCAGCCGCATGGGATTGTCTCGTATGGATTGGTGATATCTGTCTGTGCCGAGCCGGTGATGCCACCCGCCGACACAGATGCCGCAATCACGTCACTTTCTGTTTGGGTAGTCGGGTTTTGATCCCGGTAGCAGATGGCGCATGTGCGTTCTGGTAGGAAAGCCAGTTCCCCTTGCTTTTCAGCAAGTTGATCATCGTCGCCATTCGACTTGAGTGCAGTGACGGTCTTGTGCCACGCGCGAGACACCCACCGCCTCCAGCGACTGATTCCGACGAGAGGCAGTAGGAAGAGAAGAAATTCGGTGAAGGCGTGCCAGACCAGTTGCCGGTTCAGATATTCAAACGATACCTCGCGGCTGGCCTGTGCGGATGGCGGAGTCAGGCGGATGCGAAGGATACGGTCGACTAGCGTTCGGTATCGGCCATTCACTAAGAACACTAAGAAGGAAACAAACGCGGCGATCGAGTGTGAGGTGGAAACAAGGTCCGTTAACCGGGACATCATCCGCACTTCTCGCGATGGCTTTATCACGGTCAGTAAGTTGGCTTGACGGCTGGAGGACATGGTCACCAACCTCTTCATATCCCCCCTCTTGCCCGATCAACCAGCTCTCCCACTTATCCCAGGCATAGCGTCCACCGACGGTCAGCAGACCATACGCTGTCTTCTGCCATTTCGTTGGAGTAGCATAGACCGGTCCCTTTCTGCGGCTATCTGTATAGTGAAGACCCTGCAGCGCCGCACCATAGGACGCATTATGGTCCCATATGGAAAGCTTGAAGAGAACCGCCCGCAGCGCAAGCAGAATCTCATGCGACCATTCCTCCTGCATTTGAGGCTGTAAAGAAAAAAGTCAGCGATTCCCCCTCCACAATTGTATTCCACGAGCATACCCCAAAGTACTTCAGCGCGTTCCCAACCTGACCTTTCAACAGATCCAACAGCTCCTCATCAAGCAGCTCGGCATCCACCTGTCCCACTCGAAACGCCGGCCGCGTCCCATCTCGCCCCCTGATCACATTCCATAGCCTCCACCCCGATCCTGATAGTCGATCTAGTGGGGATGGCAGTCGCTGAATGGTGGCCGGGTTGATCGGAGAAGCCCGCTGCTGCTGTTCTAGCCGGACGCGCGCTTCTGCTTCGCGTTGGCGGCGGCGCTCGAGGACTCGCTGCTGGGCAGCGGCGAAGTTGGTCGAGCTCATGGTATAAGCATGGCGTGGATGACGATGGAGGAGAGGAAGTGAAGCTTGGAGGCCCGTCGAGTTTCCCCAGACTGAGAGCCGAGGTTGTAATCACGTGACATGTACCATTTCCGGCCGAGGCAGCCCTAAGGAACAGAGGATAAGATAGGAAGTACAGCTGTGCTGGTGAAGAAATCGATCGATCGACTGTGGATCCAGTAGAATGTTGATATACTGTCCATAGGGAGCGGTGTGCTCTGGTCAGGCTTGCCGCTGTAGTCGGTTTGACGCACGCCAGCCTCATACCGTTGACCCATCGCACTTGCCAGGCACAACCACACACAGCCTTGATTCCTAGGCCAGCCTCCATGCCTTGGCAATCTGATCCGAGTCGGTATTATCCGAAATCTCCACGCGGGGTGTAACTATCGTCCAGGGCCTGCTGCACGTGGCCTGGAGCCAAGCGTTCCTCAATGGGCCAATCAGCATGGCGGGTAGAGGGGTGTGATGCTAACCAGTGGACGCAGGAACAACCATTCGAAGACGGCCATGTTGGAACGAGGCCTAGCTGACCATTGGCGTGGTAGCACTAAGGAAGTGGCTGACGTGAAGTCAATGTATTACGCCCAGCCATCCTCGAGCTAGTCAACTCTCTAACCGACATCACTGGTTGTATATAGATCTCTCCCTTACTTCTCTCGCTCGTCTCTTTCTCCACCATCCGTTCTCTCCCGCACGCTTTTAATTTTCACTCTATCCATTCGTTCGCTTTCAGCTTTACTCTTCTCAACATCTTCTTCGCTTCGTCATGAAGGTCGCTCTTGTGACCGTGCTGGGCGCTGCCACTTTGGCGCGTGCTGGAACCATCACGACCTCGGAGCCCGCTGTCGCTGCGATCGATGCTGCGATGGCGACCACTCTGCCTGAGACGACCACTTCGGATGTCAAGGGCTTGGCCTTTGACCGTTTCTACCAGGTCTGGTTAGAGAATATTGTATATACTGACAAGGGCCATTTGACGGTACATCACTGACATGATCCCAGGACTATGATGTTGCGGCCAAGGACTCCAACATGGAGTGGCTGGCGTCGCAGGGTATCCTGCTGTAAGACCTCATATCCTGAAATTGAGAACAATACTGACAAGTTCAAGGACCAACTACTACGGCGTCACCCATCCCTCCGAGCCCAACTACTGCGCTGCTGCCGGTGGTGACAATTTCGGCATGGACAATGACAACTTTCACCAGATCCCGGCTAATGTCTCCACCGTTGCCGATCTGCTTGACACCAAGGGTATTTCGTGGGCCGAGTACGAGGAGGCCATGCCATACCCTGGCTTCCAAGGTTACAACTACTCCAACCAGGTGACCTATGCAGATGACTACGTGCGCAAGCACAACCCGCTGGTTCTCTATGAGTCGATCACCAACAACGACACCAGGGCTCGTCAGATCAAGAACTTCACTCAGTTCGAGTCGGACCTGGCCGACAAGAAGCTCCCGCAGTGGGCGTTCATTACCCCCAACATGACCAACGACGCCCATGACACGAATATTACTTTTGGTGCGAAGTGGGAGCGCAGCTGGATTTCGCCTCTGCTGAAAAACTCGTACTTCATGGACAACACGCTTATTCTCTTGACTTTTGACGAGGACGACACCTATCCCAAGGGCAACCGCGTCTTCAGCATTCTGCTTGGTGGTGTCATCCCCGATAACCTGAAGGGTACCAAGGACGACACCTTTTACACTCACTACTCGAGCATTGCCAGTGTCTCTGCCAACTGGGGTCTCCCCTCTCTGGGCCGCTGGGACTGCGGTGCCAACATCTTCGAGATCGTGGCCAACAAGACCGGCTACGTCAACTACGACGTTGACACCACCAACCTGCGATTGAACGAGACCTACCCGGGTCCCCTGTCCATTGGCGAATACTCCAAGTTTTCGCCCATCTGGCCTATCCCGCTCACCGACGCCAAGTGCTCTGCTGGTCATGGTATCCTGGACATCGTCAAGAAGACCTACGCCAATACTACCCCGACCTACAACTACACCAGCCCCTACCCGTGGGACTCCAAGGCCAACTACAACACGAAGGTTACTGCTACCCGCAGCAGCAACTCGACGAACACCACCTCCTCGGGTGCCGCGGCTACCACCACCAACGCCGGCGTTGCTGGTGTTGTGCCCAGCTCGGCAGTTGCCATCGGTTCTCTGGTGGCTCTCTTCGCCTATGTTTTCTAATTCAATTGCATATCTTGACATTCACCCTGCCATATCTGCTTGTATGCTTTGATTGATGGTTGGGGACTTGTCTTGCACGTCTCTTCAGCCGTCTCGACACACAGGAACGATTGGGTTTCAGGGATTTCTTTTTGAATGGGACAGCAAAAAAACAGGGAAACTTTCTTCGATTTTACATTACGCCATAATATCTTAGCACAATTTAATTCGTGACTTTTAAGAGCATCACCACTAAGTACTATAAGTATAGACTCTTCAAGTACCGCCCTAAAAGCCAATACGCCGACTACCCCATCTTGACCAGAATCGACTTCGTCTCCAAGTATTCATCCAAGCTATACAGGTATCCCTCACGACCATTCCCACTCATCTTAACACCCCCAAAAGCACCATCCTTCGTCACAGACGGACAGGTGCAATTCACAGCAACAAAACCAGATTCGATATCCTTGGTCAGACGCATAACACGATCCATATCCTTCGTGAAGACGGAGGCATAAAGGCCGAACTCGGTATCATTCGCCTTCGCAACAACCTCCTCCTCTGTCTTGAAGGTATTGATAGCAACCACGGGACCAAAGATTTCTTCGCGCATGAGTCGCGAGTCCTCTGGCACGCCCTCGAAGACAGTCGGATGCACGAAGAATCCGTTGTTGGCATCTCCACCTTGCGTGCATGTACCGTCTTTCTGGCCGATGGACAGGTAATCTTTCACGCGGTTATACTGCAGAACGTCGATCTGGGGACCGTGGGTCGTAGTCGGATCCAAGGGGTCGCCCATTTGGGTAGCGGCGAATTTCTCGCGGAAGAGCTGGGTGAATCGCTCGGCGACGGACTCGTGCACGTACACCCGTGAGTTGGCGATACATACCTGTCCGCTGTTTAACTTGATGCCGAGCTGTGTTGCTGTCGCTGCGTTCTCGAGGTCTGCGTCCTCGAATACGATCGCTGGTGACTTTCCGCCTAGCTCCATGTGCGTGTGTTTCAGGTTTGACTTTGCCGCCGCGGCCTGGATCTTCTGGCCGGTCAGCGTCGAGCCTGTGAAGCTGAGGCACCGGACCGTCATGTGCGACGCCATTGCTTCGCCTGTTGGGGTGCCGAAGCCGGAGATGACATTGACGACCCCAGGTGGAAAGCCAGCTTTGGCGATTAGCTTAGCAGCAAAGAGGGACTGAAATACCATGTTAGCACCATGATATGCCAAGTCATTTGTACACAAGACAAACCGTCAGCGGCGCTTTCTCACTACTCTTCAAGACAACTGTATTCCCCGCCGCCAGCGCCGGCGCAACTTTCATGGCGAAAGTAGCCAGCGGGAAATTCCAGGGAATAATCAGCGCCGCCACACCGTAGGGCTGCTTAACGGTCATATTCAGGAACCCGGGCGTGTTGAAACTCGCCGTACCCTGCGCAGACCACGCCGTCTCAGCGAAGTATTGGAAGTTTTCAGCTGCCGCGCCTGCGTCAAAGTACTGCGTGATGGGCCGGCCGGTGCATAGGGTTTCGAGCTTTGCTAGCTCGTCATTTGACTCTAGGATGAGACTCGCTAGTTTGCGTAGATACGCTCCTCGTCCGCCGACGCCCAGATCGCGCCATGAAGGGAATGCGGCATTGGCAGCGGCGACGGCGGAATTGACGTCTTCAATAGTGGCTTCGTGAACTGGGATAGGGTGGTTAGAGATGGCATCGTTTTGGGTTGTTGGGAGCTGACCATTTGCGACTAGCTCTTTGGTGAATGGGTAGATCACCTCAAAGGTCTTGTTGTCTGAAGATGATCGGAACTGGGCATGTGGTAAACAAACTGATTCTCTGAACCCGGTTCTATTCGCAAGGATCACATACCTCGCCGTTGATGAATAGCCGAGTCTCAATCGGCTCCGACAGTTTCGCAGTAGCAGCCATACTTGAAGTGACAGTATTTTTGGTAGAATTGATTATTCACAAGCAGATGTTTGTCTGAAAGATATAGACAAAGACAACGAGCGGGCAGTGCGACGAACCCCATATTTGAATGTGGCCCGCTTCATATTCTGAATGGCGGAGGGCATGCATGCTAGGCGTCCGTCTGCGGGTGACGCTGTCTGGCTCGGTCTCGGGATTGGGCCAGGCACGAACTAGGGCTTACAGTGGGGAGAGGGGCTGAGTGCAGCTGGAACAACCCAATGGGCTGATCGCCAAGCTTGAAGTATAGGTCAGACCCTGTCATGTCAAGCCTTGACGACCTTGCAGACTGACTTTATCCGTTATTTTCGTATAAATTGTGAGATCTGATTGTATAGACATAACACACTATCCACATTACTTTGCCAGACCTCGACGCTTCATATCCTGCAGGTTTAGAGTATCCTGATCGCCCGGGCGCCGTTCCGATTCGATCTTCACGTTGTCCTCTGGGCCGCCGGCACCCTGGAACTGGCTTGCTTGGGGAAGTCTTGCAGATGTTAGCATTGATTCCTATCTCATAAGATATCTGCTCACCTGCCACGGTCATCCCGGGTGCCGCCTTCGTCCTCGGGCACCTTGCGGTGGTCGCTGCCAGACGCCGTTGAGCCCGGACCGTACTTCACTGTCGTGGCCTGGGGAAATCGCTGGTTGACCATCTCATCTACACCGGATTCAAGAGCTATCAGATCGGTCAGTGAATAGTTCGCATCGGGCGGAAACGAAACAAGCATACTAGAGTCACTCTTGCGACCGAGGCCCTGCTTGGCCTGGTAGGAGTTGAGGTCTTTCTCGGCACGGTGTGCCTGGCGCAGGTGCTCAGATTCAGACATTGTTGCGTTCTGTTCAAGAAGAATTGATTGCTGGAGAGAATATCACTACCAAGTACCCGATTAAATACTTCTACTCCTCTTCGCGACTTGCATCATGATGCATCATACGTATGTCATGGACCGCTGGCCGGAAGCAGACGAACTGATCGTTTCCATAGAGCAAAACAAGACAAGCCGCACCAGGTGACTTCATCGGCTCCACCTGCTCTTACCCGTCCCAAAAGGGAATGATGTAGGGTTCCGCCTTTAGGGTTGGGCGGTCCCGGATTATCTCTTCTCCGCTACTTTGAGGGGAGTTTCGGTCTTTGCAAGGGGAGCGACAACTCACCACCTGCGCCGTCTATGGAGAAGTGTTAAATCCACGGACCTCGTTCCTGATCTCCGTAGCCCCGGAACCTGAACTGAGTCCCTCTGGGAAACTTCGACAACACCAGCCCCCCCGCCATGGTCCACCATACCATCGAGGTGTCTGGCGAGGCCAATCCGCTCAGCCCGCAAAATGTCCTCAATGCCCTGGTGCTTGCAGCAAGTGCCACCCAGCAGCAGGTGCAGACGGGCACCCAGCAGCTTCAGAACTGGGAAAAACAGCCCATGTACTACTCCTTTCTCCAGGATGTCTTTCTCGATCACTCCGTGCCCAACGAAGTCCGATATCTCGCGATCATTCAGCTGAAGAATGGGATTGATAAATACTGGCGCAAGACGGCGGCACATGCTATTAAAAAGGAGGAAAAGGAGAAGATCAAGACGCGGGCACTCGAAGCGGGAATCGTTGAGCCGACCCAGCTGCTCGCCCTTCACAATTCGTTGATGATTGCAAAGATTATGCGTTACGAGTTCCCTCATGACTGGTATGTCACCAAGTATTTGGTGTTTACACTTCTGCTCACCCAGTTCAGGCCCGATGCGATGTCCTCGATTATTTCCTCCCTCCGGTCGTCCACTCAGCACGGCGCGAATCCCCTACAACTGCCTCGAACTATCCTCATCCTATTGCAGATTATCAAAGAGTTATCGACGGCACGAATCCAGAGAACTAGGGCAAACCTTCAGTCTGTCTCGCCAGAAATATTTCATGTACTGGGAAGCATCTACGTCGACAAAGTTAATCAATGGACCGCGATCCTGGAACAAGGTGGTATGGATGAAAGCGGGTTGATGGAGGCAGTGGAGCAAAGCCTGGTGTCTCTCAAGGTTATTCGGCGACTGGTCATTTCTGGCTATGAACACCCGAGTCGAAACCAGGAAGTCAGGGACTTTTGGGTCCTTACCCATTCGCACTTCAGCAAATTCCTCTCCTTCGTCGATGAATCCGTCAACGTTCCGGAACTTGTCCACAGAGGAATCGAGAAGCATCTGTTGCAGATGTCAAAGCTGCACGTCGAGATGGCCAAAACCCACCCCGCGTCATTTGCTCTGTTGCCAGACAGCATTCCGCTTGTGAATTCCTACTGGACATTGGTTATCAAGCTTGGCGATAAGTACGACAGTCTCGGGGCCGACAGCGAGTCTGTCGGAAAGTCTTTGGTTGAGCGGACGGGTCTTCGAGCTCTGCTCTTGATTCGAGCGTGTGCAAAAATGGCCTTCAACCCAGCCCAGACATTCAAGTATCAGACACCACAGGACAAGGAGGAGCGAAAGCAGGCGGTGGAGCTGATCAAGTCACAACTTTTCACGCATGACTTTGTGGTTAATGTCATGGAACTTCTCGTCACCAAATTCTTTCGATTCCGTAATATCGACTTCCAAGAATGGGAGGAGGAGCCGGAAGAGTGGGAGAAACGAGAGGATGAAGTTTCCGACGCCTGGGAATTTTCTGTTCGCTCCTGCTCGGAGAAACTTTTCCTTGATCTTGTGATCCATTTCAGGGATCTTCTCATTCCCCGACTGCTGAGCGTGTTCTATACCTTTGCCAGTGAGCTTTTGTTTCTGCTACAAGCCAGCATGCCAAATTCTGATGATCATTCTAGGTCCCGAAAACCGCGATGTGCTACTGAAAGATTCGTTATATTCTGCAATCGGCCTGGCCTCGGCCAGTCTGGAACAACACCTGGACTTCAATGCTTTCCTGGAGCGAACGATGGTTCCCGAAGTCCAAATTCAAGACCAAGAGTATAAAGTTATTCGCCGGAGAGTTGCCATCGTTCTTGGCCAGTGGGTTCCAGTGAAGCCAGGCGAAGTGAACAGGAACGCTACCTACCAAATCTTCCAACACCTCCTCAACAAACAGGATCCCTTGAACGACCTTGTGGTTCGGATTACTGCCGGAAGGCAACTCCGCAATGTTCTTGACCCCTACGAATTCTCCCCGACGGAATTCATGCCGTTTGCGCCGACGATTCTCGAAAATCTCATGGCTCTCGTTCAAGAGGTTGAGAGCACAGATACAAAGATGGGCTTGTTGGAAACTGTGCGTGTTGCAGTCGTGAAGCTCGAGGATCATGTATGCCCCTCCCCCTGGTGAGTATCAAGCACTTTTCTAACCTCTTTCAGATCGCTCCCTTTTCCGATCAGATTCTCTCGTTGCTGCCACCCCTATGGGAGAGCTCTGGTGAGGAACATTTGATGAAGCAGGCTATTCTCACCCTTCTCTCGTCCCTGATACGCGCGATGAAGCAGGAGTCTGTGAGATATCACTCACTTATTATTCCTCTCATTCAAAGCTCTGTAGAGCCCGGATCGGTACGTTATTCCCCTCATTTGTCGACTGTCTACTCACATTGCAATCTGTGTTTCAGGAGACTCTCGTATACCTACTGGATGAGGCATTGGACCTTTGGTCTGCCATTGTCGCGCAGACCCCAGCACCGGCCTCTCCAGAGATCATTTCTCTCCTCCCAGCTCTCTTCCCGATTCTCGAACATGCAACCGACAGTGCCCCTCAAGCACTGCAGATCATTGAATCTTACATCCTCCTGGCACCTCAAGAGGTGCTCAGTGACCGCACCCGATTCCACCTCCTAGCATCCCTCGAAGCACTCTTGAAATCAACCACAAAACAACGACTCGGAGTCGTACCGCGCCTAGTCGAAATGATGATCCGTGGCGCCGAGACCGTCGATGGCGGCAGTGAAGCTGCCTACAGCGTGATCTCGCAATCACTCGTCAACAGCTCATTTCTCTCTTCTCTGCTAGAGGGTCTGCATTCCGCTCACGAAGCCAGCCAAACTACAGGCCCGAACCGGAAGACCTCATCTGTAGTCGGCATCGTCGAAACAGACTACTTCTCTGTCCTGGCGCGTCTGGGTCTTGCCAACCCCTCCATTTTCGCATCTGCTGTCGCCACAGCTACCAACTCGTCCCAGGAACAGACTCTCTCCTGGCTTCTTGCCGAGTGGTTTCTGCACTACGACAATATCGGCAGCGTCACCCAGAAGAAACTGCACGCTCTTGCACTCACCCAGCTCCTTGCCCTTCAAGACCCCCCGTCAGCCACGGGTCCTCCTCCGCCCTACATCCTCGCCCATCTGCAGTCCTACCTGACTATCTGGACAGATATCATACTCGAGCTGTCAGAGGGCGGCACAGATAGCAACGCCGATTACCTCGTCTGCTGGAATGCCCCTCCAGGGTCCGCCCACGCTCCGCCCGACAACCAGGTCTCCGATGAGCCTGAGTCCCCTGAGGCCCGTCGTCGTCGCGACTGGGACGCCGCGGACGTGGTCCACCGCTTTGCCATTCGCGATTTCGTTCGCCACCGACTCCAAGAACTGATTGTTTCCTGTGGTGGTGCCGATCGGTTCCAGGAGGAGTGGTTGGTTAATGTTGATCGCGAGGTGGTGTCGGCGTTTGGTGCGCTGGGGTTGCTTTGATTTCGAGATATAAATGAGGAAACTTTGTGTTCTTCCTCTGCTTGTTCCCTCCTTGCATTATCACGCTGCATATTTAGACTCGAAAGCCATGTTTATGCCCTTTTTATCTGCATGATGCAATAAAGACGAAACATTAGTGGTGTTATTCTACCTAGCTACATACCCAATGCATGCATTGTGCTGATGTCTCTTTGCCTGAATTTTCTACTAGAGTTGAATAGCTTATTGTATCCCTTTATCAGCTACATGCTACGTGTGATCACAACAAATACTAGAGAATAATCCAATTGATCATTTGCGATATTAATGGAAGACCAGGACAACACCAAATCGTTAAGACCGAACCATACGCCATACTCCCCCGGAACTTAAAGAAAAACCGGGCCTGCATTGCGCCAGCAAGCGGGCCACGCAGTTGACAATCTTAATATGAAGAGAGAAACGCCGATAAGCAATAAACACTACTAGCATACTGTATGCGCGACATCCGTAACCGAATATCCAAAGCGCCTAGGTGCCGCTGAGTTTATCAGCACCTAACACTGGCCAGGGAACTGGCGAGTGTTAACGGGGTTGGGGAAGACGCCGGCGGCAAGCTGCTGCTGCATATCCCACTCCGGGGCGCCCTCGGTCTTCCAGGTCCAGTAGAGCCAGCCGTTACCCTTCTCATAGGCATCGAGCTGGGCTTCGATGAAGCGGCGGAGGTTGATCTGGTCGTCTGCCGAGAGTGCAGACACGGTGCCCTCAGACTTCCCAGCACAGGAGCCGATGGGAGCGCTGCCTTGGTACGTGCCGTCGTAGCGGGCGCCGATGCCCTTGCCGTTCAGGTACTTGGCGCAGTCGGTCATGGCGCCGGTCCACTCTCCAACAATGGTCCACTTATCGCTGGTCAGGACGTGGTCGTTGACGAAGCGGCAGGCCGTGCCGACGTGCGAGTTGATATCCATGGCCAGCAGGCCGTTGTCGAAGACTTCATAGTGGTGGGTGTCCATCATCACGTACCAGACACCAGTCGACTCGCTCATGAACCCGTTCCAGGACTCAGTTGGCATGAATCCGTCGTGCAGGACTACGGTGGTGTCCTGGCTCCCTGAGCGGGCCACTCCCCATGCGTCATAGTAGTACTGCTTCAGACCGTTCTCGTTCACACCACCGGGTACGCTGGGCTCGTTGAGAGCTTCAATGGCCGTGACCACGTCGCCATCGTTAACATACCGCGCTGCCAGTGCAGCGAGAACATCCTTCGTGATGTCGACGTTCTCACCCTGTTGCCACATGATGGGACCACGCTTGCCGCTGTTGTCGAATCCATTCTGGGATCCAGGAGCTGCGTTCCTTGTCAGCATGAAAGCTATATAGTCAACTGAAGCAACTCACCTCCGTGCAGGTCGACAATGACTTTGAGGCCGGCCGCGCGAGCCCAACCAACAGCCTGGTCCAGGTAGTCCAGCTGACCATTAACATATGGGTCACCTTCCATGATCCCAACAGCCCAGTAGCCGACTGGAATGCGGACATGGTTCATGCCCGCAGCGGCGATTTGAGCAAAGTCATCCGCGGTGATAAAGGATGACCAGTGCTGCTGCAGAGTCTCGTAGCAGGCATCGAGGCCGAGGGTAGCGCAGAGAGACCATTCGTCCAAGGCGGCATCGCCGACCTGGTCGAAGATCGAGGGAGTGATCCAAGGCTCCAACACGAGCCAGCCGCCGAGGTTAACACCACGAACCTTCTCATTAGCATAATCGAACTTGAGGTTACTATTTGCATTGGAAAGGGTTAGGTAAACATATATAATAAGGTATGAGTTCTAATCACTTACACTGTCTGGGCCTGTCCCAGGGCAGCCACCAGGGATAGCCCGAGGATCTTCGTCGAAAGGGAAGCCGGCATAGTGAAAACGTGTCAAGTCAGGGTCAAAAATTCAGGAGGTTGGGCTTCAGGAATGAAGGGTGATCGGAGTTGTGTCAAACGGCATGGAGATCGGCTGCTATAAGTAAACTTTGTCGATGCGTGAGCTTCGACCGGGCCGGATGCAGGTAGAGAGCGTCGCTGTGGTGCGTGGAAGCGGAAAACCCCACGATTTTTTGGCATGAACAATGCCACACCTCGGTCAACTTGACTCCACCGATTCCTCCTTCCCGCAACGTGTATGCTCCGGAACCGGGTGAGGCGTTGATGCAAACAGGGACGAGCGGGACCGTCGCCCCCTCGAGTCTGGGGTTGATAAAGGGAACAAAGGCCTTGTTGGTTCCGAGGGTGACAGTGAACTAGCTCTCTCCGGCTGGAGTCTCAACTTCTCATCCACGGTTAAGGTTGATGGAGACCAGTGGGGTTGGGGTACTGTCGAGTTGGGAGATGTCACAAAGCAGAAGAACTCCGAAAAGAGGTGAGACACGCAACACTGAAGGGAGTCTCTGTGAATGGCAGTTGAACAAGGGAAAACAAAATGTCCAAGTGGCCGTCATTGATGCAATTCGCGGACTCGCGGCTGCCCTGATTGCGCTTGACTCTATTCGGGCGCGGATGGCAGGCACGAGGTGATGATGATGAGGATTCTGAGGATTTTTTCTTCGGTCTCGCTGTCTTAGTCGTCACTCCGGACACGCGGAATACTGTTCATCCATGCAGCATAGTTAGTCTGTATGCCACTGCAGCTACTGGCATCGCCATCTTGGCTTGAAGAAATGCTGCTTGCGGGAGTTGTATACCTCGTTCCCACGTGGGCGCTAGTCCCAATTAGGCAATGGGTGCGACAATGCATTGTTCCGGCACGAAATCTGGAGTTGGTGGATGCATGAAGAGGCCATGCTGTAGAGATACCGCGAATTATACCTCTTTTGGATCGTCAGTAGACTGAACTCTGAGTATCATGGTCGATCTGCCGGGTACTCGGCGTTCGCCATAGCCAGACAGATCCAGGCCCTATCTGCACGATTGACAGGCCGATCGATCCACCCGTCCTCTGGAATGCAAACTGTGCCTTGCTGGATGCGCGGAATGCGGCCGGTTTCAGCGACAACACATAGCTAGCACCACTCTTAAAAGCCATCCACCCCACAATCAGATGGCAAATGAGTCTCGACCACCGTTCGTGACGTATCTTGGTCCTCCACTGTTACTGTCGCCCACCGACGGAGGTAGCATCTCCCTGTTTCTGTCCTGGGTCCTTGTACATTGTTCGGGCCGGGGTATCACCACCATGGTGTCCGAAACCAACCCTAGTGATCCATTCGTAGTCCAGAATCATATGAACATATAGCCCATTCAGACTGGATGTGAGTAACGGTGCGATTTCATAATCCCCTAGCTATGCGGAATGTGAGATACAGTATCGGAATGTGCATGTCTCGCATGTGGATGAAGAGTTCTAGGCGCATAAATCCAAGCGGCGGTTGATTAATGCTGGCAAGACGAGAAAATGAAAACAATCAGAACAATAATCTTCTCAATCCGCTATACAGTTGTAGTTGGTAGAAGAGGCTCACGGCAAGGGAAAATCGGCAAAGTTGTGAAGTGGAGAGCGCTAACTAGTGCTAGTGCTTCGCTTAAACTGACAAGGCCGCTAAATGAGCCAAGCTACTGCTTAGTGACGTGAAGTGCTTTCCAGTCTTTCTACCCACGTGTGCAGCACCTTCATGGTTATTGCTTTCCATATGTGCGCCCCTGCCTGATTTTCCCGGTGGCTACAATATCTCGCGTCTCTTCGCAGGAGTTTGCTGCCGAGGGAATTGAAAGGACATGCAGAGAAGGACTATAAAACCCAGGGTCTTCGTCGCGTCTGACGAGATGCAGGATCTACGTCAATTGGTGCTATTTAGCAAATTATAGTATTGCCATGGGGAATCTCCGCTCCTTGCTGCTCACTTGGGCCATTGCGACGGCTGTAGACGCCAGTGAGCCCAATTGGTTCCAGACGGTGCCGGACAACTACGCTGGTCAGTTATTATTGAAAATTCTGGTTTAATTTCAATTACTAACAACTCTATACACATCCAGGCCCGACACCTACCGGTGCTGCTCCTTTCCTGGCAGAGGTCAACCCAGCACCCTTTGGTCAGGCTACGTACATCCCTAATGCTCCCTTGGAGACATAGAAGCCCATTGTTGGTGCCAATGGGCGGAATATCTTCCATCTCATGGGAGATCTTAGGTTAGGCTTTTTCATTATTCAATAATCATCATCATTGACTAACGATATCTCAAAGCCCTTACTTTTCTCCCTCTGAAGGGTTCGGAGTGGATGAATATCCTCTGCCCAAGGGCGCGAGCATCACCCACATGCACATGCTCCAGCGCCATGGCGCCAGATATCCTTCTGCAGAAGAAGGATTGGGTCCATGGGCGGCTGGCATTGTCAATGCTGGCGCGGTATTCACCGGCGAACTGGAGTTCCTGAATGACTGGACCTACAAGTTGGGAGAGGAGATCCTTGTCCCCCAAGGCCGCCAGGAGCTTTTTGACAGCGGTATCCTAAACTACTACAACTACGGCCACCTATATGATAATTCGTCTAAGATAGTTGTGCGCACCACACTAGAGTCGCGCATGCTCGAGAGTTGTGAGAACTTCCTCGCTGGCTTTTTCGGTCTTGACTGGAAGAAGCATGCTAATATCCTGGCCACCATTGATCCTGCTGTGACGGGCGACGAAGCATGCACAAAATCAGGGGAGACCATGATGGTTGCGATTGAGGAGCCAGTGGGCACCTGGACGGAGACCTATCTGAAAGACCGCACCGCCAAACTGCAGCGTCTCACCGGGAACTACAACTGGACCGTGACCGACACCTCCCACGCACAGGCCCTCTGTCCCTACGAGACCATCAGTCTGGGCTACAGCCCGTTCTGCCAGCTGTTCGACTATCAAGAGTGGCAGGGCTACGAGTACATGCAGGACATCGAGTTCGCCGCCATGTCAGGCTTCCTCAGTCCCACGGGCCGGGCACAGGGTATTTCCTGGGTGGAAGAGTTCTTGGCGCGGGTGGAAGGCCATTTCGTCGATGTGCCTGCCAATATGACTGGAGCCAATATGACTCTGGACACGAACCCGGTTACTTTCCCCCTGGATCAGTCGCTTTACCTGGAATTCACCCACGATGCCAACATCGTCTCCGTCCTGACTGCGTTCGGACTGACCCAGTTTGCGGATTTCCTGCCTGCTACCGGCCCGCCGAAGAACCAGCAGTTCGTCACGAGCAAACTGGTTCCCTTTGCCGGTCGGCTCAACATTGAGATCATCACGGCACCACACAAAGTGTCGACCAGGCGGTCGCGAAAGGTTTCCTCGGATGATTATGTTCGTGGTACTGGCAAGACGCAGTATGTGCACTTTATCCAGAACCAGCGCACTATCCCGCTGCACGCCAGCTTCGAGGCATGTGAGTACCGCGAGGATGGGTGGTGCGAATTGGAGACGTTCTTGAAGGTGCAGAAACAAAGTCTGGCCAACGCCGAGTACCAGCATGCTTGCTTTGGGAACTGGACAATGAAAGAGTATGGGGCAGCGAGAGATGGGGTGCCCGTTTAGATCATTGTTGTTGATGTATGAGACGAGGCAGCGCAGCCTCATTCATTATTCCGCCACACCAGGTTGGTTAGGGGCCGGTGTTCGATTGATAGATAGGATCGTTGGAGCCGCACCTCAATCGGGTAGTCTCCCCTGATCACCTTTTTGTCTTCCTGTTGGTGTCTTGGTGGTCGTGTCGCGATCATCTCGGGTACAAACCCGAACGTACAACTGACTACACCTCGAGAATTTCATGGGTTCGGGCATATACTTACCGCTCCACTTCCCCGCAGTCTATTGTTCAAGTAATGTTACATCAGACCTTGGAGAGCCATACAATAATCCCCCCGCGTGCGCCGATCGCGCGCAGGAAGGAGTACTAAGTGTGTACTAAGTGGGTTCAAAATCACCATTCCCAAACTAGTCATAGCGGACCCAATAGAAAGACGGCGATCGTCGCGCCAAGCCCGTTTGGAGTCCACTCGTATTCTTCTTCTTTGAATAGCAAAATATGCCACCTCCCAGAGACCAGAGACAACGAGGGCTCAATTGCCCCTTCGACATATGCCCGGAAAAATACTTTGACAAAGAAGAAGAAAAATTCTCTGATTTCTAATCCTGGGAGATTTCTAATCCTGGGACACTCGAGCCTAGAAGCTAGGTCTCGGCCGCGGACACACGCGCGCGGAACCAGATGAACCGAAGACCCGAACCTTGGATGGCGACAGGGCGGAAAGAACGTGTCTTTTGGTTCTCCGCATGCTGAGTCGGAGTTTACTGGCCGATTTGAGTATCCGGTACACTCATTGGCCCTGGGTTCAGATTGTCTCCACCCGCTCCGAATTGTTGTCGATCGGCCCCTGGAGAGGCACAACACTGGGACAGGCACGGTTCCTGGCGCCTTCGATAGGCTGGAATAGTGTGTCTGAAAGAATGCAATATTAAATGGATACATAAGTGGGAACTTGGAGATACAATAATCAACAGTGCAATTGCATTTCTACAGATCCGTCCGGATCAGTGCAATGCGCATGGACCCGGCCGAGTCGGTATCTCCACTATCAACAACGCCTTATACCCGATGTTCCCAATGCTGGACAACCAAACAATTGGCTACACGGACTGGCACCTCGTGCGGTGCAGTCAGTAGTATGTGCCCACGGCCCTCCCCGGCGGGGCTTTGTTATGTCTAGCCCCGGTGGAGACAGTCCGACGGGCCAAGAAAGCCGGACTATGCATGGAAGAATGAATGCCCACAAGGGTACTGGGCCTCGTTTTCGCATTGAATCCTGGCCCAGCAAGGGTTCCGTACCAGGTCGATCCCGTCCGATGGACGTATTTAAGTCCGAGGCTGGACTGCCTGGTTTCTGCCCCGGTTAATTTCTTTTTTTCATTCTTGATATTGTTGCGGTCCTAAGACATCATCATGCATCTAGCAAGGAGCCTTGTTGTGTCACTGCTGGCAGTCACCGGCTTTGCACTCCCGGAAAAGAGCGCTCCCAAGCAAGTTCGCAGCAGCTCCGGATACACCCTCAAGACACCTCCATTGACGACGCCGTGGACGGACGAAGTTGGCACCGATCCCTGGCCTGAGTATCCGCGCCCGCAGCTGGAACGCTCCCAGTGGCAGAATCTCAATGGCGTGTGGCAGTACGAGAATGCGTCGAGTCTCGATGCCGTTCAGAGCCCACCTTTTGGTCAGAACCTCGGCCAGGAAGTGCTGATTCCGTCTTGCCTTGAGAGTGGCTTGTCTGGTATGTTTCGTATCTGCCATAGCGTGTTGGTCTTGATATTGACTTGTTATCACGGGTAGGAATCCAAGCTGTAGATGCGCTGTACTCATGGTTCTCGAACTCGTTCAATGTTGACTCTTCTTGGAAGGGCCGGCGGGTTCTGCTCAACTTCGAGGCTGTGGACTACGAAGCCACTGTTTTTGTCAATGGCAAGCAGGCGGGTTTCCATCGCGGAGGTTACTTCCGCTTCACGCTCGACGTGACTCCCTATGTGAAGTTCGGCCAGGACAATGAACTGTGAGTGGCTCGGAAAATTCGACACGGACAAGAACTGATCAGGTGGTATAGACTCGTGTTTGTGCACGATCCCACGGACAGTGGCGACTATGTCATTCCCATTGGTAAACAGACGCTCCACCCGAGCCACATCTTCTATACTCCCTGCAGTGGAATCTGGCAGAGTGTATGGATCGAGTCCACTCCGGCGAACTACATCACGCAACTGGACCTGGCGGCTGACATGCACGGACAAGGTAAGAGCTGACATTCTTGATTGAATGCGCATTCACAGTACTAATAACATCAGTGAACGTCACCGTGCACAGCTCGAACCTGAACACCAGCACGCCCGTCGAGATCTCGCTGCACGAGAACGACAAGGTCATCGCGACTCACAGCGGTCCTTCGAACCGCCCGTTCCAGTTCAGGGTCTCTTCACCGAAGCTGTGGTCTCCTGACTCGCCTCACCTGTACAACGTCACCGTTAAGATGGGCTCGGACACGATCCAGAGCTACACTGGTTTCCGCACTATCTCCAAGGGCACCGTCGACGGTGTTGTGCGCCCGCTGCTGAACGGCGAGTTTGTGTTCATGTTCGGCACTCTCGACCAGGGATTCTGGCCTGATGGCATCTACACGCCGCCGACGCAGGAGGCAATGGTGTACGATCTGCAGCTGCTCAAGGATCTGGGCTTCAACTCGGTTCGCAAGCACATCAAGGTCGAAAACGAGCGGTGGTACCAGGCCTGCGACCAGCTAGGTCTGCTCGTCATCCAGGACATGCCTGCCATGCGTCCGCTCCAGACCACGGCCGACGGGGCCACCATCCTGCCGAACGCGACGCAGCAGGCCGAGTTTACCCGCCAGCTGACGCTCCTGGTGAACCAGCACAAGAGCTTCCCTAGCGTTGCAGTCTGGATTATCTATAACGAGGGCTGGGGCCAGCTCACAGACTACTACCCAGAGTTCGGGCTGACCGCACTGGTCCAGTCGCTGGATCCCACGCGGCTGGTGGACTCGACTACGGGCTGGTTCGACCATGGCGCTGGCGACTTCAGCGATAACCACCACTATGCCAACCCGCAGTGCGGCTCGCCCTTCTACTCGATCGACTCGAGCCCCTACGACGACACGCGAATCGGGTTCCAGGGTGAGTTCGGTGGGCTTGGAAACAACGTCTCCATTGAGCATCTGTGGAACGTCCAGGAGGCCATCGTGACAATCAACCAGACCTACGAAATCGACACATCTATCGACGCGTGGAACTACCGCAGCCACGTCTTGCTCGGCGAGCTCCGCGACCAGGTGGAGCTCTTCGCTTGCAGTGGTGGCGTCTGGACGCAGACTACCGATGTTGAGGGTGAGGTCAATGGCCTGATGACCTATGACCGTCGCCTGAAGCGAGTGGACGAGAAACAGTGGAAATCCGATATCCAGGCTCTGTATGATGCTGCTGATGCGCGCCGCAAATAATGCCACTGTGCAGGCTTCCTCGTAGTAGGGTTCTTTGAATATTTATTGGTATATACAGTTTGTTGTCTAGATTTAAAATCTCCGTTGTTTCTTATTTCCATTAGACCCTGGTTATCTCCCCGCATGCATGGTTGTCATCTATATGAACCGGACTGTCAGAAAATGCCATGAGTAAATAAGTCATCACCTGTCCATCCAAGGACCAAAATGAGCTGTCAACTCGTTTTTCAAACTCAAATAAATTGCGCCGAGATGCCCGATTCGGTATCTCTGCAGGAGAAGGAAGACACGCCTTAAGTAACTCACTATTCAAAAAAAAAAACTGTACGAGCCCTCTTCCATCCAGCGGCCAGATCATGCCAGGCTTCACCCCGCATCATCGTTCTAGAATCAAGGGTCTGGACGAGATCGGCACAGGGCATTGGTGATCGTCCAGCGCGGCTTGTCTGGACACCCTAGTAGCGTCTCAGGTTGAAAGCCGAACCAAGAAACGCGTGCCCCAACCACAACGAGTGATAAGCAATTATTTGATCTATCACCATCAGTCGCAGGGATGCTTATATCGTTGATCTGGTTTATTACTTCATTGCCGGGCGCCCTAGGTTTTATGTTCGTGTGGCTGCTCACTTTTGAACGTGTGGAAGTCTTTGCTCGCGCCTCTCCGGACATTCTACCACTCTCGGGCATCTAATCTCACCATCACCCAGTCCAAACCTAATTTCAAGCATCTATCCTTGGGAAACCTGCGTGTGTCGCGCTGAATAATGTCTGAAGCTAGTCCATTATCGTCGTTAAACGGCTCGTTTGTGGGCCACCATCCGTGTCGGCCCACAGCGCGGCGACGCCGCGCCTTGTCATACCGAAATATAGACCCTGCTTGAATTCAAGCTTCTAGCGGGATCGCATTGCATTTGGCAAAAGACAGTTATCTCGTTTGTCTAATCTTATGGTACTGTAAGGTGGACAACACTGAGATCTGAAGAATAAATGGTGGTCCCGGAAAAGAATTCCATGTCATCTCGGCTCTAGACACTAAAACGACGGGACCACAGCGGAGTCTCGTTTACGTCAATGGCTAACAGAGCAAGACTGTCAAAATTGTTTCTCTGGCCCTTTTCTCTTCCGTTCCCATGCTGTTTTGTCAGCCATCCCGGAGGTCTGACTATTCTGAGCAAGTCGCGATCAAAGCGCTCGAGCTTGATATAGATTGGAAGATAGGCCAAGCGCCTGCCACAGTGACAGCTGTCAAAGCAAGCCAAGACTTTCTTATCTCCGCATTCTTCATAGTTCGCTTGTTTCAGGTGATTGGAGAACGTTTCGAATCCCTGGAAATTGCACGGATCAGGGCACGTCTTGCTTGACTGCCTCTCATGGCTTCCACGCCCACTATGTAATTTAATATCAGAATCGCTTCGGCCGTGGTCTGATTCGGCGAGACAGACGAGTATAGGATCACTGTGCTGGAAAAGCTGTTCCTGGTGCCGAATCGAGGATCCATCGTTCTCGCCCGGGCAAGAGTCCCACGCGGTAGTTAGTTAGTAAAACCCTGCAGCGACACCACGGAATGGAGACCCATCATGGCGCCTCGTGGTTTTAATTTATTGCGGAGGGGTGAGTGGCTCTGCCGACAAGGTTTGTTTGGATTAAGCAAGAAGTATAAATACGTTAGCGGATGCCACGAGGCGCCTTAGTCTTTCCTTTTGAACGCTTTCACTTGTTTCCTCTACTGTGCTACTCACGGGTGTTCGAAGATCTCAGACCATATCGCAGCGATGGAGAGACTGCTAGACGAGGGCTTCCAGCCGAAGCATGTCGACCGGAAGGCGCTGTATGTCAATTTCGAGGAGAGAATCAAGTATCTCCACGACTTCCTTGAGTTCGGCATCGGTAAGATCCTCTTGTTAGGCATATGCCAGTCGCAGAGCTGACAATGAATCGTTGCACAGCGGACGTCGAGGCACTGGTGACGGGGGCCAAATATGTCAAGGCCCTGATCCCCACGGTGGTCACATTAGTCTACGAGAAGCTGCTACAACGTGATATCACATCACAGGCGTTTCACACACGGTCAACGGCCAAGGAAAAACCAGTGGACGAGGACTTTTTGACGGAGAACACGCCACAGATCCAACGCCGGAAGATGTTTCTGCGATGGTATCTCAACCGGCTGTGCCAGGATCCGACCAAGATGGAATTCTGGCGATATATCGGCAAAGTCGGGTGAGTACTGTGCCAGATATTATATTCCAAGATATCCGACTGAGACGAGGACCACAGAATGATGCATAGCGGACAGCTGCGCATGGACCCGCTCAATGTGGAATACATTCACATCGGCGCTTGCATCGGATACATCCAGGACATCATGATCGAAGCGATCATGTCCCTTCCGCAGCTCTCGCTGCGCCGCAAGATTGCCCTCTTGCGGGCTCTGACCAAGGTCCTCTGGATCCAAAACGATATGTTCGCGCGGTGGCATGTGAAGGACGGCGATGAGTTTGCCGACGAGATCTCACTCATGAGTAGTATGGATGACCGGGAGGGTCAAGACGCAGAAAAGCGGATGTTTGGTAGCAGTGATGCCTCAGCTTCCCCGGATGACGACATGTCGAGTCTGCGCAGCGCGAATAGTACGTTGCACTCGAGCAAGTCGAGAACAGACCCGACGGGGGTGTGTCCGTTTGCGAACCTGGGCAAGGCGTCGTCGACCGAGACAAAGATCTGGGCAAATTAGGGACGGACTGGATGGAATGGGATGGATGGCATGGGCAGGCGCAGACATGGAGTTGTTCGGTAGTTCTGTTAAGTGTTTGTTTACTTCAATGCTGGATCAATCAATTCCCTTGCAAGAGGACGTAAATATCACGTGAGACAACCCCGGATTAGTCATGAGTCGGCTAGCACAGTCGGCTAGGGAATTGATAGGGACACAACAGCTTTTGTTAGGGACACAACAACTTATGTAATCTGGGTAATTACATAAGTGAAATAATCATGTGATCTGTATTTGGATATCCACAGCAACATCATTCTAGAGTCTGTTCTACTATAAATCCATAGCTCTTCCCCCCCCCCTTCTGAAGCTCTGTAGTTTTCTACTTCAAAATGGACCCCCTACAGAGCAAATCTTCGATTCTTGAGAGCTTCTAATAGCCTCTATACGTAAACATGCCATGTCCTAAGGCTACATACACTATTACTACTATTTCTTTAAATACCAATCGCATTATTACTCTTGGCTGTGATCGTGGCAGTAAATACTATGATCGCATTAATGCACCAGAAGAGGCAAAGCGCCGATTGACAACTACACGACGGATTGGTTGTTCATTTAGGCTCTATGGGAAATTTACTGATAGTGGGAAGTGGGATTTATAGGTACGTAACCCTAGTCATAATCATACTACTAATGATATAATTAGCCACCTAACTGCCCGTACGCTTACAGAGGAGTAGCATCAGAAGATCCTTAATATGTCTGAGACCGGATCAAAACCGCGCCAAATCTTTATTCTAATTCAAAAGGGAATTCGAAGACTTTAGTGATACCTCGCGACGTCTATAATGCTCGAACTGCTTTACGAGGGCAAAAACTTAGTAATCGTACTCCTATTAAGCTTGTCCTAAAGACTCTATAGGAGAATCAGTAGAAATATGCTATTAAATAAGATAACGAAGGCTATATCGTCTTCTTTATGTTTATACATCCTGAATCGATTAGATACACTAACAAATATAATAGGATTTTTGTGCTTGATTGCACTTATAAAAGGAGTGGACCAGTCTTCCCTCCAGTAACTTCCTGCATGTTTTCGATGGGGAAGACCTTGATATATTCGAAGCCATAGAGTTGCGACTATTGAGCGAACGGCTACAACTGTTGGAAAAAATCATAAGCATGGCTTTGGAAGTCTCCGCATTGTATGCTGCTATTCCAACGTAAAGAATATGATTTGAGCACACAATGTCCTAAATTAAGCATGTTCTTGCTGTTGCTCAGTTCTTTCTGCCATCCCTAGCTCTGGTGCTGTCTTCGATTGGGTCCATTGTGTTAGGATTTCAGTTTCAAATAGAGCCGCTATCACGATAATGCCCATTCCGAAGATACCTCCCACCACTCCATAGGCGATCTTTCCTTTTGTGGTATTTGCAGCAAGTTTTAATCCTAGACCTCCATTGATGATTCCCAACAGAATCAGCGCTCTCCCATACCATACATGGATACGAGTCCATGCAGTCCGCATTTTTGTCTTGCGGAACCTAAGGTGATGAGCAAGTCCAATAAACGGTTGAAGGAGCATGAGGACTACCACAGTAGTGCCGATGATTGTATGCGGATTGTTTTCAAGCTGTATTCAGCATAGTCAGCATATGGATATCCAGCTTTTCTCGAATAAAAGTAAAGAGACAGTTCTCACTCGGTCCAGAATCTTTCCCACCCTAATTCCACACCCAAGCCCAGCAATAATCAACACCCAGCTAAACAGCTGCCATCCAGCATGTATCAAGACTGCGTTTTTGCCCTTGAGAAACCGAATGGCAAATACGCCGAGGGGCAGCATGACGGTGAATACGAGCCCCATCACTATAGCATGTGCTTTGAGGTATTTTGGTACCAGGTCAAGGTCTTCGTAGATAACCTGCGCGGATGAGGGCTCGGTGAAGAGGCCTGTCTATAGTTAGTCAACACTCTCAAAGTCTCGGAGAATCATACTACCAAGAACCCAGCACAAAGTCGTGGCACGCACATAGGAAGTCCACATTTTGTTGTCAGTTGGTTAATGATCTCTGAATTTGACATGCGATGGTGTGTCCAATGTATATATTTATATTTCACGGATTCTTGATGAAGTGTGTACCTCTGGGCCGTCTTATTGGTCGCTTCCTCTGTGAAACACCGAGAAATGCGATTACGAGAAATCAGCATCAGTGAAGCGTGCACAGCCCCTCGTATTCCAGCCAAGGGAAATAAATGCAACCGACCGAGAATTCCGAATGCTGAGTTTGCCGTCCACAACTTTCACGAGTCGGTCGCTTCTACTAGCAGATACCGTTTTGTCGGCATGACACCCCAGATCGTGAAGATTAAAGCCTGCATAGCTTGTCGGATGCGCAAAGTAAGATGCGACCGGAAATCTCCGTGCACCAACTGCAGCCGGTGGTCGGTGGAATGTGCATATCCCTCTCCTGTCAGGAGGTGCCGTCGACCATCGAGAAGACAACCACAAAGGAGTGATTGCGAATGCGAAAATAAGCTGCCTAGTCTGGGCCTATCAATTCAGTTGCACCAGCCAATAGTCTCAGATATCATTGTGGATGGAGCGAAGGCTTTGAGTCTACCTGACCAACCGGAAACTCCGGTGAATCGCGCTATTGCAACGACAGGTGACTGGAAGACCCGTCCGTTGAGGGGTCAAGTACGAACATGCTGGCAGTGCTTCGTTGAGCGAGTTGATCCTGTCGTGAAGATATTGCATCGGCCTAGCGTTGAAATGATTCTTATCCAGTCAATTTACCGTCCAGGCTCTCTAAATGGGAATCAAAAAGCCCTCATCTACGCTATTTACTTCTCCAGCATCGCGAGTATGTCTGACGAGGAAGTCCAGAATTTGTTCGGCATTGCTAAAGACACATCCTTGAGGGCATGTCGTTCGTCGACTGAGGAAGCACTGGCACAAGGGATTTTTCTGAATTTGAACGAAGACTTGGTCGCGTTGCAAGCATTAGTCCTGTTTCTGTCTGTCAACCGCTTGATTGGCGAGGCAGGAGTCGCCTGGAAGCTCACCGGCATAGCGAGACGATCTGCAATTTTTAACAAACCTGACCTCTCATCTTTTGAACATGAATTGCGAAAAAGGCTGTGGTGTCAGCTCTGGTATCTTGACCACCGGGCTGCCAGGGACCTTGGACAAGACGATGGATCGGACATGGTTCCCATTCCTGACCTTCCGTTGAATATCAATGACTCCGACCTCAACCCTGATTCAAGTACGCCCGCAACTCCTTGTACCGGATGGACCGAACAAACGTTCTCTCTCGTTCGATTCCAGATCGCAAGTGCGAGACAAAGAGTGAACCGAGATATTCCAACAGAAACAAAGAAACAAATAATCCAAGCATGTCAGAGGCGAGTCGAGGACCGTTATCTCCAATACTGTACTAGCAGTCAAGATCCAATCCAGTGGCTGACACGACATGTCGCCCATGTCCTTATCATGGAGATGTGGTTTGAGCTGTATAGTGCGGATACACTCACCATCAGTGTTGGACCTCAAAACTGTGCATGTAAATACGAGCAACGCGTCCAAGACTTTCTGTTCCTGCAGGCGATCGACATTGTCGATACTGCAGTCCGCTTGGAAGGAGAACCCCAATCTCGACAATGGGCTTGGCTGCTCAAGGGGTACCAACAATTCCGTCCGCTAGTCTTCCTGCTCAACGAGCTACACTACCGACAGGAATGCACCGCAGTTTCTCATGCATGGATGGTAGTAGAGAGCGCTTTAGTCCGCTGCCAGGACTCGCCGAATGGCAAGTTTCTTGCTAGATTAGAAGAGAGAGCCCATACTATACGGTTGCGCATTACAGGTTCATCGAGCGATGCGGTGCGAAGCTCCTATATCGCGCTGACATGACCAATCAGGGTGATGCGAGACCAAGACAGTAATTTTATGGAGATTTTCGGCCAAATATAAGCTTTCGTTCTCAAAGTCAGTTGATTAGATCGTAGCTAGTTCCGCCCTAATTCATCAGGTGGTCACCATCAGACGAAGTATCATCAGGCTCGATTCCTTTGTGCAAAGGCCACGTAAAATCGCGTCTTTTCCATCGAATGCCGCTTGGGATGTCTATCACTATCGTTGAGGTTCTCTAAAACCTAAAACAGTTAAGGATCTTATGATGTTCATATAATTCGATCCGACGAATTAGTGAGCAAGTTTCAAAGGCTAAAAGAGCTACAGAGATAGCTCCCTTAGGCCCCTGCCAAATGGATTTACAAGAACTATGGGTCTACCTTGCGCTCACAGTATTTTTGATTTATCAAAGCAAAATCAGGCTTTTCCGTTGGCAGATATCCACCCATTCTGGCGAATAGATCTTGATGGGGGTTCAGATTATCGTCCAATTTTGGAGCCTACCATTCCATTGCCTAAGCCTAAAAAAGGGAAGAGGGAGGAAACTTAGGCAGTTGAAATTATTGTAGAGCCTATACAGAAGAAGAAGGCGCCCCCAAAGTGCTCAATATGTGGTATAGTTTGGACCTACACGAAAGCCATGTAAACAATAGAGAGAATGAAATTCAGATACAATCACATGATTATCTTACTTATATAATCATTTTTATTACATAAGTTGTTGTGTCCCTAACAAAAGCTGTTGTGCCCCTATCAATTCCCAGTCGGCTAGCACAGCTTCCGTAATCGGCAGTTGGTTCTCCACACTCGGGAAGGATCATCTATGAGCTATCCATCGGCCCCTCTTCAATATTTCATGCAGAGTAGCAGTGTCCCCTTCTTTCTCTTTCTCTCATCATCCCACTCACCGCTCAATAATATCCATCATGACAAAGGAAACCATCACCCCGCTCCTCATCAACAACGAGTCCGTTGTGACCGATATCAAGTTCGAGGTCCGCGCTCCAGCCACCGGCCAGCTCTCAGGCCATTGCGCTGGTGCATCAGTCGACGATGCGACCCGTGCCATCGAAACCGCAAAGGCTGCCTTCCCCGCATGGAGCAAGATGAAGCCCTACGCGCGCCGCGACATCCTCCTCAAGGCGGCCGACATCATGGCGTCGCGCAAGGAGGAGCTGATCCAATATCAGCGCGAGGAGACCGGCGCGGGGCGGCCTTTCTCGGAGATCACGTTCCATCTGGGTGTTGACTTAATTAGGGACGTTGCGGGACGCATCCCTACGGTTGAGGGCACGGTGCCTAACGTGGCTCGAGATGGAGAGAGTGCCATGGTGCTCAAGCAGCCGTACGGGGTGATTTTGAGTATTGCACCATGGTAAGTGAAGTACCGTGCAGTCTATGGCGGATAAGCATTGACAGCATTGTAGGAACGCCCCCTTCGTCTTGGGCACGCGCGCAATGGCCCTGCCGCTCGCGGCGGGTAACACCGTCGTCTTCAAGGGCTCAGAGCTATCGCCCAAGTGTTTCTGGGCTCTGGGTGATATCTTCCGGCAGGCTGGCCTGCCGGCTGGATGTCTGAATGTCATCTACCATCAGGCCTCTGACGCTGCGCAGATCACCAACGCCCTGATTGCCCACCCGGCGGTGCGTAAAGTCAACTTCACGGGCAGCACGTTGGTGGGATCCATTATTGCGTCCACGGCTGGCAAGTATATTAAGCCCGTGCTGCTAGAGCTGGGCGGCAAGGCGTCGGCGATTGTTCTAGACGACGCAGACCTAGAGAAGGCAGCGACGAACTGCGCGATCGGATCATTCTTGCACGTGAGTATTTTCAGCCGTGGTGTCTCCAGTGGCACGCTAACAGCCAATAATAGTCGGGCCAAATCTGCATGTCGACGGAGCGCATTGTGGTCCAGCGATCCATTGCGGACCAATTTCGGCAGAAGCTGGCCGAAATCTCGGAGAAGATGTTTGGCAAGGACGCACCGGCGCCGCTGCTGGTCAACTCGGCGGCCGTCTCCAAGAACAAGAGACTGGTGGCGGACGCCGTGTCGCACGGAGCGAAGCTGCTGTTCGGCGATGCCAATGCCAGCGAGTCCGTCGATACTAGCATGCGGCCTATCATCGTCGAGGGTGTCACCAAAGAGATGGACATGTACGCGACCGAATCGTTCGGGCCGACTGTGTCTCTGATCGTGGTGGATACCGAAGAGGAAGCGATCACACTGGCCAACGACACGGAGTATGGCCTGACCAGCGCAGTGTTTACCAGCAATCTGTTCCGCGGGCTGCGCGTAGCCAAGCAGATCGATTCAGGGTGAGTCCATTTTTCTGGTCCGTATCGCATGCCGCGTCTAACTTGTAATCTCTAGGGCCGTCCACATTAACAGGATGACCGTGCATGACGAAGCCGTCCTGCCGCACGGCGGATGGAAGAGCAGCGGGTTCGGTCGCTTCGGCGGCGTGTCGGGCTTAGAGGAGTTCCTGCAGACCAAGTCGGTGACCTGGATGGAGTAAGGGTGGTTTGGGGGATTTCGGGCATGTCATTTATAGCATCAGTGTCTCAGCGACCCATTTTTAGGATTTATTGTAGTTACGAACATAGATCGCTCACTGCGGACGATGACGGCCGAGGATCAACTAAAATTGGTCTGTGTTTTGTCTTACCGCCAAGCTAAAAATGGCGCCCAGCGAACCAGGGCTGCGCGTCTCCACCAGTCAGGAACAGGAAAGAATCACGGCCAAGTGAGACAGCAGCCTAACAGTTATTCGGTTACCTAGCCCCAGTGAGATACGTACATACTCGGTATAGGGTTCAGTATGTACAACCCTGCCCCTGATCGACCGTGGATCTTTTCCGCTACGATCTCTGGACCGAACCGGTCTGTTTTGGGCGTGTGGAGTGGCCGTGCTCGAGTTCCAGTATTGGGGGAGGTGAATCCTTTGCAGAATTACCGACTTCTGTCGTGGCTTCCCCGGTGGTAGACGGAGCGTATGATGATTTGTCTCTGTACATTCTTGGCAAGGTTGGGAATGACACGGAGGGTTCCAGCCGTGGCGTCGCAAGGAAATGAAAGGCTTGCCCGTTATAGTTGTTGAGTGGATAGACCCAGCGCCAGTGTTTCCTAACGAGCCACCCACGGAAGTCGTCTTACTCGAGACGAATTGCCGGCAAATCCGCCCTCTTTTCCGTTCCCCTGTCGTCCCTATGCCGTTGACGACGGTACCCCTGATCACCAATTGCCAACCCAGCCGCAGCAAACACGAGCAGCGCCCACGGGGAGGGAGCGCTAACGCATGGCACCGTCACATCTGTACCAAACAGCCCCCTGACTACATCCAGTCGATAATTCTCGCTTGGCCCTACACTAGGACCAACAAAGCCGCCCCACGGGAAGACCTGAGATATGCTCCACCCGCATTCTGATTGACGGACAAGCCACTCTTAGGCTCAAGGCGGACTGCCGTCACGTAGAAATAATGCTGTGCCCATCTTTCCCTCCCTCTTTGATCTCATCGCCACACTCTTTTTTCGCCTCCAACGGCCAGTCACTCTTTATCTAAGAAGCCAAATCAATTGTCCCAACTCTGTCATTCTTTCTGAACAAATCCCCAATCATATTCCAAGATGCGCTTCTCTACAGCTACAGTCCTTTCCGCCCTTGTGGCCCTGGCCACGGCCTACACCCAGCCCAACTACAGCAACCCGCCCTTGGGGAACCCGATCGCGTCGCCCGGTCTGAACGAACAGGTTCCGGAGGGAAAGCCCTTCACCATCACCTGGGCCCCGACTACCAAGGGCGACGTCTCGCTGGTGCTGCTGCGCGGCCCTTCGACCAACGTCCAGCCGCTCGAGACCATCGTCGAGAACATCCCTAACTCGGGCTCCTACGTCTGGACCCCCGGCACCAACCTCACCCCGGATACCACCCACTATGGCCTGCTGCTGGTTGTTGAGGGCACGGGGCAGTACCAATGGTCTACTCAATTCGGCATCTCTGCCCCCGCTGGCTCTAACTCGGGCTCTGGCTCTGGCTCTGGCTCGGGATCTGGCTCGGGCTCTGGCTATGTCTCCACGACCTCGAGCACAACCTCAAGCACCACCTCGAGCACCACCTCGAGCACCACGACCGAGTGCACTACCACCACCACCACCAAGAGCAGCACTACTACCAGCGCCTCGACCAAGTCCACCACTAGCACCACCACCACCACAACCGCCGTGACCACCACCGTCGCCCGGGCCCCAACCACCACCACTATCAAGACCATTGTCGCTCCCAAACCCTCCAAAACCCCGGCAAGCACCACCCTACGCGCGACCACCCCGCCCACATCCCCGTCCATCGCGCGGGCCAGCCCCACGACAACCCCCTTCAACGCCGCGGGCCGCAACGCCGTCAGCGTGGGCGCCGCCGCCGTCGCCGGCGTGGTTGCTTTCGCCATGGCCTTCTAATCTAGTTGTCTTTGCTTACCGGACTGTGCGCTCTTTGTGTATTCTGTGATATCTGTGTGTGTGTTATGTTTTCTGTTTTCTCTAACTATGAACTCTTCTTACTCACGATCGATCGGGGGTTCACATTGTTTCTTCTTACGCGGCTATGCTATGAGACACCTACATACCTAACGGAGATACCCCCTGTTAAGTTGACAGTCCGGTTGATCGATCGGATAAGAACCTGTTTATTCTATTTTATTCTACTTATTTTTAGTTTCTGTGTGGATTCCTAAGGTTGTCATCACTAGGCGCCTTACACTTGTAACTGTTTCTACTGGTGTTCCACCGCGCACAGGGGGATATCCAGGTCGTAGTGGTTATGCTTCCAACCTTTATAATTTTGGCATTGGATTTGGTGGATATCTGGCACAAGTCGAAGTGGATTGTTGTCACTAATAAATCTAAGAATCATCCAGAGATTGTACTGTAGATCTAGATCCGGTGGAGTAAACAAAACGGATCACGTGATTGATAAGCGATAAGGATTTTTCTCTCCCATCGACTTCAACTCCAACTCTCTGGCCATCTTGTCTGTGCTGCTGGCAGTGCTTCCACCTCTGCAATCCACATCATCTCGCTGGTTCCAGCTCCAAACCAACATCATGGCACAAGGTATCATCAAGAAAACAACCAAGCCGTCCGCGGGCCCAAGACGGTACGTTCTTAGCAGTGCTCGCAATGTCTCGAGAAAATCCACCATATTAACCCAGGGGTACTCTTCAGGCCGCCGTCCAAGACGACAAAACCAGGTCCGCGCCAAGTCGCCCCCAAGAAAATCTCTCTCATCAAGCAGAATAAACTGAACAAGGTACGACCGACACCCGCACCCACCACTGTCTGTGCTTGTGGCCTTGCTCCATCCAGTCAGCCCTTTTATTTTTCATTTCTCTTCTATGGTAACTCTATTATTATTTCTAACTGTGATCCTGTTGTTATTCCTTTTAGAAAATCAGCTCCGGCCTCGTCGCAAAAACGGAACGCACTCTCGCGCAAAAGGCGGGTCATCTTGAGATTCTGGCTGGTGGGAAGAAGTCGAAGGCGAAGGCGGGTGATAATAAGGGGGGTCAGAAGAAATGATCTGGTTTTTTGTGTCTGTTGTTAGTTGTTAAGTTAAGGAGTTGGTTTGGGACTGTGTTTCAATCTTTTATCATCATCAGACATATACACTGGCTTTTACTACCGATATTCATGAATTGATGCGATACCCTGTTTTCATTTCTCTTCTACTTGCCAAATTTTGTAATAATGATCCGGATATGGATGTTTCATAATCTTGTTTCTATTATTCTCGAATACGAAGAAGTATGGATGTAGTGGGAAACCATGTACAGTAGTAAAACAGCCACAGGCTGGGCCGTGTTTGAAAGCCCATCCATAAACCCACATGGCCATATCATCAATCATCAACAAGAAAGAAAGAAGTGCAAATGTCATAATCCATCAGCAATAAATAAAAAAAAGGGTATCAATAAATTCCAACTCCAATCCTTGTTCGCAGCCCTCCCAATAAACCCACAAATGCGCCAGCAAGATCACGATTATCCTCACCTACGGAACTTGGAGATCTGTGATGGGACGCCAGCTTGCTCGATCAACTCGCGGCCACGATCCATCCAGACCTGGAATCCCGCGTCGGTCGGGTCAGAGGGGAAATCATCCCACACGGCGTTGGCCGAGTCGGCGTATGAGGACCAGATGCCCTTGGGGACATCGTTCATCGACCACGCGGGAAGCTTTGCCAGGACGCATGTATAATAGACGTAGAGAATGCGGCAGAGCAGATCGACGCGGTCGACATAGTGCTGCTGGCTGGGATCGGGGTTCTGGCCGCCGTCGCCGAGACACTTCCACCAAGAGACGCGCCAGCGGAGGGTGAGCAGGATCTGGCCCAATTCCCCCAGGAAACGGATGTGAGTTTCGTGCGAGATCTGCTTCCACTTGATGTTGTAGAAGTCGCGCTCTAGTTTGCGGAATCCTTCGACTTCGAGCATGCGGCACACGATGCGGGAGAGTTGCGCAGCTAGCAGGATGTCGCGCTGATGTTCCGGGTTATTGATGTCCATGGATCGCTCGTCACTTGTTGAGTCGAGTGAGACAAAACTGTATCGAGCACGGCTGGGCATGTTGTTCCATTGTGACAGAAGTGACTAGAGACACATCAGCAGGTGAAAAGACAGACTTTTCGGAGGGTACTCACATAAGCATTGTTCATCGGGTCGCAGTCCTTGACGCAAGACAACCAGTTCTTCGATTTGTCCTTGGACTCGACGATTCGACGGTCGATGAAATCAAGGAACGTCGACTTCAAATTGCCATTGTACTCGCTCAGGCCCTTCAGGAATTTGTACGTCTCGCCCAGGTCGAGGACATACAAGGATCCCCAAGACTGGCTGGCGCGGATGTTGAACCGCCCTTGGCGCTGCCCCAGGAAAGACAGGAGTTGATTCAGATCGAATTCGGACGGGATCTCCATGCGGACTCTAGTGGATCCATCGATCGTGGGATGATTGACAGCTCGTTGAGCTGGAAATAATTAGTCGGAGACCAAACAACGCACATAATAGGGACGTACAGATATAATTGCAGGTTCCAAACTCAACAATGCTGGAAAAGCAAGCACGCGCACAGGGCTGCTCGTGGAGAGTAGGACGGCAGGCAGTGCATGGTGAGATTCCATCGCACTGAATCATAGTTAGCTTTCGTCCTGGCAAAGACTTTAGGGTTCTTACCTTGCGTTTGTTCAACCGGCACTGCACACAGGTATCCTTATTCTTCCTCCGCATACCGGCGTTGGCTCTTCCAACCATGCTCAGCGGGCCCTTGCGACGAGCCCCGCGGGGGGTGTGACAAAGTCTGCAGACGCAATGGCGCCGCCCTGTCCATCTTCCTGGACAATCTGCAGCGGCTTGGCTGGGGTCTTGTCTGAGGAATTGGCTGAATTGCGGTTCTTGCGCTTGCGGACCGTAGCCGGAGACTGCATGGCGAGCGTGCGTTGACCGGCAGATGAGGAGGATCGCGATTTTGACGGCTTATCCGTGAGCAATTCTATTGGAGTCTCGGTGACTACGAAAGCGGGGACAGGGTGGGAGGCCTCGGGGGAACTGGAGTCTGGAGTAATGACTTTCCACTCATCCTCATCCAGTTTGTGTTCTGCAAAGGCAGGGGGGTCGTCGCTGGTCGCAGAATAGGAGCATTCGTACAGTCCAGACAGGTCGCCCGAGACGGACGAGTTCTCGGACTTGTATTGAACATGGTCTGTTTGGTCATTTTTCTGGTACGCTGAGGCGGTTGTTTGGAGCGAGCCAGCCGTCATCTGGGACTGGGGCTCCAACCCATCGAGCCAGCGTAACTCGAGAGACCGGGACGCGGTTTCAAACTCCCGCAGGGAAGAGTCTTTGGGCTGCTGTGACTGCATTGCGAGTGGAACGGAGCCTTGCGCTGGATCTACATGGTTCATTGACATGTCCGGTGTGAGGTCCGCCCAAGGCTCCGGCACCAGTTGAAAGGATGCCGGGATCTGATGGAACGACATCATGGCCTCCGCCGAGGCGTTTGAGAATCCATGATCATGCGGCACCTCGCCTGCATCGTCGACGATAACCGCACCGGCAGAAGGGGTCTGTCCTTTGCCGTAGGGGTAGAGGAGAGGTGTTTCCACGGGCATCCCAAGCCCCCCGACAGAGTTGATGAGCTGAAAGTGTGGCCAGGACTCATCGGAATGGAAATTGTCATCGGTTGAGGAGGGGATCGTCCTGGGACTGATGGTGCCGCTGCCGGTGCCCTCGATGGTGCCGTCGGTGTAGTTGAAGTTGTCAGGCGCGATACTACTAGGATGATACAGTCAGTGTACTGGGCCACAGATCGTGCCGCACGGGATCGAACCTATTGCGAAACTCGCTGGACTGATCCAACAGCGACCTCGTCAACGGGCCCTGGAAGGACCCTAGATCGGCGATATCGGCATCGCACTGGCTGGACTCCTGGCTGGTGTCCCACTCGGGCGGCTGGTCGTATCTTTCCCACGACGAAAAGCCGTCTGTTTGCCAATTGTCGAGGATTTTGGGGTCGATACCCGCAGCGGTGCCGGCGGTGCCGCAGTCCATACAGGGTACGCGGGAGGGGAGTTGGGCGACAGGAAAGCAAAAGACGCAAAAAGACCGAGCTTTTTGCGACTTTGCGAATCAGAAGTCGAAGGGGGTGTCGCGACAGACAGACAGAACGTGGGTGTGTGAGAGAAAAAGAGGGAGAGATGAATCAACGGGTTTTTCCCCACCACAGATTTTGCTGATACGCACAGGCCAGGTTAGGAGAAGTATAGAAAGGAGATCAATAAAATAATGAATGTAATGAAGAATTTAGAAAAAGAAAAGAAAAGAAACGAAACCGGACAGCCATCAAATCTCTTTCATTATCAGTAGAGTCAGAGGGCTGCTTACGCGACTCGATCGTGTCAGAGAAATTGATTCTGCAGGGGTCAGAGCGAGTACTATAGGATCGGACTGGTGGCTTCCGAGCAGCCGCCTGGACGAGGGCATTTCATAATATTGAATGCGACATGATTATTATTGTGATTCTTCTTCCTCTTTTTCTCAGTGGTATCATAGTCAGCGACCTTTCCGACATTTCCTTCTTCGGATCACAAAAACAAAAACTCTTCATGCCCGACGGATGCGGTTCACCGCAGCCTCTTTTCGGCCGCGCCCAAAACGGCGGTCATGTATGGTCGATAACATGAAAATACATCACACCTTCGTGGTATTTTACCATTTCGCGCGATGTACCGTAAAGAATGACATGACCAAACCCGTCTCTCAACTGCCGTCCCCCACACCCTGAACAGCTTCACCGCGACCAGAAACGCTCCGGTCATCCAAGAAGGAAAGCCAGCACCGGGCTCAACCCTTATCCAGCTTGCCCCAGATGCCGCTATAAGTGTGGGAGACGCCCCTCCCATAACTCTAGGACTGTAATAACCGCCTAATAATCGCCGTTAGCGCTGAGAAATTCCATCAGCCATGCATATCCTGGTAAGTCAAGGGATCGACATGCTTGCTTTTTTTTCCTTGGTCACGATCAAGAAAAGCAAAGCACAAGGACGGACTGAATGGTCGCTAACTCGCGCCACAGGTAGTCAATGATGACGGCCCGCCCAACAGCCGCCTCTCGCCGTACATTCGGCCTCTCGTAGACTCCCTCGAAGCCGCCGGCCACCAGATATCCGTGGCCATCCCCGCGGCATCGCGGTCCTGGATCGGCAAAGCACACCTGATCGAAGCAGCCCTGACCGCAAGCTACGTGGACCGCGACGCATTCCGCGACGACGGTACCTGGGACGAGCAGCATGCACCATCCTCCTCTACAGAGAACCAGGACTGGGTGGTAGTCCGCAACGGCACACCAGCCAGCTGTGCTCAGCTGGGTCTATACAATCTCTTCACAGACCGCCCACCCATCGACCTGGTGATCTCGGGCCCGAACCACGGACGCAACGCCTCGACGATCTACAATCTGTCTTCAGGAACTGTGGGCGGGGCCTTGGAAGCTGTGTTCTGCGGGAAACGCGGGATTGCCGTCTCCTTCGGCAGCAAGGATGCACAGCCCGCGGAGATCATTTACGCCGCCGCGAGGCTGGCTGTGCGGTTGGTCGATCATCTGGTGAGGAACTGGGATCCGCGCGTGGAGCTGTATAATATCAACATCCCAATGCGCGAGGACGTCGAGTCTCGGCCTGTTTGCTATACGCGCACTCTGCCCTATTACTGGTCGAAGGGGTGTCTGTATGCCGAGGCGGGTGGTGATTCGAAGATGGTGAACGGCACATCATCCAATGGTGTCTCGTCGAAGGAGCAGTGCAATGGTGTTGCGGTCAACGGACATGCTGAGGCGCCGGGCCGTAAGCAGCGCCATTTCAAGTGGTCTGCTGATCTGTCTGATATGAAGAAGAGCCTGCAAGCCAGTGAAGAGGGTACGGATGCGCATACCGTGCTGAATGGGTCCACCAGGTACGATACTCTCTCTGTGATCCTTGTTGCTTGTACTAATCCCTTTTCAGTGTGACTGCTCTTCGTGCAAATTTCTGGCACGTCCCCGGCCTCGAGGGGCCATTGCACCTTGACCAATAGAGGCTACATAGCATTAGTGATGCACTTTTTCTTTCTATTCAACAGATGCGTCATGTGGAATGGTTTCCATGTTGCATTTCGGCGCAGGGTTTCTTGGGTTTTGCATCATGATAAATGACTTCGGTTTGATCATTGCCGTCTTCCCAGAAGTACAGAGCGGAGGGCAAGCAGAGAGACTGCCCTCAATCGCCAAACAAGGCTTGTACATACATCATACTAGAGCAACAACGATTGCAAGAAAAAATACAAAGACGATTTACGACATGCCAGAATTTGGAACTCATTCCACCACGATCATCGAATAATTTGGCCAAAACGATTGCTATTCAAGGAATACGAGGCTCAAGGGCATATGGCGAGATAGTGTAAGTAAAAGGGGTGGTGTATCACGAGAAACAAAAGCACAACGGATGCGTGAAAGCACCAAAAAAAAACCACAGAGCCCTACAGGGCACGCGCGGCCTCTCCTGCACCGCTCTCGACGGTCGACACCTGCTCGGCTCGCATCTTGCCCTTGCCAACACCACCCTCGCCGACACCCATGCGGCGGGCGACATAGCGCTGCGCAACGATGCCCGCAGACAGCGAGAGTGCCTCTTCCACCCACTCGGCAACCCACTCGCGCGGATCCACGCCACCGCTCTCAATAATCTCCGCGATAGCCTCCGGCGTGACAGCTCGTGGCACCTGCGCGTCCTCAGCGTCTGGGCTCTCCACGGCAGGGGCCGAGGCATCAAGCCACTCGATCCATTTCTGCGGCAGGGCCTGGGAGACGGCGTGGAAGGCGATGCCGTGCACGGGGTCGTGCAGGTACAGGGCAAAGACAATCTCCTCTTCTGTCTCGTCGGCGGCCACTGCGCCGGCCGGGGTAGTGGCTTTCTCGCCTGTCGCGCCCCCCTGGAACAGCTCTTTGGACACGCTCTGGCTCACGGCCTGGATGGCCAGGAAAATATCGCTGCTCCGCACGGGGTTGGATTCGCTCAGCACTTCTGTGGCTTGCTTCGCTGCTTCCTCAATTCCACCCCGCGTCGAATAATACTCCGTCGCGTAAGACTCTGCACTCGCGCGCGCAAGCTTGGTCCCCGGAACGAGACCTGGCACCGCAGAGATACTCCGTGGGCTGCCGGGCGTGACCGTCCGCCACCATGGTCCGTCATTCCAGCCTGTGCTCGAGAGCTGGTAGCCCGCAATGTCCATCCCCCGCTTGGGAGCGGACTCCTGGCCCCGCTGGATTACCAGCAAGTCTCCGCCTTCGACTTGGGCCATCACGCGCGAGAACACGCTGTACACAAGAGGGTCCAGTTCGGGATACCCGGACAGATCGTGCGTCACATGGATCTGTAGGCGTTCGTGGGAGGAGATGGGGGGCGCAAGGGTGTGGATGAGATTGGTGAACGTGGGAATGGCCATGTTGCGCAACTCGCCGCCTATGTAGCAGGGTTAGCAAGGAACTACCAGGGTTGAAGGGAAATCAAACCAAATTCTCTTAGAGCTCCGACATTGCCCTTGACCTGCTGAGCCCACCGCTGGGCCTCTTCGTTGTTCTGGATCTCCTTGACCGCCGCCTCCGCCTGTTTCATGGCTGCGCTGGCCGTTGCGAAGAACCCGCCCCACCATCCGCCTTGGGACTCCTCATCGGTTCCATCCGTCTTTTCAGGAGCAGCTTGGGCTTGATCGGCTTGCGGCACGGGACGAGAAGACCGACCTGTTTCCTCGGACGCGCGGGCGGCGATCTTGTCCTCGCTGGTTCGGTCGATGGTGGCACTAGGCCGGGGAGAGCGTGCGGTGGATGGCCGCGCTTTGTCAGAGGACAGGCGAGGCGTGCCGGGACCGCTGCTGGGGCGCTGGGTAGCTAGGTGGTCCAGCTCGGCCAGGATGTCCTCCTGCTCGGATTTAGCATTGTTGGAGACCGCTGGGACGGAGCGCTTGGATTCCTTGTCGGCTGAGTCGACGCCGAGGTTGTCGAACTGAGCTAGGAGCTCGTCGCTGGTGGGTTTCGCAGCCTTGGGCGGCATGTTTGGGGGTTGTTCAGGAGAGGTGACGCGCAGCGTGTTGAGTAAGCTCGAAGGCGGTGATGTCGATACTGGGACTGCCAAGACCTAGCATGGGAGAGTCGACGTGAGCAGCTAGGGTCAAGGTCAACTGAATGCCGCTTTATATATGGTGAATAAGGAATATTGAACTTGATCATCAGATGGATATGTCTCGGATTTCATTATGCTGTTGTGGCAGGTTTAGTTAGTTCGTGTTTTGTTTGGAGACTTATACCTATGCCGATATATACTTCGCTGGTCTAACACGTTATTTTGGTTGACGACACTCCTTTATTAATACTCCCGATCATCAATTATTCCACTACCTTTCTCTGAAGTCCATTCGGGGGACAACCATCCGGCACTCGGCTCCATTCCGATGCGGAACCGCGGCGGGGTTCCTTCAGTACCCGCGATGGCTTAAATACACCCTTCTTCCCTATTTTTCTCGAGAAACATAAGCTTGAACCGCAATACTTAGTACTAACTACACCATTGACCACGTTGGTAATCCCTGCTATAACCTATTATTGCCCCGGATGCACGCTTACCCGAGATCTACTCTACAGCCGCCACCATGCGTCTGCCCTACGTCCCGGACCCGCCACCGACCAGCACCCCAGAGGAAGCAAACATCCTCGCCAGCGTGCAAGCCCGTCGAGCACCCAACCCCCTGCTCCCTCTCGACCTAGCACTTCTGCACTCGTTCCCCGTGACGGATGGCTGGAACTCGTTTATCGGCGCCATTCGCACCCGCACCAGCTTGTCCACCGTAGTCCGGGAACTGGCCATCTGCCGCGTCGCTGTGATCAACGGCGCCCATTTCGAGTGGGAGCAGCATGCACCGTTGCTCACCGCGGGCGGTCTGAGTCGAGAGGCGTTGGATTTGGTGGGGGATGCACAGGTGGATTTCTCGGACGAGAAAAAGACCACAGTCTTCAGTGCGGAGGAAAGGGCGGTGCTCAAGTATACTGACGCGATGACCAAGACCGTGTCGGTCCCGGATGAGGTCTTTCAGGGGTTGAAGGGTTGCTTCAACGAGAGGGAAGTGGTGGAAATTACGGCGACGGTTGCGGCCTACAACTGTGTCAGTCGGTTCTTGGTGGCATTAGATGTTGGAGAGAAGAATCATTGAGGGTGAAGATCTGCGGGATGTTGATCAGAATGCTGCAGATGATACCTCGTACGTTGACTGCCATATACTTCTGATGAAGTACGTAAGAATAGTATAAATCTAGCTGTGCGAGTACTTGGTATCGTGTCTGAGGATTTGGAGTATAGTCGACAAGCCCATTCGGGGGTTCATTTTCGTTCTACTTCCACGCTTGTAGTGACTATGAGGTCATCAGCCATCCGATCTGCCTTTACTTCATTCCTGGCAGCTCTTGAGCAGCACATTTTGCAGATATGACCAACCAACGCCCACTCGACTCGACGGACTATCACTCAACCCGACTGTGATTTTTCTTGCTAGAACGTCCGCCGCTAGGTTGTTGCCTTACTTTCCAAGTCTTCTCGATCGGGTCATGTGACCCATAGTCCGCCACCGTGTTTTTTCTTCCGGGCAAATCTTGCCTGGAGCGTTGTTGAGATCATGTAAATAGAGTGAAATAGAGGGAGGTATGAATCAACAAGAATAAGAGATGATTTCGTCCGTCCGGTTATCGCAGTCGATCCGCGCAAGTAGATACTCGCACGGTGATTGGCCCGTCTGGACCCAGACAGAGGTCCCGTCAGCCCCGTCTACAAACTAAACTACTCAATCTCTTTTTCTCTTGCTTCCCCCAGTCGCCCTTGGGCTCTTCTCCCAGCTGTATTTGTCTCATCCCGGGTTTCTCGATCCCTCGGATTCTATTCCCTCCATCACTGCCCTTGACTCTTCTCTCCCCTCTGCGTTTGTAACATCCTATTCACCCGTACTCGCACTCTCATCGGTCCTCCCTGCCACGCTGTTAGCAGCCAGGCATTGCGGCCATTCCCCATCTTTCTTCCCCCTTTCTTCTTTTCTCGACTGTATCCTCCTCATTGTTCTATCCCTTGTCTCGTGTACTAAGACCGGACAAACCCTGTGGTGCTCGGCCAGCCACCACTACTCGAGGTAAGTACACATCCCTGGCCGCCCGCGCCTAGCAACAACTCTTGTTGCAACGCCCCCATCGCTGACCCCGTCTGGCAGCCATTTACATCGTCTGCACATCATCGTCAGGAACGGATCGAGATCCCCTGGAACTCATGGTAAGTGACATGTCGCGCGCTGTTGAATCATAGTCGCTTTTTTTGCTTCTGTACATCCACTTCCCATCCTGATCCACACACACAACCCGGCCCCGACCGGGTCTTTTTCCCTTGGCTTGGCAATTCTTTTGATCTGTTCAGTTGTCTGGGATGAATATCCATGATGGATGCATGGCCACATCCCCATTCTGCTTATGCTTCTTTGTGACTGCCCCCCTGCGTTCGCCCGCCGGCTCCCCTGGCCCTGAGGGTCAAGGATTGCGCTGCGATTACTTCTGGCGGCTTGGCACCCGCAAGCGAACCACCCAACGACTGACCCAATCTATACAGATCACCTCGCGACCGTCTGTTCGCCTGTGAACCTTCTCGTCTCTTGAGAAAACTCTCTTTTCTTTTCTTTCCTTTTCTTTAATTTTTCTTTTTCCTGTTCTTTTTCTTTTCTTCTCCCTGCTGGACCTTCTCCACTCACTCCCGTCAACATGGCCCCCATTCCCCGGGTCGATGTGGACGTGGATAATCCCTCCTCTGACGTGGGCGAAGATTCTCCCATGCGCCGTCAGTTTTCTGAGCCCTTTCGCCCCCAGTCCACATCGACTCAGATTTCCCAATCACCTGAGCCTCGGTCGCATATGTCCAAATGCTCATGGTGCGGGAAACTCTTAGAAGTTCCCCACGATGGCGAAACTACCAAGGAAGATGTCCTGAGGGCGCATGTCGCGTCTTCACACCCAAAAACTATTCGGTTCTCAGATTATGGTGATGCCGAAGAAATAGATGCAGAGAACAGTTACATGGACCCCAATGACGAGGAGGCGGCTTACCATGAAGAAGAGATTTTCAACGAGGAGGAGCCTCTGAATGAAGACTTTAATGAGGAGGAAGAGGAAGAAGAAGAAGAAGAAGGTGTCGATGACGAAGGAGAGGAGGAAGAGGAGCCTCTAGAGGATGAAGAACAACTTATCGAAGAAGAAATTCTTCACGACGACGAGCACTTCAATGAGGACGAGCCTCTCAACGATGCAGAGCCCCTGAATGGAGAGGCACTGGCAATTCATGCCACACTGCCTGAAGAAGCGCATGCGCATGGCGAAGAGGGAGAACTAGTGACTGCTGCGCCCCTGGCCGTTGGCGACCACAGCGACGATGCTGAGCGTCAAGAAAGCAAGCCAATTGACGTTGGTCCTAAGCCCAGCCAGACAAAAACGAGTAAACTCGATCGGTTGGAGTGGCTCTCGAATCCGCGAACATCCTTCCCCGATGACTATCGCGAACGCTTGTCCAAGTGGCAAGAACCAGACGTGAAGAGTCGTCTGTCCAAAGCTTGGAGTATTCACGATGTCAAGAAATTTTGCCCTGAGTACGAACAAGACGAGGCCAAGATCAAGCAGACTTGGCAGCACGTTTTCAACAACAGCGACGGCAAGCCCAAGAAGCGCGAAGCACCAGAACCGATCACTCAGCATGGCCCGTATAAGACGATCAAAGTCGACACGGGGGAATTCCTTCCCATCGAGTCGCCCGATAAACTTGTGGAACTGCTTCGGCACCCTGAGAACCTCACGCCAGACGAACTCTACGCTGTCACCGAAACGGCCGCCTTTGCCATGAGAGTCTGGCAAGACGAGTACCTGGCTCTCGATAAGCTGTACCTTTACACGCATCGGCACCATCGCGAACCACTTCCCGACGGCTCGAAGAGATCGTTTATCATGGGCAACAAAAAGAAAACCAATCATCCCTTGGCACGGGTGCCAGAAGATGAGCGTGACTTTGAGGATAAGAAGGAGGCTATGCTTTACGGATACAAGCATACTTACTTCCAGGGCAACACGAGCACCCAGGTTGCATGGGCACCCCAGGATCCATTTGTTCAAGGTGGCTTCGTGCCGACACCTGCGCAAGCCCGGAAGATGGCTGCCAAGACGGCGCCTGATGATCACAATCCAGATGGATTCGCTCCTGTTATCCGATACGGTGTTGAACATTTCCCCAAGCTTTGGGAACCTCGGAAGGAGCCCACAATGATGAAGTTCACCCGCAAGCGCAAAGCCGCCGAGGTCGAAGCGGCTTCTAAAGCAGCCACCGACACCGAGGAGACGCAAGGCGAGTCTCCGGAAGCTGATGAGACCGACGAGGAGCTGCAGCCCGCTAAGCGGCGTACTCGAGGCCGTGGTGGTAGACGTGCTGGAGTTGAGTTCATTCAGTCTGAGCTTTCGACTCCCCCGCGCAGAGGTGGCCGAGGCCGCGGCCGGGGAAGGGGTCGCGGTGTTGGACGCCCGCCCACCCGTGCTTCCTTGGAAATCCATCAGTCTTACACCCCTCCCTCTTCTTCACGTGGTCGAGGTCGAGGCCGTGGTGGCATGGCAGCGACACAGACGCGCTCAGTAACCGAAACATCATCTTTGCCTGCTCTTTCTCCCATGGCCACCACCCCATCTGGTACCCCAACAGCGAGCAAACAGACCTCGCAAGAAGCCCTCGAAGAAGCCCGGCGATTGAAGATTGCCAACTCAAAGAACCCAAAGCGCACCAAGGCCATGTTGGACCACTGGGATCGATTCAACCGCGAGGGACGCATCCGCAACCCGAAGCGCTCCAAGGCGCAGATTGAACAGGATCGTGTGGTTGAAGAGACCCGCAAGGCAAGCGATCCTCCCAGGCCGAGTGGCCGCCGAAGGAGGTCGCCCTCACTCGCTCCAATCCCTACCGGCAATCTTGCTCCCAAGGCTTCTCCCGGCATGCCTTCTCTCGCGAGCTCACAACACATGGGGCCGGGAATGCCTCCCAACCCTCCCATGCCTGGATCTATGGGCATGCCACCTTATGGTCACCATGGCCACCATAATCCTTATGGAGCACCACCGGGACCACCGCCTCCGCCGCCGCCTGGACATGTCCAGCTTGGCCAGCCCATGCCGCCTCAGTACGCGCCTTTCCCGTATGTGCCGTACAACCTCGGACATCTCGGTCCTCCTCGTGACCCGCACCACCGATAATCTCAGCCATTGGAGTGAATTCACTTTCCGAAGAAAAACACTGCGTGGACGTTCATTTTGAGCACTTTGTGTTGACACGCCGCCCTTATTTGGGATGTGCATCCGCACGATTTCTGTTTGATTTTTTTTCCTGGGAGACGATCTTTTCCTGCCAGAGCTTTTGAAACTTTTCTTCACACATTCTCTCTCTCGAGAGACTGTCCTTATCGACCGGCTCCAGGATTACTTTCAATCATTTTCATCATTCAGGAGACCGTCTTCACCGACTGGACTCTGATACGCGTCTCTCTTCTTTCTCGTTTTCTTTTTTTTTCTTTTTCTTCTTTTTTTCCCCGTCTTCTTTTTCTTCTTTTTCTGGTTGGTTTGCACTGGATCTGGTCGGCGCAATGGAAGGACGGCGGTTTTGCAGACCTCAAGGGACTGCTTTTGAGCGCAAAAGGGATTGTACATCTACTAGGGATGGGAAGTTGATGGTGTGGCTTGAGGCCTAGTTTTTACAGGCACCGCCGATACTGTCAGCTTGGACTGTATTCTATTCTGCCATTTTTGTATGATAGCGTCATGGGCACAGATAAATGGACCTTTCTTTTTTCTTCCACTGAATATGGGTGCCGTCAGGCCATACTTAAGCTACTAACTTGAGTCCGGTGACATCCTCGCAAGCTTTGACGACGACCTCTTGCAAATTTTCGTCCGCTGTCACTGCGAGAGGTTCACCAATCTTCCTGTTGGGTTCAAAATAGACACCGGTGAGGTTTTGATCGTAATCACCTTCAGCCAGCATGACATATGTCTCGACACCATCCTCCAGCTTGTCGGTAGCGCCTTGACCTCCAAGCTTGGTAGCAACATATCCTGGATGCACAGCCGTGACCGAAGTATTATTAAATCGCCTTGCCACCGC